CTCACATATGCAACCTATATACATCGGTAGGTATACATTATCGCGAACTCTTACCACGTGCAATGTCACGACCCAGCGATGAGCGGAACCACTCAGGTCGTACAAAATCCACGGGGGCAATGCGGACTATTCCTTCTCAGTTCTATGCCAAGCCGAGAGAAGTGCAGTTGCCATACAAGTGAGAGCAAGCCCTGATTGACGATGTGGTCACGTGTGGACCGACTTCCTCATTGAGCAACCTTGGAACCGCTGTTTGTCTCTCACCTCACTTCATCACTGAGAGCAGATCTCATTCGATTTCTCCACCTGTCTGAGTCAGTCCGACGGTCATCTAAGCCTTTCTCCTCAAGCGCGTACAATCTCGAAAATGTGGCCCGTACGAGATCCTATCATCACTCACCTCTACGAGCACCTCCAGGGCCACTACGGCGATTCCGGCTTCGTTTCTCAAGCCAACATCTGGGAGCTTGCTGGTAAGTAAACTTACCTTACCTAACCTAAAGGCCCGTCTCTTCGAGGCTGAGTTTGACTCATGTTAATTATTAGAAAATATCGCATTCCTAATTCGCAACCGCTACGGCCCGGCCACGGAACTCGAAGATAACCCGAAGAAGATTTCTGTTTGTATCTTCAAGCTTAGAGATGCGAACAAAGACCATGCGGGCTATCGAGCTGTTGTTGCTATCCACGGTAACGTCGGCGTAGCCGAAGTCATCATTGATGTGGAGTCTACTGGAGGAAGGAATCGACTTTTCGAGGAAATATGCGTGGATGTTGAAAAGCAAGCACGGGAGATCTTAAGAAAGAAGCCAACGGTGAAGAACGAGGCCATCACCCCTCGGCACGCAACCTGTTTGGCCCTTCGCCCGGCCCGATATTGAGGCGGCCTTTCCGAACCCACAAGGAGTAGGAATTTATTCAAGTAACTGTTCATGGAGCAGGACGTTCGAAATGTTGGGGGCTTTATATGGATGGATCAGTTCCTCTACGCGAAGAAGCATGGATTTTTAGGGTCTTATGTCAAGGCTGTTACTGAATCAATATGGCAGTCGAAGGGCAGACTTATTTCTTCTAGTTCTACTGTGACTTTTCATACCAGGAACACACAATTCCAGCAATAAACGAACTTCCAAACGACCGCGCTCTTCAGTTTACTAGGTTCCGTTAACACCGCCTTTCATCCGCTGACCTAACACTATCATCCCTTCCCTCCAACCTTGTTTTCCTGGGTACCTACCAAAGTATAAAGAACAGCCGTACCTTCAACTCGGACCTCATTCCGCGGCACTCCTATGGCACTTGGCTAAGAGAAACAGAATCTCCACTCTCCTGGTGTTACCGAACAACGCCCCGACAGGCCCTCAGTTTATGGGACCGTTATTAGTCGATCCACTCCTCGTGTGTCGCTGCAAATGCATTCATGAAGACCTGAACTACATTGGTCACAAGCAGATCATGGACCCCGCCGGTTTGTGGGACGCGCACTCAAGAAACGATCCTGCTAATGCTATCTACCTATGTATAATTCTCACAGAAAGGCCCGCTTTGTTCATCCGCTTTGAATTTGATTCTCGCCACGACTGCAAGGTTGATGAAGTTGAGCGCATCAGTCACCCAGGAACTGTGTTATGGGAGTGATCTCCGGGGGAAGCAATCAGGGTATCGCTAGTGGTCAGTTATAGAGGCCCAACAAGTCTTTTGTTCTCCAGGAGACTGTCACAGGCCACCCTAGCCCGACGATTTCGGATGCAGGAGTTCATCTCTCATGTGGACTGGAGTACAGACGAAATGCCCGGGAAGTTCGGGTGAGAACTATCTTTCGCATTTCTAGCAGAGCCAACATCGGCAGATTCAGCTATGGCTGGCTCGTACTCGAGCGTACACTCTATAATTTACCATTGTCCGTGAGGACACCGTCAAGGCATCAAGCCGACAGAGAATATGATGGTTTCCATTGTGGTATAAGGAGAGGGCGGAAAGACAAGAAGTCACCAGCAAAGGTCCGGAATCTGATAAATGCTTTGGAGTTTCAAATTTTGAAAAGTACCGGACCTCTTCAAGGTCCCAAATCTTTGAATATCTCACATGTCAGTATATCCCGCCATCACAAGCCTTCGGAAATATTCTCAACAACTCCGCTCGCTCCGCAAAGTCCTCCAAGCAACCAAGCAAATGGGCGCCGTTCCCAAAGCCCGCTGCACACCCTGTACTTGACTATTACGCATTGATGTCGGTCCAGCCTGCGGGAGTCGTATCGTGCAATCAAATATACGCTGACGCAATTTAAATCGAGCTCCTCAGCTCTCTTTTGGTCGCTAAGTTTACGCCGGATGATAGACCGAAGTTTTCTTTGCATGTCAGTGCCCGCCCGTGAGGTTCGGGTAGAGGAGAAAGAAGAGGAGAAGAAATTGAAGCTACGCTTACTACCTCAAATCTGCCCGACGTGTTGCTGGACTCTCGAGTTATCCTCCTTTGTGATATCGAAGGATTCTGCTGTTTCCTTAGTCAGATGGAGCAGCAATGGCTTGTTTAGAAACGCGGTATTGGTAGCTTAGAGTCTCCTGCGTTGGGATTCATGCGGAAGGCACAACTAAGAAATATCCATCGGAGCATGGTGTAGGTAGAATGACGTCTTAACCCTTCTCTACTCTGATTGCTCCAGCATCACATGGTGCCGGTGTCCGGTGACTCTCATGCATGAGAGCAGGAGGCGGTTTCATTGATTGAATTGCGACTCTACCGCTTCGGGATTTGTTCTATAATACTGCAGCCCACGAGTTCGCGATGTGGACGTTCCAACTTGCGCATCCAGCCTGCTCTCCCAAATGGACGCTTCACCTTGGTGAACTTCCAAATCATTCCATGATAACTTATGAGGCAAGGGTTCACAGCTGCCCAACGCATCCATCAGTAGCTACACCCGATCGTACGTACTATCCGTATCTGGCCGAGGCTACGTTGGTACGTACAGGGCCTCTCCCTCGTACAGTACAACAGAGAAAGAGTAGGTTACTAGCTGCCCAGGTGTACACAGGAGATTTAGGACAAAAGTACAGCTAACTAACATAAAAAGGCATAACGTGGTTTATCAGCACTCGGATCATATCAGCACTCGGATCACTTTTCCCCACCATTACACCTCCCAACTTCAACACACAATTTCTCCACAACAACAAATGGCAGCGCAATCAAAAGAAGCCAGAATAATCCTGGCCATCAATGCAATCTGATCGTCCAAGAAAATAAGCATACGATGTGCAGCCTAGCTCTACAATGTACCATTTTCCTCCCTCCATAATAGAATAGCGGGTGCGATGCCAGCGAAAGAATTTCGACCAAAATCACATAATTTGGATGCACTCGAAGAGAGTATCCTTATTAAGCATATCCTGGACCTAGACGATCGAGGATTCCCTCCCCGACTCGAAGATGTGGAAGATATGGCCAATTACATCCTTGCATCGCACTCCACACAACGTATCGGCAAGCTCTGGGCGCATCGCTTCGTGAAACACATCCCAGAGCTAAAGACACACTTTTCACATTCTTACGACTTCTAGAGGGCCCTATACGAAGACCCGAAGCTTATCGAAGACTGGTTCCAGCTTGTGACAAACATGAAAGCCAAATATGGCATACAAGATGGCGATACATGGAATTTCGATGAAACGGGCTTCATGATGGGTATCATCTGTGGCTGTATGGTTGTAACTCGGTCCGATCGGAAGGGCAAAGGCAAGAAAGTGCAGCCAGGTAACCGGGAATGGGCTACAGCAATTACTTGTGTCAATGGGGAGGGTTGCGACATCCCTCCATTCCTGGTGTTCAAGGCTCATACCACCTCACCAATTGGTATACCGAGGGTGGTCTACCAGGCTCCTAGGTAATCAAACCCACAGAAAATGGGTGGACGAACAATAAAACTGGCTTGGAATGGATTAAACATTTCAACAAGCATACCAGAAATTCGACAAAAGGTGTATACTAGTTGTTAGTGCTAGACGGGCATGAGAGCCATAGGTCGGCCGAGTTTGAGGCTTATTGCAAAGCTCATAACATTGTAACCATCAGTCTCCCTCCGCACTCATCTCATCTAACCCAGCCACTCGACATTGGATATTTTAGTGTCTTGAAGTGCTTTTATAGTCATGAGATTGATGTGTTTGTCAAATCCCACATCAACCATATCACCAAGGTCGAGTTCTTCTTGGCCTTCCACAATGCCTATATCAAGACTATGACAGCGGAAAACATCTTGGCTGGGTTCCGCGGGGCTGGTTTAATCTCCCATAATCCTCAGGCGGTCCTGTCAAAGCTAGACGTCAAGTTACGGACACCTACACCCCCCAGAACACCTTCGGTAGATGCTGACCCTTGGGTCTCCCAGATGCTGCACAACCCCACAGAAGCTCTCTTACAGACCGACCATGTGAAGTCGAGGATCACCAGTCATCAAGGAAGCTCGCTGACTCCGATTTTTAATGCAGTTGGTCAAATGGCCAAGGGTATGGAGGTATTAGCACATATGGTCACCCTCTTGACCGCAGAGAACAAGACCCTTCAGAAGGCAAATGAGGCACTAAGCAAGCGTCAGATGGCAAAAAAGACACATCTCCGGCAAGGAGAAGCACTCAGTGTAGATGATGGGTAGGATATAGTAGCTCAGAAAGATGCAGAGGCTGTGGCAAAGGCAGATAGGTGCTCTCGGGGTGGTGGTAGAGGATCAGGTCAGCCAACTTCACGACGATGTGGCAACTGCGGAGAAGCCGGACATAATGTGCGAACATGCTAGGCTGATGCAGAGATATCTGATGAGTCTATAGATGAGCCCTGTTAATTTATTGAGGTGTTGTGGTTGAGTAATTGAAGTTGGGAGGTGTGGTGGTGGGGAAAAGTGATCCGAGTGCTGATATGATCCGAGTGCTGATATGATCCGAGTGCTGATATGATCCGAGTGCTGATAAACCACGTTAAGGAGGAAGTTCTAAGGTTAAGATAGCCTCTAAATTTCCGTATACAGTTACTACACCCCCGTACATTATAGGTACTATACGGGAGGGCTAATCAAACCGCTCCGTTCGTACCTAGCCTGACTCTCCTCCATACAGTACAGTAAATAGCGTATTTCTACTCTGTTACGTACTGATGGATGGGTTGCAGCTGCCAACACTCAAGTCGACTCCTGGGTCTCGCCATCAAGGATGCTGAGGACCCTTGCATCCACAATGCTGAAGAACAACTCGACCGCCCTACCGGCGTTGTATTCCTCCCCACGTACATATATATTAATGACAGGCCTAGGGTTGCCATCATACACTAATGAAACCTTGAATCCGCGGTCAAGGTTCGCGTCGTATTCTGGTATTGCGAACAGATAGAAGGTTGCTGAGTGAATTTGCACCAGCGACGGCTTGCCATACCTAGCGCAGATGATGAAGTCGATCTTCCCTGATTTATCGCAGTAATGTTAGCACTTTTCAGGGAAGGTTGACAGAAACACGTACGTGCAACGTCAAGAAGCTTCTGTGGCATAAGAGTGACCCCATGCTTGCCAAAATGGTGTTCAATAACGTCGATGATGCGTTGAACAAAAGGAGATGCTTCGGACGCCATGTTGAGGAGAAATTCGAAGGAATTAGCCGATCTTGATGTTGGGAATGAGTGTACTTCGTTACACACTCATAGCGCTCAGCCGATTTTGACACTGGGGAATCCTTCCGTTGCCAAAGGTGAACGTCGATTTCACGTGTGCGGGTACCTAGGTAGGTAGGGCTGAAAGAGCCAACCCGAAATAGCCTAGGTTAAGCGCCGGGACCCTGAAGCGCAAGGGGCAGGACATGAAACGCCAGGGGCCCTGCTGATCACAGTTCACCAACATCCACCCACCCCACAATCTATTGCTACTATTCTTGACGCCTGCTCCTACGGATTATCGACTGATATCGCCTGCGTGGACTACCGCTACTGGCACGGCCGGTCGTCGACGCGCCAGAACTTGGCCGAGGATATGGCTGTTTCCCTGGTTGACGAACACCCTCCGGCGCCCACTACATATGCTGGGGATCCAGAGAAAGATATCGTGGCTATGGCAGCACACAGCTGCCCGAAGTGTGGGTCCGAGCTACTGCCGGGCAGGGAGCTGGAAGAGGCACGAAAGAAGATTAAGGAGCTGGAAGCGCAGGTGGAGATGCTAAAAGAGAAGGCCACAGCTGCTGGTAAGTCCTGCGAACCTGCTTACTTTCCCATCGCGATCCAATACTTACGTCGCTACAGTGGATCGCTGCGCCGACTACGAAGACCAGCTCCGCACATTCCGCGCAAACAACAACCATGCTCTCCTCCGAACCAACACCTCGGACTCGCTCGCACCCACCGCTGGCAGACCCTCAGAAGAAGAACGACGCCCTTCCACAGCGCACTCGACGTCGACGAAACAGTCCCGCTTCTCGTTCCTCACAGGCCGACGCGTCTCCCCGGCACAGTCTACCTCACACGCGCCTCCTACATCCCCCGATCCGCAGCCTGACACCACGCTCCTAGAGCAACAACTCTCGCAGGAGCGCCAGTTGCGCGCCCAAGCGGAGGCCAAAGCTGCCAAAGTCGACTCAGAGATAGAGGAGCTTTCTGTGCAGCTTTTCTCGCAAGCGAACGAGATGGTGGCCGCGGAGCGGAAGGCAAGGGCAAAGTTGGAGGCGAGGGTGGAGGTGTTGGAAAGGAGGGACAGGGAGAAGCATGCTCGGTTGGAGAGGTTGGAGGATGCGGTTGGCCGGGTGGAAAGAGTCAAGAAGTTGTTGGCAGCTGGAGCGGGGGTGCACAAGAAGGTGTAGAGGCTCGTTTCGATTTGCGTTGGATTGTGCGGCTTTTACGATGATACCCTTCCCACCTACTCGCATATTGTTGTCTGGGCATTTTAGCGTCTGCATTTTGGGCTTTTCCGGCATTGGGAGGGTTGGTTTGTTCCTGGATTGACAAAGCTGGTGTTATTGCTCGTTGGGACATGTTGTTCTTGATTATCTCATCTTACGTTATATGCAGTTTTCGGCCTGTCGCATTAATATGTTCAGAAGACGGAGCGGAGTGAATGTAGTGGAGCTAGTCTAGCAAGGCCCATCACTGAGTTGCCAAAACTTGTCGTGCCATCATTCGCATTTAAATCGGTGAGGTTCGATGACATCAAAGACCATCTAGACACTTCAGCAGTACTGTAGCCCGAAGTGCCTAAGAATCGGCTCCATCTCGTGTGGGTACTTGGGCGTGCCGTGTACCGAGTGGACTCTGACGAGGCTCCACAAAAGGCGGTGTTGATTAAAGGAGCTCCATGACGCGTTATCATGATGTCGTCCATATTACATCGGTAAGAAAATTACCATGGAGGTAAGTATCTCCGTTCCGAGTATGTTTGCATTTCTTCATGCCTGAATAGCACCTGCGTTGAAGATACTCACGTAGCAGAGATACCTACTCTCGGCTTATCGTTGGAAGCTATGTGCCCTCAGGTACGCAGTACTGTATATTACAATACCACCGGATCTAGGTCATGGTTTCGTCAATCGAGCGGCCATATGTGGACGTCTCTGCCACAGGTTCGGGCTGTTCCCGTGATAGGATACATAGGAGGAAATACATATAGAAAAGGGTGGGGAAAGGTCTCATGGTGACGATTCCCATGTCCCCCACCCAAGGAAAAAGCTCATTGAACCCCTGAGCAATTGGAGATCTGCACTAGGGCCATATGGGGCTTAGCGTGGTTTTGAACTCCGCCAATCTCAGCGCATCCCCATCGTCTCAGGTTGCCCAGGGGTTCTGCCCGCGAGGACATCTGAACAACCCCAAAAGATTATTTCTCACCTCCCAACACTCTTCCCTCAACACCATCGCCCTCGCCTTTGGCATTCTCCGGGAGCGCAATTGCGCCGCCGCCATTTACCCTTGGCCTGCCGCCTATTGCTGCACCAAACCGTCGCTCCCTTCTCCATTCGACCCCCACATCGGCTCGCTGGCTGGCTGGCGTCTTTGAAACATACACCCACCACTTACGACGTTCCCACACGCACTGCGCACCCTCTTCGGTGCCTCTGTCGCTCTCTCGCACCGTATTCGGCTCCTTTCTTCGCCTTGACTCGTATGCAACACGACTGCGCCGTACGGCAATCCGCTCTTTCAGCATCTCCTTTGATCGCTTCCGCTCAGTACACGCACGACCATTACCCCCTCACATCCGCGGGCAGACAAGGCGACCGCCACAAAGGACTGTTGCAAGGCTCTACGCTGCGCGCTTTGGATATGATTTAGGACCATGACGCGCCCACAGATTATACGGGCAGGTACGGCATTACCTCAGCCCTTCCAGCCTTGGTGGACGTCGGCGCTAACATGTTGTGCTGAGCAGATACCCTGGACCTGCAGGACAAAGCCTCCCCTACCGCCCAAGATCACTCCCGTCAGCCGCAGCAGCCGGCAGCTCTAGGTGTGGGCGCTGCAGCCCCCCATCAACAGTCTACATTGCGACAAGTCGACCATGAACGTCATTCCGAGGAAGCCCGTCTCCGCAGCAGCACATGGAGTGACGCCGACACGTTAAACGACGGCCCATGTTCTGACGACGATCGCACTGTCGTGAATGGCGGTGGAGGCGACAGTGACCCACAACGTGACGAACAGGCCGTCAGACTCAACGGTGGCCTCGCTGGAGATGCGGACGACGCGGATATGCATGATGCCGACATCGACGAGGATATGGACGACGACATGATGGACAAGATTTCCAGTTCGCCTTCAATCGACGATGGTGGGTATTCCTTACCTTTTCTCTCGCAACGTCGACCTGAGCAGCATTCTCCTTCTTCTTCTTCTTTGTCAACATATGAGGGATCTTCCTCTCCTTTTACAGCAACCCCTCTTCATCTTCCACTGCCTGTGACTGCCGCCCAAAGTGTAAGCTACCCGGCTGGCGGCGCAGCTACCATTTCCCAGTCCTCTCAACGGTCTTATCCTGTTCCATTTCTCCTTCAGTCATATGCCAGAGGAAAACGCAAGTCAGAAGATCATCATCGTGGTGAGTATAACCGGACCTCCGACGACGAATCGACTATGAAGGGCCACAAACAGCCACGTCTTGTGGCCGAAAGTCCTACTGCCGGCCGGCTGAGGAAAATGGAAGCCCGCCTGGAAACCATTCGCGATGATTCACAAATGTCTCTGATGTCGGAGCTGGACGAGGGCGAGGTTCAGAGACTCTTACAACCGATGCGTAATCTACTAGCGTCAAAGGCAGAGCCACTTGGAGAATCCGGCAATTCCCATGCCAACCACGACGGGATCCCCAAGGGAGACGATGATGAGTGGGTTACCGACAGTGATGCCGATTCCTGGGACATGGAGGCCGCAAACGATGATGAATCTAATGACGTTTCCTTTTCCGAAGATCCACGATATGTCGACTCCGGCTGGGGAGGCGAATGCTTACGAGAGACAGAGGACATCGATTTCGAATTCGTCTATGCTCTGCACACGTTCGTTGCGACTGTCGAAGGCCAGGCGAACGCCACCAAAGGCGATACCATGGTTCTTCTCGATGACAGCAACAGCTACTGGTGGCTTGTCCGGGTTGTCAAGGACAGCAGCATTGGTATGGGTCCCTTCTGCTCTCGACGTGCCCGTATTAACGTGTCCGAAGGGTATCTACCTGCCGAGCACATCGAGACGCCTACAGAAAGATTGGCCCGACTTAACAAGCACCGAAACATTGACCTTTCTGCGACAATGCTGGGCGATACAGCCGAGAAGACGAAGAATCCCCTGAAGAAGGCAATTCGCAGACGAAATGCCAAGACGGTGCAGTTTGGGTCGCCGACATATGTTGAACCATCCGACTACGATTATTCGTCGGATGATGACGAGGAACTGTTCGGTGGCGCAGATCCGACTCAGACCCAGACTCAGACTCAGGCGCAGGCAGCCACTGAGAGGTCTGAAGTCGAACAGGATGAGAGTCTTAAAGTCGAACCCCTCAAGGTCGGAGGTGTAAAGAAAAGTTTCGATCAGACGAATGCTACGGAGCTCTCACGGAGTTCCAGCGAAGAAACCACCAAGAACAGTAGTGAGAAGCAAAGGAACAGCGAAGAGACAATTGATAAGCCACTGGATCCGAAGGTGTCTCGCAACGGAACCCTGCGTAATACGGATTCGTTCTTCAAAGATGATAATGCTGAGACCCGGAAGATTACTCTTACCCCTAATCTACTCCGAGATGACTCAACCAATGCAACAGCTCTGAGAGAGCGTGGACCTAGCCTCGAAAGTCTGGAGAAGAATGGCTTTGCGGACAAGGTCAAAGACGATAAGAAGAAAAAGAAGGAGAGGAAGTCGGGGATGCTTGGTGGCCTGTTTAAGCGCAAAGATAAAAAGAAGGGAGTACTGGATTCCTTCGATAGCGATACGGAGAAGCGTTCGGAAGACTTTGGGCGCAGTTCCCCGCAAGGCAAAGACTCCACTGAGGGACGCCCATCGACCGACCAAGTCCCAGGATCACCCCAGCGTCAGCCGAGCAAGGGGAAACTGCAGAAACCGCAGCGCAGCAGGGACGATTCGCCTTCGAAGATTACCAAGGGTATCCTGAAGAGTGAGGATGGCGAAGCTGTTGCGCCAGATGCTGCTCCCGGAACTACGGACAATATGTCGAGTGGGCAATCCTCATCTACAATGCGTCTTGTCTCCCCCGAGCAGGAGGAAGCGTCGGGCACGACCAGCGCGTCTGGGATGCAGTTGACAGAAATCACCGCAGCGTCCGCCAATTCCAAGAACATGGTACAACGGCAGCAACAACCGAATGTTAAACCACGCCCAGAGACCGTCAAACCAGCAAAGCAGCGAGTGCAACTGGACGACTTCGATTCAGAGGACGAAAACGGCAATCCATTTGCGGATCCTGTCGCAGCAGATCGTCCGATACAGCCCTCCCATGCTCCACCAACAGGCCGCTTATCTGAGTCTCCGGTACGCGTAACGACTGGCGACCTCCAGATGGAGGATGTGCCGCCAGACGATATTCAGGAAGCCGACCCTCATCAGCCCCCTGCGCTTGCCGCGGACACATCGAGCCAAGAGACGTCATCCCCTATCTCCACGCCGTCGCCTGACGGCAGCCCATCAATAGGTGCACCTTCAAAACAGACCCAACCCGCAGCTGCCTCCACTGAGAATCCTTCCGCGGTTCTCGCACCTTCTCGGCCTGCGCCCGTATCTACTAAGGAAGCCGACGCCTCGCCACCCATCTCCTCGGAGAGCGCGACGCTTCCCGCCTGGTCCGACTCCTCGCTTCGGTCCTATCTGGACGATGGCAGCGATATCCGCGACACGCTAATGGTCATCCACGATACTACGGGCGTTGTGCCTGTTGGGCGTGATCACCCGCTCATGTCGCAGCTTTACGTGGAGGAGTCAAAGACGCTTGAGCAATTGAACGGAAGTCTAGATCTCTTGTTGACGAGATGGCTAGAGGAGAAAAGAAGGAGGCACAAGGGTGGTGCGCCTGTGAGAGCGAGGTAGTCGGGGTAGCGGGGGAGATGGGAATGATCAAGTCATGCCAACTTACGTTGTTATTGGGATATACCCCCTTTTCTTTGCTTTTCTCTGGTTGGATTCCTTTTCTCGAGATAAGGGAGGAAAGATATGAGGGAAGGCCAGTATCGCGGAGTATCGGCGTCTTCTGGTTTTGCCCTTTTTTGGCTATGTGGGCAATGGGGCACTTGTCCTTTCTTCTGTTTCCTTCTTGTTCTCTTCTTCTCCGAACCCTTAGTGTCTGTCCCTGATATATCTATCTGGGACCTATGTTGGGCCACCAACATTTTCTTTTCTATGGCATACGCGCGGGCGTTTGCACCGGCGGAGGATGGCCTTTCTACTTCCGTCTTCTTCTTTTCTGTTGTCGTCCGCATGACGACGCCATTGACTTCCCGCTTCGTTACGGCCTAGCCACCGGTCGACTGTGTCTTACACACTACATTTAAACTTTGGATGATGGGCTCGCTCGCTGTATCTCCTTCTTCTTACGGCGATTTAGCGATGTTGGTTGACTGGATTCGGAGACGTGGGTTTTGGGTGAGAGTCGAGTTGGATAAAGGAAATCACGATGTATAGTAGGACGCACGAGGTGAATACATGGCAGAAGGAGCATTTTTCAAAAACAGTCCTGATCTAACTACGGAGACTCACATGTGCGTGCCATCGGCTTGCTATTGTTCGCATAAATAGCACATTTTGTTTAACGACTAGGCTATCTCCCACATTCCGACAGTAACTTTGTACCATCATATATTCCTACCGTTACGCCTTGCAGCTCTGCCATATCACCTCCTCCATCTCACGACGTGCCCCGACCGCTATGCTTGCCTCCAACAAGTCCTGACGACGCTTAAGCTCGACGAGATGTCTAAGCGCACAGCCACATATTATGAATTGCTTACCTGCACCGCCTCAGCAAGGGTCGGCGCTTTTCCCCGCCAAAGCCCAAATGCGCCGTCATGCAAAACATCCGGATGACAGACATGTTAGGCCGAAAAGCGTTTGGACAGCTGTCCATGTGTCCTCTATAGGAAGCAGGACAGTCATGACGGCAAGCTTCCCCTCTCCCTACTAACGCGGGGCACGTTCTCGTTGGCCTCCTTTTTCCACGCACCGGCGTCCGATCGCTGCACCAAATGGACGTATCCACTCCACCCCCTCCGGCTCCCAACATCCGACCCTGAACATCGAGCTGCAAAAGCACAGCGCGGTACTTGTCCCCTCTCAGAGTCGCTATCGTCGCACATCCACCACGCCGACGAACGAAGGCTCTATTTTCAGTCCTGCATTGGCTTGGTAAGGGGGTACTCGAGCGCCAACAACACCTCCACCGTAGGCAGCGACCGAAGTCCTAAACGTCATCACCGCCGCCGCCTCCTCTACTCTTAGTCTCTCACCATGTCGATGCTGTCCAACCCTCCCACCAAGGACACCTCTCTCCCCGCCTCTCCCTCGTCCGTCGTCTCTCCCTTCGCCTCGCCCAACGCCATCCCTCCCCGCACCAGCTCCCACGGGCTCGTGAACCCCAACACCGCAGCACAGAGGTCACGCGTCAGCGTCCTGCGGCCACTGTCCGAGATCGACTGGATGTCCCAGGGCTCGTCGCTGTCGGCGAGAAGCAAGAGGAGTAGTAACGCCGACGTACCGCTTGTCCAGCAGCTGCAACAGCAACAACAACATCAGACCCCGCCTACTTCTCCAGTTACCGCTTCGAACATGGTGTCACAACAATCGCAAGCGCCCTCGCAGCCTACACCCATAAGCTACACTCCGCAGTCGTCGCAGCCACAGGCGCAACCGTCACAGGCATCACCGCCTCCACCGCCTTGCTCGCAAGACCTCTTCAACGACAAGCTCATCTACGGCAGTCAGTCGACGTGGACGGAGGAGAAGGAGCGCATCTTACTAGGGCCCTATGATTACCTGGTAGGACACCCTGGCAAGGATATCCGTAGTCAATTCATTGCTGCGTTCAACAAGTGGTTGAGGGTGCCGGAGGATCGGCTAGAGGTCATTACGAGGGTGGTCGGGATGCTGCACACCGCTTCGTTATTGTACGTTCCTTGCACAAAGAAAGCATACATCTCGCCACATGTAGCACTGACGTGGTTCATCAGAGTGGACGATGTAGAAGACTCCTCCGTCCTGCGCCGCGGCATCCCCGTCGCCAACTCCATCTTCGGCACTGCGCAAACCATCAACTCGGCCAACTACGTCTACTTCAAGGCGCTGGCCGATGTCGTCTCGCTGGGCAACCCGAAACTCATCGACATCTTCACCGAAGAGTTGATCAATCTGCACAGAGGCCAGGGTATGGAGCTGTACTGGAGGGATAGCCTGACGTGTCCCACCGAGGAGGATTATCTCGAGATGGTGGGGAACAAGACGGGCGGACTGTTTAGATTGGCGATTAAGCTGATGCAGGCGGAGAGTCGGGTGGATATGTATGTGTGCATCTCAATGCGCCCTTTTCCTTCCCTTCCCGCGTTATCCAAAACTAACATAAAATCCAGCGACTGCACCCCGCTCGTCTCCACCGTAGGAGTCCTCTTCCAAATCCTCGACGACCACCTCAATCTCTCCCCCACCTCGGGCTACTCGTCCTTGAAAGGCCTCTGCGAAGACCTGACAGAAGGCAAATTCTCCTTCCCCGTCATCCACGCCATCCGCGCCGACCCCTCGAATCACGTGCTCATGAACATCTTGAAGCAGAAGACGGGCGACGAGGAGGTCAAGAGGTATGCGGTTCGGTATATGCAGGAGAGGGGCAGCTTCGAGTATAGTAGGGCGGTTATCGAGAGGTTGAGGGCGAGGAGTGAAGAGTTGGTGGGTCAGGTGGAGGGGAGGCTGGGGGAGTTGGGGGTTGAGGCCGAGGAGGGGGGTGCGGCGTTGAGGACGGTTTTGGAGAGGTTGGTGTTGAGGTAGTGGTGGTGATGGGAAGGAAGGGATTGTTGATGTATGCATAGCGATTAGTGTCTTATGTAATGGTGTTGTAGAGTATATGCTGTTGATGTTTGCATTGTTTGAGGAAGTCGTTATGCTAACATGATTACTGTAGAACAACTTATGTCTTTGGCATTGCCATTTGATTCAAGTACGCCTTCTCTACCGCCACGCTATGGTATAATGCAAAAACATCAACGGAAATGACCCCCTTCAAACACCACTTACTCCAAAATGCTATGCATCGATATAGATGGATCATGTTGCCCTCCCCGAGAGCGTGGCGGCGAGCACGAACAAGCCGAATTCCCTCCTGTCCAACATAACTGCATCCCCTCGCAGCTAAAACGAGCAACGATACCCGCCCCACCATCTTCCCAAACTCTTGCGTCTCCCCCACTGGCACCATCAATCAAACAACCCCCTCCCACTCCCATCACCATTCCCATTCCCATTCCCCTCCCCCTCAGCCCACGCCCTCCACTCCCCGACTAAAACCTCAACCTCCCTCCTCGCATCCTCGACAATCCCATCCATCTTGATATCATTCCTATCATACCCAAACGGATCCTCCAACTGCAGTCCAATCCCCTCGATCCCATACAACGTAAACGCCACGATCCCCACAACGGGCACGCTCCACCACGCATAAGCATCGACAATGGCGAAGGGCAGGAGACACGTATACAGCGCGAGGACCTGCTTGCCGTGGATCAAGTGCGCGATGGGCAGCGGCGTCGAGGCAATGGTTTCCATGGTGCCGTAGAGCGTCGTGAGTTGTGCGACTTGGGCGTTGAGGAACGAGGCTTGCGGGGCGGAGAGCCAGGCGCGCGAAAGGCAGCGGGCGATGAAGGCGTCGAGGAGGAGGGAGAGTTGGAGTGGGGTGCTGAGGCCGAGGGATTCCGGGAGGAGGGTGAGATGTGCGGGGAGGAGAGAGAGGTATTCTTCTGTCGGTTGGAGCGTGGTGCTGCTCGTGGCGGATTCGTAGGTAGGCGACGTGTGGTACAGGGAGCTGGTGAGTGGGGTCGTGGATGTGGGCGGTGGTGTTGGGCCGGAGTGTCTGTTGGTGGTCGAGGCGCGTGTGGAGGAGTCTAGAGGCTCCAGAGGTACGTTGTACTCTTTTCGCAGATTGTGCTTGATGGCGTAGAGGATCGCGACTAATGCCCTAACCGTCGTTTCCGTATCGCGAATCTCCTCTGCCGTGAGCCTCCTGTCTCTCGTCTCCTCTTTCGCATTTCCTTTAGAGCCGTTTTTCGGACCAAGATCATAAGGCGGCCGCGCAGCCACCAAAAACCCCCTCGCCAAAACCCTCACACATCCCACCACCCCACCAAGACAATTCCTCCCCGTCCAGAAACGATCATAACTCGTGCTATTGCGAAACACCAACATCAGACCCACTACAATGGACAGGCTCGGGATGATGGTCGAGGGGACGCCGATGCTGAGTCCGGGCACGTTGCGGTCAATGTACACGATGAGGGCGGTGAAGAGCATGTGTAGGGTTACGGGGAGGAGGATGAGGGTGTGCACGGCGCCTTTGGAGAAGCGCAGGACGAGGGGGAGGCGGCGTGGTTTGCGGCGGTGGGAGTGGGAGAGGGGGTAGGTGGGCGTGCGGTGGTGGTGGGGGGTAGCATAGTGGTGGTGGGTGGGATCCATTTCTTGGTGTTGTGGTGTATAATTTGAGAAGATATCGTTTGGGAATTGATCCTTGACGAGTGCAGAGAACCGTCAGGAGAGGAAGAGGTGGTTTATTATCAGAACCCACGCCCTAGGAGAGGACAGATGGATATCCAAGGGCAATGCAGGCGCGGGGCGTTTTGTTTGTTTGGGATGTCGTCCAATCTCGACTACGAGCGCGGGGGTGAGGACAAACCCTAGCAAGGTCTATCCGCCTCGCGCGGGATTGCACGAGTCAGGCACAACTGCCCAGGTGGGCAGTGACAGCAAGTCACATGATACAGTACTTCACCTTTAGACGGTACGCACATCGATCAGGCTCCTTGCGAGTGTAATTACATTTCCTATCTCTTGTAATATGTACCTCTTCTATTGTAGCGTGAAGGAATTTGTAACGGTCGGTTTTACGGGCTGGGTTGTAGTCACGTGCAGATGACTTCACTCTTGGCAGCGAACACTCCCTCCCCAGTGTAAAGCCTAACCAGCCTTAATGTATGTTTGTGATTACGCATACGTGATTGTTTTGATTAGTAAAGTAGAATTTGTATAGCTTGGTTCCTTTGGCAACATCTAGCATTCAACGTGCATAGACTGTGCTCTCTTTCACCGCCTAACTGACAGGCAGAGGCGCCCGTGGGCTAGAAACTTCTCGCAGCACTGCATCACACACCAAGTACGCAACATTACGATCCCCCCAGCTACTTGTACCTCAACTTAAACTAACCTGATCATTACTTGGGAGCCCATCCAACATGTCGTTTTATTCAACGGCATCTCCGCTGGCTTTACGGATCATGGGCGCGATCGACTTTGGACTTCACCGCTGCGACGATCTCGACTACAATACCCGCGAAAAGACCCTGATTCGACTCGCGCGTAAGTGGAATCTCCCATCTCTGCACTCGACTTGCCATTTTCAAAGTTTGCTAACCGCACGGCGCCCCTATCAGAAAAGCTTGACTTCATCATTTGCTTCAAGTACGGTCGCCCTTCGCCGCCAGTTACTCTCGAAACCGCTGCCGTTACCCTTCTCGTCGTACCCGCATACACGGGAGTGCCGGAGGGAGTGACATCTCGGCTTACATTCCTATATGAGGGCAACTGTGTGATTACCCGCTATCTGTATCGTGGGCAATCATCAACTCCATGGGACCTCCTGCAGCGCTTCACGGAGGAGGTGGACAAGGCGATGGATCAGATTCTGGCGGGGGGTTCCCACAAGGAATAGGGAGGGTTCTTGGAGTACGCGGACGAGATACGATTTGGCTCTCTCTTCATGCCAATACCTGAAGGCTAAACACGTTGGGGAAATGATCTAGGGTCCATGCAGCTCAGCGTTTTTGCTGCACACCTGCATAGACACTGTTATGGGGTCGGCAGTCCGTAAGTGGATACTTGGTTTCAATGTCAACCACTTGCAGAATCTTCATATCCGAACCGTGACTCTAACCTACCTAGTCGCTGATTTGGGTCTTTCGCCGTAACATTGGAAGTGGCCTGCGGTGCGGCAGATCGTATGGCGTAGATTTGAAAATAGGTTCGAGGAGCTTCTGCAGCAAGTGAGAGAGCGGGATCACGTTTCCCTGGGAAGTGAGTCCGTAGCCACGCCCCACAGATGAATACTTACCATTTTCCACACTTGTTCCACTCTATCTCCTAAACTTAACCTCTCTCATACTCACCCCTTCCAGCACTCACCTTCTCTCACCCTTTCAACCGCATTTCTTAAACCAACTTCTCGACCCATCTCCCCGTCACTTCTCTCGGCTCCACCTTCGGCCTCTATCACGGCATTGAGGCCAACATGTCGTCAAATCAATCCACAATTCAAGCCCTCATTCCCCGATCCAGGCTGGAAATCTTGGGGATCAACGGTCGTTTTACTGCCTTGCCCCAGCGCATTATTGATGCTATCCAGCACCGATTCGGCAGGCACATCAATCTCGACGAAGAAGAGCTGCTTGACCTCGCGGGTAAGAATTCCCAATTTCGTTCTCCGCGAACCTCGAATTTTTCCCGCTGCCCTAAGGTTGCGACCACCGCTAACATCGCTGTCTAGAAAAGCTCGAATTCATCACCTCCCACATGCGTCGCAGAGCTACTCCACGAGCACCAAACGTTCCACCGCCCAGGGTCACTGTGTTCATTGTACGGGTGCGCTCTGCCTATGGGACCCGAGTCGCACTCGTCTATGGCACCAAAGTTATCGTGGAGACCCTCGTGCTTGGAAACAGGCAGGACCACAAGACACTCTTTGAGGATTTCTGCGAGGCAGTGGATGAAATGGCGAATATAGTTATTGAGGACTGCTCGGTTCTGCGGCGCAACTACTATTAGGGAGCGCTAGGGAATCTTCAGCACATATGTGGCTCCCTTCACAGTTCGAACAGGAGAACAATGGCTCGACTTGGCAAGAGATTCTACGATTCGGCATGGCGAGTACAGGGAGTATGGATGCATGCTAGCGGAAGGCGAAACTGGGTACTGATAAAATATGGTGGAATAACCTATTGAAGCTTTCCATGTGCCCATAACAAATCCTCGTGCGCCACGAACATAGGGCAAAGAAAAACTTTGTAGGAATGAATTTATGGTCTATCACCAGGGAGACGTCGCATGAGTGGTAGGCCCTGGCAATCAATACCTGGTTTAACCAACCGCAAATCCTAATCCTTTTTAACGAGTCTGGGTCTTTCACCTGGCATCTAGGCTCTGCCACACGCAGCACGGTTGAACTGACCGTACTGAGTCGACGGGACGATCCCTTCCACCACCAGGCGAAATCGCGGGATAACGTATCACCGGAAATTCTCACCGTAGACACGCGCCATAAATCTCTGCCTTCCCGTTTGTCTCACACGCTCTTTCTTACCCACAACCTCTGTGACCACTCCAGTCTCTCTACGCACCTCAACCCAATCGTCCGCCGCCTCCTCGGCAGCTCAACGCTCACCATGACGACCAATCCCGGAATCTCTCCCTTGATCCAACAAATCATCAGCACTGTCAAATACCGCTTTGGCAAGCACATTAATCTTGACGAAGAGCGCCTTCTCGAGCTCGCGGGTAAGCTTCCAATAGCAAGTAGACACACTCGCTCTCCCCTACGCGGTTATACGAGTACCAGCAGTACTAATGTTCCTACCTGGGCCCAGAGAAGATCGACTTCATCATCCGCTCCAAGCATATCGCCACTAGCGTTACTTCCGGGCAGGCAAACTCCGACGTCCCAATGGTCACTGTGTTCATCGTCCCTACGGCCGACTCTATTGATCACCGAGCTGCCCTAGTTTATAACACTAAGCCTGTTGTACAAACCGTTGTGGGCCGGACATCGATGGGATCCAAGGGATATGAGCAACTCTTCCACAGTTTCTGCAGGGAAGTGGATCGGGTGACAGACGATATTCTCACTGGCAAAACGACCGGGCTTGCAAATGCACAGGTCTGCAAGGCGTTTGGGTCAGTTTATTGGCCATGGACAAGCTGTTACTGCACTTCAAAAAGGTTCCTCGGTACCATCTGTCAAGCATCGCAAACGCGTGCGGTCGTACACAGCCTCAGAACCACTGTACAGTTCGGCATCGCGTCTACACAGCTCATATACAGCATTACAGGAGTGGAAAGCTTGTAATATAACAATGAATATGGCGGAATAGCCTTCAAACCACTGTCTTGCCCCTGCACAATATACGCATGGCGAACTAGTAGAAAAGTCGAACACTATCTTCTATTGCTGCGGATAAGCTAAGGCCAGGCTATATTTGTGCGATCATTTAGAGTTGCTGACCTCAGGAAGTCCATGTATTCCGTTTCAGTATGCAATGTGCTAGCCGCGACTTTCAACTTCCATGATAATAATAATCTCTACGGAGTGAACATTAATGTATCCTACCTGCATTAACCGATTCAACCTGCTAGAATCCCATATGCAGAAACTCTCCATCTCACTATACACTGACACTTCCGTCCCCATTTCCCCCCTCACGTGGAGCAGACATTCACCATCGGTGCACAGTAAGATTAGTGATTAGAGTATTATTCCCATCTGAACATTCTGAACTATGCCACCAAACAGGTTACTGTACATTATTGCTCTTTTTGACCTATTTTGTATGACTTCGTTGCCTTCTCTCACTTTCACCGCCACTTAATTGGCGGTGACGAGTGTCTTTACTCGCTCTAACCCTAGCACTACACCACTCTCTCCCCAACGCTTACCTCTCCACCTACTCAACTTTCCCAACCCCACTATCATCGTCTGCTCAACAGATCAACCGTCAACATGACTTCCGCTCCAAACCCCAGGAAGTCGGCCGCCGAAGCGGTTGATACCTACATGAAGCAACTCGACCGCTTGAAACTCTTGGAGCTCACCGCCCGAAAGCAACGTGAGCTTCTCATGGAGAGAAAGCTGGAGGTTATCGGTCCCTTGCCGCCTACCACCTTGGCCGGACACATCTTCGAAGCGCTCAAGCACCGATTCGACGAGCACGTCGAGCTGGAGGACAAGCAGCTCGTTGAGCTCGCAGGTACGTGCCAAATCCCACCATACCCTTATGCCTCCAATAATCTTTTGACGCGGCTAACACTGTTTTACTAAAACAGAAAAGCTCGCCTTCGTCGTCCGTCGCAATCGCAAGGCCACCCGCGTCAGTCCGGACGGAGAAGACAAGTGGTACTTGCCCGTGTCCGCAGTCAAGTACACAGGCAACCTCTTGGATCCCCTCGAATCCCCGCTCATCACGGCGCTCTTCTTGGCGAAGTACGATTCCGAGGAGAAGGTGTATGAGCACAAGTTCGTCTTGCTCTATGAGGATGAACTGGTCTTCGACGTGGCTATCTCCGATCAGGACAAGTCTGGCTTGCTGTGCCGGGAGCGACTTTTCAAGGCACTCGTCGAATCTGCGGACATGATGGCCTTGGATCATCTCCCCGGGATCAAGGAGGAATCTGAGTGATGGGATTACCCTAGCGTACATGTTTCATGAGGGCGGGAGGCTCTATGCTATGGTATTGGGTCTCAGCTTTTCCGTCACGGGATAGCTCATTCAAATGTTAGCGGTGTCCATGCCCCTTCTGGGATTGGGGGACCTATACAACCCGACATGAACAATTCATGACATTGGCAAATTGTATATCAATCAACTCCATGGTCACTGAACACTGCGACTCTGTTCTCCTGCTTCTGTGATGCACCCGTGATCATCGATGAAAATAAGAGAACTGTATTCCTACCGGTTACTGCTCATAACTCTTGTCCGATCTTGGCCTACGTCTTCTCTCGATCCTTATCCACAGTCACCTGAACAGCACATTCACCCTTGGCAAAGATGCACTACCGCTCTGTAAATTTCCCCTGGATCAACTCTAGAAGGCTCTAGAGTGATTCTTTTAAGTCATTTTTTGTCCAAGGCAGCTGAGTGTTTGCCCCCAGATGATTCTAAGACATCGTCCAAACGTGCCTGCCATCAGCGGCCTTCACCGTAGCTTTCACCAGCCGGTGAAGGCGCGGAACAATGTATTGCCGCAAACGGGGTCGGTAGGAACTCACTTTACTTCTAAGCTATCTTTTCCTACTCTCAGTTCTCCTCTCACTAGCTCCTCAACCGTCTCCCAACTCCACTGACAACCGCAATCCGCCTCCTGCACGTCAACAACCTGGGGCGGTCAACATGACGTCCACATCAGCCGCTTCTCCGCTGGTCCAACGCATCATCGAGGTCACCAAGAAACGATTCAGCAAATACGTGTCGCTCGACGAGGACGAGCTTGAGGAACTGGCGGGTAAGTGTCCCGTGCCGTTCTCAATGCCCTCTGAACCAATGCTAATTTGAATGACCCCAAAATAGAGAAACTCGCCTTCACCATCCGCTATAAGTACAGCAGTCCGCCTCCTCGAGAAGAGACCATCGTCAACCGCGCCATCGAGCCCCCTCCCTTCGTCTGTTCATCCTGCCGGCATACGCCCATGGCAAGTACAACCATGGTTCTAGTTCCCCCACACTCGAAGTCCTATACGAAGGCAAGCCTGTCGTAGAAATGAGCGGCGGGGATGGGAAGCCGTACTGCCGCTCGCGCCATGAGCTCTTCATGAAACTCATCGAGGTGGTGGATGAGAAAGTGTGTGATATCCTCAAAGCCAGAGCCGCGACAAGGGCTTTGGCCGCCACTTGATGTGTGGTAGGCTGCACGCCCAAATTTCGGGGCCGTGTGCTTGATTCCATGCACTGCGAAGCTAGGTCACATAGATCTGGCGTTTCGTCGAGAGATATACAGTCTGTAAAATGTCAGTCAAATGCAAATCCGTTCGTTTGCGCACTCCTATTCGCGCACCCTCATAGTCTAGTATCTTGCCACTTGAACTAAAATCCTTACATGAATAGGTTCTCGGCAATGATATCTTTCATCATGTACCTAGAAAAATCCTACCTTGGAGGCCAGATAGACCACTCTCGCCCCTCCTTCTCACAACACCCGACCTAATTCCGCATCCATCTGGCTTATGCACAGATAATGGTAGATTCCCACTACACCTAACAAATGAAGCAACCTCCCAGCAATCACCTCACCACTACAATAGACTACCAACACAAGCCATAAACCACTCCGTCGGACCTCAGCCTCTCCCCTGCCCACCCCACCTCCACTGCCCATCTACCTAAACCACTCCTCAACCCCTTCTCCCATCCCCTCCCCCACGAATACTCCACCTGGACACCCTCCCCAAAACCGTCACCGCATCAAACACTTGCACCTCAGCACCTTAGGAGTCTTTAATACAGCAACAGCATCCCATCAACACTATCATTGAACTCAAACATATGCTCTGCTCCCCTTATCTAACTAATCCACAACCCCTCGCCATATATGCAATCGTCCCTGCCCCTCTCCCTTCCCATTTCTCGTTTAAATGCTCATTATCCTCATCTCCCAGCCCTTTGCCCCTCATCCTCCACCCCACGAAATGAGAAACAAAGAAACACAGAACCAAAACCAAACACAACAGTACCTCCCGTTACACCAATGAACGGATGCCCACAAGAAGATATCCACAACAGATCGATGATAGAGAACGAAGAAGAGAGATGAGAAAGCCCGAGCTCCAAAGTCAAGCAGAATGCTAAGAATGCACAACAGAAACCACAGTCCCGAGCGAATGACCCCGACCGAGCCAGTGAAAACGCCCCGATGAAAACGCCGGAAAAGCAAGACCTAACAGGAACGGATACGCTGAGAAATTGCGTCAACGTCTGCGGTTTGGGTTCCGCGAGGCGGCAACAGACACCCGGCGATGTTATATGAGAGCGACGGGGTGTCACGTGAGGAGCCTCCCTCACAGCAGGGTGTTGAGACACCATTCCACCTTTTCACTCGATCTGCACTGGCGTCGTCCCACTCGTGACCAGCGGCTGCCGATCGTCCGAATCCGTCTGTATAAAGGACCTCACGTCATTTAGTGAGGATTGCCCGGTGTGCGTGAAAGGGCTCGTCAGGTTGATAGTCAGGGGCTCGTAATGTTCATGATCTTCCAGGCGACGCATTTGCCCTGCACTACCATCGAATACAAAGGGTCCCACATTGTTTCTCGGCGTCAGGGGTCCGTCCGCTGCCCGATCACGGCCCGCGGCGTCTGGGGATAATCCATTCACGTTGGCTCTCGCACCGACTCCGACATTGACCGGCTGCGTAGAGGAGGAAGGCTGTATCGTCGGTACTTGTCGCTGCGGCGTAGCAGATGACGAAGCCTGTCCGAACCCCTCCTCGATGGTATAATTAGACATTGCTGCTGCTAATTCCGCGAGGCCGTGGTCATTGGAAGTATCCTTGGACGCCTCACCATTGGTCAACAAGCCATTTCTTGAAGTTTCGCCTTGGTCCTCGCTGTGATCGGGGCTGTTGTCCCAATCTTCGAGGTCTATATCCTCTACTTCAGCCTCGAGATCAGCGACCGCCCGGCAATTCGGGCATAAGAAATTTGGATAGTTAGGGCCGTTCAACATGGGACGAATGCATTTGTAATGCCATACATGGGAACATGGGGCAACAAAAAGGGATTGACAAGGCTGGATCCAGGTTAGCATGCGGCGAGTATATCTTAACAAGAGGGATCACATACTGCAATGGACATCAAGCAGATGACACATTCAGATGTATGCTGTGAGGCACTATCTGCTTCTTTCCGGTTCTTCCCCAGATTACGGAGGCGCTGGTGCGTTTGCTTGCTGGTACTGTGTGAGTGCCTGGCGCCCGGACGTTGTAAGTTCCTTGACGTACTTGAAAGTATTCAGATTTCGCTGCCAGCCCCTATTGCACTCGACCCTGATCTTGACGCACCGGAAAATCATCTCCTCGCCTCCTCGGAAGTCAATGCCGAGTTGAATGATGTCGCCATCCTTTATCGCGAAGGGCTTCGATTCTTGGTTCGGCTGGCTTAGCCTGATGCGGTTCAAAAAGGTGCCCGACGAGCTCCCCACGTCTTTGATGTACCATTGCGACTCGTTGCACCACAGCTCGCAGTGCTTCCTACTCACCACTTTGGACTTGAAGCCGATTGGGGCCGTGGAGGGGACGTTGCTAGTTATCTCAGGGGCATTGTCCCTTTCCGAGTATCTTCCGACGCGGATAACGCAGGTCTCGTCCGGAAGGGTGCGGGACATAGTAGGGAACTGCAGCGAGGGACGGCCGGGGCGCGGGTCTTGGTGAGGTATCAGCCGTATTGACGGAAGGTTCTTTGTGCTGGAATGATTGCCCTCTCCATGGTGGTTTTCCGAGGATGGCAATGGGCTCGCAGGGACGGGACCCGGTTGATTGCGGACGCTCATTTGTTGTGTGGATTCGATGCGATTTCTGGTCATGTCAGAGGGTGGTGCTGTGGAAGCGGAGGGCTCGCTGTGATGAGAGGTCGAGGGAGGTGCGCGGGGCGTGGTCACTGGTATCACTGCGGTCACTGCGGTCACTGCTGTCACTGGCCTGGCCGGGGCGGAAGGATCGACGGCGGCGAAGGCGGCGCTTGAGGATGAAGGAGCGGACGACGAGGACGACTGCGAGGCGCGGCGACGGGAGGACTGGGTGCTCTGGGAAGGCTGAGCAGACGAGTCGCGCAATCGGTAGTTCCTCAGGGTCGCGCTCAAGTCTCGCAGTCTGCTGGGCCGCAGGGGATGATGGGTGGAGGGAGAAATGGCGCTGGCAGACACAGTCGGGGCAGCTGGGGTTGGTGTGGTGAACATGGAGGGTTCGCCCCGAGACAAGGACAAGGACTTGTACCGTTCAGACGGGATCCCCGACCGTGCGTACCGGGGCTCTAGTGGAGGGTTGAAAGCAGGACAAGACGCATTTGACGCTGACACTGACGCCGACGAAGGGAGGGTTGAGGCAGGTCGGGGAGGGAGGAAAAGGGAGAGAAAGGGAGGTTGGTTCACATTGAGAGTGTGTAGCGGAAGGTTCAGGTGGTGGGTGGTGGGCGGCGGCGAAGGGTATCCTGCCAAGGATCTGGACCTCTACTGGACCCGAGGGCAAAGGGGGGTACAGAAGGGCACACGACTTTGCAGGAATATTGGATGGGCTTTGAAGATTCTCGAATCGTTCTATCCGCTTTCTCTATACCACTTGCGATCCAAGTATGGAGCGTTTGTCACGGTTGATCTAGTTCAACCCATCTGCTTTCCTGGACTCGCTCTGCCTAGCCTTGACAAGACACCGGAGAGAGAGTCAGTCCCATGCAGGCTGTACAAAGGACGAATGCACGACTCTGTGCTCTGTACCCTCTCCGAATCCGCCTCGTGGCTCACATTCATCACGCCCATCACCCCATGGCCTTTTCAGCCCAACAAGGCGCCTCACCTGCGTTTCGCTCTCCGCCCACGCGCGCGTGCCCGTCTTTCCTGCCAAGCTTTATATAGACCCACCTGCGCGGCTAAGCTTCAAGATAACCCAATCCGGTTAGCGGCAGGATTATGTCATCCATGATTTTCTTCGAACTCGGCATCAAGTCCAACAACACGCGACGCCATCCCCAACGTCTCAATCGCCATATACTCCCATTCCCAAACTCCTTTCGGTCATGTTGCGGCCTCGGACGATCCGGCCACTGTCACGCTCTCTTCATCCGTCTACCTCGACCTGCAGAAGTACCGCAGCATGCTCGGGTCGTAGAGGCCTGGCCTCCGTTGTGGCCGAGGAGAAGGTTGGCAGTCCTGGAACTCTGATGCTTGACGACGTTTATTAACATGCGTTTTGCATCCAGGACCCCGTCGAGCTCGACCAGATTACCACCCTCCCAAATGGCATTCGCGTTGCGACCGAGGCCCTGCCCGGCCACTTCTCCGGCATTGGCGTCTACGTCGACGCTGGCTCTCGGTACGAGAACGATGCGCTCCGCGGAGTAAGCCATATTGTCGACCGGTTGGCGTTCAAATCCACTAGCAAGACGAGCGGAGACCAGATGATAGAAAAGCTGGAATCACTAGGCGGCAACATACAATGCGCCTCGTCGCGAGAATCCTTGATGTACCAATCCGCAACTTTCAACTCGGCAGTTGCCACGACCGTCGGTCTCCTCGCAGAAACGATCCGCGATCCGCTCATCACCGAGGACGAAGTCCAACAACAGCTGGAAACCGCTGACTACGAGATTGGCGAGATATGGTCAAAACCCGAGCTCATCCTCCCGGAACTCGTCCACATGGCCGCATACAAGGACAACACGTTAGGGAACCCGCTTCTATGCCCAAAAGAGCAACTCCCATACATCAATCGCAATGTCGTGGAAGCCTATCGCAAGGAATTCTTCAAGCCCGAACGCATGGTCGTTGCCTTCGCCGGCGTCGACCACCATGAAGCCGTGCGCCTCACTGAGCAGTACTTCGGCGACATGCAAAAGGGCGTGGGCCCTTCTCTCCTCAACCCTACCCAACACTCCGCCATCCCTTCATCCCACCCCTACGATTCTCAAAATCAATCTTTCACGGCCTCACACCCGACCCCCACGGGCGCCCCCGCACAAACGTCTACCCTCCTCTCCAAAATCCCCTTCTTCAAGAACCTCTCCACATCCGCTACTTCCCACGCCTCAGTGCAGCATCCCTCATCAATAGACCTCTCCTTCCCCCCCATCGACACCTCGCTCCCCTCCCACTACACAGGCGGCTTCCTGACCCTGCCTCCCATCCCTCCCCCGCTCAACCCGGCCCTTCCCCGCCTCTCCTATATCCACCTCGCCTTCGAAGCCCTCCCCATCTCCCACCCCGACATCTACGCCCTCGCCACGCTCCAAACGCTCCTCGGCGGCGGAGGCTCATTCTCCGCCGGCGGACCCGGCAAAGGCATGTACTCGCGCCTCTATACCAACGTACTCAACCAAAACGGCTGGGTCGAGAGCTGCTTCGCCTTCAACCACTCGTACACGGACTCTGGCCTCTTCGGCATCGCCGCCGCCTGCGCGCCCGCCATGGTCGCCCAGATGCTCGAGGTTATGTGCCGCGAGCTGCATGCCCTGGGCGAGGAGACTGGGTACTCTGCCTTAAAACCCGGCGAGGTCCAAAGAGCCAAGAATCAGCTCCGGAGCCAGTTGCTCATGAATCTCGAGTCGCGGATGGTGGAGCTCGAGGACCTGGGCAGGCAGGTACAGGTCCATGGCCGGAAAGTCGGGGTGAAGGAGATGTGTAAGAAGATTGAGGAGGTGAGTGTCCAGGATTTGAGGAGGGTGGCTAGGATGGTGTTTTCGGGGGCGGTGGAGAACCCGGGGAGGGGGAGTGGGGCGCCGACGGTGGTGTTGCAGGAAGGGGAGATGGAGGGGTTGAAGAGGAGGGAGTTTGCCTGGGAGGAGATTCAGGGGAGGATTGCGCGGTGGAAGTTGGGGAGGAGGTAGGCTGTAAGTAGTATGGGGATATGGCGTGTTTTTGTACGAGTGATGCGGATGTGTATGATAGGGTGTGCGATAGCGACGTTTTAGAGTAGTGTGGGTGGTATTCCCTGTTGGGTACCGGATGGATATTGCTTTAATGTAGTTCGAGTTCACTGAGCCAGGTTATTTGATCAATTCCATCACGTCACATCACAATCTATTTAACCTCCAACCAGAACACAGGCGCAGAATCGAGAATAATGTAACCGTTGCTAAAGAATACTCACGGCTAAACATATTTTGCCCTCCATCATCAATGAACGCAAGCTTGACCTCCCGCTAGTTTTTAGTCCATGCATGTACCTACATCACCCCTTGTATACCACAACTTTTTTTTTTCTTTTTTTTCTTTTCCTCTTTCCCTTCCGGGACAAGATTCAATCTTTCTTTTAAACGTCCCGTAAAACCAACCCCTTCGTGCTTTGGCGATGGCTCCGTGACTTCTTTTTCCATGTCCGCCAATTTCCCCATCCTTCTATCGCCCCAATCACGCTCATACCCAGAAAATGAGTGTCCGGTGGCAAAAACAAGAAGATCCGCCCCACTGAACGAGACAAACGATTAACAGCGAAGTAAACACCACACAAGGCAAAACGAGTGTAAATATGAAACAGACTTCAGGTGAACCAAAAAGAAGAAGAAGAAGAAGAAGAAGAAGAAGAAGAAGAAGAAGAAGAAGAAGAAGAAGAAGAAGAAGAAGAAGAAGAAGAAGAAGAAGAAGAAAAAGGCACCACAGAGAAACCACACTCACCTTCCCCCCTTCCCTCCTCAATACCACCGGTCCTCCCCCAGTCCCGCTCCACAGTACCTCGCATACTCCTCCGCCACCACGTCGTCGCCCCATCCCAGCCTAGCCAACCCTACGCCTACACCCGGCGGACCCACTCCCCCAAGCGCCAACCGCCTCGCCGTCGCCGTAGCTGTCGCCGCTGCCGCCGCCGCCGCAGCAGCAGCATTCACCCCCATCCCCAACTGCATCTGCAACTGCATCGGTGCCGCGTACCCACCAGCCCCAAGTCCAAATCCATACGCAGGACCAGGCGCAAGCAATCCCTTCATCGCGCCCAATCCCACAGAAACCGGCACCTTCCCCGTGGCAACCAGCATCTCCTCCGCCTTGAGCACATCAATATGCAGCGCGCCATACCTCTCCACCAACTCGGCGAACCGTTCTCTAAAACACATTTCCATCCTGAGTTTGACCAGATTCGGTGGCTCCGCGTCCGCCGTCGTCGTTGTTCGCCCTATGGTGGCGAGCAGACCAGTTCCCCACTCCCCGATCGTTTCATGGGCCGGGCTCGCGATCAAAAAGTCCTTGGCCCATTGCCGGATATCGGGATGGGGATCCCCGCCCTCGTAGATGGCTTGCAGCACGGCGATCGGGTCTTCGTGTGTGATGCATTGCGCGCGCATGCGATGGAGCGAGATGTCCGTGAGGTCTTCGAGCTTCATTTCCGCGCCCATTTTGAAGACGCTGATGTCACGGGCGAGGCACGGAACGGAGGACGGACGTGTGGGCTTGATGATTGGCGGTCCACGAGTGCTGGAGACAGGTCCAATATCCGGGCTGTAGCTACCTGTATGAAGGAGCTCGAGGAAGGCCATGAAGGTGTCTTCAGACACGTCTTCGGGAATCTCCATGTAGCGGTGTTCCAACTTTTCAAATGCCTTGCGTATACTCGGGAACTCGTCCATCTTCTTCATGGGGACTAAGACAGCCTTGTCCTGGAAGATGAATTCGACGCTGTCGGCAGAAGGAGTAGTCTCCGCTCGGGATACTTCTTCCAGCTCATCTCGTCTGTTATATACGAAGACTTTGGCCGACTTGACCGAGTCAGGCAGTTCCGTCAACGGCTTGCAAACTCCACCATACCACTTCTCCACGTCATCCTCAGAGACCAGCTCCAAGTTCACGGGGCAATAGGTGTAGTGCCAGTCATCTTCCAGTTCGCGGAGAACCCTTGAACGGTACCCATTGTATGCAGCTTGTCTCCGGAGGCGATGCGACATATCCAGACTGGGTAGCCACATCTTGCCTTGCGACTGGGCTACTTTCTGTATTGCAGACATGATCTTGGAGAACGGGAGCCCGTGGTCCAATCTTCCATACTCCCTTTCCCCCTCTTTCTCCGGTCCACAGGCAACAAGGAAGTAAGCATGAACCATGTGATGGATAAGGCTCGAGATCAGGTAAGGGCCACCAATGTTCTGAAGTATGTCCGTGTTGAGAATGACGGAGATCCGTCGCACTCTGTGATGAGGTCCGTGGCCGTGGGTAAAGGTGGCTCCAGAGACGAGCGGACCAAGGCGACCAAAGTTCAGGTAAACTGCATCCTTCAGCTGACCGGCGAAGAGTGCATTGTTGAGACCGCTGAATGCCCGATATACGACCTGTCTCCATTGCCCTTCCTGGACCAGTTGGGAGGCGCGGACAGCAATATTCCTTAGCGTTTCTCCTACCTCTGACGCGGTCTTGCTATCCAAGTGGTCGACGATAAAGGCGGTTGCCCAGTCAATGCCCCAGCCAAGATTCCTGTCGCACTTTGAATGTTCGTCAGTCAACTTCCGCTGGCAGTTGGGAATGGAATAAGGAACGCCAGGAGTCTTCCTAACGTAATGTGGATCGGACTCAGACCCTGCAAAGAAAGGATGCTGATAGTGATGAAACCCCACCGTGGTTCGGCCGGGAAGGGGAGCAAGTGCGAATGGTGAATCACACGTCATGAGAGCGGACGAGGGGCTTATCAGTAGTCAGCCTAAGTGGTGTCGCCATATGCCCATAGAGGATAATGCTTCTGTGAACCATAAGCCCTGACGTGATTTTATAGACCATAGAGGTGGTGACGCTCCTAGTCATCGTGATCCATCGTGTCTGTTCTGCTGTCGGCCCTGGTGTTTGTAAAGGTCAGTCCCTATGGAATGTCAGTGGTGACGCACGGTTTGGGAATGCTTGAACACGTATCTAGCTTGTATCACCTTCGGTAGATGTAACCGATCAGTATTTGTGGGCCAGACCATTGGTTCTCGCTTCGCATATTCATGTTCTGACTTGTTAGGCGAGTCGAATGAAGGAGCAGACGGCGCCTAGTCTTGATCTCCTTGTCCAACCGGATGAGAACGACAAAGAGGGCAACGCATCCGGCCGTCCTACAAACGTGACAGGACCCAGAGAGGACGAGTCCGTCGAAGAACCGTCGGGAATGCATCGTCACTTCACGCGGACAGTGTTCTTCTGACTGCTTCCCACCTTGGCCAGCGTAGTGTAGGGCATGACGATGCGTGCGGGAGGACACGCACAGGCAAACATGCGCCGGAAACAGGAATCAAGGGAAACAGGAAATGAGAGAAAGAAAGAGGAGGAGGGGCATAAGGGTTAAGATGTATGTATTGAGCAGGTCATAGTCAGCAGCCCCCAGGCCGCCAGATATCTCAGGGAAGGTAGGAAATATACACTTTGAGGTTGCCAACCTGCTCAGTGCGAATATGAGACGACTGGGCACTCGTAAGCAAACGCGCCCAAACTGGTATGTGGCACCCGCTCGAAGGGTTTGCCGGCAGCTGTCCATGAAACGGGTGCTGGTGCCTGATGCGAAGCTTGCAGGTGCCCAATCTGAATCAAATCCAAAGGGCCACTAATGACATCGAAAATCTAACGTTGAGCCTCTAATAACCGCCCGGTCGGCCGTAGTCGTCACCCGGCCTGGAAGGTGCCTGGCTGCGTCCGCTGCCACCACCTTCACCATAGTGCTTCCGTCGAAGAGCAGCAAGCCTCTTCTTCTTGGTATGAGCGTTGACGTAGGTTCCAATAACGAAGCCGACGATGTTGAAGAAGGGTACCCAGGTATGTTCGGGGAGGAACTTCTGAGCGAAAGCGAGGGAGATTGGGGATACGACCCAGCTGACCTTCATGACGGGCATGAAACCCGCCTTTACGGTCGCCTTGACCTGGTGGAAGGTACGCGCGCCGGCAATTAGCGCCATAGACACGAGGTAGATGGAGTTCTGGATCGGGGAGATCTAGGTGTGTCAGTCCCGCAGGGCAGCCCCGTGTCGTTGAAACAGATACTCACTATCAAGTTGCTGACGAGGATCTGGAGGATCTTTGCTTTCAGGCTGGTGCGACCACGGAAGATCTTCTGCAGGATGCTGATGAGGACATGGCCCAGGGGCGCGCTGACAAAGGCACCGTAGAGGGCCATCTTGGGAACTCTGGACGTGAAGTAGTGGCCATGCTTGCTCCTGTCGTGGGCGATCCAGGAGGCCAGAAATTCCTGAAGACCGGAGAGGGTGCCGGATGTCAACATCTTGGTGCGCAGTGGGTTACTCTGCAGCTGCTTCAGATAAGCCTGGCGCGCACGTCCATGTCAGTGTCTCTCGCATTCGCTGATGAGTTGCGCGCTGCTTACACCGAGATATCCATTGGCACCTCCGCCCTTGGTTAGAGCCTCGCCGACTTGGTGAACGAGGTCTTCTTTGCCCTTTCCCCCGACCACGCCAGCGGCAGCGGACTGGGCCGCCTCGGTCAGCTTGACCGTCTCCTTCTCGAACTTGACCGACATGGTCAGCGCGTCGGCGAGATCGTAACGGTGGTAAGGAGTGGGGAACGCGGAAACGAGGGCAATGGTAGAGAATGGAGCGCACAGCTGGGCCGATGGGGGGGAGGGAAGTGGTGTTGTTGACTCGCGATGGGCTGTTGTTGTCGAGTCCCTCAGGCCTCGGCGACTCCCGACACGGGTTAGCGTGCCAAGCCGGCGGCATCAGCTCTCAGCTCTCCCCCATCTCCACCAGTCTCCACTGTGGGGTTGCAATTGTTATCAAAGCCCGGCAAATAATGCGGCGGCGGTTTATTTGGACGTCGTCCTCGTTACGAAGTATCTACTGACAATGAGGGCAATTGGAAGCTCCCAGCAACCAGGACGATGCCTCTCCCAAGCGGACCATGGCGCTCGCTCCGACAGGAAACATATAGATTCGATGCCTCCAGCCGGCCATATTTCGGAGACGCGAGCCCTGGGGTTCCCCTCGTCCTCTCTGCTTCGCGGAACAGTGACGATGGCCGATTAAGATCGTGGAGCAGCTGAGTGGGCCTTTGCATTGATGTATGAGCTGCTGAATAGGTAGACTGGAGCTCTGCAAGGCTGGTGCAACAGCACGGGGACTTAAAGTCCTTCATCCAACGGATATCTCGCCCTTTGTAGTTTTCGGAAGGCCAGAGACATGGCCACTCACGACCGCCAGCCGGAGCTTCATCGTCCCTTCTCTTCTACAGTTCGAACCTGCCGCGTCCGCATGTGCCGCGTCTAGCTCAACAAGATGTTCGGTTTGTACTACGCTCCTCCAACGTCAGGCTGTCAGGTCTCATGGCGGCGTCCGCACCTGACGCTAGTTCACGTCGTTTCTACATCTGTCTCCCATCGGTCGCTCAATTCTGTTATCTCCCCCCATTCCACTATTCGTCATTTTACCTTTTTTGTTTTCTCAGAGAAGACCAAGTGAAGGACGCGCGGCAGGGCGGGCCGGACTCACTCCTCGTTTGTAAGATACTCCAGACAGGATGCCAAGACATCGACCCTTTCCAAAAAGTGTATGACCACACGCACCAAGCACTCGAGTGCGGACCTATCTGTGTTTCTAAAGACACCTTTACGGCCGGTCCAAAGGTTTCCTGCGGCATGGCTCTCTGAGCTCCATGTGAAGATCTAGTGTCGGTAGCCATATGACATTGTCCCCACCACGAACCGCCCCTCCGTTTTGCTGCACTCGACGTCCTCCCCCCCCCCCCGACCAACTTCGCAGCAGATCATTCCAACATAGCATCCGTCTGTCCCACTTCCCATCATGGTTACGCAAGATTTTGCGGCAAAAGCCCTCGAAGGAGTCTCCAAACTCGTCAAGCATACGGCTGCTCCCCCACGACGCGCAAGGGCTGCCAGTGCCAACTGCTCTCACATCGACATGGACCGCCTGTACACGAGAGAAAAAGTCTGCTGTTTATGCCAGCGTCCTCCGAGCATGGGCTTCCTGTACGTCTGCCGTGCAGATAGGGAATGCCGTCGCTTTGCCGCCACGCAGGCTCTGCTCGACACGGATCCCGATGATGAGCGTAAGAGTATGTCACCGCTGCGTCGAGAACTCGCTGAAGCCGGATTGAGCGAATCCGTCATCCGGCAGGCGGAGCAAGGAGTATACACTGCCGCCCAACTCGGGATACTGAAGAAGCAGAAGTTGGTGCTCAAGCAGACCATCCAAGACACTTACCAGGCTGAGCATGCCCTCTCCGTCGCTGCTCGATTAGAAGCGGAGGCCGAGGCGAAGGCCGAAGCGGGACCCTCACAGGTTCTGGGTGTAGGAAGGCCACCTTTCCCTCCCTCTAAAGTTGACGATCCGGTACCACTTATGTATCTCTTCAAGCATATGTTCCGTCTCGACTAACATGTCTCAGGTCAATCCTCCCTGCAAAGTCCGCGTCTGCCCTGCTTGTCGGCCTTATTTCCAAGACCGCGTCTGGGCCTCCATCGGCCGCATCGCAGGAGAAGAGCTCCAGCCTCTACGCACCTGTGAAGCCAAAAAGCTCCCTGTGAAAGACGCTCGTCCCCTTCGTACCATCGGCCTACGTCCCAACCCCCTTCCTGCTCCCTCCGCCGATCCTCTCCCGACAACAGACGAAAACACACCAACTACATTCAGCACGTCGGCGGATCTCTCCTCCATCTCATCCTCCGCTTTCGGCGAATCAGAAGAAGCCAGCATGGTCACCTTCAAAACAACACAGACGGATGTCTCCTTCCTTGACCGCATGCGCGATCCCCGCCGCCGCTTCTACGCCCTCACCCATCGCTCTTCTACCTCGATTGCGCTCAAGTTGACGTCGCGGCCACTGCAGGGCATGCGCGAAACCCTCAAGTCGATCTTCAAACCGAAGGATCGCGAAACCAAAATGGAGCGGAGTCATTTCCCATCTTCGTCGGGCTTCTCGTCAACGGTGGATAAGTCGAGCATAACGCTCCCCCTGCCTCGTTCCGGGACTGCGCGGAGTATGGCCAGGGGGTTGGTCGAGGGTGAGCGTGTCAGGGAGATGGATCTTGGGCCGCTGAGGCGCGTGAGGAGGCAGAAGGAACGGATTGAGTTTGAGACGGGAGTGGTTAGGGGTGGGTTTGAGATTGGGCCTAGGTTGAGGGTGGAGGTTCCCAAGGGGAGGAGCGTAGAGTTGGAAGATGCGGATGAGCGAGAAGATAGTACTCCGGCGGTTAGACTGGCTGGGTCACTACGTTTGGGTGGGGGAGGAGAGGAGAGTGATGCCGGGAGCGAGGTTTCTGTCGAAGGAGGCGTGGCGCTTACGGAGGAGGCGGTGGAGACGCAGACGCCGGATGTGGTCGATGTGCTTGTGGATGTGTATGGGGACGAGCGGACTGCGGCGAATGGGAGGGAGGCTGCTAGTGAGGGAGGCGAGTGGGCTGGGGAAGGTGAAGACGCTGGTGAGGATGAGGTTGGATTTGAATTGGATGAGGAGGAGACGGTGGCTTGGACGAGGGCTGAGAACGTCATCGCGCAGCTTTGAAGAAAAAAGGTTTATCACGCAGCTTTGAAGAGCGGGGAAGTTGAAGGTCTGGTCGAGTGATTGGGAAATGGAGGGAGAGGAAATATGGGCATTACAGAGGAAGATGCTTGTTTCCTGCCTGGATATGGCTGGGTTGGGCGGCGTTTGGCATACCCATGGCGTTCTTCTGGGTGCGGCATATGGCATGCTATCATGAAGTCGGGCAAGTAGGGAATGGCGCAGTCGGTAATATTGGCGGAGTCTCACTATTCATGGAGTCGCGATAGGATCTTTAACGGGCGGATGATTCCCTTGTCTTATCTCGATTCCGTCACAAGTATATCTTGCTTCTTCTGGCGCTTGCTCCTTTCTCCTTGCCTTCCCTGATATCGCCTCAGGGCGGCAAGCGAAGGACACCACGTGATAATTTAGGGTTACACATTGATTCCTACGTCAAGGGCCCTCCAACACTCTCCCAGGCCGCAGGACGGCCGAGCAAGCACGCTCCCGAACTATTGAATACATTCGAGAACCAATGAAAAGATCCATCACTCATGCCCATAGGTTTGCCCGAAGCAACGCACTGCCCAACTCCACCTCGCTCGCAACCACCTGGCTGCTCACGAAGTTGGGGCTAGTATCTGGGTGGCTGCGGGGGCGGTCCTCCATACTGCTGCTGCCCTGGATATCCCCCTTGCTGCGGCGGGTACTGTCCTTGGGGTGGGTATTGCCCTTGAGGAGGATACTGGCCTGGAGGGGGAGCTCCATATTGCGGCTGACCACCGTATTGCCTGGTGTCTCGAAGTCAGATTGCCGCTGTTTGGAAAAAGTACCACAGGTGAGAACTCACTGTGGAGGAGGTTGACCGTAGCCATACTGGCCAGGAGGTGGCGCCCCATAACCCTGTTGAGGTGCTCCGTACCCGCCAGGCGCCGCGGGATTGCGGGTTTTCTCGTCCTTGGTATCATACGAAGAATCAATGGCACCCAACAGCAGCTTCATGATCCACATATCGGGAGTGAGATCGACGGGCGGGCTCGCTCGGGACATCTCTTCCTGCTCGTTCTCGAAGTCTAGCACGCGATTAGACACGCTCCCTCGGAGGATCAAGACTCAACTTACTTGACGTGCAGTCAACCATGGGGCCGACATTGGGGTCAGAATCGAGCTTAGCAAGGAACTTCTTTGCCGCCTCGTCGTTACCGACCTGGGCAAACTCAAACGAAAGAGCACCACGACCGTATTGCGGGAAGCGACTCAGCGTGTCGTATGCATAGCGAATGGTGTTGAACACGGCATCTTGCGGTTCCCCAGCGGGCTGGCCATCGGTAACGGCGATCACGAGGACTGGTTTACGCAGCTGTCCAGATTGGGCTTTGGAGAGGACAATCTCGTCGATAACCTTCTGCTTCAAGGCTGTCCCCATGGGTGTAAGCCCTTTGAACTGGACGCCCCGCATGATGGACTCAATCTGAGCTTCCGTGGCAACGCCATCCTGGAGAGGGCGACCGTTGTTGTCGCGGAGACCGCTCAGGTCAGTGTTCATGAACCGTATGGAGATGCCATCGGCATCAAAGAGCGTGGCTGCAAAGGCAACACGCTCGAGAATCAGCCTGAGGTCCTTGATGCGGCTGCCTTCTTCTTCAAATTGCATGGAACCGCTGTCATCTATGCCAAGTCAGATCTGTTGCGAGGCAAACGCAGCCCTTACGTACCAATGTACAACACAATGTCGTACAAGGCCAACTTGACAATGTCGTTGGCGAGTTCTTTGGCGACACGCCACCTCTGGATCACTTGGTTGATCAGAGCCGGTGCCTTGTTGGCAATCTGATCCAGCACAGGCGAGTTTGGTGGATAAAAATTCTGGAGCTGCTTCTCCTGAACGCAGGAATTCAAAAGCTGCTTGTAAGCAGCAATCTCAGCGGGGGTCCCCTGGTTAATTGGGGATGCCCCATATTGCTGAGGAGAAGCGCCGCCATACTGTTGCTGCGGAGGATATTGGCCGGGCGGCGGTTGTCCCGGACGACCGTGCTACAGTCATATGTCAGTATTTGCCATACCACGTACAAAGCAAACAATGTCTCGAAGATATTTCTCGATCCATATCAACGAGTACGAAGAACCACAGCACGGGGTATTTGGAAACGAACATGTTGGCCGTATTGCGGCTGCTGGCCGTAACCGGGTTGGAGGCTTTGAGGAGGCTGCTGCTGGCCGTATTGCTGCTGTCCATAACCAGGCTGCCCTTGGGAAGGATAGCTCTGTTGACCGTAAGGTTGTTGCTGTTGGTATGGGGGTTGATTCTGCAATGGATACGGAGACTGCGGCTGTTGGCCAGGTGGAGGAGGTGGGGGTCTGTTGTATGCAGACTGTTGAGGAGGATAAGGGGAGGATCCGTAAGTGCCTTGACTCGGTGCCTGGGGATAGGGTGGTTGTGATCCCGGAGCTCCGTAGGGCGAGGCAGTCATGGGATTCGGGGGAGGGGCAGAAGTCTGTGGGTACGCGTTAGGCGCGTAACTCGGCTGCTGGTAGCCACCGTAATGGGCCATGGTGATGTGCTAAGGCAGTGTTGCCTTCGAGGTGTATGTGTGTGGATCCGCGGCCAGCGGCGAAATCAGGTATCAAACGAGTTCCGGAAGAGGCGCAACCGCAAGGACGCAGAAGGAGGATGGGAAACAAAGTGGCGCAAGGAGAGAATACGTGGACCCACGGTCCGGGTGGCGTGTACTCTTTGATGACGACGTGGAGCAAGGGAAGAAAAGGGCTAACAAGGGGAATGGAGTCGATGTAGTGCTTACCGCGCCTGGATAGGCTTGATACTGTGACTGCCCAGGCTAGTTTGACTCGTCAGCGACTTGCTCCTTGCAGACTCGGGTCGTTACTCACATAACCGCCTTGTGGAGGGCCTCCCTGAGGAGGATAGGCTCCTGGTGGAGCGCCTGCTGCGGCAAGTTTGGATGCAAGCTAGCACAGTAGATGATGGTCAGCCCAGTCTTTGATGACGTTGCGTTGCGGGGCAGGTGGAGGGGCAGTTTGCTGTCTTGGAGCGAATGTGACCACTTACTCCCATGTTTGAAGGTCGAATCAGGGTGTGGTTCTTGCTGGAAGATCGAGGCAATGAAGGTGACGGGTTCTGAAAGGAAGAATGAAGAAAGGGAGAGAGCAGAGGTTGAAGTAGACGTTGGGCTTGGGGAGCTGCTTCCCTGTGAGCACAGCCACATCGCTCGGGGGGTTCACATGTTGGTGCGCTGACTACGGCCCGCACAGCCCTACGCCAAACCACCCTTGGGCATCGGATAGTTAAATGACTGTCGTACAAGTTGCGCGAGTGATTCCATTGTCTGATACTGTGATACACGAAGTGTGCCCTTCACGGGTCGGTGTCTGTGAATCGTTGCGAAATGTGGCGTTTGCTTAAGCCACGTCCAACTTGGTGACGTCCACGAAGTACAGCCAACAAGTCCAAGCAGCTCTTTGCCTCCCTGTTGGGCTTCCACACACACAGTAAGCTACCTAGGTATGATACAGTAAGCCGGCGGGGTTATCAGCTTGGGATATGCGACGCCGTCCCTCCAGTTCTTCTGGCTACGACGATGAGGTGGGGTTGCTTTGCACCGCCACATGAACGTTGTGCGCCACAGACACCCAGTACCCCTGGCACACACAAGAACGTTCTCTTCAGGAGGTCAAGTCTATCTTTGCAGGTAAATTCACCGCTATTTCGTGAGTTACTGGACTAATGCGTGGAAGTCATTTTTGAGTCTCGAGTATGTGGTGGGGATGGGTGGTTCTCATACCGTCACATTCGAAGTTCCCCGTCCTGCTGCTGGACTCTTGCAGGAAAACCCACATCATGAACTTCGCTCGAGTTGTAGGATATCGTCTAAACTGAGGAACCGTCTTCTTTACTACGGCCTCGTGAATTCACCGTTGGCTCACTCCATCATTGCACATGGCAACTCGCCGCTGCGCCTTCATCCCGGACGTCCCATGGCCGAGAGTCCCAACGTATTCAATAGTAAGTACACCCGACCGTATGTACGGATCGTACCTGGGGGGCCTCCATTCGTACGTACAGGCACTCCCTCCAGTACAGTACAGTAGTTACTGAATAAAAGCTCAGTTACGTACTGTTGAATACGTTGACCGAGACAATGCCCCTCGACCGTGTCGCGTGAGAATGAGCAAGGCTATAGTCAATCTCCAGCAGTTGTCATAACCCTCAATTGCACGACTCAACACATTCCCTCCTCAAACAAGCCTGACAAAACTTCCTCGTGGCCCTGCCTCAATCCACGCCTCCTCATGCACCATTCCCACACCCACCCGAAACGCCACGCCACTCCTCAACCTCCTCACCAGCATGACATTCAACGTGCACCAATCCCACTCCTCAAACTCCCCTGTATCAAAATACCTCAACTTCTTCTGCGTCTCCGTCTGCCTCTGCCGCAGCGCCCTCGACACGAGAATGAATTCGAACTGCATAGGATCCTCCTGGCAGTCCTCTGCGAGGTCGATGGGAAGAAGTATACACCCCACAACCCTTTTGCGGGAGTCTTTGATAGCGAGGTTGACGTTCCCAGGCCAGGCGCGCTCGTGCCCTTGGAGAGACCAGGGAGTGCCGTCGATCCAAAAGTGAGCACTGGTAGTGTAAGCAGCGAGGATTTTGGCATTAAGCCACTCCTCTGCCATAGGGTCGATAGCGTCTCGTGGAACAATGTTAGGCAGGAAATCCCTCATATCCACCTCCGGGGGTCCAACATCCTTATTCCCACCCTTCTCGTACACAAGTCTCTCATGTCTCTCCCTCGGAACCCCCAACTTCACCGCCATCCCTTCCCGATTCACAAGAAACCAATCCACCTCCGACCGATACGCCCAATTCGCCATCCAAAACCCCAGATTCACGGGAGTCTCCCACCCGGCCCAACTCCAGCTCGGAAACAGCGGCCTCGCCGGATCGAACAACCTGAAATCCGCCTGTTCTTCTCTCGATTTCCTGCGCTTGCAGACACCCTTGGGAACCCAACATAACGCGTGATCGAAAAATATCTCCGGTAAGCCCTGGAAGAACGCCGTTTCCATTGCTTCCGCGAGCACCGCTCGAATCCCGTCGAACGCATTGAGAATGTCCGTCGGAAACGAGACGTCGCGGTACGTATACTCGGATAGAGCATTCTCGTACGTCTCCATCATGAGTCCTATGCCTGCAATCTTTGCACGGCTGAGGCTCCACTGGCCCCATCGACCTTCGAACGCGGCTTTGTTGCCGTATCTCGCTTTGGGCGACCAGAGTGTTGTGCCCGGCTCCACGGCCGCGGTTCGCGGGATAGACTCGCAGACGGTGTCTTCGGCGAAGGCGTTGCATGAGCAGAGGAAGTAAGCTTGGACGTGTGTGAAGAAGAGGAGACGCCGCGACAGGTGGTGTTCTTGGTAGGTCCAGCAGCGCGTGTCCCAGCGGGCAGTCCTCAGGGCGTCGGAGGCGCACATTGAAGTTGCCGCCATTCGAAGATCGCTGACAGATTTTATTAGCTGCTTCTTCGAGGGTGACGGTTTTGAAAAACCGGGAAGTCCGCTGCATGGGTCCGGGGTTCCTTTGGGGACTGGATACGCGCACACAATGGTGAGTTCGGCGGCGCCGTAGACCCGGTCCATTTGCCGCAATTGCTTTCCTTTGTGCTCTTTTGAGTCCTGGATAATGCACAGGGCGTCGATCCAGAGGTAGCGGAACGCGAGGTCTTTGGAGCACTTGATCGCGTCTTGGATGGTTCCTGGTAGGCGCTGCATATTGCGCGTCAGTGAGCCTTTGGAGAATAGTTCCGCACTGTTGGATTTCAGATGCGTGAGATACGGCGCTGCAGGCCAGCAGTAGCTCAGCGCTACGAATGGCGATCCGTGCGGCATTTCGCAGATGCACATGTTTTCGAGGTCGATGGCAAGGAGGTCCATGGGTTGGAGGGACGCCAGGTGTTCGGGAGAAAGGTTGTCGGGGTTGCTGCAGTACTTCCCGTGCTCTTTCTGGCATATTTCGAGCCATCTCTTTGCTAAACGCACATCGAATCGACCTTCTCGCACAACTCGCCCGCGGAAGGCCGAACTGATACCAAGCTTCTCCGCATCCTCCCCGAGAAATTGAACATAACCCACATACTTCCTCACAGGCTCTGTAAGATGCACTGAGACCTGGATACAATGCACCTTCTGGGTATCTCCTGCTTCTGAATTCCCCGTCTCGGCTATGCAAGCACGGCCGATTGTAACGCTGCCGTCTTCGTCCCGGTTGCGGAAAGGTCGGTCTGTGGCGGTGTCGACGAGGTGGCAGAATGGACATGTGGTGGCTCTTTCTCTGAGTTGGAGTCTTGATCCTAGGGTCTGCTCTTTGTTGCTCGATGGAGTGTCGGTGATGTCTTTCTGATTTGAGGGTCCAGGGGATTGAAAGTAGACCGGGAAATCGATGGTGCGGCAGATGTGGCAGAGAGATTTGGTGGAGTGATCCGAGATATCCATGGTTGGTAAGGTCTATGGAGTGACCTGTTGAGTAAGGAAAGGTCAGATCTAGGATAGATGGTTTACAGTGAGGGTCAGGGAGAAGGTGGGTAAGCACTATTTCCTGGATCTTATGCGGGATGTACGCCTTCGTATACTACTTTTTTCTTTATGCGTACGCTCAGTTACCTGCGACACACTGTTCAACACGTAGGCGCAGGGATCCCACTCAGCGGAATTCTGCTGATGCATACCATGAATGTTTCCCAAAGAAAACGAACCACCTCTTCGAAAAAAACAATTGCAAGCTTGTGGGTTGCAGAGTAGAAGACAAGTCCCAGAAACAAAGATCCGTCTAACTGCAGTGGAGTCAATGAGATGGTGCATCTGACATGCATATGGAAGTGGAGTCTCAAGCACCCCGCAGATTTGGCCCCCATTCACAGTGTACCTGGTATCTGGCCAGTTAGTTGTACAGCACAACTATAGAGCTATAAAGACGAAATTATTTGCTTGGTAGATTCAACAAACATTGTACATCCCCGCACTAAGGGAAAGTTATTGTGTATTCTATCTGTAGTGTTGCTAGTTTTGATTTCATTGTTCATACGAAGTTTTTCTCCCTTTATTCGAATACGAAGCAGCAGACAATGAACAATGAAATCTGGTAACGTGTCTTACAAGCGAGTCGGCCACCCCACCAAGCCTAATCAAAACACCAACTTCTCATCACTATGGCTCTACCTCCACGTGCTCTATCATTATATACTGAAGCTGATATAATGCTTGCCTCCTCCTCTATTAATCATCAGCAGTTTAAAAGCTCTAGACTTGCTGCTTCTACGTATAACGTTCCGAAATCAACACTGAACGACCGATGCGCTGGCAAGCCTGCCCGATGCGATTGCCAGCCCAATTCAAAGAAGCTTACTGAGCTAGAAGAGAAGGTGATTGTTATACATATACTTGATCTGGATCAACGTGGATTTGCGCCTACGTACACAGCTGTACGTGATATGGCCAACAACCTGCTAGCTGCATGTGGTGCAGGCCAGGTTGGCATCCACTGGCCGCGCAACTTCATCAAGCATATAGACAGTCTTACAATATATTTTAATCGGCCATACGATAGGCAGATAGCTCTATGCGAGGATCCTGAGTTAATTAAGAGCTGGTTCAAGCTGGTAGAGCAGACAAAGGCCAAGTACGGCATCTGTGATGAGGATGTCTACAACTTCGATGAGGCTAGCTTTATGATGGGCAAGATTACTACTCAGCTTATTGTAACAGGGTCAGAGAGGAGAGGCCAGCCAAAGGCTATCCAGTCAGGCAATCACGAGTGGGTGATGGTCATCCAAGGAATCAACGCTGCTGGCTGGGCTATCCCACCATTCATTATCTTTGCTGGCTAACACCATCTCTCTGCCTGGTACGAGGAAGCTAATATCCCACACGACTGGGCAATTGCTGTTAGTGACAACGGCTGGACAAACTGTCAGATTTGATAATATCTGAAGATGTCACGGTGATAGAAAGATTGATTGAAGATGGGTTGACTGATTATATTCAGGTGTGTGCTTGTGTATATGAGGCTAGGGCCTGACACCGGTTTTGATGTTCCTTCTCTGGGCACCAAGGCTGCGCAGGGCACTAGCCACTGCAGAGTCACTAGCCACTGCAGAATCACTAGCTACATATCCTCAGATAGTACCGGTACAGACAGTTTCTCCCAGTCCTCCTCTTCAGTCCCAGATAGGATGTCCATAAACTGGCTTACCATCTGACACAAACAATGAGCTAGGAGTTGAGTGGCTAAAGCACTTCAACACTTATACCAAGACTCGTGTTGTAGGTACTCATCGCCTCCTTATCCTTGATGGCCACGAGAGCCATCACTCCCTTGAGTTTCAAGAATTCTACAAGGAGAACAATATCTACACACTCTGTATGCTAGCTCACTCATCGCATCTACTCCAGCCTCTTGACATTGGCTGCTTCGCACCATTGAAGCATGCATACAGCTATGAGATTGAGGCTCTGATCCACCACCATATCAACCACATCATGAAGCTTGAGTTTCTGCCAGCCTTCAAGGCAGCCTTTGATCAATCATTTACATCAACTAACATCTGCTCAGCCTTTCGAGGTGCAGGCCTAGTTCCTCTCCAGCCTGACGTTGTTCTGTCAAAGCTAGATGTGTAGCTCCGTATGCCTACGCCTCCAGCTACCCTAGTAGAGGCTCTCTGGAAGGCTCAAATACCAAGCAACGTACGTGAGCTTGAGGCTCAATCAACGCTAATACGTGATCGTGTTCGGCAGCACAAGAGCTCATCACCAGCTTCAATTATTGAGGCAATTGATCAGCTCAAGAAGGGGGCTGAAGTGATGATGCTCTCGGCTGAGCTGATGTGCGATCGGATTGCTAGCCTTGAGAGAGCTAATGAGATAGCTATAAAGTGGAGGCAGTGCAAGAAGAAGCGGATCCAGAAGCATGAAGTCTTAACAAAGGGAGCAGGAGAGGATATACTTGCTTACCAAGAGGTTGAGGAGCAGATTGCTTGTGAACAGCGACAAGGTGGTGTGTGATCAGGACTCAGCCGCCAGGCTCTGGCACGCTGCCCAAGGTGTAGAGAGCCTGGGCATAACTCAGGTACGTGTAAAAAAGATACTTTAGATACTGCTTAATCTATTGTATTAATAACTACATACTACCTTAAAATGTAGTTGAGTTGTACACTTGAAGATGTGTGCAAACCTAGTAGGGTGGCCGACTCGCTTATATGGCCGACTCGCTTGTAAGACACGTTAGTAATAAGATCATATTCAAACAGCCTTCACCTTCAAAGAAGGGGGAGGGCTGCCATCGTCGTCGTCCGCGGCGCCGGAGTCCCCTGTATCCTTCTCAACGTGTTTCTTATGAGTCAACTTCGAGAAATGGCGGGAGTTTACTAAATGCTTTGGAGGAAATTTATCGTCCGCATGTGCCCGAGAACATTGTTGGCGTTTGCATTGTCCCTCCTTGTAGTGCGCGCACTTGGACCGCTTACACTCCTCCTTATCTACTTCGCAGTATTTGCAAGGAATCCCATGGTCGCATGGCAGCTCGAGTTGATAGCATCGGATGCACAAAACGACCCGTTTCGCGCGTTTCTTCACTGGCATATCGGAGGGGTTTGGAGTTGAGCTGGACGGCAGGTTAGCTGTGTGATTTCAAAGAAAAGAATAGCAAGGGATACCTGTCGCCTTCTCCTCCGCGTTTTCTGCCGCTGCTTCGCGGCTCGACAGCTCGTCTGCGACAGTCGTCCGCGAGGTAGGCGGTAATCTCAAGCTCCAGATCGCGAATCTTGTTGTCCTTGTTGATCAGATCGGCTCGCTGGCTGCGAATAACGTAGTCACGTCTCTTGATCTCTTCTTGCAGATGATCAAACCATTCTTCGTACTCTTCGCGCCGCTGATGGGACTGCAAATCTCTACTGGCCGATTCCAATGTAGAGAACGAGTTCTCGTCCAAGGCCGCTTCCAACTCTTCCCAAGCGGGGTCCTCACTTATTCCACGCTTGCTGGTGTCCTTGAGAGACGCCTCACGGAGGTACTCAAACAGCCTCCTTATTTTCCGCAGGGTGCCCTCAGCGTTCTTGTTGTCAGTGGCCGCTGGCTTTTTTGAGTCGTGACTCTCGGGCTCAGCGAGCTTCGCCGCGTCATTACAACTGGGGGAGTTGCAAGTTGTTGGCATTGTGTCGCTGCGACTCCCGTGCTCATCGGGAGGGGGAGGATCGTCGGTGCGGCCAGGTGGTGCGCTGCGATTCGAAGCAGAATCGGGGTCTCCCAACGCCTCCGTCATCTTGCTACAAATAATGAAAATTGTTGGCTTCACCCTCAGGAGTCAGTAATGGTTGAGATTTATGGAGTCAATACTACAACGGAACAGATAGTGGAAAGCAGCCGCACTGACGGGATTCTCCCAATGGTGACGTCCCTGCACGACAAATATTCTCGGGGTAATCGAACAAGTCCCTGACAAAACCAGACAATGTTCCGCTAAAAGTCCGTGGTGAAAGTCGGTGACGGGATCAAACAATCACGTGATTGCATCTTTCACTGTCCACCGAACTGACAGACGTTTGAGGCAACACTTGGCATTTCCAGCCGCTTCCGCGCAGAGACCATGCTGACTAAAACCGTTAAGCGAGGCCGCCGCCCGGAGTACTTAAGCCCTCTTCCCCCCTCCCTACTCCCTTTCTCTTTCTCTCGAGGGCCGCTGGAACTTTTCAACCTGGGATCACTCCTAGGTTGTGGAAATGAGCTTGCAACGCCGCAAGTATGTTCCGCCGCAGTCAGTCCGTGAAGCCTCTCGGGGCTCGGGGCTGGCTCAAACATCCAGATGGTCATCTTGTCTGGGAGCTTGCGAGCTTTGTCTCGTCAACTCACCAGATGGTTTGTGGCTCTACCCAAGCAATGTCCGCATGGGTCCCCAGCTCAGTAAAAAACCTGCGGGGAGTTGGGGCGTGGCCATTACGGTTGCTGGCGATATCCACTTACCTGTACCTCAGGGTACCGCTTGCTGTCAGCGTAATGAACAGACCCTTTTTTTCATTGATTGACCTGGCTTGCTAGGCAATTGAGGAAGAAATCCCCGGCTTCTGCTCTCGTAGAACATGTGTATGGTAGCTTGTGGTGAGAGCGGTCAGTTGTGCGTCCGACATGTTCACCGCCTCTCACTTCGTGTCCGCCGCGATTCACGTGATATGTTTTCACCGGCGTAACACCTCTTCACCGCCCCAGTTTCTTTTTGAGCAGCTCAGTCTCTCCATCCTCTTTGGCCTCTTCTTCTCAACCCCAACCACCATCGCCGCCCCTTCGCGCAATCCGGACATTGTCGACTACGCGCAATTCTTCTCGCAACCATCAAGAAGTGCATCCTTCTTTCGAGATGGCTCCTCCACTGCTTCACTACCGCCTCAAGGACAGGAAAGACAAGGCCCGCCTCATCACTGAGTTCGAAGCGACGCAACAGGCACGCGAAGATGAGATCAAATCGGTAATCAAATGGTTCGAACGCGTTGGACTCAACCATGCAGAGCTCAGTGAAGGTCTTCAGTTCTCGGCCACCGTCCTGGAGAAACAGGGTAGCTTGGCAACGGAGTGGCGCATCGACAGCTTGTACAACGAACTTGGGATGGAGGACAAGCTAGAAAAGCTTGAGGAGAAGGAGGCGCAGCTCATGGCGAAGGATGAGGAGATCAAGGCGAAGGATATGGAGATTCAGGCGAAGGATGAGGAGGTCAAGGCGAAGGACGAGGAGATCAATGCGAAGGACGACGAGATCAATACGAAGGACGAGGAGATTAATGCGAAGGATGAAGAGATCAAGGCGAAGGATGAACAGATTGCCCAGTTGATGAAGGCATTGAAGGCCAAGGATGAATTGCTTGCTCTGAAGGATGAGCACATTGCCAATCTCAAGGCTGAGAAAGAGCAGGCGGAACTCCAGAAGCAAAATTGGAAGGGGAAATCGGCCCTCTACAAGCGCGAGCTGGATGAGCGGAGCGAGAATCTTGGACGTGCTGGTACTGGCAAAACGTTGACCTTGCCGATGCGTGGAGGACGACCCCGTCGAAACGGGGAGGGCATCTAGGCATATTCTGGTGGAGATCCATGGGAAATTCTGTATGATAATGTGACACTACACTAGGAAGTGGACTGGAACAATGGCTCGTCTATGTATGACTTCTTGAGTAAACGGTGGTTCTAGTTCATCTTGCCAAACTGAATCGCAGTAGAGGAAGTTACAACAGGTTCCTGCCAAGTGGATCGTGAAGGATAACTCCAAGACTGGTTGTAACTACTGGTTCCTTGCCAATAATGTGGAATCAAGCTGTTGCTACATCTATCTATCTTGGCGAGGGATTGACAAGTAGCAGAGATACAATGTGCGATGCCTTCTCCCATGAGTAGCGGGAACCATGATGTATGAAAGAGAGATAGGAATCCACTACTTAATCAAGCACTCCCTTACCGTAGTTCGAAACAGAACGCTGGCATCAAATTGCAAGGAAGGCGGCGTTTCGTCTACTATAAAGAATAGCGGTAGTCATTCGCGTCTACGGGGATGGGTGGACAAAGGTGCTTTGTCCATCTCGTATCCTCTACTACTGAACATCCGTATCATATGCATAGTCCAAATGCCCCTCGCGGTACCTCGAGGCTGCCAATTGCTGTATTACTCAGTATCACTGTCATTATGCTATCGCCCATGACGAAAACATCCCTTGCTTATCGCTGCACACATGTGCAGTTTGTCTTTCTAGCTCTACAGTATTCCTGGTCATTTCGCCGTACGCCTAACCAAAAGGTTCTGATCCGGAACACCCGAACGGAGAGATCCCAGCATAGAAGAGAGAACTGAGGTGCAGATCGTACATGGGACTGAACCCTGTCGCAGGCATTTACCACGCTTGCATGTGGTTGACGGGCGAATACACACTGTTATTCTCCGTGGATGGTTATGTGTTGTTGAGTAAAACCTGCGTTTGCTAGATATGCCTGCATCTTCTTGTTCAATGTATGAGTATAATGAGGTCAGAAATAATTGTTGAGGCGTACATAATAGCGTGCATGATGATTTAGAATCACTTAGAGTGGTGGGATCTAGGTCGACCCATTGTATTGGTATGGACGCTATACCATCCATTGCCTGCTTCCCAGAAATCGAGGTCAATTGCATGCTGATATATTTGTCCAACATTGAAAGGTGGGAGAAGCCTGATGAGAGGTACTATGCGAAAACCACATGCCCTAGGGTAACGCCTATCCTATGATGGCCGGAATCTATACCAACTTGTAACTTTCGCTGATCCTGCATTACATTTGCTGTTCTTGTACAAACTGCACTCGCAAGAGTAAACCCTTCACTAACAGTACTGAGGCAGCAAAAGCCTCGGACCACGACCATTTGGACGCGACGTTCATCACCACAGCTTCAGATTCCGCCTCACTCTCGGATGATCGTAGCAATCAAAACCTTCTCTCCGCGCGGAATAGGCTCAATTCGTGCGCACTAACCAAATTCTTGAGGAGCAGAGCACGTGAGCCCAAGCGGCGGTGAAAGGCCATCCGCTCTCACTTTTCCACGGTCACCGCCTGGGCCTGCTCGAGCCCACGAAAGCTTGGAAAACCTCCTTTACTACTTTTTCCTCGCTACACCGCAACCTTTTCCAACAATTCGGCACTTTGTCAGTATCCGTTCCGCCCACCAGCGAAAGTTGTTGCATCTACCGCCCAACGATGTCCGCGAACAACGACATTTTTAGAATCAGGTTCGATGCTGCAGGCGACACACAAATATCTGGTGAGCAGCTGGTGGAACTGGGCCTCTTCATGGATCACGACGGCAGCCTCTATACCTTAGAAGACTGGAACAATCCCGAGGGGAGGATTCCACTGATGGAGCAAGACTTGAGAGTTCGACGCCTTGTGATCTTTTACAACAAGGTAGAGGGCAGTCTCTGCATCGACGAGCACGTGGCGAAAGAGACAACATCCGTCGTCGAGATGCTTGAGGAGGAGAGCAACAAAACCGCCGCTTGTTGGATTGACGCCGAACGTCGGCTCAAGAAGAAGGTACAATATGGACGGTTCGAATCTGTGAGGCTCTACTGACGAAAGGCAGACCGATGAAGCGTCGGCATACCAGGCCAACTTGAGGAGGCCGAAGTGACCATCAAGACCATGGAACATCATCAAGCAGAGACCGATAGGAAGCTTCAGATTGCGCTGGCCGAGATTGACGCCATGAAAGCAAGGAGGGCGGAAGAGAGAATCCAGGAACTGGAACAGGCCTTGAGCGAATTGAAGCTTTCCGTAGACCGGACTATTGAAGAAAAAGATCAGGCCATCGAGCAGATACGCGTGCAAGCCGGTATGTTCAGAGAACGTTTGCGAAGTGCCGAAGCATCACAGGACCACGTCAACCAAGGCCTTCGAACATCGAGACGTCGACGATACTGCCGCCGAAACCATGCCCTAGCCAATCTCCAAGAGACATCCACACATATCGGAGACCAAGTGAGCCTTGGAGATGAACGGGAGATCGCTAGTAGGAACTCGGCGGATGCTCTTGTTGAAGATGATGGACAGGTTATGTTCTAGGGAAGTAACGCCTTGCAAAAGCGTGGACCGAGAAGCTCTGAGGAGCATCTTCAGCTGGGGATAGTAATCGAAGAATGTGCCTACTGCAAATGAATACACTGTCTATTAAACCTGTCTTGCATTTATATGTCAAGCAACCCCTTCTCCCTTCCGTGATTCGTCCTGTTACACATGTCTATGCAGGTTCTATGAGCACTTATCCAGAAGGAATTAAATAAGACGCCTCATCGAATATTGCACCGTATATCGCTCTGAGCAGGCCTCTGCTTTTCGCCACCGTACATGCGCTGAGCGTGCCTTCGCTGGCCAAGCGAGCAATCAATGCTATTGTTGGCCGCAAACACGCGAATGAAGCCAATCATTCTCCGTGGTTATCAACATCTCAAAGGCTAAGGGTGTACTTTCGGGGAGGCCGGAGCGGTGGTGTCGGTTGTGGGAGGCTTTCGGCTTACTCATACGCTCCGCTCGATGTCTGCCTGTATTCATTTGGTCGGGGTTCTGGCGCACGTCTTGGAAGAGATGGCTCAAGGTGGATCGCTGGCGGTTGGTATAAGAGTGCGAGTGGAAAGATGGAACATAGGTGGATCGAGACTAGTATATGATTTTGGGGCCCGTGTTCAGAGCTTGTGACTTACCGGTCCGATTGACGGACTGTTTCGAGCTTCCGCAGACAAACCGGCATCTCGGTGATGGATTGGAAACGACCAAATGAGTTGAACTGTTCAATCCACTAACCTTACCATATTGTAAATTGATCTCACCGCCGGAAACGTCGTCCCTGGCTCGACTCAATTCCCATACTCGCCTTCTTCCCTTAGCTGTAAGTAGAATCTCCCCCATCATCTCTCTGAAAGCAGAGCGCTTCTTGAGAATTTTGTACGTACCCTCATCGCTTCCTCCCTGTGTGTTATGAGTTGACGAGTGCCAACGTCACCGGCTTTGCATCCTCCTCCATCACATCCTGGACTTGTACCCTGATGTGCGGTATCTTCACTGCGGCGTCGAATCCGTGATGGTGAGAGTGAAGCCGTTGTGTTTTTCACACTCTCATGCCGTGCTGGGTGATGGGTGTGTCGTTCCGTGAGACTGGTCTAGTGCAGCTGCCTGTAGCAAATGTCTGCGTTCTCTGGATGCTGTATGATGTTCGAAGTCGTTGTGATGCGGAAGATGGAGCTGCAACATGAGGGCGAGGCCACGGAAACGCATGATCTCGAGACGGCACAATAGGGCTTGCGGAGCGCAACACCGTTCCTGCAAGTGGCACAGCCTTGTAATAGTACAATGATATCCCCTTCCTCAACTGCCCGGCAAGCCAGGACACTCAATGAAAAAGATGTGTCGGTGTATGCAACACCTGGTGGTTCCAAAAAATGTTCGTCATTTTCGCCGACTGCAGCGGTACCATGGGCACGAGTTACACACTTGGTAGAGTCTGCTGTCTGTGGTCAAGCGGCAAACTTCTCAAGTTCCGTCCCTGAAGAAGAGCTCTCCAAGTTCGATTCTTGAAAGAAGATTCCGTGGGGCCAGCAGTCCGGAGCAGAGCCTGTGTGTAACGCATCTGACTTGACAAAGCAAGTTTGCCAATGACTCAGACAGAGGACATCAAAAGGAGATAAAAGAACCCCTCGAGATCGTGAAGATCAACTGCGCGATGACGGTTCGAAAAGCTGGGTCACATTTCCAACAAAGACTGCAACAGGGAGCCTCAAACAAGTTGAGACAGGCCTGAAGTCACGTCTCCGCCCAGTCTCCAGGAGCGTGGAGCCTCATCACACACATCAGGGTCCCAAGCCCTGGCAAGGTGATATATGAGGAGAAGGTAAGAGGAAGGGAGGGAGAGGGGTTTATATAGACGGAGAGTGGGCCTCGCTTAAGGATTATGTAAGCCCTGCCTGGCTCGAGCTCCGGAAGTTGCTGGAAGCGCCAAGGGTTCTCCGATCAGGCAGCGAGAGTGAAAGGCAGGTCACGTGCATGCGCTCGAGGATGCAGTCCAGAGGTCATGATCTCAGGGCCTCCTCTGAAAGATAGGCTTGTCTGTTGTACATCTCTACGTGCATATAATTACTTAACAAATTGCGTCGCCTTTTGCATCCTAAGAGACCCTGCAACAGCTACCGCATTCATATATGATTCATATATGCAACGTGAGGTTGCAAGGCTTTCCTTTGCGCTGCTCTTCACTGTTCGACAGTTATCTACCCGTCTGGAGGGCGATGGCACTGTCCCTTGCCGTCTCAAGAATCGAAACGTGAATGCCAGCGCGCCGCACTTTGGCAGGTTTCAGTATACGTTTTCACGTTTTCACAGCGCCCGAAAACACAACTGAGGCTTCCTGGCAGAACTTTTCTCCGTGAAATTTTGCCTAGCGCTTGGCGAGGCAAGAACACTCACTCTCCCGTCCTATCGCGCGCACTTCGCACTTCAACACAACCCCAGCGCCATCATGTCTGGCGGACCGCAGAAAGACACCCATCCCAGCCGTCCTCGGAACCAGGATGGCTCACTTGAATTGGCTCGCTTTAGCACTGACCCCAACTACGATATTGCCAACTATGATCGTGACAGCGGACCAACGGAAAGCACGAATCGCAAGGAAGAGCGTGTCGACGATCGCGAAAAGGGATTTGGGAGCTGCCCAAGCAAGGGCATCGATGACACTGGAGACTGCCTACAACGAATCAGAGCACTTCTTCACGGCGACTCGGACCCCTCAAGCCCCGGCGACGATTTCAATGGCCGGGGCGACATTTTCAATGGCGGGGATGACGATCATGGTCCCGACTTCGCTGCTCAACTGGAGCAGCTACTTCAGAAGGCACTAGAGGAGATATCAGCTGGGGAACACGAGCGACGTGCCACATTGCTCCAAATGCAAGATACCTTCCGAAACTTCCGAGACGCATACGACACAATGCAACGGGCCTCACACGAAAGAAGCAATACCGTTCTGGAGTTGGGTATTCATCTGGCGGGCAAGGGCCTCGTGTACACGGGAGAGCGCTGCGACATTGAAGCACATCATCGGCGAAGCATTCTCAAGAAGGAGCTGGCTATTCAAACTTTGCATGATATGGCAAAGCAAGACAGGCAAATGCTCATCGACAAGCAAAGAGAGTGTGAAGAGCTTTGGCGAGATAAAGAGGCTTTGGCGAGGTTATACAACGGCGTATGCAGGGAAACAAGCGGGACGGCCATCAAAAGGTCCGCCAACACTGCTAGGTGCGCTGCCACACAAGCTGTTTGCCACTTTCTCTAACATCTCAATCCAGCTTATCGTCAAATGAGCTTCAGCCGGATAGCAAACGTCAAAAGCGAATAGTGCAATGCATTGAGTGCTACCGGAATGATATCGATTGCGACGGTAAGGAGTTCTGTGCGCCGTGTCGGGAGAAAGGCGTGCCTTGCGAGCGTTCCAGGTGCCCACATTTTGGGTTGGGAAAATGCCATAGACCGCGCTGCACCATGGCTCACGAAGGTGACGGTTTTGCCCCAGAGAGCATCTGCGAGATTACCGTCGCGTTAGGAAAGTCCGTGGGGCTGGGAACTAAATGCACGAAATTGTTCCAAGGCTGTACCCATACAGCTCTTACAAAACAAAACGAGGGATTTTCTGTACCTAGACAAACCTTAAAAGTGAGAACTAAGACTATACCACTCTTCAATCAGGACGTAGTTGACAAAGGTGCTACTTCGCCTGTCCAAAATCTAAGAGTGGATTGTGAGGACGTTCACCTTTTGACGGTTGACGTTGGAATAAGGTGTGGACCGTCCTTCTCGGCTTACATACATGGCAAAATGGCAGGTTACTAACTTGAACGAGCTAAAGGGACCGGTATTCATCACCCATCCCACTGATTGGCTACATTGGCAACGAGCGCTTGAGTATCATCAAAATCATTCAAGAACACCTTAAATTTTCCGAATATTTTTCTTTTCAGGTTTATTGGACGGTTTCTCTAAGAACAGCTCAAGTGTAATCACGTGTCAATTCAAATTCATGACTAATTCAAAGAATCTTGCCCGGCCGATGGCGATGATTACGGAACATAGCACATGACGATTGGAAGCTTCTACAAAACCGTTTACAAACGCTAGCAACGGAGCGGAAGTATAAAAATTGCAGTCGCCGGTAGATTCAAAGCCGTTCAGTCACCTACACACGTCTCAATCAACCCAACTTATCTACACAGGAAACGGACAACTAAGGGTATCCGCATTGCCCCACCTCATAGTCTCAACTTCGGAGATCGCAGCTATCTGAGACAAGGAATTCCACTGTCAACCCACAAGTTTGCGCAACATCCAGCGGCCTTACCATCAATCGAAACCGCGCCGAATAGATTGAAATCGGCTTCACGAAATCAAGAGCCATGCCTATCGAGATCTCCGCACCGCTCCACCTCCAAACCCTCCTCGGTTCGAATACCTACCTCCTCGTCGACTTCTATGCGACATGGTGCCCGCCATGCAAGGCGATCGCGCCTGTCTTTGAGCAGCTCTCGTCTCAACATACCATCCCCGGAAAGCTCGCCTTTGCGAAGGTGAATGTGGACGAGCAGACGGAGGTAGCAGCGAAATATGGAATCACCGCCATGCCGACGTTCCTGCTCCTGAAGGGGAATCAAGTGGTTGAGAGCGTGAGGGGGGCGGACGTTCGCCAGATCAAGTCTATCGTGGAGAGAGTAGTTGCTGAGGTCGGCAAGGCGGGCACGGAGGAGGAGAAGAAGGAGACCAAGGCGGCGCCAAAGTCAACGGAAGGGTTGTCCATGGTGGAAAGGCTGGGACTGAAGGCGCCTTGATGAATTTGGGTTTAGAATGATGAAAGATACGGAGGACGGCAGACTGATTCAAGTGGTGGTGGGTGTTCGAATGAATGGCACTCGTCGCATTTGTGGTCAGGAGAGGCACGATTATGAGAGCTTTGATACCCCGATAAGGTCATTCGTTGAATTAGCTGTTTCCATAGCGCGTTCGTAAATGAATACGGACTTATGGAAAGTCCAAATTACACAGTAAGATCGATATGTGCACATAACAACTGGAGTTCCGATGAATCCGTCGGATTGGTTAATCGTCCAACCTGAAGCCACGACCCTTTCACAGCTAGCTGGACGCGTCGAGTAGCAACCGATTCTTTGCAGGGAAAGGAGAGATCGGCAGTTGGTGTTGATTTTATGATTAATAAAGCTCTTGCTGAAACCGTAAAAGGACACGTTCCCCGCCAAGCCTGCCGCCACCGCTCTCGACCTCTCCTCTATCCTCAGACTTCGGAGTTGCTCCGACGCTAAATAAACCAATCCCTACTGCTTGGAGTCTCCAGCACCCCATTGAAGCTTCAAACTTCACCTACACAGTATGCTGTTCAAGAGCGTGCTTCCCGCGGTGGTTGCGCTGCTCCCCGCCCTCGCCTCCGCCTCCGCCGTACAGGACCTCACGCCGTCGAATTTCGACAAGGTCGTACTGAAATCGGGCAAGCCGGCTCTCGTCGAGTTCTTTGCGCCCTGGTGCGGACATTGCAAGAACCTCGCCCCCACATACGAAGAGCTCGCGACGAATTTCCAGCACGCAGCCGACAAGGTCATCATCGCCAAAGTCGATGCGGATAACCACAAGGATTTGGGCAAGAAGTACGATGTAAAAGGCTTCCCGACGTTGAAGTGGTTCGACGGAAAGAGTAAGACTCCGGTGGAGTATGAGGGAGGACGCGATTTGGAGAGCTTGCAGAAGTGGATCACAGACAAGACGGGAATACGGCCGAAGGTCAAGGGCAAGCTTCCTAGCCGTGTGGTGATGCTCGATGACAAGAGCTTCAAGGAGAAGGTTGGTAAGGAGCAGGACGTGCTTGTCGCATTCACTGCGCCTTGGTGCGGACGTAAGTCAGCCCTGATCAGCTTCTGTAAGGGCTTTGGCTAACAGCAATTATCAGACTGCAAGAACCTCGCTCCTACATGGGAGACTCTCGCCAACGACTTCGCGACCGAGCCCGGCGTTCTCATTGCCAAAGTCGATGCCGAAGCCGAGAACAGCAAGGCCATCGCCAAGGAATTCGGCATTCAATCCTACCCGACGATCAAGTACTTCAAGAAGGGCTCCCTTGAGCCGCTCCCCTACGAAGGCGCTCGCGCCGAGAAGGACTTTGTCCAGTTCATCAACACGAACGCTGGCACACACCGCGCTGTCGGCGGAGGCCTTGACGCGACTGGCGGTACTATCGAAGTCCTCGATGCTATTGTTTCTAAGTTCCAAAACGCCTACGCGGATGGAGTAGACGAGATCAAGAAGGCAGCCGAGGGTATCCAGGACAAGTATGCACAGTACTATGTCAAGGCGTTCCAGAAGATTAGTGCGAACAAGGAGTATGCGGAGAAGGAGCTGAAGCGTCTCGAGGGCCTGATCAGTAAGGGGAATCTTGCCCAGGAGAAGCTGGATGACTTGACCAGCAGGAGCAATATTCTGAGAAAGTTTATTGCTCAGAAGGAGGAGGAAGAGAAGAGCGAGTTGTAGACCTGCTTTGACGATGGTCTCGATTGAGGCTCAGTGATTCGAATGCATATTTGAGCGTGCTTGAGGATCGAAACAGTGACGATGAGCCCCTGGGGCTTTTGGACAAACCTTTTTGTATCAATAACGAGAAATGCATTATAACATGATTGCATGCAGAGGATATTCAATTATGTTATGTCGTGACAGTGAACCCCAGAACGCCCCGCAAAAATAGGAGCACTTGATGCTCCAAAAACCGAAACTATTTTCTGTCCATTGCCCAGACAGACGCTGCTCTACTTTCCAGACCCTGACCCCTTTGCACCCTCTGCAGTCTGTATGGTGGCTTCGAGATTGTCAAGCCGTCGAGACATGTCATCCACTATGCTTGTTAGCTTCCACGCTCTACAACCACAAATTTACTGCACTTAAACAGGGGAGTTGAGCTCCGGAATCAATAATGTTTCACTCACTCTTAGCAAGCAACTCGCTGCTCACACTGCTGAACTTCGTCGTCAACTGGTTCAGCATTTCGTCCACAGCCGCCACCAGCTCGGCTCTCGCGGCATCGGGGTCGGCGGAGGAGCTTGACGGAGACTTCACGGATGTTAAATTGGTATATGTCGAGGCTGGCCAAGGAGAGAAGGAAACATACGGGTACATCTCTAGGTGGGGATGTGGAATTTGAATTCGACATGTTGAATGCGGGGGATGACTGATTCTTGCGGCGTGGATTGTTTCTCAACCCCGCGAAGAGCTCTCCGGGACAGATGTTTAGATTGTTGTATACAAGTAATTGAACAGTTCAACTAGATATCTTGACCTGGAAGTTGTCGGTCGGTGTATACGCTCAACACGTGATTCCCGACCATCCCCAGCCCTGCCAAGCATGCCGCCTTCTCCATCCGGAAGGCGGTAAGAAGCCCCATTAGCGGCTCCCAATAATTTCTCCGCCAAGATTTCCGAACAACCCGTTCTCGAAATTTTGGTTTCGGAGCTTCGAGGTGGTTTGTTGCACTACCAGTCTTCCTTCTCAACTCGCACCCAGAGCGGCTTACGTTCTTTGAATCGCCGTCGCCTGAAAAGTCACGAAAGATGGCGAGGAGTAAATTAAAGTCCGCGCTGGACCAGTATCGGGGGAGGAACATTCGGCTCGAAAAGCAGCGGAAGAAGGAGAAGGAGGCGCGGAAGCGGAAAGAACAGCGGCAGGCTGCGAATCAGGATGGGGGGAATGAAGGCGCGCAGGTAGAGGAGCAGAAGAAGCAGGAGGAGGAGGGGGAGGAGGTTGCTGTGAAGGCGAATGGACAGACCAAGAACAAGGCACAGGCGAAGACGAACGGTGCGGCCAAAGACGCGGAAGCAGTGGGAGAGCCGGACTGGGAAACCGACGATAGTGAGGAGGAACTGGATAGCGAGGAGGAGCGCACGAAGGCGAATCTGGCGAAGCTGGAGGACAGCGATAGCGAAGGCAGCTCCGAGGATGACGCGGATGATGATGGCGAGGAACAGGAAGGCGCCGCAGAGGAAGAAGAGGAAGACATACCCCTATCCGACATCGAATCCCTCGCCTCGGCCGACAAAGAAGACGTCGTCCCCCACCAACGCCTCACCATCAACAACACGACCGCCCTCACCGCCGCTCTGAACCGCATCTCCCTCCCCTACTCCAAACTCGCCTTCTCAGAACACCAATCCATAACCTCTGACGAACCGACGGAAATCGCCGACGTCGACGACGACCTCAACCGCGAACTCGCCTTCTACAAGCAATCCCTCGCCGCCGTGAAAGATGCGCGGGCGAAGCTGAAGCAGGAAGGCGTCCCTTTCTCCCGCCCCGCAGACTACTTCGCCGAGATGGTCAAATCGGACGAGCACATGGGCAAGATCAAACAGAAGCTCATCGACGATGCGGCCGCGAAAAAGGCCGCCGCCGAGGCGCGACGCCAGCGCGACCTCAAGAAGTTCGGCAAGCAGGTACAAGTCGCGAAGTTGCAGGAGCGCGCCAAGGAGAAGAGGGAGACGCTGGAGAAGATCAATATCCTCAAGCGGAGTAAGTATTCGTATCCCTTCATCATCATCATCATCTTCTTCTTCTTCTTCGGCTTTGCAAGCCCCATCTATGACGGCGGTTTTGCTAACGTGCACGGCAACCCAGAACGACAAGGCGCGGACCCCACCAACGCAACCGAAGACGACGACCTCTTCGACGTCGAGCTCGACAACGCGGCGAAATCCGACCGCCGGCGCGATTCCTCCGGGAAACAGCCAAACTTCAAGCGCCAGAAGAAGGACGCAAAGTACGGCTTCGGCGGCAAGAAACGCCATGCGAAGAGCAACGATGCGTTTTCCACTTCGGACACGCGGGGGCCCAAGAGGGTCAAGACGAAGGCCAAGGCGCAAAGGCCGGGGAAGAGTAGGCGGGCGAAGAAGGTGTGAGTTGGGGAGGGAGAGTCGGAAATGAGGGTGTGAGCGTATGAGGATATGAGGGTAGCTGTTGCATCGGGGCGTTATGGCGTTAGAGACTCTGTACGTCTAGGTTTCGGGAAAAACATGTTGCGCTTCCGTTGCGAGTGGTCAAGGGGGACACCAATATATTCCTTCGAGCCTTCAGTCCGGCCTACTACAGGTATTCGTTTCTGGACATGTTCCGCTTGCACGTCGTGAGAGGACAGGTGTATAGTATCCCGGGTGTGGAACACACACATCGGTCTTGTCTAGTTAGATATGGCATGCTGAATCCTCTGCCTCTATTAACTTGGAGCAATATGCGCAGTGAGTTTTTATTCGTTCATGAACGCAAGATTTCAGGAGCGGATGGATGTGCAAGCCTCCCTTTTTCCTGAGTCAGCAAGTTGGAGAATTGGAACGACCGAGACTTTCGCAGGCGCAATGATAGAAAGATGCAGGAGGTGATATGTACGGTATCTATACGGTATATACCTCTCACTCTCTACCTTTTCTAATCCCTACGAAACACCTAGGCTATATATACGATCCGCAAACCAACCTATAGTCGGATATCTACCACGCGTCCCACGTCCTATGCACTTTCGTTCATATCCCGATATGCTTGCATCCACCATAGCTACCACGGACCTCCCCTGCACCCACATCCCTTCCTATGCAAGACCGCCGTATATACACGCAATACCTCAAAATACCTCATAAACAATACCCATTCTCATCCACGCCATGCACTCCCAAAACCGTGCAGCAAAAACCCTCCCAAGAGACGCATACGCTCTGCAAACCATACCGGTGACAACAAATCAATCCACACCCCTCCCACACCGTCCACAAACCAGCATCCTCACCTCCCTCTCCCTATCCACCATGCGGACCATGAACTCCTCACCCCCACAGTGCTGACACCGAATCTCCCCATCTCCTTCTCGCACTTCCACATCCTCCTCATCCCCATCCTCATCCTCCTCCTCCCCAGCCGGACCATCCCTCGCACTCCGAAAACTCATATCACTCTCATCAGAACTCACACTATCTCTTCTCCACCGCACCCCATCTCCCGCCCGATCCCCCTCACCAGACCGGGCGGACAAACCCGGTCCCCAATCCTCACTCTCCTTCACAGACCCACCCTCCCCAACCCCACCACCACCATCATCTTCCATCTGCACCAACGTCCTCTCAGCCGAAAACCTCGTCTCCGGACTCCCCTCTCCCATCCGCATCCCCATCCCAATCGGCCCCATCGTCGCCGCCCTCACGGGCCCCGCGCTCGTCGCCTCCGAAAACGAATTCCCCACCCCATTCCCAGCACCCAAACTAGACACACTGAGCCTACTCTTCCTCGGGCTCTTACTCCTCGCCATACTGCGCCTCGGGCTCGCAATGCCAGACTCCAAGCCGCCGCCGAGCCCATGCTGCTGCTGCTGCACAACCGAGAGATTCGACATCGACGCCGACGCCGAAGACGGCGCAACGATATCCTGCCGCCAACTCCGGATCCGATCCTCAGCCGGCTGCGTACTCGTGCTATCTCGCCTGGGCCTACCGACGATCCCGCTCTTGACGGACGGCGCCGCTCCCGTTCCCATCCTCCTCCCGGAGAGAATACTGCTCGGCCTGCCGACCCCACCACCACCACCGAACCGCGACCCCGTCCGTTTCGAAAACGCCGATCCGGCATCCCAATTCTCGTCCCGGCTGTGCACAATCAGCCGCGTGCGTTTCGCGTAAGCGCAGTCCTGCCGGAACACCTTGATGGCGCCCGTGAAGTCGGCCGTCACGAGGATGTGGCCGTCCTTGTGGACCGAGCGGGCCTGATATGCTGGCGTCGTCTCCGCCGTCTTCCTGTTGATGAAGGTGGAATCCACCGTCGGCGTAGGCAATGCGGATCCCGCCTCCGTCGGAGCCCTCGAGGACCCGGCCAGGCTCTCCGCCCTACTCACCAGCGTCACCGGCGGCGGGTTGCACAGGTCGTAAATCGGATCCTCGCTTCCGCCCAGCACCTGCCTCGTCTTCAACGGCGCAATAACCGCACACGTGGTGATACTCCCATGCGGCTCGAACATCTCGACGGGTCTTTCGTGCCGTTTCTCCGCGCCGCCCTCCATCCCCGTCGTCGGCGACCAAATGTACGCTCTGCGGTCTTCGGACCCGCAGATGATGTGTCCCGTGTCGGCAGCGAAGCTCGCACGTATCTGACTGCAGTTGTTTTCGTGGCCGCGAAACTTCATCTCCAGATTCTTGTCGCGCAGGTTGTACAGCCGGATGCGCGAATCGTTGCTCGTGATGAGAAGTTTGACATCTCCCGGCTCGGAGCCGGAGCCGCGGGGCCAGTGGAAAGCTTGGATTCCCGTGATCTTGCTTCCCTTTGCGTTTTGGCCGCGCGTGGATTTGACGTGCATCTGCGTTTGGTACTTGAGCCCTTCCGTGTCGTAGAAGAGGCAGAGGCCGCTTAGGGTGCCCGCTATGCAGGTCTTTCCGTCCGGGGTGAAGGATACGGCCGTGACCATGTCAGAGGTCTGTTTCCAAAAGGCGACGCTTTTGTCGGGAATGCTCCAGAGGCGCAGCTTTGTGTCGAGAGAGCCGGCGAGGAAGAAGCGGTCGTCTCTGGGGTGGAATCGGATGGAGGGAACGACATCGGTGTGTTTGAAGGTGCAAAGGTTCTCACTGCGGCTGATATGCCAGAGCCGGACAGTCTTGTCCATTGAGGAGGAGAGCAGGAAGTTGTTCTGCAACCAAGTCAGACATAATAAGCGAAAGTAAATCTGCTGCCCATACCTTACTCCAACTCAAATCCAAAATCGTCGCCGTATGTCCATGATACTCCCTCACCGGCTCCTGTCGGAACACTGGCGCACTCAACCGCATCCCCTCCTTTTCTTCCCCTATAGAACCCTCACTCTCCCCGTTTCCCACCGCACTCCTTTCCTCTGGGGTCGAAATCACCGCCCAAACTCGCACAACCCTGTCCTGCCCTCCAGCAGCCAAATACTTCCCATCCTTGCTGAACTCGATCGCCCAAACCGGGTTCTGCGTAGCAGCAGACCCCGACTGCGGTGCCGGATTCGCCCCAGCTACAGGCGGCGCGTTCCTATCGGCCGCGCAGCGCAACTCCTGAGCCAGAAACAACCTATCGAACTCCTTCTCTTTCTTGAATTTCGTCCTCGTTTTAACATATGGCGGGGGCTGCGGGTACCGCGGATTGAAACCGATGTTGTCGACCTTTTCCATGCCTTCCGTTCGCACACCCGATCGTGAGTCTCCCGCTTCGGAGCCATCGTCCAGCGTCGTGCCGTCGAGGGCAGCAGCTCCCTTCTTCTTGTTGCCGCCTATCAACCGACCGAAGAAGGAGACGCCTTTCCTACTACTGCTAATGGATGAGGGTCAGCCTCGGTTGCAGAAGATGACGTGGGAAAATGATGGCTGTGTTCAGCTTTTCCTCTCGAGCCAACCACAGCAAGGGCAACGGATTTTCCGGTCAAGGCTCATTATGCGAAGGGCGATTACTTCCTCGGGGGCTGGGCCTCGTTGATCATGCATGATGGCCGCACCTACAATGCTTGAAAACGACGTGGCTCACCTCTTGTCCTTCGCATTCACATTCCCGGCCGCGTTCCCCGTCCCTCCACCCCCAACCTCTTTCGCTGTATCCACCGCTCCCTTCCCATCCAGCGCATCGCTACCGGGAGTCGTCGGCGACTGCAACGCCGTGCTGTCAACCTGCGTCCTCAGCTTGTGTACCGATATCGCTGCTGTATTCGTGCGATTCAAGATGTGCTGCGACAACGGATCAATCGCCGGATTGGACTCTCCCCTCTCATCCGCATAGCCCCCGTTCCCACTCCCATTCTGCGGCGCAGCTACTGCGGTCTCGGTATTCGCGTTCACATTCGCATTCGCGTTCGCGGACGTCGACGAAGTGGTGCGCAGTTTAACTGGCGTCGGGGGCTTCGACAGGAGGAGCCGTTCGCGTTTCCCGATGACGGTTGAGGAGCCTGTGATGCGTGATCAGCGATTATTTATCTCATCCATTGGTCTCGGCGTGGATTGAGTTGAAGGGGAAACGCATACCCTCGGAGCGCGCAGCAAGTTTGCCAGTGTCTTGTCGCTCAAAAGGGTTGCCATCTCTGATGCGCGCGTCGGCTATTCGGACATTCGGTAGGATCTGTGCCATCGGTGAGGCTTTTGCGGCGTATTAGGGGCGGTTCGGATGGGCCATTCGTGTGAAGGGGCGCGCTGGAGCTGCGTAGCTGTGGGTCGGATGAAGACCTGCGATGCAACGCGATAGAAGGCACAGTAGAAAGCCCGGAAAGACTGGAAATGGCGATTGTCTCGATTCCACACCAATGGACTCGTTGTCCGTCCTCAGGATCTGACAAATGCCTCTTATCTGCCCGTGTTATCTCCTACCAGTTGACCAACACAGAATTAACAAGAGGAACGACGGAAGCTGCCAAAAGGGATAAGATGGACACCTTTGCGTAAAAGGCATCTGTGTGCCGGTACGGAGTGATCATGCGAAACACAACGTCGGTGCCCCGTTTCACAGAACGACGCGCTTTCTTTTGCTGGGGAAACCCGATGCGAGATGATGACGCAGCATGCTGGAAATTGCGCTTGACTTGCCCCCCTGCACATCTGAGCCTTGGCGGGAGTGATGGATGAGTGAGAATGCATTCAGCCTTCTGTCCAAGTGCTGTATACAGATGAAGATGATAATGACCTCTCCTCATGCCCGTTTCTTCTGCTGCTTGACTTACACGTCAGGGCGCTCTTCAAAGTGCTGTAACTCATCCCATTCGTGAACTACCCTGACAAGCCATGTCTCCCATCCCCAGACCCTGCCTCCATCGTCTACCAACCTCCCTCCTCCGACCCCGAACCCATTTGCTCATCCAACCCGATTTCCCTCAACGACGCCGTCTAAACGCCAATATCTTTAACAGAGTAGTGATGATGAACAAAGCAACGCGTACCGCGCCGTGTTGTACAGTTACGCGGTGCATGCTCGTCTCGCGCACGGAGCGGGGAGAAATGCGAAAGAACCGCAAAACAGAAGAGTGGTATCCAGTACCAAACGCCAGTACCCACAAGGATCCAAAATGCAGCTAGATGAAAACAAGAAACCAAGAAACAATCAGGGAAAGCAATCGTCTAGAAATCCTCATCAAACGAGAAATCCCCATTGGTATTCTTCCTCGTTTCCTCGGCCGGCGACGACGACCCCTCCTTCTGCTGCTCAAACTTCTTGGTGCTGGCCATGACGCCCGCCTTCTGGTAGTCGCCGACGCGCTTCTCGAAAAAGTTCGTCTTGCCCGCCAGCGAGATGTTCTCCATGAAGTCGAACGGGTTGGTGGCGTGGTACACCTTGCTGTTGCCGAGCGCCAGCAGCAGGCGGTCGGCCACGAACTCAATGTACTGGCACATGAGCGTCGCGTTCATGCCGAGCAGCGCGCACGGCAGAGCCTCGGTCAGGAACTCCTGCTCAATGGTAACGGCCTCGGTGATGATGGCGCGCACGGCCTCGTTGCTGGGACGCGTCTTGAGGAGGGAGAAGAGTAGGCAGGCGAAGTCGGTGTGCATGCCCTCGTCACGGGAGATGAGCTCGTTGGAGAAGGTCAGGCCGGGCATGAGACCCCGCTTCTTCAGCCAGAAGATGGATGCAAACGAGCCGCTGAAGAAGATGCCCTCCACTGCGGCGAACGCGACGAGGCGGCTGGCGAAGGTGGAGTTCTTGTCCGAGATCCAGCGGAGGGCCCAGTCGGCCTTCTTGCGGATGCAGGGAACTGTGACACGTTTAGACGCGCGCAGTGGCAAGCACAACGTATCAACTTACTGTTGTCAATGGCGTTGAAAAGATACTGGCGCTGCTTGGGCTCGCTAATGTACGTGTCGATGAGCAAAGAGTAGGTCTCGGAGTGAATGTTCTCCATCATAATCTGGAAGCCGTAGAAACAGCGTGCCTCTGGTATTTGTACCTCGCCGCTGAAGCGCTCCACCAGGTTCTCATTGACGATACCGTCGGAAGCGGCGAAGAAGGCAAGGACGTGTGAAATGAAGAAGCGCTCGTCGTCGTTGAGGCGCTTGTTCCAGTCGTGCAGGTCTTTGGAGAGATCGATCTCCTCGGCGGTCCAGAAGGAAGCTTCGGCCTTCTTGTACATCTGCCAGATCTGTGGAGCTGTGTTAGCATGATGCGTTACTGTTTACGCGTAGGTGAACACGGGACGCGTCGACGTACATCATGGTACTTGATGGGGAAAAGGACGAAACGCTGAGGGTTCTCTTGCAATAGAGGCTCGTGGGCCTCCTCGGGCTTGATTGTGGGTGCCGTGACAGGCTTCGAAGGCTTCTCCTCCTTGATGTCGTCGAGATCGGGAATGCCGACGATGGGCTTGTAAACGTTCTCCTTGTCTTCGGGCTTGAAGCTCAGCTTCTTTGCTGGAGAGTCGGACATCTTGAGAGTCTCAATGGCAGAAGCAGCCTGTGGATTCGTTAGTATGAACGTGTATATACGGCCTTCGAGATGCTGGAATCGTGGCAACGGACCTTCTTGGAGGGTGTTAACTGAATGGCAGACATTGTGAAGAAGTGATGGTAAAATCCAGAAGGCGAGGATGTTCAGTGACTCGCGGGGATCTGGAAGTGCAGCAAGAATGGTGCGGTTTGGACGTGGTGTTTTGCTTGTTGGTGAATGAGCGGAGGGACGGATGGACGCGTCGTGCTTTAAATTCGCGCCATCGCGTGTCACGTGAGTGGCTTGACCCGCGCGGCAACGCTAAAACCGTCGGGGCCTATGACGACGTCGAGAGGATTTCAAGTCGCGTCGCTGCATCGCACTCTTCTCACTCTCTTTGTTCGCATCTTTTCGTTCACTTTCACCGCGTTCCATGAAATCATAGCCCACCCTCTCTCTGATACCCATATTGCCACATATTTCTTTGTCCACATCCCCCAAAGTCAACGGTATCGCGAAACCCCAGCCTCCTAAAACAGTCCGTGCAGGACAAAACGCGTTGAGAGCCGGATACGCGCTGATTCGGCGGAGACCCACCGCACACTGCTGATTATTCAGATTTGGGACCAGGGACGGAACTTCGGAGTGGAAGTCAGCCGTGGATTTCGAAAGCAGACTGGAGCAGTGGAGCTGCGATGAATACCCCTCGTCCAATGGCGACGCGTTGAGGGGCGGGTTAAGCTGGCATGCGCCACTTTCACAGGGGAGATGATCTGATAAGATCCTACTCGGAGCATGACTGCCCAACCTACCCCCTTCGGCTTTGTCATGAAGTCGGTAGTGTGGGGAAGCATCCATGGATGGGAAGTGGTTTTTGATCCAGTTTCAATTCAGACATAACTCATTTCCTCCCAAGCATGCATGCTCGAAGGTTGCTCAAATGCTCCTAACGTGGTGTAAGACACATTCCATATCCGTAGGCGCGTCCGAGAGAGACCAAACGCCTATCCTACGCCTGTCCTATGCACCTCCAGCCATGCACCGGATCCCCTTCCTGTATTCCATGCACATAACCTCCCCTCCGCGGTCGCATACCTAGGTAACCTAAAGCATCGCCTTCCAGCTCGGCGCCGCTACAAACTTGCCCCTGAGATCCGCAAACGACAGCCCATCCCCTCCCTCGTTAGGATCCTCGCGCAGCCGCACAGGCACGTTCTCCATGTCGAGGACCTCCTGCACGAATCCCGCCACATTGCCTGGGATCAGGTCAAACGTTTCGCTGCCCCAAATCAACGTGGTACGGCCAGACTCATGGACACGCAGCTTCCCCACCGCGCCGTTCGTGACCCGGTTCCTGATATTGCGCTCTCGGATAGCAGCTTGTGCCGCCTTGATGGACCTTGTCGCGGCGGCCATGGCCGACGGCATGGGCGTGGGTTTCTGTTCGGGCTCTTGTTTGATTTGGAGGGTTTGAACGTCCAGCATCGTGGGCAGGATGGGCGGGAGCTGGAAGAGATAGGAGCTCTCATCACGTTCTGCCTCGTCCAACTCGCCCAGCTCATTGCGAACATCCTCCCGGAACGCGACGAAGCGTGCATGCTCCGCCTTCTCTTCCTCCGTTTGCAGGACAGGCTCTTTCCCTTTCTTTCCCTTGACCCTTGCTCTCTTTGGTGCGCCTGTTTTCTCGTTGTCCTCCACCTTTTGCGTTTCTCCACCGGGTAAGGGTACAGAAGGCGGCGCTACGTCCGAGTTCCCTATCGGTTTCGCGTCGGCCATCTCCTCGTCCTCGCTCACAGGCTCTGCTTTGACGCGCACGCCTTCTTCGTCCTCGTCCTGCCACATGCCCTTGAACGGCCTTCGCTCGCCTGTGATCTCGACATCTTTCGATTTCCCCTTGCCTTTCCGTGGCGCAATGTCGGCCACATCCGCCTTGATCTCCCCTCCCGTCGCTTCTGCATGTTCTAGAATTTTAGCTGCGGCCTCAGAACTAGCTTCCGTATTGATGCCCACTACGCGCTCTACGTGTTCTTTCCTGCCGATACGCACAGGAAGTAGCGCTGACCCACCTAAGCTTCGCGAAGCCCTTTCTTTTGACCCCATGGCATCGTCCTCGTCGGAGGAGATCTCGATAGTGTCGATGTCCTTCCTAGGGATATCATTGCCGTCTTCCTCTCCGGATGAGATCGTCCCACCATCCTCCCTCTTGATCGCCGTACTCCTCGTGCCGCCCTCGTCGTCATCCTCGTGCTTAATTCGTGTCGCGCGGGACCCGAAGCTGGTGATCCGACTCGTAGATCTTCGGTCTGCAAAAGAGTAAGCCAATCCATTCCCTATAACATGCTCTTGTACCAACCTCGAGCAACACTCCCCAGCGAAAATGGACCCGCAACCGCAGCAGCCTGCAACCCCTTCACATCTCCAGGCTCCCTCTTCTTGAACGGCCTCTCCTTCTGCTTCGCCCTCTCTTCGGCCCTCAACTCCGCCTGCCTCTCCTTCTCCCGCTGATTCAACGACTTCTGCAACTGCTCCCGCTCCGCCTTGCTGCGGCGACCCACATTCACGGGCTTCACGGTCGGTGGCTTCTTCGCCTTCGCGGCAGCGCCGCCGCGGCGCTGTGTGGAGCCGCCTGCTTCGGTCGTTCGCAGGCTTTCGAGGCGCTGTGCGGGGCGACGCGTCGGGGCTGCAGCTTCTGTCGTCTGCCCTTCACCTCCGTCGCCTCCGTCGCCTCCGTCGATCTCCATTTTGATCTCGGGAGCGCTTTCTTCAACTGGCGGTGCTGCTGTTGCGCCGTCTGCACCGGCAGTACGTGGAGGCCGACCCACGCCCGCCCTTCGTCCTCGAGAGGTTGGCTGCATTATTGCTTGTCTTGCTGAGTGAGTAAAGGACCGTGGGGTTCAAGCAGTGGAAGTAATTGACCCAAACTTTCTTATCGATAACGGCAGATCTTCGGTTATTGCTTCCGTCACATGGGAACATACTCTGTACGGAGTGTAGAGACCTGTTACACATCCCCTCTTCCACTAACGCGACAGTCAGATGCTAAAATTGTCACCGGAAGCGCAAAAGGGTTGCCCAACAGTGCGACATTTATTCATTGCGTTGCGATAAGACAGCCTAGTACCAAGGTATCCTGCCACCCCCGCATCAGACCCCAAACCAAAGTCGCATCATTACGTGGCTCCAGGGAACATGAAAGGTGGTATTACCGCTGTGAAACATATCCTGCTCCAATCCATGCTCGCTAGAAATGATGGGAATATGGCAAAGACCACGAGAAACGCCACCAAACTGAATGAAAAGGTCATGCCCCGGCTTGAAACATCGGAAAGTCGGTGAGAAAACCATTAACAAAACAGCGAGCGAATGGAAGAAGTGAATTTCATGGGTATAAGAAGAGACCATTCCAAAAGGTTCAACCCTCGACCAGCGTTTTCGGGTTCTTTCCCAGAATCTCCAGGCATCGTCGTGCTAGACTCACGACCTCGCCCTCGCCGTCCTCGTTGTCTTCCTCATCTGATTCAATATTGCGTTCTGCGATGTCCGTGACCATACGGACTATCTCGTCCGACTTTGCAATGAGATCGAGTAATCGTGCATCTTCGGATTCCAGGAGCTGCAGTAGTGTCCATATGGCGATGTGCTGGAAGGTAGGATCACCGCTGGCAAGGAACCGGCGCAGGTAGCCGTGGATGCCTCCTGACGGTTGAGTCCAGTTTTGAATGAAGATGGTGTAGTCACCCACTGCAACAGGGTCAGTCAAGATGAGACCGCGACATGTCCGTATGGCTCACCTTTGGATGAGAGATTTCCGAGAGCTGCGGCACTGTTCCCTTGAACTTCGATGCTCTCTGATTCAGTCAGGGGAATCAACACGTCAAACACTCCAAGATTCAGCAAAGCAGGTTTGAGTTCGTCGCTCAACGCAAGTACGGCAATGGCCGCAGTCATCTCCGACTGCACAGGCAATCGCACCTTGAGGACCAATTCTTTGCACTTCTGTACTGCACCCGCGTCAAGCACAAGTTGCTTGTTCTTATCGGAACTCGCAGCTAGGTTACGGAGGGTCGATATAGCATGACACTGGATTTCATCGTTTTCAGTGGAGCCAAGAAGATTCACCAAAGGCTTCAAGAACCCCGCTTCAATGATGGGCGACTCGTTTGCTGGGTGGATGGAGATGTTGCGAATACAGGCGACGGCGGAGAGAATAAGGGGGAGGTAGGAGGATTGGAGGAGTCGAAGGAGATATGGCAGTCCTCGGGCGCGCACGATGTCGAGTTGGTAGCGCTCATCCGAGGCGAGGTTGCGGAGCGCCAGGGCGGCCTGACACTGCACCTTGGGCGACGACGACTCCATCAGGTGGACTAGCGAATGCACCAGCCTCGGCTCCGTCTGTGCTAGTTTGGCACGGTTGCTTGCATCGACGGCGATGTTGCTAAGAGCCGTGGTGCAGTAATACTGCACATCGACATCCTGAGAACCCAGCAGTTGCACGAGCACAGGAATAGCGCCGGCATTTACCAGCTGCTGGCGGTTGTCATCTGCACAGTCTGTCAGTATGCCTGGAGCCTGTGTAACGAAAGATTCCGCTGTTGGGCGTACCAGAATGTGTCATATTGAGGAGCGCACCGGTAGCGTTCCTCTGCACCCGCATGTCCTTTGATTTCGCCAACCGTGTCAATGGTAATAAGGCGCCGGACCTAGCGATTTTTGCTTTGTTGTCCTCGTGCGTTGCGAGGTTAGTGATGCATCCCACGGCATTGCATTGGACCTCGACGTTGGGGGAATTCATCTGCTTGATCAAGGGCGCCAGACCGCCGAGTTCGACAATGGCAACCTTGTTCTCCGCTGTAGGACCGTCAGTACTGTCCCGCCTCGATGTGACACATACGTACTGTTTACGGCCAGATTGCCCAAAGCGGCGCTGGCGGCCCGTTGTACTTCGATATCGGGATTCTGAAGCAGGAACAGAATGGGCTCCAAAGTATCTCTGTCTACTGCTCTGACATCTGTATGAGATGATTAGAGATGTCCTCGTACACTCAGGAAAAGTGCGTGTACCTCTTTCGGTGATTTCGGCGAAGGTCAGACTTGCAGATCGCTGCAGGTCGATGTTGTCGGAGTATACGAGGGTGCTTAACGCGCGGAGGGGCTCGCCGGAAAAGAAGTCTGTTTCGGCACGCTATAGGGACTGCGTTAGAAGATATCTCTGGCCATCGATGTAGACCGCAAGACGTACATTTTCCAGGAAGCCCAAGAGGTCGGCAACAGCCTCCCGCTCGCTATCAGCGAGCACCGGGTCATAGATACTATCTTTTGAGCGGCCTGGGAGTCGCCATGTCAGCAGAGAACTTGTAGAGCAGTATTCGAATCGTCCGAAGGCTTACCTCCGCAGCAGGACGCGAAGAGCTTTGAGCAAAAGTCGGAGAGCCCCATGGCGGCAGCCGTCAGGGCCTAGGGCGGCCGTCCGACGCAGAGCGGAGAGGGGCAGCTGGGGAGGAGCAGGACCACCGGGGGTTGCGGGCGTAGAAAGGAGGCGAAGAGGATCTCCCGGAGCGCGTGGGTAGCGATGCGTCGAAGGGGTGAAAGCGATACTGCGAGGCCGTGGAGTTCGTTGATGGATGGGATGGGGTCAACACATGGAACACATCAACTGGGAAACCGAGACAAGACAAGGGCCCGAGCTCGCTCAGCTCCCGTTTGGGACTAGCGGCAGCGGCATGCCCAGGTGCAGCTGGATAACGACTGCAGGTGCTGTTCGACTTTTGGTGGAATGTCAGTCGCGGATAGCGCTGCGGCAGTGTGCGCTGGTCTCAACAGAAGGGAAGACACTAATAAGCGGCGAGGCGGGAGCATGGTGAGCGTTTGTATGGATACTGGTCCTCTGCAGTGGTGAGAAGTGTGGTTACAGCTCCGAGAAGGGGTTGTGCCCAGGCGGGAATGTCTACCGACGTCATGCGCCGCACGTCTCCCGCTCAATCCCGGAGCTATATGTAAGCTCCTACTAACTATATTCTACCTCTCCGCACTAGAAACTCTTGCTATTGTACACGGCATACTGGACTGTGGACGTAGAGAGTATTGGTGCAGTGAACTGGGCTGTGTGCTTCAAGGTCGTGGCTTCACTCTAAGCCCCGAATATTCAAGGCTTGTGAGTGAGCGGCCTACACTGTGTTACAAGTATACTACAACTCTCGAGTATTGCTGGGCCTGATCCTCGACAGCACGAGTGCCTCCAAACGAACATACACAATCTATCGGACAGTGTCTCTGAACATATGCCGGGCTGATGAAGTGAACAGTTTCCATAGCTTCGTTACTGTTTATTTGTACCGTCTCGCTGCGGTCCAAGGGCTTATCAAGAATGCTTCTCCTCTTGGAAGATATGGTCACGCTCCCGGGTTGCACAGTATGAAGTTACTTACTGGACAGCCTTGGTTAGGTGAAACAAGTGAAGGGAAATACGGCGTACAAACAACGGTGCGGCTTGGCGTGGAGGGGATTCATCACTCTACGGCTGGTGATTGGCTCAATACCTAGGTAGCTTCCCTCTTCCATTCACGTGCTCCGAGAATGACCCGGAAACGGCCACCAAACGACTCCGCGCCGTCCCGACGACTTGACGTGGGGGGAGGGGGGTTTCGTGCCTCGAACAAGAAGAGCTCCTCCACCACCAAATAACTTGCGCCATGCCCGCCTGCTCCTCCACCACACCACCGCGCACTTCGCCGTCCCCTCAGATCCAGTCGCAACCTCCCTCGGCGCTGCCCCGACTCTTGCCTCCTGCCGCTGTCGCTCCGGCGTGGGCTGCATCCCGCAGCTGCTCGCGCCTCTGCGGCTCGGCGCGCCCGCTGTGAATTCTTATTACTCTTCTGCATTATCCTCGCCCACCCCACGGTCGCCCGACTATATTATACCCATCCCCTCCACCAGCTCCCCAAGACTTCTACACTACTTCGCACCTCGCACACCCTCTATCCACAGCCTCTATGGCCCCGACTTCGACTGAACACCAGTTCCAGAAACTCAAGCTCGATACCGCCGCTCCCCACAAGCCCGTCACTTCCTCCTTCGCCTCCATCTCGCGCGAGGATGTTCACCGGCCTACCTCGTTGAACGGTGCCCACCATCGCCCTGATCTAGCAGAGGCGCAATTCTACCTAGACGACACTCCCCCTCGCCATACTGAAGATCGCCGCTCGTATGACGTCGATTCCGCTATCGGCGACGAACTCGGACAAGATGTGCAGGGAAGGTGTAGGGAGCGCCGGACGTCCATAAGTTTCAACGACACCGTCACGCTTGACAACGGCGATCGTCTGTCCCTCGAGGAACCGCTACCCAAATCCACGACAGCGACATCGTTCGGTTCCGAGGACTCGGAATGGGACGAGTCCTCAGATCGAGGCTACGTAGGCATCCCTCTGCACCGAAACACACGCCGCCGACTTGCTGCCCAGGCCGCTTGTGCTCCGCTGCAGACCAGAGATGATGCCGGCGCTCAGGACCAGGACCAGGTGGCCTCGTTGACATCGGGGGAAACGGCCTCTCCCGTGGACGAGGTTCGAACACCTCCCGAGACACCGAGCTTGTTCGGCCGTTCCCCTGCCGGCGTCACCTCTCCGGTCGATTTCTTTCCACGGCGGACCGCGCCGCGCCGTACAATGAGCTCGAGGTCTGTAATCTCGCCAGAGGAGTCGAATGGCACCCCGAGACACAGCCGCAGATCATCTACCCGATCCGGCCGTTCACTCTCGTCCATGTCACCTGCGGCTTCTTTCCTCTCCCTATGGAAGACTGCCGAGCGACCGCTAAAGCCACCGGAGCCCGACGATGAGGGCCAAGGCATCGGTTACGACGGCGAATACATTATCGGCAGGAAAATCGGTTCCGGGGGCTTCAGTGTGGTCAAGGAAGTTACCACGATCGAGAATGGAGAACGGGTGGTGCACGCGGTCAAGATTGTGCGCAAGCAGCTTCCGGAGAAATCGGAGCTCGAAAACGATCAGATCCAGTCCCAATTCGACCACGAATTGGAAATCTGGAGATACCTACGGCACCCATACATCTTGCCTTTGCTGAGGGTGTATAACTCCGACTTCGCTACCTTCTGCATTACCAGGCTCAACAAAGGGGGCACGTTGTTTGACCTTGTTCGGGACGCGCATCGTAAGAAGAAGAAAGGACTTGATGGACACTTGGCCAAGCGCTATGCGTATCAGCTGGCTTCTGCCATACGGTACCTGCACAACGATGTCATGGTAGTGCATCGCGACATCAAGCTCGAGAACTGCCTGCTCGACATGACCAAGCCAAGGGCGGAGCAAGATGGAGGTGATGTCTTGTTGTGTGACTTTGGCATGGCCGACTTCATCGTCAGCGATCACCGAGACGGGCAGCCGGAGCCGCATTTGAGTGGCGAAAACCCAAACATAGGACCCGCTGACACGAGCACTTCGGTCCAAGGTAGTCTCCAGTACGCCGCACCCGAACTGTTCAACGCACCTACGCCTGTCTTCTCACCCGCGGCGGACATATGGGCATTTGGCGTCGTCGTCTACACGCTGCTCACAGCCAATCTGCCCTTCAAAGGACCACTGGATCCCATCACTTGTTTGAATATACAAAAGGGGGAATGGGACGCCGAGGCGGTGCGCAACTCGGATGCTGTACGGGATGGAGGCGCCGAAGAAGCGCTCGAGCTGCTCAGAGGATGCCTACATATGGACCCTGAGAAGCGTTGGACCATCAACGATGTTCTCTCCTGCGCATGGTTGAATGGCTGCGCGGAGCGGTACGAAGATGTGAATTGTCCTTGGATGTGTATCTCTTGAAGGCGTTCTTTTTTGCTTTTCTTTTTGTCTTTTTTTTCGTCGCGCAAACGGTGTGGATTGATATGGATCTGTTTGGCGTTTGCTTTTCCGGGGTGTCTTTCCAAGGTTGTCTTTGTTCGATACCCCTTCTCCTTTGGCAGGTCTCTCTCCTCCTTCGTTATGTCCTTTCGGTCTTGGCTATGCATGTTTTCCAACCCGTTTGTTCTGTCTGTTGATACCCGTTGATTTCGTCTTCCACCTTTCCGGTCTCTGAAAGCCACGCTGGATATGAAACTGTTCAGGTCGGCGTAATGGAATCAGCGATCCATCTGTCTATGCGTATTGCTCTTTGAGATTGCTCTTTGGGGTTGCTCTTTGGGTTCGCTTTTTGCGATTGCTCTTCGGAATTACTCTTTGCGATTGCTCTTTTGAACTGACAGTTCCTAGAATGAAACTGCATACAAGGTGTTTTGGGAACTGGCAGGTTGTAGAATTGGATTTTGGGAGTCAATGTTCAAATAGCATTTTCTTCATACGTATTACTGTTAAAAAGTCTTTTGCTACTTGCTTTGCACAACGCTGCTGCGCCTAGTGCTGCTATTGATTGATTTAGTGGGGACTGCGAGGTGGTGGGATACGATGATAAGTGAATGTAGCTACCTCGTTCGCCATGTTGATGAACCGTTGCATATGCACTTCTAACCCTCTCGCTATTATGAAATGCCTCCTCAGGTCGTGTCGGTTCGTGCAGGCAAATGATGGAGTCAGAGGCATTGTCCTTGCTGGATGAATGTCCAGCTTGTCAGAAGTGTACCCTTATACCGGTTCACTCGCATGCGAGTGTTTCTTCTGCTCGAGATTCATGCAGTGGACACATCCTCGGTTCAATAGGATTGCTGCATGTCGACGGCCATGAGTATGGTTGGAAAGGAGCTGCGCATTCATCACCTCCCCGATTACGAGAAAGTGTTCATAATGAGACTACCAGAGCCGCCTTTACTCTGGCCCGTTTTTCTGTTTTATTACTCCTGTCTACGCTAGAATTCTTTTCGAGTAAGAGCGTCCCCTGAGATGCCTCTCGGGCCTTGCATAAAAAATGGAAAGGAGGATAACTAATGACGTTACGAAACGGCATAACTGTGTTCTCCAGTCTTCCTTATTCCGTGACGTCTAGCCATCGTTCCGAAGTCTTCGGAACCTTCGGAACTGGACCCACCCAAGCCTAATTGGGACAGGAAAGCCTCGGTCCCCCACATGTTCCTCCCGACGCCCACCACCACCCTTGGGCAGTAATGCCTTGAATATCCGCGCCCGCCACGAACTTTGTTTCCCAGCTCTGCGCTGCCAATGCTTTGGGCAGAACTACCTCAAGATTGTTGATTTGAAAATCTTGGGACGGCAATTGTCCGACCAACGCGTAATCATACCCCCCAAGTCTCAATCCCGGCCACAAAACAAGGCAGAGAGACAGAAGGAAGGAGAAGAACAATGGCAGTCTCTTCAGAATCGAACGGCTACTTCGATAACGCCGACACAAATGGTGAGTCTGCATCCACTGTTCCCCCGGGTCCGAAACTGCTCTGGAGACACCCAAACCCGACTTCGACGCCAATGTACAAGTTCCTCGACTCTGTGAACCGCAAGTATGGATTGGAGATGAGTAATTACCATGATTTGCACCGGTGGAGCACTGGACATATCGCACAGTTCTGGGACAGGGTTTGGGAGTTCGTCGGGATCAGAGCCCAGGGGCAGGCTTACAAGGTATGAATTGGTATGTGTCGGGAGTCACGAAACTTGGGAACTGACGAACTTCATCGGACTAGGTAGTCGACGAGTCAGCGCCTATGTTTCCCCGACCTTCTTTCTTCGAGGGCGCGCGCCTCAATTTCGCGGAGAACTTGCTCTTCCCCACACAAGAAGTTGATCCCGAAAGCCCTGCCATAATAGCTGCAACGGAGACGACGCGAGAGACGATTACGTGGACCGAGCTGAGAGAACGAGTGAGGCAATGCCAGGCTGGTATGCTGGCTACGGGATTGAAAGAGGGGGATCGCGTTGCTGGGTATGTTGCAAACCATACGAATGCCATTGTGGCGATGCTGGCGGCCACTTCTCTGGGTGGCATATGGACTGCCGTGAGCCCTGATACCGGTGTGCGCGCGGTGCTGGAAAGATTGCGACAAATTGAACCGGTGCTGCTGTTTGCGGATAATGCATCATTCTACAAGGGCCGCAGCCATCCTGTCATACCGAAAGTTGTCGAGATAGCTGCGCAGCTGCCCACATTACGCGCTGTTGTCGTTTTTCCCACAGTGTCTTCGGTCGACGCTGATATATCCTCCATTAAGGTGGCCGCTGGCACGGCATACGATTTTGCGACATTCACAGGCCTTCAGCCGGCGTCGACGCTGACCTTCAGATACTTCCAGCCGGATCATCCTGTGTATATTCTCTACTCTTCAGGCACGACGGGAGCTCCAAAATGCATTGTCCATGGTGCCATCGGCACTCTGCTCCAGCATAAGAAGGAACATATCCTGCACTGCTCGATAACACCGCAGTCTCGTCTCTTCTACTTCACGACATGTACGTGGATGATGTGGCACTGGCTGGTGTCAGGCCTAGCAGCTGGTGCTACGCTCGTCCTTTACGATGGCTCGCCATTCCATTACAAATACCCTTCAGACCCTACTACCTCCGTCCCCGATGACCTGGCCATGCACCGTCTTATCGACGAAGTCGGCATCACTCACTTCGGTACAAGCGCAAAGTACCTCTCAATCCTGGAGCAAAAGTCCGTATCCCCAAGAGCAGCAGGCCTGTCTCTCAGCACCTTAGAAGCCATCTACTCGACCGGCTCGCCCCTCGCGCCATCCACTTTCTCCTACGTGTATTCCTCCTTTCCCTCCTCCATCAACCTCGGCAGCATAACTGGCGGCACGGACATCATCTCGCTCTTCGGCGCACCAAACCCCCTCCTCCCCGTCTTCGAAGGCGAAATCCAAGGCCCCGGTCTGGGAATGGCGATTCGCGCCTTCGACTACACGGGGCAGGACATCACGGAGACGGGCGAGCCCGGCGACCTGGTCTGCGTGAAGCCCTTCATATGCCAGCCCGTAGGCTTCTGGGGTAAAGACGGCGACGACAAGTATCGCAAGAGCTACTTCGATCGATTCCAGGACGCAAAAGGCGAACCCGTATGGCACCATGGCGACTTTGTCCGTTTCAACCCCCTAACCAGCGGGCTGTGGATGCTGGGCCGTAGCGATGGTGTCTTGAAGCCAGCCGGTGTGCGGTTCGGCTCCGCGGAGATATACAACGTCCTCCTGGAACATTTCGCCGAAGAGGTCGCGGATGCGCTGTGTATTGGACGGAGGAGGGAAGAGGATGTGGACGAGACGGTTGTTTTGTTCTTGAAGATGGCGGAGGGGAAGACGTTTGAGCGGGGACTCGTCGAGAGGATAAAGACGGTTGTGAGGACGGCGTTGAGCGCGAGGCATGTGCCCGCAGTCGTGGACGAATGTCCGGAGATTCCGGTCACGACGAATGGGAAGAAGTGAGTTGTGTCGCTGCTGCTTTGGTGATTGTGCATGACTGATTTTTGGGGACAGGGTCGAGCTGGCTGTTAAGCAGATTCTTTGCGGGCTTAATGTGAAGACGAGTGCCAGTGTGGCTAATGCCGAGTGTTTGGATTGGTATAGGGAGTGGGCGAGGGCGAATTGATTATCCTTGGGGTATATGCTAGAGGAGGATGCTTGACGATGAAGGTCAGCCTTTGCCGGTTGTTTTAGTAACGAGCAGATTCGGGAATGTGGGCTGTCCGTGGTAGATGTCGCATTCTTGGTCCCAGCTGCACGGTGACTTTTGTGGTAGGCGCTGTTATTTCCGGCCGTCGGTGGCCGGGAGATTCAGACCGGGGAGAAGCGGTAGTTGTGGACAGAGTACTCGTTGGGAAGAGAACAGCTTCTATTGCTCAAAGAGTGACGGCATCATGTCCCGATCTCTCTCCGGCGCCCCAGATAGAGTTATATCAACTCGTCCAATAAAGTCCATGTACAGCTTCCAGAACTTCTGGTTTCCCCATAGACGGAATGTAAGCGCCGTAAATGCAATCCCACTTCCGCTTCCCCCGCGTCCCAACAATCGGATGTGGAGATCCCCCTTCACTGCTTTGCGGGCCCTGCATATGAGCTCGCAGTTTCGGGAAATACGCCTCCTTCTCGTTTCCGCAGCCATCGCTGCGCACATCTACTTACGTAGTTCCAATTCCTCACCTTTCAATAACCGACTGAATGCCATACCATATTATTATCCCATTCCGTGCCCCAGAAACCATGAATTTCTTCGACATCCAGCCGAAGTCCTTTCAAAGCCGGCTTGGGGAATTCCAAGTATCGACGCCACATCTACACTTATTTTTCTTGAAGGAAACATGGCAGAAGCTAGAAAATACGTCATGGACGGCGAAGTCCAGATTGTGGAACATCACTGAGGGGAGAAGACCGTACCTGCCAACTGTAGTCTGTCGTGGGTTTATCATGCTTGGAAAGGTTAACCTGAGCGAAGACGACCTAACAACATTCGAAAATCGGTGTGGTAGGTTTTCATCATGAGCGTATATTGAGGGTATCTTCTGGTGGGTTCTGATATCGCTTGATATGGACCTTTATAACCGTTTCCATACAGCTTACACCCTCTAGGATGTTTGTCATATATCGGCAAGAAATGCGATGTACATGGCCGGTTCCCACTCATAGTTCTCGTGGCATTGAAGCAACCTAGGAAGGCATCTGGATTGAGGAATATGATGGATTGATTTCTTAGTTATCAGGGGACAGGTCTAGGGGAGCGAAGGCTGCGGGTGGGTCTCCCCAATATGAGTGCTGGGAGGAGCGCCGCCACAGCACCGCCACAACATATTATCGATAAGGCGGGCACGGGTCGAAACCGTGAGGGCGAATATCTCCTTTTACAAAAAAACCTTGGGAATTCAATCATCAACGACGTTTTGTGGCTCCCTGTATCTTATCCAACGTGACTTTTACTTAGAGAACTGGGAAAATTCTCCACTATTTATGCGCGCAAGTGGAACGTTACGAGGTGTTTTAAGGAGACACGCACCCACCACGGTCTCTCATCGAAATCCTCACACCTCAAGGTTTTGTGAGGGAGCCAAGACTAGAATGGAATTATCGACAGCCGCGGCATCCGCACCCAACGTCCGTATGTAATTCCATCAGACCGAATGAGTCGTACTGATCAGAGTTAGAGCACTTCGAACCACCACCATGATACCCATGCTCTCCCTCCTAATTTCATCCAAAGAGAGCATTGGAGATACCAGACTATGAGAAAGTCCGAACTGGAGCAGAATCCTGAAGTGTTTGATCTAAGAAAGTATTCGGAATTCACCAAAGAACAATTGGAAAAGTGGAGTTGCGCTGGCGTAATTCCCGCATCGCAGATTCAAGCCGCATGTGAGGCCTACAACGGCGGCCAAAGCCTCCGCGATGCTGCGAAGGACGCCCGTATATTCGAACATCGAGACTTTCCAGGGTTGCACGTCATCCCTACACTTCTTCCCCCGGAAACTCAAGTCCTGTTCACATCATGTCTGATGCACCGCGATCTGTCAAATCCCGCGCACAAGATCAACCTTCAAACAGATTACGAAATACCTTATCCCCCCGATACAGCTGAAACATTAACTGAGAATCATCGATTTGGGAGGACTTTCTTCACTCGAGAGAGGGCAGCAGCAGAAGACTGCCTGCAACCAAAAACACCCGAACGTCACAGCCCACTCAACATGGAGCAGTTCCTGTACAGCAAATTGCGGTGGCTCACACTAGGAGAGCAGTACGACTGGCCAACACGCAGCTACGCCAAGCATGCCACCCACTTCCCAGAAGACCTCTCGAAACTGGTAACGGGCCTATTCCCTCATATTCGTCCCGAATCCGGCGTGGTGCTCACCTACTCGGCGAAAGATTTCATGCCCGTACATCGAGATGTGAGCGAGCATTGTCAGCGCGCTCTAGCAAGTTTCAGCCTCGGATGCGACGGGCTATTCATTCTAGCGCGAGGGGAGGACGACGGAGTCGGTGAGGATGCCCCTCGTACGGTCGTTCTCCGAGTTCGTAGTGGCGACTGCGTACACCTGGATGGAGAAGCTAGATGGGCGTGGCATGCTATGGCGCGTACCATACCAGGAACGTGTCCTCCGTACCTGGCCCAGTGGCCTGTGGGGACGCCTGGCGCTACACCAGAGGAAGAGAAGGCGTTCAAGAAATGGAAGGGCTACATGGGGACGAAGCGGATCAATGTTAGTTGTCGTCAGGTTTGGGATTAGCCGTGGAAGCTACTTTTCACTGATAAGTGGCCGGGAATTAAGGTCGATCAACCGTCGCAAACGCGAGTATGGAAGTCTTATCTCTCGCCATGCAAGACAAACGAATGTCTGGCACGATTTGCCATGTTCTTCCATACGAGGCAAGGCAATGCGCCTTTTCTTTGCGAGAATATATAATTCGAACTTTCCTATTCCGCAAGGGAAAGTTCTGACGAGGCCCAAACATGTGAGGAGGTAAAGAAGTGGCTCAATGTTGCGATGTTGGGAGGGGTTGATGAGATGATTATGATAAGAGTGGAAGCTCGACGAAGTTACGCTTGAATTCCAGCAATTTTGAGTAACGACAGGTCATGTATCACAAGGCTGAACAATAGTCTACCATTGTCTCAGTAGCAGTTTGGGATGAGTCGCTTGGCAAGGGAAGACTGTTGTTTATCTCCAAGCAAACCTGTTCTGCATTGCTTTGGCTATATTTATGGGCCCACCTTCCGTTGTGCAGAACTGCGGACGTCGAACAACTCAAAAGCGACATGGCTCCAACAAGGTCCACTCACAGGAGACCACGGACAACCGCGCAAGCGCAAAGACGCGATTCTCGACAGACGGGTGTTCACACACAAGCACAGCAGACCCAGCCACGTCCTATATCTCAACCCATGGCTCCTGCTCAATGGCGAAAGAGTTCCATGCCTATGCATCGTTATCTCTACGAACTCTTGTACCCATTCCGGGACCAACTTTCCGATGACGACGTCATGTCAGTTGCAGGTACGTTACTTGGTCTCGCAAACCGAGAACTAAGCTGAATATATTCCTTCCAGTGAACATATCCACCATCATCAAAGCAACAAACATTACACCAATCGACAACGAGCGCATCAGTGTGGCCATCACTCACATGCGGGCGGCAGTCCTGCTAGAGGACGAATATGGAAACATCAAGGTTGTGCTGGCGGAGCCGAGACTGCAGTTTGAAAATGGGGTCGTGGCTTTGGCAAATCTCGCTACCAAGTTCGTGACGAGGTGCCTGCGAGGGGCGCCCGACTCGGATACCGAGTTCAGATGCGGTATGTGGGTCGCTCCTGTGACGAATGCGCAGCAGGAAAGGCATGCGAGGGATCAGGATGCTGGGGATGAGGATGATGAGGAAGAGGATGAAACGGACTGAGGATCATTGTGCATATTGGGGGGGAATTGGCTTGCCTGGTTTCAAATTGGTTACCTTGCGAGATTGGGCCTCCACGCAATGACCAAACTTTGTTTTTCTGGATTCCTGTTGTTGTTCTGGACTGTACTGTCGCGTCTTTGGGTGAGGGGAGAGGTATACGATTTTATCATACCGGGGGCTTCAATGTCGCGTGGACAACCGTAATAGTTTTTCAAGGGAATAGACTTCTATGTTCTAGACTGTCAAGCTTGCGTTGTACTCAAGGGACACGAAAATTTCCGGCCCTTGCTCAATCGCCGAACATTGTGAAAGTTGGGAGCCTTGAGAATATGTTCGGTATTCGATTCCGGTGTTTGCAAATATATGGCTATATACATAGAGATAAATGTTGAAAGGTGGTGTTGGTATCTTAGGGAAGTTCTAATTGAAACAACTGGGAAAGGTCGGCAGTATCCTCCGGGTTTACAATTCACTTTCAGTCTTCTCCACCCCCTACGTTCTCAATCAGCCCGGAAGCTTCAACAGCTTGCTCTTGGCACAAACCGCCTTTGCCAAAGTCTGAATGGTTCCACTAGCCAGCAACTCAAGCACCTGCATGGTGGACTCAAACTCCCTAGTGATGAAGTTCCTAACGTCGATGGCGGTTAGGGAATCCAAAGCGTAGTTTGACAGATTCCTGGTTGGATCCACCTCTTCAATGTCCATGCCCAATGTCTTGGCTATCTTTTCGACAAGTCCGTCGCACACCACCTGCTCCGCCTCGGGTAAGGACTGCGCAGCTTTGAATGCTGCGTTCCAGGAGACAGACTTTGTACCATTGTTGAGTTGAGCTGCCGCTGCTTCCGCAGCCAGACGAAGGTGTTTGTACTTTGCGTCCGTGGCCCAGAATGGTAGATTGAGGGGATCAAGGTGCACACCAGTAATGATGTGGTCGTTGCAACTGGCTTCCGCAGTACCGTCAAGAGTCGATTCCAGGAGTGAGAACACCTCGGCTTGTGTGATATAATTGTCACCAATGTTTCTTTGAACATCTTTCATCAGTTCAGAGTTCTCAAATAAGAACCCAGCATCCACAACTGCCGTGGGCCCGACCGAGGCGCTGGGCAAGCCAAGAGAGCGTCGATATTGAGCGAAAGCATCCAGGAAGGAGTTTGCGGCGGCGTAGGCTCCCTGTCCACGACCGCCCATCGCAGCGGCAGAGGACGAGTAGACAATAAAGAAGTCAAGAGGGACGGATGCAAGAGCATTATGGAACTGCAGAAGAATACAGTCAGCAAATCATCCAAAGCTTAGGGAATAATTCTGTATGATGGGTGTACTGACATTCCAGGCTCCCTGGACTTTAGATTCAATCACCTCGGTCCAGTCTTTGAGCTCCATCTTCTCAAACAATGTGTCCTGTTGCCTTGTTAGCACTTATCAGAATAAGGCGTTTCTGAATTACTGACCCTAAGAATCATCGCCCCGTGAATGACGCCTCTGATAGGCGGCAATTTGGCCAATTTCTCCTTCAAGAGTGTTTCTACGTCCTCCTTTTTTGCCACATCACAACTGTGGACAATGACCTCGACACCCAGAGGAGCTAAGTCATCGATCAGGGTCTTCACTTCTCCAGATGTGTTACCACTTCTGGAGAGGAGCACCAGGTGTTTTGCGCCCCTGTCAGCCATCCATCTGCTCATTCCACGCCCCAGACCTCCAGTGCCGCCAATCAAGATATAGGTGGCATTTTCGCTGAACAATTTGGACTTTGTATTGGAAGGGGTTACCTTGACAATATCTTCTGGGTGTGGCACGACGACGATTCTGCTCGCAGGTGTTGACCGAGCAAGCTTGAAGGCTTCGGACACTTCAGAAATGGGCATAACTGTGGTGCCTTTGATCGGTTCTGTCCTCCCGTAGTTCAAGGATCTGGAGACTTCCTTGATCAAACGGCGCAACACTCGCGGCTTTTGTGTCGCCAATGTGTGAAGGTCGAAGGAGGAGAACGTTATGTTGCGTTTCAGAGTGGACAGATCCAGTCGCAGTCTGGAGGAGGGGTCGCTCGCTTCTTCGTGGACAAATCTGCCGAACGCCGATGTACAGTTCAAGGCTGATTGAATGGTGGTTTCGCTTGGTTGTATGCTGAAAACGACGTCGACACCACGATTAGCGGTTGCTCGGAGAACGGAACCGGAAAGTTCATCATCTTTAATGTAGAAGATGTGATCCTCGGGAAGGTCAAAACCTTTCATCAATATGTCCTTCTCTTCGGCAGTCTCTACCGCTGCGAAAACCGTCAGACCCGTCGTTTGAGCTAGCGAAATTGCAGCTTGTCCTACAGTGCCTGCTCCATTGAGAACAAGCACAGTCTCTTCATCTTCAATCCGAGCGAGATCAATCAATCCGTAGTGTGCTGAGCAGTGGGCCAAGGCAAGGTTTGCTGCCTGTTCGAAGGAGATGTTGGGCCCTATTTTCATAGCAAAGTCCGCATTCGCCCGAGCGTAAGTAGCGAATGATGAATTGGCAATTGCGGCGACCCGATCTCCGATGGCGAAGCTCTTTACGTCTTTTCCTACGCGGCTCACAACACCGCTGCACTCTTTCCCGAAGCCTGATTCACCGGCTAGATTGGTAGCGGAATATATATCCCCTACATTCAGTCCAACCGCCTTGACTTGAATTTCGATCTGATCAGCAGCGAGCTCCTGATCCCTCAACTCATCATCGATGAAGTAAAGGGAATCGAAATTTCCGGGCGACTTCAGAGCCATTTTCAGAGACCTCCCCTTGGAATCGAATTCGGAGTTCTCCACTGCAGGGGGGAAGGTCATCTTATGGACGTACTCGTTGAGAACCTCGTCTTGTACGATCCTCGGTGTCCTGAACTCGCCCTTCCGCTCTTGGAACTCCATCTCGGTATTGGCAACAGTACTTGCCGACGTTACTGCTTCGAAGACTTTGACGATAGCTCGAGCAGTCAGCGTGTCATCGAGCTTTTCTTCAGCATCAAGATCCAAAGTCGCGAACTTGAACATGGTTTCAGACCTTATTGCACGACTGAATCCAGAAACCATGTTGCTGGTGGGGTCGCCCGTTTGCCCATACGCTCCTCGTGTAACCCACAGGAGGTCTTGCGAATTTTGTATTATGTTTCGTAAAGCCATAAATTGCTTCTCGGTTAGAGTAGAGAGAATCGACTGGTCAAGCTCCGTTATGCAGATGCAATGCTTCTCGGTTGGATCAATGTCTTCGAGTGGGGCCAAGTCAACTTTCATGTTTCCAAGGTTTTCGATCAGGGCGGCAAGCATCCGAGCGAGCTCAAGCTGTAGGCTGGAGTTCCCGTGGATAATAGCCACTGTCTCTGTCTCGAGGGTAGTTCCATTAGTAAGGCCAGCAGTCTGTGGGCTGTCCACCCTGGTGTCGTGGGCCAGATCAAGTGGTTCAAGAATCGGCTCCCATACTTGCTTATAGACCAACTCCCGCGAGGGTTGCTCACTCACTTCGTCATCCGTTTTCGGGAGCGGCGCGATGGTCAGATCATCAATGGAAATGATTGTCTCGTCACCGGCAACAGCGAACATGGAGACTTTGCTGGGAATCTGCGTCGAGATTGGTTTGGATGCCGTACAGTACGCGCGTAGGCTCTGCCCTGGGGCACTTGCATGTTTCAAGATATCGAGAGACACGGTAAGTTTGTGAATCGATGCCGGAAGGCAGATGACGTCCAAGGGGGTACGGCCAGCGCCGAGGAGGGGCCAGTACATTTGTATCAGCTGCTCCAAGAAGGCCGGATGCGCTATGTGCCTTGTTTCAAAGTGTTCTGGCATCTCGGCGGCGGTATCAGCAACGGTGATGTTTGCAGCCACCTGTTTTTCATCTGCAAGGCAGTTCGTAAGTCCTTGAAATGTAGAGCCATAAGCTACTCCCAACTCTTCAAGAGTAGCGTAGATGTCTGCAGAGGGCACTGAGGGCGATTTCCCTTCAATTTCGGAGATCATCTCCGCCCGTAGGGCTGCGTTGTGCTCGAGTTGTCTGCGTCCATCTACTTCGTTGAGGTCCGGCGTCCTCACGGAGACGGTTCCAGTGCAGTTTTCGGTCCATCCTTTGCTTGCCGAGTAGGAGTGGATCAGGAAATCTGTTGTCGTGAGGGTTGGGCCAAGCTCAGCAGCTTGTGGCGAGCGTAGAGTGATGGTCAACTCAATATTCTCATCGGAAATCATGAGTGGCGTGTGGACAGTGAGATCGCGGAGCTCGATCTGCCCTATACTGATATTCTTTGACTTGGCATGCTGATGTGCTGCTTCAACGACCATGGAAACAAATCCAGATATTGGGAATATGGTTAACGACTGGATCTTGTGGTGACGGAGCCACGGGATATCATCCAAACGGATAATGTTCCGCCAGGTCGGCTCCAGATCATTGGAGTAGTTTGCTAGTGTTCCAAGGATATCATGTCGCGGGTGTTCTCTATGCTTGTGCACACGAGCAATGCGGGACTCATGCCAATATGTCTTAGAATGGTTCCACGGATACCTGGGCAGATCGACCAACACGGTCGGCTTCTTAACTTGTTTCGGGAAGTTAATCTTCTCTAGATCCAAGAAGCTTCCTCTGCAGAACAACGTCGATGCAAGCGTGAGCATACTGCTAACCGCATCCTTCTTTCTGACGAGGGATGGCGAGTATGGGATCTTTTCGGCTGGTCCTCCAACATTCTTCAAGATCTGTTTCACGGGGCCTTGTAATGCTGAGTGAGGGCCAATCTCGATGATGAAATCTACCCCTGTCGTAGAAAGCTCCGTAGGTGCCAGTAGATGGACAAAAGCTTGCGCAAATTTCACTGGGCTGGTCAGGTTGGACACCCAGTACCTCGAATCCAGCTCTGAGTGAGATGCTTCTTTCCCGGTCAAGGAGGAGAAAAAGCGAACACTGGACGCCATAGGAGCTGGGAGGTCTTGTATTGAATCGAGGTAGTCTTCGGCCACCAGCTCCATGTGATGAGAGTGGTATGCTGTCTCGATGACTAGCCTTCTGTTGAAGATTTGTTTCTCCTCCAACAGCTCTGAAAGCTCAATAATGGCGGGTGTGTCTCCGGAGATCGTCAAGCTTTGAGGACTGTTATAGCAGGCAATTTTGGCTTTTCCGTGGCGGAGATTCTGAATTAGCGGTTCGACCTCCTCTCTTGCGCAACCAACGGCCAGCATTGTGCCCTCCAGTTCAGGATGCTTCTTCTTTAGCACTGGTACAAGGCGCCCTCTGTGGTATGCAATTTCCATAGCGGATCGAATTGACAGGATGCCTGCTGCGAAGGCGGCCGCAATCTCCCCTGAGGAGTGGCCAATGACTGCGGTGGGAACAACGCCCCATGATCGAAGCAGCTCAATAAGAGCCAATTGAATGGCAGTGCACGAGGGCTGGCTGATATTTGCCTGATTCACCCGTGTTGTCTTCTCATCGAGGCTCAATTCTTCCAGGAGGCTGTACGGGGCGCCCAGCTGGGTGAGGATAGCGTCCGCTTCGTTCATCACATCAGCGAAGGTTGGATATCGTTCATATAGCTCACGGCCCATGGCCCACCACTGTGCACCTTGGCCGGTGCAGACGAATCCAATTCGAGGGACTCCAGATTCTCTGACAGGATTGATCGTTCCCTTTGATAGTTTTTCAACAAGATCGAAAGACTCTTTCGCAGGAATGGCTACCCTCCATGGCAATAAAGATCTCCGCTGCCCCAAGGTATAGGCCACGTTACTCATTAGGTCCCTTTGAAACATCTCGGGCCTTTGCTCAAGGTAGACACCCAAGTTGCTCATGAAAGTCTGGCAGGCAGCTTTGTCTGCGGCAGAGAGAACAAAAAGCTTTTCCGTAGGGTCTTCTTTCGAAGTAGAGGTGTTATTGTCGTTATTGATCCTCAACGGCGCTCTCTCCATAACGACATGGGCGTTAGTTCCTCCGAACCCGAAGTTGTTAATACTTGCGAACCGTTTCCCTCTCGGCCAGGGTAGTTGCCTTGTTGGTACCTTTAATCCCCACTCCGCGAATGGAATCTTCGGGTTCCCAATCTTGAAATCGTAGTTGGGAAGGACGAAGCCTCGGTCAAGCATGACGGCCGTTTTGATGACTGCTAGGATTCCCGAAGCAGATTCAAGATGACCTATGTTTGATTTGACAGAGCCAAGGTAGAGTGGGTTCCGTGAGGTTCGTCCCTCACTGAACACGTTGTGCAACGCGGTAACTTCGATGGGATCGCCGACCCGGGTTCCCGTGCCGTGGGCCTCCACGTAGCCAGTCTCGGAGGGATCGAGGCCTGCATTCTCATAGACTGCTCGGACAAGCGCTTCTTGAGATTCTCCGTTTGGCATAGTGATACCAGGTGTATAGCCGTCTTGATTAACGCCGCTAGCGGCAATAACAGCGCGAATGCAGTCATTGTCCTTGATAGCTTCATCAAGCGGCTTTAGGAGAATCATGCCACATCCTTCACCGCGGCCATATCCCGTGCCCCGTGCGTCAAACGAGAAGGAACGGCCGTCATTGCCTAACAGTCTACTCTGGGTGTTAGTCTCATCCTCAAAAGCATTCACAGGGTCGCTTACCGGGAAGTGGAATAGTTGATAAAGAATTCCGGTATTATATTGAGATTACATCCACCCACCAATGCCACCTTAGACTCACGATTGCGAATGCTCTGGCAGGCAAAGTGAACGGCAGTCAACGAAGAGGAGCAAGCAGTGTCCATTGTCACACTGGGGCCGCGCCAATCGAAGAAGTGGCTGATTCTGTTTGATTGCATGGCCAAATGGTTCCCTTTGATGCTTAGCATAGTGCGTTGACGGTTGCCGGTTTTAGCTTACCAGTGGCTTGGAACATCGGCATTGTATCCGAATCCCTGAACAGGTCGAATTCGTACTCTGGTGACCCTGCACCGATGAACACCCCGAAATCCTTTCCAACAGTTGCGTGTTTCTGTATTCCGGCGTTATCGAGAGCTTCGAATGCACATTCCAATAGTAGACGTTGTTGCGGATCCATCGATGTCGCTTCAAGTTCTGTGATGCTGAAGAAAGGCGCGTCGAATTTGGTGATATCTTGCTGTATAAAGCATGCCCCGTTTGTATTGATGCACCCAAGCCTACCAGCGTTTGGATGGTAAAAGCTTGAATTGTTAAAACGCTCTGGCGGTATTTCCGGAGTCCATGAGCTTCGCCCTCTTGACAACATCTCGAAAAACTCATCAGGTGTCGAAGCGGAGCCTGCGCGCACTGCGATTCCAATCACCGCAATAGGCATATATGCATCCGTTTTTCCGTTGCCATCAGCGGAAACATTGGGGCTTGGTGGGTGCTCGGAGCCGTTGACAGAGATTTGTGGCTCATCCTGGGTATGAGGGCCATTGCCATTGATTTGGATAGGAGGGTCTGTGAAAGAATCGACAGCGTGGGCACCGTCGCCGTTGGGAAGATGCCCATTCTGAGGCGCGGCTTCGCCATTGTGAGAATGCCCATTCATAGACGAGGCCTCTCCGCCGTGAACCTGCACGTGTCCGTTCGCATAATCTGGGTTCCCATTGCTGACGTTTCCAACAGGCTCCAGTGGTGCTATTTGGCTTGACACATCCGACTGAGGTTGTTCAGGCTGGGGTCGATCCTGCAAGGAGAGATCTACCCCGTTGGTCACAACCAGACCGGGCACCATGGTCTCTCAAGGTTTGGGAAAGGAGATTGAAACGTGGCGACCCTATTCACAGCGATGGGAGGTAATGCCGCAATTTAAGTCTACACGGTGATACAACATCTCCCATATTTCTTGTGTGATGCTTCCATCCATTTCACCGGCGGCACTGGATATGAGGGTATTCCAAGTTGCTTCTCCATGGCTAACCATTCTGTGTCCGTTAGGCCGATAGACAAAATATCAGATGCACTGATTGCAATCAACTTCAAATTGAGGGGGGAACTATGTTGGGTTCTAGCCTAAGATATTTGCGAAAGCAGTACTAGAATTCCTTAAACAATCGGCCTCCCGGGAAGCATGCACGGTTATCAGCTATGTGTACTCATGATTCCAGCATTTCACCTTGCAGCTTCCACTATGGAATGTCGGCAAGAGTTGATATTCTTGGGGAATCTATGGATGATGTGATGGGCATCTCAGTGGTACACAAGGGGTTTTATCAATTGGCCTCTGGGTTTAGGGATTCTCCAAATCAAAGACAGGGGGTATTGGTTCGGGGTAAAATTTGGGGTAAATTTTCCCCGACGCAGGCTTGTCATGATTGGACGGTATTACTGCCCACTGACTGCCGAATATTCATTGGAACATAGAGTAAATGCGGTTTAAATTCAGCTTCACATGTATTGCTCTCTGAATCAAACCATTCTAGTTCTCGAAGGGCCTATGTCGCAATCCCTTCATACCCGTGAGGGCATTCCGAAGGGTTCCCCTGCCAGTCATGGAACCGTGCCACATGTCTCGAGCAGAAACCAGCTCAAAAGCCTCCAACAAGGGGACTTACATAGTGTGTCACCTATGTCTCCTATTCGCCGAGTTGGGCGGTCCGTAGAGAGTGCAATAACTATACTAATGATGCGTCCCACTGATCAGATTAAGTTAGGTGAGGCGGCCGTTATCTACTTGATAGGCACCCTCTCGGAACGAATAGTCGGAATCTCAGACAGGTGCAGAAGCTCTGTCACCAATCGTCTTGTGGGGCTCTGAGACCCGCAGGATTAGAGACCCCCAAGCAGAAGGATAGCACGTGTGCCTTGAACTCTATTAGAGACAGACAAGGACCGGGACTTCGTGGCTCATAACTTCTTACGTCGGGTACTCCCTGGTAACTTGTCACGGCTCGACGGAGGTACTTTCCTAAATCGAGCCGCGCACTCTTGGATGCTCAATATGCATGGTCGACGTGGAGGTTACACCTTGTTCTATCCCATACATAGCCAAACACAATACAAAAATCCCACGGATTGGGGCGTGATGTGACGATCATTTCTCGCTGGATGGAGTATGTATGTGACAGACGCAGCACAACATTTTATTCCCGCGGATCTCAGTCAGCCCAGGCAATGCCAAAGCATAAAACACAAAGTGACCGCCTTTGGAAGTTCGAGTGAACGCTGAACCGTCAGAATGAGGTTCCTTTGCCTTGCGGGTGCCTTCGGGAGCGTTGAGGTACGTCACTAACGCCGAACTCTGTTGGAACGCTAGATTTACACGTTTACAGAAATTTAAAGTGCAGCTTGGTAGGTTCGAGATGCCAACTGCGGTAGTCACGCTCACTGTTTGCAAGCTCCGATTGTGAACCAGTTGGAGAAAGATGGAACGGCAACTTTCCATTTTGTCCATGGGCTCCATGAGGCAGTGCCGCCTCCTGGATACGAGGACTTTTTCGGAGGCCCACCTTTTTTCCGCTTCCTCGAAGAAAGTAAAGATCCCGAGGGAGTTGATGGGCTGGAGCGAATCCGCGACTTTCCAGTAGGGGCCTCGCCTGAAGATACGCTGCGCCTCTTCAATCCGCTAGGCAGTTCGGACGGGCTGGCAGTGACGGCGGCACAGGCGTTGAAATATCTTCAAGGTATCATAAAAGAGCATGGGCCGTTTGATGCCATCATAGGGTATTCAGAAGGAGCGCTGGTTGCGGGCACACTGATCATGAAAGAGCAAGAATTCAGGGAGGCGGGAGATTATAACAACACGTTCAAGCTCGCCATGTTCTTTGGTGGCTGGCCGCCATTGAAACCAGATCTTAGGGGAATGATGCTCGCCGATGAAACGGACCTACAGATTCCGGTGGCCACCTGTCACGTCAGTGAGTACTCCATGGCTCGGTTTTGCACTCTGCTCCATTCTTCCGCACTGAGAAACGCAATGCTGATTTCTCGCGAACTCTGTTCCAGTTGGTTCATTAGACCCTTATCTAGACGGTTCTTTGGCGCTCTTCAACGTCTGCGACCCTGAGACCGCAATCCTCTTTGATCATGCTAAAGGGCATACCCTACCCCGGGACAAGGAGACGGTAAAAGAGCTTTGCGACGTTATTCGTTCCATGATTGCGGATATACGTGAACGGGAATCTTTGGCATCCAGATAAATACTAGATAGATGCATTTGGAGTCCACGGAGTCTGGTCGGTGATTGAAGCCGTGATGGTTTGCTAAGCTGCAATTTCTTTGCTCCTGGGTACATAGATCGTTGTGTATACAGCTTGTTTGTGGCAATGGGAGTTGAGAAATCTGTCAGGGATCTTGCATTGCTCAAGCGTTGTTTAGATTAAATCGTTACACCCAACTAGCGAATCGGGGATTTCTGTGATGCCGACGTCAACTACCTATACATCCCTACCTACCTTTTCCCGTTGCCGACTGCAGCTCTGAAAAGCTTAATCTCGCGAACATGGTTGTCCACGTTACCCCACGTTCTTCCACTATCTACGCCGTTTCATTTGTAGGTACATGTGGTTTATATCTAGATTCCCTGTCTGCTCTAATCAATTCCATGTGTGCCGCTCATTTCGGGCAGGAATCACGCAAGACCAGAAAGGCTCTGTCGGTTTGTAGTGCGGGAAGGTTGCCCATGTTATCTGGGCCTCTTTCGCATTCAGCCAGAATATGCACTATACTTTGTCATTACCACGCCTCCATCACTCCACAGGTCAATCTCCGGTGTAACGGAGATGAAACTGACGCGGCGTGGCGACGTCGATCCTTTTTGAGGCTACACGTTGTTGCACACGTACCGTATCTTGGACTTCGCAGCCCTGGAAGCAGCACTCAGAGCAAGTCCCGTAAAGAGGCGTTGGCCCTTCCTTCAGTTGCGAGGAAGATAGAAGCAAGCTCTGCGTCGACATGGAGCAAACCAAGGGCATTTCCAAAAGACTTGAAGCATACAAGAATTCTGCGCAACAATTTCTGGTTGGTGGCCCCCTCGTATTTGGCCGTAGCCATGAGCTTGGCTTTTACTGCGGCGGCGAGCGTACTCTTGATCCGAAGCTAATTCTCCGAAGAGAATCTACTCCTTCTCAACACCACTTGATCGAATATGGCTTATCGTAGCTGTGCTTGCCTCAGCAGCATCTGGAGTTACGATTCCTTTGATGAATGTTATTTTTGGTGTGGTTGTACTCCTGATTTTGAGAGACTTCACTTCTAAGACTGAGACAGCGAGGCTGATCCGAGTCTTCACGGCATTCTACGCTCGATACTATACCGGTTGGACGCCTGAGCATTTCCGTAGTGAGATTGCAAAAAACGTGTATGAGCTTTTCACTCCCCGCAAGATGATCTATGCTCACCCATGGGGCAAAGGTTGTTCATGATTTATATCTTTGTGGCAAGATTCCTACTTGATTACATTGCCATGGTGCGTTTATACGCTCAATCCGATTATGTGTCTCTATTGACAACTTACAGCTCGGCTTCCGTCACACAGGTCTTCGTATATCTGCCGCGATTCGTCTAAGCTATCTGAGATCTTTGATGGCCTTGCCGGTCTCGACTGTAGATGCAATACCACAGGGTCATGCAGCAGCTATCATCACCATCACAGCAAATCAACTCCAAGATGGCATATCGGAAAAGCTGTGTCTCCTCGTCCAGCATATATCCCTCGTCATTTCAGCTACGGTGGTTGCTTTTATATTCAGCTGGCTGCTAGCGGTTGTTACTGTTACAGGCTTTGTTTTCGTTGTCCTTGTCTATATTGTCACACTTCTCATCCTCGTCAAACAATGGAACAAAGTGCAGGAGGCTGACAGAGAGGGGGCAGCTACCGCAAGTGAAACAATTTCGTCAATCAGAATGGTGGCTGCATGCGGCGCAGAGGGTAAAATGAGGGAAGGCTATGGTGGCTGGGTAAAAGAAGCCGCACGGCACGGCCAGCGGATGTCCAAATGGATCGCCATTCAATCGTCGCTAGGGAAGTAGAGGATTATTTGAGAATATGCACGATATGCTAACAATTATTTGCAGTCTTTTTCACAATCTATGCGTTAGTACCGTCTTGGTGTGCTCTCTACGGCTTACCCAAATGACTAACAAGTTGCTTCTAGGACTGCTGCGCTTTGCTTTTGGTGGGCAATAAGGCTATTCGCTACCCATAGGATTGAAACCGTAGAGGCCTTGCTTGTGTAAGATAAACCCCAGCATATTCCCTCAAATGCGTCTGCATGTGTTAACTGACTGCTGTTAGCGTCATTACCTCCATCTTAACCATCGTCATGGCAGCGGGATCAATCTCTGCTCCGCTTTCCGCTGTTAGTCGAGCCTCCGGAGCAGCTGCAACTTTCTACCCCATTATCGATGCGCCAAAGCCAAAAGCCGATGGCGTGAAGGGCTCTGACGTCGTGCCCACAAGAGATATTGTCCTTGATCAAGTCAACTTTACGTATATTAGCAGACCAGACCAGCGGGTCCTCAAAAATGTGACTTTAACGTTTCCGGAGGGAAAAACAACAGCCATCGTAGGGCCGTCGGGCTCTGGAAAGAGCACTATCGTCGCGTTGATCCAGCGCTGGTATGAGCTTGGAGTTGGAGATGATGAAAGTCCCGTTGTAAGAGGACCCCTGACCTGCATTGGCTTTGGCGAGTTCTCAATGACTGACTTGTTACAGATCAACTTGCTTCGAAACGGATCTATTACTACCGGAGGTCGGAATCTCTATGAGATCGATATGAAGTGGTGGCGATCGCAGATAGGTCTTGTGCAACAAGAGCCTGTCCTCTTTAATGGGACAATCTTTGAGAATGTGGCTCATGGCCTCATCGGCACACAATGGGAATCTGAACCGGAAGAGGTGAAGAGGGCCCTAGTGGCTCAAGCTTGCGAGGGAGCCTTCGCGAACGAATTCATCACTAGGTTGCCAGATGTACGACTCATCACTTATCCTTCGGAAGTCGATACTAAATGATATGAAAGGGCTATGACACCTTATGTGGCGATTCGGGAATCCATCTCAGCGGAGGACAACGACAAAGGATCGCAATCGCTCGCTGCATCATCAGAAGACCCTCCATCCTTATCCTAGACGAAGCGACGAGCGCAATCGACGTTCGCAGTGAACAAAAGGTTCAAGCAGCGCTCGACCGCGCAGCTCAGAATCGAACGACCATAGTCATCGCCCACCGACTATCCACGATTCAAAAAGCCGACAACATTGTCGTGCTCCACAAGGGGACGGTAGTGCAACAGGGCAGTCATGAAAAGCTAATGAAAAACAGAGCCGGTTTATATTATCGGCTTGTCAATGCGCAACTGCTAACGGATAATGAAGAAACGGTCGAGTCCTCTTCAACAAGTACTGATGCTCTAGATAGCAAAGATGAGGCGGAGTACAGTGCAATTGACAGTGTCGACTGCACAGTTCAAAGTTCCTCGAATGCGAAAAGGTCGGCATTCCGAGATAGCATCAGGGCGTTGGCACGCCTTTTCATAGAGCAGAAATCCGATTGGCATTGGTATATTCTCATATTATTAGGGGCTGCAGGCGCAGGTGGTAAGCTTTCTCCCGGTCCGATCGAATGATGGACGAGCATACTAAAAGAATAATCCGACAGCCGCTTTCCCAGTCCAAGCGTACCTTTTTGCCAGACTGATCACACTGTTTGCGTACTCAGGGGATTATCTCCGCGACCAGACCCAGTTTTGGTGCCTTATGATGGTTGCTCTCGCTGTCGGAGTAGGAGTTTGCTATTTCGTTCTAGGCTGGGCATGCAACACTGTCTCATTCGTAAGTTGCGCAAATGTTTCTCATGATGAGCCAATTATTAACGAAGCACCTGCAAGCACATCATTTCAGCTTACCGCATTGAATATTTCCAAAACCTCCTCCGAAAACCGATTAGCTTCTTCGACGATGCGGAGAATTCGACGGGTGCGTTGAGTGCTCGAATTGCGAGTGATCCCGCGCAACTACAACAGCTTCTGGGTATCAACGCCGCATCAATGCTTACTTGCATCTTCAACGTTGCAGGATGTATAGCGATCTCCTTCTACTTCAGCTGGAAACTGTCAGTTGTAGTGGTCTTCTCCTCTACCCCCGTTATGATCGCCGCTGGCTACCTGCGCGTGCGATACGAAAGAGAGTTCGAGAAGATGTCACATACGGTATTTGCGGAGAGTTCCAAATTCGCGATCGAGTCCATAGGTGCATTTCGGACCGTTAGTGCTTTGACTATGGAGAATTTCATATGCGGGCGATATGAAGATCTTCTTCAAAGACATGTACGCAATGCACTCTGGAAAGGTCTCTGGTCGACTTTGATATTTTCCTTCAGCGATAGCGTGGCCCTGCTTTGCATGGCTTTTGCATTATGGTATGGAGGGACGCTGCTCTCTGAATATGAGTTATGGCCTTTCAACTACTGTAAGTTCATCTAAAGGTCCAGTGGGATTGAACTAACACATACACAGTGGTGGTTTACTTCGCTGTTGTGCAGGGCAGTCTAGCAGCGGGTCAGTGGTTGAGCTTCGGACCTAGTACGTACAAGCGAATGTCGATTGGACAAGTACCGTGGCCGCAGAATTACTGATGAGAAGTAGATATTGCTCAAGCCTCAAGCGCTATTAGACGTATACGCAACTTGAGAATCCACGAAGATACTTCTAGCTCCTCAAATCCTCTGCCAATAGAAGAAGGCGAGAAAGGAATCCAAGGACCAAAAATTGAACTCCGCAACGTCTGGTTCAAGTATCCCACTAGAGATGTGCCAGTTTTACGGGGTCTGAACATGACCGTAAGTAGACGTTGGAATTTGCAGATTCGGTATTTGACTACTCGCAGATTGAAAGGGGGCAGTTCGCGGCTATAGTGGGGCCATCTGGTAACATTCATCATGTCCCCGTTTCGCGGCCAGTTTCTGATCGTAGTGCATAGGCTGCGGCAAAACTAGTGTCATAAGTCTCATCGAACGGTAGGGGATTATCCCCCCTTTCACGTATCATTGGAGCTAACTGGCCTCAGATTCTATACTCCACAATTCGGCGATATTCTCTTCGACAACACTAACATCTCGTCGCTCGATCTGGATGAATACCGCAAAAGCATATCGCTCGTGGCGCAGGAGCCCTCCATCGTCGCCGGCACACTCCGCGAAAACATTCTCATGGGCGTGGACCCCAACACAGTCTCTGAATCCGATCTCGACAGGGTCTGCAAGGAGGCCGAGATGTATGATTACATCGCATCTTTCCCCATCACATACGACACGCTGGTCGGTCAAAAAGGGATCGCCTTGTCCGGCGGTCAGAGACAGCGCCTCTCCATTGCGCGCGCATTGATCCGGAATCCGAGATTGATGCTGCTAGATGAAGCGACGTCTAACCTGGACTCGGAGACGGAAAAGAGCATTCAGAAGATTTTCGAGGAGACTGGGAAGGGGCGCACGATGATTGTAGTAGCACACCGGCTGGCCACGGTGCAGAATGCCGACGTCATCTTTGTGATGAGTGAGGGAAGGGTCGTCGAACAAGGAACGCACAGAGAGCTGCTTAGGAAGAAGGGCGTCTATTGGCAAATGGTGAGTATCAGAGTAATCCCGGTTGAAGGCGCTGTACTGACTATATTTGAAGTGCCAAATGCAGGCTCTAGATAGTAGACATTAGAAGATGGAGTAGAGATTGAGAGATAGAGTAGACCTTAGAGGATAGAGTGAATCAGTACCAAATTGCAATGGTCAGAATACCTCCACCTAAGCGGTCTCTGGAAAGCCATGTTAGATATGCATGTTCCTGCTGCTGCAGAGGGTGATCTTGGAACAAATAAAGTACGCGGTCCAATTATTTATCAGTCGAATATTTATCAGTAGAACGGCAGCTTCGAAGTGGTGATGAAGAGCTGCACCCCTTGGAATTATAGGTAACGATATCTCTGTGTGCCAACTCTGTTCCATATGCGCGATCTCCATAATCGAGCAGAACTTCTCGTGGATGGTGATTATCACTAGCAGCATCCAAGCACATACCGCAGCATCTCCTCTCAAAACATCATTCCCACCGAAGACATTCATCTCCACCTGCCACCAAATCACCTTCATTTTTCCCCGTCCATGCGTCCCCTCGCAAGCCTATATAAGCCTCAAGTTCTCCCCTCCATTCTAGCTCATTACCTTCCCTTCTACAGAATCTCAAAAGGTCACTGGAAGAATAGATGTTCGTCGCCAAAGAAGAAGGCTTTGTTGACATGAAATAGGATCAATATCTGGCCTACTCTAATGTTATGTAAAATCTTCCTTGATGTAGTGATGATGCTGACGAGCGGCTTTACCAGCTGTACGAAGATGATGGAGTGAGCTCGATGCTGCTGCTGCTGCTGATACCTACGATATTGATTATGAATCAACAGTGTAGCATACATCCCTTCAGCCTTTCCGTTGCGTCGTCCTTCTCGGGTATAAATACCTCCCTCCCCACTTTCTTCCTAAACCCACACTTTGAATTCTTTCAGTTTCCTTGGAGGCTAGAACCAAACCAACTTGCGAATAACCTCATGTGTTCGGGACTGCGACCGTAACAGATGACTTTCAAAAGGTCCATACTTTTATGTAATCACCTGATGATGAACAGCATCGCCGACATTGAAATCCGTGCATCAGGACCACAGTCTCACAGAAAATGAACTTTGTAATCCATATTTCGAAACCCTCCTCCCACATTCGCCCAACTTTTGTGAATCGGACCCTTTTTCCCATACCAGCAATCCCATCCCTAAATACCCAGAAACCATTATTTTCCCAAAATCCATACCAGCACTCCATCCCTAATAACCAAGAGCCCATTATTTTTCCAAAATCCATATGCGTACATTTTTAAATTGCCAACGGAACCATAGCCCACAATCATCGATGTCCATAGAATCCGCACAAACCAAGATACCAAATGTCGGGGATAAGAATACTCCTCGAAATCGAGATCATCTACACATCCCATCTACCTCAGCTCCTTAATCTTCACCGCCTTTGCAAGGTTCGGAAACGCCGTCCTGAACGCGGGGCCCAAGGACCAGTTGCTGAGATCTCGAATGTGTCTTTCAAACTCTGGATTGATGACCCACTGCTCTTCTTCTGGTGCCAGAACAATCGGAGAACTAGGACCGCCCGGCTGCACTATGCGCTGGGAAGCTGTTGGACCGTTCGCTCTTGCGGATGGTGCTGTCGTGGGATACGCAGGTGCAAGCGGTTGAACGTTCGAATTACGGATAAGGCAGCTGGTAGGATCGTATGGCCAATTTAAGCTTAAGGTCGTAGTAAAGGGGATAAAAAAGGAGTCGAAAGGCGTAGTAGCCTGTTCGGCGACGACGCGGTCTCGCAGCCCAGGCCTAGTGTCAATTAGTGATGCTGAATCCGACCCAACGCTCTGGAGATTATGCTTACCAGGGGAGATGGTTGATCCAGTAAGGGTGTGGAATGAACAACTGCGAGGGACGTGGTGTTACCCAGTCCGGCAGACGCTCATAGTTCTCCTGTGTAGGCTCTATCTGCCATCGCATCACGAGAAACATGACGTAGACAACAGCAACTTGCTCAGGGAGTCCAGAGATATCGGGAAAGGTGCGAATGATGTCTGTGAAGAGCTTCGACAGCGGGTGCGACTCTACTTGGCGGCGAGGATAGACCAAAGCTGTGAAGTTTGGGTATGGGGGCCCTGAAAGTATGTGCGACGGAACGCCTTCACTCGCTCTCGCCTGTCGTTCGGAGAGGAAGTTCAACATGATGTCGTCGAGCGGACACGTCGCTGGCAGCGTGCGCGGGAGGATAAGATGAGGCAAAAGATTGCAAGGAGCGTGCTGGCCGACGAGAGGGGTGCTTGCCGGATGCGAATGCGGCGGGGGAGGAGGCAGACTCGGGTCCACCCTCCTGTGGCCATTATCCAGCAAGAAATCCACCCCCAACCGCTCATCGAAGGGAGTCCCGGGCTGTACCGCGGTCGTCTGAGGCCGTGTAGGATCATATTGAGGACTGTCCCCAGACCAACGACGAACATGGCTCGCTGGCGCATCGCCTGCATACAGCCACTGTCGGCTTGAATCCGTTCCAGCTGGAGAAGCGATCCCATTCTGGGGGGAGACCAAGCCAGAATGGAGCGGTCGCGCGATATGGGAGGGCAATGCAGTTTCTCGTTGCGCGGGGGCGATGGGCAGCGAATTCCGTTCTGCTGCTGCTGCCAATTCTGTATTTTCGCTATATGTTAGTGTTTGTGTAGTTGAAGCTTCATTTGCGTCCACCCACCATTAAGTCCATTAGATGTCCGCTGAAGGATAGGCTGTATGATAGCCAGCACCGACTCCAGGCGCGTCCGGATATCTGCGTTCTCCGCCTGTATAGCTTCCTTCTCGCGCACCACGACCTGTAGGTCGTGGTAGGGCTGTTGGCTCTCGAGCTCGTGAATCCGGCGATTTAAAGAGTCTATCTGGTTCTTCGTACGCTCCCGAATGGCACGCTGAGCTTCGCGGTCATTTGCTCGCTTCCGTGCAAGCTGCTCAGGTGTTAGATGGGCGACACCGCGCGGCGCAGCGCCTCCGGTACGACGTCGCTTCTGGGTCGAGCTGGTGGGCGCGACGGTGGAGCTTGAATCGGGGGTGCGGACAGCGTCGCCATGCTGTTCAGGATTCTCCGGCGGGCGGACGTCAGGCTGGAGGCCAGGCTGGAGGTCAGGATCGATCCCAGCCATGGCGTGAGACACCCAGTCACATCGAGTCTGGGGGTTTGGGAGAAAGAGGCCGGCTCCTGAATCACTGATGGGAGCTGTTTGTTGTGCGTGCGAGTCATAGCGGACCGGGGTCGCCGGGCTTGGCGTGGGGAAAGTTCGCTAGCCCGTTTAGGGAATGGGGTCTTTGTATCGAGAGAGAGAGTGTGAAAGACGACCTCGACGACACCACACTACAACCGACAACTGGTGTTGTTTGCGAGCATCCCCGCAGCTGAAGGGTGCTTTGCTAGACAACGCCAGGCTCCGACTTTCGCGCTGCGTCCGCCTGACACAGCAGGGGAAAGAAAAGAGGCGCATAAACGGTGAATGCATATCCAGGATTCGGAACCAATGCTTCCTAGCAGGAACCTCATCTGCAGATGTCGATCCCGTACTCATATAGAACCTTAAATGAAGTTCTTCTCTATGCCTGTCTGTTTAGCTTACCCTACTTTGCAGGTCATCAAACACAAGAGGCGCACTACTAGAGGTCGCTTCGCATAGGTAGACACAGAGGAACAGGATCCATGGCGTTGGCTCTAAGTCCAAGCATACCTGGAAGTCCTTGGTCTCCGATGCTCGTTACTCCCCCGTTGTCCCCGTAGACGAAAAAGGATATCATTGTAACTAATTCCGGTTATCAATAGTCGTGCGCCTTTCATCAGATACTCCAAACCCTTCCTTCACCTACACCCTTGCCTCGCCCGCCACACCCCAGACCGCCTCGATCCCACACTCTCACAAGTCTTCCCGCATGGCGTGCCCTACCTTTGTCGTTCCCCTCTCTTCTCTATCAAAAACCCTAAATCAAACTCTTCCCCATACCCCCCGTCTCTATTCTCCCCACTCTACGACTTCACAACCTCCACATACCAAGGCGACCTTTCGCTATTCTGTATATTGATGGAATCACGTGGATAACCTGGCGTGATGACCTTAGACAGTTTCGTGGTGATGTCCTCGATTTCCTTGGAGATGGGGTGGATTTCCTTGAGCAAGAGCGCGGAGATGTCCTCGATATCCTTGGAGATGAGGTGGATTTCCTTGAGCAAGAGCGCGACGACGATCAGGATGCCGATTAGGGCGAGGACGGCGAGGAGGTTGAGGAAGGTAGAGAAGATGGTGCTGGATTTGGAGGAGGTGGTGGTGGTCGCCATAGTGCTTTTTGAGGGCGAGTGATGCGCGTTTGGTGCGTGTTGTTGGGGTGAAATCAGTAGGCGGGCTTTGGGTGAGTTCGAGTTGGCTATTGCAATCGGTATAAGGGAGTGCGTGGACGTTATAGCACAAGAAAGTTTTAAACAATTTCCCTTCCAACTTGTTTACTGATACCGACCCCTCGCTTTTGTGAGGAGCCCTGCGCATCCCGGACGAGCTGAAAGGCCTCGCTCGTATTTTTGCCCTAATTCGACGCCGCCTGCGGTCATCAACCACACCCTCCAACGTAGATAAGTAATCAAGAAGTACGGAAGTAATACGGCAAACCAATCAAAATCATCGAATACATTGGTTGCATCGTTGCTATTATTGCCTTGCAGGGGCCCTGCTGTGTATGTCCAAGCACCGGTGAGCGTCTTCTCTCGGGGAAGGAGGCTTCGGACGTGGTTTGTAGGGGCAGTGGGGGTACAGTAGTAGGAAGCGCGCAGGCACATCTAGACATGGCCCATCTTTGCAGGGCTTCTAGGTAGATGCTAGAGTAAGCAGGCAGTTCTAGGGGGTAACGCCGCTATATTAGATAAAGGAAGAAAGGGCATGCATAGTTAGCTCTAGCGTTAGTTAACTAAGGTGTAGGCGTTAGAAGGGGAGACCTAGTGCTCGCTCTATTGTTACCAAAACTATAGGTAACGTAGGACGAGGCGGTGCCTAGAAAAAGTATATAAAACATAATCGGGTTTACAATACGGGCTGCCAGTGCTCCAGGGGAAACAACGGGAGAGTGGAGAACATCGACCAGGGGCGAATCTATAATTGCTGTCAGGTCACTGTTGCATTGCTGTTTCTTTTGGCGAATTTAGTATCCAAGTCTCTTAATCTGGCCGTTTCGTTGTCTCGAACATAAAAACTTGAATTCAATTTTTTTTTTTTTTATGTTAAACAGCACTTCAAAATGGAGCCATCTTCTTTAAATTTGCATCCTGGAGAACACTAGCGGGAGCGAAAACGAAGAAGACCCGGAGGTCATGCCCTCCCAACCTGGACGAAGCGGAACTCTCATCTGTAATTCTTCCGGAATTCTGATGCACTCATTTTTGTCCTTCCATAGGCGGGGATACTTCATCGCGACTTTATCAAGGCGACGGATCGCATCAGAATCTTCTACAGGATCTCTATAAATAGTTATTCCGTTCTCTAACTTAGTCTCCTTACCGGGCTGCCTAGCTAGAGACAGAAGAGCTGCCAATTCCTAGTGAGGGTGCTCTGGTGCGACTGCGTATACTCTAGATATGTCGGCGGCTCGCACTGTTCCCAGCTTGGTGTTACGGCCGATCGCGATGCTGTCGTCCGTGTCGTTCCTCACCAGGGCGACCGGGTTCTCGCAAGTGATCACACAAATCTTCCTTTACGTTTGATGTTACCCTTTTCATCGGTAATTGTTCTCCACCGTACGAAGGCTGGGGCTCCAATGGGAACCTTGGGAAAGGTGTATAGCGGTCGGAAAAATCATCTTTCCTTGTTCATGAAGCTCGTCGAATTGTCGGTCCAGCTCCCGGCGGTCTCCTGGGGATGCCAGGATACACTTTGGTGTTAAATTTGTGGGGCTCTTCTGAATGGTGTTCCCGGATCGGCACCTCGTCGAGACACACCAGATGCCTTTTTACTTTCCTACTATGCTATTGTAGATGGCTTGGTACTTCGTTAATCAACATGGCGACTCGGTGTGTGTGTTTTATTCTTCTTTCAATATGTATATGTATAGCGGGCCGCATGGATTCACCACCGCCGGGACAACGGAGCCCTCCCGACATACTGTCAGTCTTGAGTGGTTCGAACCACACTGCCCTCTGTCAAGTTACTTCGCGGACGCGACATCGAACCTGAGTCTTCGATTTTAGAAAGTCAACTCCTAAACTCGTGCCCGGCGCGTCGTAATTAAAAATAACAGATGCGGTATGTTTGAGGACGGTCATCCTGGCCTCTTTCAGAACCATTGACCGGTCGTTGTATGTGTTACTTTGTTGTTCTTTCTCATGGAGAAGCGTTGATGTTTTTCCCGATTCTCGTTATTGAAGGTCAAGCCGGAAGAGTTCGCCGACATGACCTCGCCAGGACCGTGTTTTCGTTTCTTTTTTGTGTTCTTTCTCGACGTGCTACCGTCCCACTTGCGACATATTATCCCTGTGTATTAGCTTTAGGTTGTAATGCTGCATCTCTCCCTCCTCTGCCTTTTTCTTATTCAAAAGAAAAACATGTTCAATTGCGAATCTTCGAGCTCTATAATAAAGAGGTTCATACATGCAGTTGGTGGCCATTTTCATACAGGTGGCTGTGATATCACGTCAAAACAGGGGCGTCATTTTACTCGACCCTGAGATGATGCCCTAAGTTATGCCAACATCGACGTTGCTTGGGTGTCTTCCCCATCGAACACTTCCAGAATCGTCGTTGGAAATGGGTGTCATCGTGCTTATCTTTGCCCCTGTGTCGTGCCATATCAGTGACTACTGCCATTCTAGTAGTCTTTCGAGGTAGTCCAACACTAGAGGCTGGCTCTTGCTTTGTCGTTGTTCTGTGTTTTGTTTCTAGCTACATGTCTGTTGAGAATGAAAGTTAGGGTTCGTACAGGCATATATTCTTCACGTCGCAGAAGTCCTTTACGATCCGTTTTGTTCCAGTTATGTTCTGGTTTGGTGCCGTCGGTCCATGGCGGGGGGTTAGCCGGAATTGCTACTCAAATCTGAAGTTGAAGTCCCTTTAGATATCTCTCCGCTGCTCATGGGTCTTTCCGCCCATGATCTCTGCGTCCATGTTATTCAACACCGCAGGCAGACAGCATTCGCTCGAGGACACTCGTGTTTTGTGCGTACTCACATCGACACTTCGCTAGATGGGTGGGGAATTTGTACCATCTTGGGAGACAGTTCTTCTTCTTACATGATCTGATTGTTTGACATCTTCTGCAATGCCCTCGTCAACTTGCCACATGTGCCTGAACCAATGTAGATTCATCTGTGCGTACGAGCTCTGCAGTCGCGCCTCTGGAGTGCATAGTGTCGTTGCCAGCTTTTTTCATAGAAGTCAGCATCTTTTGTGCCTTGCCTGCCTTCATATGGGCTCTTCATGCGAAATACTGGTATGGTCTCTTTGCGAGAGTGGTAAGTTTGCGCACTCATTCTCTGTGTCCGTGGCTTACATTTCCACAATGCGGTTCATCTAATTGTTTCGAACGGATTTAGTCTTTCAAATGTCATCTATGTTGCCTTCCGCTTATACCGATGCACTAGGCGCTCAAGCATGTGCGTTCTCGATGGCAATTTCCGCTGATTGGCATCTTCTGCCATAACATTGCTTTCGAATTTTCATCTTAGCTGAAGCGTCCTACCAGGGTAGAGAGTAACCAGGCTCTGATGTCAAATGCCCCAGTGCCCAGCAGAACCCACACATACGGTACCTCTCTCCAAGTTAGATCGTTTTCTTTCCGTCAGGGTAGTCCTTGCGTCATCGACCCTGAAATGCAACGTAACTATGTGGACATGTGGGTTATAGCATCATCATTCGGGATGACCACATGTGTACCATTCCCAAGTCTTTCGCTGTCGACATTTCGAAAGATTGGAAGTCTTCAAAGGATCGACACCGACCATGACTTGTACCCTGATTCCAGTCTCTTTTCGTAATCCGTGGTCAATAGAAAATTCCCCATAAGAATAAGACAAGATTACTTTTTAGGAAAGCGGAGCTTGCATATGCGCTTTAAAATTGGCTCCTCCTTCTCATCGCTTTCGCGACTCGGTAGTTTTGATATTAGGCTCCTAAAGAAACCACATGGACTTTAGTGTTATTGGAGGTGAAAAGACGTAACTGTTATCGTCTAGGGATCCCATGATTCCCATCCGGACGGTGGTGGTGTATTAACGGGTACATCCTGGGAGTGCACGCGCCTCTGTGCAATGGGATTGTTTGTTGTACGTGCACAAAGCCTCGTAGTTTGAACTAAGCTTAAGGTTAGCTAATTCAAACCTTACGCTGTAGTAGTACATACACCTTGTTTTAGGAATAACATTGAGTCCTGTTGTACCAAAGGTAGGGTAACTTCTCGCGAGCGCTAGTTCACTTCTTCCGCTGGGAAAGGTACGATGGAGTAGAAGGCGCGACGTTGTACAATCCCGATGAGATCCATACTTGGGTGATTTAAGCGCTTTTTGATTTTATTTATTCCTTAAGACCGTGGGGTTCCACGCAACCTTTTCAGTTCGGAAGTCTGGCTGTCCTTTCACATGGACATTGCGCGGTATATCTTTGCCAGTGGACGTAAGGAATAATCATGAAGAACTTTCTCGCCAACTTTCAGTATTGCACGCGGGCTTCATTGCGGGTGTGGTAGTGTGCATACCCCTGTGGATGGGTTGTGTTGGTAAATTCGAGCTCTGATCGTTCACATAGACAGGGACAGCCAGCATGCAGATACCCAGAATTTAACCGCAAGGCACTGCCAGCATCAGCACTGCCAATCCATCTCCCACCAGTTCACAACATTCAGGTCCGGCGGTGAAGTGTTCTCATTCTTCTTAATACCTCTCTCATCATCGACCAGAGCCAGAGATTTGACGAAAGAGGTCTCAGAGACACGTTACTCATCAACATGCACTTGAGCCATTGGGGAATCCGTGTTGAAGCGTCTTTTCCATTTCCACGCTTATGGTGTCGTGGGTAAGACGCGCCAATCCAGTGTTCAGACAGTGTACTCTATCAGATGTTGACTATATCTTTCCTGTGAATGCTGGACCATGATTCATCCGGCTATCAAGTGGTCATCTCGTTCGAGGTGTATGCTTTTGCTGTTTCAATGCAGGGATGCTCAACTCATGGTTCGAAAAGAGGACTTATGCGTAATGTCGTAGACTATGATTTGATTGGTTGCATTAAGGACTGACCAACTCGGAAAGTCATGACTGATTCTGAGGCGTAGAGAAGTACACACTGTCCGGGAGATGGTGCAATTCACATCGCTGACGGAGTGCTCGAATGGTAGGCTGCAAACTCTGGTCGCGATTCCATGTCTAATGTGGCGAGCGGTACTCCGGAAAACCATTTCAGCTACCAATTGTCACTTTGATGTCTAGAGATGAAATGGTCACGCCACATCCGCGGTCACTGGAGTTTTAGACCCTAGGACAATTGGATCCACTGGCGGAGATAGAGTCGCAATTATAGTCAGGAATAACAGGCAGACTAGAAACCAGAAGTACATGGGCATCAATATCCTCATTTTTTTTTCTGCAAGCCCATGGATATTCGGTACTCAAAGTTTTGAACCCTTCCATTATTGGAGTTGCCCAGGTTTGGAGAAAGTTGATGAGACGTCATTGTTGAAAATTAGGAACACTGAGTTAAGAGGACAGAAACAGACATAAGTCATTTTGGACAGTGTCGCATGTTCGTATTTCCTTCAATGAAGAGTCCGGTTCCATGACGCTTCGCTAGTATCTTTCCTTCTCTACGAAGCATACAGTCAACAGATGGTATCGAACTGTATCAAGAGAACATAGAATGATATCATCAACTTCTGTCGAGCTTTTCGCATGCGTTGTCTGCTAATGGGTAGGGATAAACATTAAGGTCTTCAGCTTTCTTTTCGAGTCAGGCCGCGAAGAAAATGCGGATAGAGTTAATTTTCGGGAGAAGAGGACCAGCATGAGCGATCCTGACCAGCCTCTTCTCCATGCCCTTGTAGGTTGGACTTTTCAGAAAACTGGAATCTGAATCCCATGATTGGGAACGGGCGTAATTCGAAAGCTGTCGCAATCGAACGAGAAGTGCGAACGACAAGAACACCCTCATGACGTGTCTGGTGGGTAATTTTGTACAAAGCAGCAAATTTGTCAACATCGCCACATGAACTTTGTGATTTTGGTTTCGGGAAGATGCTCAGTTCACAGAACCCATGATCAGATGGGCGGTGGTTATTCTGAGAAGCAGAATAGCTGAGTGTGTGAGAGGCGTAAGGGGCCGACGGAGACGGGGATTTATATCCTTCCACGACCAGCAAACGGAAACATGGTGGCGAATTGGAGGAAGTGACTAGGAACACAAGCCTTATCAAACATCGACAGCGATATTAAAGATTTCGACAGCACCGTGTCAAATTTGTGCGCCTGTGACCACCTGCTCGAATCACCACATGCAGACCAGCTGATAAATTTTCTTGAGATTCGAGGAGCCCAAGCGCTCGCAGAACATTATCCTGTCGCCAGTGATTTTAGCACAAGTCCGTGCAAAACATGCGCGCCCATTTTTGGATTCTCCAGCACCTGGGTACATGTTTCAAATATCGGTCATTTTGAATGTGAAATTCAGGTGTCTGATGTTGTTCGGCGAACTTCATGAGGTATCTTTGTTTCGTTTTTGGGAAGAAGCCAGCATGCTCAGCATCCATTTCGTTTTTGAACTTTTCGTGGATTTTACAAACGATGAGTATGAAAGATAGAAAAGTTCGAGCAGTGGGATTTATATATCTTAATAGAAACCACATGCACGTGACACCCACGTGACAAGCGATATTCCAGCTCTACTTGCAATCTTAGCCCGCCAGAGTTCCGGTCTGAGTGCTGACCCAGGTATGTTTTTGCTGAAATATCTGCAGCGCGCTCGTGAAGATTCCGAATACCTTCGGGGTTCATTGACACTTCCAACCGTGAAATTAGCACGCCTTGCCACCAAATATGGTAGTTCAGCTAAACTTTATGACATATAGGGTGGGTACGCAGTTGCCCCATCTGTTAACGTAAATAAAATGGCTCTATTTGGAGTAATAAAACCAGAATTGCAGCTGTCCAATAAGGGGAAGCTTCTTGCATGTTTGTTGAGGCGGCGTGGACCAACCGATAGGGAGAAACTACCCTTGCTATTACGGGAAAGCTGTGGAAAACACACCTTATTCCAGCCCAGAAAAAACCAAAAAACCTCCATGTGGTACCAAAAACGCCATCATAAGCCATGCCCCATTATCCTTCGACCCCCGATCCCTCAGAGTCTCACGCCCTTCTCTGATTGAACTCGACTCTAATCTCCGAACTCTTTACTATCGCTCCATGGCCTCCCAGAGCCCCATTCTGCGGATCTCTCAAAATACTTCGCTCACTTAAGTCGTCGTCCTGCCCGCCGAGTGTAACAATCTCTTTGACGCTTCTCCGTCCTCCACCATAGGACTCGAGTCGGTAGCTGTGAGGCTGTGGTTTGGAGCGGACGTATGACGAGGTGACGTAACGGAGGAGGACGCGGAAGAATGGGATGGACGCGGCCATGATGGTGACGGCGACTTCGGCCATGCTCCAGATGAGGAGGTCCGCGCTAGAGGTGTGTTAGAAAGGGATTGTATTGTTAGGTTGAAGAGTCAACGTACAGATCGTAGGTGAGGTCCTTGAAATTGCCCACACCTGGGAGGTAGGATGTCTTCACTGAGGCGGTGATACCGGCACGGGGGGAAAGTTAGCTTTTCACTCCGAGACGGCGGGTGGTGGGGAAACGCATACAGGCATCCAAGACTCATTGCAACGGTGACACCAATCTTCTCTTTCTTGTTCATTTGTAGGTTCCAGATGATGACGCATGGGAATGTCGCCAGCACGAAATCGAGGAGCGCGGAGTATGCTGCGGCCGTAAGTAAGAAGAGGCTTACACTACAACGGGAACTACATTTTGGCTATTCCGCATCCTTGACATCTGACCACGAAAGAATATGAAGGAAACTGACGTCAAACACATCGGAAGAGCGAAACACGGTACTTACCGCCTGCAAATATCGAATAGTTGTCCTGATAACTCGAATTCCAGCATGACCCAGGCATGTCCTTATCCCAGTTCTTTGCGATAGGCTGACATTGGACCAGAAGGAGGATCGCGCAAACCCAGTAGACAATATTGAGCGTGACAATGACAAACCAGATGAACGCCTTTTGCCACTTCTTTGTTGCGATGCGGAGTAGGGTGATGGCGAAGGAGGTTTTCGACGCTGGAATGGCGAGGAGGGTAAAGAATTCGCCCAGGAACAGGAACTTGTACATGAGGACAAAGGTGCTCATATCCAGATCGTCATGTCGTTTACCCATGCCATATTTGGCGGACACAGTGATGAGGGCCGTGTATATCAAGGTCAGAAACCAGGACAATAACAGCACCGCATCGTCGACCCGTAGCTGCCGTGTGTATACGCCTTTGCAGAAGAATCGCAGGTTCATGAACAGAAAGGAGACTGAAGTCATGACCCATAGGGAGATGACCAGCTTTGGGCCATTGCTGTCGGCCATTCTTGCGGAGACTGGAGAGTGAGTGATGTTCAGAGTTGCACCTTTGAGACCCGCTCCAAATCTGGGGAGACAGGAGCCATAACCACCTTTTACCCCATCCCTTCACTCGAACGTGTTGGTTGTCTGTGCGGCCTCCACCGTTCTCTCACTTACCCTGCCACGCTCCAGACCTCGTCACAGTCCTAAAGTGTTCAGGGCGGGGAAAGCACAGAACCTGATACTTCGACATAGGGTTGCATCTCTGTTCCAGAACTACGAACGTCCAACCCAGGAAACCATTCGTTAGGCGATACTTGGAGGATCTATTAGCTTTCTGGGATCTCAAACCTTGCGACGAGGGCTACCTTCTAAGGAGGATGACATGACTGGAGCCTTAGCGGGCTGGGGATGTAATCTTCTCATTGGATCACCCCTTTGCATTGAGGCCCCTGATACCTTCCAGAAAAGGTGGAAGACCTCGGTCACGGTGAGTATCTATGCCGGGAGCCGAGTGTGGGGATGTGTGATGAACGGTGTGACCTGCATGGGGAGTGTGGTTCGTACCCAATTGCTTATCTTGTGGTATGGAAGGATCATCGTAACGAGACTGTTACGAGTCAACCAGCTGCACCACGCACGGGACCAGGACGTTGGGCCAATCTCCGTCTAGAACTACAGCAGCTTTCCTTCATATTTATGAGAACTTGAAATTCTTGTCCATGACGAAGCGAGAGGCGTCTTGTTGCCAAGCCGTAGCAAATGCGAGGACGACTTGTATCGCTACTCGCGGCACCTTGCAGTTCAGCAATGAAGTCGACTTTATCAAACTGAACTGACTCCTCAACATGATAGCGGAGGGGAGCAGATGGAAGTTCACGAGACACCGCCAGTGGCGCAGAGGAATCAGGACTTTAAGCTGGACGCACATATGATAGCTTTTATAGCCCCGGGTTCCGGGGTCGTCCGTTTCAAGGGGGATACAATTCCTGGTATTCCATGCCGGGTGACAGCTGCAGGAGGCTCGGATCCCATGTCTCTGGGACTGCACCTGGGCATGGGGTGAGGAGCATGTCAGGACTCAGGAGTTGTTGTGTGACATCGCGACCAGGCCAGCCCCAGAGAGTTCGCCCGCAGAGTGGCTGCTAACGTCAGCCCAGCACTCTCGTAACTGTGTACTGTTGGTGTGGTGGTGCAGTTCGGTGAGGCTAATAATCTCAACATCATCAATAAGGAACTTGCAAACCCAAGCACGACTAGCCGGTGCGGGCCGCCAAAAGCAATATTCAAATCGTACGCCATTTTCGGCTGTTGTGAGGTTATGATCTGCCAAATATGCAGACACCGAGTGTGGAGCGAATCTGACAGCCTGAGGAAACGGAGCGAAGCTGCATGTGATGCCTTCTGCGAGTGTTGCACCTCCTCTGTCAATTCAAATTATGTATGCGTCAGGGCCTGCGTCGTTGGTACCCGTTTCGAGCGCTTTTGGGTTTCGGGCAATGGCGGGCGATTCGAGAGGTGGGCAGTCTCAAGGCGTCGACCGGCTTTGCGCGGCGGCCGGCATAGGCTCATCGTAGTATCGGAAGGCTGTTGAAGTTACTACCCTACTGGTAGGATTGCTGAGGATCTGGATCGAAGAAAAGCATCGCCGTGGCATTGCTGTGCCCCTTCGCCGGTGGATCAACAACAGAAACCGCCTCGAAAGATGGACGTGGAAGTTGTGAATCGGGATCGGCGCGTCCAGCCAACAACAGTGAGCCAAGTCCGACGCGTCCATGATTGTCCTCTCTCCTTACGGATAGTAGATTTGTTCTGCATTGCGATTACGAGTCGTGCTGAGAGCGAGATCAAGAGAAGCAGCATGCTCTTGCGGGCGAGTCATCTCACAAACTCAAAAATCTCTTCCTCAACTCACCGCGCAAGGCAGCAGAATCAATGAAAAGCATGTGAGCGCCAGCAAAAATTATGCGGATGAAGCCCCCGTAGGAGATTCAATCAAGCATCTCTCCGCGTTGTGCTATGCAGGAGATGCTAGATAATCGACGGTATTCATGAGCGCCGCGATTCCCGCAAGGTAAGTATGAAGAAAGAAAAGAGGAAGAGAGAAGGGCAGAACGCGATATAAATATGACCCGAGACGCGCTAGCTGACTAACCCGGTCTTATCCCGAAGTTTGGCCGATTTCAAGCACGTGCTTCCGTGGCTTATTCATCGTCGCTCTCACCATCCGCCGACAGTGCCCAGCCTCCCAACACTTGCAACGACCTGGCACCGATGGACATCTCGTCTGCACGCGTTCTATGACTGGTCTAACTAAGTCCATAAAGGGGAGAACGAAATGTTCCAGTAAAATTCACTGACCAGTGGTAGACAGATAACTGCAGATACATAGGTAATGCATTCTACCTCCTCTGCTGTGCTGCGAATGACATCCTCCCACTCATTGCAAATTGCCAGGTTTCTCACGCATTTCTTCCTTATCGTCGCCAGACAATCCGGCGCCAGGGGCAGCCGCTCAGGCATTACTTTACCGTCAGCCTTTCCCTCACCCTTGACCACATCAATCATGACTTCCGCCGCTTCCTTCGGATCTCCGCGCTGGTTGCCATTAATGTGCTGCACGAACTCTGCTACGGCATTGCGCACAGGATCATAGTCTGGAATTGGGGTGGACTGGTTCTTTATATTCTCGGAAGCGAAGCACTTTCGTACGGAGAAAGCCGAGCTCGAAATGATGCTCTTAATGTTGAGGCGCGCGGCCTCTTGCTCCAAACAGTCATACCATCCATCGAGTGCGTGCTTCGTGCCGCAGTACTACCAAAGTCAATAGGCTGGACAAGTTTCAGCAATGATATCGGTCATATGGGAAGCTCACAGGATCTGCCCCAGGCTCGCCCCAACACCTCCGGACGAGCCGACAAAGATAACTGTCCCCGAGTTTTTCTCACGGAAGTGAGGGAGAACTGCTTGCGTCATCTTAACAACTGTGAAGCAGTTTGTCTCAACTGAGCTAAGTAGCTCTCATAGCTGTGGTGAGTGTGCCGTTCAGCGCTCCTCTCCGCACAAGCACGGAATCGTCAGGTAGAGAGACAATGGTGCTTACCAGGTTTCTTCGGCCAAGCCAGCTTCGATGTAGGCAGCGTTTGTTTACGAGCACATCAATTTGGCCGTCCTCGAGCACCTTCCGAATCACGGCATTGATCTCGGGCAGAGGTGCCGTGACATCAAGACTAAACGTCTTTGCTCTTGCTTCAGCAAGAGCGGATATTCGGGAAACATTCCCACGAGTGGTAGCGACGACTTTGTCCCCTCTCGCAAGAATGCTGCAAAGGAGAGCTTCCCCAAGTCGGCTTGACCAACCCCTAATGAGCCAAGTGAGCTGCGGCATGATGTTACTAGTTGAGTCCGTCAGTGGTGACTGGTTTCCCTTGCTTAATTTTGTTTCTGGTCCAGACCTTCCGGTTCCACTCCTGCTTTTATACCGTGTGGTGGAGAAGGGTGCTATGCCACCCTAAACCCTCCATTAACCATCGTTGTGCCGCTTTCCATTGAACATCACGGTGTCTTGGGACAAGAACAGAAGCCTGGTTGGGTATCGTACAGATAGGAGGTTCACGATTGTGATTACTTGAGTTAGATATCATCTCACGGGTCCAAACGGTAGTTGAGAATCCATTAGCGTGGCTGCAGAGTCTCTCGTGGCGCATCTCCTGACACGTCTCCGACCTCCTCGAACAAACCCACCAACGCACTACCTCAAGAGGCTATCCAAGCTTACTTCAACAGCCTCTCGAAAATTCTCGAATGCTTCCTCTCGGCTATCGGCATTTTGTCCGTATATCAACACTCGTCCGCCCTGTGCCCACCCCATATCCACCAATGCTACCTGCATTCGTCTGGGAGATTGGTGACTCCGAACTACGGCAAGCGTCAGGTATTTGAGATCTGGGACCTCACACTTCCTTTTAAGGACAATCGCTAAGCTATCTAGGGAACTCAGCAAGGTCGACTTAATCATCGGGGGAAGGAGAATTGCTCACTCGCCAACATCGCTTTTTCTTCGGTCGCGAATGGTGACATGTCATTGATGAGCTGGGAGACACGAGTATGCAATGCATCTACTGCAGCGGAAGTCATAACAGGGATGACGGCGGCAAGCTGTTATTACGTATATGAGGTTGGTTCGCCCTTGTAGCAGTGAGTCGGGAAGTCCCGGCTTTTCCCCGTTATAAATACCTTGTACTTAAGGGTAAACCATCCTATTCCCTCAACAGCTCTAGCAAACCAAAGTCATGAGGGAAACGCTAAGAAACGCTCAAGCACGGTTGGGGTGTGCGCACAATCGTTACAAGGAAACATCCGGAGCCAGTGCACTTTTGCACGGCCTTCCATTTTCTTCCCTGTCTCCTCTGTTCTTTATACTTCCTTGGTGGCCCCATGAAGCCGTCAATCATCATCGTGCATTACCGAGTTGACCTGAGCCCCCTTTAAGCGTAGAAAGGCTGAAGCTCCCCACCCTACCTTACTGCTGCAACCGCCGGCGAGAGATGGAGGTTCCCACAAGCGAAGGAGCAATTACGAAGTTCGGCGAGCTGAGTTTCCCAAGATTTCACAACAGCGGACAGCTACCCTCGTGATTCCCGGAGTCAAAAGTTCTAGATAGTGTGACATGCGAATTCCAAAAGCTCTTTGATTTTGCTGTGTAATTTTGTAGTCCAAAGAAAACGCAGAATCTGTATGAGAAGGGCGTCAATTACTTTGGTACCATAGTGAGTTCTGCTTCCTCTCCTAGGGCTGATATGTCTCATCCAAAGTTGAAAATTACGTATTGATTCGTAGCACGGGATCCCCACAATGAGGAGTAAGAGGACACCATTGATGTCGTAGATTTGAGAGACTGTATTAGTGCACAACTTCCGACTTTAGCTCTTTTCCCACGGGACTAGCAGCTGGTAGGAAGCGATGAGTGAACGGAGTTGACTTTCCAGGCTTATGGGAAGACAAAACTGTGGGCGCTGCCTTCACATCTTGTTACCCGGTCCTGCGGGCCCTAAGGTGTGATGAGTGTGCGGATAGATTGGGGTTTTCTGTGAATTATCACGGAGCATATACAACATGAACCACCGCGTCGACATTGTCGCCTTGACGTCTTGCAGTCGGTTCCCAGTTTCGGATTGATTACGGAAGCCTTTTATGTGGCTCGTGCACTTCTTGGCACCCGTGCTCCTGAACTCCCTGACAACAACCACCAACCGTCCAGATCAAGTCCGTCTCTACCCTCGTTCTGCGTCGCTCCCGCTGCCCTCGTTCGTTTCGGTCCGTCGCTCGCTGCCATCGGCTACACACGGTGGTCTTGGTCTCGCGTATTCCTTTCACGACACCACGGCGTCGTTACCTCCTCAAATCTCAGAACCATACCACCATCCCGAGATTCCCTCCCCGCACCCGCAGCGAAGATGGGCTTCGGGGACTTCATGACGATATGCACGAAGGCGGCGATACCATTATGTCCACTGGTTGGTCCGCCTTCACAGATCGCTGGTGCTAGTGGCATACAAGCAAGATGCTACTCGCGGACCATAGAGTTAGCAAACACAATCATATTCCAGGGCGCCAACGACTTCATGCATATTTTGGCCCTCATAATGACCGTTATCATGATCATACACGTCCGGTCCAAGTTTACCGCCGTTGGTATGTTGTAGTCGCTGCCCTGGTTACATTGGAATGGTGTTGACGGATATAGGTCGCAAGGAGATCACAACTTTCTTCTACATTTACATGCTCCTCACCATCGTATCACTCATTGTTGACGCTGGCGTCACTGCACCAGGGTCTGGCGTCTATCCGTATTTCGTCGCTGCGCAATGTGGTCTCGCTTCTGCACTCTGCACTTCATTAATGATCAACGGATTCGTCGGTTTTCAGCTCTACGAAGACGGTACAACACTATCCGTATGGCTACTACGACTATCCTCGCTCGGCATATTTATCATCAGCGGAGCCGTCTCACTCCTCACTTTTAAGGGCTGGGCTGGTTTGAAGCCTGATCATCCAATCGGCGTATTCGTCGTGCTATACGTTGTCAACGCGATCCAGCTGTTCGTATACGTGTGCAGCCAGGTTCTACTCGTTGTGGGAACCCTTGAGGACCGCTGGCCCCTCGGTGATATCATTTTCGGCGTCTTCTTCTTCGTCATTGGCCAGATCTGCCTTTACGTCTTTAGTGAGGCAATATGCGATCAGGTCCAGCATTATTTGGACGGGCTCTTCTTCGCGACAATCTGCAATCTTCTTGGCGTCATGATGGTGTACAAGGTATGTACTCTCAGTGTCTCACGTTTGTCATTTTGTCTAACAGAACATCTCAGTATTGGGACTCGATCACACGCGAAGACTTGGAATTTTCCGTTGCCGTCAAGCAGCACAATTGGGAAGTCAAGGAACTCCTCCCCGAAGAGGACAAGCGCGGAACCGTGTACAACGACTCCGAGTATACACCATCGATATATCACCAACCCCTACCTCAAAATCGAGCGTCACATTACTCCGCTGTCGGTTATTAGTGATTGGAGGCGGCTCATGGATCTCGTCTTCCACAAATAATATCTCTTTACGGTTCGATTGGTTTGCATGGCTCGGAGCTTTGGCGTAGTAGCTAGGTGCAGATGGGCATGGAGACCTGCCCATGAGCTGAGTACTTCTTTGATATCTCTTGATTTGTTGTGGAACGAGGGAGTTACGAAGGCTGGGAAAGGCGTTTAAGCGACGGGATATTATAATTATTAATAGATCCATCGATTTTATATTTACTGGCTCAGCCCACATCCTCTGGGAGCAGGAAAGATGATGCGAAAAGTGTAGGAATTTCCCATACCGAGACAGCTGCATCCAGATCTTTAATCGCATCATGGAGTCCTTTCGGCAAGTTCCTCTGTTGGTCGTAGTTGCACACGTCCATCGAATTGAAAGTCACTACAGAAGTCCTCTCACGATTTTCAGATATCTACTTCCCTGGAACACGATAGCATTTTTTATTAAAAGCTGGGAGCGCAAAATATTCAATCGCCACGGCGGCGCCGATGCGAGTGTTTGTGAGCATTCCCATCGGACTTGCCTAATCAGGACAAGCCGGCGCAACCGCAGCTCTTCTGCCCAGGTGCATTCCAACTCACCACACACGACCATGCCCCTTCCAGCAGTCCCAGCAAAAAGTCCCACGCCGACATTTTCGGAACCGGTATATGTGGAACTTCGGAAGCGCTGGGCGATCGAAACAGGCAATGCAAGCTCCCGGCATATTATTGAGGGGTGTTGCTCAACGCGGGGCAGCTCTTTATATATATACAGAACCTCCTCCCGCCCCGGGTGAATAGGTATAATCTCCCGCTCTCCTGTTTCTGCCCTGTTTTGAAGCTTGAGTGATTTGTCTTGTATGTTCAGCCCCTTTCTTCAGTTTGTGCCATGTGCCAGACTGCTGTCACTGTCCTGCTGCACTTGAAGATTAACACTGACACCCGTTAGATCTTGCTATATACCATCATCCTCAGTAGAGCTGCTCAACATTCATACTCGAACCTCTCCGCAGTAACCCTTCATAAACACCATGTCGCGAAAGCACTTCTTCTCCAGCCCCGAGGGCGTCGTCCAACACATGCTCAACTCCCTCGTCACACGAAACACGCACATGGGCCTCGACGAAACGCACCGCGTCGTCTACTCACGCACTCACAAACCTTCCCAAGTCACAATAATATCAGGAGGCGGCAGCGGGCACGAGCCAGCATGGTCGGGCTTCGTCGGCGACGGCATGCTGTCTGCAGCAGTCTGCGGAGAGATCTTTGCGTCGCCGAGCACGAAGCAGATCATGGCCGGAATCAAGAACGTACCATCGAACGAGGGGATTATATTGTGCATCACAAACTACACGGGAGATATGCTGCATTTCGGACTGGCGAGAGAGAAGGGTCAGGCTTTGGGGTATAAGGTGGATGTCGTATGCATGGCGGAGGATGCGGCGCTGGGAAGACAAAAGAGTGAGAAGGTCGGAAGGAGAGGGTTGGCTGGTAATCTACTCGGTACGGAATATTGTCCAGCTGTTCCTACATATAGCTGACGGTGGCAGTCATCAAGCTCATCGGTGCGGCTTCACAGAAAGGTTGGTCGTTTGAGAGGTGTCGGCAAATAGGAGAACTTGGAAACTCGCAGCTGGTGACGATTGGTACGAGTCTGGATCACTGCCACGTTCCCGGCAGAGAGGCGTTCGAATCCGTGCCTGACGGTGCTTGTGTTCTTGGTATGGGCATTCACAACGAACCCGTAAGTCAAATATTCAGCGCACGTTGGCTCGTACTAAGTCATCAAGGGCCTTCGAACGATATCACCCATGCCTAGCGCCGAGGACATAGTAAAAGAGATGTTGAAATACCTCCTGGATCCCAACGACAAAGATCGCGCATTCGTCGAATTCAACCCGAATGACAACGTGGTGATGCTTGTCAACAACTTCGGCGGTCTCTCTGGTCTCGAATTCGAAGCCATGGTCAACCTCACCTTGGTAGTCCTTAGACGCGATTGGAAGATCGTCCCCACCCGCATTTACGCCGGCATCCTCGAGACTTCACTCAACGGCCAGGGCTTCTCCATCACCCTAGGCAACATGTCCGGCATGGCCAAATCCATGGGGCTTCAGGTCGAGGAAATCATTGAACTCCTCGACGCACCTACCAACGCGCCAGCCTGGCCAAAGAACAACTACGTCCCAGTAGAATACTCCAAGGAGACCGAAGAGCTCCGCAAGAAGGCGCATGCGGCGGATGAGAACACGGACGCAGCTCTTCAAGGCCCCGCCATGCCTTCCAACCTCATCCCAGCCCTCAGAAACGCATGCAACGCCGGCCTCGCAGCCGAACCCAAAATCACGCAATACGACCTCCAAATGGGCGACGGCGACTGCGGCGAAGCCGTCGCCGGCATCTGCAAATCCATCCTCCACAACATCAGCAGTGTGGAAGCATCCCCACCCGCACTCATCAAGCTGCTCGAAAGCATCGGCGAGAACCTCGAAGATGCCGGTGGCTCCCTCGGCGCTATCCTGAGTATCCTCGTCACGGCCTTCACCAACGCGCTTGCGACCGCGACGGTCAAGGAGGGAAAGCCGCTGGATGTGGCGACCGTGTCGGAGGCTGCTGCGCAGGCGCTGGAGAATCTGAAGAATTACACTTCTGCTCGTGAGGGGGATAGGACGGTCATGGATGTGCTTATCCCGTTCATCGGGACGTTCAAGGAGACGCGGGATTTCGCCAAGAGTGTACGGGTGGCGAGCGAGAAGGCGGAGGCGACCAAGGATATGAAGCCCAAGTTTGGCAGGGCGACGTATATTGGTGATGAGATGGGGGCGGAGAGGAGCCGGGTTCCTGATCCGGGCGCGTATGCGGCGGGGGAGTGGTTGTCGGGTTTGTTGAAGGGGTTTGAGTCTTAGTTTGATGGTGGTAGGTAGGGGGATGGATGGTTGCAGTGTTGAGAGGCTGCGTCCTTGCGCGTGTAGGGGAGGGTTGAGTTGATGTGATACCATGTCTTCTTATAAAACAGGTTAGGATTATTTATCACTCGGTGTAAATGGAGCGACGTTTTCTCGTGTCCTTCAAGGTCAAACCCAATGAGGAGCATTCCGATAACAATCCACAGATTGTTTCTCAGCAGTGCCTGCATCGACGGTCTTCGTGCCAACGTACAAGAAATACTAGGAACCACGGACATGACGCAAGGTGGTGGATATCGTATATCAATAATTCGGCCATAAGGGTGCACCCGTCTGAATACGCCTAACTAGAACCCTAGGAAGATGGCTCTGCTCACTCAAACCTGGACCCTCCTAATACCAAATTGATATCGCAGATCATGAAAGAAAAGTAAAAATCAGCCAGATATCCATCTATGCTGAAATATATGCACACTCGGTGCATTGATATTCAGAGTCAGATTCGCGGGAGAGGTCCGAACTGAAAAGGAAATTGGAAAATGAGAATCGCCTTCAAGGAGTTGCGATTTCAACCGTGCGTCTCTATGACGAGACAGTGAAATTCGCAAATAGAAGGAAGTAGAGCTACCACAAAGGGAAATGGGTATAAGCAGAAAGAAGGTGATGAGAGATTAGATTCTCAGTGAAACATCGCATTCCTTCTCCTTAGACACCCAGGGTAGGCTTTTCAACCTTGATTCGCAACCTCGTAGTAGCTGAAGGGGAAATTGCTCGGATGAAAAATCCGATCCGACTCGTCCCTATCGATGATCATCTGTGGGACAGCAGTTCGCGGAGTTTGCTCCAAGGCGGTTATGATATGAGCCTTCACCTCGGGATGCTGGTTCCAGTCGTCTGGCCATACCAACTTCCTAGAGCCCCTACATTCGGGCTTCCAGCAGCGGCAGCGTACCTTGCGCGTTATCTCAAGGGCCGGGCACTTGAATTCGTCGATCATTTTGCGTTCCAGATCCTCGGCGTCACTGACGGTGAGCCAGCCGGTGCTGGTCTTCGTGTTGACGAAGGCTTTGGTGGCTTTGCCGATTCTTGATCCGCAGAAGAAGAAGAGTTTCCGGGGTTGCGTTGAATGGATGCAGTGAGGGGTTTGTAGTACGCAGACTTGACACATGCCTAGGATTGGTTAGACTTTTGAGAGCATGGACGGGTAATAGCGACTGTAGCCTACCTGCGTTGAAAAGATAGTTAGCTGTCGCTCCACGATAGTTGAGAGTTTGTACTTGTAATGTTGTATTCCACCTGTATATTTTGAGCAATGGACAGCGACCTGACTCAAAGGATTCAAAGAATCGATGATGTGGTCGAGAGTGGCTTCAAGTAAGTGAAACGGTAGATGTGGCAATGTTGTTTATACTCATAGGAGCCTGGAACACTGAGCGCGCGAACAATAGCGAACTGAGGGCTCAACATTACACTCCCACGCTGTATACAACGCCTGACCATGAATCCGTTTGCGTAGAGTGGGCCTCATAAGTTTCGAGTCAGGCAAATCAAAGTAACCCTGTGGGCGGTGAGTCCAGTAGGACGCGACAAACGCTACACCTCTCAGAATGAAGGTTAATCTTGCAGATAATGCCACCTTCAAATCACTCCCGCAACTACAGTCTACCAATAATCTTAGTTCACACGGAGACTAATGTGGTGTCGGGGTGGTGGAAGTTCAGAGCTCATCACGGGAATCCAATATGGCCGCAGTATACATTTGCGTGTAACAACTGCGTTGACTTTGTACGGACATCAAAGCCTACCGAGTACGGCTACGACAAAGCGAGGTGGAAATCATTCGAGAAATTCGACTCGCGGCACCGTTGCGGTGACGCCTGTGAACTCTTCAAACGGTAGGCAAACGCTGCCTTCGGAACATTTACACGTGCCCGGACCGCATGCTCGCTCTGCCAACGGTGATATTATTTTTCGCCAGTCCCAAAACAGTGCTCTATGAAAGCTACGTGCTAGAATGGGACCTACTTTGACTCAAAGGCAGTATACAAACTGATGCGCTCTGGACAGGAACACTACAAATCTACGTGCATAAAATAGTCCATTCTTTTACTACGGTGCCTCTTCACTTTGGCCGCGCGGAATCCCATCCACCTCCCAGTACTCCACACCCCTCTGCCACGGGTGGTGATTGTCCGGGCACTGCCCAATCCGTATAATCTCTCTCAACCGGTCCATTTCATTCTTATTCAACTGCCCATCTTCATCGCGGTGAGTCATACTCTCAACCTGCCGCACAACATCCGAGGACCATGACTCCGGCCATTGTAGAGGGTATTCACAACACTCGTAGCATTTCGCCCACCACTTAGTTCCCTCTTCGAACTCAGGAAATTTGTAGTGCTCTTTCAATCGAGTGATAAATCCTTCTGCTTCTGCGGGGTTTACGAATCCCGCCTTGCTGTTGGGTATGACTTCGATACGGGCAGCGCGGCCGAATTTATTGCGGCAGAGGAAGATGAGGGTTCGGCGATGGTGTTTGGTACATCCGGAGCGGATGATTTTGACTTTGCACAGTCTTGCCCCTGGTAAGCTTGCGCTCCGTGAAAAGGACGCAAATGACTTGGACCGCTTACTTCTAAAGAGTCGAAAGAAAATTTTGAGCGATGCAAATTAGAAATCCAGTGACTCTCTGGGCTCAGAACAAAAGTAAAGAATGAATACCAATCTACAAACGAGACAAGCGTGGAGACAACGTTCGGGCTACTTTTAAATCGACGAGCCTAGCATCTATTGTTTCCCACTACCGTCACAAGGGCGGAGAACGGGAAAGTGCATAGAGGGAATACGGGCATCGCGTCGTTTCCCCGAGCGTTCCTAACATACAGCAAGCACGGAGCAAACCAAGAACGACGTAATCTACCCTTAAGCAAATAGCTGCAAAAGGCCCGAACAGATTCCTGATGTTCACGTGGCTCCAGCTTTTGTGCCTCTTCTGGCGCATGAGACCTACAGGAGCACCACGGGCTTACTCGGCCTTGAGCCTCAGTCATTCGCATCATTCTATTGACCTCTCACATATTGTGAGAATCTTCACAATGCCGAATACCGCCATATGTATTTTCCAGGACAAGGTTCTTTGTTCTAGAGACACCGCGTCTCTCCGTACACACGACTCAGACAATTACACAATGCAGACTCATCGAACAACCGCATTGTGCAGCTGTCACTTCCATACGTCGTCTTCAACAACCAACAATAGAACAAAGCCTATCCTCCTTCTCTTTGTCTTCTTATTTGAAATAATGATACTAATCTACATTTCAGTCTATCTGTAATTACGACTTGTTTCCCGATATAGGCCCTTTGTTTCGCTCTTTACAATCTCCGCTGCGGCCACACCGACGAGTGGCGCATGATTGTCATGTCTTCTTAATTACAGCAGAGCGCCTGCTCAACTACTGAATCAACATATCCTCCTTTGCCACTGCTTTCGCGTAGTCATTTCTAATGCATTTTCATTTTACCACACTAGCTTTTCAAGATTTAACACACTTTTCACGATAATCGCAAGTAAATCCGATATCCCATTTCACGTTCACTCCGCACGCTCGTTTGGAAGTATATCGCGACGCAATTTCGCAAGCTTCTTAGCATTGACAAAGGCTGCATTGACTTCCGCCAGTACTCTAACATCAAATCAAAACTAGATCCACGTTGACGAGGGCAGATACACAACTATACCAGCCCGGAATGCCGCACATCCAAGTTACCAACCCCTTCGCTCCCGACCACACCACCCTTGTTCCTCTTACCCACCCAGGCGCCAAAAGACGAGTGAACTTCGATACGCCGGTTGAGTCTAGGAGCCGACAAGCCACTGTTGTTGATGCCGCGGACGAAGACAGTGTCGAGCAGATACCCCTGGCGCAGACCAACTACACAGCAAGTGCGGGCACTGAGGCAGAGGTCCAACCGCGAATTACGAGTCCATTTGAGATTCCCGACGTTTATGCTTTGGGGCCGGCGCAGGTAGGAAATGGTGAAGAGGAGAGGCAGGGTAAGAGAAGGAGTGTCGACTCATTATATGCGGAGCCGGAGGCTGCGAATGTGGTGAGTCAACGGGTCAGGTTTACCGAATCGACGCTGAGGGAGGAGAAACGGAGAGAGGATAGATCTGAGACGTTGGGGAGAGTCGTGGCTGATAAGCGGAGGATGGAGGGTTCGGGGGCAACTGCATGCGCTGCGGATGTTCCCAAATCCTCCACACATATTGGTTCATCATATGCGTTCCCTGGCCAGAACTCGACGAAGGACAAGGCTTCTGAGACTAGTGCACCGCCCTTGACGTGGAAGCGTATTCGAGCGGAAATCCAGGAGGCACACAGGAATGGTCCTCCAGGGGACGGCGAGGAGCTGTTGCGGGTGATCAATAATTGCAAACAACTTGTCAGAAAGTATAACCAGCGTAGGCGGGAGAAGAAGGAAGAGGGCCAGGAAGAACAGTCGTCGTTGCAAGTAAGCCAACATGCTAATGCCCTGCTTCAATCTGAGGGGAAGAGCAGGGAAGGCGCAAAAGACATCGGCATACCATCCACTCTGCCAGAGCATCAAAAAGCACCACCTCGACCCAAGGCCGTTAAACCGCCTCGTTTCCTTCAAAGCGAAGAACGTATCAGTCAACCTACATCATCTCGCGCGACACCAGCGCCACCACCTCCATTCAGTGTGCCATCGTATACTTCCACCCATCACCGTACATCTAGCAGCTCTGCGTCTGTTTCACCGACGACTGTTATTCCGCCTCAACCACGCATCACTCCAAGGGAGTCTCCCCCACAACCAAGCGTGGAATCAGACGCTATACCACGAAGCCGCTCCTCTTCAGAAAGCGTGTCGCTCGCCTCAGTTTCCATCCCACTGAGAATCTCCCCCAGCGTTCAATACGACGCTCAATTCACAACCCTCAAGCTCGACAAAAACAAACCAACACTCCCAGCCCAGCCTAAGGGTATCGGGCTGTCTGACCCCACACAAAACCAGCGCGAACAAACACAAACGCCTTCGAGACAGAATCAGGAGACTCGTGAGACAAGGAAAGACAGGCTCAAGGAAGGCACAGCAGACGCAGAAAAGCTGCGTCTCCAATCTCCACTCTCATCTCACCATCCCTTGCGCCAACACAGCCCTCGTCATATCTCTTTGTCATACGCAGAACCCTCAAAACCACTACCGCCTCCCCCTCTTCCACCTCCTCCTCGTCCACTTCCTTCTCTCCCCGTCCCTCCCTCTACACCCCATCCGCGATCTCCCCATCCACCCACGAAAGCAAAACCCCAATCCAAACACCCCCAATTCCAATCCAAACACCACACCACCCAGTGGCTCCCGCGCCTCCCGCACCTCCCCATCCCCTTCCACCTCCGCACCAACACTAACAAACCCCACCGAATCAAAAAGTCCCAAATCTCCCTTCCAGGCCCCATGTTCACACCACACCCCCACGCCGTCAACATCCGCGAATCGAGCGGTGGTGTCGGAGGTGTGTATGCGCAAACGAGTTTGAATTGGCGGACGGATCCGAGGATTCGGTGGCCTGGCGCGAGTGACGCGGAGGGAAATGTGAATGGGAAAAGTGAGCGGGGCGTAGATGCAGACGTGATGAGGATGAGGACGGGAGCGGGTGGTAATAAGGAGACGGGGAGAGGAGTGAAGGAGAGGGAAAGGGGAGGTAGGTTTGAGAATGGGATGGACGGGCGTATGGTTAGGGAGAGACCACACTTACGAGCGGAGACTTCGCGGGTGCGGATGCGGAGTGTGGAGCCGCCAGCGAGCGAAAAGATGTCTCGTCGACCGGTGCCTGTGGCGGATGTGAGGAGGCCACTGAGGCAACAAGACGACAGGCATTCAGAATCGCACTCGCACGGGCATTCCCTGCTCAACCTGCCCCATCATATAGGTAACCCTTTTTCCCACAAAAAGACACAATCTCACGACTCGTTACGAGAATCCGCAGACAAGGAGAGGCAGGAGGCTAAACACAGGGAATTGCAGGGTAAGGAGAAGCACAAAGCAAGAGAAAACGCCCGCAGCCGCCAAAGCTCCGACACAAGTTTCGCCTGCAAAGGAATCAATTACGTAGCGGAATACGCCAGCCTCGCGACGAATCCCTACGAGGAGGAGATTCGGCAGTCGAGAGAAGCGAAGGAGTTGAGGTTGAAGCAGGCGGATGCGGGGCTAGCGAAGAGGAGGGAAGTCATTGAAAAGCTGAAGGGCAAGACGAAGGATCGACAAGCGGCGGGGATAGCGAAGGGTAAGATCAAACTAACGAAAGAGGGAGATGGCGAGGGGTCCGGCGACCAGCTAGACGAGAGTAGGTACGTCCATCCGCGTCCTTTACCTTTGCCGCCCAAGCGGGTCAGTCATATAAGTGAGGAGGAGGAGAAGGAGGAGAAGATTTTGTCGCCGGCACCGTTGCGCATACGCAAGAGGAGTGGGACGCCTACAGGTCTTGCGAGGCAGCTTGTTCCTTCAGATTCTCCGTCTCCTCCTGCCCATCCAACTCTACCTGGCGCTGTCATTTCTCCCGAGGAATCTCCCCTTTCAGAGCCCTCAGCGCAAGAAGGCAAGAGGGACTCGCAGTTTTACGCCCCGTACGACTCTATCGTTTTTGAGTATGAATTCATATGAGAAGCTAACTCTTAGTGTGTCCGTAGTAATTGTAGAAGTAAAAAGTCGCAAGTACCATGTGATGGGCGAAGAAACGGTAGTCAAGGGAGAAATGGATACGCAAGAGGATATCGAGATGAGGGGACGCAAACGGATACTGTGGTATAGAGACGCTAAGAAAGTGTTGGGCGCATTTGGCATTTTGATTTTAAGGAACAAATATTGAGAGACAGATTGCGGCTGAGAGATAATTCATGGAATACGTTTGCACTAACGTTAATGGGGAAAGAAGGTGGATGAGAAACAGAAATCGTCATGTTTACCTCGCAATAGATGCATAAATAGAACTACATCAGAAAGCACGTCTATCCCAAAGCTCCTCCTCGCGCAATCGCTCGGATAACCATCTCTTCCGTGCCTGCCATTGTTCAAAGAAAATCCAATCCATGTAAGGCAGAACGGTGACGCCACCAACCCGAACCCGCCACCAAAATCCGACAACAAAGCAACAAAGCAGCTCCATGATGACAATTGAAATGAAGCCAGTACTAGAGCATTGATATTGCTGTATCTCGCCACATCGTCAACGCCTGCCCTCTCAATCCGTTCTCCTTCCCGCTCCCCTTCCTCCAGGCTTTCCCACTCACGTACAACTTCCCAGTCCCCATCACTTCATCCGCGCCGCATACCCAACTCTGCCGGGCGCGTATTTAGCGCGCGGAGACTTATATGATGCTCGGCGGCGCCTGCTCGCTCGGTTGCATAGGTTCGCAGGGGGAAACCAGACGTTGGGATGTGATGGAAGTGACGACAGCGCACTGGACTGCTGTCGAAGACCGAGGCAGCGGCATTGGCATGAAAAAGGGGTGGGAATGGTGCGATGAGGGCGCTACGGTGCCACGGAACGTGTTCGCGGCAACGTCATCGAAGCTGCAGGTTCTGGGAATTCTCTTGGAATCTGGAAGAGCGCGCCACGGCAAGAGGGACACCAAGGATGCAGGATTTCGTGAATTTCTTACTACGCACACTGCGACGGATTACGGTTCCGCTCATGCCTCATTTTCATGAACAGCTAGGTTGGAATGAAAGAGGAGAGCCATGACTAGGTATCAAACAACCCCCACGCCTCAGGACCCCTACCCAAAGGAAAAGATCGCGTTGGATATAGCGAGGGAACGACTTCCGACAGAGAAAATAAAAGACGGAAAAGAAAACGAGAAAGTGCTGGCCAAAGCCAGATCAATCGCTCAATGGAATGGGGAAAATGTACAGCTGATATACCCAGCCAGTCGAACGCCAACGTGCGCCCCAACACCCCAAGGACCCCAGGTATAATATGAAGAAGACGAAGAGCGAGAGAGAGAAATGAAGAGCGCGACGATGCATGTACAATTTTGAGCAGGCTTCAAACACAGCCTACGCCTGTTTCCCCGTCACCCCCGGCCCAAAGTCGAAGCCCTGCGCCGAGGCCGACTGAGGCGGAGGATACGACGGTGAAGCCAGCGGCGTGTACGCACCGGGGATAGGTACAGCGGCATACGTCTGCTCGCCGGGTGCAGCGGGAACGTGCTCGTTCTGTCTCTCGGCGAAGCCTGGGGAAAGGGGTGGAGAAGCGGTGTTGGTGCGAGCGGGCACATCGAAACCTCCTTGCGCGACCTTGGGTGTCGCGCCGGTGATCTTGATGGGGGGTGCCTGCAGCGCGAAAGGCTGGGGTTGGACGATTTCGCGCGCCACAGCGAATTGCACCTTGTCGCTTTCACCGTTTTCGGCATCCGACTGTGGGTCTTTGGAGCCGTAGTAGGAGTAGCCTGGAGGAGGGCGCCAGCCGCCGGAGCGAGGGGAGAGGGGACCGAGTCCTGGGGTATTGGGCGCGGATTGAGAGCGTAGTTGTGCGAGGTAGAGGTCGGAGCGGGCCTTGTCGCGGACGGCCATGGATTTGCGGAGCTTGCGTTTGGACCAGAAACGATAGAAGACGAAGCCGTATATGACGATGCAAAGCATTTCGATGACGACTTCGATGATGCAGCAGACGAGGGACCAGTTCTGTTGGCATCGTTAGTCTCTTCTATTGCGCAATGAAGATGGGAATGCGTACCTGGAGACGGCATAAAAGAGCATATGACACGTCATTTTCGAACAGGTGCCGACGCTTGTTGTCGACGCAAGACCAGCCCCACATGTCTTTGCCGTTGCCCTGCGATTTGCTCTGGTTGAACAGTGCGGCGCCAACGGCCCACATGACGATGCTGAAGATGAAGAAACCAACAGCAAAGAGGGTATAGTATGCTGCCACCTTCTCCGCTCGCCGATGTCCGCCTCTTGTGTATGCGATTAGGACAACAATGGACATGAACAGAGAGATGCAAGCGATGACGAGAAGTGTGACTTGTGGCCAGACCTTGGTGTTATCGGCCCAAGGTGGCAGATTGTTCCTACGAGGGAGATTCTTGGTAGCGTTGAAGATGGCGAAGACAGCTGCCAGCATAGAAAGCACAATCAGACTACAGGCGAAATTGATGCCACGGAGGAAGATCTTCGCTATCCGTACCCGAACCTTGATTTTCTGCGAATCGTTAGTTGGATCGTCACTGGCTTACTGTCCCTCCCTAGGTACGTACCAGGTCTTTTGCTTGCTCCTTCTCCGTCTCTGCCTCCTTCTTCTCTAATATCTGCTCTTCTCGGAACGTAGGACTGAGAATCATGGTCTCCGCGCCTGGTGTCCGCGGCGGCGCACCAGGAGACTTCAGAGCGCTTTTAAGAGGAGATTTGGGCGTTGGTGGCGGGAGGTACCGCCTGTTATCGTGTTCTTCTTCCATTTCGACAGGTTCGATGTAGCCAAAGCCTACGTCGGAAACCTGTGGCTGGGGCTTGTAGTGAGTCGTAGGCGGATCCGCGAAAGGCGACCTTGCGTCGATCGGGGAGTAGACCGAAGTCGCTTCGGCAAAGCGGGCAGTTCGTGGAGACTTGAGTGAGGGCGGCGCGAGCGAGTCTCTTGAGGTTCGTTTCTCGATGGTCACTGTAGGAGTCTTCTTGGTGTTGGCGGCCATGCTCAAGACGAGTTGGACAGTTATGAGAGGAGGGGTCGGCGTGAGAATGTCATGAACGATCGAACAGTTAAAGAGAAGAGGTGAAGTTGTCTATGATGGAAGGGGAGACAGCAACTTGGAGAGCCCAGCTTCGGCAAGTCGCAACACAATTCGGAAGAATAGAGAGACGAAAAGCGAGGACGCACAGCAGACTGCAAGAGAAGAGACCGGCTGGTCAGAAGAAGAGGAGTTTGAGAAGTCGCGGCGAAGCGCTGGCCTTTTCTAAGGGCGCTTCGAAGGTACGCGGATTGGGTGGGCGGGGGGACGGGAGGAATAAGAGCGAGTGGGAGTACGTACTATGGTACAACGTCGAAAATGTATGGCGGCAACGAGAAGTGGACGATGGCGGTCCTGATAGGCTGGTCGCAGGTGACTCGAGAAATCAATGGCGCGCAACGGAGGGGTTATGGTGGTGCCGCCCAGAAATAGACGCCCGGATGAACAGGCTGGGAGGCAATAAACGATTTGGAAGTCAGCGCTTCCAGACCGGCGCACACTGCGGCACTGTATGCGGAATTGCTTGGAAGGATGCTGCTCACTGCTCCGCTGATGGTTGTCAGCGAGAAACGTGTTTAGTCTGCTACTGCAAAGAGGGTTTGGAGGTTTTGCGGTGGGTATGTATGCTTCACTCTGCTCGTCGTAGGAGGAGTGAATGTTCACAGCTCCCTCGGAAGTCCGAGGCGAGGGGAAACTGGGCTCTCATGAGGAGGACTGCTGCGGCAGACGTCTTCGGGGGAGGGAGGTCTGCCATGCTGGCTGCAGGTAGGACAGCGGTATTCCGCTGACGTCCAATGGATACGGCTTGCTTCGCGCTGGCGTGGCTGTATGGGGACGAGGATGGGCGGTGGTTGGGTGAGGCGGTTTCTTACTCCCCGGTCGCATAAACGAAACAAGCCTCGGCGGTTGCCCACCCGCTGCCAATCACTGTCCGTGCCTTTCGATCTGCTGCTGGACCCCTCGAGCGGCGTGGGTGCGATGGCGCGCCGTGGTGTTGTTGCTCTCGAGTCCCTCCTCCGAGCGGCGGGAACAGAGGATGAGACATTGAGATGGCGCTTGCGCCATGCCGCCGTCGAGTCCCGCCCAGAGCACCCATCAGAGAGACATCGCAATAATCGCAGCATAAAGATGTCCTCTCACCCGCTCGCTGCCACATTTGCGTCGATATTGCCTCTTTGATTGTCTCTGCGCTTGGCTGTCAGCACAGCTCGCTCAAAATGCATCTGTCGGCTGAGGGGGTCCCACACAGAAACAGCGACACACCACTCGAGAAAGCCAGCGGGAACCCAAGAAATCCAAGCTCCGCGCACGTCCCGTCACCTGCAGAAGCGCAATCGGGAGACGGCCACAGCCGTTGGAGAAAAGAGGTCAGTGGTGTGAAGAGGACCAGGGATCGGATTGCAAATTAGCCGGGTTGGGAGGTGAATTGCTGTGGTACCATCATCTCGAGAGCCCATTTTGCGGCCATATCGTCCCATCCCAGACTAGCTTTGCCGTGTCCAACCTCCCAACTTCCAAGAACAGTGATATTAATAGTATTCGCCACTGCCAGTGTTGCGTCGCAACTTTCATGTCGTACGAACCGCAAGGTGTGTTGGAGGGCCTCTGAGCAGCCACGTTGGACGACAGGTCCCTTTGGCACATGATGACCATCGTCACTGCAAGAGTCTCCCCATGTGATATTCTCAACGGAGCAGTAGTAGATTAGACTCTCGCTTCACCTGTAGACGTTAGGGTAGACTTTACAAACGGCACCCGCCAAAGGCCCGTCCCTTCCTCCCGCACTCTTCTGATTCGATTCTGCAAGTCCCTCTTACGCTGAGCCACCACCTCCGCCTCTCTTCTTCCAGACTCCACCGTGTACACCAAATCTTCCACATAACTATTTCCGTATCCTCCCCCTTCCCAAGCATGCATGTGCACTCCATCCGTATCCCAATCCCTCCGGCCCAAGGACCACCTGTTCCCAAAAAGCTGCCAAACCTGTTCCCAGCATGAACCCGTATCTCACCCAAATCCACAAAAAGATCCCCGCCCTACACGTGTGCAGCGTGCGGCGGAAACATTGTTTCGAAACAAATTATCCCCTTTTGGGTAATCTGCTGCCCTCCAGAGGTCGATCTCACTCAGATGGCATGCCGCCGATGCACACTGCTGCTAGCCGAACCTCCTTCGGGAGTCATCACATATTGCCTCCAGCCCGATTTAGATGATTTTGTTTGAGCGAAGGCGGGGCGTGAAGGATGACATAACGGGAGATCAACTATGGAGGGCACCTGTGGGGTTTGGGGCACCGTGCAGGGTTGGGATCCTGCGAACGTAAGAAAGGTGGTGAGGGGTATTAATAGTAGCGGATGGTACGATCTACGTGCGTAGAGTACTACAGTAATCAGTGAGTTCTAGAAGGAGGCTGCGCGCAGTGATGGATGCATTTGCATCTGACTCCTCATGAGATTCAGCAGGCTGGAGTTATCCCTCTGGCAATCCAACCAAAGTACGGCCGTAACAAAAATTAGCTGAGGGTAATGCGATGTTATCCACAGAACCCCGGAAAGCCAGCAGTATTCTTCTTCGAAAGCGACGCATCCAAGTCGATGCGCCGCTGAAGACAATTTGGGTCGAGTGAAAGGCGAGTTGAAGTAGCTACAGAGAACACAGCCTGCAAGAGATCGGGGACCGGTGTGAGAGAGAGCGTCATGTGGCGCAGAGGCTTGCCGAATATCAACATTTGTGTCTCTACTTGCAGCATGTGATAGCGTGCTAGAGCGTGCTATGCGTGTTTCGAGATTCCCCTATACGTGAGCTGGACCCAATACAGAATCATGTTTAACAGTAGTGCTCCTTATGTCGTAAAGTTGTAGAGGCAAGACGGGACCGAATCGAGCTTTCTACTGTGTACATAGTAAGTCAACTTTCCGTCGTTTCGGCCCCAGTTTCCAAGGTAGCAAGGCTGATGTAGCCTACGCTAGTGGAGCGGACCGAATACATTCACTAACCAGATACTAGGTCGGAGTAGCCTCCACGTAGATCTAGGAGTATACGTAGTCACACTATCGAATACCGCTACTTTTGTCTATTAGCGCAGATGAGTCACACTTAAGCACAGCAACTAGCAGGAGCAGGCGGTGCGCACATCACCTTCCTCTTAAGACTGCAGTATCTATCCCGCAACTCAACCTCAGCTACCAAGAGACATGACCAGCCCTTACCGTCCGGCCGCAATATTTGAACCAACCAAGCACGCAGCCCTTTCAAATCAGACATGGACTACCTCGATGAGCTTGACAACTCCGCCATCGACGCCCTCGCCGAACTAGAAGGAGGCATCGACTTCCATCTCCCGTCGATCACGCCCACCGCCACCTCACACAATACATCTCTATCTTCAGCCCGCTCAGCGCACCGCCGTCGCCGCGTCGAGGCCACCTATCTTCTCCGCCTGGAACATCCTCTCTCAACGCCGCGGGAGGTTGCGGACGTCCTTCAACTTCATCGCGTGCCCAAACTCGGAACCGGCAGCGGGGAAGACGGCGACGCGCACTTCTGCCGCCTCTCCCAATCCAACATGGACAGTCTAGACTCCTAGACCGCTATACATCATCCTAGAAAGAAGTTCACTAAGGTCCGACTCAGTATCGCGCATAAAGACACCGTTGAGCTCCCTATGCTCGGCCGTGACCCAACTCTCCCCCACTATCGACCCTCTGTGCCTGCTTCCGCAAGGCTAGAGGATAAGTTCCCTATATGGTATTTCTTTTACGGCACTCTGGCGTCACCCGAGCGCCTCTCACGGCTGCTCGATGTAGACCTAGCACAGCTCCCTGAACTTAAGGCAGCTACCTTACTAGATGGCAAGATCCAGACGTGGGCAGGTAAATACCGGGCCTTGATGGATTCTGTAGGCGGAAAAGTGGAGGGATGGATTTACCCTGTAATATGTGAAGATCAAGAGGATGCGTTAAGAGTATATGAAGGTGATAGTTATGAGGTTGTGCGTGCGAGATTCGTTTCAGACGGGAAAGTTATCGAGGGGAGGACGTTTCGATTTGCGGGGTTTGAGGATGAGTTAACTGAGGACGAGTTGGCATACCCTAGGTAGCTGTAAAACAGTCCAGCTTGGCTATATACAAAGCTGCTTTCCCGAACCCAGCTCGCGAAAGCTTCGGAAGGGCTTACTGGTGGTGGCGACTTGATATTACACAGCTAGGCAAATTTTGCTCGACCTGTGACCCGTGAACTGAATCCTCGTCAGGAACCTGCAGCATAGTTTAACCTAAGAGAATCTAGGACTGCAATGTTGGACGATAAATCCCGGATCCGGGGTCATCTATGCCTATAAACATCTCCGTCTTCGAATCATTGTCACCTTCAATTCCTAGGAGAGGAGCCGCAGAGTCTCTAGCTGAATCAGGGACCGAACTGTGCGTGATATCTGCGTCTTATCGGTTGGGCGGGTTACCTTGGTATCGAACGTCGCCGAGAAGCAAACACTTCAATCTTGAATACGAGACGAAGTTAGCAATAAAGCGACATGATTGGCTCTTTGCCAGCGCCCTTGCAATTGTCCGTGAGGTGATAGAGCCGCAAGAGGTTAGTGTTTCAAATTCACTCAACGGCTTTGTTCAGTGTTCCTCTGCGAACCCTTCTCACGCACATCTCCATTAAACCATCACTGACACCACGCTTGCGACGTGCTGCTGGCTATGGATGGTTATACATACCCGATCTACTATTTTCGGTTTCCTTTTGACCACGACCGCCAATGTGGAGAAGGTTATACAGGATGGATTGTAGATGCCGTGCGGCTTAAGGGATGTATTGCTACTGAGAGCCTAGGTACTTCTTCCAAGGCACATGGATTGTTCTCAGTCTTGCTTCAGACCCAATGCCTCCCGACGAGACTTGCTGTTCGGGTCCAAATAAGGCCTTTCACCAAGGCTGACTGCTCGCTGTCCTGTCCTCGGTCCCAACCCGTGGTAATCAAAGGTGGCAGTATGGTACACACTCCGATTGTCCCATATGGCCAGATCATTCACGTTTTGCCACCGGTGACGAACCTGCAAGTCATGGTTCTCGACAATGAGCTGGACGAACCAGTCCAAAGCGCGCCTGCTTTCTTCCGGCGTGAGGCCATTGATCTGTTGGACGTGATGGCCAACAGCAAATACGGACTTCCATCCCGTGACAGGATTGGTTCGAATGACGGGATGTTGAGCCGTCAGATCGGACCCCACATTTTCTGGACTTCCACGAGGCTCGCTGTAGAGCTCAAACCCGTTTTCCTTGGCAGCAGCAGCGAAACCAGGCTGGGAATATGTCGCCGTCAAGCCCTCGAAGAACTTCTGGTATGGCTCGGACAGGCGATCATACAGCTCATAGCCTGATGCCCAGAGGGTATCTAAGGGAAAACATTAACATCAAAGTCGAATCGATAGGCATGCGGTATGCTCACCTCCTCCGGTCTTTGGCAATTCAGTCAACCTTAAGAGAGCATAATCACTTGGTACCGGCTCGAAGGTGATATCGCTGTGCCATCCCTCCTTGGCGCTCTGCCTTTTTCCTGAGAGATTGAAGAACCGAGACTTGTAAATTTCCTTGGCCTGCTCAGAACTAATGACACTAATCTCATCGTCATTACCTCCCAAACGGCGCCCTGAGTTGCTGACAGGGTGAATGTGGAGCTTGGAGCTTTCAGGCTTGCCCGCCAACTGGCCCAGGCGATGAGCCAGTTCCTTCTGAAGATCGTTATCGAGGTCATCCTGCTTTCGGAAGAACACAACGCCGCGTTGAGAGACTGTGGGCACGTCAGCATATGGACGGCTTTCCAGCAAACTCAAAGCTTACTCGTAATTGCCAGGTCACGAATCAGATCGTCCGAGTTGGGTGCACGCAGCCAATCCTTCAGGTTAACGTCCACGAACTCACGGCCGATGACAGGCGTGACATCAAAGGATTTAAACTGGTCCAGAACTCCCTTCAGTTGAAGAGGTTCACGAGGATATGCGGCTTGAGGCTCCGGGGCCTGGCCAACTACGGTGATGGTTTGTGTGGACATGGTGAAGAAGACTTTCAGAGAAGCAATGCTGTTGTGAGATTCATTCAACAGCGACTTGCCCTCTCTTTATATGCGTATGGAGGATTACCGTGACATGGCGCCTCCGTATCTGCGTCTTCCCGACCGGGTCGCTCAGAAGCCCAAGAAATTGCATCATAACCAGGTTTACTCCCAAGACCAACCGTCTTCAAGCATTGTTGGTGGATGCAAAATACGGCTGGTTATCGATGCAGCTTCTGTATTGGTCTCAAGCTGTCGTTGAGGGGTTGCGCACGCGAAATGTGGGGGAGTGATGGCGTGCTGTTCGGAACAAACGTAAATCCGACAAAGGTGAGTACGTCGTGACATCGGGATACCCGCCACGGGAGTATCACTGATGCTCATCTGCACTCATGACGGGCATTTATAATCAAGTTGACCAGGTATAATGACCATGCATGACACCCACAGTGCGGTAGCTCGTCAGTGAGACAACGCCGCACCATCGCAAACCGACACTGTTCTAGTGAGAATGACTGAAGTAACTGCATTTCTGATTTGCTATATGGTGATAATCTCTTCCTATCGCATGGTATCATTCTCGCGCAATATCACGGACTTGGTTGACATACAGCAAGCAAGCTCCCACCGATTGCGGTGAATTCTCTTATGTGCTGCAAACAACACTGGTCCACGTGAAGCTCCTCTCACATTGAAAGTTGTCCATGGCTGTTCTTGCTCTTGAACACTACTTGCATACGTAGAATAGAGGACGGAGCAGGTTGTAGATCGGACTTAGACCAGCGGTTATGTAAATACAGCAGAAACCCTTCGTGTTCATACCTACTGTTTACGACGCTAGTAGTTCAGATCTATCTATTAACTGGAACGGTGGTTAACGGGGACCAAACTCTCCCTAATGCAAATCAGCGTTTCGCCCTTCGCATACAGATCTAGCTAGGAACGAGCAATGCCATCTATCTCCCAGGAACACTTCGGACAACTGCATGCCCGGCCATGTACATACCTAGATCGAAGATTATCTCGCGGCCTCAGGTAATGCTGCCTGAGATGGTTATTCCAAGGTTTTTCTGCTCCGCAGTACAAGGCTGCCCAAGTACTTTATTCCAATACGTGACCTTTCCTCGTATCTAGACACCTCCCACCTCTCTTCCCTTCATAATGAGTGGCTGCGGGATACTGAGTTTTGAAACTTTAGGAGAATAAATCTAGAATTGTGGTACTTGTTCATTCTCGTCTGCTTCATACTGAACCCTCGCATCGATTCCATTGGTGTTCGAATGATTCACTTGCGGTAGCTGAATACGATATCGTATCTGCACGGTCTCAGTCGCAATGGATTGGCCACTGTCAACTCATGTGGCTGCGGTCTTTTCGGTTTGACCAATCTGAACTGGATATCTTAGCGCCCTGCGGCGCCTATAGAGGACAAGAAACGAACATCAATAGTATAAATATCCAGCCTGATTATATAGAGGCGTTCCTCCGCATCTTACACTCCGGTTCCTTTTGTAGTCGTTTTAGGCAGTCTCCCTATCTTCCAATACTGCTGTCCACTCCCACCCATATCCACTCTGGCTACCTCCTGGCTGCTATATTCAGAAAACAATAATTGGCTGAGAGTCTAGCTTTCATTGTAAGTTGACCTTCCCCGGACCTGTTCAATACGTATCCTTATCTCACTCCGCAGACCTATACAACCCTCGTCACTGTTGAACCCCATGGTTAACAAAACTGTTCAAGACGCACTCGTGGCCTTTGTCGACGAGCGCGATTGGGCGCAGTTCCACACTCCAGAGAACCTCGCCAAGAGCGTCGCCATTGAAGCCGGCGAACTACTCGAGTGTTTCCAGTGGAGCGCCGAATCCGATCCGAAGCGCGTTCGAGAAGAGCTCGCAGACGTATTGACCTACTGTCTGCTTCTCGCCAACCGCATCGGAGTCGATCCTGACCAGATCGTGCTGGACAAGCTCGAAGTCACGCGCAAAAAGTATCCCGTCGACAAGGCCCGGGGCAGCAGCGCAAAGTACAATGAGCTTTCAAATCGCGCGAATTGAATTCTCCAAAGCGGCTGTTTCAACGTGGAAGTCCCACGACGAAAAACATGGCAACTGGCCGGTTGTGTATGTGCTGGACAACGACAGTAACACGACGGGCACCCGGGGCAATCCGAATAATAGATTGAGGGATATCTACGTTGGAGAATCGCTCAACGCCGCGGGCCGGCTGCGCCAGCACCTGGAATCACCTGCAAAACAGCATCTGACGAATGTTCGTGTCATTCTTCATGAAAGGTTCAACAAGTCGGTCTGCCTGGATTTAGAGTCCTACCTCATCAAGATGTTAGCCGGCGACGGTGCCAATCAGGTGCTCAACCGAAACAATGGTATTACCGAGTCCAGATACTATCAACGGGACATTTACCGCGAGGGCTTCCGCAACATTTTCGACCAACTTAGGGCGGAGGGTGTCTTCACGAGGAGTATCGCTGAAATCGAAAACAGCGATCTCTTCAAGTTGTCACCCTTCAAAGCGCTGACTGAAGATCAAGCAAATTCAGTAGAGGAAATTGTCAAGGGGTTCCTCATCGACATCGAGAGAGGCAGCAAAAGCACGATTGTGATCCAGGGCGACCCGGGCACTGGCAAGTCGGTGGTGGCCATATATTTGATCAAATTGCTCGTGGACATAAAGACACTCGACTCGCTTGAAGACCTGGACAGTGACTCACGGTTCTCCCATTTCTTCACGGAAACGAATCGGCGTCTGCTCCAAGGCCTCAGAATCGGGCTGGTCGTGCCGCAACAGTCTTTGAGAGGCACCATCAAAACTATCTTCCGGAAGACGTGTGGACTGCACCCTGAAATGGTCATGACACCCTTCGAAGTGGGAGGAGCAGATGGGACTTTCGATCTGCTCTTGGTTGACGAGACTCATCGGCTCAACCAGCGTGCCAACCAGCCATCGGGAGTGCTTAACGCCAAGTTTGCAACCATCACAAGAGAGCTCTTCGGCAGGGACGACACCAGTAAGACTCAGCTTGACTGGATACGGGTGAAGAGCCGGCATCAAATCTTCCTCTTGGATGCAGTGCAGAGCGTTCGACCAGCCGACCTGGCCCCCGAGCTGCTGTCGGACCTTGTTGCCGACGCTCGTGCTTCGGGCAGGCATTTTCAGCTGCGGACTCAAATGCGCGTACGGGCAGGATCAGACTTTGTGTCTTACATTCGCTATATTCTTGATCCCCATCCTCTCTCGGTGCCGCGGGTGAGAATGCATTTTGGTGATTATGACTTCCGAGCTTTCGACACTGTAGCAGACATGCGCGACGAGATTTTCCGGCGCGATGCCGAAGTAGGTCTTTCACGCCTGGTCGCCGGCTATGCATGGGAATGGAAGACGCAAAAGGACAAGAACACCTTTGACATCGAAATTGGAACCACACGGCTTCGCTGGAACAGTACCCCGACTGATTGGGTTGCTTCTAGTAACTCGCTCGAGGAAGTGGGATCGGTTCACACAGTTCAGGGATACGATCTAAATTATGTTGGGGTCATCATTGGTCTCGATCTGCGATTCGATCCAGTCCGACGTCGTCTTTTCATTGATCGCGACTCCTACTTTGACAAGAAGGGCAAGGAGAACAATCGAGCTCTCGGTAAGACCTACTCGGATGACGACCTGCTACGATTTATCACACAGATCTACGCCGTCCTCATGACGCGGGGAATCCGGGGCACATACGTCTATGCGTGTGATCCTGGTTTGAGGAATTATTTGAAGGCGTTCATTCCTTCCAGTTCCGGAAATCCTGTGAATTCAGCGCTACACCCAAACAGCTTCTCAGTGCCGTTATATTGACGAAGACAGGGGTGGTAGCCTAGGGTACTCATCGAATGTGGTCCAGGTAGCTGCATGATCGAAACACCCACCTGTACAACGTCGGATTGCTCATCCTCGGAACGAAAAGGCGCGCCCACAGGGCAGACACTCGGGCCGAGTTGAAAGTTTCCATTTCCATCCTCATTGCCTTCCGTGCCCTCTCCCGTGTCTGCGTTACGGGAGGCTTCCATTATTCGGGAATGGAGGATCCAGTAGATCGGAGGTTCCGAGATGCGTTACACTGGCGGTTAAGGGACTGGGTTTGCGGCTTCCCTCCGTTAGTTTACCTGTACGCGGGTGTACTGGGCGCGGCTGTAGGGGAGTGGAGACTGGATGTTGTGGAACCAGTGGTGAGAGGGGGCTGCTGGATTTGGTTGTGGTGAGGATTGTTGATACGTTAGAGGAGGTCAATAGCTCGTTGACCTGGGGTTGGTAATGAAAAAGGGGGGGGGGGGGGGGGAACTATGCGGTTGAGGGTACTTTGGCGCACGCGCATTCGACGACAAGAAAAGCGGGATTCAATTATTAATCCGCCAGAGAGACAGTAAAAAGATTTACCGTCGTGAAGGTCTCTCCGATAGCGTGGTGTGGAGAGGAATACTGGCCATGGGATGGTATCGCAGTGAATATATATACTTTGTCCCGCCGAGTACGATGCGTATCCTCAAGCAACTTTCATTAGAGGCCAGAAAAACGCTACTCTCATAAAGATCATTCGTAGATCAAGGGGTAAAGAGGATCAGTGAATATGGGGAAAATCACCAAATGGACGGCAACAAACGAGGATTGGATATCTGTTAGAGGAAAGACGCTGTGGCTTATTTGTAGATGTTTTACAACACTTTATTCTGGAGAATGTGCTGGGAAACAGCTAGTTCGCGCAATTTTCACCAGTTCGCAGGACACGCTGTCGGAGTGTGATGTTGGCTCGCAAGATCTCAGCATTCATTGCAGTAAGCAACCCCATTCTGTCTTTGCACTGAGCTGAAGTCATTGGGTAATCTTCATTCATGGCAACGATATAGCCCTCTTTAGTAGCGAAGATAGCTTCAAGTCGTGGCCGAGCTGTGAATAAGCCACGTTTGTTGAGGTAGATGTGAAGTTCTGATAACGCTTTGCAGTGACTAGGACCTTAGCAGCACGAGGACATTGTAATAAAGTGAATTCCATGGGTAATTCCCTATCCTTCTTTTAATTCACGCGCAACGCATATTTGCGAAGATATAAGCATACTCCCCCAGTGCATAGCAAGCCCCATCAACCTCTACGCTGTTCTGAACCCCCCATAAAGATTGGCATCCACAGCCAAAGAACAATACCCCTTTTAACAAACCACATCAAACATGTCCATTTACGAATACTACGGCGTCAGTCGCTGCTGCTGCCACGACGAGACGCCAACCTACGACTGGGACCATCCCCACTCCGTCAGCCCTCTAGACGAAGACGGCGAACACCCAAGAGACTATTTCGCTCCCCGACCACCACCTCGCCGCCAACCTCGCAGACATCAAGCAAACCACCGTGGACTTGGATATCAAGCGTACCAACCCAGCTATGACTACAGGACTTATGCCAATTTCGGCGGCTCGGGACCAGGTGGCTTCAGAGGCAGCTCGGCATGGGAACAATACGAGGATCCACGGGACTATCGTTCATATGGGGGTTGGAGGGGTCAGGGTGCTGGGCGTGAGGGCTATAGTTGGGGTCGAGATGGGGGTCATTATGGTCGGTTTTGCTGAGAGGGTATTGGGAGGAGATATGGGATTGGAGATATCCGAGGGGAGGTGCGTACGCTGGAGGCACAAGACCTGGTTTACAGTATAACCTGTTTGTTTTAAGCTAGCTACACCAGTATCGACTCCTACGGCAACACACTTATCCCTCTACTTCGCGTACACTGCTAGACTGCAGCGATATCCGTACCACAGTTAAAACCTTGTTTTGCAATTACTCCATAGCTCTTCTATATACTCGCCTAAATACTACATGTCGATAATACCTGTCCCTACCTATATTCTCGTACCTGCTTTCTTCTGCCATTTTTCCTTCCTCTCCTTAAAGTTAGTTTGGAAAAATCGATTAACCTGCACAGATTTACCGATGTGAAGCTGTTCACGGTCTTTAACAGTAGTCTTCTAAATCACGGTTTATATGTAGTAGGTCTTCCTTCCTTGTTGTCGTAATTTACCCGTTGGGAGCTATCGGTGTCAGGCGCACATTCCACTGTGACTCGTTGTAATCCCTTTCTCATCTCTCCCTTCTCATAGGGTGAAGGACCTGTAAAAACTCGAACCCCAACCGCTATCCCGTGAATAAACCAACGAGATAACTTAGGAACTACTGTATACGTAGTAAGACCTTCCTTCCTCACCACCTCGTCGTTAATCGCACCTGTTGTAAAATAGCCTCCAGAGCCGTGCCTTTGTTCTTCCCACTCCCTCAAATAACCCATCCTGTACCTAATCACAAATCACTTATAGCAGACCCCCAGCATCTCCACCATCTGACCATCTAACCGTCCCCGCCCCTACGCGCATCGCACAGCTCGACCCCCATACATACCCTAGTGTATCCGTACAACTAGACGCCAGAGCAAAAGAAAAAGAGACCAGACACCAGGCTCCCCGTCCTGAAAGTCTACCTACAAAAGCAAATGCCTCTCTGCCTCACGATAAAAAAAACCCAAGCGGCAAGTTCCGCATCCTCCCCGTCCGCACGATTGCTTTTTCTTTGAAGTGACCCCAAGCCCACCCCCACGCACAGGAAGACCCACGATCTGGACACGAAATCTGGTCACAGATGCGCCACGAGCGAGATCGAGGATCGCCACGAGTGCCCATGCCCATCTGGTTATTCTGATTTCCGGCGGATCGGAACTTCAGATTCGTACTCCTGTACACAGTATGGAGTACTCAGACTGCATCTTCGGGTAAAGAGAGATCTATGACCCTCACTACTACGACTCCACACGACCATCTATCTCAACCTCCAACCGCATCCCTCTTTCTGCTCTATCCCCCCGTTTAAAATCTCCACCCCACACAATACAACAACCTCCACCATCGACCGTCCAATCAACCCGCCCCATACACAAAAACGCGCATCCACAAAAAAGCCTCACACCCATCAAATTCAAAAACTCAAAAACTCAAAAAACTCATCAACACAGCCTCAGCCTCATCCCCCCACCCCCAGGAATACCGCACACATCGGCACGGCAATCCGATCGGATCGCCCCGATCACCATCACCATGGTCAATCATCGTCATCGTCGAATCCGATCCAGCTTTCTACCACAATAACACTCTTTCCCTGCATCTCCACGCCACTCAATTCCCCCAAGACCAGCCGAGCGGTGCTGCTGCACATCACGACCGACCATTCCTCGCCCAACCCTGTTGTACTGTAGACAAACCCAATGGAGAATCATTGATTCCCCATTTGGCCCTTCAATCGAAAGCAGCGTCGGCGGCATCGATGTCCGCGTCATCGATCCCATCGATAAATACCGGAATTCCATTACCCGCGCGCCCCACAACCTCGGCGTCGACGCATGCGGTGTGAACAATCAATCAGACCGAAGCTTTGCCTGCTGAACGCCCACGACCCGAAAATGGAAGGTCTTCGGCATGCCTCCCGTCCCACTCGCTCGAGTCCCGAGACAGCAAACAAGAAATAGACCCAAAGGAGTGCAATGCCATGCATATGCGATCGGCACTTCAATGAAGTGGCAGATTCGACCTTCAATCGTCTCTGTACGGGGGGAAGGAGGAGACATGCATTTGGACGAGTCGGCGTCTGCTGAAGAGGACCCAATCATCAGCCAAAGACGCAGCAATATGCACATGTTCATTTCAGCATCGGTATTCTACAGGGAAACGTCCGACTTCTTTCCAGAACACGACGAAAATGATACCATGGAGTGGAGAAAGGAGAGAAACAGCGACGGGTATCAAAGCGAGATCGATAGAATAGAAACCCACGGACCCTATGTCCATGCAACTGGGTATTTCCCAACCAAGGTGTCTGAGAGGGAGCATCGTTATTTCGTAAGGGTTGGCCGGCGGACGGCCATCAACGACTCTCACAGAGAGACAAATCCAACAGTCGGGCCTTTGCTTTTTTGTGCGCGTGAGACAATGCCGGGCCATGATGACTGCCCCATGCGCAAGGCACACTGTTTTACTGGTAACAAGTACCGTCGAATCGATCCGCTTGCGGTGGGCCCAGTTTAGCGACGGTGTCACGCAGCAGTCGATTTTGAGAGATCTCTTCGTCTGTTTCAGGGATTTTGACAAGCACCTTGAATATCTCGCTCGCTGCAGACATAGACAACCTAGTAAACCGATCAGCGTTGCTCGGATGATCCGGCCAGGGATGCAAGGGATTTACTGACTGTGGCCGGGCGTCAGGATTAGATGGCCGAGAAGTGGGAAACCAGTCCGGTTCACGGCCTGCAGACGGGGGCCTGTCAGGAGTCACTCTGCGCGTCTTGAAGGGTGCCTCCTCTTCCGAAGAGTCAGAAAAGGGAGGGGACTTTCGTTTGTTGCCTTGCGTCTGGGTATGATGCTCAATTTCGCGTGCTGCTTTCGCCTGGCAATCCTGGCATTGAAATCTATGGGGATATGGGCTGAATTGCATTACAAGTGCATCTGCTCCGTCAACGAACTGGACTTTGCACGAGTCACACTTCAGGGTTGCAAGCGAGCCAACCATTCGCCCATCCGGGCGATGCGAAGGGTATGCTCCAAGACCGGGTTGCAATTTCGTAGCGATGCGCCCAGCATTGAACCCACTGTCAGCTGCGGGTATCGACGAGGGGGAAACAGGTACGGTAGTGTTCTTGGACGAATGCCACCTCGTCCTCCCTGAACGATCTGCAGTACATTGGGACGGAGAACTGGGCGGAGGCATTGCCTCGGCACTGTTGGATCGCCCGACGAAGCGAACCATGTGCGATTGAGACGGAGCAGTATGCTGGAGTCCTTTGGTAGAGCCCTTGGGAGTTTCTGCGGGGGACGGAGGAGCAGAGTAGCGGAGCGCCTGACCCCCCGACGAGTTTCCGTTTGGTGGACCGACGCTGACAGATTGTGACGACTGTGGGGTTGCGGTGGTGATGGCGGCGGACGGATGTGATGGTGGTGTGGTCGGACGTGCGGGTCTCTTGAACGGCGACACTGATGGGACCGTCTGCGCGTCATCGATGGCGCCACTATCGCCTTTCACTACGCCAAAGCATGCTGAAGATGACGGTGAGCACGGGCTATGGGAGCCGGCCGGCTCAGAATCCGTGTCCCGTGACCCATTTCGCTGAGGGTTTGTAGGGGAAGATAATCTTGGGGGGTACGATGTGGACTCGGAACGTGACGTCGCCGCAGGCGGGATGTCCGATATGCGTGGCAGTCGAGGGCCGGTCTGGTCAACCTGGGCCTGCCGGTTCCTGATTGAACATGTGAGCGGGCGGTTTGCGCATGACGGCTGGAGAATACCTACCCAGCATTATGGGGCAGAGTTTTGACTGACGACCAATTCTCCCTCTCGGTCGGTGCAGTAACAGGCGGGCTATGAAGACGAGAAGTGGGAGGTGGTGTCAACGGCACATTTGGGTGTGGAGGTGAAGTTGCCGTGTCGCTCCGAGGTAGCGGATGAGGACGAGCGTTGATAGAAGCGAATGATGGAGGGCTAGCTATAGCGGATGCAGAGGGAGCGGTACGTGAGTAGCTGTCTAGCTCGGAGAGGCGAGGAAGGGCGCAATGGGGACGACGGGAAAGGGGTGGAGAGTTGGACGGATGGAGCAGACGAGGCAGGTCGCTCTGCATTGCTCAAGATGCGGAGTAGAGGGAACGGGTGAGACTCGGGCGGCCGACAATGCGGATTTGAGGCAATTCATGGGTGGTCGAGGGACGCAAAGGGGGTACAGGACGAAGTCGCAGGACGCATGCGTGCGTAGGTAGCACCGAGGGCAGATGGAGCAGCGAGGATGGGGAGAGGACACGGGCGGTTGAAGAAAAGGTTCGAAACGGGGGAGGGCCAAGGCGTGTGCATGCCCAGCGGCAGCGCAGTGCGGTCAACTGGTGCAGAGGGTGCAGGGCCAGCGGGAGGCGTTGTGATTCGGCGGGGGAAGTGCGACTATGTACGGAGTATGCAAAGCATCGCGGGGAGGCGGCCAGCAAACCGCGGAGAGGGATGCGCGACGATGGGGGGGCTGATGGGCAGAGACCCAGCAACGGCCCCGACTGCTGACGGATTGGGGGCGACTCGGGCCGCGCAGATTCCGTGCCGCTTCATGGGATCAGGGTGTGGGCAGGATTGTTGAGCTGGACGGCGGTGCTGGAGACCAGGAGGGAGGGGATGGAGAGGAGTCTGTGCTGGGGGTGGGCGGACCGGATCCGTGTTTGGGTGAATTGCCGCGCACACGAGTGGCAGAGACAGAGGGGGGCTGAGCACACGGCAAGTTTCCGACTTCCGCGAGCACGATGAGTGGCGGCCGTGCAACGGGCAATCTGAACTTCTTTTTTTTTGCGCCTGCTCTTCTCTCAAAGTTCCGAAGCGTCGGAGCACCAGCAGACAGCGGTCGCAACACAATAATGGCAGCCAGCATATCCTGCAATATCGAATGGCCCCCGTCGTTCACGGTTCGATGCCGCGCATGCAGCTGGGACGGGAAACGGCAAAGTCGCCTCGGGCTGCCCTCAGTAAGGTGCCTGGCCTGGTACTGTGCGTGGTTGGACATTTCCCCCTGCGTGGTTCATGGTCTTCGCATTCCGGATGCCTCGGTCCATCAACAAGGTTGCACATGGGAGCTCGGGAGACGGCACGCTTGTGTGTGCTTTACGTGTCCGCCCATATTAGGGCCGCGCTGTCTCGCCGCCGCCTGTCTCGAAACTTGGAAGAGGCGAACGTTAATATAAGGTTTTGACTTGACGGGAGGGGGAAGAGGAGTGTGGGGGTGTTTTGGAGTGGAGGGATTGTGGTTTTGTTCTATCTGTGCTTGCCAAGAGTTGTCCGCTCAGGCGCTAGTCCCAATATGAATTTATCCGGGGCTTTCCCGAACCTTACAATTGGAAGATGACAGTGCCACGGTGACATGCACCAAACATGCCACAGCAGCAGCGAAAGGCAAAGGCAATTTTCCTTTTGGCCTGTTTCGCTTGTCCAGCGGAGTCCTCTTCCTGTTGTTGTTGTTGTTGGTGCAATGTTTGATCGTTGAACCAAAGCCAAATGAAAGACATTACTACAGTACCTAGACCACGACCACAGATCATACCTAGGTAGAGCAGACCATGACCATTTCCTCTCCTGCCTACTATAGATTGCCACCTCTCCGCAGCGACTGCGAGCCAACGTTTGCCACAACATTCAAACGCCGTGTCCTATTACAGATTGTCGACACCTGTACGGAGTATCCTACAATTCGTTGTATATGTCCATGCTTTTCCAAAAGAGGCAGTCCATCGGTAGACCCCAACCTTGGAAAAACGCACGGGCCCATCCAATCACGGCCAGGGTTCTTCGCGCCAAGCGCTCCCCGCGGACTTGTTAGACGCTCCTCTACCACCAATATCGAATATCGTCAACTCTTCATAATTATTATTCAATGCTGTACCGTCGCCTACTCGCTCCCTCTCAGTACATAAACTTCTCTTCGCTACGTCCCTCATGCTCGCTATCGCCGACCTTCCCCTCGGCATGCCGACCACTCCCTCCCGTCCGCCTGCGCCCTCCCAGCCCCTCTCTCACCGATCACCACGGACGCCGAACGCATCGCCTACACATCGCCCACCGCTTAACTGCCCAGCAACCCTATAAATCTACGTCACCTCGACCAGCTTGCGTCTGACGGCAGCAGGGCTTTCCCGGTCATGACTCGAAATGCCGTCTCTCACAGTTCCCTCGCCGATTGTCACTTGCTCCCGGAATCGAAAATAACGAGGCTCGAAATCACCCCCATGAGAGAGATGCTCGATGCTGGTTCCATATGCGGACTCTCCTGCTGCGTCGACAACTACCTGCGGCATGCTGGTGTTAATCGCTTGTGCTTGCCGAGTACACCCAGTCAAAGATCCCTATCTCCTGTCGTCCCCCAAATCTCTAGCGCAGCAAGCCAGTGTCAGCCTGTCGTGCTTCGCATTGTCCAACCTCCCTGTGGGGCCTCGACCATGCATATATGCGTGTGCTGACCGACCAGCAAGCTTCCCAAGTTCCATATGAATGCCTGCTTGGTCTGCCCCCTTCAGGGTTCGGCGTCTGAGATACCTCCAGTGCTCATACGAAGGCACGCGGCGTAGACAACGTTCTATGCGTCTCCCAGTGCCTTGTTCCTGCATGCATCCCAGCTCTGCTGCCCTTTGCATATCGCCATCAATCCCATACACAAGCTTGGCTTCTGCAGTTGACCGACGACGTGGGCTAGGCGTGCCTTCAGACTGCCCATGGTTCTAGATTCTCTTGCAATGACCTGCTGACCGCTCTTCGTTTACAAACTCGACCAGTCTCGGCAGGGTATGGGCTTCAATTGATAGCGCTGAGACATGTGTTTCACACAGGCGTCCCTTCCCCTCCTTCTCCCCCCTCTGTCATCTCACCTCCCATCTGTTGTCTGATTCCCTAGCATCCATGAATACGGACCCATCAAGACCACTCGCACTCGCTCTAGGGACGAAGGTAAGCATTTTAGACCTTGTTAACAAGATCTACCCAAGCATAGAGCATGCCTTCAGAGGCGGGATGCACGTCGTAGCGTCTAGCTTCGTTTCCTATGGAGAAGCGCTATAGATGTTCCTTGATAACATTCAGCGGGCCTTTCGAAATGCCTCGATAGTACACAATAGTAGTGCTTGGCCCTGCATCCTAAGCAGAGATAACGTACTCGATAATGCTTATTTCGCATCCATTAGGTGACTTGAAGATATGCGAGCGGAATGCTACTAGTGCTTGTTCTGAGAGTTTAAGCTACCAACTGTCAGATCAGTCGATACTTCTCTGCAGAAGCATCATCTATGTCAACAATGAACTGCAATATGGAGTTATGCTGGTACAGAACGGAGTTTTGCTGAGTCAGCATCCACTCTCTCACTCGAAGGGACGCGGAACTGATGCTTGACGATCAACACTACTACTCTGTACCACTCCAGGTTGATAAGAGAAGCGATGCGTCAAAACGAATGCTGGATTGCCTAATACAAGATGTAATTCCTACTTTCGCAATCCAGATATCCTACTTCCGATTAAGACCCTGTGTTTACCGGAATTACGACTGGGTGGTAAAGTCGACTTCGCAGCGCTTTGAAGCTCTCCTTCAGAGAAGGAGACGAATGATAAACTCTTTCCATGTACTGATATTGAAAGGATAAACTCTCCATTGTTTTTCCCATCACCAGAGCAGACGACCAGTCATCATCTGCGCGCCATTCCCGCTCTGCCAGCTATGCATGATGGGCTTACATGTCCTTAACATGACAGAAGATTGTTGGTCTACACATCTCGGATTCTAGGGAGATGCTGTCGAATGCTCGGGCATGAAGGAGCACGACACCAAGTGAACAATATTCCTCCGTCACTTCTCCCGTCCTGATCAATCTCACCGACTACGTAATAGTCTCTGCACGAAGACATAACGTACTACATCTTCAAACCGCACTGCTCTGTCCCACTTCCTGGGTCCAGATTCTCCCGATTTCGCCAGATATAGATACAAACCTCATGGCAGGCCCATCTTCTCCTTCGCCATACAGACCATACCAACATCCATGAAATATGTCTTCCGTCGAACAACCCGCTTCCTTCAGACTACTGGCACTTTATTAATGCCGCGACTGAAGAAACCGCCACCCTTCACTGGTTCTATGCCAGAGTTGACCCGTGTTCACACTACGACTGGTCCAATTCACTGAAGCTGGGCAAAAGCCCCGTAGACGATAAGGCAGATGGCGAGATCACAGCCGGCTTCCACGGCCTTTGAGCTATGGTGGATCTTGAGCGGGATGCAGATTACCAGCTTGATGTGCCACGGAAGCCCCCTCCCCGTCGTGACTGACTGATGCAATGAAGCTGGGGGCGGCAGATAACGGCAAGGCTTCCCCGCTGCCGTTAGTGCTGGATCCTAAACAGATCATCGTACATAGCAACAATGCGTCGCTGAGACTTTCGATGGGCATCCCGCAGTAGAACTGCTCGTCCGATACGGATTCGCTCTGCCTGAGATACCGCGCAAGCTGCTCGGCGGAAATCGAATGGCATATCTCTTCCGGTCGTCAGGCACATCGGGTCTGCCCAAAGATATGATGACTTCCCACAAAGGCGGCCTCCGTATCATGCCAGATGGAGGGCTGGGGGGAGGAGTACGCTATAGACAGGCGGATGAGAGATGAAGGTATGTATAGTTCCTCGCTCTGGCATTGACTGTAGTAGGTGGTGGAGATCATCGTCCTCGGTGACATACAACGCTTGCCTTGTAAAACCGGTTTTGACCGAGGGCCTTTAAGAATATTCGACTAGGAATAGATCGACGTGCAATCAATGCTTTATTCATAACCACATGTTTATAGGACCTAACTTTCTTTTCTCGGCATGATACGTAGCCACTGTCTTCCCGGAAGACTGAGCACAGTTATTCAAGTGAAGTATGAGTTCGTTCGCAACAAGAGCGCTTTGATTATCTCTCTACCCCGGAATGTGGCATCCAGGTTACCGAAACTTCAACCAGAATTATGCTGTGTAAGTTCGAATCCTGCATTTGGTTCCATCGGCCTCGATGGTGTATATTTCTTCGGTAGTGATGGCCGGATAAAACTTGTCATTCGGCAGTGTGATGTCGAGCCCCACAACGCAGGGTATGAAACATCCCCAGATGAAGAACCCCGCGATCGTGATATCAAAGTCAATCCAATCACCATATATCCTCTGGAGGTGATTGGTGATGGGCGATTTTCAAAGTAAAAATTAAATACAGGGAAATCAGATGGCTACGCCACTGGTATACCTCGTAGTCCTTAAAACGAGGATGTCCGTCGTTTCACTGTACGGTCTTTTCTCTCTGCCATTCTAGAATAACAAGTTTTTCTCCGCTACCTCCAACATGAAAGCCCTATCCTTAACCGTCACAGCGGCCCTCATCGCCCACTCCGCCGCAGAATGCACCCGCGACCTCCTCCGCAACGTAACCAAAGACCTCCTCACAGCCTACACCTCAGGCACGCCCTCCTTCCCCTCCCTCGGCACCTCCGTCACCTACACCGAGAACCGCAAAACCCTCTCCATCACCAAAGGCATCCTCTCCCAGCCCCTGAAAATCGACTACAACCGCACCCAGCACGACGTCCCCCAATGCGCCGCCTTCGCCGAAGTCATCGTCACCAACCCATCAAAACCCTACGTCATCCACACGCAGGTCCGCCTCGATAACTCGACGTACAAAGTCGCCCAGATCGACAGCATCGTTACGACGAAAGGGGACTGGCTGTTCAACGTCACGGGGACGTATTACTGGGCCAGTCGCGAGAAGTGGGACGAGATCCCCGCGGCGAAGCGTGACTCGCGAGCCGTGATTCAAGCGGCAGGCGATGCTTATTGCGACGTCTTCAACGATAAGAGCGTCAAGGTGCCGTGGGGGCAGCCGTGCGCGAGGCTCGAGGGGGGCATGTATACGGGGAAGGGGGCCGCGAATGATCGGTGCGATGTCGGTGTTCCGAATGGTGTGAAGTTGGTGAATAGGCAGTATGTGGTTGATGAGGAGTATGGGACTGTGGACATTATCATGGATTTTGCGGGCACGCCGGGGAAGGTGGGTGCGGCGGGTTTGCCGGATAGTCATGAGTTTAGGGTTGAAGGGGGGAAGTTGAGGTATGTGCATACGTTGTCGTCTTGTGGAGGGAGGTCGTGTATGTAGGTCTTTTATGTAGGGTTTCTTTAGGTGAGGTTAGGGGTGGACTTTCAATGAAAGCTAAACACACTGCTGGACCGATCCTTATATAAATGCGCAGCTCTAAGGGTTAATTGTATGCTCATCATCGGTAGAAAGTGCTCCAGTACTGCTTTTTCAAGAGTTTCAAAAAGGGCGTGGTTTTGGTTTGACCAATACGCCCCCCTATACTTTGGTACAGGTTCCGCAAAGAGGACTTTTGATGCACTTCACATGTGTTCAGTGGGAATGTCATGCAACAAGATAAAAAAGTACTTTCCAAAGTATATACACTATTGAAGTCTACAATTTTTCTCTCCCGACCCTTTACCAGTTCTTGCTCTTAGCCCGGCCACCACCGTTGATGGCCTGGATGAAGGAAGTGTACGCCGGCTTCTTCTGGTAGTTGTTGTTCCACAGCAGAGCGTCACCCTCGCCGGGGAAGGTCTGCGGGACCCAAGAGTACTTGTCAGAAACGCCCTATGCAGAGGTTAGCGAGCGTTCAATAGCGAGACGATGTAACCGTGACTGCGCTTACCCAGATGGTCATTCCGACGCATCGTTCAACGTTCATGCAGCTCTGGGCAAGGCGGGCGTAAGCGGCAGCCTGGGTCTGGAGCTTCTGCTGGTTGCTGGGAGTGTTCATGCGGACGTCAATCTCAGTGTATGCGACATCGACACCCAGGTCGGCGTAGTCTTGAAGCACCTTGGTCAGGACTTCGGTGGAGGGCGTAACGACCTTTTGGGTTCCGGTGGCCTCGCTGGTCATGTGGGCCTGGAGACCGACGCCGTCAATCTTGACACCCCAGGACTGGACAAGCTTGACAATGCGGAGAGCTCCCTGGTGCTTGGCCTCACCGTACTCGAGGTTGTAGTCGTTGTAGTAGAGCTTCGCCTGGGGATCGACAGACGCGGCGATGCGGAAGGCAATGGGGATGAATTGTTCGCCAATCACACGCAGGAAGACGCTGTCCCTGTACGTTCCATCCTCGTTCAAGGCTGGCATCGTGTCAGTAAGGAATTCCACGTTCACCATGTGGAAACCGCATACCTTCGTTCACAACATCCCAGTGCGTGCACTTGCCCTTATACCTTCCCGCGACCTGTTGGATGTGGTTGGTCATGACCTGGATCAACGTGGCGTTGTTGTTGATGCTGCTGACCCAGCTGGGCAGCTGCGAGTGCCACACCAACGTGTGGCAGCGCATTTGCTTCTTGTTCTGCGCGGCGAAGTTGGCAATCTGGTCCGCACCGGCGAAGTTGAAGTTTCCGCGGCTGGGCTCCGTCGACTCCCACTTCATGGCGTTCTCGGGCGTGATGGATCCAAACTCGTTGCTGCGGATGATGTTCTGCTCCTGGTTGTCGTTGCGGATGGTGAGCGAGGTGCCGATGTATTGGCGTCCTTTGGCGACCATGGCGGCATTGAGAGCGTTGGCTTGACGGACCTCCACGCCATGCGATGGCATGCAGGCCGCCGTAGAGGCGAGGGCAAGAGCCGTGGTAACGGTGTTGAACAACATCTCGAACTGGACGGTGACGGGATCGATGAGGACTTTGCAGTGTCGAAGAAGAACGACGATACTTAGACCATGGTGGTTATATATGAGAAGCAGACGATCTTCCAGCTCAACCCGGGTTTCTGAACCGCGACCTCCCAAATAGCCGGCTTGACATGGGCTCGAACAATTTCCCCTGGAATGCACTAGCAATGAAGCCGTTCAAGCGCGGGTATTCTGGTGTTCGCGGCCCTTTCTGTGGAGATTCATATTGAAGGGCGACTGGGGCCGGTGGGTGCCCCATATGGGGAAATCTGAAACGCAATATGACATATTAGATCCGACTATCGCTTGACCCCACGATCTATTAACCCCGGGTCTAAGGGAAGGGGAAGAAGGTTATTGATTGGTCGTGTTTGTTTTAACCATTTACCCGCTCAGGAGTGCCCCTGGATCTAGTTAACCACATGATGGCTGGGCTTCTGTGCAGAAGAGTATGTACCAGGGCACCCCTTCTTTCCTTAACTACAGTAGGCATGTTGAAGGAATATTCTAGAGCGCTGTACGGGTTATCAATGGGAGTATGGAGAGTGTGGGAGAACCCGGGAAAGGATCGGGGATGTATCGCTACTATACCACAGCACACAACAAATGGTATGCGTCTATACTTCGATACGGTTCCTGTTCTCAATTATGGATAATTCCACCCGCTATTGAAGTTGCATGATTCAGCAAGCATGAATGGGAGAATCCGACGGTCGAACTATGTACCCGCAAGTGGCAACTTTTGCGGCGATATCTCGGCCGGCCCACTTCAACACCGTATTGGAATATAAACCGAGTCGTGAGACTTGTAAACATGCATCCTTAGAATCACTTCAAGGTCTTTGCTTCCCAAGGGCTCATTCGACCTTTCAACAAGTCCTGGGTTATGCATACTACGCCTTGTCCAGTTGAACACCCTTCGTCTAACTTGAGCCGTAATTTGATAGTGAAGCTTTAAATAAAAATCGAAGCCTTCACTTGTGTATGGCAAGGCCTTTGGATATTTTACGTCTTGTGGGTAAACTAAATCGGCGCATCTAGTCCACTGGCCTTTCGATGAAAGTGTCAGGCAAATGTGTGCACAGCCGTCCTCGGGTTCAAGCACCTTCTAGTCCAGGCCCCACAAGTCCATACCTTATGATTTTGTTGCATTCTTGTTCTTCTCTTCCTCTCTCCCCTAACTATTTTTTGGATGTTACAGCTTGTAGGCTCCGCGCAGTGAAGGATGCCATTCAATTGCTAAAGGTTAACAGATCGATTGTAGACTTGCAGACGCCGGAACCCACAGCAAATGCCTCATATAGTTCCTAACAACGTCATTTGCATTTTAAAGTTCCTTAGATTCTATGTGGTGCAGGCGTCCCTGACGTAGATCTTTCTCGATCAATCCGAATTTCTTCATAGATTGCCTCCTACCCTACCAAATGTTCTTTCCGGAGTAAACAAATATTCACGACTCACATTCTCCTGCACCTTTACGGCGCGATAGAGAGGGGGAAACCAAGTTTCTGCCTTGCGCCCACCGACTAATGCTGGCAACAATACACATCGGGACCGGGACAAACACCCCTACAGAACCGTTAATCAACATCTACAACTACCGATTCAATTTGCCTCACCTGACAAATTTGCCTTTGACATTTTTTCGTTCCGGCCACAGTGTTTGAATTCCAGCACATTCCTCGAGGGCAAGATGCCGACATGCAACATTTGTTGTCATTTCCTGTCACAGTGTTACGATGGGCGTCTCGAGATACGGCTTTAGAGGTTGAACTTAGCGCCCGGGCATAAGCCACTGAGATGAAATCCGCCGTTGGTGGTGCACGCATATGGGCTACCGCAAGTACCACGGTAAGTGACGCCGCTCTCGGTGTAGGAGCACGCCTCTCCAGCGGCTGCGACTCCCATGGAAAGCATAGGAGCAGAGAGGAGGGCGGAAAGGGTGGCTAGCTTCTTGGTGATGTGGATATTGAAGAGGTTGCGTGCTGGAGACGGATTGAAAGCCCGTGATCATGAGTCCGTTGGAAGGGGAGTGCCCTTCTATATGTAATACTTCATTCTCTAACCCAAGTCACAATTCAAACTTGTTCAAGCATGTTAATGGCGTCCGACTCGACGGTTTTCCGGAACGGCAGCATAATCACAAGAATCGACACGATGGTGGGCTCTTTCAGGAATGTGTCTGCTACAGTTTCGCAGAGGAACACTGAACAGACCGTTTTGCCGGCTAGAGCGCGTCGAACTCTGAATACGAACTGTACTAGTGAACAGGGGGAATACATTCAGTCCTCCCTATAGCCATGTTTCCTCGAGTCCGAAACGTTCAACAAGCCCGATGTGTGAGATGCTAGTTATGCTGACAAGTGTTCGACCGCTGGTGTTAGCAACCTGCGACTTTCTTCTACCGTGGATTTACTTCCCTACCCAGCTCCTACATTATCCGTTTCTGATCTTGAGCAATATACCATCAGGTGTGTGCGGCTATTCCATGTCTCCGGACAACATAAGCATGCACCCTCAGCCTCGTGTCTCAGCTCCACTTTCTAAACTCCCATCGGACGACCGTCATCATCTTTCGAAAAATCAACGGGTATCGCCAAGCATATGCTCGGCGTTCAGCTCTAGACCACCTAAAAATCCCACTGTAGAGGAGAAAATCAATATATTCAGGTCTTGACAGAGATCGTGACCTACGCAACATTATACTCGGTGTTCGGCTTTGGATCACCTGGTTAAGGTTAATCTCACTGTATGGTAGGATATCGATATATTCAGGTGCTGACAGAGATCGTGGCTTGCGCGACATCTCTACATGCATTCGCGCTGAACTTCTGGTCGATAATGTAGTTAAAAATAAAGCCAAAACTCAAGATATAAAAGCCCACCTCATAGCCCCCAAAGACGACCATCAACAGCAACCTTAAAACTGTCAACAGCTCCTTCCAATCATACACTTTATTTCAACCCAAACAAACCCATTCCGAAACCACCAACAACCTGAAATTCACTCTCCCCATCCTCTTCGCCCTCCTGACAGGCGCCCTCGCAAAAGTCGTCCCCATCCCCTTCGGCATAGCCGGCGCCGTCGCCACTATCGGCAATGACTTGCGCATCTACGTCCAAGGCAACGATACTGCGGGTATCAAGGAAATCAGCGTTGGCATACCTAACGACCCTATCACTGCCAACAAAATCATTTTTGATGGCCCAATGCGCCAGTATACGCCTCTTGCGGCAGTGTCTTGGTTTCAGGATAAACATAATCAGGTATGTACAGTACCTCCTCTCTTCTCTTCCCTTTCCCTCTCCTCCCTTCTCCTCTCTTCTCCGCCTTTTCTCATTATTTTGCCTACCCCTTCCCTCCAAGTTCCCTCCATTTTGCAAAGAAAATACATAACTCTCTGAGCTAACACATGCATGGCTAGATCCGCGTTTACTACATAACGCCCACCAACACCATTGGCGAAGTTGGTTATGACGGCGCTACCGGTAATTGGAGCAATGGTGATCTCCAGATCCCAGTGCTGCCTTTCTCGAATCTGTTGTATGCGACTAAAGTGAGAAATATGCTGGTTGTGGGGTATACAAGTGATCATAAGGGTGGGCTGTTGAATGAGGCTTATGTTGAGGTTGATGTTGCTGGCGCCACGTGGAAGACGTACGAGCTCTCCCGATGTATGAAAGACGTGTAGGGAGCGATGGGTAAGTGAGACGAGGAGTTAGGAATGGGTTGAGAGGGGAGGCTAAATGTGGGGATGATAAGGATATTGGACACTCGTTTGATTGTGCGTAGTTTGTAGCGGCCCGCTCAAGACACCTGTTCGTCGCTGAGTCGCAAACCACATTTGCCTCCACTTTCTCCACTTCAGAAGTAGCTTAAATCGTCGCTATTTAAAGGCGGACAACTTTGGCTTAAGAAGGATTGTTGGAGGTGTTTAGAGCCCTAAGACGACGAGGAATTATTGCTCACTTCGTTCAGAGCTACCACTAGATCAACTTGGCGGGAGTGGATCTTATCACAGTATAGAAAAGGGTTCACCCCGACCACCAAGCATAGGGAAAAGGCTTCTTGCTACAGAATGAAACAGGCTTTCCCGAATCAAAGCAGCAACGACGAGGAATTGATACAACAAAACCCCAGACCGAATCACGCAAATATTTGATGCGCTCCTGGAATCAAAGTTACTTAAGGCCAAAGTACTTGCGACTTGTCTTGCTACCGACCGCGCCTTGGGACAAAGGGACGGACAATATACATGTTCGCGTACGAATACTTTGTTTTTTCTCTCTACAAAATGTCTTCGTCGCCCCCCTGCGTGCTTTTCACCAATTTCCACGCATATCCCACAACAGACCTACTCATTGATAGACAGGTAATACAGACAGATAAAAATCTACAAGTGTGCCCCTTACTACCCCTCTGCATCCGAGTTGCACAACATACCCGCCATACACGACGTCACCCACGGGAACGGCCGTCAAGATTATTCCCGCTCCGATCCGATTTTGTCTCCGCTTTCCGCGATCTACACTCCGCCTCGCGCCTTACGCCCTGGGCGGGCGGGCAGGCGCCTCCACTCCAACGGAGACATCCGTCGGGAATAAGCCCAGCAGTGAATCCTTCGTATCAATATCCCACCCTTTGCCTGTCCCCTGGGATCGGCTGAGGACAATTTATTGGGAATGTATTGCGAGGGAGAATAACCATTCCAGTGGGCTGCGCATAAGCACACACCCAGGAGAGTACATAAGTGTGTGACATGATGGCTGTCCGTGCATGCTTGCATGCGCTGTTTATACCTGGGGTCGTGTAATGCGCTCAGACCTTTGGGAAAGAAATAGGCGTGGATTACATGGGGTTGGAGGTTAGGCTTTGTCCCAGTCTCCGGTTTTGTGCGTCTGGTACTTCGGAGAATTGCATGAAGTCACAGCCGGTTCGCACGAATGGATGCACGCATGTTCTGGACGGCCCATATCTTCTAACTTCTAAATGTAATCCCTTACTTGTCCTTCTGAGCCTCGCCCATCGAGCTATTCCAACCCACATGTTAAATAGAAACGGCAACAGAACTGGCCACTGACATCTTTAGTAGTTGGTCGGTGGAGGTTCTTCGAAAGCGTCCAGGTCTATATGTAATATACACAGTTATCATACACTCACTCCCCTACATGTGCCCTGTACGCTGAACCATCCCTCCCGAGTATTCCGTGCTAGCCAGCCCGTTGAACTATGTATAAGGCATCTCCTTCCAACTGATAACCGTAAAAGTTTCGTCACCGGACCATTCGTGCTGTAATCACAGAATCTGAGGACTCATACTGAGAGATCGTATCTCCGAAGGGCGCAAATGTGGTGAGTGCATCTTGGAGCTCAAACTCAGAGACTTTGCTCTCGTGTACGAAACCTTGGGCTCCAACAGGTGAGTCTGGTCTGGCTGGGACGTAGATCGTTCGCGAGTCGTGCGTGGGGGGACCTGCAAATCCGCTCGACCTACGGGCCACGTCCTGGTCGCTTCAAGTTGCGGATCTAGATCGATAAAACCCTCATCTGCATGGGCTATCTGCGGTTGTGTGGGCAGTGAAACGGGGTGAAGATGGAAACTTGGTATGTGGGTTAGATCGATGCTCTCGCCATTTGTCACTGAACTTGTCTGCGACGGGGCGGGCGAGTGACCTTCCAGCGTTGGGGGCGTTGGATAGGCGTCGGTGCTGATCGCTGTCGAGCGTGGTTGTCGTGGCAGTCGTGCGGATTGCAGAGATGCATGGGCGGTTGGGAGCATGATGCTGGTGTCCTACGGGATAGGAAATGTTAGCACTGCTCGTTCGGCGTGAGGACTAAGACATGTTGGTGACGAAGAGCGGAAATACTGGCAATAGTGACAAATGATAGAGCAGGGTAGGTTGGGCCCCTGCTTCTTGAGAACAAAGTACAATAAACGGCGTTGAAAAAGTTGATGAAAAAGGGAAGTGTGGAGTAGGAGCGTCAATACTGAGTTGAGTCAAGAAAAAAAATTTTCATACCCAGGATGAGTGAGAACTCCCCGTGCCAGGTACTGCTGACGCCCAGAGCGAATCGTCCATCATAGCATTGATATTGCCGTACATGCTAGGTGCAGCTTGGAGGTGCTCACTACCTGCAGTACATGCTGGCAGGCCCAGTATGGACATATCTGCTGACATGCTTGAGGGGAAGACGCTGCTTGTGTGGCTGTTGTCGGCCATCACGGCGTGCGGATTGAAGTTTTGAGTTGTGGTATGAGCCTGCCTTGACCAGGTCGCTTCCAGAAGAAGTTTACCAAATCTGCTTCGATGTAGACCATGTTCGAGAAATCTCCCCGTGGAATCAAGCGGAAAGAGCTGAGTTAGGACTGAGCAGGCTAAGCGTTTCTTTTCTTCTTTAACGTGGACGCCGCGAGCCAGGTTAAGTGCTAGGAATGTGGTCGAATAGGGGTCTCTGAAGTGCTTCGTGTACCAACCAAAAGGGGTGTTGGTGTAGCGCCGTATGAGGTCGAGAGTGCGGGTGGCGATACTAACGGCATCGTCAAACAAGCTGTTGTGGAAGATTAGTCCCGGAGCTTGGGAGCGTGCCTCTCCGTTCTTGAATATAAAAGAAAAATGGAAAAAAGAACGTACTCTGAGGTCTCCATATCTCTCCTGTGGGCACTCATGGATGCGTACTCTTCCTTCCATGACATGGTACGACTAAGAAAGCTAGCCCTTGCAACACTGAGACCGGCGCATTCCGAAGTCAAAAGTTGCAATGGATGGGAAGAATCCATTCTCCCAAGACCATACACCGTCTGGTACTTTTGTTCAAATTGATCTATGCAGCGCAGTCTGCCCATATGTGCTCGCGGCCCATTATGAGGTACATGAGCTGCGGGTGCATTTGCGATTGCATCTTGAGATTGATAGCGAACAGTGAGGATGTGAGAAAGCAATCGGGAAGCCTCAGCGCTGATTAACGTGAGTGTCATAAGCGAGAATGGCGATTGCCTTCTTTGACCGGACTCAATTTCTTCATGTGACTTATACATCTCCGATCCTCGCTCGCTTTCCTGAGCTTCAATGTCGGTCAGATCCATATCGTCGATACTCAAGGGTAAGCATGTGTCGTAGGAGTCGGACATAATTTTTGGTTCACATCCCAGTTGTTCTGCATATCTGGTATCAAGTATGCACAAATGTGCCCAAATGCGCCTTCGTACTTCGATTTCAATGGGGCCCAATGCAAATTTAGAGCCATCGCGATGGAGCCCAAGTTCGCGCGCTCGGGATATGGCCACACTGAGCTGCAACGACTGGGCCTGGACATCGAAAGGCTCAGGCTCGAGTGCCTATTCAAAAGTCAGCTGCGGATATGGTACGAATATTCCTCAGACCGCACCATTACGAGAACCATCCCTTGAAGAAGTTGAAGCGAGGATCGTGGGGTGTCTGTTCCAATCCTCATAACACGCTCCTGGACTTCTCGTTTAAGTGTCGCAGCTAAGTTGAAAATGTCGACACCGTGCCCTATTTCGACCTGGTTAGGGTCCTCGATCAGGGTTACCACCGCTGCATAGTAAACGGAATACAGAAGTCCGACGAATGCCTCACTGGGTAGCTTAAGTGCCTCGGGTTTGGAGGTGGAACGCTGGTGCGGCGAAGCAGTCGGCGGAATATTGACGCATTCTCCCTGTTGCGGGGCAAGCACGTTCACTGGATAGTATGTGCTGGGTAACGATTGAGCCGAAATTTCGTCCCGCTGGTACATGGTTTGCTTGAATGCTCGGTATTGGTCAAGAAACGTTGGCAAATGCAGTACTCGAACTAGAGGATCTACACGTTTGCGAAAAACGTCTAGCAGAATTTCGTGCAGACTTTCATCTGGAAGGGACATCCGTGGGTTTTGGCCGTAAGAAAAACCACCCCGTTGAACTGGTACCTCTTCATGAGTATTTTGTGCATGGTTCAGCTGCCAGTGGTTAGGGTATAATCATAGGACCAGAGCCCGTACGAACTTACCTCTTCAGCAAAAGTTCCCCAGGAGATGGGACTGAAATAGATTGGTTTCGGACCGGATATGATGTTCCCACGCAATGCCTCTGCTCTGAAATCTTCTTTTTCCAGAGATGAAGTTCGAGATTGGGCTCGGGATGGAGAGGTGCTGTCTACTTCCCGTGACAGTCTTGCCACCTTCTCCTCCAGTCTTGATAGGCGGGTATAGTCTTCGGACTTATCCGTTCCTGCGCGACTTGTTACGGAGGGAGAATATCTCTGCTGAGCGGGTTGGCAAAGTGCACCCGCCTTTTTGCAATTTGAACAAGTTGGTTGTGCGCGGTCGCATTTCACTCGTCTGGCCCTACATCTTGCGCAGGCCAAGACGCTTCGACGTCGAGTGATGGTTGGAGCGTCAAGTCGGGAAGCCATAGGAAGTATGGGAGCACTGTGAACGGAGGGTTTTGGGATGTACTTTCTATAGAATAGGTAAGGGAAGCTCTTAGGATAGGGAAAGGTAGTTAAAAGGGTACTGCAGCCCGATAGTTGTCAATCTTCTGTTCTGTATCTCCTGGTATTCCCGAACAACATGATTGGGACAAGGGCCAGGGATATCGTGCCAATAAGCCCAATATGCTCACGCGAAATGATGCTGGGGGCTTAGTTACGCCCCGTTTAGCGTCCTTACGCCCCGCGGCATCTCACTATTCGGCTCGAAAGCCAACACTGGCATAGTGCCCCGCTGCGGAGTATGGCGGTGAGTGTTGCAACGACCGAAGGCGGTAGAGGTAGGAGCCGTAGCCCGTCTCATACGGGTGCGGATGGGCCGTTGACAACGGCTCCTAAACTTGTGCCGTTAGGGTACATAGGTACTGGACATATGAGATATGACGCTCGACACAGCGGTCCCGAATGCGAGCTGGATGATCCTGGGCTTTCAGACGCGTCGGTGCCTCACTAAGCTATCCACTGCATGTACAGGATATGTTGAGGGGAATGGGGGCCGTGTATTCGAGCGCGTCCAGTGACCAATCATACCGAATGGCGACCAAGGTTAGTCATCTCGACATGTTCGCCGTTTTCAAATGAATCGCATTGGGTATTGCATTGCCCTTACGCTTTCCGACTTTACCGCCGACTTCAGAGTAGCCGGCCAATTGCCTTCGGACGAAGCGAACTAGAGTCGCCCGGATTTAAGGTACCCTAGCTTATCAAGAATCAACCAGGCCAGTCGTCGTCCCATAGGCATGTTTCAGCATACCAACTGTGGTAAGTATGCTCGCAGGTCCTTAGTTCTAATGTCGTGTCCGATACAAGGCCGCGTTTTGAAGCTTGTGACGCGATTAGTGACATTCGCATGAGTTTGGATAGAATTGATATCTCCATGCGTCTTGTACCAAGACTCTGTATTACCGTAGGGTTATTATGAGCAATAATGGAGCCAAAGCTATCCAGGTGTGCATGATGCTGAAGTGGCATCATCAGCGATTCAACAAGCGGCCGCGAGACCGTCTCGTAGCCTCGCGCCCGTCGGTGTCCTAGTTCAAACCCTGGGAATAAGGGTCAACCTTCATGGCTAGTTGGCGCGTTGCCCAGATCGTTTGCGTTCTCTGGGGCTAAGCGGTCAGGGGACGCAACCCCAGGATGCCGTAAGCTGGGAAGTGCTAGCGAAACGGCCCCGGCGGTTATTCACTGCCCGCAGATACTTAAGTTCGGCTTCGCGAACGGTCGGTGAGACCGACAGGGTGCGGGCTTGACCCTGCGCATTCACAGACACCTAGTCTGCAGGGCTAGGGTAATCTGCTCAAGGTGACGTTACTGGGCCAAGGGCGCTTACCATAGATCTTTTCGTCAAAAAGAGTTTGTTGCTCCGCTCATTGCTGAATCACCGCAGATCAACTCTCATGTACACCAAGAAAAACCTCAAGGAAGTTTGCGGCCTCAAGATGTGTCACTAGGAAAGAGACCTTACAACAGAAATCTGACAAGGAGTCATTTACTCGAACGAATCTGTCTCTAGGACAGGTACTGCGTAATATGGATGCAGCAGGCATTACAGAGAAGCTTGGTTTAGCTTAAAGCCTTGGCCATCTACCCTAGGATATTGAAGTCAGCCTCGTCTTGCGAAACGATGTTTTTCCAACTGTCTGTCCAAACCTGCACTGAAACTTGCGTCTCCGTGCCCAACCAAGCCCGCGGAGGCTACATGCACAGTGGCCATCTATCACGTTCTTTCACGACCTCGACCAGATTCAAAATTCATTCACAACCTTGGAAGCAAATCACGCCATGCGTTCACACCCGCTGCTAACGACTATATTGTCTTTAGAGAAAAGCTTATCATTTCTCTAGGAGCCATATATCCAACCCCGTGACCTTCTACTGAGTCGGGTCGGATTTAGATTTGACGGCGTTAAACTTCGCGGAAACGGAGACTCACCATTTGAGACTTGGATATGTCTATGTGCGCAGACATCGGACCTCAAAGCCTTGTCCTGCAACGTCATCGTGCGCCCCACAACCTGGATCGGAAGGATTTCGTAACACCTTTGCCGCGATGACTCCGGGTTCGCGTTTTTGCGAAGTGCAAGCACTGTAGCTTGCTCATCATGCTTACTCTCCACAATCGCACCAGTCACAGCCCGTCTTACTTTTCAGTTGGAGGCCCAAGTGGCCTATTGTACGGGTTGCTAACGGTCATTATCCATGCTGGGCTCACGCGTAGGCGCTTACAGGTTTACAGCTGTGCAAAGGAGAATTTTATCGGCCATTACTTACCGATTTCTTACGGCTAGCCAAAGATTCAGGGAATATGATAAGACTAAGTCTGTCGTCCCATCAAACATATCCATTTTTGATTCCTCATGTGAAGTTATTTTCGCCATAGCACTTTACCACTTTCGATCAACCACTTTAATTCTCAAGCACTGCTTTGGTTGCAGTAGGTCTTGGATGTTATACTCGTAGTTTGGCGCAGAAGGGGTATCCAGAGTACGTGTAAGAGAATAGTGTAGTTGCTGAACCCATTTACTGTCCACTACGGATTTGAGCTCGTTACATACAGGAAGACCTCTAAGGTTGGAAACCCAGGTCGAATGAGAACTTTAAAGCTAAAGCATGTATTTGGTGGTTATAAAAGGTAAGATGACATAGGATAAGTCATTGGCAAGTCACAGTGATCCACCTCTCTTTGTCCCATGGATTCTGGCATCACCACTGCCCTTCTACACGGCAAGACTTATGGCTGAGGCACTTGCCCCTTAACAGTCGCCGCAAACACGTCATATTTTCGTCCATCTCCATGCTTAATCCTAGCCCCTCCATCCGCAACATCAACACCTATCCAGGAATCAGTGCCCCACGCATTGGCACCAAACAGCTTTCTATTGTATTTGTCTCAAAATGAGCTTTCCAACGGATAGATACCAATAGCAACTCTTGAGGTTCTTAGAATATCATCCTTCCCAACATCTATCGTACGAACGTTTCAACAAGGGGTCAACGTCGCTTCTCGCACGAGCACTGCATTGTGATCTAACACGACGCCCTATTACACCGCCATGGCGATGCTCGTATCCAAGCCCACTTTCCCATTAACAGGAAGCTTTGCAGTATGGTTGAGTGTCTACTCAAAAGCCCTAAATATGGTTCACTGGCAGTGCCCGCTGTAACCTCGAACTGAGGTGCCCAACGAACCGCGAAACCATGACACTCTACGAAACAGAGCTTGTAATCGTCGCGAGACTCACACATCGGTTTCGGCCGAATCAACATCACAACAAGATACCTTAGGGTGCCTCACATTTGCACGGCCCACTATGCAACCCTGGGAACACAGGGTCAGCGTTTACTCGCGGCCATGGCGCCCAGAACAATGCCGCCCATACCAAATGTTGTGAGTCAAGCCGACCAGCGGCTTTCTACCCCTTTAATCCACCTCGACATCATGCATTGCCCCTGAGACACCGCGAGATCACCTTGCTACTCCCTTTCCCGTCCCTCCGCCGTGCACCCGGCTCTACTGCCTCCAGTAACGCCCAGCGCCACCCTGCACTTCCCACCTCCCAAAGCACAACCCTACGACATCGCCACCCCCTTAAGCGGCCCACCCACATTGGCTACAGAAGGAGACATCCCAGGTCCTGCCCCAGCCGCAAGAAGGGCAGGGAATCTTCTCACAGCAGCCAACAACAATTCTACCGGGCGAGGGAGACGCAAGGTCATTGACAGCGAGGCGAGTCTGCTGGCTTGCCACGAGCGCGTTGGTGCTCTACGGGTTACAGTGTTTGCATGGAAGGGGCTCGGATGCGGTTCACTGCGTTGGAGGGACTCTGCCCCGGGGATTAGGGGTTGGAAGGTCTTTGCAGGAGGACTTCATGGTGTGTGGCATCTGTTTTCTTGCCACTGCTCTGTGCAGTGATGGTTTGCCAATCCTTGGGTGGCAGTTCTACATTATAGGGGATGTGATGCCGCTGTTAATCATAAGTGCACGTTACTCTCTTCCAGTCAGTTGAATTGTGTCACTGCTTCCATCACCCGCTGAAACCCGAGATAGGAGCCACAAGAGCGGCCCGAAGGAGTCACCCTTTTCTCATGCCTCTGTTATTCTTGACCCCTTGCCCAAAGGTGAACCGCAGCTATCGGAAGTAGGAGAACCAAATACTGATGCTTGTTTTAAATGGAAACTGAAAAACTCTCGCCAACTCTAGTAATGGAGTATTTTAAAGCCGGTGATACGCCAGGATTTCTGCATATCGGACTCTCTCTGGCAACGCGCTGAATCGGCGCGGCCAGCTTAGGGCCAATATACGTCGAGCGGCGTTGGGCTTGTGCAGCAAAAAATGTTCGTACTTGTAAAAGGGATGGCATGGAATCCTGTCTAAGCCGTTAGGCCGTACATACGGTCATTTCATACATTGTAACCTGGCACGCATTCGGACAGTTTCTGTCTTTCCAGGGTGCAAGCATGGGCGGACTGATGTAAAGGGAGCTCGTCAGAATATTGAGATATTCGAGATTACGTTCAAAGTACTCCTTACGCACCGACCCATTCCAGGATGATATACGCAACTGAAATCTGAAGAGACCAATTGTGTTATTGTTCAAGTGTTCATAAAGTCGAGAAATCCCACCAGTAAAGTCACCAGCGACCGACCAATCAACTCCCTACTCAATGATCTCAAGCTCGCTCGTCCTGTCCTTAGCAAAATCGTCCTTGTAATCGTCCCAAATCCGGAGCAGCTCCTTGATATACTCCGAATGAATTTGTGCAACATAAGCATCGTCAGGATGCCTTGACTGCACAACCTGAATCGGCTTTCCTACTACAATATTAATCGGTTTCCGGTATGGCAGCATACCAACATCGTAGTTGAAGACACCTCGAGCATGGAAAATGGGCATAGTGAATCCGAAGAGCTTCTTGACAGCAAGCTGAAACGCATGCAGGTATGGGTGCGAAGATGCGTCCACCTGCTGGTAGATATCGCTCTCGCCGAATGCGAGCACGGGCACAAGATCAGCGCCATTGGCAATGGCTCTTTTCACGAACCCTTTGCGGGAGAGGAGAAGGAGACGAATGGTTCCAGGCTTGGCTTCGAGTGCTTCACGAGCACCACCTACAACGATGGTAACTGCGCGGCCCATGCCTTCGCCGTTGACGCCTCCCTTTGACAGAATGTTATCGATGGATTGCCGAGAGACGGATCCAAGGCCCAGGTATAACGCATACTCCCGATAAAGGGGAGTCTTGAAGTTGGTGTCCAGCGTAAGCAGCGTGTTTGTTATGCCTGGGAAGAGCTGTGAGAAGCCGAGTGCTTCTGTTGCAAAGGCAGCGAAAGCACCATGTGAAATGATGCCATGAGGGTGATATCCGAACACGTATTTGCGTGTTGGCTCGAGTTCGTACGTCCGATGAAGACGGGCCGGGAAGTACGAAGCGAACAAAGACCATATACGGAGTCGCCGGATTCTCTCGCTACGATATGATAGTTCTCCTGATATTCCTGCATTCGAAAAAAGAACGAATATGACGTAAGGCAGCAGTATCGGCCAAAGGAGTGGTATACTGCAAAGAAAGAAGAAGATAGTCAGAAGACAGAAGGGCGTCAGAGTGTGAATCAAAACAGCGAGGGTTTGTAGACGGCGCTGAAGGGGAACATTGAGAGGGGCAAATCGTATCCTTGAACCGGTGAGCAAACTGCATTCCAAAAAACCAACAAGGAGGCGTACTTAGACTTCTGCCATCCCGCACCAGCTTGCTTCCCTGACATGAGGGTTGACGTGCGCCTCCTGGGAGCATCAGGGGTGCGAGTACTCTTCGCGTACTTTTCAGACACCTTTACGCTTGTCAAAGGCATTCCTGTCCCATTCTGATGCTTTTCAAAAATCTCAGACTCCAGCTGACCGCCGTGCTTGCGTCGGGGAGACCCTAGGGATTTGACGGATGACCTTCGCCTGTCAGGACTCCTAGGACTGTCGTCCTCTCCTCTCCCTTCATAGTGTTCTTTATCCTCGCTTGTCGGTATCGTTATTTTGCCGTTTGCTTGAATGGTCTGTACACTTTTTGCTCTGTCTGACTTCTTCATATCGACTGGCGCATCGACAATGTCTTCTTTGGCTGCTTCGGCGTATGACTTGGGAGGTAAATGTCGAGTTTTGCGTTCGTTCGGATCAGCGGGCTCAGGGTTCGGGTTTCGAATCTGTTCGTCTGGGCCTGGAGACAGAGCCTCTTCAGCAGCTTCGTCATACGATTTGGGTGCGAGATTGTGAGCCTTTCGCTCTTGTGGGGCAGCAGGCTCCGCAGGAAGCGCCATGTCTGACAGTACGGTTGCAGCACTGGACAAAGAAGAGAAGAATGAGGGGTCTTTCAGTCCTCAGAGGTCATATTTAAGATGTCGTTGGATGTTGCGTGGGTCCCAACAAAACCACCGAGGCTGGCTCTAGCCGGGGAATGACGTCGGTTCCTTATGTGCGATGCATGTGCTTGTGGCGCGTTGGCTAGAAAGGCCTTTCTCTTGAGATTTGCGAAGATAGTTTGACCTTCCGTTCTACGACGTAGAGGAAGAATGAGGTAGAAGAGGAGGGCATGAAAGGATGCCCTTAATTGTTGTGGAATGCACTTGAATCTCCAACGGCGCAGATGGATGCGATTGCTGTCAAGGGTCAAGATCAAGCTAAACCCGTTCAGGTATGAACGATTGTGGCCGTGGTCTGTGGCGCAGTTGGACCCCTTCCCTTGTTTCAAACCCACGATCGACAAACCATCTCAGTGCCGGATTACTCTAATTCGCCACTACTGAAGCATGTTCCGAGCTTCTGCCAAAGTTATCATGTTGTTGTTCTGCCACTCGCACCCACTGTGGGAGGAGTTTCGCTCGCCAGGGTGACTCAGTCATTGTTGTCAGCAAGACTTGTTCCGTCTGGTCACTTGCCACATATCACCGTTCATCTTGGATGCCAGTGCCTCCGTTTGCAGCCCAACAAAATCCGTGAACAAAATAGGTGCAGATGTCGTTTCAGATAACTCCAGGCCGCTCTTCTCGGGTGAAAAACTCACGGAAATCCACTGCTTCCTCTCTGGGGCTCCGACGTTCAACTTCTTCCCCTTCCTCTAGTCCGCGCGTTCGCAAAACCTCTTCGGCTTCAAGGCCTACCTTATCCCAGGGAAATACTGAAGAACTAGCACTGGACGATACCGGAGCTATTGTCTCACTCGCGGTAAATTTTCACTTTCGAGATGTCAGGGAGTGCGTACAACACATCCGAACTGCGATGTTTGAGGATATTCCAGAATCAGGGGCTGGGATGAATTCAACTCGAATAGCGGAGGTACTGAACTTCCGCAAAAATCTGCCTCCCATCGTTACGGTGGCCCATGTCGATGCACTGAGCAGATCGTCGACTAGGACAGAGCGGGAGATCAATGAGCTGGCGCAGGCTGGCGTTTTGAGGAGAGTGATCCTACCGCATCGCGGTGGAGGGGCAGCTGATATAGGAGACGGTTTGGCTCTTGTAGAGGAGTGGGACAAGTTAGTTCTGTCCCATCCTGATTTGGACGAGGGAGTGAAGTGTACGTCTTCTCATCATAGTCCACCTGCGTTTTGCTGAAATTCTCAAAGCCAAATATCTGTCACTAATCCACGGCAACCCAACATCAGCAACAATATCTGGAGACTCCTTCACCGCTCCCGAGCTGAAAACGCTTATGGCCTCTGGTTTTCTCACGACTCCTACTGGCGGCAGTTCTGTGTCTTCCCTCTTTGCATCACCAGGTGCAGGAACCCTCTCGGGACTTTCAACTGCGGGCTCGCGACATGCAGCAGGGTCGCTTGCTGCTGTTGGTGGTGCCCAAGCTGCTCATCATATATCCGGCGGCCGTCCCAGCTGGAAGCCCGGTTCCTCATTGTATACTTTCTCTCTGCCAAATACTGGTTCCCACATCAAGCTCGTCACCGATGCACGCAACCACTTCCTCTCTCTGCTCAAGAAGTCAAAATACAAACAAGCACCGCTGGATGTCCTGCGCGAGCGCTGGGACGGTGGCGTTCCAGGGTCGGATGAACAGACGCGTGCGAAGAGGGTTAGGGGAGAGTTCGCTGGCGTGCTACCTGGCCGTACGAAGAAATGGAAGCAGTTTTTCGGCATGAAGTTTGAGTGGATATTGGAAGAGTGCGTCGGCGCAGGACTAGTCGAGTGTTTCGAGACAGGAAGTGTCGGTTTGGGCGTTAGATTATTAGCTCGATAACTGTAATCGAAGCTCATTTTGACCCCCTTCCTGCATGACATGATGTGATATGATTTTGGCTCTAGATAAATAACTTCGCTGGTTTGCGGTCGTTAGGGAAAATCCACAGCCAAGTCTAAGCGGCAGTGGGGTAGAAAATGTGCGTGGACGATATATATTCTACTCTCGGTTTCAGTACAATGTTTGAACCACACCGTTCTTCCTCGTTCAACCTAGTAGGGCTCCGAAAGAGTAGCAATAAGCTGGATAGTATTCGCCGCAGAACCTCGCTATTAAAAGCGGAAGTTGTTCACTGACTATCCGCATGCTTGAGCATGCCAGCGGCCGCAATCCTCCAGACATACACTCGTAACATCCAAGAATTTACCATCCCCCGGTTTGTTGGGATGATAGGGTACAAGCCTCCATTTCGGAGTTGTACTGATATCCCTATTTCCGGGCCAGCAAAAGGGGACGTGAGCGATGAAAGAATGATACCCTATTTACAAAACCCCTTACCCCACGATATTTACAGCTACCCACAACGCGACCCTCTTCAGTATACGCTCAGAAGTTACGACCAGTTGGCGTGCTCAACAATCCAATTATCCTTCACAAGGCTTCTGGGGCTCTTCGGGTCCAGAATGATGTCCCTAGCGGTAGTGTTGCCCTTCCACTGCCAATTGAGGTATGCTACAGCTGCTTTGCCCTGCTTGCCACCGTTCGTAGCTGAGAAAGTGCCACCATGGCCAGTGTCAAGGTTAGCACGGAGCTTGGGCAGACCTGCGTTCAACAGCGCGTAGTCTTTGGCGGACTGCAGAATGCGTCAGATTGTTCTATTTGGCAATGATGAAGGGGTTATCTCACAGTGTTGTAACCCATATCGTTCTTCCCTCCGATGAAGTACGCAACAGGTACCTTGATCTCCTGGAGAAGATAGCGGCGGTCATCCTGAAAAATGGCGATGTTAAACAGCATGATTCTCTTGACGCGATCGTCGTGGTACGCCGTACTCATCGCCTCCAGACCACCGCAACTATGCCCCGCAGTGGTAATCTTAGTGAGATCGACGTTTCCATACTTGCTCGCTTTTCCAGCCATTGCCCAATCCAGGCTGTCTCTCATGTCCTGGACCTTGGATTGTGCGCTGGACGCACTGTTTGGTGTTCCGTCCGCGGCAATCATATATCCGTAGGACGCGATTTCGACAAGGAAATTCTGGTATTGGGCAGCATCCAGCGAGCATGCACCATTTCCCCAGGCGATAAAGGGGAGCGAGACGTTTGATGGTGGAGCGGTCTTGGGGGCAAAGATGGTGTGTCCAGGCAGCGTCGGGTCAGTGGTCATGTGTGCGGGATAGGGACCTGAGCCGGAAGTTTTCTGGCCGGTTCCTTTTGGAGCCTCACTGCCAGGTTGTGTTCCTACCCCACCCGGGGTGTACTTTGGAAGATCCGAGAGGGGAATGCAGAAGATACCACCAGCATAATCGCCGTCGCCCTTGGCCGGGAAGTTTCCAGGTGCCGGTGTAAAGGACTGAGGGCTGGGGAGCGCCTGGGCGTAATGCCACAGTAGAGGAGCAAAGGCAATAGAGGGGATTCTCATCTTGATAGCACTTGGGCAGCGCACGGGTTTGAAGAGAGTGAATCAGTTTTTGCCTGCGCCGCGGGTCTAACATTCTCTTTAAGCTTCGCCATATTTCAATTGCGCTTCATACATGAAGCAACTAGAGGTACGAAGTTATTTTGTTAAATGCCTCCTTTGGCCTAGAGGATAAGCGAGATCGCTCTAAGATGGGGTTTGTAAATGATGCGCATATATGGCTAAAGCGGTTATCCTAGTCAAACGGCCTCTCGGATACCAAATCGGTAGTTTCCTGACATTCGGGACTACCACCGGTATTATTCAACCCGTCTGTCATGACCAAATTACGTTGTGTTCTTCCCAGAATACTCACAATGAAGCTCTCCTACCTGTACATCATAACGATTTCCCACAGTTTCGGATACTCTCTGCGGAAAAAACTCGGTGTTGTGCCCTTGACTCCAGTATTTCAGTTAGTTTGTGACATAGATTCCAATATACATCCAATGCGTGTTAAAACACAGATATAAGCCAAACGCTGTGTTGCCCGCTGATAGAAAGGCCGATTTGATAATTGTATCACGAAATGTACTATAATTTCTTACCAAGTTAACCTTATAGACTTTGCAGGATAGAGCTAAGAATATTTATACTATCTGTATATCAGAGGATTTCTCGTTCAAGCAAGATTATTGAAGTTCCCTGGTTTGTCGTCCCCTCTTCTGTTTCTAGGACCTAGCGGTGGAAACAGAAATAGATCAGATATAAGCAATTGTAGATAGCACGCTGATTGTGCCTATAAGTTGCACAGTGATGTCGTTAATACGCTACTTGAAGGTCCTAAGATCGTACGCTGCGTAAGCGTGGATATAATGTTACCATTGAGCAGGATTGATATTGATGTGACACTTATGTAACCAATCAAGTATTCGACGCAGAAATATTCTTTTTCGATAGGAAGGAGTGTAATAATCTCTACATCCTTGAAGTGCAGTGCCTTGATAAGGGAGCGGGAAGGGACTGCAGAGTAGGGCGTCATCTGGTAGGGAGAAGGACGAAATTGAGGACCAAAGTAAAAAAATGGAAAGAAAGAAAAAAGAAAGGATTATTTGCCAACGCCCAAGATCGAAGCAACGAGCAAAAAGTGACGGTGAGGTCAGTGGGACCCAGAGAGCCAGGTCTAACTTCGTCCCAGAGAACGCCGGGCACTCCATTATTTATCCACTAGACCATCACTGTCTGATAAGGGGTTTGAAAAAGAAAAAATATATATACTACTGAATGGTGCTTTTACAGAATTGTTCAAGAAGGCATGCGAGCGCGCAACCGTACAGATCTTCACCTTCACCTTCACCACCTCCTCATTTCGGTATCGGTATATCAAACCTCCGTGGCAATCTTTGAGGGCCACTCCAATGCTATGCCTGCTTCTCAACTAACTCGTCACTGTTTCTCTATTCTGTTGCCGTGGTTCCTCCTAAGTTCACAGATATGGATTTTTCAGAGTCATTGGACGCAGAGACCCAACAGCAGATGTTTGATGCGTTCGCCAAGTGGGCTGACGACAATCTCGACGCTCAGGTTATGGATGGAAAGGTTCAAAATACGAAATCAGCGCAGCTTGCGATCGAGTCTCAGTAAGATGAAAAGGACGTGAGAAGCAGACAGTGAGCTTATTACGTTCAGGCGCGTACAATATTCAAAGGAGAACCATCGACAAGGAAACTTCATTATTCTAGAGTGTCGCGGAGCCAAGTTCAGATTGTATGCTCCACATGCCACGCAGACATCTTTGGCAGTGCGGAAGGCAGTAGATGCATATGACAAGGTTTGAAACAGCATCCACGGCCGCGCCATGTCACTTTCATAGTCGAACCAAACCGATTCATTCCAGGTGCTCCATTTTGATCCAGTCACACCTCCTTACATTGTCGACTGTATCGTGGAATTTTGGGTAGCAAATACACTTTCTATTCCCCAGAGGAAACAGGTGACTATGGCCTTTTGTCCGCCAACCGACGCGAACGATGCCGATGTCACGGATACAATGACGACATTGGATGTCATCTACAGGGTCTTTATGGCAAGCTTTCCTTTAGAAGATGAACTGCTTCGCAACGCCGCTTTGGCGATGATGCGCCATCAGGTTATCAGGAGATTTGTCAAACAAGAGGAATTGCTCAATACGCTAAATTTTCTCTATGAGTCGAGTTCGAATAATATAGTGCGGCATGCTCTATTGAAGCGCATCTTTCTTTCCTCTCTGATCCTCAGATCAGAAGAGTTCCTCACTGGAGATATGAAGGAACAGTTCGGCATATTACTTGGCAGGTGTGGCAGTCTGGCGCATGATTATGTCATGGGTCTCCAGTATAGGGTATACTTGTCAATGAGGTCTAAGATGAACAAGGACAAGGGGAAGAACGATAAGGATGAAGGAGGTGAAGGAGCGAAGGCCAAAGAAGCAAGAAAATAAGGCGGGGTTTTACAAAAGCCTACTATAGCATGTACGATTTAGGTCCCTTTTCACTGCCTGTTACAAACGATGAATATATATAATATCCAAATTACCATGTAGGCTACCGGCTTCAACAGTGCTTTAATATCAATACTCTAAGCCTGCGCGTGTAATTGCCAATAGAGGTCAAGAGTACGACGGACGAGGGAGAGAAGAATACGGACGACAAAGAAAAAGAGGAGCAGATAGAGAAAGCACGTAGCTATAAAGGCAGACTTAGAATATCCTACTATAATATATATGATGAAGTTCCTTTGCAAGGTCTGTTGCCAGACATTGCTGTAGGTAGTACTCAAAATGCCATGCTAGCTGCATGCTACTACGGCCATTGAAAATCGGACTCGTTGAAATACAATAGCCCAAACGCACTTTATCCAATGGGCGAGCTACCATGCCATGTAAGATTGAGTTCTCTGCGAGATAGAGATCCGTGATCTGCTTCAAGAGCCCGATGCCTACAATACGCGAAATACAACGCTACCCACATGTTTCTACCGTGCCTTAATATATCCCATCCAGAACTACATTGGTCTAAACGGACTCTAGCCAAGGGGTGAGATATTAGAGCATGTAAAAATGAATTTGTTGCGAGGTCCACTCATCGAGACCTGTGTAGATGATGCCCGAAATCCAACGCCCAAGTAGAGTGCTATCCACAAGCTTCTTCCGCGTGTGAATACCAACATTCGAACCTACAGTGCCTCAAACAGACACATTCCTTCTCTCCCTCGACCCCATTCCGACCCCTAGTCCCTACCCAAACTCCAATTCTTTAGTTGATCTCCTGCCTCCAGTGCGCAACACCCCTCTTCCCAAGCCTCTGGCCCCGGAGAGCCTGAGCAGCATCATCATTAGGTTGAGCATCACCGAATCCACACCCTCCATCCCTCTCCTGCGCCACGATAGGCCCAGCGCATTTCCCGCTGTTGAACCCACAGCAAGCAGATGCGCAGTCCGCATCGCTGGAGCAGGGACCCGTGATGAATTGCGTGCCTGCGCCATTGCCTGCCCCGTTCCCGCCATTGCCGTTGTTGCCTCCATTGTTGCCGTTTCCGATTCCGTTTGCGTTCATATTCAAATTCGCATTATTCGAGGCAGGAGGTGCAGCACCCTGTCCATTCCGGAACTGCTGCGCAGCCCGATCATTAGGCTGGGCGTCGCCGAAGCCGCAGCCTCCGTCACGCTCCTGAGCTATGACCGGTCCAGCGCACTTGCCGGAGTTGAAGCCGCAGCAGCCGGAAGCGCAGTCGGCGTCGGAGGTGCAGACGCCGGTGATGAATTGGGTTCCGAGGCCTTGGGCGGCGACGTAGAGGGAGAGGGAGAGGAGTGTGGCGAGCTTGAGGAGGGGTGCCATTTTGAGATGAGTATGTATGTATATAAAGAAAGTTGAATGATTGATAGAAGTCCAAGTTTAGGTAAAGTAGGCTGTAAGGGAGAGTCTGAATGGAAGGTTGGATATGTTAAAGGACCGGCCGTCTTCACCAGGAAGAATGAAGGATAGTTGAGGTGAAGAATGAAAAGAACCAAGTGAATCGAAGAGAAGGAGAGTGTGGGCTGTTTGTTTGCTGCTCGAATGGGTGGGCTATTATGAGTACTTATATATGCGAACCCCTACTCAGGGTGTAATTGCGGAGAGGCCCCTTTAGAGCGCGGACTACATCTTCGGGGGGATGCTAAGGGGGATCGAGACGCCAAACCTATTGTGAAGCAGATGCAACGCCTCCTCTGCACTTCTCTCCGATCTAGAAACGAGAGCTTGGCTCAGACAGGATTGGTAAATCGCCGTTTACAGTGTCTCGAAGAGGCGCTGGGTTGCATCGAGAAGCGGTATGTTGGCCGCGTATGGCAAGAGATGCACGTCATTGTTTGGCGCCGCGAATATTCTGAAATGGGGCAAAGAGCATGAGAAATTTTGTCTTAGTTTAGAAACGGGTAGACGCCTATTCAGAACATTATGCGTTTGGGTTTCTTGTGAGTGTCATGGGAGGTTTTCTAGTAGAGTTCACCGGAATATCAGTTTCGCCGTGAGCTCTGACCAATCACGAACCAGCATCCCCAAGACATTCACTCATCCACATCGATTAGGGACTTCCTCTTAATGCAATCCGGGTTTCCATACTGTTAGAGACTCAAGCGCCCTCCAATATCGCGGGTCCAACTTCCCTTCTCCAGCTGAGGTCGAATGTGGCGTTGTGCGCCGGCTCCGACTGTCTCGGTTTCAGCAACCCGCCAGCGCTTCCGGCACTGTCGGATCTCTGTATCAACCCTTCAGAAGAGGTTATTGAGACGTTCCGTTTCTCATGCAGAGTTCGGCGTTCACCAGCCTTCTCTCAGGATGGACTCTGGGTTAGGATGAGGTGGTTAAGTTTAGTTTCCCAATGTTGCAGCGCTTCTGAGCTCCCAGAGACACCGTTGCAATCTGTCAAACATGCGAATGCATATCAGTGTCGGCCAAGATGCTCAGTGGTGCGCGGCCTCAGTGGATAGTTATTGGCGCCTGTGGCAAGGTAGTAAATATTACATACACTTCCGTGCGAACATGTGGAGATGGGAATCGAAGACTAGATAAAGCCAGCGAATGGTCCTCTCCAATTGATTCCGAGTCTACACCGTCATTCCGAGTGTTAACAGGTGTCGAGACAAACATTCCAAGTCCGAAAGGGTAGAATTCACGTGATCCTCGACTCTTTTAAGAAAAGGTTCAATCGCATTCAATCATAAGGCGACAATCAATCCCACGCGAAACGCCTATCCGTAATGTTGGACCGGGTACACAATATACATGGATATCTCAGAGCTATTGCTTCTTCTGGGCAGTGGGACCCATCTCCTTGCTGAAAGCGAAATAGGAAACCTCTAGACCGGCGATTGCTTTCAAACCGACGCCAAGGATGAGAACGAGGGGTACCATTGCAGAAAAGGCCATAAAGAGACCAGGGGAAAAGTACTGGTATTTCTCGAAAAGGCCACCTTGGTTGACGTTGTCCGCTCGCCGGATGTAGGTTGTGTCTCGCTTCAACTCCATCTTTACTGCATCGCGGAATGGATCTTCCATTTCGTATACATGTTCACTGGAAAGGTTATGGGACTCGTCCAGGTCTCGAGGTGTCGTGGTGTAAATAACGGTATAGTCCTTGGAAGGAGCGAGTCGGGAGATGATATATTCTAGTTCCCCATCTAACCAGAATGTTAGCCTTAGCGACTAATGCTCTCTAATGGACTACTCGCCGTTCTTTCGTAGGACGCTGGTGAGATCAGTCGCTGACGGCGCCGCAAACGAGACCCTTATGACCCTTGGATCACTCTCATCTTCGCTAGCGTTGTCTGCCTGTTGGACTTTGGCGCCGCATTTGCTTTCTAGATAATGGGACAGCTCTCCCGTCTTCAGAACTCCTAAAACCTCCGTGGTGATGCTGCTTTTGATGACATCGTTCGATCCTGTGGTGTACGAGGCCAGTCGCGGCGCGTTTATGGAGTCATAGTCTGCGGCGGCGACACCATCCTGTTGGACAATAAAGTATGTTCTCGATGGGCATCCACTTAATAATAGCCTGATCTGGTCGTCGACTGCTTCCGCTCGAGCGATAGTAGGAACATTTCCGGTGCCGGTCAACCTGTAGCTGGTATTAGTTGATGGGTGGCCGACGAGGTGAGAGATCCAGCTTACTCGGAGGTGGAGAAAATAAACAGGGGAGACGTATCCCGGAACGCCAGCGCCGATGGAACCAGTGCCAAAGCAAGGACAGCTGCAGCTGTTTTGGCCATTGTAGTGGGTGCAAGTGAAGACGGCGGAGATCGTCGGGGACTGGCATTGCGGTCCCTTAGCTCTGGGCCATCTGATGGCCGCTCGCTCCCGACGTTTAGCCGGCGAACTATGACGCACCCACCCGCATCCGCAATTCACCAACAATATTTCCTCCACAAACTTGTGGACGACGGTTCGGGTGCCTTGTTCTGGCCCACAAGGTAAGCCCCAACTTGTACACTGCCGCTGTTCGCCTTCCGGGCTCGGTACGGGTTCCCATCTTCCATTTCTCGGCCCGTGGCGACCCTGAGTCATCTCTTCTGCATCTTTCCATTTCCTTGGCGCCTGGCCGTCCCATATATTTATTGTTGTTGCCACTTTCCCTCATTCTCTTGACAACGACAGCAACAACTTCCTCTCGTTTCATCCGTCTTTCTCTCTGGTTCTGCAGGTCGCACATTATTTGAGCCTGCCTTTTCTTCATCTCATACATTTGACGGCAGTTTCCCTGAGGCTGGCCTTCGCCAGCATGTCGGACGTAGCGACCGCCCAAGTGCCCACCGGGCCACTGAGCAACCCGCAACGACGGAGGAGACCGAGACGCCGAGTTAATGAACAAACTATCTCCTCCCAACCGAATGACTCGGCTCAGGACGTACAAGCCCCGCGAGGTGCACGACAGGGTCGGGGCAGAGGTCACAATCATGGGGGCGCAAGATCACAATCACTTAATCCGGAACGGGTCCAAGTAGCAGAAAGCCAGGCACAACGTGGAGCCAGAGGAGGTCGAGGGGGACTTCAGAGATCCCAGCGTGGGCGTGGATTGCGTGTTGGGCCTGGAGGACGCCAGTTCGGAGGGCAGTTGACGGATGGCACCCAACCCGCTTCAGGAACCTCAACGGGTTTGCAGCCCGATGCGCCGGAATTCCTGCCCGGACAGCCTGTTACTGTTCGTCAGCCGTCTCCGCCTTCAGCACGGAATCGGGAATCCCAAGCGCCCAAGTCCACTGCTCACGATATCGCCACGCGAACGCACGAAGACATCGACAATGAGCACTACGAATGCGCCATCTGCTACGACAAAGTGAAAAGGAAGTCGAAAGCCTGGTCCTGTAGGACCTGTTGGACAGTTTTCCATCTACACTGCATCAAGGCTTGGTCAACCAAGGAAGGAGCTGCTGCCGCGCGACAACAGGCCCAGAATGGCGAGCTGCCACCCCCGCGACAGTGGCGTTGCCCCGGGTGTAATCTTCCCAAGGACGTGTTACCCGAGAGCTTTAATTGCTGGTGCGAGAAAGAGAGAGATCCTCGTCCTTTGCCCGGACTTCCTCCATTCTCGTGCGGCCAATCCTGCTCGCGGCCTCGTATCCTGCCGAAGAAGTGTCCGCACCCATGCCCTTCGATCTGCCATGCTGGCCCCTGTCCGCCCTGCACTCAAATGGGCCCTACCCAGTACTGTTTCTGCGGGAAACACTCTACGACTAGGAGGTGTGTCGACACCGATTACGAAAATGGTTGGAGCTGTGGCGATGTTTGTGGCGAGCTCATGCCTTGTGGAGAGCATCACTGCTCCCGACCTTGTCACGAAGGGCTATGCGGCGCCTGTGAGGTTCGAATTCCTGCTCGCTGCTACTGTGGCCAGGTGCAAAAAGACATTCTGTGCTGCGATCGAGGGGATGAGCTCGAGAGTAGCCTGTCTCACATTGCAGCAGATGGAACAGTGGCTGTCGAGCATTGGACAGGTTTGTTCGAATGCCCCAATACTTGTGGTCGCGCATTCGATTGTGGGAAGCATCGCTGTGAAAAGTCATGCCACCAGCAAGAGCCTCAACCGTCCCACTGCCCTCGTTCTCCAGATATTGTCTCGCACTGTCCCTGCGGCAAGACACCCCTTACCGAGATATCCGATAAGACGCGCCAGAATTGCGAGGACCCTATCCCCAACTGCTCAAAGCCTTGTAGGAAGGTGCTCCGCTGTGGGCATGAATGCCAAAAGGCCTGCCATCAAGGAGAATGTCCGCCCTGTCTGCAGAAGATCTCCATTGCCTGCAGGTGTGGACGCACCACGTCTACCTCTATTTGTCATCAGGGCGTGGAAGAGCCTCCGCAGTGTATGCGAGTGTGTCGAGTATCTTTGAACTGCGGAAGGCATGAGTGTGGAGAGCGATGCTGCCCAGGTGAACGTAAAGCTGCTGAACGACAAGCGAACCGACGGAAGCCCAGGCCGCTTGATTCTGCGCCACGGAGACTGGAGGATTCATACGAGGCAGAGCATATATGTACCAGAACCTGTGGCCGCCCATTGAAGTGCGGGAATCCGGATCACCGTTGTCAAGAACTTTGCCATAAGGGTGCTTGCGGGACGTGCCGAGAGGCGATCTTCGATGAAATCAGCTGTCATTGCGGTCGCACCGTACTCCAACCTCCATTGCCATGCGGCACCAAGCCACCTCTCTGTCGGTATAACTGCGAACGTCCGAAAGCATGTGGGCATCCGCAGGTTGCGCACATCTGTCATCTGGATGATGAAGATTGTCCCAAATGTCCTTTTTTGACCACAAGGACGTGCCTCTGCGGGAAGAACGCAATGAAAAACCAACCTTGCTGGCTGACTGATGTCCGTTGTGGACAGGTGTGCGGACGCAGGCTCAAATGCGGTGCTCATACCTGTCAGAAGCAATGCCATCGTCCTGGAGAGTGTGAAGAACCATGTACGCAGGTGTGCGGCAAAGAACTAACGACCTGTGGCCATCCATGTGCCGCTCTTTGCCACTCTCCGTTCCCATGCAAGGAGGACAAGCCTTGTCAACATAAGATTCTCGTCACGTGCGAATGCCAGCGTATCAAACAGGAGTCGAAATGCAACGCATCGAAGACCAGCGACGGAAATTTGAAGAAGACACTCAAGTGTGATGACGAGTGTGCACGGCTGGAACGCAATCGCAAACTAGCCCTGGCACTCAATGTCGATCCGGCAATGCGGCAAGACGACTACATTCCTTACTCTGCCGACACGTTGAGGATGTACATGGAGAACTCCACCTGGGCCGCCGCGCAAGAGAAGGTGTTGAGGCTCTTTGCCGCGAACCCAGACGAAAAACGGTTACGTTTCAAGCCGATGCCTGCACATCAGCGAGCGTTTTTGCATTCCATCGCAGAGGACTTTGGCTTTGACTCCGAGAGCATGGACCCCGAACCGCATCGACATGTTGCAATATTCAAGACACCCCGATTCGTAATGGCCCCGATGAAGACGCTGGCCGAATGCGCTCGGATCCGGCAGGTGCAGCGGGTTAGTACCCCAGCTGCCGCTCCCACTCCTCCGTCTCGTCCCAAACCGAGCTCGGGCGATCCATATAACGCCTTTGTCATCACGAATCCCCGCTTCGCGTTGACGATCGATGAGGTTAGCGCTGTCGTAAAGAGTGCTCTACCGAAGACGAAATACCCCATAGAGCTGGAGATTCACTTTTTGCCAAGCGAAGAGGTCACCCTCCAACCACCCCTTATGACCAGAGCCAATGTCCTGGAGCAAGATCTCCAAACCAGATTGGAGGCTATCAAGCCTGTACTGGCTCAAGCGGTTGCCTCGCAACAGCTGGGTAAGCTCCAACTGGCGCGAGTGGATGCCTCATTGAACGTCCTGCGAAGGGAAACCGACGCCAGTCCTGGTGCAGGATGGAGTCAGGTTGCTGCTGCCAGGCGAGTAGCTCCGAGGAGAGTGGAAGAGGTCGCTCCTCTGGGAAGTAAGGGAGGATTTGCCGTCTTGAGCCTGAGCAGCACGAAGAAGAAGAAGAAGGAGAAGGAGAAGCAGTTGGCCGAGGTGGCAGATGATTGGGAGGCTGCCGAGATGGAGGAGGAGGAGAAGGAAAGGGCCAGTGGCGCCAGCAGCGAGGCCAGTAGTGCTAGGCCTTCGCTGGATGGTGCCGGGGATATTGAGGTGGCTACTAAGCCTGGAGAGCTGCGATGGGAGGATGAAGTGGTTTAGGCATAGACACTGTGAGATCGGTTAGCGTGAGAAGTTTGACTGATGGTAAAGGCAGTAGTTTGAGTAATGCATAGAACAGGTATATACCCACTTCATAGACTCGTAATGATGAAACCAGAGGTCATTGTCCTTTGGAGGGATTTTCATATTTAAGACTTGAGAGTCCAGTGACCCATGTGTGTTCCTATGCCATAAAGATATACCACTGCAGATCCAAGGTACGCTTTCCTCATTGCATCCGCGTAGGCCGTTGTCCTTTGATAGTGCTTCCTGCACACACACATACCCAATCAACACCAAAACGACGCATCATCTATACAACACTACTCATCCTGCCATATCAAAAATAAGTTGACAGAGCAAAAGAGAATAAATAATTAACTCCCCCGGGTGGGCTCGAACCACCAGCCTCCTGATTTTTGAGATCCGAAATAACGTCGAATTTAAGTCGAATAACAGTCAGACGCGCTAGCCAATTGCGCCACGGAGGATGTCAAAAGTGATTTGATGAAAAGTATCTGCCAATTGAGCACTTATAAGTGTGTTAACTGTCTGTAGAACGATGGAGTTGAAAAAGGGCGAGGTTTGAAGATGCCAAAATGAAAACGAGGGGGGTGGGGCCTACGTGGGTAGTGGGTATGGCGCTCGGGAAATTGATGAACTGGTGGAGCAGGCGGACAGGGGTCTGGAGGTCCGTCTTAGCCCTTTGGCTCATTGAACTGTTGAAAGGAAAATTGTTAGAAGCAAAAGATAGATATACAGCGTCTAGCGAAGGTCAGCTTGTATCCAACATAGAGTAATTTATCGTTCTGCGGGTAACTGAAGCTGATATTCTCAGTGTCTGTTCCCCGCTCAACCCTTCACGTTGCCCATGTGTTCTTCCTGGTTTTATATGAGAACCCCTGGTGCATTGTGCTGAGTCCCCTTGGAGCCTACAAACGGGCTTTATACGCGGCCATGGATGTGATATCCTTGATCTCCGCATCGGTTGCGCCATCAACCCCTCCTGCTCTGTGATGCCTAGCTCCTCGAAGCAGGAATCGGACGTACTGCATGTTCCCAGAAGAATTTTCAGCCTCATTCCAGATAGATCTCTTGTCCTTGGGTGCATTATTCGAGCATGATGCCACTTGGGCAGTACTGGCGCCAGAGTCCCCGGTGCGCTGTGCTCGAGGGAGGGAGGTAGCAGTGTCGAACGCTATCATAGCTCACAGGCTCGGTCTCGCAGAGGTAGATCCTCTAGCCAGTCGCCTCATATACTGAGCTCAGCTTTCCTCTTCTCAATCAACTTGGCCGACCTCTGCCGCCGTTCATCTCGAAGGTTCACAAAAACCTTCGTGACCGTTAGCATCAAAATACCCCATCCATTCCAACGCAGGGGACAACATACCCAAAACCAGATACCCAGCTCAAGAAAGCCCCATGTGAATATGATGCTGTTCTTCATATTGTCCCCTGAATTGAACGTGTACTGGCGACCTTTGCTCGCAAACATGCCGCCTTCCTTGAACATATAGGTATACCCGGTGACCGCAAACAGGAAGGTAAGACGAACAGGCGTCTGCGTGCCCCAGAACCGTTCGCACATTTCGTCGGGGAGAGATAGCGCTGTCAGGTCAGAGAGACCGAGAAAGGCGAACAGGACACCGATGAAGGCGGTTACGGAGGACGGTTTGCTGAATTCTCGTGGTGTAGGCTGTTGGTGGTGAGCGAGGTGGCATATAGTTCTATTATAGGTAGACATACCAGCTGCATAGATTCAGCCATCACATAAACGAGGCTCTGGTCGGCAATCAATTTGGGATTCTTGATGAAGAGCACCGCGAGCGTTAAATGGAATAAGGAGATGGTGCGGATAAGGGTGTACGCAGAGATAATCGCCATTGTTACGATCCCTGGGCCGGAGGTGCTATCTCAATTCAGTTCAAGAGAAGGCTGGATGTTTACAGTCGTCCGAGGTGACGTTCACCTTAAACCATTGGATGTGCCCTGCCAAGTCCAGCTTTGTCATGCATGGTCTGGCCAATCATATCCGACGAACTTCAACCTCATGCAATCCACCATTCGTCTGACATTGTCCTCCTCCTTTCTGATTATCAGCGAGCGTCATGGTTGGAATGGATCAACCTAAACAGGGTGAGAAGGTCCCTTCGAGGGCGCCTAGCTTGTCCATATCCCCTGATTTGGAGCGTCCCCGACGCAGTCGCGTTTTCTATGCGTGCGGTTACACAACCATATTCTTGCTGTCCATCTTCTTCATTTTGACTCGTTTTGATGTTCGTTTGTCCACAAAATGCCCTGGAAGGTTTTCCGGTAGCCAGCGGCTGTCCACGCTTACCCTCGAAGAAAGGGCGAGCAGAGTTCTCCGTGACAATCCTCTCATAGGTGTGTATTGTAGCGACTGGTAACGAAAGGTGCTCATATCCCGTAGATGGACATAATGATCTGATGATCTACATTCGCACCAGATACAAGAATCACATCTATGGTCCTGAATTCAGAGACAAATTCGAGAATGGCGGCTTTCCTCAGCATGTAGATCTACCTAGGCTGGACAGGGGCAAACAGGGCGGCGCCTTCTGGAGCGCGTTCATGCCGTGCCCTCCAGGAAATGGGACGGACTTCTCGACTGAGCGATATTCTGAAAGTAAGACCCTGTGGTAGTCTTGAACGGCTGTCACCTTGATAGCTAACAAGTTTAGTTGTCCGCCTCACACTTGATCAACTGGATCTATTCCAGCGTCTAGGCCAAAACTATCCCAAGTATTTCTCTCCAGCGAGAAATAGCTCCGAAGCTCTCAACGCCTTCAAAGAAGGTCGCCTCATTTCCCCTGCAGCTATTGAGGGACTCCATCAAATTGGCAACTCCGTATCCACTTTGCGCTTATACCACCAACTGGGCGTTCGTTACGCGACTTTAACCTGGAACTGCCATAACAAGTATGCAGATGCCGCTCTGGAATCAGGCCCCAATTTCGAGGCTATCGTCGCAAAACCATACTGGCACGGCCTCAGTCCTGCAGGTCGTGATCTTGTGAAAGAGATGAACCGGATGGGCATGCTCGTCGACCTCTCGCACGTCAGTAAAGACACCATGAAAGATGTCTTGGTCGGCAACGGTACTGGAGATTGGGAAGGCAGCTTGGCACCCCCGATCTTCAGTCACAGCTCTGCTTATTCCATATGCCCGCATCCTCGCAACGTACCAGACGACATTCTGCAATATGTGAAGGAGAGAAACTCTGTCGTGATGGTGAACTTCAGTCCGGGGTTTATATCGTGTGTGCCGGGAGACTCACCGTCCGAGCTGCCAAAGCTGTATCCTGCCAATGCCACCCTGAACCAGGTCGTCCGTCACATCAGACACATTGGGGAGCTCATCGGTTACGACCACGTTGGCATTGGGACGGACTATGATGGGATTGACTCAACACCGGTTGGCTTGGAGGATGTCTCGAAATTCCCCGATCTTGTCACAGAGCTGCTCCGCCAGGGCGTAAGCGATGAAGACGCTGGAAAGATTGTCGGCCGCAATCTCCTCAGAGTTTGGAAAGAAGCAGACGAAGTAGCTGCGAGACTTCAGAAAGAATTGCTCCCTCTTGAGGACGATATACAGAACCCTTGGGAATAGGCAACGGCAGGTCTGCGAAGGGCAACCCAGTAGGAAGTTGAGACAGAGCGCTAGCACCCTCCAAAACTCCGCGATACGGATGCGAATTCCTTATCAGTGGTCCCGCTGCCAGTCTTGTCAACTGCAATTAGACACTGCCATCTGGACAACTGTTGCAAGGCGAGGGCAACTCTGTCGCCAGAAGCAGCTGGGGGTTTACTCTTCGCTACGCAATGATTCTACGATTTCCCTGTACAAGATCAGGAGAGCAAAGTGGTGGGTTTCACCTGGATACAGATTTCCAAGAGGGGCTTCCTCCAGCCTATACAGAACTTACTATGGTTCTTTAACTACGCAAGGTCCGAAAATGGGCTATCTAGAGATGTATACGGTAGACTAAGTGCTCAGCGGCGTACAGAGTATGTGTCCATATCTCGACATTGGGTTGAAACCGGTCCCCCCATGAGAGTTGAGCACGCAGAACAACTATAGACGGTTAGAGCACTATTTTCAAGAGTGTGATAGCACATGCTTCGCGCCTCATTCTTACTCTCCTAGCCAATGTCCTAGCTCAGCTTTGTGTGGACAGCTCTTCCACCAATCTGTGGGGTATCCAAGAGCTACCCCTCATGCGGCTCTACCTGACCTCACCTCCCCATAATACAAACAAAACCTAAGAAAAGTCGCAGAGAAGCAAGCAACTTCGAGAATGGACGAGCAGAAGCTCAACAGGACCATCGCCATCTTTGGCTGCGGCGAAGTCGGGGCAACTCTAGCGTACACGCTTGTCCTCAACCCCATCTGCAACGAAGTCATACTGGTAGATCCCAAGACGGACCTGCTGGAGGCACAGGTAAGGGACCTCAACGATGCGACGTTTCGGGGCAACAATGGCACGCGGGTGAGGGCTGGGACGCCGCGGGATGCTGCACAGGCGGATATCATAGTGATCACTGCTGGGGCGAAGCAGAAGCCTGGTACGTTTTCCTTGAGTTTCTGATCAGTTATCGATCACTTCAAGATTATATTCACTCTTCTGCGGGAATTTCCCTTACTCTGAGTTGTCCATATTTTCCCTTTCTTACCTATGTCTCACATTTCACAGGGGAATCCCGCCTCTCGCTCCTCTCACGCAACCTCAACATTCTCCGCACCATCTTCTCTGCCATGCAGCCCATCAACCCGCATGCGATTGCTCTTCTCGTGGCCAATCCCGTCGACATCCTCACGTACTTTGCGCGCAAGCTGTCTGGGCTGCCGGAGTCGCAGGTGCTGGGCACAGGCACGACCTTGGATTCAGCAAGGCTGAGAGGCGTGCTGGCGCAGAGGGCCGAAGTAGCGCCTAACAGTATCGATGCATATGTGCTGGGCGAGCATGGGGATAGCCAGTTTGTAAGTCAGATCCAGCCCATCATTCTTCTCACTGTTAATCACGTGCAGATCGCGTGGTCGAGCATCACCATCGGCACGACGCCGCTCGAACAAGCCCTTCCCGAGGGCCACTTCACTCCCAATTTCAAGCAGGAGATAGCGGAGCACACGCGGGGGGCGGCGGCGGCCATCATCGCGTCCAAGGGCTGCACCGCCTACGGCATCGGCAACATCGCCGCCAGCATCTGCAAGTACATCCTCTACGACGTACGCTGCGTGCGGCCGCTGTCGTACTACCAGCCGGACCTGGAGTGCTGTTTGAGCATGCCGGCGGTGATTGGGAGGAAGGGGATTGTGCGGGCGATGCCGATGCGGTTGGATGAGGGGGAGCGGAGGGAGTTGGAGGCTTGTGCGGGGCATTTGAGGGGGGTGATTGACGGGGTGGAGATGGAGTTGAAGGCGAAGGTGGAGTTGCAGAGTGCGTTGGAGAAGGAAACGGTTCGCGGGGGTGATGGGTCGGGGAGTTAGTGGTGATGAGAGCAGATGCGGTCAGGAATGAAGGCAGACCCTTTAACACAGGGCTGAGGACATCAGATGTCTAAGTGATAAAAGCTTATTACATCTATCAGAAATCTCCACTATGACATACACATTTCCACTTTCCACTCTTTGATCAAACCCACTCCTTTCTCTTCCACCTGCCACCTCATCCTTGTTTAGACCACCGTCTCGACCCATGTTCTTTCCCGACGGAATGCCTTTCACACCTCGTCCCTACCATCATACCTGTATCCCAAATGACACGCTCAGGGCGCACACCCCGCCCTTCGCCAGACGCGGGGCAGCAAGGGCATGCCGCTACTAACCGGACGCCGATCGGGAACCAGCGTTTCCTTCACCTTTCCATCGTAGATCATGTAGCCGCAAGTGTTGCATCACGATTCACGCTCAAAGGGATGTAGCCAGGTTAACGGAAAACGTTGTCCGCCGGGTAGCAAGACCATGCGAGCCTTGTGCGTCACATTGCACCCTATACGCTACTTTGGCCGAGTCGACATCGCTAGCTTTCCCGAGCGATTATTGCAAGAGTTGCCTGAAGGAGGTATCTATAGGGTAATGGGAGCTATCTATGGGGTAATCGATTGTAGTCCCGGGACCCAACTTGTTTCCGGCGGAGAGCCTTTTGAGTCTTGAAAGGGGTGCGCTAATAAGAGGAAGTTTAGGGTAATCCTACGACCGATTGCGGACTGGCGGGGCTGCAGCAGTGACAATGTCGAAGTAAGACGGCTGCTAGTTGCTGATATAATATGTCGAAGGGCGTGTATACATATGTATTAGGAATCCGCAGGTGCAAGGGACCTTGTTGTGGATCCATCGCCACTTCTTATTATTTCCGTCCGAAAATCTTTCGAGGAGATAAGCGTTCGTCGACGGAACTTCGATTCTTCATCAACACCACAATCGTTTATTTTCTTATTGAAGCCAGAGAAGACTCTCAGGCGCCATTGGTTTGTAAAGGGTATCATTCTTCAACAATTACAACATGACGTTTAAGGAATTTGAGGTGCCCAAGCGCGAGGGCGAAAAGAGTAAGAAAGCCTGGGTGGAGACGCCGTTGAGGGAGTCGTATGCGCTTTCGCAGGCTGCGGGATGGTGAGATCTTGACCTTTCCGCTTGACATCTCTTTTCTTCCTGCTCGGTCCCTTCTTCCAAGTCTCCTAGAACTTGTCTTTTCTCCAGTTCCAAGACCACTTATTGTCTCGTCCTTCATTTCGAAAAACTTCTCTCCACGTCTCCAAAGCAGCTCCCATCACACCCATATCTCTCCACAATTAGAAGCCACAATACCAAAACCACAATCCTAACTCGCAGAAGCAGAGTCTTCCTCAAACTCGAAAATCTCCAACCCTCGGGCTCCTTCAAATCCCGGTACATATCCCCCTCTCCCTATTCTCACCCCCCATCTCTAACACCTTCCCCCCTCCTCCCCACAGAGGAATAGGCCACTACATCCAATGCCGCCTCCAAGACCTCGCCTCCTCACCCTCTCCCTCTTCCGAGAAACCCCAACCGCACATCTTCTCCTCGAGCGGCGGCAACGCGGGCCTCGCCGCCGTGCACGCCTCGCGCACCTTCGGCCTGCCCTGCACCGTCGTGGTCCCTTTGTCAACGAAGCCGCTCATGATTGCGAAGCTCAAGGCGGCGGGCGCGCACGAGGTGATTCAGCGGGGCGAGACGTGGCAGGACGCGGATGCGTTTTTGAGGAACGAGGTCATGAAGAAGGTAAGTGATATATATTCACTATTTACACCCACTCGTTGCCATCTCCATGGGGCGCGTTTTTCACCACGCTTTATATTCTATCGTGAAGACTAACATAAGGGTTCTTTTTATTCTATTAGGCCGGCCCCTCAGCCATCTACGCCCCTCCCTTCGACCACCCAGACGTCTGGACGGGCCACTCGACTCTGATCCCCGAAATCCTATCTCAACTCCCCGACGACTCTCCCCCAGACGTCATCATCTGCAGCGTTGGCGGCGGGGGGCTCTTCAACGGCATCATGCAAGGCCTAGACACGTGGCTCCCCGTCTTCTACCCGGACCGATATTCCCGTAAGAACGGCAACGAGGCAAACGACACCGACATGAGCACCCCCTCCAACGGCACCACCCACGGCTCACCCTCCCCCTCCCCGTCCCCCTACCCCTACCCCACCGTCCTAGCCGTAGAAACCCACGGCGCCCACTCCCTCGCCGCCTCCCTCTCCGCCCGCACCCTCATCTCCCTCCCCACCATAACCTCAGCCGCAACCTCCCTCGGCGCCCGCCGCGTCACTCCGCAAACCCTCGAGTACGCTCTCCGCTCCCACGTCAAGTCCGTCGTGCTGTCCGACGCCGAGGCCGCCAGGGCATGCTGGCGCCTCGCCGACGACGAGCGCCTCATGGTCGAGTTGGCGTGCGGCGTCAATGTCGCGCTGTGCTATGATGTGGGGCGGTTGGAGGGGGCGTTGGGGAGGAAGGTGAGGAGAGAGGATAAGGTCGTTGTTGTGCTTTGTGGGGGGAGTGCGGTTACGGTGGAGATGTTGGAGGGGTGGAGGAGGGAGTTTGGGAAGGAAATAGTTGGGGTGGATGGATTGGTGGGGGATGGGGTTAGGAATGGGGAGGCGGTGCCGAGTGAGGTTACGATGCCGTGAGGGAGGGCAAGGAGATGAGTGGTGTTGTGGTTAGGAACGATGGGTGTTTGGAGTCTATAGATTCAGAGACGCGGAAGTAGTAATGATCGAAGAAATGTTTTCACTCCATCACACATGAATGAATGGTGGCGTTATGGTATCAAAAATATCAACCATATCCTATATAATACCCGCCCTTAGAAAAATAATCCAACCCAAAACCGGCCGCCATAAACCCAACCAAAACGCCATCCGGGTATCGTTTCGACCGTAGTGTGGTAATGTCATGCCTCAACTAAATACTCGCACGCCTCCCTCGAACCCAATCCTACGGCGTCTCACCCCGTAGCAGCGCACCACTACGCCACAACCAACTCCTTCTGCCGATACGTCCAGTACGGCTTCCGGACGGGATCGAACTCGGCGAGGGCCTCGAGCGTGCTCCTTGCCTCGTCGACCTTGTTCTGCTCGGCGTAGATTTCCAGCTGGGCCTCCAGGGCGTGCAGGCTTCGCGGAGGGCTCACGTCGTTGTACTCGTTGGCGAAGCCGGCGATGGTGGAGATGGGGAGGTGGGCGTGGCGGAGGACGGCGCGGAGGTAGTCCCATGCGGATTGCGATTGGGGGGCTTGTCGGATGGCTTGTTTGGCGTATCTGCTCTTCGTCAGCGTCTTTTGTCTTTCCGGCAAGATCGCAAATTCATCACAACAAGGAGAGGATGATCTCGGAAACGTACTCAATCTCCCTCTGCACAAGCTCCTTCTCCTTCTCCTTCTCCTCTTCCTCTTTCCCCTCCTCCTCCCCTTCCCCAGCCTGACCCTTCTTCCTCCCCCCAAAAAGCACAAAAAACCGATGATTCCACGCACTATTATTCCTCACATCCCTGCCAATCATCTCCTCCGCAAACGCCACCTCCCCCACATCGCGCCACAGCCCGAACCGCTCCACCATCCACTGCCGATAGCTCCAGACGTGGTAATTCTTGGCGTCCTGGTCCAGCATCTGGGCGATGAAGTCCGCTTCGCCCTCGCACGAGTCCCTGCGGTCGACAATGGCCTGCCGGTGGTTCCAGATTTGGTAGTTTTTCAGGTGCGACAGGGCGATGGGGTTGAGCCAGCGGAGCTCGTCCGAGGGCGGGATGGAGAGGTGCTCGAGGGTGCGCGCGCGGTAGAGCCTGGAACGAGTACGTTTGTTAGATTCATGTTCAAAGCCATAGCAAGTAAATGCATACCAAACGGTATAATGCGCAGGATTGATGCCAATGACGTGCTCCGTCAGCGCCAGGACGCGCTCGCTGTGCTCGTTGCGCGCCATGACGGCCCGCAGGTACCCCATGGCCTCGCTGTACTCCGCCGTGTACGCGATCGCTACGAGCGGGTGTCCCGTGTCGTCCTGCGGTATGGGCTCAATGTCCGCCCACGCCGGGTCGTCGTGGTAGAACTTCGTCATGGTCGTCGTCGTCGTCGCCGCCGCAGCGAAGAAGACAGCGAAAAGTTGTTTTTAAAAAAGGAATGTGCCGACTACTCGGTGGTGGAGGAATAATGTTGGAGGGGAGAGCGGTGACCTAGCTAGCTATATGCAATTGTGAATGGCGTAGGTCTTGGCGGGTCTAGTCCTGTTTCGCTGGTCGAAGGTATAATGCTAAGAACAATAACTACTAAAGAATACGCGGTACTCTGGATTGAAAATCGGCAGATTGCATATATGAAAGGCGAACGAGTTGGATAGATCCATGCAAGTGTTGCTCCTAGGAGTACACCCTCGTGCCTGTCACAAAGGGGGTTTGCACCATCGGTTGATCTATGGTAGCAGCTAAACTCCACCCAACTCACACAAATCCCTTGACAGACCCCGACGCCTAGACGCCGCTCACCGCCCGCATGCTCCCCCTTTCCATTTGTGACGGTAGACATCTCGAACCTGTTGAAGCCCCATGACTGCTCCCTAGCTCCACCTTCGCAAGGAGCACATCCAATCATTAAAATACATATACAATTCAATACAGGTGTGGCTTCATGGAATTGCACAGTGACGAAGGAATTCCTGACTTCATCTCATTCATGTCGTGCCCTTTCATTCAGGGACGTGTCTGCATAGAAGCGCCAGCAGTACCGGGAGTCCCAGGGCCACCAACGGGACTACCAACACCAGCGGGATTACCAACCCCTGTGGCACCACCTAGGCCCGCTGGACCAGTACCACCAGCGCCCGGACTCTGCATTCCTCCTCCTTGCGGGTTCTGGGGTGTTGCGCTTCGGCTGGCTGGACGACCATTCATGGCGGGACTCCCAACCTGTTGTCTCTGGCTCATCATGCGCTGCTGGAGCTGTTGTTGGTAGCTTTGAACCGGGTTCGGTGATGGCGAATTCTGCATGTTCGGGTTTTGCAGATAGACATTGTTCCCAATTTGTGGCGACGAGGCAAGATTGGAAGCAGCTCCCGCCGCTGCGTTCATGGCCTGCACGCGTTGCTTAGCCATGAATCTATGAAGATGCTCTGAAGCAGCTCGTTGCACCTGCTCAGGAGGCCAATCCGGGTTCTGCGCCTTGAGCGTGTTTTGGATCTGGATAAGTTGCGGTATGTGCGGACGGCCAGGGCTTTGCATCTGCGAGCCTACCTGGTTCATCCGCGGCGAGCCCGCGTTGTTCGATACGCCATTCATCGACGCATTCATGTTGCCGTTCACGCCCTGGTTAGCCATGGAAGCCATCATGTTTGCGCTGTGCATCCCATTGCCCATATTCATATTCGCCGCCAGGTTATTAGCCATGTTCAGCTGTTGTTGTTGGAGCTGGAACTGGTGTTGGTTGTTCACGGGGAACTGGCCGCGTTGCATCGCGATCCGCATCTGGTCTGGAGGTCCCATCCGCTGGTTATTCTGCATCGAGGCATGCATTTGCGCCTGGGGCACGCCTGCATTGTTCATTGGCATTCCATTCATGCTTGGGTTGGGGAAGTTTGCTGCCATGCCTTGCTGTCCAGGAAGCGGCCGAGGAGTCATGTTGGCGCTGGCTGCCGTAAGGCCTGCATGCTGGGCTGCCATGGCCATCTGAGCTTGCTGAGCCATCTGAGCATTACCCATAGGAGTGCCATTCCGTTGTGTCGCCATCATTGCGTTCACCGCCCCAGGCTGGCCGGGCATATTGGCCAGATTAGCACGTGCAGCTTGAGCCTTCGTCAAGTCAGCAGCTAGATTACATTGCATCGTCTTCTTGACAAACGTACCTTCATCTGCAGAATCTGCTGGTTCCGCTTCTCCTCCTTCTCCCACTTCAGTCTGCTTATTTCCTGGGGCGTGTGAACAGTGGTCTTTACTTGTGCAGGCTCAGCTGCTCTCCTTAGAGCGGCGGCTTTTGCGGCTGTACTTCTGTCAGCTTCTGAACCATTCGGGAAATCCTTCTCGTCCTTACCGTCGGCTTGCTTCTGGGCCATCTGCTCACGCCTCTTGGCCAATTTCTTCATGCCATCAATGATAGCGAGGTACCGGTTGTCTCTTCTCCGCTCCACCCTAATGGGCTGGTTGGTCCGCCTGCGTACCTGTGCGGCCAAATTCTGCCCTTGCTGGCCTTGTTGCTGCAGTAACTGCTGCTGGGCTTGATGTTGCGCCAAGACGGTCCGCTGCGCTTGCTCCAGACGGTTTTGGTACGTCCTGAAATACGGGGTCTTAGCCATGTCTCCGGGTAGTCCTTCCAACTGAACCCAACGCTCGAAACACTCCCAAGGCGTCCGACGACAGGCGCCGGAAACGAACATGGATGGCGACGAAAGCTGCTGTGCCACCAAAGACCAGTTGAACGTATAATCCCTCACCAGACCACGCAACTTCTGGTCCTCTTCCCACAACCATTGCGACGAGGTACGATTCTCGAAGAAGCTAACAGAGGGCATCTGGAACTCGGTCGGGGGCTTGAACTGGTGCGCGGCGTGAAGTCGGTCTCGAATGTGCTTGTTATCAGGGTTGAACAATGCCACATCGGTCATCTCTGGAGGCAAATCATTGCGATGGAACAGCCTTCTACCAGGGGTAGATGGCATGGAATGCTCCGCAGAAGTACCTGCTCTGCTAGGCGGACTCGAGGGCTCATCCTCCGAATCGTACTCGTATCGGCTTCGCTTCCTTGGCGGACCTCTTATCTTGGACACTAGTTTTCCGGTGATGAACTTCGATACTGGAAGGATGGGTGGATCGCAAAACGAAACCGGCGTGACGTCGTTGCCAGCTTCGAGGTTTGGCTCGTACATCGGTAGCTCCATAAGCATCGAATCGCTCGCCGGCGTTCGATCGATTTTCATCACCACGTCGTCGGAGCCTAGTGAGAATAAACCAGCAGGGGCGTTGGAGATGACCTTGGCAAGCAGTTCTTCATCATCAGCAAATGACTCACTCTCAGTCTCGTTTGCTCCCGAATGGACCAGGTCAGGGGTTGGCGCATCGTTCATATCCGTGTCTGAGTTTGATCTTTCGGACGGGTTCGGAACACGCGCCCTGATACGCAAAGAAGCACGGTCTTCAGCACTGCTATTCACATACTCAGCGCACCAGTGGGCAAACGTGGCAGCCAGCGATCTCTTCCACTTGCGTTCCTCTTTGAAATCCGTCTGCATCCATTTCATCTCCCTGAGCAGATGATCTAGGTGCGACGTGGGGCGGGGAGGCTCGGCGGACTTCTGCATCTGACGCAAGGACCAGCGATTCGCATTTTGCAATTGATACACCCTCTTCAGGATCTTGTAATCCGAGGACTCACGCAACATGGCCAGAACACCCGCAGTCGAAACCGTTTTGCTGGCCGACGCAACAAGCTCGACAAGGGTGCGTGAACGCGGGGGGTTTTGCGCCTGATACTTGAATAGCGAGTAGAGGTAGTCTCGACTCGGGTCATCGGTGGCACCCTGAAGAGCTGCATATTCGGCGTTGTGCAGCTGGAGAGCTTTCATGGACTTCTGGGGATCCGGTTTCGCGAAGACTACCGTGGAGATCTCTTTACGCTTCTTCTTCCGGGGTCGTGACCGAGACGGACTCTCCGAGGGGGCTGATAGCCTACTGGATCCGGGCGTAAGCATGGGCTTCCGTGTTGTTGTTTCTTCCCCCATCGCGGTGTTCGGTTCTGGAACAGATGGCTCCTGTGGTCCTTCCTTGGAAATGTGTTCTTGCGGCGCATATTCAGGCTTCGACGAGGTGACGCCATCCTCCTGAGATGGTAACGCCGCATCGCCCATTTCAACGTCCACATCTGCAGGTGGAGTTGGATGATCCGTCCTCGTGGAGATTGGCACTCGTTCTCTGCCAGTTTCCTGTTCCAAAGGTGAAGTCTCCGCCGCAACGGTAGCGGGCGTAGGCAACGAATCCGTAGACGGCCCCTGTGGGGCCCTATCTTCGGAGGCGTCAGGGGCCTCCGTCGACACTTGGTCTACGACCTCTTCCGCATGCTCGGTCAGAGAATGAGGCAGTCCCGCAGAGTCGTCCAAGCGTGACTTTCCATCTCTGGCAAGTCGAATTGCTTCTTCCTGCTGCAACTGACGCTCCACCTCGGGCGTAATCGACCTGTCCCCCCTTGCTCGCTCTCTGGCTTCCTGCATCTCCTTCTGCAAGGCACGCTCGTGCTCTTCCTTGGCCTGTCGAGCCGCCGGATCCAATTCCATGGCATCAGTGCGATCCTTGAAGGATTCCCTATCCGGGCTGGTATCTGGGGAATGCTGAGCAGCATGAGGGGTGGCCTGCGAATAGGGCCCAACTGTGGACGATGGCGACGAAACGACATCTGCGTGTGCGTTCGTGGTAGGGATCGTGAGCTTCTCCTTCCTCCTCTCGTCTTGCTCTCTTGCCTGCGCCAGGTGCTTCTCCGTCTCTTTCAACCGGGCTTCCTGCACGTCCTGCGGTGGCAAATGGACAACATTGGCCGGCCTCGCTAATCCAGCTTCTTTCAACAAATGTTGCTCGGCTAGCGCATCATTGTCTTCAGCTGACGGCGGTACCACCAACTTAGGATCAGCGGATGGGCCATCGGGAGACACCTCTACTTCGGCGGCCTTTGCGGTGGATTGAGACGCCTGGGAGAGAGAAGCACCGACAGCGGGTGACGGGAGCGGGACATCCGTAACGGGTCGCCCTTCCAGGTGGGAGCGCGAAGCTTCCGGTTCGGCCTCTTCTGGGCGGATCGGTGAAGATTCCGATGGTGCGGCAGGAACAGGTGTCGCATCCTGGTGGACTCCAGTTGGGAAGACAACAGGAGATGATGGATTTGCCACGGACGGCGAGGCGGAAGCAGCTCTTAGTTGGTCCTCCAGGCTAACGGGCACATGAACGGAAGGTGGTGGTAGAGACTTGGAGATGGGTGACGAAACATGGTGTTTTGCAGGCGACTGAAAAGGCAGAGTCGAAGGTAAAGCAGGTTGAACAGTGGGGTATGGTAGAGTGGACTCGTCAAAGCGCAGCCCTCTGTGCGGGTTTAGCGTGTGTGGTTGAGGGAGGGGATGTGCTTGGACATGGCAGGAAATAGACCAGAATACACATCAGAGAATACAACCAGAAAGTAAAACCATACCTAGAAACATCATTCGCATCCAAGAAGCTCCTCTCAGGCGTCCCCGGCTCCTCACTACAGGACCACTCGCCGGGCTGGGGCGGCAACCCGCGCGCTACCAGCACATTGACGCAGTACAGCTCGCGCAACTTGCGCTTGCGCGAGAGATCGCAGGCCCTGCAACCCCCAGCGTTAGCAAAACGAACAGCCACAGAACAAAACCACAACGCAACAACGCAACCACGCGCATAAAACAAAATCGGAGCGATTTTTCGGTGTCGCATCGCTCGGCGCTTTCGAAAGAGACGCGATGCACGAATTTTGGACGAGGGTGAGGGTGAAGGAGAGTAACTTACGCGATCTCGTTCTTTTTCTCCCGTATGTACGCATCACGAAGGACGTCGAGGGACATAAGAAGAAGGGGATGCAGCGGCCGACATCCGTTGTCCACGAGTGTCGCCGTGGGTGATGGGGATGGGGATGGCGATGGAGATGGGGATGGGAAATGGTTGATGGGGGTTGTTGGGTGGAAGTCGCTTTTGCTGGGGGGGAAGGGGATCACGGCGCCCCGTAATGGGCAGGCAGGCAGCGGAAGGCGAGTGAGAGTGAGTTGCTTGTTGTTTGGGACAAGGCAGGCGCGACCGGTGGGCGACTGCCTTCGGAATGGGAGGAGGCGTTGACCGCCTTGGCCGGGGCAATAGGCGCTAGGCTATTTGCGACTGCGCTAGTCCTTTTATGGAAAGAAACTCTCGGCTAACTGATTTTCTGCCCCGTCATGTCTCTGGTGCTGAAAGTTATCAGAGAAAAAGTTCAGCACAACAAGATCCAGAGAGAGGAGAAGGAAATATCAACAAGAGCACCATGTCAAAAAGGAAGAGAGATACGGCAGACCACGCCGACGGGGTAGCCAACCGTGGCAAGAAGACCAAGGCGAAAGAGCAGGACCGGAAGGGGACGAGTAAAGACACGCCTTCGATATCCCAAGTCTCAACACCGAACCCTTCATCAAAGAGCAAGGAAATCTCAGCGCAACAACAGAGTCACGGCAATCCCTGGGCCGCCGAAACCACAACCCTCCAAATCGTCACGGGCTCCTACGAGCGCGTCCTCCACGGTTTCACGGCCACGATCCCACAAACCGCCCTCCAGGGCACGGGACCCGCACATGATACCCCCAAGGAGTCCCCCCTCTCCTTCACAGACACCTTCCTGTTCGCCGCCCACACCTCTTCAATCCGGTGCCTCGCCCTCTCCCCCCCACCCCCCTCGGACCCCAACGGCCGCCTCCTCCTCGCCACCGGCGGCACCGACGAGCGCATCAACATCTACTCTCTCTCCCTATGCCCGCCTCCCCCCTCCAAATCCACCTCCACCTCCTCAACCGCCAAGCTCCCTCTCCTCCCCCCCACCCTCCTCCTCAACCCCTCCGTCAGCGAAAACGCAAAAAACAAGGAACTCGGCTCCCTCCTACACCACACAGGCCCCATCACCACCCTCTCCTTCCCGACCCGCACCAAACTCCTCTCCTCCTCGTCCGACTCCACCATCGCCATCACCCGCACCCGGGACTGGGAACCCCTCTCCGTCATCCGCGCGCCCGTCCCGAAACCCCAGGGTCGCCCGAGCGGCGACACGGCGGCCCCCGGGGAGGTGCCTAGCGGTATTAATGATTTCGCCGTCCACCCGAGTAATAAGCTCATGCTTAGCGTGTCCAAGGGGGAGAAGTGTATGCGGTTGTGGAATCTGGTTACTGGAAAAAAGGCGGGGGTGTTGCAGTTTGGGCGCGAGGTGTTGGGGGCGGCGGGGGAGGGGAGGTTTGCGAGTGGGGAGGGGAGGAAGGTCGTTTGGGATCCTGCGGGGGAGGAATTCGCTGCCGGGTTCGAGAGGGGTGTCGTGGTGTTTGGCATCGATTGTCGGGTTAGGGGTGCGGTGGTGCCCGTGCCGAGGACAAAGGTGTGTCAGATGAGGTATCTTCCTGGCACTGCTGCTGCTGGTGGTGATGACAATCAAAAGGAGGAGGACGGGGAAGAGGGAGGTAGTATCCTCGTCGTGTCGACCGAGGATGGGAGAGTCATGTTTTACAACACTGGCGTCCACGACGACCTACCGACCACGCAAAACACCCCAGGGAAAGAAGACACCGCAGCAAAACCATGCAAACTCATCGCCCAACTCGGTGGGCCCGCCGCAGGCATCTCGGGCCGCATCAAGGACTTTGAAATCCTGCCCATCCCCCAATCTACAGGATCTACAGACGCTCACGCCAACAATGTCGAGCCGGCATATCTCGTCGTGACGGGGAGTAGTGATGGGTCGGTACGGTTTTGGTACGTTTCTGCTGAGGAGGTTAAGGGATCTGGTCGGGATCGCGGTCTGGCGCGGACTGAGAAGGAGAAGGCCGGGGAGGAGAAGGAGAAGCAACAGGAGAAAGAGAAAGAGCAACAGCAACAGGCAGGAAAGGACTTTACGGCAAACCAAGTCGGGAGGTTAATCGGCACGTACAGCACGGGGACGCGGATTACGTGCCTGAAAGCGTTTGTTATGACGGGGAAAGCGGAGGAAGCTGTAGATGAAGACGCTGGAGAGGAGGGGAGTGGCAGTGGGAGTGCATCCAGCAGTGACGAAGAGGAAGAGGTAGAAGTGGAGCAGGAGCAGGCGTAGAAGGCATGTAAGCAGTCAGCCGTTGTGAGTGAGATGTTTGTAATTCTCCATAGATATTTTGAGTTGATACCTATCTATGTACCTTCTTTCCCTTTCCCTTTCTTTTCCCTTTCCTTTCCTTCAAATGTTCACCATGCCTTCCTTACCTCCTCTTGCATACGAAAAGCGCAGAGAGCGCATACATCAATGCACACAAATACAAGTGCAAGAATAAACCGAGCCGGAGGAAACCAGCGACCATCACGGGAAAAACGAAAGAAGAAGACGCGAAAATCCCGACTGCCTCACCAATTTGGACGTAAACCCCTCCTTTTTCCTGGTAATATTCCCACCCACCACCCGAATTGTTGAAAAAGGTATCTATCCTACACCAACCCAGACCCTCACTGGTACGAAAAGAGGAATGCTTAAAGCGTCCCAGCTCCAAGTAGAGCAAGCTCAAGTGAGAAACGTGAAGAAGAAGAAAAAGAAGAAGCACCAGAAAAGGGACGATGGATATCTCAATTAACCCTCCTTCCTCCACCTTCCTCCACCTCCTGCTCCCTCCACGCCGTTTTTCCTGATTTCTCTTTTCCCCTCCCATTTCCATGCAGTAGCCATAACAAGAGCTACGGACAATACGCCATACGCAATACCAGACCCAGCAGCACGATGCAAGCGGACCCGCGACCCGACCAAGACCAATCGCCAGAACCACCGCGCCTAATTCAAAAACCCCTTACACCCCACACTCCCACAGAGACAAGGGATCCGATCCGTCGCGTCCATCTCCCGCTCAAACTTGTAGTCGTACGTGAGTTCCTCATCTACACTCAGGTTAGCCCCATGGTAAACTAGAAAAAGGGTATAAAACAAAAGAAAAAAGGAGGGAAAAGAAAGAAGAGAGAAGAGAACGTACCCTGCCCAATATCCCTCAACGCATAAATCACAATCCTCTTCGTCCCATCCACCCGGATAATCTTGGCCGTGCAATTCGGCGTGCAGCTATGATTGATGAACCGCGCGATGCCCCCCATCTTGGTCGCATCAATCACCGTATCCTCGTCGATGCGGAACAGGTAGCTCGACCCCACCCCTTGCATGTCGTACTTGGCCTCGCGCAGGTCCGCCACGCGCTGCCGCACCTTTTCGCCCACGTACTCGATGATCATGTCGTTGGCCGCAATGTTCTCCTGCGCGTAGAGGCCCCAGTTGTGGATCGCCGACCGGTCAAACTTGACGAGCTTCTTGCGCTTCTTAAGCTGGTTGAAGCGGATCGCGTCGCCGTCGGCCCCGCCAATCGTCTTGGAGATGTTAATGTCGTTGACCAGGCGCCGGTTGTTGGCCCGGTTCGCGCGCGAGTTGGACGTCGACGTCGTCTTGGAGCCCGTGCTGAACTTGAAGCCTTCCACAACGGCCGTGCCGCGCTCCTCGACCTTGGCCTGCCGCTGCCGTTCCTCGCGCTCCTTCTGCACGCGGATGCGGTGCGGTAGGTACTTTGACTTCTCCGACTCGCGTATCTTCTTGACGCCTTCTGTCCGGGCGCAACCTGTGGGGTTCGGCACATAGTACCCTTGGATCTTGGTCTCCGTCCGAGATACGCCTTCCTCGCCGGGCCGATTGAGATGCTTGATCTGCTTTTGCTTCCATGCCCAAGTATGCGCGTCTCCAATCCTGGCCACAACCTCTGCCATTAATGCCTTGCTCAAAAGTCTGAAGTCCTCGTCGTCCTTGAGCATGTGCTGCCATCCATCAATGTCCATGACGACGCTAGGGTCGTCTTCCACGGTGCGCCGGGGATGCGATGTCGACACTCCCCAATGGACCGAAGCCCGCTCCTCCTCTTCCTCCTCTTGAGGCCCCTCTAGCACTGGCGCAGGCGTGATCTCCTCTTTCAATTCCTCTTCCTCCTCTGGAATCCCCTCCTCTTCTCGTAGCAGCTCGACGACTTCAACCTGCGCGGCCTTGATTTCCTCCTGAAGCTGCTTCTTCGTCTTCTTCTTGGGCTTCGCCGCCTTCTTTTTAGACTTGCCCTCTTCGTCCTCCAGAGCGGGCACAGGAGTGACGACCACCTCAGGCTCGAGTTTGTCTTCGTTTGCTTCCACGCCAAATATCGCATCCGCCTCCTGCTCAATCATACGAAGCCTCCTGAAGCCCTTCAATGCTTTGTCCGCCTTCTTCCAGATCGGCGAAGAACGCGGCAGAATGGCGAGAACCTGCTCCAGCTCCTTCTCAGCCATGTTCTCCGGATCCTTGTGAATCAGGTGGGCAAGCAAACTGCGCGCATGTGAATCGTCCATCATCTCATCGTCGCTGTCTTCACCCCATCCGGCCTCAATACGCCGCCTCTTTGCGCGGTGAGCTCTGCTGGATTCCTCCTCTTCATCATCTGTCGAAGGAGCACGGCTGATCTGTCGACTCTCCTGCTCTTCAGTATCACGCGTGAAGGAACTTCTATTCTCATCATCAGAATCCTCTTTCTCGTCTCGCATGAGCAGCGCGTGATGAAGACCGCGCACATTGCTCCGCTTAGGAGCCGTCGTTTTCCTGCGCTCATCTCCATACACATTAATAGGCCGCACCTGCTTCTTTCCTCGAATGCGATTGGGATCGTAAGGACCAAGGGGCTTGCGGCCGAATTTCCCTGCAAAACCGCTAGGGCGAAGAGGACCGGATACCGCTGCATCAATGCCAGGAACAATGAGACCAGGCAACCGTGCATCATCTTTGCTTTGCGGGTCGGGGATATTCAGTTTCCTCCGTTTTGCCGCATGCCGCTCGGGAGCCATCAGCTTGAGCAATGCAGGGCCTGCGATCCGTGCCTTGACATCGCCCACCAGCTTCTCTTTGAATTCCTGCTTCAGCATTTCAAGTGCGGCCTTGACGGGGTCCAATTCCTCAGCCCTCTGCTTCTTCTCGAACTCCACATCTTCCTCTTCCTCCCTCTTGATCCTCTCCTCTTCGGCTTTTCGCCTGTTCATGGCTGCTACCCGTTCCGGACTGGGACTCCGCTCATAGTCCGGGTCTCCATAGGGTTGGCACTCCATGACCATTGTGTAGGTGAAGAGTGGGAGCCCGTTGCACTCCCTATAGCATTTCACCGTCTCCTCCTCACCCCGCCTGGAATTCTCAAAGGTAATGAAGTAACCCGAACGATCGCATCGTACGGAAGTCCAGTTCCATGCCTTGAGTCGCTTCTGAAGATGTTCAATCGTCGGGCCTAATACCGGAACGGATTCGCAAGTGATGAAAATGTACGGTGTCCGCTTCAACCGTGGTTTTATGGGTTCTGACTCGATGAGATGTGCCAAAGCCGCCTTTTTCCCCATGGGTGGTCCGTTCATGTGTAATATCGGCCGCATTCCAGTCCCCCTCCCAGACGGTCCCTTAGGCACATTCGCAGGTAGATCAGCCAGGTTAGGCGCAGTCGGAGTCGCGGGCGAGGCCGTCTGAGCAGCTTGCGGAAGCTTGGGTTTCAGCTTCTCCTGTTGCGCCCTGCTCTTTTCCACAAACTTGGCGACGAGAGTCTCGCACTTACGGCCTTCGCGATCCGTCTGCACCTTGATTTCGCGCAGGCCAAGCCGCTGATTTGTACCCTCATTTTGCGCTCGCTTAGCCGAATCGGAAGCCTTCACACAAGGAATCTTGCGCGATGGGGGCGTGTCCCGGTATTTGACCAGACATATCCCGAGAGGGCTCCCATTGTCAGGGTGGACCTTATTCTCCACAACCGCGACTTCACCAAAAGAGCTGAAGAATGCGCGGATCTGAGACTCTGGCGTCAATGGATCAAATCCCGTGACCACAACTTGGGTCGCTGGATCGGGGCCGCAGGAGATACGAGGGTCGAAGTTATACGGCTTGAAATTGTACGGCGCAGGTCGAATCTTAAACTTGTGCCTTTGTCCTTGTTTTAGTGGCATGACAAAACCACCGGTGGTGTAACCCGGGAGGGCCAAACGGGGATCGGGAGGGGGAGATGGGTCGCCCTGCAACACAAGTCAAGTCAGCCTTCATGTCGCAGGACGACCACATCTTCGGGTGGGTATATGTGTATGTATGTATCTCACTCACGTACCTTCTCTACTATCTCCTTGTATACGACTTTGCCGCCCTTCTTTTGCGTCGCGTTGAGTTTAGTATCGAGAGCAGGGTCGTAGATGGCGCGGTAGCCCATTCTGCCATTTGTCGGCCGTGAGGATACGGGCGGCTCCGGTGGGGTGTGCGCGGGCGTCATGGTGGTGATGTTCTTCGCAGATGCCGACGGCGCCTTGTCCGAACCAACCCACGCGTGTGTCGAGTCATTCGCAGGCTTTGCGGATCGCGGGCTCGGGGGCTTGCCCGGCGGCGACGAGTCTGTGCTTGTCAATGGTGTAAGGGTGTGTAGAGATGCGCCCTGTCCCACGTACGACATGGTGTCGTGAGTGAGCGGTGTGAGAGGGGTGAAGTGGAGATAACCACTCCTCGCTCGAGGTATGGCCTTTCAACAGAGGACTAGAACGGCGTTCATGGTCTTCTATTGAATGGTATATAGCGTTGCCTTCACCGGTGGAGGATATGATGCACGTGGCGCTAGTGCCGTCGGAGTCGCACCTGGGCAGTCTGCCTATGGGCAAAGTAGACGGGCCCAGTCGAGACGAAGAAAGGAAGCTTATGAGTAGGATCGCTTGTCGAGCGCGTATCGAGGATATTCTCCGAAGTGGTAGGGTGTCTGCTGGGTGGTGCAGTCGCGGAGGCGTGTGACCTAACCTGGCGTCGAGTGCTAGCAGCAGGTCCTAGCAACGCGTCCTCATCTCTGTAGGGAAGAAGTAAGTGGAGAACGCGGACGACGTTGCCGGTACAGGAGATGGCAAGGAAGGACGCGGTCGAGGAAGAACGACACACGCGCGACCCCGGCTTGCTCTGCGCGGGCGTGAACTCGGCCAACGAAGACGATGGCAGCGGAGAGAAAGGGTCCGCTGCGAAAAATCCCCGCAATGAAGGCAGAGAGCCGTGAGAATATGGCGAGAGAGGTGGCGGCGGGTGGTTGTGAGCAGGCAAGTCAATGGAATGAGGTTCGTCTTTGAAGTGAGGATTGGTCTTGGCGCAGTTCTCGTTCCAAGAAAGGGGACAGAGCCGACACTCTTCCTCTTTTCATCAACACCACCTGCATACAACCCAGAGACTGTCCGTCCGATATCAATTCTATACTAACTGAGCAGCAAGCGAAAAGCACGTCTATATCCTCGCCGCATGCCGCGGACCGCCCGCCCTTGCCTCTCTGCAGCTTCCCTTTGCGCTCCGCACCCGCACCTCTCCGCCCCTGCGTCATCTTATCGCCTCATGCTCAGCATCCTCAAAATATAATACGAGTGATGCCCAACGGCCATTCCAGTGTTGCCGGGCCTGTCGCAGGCGTTTACCGTCCATACTATCTTCACGGTCAATTCTGCGACACACATTGGAGGGGGTATTGCTGGCGCTCACGTGAAGCGACATCATACATGTAACTTTGAGGGGGCGCCGAAGATTCAGTGTTGTAGCAGCATATACTCTACGTGTGCAACGCAAAGCGCATGATGCGATAGATCCTGCGTTCCAAGGTGCAATTGAACAATGGCATACTTTTGTGCGAATATCCGGCATGCGCAAGCGTTCCCTCAACGCGCCAGAGTACACCCGACGCTGTCACCTCGCCGCCCTTCAAATAAGCGTCTAGAAAATGGTATATCATACACCCAACCAGATCTACCGCGTACCCGCTTCCCATACCATATCCATCCGAATCCCAATCCTTCCTCCTCGATGAAGAGAGATAAACACCTTACTCCACAAACCTCCCCTCCACCCACCCCCTCCTCTTAACCCCCAACTCAACCGCCGCCCTCCCCCAATCCCCCCCATGGTTATGTCCCTCCGCACCGCTCGCCCCTCCGATGCCCGCCCTCTGCAGCCCCTGCTCCTCACTCAGCACCGTCAGCAGGCCAAAAATGACGGGGACATTGGACTCAAACTGCAGGCGCATGAGGGCGTGACTGACGCTCTCGGCAATGTACTCAAAGTGCATGGTCTCGCCCTTGATGAGCACGCCGATGGCGATGAGGGCGTCGAAGGGGGCGGACGAGGCGGCGGCAGCAGCAGCGGTGGTGGTAGGTTTCTGGGAGGACGACCCGGTGAGGGAGAGGTTGGTTAGGTCCGAGGCGGAGGCCCCGAGGAGGTCGGTCGCGGCGCCCACGATGCCGCTGGAGGAGGAGGACTGCACTTGGGAGGCCGAGTACATTCTGCAGCAGATGGTTTTAGCTAAAACATAAGGTCCTAGAAGGGATCGGTAGACGGGGGCTGCCGTACTGCTTCACTGCCATGGGCAGCTCCCAGCTGCCCGGTACGCTCTGTACAATGATGTTCTCCTCCCTCACGCCCGAGTCCTTGAGCGCCTTGACGGTACCGTCAAGCAGTGCGTCGATGATCTTGGTGTTCCACCGCGCGTGGACAATGCCGATGCGGAGACCGGAGCCTGATTGAAGACGAATTGTCAGCGAGCAGTCGGAACACTGAGAGGAGGAGCTACAGGAATGGCAAATTCAAAACACAAGGAGTCTGGATGCGCTGGAACTCTTCCTTGTATCGCTCAGAAACAAGCAGAGCGGCCCATTAGGATACAGGACGGGATTATGGCGGGAGCTTACCATCATAAGCCTTGGGTGCACCAGGGCCTTTCAGAGTGCCAGTAGCCATTTTCAACAATTATATACTTTCAACAGATTCAATTGCTCAGGTAACGCAATGAAGAAGATCTGGCTGCGTGTGGGAGTGATATGAATACGATTCGGATATTAGACGGATCTGATCGGGAGGGGCAGCTCTCGTTCCTGGCATGCCTCCCCGTCCATCCCTCCCCGCGCCGAGACGCAAGGACCGCTTGCGGCTGTGGCTGGTCTCTGTTTTCAAGCCACAGGGGGAGAGCCATTATTCTGTTAGTCTCACTTCAATAGCCCAAAGAGCGAGTAAGATAAATGTAATCCATCCAATTAAACCAGTGAGTATAACATGCTCGATACATGAGGTAGAGGCCTCCATCCAATCCCCCCAGGCTCATAATGGCCAGCACAAAACAATCCCCCGAGCCATGATGAGATTCTCAAAGTCGTGACAATACCAAACCAAACGATTCCGTCGCTCAGTGTAATTACACCTCTAGTACGCCAGTTCCCCAAGGTGCTTTTACATACTTATCTACTCGACCGTCACCGACTTGGCCAGGTTGCGGGGCATGTCCACATTCAGGCCCTCGCCCACCGCCATCCAGTAGGCCATGAGCTGCAAGGGGATGACGTTGATCAGACCCTGCAGACAGTCCACATTGGCCGGGACCTCGATCTTGTCCGTCTTGTCGGCGGGGAACTCGGGGTCGTCCTTGTGGCAGATGATGATGGGCCGGCCGGAGCGGGCAATGACCTGCTGGTACGCATTAAGCGACTTGTCGAAGATGGCGTCTCTGGTGAGGATCATGACAATGGGGAGGTTCTCATCGACCAGGGCAAGCACGCCATGCTTGAGTTCGCCAGACATGACGGCCTCGCAGTGAAGGTAGGAGATTTCCTTGATCTTGAGGGCACCCTCCAGAGCAGTGGCGTGCTGGGCACCACGTCCAAGGAGCAGCAGCGATTTCTGGTTCTTGAAGCGCTCGCAAAGCTTCTTGATGGGCTGGTCGAGCTTGAGCACCTCCCTGAACTGGTCCGAAATCTTGGTGAGACCCTCCATGATCTCCTCCCTCCTCTTCTGCTTGGAGGCACGGTCCTCGCTCAGAGAAAGCGCGAACATGACCATGCAGACGAACTGGGACGTATACGCCTTGGTGCTAGCAACACCGATTTCGGGTCCAGCGTTGATGTGAACACCGCAGTGCGTCATCAGGGAGATGGAGGAGCCAACGACGTTGACGATACCGACGGTGAGAGCACCGCGCTCCAAGCAGTACCTGAGAGCCTGGAGAGAGTCGGCCGTCTCACCAGACTGGGAGACAAAGACGCACGTGTCGTCACGGAAGACGGGGGCCTTGCGGTCCAAGAAGTCTGATGCGAGCTCAACGGAGATGGGAATCTCCGTCAACTCCTCGAAAATGCCACGGACGGCCATGCACGAGTGGTACGAGGTACCGCACGCAATGAAGATCAACCTGCGGCATCGCCGGATGGTGCTGATGAACTGACGAAGACCACCGAGGGTGACGGTCTTGTTGGCGGCATCCAGGCGCCCACGCATGGCGTTGACAACCGACTCGGGCTGCTCAAAAATCTCCTTCTGCATGAAGTGGTCGAACTTGCCCTTCATGATCTCCTGGAGTTCGATCTCGAGCGTCTCAATGTTGCGCACATCCTTGGACTTGTCGTCCCTCTTGAGCCTATGGATGTTGAGGGAGCCGTCGTGGATGTGAGCGATGTCGTCATCCTCGAGGTACAGGACTTTCTTGGTGTGCTCGACGATGGACGAAGGGTCGGACGAGAGGAAGAATTCGGTGGGAATGGGAAGGCCGTCGTCGGAAAGGAAGGCACGCGACTGGGAGCGGTGAAGAAGCGACTTGTCAGGCGGAGCAAGCAAGGTGTTTGCCTTCTTGAGAGCGACATTCTGGGTCGCCTCCTCGGCGGGAAGAGCAGTCGTCTCGTCGGTGTACTCAACGTCGACGAAATCCGCCTTCATCTTCTTTTCTGTCCGCACACCGATGACGAGGGGAGAGCCCTTGCGGGCCGCAATGATCTCATCGGGGAAGTGTACGGACTTGAGGAGAAGACCGAATGCGCCCTGAAGCTCCTTGATGACGGCCTTGGCCAAGTCAGGGAAGGTCATGTCCGACTTGCGTCTATCATAGAAGTATTTGGCAAGCTTGGCAATCGCCTCTGTGTCCGTCTCGGTCTCGAACTTGAAGCCCTTGGACTCAAGCAGCGTCTTGATCTCCTTGTAGTTGGTGATGATGCCATTGTGGACGACGGCGAATTCCCAATTGGGATCGGACCTGGAAGATACAACAAGTTAGCGCTGCTGCGATTGAAAAAATGGTAGCACGGCGGGTGCAGAGCGGAGGATCGACAGTCGCAGATGTTTCAGAGTGCTGACACCAGTCCGTTGGCGCAGGAACGGAGTGTGACAGAACGTACCTGTGAGGATGGCAGTTGATGCGGGAGGGGGGCCCGTGAGTGGCCCAGCGAGTGTGGGCGATACCGGCGTGGCATTCGAAAACTTTGGACAGGTCGAAGTTCTGCTCCTCGACGAGCTTCCTGAGAGCAGCGACCTTGCCAACCTCCTTCACAGCGTAGACCTCATTCTTCTGGTCACCATCAATGGCGAGACCGGCGGAGTCGTAGCCGCGGTATTCGAGTCGGGAGAGGCCTGTGAGTTAGCGTGTTAGCCAGAGCCGGTACAAGTCGGCGACGAGAGTCGCTCGTTGTCAGGAAAATAACTTGCCATTGAGGAGAGTGTCAAGAATGTACTTCCTGTCCTTCTCGACCAGATAGTTGATGTACCCAAAGATTCCGCTGTGGATGGATTAGCGGACGGGAATGGAATTGTTTCCCCTCACCCCGTCGCTGGAGAGGGTTGAGGGGTAGATTTGGCCGACTTACCACATGGCGAATGAGAGTGTGTAGCGATTGGGAGCAGGGCCGAAGTAGCAGCAGAAGCGATTGCAAGCGGTGGAAAAAGCGAACGGAGGTGGTTATGGGTAGCGGTAGTGGAGAGAGGACGAGGGTGGGTTGTCTTTGGAGTTGGGGGAGTGGAGGGGGAGGAGTGAAGATCGCGGAGTGAGGGGTGGGGGGAGGGAAGCAGGAACGAGGGAAAGACGGTGTGCGGCAAACAGCGGTGTTGATTGTTTGCAGGCGCCTTTATACTGGCTCCTCTGGCTCCAGCAGTGTCTGCCCACTCCGTGCACAGTGCACACCCGCGAGTGTGCAGCCGCCCAGAGTCTCCACACAGTCCACACAAGTCGACAAGTCGACCACAGCTTGAGGCGGTGGGTCCCACGCCCGCCCACGCCCTGGCCTGCCCTCCTCAGCTTGCTGCAAGCCCCGTCTCTGGCGTCGTGGCGGTGGCGCCGCCTAGGACTTCTTTGTGAGAAGTTTCTTGCCGACAAGATCGAAAAGAACATTCCCAGGCCCTCCTCCTCTGCACAAGCACAGTTTGTTTTCCATGATTGTGTAGGAGTCGTGGTTCGGTCTCGTGTTGTTTTGTTGACACTCCTAAATCCCACTATTGTCGTTCTGTTACCCCCTCCTCCCCCTCCATCTCCATCTCCACTATGTACTGTATATCTCCCCAAAATCAAACCTTGGAAGCCCATATACTGGACTCTGTACTGTGTACATCCTCCCCCTTTCATCCATCAATCCCTCACACACTCCGCAACAAAACTCATGTCTCTCCATTTCGTCATCACGCACACACCACAAGTCCCATCGGGCCCCCCTCGGCCAATAATAGACAAAACCTCCTCCGTCGCCCGTTCCTGATCTTCGCCGAGAAAGACGTCCGTCGTCGGGACCTGGAGGCGCAGCAGGAGAAGCAAGCAGAAAATAGAAACAACTAGCGTATCACGACCGATGTAGATCCCTTTTCGACTCGTGGCATGATCCTCCTTTTTCGATATGCTGAAGTCTACCAACGGAGTAGTCTATTTACAAGTACTATTATTGATGATGGAATCAGTAGTGGTATTGCATCGCCTTTTTAGGGAACACAGCCACGACTGCAATAATGCTGCCATCTTTTGACGTGAGGCTCCGGCTAGACCAGGCCAGGCACAATAATGGCTGGTGCCATGGATCGATGGATGCATGGATGCATGGATGCCGCTCTCAGCCGAGCGTCTCCAAGGCTCGCCAATAATTCACCGTAGGGCGTGGCTAGTGCCACGATTTGGAGTTTAAGGAAAGCCCGCTTTAAAAAACCTGTGGCTGTGCTGTGAATGCACGTACCCGCCATGTGTCCGCGCTTCCCTCCCGAAGTGCATCCGCTCGGAAGTGCATCTGCATTGGAGAGGATCAACGCTCATCAGTCAGCAATGCCACTATTGATGTTCCCACCTGGGAATAGAGATGCGCCCTGCACGGCTGGAGACTTCCAGAAGACCTTAGTATTTCCAGCATCATATCTATATGCGCTAACATGTATGTTCTCTAGCTACTGTCTAGTTACTGGCATCCTCTACGTCGTCGTCTACTCCATAGGTATCCTCTAAATGCATCCCACATATACATGCTCTTAGACAAACATGTTCAATCGCCATGCCATGCCAATCGACTTCTATGCAAAAACATATGAGAAGTGAGCTCTCCAAAAGGTTTACATCGAACAATCACTGGTCGCAATATCCGGGAAACCTGGCCTGCCCCCCACTCACCCAGCTGTGCACTGTGAGCACCGTCGTATACACCATGCCGACGAAGCCCAGGATGCAGAGCAGAATGTCCAGGATGCGCTCGCGCGCTGTGCGAGAGACGGCCTTGTAGTGTAGCATGGGCTGAATGGTCACGGTTAGCAGTAATCCGCGCACTCTGATCAAGAAGAAGGAGACTCACCGGATAGATATATACCAGTGGGATGCACGCAAAGCTGCCCACCAGGCTCACAAACTTGTCCAGGTCGTTGGCCCCGACCCACGCCAGCAGCGCGCACAGCATCACCATGAAGAACCGGAAGAAGTTCTTCTTCCACTTGATGTACGGGTTGTACTTGCCCGTGCGGCTGAAGAGCTGCTGGCTGGTGATCTCAATCGCCGGATACAGCTGCAGTGGTGTCGACAGCAGAATCGCCAACGAGTAGATGAACTGGACGCCGTTGACAAATTTGTTGTCCTGCGGCATGTTGAGGATCACGACAGTCTTGGTCGCAGATCCAAAAGCCGCGTACGACAGCGCCCCCATGCTGGTGAAGACGACGGTGATAACCACCATGACGCCGGCCAGCACCCCAGGGAACTTCTTCGGCTCCTTCATCGCCGTCTGGATGGGGATGACGAGACCGATGCCTTCAAATGTGAAAATTGCGGTGCCAATGAAGAGCGTCCAAGACTGTGAGTTGAAGCTGACGATATCCGCAACCCCGCCCTGTCCAACGATCGTGAAGAGGTCGAAATAGTACAGATAAACGAGCCCGAGAAGGATGAAGATGTCGGCTATCAGAGCCAACTTCTGGATCTTGTTGATGTTGCGATACAGCGATATGGGCAGGAAGACCGCCATCTGCATTAATATCAAATATTTGATGTCGATGTTTGTCCGGCACTTGGACACGGCCAGGATGAAGGCCTGCAGATTTTCCGACACGAACACAATGTAGGCCGACGTGAAGCCCATTTGCGAGATGACCAGCGAGAAATTGATCATGTTCCGCATCCAGTTTCCGTACAAGTGGTATCCCATGTCTCCAAACGAGTGCTCCACCACCAAGCGAGTCTTGACCAGAAGTACGAAGCAAAAGTAGGAAATGCCCGCGATGCCAAGGAGAACCAGATTGGAAAACAGCATGCCGCCGTTGAGGAAAGCCCGTGGGAGAAACAAGACGCCTGTGCCGACAAACGACTTTAGTAATAGCAATGCTGCGCCCGTGGGGCTGGCTTTCCCTGCTTGTTTATCTTTTCGTTTTCGACGCTTCTTTCCGGGAGCCAATAGGGCGCTTGATTCTCCGTACTCTTGCTCTTCCTCAGTCAGGAGACCCGAATCCAGAGCATCTGGAGAGAAGTACTCGTCAGGTCCCAGGACTTCATCATCTTCCTCCAGCGATTCACCAGCGAAGTGGCCATAGAGGGTGAGGAATTCCAAGAAGTTGTTGGTGAACACCTGGGGTTGAGGTCGCGGTTGCGTAGTGGTTCCGTAGTTAGAAGGGCCTGAAGCAGGGGCCGGGCTTCCAGCAGTCCTGCGGAGGAAGTTCCGCCGAAAGCCGCCTGGCTGTTTGATTGAGCCCACATCCAGGACTGGATCGTCTGGCTTGGGACGGGATGCGTGAAAGCTTGCGCTCCGTTTCATTCTCGCCCGCTCCTCAGCTTCTTGCTGTTCGGTCCATCGATATATTTGCCTCGTGATGTCTCCCCCCTGCAGTTGCAAGCTAGAGAATTCCTCATCGTCGGAACCACCGTCTCCATTCTCACTGCCATATCCATTCCCTTGTTGCGCCCCACTCGCCGACCTGTATCTTGCACCCAGATTCGACGCGGAAGACTTCTGCGGCCCAGCCAAATGGCGCCGAATGATCTCTGGATCCTCGTATGGTGTTGGGGATCGAGCGCGTCCGTCGAACGAACCGATCTGGGTGCTGGGCGGGTCGCGAAGGGTGAAGGTCCCTGTATCAGGGGACAAAGGCCGCAACGGCGGTGTTCCGAATCGCGGCGGAGTCCTTCCAGAGGGGTCCCGCAGGGCTGACGAGAGCGCTGATTCACCAGGGCCGGGCAGCGAGGATTGGGGATTATCGCGGCCTGCAAGAGGCGTTTGAGATGTAGACGGTTCCTCGGATGCCAGCTTCGCCGGCGTGGGAATCTGGCGGACAGCTGGTGATCCGGCCTGCAGGGAGGACGAGGGCAGCGGAGAGCCTAGCCGTGCCGTAGACTGTGCGCGTGAGACGCTTTCTGACGCTTGTGAGCTCCGCTCGGAATTCCTCGAGGGAGTAGGCACAGGGCGAGGCTCCGAAGCCCCTAAGCGGTCCGCGGCCATGGTTGTAAACACAGAGTCGAGCTTCACCAACTCTGATCTGGTGCTCAAGGTGAGTGTAGACCACGAATGGGGCTGCGGACTGTCGCTGCAGATATGTGCTCCGTTGATACGGTTAGAACAGCATTATTGGAACTCGCTCGTCCGAGGATTCTGCTGAAGATAGGGCGTATCGATGGGTCGTATGCACAGGGAAGAATGAGTACTGCGTAAAACAGGAGAGGATCGCGGATGTGAAGCGTGCTGTGAGACCAATGGAGGTTCACAAGTAGGTCCGTGGACGTGGCTGAGGTCATTGGACCTGAAGTTGTAAATACCGCCAGCCTGAGCCAACCAAGGGCAGCCTCGGCTCAGCGCATGGAAATTGATTGGCTTGATCAACCTAACATAGTACTGAATACCTTATGTCAGCGGCCAAGAAACAACCTCTCCAACCTCTCTTCGACCTTGTTTTAAGTTCATGAACACGCTCATTCCCAATATTCTAGAATTCGTCGCACTGCCTTTGTACGGTCTCTCTGTCTTTTGGGTTCATGTATACATGGACCAAGCCAACCGGTGCAGGGTCTTGGAAAGCATGCAATATATGGCCGGATAGCGATCTGGACACTACTTCCCAAGGGTTGAATATACGCATTGGACTGGTAATACCTGCCTATCTGACCGGAGAGCATGACCGACGTTGCAGATGGCGCAGGTACAAGAAGGCGGGTGCCGCCACGGTCGCATTCCAACTTCGCTGCACGCACTGCGAGAGATGATGCCGCCCAGCTAGACCGGAACTCGACTGTGTTCCCGTCACCATCCAATGAAGAAACACCACTTCTGGCTCAGTATGCACGCTTGCACACGCAAGATGGAACCCAGGGCGCGGGGCCGGCGCAAGAACGGGATCATGGAACTGATTCTATGAGGGGCTGGTTTTCCAGAGCCTGGCGCTCCGCTCTTTTCCACCACAATGACGATTCCCCCGAAAGCAAACGAGCACAGTCCGCGAAACCACGTCCTGGCGCTTTCCCAAGGCCTGTTGGAGGTACAACTAAGCTTGGGACCTTCAATGGCGTCTTTGTTCCCGTAACTCTAAATGTCCTTTCTATTCTGATGTTCTTGCGTTTCGGCTTCATCCTCGGACAGGCTGGTGTTCTTGGCATGTTGGGTGAGTTTGAAAGGCTTGCTGCACCAGAATCCCATTGACCGAGAGTAGGTATGCTCATTTCGTGCTATGCTATCAATCTTTTAACAACCATGTCAATCTCCGCTATAGCTACGAACGGCACAGTAAGAGGCGGAGGTGCTTACTATCTGATCTCGCGCAGTTTGGGCCCAGAGTTTGGGGGTTCAATTGGCATTGTCTTCTATCTCGGCATGGTATTCAACACGAGTCTGAACGCAGTCGGTCTCATTGACTGCTTCATAGACAACTTTGGGCTCCATGATGGCAGCTGGGCGCACTGGATGCGTCAAGGCTTCTGGTGGCAGTACATTTGGGCCACCCTCGTACTGATTGCGTGCACGTGCATATGTCTGGCCGGTAGCGGAATTTTTGCTCGGTGCAGCAATGGTTTGCTGGTGATTCTCCTCCTTGCCACCTTCAGCATTCCCTTCTCTGCTTTCGTCGTAAGCCCCTTTGAGAATCGGACACAAGGCATCAGGTACACTGGCTTGAGTTGGGACACTTTCCGGGGAAACTTGATGCCACGCTTCACACGCGGAGCAGCTGGCAGTCAAATCAATGGCAAAGAGAATTTTCAGGACCTGTTTGGCATCCTCTTTCCAGCAACGGGTGGTATTTTTGCGTAAGATGCCCCTCTCGCCTCAAAGACCATCTCTGACTTGTCCCAGCGGTGCCAGCATGTCCGGCGACCTTAAGCATCCGAGCAAAGCAATCCCTAAAGGCACGCTGAGCGGCCTTGCCCTTACCTTTTTCTCATATGCAATCGTAATCCTCGCAATGGCGGCGACCACCACTCGAGCATCATTTGTCAACAACACTAATGTCATTCAACTTGTATGTTCAGAGAGCATCTGGTGGCTCACAACATACTAATGGTCTACGCAGACGAATTTATCCGGAGTTGTCATATTATTAGGAGAGTTTGCGACCTCGGCCTTTTCCGTCCTGATGGGCGTAATTGGCTCGGCCAAGTTGCTCCAGGCATTGGCTCGCGACCATCTGATACCGGGACTCTCTATATTTGGTCAAGGGACACGGAAGTCTGACGACCCGACATACGCCATCTTTCTCACATACCTCCTCGCTCAGCTCACCATGCTTTCCGATATCAACCAGATTGCGTCATTCATTACGATGACTTATCTCATGACCTTTCTGGTCACCAATCTTGCCTGTTTCCTTTTGAAGATTGGGTCAGCCCCTAACTTCCGTCCATCCTTTCATTTCTTTAACTGGCAGACCGCAGCAATTGGGGCAGTTGCCAGCGGTGCCACCATGTTCTTCGTGGATGGCATCTACGCATCTGGCTGCGTTGCTCTGCTGATGGTCATCTTTTTGCTCATTCACTACACCACACCCCCGAAGCCCTGGGGAGATGTGAGCCAAAGCTTGATTTATCATCAAGTGCGCAAATATCTGCTTAGACTTCGTCAAGAGCACGTCAAGTTTTGGAGACCGCAGATTTTGCTCATCGTCAACGATCCCAGACGGCAGTACAAGCTGATTCAATTCTGCAACTCATTGAAGAAAGGCGCTTTATTCGTTTTAGGGCACGTCATCGTATCTCAGGACTTTGCCTCTGCGGTACCAGAAGTGCGGCGACAGCAACAAGCTTGGACGAAGTACATCGATTTTTCCAGGATCAAGGCCTTCATCAACATTGTTATTTCGCCTGCTGTGGAATGGGGTGCTAGAAACATTGTTCTTGCTGCTGGACTTGGGGGTATGAGGCCGAATATTGTTGTCATGGGATTGTAGGTTATCATATCCCGAACATCATCTAATTCTTGCTGATTCCATGAAAAAGCTACAATCTTGGGGAGTTGAGAGACTCGAGAGTGGTCGACGTGCCCTCCTCTCAGCCATCTCGTCCTGCTAATAAAGCGCAGAATCCTCCCACGGTACAGACTGTAGGTGCAGCCGCTAACCGGCGAGCTCCGGACAGACCGGCAAGCGCTCTTCCCACGGATTCCATTAAGTTAGAAAATGCATTGTCTATCCAAAGTTACGTCACGATCGTTGAAGATCTCATTCTTCGGCTCCAAATCAACGTTGCCATTGCCAGAGGGTTCCAGGATCTGGAAGTTCCAACACCCAAGCTTTCTAGGAGGCAAAAGCTTCTCAGTGTACTTGGACTTGGAAAGCCCGAGGAAGAACCGTCCAAGAGGTACATTGATATGTGGCCCATTCAGATGTCCGCCGAGATCGCCACAGCGGGAGACGATCCAACGCAAAAAAGTGCGCTTACTACCAACTTTGACACCTATACGTTGATTCTACAACTCGGCTGTATACTGAACACTGTTCCTTCCTGGAAGCGCACGTACAAGCTACGCGTCTGCGTTTTCGTCGAGTATGAGAGCGATGTGGAAGAAGAGCGAGGTCGCGTCACCACGTTACTCCGGAACCTCAGAATAGAAGCAGAGGTACTGGTATTCTGGCTAGCAAGTGGCGAGTTAAAGATGTACGAGGTAATCATTAATGGAAGTCAAGCGGAGGACTGCATGCAGGCGAGGACCGATGCGAATGATGCACTTCAAGAGGAAGAATGGTGGAAAGACATGCAGCGTCTGCGCCAGACTGGCGACATCAGTTCAAGTGAAGAGTTAACAAATGCCAAAGGTCTTCTCGAGAGGGTCAATAATTGGCCAGCGGGGAATTTTCAGTTTGGCAGAACGGACTCCAAACCAAGGCGATTTGCCCAGCTTCGAAACTTCGTACGAAGGAAACACAGAACATCAGTGGCTAGTGTTCTTGAAGCCGGCTTGAAAATGGGCATGCGTAGTCAACTGCTTCCAGCGCATTTTCTGTCGGACAGCGACTCTTCGTCTAGTGAAGAAGGGAGCGATGCACTTGATGAAGCAGTACACACGGACAGTGAACCAGCAACAGACAACGGCCTGGCCGAGTACGACCTTGACGCTTCGGATGAGGAGCAGTCTGACAGTCCATCTACTGGGACTGGAAGAGCTAGGAGTACGAGTGCCACGATGGGAAGCGTACCTTTCATCGGTAAAAGACTCAGCCTGCGGAAATCCTTGTTCAGGGACGAGCAGGGCTATCAAAAACAAAGGCTGGAAGTGGGTACGCCATCTTCAAGCCGCGCCACCGTATCGGCATCCCACACAGCGCTTCTTGCCTCCAAAGCTTCACCTAGCATTTCTTCCGCCTCCCTATCGTCAGGGTCGAAAGCTGCGGCTACGCCTCGTCCCATCCGGCAACAATCGATGCCCAAGTTCACATCGAAACCGCATCCTCTCATAGCCGCCGCGCCTGAGGAGACAGCTGAGTCATCGGTCATGTTTGTTGAATCTCCATCCGCAGAAGCAGCCAGAAAGCAAGATCCAATGACAGCCTACATTCCAGTAGAACCCAGACCTGGCATAACGCCCGCACATGCCTCATCGCCTGCTCCTACAATGCAAACCGGCCAAGCCGGTGACGGCATAAGTCAAGCTCAAGCTCAAGCTCAACCCGCAACTGGCTATCCTCTCCAAAGTGCCATCCCTCTCTCCTTCAATGACCTCCCCTGCCGCGCCCAACATCTTATTCTGAACGAGCTGATTCGTCAGAACTCGGAAGACACCGCCGTCGTGTTCACAACGCTGCCGAGTCCTGTTGAGGGCACGTGCGAGAGCGAGACGGAGAGTGTCAAGTATATCAGTGACTTGGAGGTGTTGTGTTTGGGGCTGCCGCCGGTGCTATTGGTGCATAGTAATAGTATGACGGTGACCATGAATCTTTGAGGGTGCTTGGTGAGGGTGGGGGGACGTCGAGGTTTGTGGGGTCAAGCAGGGCCAGGGTTGGCTCATGATGATGGCTTAGGTGTTTTGTTCGGGGCTCACGACGAGATCGCAATACGGTGATGCTTGTTTACCCGACTTTCGACTATGGTCGTCGTACCAGTAGACTCCGTTTCGTCCTGTCTCTGCTTCCTGTTTCGGAAGTCCCAGATTACATATCGAACATCGGGCGAGATATTTTGTCCTCGGTCCAATTCGACGTTTTAGCTGTGGTTGCCTCATCACTAACCTACAGCTAGCCAAGAAGGAGTGCCCTTGTCGTTACTTTATATTTTCAGCCCGGATCCGGTTGGTCGGTCCCATGTCAATCCACCATTGCCGGAGTTAGCACATGTAATCCCGTAGACTAGGCGTTGCCGCCTTGAGGCTTACTGATACAAACAACAAACAACTCCATGGCCGGATCAATATCGCACGAGTAAAGGCGGAGATAAGTTGATTAACAATGCTACGGGCGTGTCGGCAAGTATCTGGTAGGGCTGAACGGACGAGGAAATGATGTGATAGTTGCAGTACCATCTGCTGGATACATATATATGTCTCTGTGACCTCCCGTTCAGATACTATTCGTCCGCATCACCAGAACGCAGAGCCCACTTCTGACTTCATCTTGACTGTCTTCCTTCCCCCCAACAGCTTTAACATAGATCCGATTTTCCTGTACTCGCACCATCTTTTTTTCACACCTAGAACCCACCAGAAATGGACCCATCGGAGTTTTCCCTTCCCTCTGAATCCATAACCGCCTTCACCGGCCCCGAACACGCCCACCACGACATCTACCCTTCCATCTCCGCTTCACACACCCCCTCCCTCCGCCAACCCGGAAAAGTCGTCCTCATCACCGGCGCCGGGCGCGGCTGCGGCCGCGCCATGGCCCTGCAGTACGCCCACGCAGGAGTCGCAGGCATCATACTCGTCTCGCGCACGCTCCCGCAGCTCGAAGAAGTCGAATCCCAGATCCGCAGCATCAGCCCGGAAACGAAGGTATCCAAGCACGTCGTCGACGTCACAAACGCACAGAGCGTCTTCGACTGCGCCAAAGCCGTTGAGCAGGACTTCGGGGGCCGTCTGGACGTGCTCGTCAATAATGCAGGTACCATTTATGCGTTGGCGCCGCTCAGGGACACGAAGCCCGAGGAGTGGTGGCATACGTACGAGGTCAATATCAAGGGCCCGTATCTGTTTCTCAAGGCCTTTTTGCCGCTGTTGTCGGGTACGGCGGAGAAGTTCAAGACGCTGACGCATGTGGTGAATATTTCGAGTATTGGGGCGCTGTCGATTAATCCGGGGGGTACGGCGTATTTCACCTCCAAGCTTGCGCTGTTGCGGTTGACGGAGTTGGTCGAGTTGGAGGAAGGGGCGAAGGGCGTTGTTTCGGTCGCGGTGCATCCTGGGGGTGTGGCGACGGAGTTGACGCTGCCGTTTGAGAATCTGAAGCAATGTAAGTCGGCGTCGTGAAGCTGTTCTTAACTACTTTGTGACGGAATGGCTAATGGAATGGCAGTTATGACGGACACGCCAGAATTATCGGGTGGTTTCGTGGTATGGATTACCGCGGGGGAGAAAAAGTGGTTGGGTGGGAGGTATTTGTCTGCGACATGGGATGCGGATAGGTTGGAGGAGAGGAAGCAGGAGATTGTTGAGGGGGATAAGCTAAAGGTGAAGCTGGCTGTTTAAGTCTTGCGGTATCGAATGCATGGTGTAGTAGACGGTACTATGTTCTGGTCCACCAGTAGTCGGCTCCGCCATTATCAAATCAGCTCCTCAGTCCCAAAAAAGCACTGAGAAGTTACTGACCGCATATTCTGTGCAAATTATACGAGCCAGCAGATCTAAGTAAACTTCAAGCGCCAGATTCATGATGATGGGACCTCCCCAGCGACAGCATATAGTCTAGCGGTTGCCACCGTAGAACACATGGAGGATACAGATTTGCGACAGGAAGGACGGGAGAATCCACTGTGGTATGTTAACGTTGGGTATTACAAGTGTGAGAAGCTTGAGTGGAGGGGAGTTGATCGGTATCCTTAGAGCCGGGAATCTTGAAGCGATAGTGACAGAGGACTTCAGGAGGATTTGGTTTATACTTCCATATTGGATATAATGACTTGCTTCGAGAAATTGATGTATTAAGACACATAGAATGTGCACATCTTCCTGAACACCGCTATGCCATGCAAAAAGGGACCTCTAATCATCCTCGTCAAACTTGTTCGTAAAATCACCTAACAATATATCATCCGGCGCAGGCCCACGGTGATTCCTTACTGCAAATTGTTAGTGACTGCATCTTGTCAACTGAGGATAAAGACTCACCCCACTCAGTCTCCACTCGAAAGAAGATCCAAATCCACCTCCTCATTACTTCGAGAACTTGCATAAGAAAAATACCGCCTTCTAAATCGTTATAATGGTCTAAACGTGGGCTCAGTTTGATGACCCATGTGCACCTCAGAATGGCATCTATAATAATAGCCGCGTAATAGAACTCCTTCGCGTGGAAGAAGCGGTGTCTTCTCAGACCAAACGGATATTCCGGATTTTCCCGTTCGCGCTTCGAGGAGAAAAGAGTGAGGTCCCAATCGCGAGCGACATCCCAGTAGAATGAGTAACCGGAATTGACCACGACGGCAGCAAGCCATAGGCGGAAAAGACTCGCTTCCGGCAATCCGTATTTCGAGGGATTCGGCGACCGTTGCAGAGCGGTGAGGATGATAACGGGGAATGCGGTCGAGTATTTCAGAGCGTTGGCTAGATGCACTCCGCCCCACCCTGTCGTCGGGCTTATCTGTCCAGTGCCCCTGTTCGCTCTCTGCACACGGCGGTATTCTATCAAGCATTGCCGCAGTCGTATTAGCGAGGGAATCGCTATGACGAATGGAACCCAGAAACCACCTCCGCAGTTCCGGTCTGGTGGCCCAGTGGATGAACGCTTCGACGAAAAGAACATGCACAACGAGATGAATAAATCCCCAAGCACCTTTGCATAACTCGTAAGGGCATCAGCAAGCAAGATGTCGCCGAATTTCCCATCTTGTGCCTCAGCCAGTCCGCCGACTGAGATGCGCTTCAACGTCGCCAGCGTGCGAGAGCGCCCATTGCGGCTCAGGAACGGTATCGGCGCAACGAATCCGACGACAAGAATCAAAAGATATATGTTTGGCAAGATCTCCCAGCGTGCAATATCCTTCGGGCTGCCGCTTGTGACGCCCCAGAAAAGCAGAAGAAAGAGCGCAAGCGGTATCGACAAGAAGATAGCTATGCGGTAGCACGAAAGGTGGTGCGGCGGATGATGCGGCGACGAGCGCGAAGGATATCGAATCAGACTGGGGACATCGATCCGGACCAAGCTGAGATAGTGAAGGTTGAGGCCCCATGCCCAGATGCCTGTATTCAAGGCAGGTCAGTGCTGGGTCGCAAAGATATGGGAAGTACACAAAGATCCTACCTAGAACAATTATGAGTGCCACTCGGTACGGAAGGGGCAGTACGCGACTGAAGCTATCGAGCTCTGGCTCCGCAGTTCCATCGGCGTCCATTCTTTGATCCTGGATCCGTTCTCCACGATTTCTCGCCCCAGCACTCCCTGCTATGGTCTTTCATCCAGGAGGGTCATAAACGAGTGACTAGGGCCAGAAAAGCTGTCTCCTTCGAATCTCTGATCGTTCAAGTTAAAGGGTTCCGTAGGCGTGTCCAGTTACTGAATCCAGGAGTTGCGCAAATGTTACGCCACATATGAGTGACTAAGCATTCTTCAGCCGCACCGCCACAGATTCCAGGCTGTCGGGACGCGTTCCGCGCCACCCCTAATGCCAAGCATCAGACGTCGTTGTTCACTATGACGTGCCCCCAAGCCAAGAGTCGGAGTTGCTGAGAGCATATCAATTCCAGTCTACACTTTATTATCGCCCACTCAATTCCAATTGCCTCTTAAGACTAATTCAAACCCTTTTCCGTCGAACGGCATACATTTGTCAACACATTTTCACCTCCGCAACGATGTCATCAAGGACCTCTATCGGGAAAGTCTTTTTGGCCGGCGGTGTTGTCGGACTAGGATATTACGCGTACATGCGCCAGTACTGGTTCCCCAAGACGTCGAAAACCGAGCCCAATCCGTTCAGGACTCAGGGGGTGAAGAACATTGAGGATCGGTACACTGCTGGCGGAGGCATGCCCAACCATCAGCCAGGAACGGCGACCAAGGCTGGTACGCATAATTAGTCCATGGTACTGTCGAGTGGGTTATTCTGATGATTTGTGGCAGGAGATTCAAGCAACGTGGAAACACGACAACAGGGCGTTAGCAAAGGTCCCGATTCCGCAGAATTTGCTGGCAAGATCAATGATCAAAAGACTGAGGTACGCTAATCCTGGGTCGGAGATACTGCGAGAGCAATCATCTAAGTTCCGCACAGGAAGGCGCTTTTCCCGATAAATTTTACCAGGCACAATACGGCAACCCGAAAGGCAAATGAGACCATGTTCCCAAGATGCACATTGACCTTCAAGCGATGCGATTCCCGGTCATGGGAGTATTGGGGCTTGGCCCTATCTTATTGGAAGAAGCACAGCTTTGACGTTTGATGATTGCATGTATAAGAATCTTGTACATCAATACGCTATTTCCATTCCATCACAGCATTTCCCCTTGTCGGCGGCGAAACAAGGAGCTTTTGTAAATTATCATGTAAAAGTACGGGATGGTTTCTCTGATATTGTTGTCCTCAGAGGTACGCGAAAAGCGCTATTCTCAGTTGCTCATTAGGTATAAATTAAGCTGCCATATTGCACAGTGGATGAGGCAATTGGACAGCTAAGCTTCAACGTGATAAGCCGACGTCAAATCCTAATCCTCTTAGCACTAGCACCTAGAGCAAGACTAGACGGCCAAGGACAACAAGGCTTACAGCCCAAGTTTACTTTGGCCATCTACCACGCCACTCCCAACATCTACCTACACCCATCCATCTCCCTCAACCCCCAAAACAGCAAAATAATCATGCCACGCCCAACAGCCACATCCCGCGTCCTCAACACCACCGAACTCCTAGAACTCATCCTCCACCCCATCCCACCCCTCGAGCTTCTCACCACCCTCACGCGCGTATCCCGCAAATTCCACGCCGTAATCCTCGCCTCGCCATCCCTCTTCTTCCGCCCAGACGCCACCATCCCTCCCACCAAATGGATCCTCAACCCTTTTCTCCGCAACAAATTCAAACTCTGGTTCATCAACTACACACGTCCCGAGGATTTCCCCTCCGTCGCTAGGATCACCGCAGATGTCATCGGCCACGTTGGCGACGCGAAGCGAGATATCTTTCTCCGGCCGGAGGCAAGCTGGCGCCGTATGCTCGTCATTCAACCGCCGCCGAAAGTTCTCACTGTTGTGCAAATCGCGTCAGGGTGGGAGGACCTGTATTCGCTTCCTTCGCGAGCTGTGGTTTCATTCGAGGAGGAGAAGGGAGAGTGTGGTGTCACTATGGGAGCCATCTACGATATTACCGTGTCGATGTCGTTTTTCTACTTCAATGTGCAATTTGGATTGTTTGTTAAGAGTCAAGATGGGGAACCGCCTCAGATGACTCTGGCATTGTATACGGGACCGAGAAGGGATGAGAGTTCAAGCAATGAGGTGCGTTCCCGTGAGGATTCGACTAGTATACGGTCGAGAGCGGAGGAGCGGTGGGATTGTGGGGATCGTGTGAAGTTGGAACAGGTCGAAGAGAGGATGGCGATTCCCTGGGGATGAATGATCTTACGCCTGAGCGAGGGACGTTGTCCATATATGAGTATGTGGAGATGAGGATTGCGGATCATCAGAAGGGTAGATAAGAATAACGGAACCCCTTATAAATGTGAGCCACACATGGTAGATGAGAAATCCAACAGGTATAATCATGAGTCGTTGTGTCCTTAATGGCTACCACACAAATCTTAATCAACTAGACCTTATCCGCGAAGCGGCAACACATGCTGCACCAGACAGCTCTGCCTGCACAACGGACACTCGGGCTTCTCGCGGGCCCAGTCGGATATACACGTCCAGCAGAACACATGGCCACACGTCGTCACGCTCGGGTCCTTCATCTCCTCCAGGCATAACGTACACTTCCTATTCCCACTCCCTATCCACGCCATGGTCACTCCGTCGCTCAATTCGTATCGCGGGGTATCAGCCGCGGGGGTATGCGTCCACTTGTGCAGCTCCGACGGCGCCGAAGTCGGATTCGCAGAGTCGAAAAGCAGTGCGTTGTTCGCACTATATGCATTCGGATCCAGAGAGACCTCAACGCCTCCGCCGACAACGGCTGTCGCGCCTGTGACGGCTCCCAGCGCCCCGGTACTGGCCGCATCAGGCGCCATTGTGTTCTGCAGATGCAGATACGCCTGCACGGCCATCTGCAATGCCAATAACACACCCAACACTTCATACCCGACCCTCGAATCCCCTTCGTGCACGGTCCGCGTGAAGATGTATCGTAAATTCCATATCCGCTTCGAGAGATGGTAGTACGACCCCGTGAAATAGAACGTCGCCAACGACAGCGCATATATAGGCGACGGCGAGGTGATGGTGTCTAAATTGCGAAGAATGTAGCTCTGGATCCGCGCGCTGAGAGGTCTCGACAATGACGCCTTCTTCCCAGTCTCGCGCGCCTGAAGTTGTGCCTTGGCTTGGAGGCGGGCGTGCCGCTTCAGATTCGCTTCTAGTTTTGCGCGCACCCTCCTGCGGAATGCAGGGAGAATCCGGCCGAGGAGGTAAGGCCCGAGTATACAGCTTATTATATATCCTGCTCTTCTTCCGAGCGCCGGCAAGCGACCTGTCTCGCCCTCGACTTGCACGATGTCGCAGTACTCTTCGCCCAAGGTTCGGTTGCCAATCAATGTCGTGAGGCCGAGATATAAGAGTTCGCTCAGGACGTGGGTCTCGGAGCTGTATGTATGTGTGAACCGCGCGCCGTATATTTTCCGGAGGAGGGAGGAGACCTGTTCGGATAGCACGCCGCTGAAGTAGGCGTCTTTCTGATGGGAACGGATGATGTCTGGTGAGGCGGCGAATGGGTATGTGTAACGCGGCGCTGAGGACGCCATTTTGGTTTCTTCTGAATCGAAAGCGTGAGAGCACCGGTCGTGGTATGATGCGGAGATGGTCACGGAGGTGATGTTGAAGCCAAGGGAAGTCGACCTCGGCCCGTCGTTCGAAGCTTGGACCACCGGTGTTTGTCTGGACGACACATGCCGCTTTTATATTAAAGGTTCACCTCAGACATTGAAGCAAACAAAGTTCACGCTCGCCGGATGGTTTTTATCTCTCATCATCGCCAATTGAATGTTGCCTTGTCCTCCATCAATACAGTCGTACCACAGTAAAATCCTGATAAACATGCCCTCCCATTAAGGCCACCGAGATAACATATCGAATGGCAAGTGGACACTGAATTCCAATAACACAACCACATAAAACCCTAATCCCTCTCAGACCCATCTCATAACCATTAAAGATGCCCTATGCAATACCGTCCCGAACCATGGGCTTCAAGTCCGCCGCCATATAGTCAAGTCCTTCGCTTTCAGTATACTTACCAGCGGTCATCGAGGTGTCCCAAGAGTACCTGCATGAATTCGTAGCTGGCCCAAACAGCCCTGATGGTAGCAGATGCATCCTTGGCGCTGGAGCCGAGGATAGCAGACGCAATGGTCTCCCCAAAGAGACGATGCATCTCCAGTCGAGGTGTCTTTACCTGAGAAAGTATGATCCGATGGAGGGGCTCCATTCGTTTCAACTCACGGCTCATAGCAGTAGAAAAGTGGACGTTGACAATTCGAAGCGGCTTTGAAGCCCCATTGTCGCATTCATCGGCTGAGATGAGGGGATAAGTGTCCACAGCAGGACGACTGCACGACAATCGGCGAAACTGGTACAGTGGGCGAAGTGACGGCTTGTAAAGTGAGTAATGAGGGCAAGTCTCGTTGTGGTTGTACCATATCTCGAGCTCGCGCAGAGAGGTAAGCTTCTCGGAAAGTGATTTGCACGCCTTGGTCCAGCTCATGATATGCTTCTCTTTGAAACCTGCCAGGTCCGCCCACTCAGGGTGTCCGTAAGAAGAGTAATGCATTTGAATTTTGGTGATGTGGGCGAGATTCTTTTGTGGTACCGTATTCAAGAAGTTCATGATGCTCCAAGGGGCAGTAAATACGAATGTTGTGCTCTGGTAGAGGAATCGCATGGTCTCCTGGTACACTCTCTTGCAGACGAGGATCAGCGGACATAAGGATGATGACCACTTTGTCCGGACGCGCTCGCCAGTGGATCGAGCACCTAGTTTGCGCGAGACACGAATGGTACGTGTTCCAGTTTTGATAGCCTTCGGCCGGTAACCCTGCATGCGCCCATGAAGATCGTGAATGGGTAAGAAAAGCTTCGCGGTCCGTAACTTGGGGCGGCCAAGCACAGCTCCTTTGGCAGCAAGCTCAGCGCGGAAGCCGTCCTCAAAGTAGTACTCGTAGACTATGTTGCGAATCTCGCCTGGCAGACTGAGAAAACCGATCGTCCGCTTCGGAGAGCTTGGTTGACGGAGGTACTGAGACAGCGTGGCAGGCTTCTTGGGTTTCGGACGTTGTCGGCTCTGAGACTTGGGCATTGTACGCTAGAGTTCGACGTGCTGCTGAAAGATGTCCGATAGCAGGTGAAAGGCTGGTATAGACACTGTGAGGTTAGTGAGAAGCAACCAGAGTATATGTACACAGTAGGTAGCAAACTAGCATGCAGCCGCCCAATTCGGAAAAGGTGCTTGGAATGTAGTTAGTAGAAGATGCCTGGAGTTAGACGTGGTGAGTAGGATCAAATTCGGCACTGTCTAGACCGAGAAGGCGGTCGCATTCAACCTTGGAACTATTTTGGCGTGGTGAGTAGTGAAGGAGGGTAAAGTCGTGGTGGAGTCGGTCAATGTAAGGAACCTTGGAAGGGTAGCTACGCTAAGGCCGTAAGAGGCTAGTCGCTATATTTCTAGCCCCTTACTAGCGCCAATCAAATCGCCCCTGCGTCGCCCGCTCGTCACTTGTTGCTCCCTTCACCCTTCACAATGCCAGCACACTTGAGAAACGGCCTTCGCCTTGCACCACGCAAACCCCTCGTTCAATCCTCTCGTCCCTTCACCACCACTCGCTCCCTCAACTCGCGCCTGCGCCAGCCGGGCGAGCCCACAGGACCAAACGAACCCCCACGCCATACCACGGCCCCACCATCCAAGTCTCCCATTAAGATTTGGCCGATCGTAGCCATCCTAGTGGCCGGTACATACTTGTTTAAGAAGATTGTAGACCAGCGTAGGGGTACATATAACGCAGCGGACAAGCCCGTCTCGGGACACTCTCCTTCTCGACCCTAGAAAACCCAAATCTCCATCCATCAAGCAGCCGTCATGCCAGCAATCTCCGAATTGGGCGCCGCGAAGCGCGACAAGCCCCTTTGGTCCACCAACGAAGTCACCGTCATTTTCGTCCTGGGCGGCCCCGGTGCAGGAAAGGGAACCCAATGTTCGTTCCTTGTTGCCGATTATGGGTTCAAGCATCTGAGTGCAGGGGACCTGTTGCGCGAGGAGCAGGACCGTCCTGGTAGCGAGTTCGGACAGCTGATCAAGGATTACATCAAGGAGGGTCTGATCGTGCCTATGGAGGTTACGATACAGTTGCTGGAGAATGCCATGAAGGCGGCAATGGAGAAGGAGCAGAAGACTATGTTTTTGATCGATGGTATGTTCTCCTCGCCCAGGGAGAGTGCCACAGGAGTTTCACTGACCTTGTCCAGGTTTCCCCCGTAAGCTGGACCAGGCGCACGCTTTCGAACGCAGCGTTGTCAAGTCAAAGTTCACTCTTTTCTTCAAGTGCAGCGAGAAAGTAATGCTGGAGCGGTTGCTCGACCGTGGCAAGACCTCCGGCCGTGCCGACGATAATATCGAATCGATCAAGAAGCGGTTCAGGACTTTTGAAGACACGAGCATGCCTGTTGTGGAGGAGTTCAGACAGGAGAAGAGAGTGGTGGAGGTGGATGCCGAGCAGACCCCTCTGAAGGTGTATCAAGACGTGCAGGAAAGGCTGAAAGAGTGGGGAGTGCACCCCTTGGAAGTCAAGTTACAGCAAGCGTAGATATAGAGCCTTGAACTTCGCACAGCATTGAAAATTTGAGCATCTAAATTGATTTTCCATGTTGCAGTGCAACATCTTGCCTACGTAGTAGGTCCTTCCATATCCGAGAATTTCTCCGAAATGCATTCCTTCGTCAGGCCATGAGACGGCTCCAAGCGTATCAAAGAAACAGGAAGAGAGAAGCCGGTATCTAGTCCATTTCATCGTCAATCGTAGCCCGTGGCCGTCCCTTGCCCCGCCCCTGCCCCTGCCCCCTATTCGCGCTCTCCAGCTTCTGCTCAACCTGCCTGAGCTCGTTCTCCTTTTCCTGGATGAACTTCTCCTTCTCTAGCTGGATCACCTGCAGTACGTCCGTCAAGCTATTGCGCCAGAGGTCCAGACGGCCTGCAACCTCTCTCCATTGTTGCTCGCCAAAGACACGGTATGTCGAGCGGTGGATCAGGAACGTCTGATTGAGCTGGCTGAGCTTGCCTTCTACGAGGCCGGCGCGGATCACATCGATGACCCACATCTCGACGTCTTCGGGGGGGATCTGGAGCGCTTTGGCGATGTGTGCGTAAGGCAACGAGCGCGTCTGTCCTGTTGACGCGGCTAACGAAGCCAGGGTCAGCAACCGCATCTTCCGGTTCAACGCAGCGGCGTCCAGTCCTGACTGCTCAACCCAGCCCTCGTGCTCATCCTTGAAGTCGTTGAAGTCGTCCAGGACGTCGGAGTTGAAGATCTCCAGCAGTTGGAAGTAAATGGGGTCGGAATTCCGTAGAGCTTGAATTGAATCAAGGTCGGTCAAGTCCTGGAAGTCGTAGTGGTTGGGATGTGTGAGGGCCGTCTTGAGAGCGCGGAGCGAGAGTTCGCGGGCTTCAGGCGATGAAGTCTCCTCAGTAGGAAAAGTGCGGAGGGCACGGAGAAGGTAGTTGTACGCCTGTTCATCCTCTCCTGCGTCATTCGCGGTGTCGCTAATTGCAAGATACAGTTTCCTCTTCTCCTCGTCATCCACTTCCCATGCTTCCAGCCACCGGTCTAACTGCTTGAGCTGCGGGCGCAGAGTCTCGAAGTTGGAAGTCTGTCGGATAACGCGCACGGTAGCGAGCAGAATGTGGAATCTCAACTCGCTCGTGGGAGGCAGAGTGTTGAAGATGGTGCTGAGGACGGATAAGGCAAGACCGCCGCCGTTCGCGGGGGAGGATGTGATGGGAGAGGTGAGGTAGTTGCAAATCTTCGGGAGGAACATGCCCACGTTAGGCGACTGCTTTACGAGGTGAATGAGAAGGTTGTATGCCGCTATGAACTCTGTCGCAATATTGTCAGGCGGACTCGAATAGACTTGAGTTTCCAAATACATACCCCTCTCCGGAGCCTGATTCAGGACAGGAGCCCCGAGAATGAGTTTCTTGAGCGCCTCATCCTTCTTGTCTCCTTTCAGCTGCTCCGCTACTTCGGCCTGGACGATGGAACTGCCTTCGGTTTGGGAATTTTTGAGGTTGTCGATGTACTGTGCGAGCTCGTCGGCAAGCTCCTCGAAGGTGCCCTCGATGAGAAGGGTAGTCTTAGGACCCGGCATATTGGCTGTCCGCTCTGGTTGTATGCCTGGGGGACGAAAGGTCGGGTAGCAGCGCGCTTTGGGGGTGGTGGGCTTTGTCAACTCCCTTCACTTTGATGGTGGGGCGTTGCCGAATCCATATTTTCGCCAAGAGTTCAGGGACCGTGCGCAGCCATTCATCAACGCCGCGTTAACGTTCAACCTTAGCATTATGACATTCCATGCATCACTAATTCATCTGGCGATTTCTGTGACGAACAGAACTTCCTGTTCATTCATACACTCGAAGATCTCAATCTATTCGGACTATTTACACTTGTGTCCGCATTCACCGATCAAACCTTCTCTATACCCAAGACACTGCAGTATCCAGCCTCCGAGATCTAGACCTTGACAACGCTTATGGTGAGGGGAGAAATAGTCTCAGTGGTGTTGCTCGCGCCTATTTGGCTGTTAATCCAGGGCTCATGCCGTTCTCCCACTTTGAACTCACCATCGTATAAAGCCAAACCATATCCACCACTATTTTTCACAGCAACAAAGGTTCTGTTCGTGAGCGTGCTCCCGTCCTTGACTCCTAAGACGTTATTGTCGGTCGTGAACGTCGCCCATTCCATCAATTGGCCTCCAGGAATGGTATCAGTCCGTGGGTTGGTCACATCCACAAGGTAGAGAAGCACTCCAGTGGGCCCTTGCAGAGCAATCTGGCGTGTATCGTCTGCATTGTGGATAGCGTAGGTACCAGTGGGCTTGTACTGGTTGAGGAAGAATTTGGTAGCTACTGTTTGGGCCCCGAGTGTGTAAGAGGTCTGGCCCGTTTTCAACGTCACCCACTGGTTATTGACTGCTGTTGTGGCCCTGCGGATGTTCTTAGGGAAGCATATACAGGTCGAGGCACAGACACTCACGATTTGGTCTGGAGTTGGTAGAACTGAGTACCCGCGGGAGGTGGAGCTTGAGTTGACCAAGGCAACAGAGGCCAGGCAGACGTGACGGTCGAAAGCGCAGCGGTCGCCGCAAGGTAAAGCTTCATTTTGAGAGTAATGGCTGCTTCAGGTACTGAGTGATCCGAAGAAACTCCACTGCACTAGCAGAATAGAAACCTGGCTCATCCTGCGGAGCCATCCTTTTATATATCCATCGCAATCATGATCAGAATTGTACTCGGAGTGTAGCATAGCATACCGTCTCCCTGCGTCGGCAGCAATATGCATCATCTATATCCATCGGCGCGCTTCCGAGTGTTCAACGGCGATCTTGTCCCCGCGCAGGGACAATATCGATGCTTGAGAGCCCTAGCAAGCGTTATACAAAGTAACCATCGCTACAACAGTTAATGTGTTGTTAAGTGGACTGCAGTGTGGTACAAGCAGGCATGCTCCAGCTTCATTGGCTCCCGACGCACTCGAGGCTAAATCCACCAGGGGCTGGAAGAAGTGTGTTTATTTCGGGACCAACGATGTGATTGACGCTCCGTATGACTACTTATTCTGTGTAGTTTCGCATATGCATGCGTCCATCAAGGCCGTTCATTTGGGGCGATTAACGAACTGACGCGCGTTCCTTCATTAGTAGATAGATCACGACATTCCGCTTCGGTCTGCTCAATCGGCACCTTTGCAGGAATATTCTGCCCTGCGGCAGGTGAAATTGCTGATGTCAAACTGATTGCGGGCCTGACGATCATACTGTGTAGTTGCAATAGTCTGACAATGTAACAGTAACAGATTTAGTGCGATTTCCAGGGCAGACGAAATTCACCAATCGGCCAAACCCACTATATCGCTCCTCCACTGTCGCCATTCGATTAGCATTGCATAACAGAATTCTTCCATATGGAATATTTCGGAAACTTCACGGTCATTCATCTATATTCAGACGAACATTGTCCATTCCGTTTGTGAGCCAAATCTACGAAGACGTATATACAAGATGTCCCCCCAACAATGGGAATCTTTTATGGCATGGTCCCTTGAAAAGGCCGAATACTTATGCCTCGAACTTAATCTCTCTCTTGGTGTTATCGCCGCTCTGCACCTGGAGGTAATTCGCATACAACGGATCACTGAGCCCTGCATCCTTCATGAACTTGGACCAGTCAATGCCGAGCCTGCTCTGCACAACCTGTCTATGGGCAGCAGGGACCGCGAAGTTCGACGGCTGCTCATGCAAGAGGAAGATATAGTTATGCGGGTGCTTGGGAGTCTCAGCGGGTGGTGCCGGACCGAAGTATGATGACGGTCCAGTTGCCTTGGTGGTAAGAACGTTTGTGCCGTTCTGGACTTGACCGGATGGGGTGTAGTCTTGCAGGAGGGCGTGGAGGACTGTGGTGCGTCCGGTCCGGCCTTGCTGTTGCACGTCGATGTCTGCAGTTCTGTCGGTTCTTGTACGATTCCCCACTTGAGGGTTTTAACTTACCGATCATCGCCAGCAGGTACTTGCCAGTCAGTGTCTCGCCAGTGACACCAATGGTGGGTGCCTTTGCAGTGACTACATGCGATTAGAACCACCCTTCCTGAATCCTAAGTAGCTGACAGGACTTACCAGACTTCCGCACCAGCAGACCGGGAGTAATGTAAGTACTTCCATAATAAACATCCAGCGTCTTATTCACAGCCGGCACAAAGCCCGGAGGCGTCGACTGCGCAACGGCACCACCCCCAAACAGCAAAGCCGAAGAAACTACGGCAGAAAAAAGCATCGTGATCGATAGACCGGGAAACATGAAAGGATTGTCTCGACGATACCAGGAACTAACAATGCGCCCGTCACAGCTGCAGTTATACCTCCCTTCCAACCCCCCGTTTCCATGATGCATTCTATATAATCCATCACGCGGCCCAACGGGCCCAGCCCGCTCATCTATTATTCGAAAGAAACGTGAATTGCAAAACGAACATTTTATTCGAGGAGAATGGATGAGTGCATCGGTTTTGATAGGCCAAGATGTGAATAGGAATTGCAGATTGAGGCTCAAATTGCCCCGGAAGGATTTGTCGCAGCCTGAATGGGTGCAATTTAGTATATATCCCGGTATGCCACGATCTACCCCACCAAACGCTGGAACCAGATCCTTTCCTTTATGATGAGGCTGCGGTCGGCAGTCGTGCGGTGGGGTTTCTGGAGAGGGACGGGAAATGTGGGATGTGGAGAAGATGGGGAAGTTATTACATTGAGTTGCGGTTCTAGGACGTTGGGATATGAATGGTCCAGAATGTATTCGCGACTCCCATCGCAAGGGCGTAGATAAGAGCGAGGTAAAATACTTTCTAGTCCTGCAATGTTTTGCCATCTTCTGGCAAGAGATCAATTCGCAGGTTTCGTGAATGCGAAAGCAGATGGCGACATGTGGAGCTCGTCATACCGCCCAGAACTTCCCAAGTGCTGGTTAAGAGTGGCGAAGCGTATCGTATATGAAGCTTGATGTCAACCGAGTGCTTAATCAAATGTGGGAAATACCCTAACTATATCCGGGGCGTATTCCACGACGTAGCCAATTGCCTAAGACGACAAAGAAGGACTAAACAACATGATAGATGCCGCAAGTCCCGTTTCAAATCATTACCCATGTATGGTCGCGCGGGATATTGAAGTGGCATAAATGTAACCTTAAGTAGACGTCCTATTTCAGCGTAAATGGGAACTCTTTTTGGAGTTTCCTGACAATAGGGTAGTACACTTACCCGCGACCCAACATCACCTCTATAACGTGATCAAAGGTACGGATATTTATATCTGTCTTTAAGACACCATTGTTTTGATCCCCTCTACGGCAGGACTTTATTTCCCACCGGGAATCGCAGGCTATCGCTTCGGGTGTAACTGCACACTTAAGCACTTGACTCGACATCATCCTTCGAGTTATCCAACAATCCCAATACTCAGCTTGCCTTAATAGCTTAGCGGAGGACTGCTGGAAGCATACCCTGCATAGGGCCGGATATTGGTATAACACTTCTAGCCATGTTTCCAAGTGTATGCCCGACCCATCATCAAATAGACTTTGTCTCCTTCAATAACTCCTGCTTTGAAAGTAGAACCGTGAACCAGTCAAAACTGCGCGCAATCGAGGTATTGTGAACGTATAAACCGTCCCAATAGGCCTCCTTCTGCTGCAATAGTGTAACAGCCTTACATATGGGGTATGTTCGCCTCCCAGGACTCACTTCCGAGGTATGCGGCTCATCGGGATAAGCCTAGGTCTTGACGAGTCCCCGGTTTGCTGTCCAGTAGTTGAAAGGACCGGTAACGGGAGCTGACCTGCGATTCTGGTCGGCATGGTGGAGTTTCGCAGGTACTGACGAGGGGCTTGCGCCATCGCAGGAACCTGAACCATGGCCGGCACATTAGACAATTCGATATCGGAATTTCCGGACGGGCTTGGCGTATCACTACGGTTCTGGTATGATCCGAGCTCATGGAAACGTTCAAAAGACGGCTGGTGTGAGGGTACGAGCGATGGTTGCGAGAGCGAGAGTTGCTGACCAAGGGCTGCGGCGGCGATGGTTTTGCAGCTTTTATGCACTTGCTTCCATATAGACTGGTAGGATGGTATCGTAAACACATACGTGTAATCCGCAGTTCGCCTGGTGTATTCCAAGCGCCACCACGCACCGTATGTTGAAATCAGCTTTCTCGCTTATCCCCGCTGGTCCTTGACAACCCCTTTGTTGAAGGCATGCTCCACAAGGTCGATGAAACAGTCCACGCCGATGTCAACCTTCAAAGAATCTCGAAGCTTTTCAATGGCAGTCTCGTACAGGCCGCTGCAGCCCAGGTCTTCTGCCATCGCGATCACCGCTAGATGCCATACGGGCTTGGAAGTATCGATCGTGTACCTCTGTCCGTTTGCTGGCCCTTCTACAAAACACAGACGTGGAGGGTTCGTAAGGCAGTATGTGTCGTGCCATAGATACGACACAAAGGCGTCAACGAGGCCACAGTGTCGGTGGGAGAGATCGAAGGTTGCTGGTCCTAATGCGCCACGCTGCACTGCCGTTAGAATTGACCATGCAAACAAATACGCGGAAGACGACTCCATGGAGTGCACTAGTAAGGAGAATAGGACGCTGTATCCTACTCACAAATGTCTCGTACAGTTGCGTGGACTTCTCCTTCGCTTTGAATAGGCTCATGGGCCATCGGAGGTTATCTGGGCCGACAATGTGGAGGTCACACTGATCGATCAGGTTCGTACCGGGTCCTAAGATTCTACGGCAGTTAGCACACTCGAAACAGTTGAGGGCAATTCAAGACATGCCTTTCAGTCGCAGATCCTCCACGGTTGCTGTTGAGGTTATCATTGCGGCTTGACGAAGCTAGCGCGCTAAGAAAGAAGCTCAACAGGAGCTCATCGTGGCGGACAGTATCATCGGCGCAGTTTGGGTATCCTGGCGTAGGCGCCAGAAAAGTCTCCATCGCTGAGAGACTTTGCCGAGGACGCTTCCTCGTGAGTATAGTCGGGGGGCCGATGGAAGGTGCAAACTAGAGGCTTGTTGTGGAGAAGTAGGTACACAGAGCAGTGAGGCCGTTGACTAGAAAGATACCGGATAATCGTCGGATTAATTGGCTTATTTCTTATTGTGCTCAAATGTTGTTCGTGTCTTTCACCGCCTGTTGTGTGTGAGTTTGTGTATAAGGAACTTCACCGCCGATTCGAACACCGGTGCTCATCCTCACTTCCAATTTTTCTACTATATAAGATACCAAAATCTAACTCATACCATCAGTCCCTTCCCAAGGTATTCAATCCTCTGTCCCAGCGGTTACCGAGTGGAGTACGCCTGCATCGGTCAGGAGGGACTTCTTTTTTGCCCGGTGTTCGAACCCCATAGTGATCAATTTCCTTACGTCTCTTTTTAGTTTTTTTCCGTTATTGTGGCTAGGTAGCATCTAGGTTTAGCACTAGCTTATTACCTCCCCGTCTTGTACAGCTCTATATCTGAGGTGAACGAAGGTATCGTGTCTAATCACACGCAGTTTGATAGATCTGATAGATATAGTGCACCTTCCCTTTTAATCTCTACATACTAAGTCCGAAAGGCCTATTTGTCATCCGCCGCATTTCATGTTCCCGGCTACGTCATACCTATTGGCTGTTACAGAGTTACACTTGAGGTGTTGAAGAGAGCTGTAGTGACTGTAGGCGGTCTGTAAACTCAGTTCCAAAGGTTCGAGATCACCCAGTGAAAGGACGTCGACCGCCATCACTGGTACATTATTCCGATCCGTGTTTGCAGGTGATGGTGGTTATTTCTCGCCTTCCCTCCGTACCTCACCTATGTGCACAACCAACACCCACATTTCCAACGGATCAGTCTCCCATGGCGATATGGATGCATTGTTGAAGCTCTACCGGAACGACTCAGTACCCACTTCTCTACCTCCTTGTCTCCGTCTTGATAACAGCACAAAACACGACCTAAGCGATGACGAATCGGTCCATTTGAAGATCCTCTTAGAACATGCGTTCGGCTCCGACAGACGCGTCCAGCCGCCGATCACGAAGCCCGATGGATTATGCGTCCAGTACGTACACCCGACTGATATTGTTTGGGCAAACACGTATGCTTACTTAAACCCCCAGGCATGTATACAGAATTTTCAAACGACGTCTTGGTTGCGATACCATGATCACAGTCACCTGCACCGGGCCGGATGGTTCCCAGTTGTCGTTTGAGTGGGATGTGCATCAAGTGTTTTTACAGGCGGGTTCTCGTGTATTGGATGAGCACCTTAACCCAGGAGGAGTTCGTACCCTCACAGTCGATTCTTCAAAGCTAACCGGCGCAGATCACAAACCAATCGCCCCCAAATCAAATCGCATTAAACTACCATCCTATGATGGTCGACCGCTTAGTAACATTCTTCTACACCCAGACATATCAGCTTGATGAAGGTGGACTTGCGAACCGGTTTCACTGCATCTCCAAGGCTCCGGAAGGATATGACCCTCTCAGCTTCGCTATGAAGGGCATACCATACCTAGGCTTTCATGTCGCGATGTACCGAATGGGGGAGGAACTCGAGTATCCAGAGTTAATGGACATTGCATTCTCCAAGATGGTGGAGCAAATAATCTTCAAGCGCCGGAGCACCACTAGGGATCTCATGGAGATGGTGGACCTTGTGTACAACCTCAAGTTTTGCAACGACAAAGATAATAGGCTTGCGGCCCTAGTTGTTGCGGCTGTTGTGCTCTACGAGCGTAAAGTCTGGACGCAAGCGCAACTTATAGAGTTTGAGGAGGGTGTTAGAGCAGTGTCGCGGTTCATGGTGGACTGGGATAACACTGTCAACAGACACCGGCAGATTCTGGAACGTGAGCAGACCATGGGGCCAAAACGGAAGACGAGAAGGACTTCTAATGGGCACGACCGGCAGTAATGCATTGTCTGCTAAGAAGTGCACCAAGAACTAAACGAAGGACGCCAATGGCCATGACGGAGTGACTTGAGGAACGGACGATCGGCAATGCGAGTGCCTGCAACCAATGTCAGGCGCAATTGGCTATGGGGACAAACTATGTAGGCAATTCTAGTGAGTGTGGCAAGACGCTCAGCCGTGTTCATTCCACTTGACAGTATACATCTTATTATTGTCGCGGAGTCCGGGTTATGGTCCTTCAGGGCTACTGTTCAATTGATTATGCGTTTCTAACTGTGTGTCGGCCTAAGTAGCACATGATGCACCTTTTTCTGGTAGCTTTGGTTGATGGAACATTGACGTAGAGCGCACGAGGCATCAGCTCAGGATATTGTCCTGGTACAAGTGGCCGCATAAGCCCCAAGGTAACTTCCCCGGTGCGTTCCTCCAGTTTTACGTCAATAATTGGAACACGTAAATACCTGAACAGCTGACCCAAAATATGACAATTGCTTGAACACCCTAGATAACCGTGGCGTAGCCGGCATACGAAATTTCGCCGGAGGGGCTTCTTCAATTTGGCATGACATACAGCGCAGATACTATGATTTGGGTCACTCATTTCACTTGAAAAGGATCCTGAAGAACAGCTGGTATGGTCTCAGCTGCGCTGTACCGGCTGCCAACGACGGTGACGTTCTTGTTCCAACGGGCGGGGTGGTGTTGTTATAGCCCTGAACTCTTCTCGCCCAGCTATATATCATACATAGATGCGAGAACTTCAAGAAGATCTAAAAAAAAGTCCACTCCCAGATTCGAACCAGAGGGCAAAAAAGATATCCTCCTACGTGCGGGGGCTTCAGGGCTAGGTAAGGCCAGCGCAAAGCGCACGGATAAGACTATACCACTGAAGCATGTGTCCCTCGGAGGATGATCGTTTTGTTTTACAGATACTTATATACGCATCAAAATAGAAGCGGTGACAGTGATTTGATTTGGGTGGCGGTTATCTGCCAAGACCTCACTCTTGAGGCAACGAGATAAATCCCGTGAAACTCCTCGGTGAAAGAGCCGATGTTCACGTGTTACCCTAGGTCAGCGGTAGTCAATTGATTTCAATGACGCCCGTGCATGTCTATCTAATTCTTCAGTGCGCCTCTACCAGTGCCATTAATCGGATACATGACATTTCTTCAACAGAGCGTGCGAGCATGGAATCTAATCAGGGCGAGGGACCAAGTCGTCACAAAGTTAGCGCGGACCTGTAGTTTCACACTGGTACTTGGGAAACGCTGGGATACGGCATGCTCATCACCTTAAATACATACAACTGCAATGGGTTGCGCCTGCCAAATGCTCTGCCAGGGCTAGTGTACCAAGTTGGCTTGGTGGCGGGTGTTGGGTTAATGGTTTCTTTCACTGATTGTGCCATGGCCACGTCAAAAACGCGAAAAGAATGAGGGAAAAACCTAAAGACAACATTTGACTTCCAGCGGCTTGAATAACCCAGTAAAACTGGCATTCTCCTGTCGAGAGAGAGCGTACTCCGCGCGGTAATCCACAATTACATGTTTAGACCACGGCAGATTCAAGATCTTATGATAGAATGCCGAACAAAATTTGGCATTGAGAATATATCTGGGCTTGTAATTTAAAGAAAGCTGCGAAGAGTGACGGTGACCGTTTACCCTTGCTCCTGTTGTTAGGAAAGGCTTCCGTCGAGGAGCTTAACGCCAATCCCTTTCACGACAAGGGTAGGTAACATGGTATACATGCACACTCATGGCTCACGGTAGAGTGCCGTAAGAGGAGGGAGCTGCGACCTCCACTTTATGCATTCCCTATAATTCCCCTCGATGTTGAGAGTCGCAACTCTACTGAGCATTGAGCCGGTATTCTGACGCTCCGCCCTTCCCAAGAAGGGTTCCTACTTAACCTTCCGCCAAGGAATGACACTAGATGCGATATTTTTATCTATGCGGCTAACAAGAGAAGGTATATTAACTCCGGAAATGCATGATATACAACACACGCCTACCACCACGGTAACCATGCGTAACTGGCTCTGGCACTCTATCATATACTTCAGCTTCCATGCCCAGCATGACTCTCCTTAGTTCCAGTTTCGGGCTCCCGTGGCCTCACCAGGTTCCCCTGTGCATCCCTAGGTATCCGCTTCCACCCCGTTTTGAAATGCTTCTTGGACATATCAAACCTCGGGAAGGGGTGAGCTTCCGTGTTCAACACTATCTGGTCCAGAGGAAGCAGATCGTTAGGGCCAAAGAGGAGGTAGAAGTATTTTAGTGTCTCCGCCTATGCATGATCAGCTCAGTTCACTACCCGATCCTACATCCGGAGCGTGGGGTCAAACTTACCAGCCAGAAAGACTCCATGTTGTCCCTGGACGGCGGCGGCACCTTCGTAACATCGTTGATAGACGTGAACCCTCCTCCATTTTCCACAATGGTGTGCTTCACGAAAGATTCAAAAATCTCCCATCCCCATTCTCTGTACAGATTGTCGCCCGTAATGCGCCACATATAAAATAGGCTCTCCACGGTTTCCGGTCTTTGCAGGTTATGCGTATCAGCCGGCTTGATGATGAAGTCCGTTTTCCAGTCCGCGTCCTCCGCAGTCTCCAGATCGCTCTTAGATGTCAATGGTTCCTGGCGCATCATACGCGGCGGATCGTCGAGCTCGAAATGGGTGATTTCGGCGGCGAGGCCGGTGGCAGTGACGCGGTACATGCCCATACATGTCTTCATCAGCTCGCGGGCTAGCTGCATATCCTCTTCCTGTAGTTTGCCCCAACCGGGGAGTCTCTTCGCCTCAGCGAGGGTAAGACCGCCGGTCGCAGCCAGGGCGATGGTGCCAGGCATGAAGCAGACCAGGTGATCCATTTTAGGGTGGAGCTTTCCACCCAGGCCGTTCGGTCTTTCGGCCAAGACTGTAAACTGTGCATCTTTTGTGTAGGTAATGAGATGCTTCTTTACTCCTTCCAGGGCTTCGTTCCACATCTCAAGGTAGATTGGCTCCTTCTTTTGCGTTTGAAAGTATTGTTTGATCAGGTACTCGTAGTATGAGTCTCCTCGACTTCCCAGACGGATCTCCTCCCCGCGGAATTGTCCTTGGTCGGCATAGATGAAGATGGGAACCAGACCATCTTTAGCTCCGTTGTCGTCTACCACCTTCATCACCCTCTCGGCCTTCTCCCAATAGTGCGCTTCGCCGGTCAGGTATGCCAAGTACTTCATCTCCAGCTGGAGCGTCGTAGCTTCGGCGGTTGACGAGGCACCACCATCCGCATGAGATGGCACACCTTTCCCGGTTTTGAGCACAACGCTGGCCCAAGGCACGCCAGATCTGGATTCGTATGCGCCCATCAATCGGTCAGCTAGGTCGGTAGCCTTCTCCAGAAACAAGTCCTCTTCGTTCGGATTCGTAGGCTTCATCCCGGGAAGCGTCTCTTGCAAGTAATGAGCTGATAGCAATCCACCGAGCATTCTTATGGTGGTTTCAAAGGTATTGACGTCCTGGTCCTTGTTATAGTCCAATGACATGGATATCCAGTCCCGTGCGTCCTTCAGCTCCTTTGTGAGATTCATCAACATCATAGTGTCTAGCGCGTCCACTATTATCCAACCAAGGCCGTTAGGTTGTGCCATGTACCGCCCATTCCGTGAGACGGGATGGTACTCATCGTAGCCTAAAACCGTCAGTGTAATCCGTGGAAGATACCCTCACAAGAAAAGACCCACCCCATCCGTGCTCTTTATACGCATTCCAACTCAGTAGAAATGCATCCTTCACACTCTGTCTCCTCTGCTCCCAATCAACCTTTTGCCCTCTTGACCCCCGTATTATACTGGCCCAACCCCCAGGCTTCTCTTTATCCCCTAACCTCACTCCCTCCTCCGCCCTCTCCGCACCCCCTAACAACCCCAACCAATACACCAACCCCAACATTCCCACCACCAAAACCAGCACCCCCCTCTTCCTCCTCACCCAACTCCTCGCCACCCTCCCACTCCCATAATAAGCCGGCTTATCCTTATACATAGGCAGACCCTTCTCATTCCCCGTAAACTTCCCCCAGACATTATCTTCGAATCTGCGCGATGCGTTCTCAAAGTTCGGAATGTTTCGCGGCACGGCGAAGGACATGTCGGCAGCGCTGTCCTTGAGTGCCTGCTTGGTGGATTCGACGGCGGTGGCGCCTGTCTCGATGGTTTTGTGGGCGGCGTTTTGGAGAAGTTGCGATAAGGTGTGGACGGAGGCCGGAGGTGCGGTGCGGAGCTTGAAGGGGTCGCGTGTGTACATAGACGGCGCCGGCCGTACGGCGGGCAATTAGAGAGAACGGTATATTTACGGAGAATCAACGAAATTAGACATGATGCCAAGGTACAATATAGGCGGTGTTACAAAATCAAAAGTGCGCTCTATTCCTGCGCAACTGTGGTGGTGTCTGCGTTGCCAGGTGTCTTCATAACAATTGTATGAAGCTGTCTTCCTGTTTGGGACTAGCGTCGTCAACCTCATCCCATCTCCTCAGGTGCAATCATGCATCAGTCAGATATGTTGGGCTTACTACATGGCAAATCCCGTCTTACTGAGCGTCACACCTGTCAGGATGTAAACTTCCTCCTTGGCCACTCCATGTGAGTTCCTCAAACATCCAGGGCTTTCCACTATGTCCAATATTTCAGCAACCATACCGATCTCATAACCACAAAGGGGCAGCATGTCCTTATATAACAGCCTGGAAAGGGCTAAAGTTTCTGTTCTGCGTTCAGATCTCAGGCTTTTTACGCTTTTGCTTTCCTCGCCTAACTTCTCCAACCACATCAGCATCGGAGAAGAGGTATTAGACAGGAAAAACATGGGCATGGAGAAGAAGGATGGGGTGGTAGAAATCCTTCCGTATGAACGGTCTCGAACAAATCTTACAAAAGACCGGGGTGCAAAGATATTTGCGGAATCTTCCAGTGAAGAGCCAATCCTTCGGCATGCTTTCGCTGTTAGAAAAAACACTCCCGAAACTGTTCCGTCTGGTACCTGAGACATCATAAGCAGAACACGATTGCCGGAGATGAGGTCAGTTATATGAAGCCACACGAACAGGGAGTCAGTCCGCCTGGCTGGGAATGCAAGAGTAGAACAATCGTTCCAATGAACACCCAGTGCACACTGTTGTTGAAGTTTCTTGACTTATTCATTCCGCGAGCCCGTCATTGTCCAGAACAGACCCTGATATGCCATATATGATTGAGAAACCAATCCGATGTAAGACGCCGGACATCCCACTCCCCCAACCGACCTGCTTGCATGCCAACCACACGCATGGACATGTTGTCGTGACTCTATTCCTTCTTCCACCGTCACAGCGACTAAACCCTCCGATCAAGAGATATCATCTAAGCGCGCTTGCCCTTGGGGTTCTTCTTGCCGACGTCGGAGATGGTAAGCCCTGTATCCTGTATTAGCCCAAGCCCGATTCCGAAGTTCAATGCGCGTGGAGCTCGCTCGCGCTCGCTGGGAGCAGGGGAATATCGTACCCGGAGGCAAGCTCTGCTTGAGCTTCTCGGCCTTGTCGGAGTCCTTGAGGACGAGGGTGTAGACGAAGCGCGATGCCCGGACCTTGAACTTGATCTGCTGGCTCTTGGGGTTCTTCTTTATGCGGGCGGCTAGAAGGGAAGTCAGCCTTTCGTCGCTCTCAATATCGTCGATTTTTCAAGCGCATCTCCCTCTCTTATACAATGACATGCTCCAATTCTTCGACGCTCAACACCCACAGCCAATCGAAATCCCCATTGCAAGAAACACAACAGCCCAAAGGGGACATACACTTAGCATCCTTGCGCCTGCAGATCTCGATGAACTGCTTGATATCGCTGACTTCGGAAGGCATGGCGGCGGTTTGGGCGGAATGATGTGGCTTTTCGTGGAAAATCGTCAATTGAACCGGCAACAGCGAGAAAGACACTGCTTGGTGTGGAGCGAAATTCCCGGGCCTCGCTTGTGTTCGTGCACGGCTCGCTATGGGGCTGATGGACGCTTTACTGCATTGGGTTGGTATGTGGCGCAAAATGGACGACATCTGTGGCGCTAGGTAGAAAGATGGGAAGCTTGAGGCCAGGCTGGCGTTGTTGTAACGCTTGAAATTTCGCCTCCTCTTGATTGAACTCGTCTGGATAACATCTTCGTGGCCTACTTCTCTTCTTCATAGCAGTCCTGCAATTCAACAAGGACCACGCCGTAGCCGCAGCTGCATCCCTACGCCCGACTTCTACCAAGTCTAGCCTTATCGATATGCCCACACCACTTGACCGCGCCACCAACCAGCGGGTAAGTGGCATTTTCCTGTAACTTTTCAATCCCCTGAAGCTAATGGCGACAAAGGCGCCCTTCTTCGCTTTTGCAGCAATAATCACCGGCGTCGCTGCCTGGACTATATGGGGTCAGGACCTCTTCCCAAGTTCGGATCCTACTGGTGGTATGTGAAATATCCTTCTTCTTGCGATCCAAGTTATTTATTATATCTAGACCCTGAGACATGGACCCACGAAGAATGTACCCGTTGGCTAAAGAAAGTGAGTCCCTCTTCTCTCCTCCACCGACGCACGCTGCAACATGGCTGGCGTTTTGCCGTCATCGTTTGCCAGAAGATGATGCCTAACTGTGCCTAGCGAAACCTCCATCCCTCACCCCTAGCGACAACAGCGGAGCTCGTGGAGCGAATCAAGGCGAATATGCGGAGTCCGAGATCGTAACATCTCAGGGCCAGTTTGTAATTGCGGTGTCAGTGAGAAGATGGCGCTGGAATGACTGCTTAAGAAATCAACTGTGGAGTGTACGAGATTGGTATCCCCTTCAAATAGATTCTCTTTTATCTATTGTTTGACTTCACATATTCTTAGGTGTGCACTGTGCGTATCGTTTCAAACGCGAACTTGCGTTTGATTCGAAGTGGAGAAGTAATAAGAGAGATACCGACCAAATTCCAGTTCATACCAAACTGGACGATCTGCAGTTGGTGTACGCGGGCTGAAGCCACCCAACTGCCGAGCAGAAAGAGAAAGTAGTAAAGAACACCGCAACGCCGAGCCGCCTGAACATAAACCGAACGCCTATCCGCAAGTCCATTCCCCAAGAGGCAGTTCCAGTAATCCCCAGATCAAGTACCCAGGAATCAAGCAGGCTCCAAATCCCTGTGTGCAACTGACGTAAACCCAACTGTCCTTATAGAACATTGAAGCCTACCGTCCGATCCACTCCATTTCCATGCACCCGTTTCCGCCTTCCCTTCCACTATCACCCCTTAAGAGGCCTTCAAACCCGTGAAAAATAAACCCTACTCCTCCTCATAGAGGAAATCCATACTTTCCATAGCCCTTACAGCCTCCTCACTCTCTTGAGCCTCGAGCTGCGCTTCCTCAAATTCCCGCAGCTCCCTCTCGTACTCAGCGCGCATATGAGCGGTACGCCTCTCAATTTCGGCCCTCCTTTTGGCCCATCGAGTCTTCCTAGCTTCCAGTTCCTTGCGCTTCACGGCTAACTCTTCTCGTTTTTTCTTGAGTTCGTTAAACTCTTGAACCTTTTCAAAGAAGGAAGCGTGTTCAGAGCCGGGTGACTGAACAGAGGGGCTACCTGGCGCACTGGCTTTAGCGCGCTTGAGTGACGGCGATAGAGGGGGATCCATGCCGGAAATCTCGAAGGAACGTTTGACCGGCGTGGTCGGCGTAGGGGGACCCTCTTGACGAGGAAGAGGCTCAACTATAGCATCGGAAGCGCCACTGGCGGGGGCCGGATGTTTATGGGAAAGCCCGGCGGTGGCGTTGTCTCTGACGAGGTTGCCTGCCTGCTTAGCAACCATGTTGGCGACAGTGTTGGCTAAAGGAGCTGCTTCGAGTGCGGTTACAGCGACGGACTCCTTCTTGGAGCCGGCAACGAGTCCAATCGGGCCTGTAGTAGTATGCCTAAGGGTCTCCGTGGGCGCAGGTCCCTTCTCGTTATTGACTGATGGCTTGTCCTCTTCATTCCTCTCGCCCTTGTCACCTAGGCCATTCGTGGCGATCTTGAAGGTCCTCGCTGCGCTCGTATCGGAAATCGTGTTGTCATCCACCTTATTAGTGGCGGTTTCTGGTTTCTTCACTTCGTCCTTCTTGAAGAGCTTGTTGCCGAGAGTTGTAGTGGTTGTATCGCTATCTGCCGGGATCTGCGCCTTTGCGGGACTGAGACGCCCAACATGTTTCTTCGCCTCCACGTAAGGGATGAGAGAAGTGGTGATCGTGAGAGGCGTTGGCTTCGGAACCGTTCCGGTAGTGTCAACGTCTGCATAGGCCTCAATGTCTGTCATGGCGTCGGCGTTGTCGCAGGTCGATTGCTCACAGGCGTCATGGCCGGAGGTGTGGGAACTCGATTTTGCCATGGATGTCAAACTTGCTGTAGTGTTGGTTGTAGGGGAGGGCGATGCATTGAGCTATAAATCGTCAGCGAACGCGGTGAAGCAGAGTTAGGAGGCACGTACTGTAGTCTCCGCCAAAGACCCAGTTACCGAAGGCGCCACGGAGGACTGGCGACTGGGGGTTCCTCCATTGCCACCTGGTTGACCGACTTTTGGTTTGACATCAAGGGGCGGAAGCTCTTGGATCTTGAGAGTAACGGGTGGCGGCTTCTTCTTCATGCTATGGGCAAAGGTACGTTTCATCCCCGCCTCTTCAATTTGGTCTACAAATGTTGTTAGTAGCGTCATACCGACGCAGCGCAGTCGACATACCTTGACTGCGGTAGTGAAACCGGAAGATAGCCCACGGTTCGGTCCCAGGGCGGCTCGCACTAAGCAACTTTCGCTGCCTGCTCACCAAATGAGAGAGCAACGGGGAGTTGTTTTCGTCGAAGCTCATTGCAAGCTCTGGGCGGATGGTCTTATACCCCACGGGCAACGTGGTGCGTCCAGTACCTTCACAGGTGTCGAAAGTGCGGGGCGGACTGAACTTTGTCTCATCTCCAGCGCGGCGAAGTACCCAAACGCGAATCTCAATGGTACCTATGCTCAAAGAAGATTTTTCCTCAGCGTTGATGTTAACACGTTCGACCATAACCTCGGAGTCAACCAGCGTATCGTCGGGCAGCTTGAATAGGTACGTGTGAGACCCCAAGTCCCTGCTCTTTTGGAAAGTAACGGTCTTTCCATTGAAAGTGACAGCCTTGCGGTAAACGCCATCGATATAGATGTCACTGTGAATCCTGTCGGTCTGTGCCAATCATCAGTGTTTCAACTAGGTGAAGTATTGTAGATGCGCACATACGGTCCCATGGAATTTGCCTGATACCCTTATCTTATCGCCCTCAGCGACAGGCACGAAGCAGCAGACTGCGTTGTCGGTTGGGTCGATATACTCGCCATACTCATCGAGAGGCTTCGCAAAACCGGCAGCATAGATGTTCACCTCAGCTCTGCGATCGCTGTTCTTTTCAACGACTTTCATTGCTGTTGTCTGGTCGTGGTCCAAGGTCTAGAGAAGGTATTTGGAATGCAATGCTTATGGTAAACGAAGAAAATAGATAGCGCGCAGTGGGGATGAATGAGCTCAGTCGACTGTCGATATTCCAAATACTATGGCTGTCGAGACGATATGGAGTTTGGCTGAGTAACGGGGGAGACGCTCTGAGAAGAGTGGTGAATGAAGGCGTGGCGAAGAGATTGTGGAGAAGTAGCGGAAGATTTTACTTCTACTGAAATACTGCCAGCCACACAGGGCGGTGAGAGACCGTCTTTCACTTCATCGGTCGGGTCACGGCGGTGAGAGGGCAGGAAATTTGGTCTCTGCAATGCACTCCAGCTCCTGAGCTGGCAACCAGACATCTGTGCCGACGTGAAGTCCCAAACCTATGGGAACGTCACCATTCACCACCAAAGCACGGAGTCAACACATCTGTAAGGGGTCTGGCATGATGCTATGCCAGCGAAGGGCTCGACGGCGATCTTATTCCATCTCGTCTCGTTCGCGAGTTCGTGCACGCATTGCCGCGTGAGGCACGAGGCCTTCGCCGTTTGCTCCAAGCCATTTCTGCACATGTTCACATATTGTTTGTTCCCAACTGCCTGTGTATACCTTCTCATGTTGTATCCATCTTTCTCCCCTTCGCAAAGATGCCAGCGGCCGCAAACTGATTCGCAATACCTCTGCCCCTCCCTTTCAGCTCTTTCTTTCCTTCGCTAGTGGTCTTCGCTTCATCCACTTTCGCTCCGGCAATCTCGTCGGGACTCCATTCCGTAAATCGGAAGCTCTGAGTCTGTATGACCCATTGCTTCTGCCATCCCTTTTCAAACGTCGGTTTTGGCGATGGTAGCTTCTCTGAATTCGGCACGAGCACGAAAACATCCGAAAACACTCGTATGGGTCCCTTGAGCGGCTCCTTTAGGCGTACCGAGCCCGATGCTGATATTTGGACGGACATGCGACGGTCGAAATCTCGAGAGTCATCGCCGCTACCACCTTGGACGGCAGCGGCAGGTATGGCTTTGCGGTTGAGGACTGTACAATCGAGGGCCTCCACGTCATAATGGGTATGCGTTAGCCCTTCGTAGAATTCTTGAAAGGCATCTCCGTTGTCGTATACAGTGCCGTTCCACGCGATGAAAGGCACAGTGCCGTCGGGTGATACAAATTTCGGGCAATAGAACGATGCGATGTTGTCTCTATCTTTCTCCAACGCTAAGTAGTATGCGTCTATGAATGCTTCGGCGATAGAGCAGGCCAATTGATCGAGCTCATAATCTGCGGTTTCCTCCGGAGACAGGTGGTCTTCCATAATGACGCTTTACTGTGGGGTACGGTGGATTCAGATTGGAAAAAGATTTGTTCTATTGGAATTAGAATATCGGTAGGGAGTAGTGAGGTCGTACATATAAAGTTGGACGCGCTACCTAGGTAGGCGCCCGCGAAAATGCGCACTCACGTGGGCAGCTAGTGCGAATCGGGTAACTATCGAAGCCCTCCCAAAACAGCAAAATTCAACAAAGACGATTGAACCATAGATCAAATCAACCATTCAGACACCGATGGATACTCCGATTGTAATACGCTTGAGGACCTATTGGGCCGTTACACAGTTTCCTAAGTGAACAGACGTGACTTATATCCAGCTACGGAGTAGGACACTGAAGATGGAAGCAGAACCGCGATTTCAAAGCTTTAACGTCGACGCTTTGAAGAAGACAAATATCGTAGCAGCAGCTATATCGGGGATCTTTCTATAAGTTCATCTCTTCTCGAAAGACTGGATTGCTATCGTTGCATCCGCGCGACGTTCTTGTATCTCGACCAAACACTGAAGTTTCACATGTGAATGACGCCAGCGGCGCTTATAGCAAGAATGGGTTTCTTAAAACTCTGTCACGGGTGAGCGGACTCGAGCACCCGGCACAAGCAATCTGAGTAAAGCTAGGGCTTTCAGGTGACATCCTGGGCAGCTTGAAAAAAAAAGCAGCAGAATAATGTAGGAAAATTTTGCAGTAGAAATTGGGTCACTTCACAAGCTCCCATGCGGACGAGAGGAGCGGCCGGGGGACGTTTTTCTGCCAAGGCGCTTTTTTCTTTTTGGAACCCCAGCTCTATCTTGATTCTCTGCCACAATTCCCTCACAGCTCCCAACTCCAAACTCCGCTCAGCTGTCCACCGCCATGTTGTCGCACACGTCTCAGAAGTCGGCGCAGGTTAGTAATCTGGCTCTCCAGTTGATCTGCTCCTTCAATTGCGACTCCCCTAACCCATCTTGCTCGCATAGACACTCCTGCGGGGCGCCTCACGATGCATCCGCCCGGCCATGACCACGCGTGGTACGTAGTCTGCCTCGACCGTCCGCAAAGATAGTCCGATCTAAATCACTAACACGTCGATTAGGCTACGCAGAACATGCACGACCTCTTGATAAGACTACTACTTTCGGCGGCAAGACCACGGTGACCTTGATCCCCGGTACGAGCGATAAAGCATGCGAAGCGCGAAGTATGGCATTGACAATCCCGCAGGTGATGGTATCGGTGCGGAAGTTTCGGAGTCAGTTAAGGAGGTCTTCAAAGCAGTCAACGCACCGATCCAATGGGAGCAGGTCGATGTGTCGGGTATGGAGATTGGCGACAAGCACATGGAGGATCTGTTCCGGGAATCGATCGCCTCTGTCAAGCGGAACAAGGTTGCCTTGAAGGGTATCCTGCACACACCTGTGGAGCGATCCGGTCACCAGTCATTCAACGTTGCGCTGCGCCAAGAGCTGGACATCTTCGCTTCCTTGACCAGCATCAAGAACTTGCCTGGTATTGAGACACGCCACAAGAATGTCGATTTCTGCATCATCCGCGAAAACACCGAGGGAGAATACTCCGGCCTCGAGCACCAGTCTGTAAATGGTGTTGTTGAGTCGCTCAAGATCATCACGCGCGAGAAGTCCGAGCGTATCGCCAAGTTCGCCTTTGCTTTTGCTCTCGCCAACAACAGGAAGAAGATCACCTGCATTCACAAGGCCAACATCATGAAGCTGGCAGATGGTCTCTTCCGTAACACCTTCAAGAAGATGGCTGAGAATTACCCTACCCTCGAATGCAACGACATGATTGTCGACAACGCCTCTATGCAGTGCGTCTCAAAGCCGCAGCAGTTCGATGTGATGGTTATGCCTAACTTGTACGGCGGTATTCTCTCCAACATTGGTGCGGGCCTTGTTGGTGGCCCCGGTGTTGTCCCTGGATGCAACATGGGCAATGAGATTGCCCTCTTCGAGCCGGGCTGCCGTCACGTCGGTCTCGATATCAAGGGCAAGGACCAGGCTAACCCTACTGCGCTTCTGTTGTCCGCTGTGATGATGCTTCGTCACCTCGGTCACCATGCACATGCTGACCTCATCGAGCGTGCTGTTCTGGGCGTCATTGCGGAGGGGTAAGTTCTTGGACTTGGTTATTTGTGAGGCTACAACTGACCATGATAGCAAAACCCGCACCCGCGACGTTGGTGGCGATGCCACCACGCAACAGTTCACCAGGGCCATTCTGGACAAGGTCGAGCAGCTGTAAATCAAACGCGTAACGATTGAGTTGAAAGCAGCGTTCGGCTGTAAGCATATGAGAACACGGACTCTGTTGCTGACGAGTTATTCAACTTGAAAGGTGTGTTGACCTTCGGAGTTTTGGATACGTCTAGCGTCTTGTGTACCAGTAAGTGAGTTGATGTGAATTGAAGTGTACTTCTATTGGTATATAGCAGGTTGGAGCATGCATGAAAGATTCCTATTTATACCCAATCTTGCGCCGAACGCCTTAGCAATGCATGTCGAGCAAAATCAGAATGCTATCCTCCTCTTGCGCCCCGTGTATTTGGATGTCGCCTTCACAACCTTGCCCTTCCTCTCCATTTGCTCCTTCTTCTTTATAATCCATGCCTTGCTGCCTTTCCTGTCTTCCGGTCTTCTCCGATCTTTGACTTTCCGTCTCTGGTCCAGAACATCCACACCCTCCATGCCCTTCACGACACCCGTAATATCGCCGTCCAACTCGCCTCCACCAACCGTGAGGACCAAATACGTTTTGGCGCTCTTCGTTCCCGGGTCGTCTTCGAGCAGACCCGCACCAAACCCAGCCTTCACAGCCGCGGCCGATATCATCTTCTTCTGCTCATCATTTTTTGGATAGAACTGGCACACAGCTCTTCCGCCACGCCGTAGACTCGCATAAAGCCCGTTGAAGAACCTTGACAGACGCCCCGCAGGCGATTCCTCACTTGACTCCGCATTACACAGCCATTGTATCGCCGAGATACTTATCGCCGCATCGAACGTCCCTGCCCTGAACGGAACACCCTGCCCCGCATCGGCAAGGAACAAATCCCCTTCGACTTCCTTCTCCAGTGCGACGCCCAGCATACTACTCGAGATATCGAAGCCGATCCATATGTGCGGTCCACCCGGTGTGCCTTCCTCGTCGGAGGCGGAGAGGATTTCGCCAGAGAGGCCGGAGCCGCAGCCGACGTCTAGGATGAGGGAAGGGGATTTGAGGTCGAGGAGTTCGAGGGCGCGGTGGGTCATGTCGGACTGGATCTTTTGGATGCGCGAGCTGGTGGTGTATTTACGGGATTCGGAGTCATTGTAAAAGAGGTCCGGGGGACTGTAGGAGTGTCAATGGAGCTGTGAGAGCGACATGATGGGCAGACGAACAGAGTGTCCTCCGGGCGCGACATGGTGAAGGCAGATGTTGTGCTTCTTAGATATTTTGCCGGTCGTACAATGCTATGAATATACGACGGTCTACTTCGGACGGAGCTCTCCACTCGAATATCGGTCTGGCGAGGGTGTACAAATATGTTCACTTCAATAATGTGCCAAGAATCGCGCATCGCCAACTTTTTGGTGGGCCAAATCGCCAAGATTTGCGGCCCCAGAGCGGGGAAACAAACCTCCGACGGGCCAGGGCTTCCGTCATAGGCCACGCTTCATCAACAACCCCAGCTCCAGTGAGAGGATCCGCAACTCACGTCTTGCTTCGTTCCCGGTGAAGCTTCAACGCAGCTACCATGTGGATTCTACCGCTGCTGGGATATGTGGGGATTCTTCTGGGATTTTCATTTTTGACGCTAGCCATAGGTATTTATTTTCCGTGTCATTGATGAGCTCCGCATTCTCGAAGCTGCATCGGAGTAAGCTAATTGAATATGTGTGACAGCGTCGGGTTTATACTACCTTTCCGAGCTCGTCGAAGAACATACTGTGTTTGCGAAAAAGCTTCTTACGAACCTCATCTATGGCATCATTGGCCTGCAGCTCCTCCTCATGCTCGTCGACAGCTTCCCATATGGCCTGAGTCTATTGAGCATTGTGTCGCATATCATCTACGCACAGAATCTAAGGCGGTTTCCAATTGTGAAGTTGACGAGTCCTACGTTCCTCATTTCTTGCGGTATGATTAGTCTCGATATTCCAGCCTTCTACTTGTGCAATATCTACAAAAGGAGCGGTACTGACTACCGTCAACAGCACTCGTAATCGTAAATCACTACCTCTGGTTCCGCCACTTCTCGACCCCGCCTGCGCACTCCTCCCGCTCCTCCTACCCCTACTCACGCGACCCGTCGATTCCCACGTTCACAGAAATCGCATCCTACTTCGGCCTCTGCGTCTGGCTCGTTCCGTTCGCCCTCTTCGTCTCCCTCTCCGCAGGGGAGAATGTGTTGCCGAGCATGGGCAGCGAATATGCCACTGGGGAGGGCAGCAGTTTTATCAGTGCTGGGAAGGAGCCGGGTGCGGAAAACAGTGGGTTCGGGAGTGGGATGGGCGTCGGCGTAGGTGTGGAAGGGAGGAGAAGGCAGCGGAGCGGGACGAATGCAGGGATGGCCAAAGCGATGGTGAATGGGGTGCGGGAGTGGGTTGGGGAGACGGGAGAGGTCATGGGGTTATGGAAGGGAGATAAGACGAGGCACACGTTTTGATGAGTTCTTTTCGGCATGTTGTAACATTGCAATGGGGTTAGGTTTTTTATGAACCCTACTATATATTTGCTGCATGTGCTGCTGGCTTGGCGCTGAGTGAACCTCTGGTTAGGATCCTTCATAGACCCTCACCAATTGAAACAGGAACTTCACGGAATATAGGGTCCTTGTATCGATAGTTGATTCCTGTCGTTCCTCCCGATCTCAGCTAGGGAAGTAAAACTGCCTGTTTCTCCAGCCATTTTAGCACCTATTCTGTTCTGCTTTACGTTTATGTAATGAGGCTGGGACCTGCATTTGCTGGACAAGGGCGATTGTTTCAAGTAGCTGAGGGATTCGGGTCTGTGTATTCTCACTTGACGCTATGCTATTCTTCTGTCCCGTAAATACTTGGCACAGGATGTTGACCCCTGTTTTCTTACTAATTCAGGGGTTCGGCCCTCTGTTACCTAGGTACTGTACGAAGGTACCGTGCGCAATATGTTACCATTGCAATTTCCGGATCTGTGCCACCTGCACAATTGCAACGCTCTTTACGACAACTTTCACTCCTTTTATTCCTTTCTCTGCTTATAGTACATAATGCAATTTGCATCAGCGGCATAGCGTCCCTTCGTTTAGTCGTCACTCGCCTTCACCACGGGGACAACCCTTAATAAGACTTTGATGTTGCGGAGTTCCTGAGAAAGAGATATCGTTGGGCAGATGACGGATCGGGGGTCGATGTCCATCGGCGCACTCATCCAGTACACGCTCTTTGCAGCGGTTGCATACATCCTCGCCGGAGCACCCTACCTCGACGTCCTCCTTACAACTTTCCACTTCTCTTCAAGCGACTCCGCCAGGAATGCCGGGAACAGCAGCAGGACCTCGTCAGCGTCAAATTCGAAGCCTCAACACAATAATCTTCAAAATACATTCACGTCGAGAGAGTCCAAATCCGTGACTCTCGACTCGTTGTGGATTCCGCCCGAGGACCTGGTGTGCGATGGCGAGCATGGGCATGGGTATCGGACGTATGTGTTTAGTAGGGAGCCGTTGGTGATTTATGTGGAGGGGTTTTTGAGCGAGTGGGAGAGGGGGGAGATTATGAGGATGAGGTGAGTTTGTTCTCTTCTTTTTGGTTCTCCTTTCCCTTCTTTTCGTTTCTACAGTCTCTCCCTCGGAGGTTGTTCATCTAGCCCTCGACGTTCCCAGGGACATATTCTGTTCCCATCCATCCTGTAAAGGAACCTATTTCCTGATTTCCAGTTCATTTCTCATATACCCATCCTTCATGCACGTTCCCCAGTCCAACTTACTCATCTTTCATCGTCTTTACCAAATCCGCCCCTACCCCCAAACCCTCCTATTTCCAAACGACCAACCAACTCACCCTTCCCCCCAGCAATCCCCACTGGGCCCCCTCCCCCATCTGGACCAACAACCAAGAACACCACAACCCCAAAATCCGCAACTCCCTCCGCGCCCCACTGAACCTAACCAAAATCACCGCCTCCTCCTCCTCCTCCTCCTCCTCCTCCTCCCACCCCTCTACCACCCCACCACCTTCCGAATCCAAGCTCCTCCCCTGCCTCGCCCACCGCGCCCTCTCCTTCCAAGGCCACCGCCCCCACCTCTCCATCGAAACCCCGCTCTGGACCCAAAAGTACCTACCGGGCGGGCACTACGCGTACCACTACGACTTCAGCGACCCGGGCGGCGGCAGCGGCACCGCGCGGAACACAAAAAAGCGGGGGAGGGCGAGTACATTCATGGTATACGTGGCCGCCGAGCGAGACGAGCACGGGCGGGGATTATCCGGCGGAGGCACAAATTTTCCTTATCTGGCGAGGCCGGGGGGGAGGGAGTGGTGTCGGTTTGTTGAGTGTCCTGTTGAAGGAGAGGAAGAAGGGGGAGAAGAGGAAGTGGGAAGGGATGTGAATGGTGAGGTGGTGAGGGGGACGACGTTCAAGGCTATACCGGGGAATGCGGTGTATTGGGAGAATCTGCGGGAGGAGGATGGGAGCGCGTATAGGGAGACGTGGCATGCGGGGTTGCCGGTGCGGGCGGGGGTGAAGGTCGGGTTGAATATTTGGAGTTGGTTGGAGGAGGTGTGAGGGGGAGATGCGAGTGAGTGGAGGGAATGGGGAGGTGAGATGCAAGAAAGAAGAAATCTCGACGTCGGCCCAGAGGCAAGTCGGGTCGAGCCTTGGACGGCAACAAGCATGGTTTCAGCGTTTCGGCAGCATGCAAGACGCTACACTGATATCCTCCAGGAAGAACAAAAGAGATCGGCAGTAAAATAATTGATGCAGGCCAATACACAGAAATACACAATCCAAAATACCCCGGAACCTCCCCCTCACTCCAACACTCCCTAACCCCACGCCCACAAACTCACAAACCGTTCAAACACGGGGCTAAAACTATGCCAATACTCGCCCTTGACGCCGACACTGCTCGCGAACCCCCACCCCACCATCTGCTTCATCTGCTGGACCATCCACACGACCAGCTCGTCGGGGACATCGGGGATCGAGTGCAGCATGATGGAGAAGCGGTCCTTGGGCAGGCCGTACGTGGTCTCGAGGGATTTCAGTGCGTAGAAGTTCTTCGAGGTGATGAAGTTGGCGAAGGTGTCTTCGAAGATGACGGTGATGTTGGCGTGGGCGAGGTAGTTCCAGGTTTGGTAGGGGAGGTTGCCTGGGTTGTGGACTGCGTGGTTTGGGGTTAGTGGATGGGGGGAGAAGGGGAGAGGGGGTGAGTGTATCATGAATAAGAGTGAAGCAGAGGAAAAGGACTGGCCGGGTTAAGAAGAGCGACCGAAAAAAAAAGGAGAAAGAAGAAATTCCAGAAAACCTCACTCAATGAAGAAAAACCGGAAAACCAAGAAAAATACAGAAAGAAGAAGAACCAGAGATTCCCTGTAAAACAAGCCTTTTCAAACGAAACATAAAAACAAGAAGAATTAGAGGGGAATTATCAAAACCATTCTTTCTTTCCAAAGACTCCCATGCCCTCCCTCTCTCCCACGGAACCACCCAAAACTGGACAGACGACCTGAAAAGCATCAAAAGAGAGAAAACAAGAACTCACCGACCACACCCTCCCCCAACCCCTTATTCGCCCTAACCTCCTCCCCCGCGACCTTCAAATACTCCTCCCACCGCCAATCATACACAGCGGGCGTCTCATCAAAGAAAATCCCATCGACACCCACTCTCTCATCGCCCAGCGTCCGCGGCCAGTCGGCGTACGTGCGAATCTCGCCCATGACGTCCTCGATGGGCTTGTTGGTGTAGTTGGTGGCGACGTAGCCGAGGGTGCGGATGTTGGGGTATGAGGTGAGTTTTGGGATTTCGGCGAGGTAGGCGGGCTCGATTTGCGAGGCGGGCAGGCAGGGGCCGCTGCAGGGGTTGAGGATGGCGGTGAAGTGCAGGTTGGTGTTGTTGCCGGCGCTGAGGGAGGGGGGAGGGGGTTAGTTTGTAGAAGAGGTGGAGGTGTATTTCTTTTCTGGAGAGAGGGAGAGGGATGCTATGGAGGGCAAGGAAGAGAACGGAGACCTAGGAGACGTACGCCCAGTATAAAGGATCCCAGACTCCCGGCCATGGGTAGACGTATAAGGGGATCAGGATGGACATGATGTTGTCCTTTGTCTTTCTCTCTTTCTCGCTCTTCTCTTCCTTTCTGTATACTTAGGACTCCCAATGTCTAAATACGTCAGAAGAAAACAGTCGTCGAATAGAACAAGACGACAGGACCAGACAAGAAAGCAACCACTCAGGAAGACATCCAGTCATTCAAGGGCCATCCGGCACTTTTTATCACAACCAAGCTTCTCTCGGCGATCGACGCCGATACCAGGACCCGGCCAGGAACCTAGATCCCGGGATGCACGTTACAATAATTCACTATATCGCGTGCGCGGCAAAGTGTACATACAGCATGCAAGCTCGCATTGCAGGGAGGGTTACCCCATAATAATGAATGATGTTACCGGCGGCCGAGATCTCGTGAGGCATCTCGTATCCGAGAATTGTATAGTACTGTGGTATATGAGAGGCTCAAAGGCTGGAGTAAGTACTCAAAGTGCATGTGGTGGTACTGTGCGCGCGTAGTGACACTGACACCCACCTGATACATCCCTTCCTCAGCATAGCTCCTACGACGACAATCAGTCCACGACAATAATAAATCAGTGCAACAAAGACAGATTGCGCGTCGACATGACGTTGGCGCAGCCTAACGTCTACTATGGATATATTGCCTTGGACAGGGATGCCGGATATTGATGGCTGCAGAGATTGGAAAGACCCGGGGCAACGGGAACAGAGGAGAGCTCAGAGATGGGAAGCCAGATATAGAAACTTTTTTGTTCGGTAAGACAACGTGCGTTTGGACGAGGGTGTTAGATATCGTGGAGGGAGATAGGGCTGGTGGACACGGGCCGGTGCAGATTGCGAGGCCGGACTTGGGAGAACGCCACGAGGGCTTCTAGAATCTGGGTGCCTTGCGTAAGTGATCAACGGCTCAAGCTTGCTGGGAGGGATTTGGGAGCCGCTTGCGCGTTACAATTGGAGATCTGCACCAAGGAGAATGTGGGTTGCATCCGCTCATTGCCATATTTGAATGCTTCATTTCGTCCTCCTTCCCACCATACCGTGGTACTGTCGTCTGCAATGGCAACGTTCCCTCTCCTTTCCGATGAACCGGTAATGCGCCCTCAGTGCAGAGAGAATTGAGGCCCTATCCGACCTTCCTCCACCTTGCTCAGCAGGTTACGACGTATATGTACGCCAAGCCAGTCGTTATAACTCTATGCACTTTCGCTTGCGCTATCGCTGTACACGCTTCCTTTCTCATTTACACTCACCCGACGGATCACTGCCGGCTCTCTCCGAGCAGCTTGCCGACGTCGTACCAAGATGAAAGCCATAGCACCCAGGAGGGAGACGACTCCCAATGTGACCATAGCCCCGATGACACCCGCGACTGCATTGGACATAGACTTCTGGCCCGGTGATGATGCAGAAGTACCGGCGGCTTTATACGCGTTGCAGAAAAGTAGCTCGCTCTGGCAGGTATTGCACCACTGTTCGGCGCTCGTGATGGCAATATCCTTCATGAAAGAGACGAATTCCGCCCAGCTTAGCGATTCCTCTGAGCGTCCGAAAAGTGGAAACGCACGAAGAGGGACCGCTCCGTCCGAGCCGTTGCGGAACAGGAACCGCACTCGTAGGTCGTCAGTGTTTGAAGGGAACTCGCTGACAGTCTGTGGAGTGAATAGCTCGAAGCTCATCGTCGAAGCATAAATAGGCAATCCGTGAAAGTCGTCCGACACGGAGGCGAGTTTAGAGATGCCGAAGAAGGCGAGGAAAGTGTCATAGCTTCCAGCAAAGAAGGAGAACTTGAGTTTTCCCTTGGAAGAGACGGTCTGGTTCAGCTGCCTGAGAACGGCACCGGCGAATGTCTTCCCGCCAATGGAGCGTGCTGCATCGCTGCTATCGAAGTTGGACGCAAACTCGGCACTGTCGGCGAGGGTCCTCAGTTGGAAGAGTTCTTCCGCAGTAACGTTGCCAGGAATAGAAGCATTGTGAATCGAGGCCACATTGAGCAAGTCGAAGATGTCAAAGGCCTTCTTATAGCTCAAATCCGAAGGCTTGTAGTCGTAAACACCAGAAAGAGCATCCGCGAACGACTGGTAGAAGGACTTTGTCGACTGCTCCTTCTCTTTGAATTGAGCGCTCTCCTCAAACCTCTCCATGGAGGCAGTCGCGGCAGGGCAGCCCTCGTCGCCTTTCAGCCAGACGGTGTCGGGCGAGTCCGACTCCTCGCCATGGAGCGTCACATACTGGTAGCCATTCAGCGGGTTGGCGTAGGACGAGCCATTGTTGATGGTCTGAGAAGCGATGTCGGAGTCCAATTCTTCGAGTGGTGGATACAGCCCTTGGAGGAATGCAGTTGCAGTGTTCAGGAGGACGGATTGGTCAGGAGCACTAGCAAAGAGTTGGGAATTGACGACCTTGTTTTCTGAGATACCGAGGATCTGCGTGGGAGAGTTGGAGGCAATGTATCTCTTCCGATAATCGCCTCCGACTCGGAAGTTTTGCTGTACGCCAAGAGGAGTCAAGCTGTAGCCTGGGTAATGCTTGGAGGTTCCTGTCCCATGCGTGTCAGTCAATGGCGGCCCGCAGAGTTCGGAGGAGGATGCGGAAACGTACGGTCGCCATGGCGAGTGAAGACGGTGACGCCGAGAACGGTCTCACCTACTGCGGGCAGGACTAGACCAGAGGCCAAGAGCAAGCTTTGAGGAAGCATCTTGGTGTATGAGAACTTCGACTGGTTTGGGGATGGGGACAGTGGAGGCAAGGAAGGGGAATTGGCCCTTTAAAGGACCCGAACACAAGATGCAGCTTCCCATTATCTCTCTGTCCATCTCGGGACGTCGTGGCCAATGAATGACCAATGATGTTGGTGAGGGGTTCTCCAATGCCCCGCATACGAGAAAATGCTGGCAGTCAGTCACAAAAAGGTGGGAGACTTGCCAAGAAGGTGATAGCGCTATCAGGCATGTTTGTATATCTCCGGCACGAGCAGACTCAAAGCTTGGGTTGCATAGCAAGTTATCTGTGATAAAGCTACAATTGCCCGTCTATTGATCTCTCTAAGCGAAGAACCTGACTAATTCTTCACCATCCCGAACAGGAGTTCTCGAGACCCGACCGTATACCACCTTTATAGAAGTAGATGTGCAACAATAGACGCAAAAAACACCATAACCCCATGAAAGACTCTCCAAAGAAAGCAGGGCTGTCCAGCACTGCAAAGTCGGAAGTTGGACTATCCGAGCCCGCGGAGAAGTATGTATTGGGTGCGAGTCGAAAACCAACAACACCATTACTCCACCCTTGATAGCAGGTAAAGCGACTGCTATAGCGGAGGTGATGAAAATATAAAGGCCTAGTAGTCCGTGGGTAAAACATTGGATCTAACTAAAGCTGCCGAACAAAAAGCCATAGACGAATAGAATAACGCTGCGACATTTCACCAGCAGACCATCCCAATCAGGCAACCGCCATTACCATCAACGCCAAGCCAACCCTAAGTACACCTTAAGGCGCACCAACACCTCAAAACTCATCCTACACGAAGACAAAGTTTGTTGATCGAAGCCAATCCATTAATTACCCGTCAAAACGCCCCGCTATAGTTCCCTCCCAAAACTCTCCTCCTTCCCTGCCTCCCAACCCAACCTATCTATACGAACCCCGGCACGTGCTCTCAAGAGACGGACCCTTGGAAGAAAGATTAAGACGAGCAAAAAAAGTCCAGACCACACAGAGACATGTCCATCGAATCGATGCCCATCGTCATATACCGCCCTGGGAAATGCACACGGCATGATAAGAGAAGGAATGTCTGCAAGCCTCGGAAATTCCAACCACCGCACGTACTCACCCCGCCAACGCTAGAAAAATGCACGTATTCTATCCCTATGAGAGGCTCTCTGCGAGAGAGCAAAGAATCATCGTCGTCATCAGTTGTTGAATCGGGCTCCGCCCCCTGCCCCGACTAGATCGGCGACTGTCGATAAACCTCTGTCTCGACCCTTCACCTGACCCGAAAAAGCTAGGGGTTCACCTGGCAGAAATGGATATGCCTCGAACCACCATATCCTCATGCAATACATGTCTACACCCTATATCGCGCATCCATCAGGGGAATGCGCATCGTGTCGTTTGATTCAAGCAGCCACGCTGCTGTGTGCATGCCCACGGTCGCCTGCCGGCCGCTCGTTTTGCTTTGCGATTTCTCTCGCATAGAACTCAACCAGCATCGTTCCATACGCTTCCATCTCTTCCAAGGGCACCGCGAGGCGGAAGTCGTTCAGGAGCAGAAATTGGAGTTCGAGATGATTGAGTTCAACGAGCGGAAGTCCCCCAACCTGCAAAGGTTAGCAGCTGATTTTCGAGCATGGCAATGAATACCGCGTACCTTTGCGTATCTCGAATTGGTATAAAACACGTCAGAAAAGAACTTGCTGGCACACGTGACTCCTGCAATGACGAGGCGATGTATGTTGTAGCTGTCGACGACGAAGAACTGAGAAAGGCTGTACGGATCCGGTTCAAGGGGCGGGTCCATGTGCTGAGGCGGAGAAGGTGGCTGAGGCTGATTCTCCTGAGGCCCGGCCCCCTGTGAATGGCCTAGAGAGCCGGACGGAGGCGGAGTAGCAGTCTGAATACTAGCGGAGGACTCTTGCGGCGCAGTTGCTTCGGCAGGCGATGTACGTCCGGAACTCGGTTCGTTCGCAGTGGCGTGTCTTTCGAGTGACCGTCGATTGGCTTGACGCAAGCTTTGCATGGGGCCTGCATTGACCCTTTCTGTCATTCTGTCAAAGTAGACGAGCAGACTGAGAAAGACTTCATAGGTCGTAGGGCAGTACTTGTGGATACGACTGAGATAGTTCAGGATGGTGATGCTGGGCACGTTCTTGCCATGGAAGGCTAAAACGCTGGTGGTTTGTTCGCTCAAACCTGAGCTGCCCTCGGGCGGTGGAATGTGCCGGTGTAGATGCTCATGTTGCTTGTCGTTAGTGGTCGTGATCTTTGTCAGCAGTCCAGCAACCATTTCAATAATGTCGGTCACGGGCATTTCACTGATCTCGTATTGCGGCCCAACGTCGGCAGGATCTCGCCTTTGCCGGCGAGATAGGGAGCGTGTTGATTCATCGGCCGCCAAGCTCTGTATATGCGACAAGCTCTTGACTTTGATCCGCCGCGGCGAAGGTGCGGCAGGACCTAGGGTGATTCTGGAAGATGGTAGAGGAGATGGGTGAGCCGAGGGCGTGGACGAAGATGATAGATGATGAGAATGAGAGGTGACATTGGGGGTATGATAGGAGGTAGGCGCTGGAGTTGAGTGCTGCGACGTGGTCGGACGGGACTTCGCCGAAGGCATTTGTGAACGTTGGTGTGAGCTAGAGTCGTCGCCATGTTGCGCCGATGAGCGGTGCTGTGCAACTGATGCTGGTGCGGCATCGGCCATATGGGTGTCGGCGGGCTGTACTCCTCGCAACGCGTGGCGCCCTTCGAGTTGGGAAGACGGCCGGACTGGGACGTGGTGTACGGCGGGCGACTCCTGCGTGGTTTGATGGGCGCCGGCGCCGCCAAACATGGTGTTGTGAAAGTGGTGCCCACCAACGTCGCTGACCACGATCGATCCCATTCCGTACAGCGCAGACGCAGTCAGCAAGCTCTCTCGGTGCGCAAGAGGCGATACCCGACGTGTCAGTCAAGTGAGAATCGGGGTGGAAGCAGTAGGGCGCTGTTCAGGTCGAGGGGTAGGAGGCAAGAGGGGCCACGCAGCGACGTAACGGTGCAGGAACAGCCTGGCTGCGGACGGGCGCTGCAGGCCGTGAGAAATGGGTGAAATGAGCGAGGATAGTGCTGCTCCAGACGGAAGAGGAGGCGTCGGAGAGGCGCGAGAGGATGGCTGGTGGGTGGGGAGAGGATGAGGTTGTTGGAAGTTGCGGGACCCTGAAGCTGCGATAAGAGATGCTGCGCCCGATCCGATGCGATGCTGGCTGGCAGTTGGCCCACGCTACAACGGCTTAGCAGCAGGCATACAGCCGCAACATTCCCTCTGGCGGCAGCGGGCCGTGGCCAAAGCGAATTGGACGGCGGTGCGGCGCGGCGGAGAGGAGAGGGAGAGGGAGAGGAGGTAAGATAGGGGAGGGGGAGGTGGACTCGAGGGGGTGTTGGAGATGAGGTTGTGGTGGTCAGGAAGCCAGGTTGGAGGTGGGTGGGTGGAGGTCCGCTAAGGGTCCGTGGGGTGATCCTGTGGGCTTGTGAAGAGCGGGAAGAAAAGCACGCTACGGGGTGAAGCTTTGCCGATATGTATGTGCACAATAGTCTAATAAGTAGATTCCCGGGTTGATGAATCTCCAGGGTTCCAGTGGCATGTACAGAGTACGGTGTAAATATTGCGTCCGGTCTTGCTGTTGGATTCACATGTCACATGAACTGCCCACCATGCAATCGCCACAAGTGCAGTACAGTGAACACCATGCCGTAGTAAACCACAGTACAGTGGTTGTCTGCAACTATCGCTGTCCGTGTGTGGCCGTTTGCCCAGCTTCCCATTCCGACTTGCTTTTTCTTCGTCCCACGCACAGCCTCCATTGGTCACACCGCCATAGATGATCCCCAGGGCCGCTTCCATATCCCACGCCGCTGCTCGGTGCATCCCTCTAAAGCCACACCACCAAATAATAACAAAGTGGTCACGTTGCGCCCATCTGTGGCTACCATCGCCGCCTTTGAGAATTGCTTGTTTCTCGAGTCGCCATGCCAGTACCTGGTACTAGTCCCGAATTGTCATTCATCTCTGACTGCTCCTCTATGTGGTATTCATACACCTGCACCCCCCTCCTTCTTCCTTTCCCTACGAGACTCCCTCTACTGCTTTCCAGGCCCCTGGTAGTCCTGGTCCGGGAGATATAGGTGCCGCTGAGCTCCCTTTGCCGTGAGCACAACCATGCGAATCACACCGCCTGAGCTACCGTCCCACTTGATGGCCTCCTGCAACGCCCCCTTGACGAATTTGATTCCCTCCTCCTCCGTCATGTTCTCCCTCCAGTTCGCATCGCAGTATCCGTAGATGTACGTAGACCCGGACCCACCAATCGCATACGCCTGTTTGTGGAGTGAGCCTCCGAGCGGAATCGAGTACACTTGGCCGCCGTGACGATGGTCATATCCAGCAATGATCATGCCCGCCCTGCCACTTCGTTAGACTGAACTTCAAGCCATAGACTCAGTGCCGCCTTACGATAGCTGGTCCTTATTCGCGTAGCAAAGCTCCTGGAATAACGCTGCCGCCGTCTGCGTGGTCGGCGGCTCGCCATTCGTGATGCCGTACAGACCAAGATGGTACTGCACGATATCTGCTACCGCCTGCGTGTCTGCTGCCGAACCGGATCGACAACACCAGATTGTGTCATGCACTTGTGTGAGTTTGTCCGTCACGCGATTCGCAATGTACGATCCGGTCGTGGTTCTGCTGTCGGCGCCTAATATAACTCCATCCTTGAAGTTGATTGCCATGCTGTGCAGCGGGTTAGGAAGCTCGAACGGATTGACGACGGATGGGTACCAACATTGAGGTTCCCAGACTAGCGATATCATCAGCGAGAGCACATAAACCAATCCAGGGACAGCATACATACTTCACTTCTCCCTTCTTCAGATGCTCCATATCTACGTGGATGCCGTCTTCACAACATTAGCTCAGAGCCCACCAAGAGTGCAGTGCAGCTGCACCTACCCACTGCCAGCATTCCAGTCGGTGACATGGTTGATAATTTTGTTGTTGCAGTAATTTCCCGTATTGACGGGGTATCAAGTGAAGTCTGGATCGAGCGGATGGGGAGATTCTTGGAGCTCTTGTACTATGTAGGGCGAGCTTGTTGTTGGAGGCGGCAGCGGAGCTGCGCAACCACGGCCAGCTCGGACGTTCTTGGCGCGCCAAGGTGGTATGCACCAATTTGAGCTAGCGTGCCGGCGCTTTATTAGTCTGTCTGCCCCCGGGTTCCACATCCATGACAGCTCACCAGCGAACTCGAACGCTTTACTTTTGTCTCAAGCCCGCCAGCTACGCATCCCTCGCTAGTCACTGTCCCAAGCTGCGGGTGCCCTCGTTCCTGCGTTCTCCATCGAGTCCCCGTTCTATCCATTTCTTGCACTCGTATCGTCGTAGCTGGAAGGTATACCCGAACCATCCCATCATGGGGTCTGCTCTCGACTCGTTCATCTCTTATCTGCGCATACCACTACTAGCATCATCGGGAATTGCAGCTGTTCTCAGTTGTGCTCTCTACTTCAAGCAAAAGTGAGCCTATTTCCTATCCGCGTTGCATCTGTATTCGTCCCCTCGTTATCGTGTCTTGCTGATAGGGGTTCAGCGAAATCATCTATCCTAGGCATTTCCCGCCGGATGCTCGCACCAATGTCCCCCGACCCTCGCAATTCGGGATAACTGACTATGAGGAGCTCATGATACCGACCGCGGATGGCGAATCGCTGAGCGCCTTCTACCTCCGAGCGAACAAGCAGCACGCGCGCAATGTCACCATTCTTATGTTTCATGGCAACGCCGGTAACATAGGGCATCGGCTACCAATAGCCAAAGTACTGGTGGATGACATTGGGTGCAACGTTCTTCTGTTGCAATATCGCGGATACGGACACTCGACAGGCTCGCCGAACGAGAAGGGCATTATGATAGATGCACAGACCGGCCTCGATTACGTTAGAGGAAGGTCGGAGCTACGAGGGAGCCGCATCGTTCTGTACGGGCAGAGCCTTGGAGGGGCAGTGGCGATTGCGCTCGCGGCCCGGAACCTGAAACATGGCGACATATCTGGCATCATCTTGGAAAACACCTTCACATCCATGCGGAAGCTCATTCCTTCGTGAGTATGGAGTGCGCCACACCCGATATGTTGCTGACTTGAGACGAGAGCGCTCCCTCCGGCTCGATTCCTCGCACCCCTCTGCCACGAGATCTGGCCATCAGAAGAGATACTACCTCGCATCACTGGCATTCCCATGCTCTTCCTCAGTGGCCTCCAGGATGAGATCGTACCGTACGTTGCTCCCGGGTTTTTCCATGTTGACTATGCACGGGAGAAGCGCAAAGCAGAGCCGATGATATGACGTGGCTTTCCCGGGCTCCTAGTTTGAGAAGGGTACTGACTGAGGGCAGGGCTTCACACATGGCTCAACTCTTCAAGCTATGCCGGTCGCAGCCAAAGATTTTGAGAGAGTTCCCTAATGGTACGCATAACGACACCGTTGCCGAGCCAGGGTATTTTGTCTACATTGACTCGTTCATTGCCGAGCATGTGGCGCGCTGAGTTTTCTCGGACAAGTCTACTAGGGTTCGATTGCCAGACGCCGCAGAAGGCATATACCTCGTCAGGGCCACTATCAGGCACAGGAACCAGCTGGCCGTCACCGCACGAGAGCTACAGTGATGTTAGAGTTTCGACTGTTCAAGTTGGACCCGGGTCACGTGGTATCTCCGTATCGGCGCATCCGCCTTCGAAGTCGCCGTTGTCGCGACCGAGGGGCAGAAGCTACTGGGCGCCTGAGGGCGGGGCTGTGTCATAGAGGCTTTTTCAGTCGAGAGGGTTTGCGAAGTAGCGATGCCCCTTTGCCGATGTCCAGTCGCACAATGTACCACGTACACAGTTCGAAGACGGGAAGCCGAAGAGATGGCGATGATGTGCAGCCTACGAAGGCCAAGAAGCCAGATCAACACTGGGCATGATGGAGTATGCTATTATTATTGCTGTCGTATGAGGGACATACACGTTGGTCAACCCTGCATGGTTCTCATCAAGGGATCTGCGGGAGATGGATTCATGTGGCGATTTGGTGTGGCGATCTAGGTGTGGCGCGAGCAGACACCGCCACAGGGGAAGGCGGGTCGAGATTGGTCGAGAACGCGAGAGGGGGCAGAGCGTGGCACGGCTGGGCCCGCGAAACCGCGGTTCCCCGGGGCAAAGGCACAACCGACAAAAATCACGTCATGGAACGAATCTTTGTTTCTCCACGCATCCACCGACGTCAGCGTCTGCATCACAAGCTCGACAAGATTTGGGGTTCCATCTGCTACTACAGTATGTTCAGGGCGGTGGAGTCTGGGCCACGACAGAGTGCTGCTAGACCCTGAATTGGGCCCTGCCAATGTTAGGGTCCTCCCGGGCAAGGGGAACAGCAGGGCACCATAGGGCGTTGGGGCGACTACGTCAGTGAGCGCGGACCGAAATGCTTGTTCTGAATCATGAATGGGAAAAGCGAGGCCCTGGCGACGGCAAAGCCACAGACTGGCATCCAATTTTCCCAATTTGCCCATGCCCTTGCCGATCGAGAAGCTGAAAGCCACGCTGGACCCTGAGATTCCCGGCAACCCTCCATTGCTTCCCATCCGGGTAATGCGGTTGCCCATCCGATCTACACGGTGCGTTTGGCTTGCATCACACACGCGTAGTACAACTGTGGTAGACACAGTCAACGGTGGCAACCGTCTCTGCCAGCAAACTGCCCATACGGCTGCCCATAACTCGGCCAAGTTCAGCCGCCCGAGATCCAACTCGCCGACGCAACAATAGTTTGTTATGTAGTGCACATGCTAAAAGTAACATTGTGGCGTCGGACTGGCATCTTGCCTGCCGGCCCTCTTTCCTAGGCCCAACAGCCAGCACTACTGTGGTTTATTACTTCACTCGACGGCCGGTAAATGCGCCCTCCTCACCTTCCGCGGGGCTTTGAGAAGCCCCAAACAGGCGCCTCGCTCCGCTTGCCCCCCAGTGGCCGCTATCGTCGTCACCGAATTCCTCGCTGACCCTGCTCTCTCCCTCCCATGGACGCTTGTCTTGCGCTCTTTCGCATTTTGATTGGCCGTTGTATACATAGTAGGGTTGCTCAGGAACGGGGCCCCTTGGGGTAATTCTCCAGGACTAGGACATTTCAGGTACCATGCGAAAAAAAAAAAAGAAGTACCTAGGTACACTGCGGAAACGCGCCTAGTCAGATGACTAGCCCCACGCTCTGCAAGACCTTGTCTTCCTACTCCATCTGCCTTGGAAAATGCCTGCCATGACGGCATCCTTCACTAGTAGAAAGGGCGTCCTTTCATCTTGCCTACTTGTAATATGAAGCCCCTTTCGGTGGGTGGATAACGATATCCTACCAGTACTGCTCTCCGCCACACCTGGCCCTCGGGCCTTGTCCGATCAGCTGTGCAGATTTCCGCATCCATTTCTTCCCTGTGTGCCACAGTACATACTCGCCACACCAAGGATACTGTGGTACTGTGGCAGATAGCTACGCAGTCTATCTGGGGATCAAGTCGCCTCCGGTGGTGCCGGCTTGCTGGTTCGGTATACCTCCAACGCAGCCTCGACACAAGCCACACCCCGTCGCTGACCTTGGACCCAATCACACTCCGTTCAAAGTCTCGAGACGGAGGCAATTGAGGCAGAGCCCGGTCGTACTGTGTGGTACATCGCGTGTGGCGATCCCGCTGGACACTGGGGAAAGGAGAAGCTCCATTGGGAACCCTTGTCTCGCTTTACGCAGCAACAAGTACAAGGCCTAATCAAGCAGAGTATCGTGCTCAGGCTACGGACTACTCCGTTGTCGATTTTTGTTGTTGTTGCGCTGCTCCTTGCCCTGGCGCCCCCCAAGCATCCACTTCGCTCGCCTGACTGGCCACCTGCCCTTGGACTTCATATTTGGTCTCGGTGCAAGCGAGCACGTTTCGTCTAGGTCCATCTCAATCCTCGAAGCTGGTCAATCTTCCCTCATCCGGCCCACATCCTGAGAGACTTCTTTTTTTAACCGTCGACTGTCCATCGTCCCGTCCGTCTCATTGGCATACACCCCATCTCGAAGGAGATTCTCCTTCCTCGACACAGCCTACTGTCTCCTTCGGGAGGCTCAGTATCTGACTTGCCACTGCCATAGGGAACAGTAGGTGATATAGGGCTTAGGTACGTTACCACTCCACTCTGCGCCTCAGGCCAACTCCATTACCGCACGTTCGCTACCTAGTCGCTCACTTCAAATAAACATGGACTGACATGGCATTCGTTTGGGTACAGCAGTGGATTGCGCTCCCCATTGTCCTCGAGGATCAAATGGGGGACGCACCTTCTGGCCTGCCGGCCTCGGCCCCACCGTCTCAGGATGAAAGCACAGCAGGCGGTCTTGTACGCGACAATCCCCAGAGCTCTGCTGCGTACAAGTACAAGACTGCACCAACTGCCAGCCCCTTCCAGCCCGGGTCCCAGCTGGGTGCTCTACCTCAGCCATCCAACCGCTCCCATATTCCTTCACCTGCACATCTCGCAGGACCCCACCACCATGCGCAGGAGCACCATGGCGCGAACCCTTTGAGCATGGCCTCCATGGCGGATGCACTCCCAGAGTATCCTTCCATTGACCCTGCCCGTCATCAACTGGTTCAGCAGCAGTCCGCTCAAGTACCCCAGCAACCCCTCTCCGGCGCGTCGACGCCCGCAGTCGTCTATCAGCTTCAGCAGAACCTGCAGATTGCAGGTGGCCCTCACGCTGCGGGGCCGTATCCTCCTCAACAGCCTGCCTATGCGCCGGCTCCGTATGGGCAGACGTTCGCTCCTTCCCACGGCACCCAACCCCACTACGGCTCCTTCCCTCCGAACCAGCGCCTTCCACCTGCATCGAACACCCCCCACGGCTCATACCCGACCTTCCAACAATCCTCCCCCTACATCTACTACCCCTCTCCCTATGCGGCCCAGCCCCAGCTGCCCCAGACCTTTCATGCTCAGCCTGCCCAGCATCCGGCTTTGTACGCTGGCAGGCAGCTGAGCTCCTCCAATGTGCCCATGCCCAGTCTGGGTCATACCATGGTGCCGCCTCAGATGGACGGTGGCTTCGCCCACGGAGCCCGTTTCGCGCCGGGTGCGATGCCAGGAGGGCAAACACCCGGTACGGCCGTGCTTAGTGGGACTCTCGGTGCTCCAGGTGAGTTGAATCGACCAGCCTAGCAAACCTCTGCACATGTTCTGACCGAGTGACAGGTTTGAGCCAACCAGGTCCTGCCACTTCTGTGCCTCGTGGCCCTCCTCGGAAGCCAAAGCAGTCCGGACATGCTCTGTGGGTTGGCAACCTTCCTCCGGGCACGACTGTCACGGCACTGAAGGACCACTTCTCGCGAGACGCAACAAAGGATATCGAGAGTCTCTTCCTCATCTCCAAGAGCAACTGCGCATTCGTCAACTACCGGACCGAGGCCGCCTGTACCGCGGCGATGCATAGGTTCCACGATTCTCGCTTCAACGGAGTACGCTTGGTTTGCAGACTGCGTCGGAGTTCGGCTCCAGCTTCGGGTATACCAACAGGACCTTCGGCCATGGTCGGAAGTCCGACCGCCAATCCACCTCCTCCCAAGTCCCCGCAGAATGTGGACGGTGTCGAGGAACAAGAGGGACCTGAGTCCCCCACTCGGCCAACCGATGAGCACGCTCGGCAAGCGTCTAGCGCCAAGGAAAGATACTTTATTGTCAAGAGTCTCACATTGCAGGATCTGGAGTCAAGCGTACGAACGGGCATCTGGGCAACTCAATCTCACAACGAAGACGCGCTCAATAAAGCCTACCATGTAAGACAGAATGGCCGAAATGCCAACACACATCTCATGCTCACAGACTATAGACCGCTGAAAATGTCTACTTGATCTTCTCGGCGAATAAGTCGGGCGAATACTTCGGTTACGCGCGAATGGCTTCGCCAATCCTCGAGGATGCAACATCTCTGCTTGAATTCCCGCCCAAGAAGGACGTCGCCGAAGCGGATGACGTCCCCAAGTCGATCCCAACACCCGCTACGGAATTCGCGCCCAAGGGCAGAATCATCGACGACTCGGCTAGGGGAACAATATTCTGGGAAGCGGAGTTATCCGAGTCGGAAGGGGAAGGAGGAGACGTCGTTAAGCAGGATTCACACGCCGAGGTTGATCCCTCTGGAGTGGCACAAGGCTGGGGAAAGCCATTCAAGGTTGAGTGGATCTCGACGAACCGACTACCGTTTTACCGCACACGCGGGCTTCGCAATCCTTGGAATGCTAACAGGGAAGTCAAGATTGCGAGGGATGGAACAGAACTGGAGACCAGCGTGGGTGAGCGCCTTGTCCAGATGTTCCATCGCCTAGGGCCTTCGAGCGCTTCAGTGCCCTTGGGTGGGCCTATCTTGCCGCCTCCTTCAGTCGGCGCGCCGCAGATGCGACCCTACTGACTTCCGGTTTTTTCCATGTCCCTCCGGCGGGCCTTTGTCCGAACTTCATTCACCTCCTGAACCGTTTCCTTTGTACCAGACACATCAACTGGCAGGGCCAATCTTTTTTGTTCGGTGGACGATGACGACGACGTTCGACGAAGCAACGATTCGACGGAGCACTCGATGTTGGATAGAGGATGCATAGCGAGCATTTTCCATGTTGCCGGCTTTCCTTTTCCCTTTTCTTTGCAGTCAATTGCGTTCCCTCAGATGTTGTGCGGCTTCAGATGATCTTTGCGTTTGCAACGCATAATATAATCGCATGCCTAAAAAAAGTCATCCAGGATAAGAGCAATCCCTTACGGGGGCAGATCTCACGAAGGGGCCACAGTTGTCGCCTGGACACGGAGTTGTTCCGTCGAAGCACTGCCATGTTCCCGAACTGCTGGCCTTCTCGTGGACACTGAATTTTGAAGACAATCTCAGAAGCCGACCAATTTTGCACCTACGGTTCTGTTCTCGAAGGAGCCCCGATGAATGCAACGTTTTTGTTTGCGGGCTTCCCCCGATCAAAAAGTTCCCTTCTCTAGACGACATCTCATTTAGCACCTTGCTGATCTGGTAATGTACGAAAGCCATACCGCTATGAACCAATCCAAAGGCCAACCAGAGACGCTGCCAGGCATATCCGGGCATTTCAGCGCGGAGAGACAGATGGAGAAAATCTTTTGTTCACAAACCTTAGGATCCCTAACGCCGATGGATGGCGTGATCACAGAACGGGTCCATTTCCCATGGAAGTGGGGTGTGCCAGTGCATAGTGGCCACGCAACGGATTGTCTCCAACTTGCAAGCTTTCGCGGCGGGAAGCGCCAACAGGGCTGCCGTCTAGTGGAGATGACTAGGGTTGATAGTTTGAGGTTCGGGGCCGCGGCGCCGGCGCCTGCAATGACGTGGACACCGCCAATGATTCGAGTAGTGGCAGATTGCGTGTACCGGGTACACGAATTATGATTCCTGGATATGGGCGCAACCCACACTCACCTGCTACCTGCACATTCACAGCGGAATCGGGGCCCGTCATGACCTCTTCAAGGGCGGGAAATGCTGCAGGCACCTCCAGTTCCCTCGCCAACCGTCCGACATTTGCGGGCTGTAAGTGTGGGGACGGGTCCGACTTGTTGTGTGTCTGGTCTGTTTGCTCATCAGCCGACGAGTCTGGAACCTTGGATGTGGATCCATGGATGGTGGTTGTTGTTGTCGCACAGCCCACATGCAATTTCGGAATTTCCGTGGGCCGAGAAGACGGGACATTTGAAATTTTCCCATGAGGGCCCGTGCGATGGTTGGGCAAAAAGCGAACCTGGCTGTGGCGGTGCTTGTGCCTCTGCGGTGTACCGGTATGCCACCACCCGATGATGTGATAAATGTAGGTAGAAACATCGGCTACATCACGTTCTAGTGTATTAGTTCAGGTGCGAATAGATCCGTAGCATTGTAAAGGCGTTTGTTAATTATGCAGACAACATCTTTATATGGTTCACTCTCGTCACATACCATTCCATCTCATTTCCATTTATTTCATCGCACTCCCTTGCCAGAATTTCATAATGTATCCGAAGAAAAATCTATTCTCCACGCCAGTTTTTCGTAGCGCCACAAAACGCTTTCAATCGAACAAGAAAAACAAAAGCAAAATCGGTGAGAACAACCAGAGAGAAACTAAGCAAAACGCCTCCACGGGCGCAGATCTCTCTGCGTGTTGCAAATGTACCGTCTCCCCAGCGACTCATCTGCCATCCAAATAAACGTCTCTCAAAGCCAGTTCTCAATGGTCTCGTTCCAGAAGCGTCTATTCCAATGGCCGTGCACAGCAATACTTTACAATACCCCCCAACGGATATAGAGCCAACGGAGTACGGTACATGAGGCATCAACGTAAGTGTGGATTATGCCCCAGGGCAATCAAAGCAGGTAATGGACTGTCCAAACCAAAGGCTCGGCGGTGTTGGCCAAAACACAAAGCAGAACCAATCCCTCCCAGCCTCCCCACCTTCCATCCAATCCTTGGGAGGCCAGTTGCTGCCCTCCCCAAATCCGGACGAGACCCAACGGCCTTCCGCCTCCAGCCGAAGTCTCTGCATATTCAAACCATGCTTCCGTCCGCTCCCCAAAATCTCGGCGCGCAGGGTGTCGGTGTCGGTGTCAGTGGTCTAGGTGTCAGCAAGTCAACATTAATCGTCCCCCTCCCTCGTTTTGCCGCCAGGCCTCATATCTCGTCAGCGTCATACTCGGCCTGGTTCGCCAACGTCTTGGGCGCATCCTTGCGGATGGGAATCTTGATGCCTTGGGAGGCAAATGCCTTGCTGAGCGGCGTGCTCTCGATCACGCCAGGGAACTTCTTGGCGGAGAAGACCTGGAAGGGCTCGGAGAAGCACGTCGCCAAAACGGGAGCGCGGCCCTTGTTGAGCACGTGACCGTTATTCTGGCCGCTGCCGACATCGATGAAATTCATCTTCAGCCGGAAGGTGCCCTCGGTCCGCACCGACAGATCCTGCAGCACGAACCAGAGTCCGAGTTGTTTCTTGGTGTCGTTGAGCTTGGAGGCGTTCACCGTCAGGCTTCCAATCAGGTTGCGAGTATACATGCCTGTCGCGGACGGCGGGGGCGCAACGACGGGCACGGGGGACATGGGTACGAGAGACGTTCCGTATTGTCCTTGGGGGGCGTAGGTATTAGGGTACGATGCCGCAGGCGAACCTTGATAACCAGTTGCGGCTGGAGCAGGTTGATAGGCTTGGGCGGGCACTGCACTTGGCGGATAGTAGGTCGCACCCATCTGGGGTTGTGGCTGGCCATAGGCCGGAGCCTGCGGGGGCATCATAGGACGGCCGTAGCTATCATAAGTCGGTGCGCCGTACATTTGCTGTCGGTCTGGCGGTGCGGGGTACGCGGTGGTAGGGCTCTGGCTGATTGAAAGGTGGGTGCTACCGCTGGTTGCATGACGGACCAGGTTGACTTCCTCCTTTCCGTTGGCAGCAAACAGATCCACACTGAGGACGAAATAGGAGCTGTCTATGTCGTGGTAATTGACCTCTTTGTTGGCCTTGTTATCCCAAACCACTAACCTTATACAAGGGGGAGGAGTGATCGGTCGGCGATCCTACAAAGGAGTGTCAGCTAACACTAAAGCAAAGCAGCGGAAGGCTTGCCTACATACCTTATCACCGAATCCGCACATACGGGCCCGTATGGGCTGCTGTTCGACAATGAGGCTATCATACGTCAGTGCTGCGATCCCTTTGGCGAGGCACCATCTGTGACGCACCTGTACGTGTAGTCGCCCTTACGACCTTTATAAGGGACAAGGGGGTCTGGGTTCGCGGGGGCTTGCTGGGTGGGTACATGTTGGTAGGGGACCATGGGATTGTAGGTGTCGTCGTTGGGCCTAGCGGATATGGGGGGTAAGCTTCCGTCGGAATTAGGAATGGGTGGTTGGGGAGCAGCCACAGGGTACTGGCCGTTTGGGCGAGGATAGGGATGCATGTGCGCGGCCATGATGTCGTCGCGCGCGGGAGCTACGGTAGCGTCGGTGGGAAGTCGGTGCGGTATATGCGGAGTAATCTAAAGTGCTAAGGAGTGGAGTTGGGCAATCGTGGAATGCTGAGACGCGTCGAGAAGCGAAAATGCGTGCTAGTGGTGCTGATCGGATTAATGTGCCATTATCTCTTTGTTTGGTTGTCGGTCAAAGGAGTTCAGGGGGATTCGGGGTACTGGGTGGACAGGAGGGCGGCTCAACGTGCGCGGAAGGGTCTGCAAACGTCACGAAATGGATGGCGTGGCAAGGAGCAAGCGCAAAGGATGAAGGCGTGGGAGGCGATATGGTGATGGCGGGGGTGGTGTTGATCTGATGTTGTTGTGAGGCGGGAAGATGGGAGATTGGCGCCAAACGCTTGGACTGTGGGGACAGCGGGCCGTACAAAGCTTAGCGTAAACGGTGCCGGAACCGATCGAGCAAGGGAGGAAAGGGAGATTCTTGGCGGGCCAGCTCAAGTCAACTCACCCTTTATCAAATTTGGATTTTCTTTTTGCCTTGTTGCTTTGCACAGGGAGCACTTTGCCCATTATACAACACATGACGCCAATACTAGCCCTTCTAAAGATTCCACGCTAACACCACCTAATATGCGGCTCGAGCTTGCTCAACAATATCCATCTCAACCTTCTGCCCTTCTCCCGTGAACATCTTGGCCTTGCGAATTCCAAGAATCAATACGCCTCTTAAGACTTGTCTCCCTACCCTCAGCAAGCGACAGCTAATTGCTTTCCGCCAAGCTGTCATGTCAGACGAAGTTCAATACCCTACAGGCTTCGGCCTAGCGGACATAGTGTCGTGGGGTATTATAGGCATGGTATGCCTCCACAAATCCTCCCAGACCGTCGTAAAGTCCCCGCATGACGAGAAAAACAATGACTTCATCACCACTGAGAAGAAGATATACGAGCGAGTCGAACACTCTGGTGGACACCCTGGCCTTCTCCGTTACTACGGTCCGTACGATGAATTTTGCATCCGCCTTGAATACGCGCCTCACGGCCAACTGCACTCGTTCCTGTTAAAGAACGCAAGCATGAGTACTAGCCAACGTCTTCGCTGGATCGTACAAATCACTGAAGCGCTGAGCTTCGTGCATCGAGTAGGAGTCGTTCATGGAGATCTGACCTGCAGCAATGTTTTACTGGACGCAGATATGAACGCGAAACTGGCTGACTTCTCCGGCTCCTCTCTAGATGGCTCACCTCTGCTTGTTGTTGTCACGCCCAGCCACGCATATCCTGGGGAGAAGAATTCAACCAAAGCGCATCTATTCGCGCTTGGGTCATTGATATACCAGATCATGACTGGCTTTGCGCCGTACAATGATCTATCCGAAGAAGAAACTGAGTCTAAATATCTGAAGGGCGAGTTTCCAGCTACGAAGTCTCTTGGAGAAGTCGGAAACATTATCAGCAAATGCTGGCGATGCGATTATAATACTGCTGACGTTGTTGCGAGAGATCTAAGAGTTATGGATTTTCAAACAACTTGATCATCTCCGGCGCCACAAAGACGATCCTCAGCCTTGCCACTGCACTCTGCAATGACTGTGTGAAGATATAATACTATCTTCTACCCTTCCTGCGTGCTTCAGCACAGTAGTGTGGAACGACTCTGGGAACGGCCAGGAACCATGCCAATCGGTGCTCGCTAATAGCGGACTTGAGAGGTATATTTCCTCTTTGAATGCTACAACACGCCTTCCTATGCACATCCCGTATATACATAGCAGAAGACAAATGTCACACCACATCCGACATGGCCGGCTACCCTATCCGCAGCATCCGGCCTGCAAATCCCAGATCTGCATGCGCAACCTATCTATCGAATCTGGCTGCACATCCCCCGGAAGAGGCAGACAGTTCAGTCGCACACATTCCGCCCTTTCATCAGCCAAAGTGAAACAGCGTCTGCTTTTTGTTCTTGTTGCCCTTCTTCTTTCCACCCGCTCCAGCTTCATCTGCTGCAGCAGCTGCTGTGCTGCTGCTAGCTCCTCCTCCTCCGGATCCGGCCGTCCATGCATTCGTGATAGGCACGTTTCTCCCGCTGTGGTCGCGTCGGAGCCCCGCTCCCGTGTATCCCGGACTGAATATCGTAGTTGTAGGCTTTGCCGCCGCCGGCAGCGCTGGAAACGCCTCTGCAAGGTTGGCTGGTGGCTTTGCTTGCTGATTCAGCGCCGCCGACGAACTGGCTCGGGATGGTTGTGGCGATGGGCGTGCCGCGCTGGAGGAGCTCGCCCAAGCTACCTGGCCCGGTTTCGCTCCGATCCTAGACGACGATGAAGACGACGGCGCTCCTAGAGGCGGGAATACGCTGGTCGACGCTGTGCTCCAACTGGCTTGCCGGTTGACAGCAGAGCGCGACGACTGTGCCGTCGAGCTCTTGAGCTTCAGCACCCGAGACCCGCCATGGGCTCCCGGACCACTGCCCAACGACAAGCCTGCTGCTGCTCCAGGCAACGAGGGGTAGTCCTCATTGATAGCCTTCCAGTCGCTCCACGCTTTGAGCAGATCCGTACGCTTGGTCGTCACTTCGAAGATCTCCGCCAGTTCCTTGATCAACTTGCCCAGCTCGGTTGGGTTGGTATCGAACAGGGTGAAGAAGTGGTCAATGAGCTGGGAAGCCGACACCTTGGACGTGCGATAGGCCGTGATTTGCGCCCGGAATTCGCCCAGTTTCGACTGGTCGTTGCGCAGCAGGTTGGATGCTCGCTCGATGACTGCATTGTGGCGCAGAAGGCGAGCCTGCTCCTGCGGGGTGCGGGGTGCGGCGGCGGCTGGCTGTGTTTCTCCACCACCATCGCCTGAGGCGGTAGCAGCTGCTGCTCGTGGTCGAGATGCTGTAACTGTGGCTGGTGTTGCTGTGCTGGAGGGCGGCCTTGCTGCAAAGGCTTCGGATGGAGTAGGGGCCGCTGCAGATGTCAGCTGGCCACCGAAAACTCTGCCGACGCCCGGTTGCGAGCTTTGGATGGCCATCTGGCGCTGGAAGGCCAGCTCTGCCCTACTCAGGGGCTGCGCGGACGAAACAGGAAGCGGCTCAGCGTTAGGGTCACGTACTCTGCCTCGCCCTCCTTCCCTTCCACGACCGCGCCTAGACCCAGTTTCTTGCTCGCGCGTCTGGCGGAGCTGGAAACCAGACATGTCTACCCTGCGAGCATCTCGTAGTGCGTCTTTGGACAGGCCGCCGGGATGCACTTCGAGCTGATGTGCTTTCAGATCAATCTCAGAGTCGAAGACGACAAACTTCTTCTCGAGGCACTCGCGATCGGGACAGAGAAAATGGTCCTTTCGGAAGTGCACCTCCAAGGCATCGTAGTCGACATAATATTGCTGTTGCCGTCCCTCGTTACGACGATCGCAGATATGGCACCGCTCATGCTTGTCTCTGCAGTGGGTGTAGAGCTCATCATCGCCGTAGAACCGTATCCGGCAGAAACCGCACTCCGGATGTCCCTTAAACCCGCTTTGATCGACCGCTCCTGGATTGTCGTCTCCAAACTTTTTGTGCTTTGCCAATTCTGCCGGCGTGAATAATTCATGCTCATGCGTGAAGACTTTCTTGTTCCGTGTGCAAAGATCGCTAAAGATCCCCCATCAGTTTCCGCAGTCTTAAAACTGGGAATTCATACATACCACATCTTCTTGTGATGCACCGTCTGGACATGACGATAAAGATCGGGCCACCCCAAACAGGCCACATCACACTCGCTATCCGGACAGTTATACCTGAGCAAAAGTTCCGTATCCACCACAATATCTTGTGTTTCTACATGGATTCCCAAGCTTTCGAACGTCTTAAAGAAATCTTTTTCTGTGAACTCTTCGTAGTTCTTTGTGTGATTATCCGTGAAAATGACATAGTCCGACTCCGTCTAGACTGCAAGTCAGCGTGACTTACAAGAAAACGTGTGGAGGTCCAGCTTACTCTGCAGTGAGCGCATGTCTTGACTTTGTACAGTGCACGCAACCGTAATGCACATATATGGCAAGTGCGGTGATTGCAAGGAGTAACAGCTGTATGTTGTATCGGAGAGGCGCAAATAAAGCAAACTTCGGCATCGGTATCTTCAGCATCGAGGGGCGCGGTCGCAGGTGCGGAGCCTGATTGAGCATCTACCGGAAGTGCGTTGGTCAACTCTAAGCTCACGCAATTTCCGCCTGTCTTCGGACACGTCTCGAGGAAAAGAGAACCGCTGAAAGGACTCACCAGTAGCAGCTGGCGCTTTCCCCAAGCTCTTCTCAGACACCCTCGCTCCTCCACGATTGCCCCCATCCTCTCTGTTTCCTCTTCCCTGACCACGGTTCCCTCCTCTTCCTCGGCCGCGTGGCGTGAAGCTATGCCCATCGCCGTATGTTCGTCCTGGTCCTCCACGACCACGGCCACCACTCCTTCCACCTCTGGGACTCGCTGGGTCGGGTGGCTCTTGCGCTGCCGCATTGTCTGTGCCTGCGACGGCGGCCATGCTAGTGGTGGGGTTTGCTGAGATATTTGAAGGCGACTTGGTGGTTGTGGAGGAGAGACGTCGATGGCAGAGAGTTATCTATGCTGCGGCCGGCGGAATCAATGAGCAATTGTCAGATAATTACATGCGGTTGTAAGGCGAACGGTCTTGGTTGGAGTGGTGGGGGGAAGAGCTTCGGAATTATATGAGCCATGACGCTTTGGAAGCGAGCCTCAGCCACCGGTCAAGCCACGCACGAGCCACAGTCGTGCATCTATTTGACAGGCACCCTCCAAAAGATAGAGCGAAGAGTCATCGTTCGAAATGAGTCAGGATGATTCTCGCACGTTCAGCTGCGCAACTAATTCGGAAACCCAGGCTGCAGAGTGTTGTCATGACTCCCGGAGATGAAACCCAACTCATCAGTGACAAGAGCTCTGTCCTGAGAGAGCAATGCCAGTGCTCTCCCTGTTTCCGTACTACCAGCAATGATTCTTCCAGATTCTCATCTGTAATCACAGCTCACGTAATCCACCCTCCTCTTCATCAAACTCATCCCCATAGCACTCACGCATGATATTCGCCATCTGTTCTCTATCGCCACCCATCTGTTCCTTGAGCCAGCCCTCCATGCTGAGGATGTGATCAGTATACTTCTCAGCATCGTCTCTGAACTTCCGAGTCTCCAAGCTCTTCCTTTCCATCTCGACTGGGTCATGTTCACTGTAGGCCGCGAGCTCTTTACGCAAAACCTCAAGCTCCTTGGTCAGCTCGGCATGGCGGGTTATGAGAGTTTTACGATCGCCGCCTGGACATGTGAATTGGGGCGGAGGGGTAAAGTCACGGAGTCGTACCAGTACCAGCGGGAAACTCGCTGTCCTCCTCACGGGCAGCCCCAGCCTCATCCACCTTGGCCTGAAGGTCCGCCGCGATAGCAGATGCCTTGTTATACTCATCCTGGGCTTTCTCAAGCGCAGCCTCTCTTGCCTTCTTTTCATCGCTCGGAAAGCTCCAGTACCAGTTGCCGCTCCCAATCTTCTCGACTCTGATCTTGTTGTCGTCGGAGAGCGCCTGCAGATAGTCCTTGACCTGCAGACCATTGATGGAGGCAACGGACGGTAGAGCCTTCTCTAGGTCCTTGATGCTGTGTGCGACCGCCGTCTTATGGAACCATGCAAGTATGAGAGCCTGTTTAGCGGCGTTGGCGGTGACTTTGGGAGCCTGTAAATTAGGAGTCAGCGCAACTAGCTCGAAGTAATTTTGAACATGACAGACCATTTCGAAGACAATGTTCACCGTGAGAGAACCAAGGTGTGCAGATGCAGCGGAGTATAGGCCCCAGCCAGGGATGCCGCTGGTCCCATTATCGTTCCTTCCTTCTTCATGATGCCAAGTCCGCACCAACGCATGCCCGGATACCTAGGTATATGCCGGTACCCAAGTACGTATTGTCCACAGAGAGGGATGGCAGAAATGGCAGAGGGGAGCAACTACAATCCTTATACCGCATTCATTTATCAGGCATGCGCACCCCAGAAAGTGAGGCAAGCATGGTGCCTTTGGGACTACGAGCCTCAGTCCACTGAAGACGACCTCGAGGATCCGTCGCTCGATTCTGGCTCCTCATTCATCCATTCCTCTTCCTCATCCGCGGCATCCCACAGTTCATATTCCCTGTCACTGCGTGCCTCGCTTGGCCTCTCATTCTGCGCTCTTATCCTCTGCCGAACGATATCATCCGCTTCTGCCTCTTCTTCGCCCTCCTCCATCCCCTCCGTAAAAACAAAGTCTCCCGTTTCTCCCAGAATCTCTTTCGTCGTCTCCTCTATGAGTATACCGAGCGCAATAAGCGCCGTCTCGTCCATGCTCTTCCACACCTTCTGGTTGACACGTCTTTGGCTCCTCGCATAAAAGTTCGAGATATATGCATGCAATGCAGTCAACAGCTCGCCGCTCGGTAAACCCTGGTCTTCGGGGAGGTTCGCATGTGCAAAGTAGTGGTCGGATTCGTCGTATCTGACTGGTGCCTTGCGGGCTTTGTAGAGAATCTCATCCGGACGCAGAGGCTGCACCTTGGTTTTGGGTTTGACGGTGCTGGGGCGATTGGGATAAATGACACCGTCATCGGTTACTCTGCCTACCGAAAGGGTTAGAAAAGCCTAGCCTGGACCCAGGAACATGCCTACCCGCTATGGCATCGTATACATTTGGCCTGCGCTTAGCAGGACGCTCGGTTTGCGGTCCCTCATCGTGCAGAGAAGTCTCTGACAGCCGTCGCCTGAAGTTCCGCATGGTTCGAATCACGCGATATTCTCATCGTGGGGTCCAATAGGCTTTTGTTCGCGAGGTTATCAGTCGGTGAAGGTGAACCTCAAAGACCAAAAAGAATGGAAGTGAACCGCCCCGTTCCCAAGGTGAAAGTGAAGCGGAGAGAACGGGAGTCCGTGCCCTAGTGACTATCTCAGCGAACTGAGCCGCATCTAGATGGTCATAGCTTCCCGATCTCCCGATCTCCGCCCAGCCCAACCATCTGGACGTCATCTCATCCAAGTCAGTGGTCCATCAAACACCAACGCTCAAAGCATGTAGTCGCATATGAGCACTGCACACCTGCTCGCCCGCTCCGTCGGCATAGTTTCTCCCGACCATGTTCTCCGCAACACCACAACGCGCCTCATTTACGCGCTTCAACCCACGCCCATAACTTTCAGTTACAGGGCATCATCCAAAGACGAGCCAAACGAGACCATTCCTGCCCACATATCCGGCGTCAATGCTCTCACCATTGACAAATTCGAAGGCCGCTACCTTCTTTCCGGCGGCGCCGACTCCTCCATCGCAATCTGGGATCTCGAAAACCCCATCTCATCCGTGACATCCCAAGATGCAACACCAAACAATCGATACCTTCCCCTCTCCTCCGTGCGCAAAACCTCCGAAGAGCACAAACTCGGCATCACGCAAATCTGCTTTTACCCTTTCGACTCCCTCGCCTTCCTAACCTCCTCGTACGACCACACCGTCAAAATCTACTCGTCCGAGACGCTCCAACCCTCGGCCTCCTTCGACCTCGACTCCGTCGTCTACAACATCGCCCTCTCCCCCATCGCAGACCACCTCCTCGTCGCATGCGCCACGCAGCACCAAGCCGTCCGCCTCATTGACCTCCGCTCAGGCGCGAACACGCACTCCCTCCCGGGCCACGCAGGCGCCGTCCTCGCAACAGCATGGAGCCCCACCCGCGACCACGTCCTCGCCAGCGGCGCTACAGACGGCAGCGTCCGCTTCTGGGACATCCGGCGCAGTTCGGCCGAACTCGGCGTCCTCGACCTGGAAGACACGGTGGGGATTCTAGGACGCCACTCCTCGTCTTCTTCTTCCTTCCAGCATAGCGCTCGCCCCCAGGCAAAAGCCCACCGCGGCGCCGTGAACGGCCTCCTCTGGACCGAAGACGCACACTACCTGATCACCTGCGGGCACGACTCGCGCATCCGCGTCTGGGACACTGACACGGGCGCCAACACGCTCGTCAATTTCGGCCCCATGGTGCGCAATGCTTCGGGTTTGGCGCCTTGTATACCCGTCTTGCCGCCCGCGAGGTTCATGCCCGCTGGAGGGGAGGTCATTTTTTTCCCGAATGGGGGAGGCGAGATATTGGGGTTTGAGCTTTTTGAGGGGAGGTTGGTGAGGAGGTTGAGGAGGATGGCGGGTGGGGAGAGGGATGCGGGCGCTGCTGCTGTGGCAGGGGCTTCGTCGTCGAAGACGCCGAGGAGAAATGTTGCTGATCGGGTGACGGCGCTGGCTTGGCGCGCGCACGATGTAGAAATGTATTCTTCGCATGCGGATGGCAGCATTGCGGTGTGGAAGCCGAGGACGGAAGAAGATGCCGAGGCGGACGAGGAGGAGGAGCAAGAGAGGGCGGAGAGGGATGAGGAGGGGAGGAAGAGGAAGAGAGATGTGCTCGAGGATATCTATTTGGATTTAACGAGGAAGAAGGTTACGTTTGGGGGTGTTTGAGGGAGGTTCGGTGATGGCACGGCTTTGAAGTCATTGAATTCGTTGGATCGTTTTGAGTACATGTGTTTGCATTAAAGCTGGAGTAATGCTGCGATACCCGTTTGGCAGTGCTCATTATATCATTCCGTACATCATGGTCACCTACATCATACACTGCGCACATGTGCTGATCAATCCTCTCGTCGAGCGGGTTCAACCGCTTGCTCCCACGTTCCTGTGATGGCGGGTACCCTGACTATAGACGTGATCATGCCACCCATCCCTCGGCTACGATGAGCTGCTTCAGCGTCGGCCTTGTTAGACAGAGTCGGCAACTACGGCCAGGGCGATGGCGCTACCGTGGACAGTCATATATCAGGGTCCCCGAGGCATCTTGACCTTCGTGACCTGCGTAGTCACGGCGACTCTCCCCCGTCCCCCTACCCCCTCCCACCCTCCCGGAGCAACTCTTCCATCCCAACGCCTTCTTTGTCTGCCAGCGACGCCCTCGGCGCTAAAGCTCGACGGTGCGGCATACAGCAGGCGCAATATCAAAACCCGCACAGGACTCTTCAATCCACTGAAAGTAGTACAATCAACCATAAGCCCAAAAAGCTCCACTTCCCCACACTCTTCAACCAGGCTCGCTCCCAAAGAAAGGCAACCTCGCAGGCACGAACTCGTGCTGCTCATCAGTCCCCTTAGCCATGCCTTGGCCCTGCGTCTGAACTGGTTCGTCTCGGTGCAGCTGCACCTCCCTGATACTCAGCGGTCTGTTCGGCGTAGGCGCAAAGCTGGAGAAGTCGCTGTCGTCGACGTGGAAGGAACTGCTCTCTGGTGCCGTCTGAGGCGGCTCTTCGAAGGTTGGGAAGGGGATGGCAGGAGAAGAGATGGGAAGTGTTTCGTTCGACTCCTGATGTGATGGATGGACGGAGATGGGTTCCGGAGGCTCACTGATGATTCTGGTAGACGATGTGGGGCGGGGGATGACGACGTTGGGCATTGGGGCGGATGAGGAAGCGGGTTCCTCTGCAGTTTCAGAGGCTAGACCGCGCTGGAGAGCGAGTTGCTTTGCAGATTGCCGCTTGCGTTCGATTTCGCGTTCTTCTTCTAGACGCAGTCGCTCTTCTTCCTCCTTGAGATCGGATAGAGTGGGTGCATCTATGTCCATAGCAGACATGGCCGGAAGGTTCTCCGTGCTTCTCCGCCCGTGCGAGTCTAACCGAACCGATGAAGCCGATCGTATTGAGAGGTGAGAATCCGAGTGCCTCTTATTCTTGTCAGAAGGGCGCGACTTTCCACTGCTCGCATCATCGTTCCCCTGCCCCGTCGTACGGCGCTCCAATGCAAACGCAAACTCGTCATCCAACGGCACCGCATCATCAATCTCGTCCTCGCTCGGGAAAATATCCCCCCGCGAACTGAGCGAGTCCGTGGTATGCCCGGAAGCATTCGTATGACTCCTTTGCCTGGTTTGCCCCTTCGCCTCCCTTCCCTGCTGCTCCCCCTCCTCCTCAATCTCTTCAATCAACGGTTGCCGCTCTTCATGGTCCAAACTCCTCCTCCCCTGCCCAGGATGCTCCACCAAATCCGCCGCAGAGGGCTTATACCGCAATCCCTTACTTCCAATCCGGAACGGCAATCTCCCCAGAAACCCAAAGTACGACGAACTTGGTATAATCGTCGGATCCGGACCGCCATCATGCGGCTGCACCGCGCTCTTTCTTCTCCCCGCCACCACATTCCCGAACCTCCCATCGCGATTCCTCGTCCCGTAACTCATTGCCCTCTGCCTTCCCGGCTGCGACACCACAGACCCGTAATTACTCGACCCTCCTCCCCCTCCAATGAACCGGTCAAAGCTCTCGTTCCCCCACCCAAGCAACCCATCATTCTCATCCTCTTCCCAATCGTCGTAGAAATCGAAGCTCATTTCCGCCCGGCCTCGAGACCGCGCCCGGTTGCGGCGCCGGTCGTCCCGCGAGGCGACACAGGGTGCCATGCAAGTGTTGACGCATTGTGTGGTGGACGACAGACACGGGTTTATGTATTCCTGAGTGAAGGTCCAGAGGTGCTCTTGCGTCGATTCGTTGGCATGCTCGATGTTGTCCGCTATGTGCTGGATTGTGCGGTTCCAGCGTGGGTCCCCGCGGCGATACATGATGATGACGGCAGCTGCGTTGTGATTGGCAAGGCTCACTCTTCACTCTGGATTAGACAGCTGGGCAATCGAGCGGGAGCGGCGGCGGCGAGAGCGCGCTGCAGACTGTAAGCGCATTGAGGTCAGCAGGCGAAGGAATGTCGGTGGTGGATTGTTCAAGGGAGGGTGAAATGCGGAGAGGCTGGGAGCAAGCTGTCCAGGTGGTTCCAGGTGTCGGTTCGGATGGCTGCACGTGCGGGGCCGGCACATCCCTGCAACGATGCCGCGCTAGCGAACCTTTTTCGGACTTCAATGGTTTCACAGTGAGAGAGACCTTCAGCAAATCGCCTCTCCATTCAGTATACGGAGTACTCCATTTCATCAATCGCCATGCGCTACATCCGGTTCCTGAAAACTCCACTGGTAGTCCAAGAAAAGTGCAACCCCTCGAAATCGCACATTTATGCCCTCATCACAATAACATCCGACTTGGGAGATTCCTTTCTTCCTCACGATGTCACACTCTCGGCAGAACTGCTTAGCTGCAGCTCCTCCCATGAAGAACTAGTTGTATGGAGAACAGTCCAATGGACCGGTGGCATGCGCAGCCTTCCCATCATCCTCCCACTAAGTCGCACCAAGCCGGCATGGCCTCTTAGAGTGCGTGTGGGCATGGAAGCGAAATCCGAAAGAGACGATTTTGTGAAGCTTTATGATGCGGAGCTCAGGGGAGTTGTATCTGCTTGGAGTGCGCCTCTCGATCTAGCCAAGGGGGAAGAGGAGGCTGCCAAGTTGGTAGAAAGGCGGATCGCTGCTTGTACAGGGGAGGTCTTCCGTATCTGGGAAGAGACGGGAGAGAGCATTGCTCGGCATTTATGGTATTTAGAATCCATTTCAATAGAAAGCTCCCTTATTGAACATGTGCTGTAGGGATGCAGGAGTGACTATGTCATGCCATATCCGCGATATTCTTGAGAAGGTCAACCTTGCCAGGAAGAGCGCCCTCCGAGTGATGGAGCTAGGCACGGGCTGCGGCGTCGTAAGTCCGTCACAATGAACCCCTATGGTTACGCTGACCATATTGTAGGTCGCCATTTCAATCGCTCAATGCATGGCGAAGGCCGAAGTCATATTAACGGATCTACCCGAGGTCGAAGAGATCGTATCCAGGAATATAAGCCAAACTCTGCCCAAAGCTGGTTCTGGCTTGACGTTCTGGCAATTGGATTGGGACGGGGACCTGCCTCAAAACCTTGTTGTACACGGACAGGCGGGTACTCCGCATCCGGCGCTAGATCTCATTGTTGCAGCTGACTGTACATACAATCCTGATAGCAGGTCAGTGCTCTCTTTACCCCTGACGACAATATTTGTTCTGACTCCTCCAAGCCCTGCTTTGGTCAAGACTCTGGACTCACTCGCCAAATGCTCGCCCGCTGTAACTATCCTAATCGCAATGAAGAAACGACACTCTAGTGAGGAGGTCTTCTTCGACCTGATGCGTAAATCTGGATTCGCCCTGATGGATACTACAAGCATACCGTTGCCAGGAGACGAAGAGAGTGGCGAAGAGACAGTCTATGTGAACCACTTCCGATACGGGAAGGACGCCTGACTTAGTACTGAGAGAGCTCATCCAGAAGCCGTGGACCAACTATCCTAAGATATACGTCCGAGCACCTGGTATTCCGCCTATAGTATGAGTCGTCCAAGTCACATGGGTCCTCAGAACCTAAGAGAGACTTGCGAACAACCTATAGACCGTGCGGTATCAGTATACAAATCTTGAACGATCAAAAAATCGCATACCCGGATAAGCTAGGCCATCATTACCACAGCAATATGGAGCCAGCCATCCAGGTACGCAGCCGTTCGCAACAGATCTTCGACATTGGCGCTTAGCGGAAGTATGCCTCCATGCAATATGGGTTGGGCAAGTGTGGGAATCCGTCTACTCGGAAAAAGGCTAGGTATCATGGTGTTCAAAGCTGTACCCAGTGTTTGTGGTGAGCCTGCGAATTTTCGATTAGCCTATGTGCCTCGGAACATATCAAAAGCCGGCTTACGGGAAGAGAGGATCGGGGGGACCGGGGCTTGTAAGACGCGCAAAGATCCCGGCGTTGGCTCTTCTTCTGTAGTATCGAACGGTGCATGCGGAAGGTACAGCTTGATAGGTATATTCCGAAGGTTGATTCCTTGGGGGTTGAGAAGCTTCTGATTGATTGGATTGAAGACGGAAAAGTTATGTTCTTTGACGGACTCCCAAAGCTTGGTCGAGTCGTCTTTATTGAGCGACATGATGGTCTTTCCTGTTCCATTACGGACATAGTCGGCCTGGGAAGTCAGCACAGTAGGCTTCGAGGATGTGTCAACCCACCTCTTTCACACTGTTGATGTACAAATCATGCAGATGCTTGCCTGCAGCATCAAGCTTGACCAGATGCTCTACCGGGTATCCCGAGAAATGTATTGTTAGTTTCCAAGGGAGGTTTCCCTTATTGGCGGACTCCTCATCGTTTCCGTCCCCTTCGCCGGAGTACGCTTCACTCCCAGAATACAAGTCATACAGGAGCCCAAGCGGATAATGCCATTTCAGCGGAACATTTTCGTAGGAGAGCCAGGCTTCCCGGGGCTCGACGTCAGGATATATCAGGCTGTTAGAGAAGAAACTGTGAAGCTTTGGGATGAGCAGGCCCAGGTATAACAATCGAGGAAATTGGATCTGCACAGGTTAATACCAATAGGGGCGGTGACAGTATAAATGCCTTGCTCACCAGGTACGGTTCGCTATCGTCATATGTTCTGCAGTCGTGCTTGTCCAGCCGTATTTCCAGCGGAACCGAGCCATAGAAGACGGCCTGCCGCAGTCTGCTGGCGACATCCCGGGAGCTGGCCATGGAGGTTGGACCGGAGATGGATGGATCTGGCGAACGAGTTGGGTTTGGCGGGCGCGAATCATGGATGTGCCGAGTCGTGGTTAAGGCTGGGTGTGCAAGCTTGGGCCGGACCCTGAATCCGATGCGGGGAAGCTGCAGCCGAGTCCGTTTAAGCTTAAATAAGTGGGCCCGCCCTTTGAGAGCGAGTAAGGACTTCCATCAGCCCTCCTGTAGTCCCACAACAACAACAGCGACGGGGCATGCCGCCAGACGGTGGTACTCCCCATGCGCTTCTGATTATGAATGGGACCGTCACCCGCAAACGATCTCGACTGGCCTTGGAGCCAGACGACGATGAGCCTCGGTATACGAGCGATGCGAACCCGAGCGCGTCCCTGGCGGACCTGAAAAGGACGAGGACACAAGGAGATTTGGACGACATTGACGTTATTCCTCCCGAAAATGCTTGGACAGTGGACGTGGACAGCATCATGTCATGCCCGACGCTGAAGGCAGAATCTGCTGCCGGTGGCAAGCAAGTTCACAGCAACCTTCATCAGTATAAGAAGGGCTCCAGTATTGTAGTACTGTGCGTGCAGGGCGACCTGCCCGTGCATTACGATATTCTGTGGTGAGTGGCCCTTGTGCTGACCATGGAATCGTTACTCATGACGCTATAGTGGCTTGCTCCCAGAACTCTATGCCCTTTCGCCATCATTACAAGCACTGGTGCTTTGTCGTGATCCCGCTACGCATGTTCCTTCCGCATCGACCGCGACATTGCTACCATTTGTACGAGGCGTTGGTTCGCATCATAATCACTTCATACAACTGGGCCTTTCGCATCCCCTGGGTGGAGATCTCCCCTTGGACGCACTTGTTGTACTGGACGGTCGAGGAAGACGAAGGCTGGTGCTGCCGTTTGGTTGGGGTGGTGGTAGATATGCCATCGGTCACGGCGGCGGCGTAAGGGTAGTGCGGACCGCTTTTGTGGAGTTGCTTAAGAAATGTGTAAGTACGCTCGTACAAGAGGGTACATGAAGGGGAATATTTGTCGAATGGAAGGCAGGGATAAAGCGGCCATATACCCAACTGGAGGCATCGATCAAGGATTGACGTGACGCTTCGAGGGCCTCGTTCAAGATGCGACACAAAGGCTGTCTTGATGATTGACAAGGACGGATCATTTATTGAGGGATAGTTATTCGTGGGCTTGGATCATGATACCCGCTGGGAAGATGACACTGGAAACATTGTGTCATTGCTGCTATGGCTCGATGGCGTACGCCATGTTTGTCTCCTTCGTTGTCACCCTAGCCCAACCGTGTCTCCTTATCCTTGATAGGGATTTCGGAGCCCGTGGCCGACTTGTACTGGCCTCGGATGAAGTCGCTAATTCGTTCGTCCTTGGCTTGCTCGACCGCAGACTATGCTCGTCAGCCATGTGCTTCGTCGTACTGCAACCGTCGGGTAGACATACCTCATTGTCCTGAGGTCCCTGGCCCAGGAACTTCTCCTGGACGTAGTCGATTCCTGAAAAGCGTCAACTCTGCACGAAGATGGTGTGTCCACAGAACCCACCCTTGTCAAGCAAGTCCTCGTTCTTCTCGCTCTCCTTGCCGCCGCCAGCAGCGGCGTTCAGCTTGTCGCCAATGCCGCCCAGAAAGCCGCCGCCTTGCTGCTGCCCAGAAGACGTGGCCTGCTGGGCATTGTTGTCGTTCTTTTCAGCGCTCTTGTCACCGCCGGTGAGCTTGTTGACGAAGTCCATATTGACGAATACGTGTGTGCTGTAGGGGAATGAGTGTCGAGGAAGTGAGGGGAAGAAGGTACGAGATTTATGCTTCCACAAGAGGGCGCAGCAATGAGCTAATGGTTCTTGGAAGCGGACACTAAAGGTGATTGCTGCCGTGGTTCGATTGCATGTGTTGGTTTCAGCTCCCCGCTATGGACGCCATCTCCCTATTCGGTTACGTCATCTATTTACCAGTGGCTGCTGTGGTGCCCCGCCACGGCTCGGTCTTCGGGAAAAGAGCAATGCGCACAACAGCCCACCAGTCCAACGTCACCTTCACACTGTAAATAGACGGCACGCTTCGATCCTTACTGAGTCTATCTTCCTTCTTTTAAGTTCTTGTTGCATCTGTCTTTCATCGTAGTTATCATGATACCAATCACCATCATCACCGGCTTCTTGGGTTCCGGAAAGACCAGTGAGTGGATACTGGAGACAGTTTTTTCCGATCTGCTAACAGCTACCTAGCGTTAATCCTCAACCTGATCCCTCAGCTCCCCAAGACTTACAAGCTCGCCCTCCTGAAGAACGAATTCGGCGATGTCGCTATTGATTCGCAGCTGGCGTCTTCCAGCGCCATTTCCGGCGTCCAGGAACTCCTAAATGGGTGCATATGTTGTAACCTGGTTGGACAGCTATCCGATGCCCTCGAAACCTTAGCGAACGATGTCAAACCCGACCGCATAGTCATCGAGACCTCAGGATCCGCCTTTCCCGCTACCCTCGCCATGGAGGTCAATCGCCTTGCCAAGGAGACAGGACGATATGTACTTGATGGGGTCATGTCGGTTATTGACGTCGAAAACTGGAAGGGGTACGAAGACACTTCCGTTACAGCGAAAATGCAGGCCCGCTATACGGATTTGATTGTTCTGAACAAGTGGGAAATGGTCAGCGAGAGGAGATTAGAGGATGTGGAAGATGCCATTCTCGCCCTCGAGGTCGATCCTCCTACGCCCAGGACTAAGAGCGACAAAGGTTGGGTCGATAAAGATATCATCTTCGGGCTCGATGCGAAGCTGGCGAAACAGACGGGTACCGAGTCGGATCATCATCACGATCATGACCACCAAAGCGAAGTGGAGGTCTTATCGATCACCTTGAAGGCGCCGGGACAGGGTCAATCCCGTGGAGTCGATGTCGAGAAGCTGAGGATGTTTCTTGAGGAACCCACCAAGGATGCTGTCTATCGGATCAAGGGCGTTCTGTACGCCTCCACACCACCGAAGTCCTCCGATGCTTCTTCTTCCTCTTCGTCTTTGGAAGCCAATACCGGGCGATCTCGGTACATCCTCAACTGGGCATTTGGGCGCTGGACCTATACCCCTGTTCCTCCGTCGTCCGCAAACTCGACTCCTGCAATCTCAGAACGTGCCACTCCCATTAGCTCCGGTCGGGCAACACCACTTCCTCAGGTTGAGAAGCCCGAACTGCGATTGACTATCGTTACGGCGAAATACGAGTCCATTGTGTGGGAGAGCCGAATCAAAAACAACGATTTTATTGCTCTTGAAGGACGGGATGATGGCGTCCTCTCCGTGGAGCGAATCCTATGAACGAAGACCACCACCTAGGAGTCGCATGAGATGTGACATCGTTTCGATCGCTTGTAACATTGTATCGAGCGTGATCGACGATTACTGTCCAGCAGTTACGAACAGCGGTGGTGAGATGGAGTCAATCACGTTGGCGTATTCATATCCGAGCCTTCACAAGATCTCAATCTGCTCTCATTTCGATACGTCTCACAATAGAGACGGCCTGATCCGAGCCGTGACGGCGCCTATAAAACCCATGGGCAGTATGAGCTAGGGGGTTTAGAAGAGGCTAGTGAGGTCGGCTGGGAGAGGTACGGCGAACAGTGAGAAGGCGGTTTGCCGGAGGAACACAGGGATGTCCATCGACTCGCTCGTGCGTGAGGGTTCTTCAGTATGGAGAGATAGGTGGATGCGGATAGGCGTCTATGTGAGGGACCACCAAGTCAGGATTATATACCTCGATTATAATCTACCGATACCGAGATGCTCGCTGCTTGATATTCTTTGCTCGAGAAATCTACTATAGCGTCCTGTCAAGTAATCGAATATGTCGGCGATGGACCTCGCGGTGTGTCTTTTGAGCATGATCGGACATATACACTCTGCCTACGCGACTGGTCTGGAGCTCAACAACAGACCGTTTCGAAGACCGTTTTGCTGTAAACATATCACAGCTGCTCGATTCCACTGACCAGCTTCTCCAGCTCCTCTTCGCCTCCATCCTTTGCTTCCAACAGCCCCTTCGCCATCCGCGCCCTACCCAACAGTCAGCGCTCAATCCAGCACATCTCATAACGGAGACAGGATAAGGACAGCACTTACAAATTCCCCACCCTACAAGCCCCCATCCTCCTCTCCAACTCGACACTCTTGACCCCCGCCCTCTCAATCACCTCCTCAGGCACCCTCGCCAACCTCGCGACATTAAGCCCATAACTCCTCAGACTCGTCCCCTCGGCTACCTCGTACAGGAAGACGACCTCCCTGCCCCCCTCACCCATCTCCTCAAACCGCATATGCACATTCCTCAACTCGCCCTTGGCAAACCGATCCTTGACGCGCGCCAGGTGCTGGTAGTGCGTGATGAACAGCGTCAGACACTGGACGTCGCGCAGGACGTACTCGAGGACGGCCTCGGCGATGGCGACGCCGTCAAAGGTGCTGGTGCCGCGCCCGAGCTCGTCGAGGATGACGAGGCTGCGCGGCGTCGCCGTCTTGAGAATCGCCGCCGTCTCGCTCAGCTCGACCATGAAGGTCGATTCGCCCTTGAGCATGTTGTCGTGGGCGCCCATGCGCGTGAAGACGGCGTCGAGCATGCCCAGCCGGGCCGACGCGGCGGGCACGTACGACCCGATTTGCCCCATAATGGCGATGAGGGCCGCCGAGCGCACGTACGACGACTTGCCGCCCATGTTGGGGCCGGTGATGAGCAGGCCCCGCGTCCGCGAGTGCGACAGCTCGACGTCGTTGGGGACGTAGGCGTCGAGCAGGAGTTGCTCGACCATGGGGTGCCGGCCGCCCGTGATGGAGACTTCGATGTCGGAGGTGAATTCCGGTTTGACGTAGCCCGGTTGCGAGGCCAGGATTGCGAGGGAGAGGAGGGCGTCTAGCGTGGCGAGACTGTGGACGCAGTCGCGCAGGTCCTGGTATTGAGCGGAGATTTCGTCTAGGAGGCGGTAGTACGCTTTATCGCACGCGGCCGCGAGGTTCTCTTTATGCTGATCGCGCTCTTGCAACATCCGTTTTACTTCTGGTGTGTGGAATCGTGCAACGGCTTTGGTTGCGGAGATCTGCGCCCACGAGGCCGGCACTTTCTTCTCCTCGGGCGACTTCTTCTTCACCTCGATGAGATATTCCGCGCCCGCTACAGTCACATAATCGACCTTACTTTTGCCCAGTTTGGCGGCGGCTTCTTTGCGGTAAGCATCGAGGTCGGCCTCCACGGCGGCGATGCCGAGTTTATAGTCGTTGATGTCTTCGGCTTCGTATTGGTCTCGGAAGAAGGAATATTTGTCGTCGTTGTGGGCGGCATTAGCATTGATGCGTTCGAGGAAGTTGTTGACGCTTTCATAGATTTTGGGGATGCTGGCGATGGCTTCATTGAGGAGGGCGGATGAAAATCCTGCATCTTTGGGTTCCTTCACCATTGCATACTCGCTCGCGATGGCTTGGAGGGTTTGAAGAGCTACGAGAAGCTCGGGGCGTGTGCACTTCTTGTAGTATATCCTGATCAGAACCTTCTCAAGATCAAGCTTTATCTTCCCGAGAAGGAACTTCAGCTTGTCGACTGGGATCGTGTTCTCGCGCTCCTTGAGTTCTTCCACCGCTGCTATGCGTTCTTCTAGCTGCTCCTTGTCGATCAGAGGACGGCCGACCCATTTCCGTAGAAGACGCCTGCCAAATCTCGTCCTGGTTCGGTCCATGGTCCAGAACAAGCTACCCTTCTCACTGTAGTCTGTCTGATTCTGGTAGATCTCAAGGCTGGTAAGGGTGTTCCCGTTCAAAAGCATGTATGATCTAGCGCTAAAGGGTTGGAAGTACTTGGTCAGGTCGAACACATGCTCCAGCCCGTACTCGCTCAAGTGCGTGATCATGGCCGAGAGACATATGGTGACATGCTCGGACAGCTGATGAACCTTATCCAGTATCGCACTTTGTTTGTCATTGTCACCGCCTTGGGATGACTTCATCTTGTCAGCATAGAAGTTGGAGATGTGGCTGTACGCTTGAGACGCCATGGTCTTGGGTTTCTCCACCCTTTCAACGCGGCACTTGTCGCCGAAGACATTGGTCTTGCTGGCTGATAGATGCTGAACGAGCTTCTCGGTAGCCTTTGATAGTTCACCAACGATGAGGAATTCCGCTGGTGCGATATGCAGTAACCGTGTCTCAATATCGCTCCTCATAAAGCCGTCTTCGAAGTCATCATAGATGATGTCTCCTGTTGCAGGCTGCACGGCAACCATACCCACATGTACCTTCTCGTCAGTGCCCCAGCCTTTGGCATTAGTCTCAGTTAGACACAGCAAGTATCCAGTATTCTGCGGAGAATCGGGTCCAGGTCCGGCGCTATCCAGTCCTTCAACATCATCCACGTAAGTGCCTTTGGTGTACAGATTCGTGAGCTTCCGCACAAAAGGTGTGTTCCTATTATCTCCAGCAGCCTTCAACGCCGCTGTTTCAATCTGCCGTACAACGCCAACTTTATGGTTTGCTTGCACGAGGCGCTTTACATGGACTTGTAGGCGATGCACCGGAAAGCTTGCAGATGCGAAGCGGTCGTAATGCGCCTCGGAAGGATGCTCGTCGTATCTGAATTTGCCGGGTATGCAGACGATTCCCAGCTCCTTTGAAGCGATCCTTGCATCCTCCCCGAAGAATTTGAACTTGTATCCCACTTCCATGACGATAATGGTGTCCAGATGCTTCCTCTTGATATCCAGATATTGCTTCTCCATGGGCGTGAGCTTCGAGCCCGATTTCTTTGCAGTAACACCCTTCTTGCCCTTAGGCTTCGGCGTCTCATCCTCCTCGTCCTCCTCTTCTCCACCTTCCTCGCCTTCGCCGTCCTCGGAGATGATCTTGGTTTTCCTTCGAAGCTCAGCAAAGCTATCCGGCCTGCCCAGCTTCTTCACAAACTTCTCATGTAGCCGTTCCTTTGCCCTCTGCGTAGCCTCCGCATCCGCATCGTCCTCGTTCTCCTCGCCGGGAGGGGGCACCGGTGACGACGAGAATATGTACTTGGATGTGCGGTCGGACAACTTCTTCGGCTTCGCTATGTTGAGCGCCGCGTCTGATGCTCGTCCTAACGAGTGACGCGGTTGCGTCTCGTCGTCTGCAGAGGAATCGCCGGTCGTGCAGCGCACCCGCTTCGGCGCCGGTGCAGGGTCATCCTCGTCACCATCTTCCACTATGCGCTTCCTCCGAGAGGAATTCGGCTGCACGATGTCTTCATCGTCTGAGTCTTCGAAGTTCGCATCGGTGACCCCGTTCGTGGTAGCGGGTGCGGGTGGAGGAGACGGTTTCTTGGCGGTTTGCGACGGTTTGGGCGTGAAGAAGCTCGAAATGGACTGTTGTTTCGTTTTCTGGGATAGACTGAACTGCGACTGGCTACCTTTGGGCGCCATTGATGTGAGTGTGGAAGTGGTGGCGAAGCGGATGCTGGGTGGACGTGGGCAAGGTGGACGCGTAGATGAGATGGGACGCGAGCTTTGACATCAGATCACGAAGTCACGCGTCTCCAACTTACAGATATCAGAAAGCAACAGAACCCTGAAAAGTTTGCACTATCATTGAACCCAATAGATTCGAAATTGCAAGTCACGACCATGTTGCCCATGTACGTTACAGAAATCGAATGAAATGATAGCAGCTTCTACTCCCAAGTCAGACTTGGCCGCGGCATGGGCATCGTAAAATATAACTCCCGGTGCGGATTTGTCTGGAGCCCATGAGCCATATCCCTAAGCCTCTGTGCAAGTTGCCTGCATTCCGGATACCGGGTAGGGGCCATTCTCCAGCATTCGAAAACCAGCATCGACACCTCGTCCACCCAATACGCCACGTTACGGATGTCATCCATATCCGCCCAGCGAGTGTTGGTATTCTGGTAGAAGAGGTGGATTGCTGGGTATAAACGCTTGATCTCCCGAAGGAGGGGATGACGGGCGAACGGTCCGTGCGCATTGTTCAAGTCTCGCGCCTGCAGTCAAGTGTTATGAGTGTTCGCTCAGTGACGGGTTATAACACGCACGAGCTGAGTATCACGCTCTCTCCAAGCGTGGCACCATTCGCAGCAGGGAAGCCTGTTGTGGTGTCGTCGCTTTATATACAAAGGCGGATACTCGTCGATAAGGGGCTTGAGGTGTAGCGGATTCTTGCATGTTGGATAAGGGCAAGGATAGAGGATCATTGAAGGGTGCAGGAGATGATGCATGCAAAGAAGCAAAAGAGTTAAGATCAAAACCCTTGTCCTCTTCGACCTCTTCATATCTTGATGCTTTGCTTCTCATCAGAGCGCGAGGCTGGATGCACTGGCACACACAAACATTCTTGTGGGACAGCAACTCGGGGCGTGCGGCCAGCAAGACTCGAGCAAACTGCAATTGTAACACAGTCAGAATGGCCCAGTAGGTCAGTTGCCACACTGCATCATCCGGCAATGTGACATGATGAATTGCTGACTCCCAGGCCGCAGTGGATAGATGGAATAGGGTAACGATGAGGGCGTCCGTACACTTATGAGAGACGCATCGGTTGCTTATAATATGGATGTCTGAATCCAAAACACAGGTAGCACTGCAGCGTCAAACCACACCAAATCTACGACCACTGCAAGGGACAGCATCAACCTTAACGGTCATTAGGTAGCCACCAGATCGATCGAGCTTACCCAACCACGATTATCTCCCCCACTCCCAACCCATATGAGCATCAGCCAGGTGATCGAGATGTTATTCCAGCGCAAGATGTGCGGCTCAGGCTCCGTTCTGACGAGAGTCATAATGATCCCTTCAGGCGAAAAGGAGGTAAAGCAAGACCAAGGCCGCTCGGGAAGAGAGTCCAGCAGGAGCACTGAAGTCGGGTCGAGAGGAAGACGAAATTCTACGCGATAAACAGGGGCATCACGAGGCGGCATAAGCCACCACGAGAACTACTGCGAAGATGCCAGAGCGAGGGACCCGCTTAGAATATCTCGCGCTGGCCGGTGCGAACGGATAATCGGCCCCTCAAGGTCATCGTCGTCGGAGTACTACCCGACAGAAAGCATTCTTGCTCTATTATTGGTCCGTCACAACGGAAGTGAGGGAATACGCAGAAGGCCTTTCAGCCAGAGCGGCAGTAATGGACACTACATCCAGCAGTCGAACTTGGAATTGAGAGCATTGTCGTTCAGTGACGTTGGGAGACATCAGAGATGCCAGCTGAAGCATGCGCATGAGATGATCTCGCAATCAGACTCGCAAGATGAGGGCCGATAGTGATTGTAGTGATGATACTAGGCCATCGCACTAAGGATCCAACAATCATTCCGAGACAGACTGCATGCTGGACACGATCGGGACTGACGGCTTAGCCAGGGGCCTGAGGCAGAGCCTGCCCGCCCAACAAGTTCCCAATGTCTGCCCAGTTCCAATCGGAGATGTTATGAATGTTGAAATTCACAAAGTTCATCTGTGAACCACGATCGGTCGGTGCTCGAGGGAGTACGGCGGGACCAGCGAGCTCGGGGACTGGGCACAGGCTCGCATCTATATGGTGTTGACAAACGGAAGACCCATTCTGGGCGGCCGGTGGCGGAGAGTGGAAAGGCACTGGATGACTCAATGGCGCGTCTTGGGCTGTTTTAACGGAAGTCAATGACGGAGCGACCTCTTGTTGTGCGCCCAGGGCAGTATCCATGCATTCGACCATGGACAACAGTTCTGGTACCAAGGAAGCCCACTTATCAATAGTCCCTGGCATATGCGGATTACGCCTCTGCTCCGTAGTAAGGTTGGCTAACCGAGTGAGGAGCGCCCGGGACTGTGGAACATCCTCTCCAGTTCGTTTCCTTGTACAAACGAGGTCCAAAAGGAGCACCGACGCAGAGGCAAGAGCATACCACACATCCCACCAGGTGAAAGGATCAAATTTCCCGATTGCGTCGAGGTTTATGAGGATGTTCGCCAAAGCACGGCCGGAATCTGCGCAGCTGTTCGCCATACTGACAAGAGCCACGTTGGAAGAGTCTTTCCCTTCTTTTGATACAAGTGTGGTGCGGGTGAGGAGTGCGCAGCGGCACAGAAGAGTGATGGTGTAGTGGTACATGGCATGTAACAAGAGCAGTGGGCGTTGAAAAGCCACATGCTCAGTAGCTACAGCTCCCTCAGTGAGATGCGCCGGAAGGGAACCTTTCCACTGTTCCAACTCACGGAGAACACCCGCTGCTGGTGAAAGAGGCCCGACGTACATTTCTCCGCTTGCGTTGATCTTTGTGCTCTTCGGTGCACGGCAAGCATAGCCAAGGTGGACGACGAGGGAATTGAACCATTTGCAGTAGTCTTTCGGATAGTATTCTCCCATATCAATGATATCCTCCCTCGGGCTTTCCATCTTCGACGCTGCAGTATGCTCAATAGCGCTGGGGCGGTCAAAGGAAGACACCTGCATTTGTTCAAAGGCATATAGAGTCCACCATATCCGTTTGCGCCACTCGCGCTCAAGGGGTATCCGTGAGAGGTTGACCTTGTCCTGGTGCAAACCTATGGCCACGCCAATGCGAATGGCTGTTCCCGTAAGATTCCAGCATGCATCCCGGTGATTGGTATTGTGCAAGTGTATCGCAGCGAGCATCAGAGCCTGCACCGCAGGAACGCTGGAGGTGAAGATGACGACTGGTAGAAGGGACTGCACTCGCCGCCACCACGAGCGTTCTTGATCTTCCGAGAATGTCATTTGTGCGACACGACGAGCCAGAAGCAGTAAACAAAGGAAGCTACACATCCAGACGGGATCCACCTTATCGGGGTTGGCCAGCCATCGCTTATAGGCTTCACGGAAGGATGTTTCATGGAGAACTGGGAAGTCCGGGTTTATGAACTTGAAGTAAGCGGCCAGCAGCGCGTCCAGGGTTGGGATTGATCCTTGCACTGCAGACGAGTTGCGATCAATAAGAGCCGACGGGCCCAGCGTAGGCAATGTGTTGGCATCCTCGTCCGGTGCGATAGCCTCTCGGTCCGCAGCATTCCGGCCAAAAAGCACAAACTCACGCAGACCTCTTGCCCCAACGAGATCACGCAGTTTGAGATGGAACGAAAATGAGCTGGCAGGCCCGATGTACTGAGACTGTCCCTGCTGGTCGGGAAGCACAGCATGTGCCTCCTCCGCCTCAGCCCCACTGTTACTCCTGTGGTCGCCGTTACTGGGCTCGACGATGGCCGGGTCGGGTAGGGAGAAGCCCAGTGACGTTCCCAGACGGCGCAGGTCCTCAACGCTCGATAAGTCGGCCTCGGGAAACAGTGCCTTGACAATAGATTCCAGTAGCATGAGACGATGACCCAGACCTTCGACGGTACCATATATCCTTCTCTTGCGCGGTTGAGTGGTCAGACACTCAATATTGCGATTGATGCAATAGGTGCACGCTTCCTGACCGGGCTGCTTCTTGCATTTCTGCTTGCGAGACTTGCACTGGTCGCAGCTGGTTTCGGTGCGCTTCCGTTTCTCGGGGGGCACTCGTCGTGAGTTGGCTTTTGGCGGTGGATGCCCGTTCATGGCGTGGCCGTCCGTGGTGTGGCCGTCCATGGTGGTGCGAAGGTCGCGAGAGGGGTAGGAGCCGTGGGCGCTGGGAGGCAGAGGAGTTCGATGACAGTGTTCATGACGCGGTATGTAGCGCTTGCGTCAACGGCGATTAACTCGGAGTCGCTGGGCATTAGGAGCGGGGAAGCGCGAAAAGCGACACCTAGCTGCAGAGCGCAAGAATGAAACCGAAGGTGTTGAGGGACGAGGACAATGGCGCCATGGACCGTCCTGACAGCTTCATCGTCCAGCATGTACAGTAGAGCTTCGATGTCGTGCATGGTCGCAGATGCTGGGCTTGGGTCGAGACTCTCGACGCCCTGCAGCCAATCACATCGCGTGCGCTGTTATAAACATAAATAACACGTAGTAAGCCATGAGGTTTGCAGAGCTACATCCGAACCAGGTATACACCTATAACCTCGGGATACCTAGGGATTAAGGTTGGACGAGCCATTATCTGTCCGCATGCTCCATATGTATACTGGCCTTAAATTATTTTCCGCGCTACCAAACATTGGTGTGCCAGCCCTCACACAATCCCCCCTATGCGCGGCACCCTCACATACAGGTCTTGACCTTCAGATAATGCTCCAAACTCTCCAACAAACTCTCCCTTCCCGTCCCACTTCCCATCCATCCTCCAAAGGGCAGATACTTAGGAGTTAAGAGTCACCATCTACTCTGTGAATGAATGCTCTCCGTCAGGTGAATTCATCTCATGCGGGATTCCACATACATACACCCAAACCGCATTCCTGCCCTAATAACCTCTCACCATGAGCCAGGCAGCAATTGCCAATCAAGCATGAACATTGGATGCATGAACATTGGATGCAAGCAATCGATCGTCCTAGGTTTGATAGAGCGCCATGAAAGTATGGGCGCTGGACTCAATCCAGTCATGGCCATGGTTTAGAAGAGGCAGCTCGCTGAGGATGGATGCATCTATCCCCACAGTATCTGATAGCTGCGACTCTCCAACGGCTCCAAATACTCCCAACGTCAGCAACATCGCGAGAATGGATAAGGCCGGAAACCTCTGGCGAATGTTTCGGGGCTTGCTTCTCCGTCGAGTAGAATGGAATCTCATTCTTCTGCATGAGAATTCGTCAAATATAGGAGAACACAAGGGTTTCCGACTTCAGGAGACTCCGGGATTTAGGGTACCGTATGATAATGTGCCGCTGAGTGATTATAAGAACCACCTATCTTCAAGGCTGAATGAGCTGCCCACTGGCGTTGTATCTCGGTTTCCGTCAACCATTGCTCAGAGATGCGCCCACCGGACCACCATCGCGAGGTCCGCTTCGTGTTGCCCCGTAAGGGTGTAATACCAGCGTTGGTCAGACCGCTTCCACCATCTGTTCGGTACATACGCCTCTCTGGCATCAAGTTAGCTCGGATACACAGATATGATCAGAGGACACCCACAGCATGTAGTATTCGTCCCGATTGAAAGGAAATTCCAGGGTTACAGGCCCTTCCTTCGACAAGAAATGGTCTGTTCCAGAGGCGGCATCCTCCTCCGTCATATCCACATGCTTCCTCTTATTCCCCTTGTTTTCCCTGTGCCGCCGAATGGATCGTACGATGCTGGACAAATGTATTTCAAGGATACGGGCATACCACAATGATTCTCCTAGAGCTTTCCGAACCAATCGTGCGTGTCGAGCGATCAATTCTTCGTTCCAGTCGACTTTGCGCCCTTCGGGCAGGCTCGGGATGGGCGAGCCGTTATCAAGGTGGTTCTGCCAATGAGCGAAGTCCAGCACGAGACCTAAGTTGTTCCAAGTCAAGACACAGGTCTGTTAGATCTAGTCAGTGATATATCGAAGGAGAGGAGAAACATGAACCGACCAGACATGTACAGACAAGCTCAGGATCGGGGTAGTGGACGTGCTGGTATTGGTTGTGGTGGATACCGAGCCCGAGTCGCAGCAGGCGGAGAGGGTCGGTCAGTAGCGGTCGAACCGAGGGCTCGATCGTAGAAAGCAGAACCGGCAGTGGAAAGCACCGAGTGAGGATGTTGTAGCGGCGGCGGATGATCTCATCACCAAGAGCGTTGCCGTTCGTTTGGACGAGCTTATGGAAGCGGCGGTTCACGAAGGAAAAGTTAAAGACTTCGCTCGGACGCAGGTCCTCCAGGACCGCGAGTATCAACTCGGTGGGGAGCTGGGCGAGGTTTGCTTGCTCCCGTAGTCTCATGTCGCGAATGGCCCGCTTGCGCTGGAGGCGTTCGGTGCGTTTGGACCGCAGGGGAATGGCCGTCGTTGTATCCTCGAGCGGCTCCTCATCTTCGCTGTGATGTCGCTGCATCGGTCGCTCGGAGGGACTGTCTGGGCCAATGTCATGCAGAGGTCGTCCCAGGACTAACTGTACAAGTAATGCTTGACGATGAAAATGGAGTGTCTTACCTAATCGGGCGCTTGATTATTTATTCATGAGAATGACTTCGGAACAGCTGCATCGAGGAATGAAACCCCAGTCGTTATAGCTCTTCTCCCCTGATTGAATCTCGTCCCGTGGTCGCATCGCGTACCGAGATTCCTGTCAGACATTATTCAGATGGGAAATGCAATCGATCTGTACTCCGTATGGTTGTTTGACACCTCTCGCACAAAACTCGGGCAATTGCCACCCGCCCATGCCGCTTAGGGACCTGGAGGGGGTGACGCCATCGGCAGGGCGCGACGTTCGTAAGGAAACATTATAAATCATAGCATCCAAAACACCAGCCTGCTATCCAACTATATAAGGCGGCAAGATGCGCAATTTTCACGCTCATTCACTTCTGACCTATTGTCGCAGAATCCCAAAATGACGACCGCAAGCTTCAAGCACATTGACACCAGCTCCTATGAGGGCAAGCCGTGGACCAAGGTCGATGGCCCTGGCAAATCGTTCAAAGAGCACGAACTTATCCGCAACGTGCATAACCTGCGCGGGAGGGAAAACGAATTCACCACCGATAATGCGGGCTTCGCCGTGTACCGGTATCCAGCCAAGGAGAAGCTCTTCACAGACGATAAGGCGGTGCGGGAGGGGTACTACAAAGAGGTGGAGCAGCTACTGAGGGAGAAGCTTCCTGGAATAAAGAAGGTTGTCATCTTCGACCATACAATCCGTCGCCGGGTGAAGGACGCACCGCGCCAGCCGGTACAGCAGGTCCATGTTGACCAGACCCCCCGAGCAGCCGAAGTTCGAGTGCGACGCCATGTTCCCAAAGAAGAGGCGGAGGAGCTGCTCAAAGGGAGATATCAAATCATCAACCTGTGGAGGCCTATCGAGAACCCTGCCTCGGACCATCCGCTCGCGGTCATAGATTGGCGTTCCACCTCGCCCGACGACTTCGTGCCTGTCGACCTTCTCTACCCGCGGAGAGAAAATGAGGATGGAGATGATGACGATAGGGGCAAGGAGAAGCTTCCAGATCCGTCGTCCTATGAGTCCACGGACGGGTACGAAGCTAAAGGAGAGACGCTGGCCGTTGCTGCGAATGAGAAGCACCAGTTTTATTACGTGAAAGATATGACCCCTGAGGAAGCCATGCTCCTGAAGTGTTTCGACTCACATGGAGAGGGCATGGAGAGAGGAAAGAAGGGACTGGCATTGAGAACACCACATACGGCCTTTGAGGATCCCAACACGCCCAAAGATGCACCTGGAAGGCAAAGTATCGAGGTTCGATGCCTTGTCTTTTACGAATGATAGGCTGGAAAGCATTATCAGTGAGGCGACATTGACTGAGGGTCATCTTTGTTTGCATCACATCATAATCCCATCTGACAGCAAGGGCTTCTCCAGGCGGCACCTACGACTTTATGTACACCATATAGACAAGCGTCTCATTTAATTCATTGTCATCATTGAATCACTCCGATCATTGCTGCCTCTTATATGCCCTGTAGGATCTTGTCGATGATCCCAGACAAAGAGAGGAAGAAAATCACACGGCAGCCAAAGCTCTCCACACTGACGGGCACGCTACTCCCTCAAAGCTCCCGACGTGGATCATAAAGTGACACAGTAATCAATGCAAGATAACCGTCACAGCTTAGGCACCGCATTCAAACCACCGACGTCAGATTTCTAGTTGGGCTCTGCTCGGTTTGGATGCCTTGTGCGACATCCAGTACTGCTAGTATCCTTTATGTCTTCAACAAAGAAAAGTGTAGGATAGATTCAGCGCCACACCCAAACAGTCCGTTTTCAGACGAGGTCTGATACAAATAAAGAGCTCGAGATACCACGTCGCCCCATTCCGTTCACAGATTATCGCTCTCGACACCCCCAAAGCATTCATAGTCCTAACCATCAAGCCCATCTCCTCAATTCCCTCATTCCCTCACCAGCATCCACAATGCCCCGACGCCCCTCAACAATAACCACCTCCCGCCCCACCGCGCGAGCAATCATCTACACGGACATCGACACCTACATCACCGAACTAGAAGCCCAAAACGCGCGCCAACGCCTCGAGCTCGAATCCCTCAAGTCCCGACACTCCCTGACCTGGGGTTCCCGACTCAACACATTCTTGCCTTCATGGAAACGACTCCTGCCCTTCCTCCTCGCATCACTCATTTACTTCTTCCTCCTGGACCTATCAGGGACAGTGGTCGGGGTAAAAAGCGGCGTAATCGTTTCCACGGCTGGGGCCGTCCTCAAAGGCAACGTCAAACTCGCTGAATATAGCAAAACGACGGGGACGCACGACTTCTGGCTCGGGGTAGATGGGACGAATTCGAGATTTCACAAAGGCCTGACGAACTTTATACACCGTGACGGGAAGGGGCGTTACCCATTCACGCGATATCCATTTGGCAATCTCACGTTAGCGAATCTGGGCTTCATATTCGCGGATCCGTGGAGCGTACTTAACATCTCGCCAGATCACGTCTTGCATCCTCTCTACCGGGGCAACGTGTCCGACACAGAGTGGGAAGACGGGATCCAGGACGCTGAAGACCGCGCCGTGGAGCTGGCGAGGCCGTGGAAGGATAGCGAGGCGTGCGATGAGAGTGACGGGTGGTATGTTTTCGAGGCTTGTGCGCTGGGGGGGAAGAAGTTCCAGAGTGCGGTCGAGTGTTTGAGGGAGGAGAAGTGTCGGGTTCGGTATTCGAGGTGGTTTAAGGAGGGGGGTTTGGGGGCGAGGTATGCGGTAAGTGCTTAAGCATGACTTGCTAGGAGATTGAGGGGTTTGAACTTTGGGGACTGACTGATTGTGTCTAGGGAGAAGGGAAATTGACGCTATTGGACAGAGGGGCGAGGCTGGTTGAGGAGGTTGTCAAGCCGCTGAAGGTGAGGGGGTCGGTTGAGCAAGCGTCAGGTGTGGATGTTGAGTCAAGATGATGAGCATGGCGTTGCTGTTTCGGAGGGGTTGATAACTGTCTTTAGGCTCCTGCACGGTGGATATGTAGATTCAGACTGATCGTTTATGTCTCACTGTCTTGCAAGTTTTGAGATATCAGCTGGGAATTATAGTGCTACAAAGCCAGAGGGAGCAGAGTAGATCAGCGGCTCTCGACCCAACGACATACCTGTTTCTCGCGCCACAATCTCAAACAGAATAAAACCGCACCGTCACGCGTAGCACCAGAACCAGAAAAATTCATCACCACCAAAAACCTCACTAAATTCTAGGCTTGACTCCCTGTTTACCGCATCCACTGCCGCCATCCCTCGCACTGACGCCTTACTATACATTACTCACCTACTCCCAGTTAGGGTACTCTCCCGCTACTGTACTCAGAGCGAGCAGGAGGAGGAGTGCAGTCATCAACTCAACTCCTCAATACTCAGCTCAGTATCCAGAACTCCATTCGTTGCCAAAGCGCTCGCACGTACACGCACGCGCCTCCCATAACTTACCTCCACAAACCTCACTACCCCTTTCAACCCTTCCCACCCGTCCTTCCTGAAAACCCACCTACCTCTATCATAGCACCACCCGCACCCAAAACGCCTCATCTCCTGATTCACATCGCTCCACACGACGCACCTGCAACCACTCCTCGCATCCCACATCCCACATGGACCAATGTCTCACGCACCGTCCCCCCCTCCCTCAGACCTAGACCATAGCACGTACCGCAAGACGTCAGGAGTGCGCAAAACAAGGCGGAAGAAGGTGTTGCGTTAAGTTGTTGCTCATTACTCGCCACGCCACTGGGAGCTGAAGAGCCGCAGATTGTATATATATATAGTCCCGACATCCCTCTCACCCCCCTTTGACCCTCCCTATCCACCGAGCTAAGAAGAAACACCCTCTAGATAAACAAGCACAACCCTCCTCGCCTCCTCAACCAGTAGCACGTCCAAATCTACACAGATACACATCCAATGCGTCGCCGCTCCAGCCTCTCCATCACCATCACCACCATCACCACCACCCATACCACCACCACCCCAACACTTCCAAATCACAAACCCTGGCGCCCTCCCCTCCTCCCCACCCGTCGCTTCCGCAACAGCGTCCCGCCCACGACGGCAAAAAGCCCGATACCCCCGGTGCCAGCGATGTCGTTTTTCGAAGCGGACACGCCAATCGATGAGGGCATCTTGACGGGTGTCCTTGGGGAGTTGGGGTCTGCGCGGGGTTTTGGGGGTGACTACATCGGGGATGGGTACGTTGATGTCGATGTCTGCTGGCGGGTATATGAGGGGGTTCTTGCATTCAAGACCGAGATGAGAGACAGGAGGAGGGCTTCGTTGCCTGCGCATCTGGGGGCGTTGGCGGTGGCGTCGTCTGACAAAGGGCCATCCAACCATCACCATCGACATGAACATAATCCCCAGCCCATGTCCGCACTGCATCCCAGAGAGACGGTCACCGAGACGCACTCAGCGACATCTCGCTCTCAGCCTCAATCCACCGCCTCGCCGGCCTCGACCACGGCATCAGAACTGTCAACCGCACCGCCATCGCCATCGAAATCATCTTCCCCTCCTTCACGTCGCCATATGACCAAGACTCAAACCATCACCCGTACCGTTCCCGTCCCCCTTCTGCCCCTCCCCTCGCCTCCCCCTCTACCGGCCCTCTCCCCACGTTTCCTGTTCCCTCGCACGCCTCCGCTGCCACCTCCAACGGAGCGACCGCCGCAGGGAGTCTGGACGGCAGCGAGCAGCGACAAGAAGGGAAACAGTATTCGGGGTGCCGAGGTCAACCTGTCGCCTGTGCGAGTGTGTTTCTTCTGCTCGTCGTCGAGACGGGGATGCAATGGAGAGGCGTGGTAGAGGTCGAGAAGGTGCGAGTACTGGTCGGAGAAAGAGACGAGAGATTGGAGAGAGAAGAAGAGAGGAAAATAAGAGTAACAGGAGAGAGACGAATGGAGGAGTACGATGGAAAGGGGATGAAGGGGATGTGCGGCGTAGGCCTATCTGTGGTCTTGTTGCGTCGTCGTTGATTTGACGCAGTGGAGGAGAGAGACGCAGAGCGTATACCTGGTACCACTACATCAATGCTGGTATATGCGCTGGCGGGAATAATAACAAGTTCAGAGGAGAGAGGAGGGACCGTGGTCGTCCAAAGAGGTGATTGTGCGGTTTCTACTTTTTGCGCCTCTGGTTCTATAATCCTGTATAAACATTTGGATAGATTGCGATAGCGTTAGGAATATCAGTTTCAACTTTCAAGATAAGGGACGGTCTTGACTGAGCTGATAGCTCGATATACCGAGACGATTGCGAGGTTACCAACTGGGCTCTGGACTTGCGGGTATGGTGCATTCGAGGACGACAGAGCGGAGACAATGATGACAGGCGCCCAACCGTTATCAAAGGACAAGAGAAGAATATCAGGCGTTCGACGACGTTTAATGGCATAGGCAGCTTACTGCGTACATGGCAGCTCGGAGTAGCTGCCAAGAAGTGTTGTGGATCGCATGCGAGGTCAGTGTTTCTAGTGTGCTCCGAGTTGTAGACTAAACAGTCGAACAGGATCCTTGCTAGCCCTAGTTGTACTAGTTAGTGACTTTTATGGACTGTTCAAGTCCCCTTATCTTATACCCGTTGCCATCAATCAAAGTGTCTTCGATCGCAGGAATTCCAAATTGCAAACGGTCCAAGTGGCGACAAGAAACGAAGCTAAAGGACGTTGCCGCACGGACAAGGAATTCCAAAACGGCGAGTGTCGATGGCAAGAATAGGAGGCGCGCGACTTCGCCGGTCGAGTCCGACCATCGTGAGGCGACCAGCGTGTGATGCGTACACAGTCGATATCAGCGTAAGCGGCGTTGCCGAGGTGTGCTTACACAGGGTACTACTCGTCGAGGAGGGATAGCCGGGCGCCAGAGGATCGCCACCAACAAGCGTATCCCTTCGCGCCTCTCAACCTTCCCGTTTGGGGGTTGAATGAGCGTAATCTATCCGAGGAGGTGACTATGGTTTCAGGATGGAGTCTGTTCGTCTGTGGTTTTTTGGGGGTTGACGAAGGGCCGATAACAAGACGAAGGGATTATCTTGACGATGGAACATGATACCTCGACCTTTGATAGATATCGCATAGCCGGCGCTAAGCGTGGAGAGGTGGGTATCTTGATAGCGTGGGAATTGCTGAGGGAGATGCTCACGCGACCCAGGCAGCGGGAAGGGTGTTGGAAACTCGAAACGAGAGCTTCCACGAAGCTTGGCGCGCCATCAGCGAAGGCCCGGGTTTGGTATTCCATTTGCCAAGACGGCGCCTCATCGAGTTGGGGAAAGAGTGCGCCGAGCTTGTCGCAAGCCACACTTCCAAGGTGCTTATCCAGTGTGCCGCATGGGTTGCGCAATCAAACAAACGCGGGCGAGAGAGAGTAGTGGTAGGGAGAGATGGACGGCAGTTGGGGGGGAATGCACAGGGTTTTTCGATGAAGAGCAGCCGAGTCGAGGACCGACAACGGGCAGTACGAAGTAGTCGGTGGAGTGAGTTCGAGGGAAAAGGCAGCAGAAGAGGGACTGTGCCTCAGTAATACAGATAAGTACGCATGGGTGCGACATGACGACGCCCCATGCAATCTCGGATAGACAGCGTACAGAATGGTGTGAATATGCGTGAGATTGGCCCCTTGATAAACCGGGTGTTGGTTGCGGCCATGGATCAGGCTTATTCGCATCAGCAAGATCCCAGTGTCGTCCGAGATAAGTGCAATGCCCAAAAGGGTATGGGCGGCACGCTGGTAGGGGCCCGGGGGATCGGACATCCGACGTGTATGTTTGGTCCGTCTACGAGACGCCGGCGACCAGAAGAAGGATTGCTGATAGGGACTGGCTGGGTGGATGACTTGATGATTAGTGGTGAGCGGAATAAAACCTGGGGGGACAAGGGGGAACCTTTGCCTTCTGGAGAAAAAAAAATACTTGTAAGAGAAGTCACTGTGACGATTCCTGCCGGATGGAAGAGGCTCGTGGAAACAAGGGGGGACAAAGGCAGGGCCTAGCAAGCCGTGATTTTGCGGGGAAAAGCGCGCTATGCCAGAAGAGGCAGCTGGGGAAACGTAAGTTCACGTGACTAGCAGGGGGCAACGGCTTGGCACGGTCGTTCAAACAATGAGCTTGTTTTTGGCCAACACCATGGTCGTTGTCCCACAAATCTCGATGCTCGCCTCCTCTCCGCACCAGCACCGTGGTGCCACCAGCTAGCACACCAATCCGCCAATCTCCACCAGGGGATCGCATCCACCCCATTTCGTCCCATCGCACCCTTTCGTCATCCATGTTCATCGTCCAAAACTTCTCTCCCTTGAGCGGCCTCCAGATGGCACTGGCAGAAAAAACGCCACATGGGAATACCGAGGACGGGTTGGGGGCCGCCAACAAACTCTTGGAAAACGTATGTGACAAATCCCGTCCCGTTCAGGCAGCTCACAAGAGAAATTGGGTGCCCAGTGTCTTGTCCCTGACCGTCAGCCTCCGCAGAAGGGTTCTAGAAAGTCGGTGCCCCCTCCAGGTCCACAGGTCCCCCAGGTCCCCACCAGGGCAGGCTGACCAGGCGCTGATAACACCTGGAGCTGGGCGGCCCGATTCGACTGTCATCTCCGTGTCTACCCTTCGAATGATCTTTTGGCACCGGCAGCTCCGGAGGTCGACCAAGAGTCTCGCCACACGCCAAACGCCCGCTTGTCTCTCTCCCCGCGTTGCAGTAGTACTGTTAGTACCGCCGTACCGTAGAAGTTCACCAAGTTCCCAAGTCAGGTGCCGGGGCTATCCCTGCCAACGGGCCCTGGTCCAAGCTCATGGGAATCGGCCGCACGTTCCCTCAACACCTCGCACTGGCCGCTCCCTCGCTGACGCCGGCCAATCACGTCGCCCATGGCAATCAATCTTGCCGGTCCGCGCTCTTCATGTGCAAAATGGCAAGATTCCGAGCACATCGCTGCCCATGGTTCCCAGTGGATGGTCAATCGCCGCTCCCCCCCCTCGCCTTCCTTCCTTCCTTCCGCTGATCCCAGCGTACAATAAAAGACCCTCTCGCTCCCAGTCCCCCGGGCGGCTCCCCCCCATCCTGTCTCCCCTCTCCCCTCTCCTCTTTCCTCGTTGCAGACAGCGACAACACTCCTCCTCCCTCTCTCTCACCCTCCGCCATGGCCGAGAAGCATCAAGAGGAGGGCATCACCAAGCCCGTCAGCAGCGGTGACGGCTCCGTCGTGGCCCAATGGCGCGACCGCGAGGACTTCATGACCCGCAACGGTCTGAACCTCAGGTCCTTCCAGCGGAGACCCATCGATGACAAGTTCGTCGAGCTCGACCGCTCCATGAAGACGCGCCATCTGCACATGATTGCCATTGGCGGCTCTATCGGTGCTGGTTTCTTCGTCGGCTCCGGCGGTGCTCTGTACAAAGCCGTAAGTGAATCCAGAAACCACGCCATCGAGTCGCTCGCGATCCCCTCGCTCACCATTCTCCCAGGGTCCCGGCTCCCTCTTTCTTGATTTCCTCATCATGGGTATCATGATCTTCAACGTCGGTACGTCTTCTTCTTGCGCGACCTGCTCGCGTCACGGGACCCAGCTGACAGGCCTCCAGTCTATGCTCTCGGTGAACTCGCTGTCATGTATCCTGTCTCTGGTGGTTTCTACACGTATTCGACTCGCTTCATCGATCCTTCCTGGGGTTTTGCCATGGGCTGGAACTACGTCTTCCAATGGGCCGTCGTCTTACCCCTCGAACTGACCGTTGCCGGCTTCACGGTCCAGTATTGGGACGGAGCCCGCGACGTCAACGTGGGCGTCTTCATCACCGTCTTCTATGTCTTCATCATCCTCATCAACATCTGGGGAACGCTGGGCTACGCCGAGGAGGAATTCTGGTCCTCCATGCTCAAGCTCGGTGCCACCGTCGTCTTCATGATCATCTCCCTCGTCCTCGTCCTCGGCGGTGGTCCCAGCAAGGGCCGGTACGACGAGTATTGGGGCGCCCGGTACTGGTATGATCCCGGTGCCTTCAAGAACGGCTTCAAGGGCTTCTGCACCGTCTTCGTCACGGCCGCCTTCTCCTTCTCCGGCACCGAATTGGTCGGTCTGGCCGCGGCCGAGACTAAGAACCCGCTCAAGTCGCTTCCCGGCGCCATCAAGCAGGTCTTCTGGCGTATCACCGTCTTCTACATTGTCGGTCTCATGTTCGTTGGTATGCTCATTTCCTCCGACGATAAGAGCCTCCTGGGCGCCGGCGGCTACATCGATGTCAACGCCTCCCCCTTTGTGCTGGTTGGCAAGTACGCCGGCCTTAAAGGCTTCGACAGCTTCATGAACGTCGTCATCCTCGTCTCCGTCATCTCCATCGGTGTCTCCGGTGTCTACGGTGGCTCTCGTACCCTTACCGCGCTTGCCGAGCAGGGTTACGCGCCCAAGATCTTCACCTACATCGACCGCTCCGGCCGCCCCCTGTTCTCCGTCTCGGCCCTCCTCCTTTGCGGTGCTCTTGCCTACGTCAACTTGAGCGCCGAGGGTCCCACCGTCTTTGACTGGCTTCAGGCCTTGTCCGGCCTCGCTGCCCTCTTCACATGGGGCTCCATCTGCCTTGCCCATATCCGCTTCCGCAAGGCCTGGGCCCACCATGGCCACACTCTCGATGAGATTCCGTTCAAGGCTGTCGGCGGCATCTACGGCTCGTATCTCGGTCTCCTCATCATCTTCCTCGTCCTCGTCGCTCAGGTAAGACCAACCCAGTCACCAGCGAAGACCCTAGCTAACCGCAAGCGCAGTTCTACACGGCCATCTCTCCTATTGGCTCGAGCGTGGGTACCGCCGAAGGTTTCTTCAAGTCGTACCTCGCCCTCCCCGTCGTCATGTTCTTCTGGGTCTGCGGTCTCCTCTGGAAACGCAAGTCGTGGCTCCGTACCCCGGACATTGACGTCGATACCGGCCGCCGTGAGCTGGACTGGGACTACATCAATGCCCAGCGTGCCGAGATGGAGTCGTGGCCGCTGTGGAGGAAGTGGTTCAACAAGATCTTTTAAGAGCGTTCTAACTCTGCATTTGCATACCATAATTGCATGTCTTCCTGTCTCTGTCCATCATGTAGCGGCGCGCAGTCGATGACGGGTTCGGTTGCGGCCGATAGATGCGGGCTTTTGGTGCTTGCGAATGTGATAGAGGGAATCGTAGCATGTGTAGTGCTCAAAGTACCTAATTTAGCATCTTGTCATGATGATGGATTGGGTCTTGATCTCGTGCTTATGTTATTGTATTGTCGTGGATGTGGTCGTGGTCGTCGGTGGGATGATATTCGATTCGAGGGAGTGTGTCTGATCGTCTGTCTGCGTGCCCTCTCGACTCGACTCGACTGCGTGTGCGAACGGTTCGATGGAAGTAGCGGGCGTGGTTGCATGGTTGCGTCGTTGCGTCGTTGCATCCTTGCATGGGGGCGCTGTATCAACATCTTCACACCATTTCTCAACTACGCACGGGGGCGGGCTCTCGAGTATTTAAATATGCCATGCACGGCTATGGGGATATTTATTAGGCTACAGCTACGGCTTGGTCCCGCCGACGTCGGAATCGTCGGGGGGCTGAAGTCTGGGGTTGAGAGGTCCAGAGGCGACGCCTCTCGCCTCAGGGTTGGGTTGGGTTGAGATTTGAGTACATATATGGCCGGAGGGCGCGCGAACGACATGTCATGAACACGGAAATCAATTTTTGCGAGGGACGCGATGCGACTTATTATTTCATTATTTCATTATTTCATTATTTTATTACTTTAGGAGAAGAAAAGGACATGGACTGATTGGTACGGAGGTATCCTATAGATGCAGGTGGTGCTCGAACACGAGCTTGCATCTCAACGATGGATGCAAGCTCTCCACCACAGGTAATAATACGAGGGCAAAACTACGAAGTCCATCAGAGTCTCTCTCCCTCCGTCCATTCTTCTCCACACAAGGTCTTTACTGCGTTTGTTTTTCCATCCCACACCTCACACTTCTTACTTTCACAACTTTCTACACAAACTCAGGTTGCTTGCATAGGGTACCCAACGAATAAATCCCATTCGTCCGTCCGTCCCAAGTTTCTCATCGAGGCCCCGTAAGAATCGCGTAGAGCCTCGGGGTACTCTGTATACTCCCGTACATGACTCGAATTCAAACACTAGCAGAACTACTCCGTATTCATCCTCTACTTCCAAGCCCGAGCTTGTGGGGGGAGAGCTCCGGCTCTTGCTGCGAGTGCGGAGTCACATTGGAAAGTACGTTAAATAACACCAGTCGTACCCGATGCTAGCGCACATCGGCCGAGACATCGGGAGCGGGTGCGACATGGCACCCGCCGTGCTTGTACCGGAGTACCATAGTAGCCTTCCAGGTCCGCTTGGATTGGTGGTTGCAGCAAACTTGGTTGTAGAACCGACTTTGATTTAATTTCACTCCGTGCGCTATCTATGTACTCTGTACTCTTGTACTACATACATCCCTTTTTCCATCCATCACACCTACATAGTACCCACGGCCTAAGCTAAACGTGCGTAGGATACTTGGTCGTCTCAATATGCTCCGGATACCGCAACCCGCCCTGCCTCCTGACCTCATCCATGACCTCCATAATCAACACGCTCTCATCCAACCCCTCATACTTCCCTTCTTTCCTCCCCTCCACCACCGCCGTCGCCGCCTCATCCGCCTCCCAGAACATCCCGTGGCCCTCGCCCTCGGCATTCTTGCCCCCTCCAAACCCATTGTACCATCCACTCCCCTTCCCGGGGCCCGGCTGCGGCCACTCCTTCTCCTCGACCGTCCCATCTTTCAGAACCAGCCGCGTCCGCTCCGGCCGGTACGCCGGCCCAAACACCTGAATCTCGCCCTGCGGGCCCTGGATGCGGATGCCAGGCACATCCTTCAACCCACCGGGCATCGTCGCGACGCGCAACGACGTGGTGGCTACAGCGTGGGCCTCGCCGCCCGCCTCCTCGGAGCGCGGGAACGTGAGGATCATGGTCGTCGCCTCGTCCGCGGCCTTCGTGGGGCCATAATGCTTCAGTGCGGCGAGCACCTTGGGCGGCTGTCTCGTCTTCTCATCCTGCGTATGGTACAGCGTCTGGAAGACCCAGGTCAAGCTGTAGATGCCCAGGTCGAGCAGCGCGCCGCCCGCGAGGTCCGGGTTCACGAGCCGGTGCTTGCCGTCGCTGAAGGCGGCCTCGGGATCCGACGCGATGCTGTTGTCGACGAGGACGCGGGCCACGGGGCCGATGCGCCCGGAGGTGACGAGCTCGCGCACGTAGACGGATAAGGGGAAGTAGCGCGTCCAGACGGCCTCCATGAGGAACAGGTTCTTCTCCCTCGCTTTGTTGGCTAGTTCCCTCGCCTGCGCCGCGTTCACCGTGAAGGCCTTCTCGCACAGCACGTTCTTGCCCGCTTCCAAAGCCAGCATGGCGTTCTGGTAGTGGTGCGAGTGCGGCGTCGCAATGTACACGATGTCGATGTCCGGGTCCTTTACGAAGTCCTCGTACGAGCCGTAGGCCTTCGCGGATGCCGGGCAGCCTGTTTCCTTGAGGAATTGCTCCGCGCGCGATTGAGAGGAAGAGGATGCGGCGGCTACGACTGTGTGCTTGATGTGCGTTACGCCCCGGGTTTGCGGGTCGACGAGGAGGTCCTTGGTGAAGGTTTTGGCGATGCCGCCGGTGGCGAGGATGCCCCAGCGGACGGTTTTGGGGGACGACATGGTGAGTTGAGAGTAATTATTGGATTGTTGGGGATATCAATTGAGCGGACGAGCAGGGTGAGCTGGGAGGAAAAAGTGTATGAGGAAAGTGGTGGACGTGTTGTTCAAATAATGACATGTCGTCATCGGATGGGAAAGACGGGCCCTGGATTCCGATGTGGGTACCTAGGTAGGTAGCATCACAGCTAATTAGTAATGGTAGCACCCCACCTTCTCTTCGGCCTAGCTGTACGTAGTATCCCGCTCAAATGGTGGGGTAATTGGTAACTGGTAAGCTTTCCCCCAAGTTGAATAGGTATGTCACAACATGTGCCGGTGGTATCAGAGTTGTAGACGCCGAACTCTTAGTTCGTGTCTCTCCAAAATATTGCCTAAAGTACTTTGTCCCTAGGCAGGTGGACGTCAAAACTGTATCAGTTCAGATGTGCATGTGACCCTACCGATCCACACAAATGACCAGGAAATGGGAACCGTCTGCCCTTTGGTCCTTCAGAAGCGTAATCGTATCTCTTTTTTGATCAAGATCTGTATGCAGGCGTACATTTGATCGGAGGAGAGGTTTTTTTTCTTGTACCGCGGCAGTGACTGACATGCGGTTACCTGACGAATGCTTTACATGTGTATCTCCCAGAGTCCAAACCTCTTCGAACAGACTCACCAAGTACGAACAGAACTATACTGCATCGGCCCGATGGCCTCAGTGCAGGGATTACAGCTTCCTTCTCCCCCTTTTCCATGGTAACAAATAGCAGTCACAGCACTGGCTCATCCTCATCACCCTGGGGCATGTTTGCTGCCCAGTCGTCTTCTGAGTCCCGTCATACTCCCAAGCCCACTGGACTCTACTCGAAGTATTACTGGCGCATTCATGCTTTGCTGCCTCTATCAATATTTTCAGTGGGAGCATTACGCGGTCGAGCGCACTCCTGTTCTGCAGGATATGTAGTTTCTCTACTCAACTCTGGGCGATACCATAGGGATGATCTGGACACAAGGAGGTACTGTCCATGAGAGAGCCTTTTCACCGTCTGTTACAAAGTAGTCGAGTCATCATGTAAGTCGACACTCCAATGAACCCCCAGAACGAGATCACTCATTGGAGTTGCTTAGTAGTATACTTTGCATGGCAGATTTGCAACTACCTAGGTAAAGACCCATCCGTTGATTGTCTATATCCTCAAGCTTGCTCGAAGAAACCCACGCAACAAAATTCGGTATATCAGCTACCATCCATGCAATCTCCGCAGCAGCTGGCCCCTCTCCGCCGTTACAGCCCTCAATTGCCTCGCCAAGCTATTGTTCTCCTCGTTCAGTTTTCTAGTCTTCTCCCGCTCCTCCTTCAACACCTCGCGCATCTTTTGGACCATGGTAATGGGAACCAGCTTTACAGGGCCCGGTCGCTCCATCAGTGACTCCCCTTCCTCGTCCTGCATGTTCGTTTCCTCTCATGTCATTTCGTACATCTTGACGACGGCGTCGGAACCCATCGAAATCATCCCCGAAATAGCCTCCCTTAGCTGATCAAGGTGATGATGCACTTGCTCAGGCAATGAGCCATCCTTCGACAAGGCGCACAGCCGTTGACGCAGCGTCGCCTCGGTCTCCAACATCTCCTTGTATTCGACTAGGGGGTCAGGAGATGTAGATGCTTTGTTGAAGAAGGTTCGCATGATGCCGTAGGTGCGGAGACAGGCCTTATTGTCGGGTCGGTCGGACTTCTCGCTTGGGAGGAGGCGCTTGTCGGTGAGATCGTCCAGGAGGAGTTGGATGGTTTGGGGACTGATGTTGGTGGAGGTAGGCATGTTATTGTGGTAAGACACCACTTATTCCACCTTAGGAGTATGTATCCGGGGTCTCTGAGACTCGAGATAGTTCGTGCTGTTCAGGTTGTTGAGGCTGTTGAGGTGATGGAACGGAGGTGGAAGTGATAAGAGTGGGACGGAATTTGTATATGGTATACCCTTCGCGCATCGTCTGGACCTGCCGTTCGGAGTCAATGCGCTTCTAGAATCAGAGTCCGTGGACAAAGGGGAGATGACGGGCTGCTGAAAGATTCGCCTATGAGGTGAATGTGAAATGCGATATCCCTCTTCATTTACCTCACTTCACTTCACTCAAGGATGGATAACAGTGAAGCTCACTTTTACACACAAGGCTCAACAGTCTGCTAAGCCGAGGTGCGATTGTGGAGTGAATGGCAACTGAGACTTACAACATGCAAATGTGCTTAGAGCACGTTCACTCACAGTGCTTCATGATGAGTGCTGTTCGCATGGGTAGCTCGCGAGGAGGTGAACGCGTCACCAAAATAACGCGTCGCCAGCCTTTCACCTTTTGTTTTTAACTTCACCATTGCCAGCCCATATATGCCCTGTCTCAAATCAACAAAGTTGACGCTTCCTTTGACGGCTTCTTGTTGGCTTCTCATTTAAGTCTCTTATTGCCACGTTTTTGATCTCGTCGTGTACAGGTCCAAACTCTTCTTCACTGGCCTCAGAGCTTGAACCCCTCTGCAAACGCGCAAGGACCGAGCAGTCTCGAGATGCCACCTCACGGTCTCTGGCCCATCCCGCGCCACCATCTCTACAGCGGCACGACCCACCGCCCTACCTTCAACGCCCAGGAGTTTGCGACCGACGCCAACGAGCCGGACCGCCCAATCCTCACCGCTAATATCTCCGAGACCAACAAGCCAGAACCCAGAGTTGCCACGGGAGCTGGTGCGGCTATGAACATTGACGGCGCTATGGACACTGGAGGCAGGAACGGGAGCGAGCACGGTGTTAGCGACCGCAAGAGAAAAAAGGCGGAAAAGAGGGCAGACCGGGTGAAGAGAAAGGAAGAGAAGCTGCGCCGTATGAGCAATGCAACTTCACTGATGGACTGTGTTGTGACTGAAGGCGCTCATCAGGCGGCAGTCACTACAGCGCAGCATCCAGCAGTGGTCCATCTCGGGTCGTCGAAACCCCTCGGCAGGGCCAGGGCCATTGCCACTCCTACTATCGGCCACAAGCGCGTCAAGGAGGAGAAGGAGAAGAGTGCAAGTAAGGACACCAATGCGGAGACAAACAAGAGCGCAGATCGACACAGTTCCATCAAGATCGAGAAGAAACGCAAGCGCGTAAGCGAAGTCAATGGTAACACTCACCCTACAGCTCCAAAGACGCGCTCGAACGATCGGACAGTAAGTGATTTCTGCATCGGCCCGGACTTCGTGAAGGAGGTGCAAAGTGCAGTGGCTGGCATTGGAAATGCCTTCACGCGCTGTGTTCAGGAGCCGGAGCCGGAGGTAAAGAAGGTGAAGAAGGCGAAGGTAGAGAAAAAATTCGAGAAGCAAGAGACCCCAACATTGAGAGCAAGTGAGCAGTCAATTGGCGTTACGGCTGGGTTAGGCGTAACCCGTTCTCCATCGAAGACGCAGAAGAAGCAAAAGGGCGAAACAGGTAATGCCCGGGGCCCCGACCAACAATCCGCAGCATCTGCGCCCAGGAAAACTCCCATACCACTGCCATCGCCGCCCAGGCCGACAACGTTTGAGGAGTTCCACCAATCTCCTGCCTGGAAGAAGGCAGTCATCAACGACCTCCCAGAGACTCCTCCGTCCCTAGCTTATAGAAGCGCACTTATTAAGACACCGATTCCACTACCCAAATTACCACCCATCCGGCTTCATACTTCCGTGGAAGTACTTGGAAGCCGTCAGGAGCCGTCCGCACCCTCATCTACGCCAACATCCGCTCAGCCGCAAAGGACCTACGAGTCTACTGCAATTGCTACTAAGAGACTGAAGCAACCTTTGACGGATGGGCCGAAACCGAAGCCAAAGCCACGGGCCAAACGCGGTCGGTCCTTGTCGTCATCCTCTGCCGCATCCTCACACTCTTCTTCCGTCAGTATTGCAGACATGTTCGCCCGCGCCCCAAAAGCACATGCAAAATCGGACAGAACGACTAGCTTTTCGGGGCAGGCAATACAAACCCAGAAGCAACAATCAGGCGGAACGCACCGCGGACTCACTCTAGAGAAGTTCAACTCGCTTTACCATGAGATTCAGCAGATCATGAACTTCGAGGCGGAGCAAAAATATCTGAACCAGTACCAGGACTGGCAGGTCGAAAATTCTTATACAGAGTACGCTTTTCCCTGCCTCGGTGCCGGAAGTGGCTGCACCCCTAAAAAAGAAGGCATCCTCCGCATTAGCCGGGAGACAGACAACCTCAGCATCAAGAAAGCCGTAGCTGCCAGCGGCGGCGACACTGCCGCGTTGCAGGAAGCCGCTGAGCGCGGTATGCAAGCTGAGAAGTTCCTCAAGCATGCCATCCGCGCACGCATTCCCGTCCCTATCGGTCAATTGGAAGGCATGTGGACTCTCTACTGCCCTCAGTACAGCGCTCATCACTACGACCGCTATGGATATGGCGCTCGCACATTGACCATTTCCCCCATCGCTGGTTTCAAAGACAAGAATGTATACACTGCTCGCTTGACTATCCCCCCACGCTCAATGGCATATTCGATCCTCACTTTCTCCGTCCCGCCGCATGCTAGTTTCCGCACCACAGAGGTGAAGACGGCGCCAGAGGGGTACACGATGGATCTTGTCTTTCTTGGGAATGGGTATTTGAAGCTTAGGGTGGATCTGAATCTGCTGCTCAAGGGGAAGCCGACAGAGCATGTGGGTGGCAGGAAGGTGTGGATGGAGTTCTTGGGAGTGAATGAAGGCGCCGTGGAGTGGGACGCTGGGAAGAAGGAAGAAAGAGAGAAAGAGATGAGGGAGCTGTTTGCGAAGTTTGGGGGGTTGGAAGGTTGAGTGGGCGACACAAGTCAGGGGTTCGGGAAACGGACGGTGGAGTGTGTGGCCGAGAGGAATGAAAGAAGAAAGAGAGGAAGAGGTGGGGAAGCTGCTTGCATGGTTTGGCGGAGTGGGCAATTGTGCGAGCGATGCTTTGTTCGGATTCAGGGAAACGGACAGTGGATTATTTCCCAAATGCGCTCAAGCAGGAGAATCGAACTTAGTGCCCTGCTGGTTTTGGTCGGCGGTCAGACGCCGAGGATCTTGAACCGCCCAGCGACATTTGCCGTTAGGCCTTGGGTTGCGTAGCGGAAGCCTGGAAAGATCTTACAGGTAATTGGTAGCATCGTCTGCTATTCCAAGGATGAGAGTAAAATAGAGACTTTCCACAAGGGTTCTGGTTATGCATGGAAACGGAAACTGGTAGGCTTATTGAATCGCCTGTAATAAAAAGGCGCAGGAGCAGAGGTTATTATGCTGTTGAACGGTTACGCAAGACAACGAATGTGATCGCTATGCTCCAGTTGCCAAGAGGCGGAGAGTGAATGACCATGTCACGTGATCCCTCGACTTTGGCTTGTTCTCATATACCTCCGGCAGACTTTCCTGCTCAGAGTAACTCCAACAGTGCAGAGCTTCTTAGGGATCTCTAAGCATTCTCGCATGTTTGATTCTGATAAACATTGATGAGTCCAGGAGGGCCACCGCACGTCCTGGTGATCAACCAGAGGAATCTTTCCGCTATCGCTTTCCGTCGTCACAGTAGCCAAGCCGTGTAGGTATTCAGAGGCTGACAGAAGTTGATTAGCACGGCAAACTGAGAGTTCGGTACAAGGACACTAGTGTTCATGTGAGACCTGGCGCGTCACCTCGCCAGATGCCAACATTTTGTTTTGCAGAAGCAGGTCGGTAGTTTCCGGTAATGGATAGAGTACTTCGATCCGGCCTTCAGCTGTACTACAGTGACTTTGGTTAGCGAATCTCTCTGCCAGTCTTCATTCCCTGCGGGTTGCACCAGATCCGTACCTCAGGCTGTAAGCTCGTTCCAAATGTCATCTGCATCAATCCTTCCGTTGTTTTGCGCGAGATGCGCTGCAAATCCGGCTGCGGGCTATGCTCACCGAGCACTTTGTTGTTGCCCTAGCCTGTTCTCATCCCACGCGAGCCAGTCAATGAGGAAATTCGATTGTGTCATGGCACTTGTGGCGCCCCGAGGAGCTGACACAGATTGACCAGGTGTTACTCAATAATCAACACAAGAGCCGCACTTCCCGCTCGGTGATGGTAGGTAGCTATGCCTAGCCTGAGTTCGGCATGCCGAAGACATCTCACGTGTCGGGTGCAGGACTCAGGACGGTCAAGGATGGTGACCTTGGGACTCCAGGCTCCGACTGGCTTTTTAGAGTCCGCCGGCAAGCGGGATATCGTCTATGAGCAGGAATTCTTGTGGTACTACGTACTTACTATAGGGCTTTCGGCGTTGAACTCCAACTTTGCGCATACAGTGACTAACCCGATATCTTCCTAGGTAGTCCGTCAGTTCCACCAGGCTTTCAAAATGCACCTGAGCACAAGGTCAACCTTCGCAAATCGGACCGTCCCCTCATTCAGTCTGGCCCCTCCGACTCGCTGCGCTGGAAGAGATACCTGAGCTCCTCGGAACGCTTCGCATCAGCTCGGCGAAGCAAAAGAGCGAACCGTCTGATAAAGTGACACTAGTCATGCAGGCTAGACCCGACAGTCTGGTTTCAGGCTTGATTATGGACTGCCGGAGCAGGGCGGCACTCTCTCCAGCAGTTGGCTCATCCAGTTGAGAAGTGTGTGACGCGTATGGAGGATGGTGACCACGTCAACTGAGCAACCTGAGGCTATCTGGTGAGGTATCCGAAGGCACGGTCGATGATAATGTGCCATGACCCTGCTGCCTCTATGATGAACAACAGAGCGATGAACATGAGTTCACGGCATCATAGGGAGGGCCGAATCACGGAGCCCACGGAGGTCCATTACCTGCGGTTTCTGGCTAGTCGTCTTATCCCCCATCTTCTATCAACCGCCACAGTACAATCGAAGAACTGATGCCGTATCATCAACCGTGCACGTAGCAAAACATGAGATGGGGTTTCATTGGTCGCGGAACCCGGTGCAAGTGCCGCGGGACCGGGGAGTGTTCCCCCTCGACATTCTTCAGAGCCCGTAAAGTGGAAGTCTTTTAGTTTTCAAGAGGACAGGCGGCACCATAAGAGAGAGACTGTCTCTTAGCTTCTTCTCTGGACCCTGACTGACCTTTCTTGATTGACACGCTCCTTAAGGCTTAAGGGCGCCGTTGTGCGTCTCGCTTGTCTGCAGCGCTTTGACGGCCTCTTCTACCTCTTCCGATCGCGACTGTCCTTTGAAATGACTCTCCCCAAAAACGATTTTCAATCAGGTGGCGGGAAGTCGAGACTCCATTACCGGCCGTGGTCATTGTCGGATATTGTGCAAATTTTCAACGAACTGGTTGCACGTTACGAGAGAGACTTGTTGCTTTCTCTTCGGGAGACAAACCATACACAATGCCAAGAAAACGAGGAAGATAACATAGAGGCGAAAGCACGCCGCTTGGCCATGTGTGATCTGTCTATTTCTTATGCTCGAAGGAACATATGGCGTTCGCTGAGCGCTGTGGAGTCTCTTGGAAAGTCTGCGGAAGAGCGGCTACGGAACCCAATTCCCAACCAGACAAGGAGGGAGTCTCTCTCGGAGAAGATAACGAGCGGATACTTCCGGCTGTATTCGCCTCAGCTCTTTGACCTCCTGGGCCAACCGACGGATTTGAAATTTGGTACCCTGCGTTTCCACAAGGATGATCGCCTGTTATCAGATGCCAACGAAGATGTGTTCACGTCAGCCTATGTCGAGTTGGCTATCAACTCCTCATTCTTCGTAGGCGACTCGAACGAGATGCTTCCTTATCACTCTTTCAGTATACCAGATTGTCCGTCATTGACAAACCGGGGTATTCTCACCAGGAGACCGGAGGACGGGGGATCCTTCCCTGGATATGATTCCTGGGTGCTGTTCACATTTCTCGCCGAGGATTGCCTCAAGGTGGAGATACCCGTTGAAATGTGTGCCGATGCATATCCTGGCTATAGAGCTGCCCTTGGCGACAGAGAAAATGAAGAGATAGTGTTCTGGGGCCTCCTGATGGAGGATAACACTTGACGCTTGAAGAATCCCTTCGTGAAACTACATCGAGCGATGCATGTGCTCGGGCGTGGGTCATAGAACCCTCGATTACCGCACTGGGAAACATTTCGAGCAGGACAAAAGAACTGCGGAGGAATTTCGGTACTCTTCTATGTCCATTGCAACTCATGCGCCGCTTATATATTTTATGTTGTTCTTATCGTGGGGATGAAGATTGGATTTGGCGTTGGTTGTTTTACTGCCCCGTCGGAAGCCGAAGGAATTGGTTCGATGGCCGTGTCTCCTTCAACAGGTCTGGGACAGAAGATCAAGTTCCAGCATCCAACTATCAAGTGAGACGGATGCCCGTAGACAATTGTGTTGCCGTTCATTAACGTTCGATCCGCAGTGACGTTGTCTGCAGGCCTCGTCCGTTGGCTCGGCAAACTTAGAGCCACTTGCTTCTCATATCGTGGAACCCTGTAATTGAAGTCTCTCCACACGGATCTATCCAAGCACTATTGCTTCAATAGGGACATTTCGCGTTTCCTATCTCTCAGGCCATCTTCACGAACGCCTGGATCTTCTCTCCTGAATGCCTGACTATATGGTGAGTAATTAAACCCGCAAGCATCGCATTTCTAGGTATTCGCACGTATCGAAAGGCGATATGACCATACAGTGTCACAAGTTGCGCAAATACTGCTCATACTCAAAGATCGTAACATGCGGTGGCATCGTCGGTTCACCCCCTCGAAAAGTGCGTATATGCTCGCGCTGCGACTAATTGACGCCAGGGTGGAGAATGAGAACCCAAATGATACCAATCGCACAACAGAGGTTAACAAGATCTCAAAGCTCATAAATGCGCCTTCAGCTTCTCATCCGTTCGGAACCGCTTTGGCCATATTCCCTGCTTTCCTGGTGAAAGAATGCCCTTCGGGTCGAGTGCATCCTTGATAGTCTCGACAAAGCGGCGATATGCATGGTCATTGAAGTCATAAAGTGAAGCTACCTGGTCTACGCATCTATGTCAGTCTCCTGTCTTCGTCGTATTGATACCGAGCATAAATCAGAACAATCTCAGACATACCCATGGCGTTGATATGGCTGCGGTATTTACTATACCCGCGCTTCTTCCCTTCTTCGAACAGATTCTGGAAAATGGTCTGCACCGCGCTGCGGTGATCCGGATTGGTCTTGTCAAAGGTCATCATGTTGACAAAGATGACATGGCGCTCATGCATGAAGAAGTCGCAGAAAAGATCGAAAGATTCCGCTTCACAAATCCTTGTCGCGCCGTCAGTGGACACTGCGAATAACGTGGCGAAAACCTACGTTTTTGCAACCTTTACCCACTCCAGCACCGCTTTCCCGCTCGAGGGGACGATGGGACTGTAGTCATAATGCGAGCCGATACCTTTTCCGTTCTTGGGTAACCGGAATTTGACCATGGGTAAGCTCCACAATGAGGGTATTCCCAGAAAGAAGCCGCCATGCTGCTCCGGTACAGACGCTGCATCCAGCACTTCTCCGTCTTTCGCTGCGAAAATCTCCCCTGTTAGCTGTCCCTTCGGCGCCTTCTTCTCGACAATCTTTTTGAGCTCGTTGAAGTGTGCTCGAATGACATCCGGTGCGCCATATAGACCGAACTTCACATTCCAGTATCCCAGGCCCAACTCTTTCTGGAGCTCCTTCACTCGCCAGTCGGGAATTGGTCCAGGTTGCGACCAGAACTCCTCCCGCTTCCCGATCATGCCTAGCCACTCAATGACGTTTGAGACGTAAACTGTATTCGGAAGAAGTCCGTCCCGTCGCAAAGGACCGAAGACATCAACAATGGTCTCAACATCTTCAAGATCCGGCATAGAGAACGAGCATGACATGAATGCTTGAGGAGACGGCGTCAGCCATATGCCCAGCTTTGTTACTATACCAAGGTTGGATTGGAGGAAGAGGCCCTCGATGCTGGGGCCAAAGGTGAACTTGGAGAGGTGTGAGTTGGGCGACCCGGACACGGCGAATTGACCTGTGCGGACAACCTCTCCGTTAGCCAGCATGGCTTCGATACCGCAGATATGCTGGTGGTGGGTCGCCGTCGGAGTAAAGCCCGTCCCACGGTCTAGTGTATTCCCAACAACGGAACCCCAGCCGAGTGAAGGCACAGAGGGCATTACTTTGAGCTTGTTGCGCACGCAGTACTCGTACAGCTCCGTAAATGTGACGCCGGGTTCGACAACGGCATACGCAAACTCAGCATTGACCTCAATGATCTTGTTCATTCGGTGGAGGTCCAGAGCAACGGAGCCGCTCACACGGGGAGCTGGGCCGCCATAACCAAGATTCTTTCCTCTGGAAAAGGTCCAAACTGGGATGCTATACTCATCCGAGACTGCAAGCACCTTGCGCAGTTCCTCCACGTTCTTTGGACGCACTGCTACGCTGGGAATCTTGCGTTTTCCCTCTGCTTCATTGAGCTCATATGGGTCGATGTACTCCGTCAGTGCCTCCCCTTGTACAACCTGGTCCCAGCCAACAATGGCCATGTACTGCAGGATGGCAGCATCCAATGCATATCTTGTAACACCTGGAGGGAGTACAGGCTTCAAAGGGGCTGTTATGGAGTCCTTGAAGAGATTATAGTGAGTTGACTGATATTCGTCGTTTGTATACGCCGCCGAATGCTTAAAAGTCGGAGTTGGAGACATAACGAATTGGGTTCTGGAAGGCGTCGAGATTCGAAAGCGTGTAGTTATGGAGCATCAAAGGGATGTCATTTCCGAAACGCATCGCAGGTGCGTGAGATAGCCTGAGATATACTGCAGGGGTGCATTGACGGGGTCCTGCGGAGGTTGTCCAGAGGACCCCACAAGACCCCACATCCCATTCACGTCCATGTCGAAAGTCATGAATGCCTTTTGGCATATCTCTTGAGTATAGTCGACTCTTTCCAGATGAGACCTGGTACGTCAGCTTCAAACGAACCCTCCACAGTGTCTCCGCGAGATGGATGAAATGGACTTTCCGGCCGTGACTGGGTGCCAGAGTTGTGAACGGTCCTATCGCTAGCTTAATTCAGCACCATGACAAATCGGGGGAGCTGGAGTATTTTGGAGCTGCACCTCAATGATTCGAAGTCGCCGAGGCTTGTTACTTCTTCCTTTGTTACGTGCGCAATGCGAGGAGTAAGTGTTATTATTTATCTGTTGGAAACAGAACCTCGGAATGGGTGTGACGTTGGCAGTTAAGTTGGTAGGACGAGGCGAGTCAAAATCCTGACCAATCAGAGGCTGATTGACGGGGCAATTATTCCATTGGTTGAACTGCGCTATTTATATTCACCCTTGGCATATTCCCCTTTGGATAGGTAGGAGCATTTCCGCATCGCTGGGAGAATACTACCCTATACACATAGTTTTTTGGCCTCAGCTTCTAATCAGGTGCAGAACATAGCGGCTTGGTACGGGATCCCGTTCATTTGTTGTTTGCTGCGTCGCATCGGGTTCCTATTGAGACCGGCGCGCGGAAGGATACATGTATGAGATCACATTGCCGCCATTGGGCGTTTAATACTCTTTGTGAGAGCGTATTTTGAAAAGATTACTGCGAAAGTAATTGATTAAATGTATGCTATCTGTGGGCAAAGTGTCCAAGTCCATAGTCCAGTGCACAAGGTGATTGCGTTGACACCGCTCCTTGCTGCCTGCATGTGCCTATTAGCGACGCATGATCATGACGTCGAGACTACTGGTCGACTGGGCGACTATGGAGAGGAGGAGATGTCTTTAGAAAAGAAGCACTGTCACCGATCTTTCTAGTCTAGCACCAAATCACGTGTGGGGGTTAGTGAAAGTCCTGAAGGCTGACCGTACTGATTGCGAAAAGGTATTCTAGGCGTAGATCCAAACGCGCGCGGACCCACCCAATGCTCTTTCCTTCACCAATATACCTTGCTCTCTCACTTCAACTTCCGGCATCGAGCACCTGCAACCTAACCTTGACGAAGTTCAGAACCCGATCACAGGACAGACACAGTATGGACTTAGAGGAAGCATCATTATTACAAGAACTACACTACCTACAGCACGGAGCTCGAGTATGCCCTTCAATCGCCAGGTTCCAGCTTGTGTCTCTACTGACTGTACGGTGTCGCAGGAAGCGAATTCCTCACCGCTAGAGACTGGAAAGGCTCTCGCAGATGTAGGAGGACCTTCAGAACAATTGTCACGGGCCAACTCGCGCAGTTCTCAGGAGCAAACCGTCAAGCTACAGGTATACAAAGACACTGTATGTGTCACTCACAGGCCTTGCTTATGTTGCTCTTCATGGCTAATGCATGTGCCATCCGTAGTCCCACATCTCGGAGCAGAAGTTGAAGCCCGACATACCCCATTCTCTTGGGAAACATACACGACCGCAATCCCAAACAGCCCGGAAAGTCGACCTGGGCGACAAGACTCGCAAACGTTCACGTATGATGCCCGATACATCTGATGGCCACATTGGTTTCTCGGGGAAAGCGAAATCGACAGATGAGAATCACCCAGAAGCTCGTTCGCATACTCGCAACAAATGGACGGGACATGTCAGTGTTCCGGATCAACCGCAGGTTCGCGCCGTGATTCTCGAGCAACTTCGGCTTATTTCTGACGAACGTATTGCCTTACTGGAGAAGCTGAAGGCGCTTGAGCTAGGAGAGAAGCGTCTCTTAGCGATCCTACATGAAGAGCAAGCCAAGTTGATGGAGAACCGTCAAGAGGAGCAAAGGCGCCAACAGTCCGAAATGACATCATCCGACACGGTAAATCGCTCTTCCTCCGCGCGGAAGCGTAGTACGTCCAGAGCAAACCAAGCCGTCTTACTGAGTTCAGATGTCGCGATACCTTCGCGGTCCAGCCCACTTCGAAAAATGTTCTCCAGGAAATCGACCCGCATTCCGCTAAACGACAAAACCGAGGAGTGTACTGTGTCTGCTGAGACTGTACTACGTCATACGACAAACGGATACCACGAACAAGAAATCTCGATGTCTCGAGAGCGGTACACACCGTGTCCACCAGGTGACATCTCGAAGCTCCCACTTCCGCAGCGACAAAGATCGGTGCAAGTTCCCACCAGGTTCAATGACAAGGATGAAGGAATGCATAACGCGAGTGGAATCTGGCGCTCCAGTCGCCCTGGCACACCCCGCACCACAACTTCTAGTCGCCAACACTAGGCTCCCAGAAGATGCCGTTCCTCAGGCCCTGTATAAAGGCTTTGATGGTACATTCCATGGACGGACTACACATCGTAAGGCAATTTTTGTGGAGACAGAATGTACTTAAAGATGAGCCACCATGGTTTCATCATATATGTCTCTTATTTGCCTGTTGACAGAGATTGCTCCGCACTTTGAGCCTAACTGGATGGGCCTGACATTGCCGTCAGCCGAGTCCGGCATGGCTTATCGCTCCATTCCTGGGCTATCCCGAGACAATCCATGGGCAGTTATGGCAAGACACTGAGATATTTGCAACCAAACCGGAAATCCGGCGAATGCTGCACCAATACACCTTGGAAGAAGTCATATGTGCCCTAGAACAAATTGATAAAATATCTCTTTACTCCTATAACCTCCATTGAAGCATAGAATACGAACCTGCCTGCTGCTCGGAAAACTTGGTCCCCTGGGACAGATCTGTGCAGTTCATTACAGCGGAGAACAGTGAGAAGTCGCTGTTCAAATAGAGTGGCTCCAACTCAAGAGGTCACGTAAGCTTTAAAAGAAGCGCGGGTGGCAAGCAACACGTCGGAGGCGCTCTCTTCGGGTTGTTGTGGTAGGAATATGATCTATTCACAAATCTGTCTGCAGAGTTCCTTACCACAATCTATCCAAACGATCACCCGTGACCTGGCTATAGTACCTGGGAAATAAACACCGAAATAGACCCCCATGAATTTTACACCGTGATATATGGGAATGATACAGTCCGTCTTTTACATAACCAGGCGAGCTTGTGGGAGGGCTCGCTCAACCTCCTGGCCAGACTGTGCGCGCTGTCGGCTGCACGATTGCAAAGGCTGGACAATTGGAAAATCTATCAACCCTGCCGCGGGTTTAGCAATCACACCGACAGTCATGCTGATGCGATCCAAGGATCCATATTCACCACGCGGTCTCGCTGACTCACCTCTCAGTTGCTCATCTGCTGAAACGCTTCCCGAATCCGAGCCCGGTACCACTCACTCTGCCTGAAGTTCGTCAGGGCATCTGCAGCATCAGACAGCAGACGCCGCTGCTGTCTTTCAAACTCTACCTGCGGAAGCCGTAAAAAGTCTTCCATCGTCAAGCGGCTTCGGTCCATCCAATCCCATATGCCAGAGTAAAAGCGAGACATCGCTCGCCAATGTATTCGCGCCACAAGCCCCTGTAAACTCTGGTGGGCTGCAACGGTTCGCAGCCTGTCTTTTCGTTCACCAAAGGCGTTCCTTTGCAGAACCCGGGGGTTGCAGAGGGCCTGAAAAGCGTTTACATGGACACTTGTTTTGCGGTCCCACGCGGCTGCTGCAGGATTAAAGATATATGAAGCTCCGCCAAGGATGGAAGTGATTCTCAAAACATAGTGCGGACTGGCTCGTAGCTGGGAGCCCTCCCGGACGAGGATATATGGAGCTCCAGTCACCTGGACAAGCTGCTCTTCGAGGTGGGTTGCATTCCCATTCCGGTACACTAGATAGACACGGTCAAATGACGACTGGTGCTTGTGGACGTCGGGTTGTAGACTAATCACCTTTGAGCATTGCGTTCAGGAGGCCATGGAAGTAGCCAAGCGCCTCGCCGCTCCAATTTGCGCAGAGAATTCCCAGTGTATCCTTGGGATCACTGAACCGTTGCCTTGGAAAGTCGAAAAGGATCGTGCCGGACTCCAGCAGATTGGTTTGATCCACGTAGACGGTCATGTTTTCGGCACTCTTAACCGTATGAGTAATGTTGAGCTCAAATATCCGCTGCCTGAAGGTCGTGATGGCCTTGCTGAAAGTATCTCCAATCCGACTGATGGTCTGTTGGTAGAGGATTCTGCACTCGTTCCGATGCAGTGGCATACTCCTGTTGCCGCACGTAACAGTGCAGTAGAGAACCATTGCGCATACCCGGCAAGGAACCCTGCCGGCTGCGCCGCATGCAGGGCAAAGATCTGTGGATGGAGAACCGGGATATGCCATGACTCCTCAATCGACTTGCCGGCGAGTAGAACGATAGAGTGTTCAGCATTCTAAGGACCGCCATAACAGAATAGTTTGACTAGCGGGCGTGTCCACAAACCTCTGTGATTCTGCGCTGTGCGATATGTCGGGATTGCTCCAGGAACAGCGGAAAGTTTGTTCCGGGAAGCAATACAAAGTAAGCAAGCTGCTCCTCATGTTGCTCAAAGCCAATAAAATAATACCTGCTCGTCCGTAAAGTTGTTCAGGCGTCCCCCGGTAAAGTCTGTGGTACCCTAGGGTAAGATACGGCGATGCAGAGGGGGGCTTCTCGTCTGGTCAATTTATTGTTGGAGTACTAAAAGAAGCCGCAAGCTCGTGTGGCAGAGAGAGGGTGTAGGAGGAAGAACCTCGCGAAGGAGGTAGAGGGCAGTATTTAAGTACTGCTACGGCGGTGTAAAGTGTAAGGGTGAGTCTTCCATCCGGTGTGGGAACACCTCTCCTTCGGACCGCAGGAGAGAGGTTTCTTCAGCTAACAGCACCTCTCACTAAGTGAGAGATGGAGGCAATACTTGTTGTCCGAACTGCATTGTGTTTCCGAATGAAGTCAGGTAGTATTCAGGTAAGAAAACATGTCCAGTTAAGCTATCGGTTTACGTGAGTCCAAAGGTAGGAGGGTATCCGAAACGCAAGGAGTGTTCCGTTACACATATAATTCTACCACAAGGGCCGACGACAAGACTCAAGTATAGGCTTTCAAAGACTCTAATACCTGGCGGTTTTTTGTATCATTCTATGACGGCTTGGGCTTGGTGGAATTCCCATGCGCAGACGGAACTAGGGGTTTCCGAGAGATAGGAAGGATGGCTCTGTGTCACAGTGCTAAACGAGAGCAGTGGTGTACCCCAGACTCGAGTGTCTGGAAGAGATGATGCTAGTCCCACCATCTGCTGGAGAATGCCCAGCGCCCAGAATCCTGGGAGCGAGACACTCGCGAACTGTTCCATGGGGCGGGAACGGCCGATCCAATAAGACGCCCGGGGAAACGGTAATTCACCACGGGCCTCCCAGGCCCGGGAATTAAATCCTTCTGTTACGCTCACCTTCCACGCACGGCTGCACAATCCTTGTACGAGCAGGAATCGTGTTGGTTATGCTTCCTGACGTAGGGAGGATTCTCAGGATATCAAATCAGCGTTGGCATTTTCTCTTCGCCAGGCATTACCCTATTGTACAAGGTACCCTAGGTATCCTGTTTCACGCACTCCCGTCCAGCCTCCACATGAGAGAGGAAATTGCCGACAGGTGAAGCGAGGCTTTTGTTCCTTCCGCTTCTTGCAGTTGAGTTTGGATTTATCCCAATGTTGCGAAACCCAGAAACTCAGGAGAGCACTATTATTTACAATATCCTTCTGACAAGCGAGTAACACGGCGCCACACCGCAATAGAATTTGAGAATAGAGACGTGTGCCGCGTTCAATTGGACGCTCGCCCACTTGGCAAACATGATTGTTGCGTGTTACAGGTTGCTTTCAGTCTTTGCTTCGGTCAGATTCCGGGATGCTGATCCTTTGGTTTCAAAAACTGCATGTGCGCATCTGCCCTCAGCTGGCTCATTTGAGTCGAGCAACCTCAGGGATGAAAGCCCTTCCAATTGGAGATTTTCATAATGCGGGCTACCGTCTTGCGAACAGGATGGACACCCATGTTTCCAAGGCTACAATAAGCTCAGCAAGACGCACTCGAGGAGACCAATTCTTCGCGGTCTCTAGTGTCTAGCTGGAGAGACTAAGAGCTACAGTCGTCATGGAGGAATTCCCAAACCGTGGGCCTACGACCATTGCTGTCTGCATCATTACCACGGTTCTCAGTATCGTCTTTGGGGTCTGGAGACTCATTGTCCGATGGAGAACCAACCGCAAATTCGCTTGGAGCGACTACTGGATTATGGTGGCTCTGGTATGCGACACGATTTCGAGAGGGTTACAAGAGAATACTGACAACATTTTAGCCGCTGGCCACGGTGGGACACATGCTGGCGCTTCTTGGTGCAGTGGACGGCGAGGGCCGGCTTGACAGAGACCCGTTCCTCAACCCAGACCAAGTGGCTCTAGCGAAAAAATGGGTAAGTACAGTTCGCAAATCGACGAGGACGGGACTGACAGCATGTAGATGTTCTTTCACAGGTGCTTTAACCTGTACGCCATGCTCTTCGCCAAACTTTCCATCTGCTGCTACGTCCTGACTCTGAACTTTTCGAAAACATACCGAATTACCATATGGATCTCCATGGGCATCATCATTGTTAACCTGGGATTGCTACCAGGTGTCGGCCACTGGGCACAGTGCCATCCTTTACACATGCGCTGGGATTCGCGGGTCAAGGGCGGGAAATGCTTCGGCGGAAATCAGTTCAAGTTCGCCCTGGGGTATATACAGACTGTCACCAACGTCGTGACGGACGTGCTGTATGCTGCGGCGCCTATCCTATACCTTCGGAGGGTGCAGCTCAGCAGGTATACGCGTGTAGGCGTTCAGGGCGTGTTCCTCTGCTCACTGCTGTAAGCCTTACCTTCCGACTCATCCGTTCATTGAAATTGACTGTATTTCACAGCGGTACCGGAGTTTCAGTCGGAAAGCTCATAGAGTTCCGCAGAAGCTACGGCAATAAAGACGAGCTCTACAAGGCCTCCACATCCACGATGCTCAACGTGGCGGAAAACTCAATCGCGATCATTGTCGCTTGCCTTCCGCCACTCCGTCGTACGTTCGATGACCTTTTCAAAGCAATCCTTCCCGAGAGCTTCTTGACGAAGATGGGTGCAACCCACACTCGCTCCCGTACCCACGAACTGCCACAGTACTACAACAAGAGCCGGACGAAGCAGGTAGGGGAAGACGCAGAAGATGACGAGAGCGAGCGGGCTATTCTGCCTACAGAAGAGTACATCGAGGACGGTCGTGGCAAGATTATACGGACCACGAAGGTCGTAATCACAAATGAGGCGAATAATTTCAGTTTGAACGGCAAAGGCGTTCAATGAGCCTCCATTCCGTCGGCAATCCGAGGCCAAACAGTTCCTCAAAATACGCCGCGCTTCTTCGCTTCCTGCATTGGCATATTCCGCTGTCACAATGCCCCAATCTGTACAGTAACGTAACTATACCCGCGAGACCTCCACAACTATCTAGACCATATAAATTATTGCAAGAGAAGTACGGTCACTACCGCCCTTAAATGATAGGGGTAAGCAACCAGCTCTTCTAGCTATCCTCATTTTCGCTGTGCTTGTGTCAAGTTCAGAGTAAGGTCCAGGGCCTCGCTGGCTTCCACAATGCATGCGGATACCGTATCTCTCGCCAACCTTTCTTGGGAAAATCCATGGGCTTCCCCTCAAATGCCAAGTGTTGTTGCTTACTACACCAAGTCCATTTGGTGTCCCATGCACGTTCACGCCTTGTTTCAGCCTCGCCTTGAGCTGAGTCCAACAGCAACAAGCCTTTATTATTAACTCCCGCCATATCTATCGGGATACGAACGGCCACGGTTCCATCCGAACCAATCATGAACCGGGGAGGCCGATCTTTCACTTAGGATGATCTTAAGGTTTCTTCGCGAAGGAACACTGAAGCCTCACCCAATCAGACCTCGAAATAGCGGCTAGAGCTCGTGCACTCAAGGGACATGGATGCTTTTCGTGCAAATATGCAACCCAGATCTTCCAGATAATAGGAACACCTGTCCCGCAATTGGTCTTGGCCGCTCCATATGTTGGAAGCAAGCAACAGAATGATGGCGCATTTCTAACATGTTGTATGAAATTTGCACTGCAAGAGGTTCAAATTTATTTCCCCAAGGGGAAATAACAAGAAAGGGGAAAAGGGGCAATCATACCCAGTAGATTAGGATTGGCGCTAGGACTATCAGAGCTGATAAGCCCTCGACAATATAGAGAACATACCTTAATTCGACAACCCTCTTAACCCGACAATCCTCTATCCACCATTGCCATCGCCAACTCAAATAAAGCAGCCGGCTCTGGGAATTCAGGAATGGCGAGAAACTCCACGAGACCGTAACAGCCTTGCCATCCACTGTGATACGCGAGCACTCGACTGCATTGCCCTCAACCCTATTCACATGGATTACTTCCCTACCGGACCGCTTCCGCAAGGCCCGTATAGTGGGGAATACCAGACTATGATCTCCGTTCTAGCGGAATAGAGGCTATCCATAAGGCTTATCAACTCCCCCACTCGACATAGGTACTTCAGGGTACCGTCTCTCGCTTAGGCAAGATACACTCTCCCGCACAGTGCCATCTTCCGGTTCCGGAACCATTCCTAGAAAGAACCCATACACTCCCTGCATCGCGAGCTCTAACCCGTCTAGCTTCCAGACTGCGCAAATCAATCAACCGAAGCATCCTGCACGTTGGCGGCATAGTCGCCGATCAACAGGACCCCGCACCCCGTATATGCTAAAGCATGCATATTCTGCCAACGCACCCAGGCACTGGTTGCTTACACCATCGACACTGGTATCTCTAGCGGGTCCTCGTCTTTTAGGATTTTCCATTCGAGCATAGAAGCTGGCAAAATCGTGATACGGAGGCGCGGCCTCTGGTTTGGATGGGAGCTGATCACGCATTGGAGTGATATGGGAAGGAGCGGCCCAGGGAGCTGGAGGTCGAGTTCACCCAATTGGGAGGGGACCATCAGTATACAGTGCGGTTTGTGTAACTTCAGCCCCGCAGGTCGTGACTGATTAACGGTGTTCATGCAACTCGCTTTGTAGCGAGGGTATCTATTCGCTGGCTCCTCTCTCTCGCGTCGAATATACCTACTAGCCACTAGACTACATTTCCCGAACACATGGCTAACATCTTCGAGGTAGTCGCCACCTCTCAGACCCAGGGAAGCGGTGTCTCGAGCGAAAAGCCTTGACAGTTCGAAAGACCGCGAATCGCCACATTCTTATACTGTTCCCGTCCAGCAGCGCCTTGATTACAGCCGGTCAGACTGGGACATGCTTACTTGCAGCATACACTCACGGTGAAGAAGCTGTGTAACAATCCATTCTTCCCTACAGACAGTGCCCAATTAACCGCTTTGGGGAATATATCCAGCATATCCCACCCTTCAAGCATGACGGCCACACCGCCCGATAGACGGGCTCGCCTCTGGATTCGCCCGCCCATTACCCCAGGGTAGACGAAAAGGCGATACCTCTGCATGGGAGACACTGCACCTTGGGAGCACACGCATTGCAGCGACCATATATGTGGGGGGAGGCCCAGCTCGTAGGCCCAGGCGGCCACGGCTGCCACTCGTTCCCGCTCCCCGTCTTGTGATGGAAGGTTCATGTTACACATCGCAAGATGCATGTGTCTAACGTCGAGAAGAAGGACACTACGTATAAGATTGACAGTGTTCCTGGCGAGTCGCCCGTGGATGAGTCGCCGAGCGATCGAGCGCCCGAGAAGCTGTTTCCGAATAATCCAGAGTAGGTTTGACACCGTTTGACACCCCTAGGGTACCGCGGGTTTTCTCAATTTTGGCGGGGGACACGAACTGACATCTCAGCAAAGACCGACATCTTCCAAAGAGGTGATTCACGATGCGCCCGAGGTAGTCGAGACGTGGCTATCGCAATCGCACCGTCCTCATTCGCCTTTCTCCGAGGACGAGACGGTTGTGTCTGGATTCCAGCCACTCGAGTTCGACGAGAAAGGGGCGCCTATTGCGTCGCGGCGGGAGAGTGGATTACCACAGGAGCAGCAGCCACGAACATGCGGCTTACCTAGACGACACTTTGTCGCGGTCGTCATCCTCATTTGGGTGATTTTGATCGCGATTGGCCTAGGAGTTGGCCTCGGGGTAGGTCTGAAGAAGAAGGAGGATTCCGCGTAGGCAATCCGATTAAATTCGTCCTTAAGATGTCCTGCTGACCGTGGCAGACCCCCTAACTATTTCGTGGAACCTTACTGTGTCGACAATCCCGATTATTGCATTGGCGGAACCTTAGGATCGAACTACTACACGACCAATGGGACCTTCAATGGATCCGGCATCGCGCTCGCGACGGAATTCTGGAACCACCAGGAGCGCAAAATCATGACGGTCTACTTCCAACATTGGACGGGGGACATACGGTCGATACAGCTGACTCCCAAGGGCGAGTGGATCGGCGGAGGCAAATCCGAAGTCATCGTGACGGACGCGAAGAACGCCACTCCCATATCCATTGTCTCGTATGCACTGAACGGTACCGCGCAAGTAGGCGCCCATTGCCGCAATCATTCTACAACTTTCATGCTAACTCTCCCACCAGTGGCATCTCTTCTACATCGACAAGCACAACTTCGTCCGGCAGAAACAAAACACCAACAGCACCAACATCTGGCAAGACGGCCCGCTGAGCGCCCTCAACCTGACGGCCTACAACGCCCCCAACGTCGGCCTCCAAGCCTGCTGGTACGGAAACTACTACGGCGACTCGGACGCCTCCATCTTCCCGACCCACGACGGCAACAACAACAACACCATCCCCTTCAACGCAGACACGCACGGCATGCACCTGTGGTACCCGAGCGACGAGACCACGTTCCAGCAGTACGGCTGGTACGAGGGGCAGAACCAGTGGGTCAACCAGCACTCGTGGACGAATATGAATGCGCACGCGGGCGTGGGATGCTACTCGTGGGGCCCGGGGAGTACGACGTACGCGATGATGGTGAATAAGGACGACACGGCCGAGATTTGGTGGAAGGACACGGATTCCAATCGTACCTCGACGCCGGAGCATCCAGTCAATACGTGGGTCAATGCAACGGGGTATGCCATCAATGGCGTGCATCCGTCCACCTCGCTGGGGTACACGGAGTACTGGTACGCGCAGATGGCGGATGGCACCGTCATGGGGCATGATATCAAGTGGGAAGCGGAGAATACGACGGCAGTGCGGGAGAATTTGTTCAGGGTGGGAGGAGCTCGGGGGCCGGTCGTGGGCATCAAGGGCACGCACATGAGCGTAACGGCTGTGGCGGATTACAGTGGAGGAACGAGTTTGTACGTTTTCTATCAGACGAGGGGGGATGATTTGAGTGTTTTTACTAGAGATATAAAAGGCGGGCAGTGGACGCAGGGGGAGTTGCCGATTCCTGATGAATAGGATGAGCGGGGGAAGGGGAAAAAGGAAGGTGTTATACCCATCAGTGTAGATGTAGAGGTTCTTTGAATGAATGTTTCCTTGTTGTTTTGGCGTGATTGTTGTTAACCAAGGGAAGGCGATCAGCCTCAACATAGTGATGTGTGGTGGAGAGGAGGAACCGTCCCAAGTCTCAAGTGAAGTAAAAGCTCTGAACACAACAACAGTATACGTAGTCGACTACCTTAAGCAAGAGTCACACGCACCACCCCTTAAATATAACAATAGCGTCCCCATCCCACAACCTAAGCCATACATACTACCCATTACCACCTCCACCCACCAACCTGGTCCGTCCGATCACCCATCCTCCAACCGCCCGTTATTATCTCCGAACTCCTCCATGCATCCCTTCCAACACCAAACACCACACACATCCAGTCTCACTCTACCCCGAGACACCGACTACCCTCGTATCTCACCTCCACCTCCCATCCCCTTCCCTAGAAAGGGGCCGAATCGGTGATTTCTGCACTGCACACAAGATGCCCGGGCGGAGTTGTGTTACCCACGGGGAGGTATGTACATGGAGCGTGACGGAGGGTTGGGGAAGCGGGGATGGTACACGATCGCGGCCGTGGTCGCGGGGTGGGACTAGGAGAGTCGAGAGCCTAGAGGGCGAGGTACACAGTGGAGGAGTGATGGCAGTGGTTAGGAGGGGATGAGTCGATACCCGAGTACTGAGGGCAATAACTTCAAGGATTGGGGTTTTGAGATATTGCGGTATCTAGTTGTTATTCTTCCTGCTTGACAGTCTTTGCGGTTTCTGCGCTCATGATTCCCATCCATCCAACTTCTGTAAGACAGATAAAATCCCCACATCAATCAAGCGCCCCTCGACATCGCTGCCTGAAATCTTTCATCCACAGAATCTCCCCTTCTCCGTTCTATTAATCCGCTAGCTACACAAAGTGGAGAGCCTCATAAATCGCGACCTCAGTACCTGCTCCTCAGGTCAGAAAGTCTATGTTTCCCTGTGCAGGAGACGCGAATTGTATCATCGCAATGCCACCAAACGCCAAACATGCCATGCAAAAAAACCATGCCCAACGGAATCCGCCCGGGACAAACACAATGGTATAATACAGGGGAGGAGGGTATTCGCGAATACAGAACGAAAACATTTGAAAGATGTGCCGTCCAGGAGCTTGCAGGTGTCGCTTTCAGCGAGAACCCACGAGCTAGAGAGAGGGGCAGAGTTCCGCTCTCACGCAGCCATTGCCATCTCCACCTTCTTCCCCTTCATACTCTTCCACTGCACGAACAAGACACCCACAAGGGACAGCGCGCCCGTCGCTACCGACACGTAGAATGTCTCCGTCAACGACTCATTGTATGCCTTGATGACACCCGGGCGGTACTGCTCGGCAATCTTGTTCTTGATCTCCGTCGCACCGACTGTGAGGACAAATTCGGATGCAAGGTCGGGGACGATGGTGCGGAGGTTCTTGATGAGTTGGTTGGTGAAGACGTTTTGGGCAACCGAGATGAAGAGCGCGCCGCCTAGCGTCTGCATGAACATCATGATTGCGGTGCCGATGGGGACATCTGCGTCAGGTAGTACGGTCTGCACGACAATGAGCGCTTGTTGCATGCCCAGACCGCAGCCGGCGCCGAAGATGACCTGGTAGCCGATCCACTTGGGGGAGTTGGTGTCGACTTCGAAGGTAGAGAGGAGACCTGCACCGATGGGAATCAGGATGGCGGAAGCGAGCATGAAAGGGGTGTAGTAGCCGAGCGCCGTAACGAGGCCGCCAGCGAGAATGGAGAAGATGACGACAGCGAGGATAGCGGGGAGATTCATGATGCCGGACTTGGTGGCGGAGACACCCTTGATGGCTTGGAACCAGATGGGGAGGAAGTAGGCCATGATGAAGAACGCGGCGCCGACCATGGCGATATAGAGAGAAGATCCCCAGACATTGCGATTGAGGAAGACTCGCGGCGGGACAGTGGCCGCTTCCTGCTTCCACCACTGGACGACCAGGAAACCGATGATGAGAACGCCGAAGAGGACCAAGAGAGCGATGATGCGGCCACTCTGCCACTCATATCTGCTTCCTCCCCATTGGAGTGCGAGCAGGAGGCAGATGACGGCCGGTAGGAAGAGAACAGTGCCCTCCAGGTCGAACTTCTGAAGTTGCTGCATGAAAGTCAACTGTTCCTTGGATCCGCGCCGGCCGACTTTGAGGAACGGGATGATGAAGGCAGCGGTGACTGCGCCAAAAGGAAGATTGATATAGAAGCACCATCGCCATGTCAGGTGGTCAGTGAAAGCTCCGCCCATGCTGATATTCGTTAGCCACGGCCTAAGATGGAGATTGGGGGAGTGACGCACAGTGGGCCAGCAACCGACGCTATCCCATACATGCCTCCGATCAAGCCCATGTATGTCGGTCGCTGTCTCAAAGGAACGGTGTTTGCGATGATGAGAACCGCACCGCTGAAGATGCCGGCGCATCCAACGCCTGCAATCGCGCGTCCGACGATGAGAGTTGTGCTGTTTGGCGCAACAGCACAAATGAGCGAGCCGAGTTCGAAGGTCCCGAGAGCAGCCAGGTAGACCCACTTGATGGAGTAGTAGGTGTAGAATTTTCCGAAGATGAGCTGCAACGCACAGGTGGTCAGCAGATAAGCGGAGCCGTACCAGCCGACATCGTTGAGAGCCTTGAACTGATCGGTGATTCGGGGGATGGCGGTTGCGATGATGGTGTTGTCCTGAATCATGCGTGTTAGGTAACGTCGCGTGGTAGAGTGGAACGGGGAGAAACATACCAGAGCCATACAGAAGACGGACAAACACAGGGCGATGGTGATGGCGGCCAGCCTCCAGGACTTGGGGTACTCGAATTCTGCATCCGACTCGCTGCTCTGCTCTCCGGACTTGTCTGCGACTTCATCTTGAGCCTTGTCTGCGACGTCTTCCTGAGCCTTGTCACGGAGGGAGTTCTGATACGAAGGCATCGTACTCTCGAGCGGACCCTTGTTGTCCGTCATGGAGGGGTTACCACTTCGAGCGGCCGTCTTGTCTGAATCCACACTGGAAGGCCTGAGGTTCCCGAGCTCATGGCCTGGTTGGGTCATGGTTGTGGCCCTTGGCGATCTGTATTGAGTAAGAATGGAAGGCGAGGCTGGCGAGGCTGTCGAGGCTGTCGACAGTGGGAAGCTGCAGCGGTAGTAAGCGCAGTGGGGAGAAGTGTTCAGTCATCAAAAAATCTCGAGGCCCGAGCTGGTTATGTATGAAGTCAAGGGCGCATCCCACGGACACGGAGACGGAGACTTCTGGGGGACACCATGATGGCTGCAGCGAGGTGAGGTCCGAAAATTCTCGTCCCCATAGGCCCATGGGCAGCAGACTAGACTGGCATCGCTTTCAGCACGGTTAGTCCGGTACCCTATGACACCGACCCTCCGATGGCACAAAGCGGTGGGCAAGGGTGAAAGAGACTCTCAGGCAGGCCCCGTTTTCGTCCGGGCTCGGGAAAAGTCGTCATGAGGTATGAATCATACCCACTCGAACCAACTCAGCCATGATATGAATTACAGAGCCCTGCACGCAGCCTTTGTTAGCCGCATCTTGAATACAGCACCCATGTATCTTCAGTAGCATCGACAGATGCTTTTTCGGTATTTCGTTGCGGTGTCCGAGAATAGCAACGGATTGCTGGACACAAAGGTTGTCAACCACGGGCTGCCACGGACACGGCGCGCACAACCGCAGCCCTGCGAGTACCACAGTACTTGTGTTCCATGGAACTGTGGTATGTGACGGCAAGCATTCCGGGCCCTTCCAGACTCACCGCACACCAGGGGTTGAGGGTTGAGGGCCAGGGGGGAGACTTTCGCATGCCAACGAAGGGCGGTCTTGGCGTGAACGCTTTCGTCCGCAGAAATTGGGCGCTCCCACAGGCGCAACACGAAGAATGCGATTGTTGCCTGAAATTGTCCTGCTTTCGACAAATGGCAAAACGTCATCTTTCGTCCGCTATTTCCATTCAGCTCCGCCGCCAACAAGCATGAAACGCGGCATGCATTGCATGCGGACTTAAGTCAGCGATCCGGCTGGACAAGGACAAACAGAAGGATAAAATGGCGTCTCTGGAGACATATCGGAGGTTCGGTCGGATACTTTCCTCTCGACAGCCCTGACTGGATCGAGACCCAACAAGAAACATAAGTAGCCCATGGACGTAATATGGAGACAATACTGTGTATACTGTGTAAATAATGGAGACTTTCTCCTCACAGGAGCAATGCGGCTGTGCTGTGTTTAATTAGCTGCCCCTTTTGCTTTCCCACTTGTAGAAAACTGATCCCACAGCCGCCAGCGGGTCAGATGCCACCTCGTGTGGGCCTGCTTTGTAGGGCAACCGAAAGGAGCCGTGCGGGCGCTCCGACGACCCAAATAATTAAGCGAGTTGTCGTCTCCTCCGAGCTCTCAGCCTCACAAACCTGCGTGGCTGAAATACACAGGATGAGTCGAAAAGACGTCAGAGGTCGCGACCCATTGTTCCTGCGGTATTCCAGAATGCTGTCTCGCGTTCCGCCATGTTGCAGGCACCTCATCCGCGTGCTACCTCTCTGCCTGAGCGATTCGACTCTCTGCAGCCTCTGCCCGTAGGTGGCGGCCAACCTCCTGGTCCAGCACACCCCTATTGGTCCGTGGCTTTCCAAAGAGACACTTCCAGAGGTCATCCGTCTGCACCACTTCTCCATCTCCTTTCTTCCCCAGTAACGATTTGAGAGGCGCCGTCTCCAGCTCCATTGAGTTCGCTGCGTCGAGCATCTTCTCTTGCAAAGCCGCCGCAGGCGTGCTCGTCCCGGACCCCGGCTTGGAAGCTCCCGCCATGTGCTCCAGTCGCCGTGCTACTGAGATATCGTAGATGGCCTCTTCGACCGTATCCTTGACGAGATACATGAACACCGTCGTTTGACGCTTTTGACCAATGCGGTGAACGCGAGCAATCGCCTGCAACTCGATCGCAGGGTTGATGAGCGGTTCACATAGGAACACGTACGTCGCATTGACTAGCGTTAGACCTGAAGAGTCGGATTTCGCGTCGAGGAGGAAGCACTCAACAGCAGGATCGGATCGAAACGCGGAAATACCGTTCCTGTCACGGATACTCGTACAGCCAATCATCCATCGCTTCAGCGCGTCTCGAAGAACTTCCAGAAAGTCGCCAAACTGGGAGAAGATGATGGACTTCGCCCCTGGGTCATTATTTCGGATCCAAAGCAAATGTCTGGCTAGCGTATCGATCTTTGTCCCATAGGAACCATCCAGATCCACCATCTTTATCTCCTTCATAGTAGATTCACTCATACCGGAGTAGATCGATGTTGTGGAGCCGGATGGCGTCGACGCTGCAGATGAGCTCCCTGAGCCGTGGTTTTCCTCTTGAGCCTCAATGACAGAAGCCTTGAAGGCGATATCCGTGAAGTCACGCGTATGTAGTCGGACCTTGCACACCGGGCATGTGCGATGCGCATGCCACCAGATCTTGATGCATTCCTTACAGAACTGACGGAAACAATTAGCGCCGTTTACTGAAACGCTCCTAACTTCACTTACCTCGTGTCCACATGTCGTCAGAACCCCAATCTCGAATTCCTCTTTGCAGATGGTGCACTCGTGCACGGCGCCGGGATTGTCGTTCATGGCACGAAGGTGAGTGAGATAGTTGTGTTTCGCGCTGTAGTCCGCCAGACGCTTCTTGTGCTTTTCTGCTAGCCTTTGCTGCTCGAGGAAAGCCGCTTCATCGCGTGTGGGATCCAGTTCCTCCCTCCATGGAGCGACAGTATCAGAGATGTATTGAAGCTGGCGGTAGAATTCCAAACGTTGGTTCATCGCGCCGCGGAACAGATCTTGCTCCTTCTCCAATTCGGTGATCGCTTTGGCTTCGTCAGCGGCTATTTTCTGCATCTCATGTAGCTGCTTTTGCACAATAGCGGCTTCGAAAACAGCTCTCTCGTCGCCCGTGTCTGCTTTCCATTGCAGAGAGGTGAGAAGGGACCTTGCCGCCGACACGACCCCTTTCAACGACCCACTACCCTCCGTTGGCTTGAGCTTTCTACGAGTGTCGACAATCTGAAGGAGCAATTCCGGCGCGTGCCCTCTATCGCCTTCCTTTCGGAGCGCTTGTACCTCAGCCTGCTTTATCTCATGGTTGACAAGAGGATCATGCAGTCCTGTCACCAACGCACTTCTGTCTGCGACTAGAGTGCGGAGGGCCATGATATAGACGTAGAGCTCATCCTGCACTTTGGTGCTGTTCTCGTATTCTTCTCCAGTCGTTTCAAGCCCCTCATCCTCGTCTACAAGGGGAAGCAAAAGGATGTCGACAATCTTCCGACGCCACTTTTCAAGCTGTCTTGCCTGCGCATTGAGAAGGTCGCATATGATATCCATCATATGCAGAATCTTCTGACCCTCGATTCCACCCTGGTCCGGTATGTCGGGAATTTGCGGCAAACGATAAAACGGTTCTTTCGCCCTGATCTTCTTCATCTGCAGCTGCGCCCGAGCTTGAGTTTCCCTCAACAACTCCCTTCGGATTGCCTTTGCTTCGTCATAAGACTCGGCTTCCAGCTTTTCCAGGCGGTGAAAGTCCTCTGAGTCGGGTTTGGTCAAGTTCTCATTTGACTTGATCTGATAGTATGCGGATCCGATGAAGAACTTGCAGGCGTGTTCCAATAAGAGGAACGTCCGCAGGGATTTGCGCAAGGCGGAAACGCGACCAAGACTCCCTCCTTCAGCCTCATCGTCGCTCAAGTCAGATTCTTCGACTGTCGCCGTACCCAGCCGCCTCTTCTCCTCCGCAATCTCCTCGCGGCAGAGCTTAACCCATTTCTGAGCTTGCTCCAAGGCGATTTGATGATATTCCAGGGCGGCTACACTCCGCTTCTCGTCGTCACCCGCGTTACCCACAATAAGGCCCTGACGAAGTAGTGCCAGAACAAATTCTCGGGCCTCAGCTTTCTTCAGTGTGTCGTTCTGATCGATCATGACCTCCAAAACTTCATCGACGGTCCGGAGGGGCCCGTTCCGAGCCCCAAGCGCTCTTCGATTCCTCCGCCCAACTTGCGCATGCAGGCACGTCTGGCGCAGTCTCATCAACCACTCGCGCATCCGCTCGAGCACCTCTTTATCATCCACTTTACGGCCTTCAATCGGAACGCCTTCGGACGTGAAGCCGCACGCCTCACACATTTGACGCACCATCTCTGAGTAATTCTGCTCTTCGATGGCAGTGAATGGTACCGTGATTACAATGCGCTTCTGCGGCGGTAAACGAAGCTCTTCGCGTACTTTGTCCTTTGTATGCCGAAGCGCAATCTGACTAAAGATAGCGTAGAAGGTGGACTTATCCAACCTGTCCCAGATAGAATGGTTGCTGGCGAACGGCTCATAGCGAAGAAATGTCAAAAGCCCGCGTAGATCTGACAATTGTTGCCGAAGCGGTGTGCCACTTACAGCCCATGCATTGCACCTGGGGATGATTCGTGCAACGGTTGCAGCTTGGCTGACATCTTTTTCAACCATTTGCGCCTCATCGAGGCACACTCTCCACCACGAGATCTGAGTAAGAGGACTTCTTCGCGCTTCGTGTAGCTTCCGATGACGTAGAGTACGATCAGGAGGAGGTCGTGCGTAGTGGATCTCGCGGGAAAGGACAGTATATGTTGTTAAGACAACGTCGTACTGTATGAGGTTTTCTACTGTAGCCTCTGACAGCTTCCTCTGTGATGACAAGAATATCCCTTCGTAATGCATGAGTCTCAAATCAGGAGCATGAGCAGCTACCTCATTCTTCCATTGCTCGAGGAGAGACGGTGGGCATATGATGAGGGTGGCGCCGGATGCCTTGACGTATGCTCCGGTATATGCGTCGTATACACTTTCTTGGATGATTTTTCGTTTGTGCTGGCGTATCAGTGCAATGATTTCGACAGTCTTGCCCAGGCCCATTTCCTCTGCAAGTATGCCGCCCCTTAGAGTAGACGATGCGCCGTTTGCCGTGCTGGGATTGGAAGAAATGAGACCAATAAGGTTGTTGACATATGCCCTCCGTCCGTCAACATCCTCAACAGGGCGGAAGGTTAAGGGACCCAGCGGTGTTTCCTCGTGGATTGCACGGAGCGGTCCTCCAGTAACAGGGTACTCGACTCCTTCTCTTCGAAGCAACCAATGTACGGCCCGCTGCTGGAACGGATATAATCTGCTGTCAGGTAGACTCTCCTGTATTTGAGGGGGGATCTCCATGTCGACGGGAGGCACGTGAACGGAATCGTAGAAGCTGGCGATGGTCCAGAACAACCCATCTTCATGATCTTGTGGATCTTTCTCTGGCAAAAATCTATTCAAAAGTCTGAGTTCGGATTTCCCAATGGGTAGTACCAATCTTTGGCCGTGGTGATCTGCAAGGGCTTGATCCAGCATCCAGCGAGTTTCGGTCGTCAGAGTAAAATATGACCTACCCCATGACGGGGGTGAGAGTAGGCAACGGCTGAACGCTACTCCGGACCGGGGCCGTCGGCCACCAAGATTCACGACTGTCTTGAAGTGTGAGTCTAGCGAGTCCAAGGCGTCTTGAGTGGTGGTCGCCTCGACATCAATTCCGCGAAAGGACACCCTGAAGTGAGTAGCGGAGGGGTCCGAAGACTCCCGCTGATCAGGCTCCTCCGGGAGGGTACAGGCGAAAGAGTCAAGAGTCACTTCCAAGGGAGTTTCGGGTATCTGAGCGCCATCCGGCGGTACATGTTTCCCTACATCGCCAACGGAAGGGTGCTATCATAAAATGAGTGAGATCAATACCACATCATATATCGAAAAGCTTACCAGCTGCAGAACAAGTCTGGCCAAAACGACACTCTTAGAGTCATCAAAAGTCTGGAGTGCAGTATCATATCTGGTAGAATTCTGAAGTTTCCGCCTCTTTGGAGCTCGCTCCCCGTTGGCACTGCCAGTCCCGGAAACGCCGGAACCATGCGGAAGGAGAGCATAATATAGTTTCGAAAACGGACTCTCTGTATCACCGTGGGACGGCCCTACAAAGACGTGTTGAACCTCAGCAACTACGGTTGCCTGGCTTATCATGTCGGCAGTGGCGTGGAGAGTTGTGTAGTTGAAGATGGGTGGGAGGCGAAGGGCAACTTGTAGAAATATGCCAAGGCGCTAACGCGCTCGTAGCCTGGACCCGGTGAAGCGGACATCTGGATTACCCCATTGCGCACGTGACCTACAAACGATTCACTACCAAGACTAAGGTGTGGACGGCTTAAAATATGTTCCATTTTGAGACAAAGCTCCTTGGTTAACCAAGGCAGCGCTGAGGACTCATAGGTCCTAATCCCACTATCAGACAGATCCCCATTCCTCGAGATCATATCATACCCTCTCCATCATAAAGGGTCAGCCTACATGCTCCTGTGATAGGTCATGCAAACCGATCATGCTGGAGAAAAACGAAGTATCTCTCCACGATGCACCAGAGTCCTCTTTCTCCAACTGCAGCACCGGTAACACTCTATGTCGACCTTAGCCGCCTGTCTCGTGATGGAATTGAGATGAGGGCCAGGAGCAGGACAGAAGGGAGTCGCAAATGACGGCGCCCGAAAACGTCGAGCGCGGCGGACACTTCTGACCCCAATTCCATGGCGGCAAGACAGCCCGCAGGTCCATTTCTCGTGGAGCCCCTATATCGGGGGCATCGGCGGCTGGACGTGACGTTGCAGACGGGAGCTCGTGACTTGTAGCATGAGCTGTCGTCCTCTGCTTTCTCCTTCTTGAGCATCTCTTGACCTTCCTCCATCCGCGTTCTTAGTTGAACACGTCCCAATCGGCTCATCTTTAACTCTTCCTCTTCGCCATCACAAGCCGAATCGACGGACGCAAATCCCAAAGCCTTCAAAAGAATCCAAAATGGGTCTCCTACTCCATAAGCATCTCCCGAATAGGCGCCGCCTGCCCGATAAAGTCCTCCAGCATCTTATCCAACTTCGTCAACCCTTCCTTCCGTTTCTGCACCTCCGCGATGAGGGCCTGCTTCTGCTTCAGCTTGTGCCGGCGCTCATCTTCCAGCTTCTCGCGGGCCGCCTTCTCGTGCTGGATACGCGCTTTCATAAGGTCGTCTTCGGAGGAGTTGGCGTGGTCGGGAAACAGCTCGAGGAATTCCTCAACAGGAATGAGCGGGAGTTTGGTATACTTGTGGCTGGGCGACAGTTAGCATTGCGTTCGTTTGGTGTAGCGAAAGTTCCGACATACTCAAAGTTCTGTGCAGCAGAGATCTCGGAAGCCAACGACTGCTCCTCGTACTTGAGGTTGTGCAGCTGCAGAATCAGCGCGTCATTGACATTCCTACTCTCTGCCGTCCTTGCCTTCTCCCCGCGGACCTTCATGACGCTCTGGCGGAACAGCGTCCGTATAACGGCCAGTTGCGCGCCAATGGCCTTTTGTTTGATCTCGATCTGGTCCATGATCTGCTTTTCGCGGTCGATGGCGGCGCGGGAGGTTGGATTCTCCACTTTTGGGTTTGCGAGTTGGTATTCTACCAGGTCGTTGACTTTCTGTTTGAGCTTCTGGTTTTCCTGGTACAAGCGGAGGTTGTGCGCGGTCTGGAAGTGGCTCTCGAAGTTGGTTTGAGGTATAGCTGCGAGGGCTTGGTGGCCATTGGAGGCCGTTGCGGGGGATTCAACCGCCATATCTCCGTCCATCATGAGATAGGCGCTGCGCCTGGTGTAAGATGTGGTTGTTTGTTGTTGAAACGACATAAAGAGATTCACCAGCCGCAAGAGCTAAACCCGTCTAATGGGCTTGGCACTCACGTGAAACTAGTCACGTGGAAATAGTCACTCTCGAATACCTCCAGGGCTCCTTGGTATCAGGGTTCGTGTACCCAATGCAAGCAGGCAGGATCAATTGCACCGAAAAGTGCGACGAGAATAGCTAATAGAAAGGTGCAAAGTGCATTGTCATCTGTGTAGGTACGGTTGTCGTAGGACATTATGTTGATCAGATTGTGTGCAAGAAGCTCGATATCTTCAGAGGCGTACAATAACTACGAGTAGAATTACAAGTCTACTAATGGGTATCCAACTAACAGAGAAAAAGCTTTAACTTGTCAACAACCCCAAGGCCTACCCCAGTACCTCTCCTAGCCCATCACTCCATTCCAAAAGAATATATAAGGTGAAAGATCCATCAATGCGAGAAGTCGCTCCCCGAACAGGGCAGGTAAATGCATGGGAGGAAGGGGCATAACCCCAACTGGATCTTAATCACCATTCTGGTTGTGCGAAATCGATCCGGTTTCCGATCTGGCAGATTTATTGATGATCCACACGTCATCCAGCCTGTGTATGTTAGCTTTGCTTTTATGAGATACAAATGGATGCACGTACGGCATGATCAGGCTTGGGTTTTCAAACCGTGTCCCCCGCTCCCTTGCTTCGTCCACAGTCTGGCGGCCGACATGAACACGATGCCGCACACCCGGAGAGTACATATCCTCCTGAATAGCGCGTCCAAGGTCGGAATGCTCCTGTAACCGGAGACTGCGGAGAGCGATGAACTTCATTAGTGGCCGGTACGTCCGACTATACACGTACGCAAACCACAGAGTGCCACCCAACAGTGGAGCAATGAGGAGGGATCGCTTGAAAGCTCCTCTGGTCGCCAGTTGACCAGCCATGGTGACCTGAAAAAGCCCTATCCCAACAATGAGGCGGTCGCACATCAGCATCCAGCCTTTACCTGTTGCATGCTGGCGGTGATCCATGGCATAGAGTAGTTGGTATTTGTGAACAAAATGGCCGATCATGAAGTATGCAAGCCCCGCAAGCAGCACTTTCCAGGAGTCTTCCAAGACGCTGTAGACGACACATATGATGAAGATAAGAATAGTCTGAGGTAAGAAGAAGCCGTAGCTGAAGACTGGCGGTTGAACCAGCTCGGCGTAGTCTATATTAAAGGGTTAGCAGGTCCAAAGGCAAGATGATGCATCCACGCACCTCGTGGAGTCTTCGCGCCCATCAGATTGATCGGATACAAGGTCAGGGCTCCAATCTCCATAAGGCGTAATGGGAAGAGTCCGAACCCTTGGAGGATAATGAAGTTGGTGTAGAAGGTCAGCAGCTTCCTAAGCGACTCGGCGATTGCGATTGCCATGCTAGCAGCATTGTTGAGGTTTTCGCCAAAGCGTTGAAGCATATCCACGACGTTAGATGCGGTACCCAAGACCGTGAAAAGTATGAAAAAATTGAAAAAGGTGAAGAAAAAGTTCTTCGAGATGACGGAGAGCTCAACGTCGCCTTGAGAGATCATGCCTTGCTGATTTGCCAGCCCTGACGTGGAGTCAGCAGTGCCACCAAGTGTTGGATAGCCACCTACAGTCATAAAGGTAAGGTACTCCCACGTTGAGCAGCGTAAGTGCCAAGGTGGGCAATTGGGTATTGACAAGGGATTCCAGGACTTTGTGGGAGTCAAGAGCATCCGCCAGACCAGGAAACACTTCTTTTATAGAGCATGTGTTGAGTGCAGCGGCAATAGGAACGAGCAGGGCCGTCCAGAAAATGCTGAGGAGACCAATAAACGCTGTGATGGACCAAGCCCGAACCATTCGTCTCGAGCGCGGCATATACGTGTTCGACCAAACGACATCATTGGGCGCCGGACTACTGTTCGCGAGGAGCTGGAGAGGCGAGGGATCAAGTACGGCCTGGATAGCCATCTGGGCACTCGCGACGCTATCCATCGTCACAAAAGCCAATGGCGTTGGCTCAAAGTCTTTCTTTCTGAGTACCCTGATGCGAGAGTCCAGCTGGCGAAGTTTCTCCTCGTAGTAGTTGATCGCGTCGACGTTTTTATATCTCAACTTGAACCGTCCGTACCATATTTTCGCAGTGGGTCGCTTACGCGCATACGGAATGACACTGTCTGGCCATGCGTCTCCATTACCAAGGAGACGGCTGGTCTCCCCGTCAGCTTCATTTGGGCCCACTTCCGGTCCTGGAGGCGGCGGCTGGACTACAGGCAGGGTTTCCAGATTTCTTTCGACTCTTCTTTTGCCGAGATGAATTGTCCAGGCTTCTTCCAACTTCCTCAGAATTTTCTGCCGCTGGACGATCGCATCATCCAACTCTTTCCAATTCTTACACAGCGTCACGCTCTCAACCTTCCCAAGTTCCAGGTCCTCAATGAACGCTTTGATCTTCTCCTCAGACCTTAGTGACGGCGGGATCCCCGACAGGCGAATTGTGCGATCGGTGATTGTGGTCTGGCTGCCAAGATACTCTTGTCGAACGTCGATGACCTTCCTTGTCTCCGCAACGATCAAGTACATTAAGAGAGCAGTGAACAGATATGCGAAAACAATATACATCCAGAGATAGTCGGTGTAGTATTCGAACCCCTCGGCCACCTGCAGCCAGCTCGAACGAGCTTCAAGGTGCTCCGTCAGTCCATCGGCTCGTAGAATCGGTGAGGGTTTCTTAGGCTTGTCGTCCTCTTTATCCTTGTGGGTATCGTGCACGGGTTTGATAACGACGAGGGCGAAGAAGAGCGAAACGAGGAGGAACTTGATGGCCATCTTGAAGAAGTTGAGGTACTGCTTGAGATCAGTTACACGCAACATAATTGCAAGACAGCTACTCATACATACCACATATGCATCCAACCCAGCGGAAGCAAGCACTTGTTCCTCCGTGATCCTCCATAGTGGCAGTATCCAACGGAAGAAGCCGTCTGGTAGCTCAGGAAGGGCAGTCGATTGCGCAGTTTGCTTCTTTCTCGCCGCATAGAGCCCTTTCCATCGTGGGCGAAGAAACTAATCTGGTCAGTCGTTGAGCATCTCTATGAATTCCACGGCGGGCATACGCAGAAGCTGAGGAAGCCTCCCAAACCGAGGGTCACCGAAAGCGCAATCTGAATCCAAACATCGCGTGGTCGCGTCGTGCCATATACTTCGTCCGGGTTGACCGCTGTGCATGTATCATTCTTCATCTCCTGTCATCTCCTAAGAATAACAGTGAGTCCACTCTGTCTGTGTAACTGCAATATGAGGATACGAAGATGCATCTGCCAAGCAACGTCATTGTGTTTACACAGTACAGCCGTGATTACATAAGCAATATCTGACTTCTCCCAGTATTTCCCCCCTGACCATCAGCCATCAACTTGATTATTATTTATTTCCCGCACGCGAACGATCATTGTAGGACTATGAGTCTAGTATGAGAAGCATTTCACAAGCCAGGAGCACGTGTCTTTTATCTGTATTGTATTGATGACATCATATATAACCGCCTATCCTGAACCCGTTCGAGAGTTCTCCAGCTTTATGACCATCAGATCCTCCGCTCCCGCAGCGGTGAGTCGATCCATAGCCACGGCGATGTCTTTCCTCTCCACCATGACCTGGACGGCGACCCAGCCTTCCTCTTCCAGGGTGGTGATGGTAGGAGCGCGCCTTCCGCGAGTAATCTTCATCGCAGTCTCGAGCCTGGTCCTTTCGATGTTGTATGTGCAGAGGACGTACTTCTGGGCGGCTGGGAAGAGTTAGCGGAACAGTACAACAGGGGGAATATCAAAAGGCTTACTGATGACGCCCTTGATTCTGGCTGTTATAAGATCCACCAGCTCAGGGTTCGAAGGGTGTTTCGACTTGATGAGCACAGCTGTGGTTGACATGACTGTAGAAATAGCTTTCAAGCCTGCCGCGCGCATAGTCTCTCCCGACTCAACCAGGTCGACGATACCATCTGCAACACCCAGAGCGCACGCAGCCTCGACACTTCCACCAACGTACTTAATCTTGGTCTTGAGCGGCGATGCGGCGTCGAAGGCATTTCCTGTCTGCTCAGCCAGTAACCTCTCTAACCTCCTGAAGTATTGCTCCGTCAGGTTCGTGAAGCTTGTAACGACGTTCTTCCCAATCAGGTCTTGCGGCTCCGCCAGCACACCCTTCTCCGGCACTTGGACCTGCAGCAAACACTTGCCGAAGCCCAGGTCGAGCACCTCGGTGACGCCCGTGGTTTCGGTGGGCGGCACTACGCACTCATGCTCTGCGACCTGGTCCTGCCCGGTTATACCAAGATCAACGCGACCCTCGCCAACGAAGGTGGGGATATCGGCGGCGGGGAGAAAGATGAGGGCAATGGGGAGATTCTTTACGAGTGCGATATCGAGGCGCGAGTGACGGTGGAACTGGATATCGGAGCCATGGAGGAGGTCGAGACAGGCTTGGTGAAGGCGGCCCTCTGCCCTTCATTAGCACTATACCCTGGCGCATATCGCGAGGAGAACGCACTTTTGGGTACCGCGAAGAGTAGTCGGTCGCTGAGACTGTTTCCCAAAATATCAGTTAAAAAGGGCAAACTTCTACTCCAACTGCGCGGCTTCTTGGGAATAGCACCATTTGGAGAATCCATGAGGCCTAAGTTCTCGAAGTTCAAGGTGTATGAAAGGGAGGAGGAGGGCTATGCATACTGGTTAACTAGATCCATGGCTCAGAATTTATTTCCCGCGCCACGTTCTCGGAATGTGACTGCAAAACGCCGTCACGACAGGCACTTAAAGTGGATCTGGAAGGGTTGCAAGTGGTAATTGTCCCGTGCCCACGTAAATACGTATTATTGGGTAGAATTGGCCTGTACGTATTACCGAGATCGGGCCTACTGCAGGGCGTGTAAGTCTGTGTAGGTGCAAACTGTTGAGCACGACTGAAGCTATTGAACAGAGAATTTGTCCAAGAGGGGTATGGAGATGATGGTGCAAGGGTACTCAGAGAGCAATTGGGCCGACCAAATGAAGTGTGCTATGCGCAATCGGTAACGGGAAAGAAAATTGAAGCTGCACTCACAATTGATTCAAAGGATACAGGACAGTGAATGTATAGTCCGTCCGATATGCGGATGTGAATCATAACAGCGTCCCCTCCATAGTACATAGCCCCGCGGTACCCAAAATGGCTTAGCGCAAAATCTTTAGGCGGTCAGTGCCGGCAGAAACTTTTCGCTTACGGGGACGACCAGGGCTGACCGCACCTTCGATTTTGGGCATACCGACTCCATTCACGACGCTCCATCGCACGACAAACGGGACCATCCGAACAGCCTCTCGTCGCCCTTAATCCGATAAATCTGTTCGTCTCCCGGATTTTCTCGAAAGTCGCAGCAAGACTAACCCATACACTCAGACAAAATGGATACCACCAAGGTCCCCGTCAAGCTCGTCAAGGTCACCCGCGGTATGTGAAGCCAGCTGGAGATTCGCAGAGCGACTATACTGACATGCCGTTCACAGTTCTCGGCCGTACCGGTACGTAGCGATCTCCGCGAAATCCGACAACATTCGAGGAACATATATCTTGGAAAGATCAAATGTCTGACTAGGCATAGGCTCCCGCGGTGGTGTTACCCAGGTCCGCGTCGAGTTCATGGACGACACAACCCGCAGCATCATCCGTAACGTCAAGGGCCCAGGTACGCCGAGCTCGTGTCAGCTGGAAAACGGAAGATGGGAGGCTAACCCCAGGACAGTGCGCGAGAACGACATCCTCTGCTTGCTCGAGTCTGAGCGCGAGGCCAGGAGACTGAGATAGAGAAGGAGCCGGCGAATTGGTGACGACGATGCAACGCAAGGAACGGAAGAACGATACCGGCATGGGAAAAGGATCTGGTGCGGACTGGTGTGCATTACCATTACCACGGATATCTCTCCATGGCAGAGGCGTGGTCTTGACCACCTCTTGCTGGTCCTGAATTCAAACTCTGTCTCAATACTCAAGATGTGCCCTCCGAGGTCGACTGCTGGTTGTGGCGACATGAGGAATCACAGGAATTATACGGTCTTCCAGTCGAAATCGTTCTTGGAACATGCAACCCATCCGTGATAGGCTCGGTCAGGGTGTCCACCACATTTTTCACACCTATGGAGCCCCCGTTTTCCGTTCTGACCGAGACGCGAAATGAAAGTGAACGGTATTAATTCGGGGAGAGCCAACCTACCCTGCACATACACCTCCAACCCACCAGAATCAGGGTTGTGCATCTGTATTGACTGCCCAGATCTGGTCACTCTCGCTGCCATCGCTCGTCTTGGATACTCCATGTTCCCCGACCTATGCGCCTATGCACCCTTATTTTCAGGGAGTACGAGCCCACAAACTATGATCAGAACCTCACGAGTGCACTCACACTCATTTTCCATACGCGTGCATGACGACCAACTCGTATTTTCCATACTCATGCTTGACGAACGCGAGATTGTAGGATATTCATCGTGAAGTACTTACCTTACGTCCCTAACAATGTCGATCCCAGTGCTCCTAGCGACTTTGTGGACATGCGGATCATACACATCCATTCACACTCAACGTTCCTATATTCTAGCAAAAACAAATGTAGTGGGTATATATCTAGGGCAGCAGTTTCAATATATCCAACTCGTCGTAGTTGAAGCAAGCCCCTTGTTCATCATTCATCATCGTCCAACATATCTTTGGTCTTCCCCACTCCCCGAGTACCTCATTCCCATCCAGACATCAACGCCAAAAAACCCCAGGACACCGAAACGCCTTGCTTCCTCTCGCTTGCTCGCTCAAACGCTCAGTTGGATATAATACATGGTGGTAATAGAGAGGGGTGGTTGGTATACCTTTTTCGTTGTCAAAAAGCAGCAATTTCCTTCCCCTCCCAACGGCATACAGGCGTGGTACCCAAGATATACAAAACGCATCCCAATCAGGAAGCGAGTCAAAATAACCCAAGCAACCTGAGTGTACACAGCCTGAGGAATGACCTCGCAATCTGGCTAACACAATCGATAGAAAAGTGAGCCAACGAGATAGAACGCACATGCTATGAAGACAGCACAAGCCTCCTGAGTCTAAGCCTTCCACTTTGCAGTGGTCCACTGTTCGTGCTCGCGACGGAGCTCTTTCTGCACCCAGGGGATGGTAATGGCGGTCCAGACGCCGGCCCAGAGGAACGGCAGTGTCCAGCCGACCTACACAAATATACGTCAGTCATCCGCCCGTTCACGCGCAATATCAACAAGAAGTACAATCTAAGGTTATGACTTACCACATACGCCGCATCCCTCTGGATGGTGAAACAAATCGTCACCGTCACCCCCGCAATGGCAATGGCGCCAATCCCCCAAAACAGCGTCAACCGATGCAACATCTCCCTAAAGACCTTGCTCGCCTGATATCTTAGGTTCAATCTCTGTCTGAACTCCGTCCCACCCGATCCGTCGACGGCGCAGACGTCTTCGATGTAGGCGTATATACCGGGGCGGAGGGGCGCACCCTTAGGGAGAGAGGAGATGCGGCAGGGAGCGGGGACGCCGCGGAGACGCAGGATATCGATGAGGAGGAGTTCGCAGCCTATGGCGAAGCACATGGTTGAGGCGGGGATGGCAAGGACGCGGATGGGTGGGTCCCGGAGGGATGTTCCCCTGAGAGATGTTAGAGATGCATTGAATAAGCGCTTGAAGGGAAAAGGCGATGAATCGGCAAGGGAGGGAAACGGGAGACGTACGCAATCAACTCAATCATGACAAAAAACCAGCCGACGCTCAGATTCCAATGGAACCAGTCGAGATACCACCGCCGTGCGCCAATGACCCTGCAACGGCTATTCTTCTTCCAGAGCCTGTGGAATCGGATGAAGTACTCGACGATGGAGACGGTCCCGAGTAGAGCAGTACTAATGGAGAACACGGCGTTGGCGGACAACTGGTCTCGCGTCGTGCCGTACCACATGCCAAAGTAGAGGCCTATGGGCATGAAGACGCAGTCGAGGATGATGAGGGTCCAGAAAAAGAAAATGGCCTTTTTCCTGGTGCGCAGGGTATAGTTCAGCGGCGGAGGCGTCGTGAAATCCGGGTCTGCGTACGTGACTTGGGTGTGGGGAAATTGGGCGGATGCGGGTCGAGGAGAGGGGACGCGGGTGGTCGTTTGAGGAGTAGCATTCTGGGATCGAGGTGGGCCTGCGTCGCTGGTGCCGTCGAGTTGTGCTGGTTGCTCGGAGGGGACTTGGAGGAGGTGTGGTTGTTGATTTTGCAGAGGTCGTTCTGGTTTTGGTTGTAATATTGGTGGATCTTGCGGCTCCGAAATGGTCGTCGTAGTCGACATGGCGTTTACGATATACTGGATTCGAAGCGGTTCCAACGTCCTAGGACCTCTTGAAGAAGTAGTGTTCGATTGTTGTTGTCCGGTGATACGCTTCTCAACGCACGACGAGTAGAAAGCAGAGAATGGATCAAGCTTGGATGGAATGACATACGCCGTGGCCGGCGACATCCGAATAATAATGGTCAAGAGCTGGGACTCAGCTCGGCGGTCGTCATTCTCCTCCTTTGCATGCGTGGACGTCTCACTAGTTTTGTGACGTCAGCAGACCCTGGCGTGACCGATTGGACAAGGGCAACAAAGCTTAGTCATACAATTGCTCTTGGCACAGCCCGCACGGCAACCACACATCGACCACAACCAGGTGACGCGGAAGACGCTGTGCTTTTAAGTCACGCATCTGGCATAGCACCTTTTTGCGGACCTCATCCCGGAATATGTGACAGTCGTATCCATGGCCATTTCCTTTGGCCTCCTCCTCTTCCTCCTCCAAAGCATATTCTCCTTCCTGTCGCACGGCTCACGGCCGCTTCCGCAGACGCAAGCCCAGACACCACTCTCGACAGCGAGCAACAACCGCAAGAATGACACCGCCATCTCGCCGGAGCTGTATGAAGAGCTGGAAGAGCTCGCCCGCATAGTCGATATAGCGTACTGCGTAGGCACAGCGGGGTTGGGCATCCAGAAGCCCTTCAAATGCGCCTCGCGATGCAGCGAGTTTGAGAACTTTGAGCTCGTCGCCGTGCGTCCAGATCAGACCCTCGATTCATACGTATACTGAAGAAACAACAGACGTGGAACACGGGGCCCCTCCTGTCCGACTCATGCGGCTACATCGCGCTCTCGCACCCTCCGTCCGCACCACGCATCATCCTCGCCTTCCGCGGCACCTACTCCATCGCCAACACCATCGTCGACCTCTCCACCGTCCCTCAAGCATACGTGCCCTACCCAGGTGAAGACGACGACGACGACGACTCCAACCCATCCGACCTCATTCCTCCCAACAAATCTCCTCCCTCAGCGCCCGACGAGACACCCCCACCTGCCCGCCCTCCCAAATGCACCAACTGCACCGTCCACACCGGCTTCTACATCTCCTGGCTGAATACCCGCAAAGCCATCCTCCCGGACCTCACGGCCGCCATCGCCGCCTACCCAAACTACACCCTCACTCTCGTAGGCCACTCCCTCGGCGGCGCCGTCGCCGCCCTCGCGGGTCTAGATTTCATCGCGCGCGGCTGGGATCCGCACGTCACCACGTTCGGGGAGCCGCGGATCGGGAATAGACACCTGAACGCGTACTTGAATGAGCGCTTCGGCATCGTCACGGGTAACAACAGCGCGCCAGATGGAAGTAAGGATGAGATGATGAAGAAGAGGAAGAAGAATAAGTTCCACCGCGTCACACACGTCAACGATCCTGTCCCGCTCTTACCCCTGGAGGAATGGGGGTACACCATGCACAGTGAGGAGCTCTTCATTTCGTCCGTTTCCGACCTCCCACCTTCACGGGAGGATGTACATCACTGCGACGGAGGGGATGAGGATCCCAGGTGTATTGCTGGGAACGGGAATGGAGAGGTGGACAAGGGCGGATGGAGCGGTGTGCCTGCGAGGTTCCGCTTCTGGCAGCTCTTCTTCGCGCATCGGGATTATTTCTGGAGGTTGGGGCTTTGTGTTCCGTCGGGGGGATGGAAGGGATGGGGATCATTGGTCGTCGGTGGTGAGGGGCAGGGAGAGGGGGATGTGGTGCTGCGGGGCGAGGAGGATGCGGTAGTGGTGAGTACGGGGCAGGAGGAGGAGCGCGCGACGGAGGAGAGCATGGAGTTATAGATACCCATTCATCTTATCTTTAAGTCATCGGTTGCTTGGTTCATTGAATGTGTACAGTCTACATGTCCGTTGATCACATCTTTCCTTTTATGGTAGGTATTTGCATTGGCATTTGCAGTCGATTTCATTTCATCACTTCCCCAACACCTCTATCAATTTCATGTCATCACTTCTCAAGCCCATCTATCATGTACCCATGCCGCTCGTTCGTCCATGCAAAAACAACAGGGGGAGAAGAAGGAAAAAAGTAAGGAAGGAAGAAGAGGGGAGTTGGTCATCACATTCAGAAGAAAAATGATCAGATGAGAAGAAAAGGTAAGTAAGGCTCGCTCGCACATGCGAAGCTGGAACTGGAAAAGAAGGCAACAAGAAGAGACCACTCAAACGAAACTGTTTTCCAAGAGCATCTCTCTATTGCTTTCGCAAGCACACCCTTCATCCGCTCTTCGTAACCCTGCATGCACGACACGTCGTCTATGCGGCTGCTCGCTTGCTTAGAATCCTCTACTCAATCAAACGCACGCCGCGACTCGACAAATGCTTGCTTTAGGTAGGGGCTAGGTTGATGCGCAGCAATGACACGAAGCCCATCATTGCCAGGAATCATCTCGGGTTCACGTGAGCTTAGCAAGCTTCTTGAGAACGTTGAGGAGCCCTATGCGGCCGAATTAGTTTTCCATCGTGCAATAGCCGGAGATGGGAAAGCATACCAGTCGAGCCCTGCGTCAAAGTGGACATGGCCACCGTGTTCCGGTTCCCCACCTGCACCGTGTAGACGTTTTCAATCTCCCCATGCTCCGAGATGTCCTTCGCCCAGCGGAACACTACCTCGTCGTCGCGCTCATTACCCGCCGCAAACAGGAAGTCCGGTTTCCTGTTCTTCATCGTGTTCTTGACAATGTGGGCCGCTGCGGTCGCCTTGTCCCAATCCATGGGCTCAATGATGACCGAGTCCTTGGTCGGGACAGCGCGGACGCGCTGGTTCTCGCACGCATCGTTGATGTGTGTGGCACAATCGCCGGCTTGACGGTTACGGGCTTCTTCCTGCATGTCGGACTTTCCGTAGTGGAAGGTCAAGGACGCGTGGCGCTCCTCAACCCAACTGCCTTCGATACGATCACAGTAGTACTGGAGGATCTCCTTAACAGCCTCTTTCCACTTGTTCGTCTGCTCCTCTTCAGCAAAAGCGATCCATTCGTCCGTATACATCTCGCGCAGATAACAGCCGTTCTCCGCGATCAGACCGATACCTGGCACACGCCCGAAGAGCATCTCGATCTCCTCGAGCGTACGGCCGCTCGTGACGTATACGTGATTCCTACCGTCCGCGATCAAGTCGTTGAGCACGTCTGTAACGCGGTCCATGTTCAGGAGGACTGTGTTCGTGACTGATCCAAACGGAGCTAGAGTGCCTTCGTAATCGAGCAGGAACAGGCGCGTCTCCGACTTTTGATACGTCTGGCATAGTTTGTTGACGTTCAGGCGGGGTACAGACATGGTATCCCTCATGAAGTGCTCTTCATGGACTTTAGCCAGGTGTGCGCTCAGCTTGGCCGTCCAAGTGTCACCGGTGCTCCTCATGACAATGTCCAGCATCTTGGTGTACCGGCGGGCTTTCTCCTCCTCGCTCATCTCCAGAGCTGTCTTGATCGCCTCTGCGCACTGCTGGTAATCCCACGGATTCACGCCAAGCTCGGCACCGCCAAACAGGGCGGCACTGCCGGTGAACTCGCTTAGGATTACGGGGCCATGTTTCTTGCTGGAAGCCGCACCGTCCTGGCAGACAATGTACTCGTGGCATGTCAGGTTCATGCCTTCGCGAAGACTGGTGATCATCAAAGCATCCGCAACCGAGAGCAGCGCCAGGTACTGGGAGAAGGCAATGTCCTGCCGGAGGAATACTAGAGGCTGATGGGCCAAGGTGGAGTGCACCGACTCGATACGAGTGACGATCTCGGATACTGTTTCGGAGAGATCATGGTTCTCTGTCGTAGACATGGCGACCTGAATGAGGACGACCTACTAGCGTCAGCACCAAAGCCACCTAAGGCGTTCAGAGAACCTCACCTTCTCTCTCCATTGAGGGTACTTATTCAAGAACAACTCAAACGCGAGCAGCTTCTGCCTGACTCCACGGATATTGTCGAGCTTGTCTCGCGCAACAATCAAACGCTTGCCTGCATAACGCTCCTGCAAGGCCTGCGTCCACTGAAGCACATCTGGCTCTTGACGGGCGAGAGCCAGTGCTTTTGGATCAATACCAATGGGGACAGACCATACATTGATGAAATGGTTGTCATGTTGGATGCCGTCGGGAGTTGCCTCAAGAGACAAGATGCGGCTGCATGTCTGCAGGAAGTGGTGAGCATATTCGGGGATCTGGAACGCCACGAGATTCGCTCCCAGCATCCCTTCCAGCAACTCCTTGCGAGTGGCTAGGCAACGGAACACTTCGGAAGATGGGAAAGCGGTATGCAGGTAGAAGCCAATCTGGGCATCGGGAAGTTTCTTCCGGATCATTGCAGGAACCAAGCAGAGATGATAGTCGTGGATCCAGATGATATCGCCACGCTTGTAATTGGCAATCACCTTGTCGGCAAAGGCCTGATTGAGGTTGACGTAGTAGACCCAAGAATGGTCCTCGTAGGCCTTGCTCTTGGGGTGGTCGGGAATCTGATAGTGGAACACAGGCCAGAGGATCGTCTTGCAATAGTGGGTATAATGTCCGTCGAGGTCACTGTCACTAACAAAGACGGTAAGGGCATCATGCTCGGACTCGAGCTTTTCGTGTATATCCTGCTTCTTGGCGTCGTCCAACACGTCGGTGGGGAAACCAATGGTGCCAACGGTAAGCACCTCTGACAAGACGCCCGAATCTACCGATGCACGTATGGCATTGGAAAGACCACCATTTCCCTGGACGGCGGGAACCACGGTCCAGTCCGTGGCCCAGCGCGGGTCGCTGCCATGCTCCTTGGTCAGATTGCGGCTGCGGCCGGGAGAGACCTTCCTCCCCATTTGCGACCTCATGGCATCGGCCCTCTCCTGGGCCTTTGCATACTCGAGAATGGTATCGGGAGGCGGGGCTTTGGCATTGGATCGCGGTTGGTTGAAGTCCTTTGCGATGCCACCCTCGGGCACATGGGAGTCGCTCCGTACAAGTGTGCGCGGATGTAGCTTCGAGAAGTGGGCAGCGACGCTGGGATTTGAGCGGGAGAAGAATTCCTCATGCTCCTTCGCGGCGGGGGTCAAGGGAGGGGTGGCGGTCGTCTTGGGAGCCAGCAAACTCGGCTTCTGGGAGCGGATGTCATTGGCAGAGGCCTGGCGGCCGAATTCGGTGAGGGATCGAGGGACGGGAGGAGGAGATGGCTGGCGTGCCGGGGTGGGCAGGTCGTGGAAGTGAATGGTGTAGGGGAGGAAGCTGCAGCGTTTCGGTTAGCTGTCTGCGCATCGGACCTGCAGGCCCCAGGGCAGGGTAAGGTCGGATTCTGCGAGACAACTGAGGACTTACAGAGACACGACGAAAGTCGTCATGGTGAGAGAATTGGAGCGGCGGGAAGCACTCGGAAGGGAGGGAGAGGCAAGCAGTGGAAAGCTGGAGAGCGGGGTGGGTATTGACTGCGGAACCCAAGAGATGGAGGGAGGGGCACCGAGCTAACGTGTGGCGGGAAGTCGCGATGGAGGTGTGGCAATGGTTGGAAAAACGAAACGAAGGGTTTGGAAAGTTGGGTGAAGGAGGAGGTAACAGTAGTGGTAGTGAGAGAGGAACCTTGGCAGCTGGCGCTGCTACCTTTTCTCGTGGGCGGAGGGGCCACCTGTTGGAGAGAAAAGAGGCAGAAAGAAATCGGAGGATGCAGGAAGAAGACGGTGGATAAGCTGGGCTCGAGAAAATGGAAAACAGAACAAAAGCAGGGGGTCAGGAACAAGATGCAAGATGTCACTACGGAATATACGAAGGGAGCAATCTCGATGCTCCGCGGCCGACCTTGCTTGCCTCTGCTGCCTCTGGTTTGAGGCGTTGCATGTTGCTGGGAAAACTCCGATGATGCAGCAGATGCGGCGATCTATAGATGGCATCTATCCATCTACCACGACCTTCTTGTCCCGCGCCTGCAAGCCATGCTTCCGGTATCTTCCTCTGCTTCATTCTTTCTTCTTTCCACCACCATTATTGCCTTCTTGCGGCCCAATCTCTCAGAATGCCCTAGGGTGAAAATGGGGCCAACTTTTTCTCTGCCGCCCGATGACGTCGGGGCTTCTCTGAAACCGCACGTCATTCTCCCGCGGCTGGTGTCCGTGGGCATTATGGATATGATTGGCCGGAGCTGCGCCCGGTCAGCCACGTTTTCCACCACTGCTACGGGTATTGTTCGTAATATTGTTGCTTCGAATGTTTGCCATTCGTCAAATTTTGGAAATCTAAAGGTATGATATGATAAACTTAGTCCGCAGTACGAACCGGTTTCCAACAGTCACGTGCAGGACCGCACCACACCACCTGCACCACCCCTCTGCTCTCATCCCATCCATTGATGGATCTGCGGCGGTTGCAGCAGGAGAGACATGCATGGGGAAATAGGTGTGAATGGATCGACTTTCCCATGCTGCACCTTGGAATTCCCATTACCGCCGTTAGAACCCGGATCCCACGCTGCTGCAGGCTCAACGTGCTGGGCGCCAGGATGCCGTCACCGAAAGCATTTCATGTACAAATGTTGTCGGCTTCCGCAGTCTTGCTTTTTGCTCCGCTCGCATGCTTGTTGGTCGTTGAGAGAATGGTTTGCTCGTTGAATTCAAGAAACTCTCTCTGCTCCGGCCACCGTCACTGCCCCGCTATCACCCATCATCCGCCGGGCCGTGGAGCCTCCCGCTATGGTCTAGCCCAATCCGGCTGTGGCTGTGGCTGTGCGCTGTGGCTGTGCGCTGTGGCTGTTGGCACTTCTCATTGCGCTCATGGCAACTCCATGTCTGTTCGATGAACACCTTTGTAACATTACACGTAGATTCCCGAGAATTCTCCCCGTGGGAGGCGCTTCGATTTCGTGGGTGCGAGGTGCGTCTCTGCACACTGTCGACATGGGACTGTAATCCGCCCCGCCATGGATGGTAACCAGCAGACATGCATGCTCCAAGTCCCTAGGGAAAGGTTCGAATATTGAAAGTTTCCGGCGGAGACGCAGTACATGAACAGTGAAGTGGAAGCACGACATATTTAGTTATACTCTCATTAGCGCGGCGGCTCATGTTCCCGCCCGTCTACGCCTAACGACATCAAACCGAACCCCAATTCGGAACTGATTGAATAAAGTGGGAAGAGAGGATCCATGACAGTAACCATCCTCAGCTCCACCTCCCAGACAGCAGAACACCGCCCATCAACCGTCCAGTCCGTCGTCGGATCTCCCACTAGCCTCTCAACCCTAAATCTTCTAATCCTTCCGCTCCTCCCATCTCTCCTTCTCCCCCACAAAAGCCCTTGCATCCCTCAACCCCACGCCCGCCTAGCGTCCGCCTCATCTGAAGGCGAGTACTCGGTCCAGTGGCACGGTCTAGGCGTCGAAACGACTTCTATCCGCTGTCTCTCCGGCCGTCTCTTTGCTTTTTGCCGTTCGCGGTCATCGGCATTGCCGCCTGCACCGCACGAGCCGCAGCTGAGGAATGTGCGTATCCGGTGGAAAAGACTTGGGGAGCTGGGAGTAGATGTGTGTCGGGGGGTTGGTGTTGTTGGTGTTGCTGTTGTTGCTGGTGTAGGTCTGGAAATGTTGACGGCTGCGGTGGTGCTTCTCTGAGACTTTGTGGATTTCGGTGGTGGGAGGGACGTGGATGGTTTTTTAGGCATGATGAAGACGTGGTTGGGCTGGAGCTGTCTCTTCCTGGTGTCGCCTTTCCTTGAGGCCGTCTATGCTTGGGGCCGCCTTTCCCGAAACCGACCTCCCGGACGTTGTTACTTCCGGAGATTGTCTTTCTCGAGCGTGATGTTTTCAAACTACCTGGGGTGTTGTTTCCCCCTAGCTTGGATTCCTTGAAACCTTAGTTGTGATGGCCAGCGGAGAATGTGAGCGAGTAGATCCTGGTGAGGTCCCGATGAGTGATTGTCGAGTGGTATATGACAAATCCGTGAGAGACGATAACAATAGACAACCCGTGACCCCTCTCGTGCGAGCAAAGGACCAGACTTTGCACAGCAGTAAAAGCGCCTGGGGCCGATACGCGTGCAGTCGTACGTATAGGTCGATTCGAGAATCCAGGATCCTGAAGAAACACAAGCGAAGATGCTAAAAGTCTTGACTGGAATAAGAAAATTTAAGACCGTGAGGAAAACAAAGGCGACTAAATGGTACTTTGCAACAAGCAACCTACCATCGCACAAACATGTCTTTATCTCCTCATCCCCACCATATTTGCCCCCCAACCGCCCTATATTGCGGCACAGCACCCTCTCGCCCTCTCAAATCCCCCGTCTACAAAATACCCACACCGATCACCCACCTAGGCGGCCCTCTGAACAGCCGCGCGCATGGTGCGCGGGCTTTATTTTAATCTACGAGTCCCTTGTAACGGGGGTTAGCGTTGTTGGTGTCTTCGGCGGTGGGAATATGCGGGCGTTCTCATTGGGGAGGTTGCCTCGCTGAGGGACAAAGTCGGCGCTTAGCGATCGGTGGGGAATGCGGGTTGAGTTGGCGCATCGGTGTGGATGCCGACAATGCTTAGCTGGTTGGAGACTATGATAAGTGGACTGGATTTTGCACAATATGGCATTTTACTGGCATCAGATGGTTGAAGGTGTGCGGATGATGGATGCTGGGATGAACAAGAGGCTTTGGGTCGACTTCAGATGGACAGCCATGCTAACTAGATTTGTCTAGCCTCTACTCAATTCGACCAGTCATTTCGTCTTATCGTTAGCGTCCCCTCTTCCCCGCACCAACGCTGTCTTACTAAGCAATAAAGGGTCCTTTCCGTACAGGTTATCACGGATTTCGATGGCATTGCCACCTAGCAGTGGGAATCGTTGAAAACAAACAATGTTCCCAAAGTCCTCAGCTTCGCCAACCTACTCCCAAGACTGTTGCAGGATTCCAAAGTTAGCTACTTTGAAGGAATCGAAGCCGTTCAAAGAAGCCGAGGTCTCCCCTTCCGCTTCACCACTCGAGGTGCGAAACGTTAACAAACCCACGAGGTCAACAACATTCAAACGTGCAACCACCTCACTAACAAAATTCTAGAGCCCCAGCTTTACCAAGCAAAACACAACCCAATTCAGCAAATTCCAAATCCTTTAACGTAGCTCAAAACTTTATGCGAATCGAAGCACGCCGTGTTTTGAAAATCCCATGTTGTCGTTTGGTGAAACGCTAGGGGCGCGGAGGTGCAAAACATATCGTGCATCGCTAAAGGCGGAAAAAGAAAGAAATTCCGGATGAGGGTCTCACGATCGAATTAACAGTCCAAAGTTGGTAAGTTTTCTTGGTTCTGATGCTTTTTGGTGTATTTGTTGTAGGGGTGTGGCACGGGGTGCATGGGTGGTAGGGTAGATCCTGCTCTGGTCCGCTACTACACTCAACTATGTACCTATGAGAGGTCATCTAGAGTAAGTGTCTTCGCTGTTCCACTACTGCTCTGTGAGTATTGAATCTATCCATATGCGGTCAATATCATCGTTCATGGTGCTGACTCACTCCTGTCGAAAGGTGCGATTGTCCGAAAGACGTGTAACAAAAATCAACCCATTTCTAATGTTTGTTCGAAACCCCCGGGACCGTAGAAGAAACCAAAACAAAGCTCTCACAGCTTCCCCAGCACTCTGAAGCCGGCAAAAGGAAACAATCATCCCGTTTCCTAGTCGCGGATAGTCCCTCTCCCGTTCAGCGAAGCTCGGCCTCTTCCAAGTTTAGCACAAAAGTAGTGACTTCAGCGTTTGGAACAACAGCCCCGACCTAAACTGGAGTTTCGACGGTGTTTGAAGCGTTTCGTGAGCCTTGCTTTTGCTCCCATTGGACACTGTTCTGGATACTGAGGCACGAAACTCGCTCAAAAGGATTCACTTCGAGGGAGTATAAGTTATCCATGTTGGAGCAGTGCTGGAACAACCATCAACTTTCAACTTCACAGCCTGGCGCTCTTCGCTTCTTCTCTTCTCATTCCACTTCTTCAAGTATATATATCTTCTCACTGACCTGACGAGCCGGGCTCGCCTTGTTTTTCCCTTTTATACCCCATCAAAATGCACTTCACCACGCCCCTCCTCGCCGCCCTCGCAGCCTCCGTCTCCGCCCACGGCGTCGTCACCGAAATCAAAGGCGCCAACGGCGTGACCATGCCCGGCCTATCCATCCAAGACGGCACACCACGGGACTGCTCATCCAAGTACATTCCCACCCCCGTCAACGTCCCCTTCCACACCAGACTAACTCTTTCCCAGCCGCTGCGGCTCCCAAGCCGACACATCCATCATCCGCGACCGCGAAATCGCCAGCGGCAAAGCCACCCCGCTCGGCCGCACCCAAGGCAACGGGCCCGTCGTCGCCGAAGTCATGGTCGCCGCCTTCATGGGGACTGGCAACGCACCACCCGCCAACGAGGGCGCGTCCGGCAGCGTCGGCGTCGAGGACAATATCCAGCAGCCGGCGGGCGGTCAGAAGAGGCGCCAGTTATTCAGCGGCCTCTTCGGCGGGGGGCGGAACCGCAATGGCAATGGTAATGGTAATGCCAGAGGTGGTGGTGCTGCTACGGGCCTCACTGGCCTGCTGGGCGGCGGCGGTGACAAGGCGGATGGACCGCCTGAAGCCGGTGTCGCTGCTGCGCAGGGAGCGGGCGCTACGTCTGGTCTTCCGACGTGCTCGGATGACGGCGTTGTCACTATGACTCTTCGCCAGGTACGCTTCTATCTCGATATCCCCCCCAACCCATTCTACCCCCCATTCTCTAACAACCAAACCCATCATCTAACCCTCCACAGATCAACCAAGACGGCGCCGGCCCCTTCACCGCCGACGTCGACGGCACATCCGGCGGCACCGACGAATCCGCCATGCAGCCCGCGACCGTCATCAAGGACGTCCCGGGTATCGGCTTCCAGGGCCTCTCGCTGGCCACGAACACGGATTTCGAGATGCAGGTCCAGATGCCCGCGGGCATGACGTGCGATGCCACCGTCGCTGGGACGCCGAATGTCTGCGTCATGCGGGTCCGGAATGGCGCTGCGGCGGGTCCGTTCGGTGGGTCGGTTGCGTTTACGCAGAGTGCGGCGAGCAGGAAGAGGGCGATTGCGTATAGGCTTAAGAAGCGCATGGAGATTGGCGGGCAGTTTTGAGGTGTTCATCATGGTGTGGTCTGACATAGATTGTGGGTTACACTAAGCGTAAAAAGCTGGAGGTTGGATTATCGGTTGTAGGATATACGGTTCAAGTATATCGGTCACAAGAAGCCTCTGACCCAAGTGGGAAAACGAAAGGCACCGAGGTGGAGGGTTTCGGTCAGTTGAAAACCCTTGTATTCATATACTACTTTGAAGGGTTGCATCTCCCCATACACTGAAGCACTCCTGAAACGTATCCCTCTACATCTTCCGTGAATATCACTCAAGCAGCCCGCACCACCCAACAAACGCTATCCCTTAATCCCACACCTCAATCGCTGTAGCACCCACACCAATGCCCACTCAGGCCCTTCCCGGCCTCATAGCAAGGGCACCCATCCCCCCACGCAGTCGCCCTCCCCGAGTCTAGCTCAAAGTCGTCTGAAAGCTCAGAGCTAGTCTCCCAGCCCTCAGCGGACCCCACATCATCCCCATCCTCGCGCTCCCATTCAAAGCCCACTGTCCCCATCGCTCTAACCCATCTATCCCAGAAAGCCACCACATCCATAGGCTTCCCTCGGGCAGCCTTCCCCAAACAACACACACCCAAGCAGCGGAACATGATCCTATGCTTCCTCCTGCCGACGAGCCGGGGAAAGATACCCAGGGCGCGGAAGAAGTTGGTACGCTTCTTCCTGCCAGCCAATTGGAGTTGTCCAGAGCTTCTCCCCATAGAAAGTACGAGCCGCTCCTTCCTAGAAGCCGTGGAGCTGTAGGTAAATCGGTGGAAAAGCTTTCCAGGTCGTCCATCGATTAGGACGTGGTGCGCTGATACAGCAGAGACAGGAGAAGGAGACCGGGGGATCGTGGGAGTGCCATTCGAAGGCGGAGGCCCAGGGAACACGGGGGACCCGAAGCGGACAGGAGGTTCGGGGCAGGGCGGTGGCTCAGGCATAAAGGGAGCGTCAGTACGTAGAACTGACTCCGACTTAGGATTGGGGGCGTTGAGATCCGAGGACATACCTGACAGTCGCTCGGCGTTGTCGAGCTCCGCCCGGCCTTCTTTCCTGATGAAGTCCTCCAGCATTTTGGAGATGGCTTGGAGCTGATCCAGCGCTACGGCGTCCTTGCTGAGCTCGTTGCCCTGTACGTGTATGTCTTTGCCTTTGGTCTGGATTTTGAGATCATAGAAGAGACGAGACAGAAGGCAGAGGTTACTTGGGTTGCCGTCCTGGGTGCGTAGGTTCTCCAACTCCTTCTGCTCGTCAAAGAGCACCTTGCGGATCTGGAGAACCAATGTGTAGGTGCGTCGGTAGAAAGAAAGGTAATCGAAGTTCCCGTGCATTTCCGTTGCTTGGAGCTGGGTCTGCATTTCAGAGAGTATGTCGGCATAAACATAAGTTTGCGACGAAAACTTGGGAATCTTGACATTTTTACGGCGTTTAAGACGCGGTGGTGACAGTGCTTCGGCCATCGAACTGAATAGAGGCTGGAGATCTTCGACTATCCCGGAGAAACTGGCTTTTGTATGCGGCGTTTCGGAATGGTAGAGGTATGCGAACAGGTTCTGGAGCTTCATCCACCGCTCATCTGGACGATATCCGTAATAGTAGTCCCGGAGCTTAACGTGAAGCGGGGTAAGACACTGTAGTCCTCGCTTCTTCTTGGTGTCCATGTTTGCACGAGCCCATTTCGTCCAGTTGGGATGACGCTGCAGATGCTCTGGTCGAGTGCTCTGAGCGGAAAACGTCATGGCGTACTGTAAGCGCTCCCAAAAGAACTGGGGATCGGTCGGCGGGTCACCAACGAAAATACCTTTGACTCCTTGCATCTCAATGATGTATTCCAAGTCGGGCCAGGTGATATTTAGGCCGCCGATCTGTCGACAAGCGTTGTAGAGATGACAAATCGCGACCATAAACCACTGGGTCATTGCAATGCTGTTAATCTGGTAGTTCCTGGATATGTGGTAGACCGCTAAGCCGCTCAGAGTCGGATGGAAGGACATGAAGTCCACTGCAGAAAATGACTTCGAATCAGGCCCTGAGTTCTCTTCCCGCTTCTTATCCCCGGACAACCTCTTGTCGTCCTCTAACACCCGTCTCAGCCACGCCAGCATGTCCTGGCATGGCTCAAGGAAGAGGTTCGAAAACTTGATCTCCCCAAAGCACATATAGTCGGGTCGGGTGCCGGCCTCCCACATCCGGTCTTCATATTGAATATGCGCCTGCATTAGCGTGACGGAATAGTGAATGCTGTCGGCAAGGTCTTTGAAGAGTTGTATGGGGATGTCCTGGACGATGGCTTGAACTTCCGTCACGAGTTGCAGACCGAAAACAAGCCATGGCTGTGGGCGATCAGGAGAGGACAGCATGCCCTGTGTATAGTTGTCAAGGACAGGCGGATGGAGGTTCTTCTTCAATATGCTGGAGAAGAAAGCAAGGAAAGGTTCACGACGAAGGAATTCTTGAGTGGGCTCGCTTTTGTGCGCAACGCCTTGGTAGTGTTGTTCCAGATGTAGGAGACTGGGAATACAGAGGCGGTTACCTATGCGCCGACGCATGTCTTCGGTCGCTTCTCTCTTCCCAGGATCTTCATTGGACAGGGTATCCCGCTCCGATGCCAACAGCTTCTCATACAAGTCTTTCAGAACTTCGACAAATGAGCGTCCGGTCGGGTAATCCTCCATATCCTGGATCAAAGCGGCCACATTTCGTCGAATGATGGCAAGGGCCAGGTCGGTAATCAATGCGGCAGTGACAAGACCAAGTCCCTTCTCCCTGTAAGTGAGCCAAACCTGCCGAACGAACTCTTTGATCTGGTTGTAGTCGTAAAGGAAGCAGAGCATCTGGAACTCTTGCTCCAACTCCATCTCGTCCCTTGTCAAAGCTCTCTCGGAGAGACCTTTTGAAGGATGTGTCTTACGTTTGTGGGTAGTCTTTCCAAAGGGGGCTGAGGCATCGGGCACATCAAACTCCGTGGAGCACTGCGGCTTATCTTCTTCCGTGTTAAGCGCATCTAGGACGTTTATGGTGAAGAAAAAGGGCACTCGGTCCTGCAGATCATGAACTTTGCAATTGCTCGTCGACAACCCCGGTGTGTTAGCCTTGCTACTCTTCCCACCCGACAAGATATCCTTGGCCTGGGTCAGGATGCCGATGAAGAAGGGATGGCCGTCGTCCGACAGATTGTGAATACGGTGCCAGGCAGTCACCTCTTTCCGGGTGCGGATGGCGTCGGACAAGTCGTTGATGCCCGAGGTGTCGTCAAGCGGAACACCGGATTTCACAATCTCTTGAGCAATAGGCACATAAGCGGCGACGGGTACCTTGTGCCTCTTCTTCCTGCCTTTCTTCGAGTGACTCTTGCTCGTGTCGACATGATAGTTCGCCAGCTCAATTTCGCGCTTTCGTGCTGTCTCAATGAACCACTGCTCGAATTTCTCAGTGTGCTTCTTGCACTGTTTGTAAGTCTGGGGAAGCTCTTGTAGCTTGTAGTAATCCATACGGGAGATGTTGACGTTTGAGTTTGCGAGGTTGGGTTGTGCAAAACGGTTTGGTGGCGGTTAGATGAGAAAAAAAAAGGTTGAGAGAAATTATATATGAAGGGAGGCATATGCGCACCTCAGAAACTTTCACCGCACCGGTTGCATAGCCGCTTAGGGGGCCCGGATGCCCGTAGAATGCAACGGAAATGGGAGAAACTCGAATGCGGTGAAAGGCGAAACACATTGCGGGAAACGTGTATACTACAGTAAGCCACGGACATAATGCAGTTCACGTAGGGTATTGTGTCGTCGACGAAACGGTCACTGACCTTGTGGCGCGGTGATAGTAAGCACCAGGAGATGGCGATGATTGTTTGTTTACTCGCAACTGCGCGATATGACGTGCGATCGGTTCGAACGACTCGATTGGATGCTGCGAGAGGCCAGAATTCTGCATTTCTCTGTGGGTGTAGCGATGTGGGGAGTGAAAGCGAGACGCTGTGACGGAGGAAGGTACGGAAGGTGCTGGGCGTACCGAAGGATACTGGCCCACAGCCACCAAATACAAGCACTGTATAACAACTAAAACCCGCAAAACTCCTTCCTTATCGCCAAGACTCAATAGACAAACGTTCCTGGAAGAAGTGAGGAGCGCGGCGGTGCGTTAAAAGCGCATCTGTAAAGGCCAGTATGCTGAGTCAAACCATTGCTTGAATCCTCGTTTAGGGGCTGCTCGGAACGAACATAGAATTACTCATGCATCATCGGCCGTTCACATGCTATCATAAACACTGCAGTCTGGCAATATGTCCATTGTACTGAAACCCAAGGATGCCGTGACGGCATGAGCGACAGCGGAAACGCCCACGCTATGCTAATGACGCGCTATGCTAAACAAACCGACGTCTTGCCTCCAAAAACATAACTATCCTCGTCGCTCTATAATGCCATCTTCCATGCTTAACTGTCCTCCAAGATACGCTTTAGAATGCTACTTCCTGGCCCAACAAGCGCACTCGCCAGCTCCTTCGATCCTACAGCGCTAGCAATACGGCGATCTTCGATAACCACGCCACCAAATCCTCCGCCGCGGCCTTTACGGCTTGGGGTTCCCACCGCAGCAACAAGTGATCCCGCCTTGCCCTCGACAGCGGATACTAACGAGAGCGTCTCTAGGCTGCCGACAACATCCCTGAATTCCGTGCTGGTTAGAGGATGCAGCACATTGTCCTTCTTGCACAGAGCAGTATACGCGTCGTAGAGCTCCTTAATCGTGGGTGCCGAGCTGTGGGATTTGGACGGAGTGGAGATGGTGCCATCCCCAGTGGAAGTTCGTTTCTTCTTCTCAAGAGCCGAAAGCGCGCACAGAACAGCCTTTTGCTGGAGGTTAAGGTTTTGTAGGCGTTGCACCGTACCGTTACTGAAAACTGCCGCAGTGATCTTGGCCATGTGGGCAATAGTGGCACGTGGAGCGGTTTCGATGGTCAGCTTTGCGAGGGACGTGGCCAACGCATTTTGTGATTTGACTTTTGAGGGGGATTGCGTAACCGGGGAAGAGTGGTTGATAATGTCGCAAAGGGGAGTCTTCGAGGGGGACGGGGTGGGAGATGGAGTTATCTCAGCGACAGCTTTGGCATGCTGGTCACGGGTGTCCGCCTCGATAAGATCAATTGCTCTCCGGCATATGTCGAATGCTTTGCGAAGATCTCCCGATTGCGCCGCAACCTTCTTGGACAGGAACATGATCGCAGTGGGTTGGATGAACGGGACATGGCTGGACTCGGTAGGAAGCAACGTCTTGAGTTTGGAAGTGATGACGGAGGATATTTGTGAGGCCGAGTATGGGAGAAAAGGCAGAAGGTGTGGTTTGAGCCCGCGAGCTTTGAGCCGGGGAAGGAAGCGGTCCGTGAAGTCGAGCGCGTTAGCGATGCCGACAAGAATGAGGCCAGAGTTCTTCTGGAGTGACCATTCGAAGATGCTGTACAGTAGATCCAAATCCAGTTCAAGCAGGTGGTCTACCTCGTCGAGAGTGACTATGTACGAGGTCTTGCGCTGCAGAAACAGCTTCTTCAAACTCCCCATCTCATTGCCCTCAGCGACCTCGGTGATATCCACAAACTCTTCCAATAGCGTTCTGAATAGGTCCACCGCATTCTTGATGCTCATGCAGTTCACATAGGCAGTCTTGACCCCTTCGGTTTGTGTCTCACGGCACGCATCGTTAACAAAGGCACTCTTTCCCGTACCGGGAGGACCAGAGACGTAGATGCACCCGGACTTCTTTGCTTTGATACGAGAGGAAATGAATGCGATGAGTTCGTTTCGCTCTGCATCACGTCCAAACAACGCGGACGGGGCGCTTCCTCTGGCAAAGAGCTGGCGGGCTTCATTGTACACGGTGGGCGCGGATGACCGTGGGGTGCTTGGGGTGTGCGGAGTTCGAGGGGTCAGGGGTCGACCGGCGAGAAGGATGCGGTGTCTCGGGGTGATTGCGACCTTGTTGGAGGAGGAAGCATCGCGGCGCCTGGGAGTCCGCGGGCATTTGTCCGAGTCTACGGCAGGCGCTTTCGATGGCGAGTTGCCTTGGATTTCTGCCAGGGGGCGATGTTCAGGCGCACCACGTTTTGAGGGAATTTTCCCAGCTCTCCTTCCTCTCTTCGCTGACGGCTGCTCGGCCTGCTCATCCACATCCGGAACGTTTTCATCCTGAGGACACGTCTTATGAGGAGTCACAAAAGGATTCTCATTTTCTCCCTCATCCAGAATCACGAACTGCGCGGCCCGCCTTGCGCGTGTTGTGCGAGGAGTAATGTCTGCGACGGTTGGGTTAGAGTTGCTCAAAGCTATGAAGAAGGGCTCCAGTGCACATACCTACTGCACCTTCAATGCGGGAAGAGGTGCGACTTCTCTTCCCGAGAACCGTGGAAGGCATCTTGCACAGTGCAAGCAGCTGTCCCACAAAGGTAGGCGCCGTGGAGGAATGGTGTGGTGGTGATGGGGAAGCTGCGCTGGGTTGAGGAGGAAGGAATGTTGAGGTTCGACACGGCAACCGCGACGCGACTCTACGCGAGCGCGTAAAGTGCTTTTAGCGCCTTGGCACGTCCCCAGCCACACCTGAGTACCTCTAACTAAACTCTTGTTCAAAGTGCCGACTTATTAACACACCATCATCTTCCATGTCCACCATCTTCTTCATCTGGTTTGCATCAGCTGGCTGTCACGTAAAGCCCTGTGTTGCCGCCAAATCGGTTCTCATCATCATCACGAAAGGAGCAACACGACAGATTTGAGAGCCTGCGTTCGTATTCACATCGATGCTTCGACGCCATTCGTCCAATCATTTACACTCATTACCCACGATATCTATACGGAACTATGAAGACTATCGATCGGGTTGCGTCAAACTGGGCATTTCATGGTGGAAGGATTTCCTCTTTTGGCAACTTCATCTTTTCGATGCCGTTTAAGGTATATAGTAGCTCAGGGTCTATTCCTTCTCAGCAGTACTAGTGCAAACCCGGATTTCACACATTCCTATGCCTTTGCTAAAAATGGTCCGTCCACTCAGCCCTCAAATCCTTTCCTTAATCCTCATTACTCGTGCAGCTGGTAATGCATTTCCTAAGCAAACTGGGCGGGATTCCTCTGCTCGAATCCATTGTTATCTTGAAAGCATTTTGTACTAACCTGGATAGCGAACCCCCTCACGCCTCCTCTACCTCCTGCTCAGGCTTGCTTCCAATCTTGGTCTCGCTACTCCTCCATCTCTGAGAGTCTAGGATCCCAGTCGTACACAACAAGCCTCACGCCTTCTGCATTTTGGTCCACCTTCCCAGCCGTCCCCACTTCGACCTTCTGTGACAACATCCCTCGTCTACTCGCCCGTCAGTACACCGCTTGGGTCACAGAATGGGTCCCGACAACAACGTATACCACGTGGTCGAGCATGACCAGCCCAACCCCGACTTGCATGGTCAACGAGGACGAATGCGCAAGCCTACGGTCCAGCTGGAGCATGACGCACACAACCGAAGACTCACTCGCGGATTTTCCGGTCCCGTGCACGACATACAGGCACTGCTCTTCTGATCCCGTTGGACCGTGCAGCATTACTGTAGGGGACACAGCGGACCTCATGAAGATCTACTACTGGCCTACGCCGGCAACCGAACCTCTCTGCCCCCAGAATACCACCACGCCTGTGTCGACTAGCCCTGCACTGCCCGAACTACCAATATCCGGCCCGCCTGTGGTGAAGGTGATCGACGGCCTCACAGCCACATCGCCTTCAATCTACATATCCATCCCTACCTTGTACGGGCGGTTCCGCGGGCAACCGACATACATGTTCACCGGCTGCGGCTCTCTACTCACATCCCTTACGCTATCGATTCCGCCATCGCCCATCTCCACGCTAAGTAAAGCGAGGCGGAGAAGAAGACCAACATACGGGGATCCGAGCTCTTTCGCGCTTAGCACGTTGAACTGGCCCGTCACGACGACAAGCAGCTGCTCGGTAGTGACAATATGTGATTGGGATGACACGATAAGCACATGCAACGACGTGCTTACTACGAAGTGTGCGACGCCGACGGTAGATCCGTTCAATTACAACCCGGTGCTATTGCTGCCGACGGAGCTGATAAACCTGGCTGCGGAGCACGATCCTGGTTACCGGAGCTGTGAGGTATGTTCTGAGGATACGCTGTAGATGAAGCAAGCTGAACTAAGATAATTTAGATTCATCCTGCGGCTGCTGCGTTTGCGACCTGGATCCCCATTACGACAATCCCGGGAGATCCAAGGTATACGGAGGGATGGTCGGCTACTCCGACGATAGAGCCGTCTACGGTTACGGCAACTGGTGCGCCTGAAACTACAAGTACTTCTGCTTGATGCTGCCGGAAAAAGGCGACCAAGAGATCAAGACTATGTTACTGTAACGTAGTTGACAAGCGAGTGGGTCAAGTGTGGCGGCCAGACTGTTGGGTCGTCGGTGGTGCACACGGCAGTCAGTGGACTTTTCCGGTTCGTACAAAGGCAATCGATGCGTCGCAAGCACACCGTAAATAACTACCTATGTATGTAACGAGCGGTCGCGTACAAGACTAACCTCTCTTATATAGCTATCTTGAGGAGAGTATCACTCCTGCACTACTACACTTTTTCGTGTAATTTTTTGTACAATTCTAGCGCGCGCTTAGTTAGGCTGGCTTAGCCTGAGGTGCAGCCGACTACTTGCGATGGTGCAGTTTATTAATTATGCTGAAGACATATTCTGTGCTCAACACAATACATATCAATAGAGCTATTGCGAGTCCAAGTGTGCCTCACGTGCACGCCATCACATGATTGGTTAGGCGGTGCCACAAATGGACAAGCTAACCCAACGACATCAGATCTCCAGGGCTCTCATTCCTCCGTTCCAAACTGATTCCCTCAACGCCGCACTCCGCTCTGGCATTATAACAGGCACGGACTTCCCTGCTCAAAAACTGCCCCTGGCTCCGAAGGCTCTTCCGGCAAAATCCCACACGGCCTCTTTACCCGCGTCGAGTATTCACACCTACCCTGTCTGCATGCTATAGTATGCAGACTTCACCATGCCAAGAGGATGAGGAGGGAGCAACTCATTCCCTAGTGGATGGCTGAGCTCATCCTTGAAGAAGAGCAGACCGGTACATGTGTCTATTGGTGCTGGAAATTAGCAACTCGTTTCTCCAGGAAAGCTGCCACACCCTCCTGGCAGTCGGCAAGCGAGAAACTGGAGTAATACAGGGCACGTTCAATCTGCAACCCCGCATCCAACGTTGTGGCCTCAGCTTCCTGCAGTCAGTCCAAATTCTCCGCAGAGTGGGGAGCCGCAACGAATGCTTACCCGCCACCACAGCTTGCTTTGCCAGCCCAACGGCCGGCGCAGAGAATGCTGCCACCTTCTCTGACATCTTCAGAGATTCTTCCAGCACATCCTGTTCAGTCGAGCAGACCTTGTTCAGGAGCCCCAGACGAAGCAGTTCCTCTGCGCTTATCGAAGCACCAGTCAGGATGAGCTCCATAGCCTGACAAGTCAATATGGGAGATTGCAAGCTTCTGGCCAAGCATTGAAACATTTGAAATCGACCGTTATGGCACAGCCCTTACCTTGTGTTTTCCAATCGTTCTGGCCAACCGCTGTGTCCCTCCCAATCCAGGAATCGTGCCGAGCTTGATTTCGGGAAACCCAAATTGAGCATCTGCAGAAGCCAGTATCATATCGCACTGCATCACAGGGGTCAGAGCGACGTTTGCGCACGGGGCAATCTGGGGATTATCCAAGCTTACCATGAGGGCAATCTCGAAGCCGCCGCCAAACTGGACTTTGGTTACTATGGACAGCCTTATGGGACACGTAGGGAGGCCACGCACAGCAAAGGTGCGCACCGCTGCGATGATTGGTTTCCGGAAGGATGTGAACGCAACCTCGAGATCCCTCAGCCACCCTATACGGTGCGCTTCAGCAGTGGTGAGTTGGCTTAACTCGACTAAGTCTGCCCCAGCTAGATCACATGTCAGTTACCACTCAATCGTCCAGCTGGTGTTACTTACCACTAAAAGGGGTCTGGCCGGAGCTTGTGAGAACAACGCAGCGCACGTTCGTGTCCAGATCGAGATGACGCATTGTGCCGGTAAGATCCGCAATCATGCGCCGTGAGAGCGCGTTTCTTTTACTGGGCCGGTTGAGCTCAATGATCGCAACGCCTGTTGATCTGACGGAGGAGATAACGGCCGATGGCTTGTCGATTTCGCATGCCATTGCCGTGGGCTTTGCACCGTCGTATCCGTGGATTTCAACGGAGGTCTTGGAGTCTTGGGGTACGTATTTTCACCGGTTTATATATTCACTCCCAACGGGTTCTACCGTCAGGTAGGATGCAAATGTCGGAAGAGATTCCTACACGGTCTGAACCGCTGGTCGCTTCACAGCGCGTGACTCCAGCTCTGTATGTCCGTCACGGATGGTGTTGGTTCGCTCCACGTGCTTTTAATATCTTATACCTGGTGGATTGCGCCATGTGAGCTAGTTGACATGTTCCCCAACCTTTCTCTCTTCCATGCTGTCGTTTCTTTTGAAAGTCACCTTTCACGGAAAGAACAGTCCTTCCTGCTTCCAAGTTTCTTGATTACGATATTTTCTTCTTCTTCCAATCGCTCTTCTCTGCTATGTCAAAGCAGTTGCATCATCTTCCAATTGTGGAAGTCATCCGTTCACACTACCCAGGATAAACATCCATCCCTGCAACCCCTCAGAACACCCAACCACCCATGATCCCTCCCCGCGCTCCGCTTGCAGCTCCGCACCAATGACCATGGAGCATGTCGATTTTGCAGATTGCAGCGCACTGCGTCAGGCCTTTCCAAGAGATCTCCTGCAAGCTATGCGAGCTTAATCGCCCAATCTCATAAATATCAATTTAATTCACCCCTCAAACCTTGGAAAGAGGAATAATGGACCCTCTATCGCACGCGAACGTGTACCGGCCAGATGCTCCGGACTATTGGAGTCCCGTTATACCTTGCCCGCGTGGTTCCTTCACTGCACAGGTGCCCGGAGTGTACATTGCGTATGCAAAGTAGTTTTGTTGGCAATGAGACTGGTACATATAGCCGCTGAGATGTCGATGGATCGCGCACCCTTATTCGAACGTAGCCGACGTTTATCTCTCCACTGCTCAGCAGTACAACGGCATGGAAGTTGTCCCCACCTTCCACGGGCTTGAGAGCCTGCCGCCGGGTGATCAGGTTCTGTTTTCTCGATTTGGGCGTGGCCCTTCCCTCCCTGTCCCTCATACAACGGTTCATGAGGCGTTCGAACATGCCGTGGATGCCAACCCAAGGGCTATAGCGGCGAGGTTTAAGGGAGAAACGATAACGTATGCAGAGCTAGATGTGGCAGCCAACAGATTAGCGAACCATCTCCTCGAGTCCGGACTGCAGCCCCGTCAACGAGTATGTCTTGTTGTCCAAAGATCGCTGGAGATGCTCGTTGGTATCTTTGCCACCTTAAAGGCCGGTTGCCAGTATGTGCCCATCGATGGCGGGGTCTCGTCGGAAACAGCTTTGCGGCACGTACTTAGGGATAGTGGGGCTCGCTTCGTTCTTTGTCTTCCAAAGTTTGAGGACACTGTGAAGCAGCATGCTGTGGAGAACACCATCATTGTAGCACTGGGAACGGGTGTCGAGACGTTTTGCTCGAGAGAGAGGCCGAACTTGAAGGTTCTCGGAAATGACGGTGTTTACGCAATCTACACATCGGGTATGTCACCAATTTGCTGACTTGGGTGAAACTGACAACTATCAGGAAGTACGGGCAAGCCAAAGGGCGTCGATGTTATGCATAGAAACGTGACAAATACTTTGCTTCTTGAGCCTGGAAAATTGGCCATCGGGCCAGGTACCAACGTCGCTCAAGTACTTAACATTGCATTCGATATGGGTCGGTCTATACACTACGAAGATCCTATTCAGCCGCTGATTGAGTGTAGGAGCTTGGGAGATACTCGCCTGTCTTATGAACGGAGGGACATTGCATATCAGGGACAGGAATTGGGAAGATACGCTGCGCGAAGTCGACGTGGTCATCACAACGCCTTCGATCCTATCAAAGTACCGGAGGAAAGATTATCCCAACATCAAAACCGTGGTTTCAGGAGGCGAGCCATGTCCTCAATCGTAAGCATATGTTCAACCCTCCAGGAATGAGAACTGATCAAAGTTCAGACTGGCAGACGAATGGGCAAAGAGCGCCTTCTATTACAATATATGCGGACCAACTGAAGTCACCATTCTAAATTCCGCCCACGCACATGTACCGGGTACACCTCTCTCAATTGGCCGACCGCTTCCAAACACTACCGTTTATGTCTTGGACGAAGACGAGAATCCACTGCCGATTGGTTCCAAAGGCACAATGTGGGTTGGCGGCGCCGGAGTATCTCGAGGCTACATCAATCTTCCTGAACTTACTGCCAGTCGGTATAAGAGAGACAAGTTCGCAGATGATGGGTGAGTTTCAAGCATAAGCAGTGGGTCTTCGCTCACCATTTCCAGAAGCATTATGTTCTCGACGGGCGACATCGTCAGCTGGCGGGAGGATGGCTCCTTGAACACATTCGGCCGGATAGATGATCAAGTAAAAATCAAGGTGCGTCAACATATCTATCCCGGGCTATAACACTAACGAGGGTAGGGCTTTCGCGTCGAACTTGACGGCGTAGCTGCAGTCATGGAGGTAAGTTTCTCCTTTCTATCATCTGGCCACTGATTGACCTTAACTAGAAATTCCCCGGCATCACAAGAGCATGTGCCACCCTGATTGATGATTTACTATATGGGTTTTACGCCACGACAACACTCATTGATGAGCACGACCTAGATGCGTTCGTTAGACGACATTTGCCCTATTACTCTGTACCCGAACGATGGACATATCTTTCTTCAATCCCGTTGACTGACAATGGAAAAGTCAACAAACAGCAGCTCGCTGCTTTGGCCCTCCGCCCTACCAGAACAAGCCTGGTCCACAGACAATCCACACTCAGGACGGAACGTTTGTACTACCCCGCCTCAGCGAGCTTCGTTTCACAGCGGGATGCCGAAAAAGGAGTCGACGTCGATGCGGTCGTCATATCGAGCCGACTTTCGGAGTTCAACGTATCCATTGCCAGTGTCGATGACGAGCCGGAGACACTTCCTGCGAAGAACGGCTTCCGTGGACAGAGATGGCTACGACATCGGGTTCTGATTGTTTACAGGAAATTCTTTACATTTGCCGTTATCGCAAACGTTGCGGCAGCAGCAACTATCCTTTATCTACGCGTCAAAAAGGACAGATATATGATGGCAGATATTGCAACTGCAACTGCAGCCAACCTCACCATGGCTGTGCTCATGCGGTCTGAGCTAGTCATCAACCTTCTCTTCACCATCTTCTGCTCAGTCCCAACTTCATGGCCACTCGCCATCCGACGGCACTGCGCACGGATATTCCACATCGGCGGAATACATAGTGGATGCGCAATTGCTGCCACGATGTGGTTTTTCATATTCACCATTGGAGGCAGCATGGAAATGACCAAACCCCCGGAAATCCGATGCATCGATGTCCCATCCCTAATTCTGACCTACATAATCATGATTATCTTCATAGCTATGGTTTCAATGTCGCACCCCACGATGCGGGCACAACATCATGATGCCTGGGAGCTGATCCACCGATTCGGCGGGTGGACTGCTCTATTGCTACTCTGGATCCAGGCATTCCTAACAACCAAGACGTTCCAATACGACCTCCCTCCTACAATTGCCTACCGATACTCGCCTCCCGTTTGGCTGCTCGCTGTGGTGACGATGGTCATCCTTTTCCCCTGGGTCCTGCTTCGCAAAGTTCCCGTACGGTCCGAAGTACTCTCCAGTCACGCCATCCGCTTACATTTCGACTACACCACACCCGTCGTTGGTACCTCTGTGCGCATCGCCGAACGGCCTCTCATGGACTGGCATGGCTTCGCCACCATAACCAATCCCAGCGGCAAGGGCTTCTCCCTCGTCGTCAGCAGCGCCGGCGACTTCACCAAACGCACCATCGAACGCGCACCGACTTCCATCTGGGTCCGTGGCATTCCCGCCTGCGGCGTCCTCCGCATCGCCACGCTATTCAAATCCATCGTCCTCGTCGCAACGGGCTCCGGCATCGGCCCCTGTCTTGCCGTCATCCTGGCCAAGAAGACTCCGTGCCGCATTCTCTGGACAGCACCGAACCCGGAGCAGACGTTCGGCAAGGAGATTATAGACGCGGTGCTCGATACAGACCCTAAAGCCATCATTCACAACACGAGGACGCAGGGGAAACCCGATATGGCGCTCGAAGCGTGGAAGATGTGGAAGGAGAGTCGGGCGGAGGCGGTGTGTGTGATTAGCAATAAGAAGGTCACGACGAGTCTTGTGTATAGGCTGGAGAGTAGGGGGATTCCGGCTTATGGTGCGATTTTTGATTCGTAGTGATGTGATTGGAGGAGGGAGGGGAGATCTGTCTGTGATGGATATGGGAGGGGTTCTGGAGGAGAGATTTTCCCAGGGAGAATCGATGTTTTTTCTGGAGGGTCAAATCCATTGTACATGTCGCATGAGAGTCATCTTGAGAGTCCTGCATTGGGGCGGAAGACATGCATCTACCATTTCAGCCAACCCTGAATGCAAATGTAGGAATTCTCTCACAGTAGTACTTTTGCATAATCAGGATCCTCCTTATAAGGATATCACAAAACAAACGGAATCCATTATTTCTACAAAGTGGTAGATTCTGCGATGATCACCAACCCTCCTCTTTTATACTATACCCAAAAATAGCCGATCTGCGCCGCACTGTGGCGCACAACGTCGTACGCGTACACGTCAGCCCGCTAGCGATCATCCTCTCCCTATCCTTGAGCACCCCTAATAAACAACCACATACATTCACAGCCTTTCCTTTCCAGCTGACTTCATTCTTCAGTTTTCTTTCCCATAGGCCTTCGTTAGTAGTCCTCACTCTCGTTCCGTCCTTCACTTACTAGAGTACCATGCCTCCACCCGCGCAGCTCGCCCAACTCGCCCGCCGCGCACTGCTAACGGCCGGGCCTGCCATTGCACAGCCACATATCGATATGCATCTGGCGAAGAGGGGGTTGAGCGTCAATAAGACGCAGGGTGTGACCTTAGGCGTGATTGCGGCGTATGTGGTTGTCATTGCGTTGCTCTGGAATTTGCCGTATGTGAGGTGGGTGTTGTGGCCTTTTAAGGTTTGTTCACGTCTTTGTGTCTGGTAAGAAGATGGGTAAGGGTGTTTCAGGGGGATGAGATGATATGGTTGAACGATCTTGGGACGGGGAGTAGTCAAGGTGAAAGTGGGTAGCTGACGTGGGATAGATGCTTGTTATTGCTTTTCATGAGTTTGGTAAGTCGCCATTCCCAAAAGCACACATGGGTAGGAAAGAAGGAATATTGGGGGAAAAGCGAAGAATAGAGAGTACTGTGGCGAAGCTGTTACGAGAAGAACAGATATAAGACGATGAGGAGAGGAAGAAGACTGATCCACTGCACAAGTCCGCATACTCACACCCTCCCAGGCCATGCCATTACCGCAGTCCTCACGGGTGGAAAAGTCAAGAGCATTTCTCTCGACCCTCACGAGGGGGGCGTCACGCACATGCTCGGCGGGAAGCAAGCCTTCACGCTACCGGCAGGGTACCTGGGTTCCAGCCTCATCGGCGCCCTTCTGACGTTCTGCGGCTTCAACATCGTCGCCAGCAAGGTGGCGAGTATTGTCCTAGGAGTGTGCTTCCTGCTGACCCTGTGGTGGGCGAGGAAGGATTGGTTGACTATCGTGACGATTTTGCTTGCGGTGGGGTTGTTGGTTGCTTGTTGGTTCATCAAGCATGCGGAGGCGTTGAGGTTCGTTGTGGTATGTCTTGCCTCTCTTTTTCTGCTACTCTGGCCCGTCAAGCTTTCAATCGGTGGTCAAATTTTCTTTCGGTCGATTAGTTGTTCGGCGATCCGTCTCCCGTTCCGTCGTCAAGGTTAACAATCCGGCAGCTTTTCATCGGCGTCATGTCCTCTCTCTATTCCGTCTGGGACATCTGCGACGACCTCATCCTACGCAAAGTCAATTCCTCGGATGCCAGCGTATTCGCCAAGCGCTACGGCGGCTCTTCACAGTGCTGGGGCGTCATCTGGTCGCTCATCTCGTTGTGCTTCATGGTGGCCGGGATTCTGGCGGGCTTGGCGGCCTTCAAGCAGAGTGCGGAACAAATGGAGAAGGATTCGCAGGGGTTCATTCCTACGATGAAGTTTTGAGGTAAGGATGAGGGTGGCTGTTGGTTCTTGATTGTAGCTTTGGGCGTTGAGGGCGTTTGGATGGTCACTTTGGTAGGAAGTGCAGGTGGCCGAGTATATACCCCATGAGTTTTCCATTGCAGAATGCTATTATTGGCTTACCATCATTTGCCAGATCGTTTACTACAACTCTAAATACCAGCATCCCATGATGACGGCGGCGTCCCGGAATCCCAAGCGCTTCACTGGTAACCGCCCTTGTGGTGTCGTCCGTCCGCAAGCTGGGAATAATATGCGGAGGCGGAGTTCTTCATCCGGGCCAAGGTGAGTGTGGATGTATAGCTCACCAACTGCTCGAACAGCAAGGATCATCGCTTTTTTCATCTTTCCCCTATCGTGGTGGCCTCGCGTTTTCAGGGATAGGCCGCCGTACTTCACGAAGATGATTCATACGTGCTCCCGTTCGCTGGATTTTCCACCTTTCATACCGGACCCTGATGGCACATTGCGGATTGAAGAGCAAGAAGAAGTTAGTACGACAGGGCAGAGAATAAGGTCAGAATGGGGAAAGGAAGGTCTTCACGAAGCCTCCCAAGTCGTCTTCCCTTCCTATGTCCTGCTCACAAGCACACAGATTCCCTATTCTATGCATAGATAGGGCTTCGTACTGGACCTTTATTTGCGGCATGTCGATATCTCAGAGCGCAACCACCGACGATGTCCTGTCCGACTTTTGCTCCTGTCTTGGAACCGTTTAGGAGTGCAATAATGACTTCAACCATGCGGCAGATGTCTACCCTGGCATACGATGGTCAGTGCATCCGACCCTGTAAGCCTCTTCACCACGTGCGGCATCGCGCCTTCTCGCGAGTCATTCCCGAGCGGGGCGACCCGTACCCAGCAAGTGAATGCTGTTATCACGTGATATATCTCAGGCGTCATTCGTAAAGACATGGCTTGAAGTCCTCTCTGTCTTCCTCTCGCTGCGGACTCTGCCCTGAGTTCTCAGCACCTAGCCTGCTAGCCGAGCAACTCCAGCTGGAATCCGCCAACAGTTGCTTTGCTCAAACAGACGGATCGACATGGGAATTGCCTCAGGGCTGGGGCCCTTCAGCCCCATTCCCGGAGACATGTATCCGCCGCAGCGCACGGGCGGTAGCGTGGCAGCCAGACTCTCAGCAACCCCGCCTGTACGGAGTAGATGGGGTGTTCCAACTCGCAGAAACCTAACGATCCGACCAGGAGTTCAATGTTCTTACGGCAGTCTGGATCCTCCTGCTGTCCAAAATTCCTTTTGCCAGAGTCAGGGCCCAATCGAATGGCATGCGAAGGGCCTGCCCCGCTCGCTCAACAGTAGAGTTTTGACTCGCATGAACATGCTGCGTGCATATACAGGATGTCTGGCTTATTGAAATTTTCAAAAGAAAGCTCGTCCGAGGCCTTTCTCGCCTCGCTTAAGCATCTTGCTCGCGCAGTCACGAACAATTGACGGGTAGAGATACGCCGAGCAAGCTTTGGCGTAGTGCAATTCGAACGGGATTCGACAACATAAGCACCTGTAGTATCAACGACTGGAATCCCAAGCAAAAGTACCGGCTAGAACTTGCGGTACAGCTTCCATGCTAACGTCTTCGGGACCCGGTCTTCGGGGAGCAGGGCTTCAGACAAGACCGCGCTACGGCCTCACGCAGTGAACAAGCTTTCACCCCACAGCTGTTCATCGCTAGTTCTTCACACCGCCTGCTCCGTGGAACGCCTTTCGTTGAGCTGGTAGCTTGGCTTGCAAGCGAAAGGCCGAACGTGACTACAAAAGGATGTAGCACCACCATACCTTGCAGACTGGAGCCTTTCGGACGGCTTTTCGTACGATCGTCGCAAACCTCTGAGTCTCTAAAACTTCTCGTGAATATGTCGATCGGAACTTGGTCGTTCCACCCTCTGGTTACCTCGTTTCCGGGAACTGTATTTCCAAATGTGCAGTTTTGGAATGTTACCAATGGAACTTGGGAGTACCAGGTGCAGCTTGCGTATCCTTTGAACTGGACGTCGACCAACGTTGACAGCACCGTGGACACCATGTGAGTGGTCTCTAGCGTCAAGCCAATACATGCTGTATCCTGTACTGATGTCGAATAGGTATGTTCTCGATGGCAACGCATTGGGCATGACCGCCACAGAAGCGTTCCGTCGACGTCGACCCGTCGAGTCCGCTCAGCCGGACACCATCATCGTCAGCATTGGATACCCCGACACCATCCCCGACTCACCTTACAGCCTTCGCCGCGGCTACGATTTCCAGCCGCCAGTCTGCGCGACCTGCCCTCCCGCGCCCCTCCCCGGCGTCCCCTCCAACGCGGACAACTTCATCGAATTCATCGACGAGGTTCTCCGCCCCTGGGTCCGCAACACGGTCTTTGCTAACGTCGATTTCTCTCGCGATGCTCTGTACGGGCACTCGTTCGGTGGCCTGTTCGTCCTCTACGCTCTGCTCATGCGCCCAGATCTCTTCGACACCTTCCTTTCCGCTTCCCCCGCCCTGTATTGGAACCATGGATACATTCTCAACCAGCTGGGACCCCTGACAAACGCCACCACGCCCCCTCCTCTACCTACCAAGCCAGCTTTCCAGATCAGCTATGGGGTCCTGGAACAGTACCCCGTGAAGCGGCGGACGGAGACGCAGGCCGAGTTCCAAGCGCGCAAGAGTCTCTACGAGTCGCTGCAAATGGTCACGCTGAGCAACCAGCTGTACGCTGCGATCAAAGACAGCCCCAAGTTGCGGAATGTGAGTTTGCGGCCCTATCCGTCCAGCGATCATGCGGCGGTTGGTGCGGCGGCGCTGGCGGATGGGATTGATTATTTCTTGGATTGGTAGTGTGTGGTTTTTGCTGTTTGCGGTATGTCATTCGTAGAAAGTTGGAATGAAACATCGAAGGTAAAACACTACAGCATACAGCGCATGTTGTATGGCCTGGCGAGCTCGAGCATGCTGAAGATTGCCGATGTTGCTGTGCTGCAACATGAGACTATAACCGTTGCTACAGCTTGGGTTCATACTTGTGTACTACTAGTAGATACCTAGTAGCTATTGAGTATATACTTAGAATAAACTGCCGAGATCAAGGCGGGGCGACCCATGGATCCACCTCGAAGGGCCCATAATGACGTCGCATATCACCGCCGAGCAACTCCATTATTTCCACACCCGCGAGGGAAAAAAAATTCACCTCGATGAAAATCCTCAGGTAGTCGTGTCCCATAGCAAGAGAATGCACACCATCTCCACCTACAAATCACCATGGCAAGCTCCAACCTGACACGCCCACACCTCCCGCAATCCGTCTCGGAACTCAGTATCCACGCCAACGCCGTCCCCCGACCCAGCACCCCAAAATCCCTCGCCCAACTCAGTCCCAACGGCCCCCTACCCGTCTTCCGCCTCAGCGGCCTCGTCGCCCTCATCACCGGCGGCGCTGGCAAGATAGGCCACGAAACGGCCCGTCGTCTGCTCCGCGAGGGCGCCAACGTCTGCCTCGTAGACATCAGTGCCGAGGCGCTGCGGGCCGTTGTTGAAGACCTGAAGAACTTGCTGCAGACGGGGCAGGCGGTGCGGTCGCGGATCCTGACCATTGTGGCCGATGTGACGGTGGAGCAGGCCGTGGAGGAGGCCATGCGGAAGACGGTGGCTGCGTTCGGGAGGCTGGATACGGCGTTCCTGGGCGCCGGGGTACCGTATGCGTCACATGTGCCCAAGAGCATATTCGAGACGACGGAGGAGGATTATGAGAAGATCATGCCGTTGAATGTCAAGTCTGGTGGGTGTGCCCTTCCTCAGGAGACGTCTTGGAAGGATGTTGTGAGAAGGTATGGATTTTGACGACTAACTATATGACAGCCTTCTTGGGCCTAAAACACGCAGCTCTCGTAATGCGCGAGCTGGGCCACGGCGGCTCCATCATCCTCGCCTCCTCGATAGTAGGACTCCGGGGCAGTCCCGGTTACGTCCTCGACGCTACCTCCAAAGCCGCTCTGAACGGCCTCGCTGCCACAGCTGCCAATGAGCTGGGCCCGTACGGAATCAGGGTCAACACCATCCATCCCAGTGGCCTGGCTAGTACCATTTCCGAAACGGTGGAGACGCAGGAGGAGTTGGAGAGTATGAAGAATGCTATTCCTTTGGGGAGATTTGCACGAGTCGACGATATCGCCAGCGTGGTGGCTTTTCTGGCGAGCGAGGATTCAAAATTTATGACTGGAGGTGATTTGAAGGTCGACGGGGGAATCTTGAGCGGTTGAGGAGCTGTGAAGGGTTGGGAGCAGAGCTGAAAGGGAGCGGGTATCATGGTTATGGGCCCCAAGAAAGCGAAGCACATGGGATCCCGTTTGAGAGACATTCAGGAAGCACCCCAGGTTCGCCCGGACTCAGAAGATCCACCAATCGAGTGCAAATGTTGATCGGGAAATGTAAAACGAAGAATCACTGGAGAGTTCGCACATAGGGAATCGATGACTGAAGGAAGGGTCGTACATGAGCATCAGACTAACTTCGTTTAGCTCTCTTCTTAATGATATCCGACGCCTAGTTAGATTAGCATTGTACGTTTAAACAAGTTGAAAACACAGTTTGATCTGTCGACTTACCTTCTCCGCAACCGCGTAAACCGTCGCACTCAAATGTGCACTCGGAATCAGCGGCATGATACTTGCGTCCACAACACTGAGTCCCTTCGTCCCATACACCCTGAGATCTGGTGCCACGACGCCTCCCAACTCCCTGGGCAGCATGGCAGCCGTGCCCGATACATGAAAACTCGTTGGACCAGATGTGGCACGCACGTGTGCTTCCAATCCTGCCGTATCAGTGACGTTTGGCCCCGGACCCAGCTCCACTGGCTGCAGAGGAGCCAGCGACGCTGTTTTAAGTAATTTGCGCGTGAACTTGACGCCTTCGATGGCGTACTCCACATCCAGGGGATTGCTGTACACGCGGAAATCGATTATAGGGGGGCCATAAGGATTGCTCCCGTTGATGTGGATATTCCCTCTAGACAGCGGTTTCTGGAGAATGACGGTGCGAGAACAGGCGCCATTGAACGGGGACTCGTAGATGGCAGCATCATTCCTGGCGTAGAGGGAGGCGAGGACTTTCTTCTGGGCTGCATAGCCTGCCACAACAGTCGAGGGAAGGCTTGGAGGCAGGTATGCCCCTGGTTCCTGCGCTGCGAGTTTGGCGAGGAAGGATTCCGGGGAGGAGTGCGTTCCGTTCAGAGGCAGGAAGACGACAGCATTGGACATGGAGAGCGTCAGAGGTCCCGTTTTGTTGGTGTTGTATTGGGCGAGGGCTTCGGCTTGAAAGGTCTGGTTGGTTTCCAGTGTCCCTTGATTCGGCCAGAAGTCATTTGTGTCTACGGCTAGTGAGTGACAGGATCTCCAGAAGAGAACAGCAGCATACAGTTGCAAATCAACTTAGCTTGCGGATGATCCTGAAAATTCTCGCCAACGCCGGGGAGGTCGACTCTGGTTTGGATTCCTGCTGCCTCCAAAATGGCTTTTGGGCCTATCCCACTTAACTGCAGAAGCTGAGGCGTGTGGGCTCCTCCGGCTGCCAGAATGGTCTCCCTCTTTGCTTTGACAACGGATTTCTCGTCAGGCTTGTCTCGATCGTATATCACAACGCCTTCGACTGCGCTCCTCGATGACAGCAGAATCTTTTCAGCCTTGTGGCCGATAAAGAGATGATAGTTGGGCCTCTCCCGGACAGGGTCGTAGTATCCGTACCTCGCATATGACCTGGTCTGGTTCTTGGAATGCTGCGATGCAGGGAGCCAGAATAGACCGACTGCCTGACCGAGGGCATGGTCCTTGGGACCAGTGATATTGAGATCGTCCCACGCGTCCCACATGAACTCTATAGATATATCAGTTCTCTAGCATCAAGCAGACCCATCGAAAAGATAAACGTACTGAAATTTGGCCACTGGAAATTGCTGAGCGTGGCTTGTATCGGCCCGCCACCGTAGGCTGCCTCGTCCCAGGTGTAACCATATTTCTCAACAGCCTCTCTGCTCGGTGGCGTCCACGTCGCACTCTTTTTGAAATACTCAAACAACCCATCCCAGCCCCATCCTGGATTCCCCAATTCTTCCCAGGAATCGTAATCGGCCTTTGTGCCGCGATCGAATACCATCCCGTTAATCGCAGAGCTTCCACCTACGACAGCTCCAAGCATATACACTGTCGATGCATTGTTGATGCCTGGCTGGGGTACAGTGGGCTCAACGAACCGGTGCCTCGTGCATGACGGTCCTGTTATTCGCGCGACTGGGGAAGTTGGCATCCAGATGCAGGGATCGTCGCCAAAGTAGCCATACTCGACAACGAGAACGTTCACTAATAGGATGGTCAGGAGAGGGAAAAAGGTTCCCTCAGGTTATTCCACGCACCGGATGGGTCTTCTGTTAATCGGTTCGCAACCACTAGCCCTGACGTGCCTCCACCGATAATGACATAGTCATACGAAGTCCGAAGTTCGTGCACTGAACGCTTGACAGATGCGGAACTTGCCAAAATCGATGCAGCATTGACGGAGCATATACCAAGACAAACTGCAGATAACAGGTGCACCATGGAGCAGCGCAGAACCAGCATGGTGTGAGCTTGGAGTTGAGACCGGGGATTGAGAGTAACGGCGTCGAGGACGGAGGGACGTGAGCATCTTTATGAACTGCCGAAGGGTCCTGTTCGACGAACATGTTTGCATTCGCACGTCAGCTTCTCAGCTTAAAACTCCCCGTAGAGAGACCAATGCCAGAGCTCTGTCCCCGACCATGCAGGTACGATCCTTGACAATACATGCTGGCAGGGTATAGTTAGTGCAGCAGGTCAGCCAGGGGTACTCCACAGTCTCCATAGCTCAGAGTCTGAGCACGCCGGGGTGGTGGACCCGTAAGGCGTCCGAAAAGGTGGTGGTGAAAACCTTTCTTTGCAGCACATGCGTGAGGCCCAGGGCCATTGTTGTCATACATCTCGATCAATGCTGGTGAGACTTGGTATTTTGAATTGAATATGTTGTGTAACCGGTAAATACGAGAAAGAGACGGGCCAGAGAGAAATCGACGAATAGAAATTAGCACTGATGGGGAAACAAAGTGATCGCTTACTCTGCCTAACAAGGCTCATTACTACTATAGTATCCATGGTATTTACGAACGGATAGCGAACTTGGAATTGAGAACAGTCGAGATGGGTCGACTGCCATGAATTCAGAGGATGAGAAGAGGTGGTTGACGTTGAAGTAACCTTAAAGAGCTTAATGTTGACTTAATCCTAACAGGGCAAGGCGGGGCCTTTCGTTACGAAATACACTACCTGGATGGCCACACAGAGCTTGTCAGCATTTCTTACGCAACCTCGATCCATTGTGCGGCCTTTCGTCCCATGCCTCGAGGCCTTGTCCATTTCGTCTTTCACAGCTTCTGCGAGCCGTCACATCTGTCAGATTGTCCTCATCCCTTCTGCGGCACCCGCGGGGATCTCCTCACCGCCTCCCATCGCCTTGCCCTGTCCAGATTCCTCAAGGTTCGGAAGAGCGTCACGCGGAGACTGGGAAACCACCCACCTGCATGCGGCGCTGCTCTGGCCACCCACCACCCCGCTCGTTAGGCGGCTTGGTGAACGCCCAATCCTCACAGAAGGAAGCAGCATCAACGTCATGCCTCCTCCAGTCTTCATCTGGTCGCCTCCTCGACCCCTCACCACAACCATGATGTTGTCACTTTCTATGCCACTGCTATCGCTCTCCATGTCTGTCGGTTGATTGACACCCTCCGCCTTTGAGACGCTCCTCTTCTCTTGCCGTTGAAGCTACCACAATGCCAGGCGTCGCCACCCCATCTTCTCCTCCAGCAGCCGCACCACCTCCTCCACCCCACACCAAAGCGCAAATCCTCGCAAACGTCTGCACGCTCGCCGCACAATTCAGCTCATGCGTCGAAGTCTTCAACCTCATCCACCCGGCCAAACCGACCGACCATGCCCAGCGCGTCGCCCTCGCCAAACTCGGCATCCAGCAGGGCCGCCTTTTGATCTGGGGCGACGCCGTCGGGATATCCGCTCCTCCTCGCACCATAGCCCGGTCCATGATTCCGAGTCGACCCGCGCCGACGAATCCCGATCCCACATTGCCGGTGCCTTTCGCCCTGCGGAATCCCAGGCTCGACGAACCGGAGACATACCAGAAGGTGCGGGCCGCGCTGAACCAGATCGCAGGAAGACCGGCGTATCTCACTCGGGAGGAGCTGATGGCCAAGTATGGGCTCAAAAGCCCCAAGCGCTTCGGACCAACTTTGTTTGAATATCCCGCCTTGGATACGAACCGTCTGGAGTCGTTTCGAGAGAAGTATTCGTTGCTGCAGGACTTGGCCAGGCAGGAGAGAGGGAGACCCGAGGGCAGGCGCGGCTTGAGTATGACGGCCCAGCGGTGGGTCGTGCAAGACGTGAACAAGTTTTGCGACTTCATAAGCACGATCAAGACAGAGGTGGATGGGTTGGTGGAGTTGATGGGCGTCAAGGAGCAGGTGGACCGCGGAATGAAGTCGGACATCCGGGCTATGGGATGGCATCCCGATCTTTCCAAGCAAGCTATCAGGCAGGATTCGGAGAAGCTGCGGTTGATTCGTGAAGCTTGCCGTGTCGATTACCCCGAGTACATTGAGGTGACTGAGACGGCGCTCAAGAATCTCGGAGAGGAACTCAGAGAAGCGGGGGAGCAGGTGCGGTCCGCGTCACTGCCATCCAGTGTGTATTCGGCCATGGCGGTCGCCGCGGCTGAGGACGAGGGCGGGGTGACCTTGGAGGAGGAAGAGCAGGAGAGGCGGCGCACGACCGAGGAGAAGGACAAGGAGAAAGAAAGGGAGAAAAGCCCTGGGTTCTTGTCGCTCTTCAGGCTTCCGATCTGGTCGCGTTCACCTAACAAACTCCCGCAAAGAGGGACTAGGAGTACGCCTACCACCCCTGGCCCAGGTAGTCTCCTTGCAGACGAAGGGTCCGAGGAAGATAAGCCGCGCCAGCGCTTCCAGTCGGAGGGTTATCTTACAGCCGTCCGGTCGCTCGAGCGGCGTGTCGGTGCGGATGAGGAGCCGGAGCACGATGATGAGTTACAGTCTGAGCGTTCGAAAAGCATGTCCGCGGTGTCAGACGAATTTACGCAGTTGCGACCAGTTGATAGCCTGTTGTCCCAGCTAGGTGATGTGCCGACTCTAAAGGAAGAAGGCGGAGTGGTGTCTTTACCTGCGACGAATACAGCGGATAAGTTGGCTAAAAGACATGACATGCCCAAGGGACCTGGGGGTGTGGAAACGGAGGATACCCAAGTTAAAGCTCATGACTGGGCAGAGGGAGGCTGACATGTTGCTAAGCAGAATAGCGGAACTGAAGATTTGAACTTCCAGGTTTGCTACCCTTCCTCACGCGATGCATCATCTGTGCATAAAAGCATGTTCAATGGAATGGCATTAGGGTAGGAGTACTATAGTCTTCACTAAAGGTGCCTGGTATCTAGGAACCCCCTGTTGCGCCAGAACGTGCAGTCCCATTAGCACATCGCCTAAACTCCAGCCTTGTTGCATCAACAGAATCCCTTTGTGCACCTTAACCATGTTGTTTTAAGTCAAGACAGACTTCGCATCTCCAGCACCTTTCTTCCTCCCACCCTTCTGCTGCGCCGCCTCGTGCTTCTTCAAGTCTTCCGGCACCTTGCTTATCTGACTCTTGCTGAGCATCTGCTTGAGATCGTACAAGACGTCCGCATCCTCATTACCCCAGAACGTGATTGCCACACCACTCTTACCCGCACGTCCCGTACGTCCAATACGATGTGTGTACGACTCAATCGTGGAAGCCATGTTGAAGTTGACGACGAGACTCACATCCGGAACATCGATACCGCGGCCAGCAAGGTCGGTAGCGACCAAGACATCCGTCTGCCCTTTACGCAGACTCTCGAGCGCAGCCTCGCGCTGCTCCTGCGTCTTGGAGCCATGCAACGTGACGGCGCTGAAGCCCATGTGCTTGATCTCCCGCGCAATAGCGTCGCAGTTGCGCTTGATGTTGACGAAGACGATGATGGGCGGGCGGAACTGGCCCGAGTTGAGGATCTCCTGGAGGCGCTTTTTCCGTTTATCCTCTCCCGGAATATATTCAACCCGTTGCTCGACGGTTTCGACCGCCTCGCCTTGGTTACCGATGGTCACGATGGCTGGGCGGCGCAGGTATCTGCGAGCGATGCGCTCGACGGGTGGAGGCATAGTGGCTGTGTACATCATAGTTTGGCGGTACAGTCCCTGTGACATTGCCGTGGCGTCTTCGGCGGCATCAGAATCCGGTTTTTCGTTGCTCACGGGTAAAGAGTCCAGGATCTTATTAACACTCTCTTCGAATCCCATATCAATCATCCGGTCGGCTTCATCCATAATCACATAGCAGCACTGGCTCAGAACCAACAGACGACGCTCGATACAGTCGACGAGACGTCCGGGTGTGGCAATGACAATTTCCGCACCGTCCCGTAACTCGAATGCCTGTTCCTCGATCGAGTGGCCACCAACCAAGACTGCTGTTCTAAAGCCCAGAGGGGTGGCAAACTTGTTCGCTTCCACCTGGATTTGCTGTGCCAGTTCTCGAGTGGGAGCCAAGATGAGGGCATAAGGACCGTCCTGCTTGTTCTGAGTTGTCAGGGGAGGAAGCTTCGATATGTAGACCAGCAAGGGCAGCAGAAATGCAGCTGTTTTGCCCGAACCTGTCACAGCGACACCGATGAGATCGCGGGATTGTAACGCGATGGGAATCGCTGCTCGCTGAATGGCGGACGGCTCGCTGTATCCAACCTCATCCACGATTCGGAGCAGCTTGTCCGGCAACCCAGATTCTTGCCAATTGCGCATTGGGTTCGGAATGGATCCGCCTTTTGTGGCGATACCGAAATCTTCCTTCATGATACGCCAGTCACGCTCGCGCATCTGCTCCAAGGGTTTCTGCGTCCAATGCTTGTCCAAGGCAGCACGGCTCCCTTCTTCCTTCCGCCTACGCTCCATCTCCAGAATGGCTTCTGCGCGCTCTCTCCCCGTCAGAGGATCTCTGGCCACCATCGCCTCGATGAACTTCTTTGTACCAAGCTCAGCGATCTCCTCGGTGAAGCCACCTAATCTCCCGCGTCCAAAAAAGTTAACCTCTGCCCTGTCTTGATATATCGGATTATGGTCAATGCTTGTGTCCTCATCTTCATTCCATTCGAAGTTGAACTTCTTCTCCGTTGTCCGTCTCCGCTTCTTCTTTGCGGAGAAAGTAGACTGAGCTTGTTCCGCGCCCATGTAGCGCTGTCTAATCATCATCGCTTCCGTGTCTTCTGATGCTGATCGCGGCGCAGGGCGTTTGTCTCCCGCCTTCGGTACCGGTGGCGGAGCCATGTCTCCATTGGCATTGTTACGGGTGGACGAAGGACCGCTCGGGATTTCGCCAGTTCGCATCGCACGCGGGCCCGTCGGAATGGCCGTCGCGCCATTGGTCTCATGGCTTGGTCGACCGTTCAAAGCCCCGTTTTGTGTAATGCCATTGGTAGCTCCGTTCAGAGATTGCTCTCTCTTCTTTCGCGCTTCTTCCTCCTCTTTCTGCCGCTTCTCAAGCGCAAGCTTCTCTCTTTGGGCTTTCGTAAGGAACTTTGGCTATTATGTTCATGTCAGTCATAGGGTCTCAAGACTACGCAATGTAAATATGGCACAGCAGGTGGGGTTAGAGGTTATTCCTACCTTAGTAGCAGCAGCCTCCTGCTCCCTCTTTAACCGGAGTATATCGTCAATACTGGGCGGTTGTTTCTTTGCGGCTATCTTCGACGTGCCATTCTTTCTTGGTTTCGCAAGTTGGGGACCCAGTTCCTCCTCTTGCGGCGGAGGCGGAGGTGGGACTCCCGTCGGCGGAGGGGGCGGAGGTACCGCGCTCGGAGGCGGTGGAGGCGGCGCAGAGACTGAGTTCTCCATCTTCCTGTTCTCCTAGTTTGGAGTGTATGAATGGAAAATGAGAGAGACTTTCGGCGGCGAATGTAGTTGGAGTCTGTATGCCAAGACCGATCAGATAGAAGCCTCGGCACGTGACTGGACATCAGCCTAGACCACATTCATGGCAGCTTAGTCTTTCTCTCACCATCTCTCATGGACTTGTGCAATCACAGCTATCAACAACAACCTTTCGAAAGCCTACTTAGCTAACCGCCGAAGAAGTAGAAGTGTTATTCTCGCTATAGGCCCGAACGATTTGGTGTTGTCCCTCCAGTCGTGAAAACTCTGGTTCGCTGAGAAGGCATTGAGCACTAGGTATTGCAAGGAGCGTCTCTCTTCTCTGTTCAGCGACAATGCTTCGTCCTCACTGAGCTTTGGCATGTTTAGATTGGTCTCGAGTTTGCCCGCGGGGTGTGTGAACTGTCATTGGACCTTCGTCGTCGCTTTGTCCTGCGTTACGTCTTAGGTGCTTTTCCGGTGCCTTCCCCGCAGCTAGCTACTGATGGCCATTCATCGCTTGCTGGCGTCATTGGTAATAGTAGCGGTCGGTCCAGTACCCTCTATAAATCCGTCAATGCCAGTTTCTCTTCAATCACTGTTACGCATCACAGACACATGCACAATGAGGTCAACCGTCTACGAAAGATTCTCGAGTGACGAGGTTACGGACAAGATGCTCGAGGAAGCATCAGAGCTCTTCTCCGAACACTATGGAGTTTGGGCCAAGCAAGCGGAGCAGGTAGAGGGGCCGCATGGTAAAGCCGGTGAGTCGGGTTTCCTCTCACAACGGTACAGATGATATGACTGTATATCAGGTGAGCACGTTCGACTCAGCAAAGAAAGGCTTCGCAAGGAGCACTTACCGGGTGACACGTCGTTGTATGTGAGAGTCACCGTCGACGGTCGTCTTGCTGGCAATGCTCTGGCCGCTCGCTGGACTGCGAACGGTCGGCGTATCTGCTGGGTCTCCCAATTGGTCATTCACCGTGATTACCGTGGATTTGGTCTTGCGACTGGACTCCTCAAACAGCTCAAGGTGGACGGCGATGATGTCTACGGCATTGCAAGCTGTCATCCCGCTCATATTTTGGCTTTCGCAAAAGCGTTCGGAAGTGAGTCGATAGAACTACAAGCGTCGTCGGCTGGCTGCGTGCTCATCTCTGCCAGGTTGCATTCATACCGTCTCGCTGGATTTCATCAAGCAAAATGCGGCGTCGATAATGAAAACTTCGCCAGTGGAGTATATCCGAGATGCTAAATTACGTGGCAGCCTCTTTGATCCCTCAGATAAAACTGGACTCGTGTCTGGCATTGATACCAGGTTCTTTGTTGATCATAAAGAGCCACTTGAAGCGCTGGCATGGGTGAAGAAGAATAGGGAGTGGCCTTTGGGTGAAATGCTTGAGGGGGACGAGTTCCTGCTGATTGTTGAAGCCACGCGGCCCCAGGCGTCGAGATGATAGGTTTCCTCTCAACTTCAAAAGCTGAGCTCCGTTCTCCTTAATGCCTGAACAAATTGCTGCTAAACACTTCGAAAGATGGTATAATGTATGTAATCTTAGTATACAACTCATACTCCTTTTTATCTCATCAGCTACACTACGTTGTTGTGTTGGAGAAAATAGGCCTTGTATTTTAGGAGATAGAGTACCTTTGTTTCTGTCCTCAGGGCGGGCGGTGCTCGATTCGAACGCTGCGCGTGGAACGTCTTGAGCCAGAGTTGGAACAGATCCAGCAGAGCGATAAGCTACATGAATCGCATTGGATAGCAAAGCCTTCTATTGCAGCTAAACTATCCCTTCATGCTCGTAAACAAATGTTCAGTACGAGCACATGTGCCTTCTTGCCAGAGTCATATGTTAAACCTTAGAAGTCATGTCTGCCCCTCACCACGGAGAGAACGCCCAAATGCGCCAATGCTGCTTCCTTGCCATTGAAATCTTGCCTGCTCCTCAATCCTGTCGCCCTTTCAATAGCCTCTTAGTGACCTTGCCCTTCTCAATTATATAGACGTGTGCACCCCAACCCGACAAAGCGTCACGATCCACAGCGTTCAGCAGCGCTTGGGAGATGGTCTCGAACAGCTCTTCTGGACCCTACACACAAGTCAGCTATTTGTGACCAGGTATACTATGTATACCAAACACGCACCAGGTCGGGTTCCCACAGGCCCTCACATGTGCCAAACAGCTGATCACTTGCAGTACCACTGACGATGAAGTCCTTGGCGAAGTCGATACACCCGATACTGTCAAATCCGCAGATGAAGGGCTTTCCCGTCGTCTGGTTGATCCCCGCAATCACTGGCGACACGAAATAGGGCCCGAATCTCCGCTCATACAACGTTGAGCTGACGAGGTTGGCCATGGTTTGGGGAGAGATGTTGCGCTCCTCGCGGAGCCGGTACATGTTGACCTTGTAACGGAAGAGATCGGAAACGGTGGAGACGTCGGTGGCGAGTCCTGTCAGGCCCAGGTATACGTCGCCGTACTGGAAGATCTTGGGGAAGTTGTTGGAGACGGTGAGGGCTTGCATGCCTAGACGGAGATCGCAGGCGATAGCAACGCAGTCCTTGCCCACCATGGCAACGCAGGCGCCGCCATCTAGATTTGTTAGGAATCCGGAAACTGAGGCGAGCAGTAGGTGACCGTACTTATTGAGAATGGGGACGACTGTCCCGGTCAGCGATGTGCATGTTATAGCGGAGTGGAGTGGAGTGGATGCTTACCATAATTGTGATTGAGGTGATTTAGAGAGCTTCAACCAAGTCGGAATTCGCAGAGTTCAAGTGCACCGATCTGTGAAGCAAAAGGCAGAAGACGCAGTACAGACGAGCCAGAATGTTGTGTAGGATGTTGGATACTACTAGTAGGTAGCAAGCTGGACGCGCACTGCGTCGCCTAGAGCTCCAGTGCCAAGAATGTCCGTGCGCGAAATTCCTCCACAACCCTCATCTCCGCATGCACTCTCCGCGCCGCCATATGCGACCGCAATCCCCTCCAAGATGACCACACGGCAGGCAGCGAAGCATATCAAACTCGCACAAGGGCTTCCGCCACGCCTAATCCGGTTTTTCGAGCGATTCCCTCCGCCACAACTCTTCGCTAACCAACCCTCCGCGGCTCCTCAACCTGCGAGCGTTGCAGCGGCGACCACATCGCAAGACGCCAATGTTTCCTCCGTAGAAGATGCCGCGGCAACTGTAGCGACCGAATCCACATCCTTATCTTCTACCCTCGAATTGGGCTATCACAATCCATTCCTGCCGCGCAAGAACTTCCGGACGGGAAAATGGATTGGTCCCGTGTATGGACTGCGCAAACAGGCCGACCTGGTTAAGCTCGCAGAGAAACATGGTGTGTTGGATCTACTGCCCTACACGATCAAGAAGCCCGGAGAGAAGGAGAAGAGGAGGATAGAGCGCGGGTTGCAAGTCAGGGGTACGGGTGTGGGACAAAAGGTCAAGGGCAAGGTCTGGGAGAGGACACTGAAGGCCAGATTGGAGCAGAGGCGGCAGGCTATGATAAACATGCCGGCCTTGATACAGGAATGGAAGCAGGTGTGTATAATGAGTGGTGTATTGATTTCGAATGCTGACATCCGTCTAGAAAGGTCACGGTCGTGGATGGAAGAAGTGGCCCAGTGGCAAGGCTGCTTAGTGCTGCCTCTCTTTGGTGCAACATGGGGTTCAGTGGGGAGCGGCTTTGCTTCGTCCGCTGGATTTGGTGGTGGGTTATCTGTATATTCAGGATTGTAAAGAATTATGGGACAGCATATTGACATGGAGTTTGGGATCAAGAACAAGCGTCGCTTTGTACCATACCAATCGGAAGCATGAACCGGATTGTTGTATCATTTAAACTTATTAAGACCTTCAGGAAACCGCTGGAATGCTGCATGGGTATACTAATCTCGCTCTAAATCCGCAATTTGGCGCATAGTTCTTGCGCTGGCCTAACATAGGAAAATCTCCGGTATCGCCGCTCCATGGCAAGAACTGAAACCAAACATCTGGGAGTGGCGATTGGCGATCAAAACTGACAAAAAGAATGATAGGGAACATCTTGCCCGCTCGCGATGGACCCGTTGGCCATTTCACATAACCATCTCGTCATCCATGTAGATGGGCTGGACATCATGGTCTCTGGCCTGTGCAAATGCTCCATACTGGTTCTCCATCTCGATAATACTTCCAACGTGCTTTTCCCACCGGCCACCGTTCGTACCGGTTTGGATATACACAGGATCAGTCGCCTGGTTATATCGTGTGCTCTCGTGGAGATGGCGCTCTGCTGAGAGTGCCGACTTCTCATACTCTCGCATGGCCAGCATTTCGTACCCGGAGACGATATATGGTTCCGCAGCCGCGTGCTCTTGTACAGGTGACGGCTTGCTTTCTGCAACCATGCTTCGGTCTAGCTCTTGTTCGTATCTTTGAACGTCTTCGCTCTGGGCACGCTCCTGCATCATTCTCTCGTACCGTAACTTCGCCATGGCTTCCTCTTGAGCCAGGCTGGTCGGAGGCCAGTCATACAGCTGCCGAGATAAACTGTAATCCACGCCCTCGGGTATCCCCTGGCGACCTGAAGGAGGGGATATCCGCCATAGTTCCAGAAGTCGAACTCGTTGATCATCATCAGCGTTCGTGAAAAGGTCAATCTGGGAGGGAAAAAGCAGTGATGGATCAATGCTGTTGGATATCAGAATGCTCCGAAGTTCAGAAGCGCTCCTGCTTGTCTTCTCGCCGACCAAGGGGGCTTGGCGAACGGGAGCAACATGGTAGCTGTGCGTGTAGTGTGTTGAAGCATATGTGATTGGCGAGGAGATTGGAACGTCCGCTTGCTGCGGCGACGGCTTCTCCGCGAATTGTTGCTTCCCACATGGTTCAATGTCTTGAGGAAGATGTTGGGAGAGCGTCAAGTTCGCCGAGAATAGGCGTGCAAGCTCTTCTTGTTGCATCACTCTGGTTTTATCTTGAACTCTAGTGTTTACTTCTCGTGGGTACGCCGCACTATGACGTGGATGTGAGCAGGTCGACGTGCCACTCGTAATGTCAGGCTCCAGGGCTTACAGGCAATCAAAGTCAGACGTAGAGAGACAGAGGATGAGGGGTCCAAGGCGAACAGAACCAGCGTCCGTTTGTGCTATAGGCTGCCGCAACCGTCAAATTTGTCGAATAGCAAAATCAGCAGAACAAGGACGATATCTTATAAGAAGCCAAAATCTGCAGAGATTAAGAAAGAGGCGAAAACAAGTGAGGGAGTCAGCCGAACGTGTGCCGAGTTGCGGGTCCTGTGGTTATGTGTATCTTGCGTGCACAGGCGAACTCGAGTCTGGCGTTGGGCACGACTGGAGCGAGCCCAATAAAGTCGTCTTTGAGCAGATGTGAGCCGGATGGCTAAGGAACAAGAAAACCTAGCTGTCAATAAAGGCTTTGTAGAGGACAAAGAAAGACATTTAAAAAAAGGAGAAGGTGTGGCAGAGGGGGATCCTTTATATATTGTGATAGACTTGTCAACGTGGGGTCATGTGTACCTAATGTCAGAAAATGCGGCGAGGAAGCGGTCGCCTGTCCACTCAACGGAGGTAGTTGAAACATAAATCAGGCGCTAGGGATCCTGCGGCCAATAGCAACTCCTACAATTTTGCAGACTGCTGGACAGCTGGTGAACAGCTCATCAACCAGTATTGGTGGGACACGGGCTCGAGCGACGCATCGGAGACGATTGGCGCGTCTAATAATCTGGGGGCGAAGGGTGCATGAGGCAGCACCTGAGGATAGAATCCGACGCGCAGAGAACCCAGGAATGGAGAAAGCAAGCGGAATCCAATATCACCCTAGAGATGAAGCAGAAGTAGCACCTCTCCTGTTGGGGGTATGCCATGGGGCATGGTTGCCCAGGTGGAGGTTGAGGCCAAGCTTTATACACGTGACTCTTACCGGGTAAGATCTTGGCAGCCGCGCATCGCGCTTGCCTGGTGAAGCTCCAAGCTCAAGCCAACGTTCGTTCTCTCTATATCTCCACAGCGTCACGATTTCCGTCTCCATATCTGCTTCTGTGTGGCAGGCACACGCTTATAGCTCTCCGTCCTCCACTTCAGTTTTCCCTCGGTCACTGCTTCCCCGCAATCACAATGGTAAGCTACTCGCGGTCTGTCTGAATGACTGGAGCTGGCGAGCTGATATTACTGTACAGACTTCAATAGGAACGGGTTATGACCTGTCTAACTCCGTCTTCTCTCCCGATGGCCGCAACTTTCAAGTGCGTTGCACCCTTGCTGCACTGCCCCGCTTCCTCGCTCACACATTTAGGTCGAATACGCGACGAAGGCGGTCGAGAACGGAGGCACAGCCATTGGCATACGGTGCAAGGACGGTGTTGTTCTGGCGTTAGAGAAACTCATCACAAGCAAGCTTTTGAAACCCGGAGCGAACAAACGGATATCAACTGTAGACCGGAATATTGGTGTTGTAAGGGCTTCCCTAGCTCCGCTCGGCCTATCATACCGGCATCAGCTTACCCCGTATCAGGTCTCCTCTGGCTTGCTTCCGGATGGGCGCCATTTCGTCTCCCGCGCGCGTGACGAAGCAGCTTCGTGGCGCTCAACCTACAAGGCTCCGATTCCCACAACTGCACTTGCCAACCGCATGGGGAGCTACGTTCAAGCCTACACATTGTACTCAAGCGTACGACCGTTTGGTGTGACGGCAATCATCGGTGGTTGGGATTCCGAGGCGGAACTGCCTGTTGACGGGGAGGTTGGTTCCGGCCCGTCTGTGGGTGCAGGCGGCAAGAAGGAGGACGGGAAGCGCGGCGGTCCCTTCCTATACATGATTGAGCCTAGTGGATCCTACTGGGTACGAGAGCACAGTACAATGTCCATCTACATGCTGCTGACTGGGCTTTAGGGGTACTACGGTGCAGCTACCGGAAAAGGACGACAGGCTGCCAAGTCCGAACTGGAGAAGCTTAACCTCTCAGCCGGAGAACTTTCGTTGTATGATGGTGTGAAGGAAGCGGCGCGGATCATCCACGTGGCACACGACGACAACAAGGACAAGGAGTTTGAGCTCGAGATGACATGGGTCAGTTCGCTGGATGGACCCACCAAGGGAAGACACGAAGAAGTTCCCAAGGAGTTGCTCGAGGAAGCAGAACGGCTTGCAAAGAAAGCGCTGGAGGGCGATGATGAGGACGAAGAGGAGGAGAAGATGGAAGAATAGGAGGAAAAGAGGAAAGAATAGACAGCATGTCAAGACGCATGGTGTCGAGACGTATAATGTGGAATGCCGTTAGCCTTGCATAATGTGCCATGGCTTGAATACCGCGTTGCCTGGAGGAGCTGGTGGATATGCATCTTGAGCCGATGACGATTGAAGTCGGATTATCATGATAAATTACGCTTGCAAGCTGGAGTGGCGCAACCTATCAGCGTTCAGACAACGACGAGGCGCCCCACTGCAGACAGGCTGTCTCATCAACACCTCTATAAAGCTTGTAGATAGAGCCGCATCAGTCACAACACAGGCATATACGGCTACGCTGCGATACCTGGGCCATAGATCAAGTCTACACCCTGCTTTCCATTCTTTCCTCACGTACACCATGCCTCCAACGCTCCTCCTCATCCGCCATGCCCAGGCGCTGCATAACATTGCCAGCGATTACACACTCCACGACCCCCCATTATCCAAACTGGGTGAGCAACAATGCACCGAGTTGGCCGAGTCGTTGAAGAAGGAGAAAATTGCACAGGACGTCGAATTGATTGTTGTCAGCCCGATGCGGCGGACATTACAGACCATGAAGCTGGCTTTGGGCTGGTTGATTGACGAAAAGAAAGTGCCAGTATTGCCGGATGCTGGATGGCAAGGTACGTATCATTCCATTTCCTCGAATTGAACGGTCCCAATGTCAAGGTGGTCGAAGCTATCTACACCTTCTGGAACATTGTCCAGACCGTCACGGGCACAAGTCGTATAAGAAAAACAACAACTATACCTCATACTAACAGCCAACGTTCACAGAAAACGCAGACAAACCCTGCGACACAGGCTCCCCCCTCAGCGTCCTAGCCACCGAATTCCCAGACCTGGATTTCTCCCCTGTGGACCCGCTCTTCCCGGAAAAAACCACCAACCTCGCCAGCAACCCCTACGCCTTCACACGCAAGGCGATTCTCGCGCGCGGCCAAACGTGCCTCGAGAAGCTGTACTCGCGGCCCGAGAAGGTCATTGCCGTGGTCTCGCATTCGGGCTTCTTGCGCGCGGCCGTGTGTAATCGGCGGTTCTTCAATGCGGATTGGCGCGTGTTTGACTTTGATGAGGAGAGGATGAGGGAGAGTAGGGAGAGTAGGGGGGAGGGGAGGGATGGAAAGGGGTTGTTTTTCTTGCAGGAGTGGGGGTTGACGGAGGAGAGAGGGGGTGGGATGGGGAGGAGTGAGAAGGGTGTGTATGGGCCTCTTGAGACGGATTTTCCGCCCGAGGAGGTGGAGGAGGAGACGACGAGGGAGGTGCCTGAGTTTGCGAATTGAGTGGGTGGATTTTGGATGGTGGGTTTGAGGTTGGTATTGATATAGATGGGTCTGATTATCGCACCTGCAGTATCCCGCGACTTACGTAGTAAGACATAGACGCAAGCTAGATCTACATCGTTGAAATCGCGATAACTAGCTACCCAAAGTGGTTCCTAGACAATCGTCCGTTAACATGAGGAAATTCGCTTGTGTGGAGATGGCCTTAGCTAGTTGTGGGGGTCACACTGCATTGAAGCAGAAGTCAAGCCGCGTCAATCTACTAGAGGTATGGCCAGTGCCGAACCTTTCATCGACCACCTGCATAATAACATTCACTGAAATTGTTCTGTTCAGTTGAAGGTCAAGCGTGTGATTGGAGAAGCATTGCGGTTAAATGGCACTGTAAACAGCGCATATCAACAGCACTTTGTATCCTTACACTTGGATATACACCAAGATGTGGGGCCACAAATATCACAGAGAGTTGCTTCTATCACACCCTTATATGACGCTCGGGCGTTCATTCCACGGAGGCTTGGGTCAGGAACTCTTTTCGGCTGCAAGCAGACATCACTTGGACTCAAAAACGCAATGCGCGCACATTCACTCATTGGCATGAGCTTTGCGCTCAAGGCTTCAGCAGTATGCGATCGAGCATTCCTAGAAAAGACCGCAGCAGGATACATCCAAGCACAAGCGTCAGGCAAATTGGACAGCCTGCCTCTGGCAGCGAACGTCTCATACCAGGAGAACGACGTCCCTCTCCCTCTCTCCCAAGCCGTCCTCAGCAACCCCATGACCATCGACTTCAACCGCACCATCTACGACACCACCGAATGCGCCCTCTTCACCGAACTGACCGCCGCAACCAACCCCCACCCGTACGTCATCAGCACCCGCATGCTCTTCACCAACGACCAACGCATCTCTACCATCCAATCCGTCGTCGCCGACACTGGCGACTGGCTCTTCAACGCCACGTCCTACCTCCACTGGACCCAGCAGGAGACTTGGGATCCCATCCCCCCAGGCCGCCGCGACACGCGCTCCGTCCTCCGCGCCGCGGGAGACGCCTACCTCGACAGCTGGACCAACGCCACCGTGCAAGTCCCCTACGGCACGCCCTGCGCCAGACTCGAAGGCGGCATCTACACGGGCCAGCGCAACGCGTCGGCGAATTCGTGCACCATGCCCTTGTTCCCGGAGCCGTTCACCATCTCGAATCGGAGGTATGTGGTCGATGAGGTGTTGGGGGCCGTGGGCATCTTCAACGATTTCCCGTTCATCGAGAAGACGAGGCCCGAGGGGACGCCGAGTACGAATCTGTTCAGGGTCGAGGGAGGGAGGATTAGGTATATCCATGAGGTTACGGTTTGTGCGACGAGGAATTGTGGGAGGTGAGTTAGTTTAGGGGGACAGTGGGTGGGATGTGGGAAGTACATGTTCCGTACAAGCTACCCATCACTGGTGTCCAATTCGGAAATGGAAGTCAGGAGTCATGGTCAGTGAAACCCGTCATCAGATCCCATCAATGCGCTACTTCGACATCTCATATAGATAACACTTAAACTTCCATCTACCTCACGGGCACATTGGGCGTGTGCCGTCCTCCACTAATCTGAAGTAAAACCATAGCTAATGAGTGCCATGAGGACATTCAAAAAAGGACGTCGAACCTTGCCTTCGAAGCCGTAGAATGAGAAACAATGTATCAACGTACTGCAACCGGTCTGAGAAAAGTGCTGAGAACCCTTGCATTTAGCAGTATACCGTTGTGTTGCGGTCATCGCAGACGGGCATAGTAGCCGGAGCGAAACTTCTCCCCGTCCCTGTCGGCCAAGGTACCTTCAACCTGTCATTTCTTAAGAAATCGGCTCTCTCCCTTAGGAGGAAGAATACTATAGGAAAGTGGCGAAAGGGCCATAAGGGAATGCTCCGATCATCCGAGTTCAATGCGGTGACCTTGCTGCACTGGCACAGGAGTGCACACTGCACAAACACGTGCAAAGTTTTGTGTGTCTAAATCAAAGCAAGACATGAAGCATCAGGAGCTTGATTCAAAACGAAACATCACGCGGAATGTACCCAAAGGTGGAGAGCAGTCTCATATTAGATCACCGTCAATGCTCTAGCTTAAACCATGTAAACCATGTGATGAGACACTGCGAAGAGGACACACATGGGATATAGTAGTCGAATGGTTATTTCATTTTTGGCTACCTTTCCAGTTCCATGTTCATGATACGTATCGCTTTTGAAGATCGTGGCTTCGTCTTGGGTTGCTCATACGCTCAGTGCGGGTGCACCCTTCCGACTGTCGGTACCTGGAGACATTTACAGGTTGACAGCAGTCCTGAACTTCTCGCCAGCATAGACGGCGTTGCTGCCCAGCTCCTCCTCAATGCGCAGAATCTGGTTTAGCTTGGCGAGTCGCTCGGAACGAGCGGGCGCACCGGTTTTGACTGGATCCGGTTGTCAGTAAAGCCTTTCATGATCATGTCACAGTAGCTACTCACTTTGACCAGACCGCAGTCCGACGACAATATCGGCAATGGTGACATCCTCAGTCTCTCCGGACCTGTGGGAGACCATCACTCCCCATCCGGCGCCGAAAGCATCCTTGGCAGCCTGGATTGCCTCAGTGATGGTGCCGATCTGGTTGACCTTGAGCAGAAGAGCATTGCACGACTTGAGCTCAATAGCCTTCTTGATGAACTCGGGGTTAGTGACAGTCAGATCGTCACTATTGCAAAGTCAGCCATGCCCGGATGGTGTTGTGCTTAAACATACCCAACAATCTGGAAGTCTGAGGTCTTGAAGAAGTAAGACCATGCCTCCCAGTCATCCTCAGCGAAGGGATCCTCAATCGAAACGATGGGATACTTGGAGGCAAGTGACTTGTAGAGATCGGCGAGTTGCTCATAAGTGAGCCACTTGCTCTTGTCGCTGTCTGGGTTCTTGAAGTCGAGGTCGTACTTCTTCTCATCTGCCTTGTAGAACTCGCTGGATGCGACATCTGATGCACTGATTAGTCTTGCGCAGAACGGGCATCAGACGCGACTGACCCATTGCGATCTTGATCTTGCCCGTGTAACCAGCCTCATCAATCGCCTTAGTAATCAGATCAAGGGCTTCCTCAGGAGTCTGAATGTCGGGAGCTACGCCACCCTCGTCTCCGACGTTACCCGCCGCTAGTCTCAGTCAGTATGGAGTATCTCTAAACGAAAGGCTAAGAACCCACATTGTCCGTAGGTCTTCTTAGCCAAGGACTTCAACTTCTGGTAAACCTCGGCGCCCTGACGCATTGCTTCGGAGAAAGTAGGAGCCTCACTGTTGAGAGTTTAGCTGACATCATGGAGCCAAAGCAGAAAGGATTCACGCACGAAGGAACAATCATGAACTCCTGGAAAGCGAGACGACCACCGGCGTGTGAGCCGCCGTTGAGAACGTTCATGAAAGGCACGGGTAGGACGTAGGGCTTCTTCGTGCCAGCAAGATCGGAGATGTGGGCATAGAGAGGGACGCCCTGATCTTGTCAGCCGTTATCTTTGAATCCACACTGATGTTCTGTACCTTCTCGGCGGCCGCAGCCTTAGCAACTGCCATACTCACACCCTGGGATATGTCAGCAAGCATCCAAAAGTCGTCTCGAAGAATGACGTACGAGGATAGCATTTGCGCCGAGATTGGTCTTGTTCTTGGTACCATCGAGCCTGAATATATCTTAGTATCCTGAGGAGAGTGGATGAAGCTCCTCCAAATGATGTACTCTGGTATGGAGATATAATGGGATACCGCACTTACTAGAAGCCATCAGTATCCTGCAAACTACTTTAGAGAAAACACATACCTTGTTGAGGAAAGCATCGACAGCAGATTGGTCCTTCACGTCGATTTTCTCCTTGATGAGTGCCGGGGCAATGACATCGTTGACTATTCACGGAAGAATCTAGTCAGCATAGTTCCAGAGAATGCCGAGATAGCGACTGTTGCTTGAAATCCGGTTCAACAACTCGTCCGATTTGTCACGAGAGCAGCACCGCTTATGGAAGAATGCAGCGAGAAAATTGGATAGATCGTACCATTGCTGACGGCCTTGGTAACACCTGAATGACCAGTTAGTCTTTTATTTGGTTTCCTGCACTGCAATGTGACATACCCTTGCCTCCCCACTTGGACTTGTCTCCGTCGCGGAGCTCGCAGGCTTCCTACTCTTTGTTATTATTGCCCAAATCCAATGTCATGTAGTGTCGCGCAGGAGCGGTCGCGGGGACGTACGTGAGAACCTGTGTAGAGAGATTAGCTGCTGTTGCAACCTTTCAAAAGGCCTTGAGTTGGAAAGTAACATACCAGTGGAGGCTCCAGAAGGAACAATGGCGCCTTTGATGAAACGCGTCAGTGATTACCAACACGAACGTGCAAAGCTCACTCACGGTGCAGGCCAGTCTCAGTGACAATGTCTACCTCGACCGTGGGGTTTCCACGGCTGTCATAGACAGTGCGTGCGTGGATCTTGGAGATGGGCATTGTGACAGCTGAGGGGAGAGGTGTCAGCGGGAGAAGGAAGGGTTGGAGAGTCAATGATGAAGGGAGAGAATGTGAGCGGTGAAGAGAAGATAAGAACAGAAAGAGAGCTTGAGGAGTTGTCAGGAGGAAGGCCAATGGCCGATGGTTGCCAGGGAAGAAAAAGCAGTCTCGTCCCGCGCAGTCTCAGCCCAGAAGTCCGGTCACCGGCGCCAAATCGGGGGAGCAGCGTGGGATGCGAGATGGGTATAGGTTCGGCCGCGGACGAGGCAATCTGAATGGGAATTCACTTACGTGCAGGATTTGACAGTCAGGTTGGATAGAATGAGGAGAGAAACTTGTAACGTCGAGGGAAGCTTGGCCAGAGCGGAGGAAATAGTGGGAGAGGGGCAGGCCATGGCGGGGTAGGGAAGCTGGCTGAGGTATGATGCTGCCACTGGGAGCTCATTGGAAGCCCAGCGCAGTTCTCAGCCAAAACAATGGCAATGGGCGATCATTTGGGAGTGATGCCATCGAACATGGCATCTTCTCGAATACTTGCAGCTACACATTTTCTGTGCATAGCGAATGGTTGCTCGGGTGTGGGACTCTCTCCGGTGCAGTTTGATGCGCAGTTTTCCATCCTGTTTTTTGAGTGAGGGGTATGCATATCATCGAAGTCTATCGAAAGGGAGGTCGGTTGTAAATCATGATTGGCCAAATATTGTAGCTGGAAAAGATAATGCATACACTGTCATTGGATGAAAAAACGAAGACCTTGGCAAATTATTGGCCAATGAGAGAACGTTGAACCTCTGTACATCTGGACGCGTATCAATCACCCAGGTAATCACTCTACGGTTTCCTAGAATCCCCTTCTATTCCGAAATCCGCGTGTACCCAATGGTCGTGTACGTGAAAACAACACCCACATAGACTAAATGCAGAATCCATTACCGAGAAGAAAGTATCAAGTGTCAAAGATAGCCAGAATAATAAGCCCCAAAACCTGGTATACTCAACGTCACCTGCTTCGAGCCTGGATTATTAAGAGGGTCCCCATGAACGTCTAAGACTTCTTTTTGCGATGCGTCCTCTTTCTTCGATCACTCTCCTTTCCATTAGCAGTTCCACTACCGCTTGGCTTGACCGTTTGAACCTTATAAGCTTTCGCAGCTGCTTGCGGTCCGACATCACCTACGATACCACCTTCGCCCTCTTCATCAGACGTGTGGTCTTCCGCTGCGCCATCTTTAAGGTCAACCATAAGGTCAGGGCTGCTTCCTGGGACGGTAAGATTCGGACCTTGAACTGGAATCGGAACGCGTCGAGGCATAGCCACATAGGAATCAGATGGACCTGACACCACCCTTCGTACAAGCTGGGTAGGAGAGGACGGTGTTTGTGAAATCACCGTTGGCGATGTCTGCCCAGGAACATGATACTGATAGGGCTCGGTGTTATGATGCTGATAATCAGGAACAGGGATCGGGACAAGCTTCACAGTTTGCTGTATGGATGACGAGCGACTACGAGTATCGGGAGACACTGTAGCGTGCACCTGTTCGGAACCAGATAGCTGACGGGACGAGGACGATGTCGGACGTCTGTACTGCTGGGAGAAGCTGGCTTCTGATGATGCGGAGCTGCGAGGTGGACTGGATGGAAAGGCACCAGGTACTTCGCGGGCATAGGCAATGTGTGCTGGGACTTGCGATTGGTGGCCAGACGACATCAACCGAGATCCAGGTTGAGATGAGGCACTCGGCGGAGGGGGGGATTGAGGAAACATTCGGTCATGGTGCCCGTTGATTGGGGCATACACTGAGTGTCCGTTCGGACCGGGCACAACGAAAGCCGGATCTTGGTGTGGAGGCTGGGAAGTGATCGAAGGTGCACGCCGGCGGCCATTGGTCTTGTCCTTCTTAGGCCGGAGTCCGAAGAACGAAGAGGTTCGTGATCTATTTTTCGAGGACTTTACGCTGCCAGCAACGAGGTTTCTAGCGTCGGTTGTGGAGTTGACCGCAATAGCGCTTGCAGTAGGAACGGCCGAAGCACTAACAGGTCTGAGCGTAGTCGGTTGCGGGCGCGCAGCAGGCACCTTATGCCCTAGAAGTCTGGATCTGTATATCTCCAGCTCTTCAGTGCTAAGGTTCACATCCGACTCGCCTGCCACTCTCGCACGTCGTATCTTGTCCAGCACTCCTTGAAAAACATGCTCTTCGTACTCTGCCAGACTCATAGTCAGCCCGGTGGCCTCATCATAATACTCTCCATCTTCCTCGAAAGCATATTCATCACCATAGCCCATCTCATCAATAACACCAACCCCGGTGTTCCTCTCCCATGCTCTTAAATCCATGTCGTTGAAGTAAAGCTCATCAGGATTGATATTCTTGCTACTCGATACTCCTTGATACCCAGGGTCTACCAGAACGCCGTACCTTTCGTCGTCACTGTCCAATTCCTGAAATCTATACACATCTTCCGCCTCCTCCATAAACCTCCCCACACCCGACCTCCCCCCTGGTGGTCTTCCCCATGGGGGCGAAGTGTAAGGAGCTCGCGGCCGACCACCTAGACCGCCTCCTCGGAAAAAGCTGACTCAATCGGTTTGTCCATGAATGCGGCATGGCCCAAGATGGTGACACCGGAAGCTCCGATGAGCCAGAGGACAGTAGCGAAGGGCGAGGCCCAAAAGCCAAGAGGGATGGCAATGCAGAGCAGACAAGTGTAGAGCTGAGAGGTAGTAGCGCGCAGGCTGCCAATCTCAAGGTCTGCGCCCTGGAGCTTGCCGATTCCATACATGCCGCCAATGACGAAGAATATGACGAATAGGAGTAAGAGGTTGGTGAGGAGGCTGTAGATACTGAGCATGACAAAGACGACGGCATAGTTGCTGGAGAAGTAGCTCAAGTTGTAGTTGACTCTGCTCTGGACTTCGGAGAAATTGGCAGGCTTGGAGACGCGTTTGAAGTCGAAGAACTCGGAAATAGGTCGCAGGTTGGCGAACCGAGTGGTGATGGACTGGTTGCGGAGGCCGTCGAAACGACCAGAGATGTTCATTCGCGACGTGAGAGCGTCGATAGGGATCCTAAACCCGGACATCGTTGCGGAGAGGTGAGTTGGTATGGGTATCGGTTGTTGGGGAGTGTGAAAAGAATGCGAAACTTGGAGTTCTGTCAATGTCTTTTGTTAGCAAGCAGGCGTCAGAGCGGAAGAACAGGCGCGATGGCGAGATGTGGCCTCTTGCAGGCTGCTCTCAATTCGACCCTTATTAGAAGCAAAAGCTGTTGCCTTACCTGCTAAACCCAGCAAGGAGGGGACCTGGAGTGACGCGCGTCAAAAGGAGGGACAGCGGGTTGTGGCGGAGGGAGAAAGGTGTACGTGGAATCGGAACTTTTGTTGGAGAGAGGCGGCCGCTCAGACCACGCCAGCCCCTGCCCCTTCAGGCCTTAAACGGCCTAATTCGGGAAGCGGCGAACCAGCCACAGGAAAGTCCAAGCCACAAATGGGAAGCGACGCATTCACATGGCGGCCCAGTTTTCTTTCCGCATTCGCGTTGAGGGAGGGAACCCGCGCCTGAGGCCACGAAAGCCGCAAGCAATCCGAATAGCGGAGGGAGTAAGAAGCGAAGCAGAGGAAGACGCAGTCGAGGACGCTTCTGGGGATCCGCATCAGCTTTATCTTCTGCATTGCCTGCATTCGCCAATCGCTGATTGGGCCACGTTCGGGTTTCCGAGCGGTCCGCTACTGTACTCGCGCATACACAGTACATACAGGTGCTGAGGCAGTTCCACCTCTCGCCGTCACCCACATCGACTCGAGGGCGCCGAAAGGGTGCCCTGACGCGCCGCCATGAAGTTTCACGCATTCATATCTCTGGCTCTGTGCTTATTCGTCGCCGCTGTTGCAGGGTGGACGAAGGAGGGTGCGTCTCCTTTTTTTCCAATTCCCAACGGCATTTCACTCAATTGCCTGTTCACGAACACCATCCTGACTGAGCACTATCACAGACCACGAGATCTTTCGCCTCCGTGATGAGGTCATTGCCCACAATGGCCCCAACGTGACCTTCTACTCCCTCCTAGGTGTGAGGCCCTTCGCCTCCCACGACGAAATCACAAAGGCATACCGCAAGAAATCCAAAGATGTACACCCGGACAAGGCGCGCCAGAAGTTCGTCGCCAACTATGCCAAAACCCACGGCAAGAAGCAAAAGGGCGCAAAGCCGGGAGTAAAAGTTGCCAAACATCCTTCAGAGAAGGAGATCAAGGCGCATATCAAGAAGGTCACCGAGGACTACCAGAGGATGACCGTTATTGCGGAGATTCTCAAGGGCCCATCGAGGGAGAGATATGATCACTTCTTGAGGAATGGCTTTCCCAAGTGGAGAGGAACGGGATACTATTATGCGCGTTTCCGCCCTGGACTGGGCTCTGTGTTGCTGGGTCTCTTGGTCGTCATGGGAGGGGGATTCCACTATTTCGCTCTCGTCATTGGCTGGAAGCGTCGTCGCGAGTTCGTTGAAAGGTACATTCGCCATGCTCGCAGGACCGCTTGGGGAGATGATACAGGCATCCAAGGGATCCCTGGAGTTGACTCTGCGCCGCCAGCTTACAATCCTCCTCCCGCGGAAGACGCACCGGAAGAGATGATGCCCATGAACCGCCGCCAGAAGCGCATGATGGACAGGGAAAATCGCAAAGAAAAGAAGACACAGGCAGCAAGGACCGCCCGTCGTTCAGGCATCAGCACACCTGTTGAAGCGGAACCCACCTCTGGTCCGCAGGGCGCAAAGAAGCGCATTGTGGCTGAGAACGGGAAGATGCTTGTTGTTGACTCCGTTGGCAATGTGTTTTTGGAGGAAGAAACGGAGGATGGCATGAAACAGGAATTCCTGCTCGACGTAAGTCGCTGTTACTTATCCTTCTTGTATCGAACGATGCTGACTAGAGAAGCCTGACGAGGAGCCGAAACCAACCATCTACGATACCCTCCTCTTCAAGCTCCCGAAATTCGTCTTCAACCAGTCCATCGGCCGCCTCCTAGGTAACCAACGCGCCGTCGAGGAGCCGCTCCTCGAGCCCTCGTCCAGTCTCCCAGAAGATGACGCTGCAATCCAATCTGCCACTGCACCGAATGCGAATGGAGAGGCGAGGAAGCGCAGGGCGAAGGCGAAGGCTGCTGGGAATTAACATGCTACGGAGTGGACGAGCCTTGGTGCGAAACAGGACATATTTCCTTCGGCGTCTGGTATCTGCTTCTCAAAGCCTACGGAAAAGTCAATTTTTCAATTCGGGTGGTGTAGATAGAACGCGTTTACTGGGCGAGCGGATAGCATCATGCATATATAGATTCTGGCTTTCATGCGCACGGCAGCTCTGGACTATCTTTAATTCTGGATTCCAGGTAACTCGATCTGCGTCCACCTGGGCCTGCTTCTCGATCTACAGTAAGACCTCGCTATTAGGTAATTGCTGGTGACCGAAAAATTTTCCTTATAACGCGGGTTTTCCTTATGCTGAACATGCTTATATAATATAATTTATTAGTTATCACACTATGTGACCTTGGTCACCCCCATATCCTCCCCTAGGATGGGCAGCTCCTCTACTAAAAACGGCATCACCAGTGCTAAATATAGCTAGTTAGGAACCTTATGAATAAGGAAATATATGGGTAGGGGCTAAGGAAATTCCTAGACTCCGGGCTTTCCTTATTCTCCATACAAATTTGTACGGTGGCGCGGAATTTTCCCTATCTACGATAGTTTACCTAATTCCGATTATTTCCCAATACCGAGGTCTTACTGTATCACTGTCCACTTGACTGCAACGGCAGGGGCGCAAAATCCCAGATGTCCAACTACCTACGTCCCCGCCTACTTCCAACAACATGGTCAACTCACTGTCTCAGTTTCCAGGTCACGCTTTTTTTAGAACCACCGATTGCATCGGAGATATACCTATGTAATAGGTGCAGGTCTCACCGCCACTCGAGTCTGCGCCACTGATGACTGCGCCACAAAAAGATATACCAATCCTGCAGGTAGTCTAGGGCTGAGTAGGGCCTGTGGCTGTACGGCTGTTGGTACATGGAAAGATGGACGATGACAGACATGGGGAGAAGCGTTGCTGGGTCGCCGTTCTCCAAAATGGAGATTGTGATAGGTAGGGGATGTGTTGTGTGTTGGAGAATTTACCTGAGAAGGAGGCGAGGGGAAGTAAGTAGTTTAGAAGGACTACTGATGAATGCGCCGCAAACAAGATTGGAGGTTGAGATTGGGGAGAGAAATGTCTCAATGTCAACAGCATATTCGTCTCATTTCAAGTCCACCTGATGAAACCAAGATGTCGACGGCCGGCGAACGTTCCATTGTAGTTGAACGTCGTCCCAGGAGCCCCCTTTCGCTCGGCGTGTCTCTCGGTGTGCGAATCTGCACATGAGCCATTCATCACCCGCCCAGAGAGGAGGTCTTCTTCAACGGATCGTCATATCGACTGGTCAAGGAGCGGGTGGGTTCCCCGTTAGACCAAGGGATCTACCATTCGCAGACTCTTGCCCACCTGGCAGCTCTGTCCGAGACGACCAGCTCTCAGGGGCAGCAGAAAGAAGTGTGCAGCGGTGCATATGAAGCTTCGGAAAAGACGGTCAGTAAGCGGGCCGGATGCCTTGTAAACAAGGCGGATTCGCTTCATCTCTCTCTTCTGCAGGTGGATGATGCCAACCATCGTGAACTGGACCGCTTTGGTGTTGCGGTGAAATGATCCTAGCCAGTGTCCCCTTTAGGCTTAGCGAAGGCGGAAGCCACACCGACAAGATGAACGATTGGCTGGATTCCCTATTGTGGCGGTGCAACAACTTCGCATCATGATTTCGACACCGCTCTCCCCACAAACTCCACCACTTTCGCTCCTTGGCCTTGATAGACATATGCGAAATCTTGCTCGGACTCACTCACCGATCCTGCTATTGTGGATCTCATGTCGCCCATCATTCCATTTGACCGGTGCTTCCATGAATCGGCGACAAAGTCGAACAGGTCTTCGATGGGCAGACATGGGCATGCCGTGACGGAGCCATGGAGAAGCCCCTTCCCCTCTTGGCTGAACGGGCGAAAAGCGAGCATCTGCGGCAGTCTACGAATGATGTCAGGCCAGCGGCTTGTCTGAATTGACTAAGGGCACATACTGTGAACCGGAGGCTGAAGCACTGCCACACCTCGATTTAGGTGCACAAGGTTTCGTTCAAGCAGCCCTCTGCTGCCATCGTAAGAATTGGCGAGGCAGATGTTGCTGCCTTAGCAATATGGATGCATATGGCGTCTCTGCTGACCTATGGCTTCGGTGTGGAGGACCCTAGTGTGCGGTCAGTCCGACATTTCCTGCCAAAGCAACGGTACCGACAATGCAGGTACTTCTCCCAGAATCCTGACAAACGTCCACCCGGATGCGGAGGGCCTCATCTCATTGCACAGACGACACGTTCGTCGCTAGGACAGCCGCTCGGTATTACCTGGGTCCTTGGGACGGACTGAAATAGAAAGAGGTTAGCGAGAGGCTTTCGGGATCCTTCCCGCATGCGATTTCTGTTGCCCAAGGCTTCGCATCATGAGAGATCGCTTCAGCCCATCCAAAGAGCGGTTCGGATTGGATAGCATTTTCGAAATGCCGTCCCATTGTGGATCTAATCTCACCCTTTTCGATGGAGCCAACAAGGGCTGGCCGGTTCCCATGCGGGATGGCGGTAGTTTAGTCACACACATCCGGTGAATTAAACGGCTCGGGAGGACGTCATGTTAGTCGGCTCATGCATTGGCTTCACGGGAAAGCCGAGGTGTCCTTCTACTTGAACAACCCTCACCCATTCACTGGTTAGGAACGGTCTAGGCTGTCTAATTGCCCTGCGGTGCCTTAGCTTGACGCCTAATTTCTCTTCCCAGGGTTCGCCGAAATCCGCCCACGTTCTCGTCACTCATATGCATATTCCGAGTGTTCACCAATGGCATCCATGACGCCCTCGGAGCCTTACCCTAAGAGCACGGAGTCAAGGGCGGTTGACTCCAGTTAGCCCGACGCCCCGGACTCTTTCGTCATACCCGCCTAGACCTGCAGCTTCCTAGATCCATCCCACGACAGTATGAATACCTCTAGATGCCCTCCTGTACGGAGCCACCGTCTTTGACGAGTTATGTGCGCTCGCTTTCTTTTCCTTCGTTGTATGCTTTGTCGTCTCTCATTTTGACTAGTTACCATTCCTGCCTTCAGATACCACAAGCTGGGCATATACTCTTTGTGTTTCGCCTATCAGGTCTCTCGTGCTATCCGAGAGTGAGTCTCTAATAGTGGCCTGGTGCCAGCTACGACATTCGGATATGAGACCAGCCTGAGTGAAAAGGCCTATCAACATCACAAGAACATCCTCGCATCGAGCACGTCGGTTCTCCCGGAGGGCGCTAACAGTTATTGACCACGTCGCTGTCGCTCCAGACTCACTTCGTCAACTGGAGAAGATCACTTCAAGAAGGTGGCTGAAAGATGTCTCGTGAGGAAAGGACAGGAGGGCCGCAGTCCCGATCATCTCCTAGCGGGTCAACCACATCTGCTCCCTCCGGTCGGAATGCGTCTACGAATCGAGCGGAAGAGTGGTCTGGTGTAGAAGACCCCAGTGAACGGAGGAAGATACAAAACAAATTGGCTCAGAGACGGTTCCGTAAGTTCACCTTTCGGCAGTACAACAACGCGCTAACACTGGCCCAACAGGCGAAAAGATTCGAGAACAGAAGGAGGAGTCCGAGCGCGAAGCGGAGAATCAGCGGCGTGCTGGGAATGCCTACGCCACTCCGGAGCCTGGAGACATTGACACTGGTAGTAATGAGCTTTCGGGCTTGCCCTGGGGCGGCGTTTCAATGCGGCACATTGTGGAGACAGGCAAAACAAAGGATCAGAGCTCTCGACAGAGCTCTCGTGAGAATTCTGTATATGCCTCCGCCTCTCGGACCGGTGGCAGTAGCAGGTGAGCAGCCCAGTGTGAGTGGTACCCATGCACACTGATGTACATGTTGGATTAACAGCAGATTAGGATCGGGCTACACCTCACCGATCAGTTCGCACGCGGCTATCCGGCGTGGAGGTGCTTTCCATACTGGCGCTCCAGTGGGGATACACGATGAGTCGACTTGCTATAACCGACCTGGAGTCCGGTTGTGGTACAGGCAATGCCGCGGATTGAAGCTCTGGAAGCTTCATCATTACGTTTCTCATGGTTTGATTTTGGGACGCCCGATCACGACCTATGTGTTACGCCGTAACGAGTTATGGCGGTCTCCTCGAATGCTTGCTTCCAGGGGAATCTCGGTCAAGAGAATTGAGCTTGCTCAACATCTGTTTCTTCATTACTACCTTTAACTTATATACCAGCTGGCTCTCTCTCTTCAGCTCAGCGAATACATCACATTTCCCGCAAACAGTCTCCATACTGCGCTTTGCATGTCCGAGTTAACATTACCCAGCGATTCCTACCTCTTGGCTGTTCAATTATACTTGAATAACATCAGTACAGAGGAAGTGCATGAGAAACAAGGAGGGTGCTCAGTCGGATGTGACAAGAGGAAGTCCCGTATTGTGGTTAAGGCGCAGAAATCCGCCCTGTCTCAAGGAAGGTCCTCCTTGTGTGAACATAGTGTCTCAGAAATTCACCTTCCGAAAGACAGCCTTAGCGGCAGCAGCATGTGCCGTGTAACAATAGGTATAATTGACCACAGTAAAAGCAACGCCGCATGCACATTCGTGCATCTGCGTGCAGTGCGCGTCACATGCAGAGAAGGGCGCAGACCGCCCAAGGACAATGAAATCTTCTTCTCGAAGAAGCTTATAAAGTGGAAATCGGCTAGTCCGCCTCGTGAGGTTTGGGAGAGATGAAAAGCTTGGGGAATCGACTGGCGGTTGCTGGGTTTAAAACGTGAATGGCTGTGCACCCCGCCGCACAGACGCCAACGTGTGGCTGACCGCTCTCGCTTGGCCCTACGGAGGACCTGCTTCCAACCTCCTACACTCCGACACCAACATGCTCCACCTGTTCGATGTCAATATTCCGCTTCATCGACCACTGGAAGTCTCAGATCTTGGCCCCTCCCCCCGGAATCCGGACTGGGGCGTGCGCTCAGACAGTTCGTGATGGAGACGAACTCGCACGGCACAATGGCTTCGCCGTAGTTCTGGCGGTGATGGGTGCCTGCCGATGAACTGTTTTCAGCTCCATCTCCAGGCAGCTTCGGCGAATGCGGCCTCTCGGAGCTCCCTATCAGCCTCGTCTTGAGAGCTAGGGGGCCGGCAAAGCGTCCTTGACGCACTCAGAATGGAATCGTAGATGGCAACATGACGTTCTCTGAGGACCAGTCAACACTAACAATCGCGGCAGTAATATCAGGCATCAACATGGTAAACGATAAGGACATGGTCTTAATTGTGCCAACCCTCCCGGCAGAGTCCGATTTGTCCATCTGTCAACGGTCAAGTTGGAGTCACTGGCTCGTCCCAACTATGTCATCGATGTAGGACTGCGGCGTATACTCGGACACGACCACATCTAGCACGAATTATGCCTCCGTTGACCAATGTTATCGATAATGGGTGAGATCTCACCAGCACAGCTCCCCACACGCCACATATCATCTTACGCCACGAATCTTCACACCCTCCAGTCTCGCAGCCACAATTGATCAAAACTTGCGCCAGCGTGCGGCGTACTTTTCTCCCACCTTAAGCGCCGTCTCTTCACGTCTGACCCCTTTTGCGGACTACATCGGTGAATCATCAGCAGGTGCGGCGCGGAGCTTACTGAGGTTGGTATATAGTCAACCGCGGAAGGCACGATGAGTGGAGTAGACAGCCGCGCTCTTCTGACAACCGACGACACTCCATGTCAGCGGACGAACTCTCCAGGCTCTCTTTGGAGGATAACATGGTGACGACTCGGGCTGCTGCTGCTAGGGCTCGAACAGCACCAGCCGTCCAAGAGAGTGCAAGCGGATCACCACCTTCGCCATCTCCAACTCAACATTCCCAGTCTGCATCACCAACCTCCGCCGTGCTTGAGTCGACTTCCGGTATCAAATATGATGTTGGTAATCTTGGAGCCGATGCCCGTCGGCATGCCAAAGAAGGCTTTGGTGCGAACGGAATCAAGATGAAGTACTGCAGAGCCTTGGATGAGGACGCGAATCAGTATCTATTTTTCCTGGACGATGAGATTCGGGTTGCAATGGGTGGTCGACATGGTGCGCCCAGATGCACTTGTGGCGCAAATGACAAAGGAATCGCATGTAAGGTATGTTCGTCATTTGCAGGGGCATTGAGCGTCCATTGACAACTATGATAGCACATTTTCTGGATGTTGGACCAATTGGCATCAACAGCGTCCCAGAAGATCAGAGAACAGACACTGGAGATTGCCCCTGATGGGGCTCTGATTCAAAACAGGGAACCAGCTTCGATTATCAAAAACGCTACCTTGGAGAGAGTGGCCGAAAATCTTGACTGGGAGGTTCACGATGGCCCGGTTCCGGATGACGAAGACATCGAAGAGGAAGTTGCCGCAATGCTCTCCGTCTTTGAACCCACCGAGGCCCTGCCTGTCGAATTCAGAGCACCCGGCGGCGCCTTTCTTTCCGAGCGCTCACGGAAATACCGCGAGTTCCGAGACCTGATAACCTCGCTCTTCACTGAACAGCCCTCCAAAAACCTGGGTCTTTTCAACAAGCTTCAGTCCATCATCGACCCGGACTTTCAAACCCATGTCTTCTTCGAGAAGATCAACAATAGAATTGTGCATACGTTCAAGGCGTTGGATGAGTACATTGCACATGGATCTACTGCGCCCTCGGAGGCATACGATGTCCCAACCTGCGCGAGGAAACTCAAGTACCTGGTCCAAGCTATCGATGACTACTACGAACAGCAAGAACAAAATGGCTTCGACATGGGCGACATCAGTCGTCGTGCTGCGGCAGCATTAGTCACGATTCTGAAGGGCGTCGTCGACCGTAATCAAGACGCCTACGCAGGCATAACTTGGGATGGTGTACCCCCTGAAGACGAAACAGAAAGCAATCTCTTTGTCAACTTGATTGGGGCACCAGTCCATGACGGCGACGAAGACGAAGAAGGACTCTTTGTCCTAGACGTGTTGAAGAAGTTGCCTATTGAAGGGATCCTGAGGAGTCACTGGGAGTTGCTGTCAGCGACCAGGGCAGGGTTGAAGCCGCAATGGACGCCTCAGAGGTTTCTGGAAAGCTTTAGGGAGATTGTGGGTGAAGGAGAGACTCTGGGCAGGAAGAGGGCTGGGACTGGGAGCGAGGGGACTACGCCTAGTCCGAAGCGGCCGGCGCAGAGGAGTGAGTGAGTTCCTTTTTTGCTGTCTCCTAAATCCTTTGTTACATTCAAAGTACCCCTCTCGGATTTTTCATTTTTCGCCCTTCGAGATATGTCCTTTATTTGGGGAATGAATGGCTTGTAGCGTTCTTTTCTTAATCTCTGGAGGGTATACTGCTTCTGTTCAAGTTCGATTCGGTGAAGCTGAACTTCAGCGGGCCTAAAAATTCAGCTTTGTTTATTTACTTGGGCTCGAGACAGAGTCGCTCATTTCTTTCCTTGCTTTTTCTAGTGGACAGGATAAAGTGGGTTACCACCGAAACAGAAAATTCTATCAAATGGTTTCACATTGATACACATGGAGGCACGTGTTCGTCATTGTATTCGTCCATCGAATAAACTTGTTAAGTAACGTTACCCATGGTCTCACACATGTCACCGTTGCTTCTACTGTGTAGACCCGTCAAGCCTCGCGATGGTCAGACCCTCGTCGCGTGATTGTGAGGGGTGAATATTGGTCGGCGGGGTTAGCGGAGGCTGAGAGTAACACAGTACTACTTGTATGTACATAGTACGCTGGGCTGTGGCGACGGGCCGATCAGAGGGGCAGCGATTGGTTGGGCCATGCGTCCGTAATCTACTGCAGTACTAGTACATGGGATTGTACGAGCAGGTTTCAGTGTGTTGCATGCTGTATGAATTCCTCTGTTGAGCATGTTTGTAGGAAAAAGAAGTTCACTGTTCTCGCCTTGCAGTACGTCTTCCAATGACCACACTTCTGGCCCAGGGTAAGATTGAGGGCTTCATACATTCAATGGCAAGGGGTTCTAGAATCAATAGCTCTTGGAGGTATGCAGTAGTAGTGCTTACACAGGCATGCATCCGTCGCTGTGAGCCATGATGACATCGCAGTGCAGCAGCGTTGTCCCCAGGCTTGGGTCCATAGCCCGCTGGCAACAACGGCGCATCGCTAGTCATACTTCTATTGGCTACTCGTTATCTAGCATGGGAGGTAGTGAATCAGGGAGGTCACGTGATGACACCTAGAGAGCTTTCAAATGGTCCCCGGTGCTTAACAATCATAGCTGCAATCGCCAAGGGAGCTTGATTTGTTGGCAGTTGGGAAAAGCAAGCCCAGGTTAAGACGCCACCCTTCGTATCTCCGCATCTTCACAAGCTTGAGAAGACGCGGAACACGGCTTGAGAGTGGCGTCACTTAGGGTTGGGTGATGCAGAGGGGATGCGGGTCTAATGCAGAGATCTGCTGTATCACCTAGAATTGGTGCGGAGAAGTTGAAGCAACGTTGATGATTGTCTGATAGCGGGTTGTCCTATCCTTGAAAGGGGGCCATTCTCCTATCGATACCTACTGTTCCCGGGGGACTTGCTGACTCCCCTTCAACAGCGTTCCACCTAGCGACGTAGCTTTCTACTAACGAGGTCCGAAACTGACTAAGAAGACCGCCCCTCCGAGAGACGTCGGCGGCGACGCGATGTGCACGCTGCACAAACACCGGCGGACGATCCTCATAGCACCTCGATGATCCGTGATCCCCGGTGGAGGGGGAAGAGGAGAGGGTTGGGACGAAAGCAGGGTGGTGATTGCTGTCGTGGCGAAAGGCGTGCTGTGATTGGCTGGATAAGCACCTTAGTCAACACGTCCTTTGTTCCTGCCGTAAATGCGGGGAATGACGCCAACCCGGAAGGAGGCCTAGCGCATCCCAATCGGTCATTGGACCCTTGCGCGACCCTGCTGCTGTGCTCCCACCATATTACTGTGCAGACTGGCCGCCCATCAATCCAAACCGTCTTGTGTCTCCCCCTCCTCTCCACCTCTCCAATTCTTTCTGATTCTCTGCTACTCTTCGCTCTAGATATTGCAACATCCATTTCCACGGCGGCCTGTCTCCTGTGCATCTTTGTAATACTTTGGTGGTAGCGCGCCTCTCACGCCATCCACCGACCACCTGCCCCGCTGACGTAGCTTCACCCTCCGGCCCCGAAACTCCGAATTCCGACTCACCTGCCCGCGTCCGTGCGCCCAACCCAGTAGGTACCTACTACTTCAACCTCCTGATCAGTCCTCCACTTCCTCTCCCCCCTACACATTCCCCACGGCCAATTCACACTCGGATCTTGCGAACAATCTACACCCACAGCCACGAACTCTTCCGCTCACCAATTCACAACGTTAACATAAGCAGCTGCAACATGTCTTCAGATCGTAACTCGCCACCACTTCCATCCCCAGGTGCAGCGGAGCGCCGACGAGCTTCAATCACAGGCCAGACCTTCCACGACCTCTTCGGTCGCCAGAGGAGCCTCGGAGGACAACAGGACCCGACTCAGCCGTACCCCGGGCCCATCACCACAGCTGCCGTCAACGCTCAGCGACGCCGCCTGTCTCTCACCACCGTCGGCCTCTCCCCTCCAATGAACCAATCCACACCCTTCTCAGCTCCACGGCCGAGGGCGGAGAGCCTGTCTAGCGTCAATTCAGGCTCCGTCGACGAGAGTCCCTTTGAAGACGATAACGCCCCGCCTTCAGGGGGTGCGAGCAGTGTGCCGACGACACCCTTTGCTCGGCGGCTGAGCTTCGGAGCACGCGCAATGCGGGATGTTAGGCAGGGCAATGGGAGCCAGGGCAACACTAATGGTAGACCCTCCCTTCATCAGAAAGCCTCCTCTCCCCCGACTGCAAGAGGTCGAGGTCTGTCTTCATCCTTGTCCCCTTCACGCTCTTCCTCTGTTCCAGCGGCCTCTGGCTCACTCGTCCCCCCTGCAGACGCCACATCTCCTTCTTCTCCTCCTTCTCTTTCTCCGTCTACTTCCTCTCCTTCCTTGCCGCAGATCTTGGCCGAGCACTTCAAACGTCATCCTGATCAGGTCCTGGGTGAACGAGAGCTGACGTCCCTTCTCTCCCCTCCAGGCGAAGGCTACAACTTTGCCGAGAATCTTCGCAACCGCGCCGAGCGCGCCTCCATGTCCGGTGCCCACCCGATCCACCCTCCTCAGATGCATCATCGCGCCAAGAGCGTCACCATCATGGAGCCGCCTCACGAGATGCCCAAGCAACCCAGAGTACCTGATCCCATGCAGGAGCGTATCCTGAAGGGCGACTTCTACATGGATTGAGGAGGCGCCGTTTGGTAGGGTTCTGTACGAACAGCGGAGAGTGGTGCCGTTGGAACTTGGACATCTTCTCGGACTTTACGTCCATGTGTTACTCACTTTCGACTCTTGGGCGTCCGGAAGGATGGTGCTGGGGTCAAACACCTCGATTTCACTGCGCGAGTTCACCAGAAGACTTGCCACAAGTCCATCGGAGCAGTCACATGGGCTCTACTGAGCAACTTATCATTTTTAGGAGTTGCGATTCAGGCCTTGTATTTTCTTACATCTGGGGCGGCCCTTTACGATTGCTCCTCACGTCTGCTTCTCCCCATACGACCAATTTCCTTGCCTTAGGGACGAAAACCCAGTCATTCACGAGGTTCCCGGTTTCTTTGTACGCTTGTACAATGGGGGGTTCTAGGGTTGATGGGTTTGGGAACGAGCGACTCATGTGTGGGAAATATTTCTAGGATGGGCTTCAAGGAGGAGTGGGATGCGTATCACGTATAACAGAGAGGGCGAAGGTTGTAACAATCTGAAGGAGTTGAGAAGCGGAGGATGGGAGGGATGAAGAGGGTTATAGGCAGGAGAGGTGTGTAGCTGATATAGATTGCATGCGGGCATTCTGTTTGGCGAGAAGGAACGAAGTATGAGAATGAGAATGAGAATGAGAGATCGTGTGGAGTCAAATGTTCGTTCGGTTGGCGAGTCTGAGTGATGCGGTGCGTGATGAGGATGCCTTTCGACAGTATGATGGTCTATGTTCCACAAATACTATGCTTCTCCTTCCTCCACCTGCGTTGAATTGACTTGGCCGTGAAAAACAGGATGTCGCTTTTTTTTCTGCCGTGTACGCCGAGAAAATGAACTGATAAAATGCTACTAAATGCTACCCCTTATGTAGAAGCCATGCATATACATATACATATAATGAAATAAAAAGAATCTCACTCGCCATGTATCAAAAACTACCTACGAATATCTGTCTGCACGGGGAAAGACAGACGGGAAGAATGTATGTATGCAAGCAACGTGACTATCAACATCAACATCAACATCATCAACAGCGACATCTACAACACCGACAATATCAGTGTCTTGTCTTCTCCTCTTCCCTTCCCTTGCCTCCTCGTCTTTCCATTCTTCCTATTTCCCCTCCCTTCGTCCTTCCGGCATCCTCCCTCACATAGATTCAAATCCTCTTCTTTATTCCTTTCTTCCCCAAGCACGCCAAAAGAATGCCACGCCCGCCTTGACCGCCTCCCGACCGCTGCCATGTCTTCGCCCTATCCTCCCATCCGCTTTCCGCCCAACCCATCCATCATCACGACCATCACCTACATATACGCTCACACCCTGTCCCTCTCACCGCCTAAAACTCGCACTCAACCCCGCAAACGCATCCGGGCTGTGCCTGCCCCCCATCAACCCCGCGAAATCCACGCTCTCGTGCGAAACATGGCCGTACCCGTTGGTGCTGGTGCTGGTCACTGCTGCCATTTGGCGCTGCGGAACGCTTGGTGGTAATGGTGTTGCTGTGGAAGAATTGTTGGGTGTAGATGTGGTGTTGGTGGGGATGCTCGAGGCGGAGAAGGGATTATTTGTCGCTGCTGCTGTTGTTCCTGATGGACCCGATGCCGCTGTCGACGACGACGCCGTGTTTGCGGCATTGGGCGTTCCTCCCGGGGCTGCGGTACCGTTTTGCCCCTGTTGCTGCTGCTGCTGATCGAGGGGTCGTTGAGGCGCGAGCTGCGGATAGTTGTACAGCGCTAAGATGGACGATTTGATATTCTGCTGCGGTTGCTGTGATTGGTATCCCAGCTGCTGAGGCGGTTGTTGGTGTTGTTGATATCCAGATTGCTGCTGCTGTCCCTGCAGTTGCTGCGTATTCAAGAACGGGTTCGGCGCCTGCTGCTGCGGCTGCGTCTGAACTAGATACGGATTCGCCATCTGTCCCTGCTGCTGCTGCTGCAAAGCCTGGACCTGACCGAACGGATTCCCCACCTCCTGCGCCAACGGACTCTGCGCCTGCGGTTGCGCCTGCACACTCCCAAACGGATTATACCCTCCCCCTCCCATTCCTACTCCCGCACTCGGAGCAAATATCTGACTCCTCACGCTCTTCAAAAACGGATTCCCCGAACTTCCCGTCGCCGTGGGGGACAGGGTCCCTTGCCCGCCACCACCGACGCTGTATCCACTCGGCGAGGCAGAAGAAATTCCCGGTTGTTGCGGCTGCAGCGGTTGTTGGAAACTCGCGTACTGCGGCGGTAGATGCGGCATGGGCGGCGGGGTGAAGGAGTGCTGTTGGAAGGGGTTTGTGGATGTGGGTAGGGGGTAGGTGGATTGGGATTGCGGATGCTGAGGGTAGGCGTAGCCGCCGGTGCGGTTGGGAAAGAGGGGTTGTTGTTGTTGTAGCTGCTGCTGGGGTTGATTCGAGAGGTTTAGAGATTGGAATGACTGTTCTAGAGATTGTGGTTGGCCGAACGGGTTTTGGTAGGTTTGCTGTTGCTGCTGAGGGTATAATTGCTGGGACGGAGACTGCTGCTGCTGCTGTAGAAATGGATTATAAGGATTCGAAGGCGAGGTCGTTTGCGCGGCATATCCTCCATACTGTAAATTCTGCGTGTGTAGCTGCGGAGGCTGTTGTTGAAGCTGCTGCTGCTGCTGCTGTTGTACCGGTGCCACGGCATCCAAAGCATCGAACGGGTTTACCGAAGACGTCTTTTGCACATTATCGAATGACAAGCCGTTCAGATCCGGTTTAGCGGGTGGTGTGGGCGTAGGCGTCGTTCCTCTTGAGCGTCCCGGGTTCTGCTCCCCGAGTCTGATCAAGGTCTCCACGGCTCGATCTACGTTTCCATTAACGCCCTTGAGGACCGTGGCGTTGCGCTTGTCATCGGGGAAACCCATATCGCGAAGAGTGGCTAGCTTGGACTCCATCCCATCGCTCGAGGTATTCACGTTCGACCCAAACACTCGGGACGCCTTATTCACTCTCGGAGGTGACGACTCCAGTCCAAAGCCCCCTATTCCCGGCGAAATCGGGGGCGTCGTATCTCTGGACGAAGGTGCCGTCTTCTGCAACCCGAATCCAAACCGCCGTGTCGGTTTCGGCGGTAACGGCGGCGGCCTATCCTCCACCGAACTCGTACTCCCCGTATTCTGTCTGGTACCCGGTCCCGAATCCGTCAGGAACGCCCGCTCCTGGTATTTCTGCCGGATGAAGCGCTCCATGGCGCTGTCCACTTCGTCGATATCAATGGGGATTTGGGGTTTTACGTTTCGTGGGTTGTAGGCTTTGTTGGACTCGACGTTGCCGATGCGCCTCATATTCTGCGGTTCTTCTGTTTAGCTTGGGTTGATACTGGAAAAGGGGGAAGTTGAGAATGTGTCTTACATCGACTTGCGCATTATCCCATTTGTCCATACTCAGCGATTTCACTTTGGATATGTGTGTCCCCAGCTTTCGATGCAGTGCCGCGCACCGCATACATAAGAATATGCCCAACTGCTCGGTCGTCAGTGTCCATCCACCCCGAATTCCTGGACAGAACCCGCAATCATGCGTTCGCGGGATATGGCAATACGTACACTCCAACTCGCCCAACCTACAGGACAGTCAGTCCCATCCAAAGTCTATAAAACAGCACATCCACTGACCTGGATTCCGCGCACCACAATCGGCACACACATTGTTCCCCGGCACCGTCTTGATCAACTCCTGAAGCGTGCGCTCATTGCGCGCCTGCTGGCGCTTGTTCAGGGCCGCAGCCATGTCGTCGCAGAGTACAAAGGAGTAGTCGAAGTTCTACTCCGTACGGAGTTCTGGACCGGCGAAAGGTCGCAAGAGGTCGAGATGGGCGACGGCCCGGTGGCGGGAGAGGTGCTGAGACCGGGGCTGCACGGCGCACGCGGGGAGAACGTGCTGACCTCGTGGCAGGATGGGGCTCTTGTGTCGCCGCTTTTGCAATTAAGAATGCTCTATTACGACAAACGAGCGTCAAGCGTGGGTAATCATGGTGTCGTTGGGTGAAGAAGACCAAACAGCAAGAAGGAAAGGGGAGGGTGCAAGGTCGTGAATCGGATAGGAAGGTACACATGTCGCGATTGCGCTATTCGTTCACGGCAAAGAGACGCACGACTCGCTCCACAGTGCTCCAGGCCTCGCCCTTCTTTTCTGGGAAGTCCGGACAGGGGAATACATGTGCATCAAACAAGTGAGACCACACTTTGTGATACCCGATCTTGATGAGGATGTTGGCCTCGTATCTGTCGTTCCGTTGATGGTGTGTTGGGTTCTAATTACTGCCGTTGGCCTCCGTTTCGGTCACCATGATTAGGATCTCGTTCACAAAGGTAACAAACCAGAGATTGACCTAACAGTCCCAGATTGCTACTAAAGATGGCAAACCGCACTACGTGAATAGTCAATACGAGTAGATTTGCATGGCTCAACGCATGAAAACTGCCATAAGGTTCCTAGATATTGACGATTCTTCAAGCCACGCCCTCTACCATGGCAGTCAGTCGTTCGAGAACCTCCAGGGGAGCCGCTCTCAACGTCCCCGTACTGCATCCTCTCCTCAGTAAATACACTACATCCCTTGAGAATACGAGAGTAAAAGAGACAAAAGTATGTCCGGCCATACGCAGGTGACCCCCATCCTCATCAACACAAGAAGCAGGAGCCTAAAAAATGCCATCAAATGCCATCTAGTACGCCAATATGACTGACCTCCCCGTAGGCAATTGCGGCGAGGCAGTTGATTATGCGTTCACGAGTTATGAATGTGTGTTGAAGAAGAGAAAAAAACCCCATTGTCCTCATCAAACTTTTCTCCTCCCAACCCGCCAAGATAGCGGCCCTACAATCTTCCTAGTGCCTTGGCACATCGTTGCTGGGCGGATATAAAATCTCTGAACACCCTGGAACCCGATTTCTCTCCTTTTTAGATCAAAAAGAACGAAGCCAGCCACGACCATGCGCAAGCGCCTTCCGGGTGCTATTGCCATTGGTTGCCAGTCATCTGCGGATGGCGTGGTTTCGGAGAGGGACGCCATTCTCCTGTTAGGAAACTGCCTTTCTCGTGGGTCGTCTTAAGTGATGGCGATGGGGAGGCGGTGTCGACTTATGGAGTACATCTTTCGCATTCAAATCCAGAATTGCATGTAGTTTCTCTGTATTTTTGGAGGCCATCTGCTTCCTGTACGTGCCGGGAGGCCTTTGTCAATGTGCATTGGCAATGATGAGTTTGTCACATCTCACTTCTGCAGCTGTTGTCCCACTTCAGATGTCATGCTCGCGAAGATGTTCTCACGGTTTGCCAAACATGTTTACGACGGAGTCGATGAATATTTTCTCAAGAAAGGCGAAAATGTGCTGAGCTCGCGTCGGCAGACTACATGTCTGATCGATCGATGCCATGCCATGCCAGGTGTCCATTATATCGTATTTAAAACAAGCAATGAATAGCAATCATGCAGGTGAATCGCCATCCCTCACTCTGCCATTACCCTGCCATAGAGCTGTTTTCCCATAATACCAATGCTGGCTCATCCAAAGACAGCCAACCTACGACCAATCCCACCAAAACAAATGCAACTACAGAAAATCACACTACCGACCCATGTCGCGGTAGCCACGTTATCGTAACTAATGACGCCAGCGAAACGTTGTTTGGGGTCGGAACGGCCTGTTACGGCGGATGCTAATTGCGTGGCATTAACGGCAACAAGGGGTTCCGGAGAGGGCAGTATATCCGGGTTCGCGAGGAAGATGAAGGAAGTAATTAAAGAGGTGCTGGTGAGGGAGAATAGGACGCCGTTTCTAGTGCGGTCGAGAATGTACCAAAGCGCGGGGTTGACGAGAGCGAGTGTGATGATAAGTTGGAGTGTGGATTCCCAGGGCAGTCGGCGCTTGCAAGATATTAGTTTGCTTCCAAGCTAAAACAGAGCGCAAGACAAAGGAGGGCTCTTACAATGGCAAAGGCAATACCGACGAAAGCGCCGATGCTTCGCACAATCTCATTCCACTGTTCTCCGGTAGATGGCTCCGACTCCTTGGGTGTGGAAGCTTGACTTCTCCTCTCTTCTTGCGCTTGAGAAGAAATCAAGTCGACATAAGGGAGTAGGGTTCCCAGCACGACACCCGCAAGGCCCCAGGCAGTCCAGTAGGTCCAGCTTTTGAAGTCCACACCACCGACATTGACTGCAGCAAGCTCCTTTCTGTCGTGCAAGTGTGACACCGTGATACCGTAAGCCGCGCCGAACAGGAAGAGCAACACGAGTTTGAAGACCACATTGGTCAACCTCCCGACACTGTTCTTCTGCGACTTGGGGCCACGGGCTACCCCGGAGTGCTGACGTTGTAGCGCATTGTGAGGCCTTCTCTTTGCCTGGTTGAGGGTTACTCCCCCATCCGGACTACCTGGCCCATTGTCATACGCAGCCCCGAGCGAAGGCGTCAGTGCTCCTAGGTCGAGTGGTGTGTCCAGAGTACTCTCGCCGGGAATGCTAGTCCCAGCTTCATCAAAGATGCCAAACAGCGTGCTCTTCATGTTCAAGAAGCTCTTCGATCTGTCCTGCAGGCCTCCAGCGCTGCCATTCTCACTCGCGCCGTCATTGCGGCCACTCTTAAGCGGTTGCAATCTGGCCGTCAGCTGAGCGAGGAAATCCGACGACCGAGTATTGGGAATATGCGACGTGGACGGAGGCGACGACGGTGGGAATTGGTCGAGAGACTCGCTCGTTTGCGAAAGAATCGAGAAATTGCGGCGTGGTACCGGTCTATGGATATGCGGCGGCGACTGTTGATTGTGGTGCGGAGCCGTGTCCGCGGCTACGAAAGGGTCCTCGTCTCGCTCTGCCGTCCCGTCTCGATTTCTCGGGGGAAGCTCCACCCATGTCTCTTCCTGTGTGCCTTGGGTGTTTTCGGCGCGCACCATTACAACAGATAGGAATACAATGCGTAGAGGAAGAGGAAAGGTAAGGAGGAGGGAGAGTGCCCTGACCGAAAATCACCCTCTCGTATATTCAGCGACGGAGATTCGAGCGGAGGAAAGTCCACGGGTGGGTCCGGGGTTGCTGTCCGGGGTCAGTAAGCATCCACGTGAGGCCAAAAAGATGTTGCAGGTGCCTTGGCTGAACACAGCCTTCCAATTCGTACGTACCGGGATATTAGCTATAGGAGCTGTTGAGATTGCTTATTAGTAGCTGTGGTTGTCGCAGGCATGGGGGAAGGGAGGTCTTGGGAGAATGGGAGGGTCCTAACGGAGTTCGCGTTGGAATGTTTCTGAATAGCGCTTGCATGTGAAAATGCCCTGACGGACGCCGGCCTAATAATCCGCACGCCACCTGCATGGTTGGGCCATGGCCTACGTAACTCAACATGGCACCAGAGGTGTCAAGGGCCGGGACAGTGCATAATGTTAACTATGGTGTGGTGACTCCAAGTTTGCCCAGCTGGCTTGCCGCCGAACTATAAACTAATACGATAGGAGAACGGCATTTGAGAAGGTCTAACAACCAAGTCACGCTTAGATCTGCCACTCCGCAGCCGGTGTATCATATCGATGCTCGAGATTTGTGTGGTTCCCCGAACACTATTTGCCCTACATTACCACTATGTAGCACAAAACATGCCAGCTCCTGTCTTTGCAGACCACGTATGCAAGCCAACCACCCATCTATCAATGTAACGATAGCGCTCGTACTCGCATGCAAGGCGTAGAGGCAGATCAAGCATGACACTCGAACACTCTGTCATACTAGTTCTGCGCGTCCGTTTGATCATGTCATCGTAAGGTCCTTCCAAACCACCACGGTTCATATGCAGCCCTACTTAGTCCTCTTGGGGTTGAAGGACATTGCCACTGTTCAGACGTCAATAAGCCGCAGCATCGGAGAGCAAAGCGGGACACTTACGCTACGATATTAGCCCATCCAATCAACCTCCAGTGCTTCTCGATACGACGAGACAAGGCAATCTTCTCCCCAATCTCCGTGCATGCGGGGGATGTGAGCTGCAACCTTGCAGCATCAGCTTTCACAGCAATAACCTTTGCACCAGTAGCCGTTGAGCCGATATTGACCATCTGGTACACATACGTTAACCAAGCCCTTATCCACGTTAGGGTCTACTTACGAGGACCTCGTTCTTAGCGAGTTTCGCAACCTTCGCCTGCTTGCCATCCGCGGTCTTCACACCGAGCAATCTTCGAAGGAGGAAGTAGTTGACCTCGAGCTCACTGTAAATGTTGGGAAGATGGCCTCGGAGGCCAAGGACGAAACCAACGAGACGATCAGCACGGCAAAGGGTAGGGTCCACACGAGTACCGACACCTGCAGATCTTAGTCGAACCCTTACAAGCTATGCTTGAGTATTTAACTTACCGATCAGACCCCCTGGAACGGCAAATTTGAGATCGTTATGTTCTGCGAATAGAGAGACGACTCGCGAGTAAATCGGTTTGCACTGGATCTTGCCTTGGCTGTCCTTCGAGACAATACCAGGTCGAATTTCAATCTCATCACCCAACTTCAACACACCGGTCAGAATACTGCCACCAGCAACACCACCTTTCAGTTCGTCAATCTCGGCACCCGGCTTGTTCACGTCGAAGGATCGGATGACCATCATGTGCGGTTTTGCCGAGAAATCCCGTACTGGAACCGGAATCTTGGTGACAAGGTATTCGTTCACGGCGTCGATGTTGAACTTGAGCTGGGCGGAAATGGGGATAATGGGCGAGCCATCCGCGACTGTGCCGCGAATGAACTTCAGGATAGACTGATAGTGTGCCGCTGCGCTATCTTGTCGCATCAGATCCACCTTGTTCTGAAGGATGATGATGTGGCTGAGCTTCATGATCTCAATGGCTGCAAGATGCTCACTCGTCTGAGGTTGAGGGCATGGTTCGTTACCGGCGATGAGGAGAAGTGCGGCATCCATGACAGCGGCGCCAGACAACATAGTGCTCATGAGAATATCGTGACCGGGGCAGTCGACGAATGAAACGTGACGGAGTAGGCGGTAGGTACCAGTGCATCCTTCTCGTTCGCAAGGCGGATCCACCTCCTTCTCGCTCTTGTATGACCTGTAGCAAGTCGGCCGTGGGCATTCCTCATTGTCGCATTTGTAGATCTTCGCATTCGCATAACCAAGCTTGATGGTGATATTCCGCTCCAGCTCATTCTTGAATCGAACAGTCTGAACCCCTGAGATAGCCTTGACGACTGTACTTTTCCCGTGAGCGACATGGCCGATCGTTCCTATATTGATCGTGGCCTGGCGGCTGATGATTTCTGGAGAAAGAGGGTTCAATTTAGAGAAGTCAACGGTCGCCGGATCTGGTTGTTCCCTGCGGGGTATTAGCATAAATCCGGGAATCGAGAATCAACTCTTCCTGGTCCAGCTGTAACTGGGTCAAAAGAACATGCATCCGGTATACAAGTAGGCGAGGAGATCTAAATGATCCAAAAGCGCATTGTGTCAAGTGAAAGGACCGAACACCGCTTCCTTCTATCCAAAACTCTCGAGATTCGCTGGGGAAAAGAGCTGCTGGAGCACACGTACGGAAGATTTGGTCGCTCAACAGGTGGCAGCACCTCTCGCGTCTTCTTCAATGCAGACTTGGGCTTCGTTTCCTCCACCTCTTCAGCGCCAGAGGCTACGCTCTCTTCATCGCGGTGATCATGTTCCGACTCCGAATCCATGCTGGGCAGAAGGCGACTTTTTGACGCGGGTTTTCGACAGTATAGTCTGGGGTTGTTCGTATATCAGGTTGTTTCCAGCTATTCTTGAAAAGGAGACGGCGGGGTCGGGGGTGTTGTGGCGGCGATTCAAAAGTTGCAACTCCAAAAGCAAAGGCGAAAATGCCCTTGACTCAAGCTAAGGCTTGGCGCGGGGCATCGGAAAAATAATTGACCGTAAGCCGACATAAAATCTTCTGAGCAGGATCCGTGCCTGCCTTTCTCTTTCATTATTGAACAACGCAAATCTTCACACTCACTAAAAGCATTTTCGATTCTCGAGATCCTCACTGTCCTTGCGGCGGGTCGAGGGTCCATGATGACGAAAACCGTCTGTCGAGTGGAGACGAATTTAGCAGCTAATCTTGGGTGCGGTTTCTTTCTGCTTTCGAGCAGTGGAAGAGAGCGCAATGATTGGCCGTACATACTTATCAATGTGACTTTCAGGAGGCAATCACTGTTTACGTACGGCATATTGGTGAGCTCGTAGAGGGTGTTTCCAACGTCATATCATGACCAATTACTCTGTTCAGTTCAAGCTTGAGGAATGTTTGTCACACACATTTGTAATAGTCGACTCAATCCGTTTGGGTTCTCACGGTCACTGATTTGATCTCCGAACCCAAGTGGAGGGCTATGAATGGGCTCATGATTTGAAAGCACTAACCAGTCAATCCTCTATGCCTGGCCCGCTATAGCAAACGGACGGACCGCAATTTCTACACAGCCGGCTCGTGAGGTGAGCTCGATTGAGTCCAATGTCACTGACATAAAATCAGAACCTAGGGACTAGTAGCAAACGGGTTTATGATCTTGAAGTACTCTGCATCCGTTATTCTATGCAGAGACACGAGGAGCTTCAACCCATGCGCTAAACAATGGCTATAGTGCTTTCGCCAATGGCTATTTTGCGGTTTTATCAGGCTGGTTCCAACCGGATCCTTCCTACACGCGAATGGCATGTTTTAGGAATCGGGAGCCGTTCCCCTTCCCAAGATCCAACAGGGCCGTTCACTTACTTCGAGGCTTCGAATTCACAGGTTTAGATTATGGTCAAGTTTCGACGGACATGTCCAAGCCGTACTCGGGCCAATGATCGAGTGCTATCGGCTCCTCGGTTGGTAAACCAATTCTAGGATTCTGTCACAGCTCGATCTTCCAGTGTGTCTCCTCTCCTTAGGAAGTTTCTGGACATTAGCAACAAACGCAGCCAATTTGTCCTTCCCGATCACTGTGCCTTCTAACGCCGAACTCGGACTAACAGTTCTGTACTCTCTCGCGTATATAAACCCTCTTCTTTTCCCTCTAAGCATTCTCTAACAATGTGCTCTGTTTTTTTCTTCTTTTCTAAAAATCCACGCATCTTCGTTTCATGACGAAGACCGCTCTTCGAAAAGACCCGAGTCCTTGCCCATGGACTTGGCCTTGAGTAGGAGAGATTTGGAATAAGAACAGGCGTGGATGGTGTGGATTCGAAATCAGAAGGAGGAAAGACGATGTGAAGGGAACGACAGGTGCGAGTTTGGATGAGTAGGGATCGGCGATAATAATGATGATTATCACCATTGTTATTATCATTAAAAATGAGAGACAACGGTAGGCCGTGCTTTCACATTTGATTTAGTCAAAACATAGACAGCATAACGCAACTTTGTTCAATTTTGGTTTCTCTGTGTCATGTCCTGCAATAATCCAGGCAGAGTAGCCTCGCTCCATACTTCGAGAAATAACTCGAGGATACCGATCCGTCGTCGGCCTCAACTCTCCTCGAATTCTCCCCCCAAAGGACCACGCCGAGGAGCAAGCTCGAGAAACCGACACAGCACAAAGCAAACATTTCACGAGGCACATATGTTTGTCTTTGATTTAGTCCTACTCATCCACCAGAGATCCTGATGAGTAGGGTGGAGAAGACACGGCCCTGCTAAAAGCCTATTTCGATCTCCCACTGAGAAGGAATGTTGCTCCAAGGCTACCGGGAGTTAGGCCGAGGAGCAGGCAAACGTGGGTTGGAGATGCGAAAGCTACATGCATCCTTTGCGATTGATGGCGAAATATCCATTTCCTCTGCAGTCTGTGTTCTGGACAGAAGGAACGGCTGAAGACAGCACTTCCGGCGGTGACTGATCTGAGATGCTGTCTTCTCGTTGATGGAACGGAAAATGCTATTCAGAGGACATCCAAATCCAGTCTCTAGTTTGACTGCTTGTTTTTGAGGTTGAGCGGTTGTGGTGAGTGGAAACAGGCGCGTCGTTTGAAGAAAAATAGGAAATTGAGTGGAACGTGCAGAAGGATGCTAGCTGGATTGGGCATGGATACACATGAGGCTTGGCAAACCAATGTTAATCTCGACCCTGGTTTCGTGAAATGATGTGGAGGAGTTGAATGTGTTGCTGGCGTCAACATTGAATTGAACATTCTCCTGTTCTCTTGAATACGTTTGGAGGCCAGAGAGTCTGTCATTGCATGGTTTATTGCTTGCGACTAGTCCCAGGTCATGAGCGGGATCTATGAAGCCTTATTTGGAATGCCGAAATCGCGCTCCTCCTCCTGTACACACATTTCTAGTGTTCCAAACTCCAATATGCCATCAAGATGTAGACCCGCTCGCAGATCATGGGACGACGACCTTCACATCGTCTTCGTACTCCTGCTCCCGCACGCCATCCTTTGTTATAACCTTGACCGTAACGCCCTTGAAATCGATCGGAAGTCGTCGCTTTAGCTCTTCTGTGCACATCCGTAGAATCTTCATGCCCTGCTCGAAGTCGATATCGGGGTGGTGGTGCTTGTCCAGGAGGGAGAGGCAGTAGTACCTAGGACGGAGAGTCAGCAAGCTTTCCGCGGCAGCACAGGCTCCCCCTCGCTTTGAGAGGACATTAGAGTAACATACTGAGCGTATCCATGCGCAGCATATGGTACGGGAGCCAAGCTCGCCAGATAGTCGATCCAGTACAGCGTAGGCTTGTCCGCAATCTTGTCATAGCCGCCCAGAAGCAGGTTCACAGTGTAGGGTCTCCTTGACCGCAGCGACCTAGCCAATTCTCCCCGAACGAAGTTTGCCGTGGCTGAAGGTGAGAGCTCCATGCCATTGCGCATGGAGTACAGCTGCACGTTGGCTTGGATGAATTCGGCGAATTGAACTGAGGACCCGTCGCCGTCAGCTACTCGTCCTCCACACAGATACACCAACACACACCTGTATCACCAGCTTCGCCGGAGAAGGCCATGAGAGTATGTGAGTTCAATTCCCGTGTCTTGTCGTCTGTGGCTTTGAGGATGGTGGCGCCTCGCATGGCGGCTTTAGAGGCGGCGATGATGGTGAAGTCTTTGCCTGTTATACCCAGTAGAACCTCCCTTTACTATGTCAGTCATGATACTTCCCTCGGAAGGGAGCTCCTACATGATGTGCGGAATGGGTGGAGTAAAGTTCGGGAATGGCTGGTGTACTACTAAACAAGCGGATTCCTAGGACAAGCTCGTGAGATTCGGCCGGGATAGAGAATGAGGAATATCTTCTGTTCAAGGACTTCAGAGAGATAGCTCGTTGTAGCTGGGGGACCTGTATCTCGTGTAAACTGAGGACGCGACATCAGCAGCTGCCTCGTCAAGCTAGGGCCCGAGCTCCAAATGTCTGGGCATAATGCACGTGACACCCAAGTCGAGCGGTGCGCCACAGTGGCTGAACAGAGCAACGACGTCATCAACCGATGCCATTGCTCAACCAGGCACTCTTTTGGACCACCATCCGCGCTTCACGTCGCAAGCGCAATCTCTCGACGTCTACGGACACTATCCGACCTTGCACACCTCCCTAAGTTTTAGGCTCTCTTAATATACCATTGATTCACGTTTCTCACCTTCGTCTTGAGGATGTCTGGGCCGCCAGTGGATTATTGTGTGTTGAATGTCCCTGAGGGGAATATATATGCTAATGTATGCAATAGATAAGGTGCTGGAGGTAGATCCAAAAGCTACTCAACAGCAGATCAGGGATGCGTACAAGAAGTATGCCCTTCTCCCTTCTTCTCTCTGTCGGCAGCCTACCATTCCGCCTTCCGTCCACCTCAAGTTCCTTTCCGCAGCAATACTAACACCCTCCAGGGCAGCCCTAAAACACCACCCTGACCGTGTTCCGCAAGACTCACCCGAGCGGCGCGCCCGCACAAAGAGATTCCAACAGATAAACGATGCCTACTACACTCTCTCAGACCCTACCCGCCGCCGCGAATATGATGCCACCCGCAGCTACCACTCCTTCACGGGCGCCGCCCCCAGCTTCACCGAAGAGGAGTCCACCGAAGGAGAGATCCCGCGCGCTTCCACAGGCGGTTTCCCTTGGTCCGCCTTCGGTTTCGGCGGCGCGCCCGGCGGCACAACAGAGGAATCGCACACACGGTTCTCGAACGAGCAATTTGGCAGCATGTTTGAAGAAATGCTACGAGAAGAAGGCATGGCAGAGGGAGAACGCGCCGTTCCCACTGGTAGATTCTGGAGTATAGTGGGCGGACTGAGCGGTGGGGCTATGGGCTTCATCGTTGCGAATTTCCCGGGTATGGTTGCAGGCGCGGTGGCTGGGAATCGATTGGGTGCTGTGAGGGATGCGAAGGGGAAGAGTGTGTATCAGGTCTTTCAGGAGTTGCCGCAGGCGGATAAAGCGAGGCTGTTGAGTGAGCTTGCTGCGAAGGTGTTTTCGAGTGCAGTGGGATCGTAGCGGGATGCGTGGTGGCCGAGGATATGGGAGCGGGTTCCAGGAAGGTTGGGCTTGTGGTCTTGGAACCATGCTGGGCTTTTAGCTGGCATTTTTGGCTTGGAGTTAGGGTCCGGGTTGCCTAGAGCGCGTGGGAATGATAATCCTTTTTTGGTTTCTTTGGGTGGGAAAGATATATGGGCGATTGGGTCAGGTAGACATCAAGCGATACCAAGGCAAGAAATGACTGACGTAAACGCACTCAGTGTGGTCTGTAATCAAATCTTGCAAATATCAAAGTGATATGCCCCATCTCTATTCCCCAGTCATGCTGCGTCAGAGAGTTACTCCCTCCTCGTGTTCATAATGCATTACCTATTCGTCATCTATACTAACAACCCCATGCTCAATTTACCTGCTGGCTTACAACAACAAAGCAGTTCTACATCCCCATCCTCTCCTCCTGCCTTCTACTCTGGTACTTATCCATCCTCGTGGCCTCCACAATCATCCTCCTGTAATCCAACACCGCCCTCTCCAACTCCCTCCTCGTCAACGCCTCATGATCCGAATGCGCCACCTGTATACTCCCCGGCCCGTACAAATACCTCCTCACCCCTTGGTCGACTTTCAGATTGGGCAAATCGGTTCCATAATTCACAGTTATCGTCTCGAACCCTTCCAAATCACAATCGATATCCACGGGCCCGTATCCCTCACTTCCCCACTGCACTTCAAGCGTTGCACCCAGCTTCTCTGATCGCTCCTTCACACCAGAGAGAGAATCGAGAATCAAATCGCGCACAAGCTCCGGCGTCCCGGCTGCAAGTCGCATAGCGATTCTCGCCTCGGCGGTCTCAGCCACCACATTCGCAGCAACACCACCCTGCACACGTCCAAAGTTCATCGTCGTATTGCCATACTTCTCACTCCACGGCAGCCCACTTTCCCGCAGGTGGTGCAGCGCACCCAATGCGTCGAGTAGGACATCGTTCGCGGAGACTCCCAACCACGGATACCCGGAATGCGCCGCCTTGCCTTGTATCCTGATCGTGAAGCCCAGCATGCCTTTGTGTCCGCACACCAATTTCCCCTCCGTCGGCTCGCCGAAAATGACAACCTCGTAGGATTTCGGTCGTTCCTCCCACGCAGAGAAAGCGCGCATGCCGTCGCCGCCGGTTTCCTCGCCCACGACGAAGAGGAGGGATAGGTCGTCGAAGAACTTCTCCCGAAGGCTTTGCACGGCCATGATTTGCGGCGCGACGCTGCCCTTTGCATCGACGGAGCCGCGTCCTCCTATTGCATGTGTAGTTTCGTTGTGGTAATATGGCCAGAAGGGTGGGACGGTGTCGATGTGCGATGTCACCAGGACGGTTGTGTCGCGCTTTTTGCCGTATGCTAGGACATTATGCCTCTTCGGAGATACTTCCTGTAGTTCCACTGTGAAGCTATTGTTCCGCAAGTACGAAGCCAACCACTCGGCGACGTTGTGCTCATTTCCCGTTATACTCTCGATCTCGACGAGTTTACGGTGGAGGTGGAGAAGCTGGGCGGACTCGGAGAGCGTAAGGAGGGATCCATAGTTCGAGGAGGGGTCATTGAGTGTTGATTGACTCTGTGGCAAGTTGGCGAGGGCCGAGGCAGCTAGAAGGAGAGAGAGACCACATTTTAACATGGTAGTGAGAGTGGCGAAGCCCAAAGATGTGGATACAGTTGGGGAGCGGGTAGCTTGAGCTTGACCTCGGGAGGAGCCGAGGAGGGGAGCTTCATGCCAAGGATTAAGAACATGTAGAACCGATCAATCAGTGCTTTGTATTATACCAGAAAGACTCTGTGAGAGTTTCAGAAAGGCTCTATAATCTGTGTTTTCAAGCTATCCAGTCTGCTTTAAGGGTGTGTATACATTTAGATGTTGTCTTCAACTCCTCGTAGATCTGGCATGTGCATTGCATGCTTAGCAACCATTAACAGTACATGTGATAACGGCGATGGTACAGTCGTGGACTTTTGCTTGGTCAAACGGCTCAATGGCGGGAAGTTCTGCAAGTCGCTTACCTTGTTTGAACGCTTTCTTCGTCCTTTGGAATAAAAAGATGTGCAACCAAGTTTAGTCTGCCAGAAGAAGGGTCTCGCTCACAGGCAGGTCTGTCATGATTACCACCGCGTCCTTACCTCCCAAACGCTTCAGGTTTCCCTTCAGCGTGGATGGCTCGACGGCATTGCTCTTGCGCATATCCCCATAGTGCTCACCAAAAAAAGTCAGAAGGCTAGGAGGTGAGGGGGGGACAGACCGTACAACCACGGGAGAAAGTGTTGCACGTCTGCGGATCTGTTCGACTGCGCTGGGACGAGAGAAGTCGAGAGAATGGTTGGCGCGCGTATATATAGGCTTGCTGGAGGCGGGACGGAGAAACGCCGTGCCGATGGTGAGGTGAAACGAAGTGGTGAATGTGAAGGAGTGAAAAAGGAAATACAAGATGGTTTCCCTTCCGCGCTCGACTCTATGACCCACCAATGCGTCCTGCCCATGCCGGAAATGCGAAAGTGGAGTATTTTACAATATTATACAGAATATAATGCAACACGATGGACGAAAAAGGGCCTCTAGGTATACTTACTATGCAGAAAGACCACCCATGCTGGACACCATCCCGAGATCTTGCACTTCCCATCCCTCTTTAGCATCTACCCAATCCCCCTTCTCGCCGAGAATAGCGACAGTGCTTTCAGAAGCACGCCGCACTAAGAACTGATCCGCAACTTCCTGGACTTGTTCCGCAGTGACGTCTAGCAAGCGCTCGCGTCTTGTCTGTAGCATATCGTCGGTGATACCAGAGAGGAATAGCCTCATGCCCTCCTGGCTAACGCTCTGAGGGGCGTCATACCCTTGAAATACGCTGAGCTTGGCCTCTTCCAGGTTCTGATGTGTCCATGAACGGTCACGCGCCCACTGTCCAGCTTCCTCCATGATTTTCATCGTGTTCTGCGGATTCGGGTCTCTGTAACTGTACATGCCAAACATGCCGCCGAGAGCACGGGAGTATGCTCCACCTCCATAAGCACCACCCTTTTCTCGGATTTCATGGTGCAAATGCTTGTGAGTCAGTAGCTGAGCGAGAATTTCCAGTGCTGGCCCTGCGGCGTCGACGTAAGGTACTGTGGGTACTGCTCTTGCGGAATAGTACACTTGATATGGCAGTGGAAAGAACGATTTCGCGTTGCGGGGAAAATCGGACGGCTTGGATGCCTGTGGATTCGTCGCGGAAGATGGCAGGCGTGCGAGGAAACGGCCGAGTGCTTCCTGATTCGCGGTAGAGCTCTCCTTCCCACAGGTCAGTGCAACGCGGAATTTGTGGCTATTCGCGATGGCGAAGGCCTGAATGCTCTTGAGCTTCCCGATAATGTCGTCAAGGGGTTCGCTCAGCGGCCTTTGTGCCAACTCAGTTGTGAACTTCACCTGAGACAGCCCCCCGGTTTGCTCATTGAGCCGGCCGACTGGTGTGAGACCAGCTTCCGCAAAGGTCCGAGCAAAGACGTGACCCGACTCAGCAATGGAGTTGACAGCGCCACTCGCTGAAGCCACGAGGAGCTCTCGAATCTTCTTGTCGGCCTCGGGACTGTCGAAGTCCGTTTCCATGACAATCATCTGCAGGAGGTCGTACATGTCGGGCACGTTCCGGTCAAGCGCATATCCACTGAATGCAAGACCCTCTTCGAACGTACTAAGCGACAAGGGTGACGGAGATGCATGATAGCCTACGGAAATACCACCGGTTTTCAGCTTGATGAGCTCCTCTAGCTGCTCCATTGTCTTGTCTTTCGTCCCCAGCCGCATGACGGCGCTAGTGAACAGCGGGATCAGTTTTCTGAGGTCGTTCGGAAGATCTTGCAGGCTGTGAACTGCACGGAAGTAGGTCAGCCCATTTGTTGGCGCTTCACGCCATTGGACTTTGACGTCTCCAATAGTTCCATGACGCAGTGGCTTCCTCTCCTTGATACGAGGAATATCCTTGACATGTACGGTTGGCAGACAGCTCGTGTCCTGGTTTCTCGCTTGTTCCTGGATTTCCAGAAGCTCAAGTTCGCGCTTCTCCAGATACTTCTGCGCTTCCTGCCCACTGGAAAAGCGCTTTTGAGTTTCCTTGATTTTCTCAGCTAAGCGGTGATTTTCCTCTTGTATTAACTCCTCGCTGTAAGTTTCCGATGGTTCCATTGTGAATGTTAGAGTGTTGTCGTTGAGGAGATACTTCTCGAGAAGCCCTTCTAGGTAGCCTCCTTGGGAATATAGTCTTTGAAAAGCATCCACAGTGTCTTGCCATGCAAGTGCTTCCATAGGGTCAACACCATTGAACCAACCCGGCTTCAATCTTTGCATCATGGTCATGCCGAACTGTGCCGTCTTGTGCTTCAGCGAGAGCTCCAGCTGGTGAAGTATACCGTCGACTTTGATCTTATCAAAACCCTTTTCCCGCACCTCAAGGAACGTCTTGAAAATGGCCTCCTTGACTTTAGGCACGTCTTCCGCCTTCACAGCGTTTACGCCGGCCGAAAAAACTCCGATCTTGCCAGCACTGTCATATCCGGTATTGGGACTAAAATCAGCCCCTAGGCCAGTTTCAATAAGGTTGCGGTATAGTGGGGATCCGTAGCCGTCCATCAACAGCGTACTTAGAACTCCGATAGAGAAGTTCTCCACAACGTTAGAGGTATCGCCCATTAGCCAGGTTACAGACGTTTTATGTTGACTATCCGCAGGAATCAAAGGGTCCACCGGACCTTGCACCGTAACATGCCTTGGACCATCCAACTTTATTGGCGTCTTGATATCATGGTCGACCACAATCTTGTCGAACCGGTTCAATCTGACATCCACTTCCTTCAGGTGCTCGTCCAGCGGGAAATTCCCATATGTAAGAAGTTTGGCATTGCTGGGATGGTAGTGGTCCGCATGGAATTTTCTCAATTGTTCCCAGGTCAGATCGGTAATCTTCTGCGGGTCGCCTCCTGAGTTATTGATAGCCGGGAAGAGATGGTCCTGAAACCTGATGTAGAACAGATAGCTTGCATCTGACATTTGACCTTTCATCTCATTGTACACGACACCCTTGAACACCAGTCGCTTCGCTTCCTCGTCACCCTCGGCCTGAACAGCCAAAGGATTCGTAGGACCAACCCGCCAACCCTCTTGCGCGAAATCACTCTCCTTGAGCAACGGGTGGAGCGTAGCGTCCATGTAAACCGACATGAGGTTCTTGAAGTCCTGGGCATTCGTTGTCGCGAACGGGTAGGTGGTATGATCGGACGAGGTGAAGGCGTTCATGAAGTTGGAGAGCGTCCGAGGAAGCATTTTGAAGAAAGGATCGCGAACCGGGTATCTAGAATATATCAGCTATCAAGATCAAGAACAGCTCAATTGTATAACCCACCTCTCGCTGCCGCATAATGTGGTATGTTCCAGGATATGTGGGACGCCGGTGTCGTCTGGGGGATTGGTCTTGAATCCAATGGAGAACACGTTGTTGGAATCATCGCGGGCAATGTGAAGGTACTCCGCGCCGGTCTTGTCATGTACAAGATGTAGGGCTGTCAGCTCAAGCTCTGGAACCTGCTTGACACGCTTGACGGTGAATCCATGGAGCTGCTCTCCGACTTTGGGTAAATCGGAGATTCCGGCCACTGCAGCATATCCGCGACGAGACCAGCATCGGGATGAGAGGCGAGGAACGCTTCCAGGCCTCTGAAGCTGCCACCGAGCGGAGCGCAGCATATTTTGTGATGGACACCTTAGGAGAAAGCCGGCGAGGGTCGCGACTATGTTCCTGAAATCTTGCGGCAATGACTGCCGCGGCGCCAGGCAAAGTATTGTAAATATACCAAAGTAGGCTAGCGGGGTCGTAACTAAGTATCAGAACAGCAACCTCCAACGCTCTAACCGAACCCAGCAGTATCTGGTATTCCCTTTCAATTTGTTAGCAACTTGCATATCCTAATGATAATGGACCTTTCCACGCCGTCCTTGCCGCTGCTGGCTCTGCTCCGGACCAAGTCGTGATCGGGAACGTCTTGGCTGCACAGGCGGAGCTTCATTCCTGCCGACGATGGGGGTGCGGCCCGGGGTGCAGCGACCGGAGTGAACGGGGTCTTTGCTCAGTTTGTACTGTGTAGATGACTATTCGGATCCAAAGAATGCAGACTCTACTAGGTGGATGTGGTGGGTATTTGGAGGATGCGTTTGCCAACGGGGAATTGAGCTATATGCCTGTTAGGGTACTAGGCGGATTGGATGGGATGCAGGAAGCGTGGAACTTCATGTTGCTTCATGAGGGCAAGGTGAGCGGGCAGCGACTTGCGATCACTCCGGGAGTTTAGGCATACTATTCCGTGATCATCGGAATTCATGTGTATACATTTGATGTGTGAACATGTTACTGTCATGTCAGCTCAATATTTCTACTACCTCTAAGTACCGCCTCGGTTCAGTCAGTTTGCACCATCCGCACTTTGGCAATCACTTACAGCTTGAAGTCAATAGTCTAGTCACGAGACGGATGGTTTCAGAGGCACGTCTCAGCTCTACAAGAGCAAGCAAATATGTTACGTTGAATGGTTCTCATATTCCAACTTCTCCGGAATGAGCAGGTAAGGGCACTTTATGCACTGTCATCTGTACTGATAGGACAGGAATGTCTGCTGAGTGAGGCGGCCGCGTGAGTACCCTAGGGTATTGCGTGGAGGGATGTCCTTGGAGCATTTACAATTTACGAATGGTTACGTGTAGAACAGTCGAAGTGGAGACGTGGATTAATGATTTGAGGTACAAGGGACGCTGGAAAGCTGTTCTGGGGCGCTTGCGCGATCTGCATCTTTAGAACTGGGCAAAGACTGTCGAATATGACTCTGGTGGTACTTGATTCATAAATGTTTCTCCCAACAGCCCGTGTAATTCTCCACCGGTGAACTCGACGCCTTCGTCTCTGCATGCCCTGATTGGCTATGGAATCCAAATAATGACCGCTTCAGAGGAGGTATCGATGCCTGAATGTTATTTGAGATTCTATCGGGCCATAGTCTGACTGTTTCTCCCGCTCCCCCTTCGTCAGCCTGAAGCAGCCGATGATGCTGACGGGTGATGGACCCAGCACGTACTGTTCGTCCTTGTATGAATTTCGGTTGATGCCCCGGTGGTGTTGTTTAATTATGCAGGTGTCTATTGCTCACGTGCGCACTGTCGAGGACATCGTCCACGCTGCCATCGAACTATCTCTCTATACTAAATATAGTACCTGTATTCATCATCTAGACTCTTATCGTTGGCATATAACTTATGGTTTGTAAAGTAAATAGCTTAAAAGCTACTCCGTATACGACCAAGGGTTTAGGTAACGGTACCTTGGGGGTAGGGGGTTCCGAACTTTAGGGAGTGATGTGGATTCATTAACAGCGGAGGACATCTTCTAATCTCTGATGATTGCGACTTGTAGAGGATTCAAACCAGCACTAGTTATATAGCAACAGCGTGACGAAGTTGGACGGGCAAAATGCGGAGCGTTGCGGTTTGGTGCGCCAAAGTCTGTGCGGGAAATCCTTGGCTATATTCAAGGCCGGCTTGGCGCAGCATAATGGGTACCAACGCCTGTGATCCCCTCACAGTCAACTCTCGCTGGAGACGCCGCATCTACCCATTTCTCCAAGAACACCATTATCTCTGCGCCTAGGCATTGCCGCTGGTTCATATCATCCACTTAGCCCGTCGGACCTAGGCAGTATCTCCGTCCAAGTCCCAACGTTCCGATTCTGCAGTGGTGCAGAAGAGCCTCCAAGCGTCAGACGACACCTTCGCCGCCGCCGTCCACTCGATATACCGTCTCGACTTCGCCCGGACACCCTGCCTGCGAATATTTACGGCTCGGTCTACCCGTAAACTTCAGTCGTGCCTCCTGGGAGCCTTAGGGAATGCTTAGGAGGTGTTCAAGGTCCCAAGGGTCTGAAGCGCCTCTCTGACTGGAAATACGTGACTGTGGTCCGGAATCGTCAGATTCGAACCATCGCACCACATTGGAATCGCAATCGCCGTAGAGACTCGACTCGCACCCAGCCGTGCCAATGTCCAGTGCCGCCGCCATGGCTCCCACGCCCGCTCCAGCACCCGCGTCTACTGCGAAGAAGGGCAAGGCAAAGAAGGTCACAGACCCGTCAGAGCAGCAGAAGCAGATCCAGGCGAAGATTGCGCAGCTGGAGCTGGATGCGGCCGGAGAGAAGGACCAGGAGCTTGAAATCGGTGGGTACATATTTGATTCCCTGGGTTTCACAATGGACGAGTGTGAGGGGAGAATCATGTTTTGATACAGGGTTGAGCGGGCACGAGTTTCTTAGAGAAGAGACTGTGTAAGCATGGTGGCTCTCTCATGTGCAATTTGTGCGCTTTGGAGCTCGTTTATGCCTCGTATTGGGACGAGTCCTGGAATTGACTTTTGCACCTATCAGAAACGGTCGCTAACTATGAGCAGAAAGGGAAGTTAAGAAGGCCAATCGAGAACTGTCGTCGCTCCTTTCGAATATGGAGACGCCCATGTCTCGCCTCGATGTCCTCCAGAAGAAGTACACCGAGCTTCTTCAGGAGATGAAGCGTACGGAACGTGACCACCAGAAGGCCAAGAAGCGTGGTGATCAGCTGCAGAAGGAGAAAGATGCGCAGCGGACTGAGCTCAACCGGGTCACGGCCATGAAAGACAAGCTTGAGAAGATATCGCGGGATTTCACCAAGGAGAATAAACGGCTGAAGGTTAGCTCCGCGCTTTTCTGATAGCTTCCGGACATATGTTGACGTGGCTTAGGATGAGCTTCACAAACTTGAGACGACCGAATCCAAGGCCCGCGAAGAGCTCCATGAACGCTTGGAAAGACTGGTAGCTGATGTTGACGACTGCATTGCGGCACAGAACCTCCCCGAACCGCAAGGCCCCGTCGACATGGAGTTGGACGAGTTGTATGTTTCATTTCTATGGAGCATTGCGCAGCATGGATCACTAATTCTGGTATAGATTTCGACAAAAGTTCAAGTCTCTCATTGATCAATACGAGTTGCGTGAACTGCAGTTCCATTCACTCCTTCGTACAAAAGAGCTCGAAATACAGTACCAGCAGGCGCGGTTGGAGCAACAGCGCAAGCAACATGAGATGGAGTCATCTAAATCGCACCAATTGACAAGACAAGTCTCGACCTTTTCGCAAACTGAGACGGAGCTTCGTACCCAGTTGAATATCTACGTTGAGAAGTTCAAACAGGTACGCCCTCCTGCATGCCTCTTCAGCTTACCGCACTATGGTTAATACTGACCAGATGCAGGTTGAGGACACCTTGAACAACTCCAATGATTTGTTCCTGACCTTCAGGAAGGAGATGGAAGAAATGTCCAAGAAGACCAAGCGCCTCGAAAAGGAAAACCAGCAGCTCACTCGCAACAAAGAGGTGACCAATCGCAACATAGGGGAGATGGTGGAGGAAAGAACGAGGATGCAGGAGGCGCTCGCGAAGAAGGACCGCGAAATCGAAGAGCAGCGGAAGAAGATCGTCCGATTGGAAACGCTCTGTCGCGGCATGCAAGCTCAGGGTCGTGGCCAAGTCCCGATGCAAGATCTAGAGGAAGATGAGGACATGACGGAGAGCGAATACGACTACGAGGACGAGGATGAGGAGGGTAGCTATGACGACGAGACAGAAGAGGAGTTGGAGCCCGAACCGGCACGTCGTCCATTTGGGCCCGTCCCTCCACCCCCGGCTCCGGAACAGAATATGGTAAACGGAAAAGCCAACGGTCATAGGCAAGCCAATGGCCAGGTCAACGGAGTCAAACGCTAGCAGCACGGGTGGATTGGGCTGGTCTATAGTCTATCGCTATAGGGACTACACCTCTCCAAACCCAGAACCGGAGCGGGTACAGGTGCGAAACATCGCAAGTCCCAATAGCAAGGCAACGGGTGCCTATGCCGTTTCGCATCATGTACATTACTCCCGTTTCTGATCAAGCAATGGCGTCCCGAGTACTGTTTGTTCAACTCCCTGACCTTAGACATATTGTTCTCGTCAGCTACATTGCTCAGTGCTCACTCCAGGAAGGAAGAACAAGCATTCACCGACTCCTGCTTGAGAAGACTGATATTATCGGCGTGTCAGAAGGCTTCCATTGGTAAGGATTGCGCTTGTAGGTTCATCGCTTTGATGGAAACTATGACAGACTTGTAGCGCAAGATAGAGAAGACGGGAAGCAGGCATAGAGCTTAGATCAGGGAGAGCGACCGAGCAACAAAGGTACTCTGGACCCATTCCCAGCTGCTAGAGTTGAGTATACGTCTGGGGTTTTGTCCACTCGCACTGTGGAAAACCGCACGCCAAGACCTGTCGTCCGGTATTGATTTCATTACTCGACTATATATATGCTCCCTCTACTGTGTATAAAATCTCTCCCTTCGGCGGACAAATTACCCTTAACAGGTTGGCGTCACGTGGTTCTCTTTCGACTCGATTTCCAGGCCATTTTGAGCAGAACCGAGGTCGACGGAGAATCCCCGCCAAGGAACCTGAACCCCTGCTCTACAACCACGTCCCATATTTAACATTACCTTCCCCAGCTTCACAATGGGCTCACTCCGGGAGCATTGTTGTTGGTCTCATCCGATCTTAGATCGACTTATCGTACTCTCCCCGCCGGCTACAGGAATACCATAGGCATTCTGCCATTGCATAGCTGAACAGCCATCGAGGAGACTCAACAGCGGCCGTCATGCCTCCTACCCTCGAAACACCGCTCAGCAAGCTGCTGGGTATCCAGTACCCCATCATCCTAGCCGGCATGGCCAGGACCTCTGGTGGGCCTCTCGCAGCGGCCGTCTCCAACGCCGGCGGTCTCGGTGTCATTGGCGGCCTCGGTTACACTCCCGAGCAACTCCAGTCCATTATCGATGAGCTCAAGGCACACCTCACGGACAAAAACCTCCCCTTCGGTGTCGACCTCGCACTCCCCCAGGTCGGGGGCTCGGCCCGCAAGACCAACCATGACTACACCCACGGCCAGCTCGACGAGCTCATCGAAGTCACGATTAGGAATGGCGCGAAGCTGTTCGTCAGTGCTGTTGGTGTGCCGCCTGCAAGAACTATCAAGAGGCTACATGAGGCGGGTATTTTGATCATGAACATGGTCGGGGCGCCTAAGCATGCTATCAAGGCTCTGGAGGCTGGTGTGGACATTGTCTGCGCTCAGGGCGGGGAGGGTGGTGGTCACACTGGCGACATCGCCAACAGCATCCTTATTCCCGCTGTCGTGGACGTTGCACGGAAGTACAAGAGCCCGCTTACCGGCCAGCCGGCCATGGTTGTCGCCGCAGGAGGTATCTACAATGGGAGAAGTCTTGCCAGCAGCTTGATGCAGGGCGCACAGGGTGTGTGGGTTGGTACGCGGTTCGTCGCCAGCGTGGAGGCGGGATGCTCGCAGCAGCACAAGGAGAATGTTGTCTCTGCAACCTTTACCGATACTGGACGGACCCTCGTTATCAGCGGCCGTCCTCTGCGGGTCAAGTTCAATGACTACATTCGGGACTGGGAGTCGCGGCCGGACGAGATCAAGAAGCTGACCGAGGCTGGAATTGTGCCATTGGCGAAGGACATGGATGATGGCAAGGACGTGGATATTCCGTTCCTCATGGGCCAGGTGTCGGGAGTGATTCAGGATATCAAGCCGGCGAAGCAGATTGTCGACGAGATGGTGCAGGAGGCGGTTGACATGCTGAAGCTTGGTCAGACTTATATCTCGTCGAGCGCGAAGTTGTAGTTTATTAATAACGGTTTTTGTACTCCGTATGTTTGAGGTGGGAAGGTGTTGGGAAGACGATATTTGAAGATACCAAGGAACACGACCTTCAACGTATTTATTCGCAAGCATTGAAATGTTCAGCCTGATATTCAACGAGTGAGGAATAATAATAATAATAATAATGGAGGCCCCTCTCCGAAATTTCCCAACTGAGACCTTGTCCGTCTGCATCTGGGGTTGTTCTTTTTTTGGTCTGATGCGGATCGCCGACATGGGGGGGTTCGGGCGTGCACCCAACCAGCTAGGCAAGCAGCTGTCTCTCCTGAGCACCGCCTTGCACAATTCACAGTAGCGCCCAGCACTCTTCGTATCGTGCGGTTGCATCCCGTTCCCCGTCTCCTCCCCTCAATTCCCTCGTCCCATCGTGCTCGAGGTGGCCTATCTTCCTCCGTCCCTAGTCCACCACCTTCTTATCGCAGGCCGCGGCAGCCTGTTGCGGAGCGTCGTCTGCCGTCAGAAGCTATTTATTCATGACGCCTCTCGGAACGGCACTTTGGAGCGCCGCGATCCATGCAGTCGAATCCCAGGGCTCAGGCTGAAGTGCAGGCCCAGCGGAAAAAAGTACGATTTCCCGTCTTGTTCCTCAGAGAAGGGCCTGCTCACTCCTTGTTGCGGCCTTGCAAATATGACGTGCACTGACTTTTGAGGGGTAGCTCGCGGACTCGTACAAGCAGCTTCTCGAGTAAGACGGCCGGTCGCCCTGCATTCGAGGACCTTTGCTAATGCTTACACGCAGTGAATTTGCGGCAGACGACTTGAAGACCGTGGGGAATTATGCGTTAGGAAGACTGATAGGAAAAGGCAGCTTTGGCAAGGTCTATTTGGCAAGCCACAAGCTCACCAATGGCTCCAAGGTGCGTCTCGGAGACCTAGGGACGGAAGCAGCATTTGACAGCATGATCAGGTAGTGCTCAAGTCGGCGAAGAAGGACGATGCCAACCTCGCGCGCGAAATCCACCACCACCGCCAATTCCTGCATCCACACATTGCTCGATTATACGAGGTTATAGTGACGGAGACCCTAGTATGGCTGGTCCTGGAATACTGCCCTGGTATGGACCCTCCCCGATGCAGAGGTGCCAGTCTACTAAGCAATTGTAGGGGACGAACTATATAACTACCTCCTCGAGAAGGGTGCGCTGGAACCTGCTAAGGTGCAGAAGATCTTCACCCAACTGGTCGGCGCCGTATCCTACGTTCACGGCAAGTCCTGCGTCCACCGCGATCTGAAACTCGAAAACATCCTCCTGGACAAATACGAGAATGTCAAGCTGGTCGATTTTGGGTTCACGAGGGAATACGAGGGCAAGTCGAGCTATTTGCAGACATGGTGTGGCACGGTATGCTACAGTGCGCCAGAGATGTTGAAAGGGGAGAAATATGCTGGAGAAAAAGTTGATGTGTGGAGTCTGGGGATCATCTTATACGCCCTTCTGGTCGGAGAATTGCCGTTCGATGACGATAACGAGAACGTCACGAAGACGAAAATCCTTAAGGAGGAGCCAAACTATCCAGAGAACTTCCCACCTCAGGCTAAGGACTTGTGCCAACAACTTCTGTCGAAGCGGCCCCTGCTACGCCCAACACTCGCCGACATCTTACAGCACCCATGGCTCGCAGAGCATGCGCCGAGGCAGCAGGAGATATTAAAGCTGCAGCAACCCGCGCCGTTTACGACGGATCTGGAAAAGGAAGTGCTACAACGGATGCGTGCTGCGGGCGTTGACATTGACATGGTCATTGAAAACGTGCTGGCGCAGCGCTGCGACTCTCTGGCTGGCTGGTGGGCGCTGCTGCTTGAGAAAGAGGAGCGCAAAGCGAGGCGAAGAGAGCGCAAGCGCAGAGAAAAGGAGGCGGAGGCTAAGAGTTTGAAGAGACTCAGTGCTGCCAGCAGTCGCTTGGATAAACTTGCCCCAACCATCAAGGAAACCGATGAGGAGGGTCTCCACTCGCCTTCGCTGGGCGAGCCGCCCAAGAGTCGAGGTAGAGCTCTCAAGCGGTCAAGCGCACACAGTATGTCGAACAACCTGATTCAACAACGTTCACTGACGTGCGAAGTGGGTACTCCAGATCTACCAAGATTAGCAGAATCGGGCTCAACCCCGGAACCTCCTCCTGAAACACCGCCTCCCCCCCTACAAAAAGATCATGTTCGCACCTCAGACTCTTTATCCCGTCCCCCCCCTCCACCCAAGGAGCTAGATAGAAGAAGATCAAGGAGTAGCATGCTCCAGATGGTCTCAAGCAATCCGGACCTCCTCCATCCGAATGGCTTCGTCCCTAAGCGTCGTCGAAAGTACCAGCCCGCCTTCATCAACCACCTTGCGAGCTTTAGGAATTGGATCAAGGAAACATCAAAAAGGGCGCGCTCGCCTAACACGAAAGCGAGCAGCAAAAAATCTCCCACTGTACCACAGCACAAATCTCCTGATCCGAATAGACGTGCCAGCACCGCCAGTCGTTCGCCAGGATTACCTCCTAACAACATCACCCCACCATCGACACAAATACCTGTCCGACCGAGAGTATCTACACATAACTCTGCAAATCGCCTTTCCGCTTCCCCGGCACCCCTCACCCCTCGTGGATCCTACCGTCGCTCATCTGGTGGCCTCCGAGGCCGCAAATCCACATCTTCATCTGTCTCCTCAATCCGCTCCATGCCACATCACCACCACACCCACTCCAAAGCCTCATCCACCTCCTCCGCCTCCCTCGCCTCACCCGCCGTCTCCGTGTCCGGCCACCACAAAACAAGGTCTCCGCACTCCTCCGTCAAAGTCCTTCCCGCCACGCCAACGTCGTCCTCCTTTCCCAGCAACATCCGCCTCGTCCGCGCTCCCCTAACCGAAGGCGGCGCAGCGTTCAGCAACCTGCCTCCTCCGTCCCCAGGCCTCATTTTCGCGAAGCGCAAAAGAAGTCCGTTTAAAGGTCCGATGCTTAGCGTGAATACTCACCATGGGAATCTGGGGTCGCCGAGCTCATCACGTTCTCGTGGGACAGAGGGGGTGGGGTCGAGGAGCCAGAGTGTCCAGGGAAGGAGGAGCGGGGAGATCATGGGGATTGCGGAGGAGGAAGAAGAGGAGGAGGAGGAGATGGAGGTGGAAGAGGTGGAGGAGTTTTCACCTGTGCTTGGCGGGGAGGAGGAGGAGGTGGTTGAGCAGGAGGGGGAGGGGACGAAGAAGGAGAAGTTGGGGCCGGAGTTGCTACCGGGCATTACGCTTAAGGTTCCGCCGGTGAAGATTGAGAGGGGAGAAGGTGGGAAAGACGGGGAGTAGGGATGAGAGGGTCGTGTTGTAAGATTGGGAGATTATTTTCGCTTCTTTTTTTTCTCGCTGTGGTTTTCCGATGCAATGATTGCATTATGTTCTGTAGGTTTGGGAGCTTGTTTGCTGCATAGAGGGGTTTTTGGGGCTTTTGGCAATGGGGGTTTGTCCTTGTTTCCTTCTCTTCCTCCTTGTTATCATCTACTCGTTCGCTCGTTCACGATTTCGTTATCTATTTGTATATCTTCTATTCCTCGTCGTCGTCTTTCTTCACAATATTCTTGTTGATGGTTCTACTCATAGACCTCTTCTTTTCTTTTTTCTTATGTTGCTTCTACGTACGTACATATCTATTCTTGTCTTCGACACGTTGTTGCACAAGCGGTTGTCGCTTGCTAGGGTTGGTTGTATGGATAGATAAAGAAGTGGGGAGGAGATGGATAATAAGTAGTATGGACAGTATATATACGATGGATTATCCAATTGGTCCTTCAATCCATGGAAAGACGGTGCGACTCTCCTCGGCCTCTTTATCGAACTCTATCAATGGCGAAATATGCGGTTCTGATGACTTTGTGCGGACGTTTACACCGCCTTAGCACATGTACTGTGCTACAACATGAGCCTCCTCTCGCGATCGTCACTACATATATAATACGCCCTCTGATCTTCCAATCCTGAAACCGAACAAGTGTGACACCAAAGGCCCGAGGAAGGGGCACTCTTCAGCTACCTAGCTACATAGTATGCTGTGCACACTGCGGGCACACTAAAGGCACGAGCGATGCGGTGTGGCTTACGCGCATGCGCGAATTGAAGACGTTGCTTGAGGGTTTTCTGTCGTGGAATATCCCGTGTATCACTGCGAGATCAACACATCCCGTAGTGAATGTTCCGAGCGCTAGGAAGTCTTTGAAAGCTGAGAGCTAAGAGCTGCTTGCCCTGCTTGGCCGTCAACTCCGATATCTACAAACTTCAACAATACATGGAAATGTTTCGATGTTTCTCGCACGACTTCGCCCGAGGCATCTTTAAGCGTGACACCTGCACCTCTCAACATCTCATCACTCTTAGGGACAGTCAGGCGGCCAGCTCCTGAATCCTCAAGTCTGTTCTTCAAACGTTCGCCTGCGGGCAGTACGGAGGCACATGCCCGTCTAGGAAAAGGTGCCAGGCGGGCCCCACGAAACTCTCAAATCCCAACCACAATGATCCACAACAACAATAATAGCACACGAGTCGGGACTATTGCTAATGGGGCTGGACCTGAAAAGCGTACCTGAGGCCCTGAAGCCTGTAGTCTGCGGTGTAACTGAGTTGCATTAACTTATAAAGGGCCCCTTCAATTGGAACCGTGATGTGGGTGGGAGAACGCGTGTTCGGGTCAGGTCCGCCCCTTGGGAAAGTTCCGGAACAGCCAGCATGCTGTGCCTGTGTTACGGTCGGTTGGATCAATCATTTCAATCATTCGATTCGCGACTGCAGCGGCCCTGCAGCACGATGGGAAGAGACTGGAGTTCGGTTGGATGAAAAAGGTGCAGATGTTCATATTGCTAATTACTCGGGGTGCTGCGGCGAGGGGGTAATTTCGAGGCGCTTGTTCGCTGGGAGGGTTTACAATGTTATTGGGAAGCTGTAAGGGTACGCGCGACGTACGCGTGCGGCGTAGAGGGAGTAGATATTGGGTGGTGTTGGGATTGAGAAGATGAGTGCATAGGGGTTGACGGAGAGAATAGATTGGGGGGTGGGTTAGAGCGAGATTGGGAGTGTTGCTTGTGCCTCGTAAGCAGGGCTGGGACGAAGCGGTGCTTACTGTGGATAGAGGGAAAGGGTGGTTAGTAAGTTCCCCTTCGCTCTCTTCGAACACTGTGTACACACAAAATGAGCGGCTGGGCGATTTAATTCCTAGGCTGCTCGACTTGACGTCTTTCACGAATACAGCAGCGATCACGGAGGCACAAAGCTCGTATTAGTGCTATTGGCTAGCGAAAGAGAGTTGGACATCTTGTTTCCGAAGGCCCGACTCGAACTCAAGGTCGCGCTCGTCCAGTCAGTGCGCGCCGTGGCGTTTTCTAGAAATGCACTGGAATGATTGGTCTAACGACAGTTCCCTTCTCCAACGGGGCACAAGGCGCCACACACGACACACACGACTCGACCCGAGGGAGGGGCCTGGGCGTGATATCGAGGTGATGACGGAAGGCTGGGATGTGGGTGAATGGAGTCCGGCACCGGGACGAACGGAAAAACCATCAGTGGAACGCAACGCAGCGTATTGCAATTCAAACCTAGAATCCAAGTAGGTATCGCGAGAAGAATGATGTCTGGATTAGCTTCATGGAGAAGGACCGACCTCCTCAAGGCGATTGATTTTAGCATGCAGTCCGGCTATGTCCACCCCGCTGCTTCGGGAGCCAGCCGGCGAAGAGGGTCCTCCAGTAGCCCACCAACAAGCTCACGCGCTGGGCGTTGGGTCAGCCATGCGCTCTTCGTCCCACAACACTTATCGCCAGGACTCCCCGCCTAGTACTGTCACACCAGTCGGCACTGGCTTCTTCAGCGTCAGTGACATCGTCTCCGCGTTCTCCCATTCTCTGCCTTTACGTTGTTGTTACAGTATTGTCTCTACTCCCGTACGGAGGTACTTGATAATTCACTGTTGGAACCGTGCCGCCATCGTCCCCTGCATCAGTCGCTTGACCGCGGCAATATCATCAATCAAGAATAAACGCACCGGTATCAGCTTCGCCGCGCGATAGATAGCACGACCCTGGCCAGCCCTCTTCCGCAACAGACTTCGGGCCTGGGTATGCCATCCCTGCGTTGGGCGTTCGTGTTAAAATAGAGTCCGGGCCCACTCCCATCCAACCTCTGGGTTTACGACATCAGACACCTCTTGCCCTCATTCTTGGGCCCCACGTCGCTTTTCGCTGCGCAGATTGACACAGACGACACCCTCTCGAACCCAAAGACTCACGAACGACGTAGCCTTACTTTCCAGCACTTTGGAATTGCAGCGACGCCCGCGCCCCGCATAATTTCGCAGTGACTCGTCAAGGAACGACCGAACGAACTGACTTTGATTCGGTCACCGTGAAGCTCTGTTCGTGCGCGCCCCGCGCTTACCATCAACATGGCGGTCGAAGACTTCGACATGGACGAGTACGGGGCGGAGAAGAACTTTGGCCGCGGGTCGCATGCAAGTTCGGCGGGGTATTATGGAGAGACGTCGATTCACAGAGACACGCTCGGAAGGAGGGTGCTGGAAAGCTTCAAAAGAGATCCGCATCAGAATATGACGCCGAAGGGGTCACTGGGCGCGGATGGGAAGGTGTTCGATGTTGAGACCGCGGCACAGAACACGGCGTCATCGCCGCTGGCACGGCGGTTGAAGGGCCGACATTTGCAGATGATAGCGATAGGGGGTTCAATAGGTGCGTGCGCCGTCGCTGGGGTCGAGACACTTGCGGGAACCCTTCACTAACGTTGGTCCCAAGGAACTGGTCTCTTCGTTGCATCCGGTCAAGCGCTGGCAAACGGTGGACCCGGAAGTCTCGTGATATCCTACTGTCTGGTGGGCATCATGATGTACTGCACAGTGCACGCTCTGGGCGAGATGGCCGTCCTTTTCCCCGTCGCAGGATCCTTCTCCGCATACTCAACACGGTTTATAGATCCGGCGTGGGGCTTTGCTATGGGTTGGAAGTGAGTTGCCGTTCCCGCTTCCCCTACCCTACCCAGGGTTGCCGAAGACCACATGACTGACATGTACCACAGCTATGCGTTGCAATGGCTGGTCGTGTTACCTTTGGAAATTGTTGCCGCGACCTTCACCATCGAGTACTGGACACATGATAAGGGTCTATCCAACAATGGCTTTGTAGCCATGTTTTTGATCCTCATCATCATCATCAATCTTTTCGGCGTCAGGGGCTATGGCGAAGCCGAGTTCATACTGGCCATCATCAAAATCACCGCCATCATCGGCTTCATCATCCTGGGCGTCATCATCAACGTAGGAGGTGGACCCAATGGAGGGTACATCGGCGGCAAGTACTGGACTGATCCGGGAGCCTTCAATCACGGCTTCAAAGGCCTCTGCAGCACCTTCGTCAACGCCGCCTTTGCTTTCTCCGGTACCGAACTCATTGGGCTCGCAGCCGCCGAAACTGCCAACCCTCGCAAATCGCTCCCTACCGCCGTGAAGCAAGTCTTCTGGCGCATCACCCTCTTCTACATTGTCTCCCTCACCCTAATTGGAGTCCTTGTCCCATACACGGACCCCATGCTTCTCGCCTCAGGAACCGAGGGTGCCTATACCGTCGCCTCGCCCTTCGTCATCGCCATCAAAAATGCCGGCATCGAGGGTCTCCCCTCCGTTTTCAACGCAGTGATCATGCTCGCCGTCCTCAGCGTCGGCAACTCGGCCGTGTACGGCTCCAGCCGCACCCTCGCCGCCCTGGCCGAACAAAACCAGGCCCCTCGCTTCCTAGCATACATCGACCGACAAGGCCGACCCCTCGCTGCCATCGCCGTCGCCTCGACACTCGGGCTCCTTGCGTTCCTCGCCGGCGGTCCCAGGGATAGACAAGAAGAGGCTTTCACGTGGATGCTAGCACTGTCTTCCCTCAGTGCGGTATTCACCTGGGCCAGCATCTGCTTCGCCCACATCCGCTTCCGCAAAGGCTGGAAACTGCAAGGCCACTCCCTCTCCGAACTCGCCTTCCGCTCTCAACCGGGCCTCCTGGGCTCCTACGTCGGCTTCACCTTCAATATCGTCGTCCTCGTGGCGCAGTTCTGGGTTGCCTGCGCGCCCATCGGGTACCGCGAGATGACGACCGCGGAGATTGTCAGATATTTCTTCAGCATCTACCTTGCGTTGCCCGTCACGGGGACGTTTTACATCGTGTACAAGATTTGGTTCCGCACCAAGTGGGTGCGGAGTTACAATATGGATCTGCATACGGGGATCCGGGAGTTGAATGTGCAGCAGTTGATTGAGGAGGAGAGGGAGGAGAGGAGGGCGTGGCCGGCTTGGAAGAAGGTGTATAAGTTTTTCTGCTGAACATTTTTCTTTTCTTTTCTATACTTATCGCGGTAAACTTGGCGTCTTCATTGGGAAGGGGATATCTTATGTCCTATTGTGTATTGTGCGGTTGGGGAAGCGAGTTGCGTTTTGCAGATATTTATGTCTCTGCTTTATACCTTTGTTTTCTGGCGAGCGGGTATATTGGGTTTGGAATGGAAGGTCTGGGTGGGTTGGGGGGAGGAGAAAGAAGAAGAATGGGGATTGAGGGAGGTGGATGTATATCAAACGACCCAGGCGGCACTGCAAGAGCGATGCGCAGCCTTATGTACTCACGATTTCCTTTGGGTAGATGGATGACGAGCGAAAGACTTGAGGTCTCGCACTTAGCCACTCAAAGGGCATGAGAATCGATATACCAGTGACAGTTCACTCTTTCCAAGGTTCTCTGTTTTTGAACTGCACGAACACTGATGATGTTTCCTTCAAAGTACCCTCTGCAACATGACGGAACCTGTCTGACGCATAATAAGTCAATATGGCCTCCTTTGATAGAGACGCAGCAACCATGAATCCTCACATGCATTTCCACTCCGTAAATATCTCCGCTCCGCAACCCTCATCAACCCCATCACCAAGAGCCAAACTTCTTGGCACAACCCCACCCCTTCTTCGACGCAGGGATCCCGTCAGCAGCCAGCCCGCCCCAACCGTGCCAACCACATCCCAAAGAAGCGGTGAAAAGTGATTGGCTGCTCCACAAGTTCGCAGCGACCCCCAGCCTCCTCAATCTCAACACAAATTCGCCTCCACTATTCCGTACTGTTGCTTTGCTTTGGGTTTACCGTCTCTTTCTACGTGCATATGTTTCTTGGAGTTATCGTATACGGTCAATCGCACTGGTTATTATTTTTTCTGCAGTGAAGGAGATTGAGGAGTGAGGATAAGAGGTGGTGTTGCGCAGCAGCGCGAAGAGCCTCGTTCGTGAAGGGCTGAAGGAAGAGCTGTGCATAGTTGACACGGCGCTCTTCACTCCAATAAGTGGCATTAGCTCAGTCAAAGGCACGAAGATAAAGGAGCAATAAGACGACCAACCCGACGACGCAATTTGAGCGATTCCGTCCAAGCCAGCACGAGGCGCATACCCTACCATAAACAACAACCCGAACATTCCACCCTTCCCGAAGAAAAGCATTCCTTTCGCTCCCCAAGAACCCTTCCACACAGACCCCATCCTCCACGATAAATAATGGGCTGGTTCACGCGCTCCCGCTCCGACTCGTCCCCCTCCCGCCGTTACGCCCGCTCCTCCGCCGGCAGCGTCTTCTCCTCGTCCTCCTCCCGACATCACAGCTCCACATCGCGCTACAAGCGCAGCCCGCGAGAAGGCTACATCCAGTATTTATACCAGAAACTGCGGCACCTGCTGCGGAAACTGTGGCGGTATTGTCGGGCGCACCCCTTCAAGGTGTTCTTCATGGTCATCATGCCGCTGATTAGTGGCGGCATGTTGCATAAGGTTGCGAAGAGGTTTGGGGTGGATTTGCCGGGGGGAGGAGCGGGGAAGAGGGTTGGCGGAGGGGGTGGAGGGTATTATGGAAGTGAGGGGTATGGGAGGGAGGAAGGGGAGGGGGGAGGGTTGGAGAAGTTGGCGAGTGGGATTGGGGGGTTGGCGAGTGTGGCTAAGATGGCGCAGGCGTTTATGTAGGGGTGGGGGATGTCTAGGAGGGCTTTGGGATGGGGACGAGGAGTGATGCGGGTTTGCATGGAAGAAGTATATGGATATGTTCTGGAAGTGCGAGAGGATACGCTTGGGAAGGAGGGGATGATGACGTGTTGGTTGATATCCGCTACTGGATTCTATGTTTATGACTGGGCGGCCATGAGATATGGTTTGAGTTTCCTAGATGTTCCGTTTCGCAAGATACAAGTCATGGTTTTGACTTTATTTTCGCGAGATGTTGCTTTTTAAGTAAATGACTTAACCAAGACTTAACCAAGTATGTGATTGATCATATTTACAGGACGCATTGTCTTGTGAAGCGATAAAACTCCCGCGTGCACGAGGATGTGTGAATATCATGTACTTCACCATCCCTCACTGAATGCTGGAGGGTTCCGTTCAGTGTCGATTTGAGCTTTGCGAATTGTAATGCAATCTCGTGGTGATCCTGCTACTGTGCAATCTGATAGTTAGAACGATATCATAGATAACACTACAGATCCATCTCAGATTACCTACTTTCGTACAAGAAGATAATCTTGTCCTGTTCCTGCGATGCCCACTTCTGCCACGGGACCAGGCTATCGCCAATAAAGGCCGTACAGTGAGGGTTCTCCATGGCTCCTTAACGCCAACCATGGTTGTCTGAATTTGGCCCATAGAATTCACTTCCTATGTGTCTTTGTGCTTGTACGCCGCCGTTTCTAACCCGAACCCGAGATAAGGCGCAACCAGCACATCTCTGCTGGCCGCAATGGGGGCACACCGGAGTTCTAATGGTAATAGGCGAGTATCCGCAACAGCACTGCGGGAAGAGCCATGCATTAGACCCCAGGGGCGAAGTCCCGGAGATGCAAATGACTTACGCATCGCCACACATAACCATACTTTTTCTTCACCTGGGTTCCCCTTTCAGTCGGAACGTATGCTCCAGCTGTGAAAGGATGCAGACTGCCTTACCATTCTGTATGATCGATTTCGAGTGTAGACTCTCTTCAAGATTGGTGTAGGTTTTCACTGCTTCAGGAACACAAGGTCAACAAATGATGTTCGACCAGTCACTTTGATAATGACTCTCACTCTTTGCCAGGAAAGGCTAATGACAATATAGACAAAACCAACATTAGGCCGGATATCAACATTGTAGTATGTCGTCAGTTTTCACCTTCGGGATCCTGATGACCAGCATTAGTTAGTAGGTATAACTAGGTCCAGTTGTCGTACCTTCTCAGCAGTGTTTTCGTTCATTGCCTTTAAAGGGAGGCAGTAATGACTCCGCTAAACTGGGAGCACTATCCCACTGTAGCCTATATCAAAGAGCAGCCCTTTCAGCAGTATATGCATCTAGATATTCCACTTCAAGTACTTAGAGTCTCAGTAAAATGAAGTTTCACACAAAGTTGGGATTATAAGTGTAATGAAACCCTATATGCGGCGCACAACCATCATGAGATATAGAGACTTCTTTTGCGTCAGGTGCCCAGGTGCCCATGGCCAGAGAACTTTGTTTCGCGGCTTATTCACTTCAATCTTTCGATTACTGGTTTTTAGTCGTTTCCTGGTGCCCATTGTCCAATCAACTTCTCATATTCTAGTTTTTAGTTCAATTAGTTTTTAACCCACCGATATCGTGGTTGGTGTCAGTAGCCGTTCTTGCTCTGCGTTGAATGTAAGGGAAGTCCACGTAAACCCTAGAGTTCAAAGTCTCATAGGTGTCTACACATTGACTGTTCGCATTCTCTTCGGTGTCTATGGAGCGCATGGATGTTCATGATGCTGCAGGCTTGCTGTTCTTCTCGCATATACCTACGTGCCTCGATATTCTTAGATATTTGCTCATGCGGAGAGCAACGAGTCAGTTAATTTTCCTTAGAGTTGTGTCAAGAGTACCACTACTGCGTTTTCCTCCTGAAGAAAACTGCTCGAAGGGGCAAGCCACCTACTCAATACTGTAGTACCTTGGACAACCTCAATCGAAGACCAGTACAACAATGAAATTTCCAGGAAGCAATTGTGCGTTTGAGGCCGCTTGCCTTTGATTGATATATGAGCCGCACTATACAACCGCATCATCCGTCTATGACGCCTTCGTCCGGGAGTCGGATCTAACGGCGTTGATGCGATACCAGGGTAGGTGGCAGTTTTGCTGCTTTGGTCCAATGCATGAGCTTGTGGTTCCAAAACGGAACTTGTGGGAATCCTTCTATTGGCATTTCTAATCTTTGTCTCGCGTTATCACTCTGAACGGAACCTTCCTGAAAAAGACCAACAATATTCATCCTTTCGAGACTTCTATTGGATGCGCCCCGACGTTAAGCTCCCTTTTCTTTGTTGTATGTTTGTCGTCTTCCCTGAATTGTCATGCAAGGTAGCGGCAATGGTGCGCCGGTCCCTAACCTCAAACATACATCTGATGCGTGTTAACGTGTCATGATCACACCGTAGACCGATACCGGCACTTTCCTCTCGTCACATTGCCCCGCATAGCGTTTGTACAACGTGTTCACGAACTGATACCCGTCCTGTTGAAGTTATCTACGAACTATATGGGGAGGCGTGGGTTCCTTTAAGCGAAAAAGGCACCACAAACTGCGAGGCGGGGCTGACAAATCCCACCTCCACGTCCACGTCAGTTGAAGAAGCTAAGCAATTATTTCTCTCCCCGTTGGGGAATTTCTTGACCACGTATATACATTTCGGAAACACTGGGAAGATACTACGAGTACTACGCCATCTGCGCCATTCCGCAAGGCAGGTAACACCATTGTGATACCCTAGGGTACGTTGATCGTCGCAGGAAAAACCTGCCTCCAGGAGCAACTAATCCATCTCTTAACCATTGATATTTTATGCATTGAAGAATACAAGGTTCTCACCGCTTTAAATCGTAACTCCGACAACGGCGCAGAAGCTGCTTTCATATCTGTCGTCCAAGTCTGTTAACTGCGCACCCGTTCGGTCCAGTTCAATAGACCACATTCACTTAAGCCATGTCAAACCGGCAAACATGAGGCGGCCAGGTGACCGCGATCTATGAAGCAGCAAACGGCAAATACATTTGAAAGCAATCATCAGAAGGAGCTTATACATATCTGGGCACACTCAAAGGATCCAAAAAGAGAGTGGGCGTATCTAGACATCGACGATTGGCTACGTTATTTGCTAGGCAAAGGCATACCTGTGCAATTTTGAGGTATGTCAATTTGTCCGATGTTTTGACCTCAGTGCCCTTTTCCCCATGCTTCAGCTGGTTTACCAACCGATGGAATTCTAGTTGTGTTTGTTGTTAGACTTGTATAAAGAAGGGAGGAGAGAAAGGAAGGAGGACGGAGGGGAAGCAGAAAGGAAAAAGAAGGAAAACAAAAGAGAATTGACGGAAAACCAAAATTTGGTAGCCTGTAGGGGTGCTGTGGCTGTGCGGGCATATCGAATTCCAGGTACCCTAGGGTATGCAAAGCAGCGTTCCTTGGAATGCCGGCCTGTTTACATGGCATCTGCGACTATCCAAGGGTACATCCTGACCGTTCTGCAGAAATAGGGTTATTTTGTGAGAGCAGATCCCGATGGTAAGCCCACTTCCCATCATTCCCTTCCAAGAGAGTGGTCATTGATATGAGCCAGGCCAAAAAGAAGCACGGTTATGTGTGGCAATGCGTAGGTTTTTTTCAGAGTCTGCAGTCAAATCCTGACAGTGCTCAGTGCTGCTGTGGATATTCGCCTATAAATATCAGGAATGCGGTTTGCCCTCACTGCGGGCAAGCAAGATGTGCTCGTTGCCCATTAACTCGTGTGCAGGTCAGAGGTGCTGGTCTACCCACCGAATTAAGCAGCGACGACGCTCTGGCACTGGACATTGACGGATATACGGAACATGCCCTCAGTCAAAATCTTGGCAACGGTAGCTTTCGCTGGCGGCTGGAGTGTCCTGAACGATACCAATCCCACGGTACCGTCACCACAAGTGGTTTGTGGGGGTATTCTGCGGGCCGCCCCTAGGGCGTGGAAGAGCCGTTACCCTCGTGCTCTGGTGGAAAAGGTTAATGAGACTGGGTATTTCATTGGCCGGGACTCAACGAGAGACTTCTGAGAGCCCCATTTACAAGCGTAAATGCATCTGGTAAGTGCACCATAGCGTGGCACTCCTCTTGGTCCCTGACGGTTAGTCAGGAATCCAGTAAATGCAGTCGGACCTTTGCTGATAATCCCCTCTCAGAGACAGGACTGGGCTTGGAATGCCTAACGAGCACTAGCGTCCTCAATTCTAGGAATACCAGCAGGTATCATTCCACTTACACGTATCTGACCGTTCCCAGAAGGACCTCATGACGTGGCGACGGACACGCACAATGAATGATGCCTGCTTTCCACAAGCCGCATTGTCATGTCGTTGTACATGGGTCGAGTACTACCAATCGGTAAATTATACGGTCTCTTCCAGGGCTTTTTCCTAGATAATCGAGTAAAGTTCGGAGTTGATACTCGCGTTGCATGGGGTAATTCAGAACTCTACGGTAGTCAGGCCGGCATTTTGTTTTATTGGTTGGCATACAGGTGACAAGAAACGCGGTATTCTGACTTGCACAACCCGTAGTCACAAATCTAATTCGTGTACAGGGACCAAAACTTGGGAAGCAGGTTCTGGAATTCGGCGCGCATTATATGCTCTACAATAGCTTAAGGAGCATACTAATCCGTTCCTGCATCTTCTCTCAAACTTCATTACTGCTTCCCCAAGAAAACCTGTCACTCTGTTTTTTCAACCCTGTGGTTGGCCAACCACGTCCACGTGGTCAATCATGCAAGTCAGATTCATGCCCGACGAGGCTGAACACAGCACCGGACTACTTCTCAGGACCCGAATTTTTCCATAATCCGGGCGCCAGGACCTGCGAGATCCCGGTATGTGCGGCTATGCCACCGGTGAGAGGGCGGGTGGCGGCAGTTACATCAGTCGCGTTGTCTCTGGACAGCGGACGTTGGATGAACCAGCTGTGGCGTCGATCGCGTTGACCATTCCAAAAGGCAACCGTATTCCTGGAGGGAAGGGCAATGCAATGCAGACAAGATACGTGGCTCAAATGGCAAGGGCGGTTGCGCTTTCGAAATGTCTACGAGCGAGAGAAGACTGGGATTTTGAAATGTCAAGCGGTATTATCACTGTGATACAGGCCAGATTAGAAGCTTGTCGACCGATGGCCATATATGGTGCTGCTGCGTCCTCGTTTACGGAACTTTTGCGAGGTCATTAACGGTGGGAGCCACAGAGATATGCACTTCTCTCAGCCTCTCATTCAACGAGCTGAACGCTATCTGCTTGCTTTATAGCCATATCAAGAGTGACTGAAGAAGGTAAGTACCCGCTGATCTTATTGGTAAGACTCATGAAGGGACAGCGGTCTCTGATTCGTTACTCTGATCAACTAATTCTCTCAGTGTGCTGACCGGGCTCCATCTGGACACTCTATGGGAGGCTCTACACGATTACTCAAGAAAAGGTGGAGACACGACATATTTGGGAAGGACAGACGGCCGATTGAGAAACCCTGGATCCAAGGAATACGAGACATAATCCGCGACGAGGGGATCCGAGAAACCACCCCTCAGGATGGCACCGACGCAGGTGCGCAAGAGGATCTCTACACGGACAATGGCATGTCCGCATTCATCGAACTTTACGCAACTCCACAATCAAAGGCAAAAGAACTAGTTGAGTTTTGCGAAGGATTTTCTCTGGACCACCCCGATCACATATCAGAAGGTCAGCCTGCTACAGCCTGGCTGGATGACACATGTTTCAGGCCACAGGATTCGCAGACATTGGGTCCCACTTCCGATCGCCTCTGTAGGCGCTATCCTGGATTCCTCACACCACTTATGCTGAGACATTATCTAAAACAAGAGGTATGCCTTTGCCTTACGTCAATTCCCCCTCGCTGAGGAGTCAAGTCTGGCTTCCAGCATCCAAGTCCAATGCGATGCACTAATGAGCGATCGAAATATCTCATATCTCCCTTAACAGTTAATCCACTCACATTATCGAGCCATTCTAACTGATGTTGCAGCGATTTGACCATAAATCTGAGCCTGATGCGGATAGACGTCTGATGTAAGTCCTCTCATGGCCGCCAGATTGTCCTTTCTAAGTGTTCCAGAGCAATAGCAGACCTAAATCCGCTATACATGCTTGTGCTTGCCGAAACGGCACCTGGCCATCAAGTTGACGCCCTTGCGGATGCGCTGTGGAAGCACTTTGCCTTACAAACATCCTTACGATGCCAGACTGTTGTACGTTTCCCACGTAGCCCGTGTGGTTTGAATTGAAACTTTATGCTCACCCGTTGATAAGCTTAAAGGATACGCAGTATACAAGCTGGAACTGCACATTCCGTACTACCCGTTGCGTAAATACGATATGAACACTACACCGGCCTCACCTCCAATGGGAAAACAGCACAGGAAATGGAGAGACTTGACTTTCCTAATCAATGGCTCTTTCAAACCTCAGAAAGAGCTCACCGGGATCCACGACGCCCACATCTCGATTGTTATATGTGGCACAGACGAAAAACGCTGGATTGCTTACTCTTTCGTCGACAGTTACTTCGACGACGGTGATGAAATGGGCAGTGACGAGTTCTCTCATGTCGTCGCCATGGCTGACCAGATTGCTGGGTGTGGCAACTATGGAATGCCAATCAACGCAAACAATCCGATATGGGATCCTCTCCTCTATTTCTCGAAAGTGGCCTGCATCAGAATGCGCCAGGTCGAGGAAACTTGGGCGGATCTCGTGCGGAGAGTAGAAAATGGCGTCCGGGACTTCATTGATGCCCATCCATCCAGCTCGCATCAGGGAAAAGTAATACAGAGTGGGGACGAAGAGGCCATGGATGTGTTTCTGTGGATTTCCAGAGCAATGGAGAGCATCGCTTCTCTGCTCAAGGTCCTGCAATCCACGAATAGAGTCTGGACGCAATTCTCAGCGAATGGTGATCTGGATTATTTCGATCGCCAGGGCTTCGTGCCGCAGGAGACTCAAACTGACGTCGAAGCTCACCTTCAAGAGCTTGCGGAAATATTTGCACAGTTCAAGGACCATGAAGACAGGCTGAAGGATCTCATTCGGCAATGCGAACTATATGGCGACACGCGCCTTTGGACGCTCCAACTGACTGCTGTGGGCAGTAAAGCCGCACAAAGAAACGAGGCCGCCGCCTACTTGAACATACTTGCGGTAGCTCCTCTACAAGTGGCCTGCAACTTACTCGCTATACCTGCGAGTGTTCCGCTTCTCAAGCAGGACTGGAAATCCCTTGTTACATTGATCCTAATTATGGTCATAGGTCTCCAGATCTTGCAATACTTGCTGTATCTGGTCAAGGATCGTATACCATGGCAGCGCTGGCGGCGGCGGCTCATTGAGCAATTACCGACTATCAATCTCAACCTCGGGATGGTTTTGAAGATTTTGGCTCGACTTTATGAGACGGACAAACTTCGAAGACCAACAACACGGAGAGCTACGGAGGAAACTCTTGTCAACACTCGCGAGTCAATGCCGGTTTGAACGCAGCTGCAAACTTTGGTTGCCGTATAATAATATGAGGAGATATAAAACTTCACCATCGCGAGACCTGGATTCATCTTCCTGGGCGGTTCATGTTCCATGTGTAACAAGGCCAGGTCCCACGGTCGGAGTCTCAGGTCGCATTCAGCAGCACAATCTGCCGAAGGGTCTTCCGGAGGCGCAAAGTTGGACCGCAAGGCAACGGGCCAGCCTTGGCAGAATACATGTGTATCCATGAACAGTCGTTAGAATGTGTGCCCTGGCAATCGAGGAGGTGGGCACATGGTCGCTACTGGTGTTGATGCACATGCATACCAGTCGGCCAATCCAAGGCCACCACGAGGGCCATGCATGAATAAGTGGCATTCATGAGGCTCAACTACATGCCCACTCAAGAATAAGAGGCATAGCAAACTCATCCAGAGCCCAACAAAGGGCGCTATTCTCCAACACCCAACCATCACGCATATGGGCAGATGACCTTAATGCGCAGCAAACTTAGACAGCTCATAGTATTCTCTTCGTCACACCCCATTAAGACCTGACGACAAGGCTGAGCCTTATCGCAATATCCCATGCGCTGTCATGGCAACACTCTCTGTCACCAACCTTGAGCGGCTCTTTGGCGAACTGGAACTGTCCACGCCAATCCCGCAGTTTGCCTCGTCGGACATACGAAGCAAACCTCTCGATCTATACCGCTCGTACCTCGCCGAGCTGATATGCGGCATAGTTGACTGCGACCCTACTGCTGCATACAGCGCCGTTCAATTATCCAATGACCCATTGCATGGCGACTTCACTGTTGTCCTACCAAGGCTTTGCACCAATGCAAACCCGAAAGAGCTAGCACAAACAGTGATCGAGAAGGTATGTTGAACGGTGTCATCGCCGCTCTAACGTGCGTGATGCTCATGCACCACCTCAGTTCGCGCCGAACGCGCTTTTCGATCTTCCATGGGCAGACGGAGTCTACCTACGGGTCTGCGCCCATTCCGGCACCCTTCCGCGCCTCCTCATCCCTTTCATCATTGAAAGAAATTCCGGGTATGGGAGGCATGGCGAAGAAAAACAAGAAACAGGATCTCTGTCTCCCAGACAAGAGAAAGAAGTAGTCGTTGAGTTTTCGTCTCCGAACATTGCCAGCGAGTTTCAAGCAAAGCATCTGCGAAGCACTATCATAGGTGAATTTATAAGCAACATCTACCAGTTCATGGGTTGGAAGGTATTCCGAACCAATTACCTCGGCGATTGGGGTAAAGACATGGCACTACTAGGTGTTGGCTGGGAGAACTTTGGGTCGGAGGAAGATTTTGAAAAAGATCCCGTGTCGCATCTCCTTGACGTCTATCACAAGATTCACCAAGAGTTTCTACCTGAACAAATTGCAAGCAGGAAGGCTCGCGACGAGGCGAAGAAGCATGGGCAGGACGAACTTGAAGCTACAGTAGGAATCGAAGGCAGGGGGGTCTTTGCTGAGCGGAATGCATTCTTCAAGAGAATGGAAGACGGTGATCAACATGCCCTTGATTTGTTCAAAAGTATACGCGAAGTCAACATCGACAGTTATGCGAAGTTTTACGGCCGCCTTGGGATCACCTTTGACGAGTATTCAGGAGAGTCGCAAGTCAGGCAGGAGACAATCGCGGAGCTTGAGCAGGCTCTGAAAGACAAGGGTATTACTGAAGAAAGCGGTGGGGCGAGTGTCATTGACATGAAAAAGCTGGGAGCGAAGTTCGGTACCGCTATTGTGCGCGACAGAACGGGGAGTAGCACATACTTCATGCGCTATCTTGCTGCGGTGCTGGAACGTTCACGACGACAAGAGTTTGACAAGATGATTTTCGTTGCGGCTGACAAAACTGGCCACTTTTCCAGGCTCATCAAAGTCTTCGAAGCATTAGGCATGACAGAGCTTGCGGCGAAGCTGGAGCATGTCCAGCTCAACGACGTCTCCCACATGGCCGAAAAGCTGGGCCACGACTGTCAACCTCATAATATAATTGATCAATGTGCAAAGGCTGTGCGAGATGTACTGAAGGCCGACGAACAGAAAGCGACTGTCCTTGGAACTTCCGATGAAGTAGTGACAAAGCTCGGCACCACGGCCATTCTGGCGCAAGAACTATCGACCAAGCGGGGAAGCGATCATGCCTTCGACATCAACAGCATGGCATCGTTCAAGAGTGGGACTGGGGCATACCTACAGTATCACTATGCACAGCTTTGCTCGATATTGAAATCTCACCCGTTGAAAGCCGATTTGACTCCTGAAGATTACGAGAGCCTCTCAGAAGAAGAGCATACGAGCCTTCTCCTTGCACTAGGCCAATATCCTGAAGTTGTCCAGGCCACGTACAAATCATTAGAACCCGCAAATATCATGGCATACCTACACACAGTCGCCGAGAAGCTAACGGACTGTCTCGATGACGATGAAGATGACGAGCAGGAAGAGCAAGAGGGGGTCCGTGATATGGAGGAGAAGGGTATCGGCCCTGTACAAAGCGCTTTATTTGAAGCAACAAGGGTTGTTCTTGAGAATGGGATGAGGTTGTTAGGCCTTGAACCCGTAGCTTTTCTGCTACGAGAGCGTGCAGATACCCCAGTTGCGGATTAGATGGTGATGATACCCCATACTAAAATTCGTTTTCAACTACTGTTGGGCACATGGTTGCGGCTTTTCTTTTCTCCTTTTTCTCATTGCATTAACGGCCGACTTATTGAATTGACGGTTTTAAAGATATCTCACCGACGATGATGAACGCCCATGGAGCTTATGTATAACGACTTACATTTGAATTTGTTTTTTCTGTCTGATTTTAGGTGCATGATCATTTCAGTCATGAACGAACGAGATCACCTCAGTCGCCGCCTCTAGCGGCCAAAAACTATACTACAACCAAATGCTTAGGTTCGTGGCCCTGGATGGAGCCATTCGCTTCCACGCTGCAGTTCCCTTCCAAATGGCCCACCCGCTTTGTTGATAAAACATATCACACTCCAACGAAAAGCGTTACTTAGAGTGTTTTCTGTTACATTGTTAAAATTTACCATTCGTTATCTACTCCTCCCATGAATACTAGCGCTTCCGCCCTACCGTGGCTCTCTATGTCACACTGAAGATCCCCTTGCGGTTTGTCGGTAAATTGAACTATCTGTTTCGCGCAATTTAGTCGGCCGACTATTAGCTAGTAGAGTTATACAGAGAGCTTTAATTCTAAAACTTATTGAACATGCAAGGAGGTTAGAAGCCCGTAAAGTCGGGCGGATAATATGTAGAAAGAGACGCTCTAAAGCTAAAAAGGCTCTTGTTGTGGCCCTAACGGCCCTGGCTTTGAGGCGGACGTGAATATCAGGGTCAAGATGTTCAAACCGAAAATTACAAAAAGCGCAAAAAAGACACACAATTCCGTTACCGGGAATCGAACCCGGCTCTCGTCGGAAGCTGACATTTGCCTGGCCAGGCTCATGAAAGCGACGGATGCTAGCCGATACACCATAACGGATTGGCTGAAATTGATAATAAAATTTTGTTCGTGAACCTATGATATACTGGAGTCTAGTTTGCAAAGTTTATCCTTTGAGTGCTCTGTGACGGTTCCCCGAAGATTCCGGCGTCCAGTATTGCCTATCTGCCATCTGAAAAGAAACGGCCATTGACGTACAGTGGTTTGCAACAACCACTACATCGCTTGTCCAAGAAGATTTCGTCCGTCACGTGACCGGAATTATTATTATTATTGCTGTTCACTGCTCTAATACGGTTCTAACCTAAAGGTTTTCTACCAATTAGAACATCTTATATGGTGTGGTAGGCAAGAATTTGCTCATTTCAAGCAGAACGCTCAGCTTCAAAAGCGCCCGCGAGACTTGGGTTTGACGATCAGTTCCGGGAAAGTGTTTTTCGTCCTCTTTGGCATATTTTTCTGCGCTTGAGGTAGCTGGTGGGTCGATTCGGAGTGAGTGGATCTGCTGAACTTTGAATTGCGTATTTTTCAGAACACTACAGCGCAATTTTTGGTACGGAATACTGGTAAAGAGAAAGGTCGTGGTTTTAGGTTCAGACGTGGTTCGAGAATTATATGTGATGGGACTGACGAAGAAAGGAGACGGCTACAGTTATCTCTCTTTTCAAATTCTCCGCCACTATCTCGTTTTGGCAAGGAGTGAGTAAGTTGCAAATTTTCCACCTGACAAGACATTACAGGGCTCAGAATCAAGGCGACAGATAATCGGGACTTGCATGCAATATATAAATTACAAAGGAAAAGTTGATCCGGTGGTTCACATTGAGCGGAGCCACTTTGATAACTTCTCCAGAATGGTGGGGTAATCTCATATGCTTGGTTTCGGGGTAGCAGTTCATCCGCGCAAGCTCTCCTCGAAAGGCTGATCCTGCACTCAGGCTTGGAAGCCCCTGCATATCTTGCGAAGTACGTTGCATACAACGTCATGTGAGATAAAGAATAAAGAATGATCAAGTGACGATCCTATTTCTTTGTTCATGGATCCAGTTTGTTCTATCCGACAACTCTGCATTGCCTGAGACATTCCTTGCCCAATGTCCTTCTTCTTCGCCTGCCCAGGACAATAGACTTCCATTGACTAGATTGTTCCGGGCTCAGCCTAGCCCTAGAATTGATTTGTGCACATACGTCGGCCATTTCACATATGATGCTCCTGGAAATTCTTAGTCCCTGGGTTGCCGCCATTCTTAACAGCTTACGCCCCTTCACACTGCAACTCACTCAACAAAAGTATCCTAGATCCTTTGCGCCATTATGAACAAGATACCACCTGCAGCGCTTCTCGCTGCCCATTTCACGAGCGCTGCTGTCCTTTGGCGGCATGAAGGCCGTGACATCACGCCCAGGAACAGCGCGTATCTGAATCACGATACCGGAACCATCGAATTGCCCACTGCAGTACCAAAGCATTCCATTTCCGACACCAATACCTTTGGGCAGCCTACTGCAACCTTATCGCAATTCAACTCCGATAGCGGGACGATTGAGCTGGCGACCGCAACGTCGTCGTATCTAAACTCTGATATCGGTAGCAATGAACTAACCATAGCAACAACTCCACTACCTCCGACGTCTGGTTTCATTGGCGTTCCTGGTGCATCATCCGGGCGAGCATCTCCCAGCTCGGCTGGCGTTACTAATGCGCCAATCCCAGAGCATTCAGCCATCACATTCACGGCATATCATCCACTCTCTTCTGTGGATTCTTCTAAGATAATAAATATTCCAACCAGAGATGGAGATTACTCCCCTGGGACACCAGGATATTCTCAATTTTACTCCGGCACGGGATCACTTACGCCCCCCGGCTCCTCTGCCAATAGAAGTATGACATACCATCCGCCATCCACATCAACCGGCCCAAATAGCACCGTAAGTTTGAGCAGCGTAGCCTATGGGACTGCTGTAACTTCTGGGCTGGGCTTCGTCTGGCCCACCAGGACGCCTGTAATACCATCCTCTCGGGTTAGTAGTGGGACGTCTACCATGGCATCGAGTACGGTTTCTGCTACAACTTCTAGTGAGACACCTCTTCAACCCACTCCCATCACGAGTGCGGCAATGAATTCCCCGTCGGGCGCATCCTCCGCCGTTCTAACGAGCGCAGCTTCCAATCCTGCCTCAAGCCTGCCACTGCCACTGACGTCGACATTTCCTTCCCCCACTACTTCACACTCAAGCCGGGCAGCCACCTCTCGTTCAAGCCAAGATCCTCTCCCATCGAGCACGACTTCTCTCTCATCTCGCACGCTCCCAACTATCCCCTCCTCAGCCCCAATATCCGCAGTCCCATTCCGCGCCCCAATTCCAGCAGAATCACGCCCACTAAGTCACAAACCTCTGGAGACCCATCCACCAAACAGTCCACTCCCACCGCATTTATCAGCCCCCATGCCTCCATCCGCGCCTCCAGCCCAAACCCCGCCACCAACGACAAAACTGGTGGTGATTCCCACTACAATGCAGCCAGTCAAGCAAAGCTCCACTGCCCTCGTCGTCGTTCCAATCAATGCGGCGCTGGAAGAGCGCAGCGAGCTCACAGAAGCGCAAGTCCCAGGGCAATCGTCCCATGATTTTCTTTCCCGGATCTTGAAAGCGCTCGCGGATGATGGCTCGTCGGTAAATCCGACTACATCGTGTCGACAAACATTGGTCCCAACGCCGGAGCCTCCGCACGAGATACCGCCTGCAGGATTTACTTGTGCCTCGGGGACTACGTCTGAGTGCCCACCTCCGACTCCGTCTTGCTCCCTTCCGTCGAAGTCAACGTGTTTATCGTCCTTGATGGCGGTGACATTGACCCTGACAAGGCCCACGCCGACAGCAGTTCCGAGTTGCAAGAGGGAGGAGGAAAGGAGGGAGGAAATCGTTACGACTCTCGTCCGCGAAGGTCCCCATTGCCCATACCCGTATCCCGGAGAACGCTGCGGATCTTCGGCTACGATGTTCGTTACCGTGACGAAGACTGTGGAGTATAAGAAGGAAACGGAGACTGGTGATTGGTGTCCATATCCGGGACAAAGGTGCTGAGATACCTTCCACTGCTCACTCTCCAGTTCCCGTCCAAGTGATTGAGTTGCTGTTTGAGATTTTGCTAATTTGGGATGGAGTACAGGGGGAGTATTGGACGGCAACCCCGAATAACGACGACAATGCACGGGTTGGTGTTGGCTGTGGAGGTTTTGAGTCTGGCTACAATGGCCGCGGTAGCGTCGGGTGTGTGACTGTGTGTAATCGAGAACCATTCCCGTGCGAGCCAGTCATTGGTAAGGTAAGTCTGTTTTTCAATTAGCATAGCGTCGTCTATAGCTGATAGAGCCGCCAGGGTCATGACTATTGTTCCTACAGCGCCTCTCCGTGGTAGTGACGGATGGCGTGGTTTTGTAGCGATCAGCGCAGTAGTCTTCAATTATTTTATGTGGCTCTTTGTTTCTCGAGTGAATGTTCAAAACGTGCAAAAGGGATAAGAAAATTAGTGAAGAGAAGTATAGTCAGGAGTCGCAGTCTAGTACGAATCAAATATAGCGTTCCATCGCAATTGCAAGGGCCCAGCTGGACCGGACAAGAGATCCACATGTATAAGAGCAGATGTTGCTTGAAATGCGCTCGGTCCGCGCTGAAGCAACGACTGGAGTTCCCAATAGGCCTCTGTCGCTCTTCGGCGAAATCCAAAACCAGATACTCATATGCCTCAGTATCCCTCCAAAACCACGAGATCATCCATCCGTGGCATCGTGAGTTCCAGAATCCAAGTTTGAAGTTATGCTCCTGTACACCCAGGAGGCTTCCACCAATTGATCACTCATCAGGAGTGAATAGCGGCGACTCCTCCCCCGCGTCAGAATCCTTGTGAGCCGTCTCTCCACGACCACCAGACAGCCCTTCAAGGGACGATTCGGGCGGAGTGGCAAAAGCACGCTCTTTTTCAAGGTCCTCCTGACGCACCGATGGCTTGGTGACATACTCCTTGGGCAAGTATGTTGGCTTGCGCTTGACTAGGAGCTGCGGCGGGGGAACCATGTTGGCGACAGGAGCGAGGGCCTTGTGCCGCGGGCTAGGAGACCTAACGCGCGGAGCTGGTGCCATTGTCCTGCGCGGAGCGGGAACAGGGACCTTGGGTTTGTGCTGGCGTTTGTGCGTGTTCGCAAAGCGGGCGTTGTGGTGCGGCGTACCGCTTTCTTCTTCGGCCTCATAGTCGTCGACTTCCTCACCAAACGTGGCAAAGGAAGTGATTCTGGGGCGCACAGGCTTGCAGGCCGCCTCCGTCATAGACGTTTCATAGCGGTAGTCTTCCTCACCAAAGGCGGCAGAAGGGGTGACACTAGGACGGACCGGCTTGCGGGTGGCCACCGTCCGAGGGATTTCATAGTCGGATTCATCATCTTGAATGAGCTTGCGGTGCCGGCCGAAGTTGGCTTCTACCGTCATGGCGGCCTGAGGAGTCTTCCGGATTCGGTGCTGCTTACCGTTTGTCAATACATCACTGACGCTTGGGTCCATGCTTGACTGGCGACTCTTAGGAGAACCCCCCTTGCGCTTGCGACGTGCTTCGATGAGTTTGACTCTCAAGCGGGCGGCACGAAGCTCAGCTTGGGTAAGCTGGACATGAGCCTCGAGCTCGGAGACGGACATCTCGTCCAGGTCTTCATCATCGATAGAGTCATCTTTAGGCATTGGGTTCTGTCGACGGATAGAGTTATATTTGGAGGAGAGGTCATCTTTGCCCATGGGGTCGTGGCTGGGGTTAGACATCTGCTTGGGGCTTGATTCCCTTTGACAGATGTTAGTCGGGACAATTGCAGCTTCAGAAACGCGAAAGGTACAGTGAATGAACGAGATAGCGGCTTACACGAAAGACTCGTCTCCACTTGACGGCGATGCAATCGAGCGTCGAGACTTGTCCTTCCTTTCCCAACCCTCGCTGGATCCGCGACGCAACCGCTTTGGCGCATTTTTGCCTTCAACCGTCAGCTTTGCCGTTCAAAACCGTCCGCGTCAATACATTCACTCACGCTTGCGCTTTTTTGCCACCGGACGAGCCTCGAACATCGGCGCGTCGCCGTGATTTCTCCCACGCCTTGGTTGGTCCGTCTCAACGAGTTCATAATACGAGTTCTCGCTCTCAACCTCCTCGCTCTCTTCAACTGGAGGAGGGTTCTTACGCTCCGGATGTTCGTAGTCTAGCTTTACCTCCTTGATGTCTGCCAGCCTCGCCCACTGATGCCCGTCCTCATGCGCCTCTACCTTCTCTCGCAGGTCCCTCTGAAACTCCTCTAGTTTGCCTTTCTTCATGCGAGAGATCGAAATAAGTTCCTTGAGAAATTGGAGTCCCCAATTGCGAGGATCATCTTCTGGTTGATCGTAGATGTGTTCACGGCGGTCGCAGTCCCATGCTCGCATACAAATGTCGGCTGGGATCACATCTCTCGGGTCGTCGACGCCAAAGTTGACGGCAATCTTTGGAAGCATGCAATCAATGAGATCTTTGCTCGCCTCATTGAGCGTCTCGTAACGGCCCATGGTGGGCGGCTGAAGGGGTTTTCGGTCAATAAGAGAGTCAAAGGCGAGAGCTTCCTTCACGGCGAGGAGAGTAATGTTTGCTTGAAGTAATGTAAGTTACGGCTGCTCGCAAAAGCACTGTGTGGTGTGCTGACGTTGGTTCAGTCGGGTTGGGAAGGGGAGTGGGTGGGCCGAAGAGCGGTCAGTGGGGTGGAGCGGAGAGTAGTGTTTATATATGCCGAGACCTTTGCTGTTGCCTCCCCAACTGCGTAGAAGTGTGAAAGGGCGTAGCTTATGTAACTGAGACTTACGTATTCGTTGCTCTCGTGTCAGTCCAGTCGCAGCAGCAGTCAGTGAAAGGAACCGGAAGGCCAGGGTTCGGAAATGAGAGAGAAGAAGGGGAAAAACCGGCAATAAGCGAGAAAGTAGTAAGGGAAGCCCCAGGTAGACTGTCCTAACAGGATTGGGTGGGGATAAGAAGTGAAAGGAGGACCGAGTGGAACATGCGGTGGGCCGCTACAACTCTGAGGCGAAGAACAACAGTGCCAGGAAACTCACCTTTACTTTGCCACCTACCATGTGGAGTAAACATGATACTTCTCGATCCCCAGCATACTCTCGACCAAGTTCTTGAGACATTCAAAAAATGTGCTTGACAAATGAGGGACGCAGCTTACCCTGGGTAGAATGACATGAAGAAGCGAATGCTCTTTCTTTTCGGAAATACCTTATAATTGCTTCCCGTCGGACATAAGTCGTCATTAAATGTTATGTTGCAAGAGTAGGGAGCATAATTACCGAACTTCAGATCGATCTCTAAATGTACCTGCTGATACTCATGGGTTGGAAGGAGGACTGACAGTTTATGCCAGCAGTCAAATGACTCCCGAAAACATATTCCAATTCGACTCATGATAGCAGTGGCTTCAATTTTGCCGTCTTAATACGAAAAACGAAGCTGAATGGCAATAAAATGCTTGGGCACATTTCATATTGACGGATGGGCGAACGGAAGATATGTGCGAACATCCATCAAGGACGGTGAGATGAAGACAATTTGCCATTTGAGCTAATGTGGTCACCATCCGTTTTGCGAAGTGTTTTCAACTATGTCCTATTAGGACTCAAAGTTGGTGAGTTGGTTTATGATGACTTAAGGTAGAGGGCAACCTCTCTTTCTAGCAACGAAGCAAATTCCTTGAAGACGGCAACACTTCCCTTCTCCAACTCCCCGCACGTTCCCTCGCGTAACCTTTCCCTTTCTCCTGACCACCACAACTCTTCCCTGCCCGAACACCCACCCTTTCATGCGCTGCAACGATAGAACATGTCGAACAAAAGGGGGCGATCGCCCTCCCTTCCCCCTGCAGAAGACATCTTCCGCTCCAGCACTATTGAGGAGCAGAAGTCCATTTTCACAGCCGCCTTCTCCGCCACCCTATCCGCAACAGCACTTCAACGCCTGCCGGAGTTCAAATCAGCAACGCACCGCATAGCAGCATGGAGGAAGCCGTCTCGGCAGAAGAGCTTGATGCCGGAATCCAAGGTCCTCTATGATGTTGGTTTCGACGATGATGGGGAGAAGTGGGCTGGCACAAGGCTGAAGCACGTGCTCGAAGACACGAACGTTGCGGGTGCTGTTGTAGTGGCGCGATGGTATGGAGGCCAGAATATTGGGCCAATTCGATTCACGCACATAGAAAGTGTGGCGAAGGAGGCGATCTGGAATTTCAAAGTTGCAGATGCGGAGGCTAAGAAGGAGCTAGAGGCGAAAAAGCAGAAGATGGATGAAGAGGCAGCTCGCAAAGAACTGGAAGAGAATCTCCGGGAACGGGATTTGAATATTTTTGTGTTGAGGGGCCTGCTAGCGGAAAAGAATGCGAAGTTGAATGGGGGAGAGAGGGTCCCGCCGACACCACAGAAGGCGCCGCCGGATTATGGGAAGATGAGTCTGGAGGCGTTGAAGAGGGTGGATAAGGCAAGGGACGCGACGATAGCGTTTATTTTGAAGGAGATTGACAAAGTCGATGAACAGTTGAAGATGGTGGAGGCGCTTGATGAGGTGGACGAAGCGGATTGGAAAGATCTGGAAGAGAAAAGCGCAGCTGGTGATGCACCTCCCAAAGAAGATGAGAAGAACACGTGAACTTTCGACGAACGGTTTCTGGGCAAGATTGCGCCTTCGAACTGCCTTGATTCACCTGGACAGGACCCTGCTACAGCAGCTGATCAACCATGACGTACAGTCAAAGGCGGAACATTCCTTTCACGGTGGGCTAACACAAGCACTCGAGGAAGACCGTTGGTTGGCTTTAGATCAATGTATCCAGGACGAGCCACTCCGTCGCCAGAGTCGACTCTGGTCCGTCACAGGACGACGAATCACTCTCCGGCAGGGTTCCTCAAGCAGACACCGTCTACCCAGAGGCCTCAATAGCCTCCACAACCTTCTTTGACGCCTCCTGACCTCCGCTCCCACATCCACTCCCTCTCCTGGCCTCTCCTGAAACATCATCGCCGACATCCCAGTCGTATCCGTGATCAGCGTATGCAGCATCTACTTCCGTCAGTTTCCTCCCTCCTAAACACTCCCGGGGGATTGTCACTTACCACACACCTACCCACAGCATCATTCTCCAACTCCCTCCTCTGCCGTGCGGTCATGCTTCCCACCTCTACAGGCGGAACCACGCCCCTCGTCGCAGGCGTATCCGGTGCCGCCGTGCCTTCGATTAGGGCTTTGAACATGGCTTCGGAGCGTTGCGCGAAGTCCCAGATGAAGTAGATTTTGCCTCTGCGGGCGGAGTGCTGGGAGGCGAAGGATGGGTGCGATTCGAGAGATCTGATGAGCGTGTGGTTCGCCGTGCGGATTGCGGGGAGGCGTTCTCTTGGGACGGTGGCTGGTGGCATTATGTCGATGGGCGGGGAATATGAGGGGTTGGAGGAAGATTGTTGAGTGTAGGTAAGACGTTTTGAGGTTTAGAAAAGTCCGGATGCAATTCGAGGATCGTAGAGCAAAAGCCAAGAGTGAGGGAAGTAGAGGAGAAGATAGATGGCTGGCGACTCACCCTTTTATAAGATTCCGAGTCGTGCCCCTGCTCCACCATCCCCTCTTGATTGCTCAGAAGGCGTAACAATGAGGACTCCGAATTTCCCCTTCAAACACTATTATTAGGCCTTTTTTTAGCAATTAACGGAAGCCTCTGGAAAATCATATTGTTTTCCTAGAGGCTCTCAGTTGTTTCATATTGCTTTTTGCTGCGCCGCGTCGGGATGGGAATGACGCGCTCCAGGGCTATGACGCGGAATCACGTGCCTCTTCCACATCAATGATTGCTCAGGTGGGAATAAGATGCGCGAGCATCGGTGCTTTGGTTGGAGGAATCTCTATCTAAGCTCCCTCAAAATATGACTTGAGGTTCGAATTATGTGCGTGTGGTAACCAGAGAACAATCAGGCACGGATGTCTGAGGTCAAGCACTAACTTGCCCACTTACACAGTACTGATGACCCAACCTGTCAGTATCAAGAAAATGTGCCCCAAAATGGACATCCGCTTGACACCGGGACAGTAAAGATATTCGACACGGAGTAGGCAAAAATGCTCATCTTGATTCCGTGATACAGATGCATATTCGGTTCGCTGTACAGTAAAGTTACAAGTTCCTCTTGACATACCCATCAATGCGCGTGCTGAACATATGCGATTCATCTGTGCATAATCCAGCTTTGGCACGGATTGCCTCTTCTCTTCTGCTTTCTTTCCCTCATCTAACTTGTTTCCAAGTAGATTCCATTCAACCTCTTTCCTCATCCTCTGCCCACCTCCCCGTTATCCACCCTCCCCTCCCTTCCTTCGCGCTTAAAGCCCATCCTCCACCCCTTAATGACTCAAATTCCACCTCCCCTTCTTAATCCTCCTCATCAACAACTTCCTCCCCTTCTTCGTCCTCAACCTCGACAGAAACCCATGCCGCCTCTTCCTGACAAAGTGACTCGGATTATACGTATCTCTAGGCCCCGCCCTAATCTGCATGCTCCCCAATGCCGGATGCTGAGAGATTTTACCTGCAAGGTCGAGAGCGGATTCGGATGTGGTGGCTGTAGCAGGAAGGGAGGAGCCGGAGCCGGGGAGGTGGAAAGATGGTACGGGTGAGGATGAGGTGGGAAGAAGTGGGCGACGGGGAGTGAGAAGTGTGAGGGTACGGGTTCTATTTGGGAAGAGGTTAGGTTGGTGTACCAAGGCATCTGTAGGGGCTTTAAACGTACTGCTGCGGTGTTGACCAGCGCGATGGTGGGACTCTGAATAGTGTAGTTGGGCGTCGCGCGGGCGCCCCAAGGGCTCGCGCACAGCGAAACGCGCTCATTGTGTCTTTAGCAGCCCAATTGACCCTCTCCTAACTCCAGACGCGCCGTACGATGGTGAGCCGTAGCGAGCGTTGTCGTATGTCGGACTCAAGTGCCTAGCCCAGTGTTGCGATCTATCGCATGGTCGGCAGAAAACAGGCGCCTGGCCCGTGCGCAAAAAGTTCACCGACCTCGTCTCGAGCAAGTATTCCCCAACAACTATCTGATCCCGCAGCGCCTCACGAGCTCACCCTCTCCGCCGCCTCCAACAGACGAATAATCCCGCAAAAATGCATCCCGAAGCGCTTCCCCCGTACCGCCACATATCCAATAAACCTATCTCCCTCTCCGCCGCATCCGCTCTGCTAGACACATATATCACCAACAGCGAAACGCACCCGCATCTGCACCCGGACGCGCTCATTACCCCCAGTGGCGTGACATTCAGTTCCCATGGCGGTCCCTTGGGCGGCGTTATCATGCACAACCTGCGCCGCGTAGCTGCAGGTCTGCGTGGAGAGTACCTTGAGCCAGAAGCAACACCAGAGCCCGAAGAGCAGGGCGTAGCTTTTGAGAGCAAGAAGAAGCAAGGAAACAAGCAGGGCCCCAATGATGCAAGCGGCACGGAAGAAGGCTGGCAGGATCTGTCTGAATATGAGCGAGAAGAGGGTGTCATGGAAGTGGGTGAACTGGGAGAGAGGGACAACTTCGTCAAGTCGGGAGGGCAAGCACCCGATGTGGTGGCTACTGGCGAGGAAGATGCGGAGGTCGGCGAAAAACGGAAGGCGAAGGAGGATAAAGAGGCGAGGAAGAAGGCGAAGAAGGCTAGGGACAAGGAGTTCAAGAAGCAAAAGGAGATGCGGAAGAAAGAAAAGAAGGAAGAGTAGGGTTGGATTGCTTTGCTTCGCTTCCAGTTCTGAATCTGCCGCAGAAAGCCGCGACGGGCTGACCTGGCCTTTAGAGGCTTTGAGATCCATCACAACGACCTTCCGCACGCTCTCTTGCACCCTTCCTTGCACCCAGGTCTCCGGATTCCTGGCAGGGTCTACATATACCTCTTTGGCCGCACCGGTTCCGGCTACTACAATCCCTCCATCTGGTTTCTACAATACACAAGACGCTTACTTCCGCCGCTTACAACTCCCTATCTGCGGCCTTCAAAGGCTTCTGTTCGTCCACCGACTTGTTAGCGCCGACAGACTTGTCGCTCGTCCAGCCCATAGCCTTCAGTCGCTCTGTCAAAATCGGGTGCGAATGGTGGAAGCTGGAGAACAGCCAGTCGGCGTCCATGCTCGACAAGTTCTGAATCTGAAGCTTGATGAGAGAGGAGCCTAGTTCGGCGGCATATCCAAGTTGCAGTGCAAATGCATCTGCTTAAGTTAGGAAGGGCATGCACATGTTGGGTCTAAAGGGGAAACGTACCGGCTTCAAATTCCATGCTGCGCGTCCAAATGTTCAGCAATAGCTTGACAATGGCATCCGTCGGCGATAGGATATCGTTGAAGAGAAGGAATCCGATGAGCACGGGCCTCTCGTTGAGGAAGCCAAAGTCCGCATACAGGGATCGGTTGTGGATGAAAACCGAGAATAGCGCAAAAACATAAAATAGATGAGCCTGCCCAATGAAAAGCAACCGTGATGTGTGGTTTCGTTTCCAATGACCCAGCTCGTGCGCCAAGACAGCTTCGACCTCCTTGTCGGAGCTCTTCTCCAAGAGAGTGTCGTAGATGACAATCTTCTTCTTCCCAATCCAGGGGAGTCCGGTGAAGTAGGCATTGCTGTGTGCACTGCGCTTGCTTCCATCGATGACCTGTAGCTCGCTGAGGGGAAACTTGAGCTTCGCGGCAAGAGCCTCAACGGATTCCTTAAGCTTTCCGGGTTTCAGGGGTTCCAGCTTGTTGAACAGAGGGACGATGAAGACAGGGTATATGGTAATGCCGACGATCTGTACAACGAGCATGAAGACCCAGAGGTAGTAGAAGAAGTTGTCGCCGGTTCTTTTGATGATCGATAAGAAGGCGCCACCAATTGGCCCACCCAGAGCAATCAAGAGGGCCTGGCTCTTGAGCATATCGGTTATCCAAAGCTTGATCGTCATCTTGTTGAAGCCAAACTTCTCTTCGAGAACGAAGTTGAGGTAGTATGCGAACGGTAACCCGAGGACCAGCTCGATCAAACCGAAGAGGTACATGAACAGGAGCGACTGGGAGATGTCTCCAGAGAAGCGGGCAGGCGCATAGCGACCGAGCAAGGAGCCCGAGAAGGCCCAGACGATGGGATAGACATTGAACGAGAGGATGGCGATCTTTTGAACCTGTTGGAAAACGCTTGAAAAGAAGTTGAACCTGGCCTTTGCACGGCCGTATGCCTAGAAAATGTAAGCTGAAAGCTGAGAGGCGGGAGAGGCGGAAATGCGGACCTGGGATTTGTCGAAGGTTTCCTGATCGATTTCGCTCTCAAGGGCTTTGGGCACCTTGGTCTTCTGAAGAACGCGGTATTGGCGGAAGAGGAGCCAGTTCTCAAAAGCGAACTCGGCGAGAGAGAAGCCGATGACGAGCTTCTTCCATGGGAAGAAGGGCCGGTCGAGCCAGCGGGCCAGGCGCTATGAATGTGTTAGAAGGGGCAACCGGAATCAATGCGGCAAGCATACCTGGAGAATGGCCTGGATCATGGTGATAGGGAAAAGAATGGTGGAGTGGTAAGCCTAGCTGTTGGTATGCGTGTTGGTGGTTGAGGACAGTTCACAGCAGTAGCAGCAGCCACAGGGCTGAGCTATTTAGCACTACATGGCTGGTGTGGCCGGGGCAGCCAATCACGTCACTGGACAGCATTTCAGACGAATCGACTTACCTATTTGTGGGTATATAAAGTATACATAGTATTATACAGCAAGATCTGGGGACTATCGGAAAAGCCATTGATGTATACAATCCGTATGATCAGCTAGCACTAGGATTGCGTACGCGTGCGTGAATCTGTGAGTGAATGAATGATTTAATCGAAGGCATTCCGACACGTCACTGAAAGCAGCCTAACTTAGAACATCAGGGTGCATTTCGTCTCATCTTCAGAGGGACGAGAACCGTGCAAGTCACCTGCGAGAAAAGTGCTAACATTGAAAAGATAGACATGGGCAATGCTGAGGTTCAAACAAGCCCCGTTCTTTGTAATCGTCGCCTGGGCATTGGGCTGCCTTCTAGAAAAAAGAACCTTGCAATCCGGGACCAGGGTAACACACCCACTAGCGCCGTTCCTGCAGGCTAGACTCTTTGGGGAACCCTCGATGGGGAAATTAGCGTCGTCATGTCAAAGAGGCGCTGCACCTCCTGACGCCGCAAGCCTGCTTTTCGGCCACCCATTGACTCCAACCAACAATCCCCCGCTCGCTGTCTCCTTTCAACTCCCTACCCTCCAACGAGAATGGCAGTCAACGGCTCGGTGCGCGGAAGACAGTACGACAGACTGGACCCGCTGAGCACGTCCTTGGGTGGCCTCAAACCACGCTCCGCCCCCTCGCAAGATTTACAGACTCCAGAACTCTCGCCCATGGAAGCTATACCGTCGCCCTTGATAAGGAGGAAGCAATCCACGCCTCTGATGCCGTCCTTCATGGTGTCTGCGCCAGGCAAAGTCATTGTTTATGGTGAGCACGCGGTAGTGCATGGAAAGGCATGTTATGTTAACAGTTCCACCGTGCATCTTCCCTACCAACTAACAATGACACTCAGGCCGCCATCGCCGCCGCGATATCCCTTCGTTCGTATCTCCTCGTCTCCTTCCTTTCCAAGTCCCACCGTACAGTCACACTCCGTTTCCCAGACATCCAGCTCGAACATACCTGGAACATAGACGAGCTGCCCTGGGACACTTTCTCAGCGAAAGGCAAGAAGAAATACTACTATGACCTCGTCACCTCGCTGGACGAGGATCTGCTCGCAGCTCTTCAGCCGCACATAAGCACAGTCTCGCCCAAAGTGCCCGAGTCTGCACGCAAGATACATCATGCTTCTGCCACGTCTTTCCTGTATCTCTTCCTCTCATTGGCGTCAAGAAAAACACCTCCTTGCGTATACACACTGCGCTCCACGATCCCGATCGGTGCCGGTCTCGGAAGCAGCGCCTCCATAGCGGTATGCCTCAGCACCGCCCTCCTTCTCCAGATCCGGGCGCTCAGCGGCCCACACCAAGACCAACCCTCCAGGGAATCCGCGCTCCAAATCGAACGCATCAACCGCTGGGCCTTCGTCGGCGAATTGTGCATTCACGGCAACCCCTCCGGCGTCGACAACACCGTCTCCTCAGGCGGCAAAGCGGTCCTGTTCCAACGCACGAACTACAACGAGCCCCCGACCGTAACGCCCATATGGAACTTCCCCGAGCTCCCTCTCCTTCTCGTAAACACGCGCCAATCCCGTAGCACATCCGTCGAGGTGTCCAAGGTCAGCGCCCTCAAGACCGCGCACCCGCTCCTCACAGAAAGCATTCTCAACACCATTGGCCAAGTCACGGAATCCGCACACAGGCTCCTCACGTCCCCAGACTTCGATCCAAAGTCCCCCGCATCGCTGAAACATCTCGGCGAACTCGTGACGATCAACCATGGCTTGCTTGTCTCGTTAGGCGTCTCCCACCCCAAGCTCGAACGTATCCGCGAACTTATCGATCACACGGGCATTGGCTGGACGAAGCTCACCGGTGCTGGGGGCGGAGGCTGCGCCATTACGATTTTGAAGCCGCAACCGCCGTCGCAGGCGAACGGGAATGTTAGCAACGGGAATATTAGCAACGGCAAAGTCAACGGCGCCCCGCAATCCCCACCCTCTTCCTCCGACGAAGAAGAAGACGAAGAGGAAGATTCGGATGCGTCGGAACCAGCTAGCACCATCTCCACGCCAACCAAACTCAAACACCGCATCCTCGACACACTCGAACTCAAACTTTCCGCCGAAGGCTTCGAGAAATTCGAAACCACGCTCGCGGGCGATGGCGTGGGTGTCCTCTGGCCCGCTGTCCTGCATAATGGGAATGACGAAGAGGGTGGGGAGGAAATTGATCAGGAGAAGTTTCTTATGGCCGAGGGAAATGAGGGGATTGAGAGGTTGGTTGGGGTGCAGAGCGCCAGGTTCAAGGGGAGGGTGAAGGAGGTGAGAGAGGGGTGGAAGTTTTGGAGGCCGTGGGAGACTGAGGCGTAAGGGTCTCAAAGGTAGGTTTGTTGTCTTGAGCTTTTCTCTCTGCCTTGCCTGGGCGAGCGCGGATAATATCATAATTTCTGTCTGCGGTTCTTTGGATATCCAGGGGTTTCCCGCTTCACAGCGGTCGTGGAGGCCTTTCCCTTTTCCTTATTCGCTTCGGCCGTCTTCTTTCTCCAAGGTCAACGCTGGTCGGGTAGGACTTCGGTCCTTCGCTTAGCTCGTTGGCTTCATGGCGTGTACTTTTTACCCTTGTATTCTTTCTGTTTCATTTGGGCAAAGAAAGGGACAACAGGGCAAGCGATTCGGCGTTGTGACACTGCGTTCTTTGAAGATCTACCGACGCGAGTCTTGGGAAAGGTGGATTAGACCGAAAACGGGGTTTGATGGAAAGGGATTATTGTTTTCTTGTCCTTGGCAGTGAGCCCAAATGGCTGAAGGGTTCAGGGGCCGAAAGACGAAGAGTTAGAAGGTAGTAGGAACGTGATGTAGGATATTCGTAATGGATAATCGACATGATCATCAATGTTAGTACTTGATCGAGATCCTGTGTCACCCAATTTGAGGGCTGAGTGGTACTTGTGACGGAGTATATTGGATTCATCCATGATGTACTCTGAGCTCTGACTGCCATCTGTGAGGCATCAACCCTCGTGTGACCTCGGCAATGGGATATAGATGATGAGGAGGAGAAAAAAGAAATCGAAAGGGGAGAAGATACCCCTTGCTGGAAACGCCTCGCTATGCAAATTGAAATGAGGAAAGACTACGCCTGTCACGCAGGAGTCTTGATCATGAAGATCTGCATCAAAAGTCAACACGCGTTTATCAACAACTGTGTCGTCAATAAACATACCTCCTTCAACGCCTGCGGATCCATCGACGCCATCTTCTTCTGCCGGATATACCTCGCGCGCACCGCATGTCTCGCCCCGGAGCCAAACATACCTCCGACAGGTGTCGAGGTGCCCGTGGTAGGTGTACCTGAGGCAGTGGCAGTAGTCGTGGTCGCCGATTCCTTCTCGTCCTCTTCCTCCGAGGACGAAGATTCAGCTTCACTTTTTGACCGCTTAGCCTCCTTCGCGGCCTTCTTCAACGCCTTCTTGAGTTTCTTCTCCTCCTTACGGGCACGCTTTTCCGCTTCCCGTTTCGCCTTTTCGGAGCCGGGATCGGATGCTGTGGAGAGAGGCGTATCTGCTGATGACGACTTTTTAGAGGAAGACTTCTTCTTCTCCTTTTCTTTCCTGTCCTTCTTGGATTTGCGGTCGGACTCTGATTTTGATTTTGTTTGTTCGGCGGCTTCATCGCGCAGATTGACAGACTTCTTCTTGCGCTTTAGACTGCGCTGTTCGTCGGCCTCATCGCCGTCGTTTTCCTTCTTCGTTTTGGAGTCCTCATCTCTCTTCCGCTTCTTCGACTTCTTAGTCGAGTTCTTCTCCGCACCACTCTCCGCCTCTTCCTCCTTGATCTCGACCTTCACTTCCTCCACATCCTCTTTAACTTCAACCTTGGCCTCACTTCCCGGCGCAAACTTAACCCCCTTCTCAATCTTATCCCCCACCAAAAATCCCCCACTGATGAAATTCATATACCCATACCGTCTCGCCACCCACCCCCTCCTCTCCACCTCCTCCCTCCTCTCCTCCTCCTTCTTCACTTCCTCGACCCTCCCATTCAATCTCCCCAGTATACTCTCCAGCCCCGCAAGCCCAAAGTTCTCCGCGCGCTCGCTCCCCCTCTTCGCGCCCAAACCCAGCGTATCATCCTTTAGCAGGACGCGGATGTGCGAGGCCGAAGCGGCCGTGTAGTGCGCGGCGTGCGAAGCGTCCTTTGCGCCGAGGGTGCTGCCGGGGGTCCAGCCTTGAGAGGTTAGGATGCGGTGGCCGAAGCGGGAGGTGTTGTTCGCCCAGGTGGTGTTTTGGGGGTCGTTGGAGATGCGGTTGCGGCTGGAGATTTGGTGTTAGTTCGATATGGTTCAGTAGACATGGAGACGAGCGGGGTTTGGTATGTGAGTTTTGAGAGGGACACGGGAAGTGTGGGAGGAGATACATTTTTGGCGCTGCGAGACCCATTGTGTTTGTCCACCACCGGCGTGGGGAGTGTGCAATACGAGAGTCGAAGAGTGTGCGCGTTGACTTCTTTCGGTTGGGATTGTCCGCAGAAGGCGAAATTTTGGTGGATGGGTTGGTTACGTGCACGGACGTCGGAATCTTGGCGCGATGAGTGTGTGGGGACGGAACGCTAGCCGTATTTGTCATGATATTGCATCCGTCTGAACGTCGGAGAGATAATACTGTAAACGAAACAACCGCACTGTCAACTGATAATCCAAACTGATACTCCGTCCACTAACCGCCAAATCCACATCAGCAACCATGCCACCAACCCGTACCGCCAAAAAGCCCAAATCCTCCAAGCTCCCAACCCAGGCATCGAGCAGCAGCACCGCCCGCCGCAAGATTCACCGCGAAAACGTGCCAGACTCCGAGATCCCTCGTTCCGGCACCGAAGACATCGTCGCCTCGCAAGACGGCATTGTCGAAGACGGTAGAGACGTGTCCGGCATGGGGGGAGGTGGGGTCAGCGAGAAAGCGGTTGCAGATGTCATCGGCGATGTCATGGAAGCTGTGAGCGACGCATCCACCTACCAGAGGCTTGGAAGCCCCCATTCTGAATCGTTTGGGATATTTTCCATGAGCTGTGTGCATGACGTGCGGCGGAGATGCCTTCACATATACTAACTCCTCTACCTCTACCTTTTGACTCTTTCTAACAACACACGCTTTGGGAACTTGGACTCTACATATGCACTCATCATCCCCATCCCCAACACCGAACTAACCCTCGCTCCCCTCGCAGCAAAAAAAACGCCACTCCGCCGCCCAAGCCAGCATCCGCAAGACCTACGAGCGCTCCGTCGCCGAGACAAAAACGGCCATCACCCACCTCTTTGACAAGTACGACGAGGAAGCGTAAGTCCTCCGTCTTCCTTTCTTCCTGTATACTCCGCATACCCCTCTTCCCACCCTTTCCTTCTCCTCTCTCCCCCCCTCCCTTCCCCTCCCAACACGACTCACCACCTACCCCCCAACCTCATCCACCATCTATACTCTTCTCTCCTCTGACCCATCATCTCCCCCCGTTTTAGCAACACAGCTCACGCAGCCCAAATGGCCGAGCTCCAGCGCCTGATCGGTCAGAAGCGCGAAATCGAGGCCGCCATGCAGAAGCGTGTTGCCAACCTGCAGCGAGCGTACGTGGTGCTGGCTACGGTGGTGGGCGGGGTGTATCAGGCGAGGGTTGCGCAGTTGTGATGGGTTGGGGACCGGAAAGAAGGGGAGGAGAGGAAGGAAAGGGAAGGGAAGGGCAGAGGAAATGGGGGTAAAGTCGTGAAATAAGGGAAGGGGAGTAAGTGAGTAGGAGTGACCCACCAGGTGACGGATGGGAGCGACGAGACGAACAAAGAGGTAGCAAATGGCTAGCCAGAGAGCTACACTACGTATATGTTCAGCATCTCACGATACAAATCAAGGAAACAACGTTAAGGGGGGCGAGACAACCAAAGGCATCCCCAAATACATCTCAACGCGGCATCTGCGGCAAAAGAATCGTATTTCAAATTCACCTCCAAGATTCCCGACTCAGATCCCACTGTGTCAATGTTGGATATACATGCTCATCCCAGGTATCATATGCATGTCCTACGTCTACAAATGCCTTCTTCATCCTAATCCATTTCCACATCGCAAAACTCTGACCCCCTAGATCCGAATGCAGCAGTAAATCTTCAGATATCCCAATGGCAGCAGCGCCAAACAAGCCAAGTCAAATCTGCTCAAATATGCAAGCCATGCTCCAAAAAGATCCCCAAAAGACGACTCCATTATGCTCAACGTGCGACAACTCCACGTTTACGCTTCATCGCCGATATGCAGGTAACGCCTCTTCCTGGGAATCACGATTTCCACTATTAGATCCCTCGTGTCTCTCTCCGTGTTGCCGGCTTTCCGCTCTCGGACCTTCCCCATCACGTTGAGCGTTCGGTGCACAAGGCCTGATCGCCAAATCCCTCACTCCTTCGACTGATGGGGCTGATGGCCCTGCCGAGTCGCCAACGTCTTCATCATCGTCGGGCGGCGCACTCGTCTCCAACTGCAACCGCCTCCTCTGAAGCTCTTGTTTATCATCGGTCGGGCGCGAGTATACGTGCGGCCCAACAGAAGACTCAGATGGGAAGTATTCTGGTGCTGACGACGAGGGGTTTGGCGGCTGGGAGGTCAGTATAGGATGATTTGCTTCCTGAGAAGGGAGAGGAGTTGGCATGTCTGCACCAACACCTTCCTCTGCTACACGCGGAGGATATGGCAGATGCGGCGTCGTCGCCACGGGTGTAACCGTGGCCAGAGAACAGGCGCCTGTATTCCTCGTACTCACTCCCTCCTCACCCGTTCCCCTCCTGCGCATCGACGATGACACTCCTCCCCTAGGAAACGGCGGAAGTCTACCCGACGCATTCGCATTATCATCACCATCCTCTGGTAAAACCGGTGCGGACGGCAGTAATACCGCAGGTCTTGGATGTTCATGTAGATGTGGATGTGAAGAGCTCTCCGCTGGAGCGGACGGACCTGCTAGATCTGGGGGTTGGGAGGGAAGAAGACGCGCTTCTGCTCGGCGGATGCGTTCTTTTTCTGAGAGACCTTCTTCATCTGCGGCGGCGGCGGGGGCGGCAACCGGAGGTAACGGAGGAGGAGGGTGGTGTCCGTTTTGTGGACCATAGTATGCGGGGGTGGAGTCATGGTAAGTGAGGCCCGAGTACGTTGCGCCGTAGCCATAATCACCGTAGGACTCGTCTCCATATCCACACTGGTAATCCGGATAACCGTAGGGGTCTTCCTGAGTCTGGAGTGATACATCATGCACGGCCGCCTGGTCATTGACATCCCCTTCTATATTGGCGTCTGATTCTTGCGGAGCGTTGTTCGTAGTAGCAGGCTGTTTTCTTCTCCCGTTCCGCTCACTATCTTTCGTTCCAATGACAACTTCAAAGACACTGTGTATCACCCCCTTTTCGCGCCTCAGCCCCTCCGTATCGACGAACGTGCCCCCCCATGTGGAAAACATGCTTCCGGTGCCGTCTTCGCTGGCGGTGCCAAGGCCAGCTGCGGACGGGACATTGACGAGACCTGCGTTGGGGAGAAGCCGGTCTAGACGGGTGAGTTTACCCTGAATGTCTACGACAACTTCGACAAAGTACTTGAAGCTGATCATTGCGCCGGGAACGTTTGATATGGTAGGGAAGGCCTCTTCGGGAACGCGAACTGCGCATTTGATTTCTGCGGTAAGGGTCCTGGGATCTACAAAGAGTGGCGCAAAAGACTGGGATAGGTCTTTCCGGAAGAGATGGCTTGAGCCGGCTGAAGATAGCGACAGGCCTCCTAGCCCTGTCCTCGATTTGGGATAGTAGTCCTCCGATTTCAACTTATCGCCTTTGCTGTTCGGTAGAACGGGGAGAGCGGGATGCATATCCACCCTAGCTTGTCTGTAGAGTGTGACAATTATACCTCTTAAACTCCGCACATGTTTCGTATGTTGCACCAAGATCTTGATCGGTATCTGATCGCCTCGCAGGAACCCGCCTTTCCCGACCTTAATGGCAGCCGTAATTGTTCTATCCTTAGATGCAAGCCTATCCACCTCCGCAGCACTACCCCCAACCGTAGTGTTGATGGATCTTATGCCGTAATCCGTTCCCGACGCATTCCCACTGCTCATCTGGCTTTCGAAGCTGGTATCGCTGGGCGCCGGACTCCGCGGCGCTTTGACTTGTTCAGTTCCGAGGGTGAACTCCGAGGCCCTGGCTGTCCGTGAGGAGTCCCCAGCTTCGCTTTTCGTACCTGGCTGAGTCGACGCCGAGCTGCGTGTCCGCACTATAGTCCTTTTTCGAGCTGCGCTCTTCGCCCGTGCTCTTTTCGATATCGGTTCAAGACTTATAACTTGTGGCTTCGGTTCTGGTGTGGATGCTATGTCGACGGTTTCCTGCAGATAGACTTTCGTATCGCAAGATGCGGTCGGGGACATCGTCGTGGGCCGTGTCAGCGTCGCCGTCAACATGTAAGAGATCGTGCCGCGCTCAAACTGTCATCCCCCCATTAGCGAAAGCCCTCCCAGGACCAGATAAAGGATACCTACATCGATACTACTCGGCAGCCCCTTGCACGGGAACTCCAACTCAAAATTAAAGTGATAGACCCCTTCTGCCAATCTCCCCTCCCCGCACAACACCACCTCATCTTCGAACAACGATGCAAAGCCGTTCCCGAAATAACCTCCCCCTTTCCTTCCCTTGCCCGACCCTATCGTTGAGCTATACGCTCGGTAGGCGTCCCCAGGCGCATTGGGATTCTTGAATACCTGCGCATACCCGTGCAAACTAATCACCAAATGCGTGATCCTCAGAGGTTTGACAACCTTGAGAATCACACTTCCGCTGATGACATCGCCGGGCGCATACTGTCGATGGGGATCGTCGGGGAGGATATAGAAGTCAGCAAAATGGCGCGTTTTGCTTTGGAGGGGCGATCTGAGGCGCGCGAGGAGAGAGCGACCAGAGGAGGCGAGGGAGAGCGGCGAGGAAGCCGAGGGCGAAGAGACCACGGTGGAGGGGGTGCGGGTGGAACTGGACGTCATGCTCCTTGTATCGCGGGCATTATGCGGCTAGCCGCGCCCTGGGTGGAGGTCGACGTGGCCGTGGGTTGCACACGCGGGTATGTAGTGGGAAGCTTGCGCTCGCTTCGATTCGCTGCCTGCGTCGTGACGCGCGAATGGTTGTGCTGGCGTAGAACAGAGGAGAGTCGTTGTTGTCCGGCGAGCGGATAGGGACCGTTTCCTTGATCTGGAGGCTCTAAAGAAAAATGGAGCGAAGCGACAGGTACGGGAATTGCTGGATCGATTGACGTTAAGCGCGAAGCGGAGGAATGTGTATGGTCTCCGAAGGTTATTTCACTCGGTCGTCAGGCGGGATCGGACGCTTGAGTGTTGGGGTGCTGCGATCGGACGACGGGTACTAAAGGGGACGCGTTGCCTAACAGCAATAATGGAGTAACTCGGTGTGGAGAAAAAGGATGGCCGGACGTGAGGAAGGTCTGAAATGTCAGAAACTCGGTCAGCATGCATAGTGGACGGAGTGGTGAGCCGCCTGTGGCAACTGGGGGTTGTTCCCGGATGATTCCACGCGGGAGCGGAATCGATAAATAGCGCGGGATGCCCACCGTGGGCTATGCAAGCCTGCACCGAGGGCTGTCATCTCTTCAAGGCTTTGGCATAACGGGCAACCTGCGGCCGCAGAGGATATCCTGTTGCGGGCATGGAGGGAATCTGTACGGAGAGTAGGTAAGGAACGTGCGGACTCACTGACACGACTTGTTGTCGTCGGACGACGGTTGCCCAGCGATGATCCTCAGTTTCTTGGCCGCCCCGCCAAGGACTCGGTGCAGCGAGAGAGGTCTCAAAGCTTCGAGGTGGAGAGATGGAGGGGACAAAGACGTTGTGCAACGTGGGCGCGAGTTCTGATAGCTTACAAGTACGTTGTCGTGTGGGTTGTGTTGGGGTTGGAGGAAAAGAAGGCAGGCTGCAAAAGTGACCAGACTGTCAGAAGGGAGAAAGCCAGTTGTGTTTACGGAGTACCTACCACAGGATGCCACAGCGGGTCTCATCAGCAAGAAAACCTTGGAAAGTTTATTCGGACGTTGAGGCAGGATCCGCGAGAACAAACTCTAGGCCAGCTTTCCAGGGGTCATTTCAATGATACGTATGATACTTCCCCTCCCTGCTCTCGCCAACGTGCACCGACATCGTCTATTGACGGACAATCCGTACCTACAACTACTCCGTACCGCATAAATATAACATATCCACAACCACTGCTGACTTAGGTTCGTCCGGGAAACACCAATAGGCCGCCCAATGCTGTGCACCCTTCCCACGCAGCTGGAGGCGTCTTCCAGCTGGTCTCGGCACCGCGCTCCAATAGGCCTTAAGCTTATTAAATCCGCGCCGTCCTTCTATTCTTGGCTCTGAGCGAAGCTTTCGGCTTGACAAGGCTTGATGTTGCTTCCCACCCCCTCAACGGGCTGCGCCCCGCGCGCGTGCAAATGCTTATGATACGCTGTTGCACGTTGCACCAATTGTTGTGGCTGCATAATGGGAGCGAGTTGGGTCGTGTGACGTTGAATATGCAATTGTAGAATGACTTGGGAGAGTCAGGGAACGGGGAGTGGCCGGGTCGAGACTTGGAGTCTTTTGTTTCTGCTGAGGCTGTCGTGCTCGAAGCTAAAATCCTGGAGGAACAAGCCTGACTTGGGAGAAGATACCTCGCGCACAATGGTGGCTTCCTCTCGGAGGCTCACCTGGACACGGAGCCTGGAGATATCACGGTGTCAACTTAACACAGACGACCTTCCACGACTGAAATATCAAAGCGGGTTAGGCAACAGATGCGCAGTGTTCACAGGAGCACAGAGCAATTGCAGGGATCGGCAATAGGGTCACACCAAATGATATGAACATCCCCTTCCTTCATGAGCTACTGTGTATATCGTGGAGGCACCGAGAACAGAAGCAAGCCCATACAAGGGGACATCCCTCCAAGTCAAATCGTACTCATCCAAGGCACCTTCATTCAAATCATCACAAGCGAGGAATCAGAATATGAAATTAGAAAAGTCCTTTATTGAACTATCACACAGAAACCTGCTTCATAATCTCCAATCACTCACTCCCCAACCATAAAAGGTACAGAGAAGAGAAGGAAAGGTAGAGTAGAGAGGAAGAGCAGTCGTCGAAGACGAAAGATGCAATCACTTATCCATGGTCCGAAAACCCGTCCATCCGGTACACTAATGCAATTACTCCCTCATTCGCATCCATTTTCCTCTCAATCCATCGCCATCGCTGAACTCGCAAAGGTTGCAAAGTCGTGACGTCGTAAAGTCGTAACCCATGAAGGCACCCGAAGTCCCTTACGACTCGATCTGGATGCGCCTAGGCTGAGGAGCCCTGGACTTGGGGACGATGATGCTGAGAATGCCGTTCTTGAGGCTGGCCTTGACATTGTCCTGATCAACAGCCGCAGGGAAAGCGAACGAGCGATGGAACTCTCCAACCGAGCGCTCGCTGACCCAGTACTTGGTCTCGGGCTCTCCCCTCTTGGCGACCTCCTTCGTTCCCGTCTTCGCAACCTGAGTTTGCTCGGCACCCTCTTCCTCGACACTAGGCTGACGTTCCTTCTTCTTGCCCTCCTCCTCGATGAAGCCCTGAGGACGTTGTCCGCGCTCCTTGACCTCTTCGTGACGGCCGTGGATGGTCAGGGTGTTCTGGTCCGTCCACTCAATGTTGATGTCCTTTTGCTCGACGCCGGGGAATTCGCCGTGAAGTTCGTAGGCATCCCTGGTCTCCTTGACGTCGAACTTGGGGCTGAAGGAGCGGAGACGGTTGTCGAAGCTCTGGAGTTGACGCTCGTAGTCGTCGAAGAGGCGGAAGAGGGGGGAGATTTCCTGAGTGAAGCGGGGGAACAGAGACATTGTTGCTGGTGAGAGGTGGAAGTGTCGACGAGTTGATGGAGTAGTAGTGGTGATGCTTGGCTTAGTGAGGCTGATCGTCGAAGGCTTGGTGATGCGGTGGAGGTGTTGCGGAAGTCGTCGAATGTTTGTGCGAACTGATTGCATGAAACTTGTGGATGTTTTGATCTGATTCTGGAGAGGGGAATTGGGAGGTGAGTTGGGGGGCTTTATATACCCAGAGGAGCGTTTCTAGAGATTTCGGAGAGCAACCACGTTGTTGTAGAATAGGATAGCACGATGGGTCGAGTAGCTCCTAGAAGCTACGGCTTGGTGGCGTGAAGGGAGGAGCGAACCCTCTCGAACTTACCAGAACCGGAAACAATGACGTCAAACTAGGCGTAGCTTCCCCTTAATGCAGGGTCCTGCGGGGTTCAGAGCGGGGTTTTGGCATTGGTTCCGCACGATTGGCGACGCCTCCAGGGCTTTGTCGTGGTGTTTGCAGTGTAGGGTATATCACGTGACCGAGTAAGACGCGTATGCTCGTACCCGGTCGTACAACGAAAGCATCACCAGTATCTAGAAGATTCAGCGACTGCAGACAAGAAGCATCGTGCTGCCCCGCTTGATACTTACTTACGCCTTCCTGACGTAGCCCCTTCCATTATCCTCCCTTTTCCTGCTGCGTTCCCCTCCTTTCCTGCTGCTTCCCTACCACCCCATGACCACTTACTTCCGCGGAGGAACCCGACGATGGGGGAAGCATCAAATCGTCGTCTCCCATCGTGTGGATAGCTCTTGCTCTACAGGGTACTGTGTGCCCCAACTCCTCTTCCTCCTCTTCGTCATATCCGGGTGCATTCTGACCGTACAGCAAACCCCTCACCGATGAATATCCCTAATCTCCGGATCCCGATACCTATCCAATTTCCGCCTCCCACTCCTAAGCAGATACTCTATCGTTGCGAAATCTTTCTTGTTGACGCTAAGATGTTTGCGGAACTCATCCCTGAAGGAGCATGTCAGCCAACCTTAACGAATCCACACCGTTGTTTGTTGTTCATGAAGTGATCAATGTACCTCGCGAAATCCCGAAAATGGGACTGGCTGTTCTAGATTGGGTAGTCAATACATCTTGCTTGCAGTTTGCTTCTCGCACGTCGTATTCGGGTGTAAACGTACAACTGGCTTCTCCCTCACAGCCCTCAAACATTCTCTATACAGCGCCAGAACATCTCTTTGCAACCCGGAGAGACGCGCCATTCCCGTCTTCCGTCTCAGCTGCTAAACGACTTCGTGGTGGTGGAGTCTATGATGTGCCCGATGTCAAGCTCCCTCCTCAGTAAAGGATTCTTGGGAGGATTGTCCTACACCCCATTCGATCTAGCATAGGGCTGGATTTGCCGAAGCCCGAGCCATTCCAAGCACCGAGCCCGGTTAAGGGAAACTTCTGCCGAACGCACTAAAAGGATGTTTATTCCAACCTCAGATTTATTGTACATCCTTCAGCATCAGAAGGGACATGCTGAAGTGACACAAAGCCGAAGCAACGGGAGAGCTCGAGGTCCGACGGACGGTCATTCGGCTGCAGTGAGAGCGGGGAAGCAACGCGCTTAACGGTGCATCTCTGCAGCGCCACGTTGCATCGTCCACCTTCTAATGTACATGGCAGCGAAAATTCAGGATGCAGTCGTATTCAGACACAGAACTCCAATTGTTAACCGGTAACGAATGTTCGTTCGACTAGATCATTCAGCCCTGTAGAAGCACCTGAGCTCAACGACTTGAAGACGTATGTGCCAGTGGAACCGAGAGCGACCAGCGAGCAGCACAAATGCGACGTGCAAGGAGATACGTGAGATATGGAATTCTTGAGATTACCTGCGCACAAGAAGCAATGGTCCAGCATCGCGGCGGATATAATTCCAAAAAGCCTTCCATGTCCCTACCCACAGCCTCCCAATCGTGGCCCGATCGAACGGAATCGCTGCAGAGACGAACCCGCCCAATCGTGACAGCGTAGGTGCCCAAGGACACTACGATGCCCATGAGCACGCTGCTCATGAATCTTCGCCTTCATCTGCTTCTCCACCCGCTGCTCCGATGCCCTCCATGGCCAGACGCCCATATCTCGAGTCGTATGGATAGAAGTTGGAACGAGGATGGGGAGAGTCCGGTGCTCTCCCTTCTTGGCCTTCGTCCTCGGGTACGGTCCCTTCGGAACGGTGGGACGGAGTGTGGCTGGGCGTGAAATAAGGAGTCTCTTGACGGTCAAGATCGTTGTTTCCATTATTGTCCTCGTCAGCTTCGGTGCTCACAGTCCCCTCCGTGCCACACCAAGTGCGGTAGTTTCTGGCGGACAGGTAATCTGAGCTTCCTGAGCCATGGCCTGAGAGGTGGTCAGAAGTATGGTCTAAAAAGAAGTGAAATCATTTGGGAGGGTCTGCAAACCGGCTCATTGGGATGAGCGTCTCATGATTGCGACAGCACGGCCGGAGCACGCTAAGCTTGGCTCCTGAATGCGAAGTAGTGAAAAGAATCATGCATCGGATGAAATCTGCATGTGTAGCCTCAATCCACCGTGACGATAATTGAGGGCTATAAAAGGAGAATATGTAGATACGAGACATACCGGAGCTCTGTGTTGGGCGGCTACTGACTGACCTGGCGGCCCGCATTCGACGATACAGCTCAAAGTGCGCCGGGTCCAAAAACGGAGTAGAGATCTGGTACCGTTCCAGCTCAGTGGGATCTGGCAAAGATGATGTTCTTCCGGGAGGGTTTGATGGCTTCGACGATCGGTGTGGAGACATGGCGCCAGTCACAGTAGGCGTCCGCGTTTCATTGACAAAGTCGGCTTCATCGTCCAGTTCCAAATGAGATGGATACGACTCTTGTACTTCTGAGGACCATGATCCCGACCCTCTGATATCCACCGAGTCGACTCTTGATCTACGCGTCAGTGCCTGGGACGTATTCTGTGTTTCGTCCAGTGAGCGGGACAAAAGTACTCCCCTCCAGGCCTCCAGTGAACGGTCCGTGTATGGCATTGTGTTGTACCCGCCAGTGTGTAGCGTATAAGCTGGGGGTTTGGATCGGAGGCTGCCCATTCGTTGGCACAGGGTGTCTGAAGACGGAGCGGCACCGAGTTGGTCGTGCCACAACAGTGGCGCAATGATTCGAGGTTGCTCAGCAAACTATCGAGCAAAGAGGTCGACGTATGTATACCGAACGGGAGATGGCGGAATCAAAGTGATGGCGTTCTTAGGGGAGAAGAGTTGGTCATATGGAGTATGCTGGGAAGCGGCTCTGGAAGGAGACCCAGGCGGTTGGTCAACATGGGTTGGGAGAGCCAGACTACCAAATCCCAACCCTCACCAGGGCGATCCGGGTCTTTGACCAGTCACGTCCCGAGAAGACTGACATGAGGGGACGGGTTTAGCTGGGAGTCCGAGGGTTGCAATAGACACTGCAGCGCGCCCCTGAACCTTGACCCACGCAGCCGCGTGGCCGCAAGCAAGACTGAGGGATTGTGGAGACCATACTCGAATCATCTCCTTAATTCAGCTCTTACCTCGGAGTCGGTGTTGAGCGTAAGTGGCTAGAGGGTGTCGGGTTGCTGTTGTAGCGCCTCGGGCAGCACAAGAAATCGTGTGCGTAAGCGAAGAGATGGGACACAGGAATCAGGAAAGCCGACGGCAGCACCAAGATACCCTTGAAAAGAGGCTCGGGAGACTCTACGGTACCCGATGCCACGGCCCCGTAAACGAGCGTGGTGCAGTTCCCACGTTGACAAGGCGACATATCCGCACATCTCAGTCCAGAACTGCGGGCCGTAAACGGGGCGGGAGAAAAGAATCGGGAATCCTACCTGTACAGGATAACTTCCGCTCCCTGCTAGAGCGGGGGTCAAGGATATCCGTCAGTAATTTTGAAAAGGCCATTATCGAAAGGACCAATCCGTCGGAGAGCGCCACGGCTTGAACCGTGACGTTCAGGCAGTCATTACAGTCGGGTCAAGTGACGCAAAGCAGAGACCACTCCTGCCTGGCCTCCACAAGACATATCATGCTTATTTATTAGGCGGAGCAAATACTCCCCGCCCGACCCGGCGCTCTGGGAGTTGGTAGAAGGATCTTGAAGGGCTGGCACGAGCAGAAGCCACAAAGAGATCCAATAACCATTCTGACAGCGTTAGCACTATTGCTCCGACGGGAAACATGGTGGGCTACTCCTGACTGGGGACGGGAGGATGGGGGGGAGCCAGAAGCGGGCCGTACACTGCCAAGTCAGCTACAGCTGGCATTCACCGCTCTGGCTCGGACTCTGATTGAGGTAGGCGCCTGTCTTTGAAGTACATCTTGGGTTGGCTCATCTTGATGAGCCAACGAACGAAAATAGCAGGCCAATAACTGTGCGGATTGGCACCCTCCTCTGAACTGCTAGCAGCAGATAACGGTCTCTGAAGTTCGGATCTTGCAAGTCACATTTCTCGGTTGCCAAAGGGGACTGTGGTCCTGGTGCATGCAAATTCGGAGGATGACTGCATTGCCGGAGACGAGTACGCAATCGGGGTCACCGGAATTTAGGAACTGAGCACTCAAAGGTCGAGCACCGGGATGGTAATTGAGTGCCAGAAATTGTTCGAATGGAGCGGAACCCCCAGCACCGTTATGGGCGTCACCCGCAGGCCGGGGGTTGCATATGCGGAGGAGTGCGGCGAGGCTCAAAGCGCAAGCAAGTTGCACCCTGCCCCCCACTCAGTAGACTACATACACTATGTCGGCACCAGGCATCGCTTGGCGTGCGGAAGTAAGGCTGGCGGACGTGTGCGACTTCATTGCATTTTCTGTTTTGGGAATCGTGTACGTTACCCAAGGAGTGATTCCGGGGGACTCCGATGGGGTGGGCAAACCGAAAAAGTCGGCTTCGTGGTCTGTAGAGAGTTAGTCCACCTCTTGTTTACTGATCATCCGAGCAGTGAGGCGAAAGTTGATTGAAGGATCTGGAACAGGTCATCTGTTGTACATTGCGGATTAATCACTAACTCACAGCGGAGACAATGTCTAGCACAAGCGTACTGGGTCCTCTTAGACGCATGCGCAAACCAAAGGACATCCGGAGAGCGAACATGAGTAAAGCCATTAACTGCGCGGCTGCGCAGAGACAGAAACCGGCCGGCATTACCAGGAACAGCGCAGCTGCTGTGACACGCATCCGTTACCCTGGCTCGAGGACACAATTCGAAAGGCTGAACCGACCCTCGCCGATTTGACGCACGAATGCTGCTTTCATTTGCTTGACCTGTCGGTGACATGGGACACCAGAAAATGACCGAAGAGAAGAGTGGGTTGACATGATCTGCACGCTTGTGGTGTGGTGCAGAGCAGGGAAGTGAACGACCGGTGAAGAAAGGAAACAGCAGAGCGAAGCGGCGACCCCGTTGCTTCAACACAGCAGGCATGCAATCACCCGTCAACAACTAAAGCCACAAGCCTCAGACAAGAAAATACCCTTGCCAATGGAAAGTAATGCTTTTGCCGGAAAGATTGAGACTGCGAACCCAACCGATCCGTACTTCCTCCTCCTTGATCGTGGGTATTACACGTGCAAATCGATGCCGCAGGTGAAAGCGGACCCCGGAAACGCCGAACTGGAACCAAATGCGAGCCAACTCTATAACAGCCGAAAGAACAAGGAATGGCGTTAGTGGACGCCATTCGTTCCAAGCAATTCCCTACGCTTCTGCACTGAGGCCGCCAGCTCCGCTAGCACGCTTTCCGTGTCTTCCCAGCTGATACAGGCGTCGGTGATGCTGACTCCATACTTGAGAGCATTCTTCCCCTCAGCCGGGACCTTTTGGTTGCCTGGATGGTGTGTTAGCTGGCGCTGTACGACAGATACATTGGAAACGCACCCTCATTGATGTTGCTCTCAATCATGACGCCCATGATGGCGGTCTCGCCGGCCGCGATCTGCTCGGCCAAGGCATGAGCGACCTTCGGCTGGTTCTTGTGGTTCTTCTCGGAGTTGCCGTGGCTACAGTCGACCATCAATCGCGCGTTCAGGCCCTTCGCCTCGAGCTGCTCGCGAGCCTCCTTGATGCTCTTGGCATCGTAATTGGTGCCCTTCTTGCCGCCTCGCAGAATGGCAAAGCAATCCTCATTTCCAAGCGTGCCAACGATGGCGACGTTTCCAGGCTTGGTGACGGAGAGGAAATGATGCGGGTGCCTGACAGCGCCAATGGCATCAATGGCAACACCCAGTGACCCATCAGTGCCGTTCTTGAAGCCAACAGGGAAGGACAGGCCCGATGCCAGCTCCCGATGCAGCTGAGACTCGGTTGTCCTTGCGCCAATTGCGCCTACGCTCAGCAGATCCGCCAAGAACTGAGGAGAGATGGTGTCAAGCATCTCGCTGGCCAGAGGCATGCCCTTCTCCGTCAGATCCACGAACAGCTGACGGGACACTCGCAGGCCCTTATTGATCTTGAAGGTGTTGTCGATATCAGGGTCATTGATAAGTCCTTTCCATCCCACCGTCGTCCGCGGTTTCTCCAGGTATGCCCTCATGACGATGAGCAACTCGTTCTTGTGCTTCTCCTTCAGCTTCAGCAACCGGTCGCAGTACTCTAAGGCGGCCTTGGGATCGTGAATGGAGCAGGGCCCGACGACTACGAGCAGTCTCCCCTGTGCATCGCGACCCTGAACAATCTCGACGGCTTCATTGCGGCCGTCAAGCACAGTCCTCTTTGACTTCGCGGTCTGGGGAATCTCGGACTGGAGGAGGTCGGGAGGAGTCAGAGGATTGTAACCGCGGATACGCCAATCCTCAGAGTTCTGCCTGTCGCCAGCAGACTTGTTCTCTTGGAAGAACTGTCAATTGTTAGTAGGAGAGTTTGACGTGGCGGGGGAGCATCATGGTGTCTCTACTGACAGACATGGCGCTAGTAGTGACGATTGAATCTGCGCGATGTGTACAGGGTGAGCGAAAAGAAGAATATAGGAACAAGAGAAGTCCGACCGCGAGTAGGTGTTCCTTTCAGGTTTCCTTGTACCTGTTGGAATTTAAGAAGGGCCGAAGAACACTTATGAGTCGTTCGACCAGCACATGTCTGCTGGAATTCGCTGATTGGCGGGGGCGTCGCAGTGAATAGGAATTAATTTTCTGGTCAGTGCGTCGTGGCGGGGATGCGCCCTCCGACCTCGCTCCTTCTAGACTACCACAGTACACGTAGGGCGTGGACAGCAATTCACCGCCATCCCAACGCCATAAACGCTGCACAGGCTCTCAGCATCCCTCGTAGGATTTGTCCTAGTCCGGACTCCGCTCAGTAGTGGTACGGCATTCCAATGGTATGCGTCGTACGAAAACAGTAGTCACTGGTGTCCAGCACGACACTTCCTCCGAGCTCGAGACTCCCGCTCAATGGGTACCCGAACACCGATCGAGGCCTATGGCACTACAATATCGGTTTTCGGGATGTGTCCTGAACGTCGAGCTTCTTGGAGGTTCAAGGGGAGAGAATGTGGTCAGCAGTATCGTACTGCATGCCGTCATTGCGGGCATTAACACACTACGTCACCGCGATGGCATCCGGCGATGTCTTCCGCATATCAACCATCGCTTCTCAATCCGGATTCCCTATTAATTCACACGCACTAACATAACAGTATCCTCCTCAATCGCTTAGCAGTAACTCCGCACAGGTAGCCTCGCACCAAGCCCTCGACTTGCCAACAAGAACGACCGACATACCCACCACCATGGCCCTGGACGCCTCAACCCTCACCACCATCCCCATCAGCTACGCTACCTGCTCCCTCGGCCCTCCGTCCAACCCTCCCCCTCTCCTAGACCGCCTCAACGCCATCTCCACCGCCGGCTTCACCGCCATTGAGCTCTCCTTCCCAGACATCCTCTCCTTCGGCCAGTCCCACCTCGGCCACCCCATCGATCCGAAAGACTACGACGACCTCTGCGCCGTCGCCGCACAGATCCAGAAAGAATGTCAAAAGCGCAACCTCGGAATCATGATGCTGCAACCTTTTTCCAATTTCGAGGGATGGCCCGAGGGGTCTGCGGAGAGGAAAGACGCCTTTGACCGCGCGAGGGGCTGGATCCGGATCATGAAAAGTTGCGGGTGCGACATGCTACAAGTAGGATCCACGGATACGCCATTGGAGAAATTGGATCAAAGCAGGATTGTGCCGGATTTGAGAGAGTTGGCCGACATGCTGGCGGAGCATGGATTCAAGCTTGCGTACGAGAATTGGTGCTGGTCGTCGCACGCGCCGGACTGGAAGGACGTGTGGCAGATTGTGAAGGAGGTGGATAGACCAAATATCGGTCTTTGTTTGGATACGTTTCAGACTGCGGGCGGGGAGTGGGGGGATCCGACCACGGGATCCGGGATCAGGGAAGACGTGTCGAGAGAAGAGGTAGAGAAACGGTTCCGCAAGTCGCTGGACGATCTTAGCAAAAGTATCCCGAAGGAGAAGATATACCTCCTACAAATCAGCGACGCGTACAAGGTGCCCGAGCCAATGAGCACGGAAGCAGATGAATCCGGTTTACGACCTCGTGGCAGATGGAGCCATGATTACAGACCGTTACCGTTTAATGGGGGATACCTGCCTGTGGTGGATGTGGCGAGGGCGGTGCTCAGGACGGGGTTTAGAGGGTGGTTTAGTTATGAGGTTTTTGATGGCGGGAAGGACGGAAAGAAGGAGAATGAAGATATCGTGGCATATGCGCAGGCGGCCAGTAATGTGCAGCAGAAACTTCTGGCCGAGTGTGCGGGATTTGGAGGGAGGGAACCGCAGGATGACTAGAGTAGGAAAGGAAGAGGGGAGGTATAGAAGGTGGCGATAGATAGCTCACTAGGACTGACATATGCAGAAGCATGCATCTCGAAGTAAGATAAATCATATGTTCACCTCCATGTCGACTCCTGAAGTCTATATATGATACAACCCTGTCATGCACAAAGCATGCTATGCACCTGTCCTTCCATCTATCCACACGCCCCCGACTCCTCGATATGCGTAAATTCTATATCTGCATTGAGATGAGTCCACCCTTGGTACTTACATTCCTACTCTTGTTCCTATCCTTACTCCTTCTTGGGCCTCACCGTCTTCCCATTCGCACCAAGCGCATATTGGCCCCTTCCCCCTCCCTCGGCAGTGCGCTGGAAGAATCTACGCTCAATGAACTTGAGCACCTCATCAATGCCACTGCACCATCCGTCAGCAATCCATTTGACATAGAAGTACAACAAAAACAAGGGAAAGGGATATAAACTCACATAATCGGCGCACTAATCGCCACCACAGCCTTCCACTCCAAAGCACCCAGGGGCGTAACCCCAAACAAGGCGCGCAAAAACGGCACATACAGCAGCGCAAAATGCAGCGCCATGGACAGACAAATGGCATACACGAGCATCATGTTCTCCCACAGCGGGAGCGTGAGTAGACTCTCACTGGAGCTGAGCGCATTCATGGCATTCAGCATCTCGATGACCACCAAGATGCTCAAGCTGACGGTGCTCGCGCTCTTGGCCATGTCATTCGAGAACATGGCGCACCCGATTTCCGGGAACTGGGACGAGCAGCGGTGGAAGTGCGTGAGTTGGTAGAAGGAGATTTGCGGTCCAAAGGGGTTGTACATGAACCACCACGCGTATCCTGCGACGGTCGCGACGCCCACGTACGTACCAATCACCATGTAGCGGAAGAAGAGCCAGCCGTCTACGAGAGCTTCGTCGCGCTTCCGCGGCTGGCGCTTCATGACGTCGTGGTCTGGGGGATTGAAACTCAAGGCTGTTGCGGGAAGACCGTCGGTTACGAGGTTCACCCAGAGGAGTTGGACGGGGATAAGCGCTTCAGGCATGCCGATGGCAGCTGTCAGGAAGATGGAAACGACCTCTCCGATGTTGGACGAGATGAGGTACCGGATGAATTGCTGCGTGTTGTTGTATATGGAGCGGCCTTCCTCGACGGCGCCTTCAATGGTCGCGAAGTTGTCGTCAATGAGGACCATGTCGGCGGCAAGTTTGGCGACATCGGTGCCGGAACCCATGGCTACGCCAATGTCGGCCTTCTTGAGGGCAGGGGCGTCGTTCACGCCATCGCCTGTCATGGCGACCACCTCGCCGGCTTGCTGGAGGAGGTCGACGAGTTTGGACTTGTGACTAGGTTCGGTGCGGGAGAAGAGCGAGGCGCGTTTGACTGCCTCCATCTTTTCGGATTCGCTGAGATCGTCGAATTCGCGGCCCGTGTAGCTCTTGCCGGTCAGATCCTCGTCTTCACCAAAGACGCCGATCTGGCGACATATGGTCTCGGCAGTGTTGCGGTTGTCACCAGTGATGACGACTACACGGATTCCAGCGGAACGACACTTCGCGATGGAAGCTCGTACTTCGGGGCGAGGAGGATCCAACATGCCACAGAGCCCAAGGAGCGTCATGTTCTGTTCCAACTTGGCGTATTCCTTCGTGGTCTTAGCTTGCTTGTAGATGGCATCATTTCCGTTGACATCGACAGAGGCCATGGCAAGGACCCGAAGGCCCTTCTTGCCGTAGTCGACGACTTCTTGCAGGATGAGAGAGGCCAGTTGCTTCGAAAGTGGGACCTTCTTGCCGCCTTCACCAAGGATAACATGAGTACAGCGATCGACTATTGATTCAGGGGCGCCCTTGACCAGAAGTTTCGCTCCGTGTTGTTTCTGGACTAACACAGACATGCTCTTGCGGTCGCGGGAAAACTCGTAGGTCGCGAGTCTCGGCGCATGATCTTCGTAGTATTGGCTTGCGTGATGGAGGCGGTGTTCAGGAGGAATTGAAGACCTGCGGACATTGAGGCTGGAATCAGGGGTACCGACCTTCTCCACCAACACACGCAAAGCACCCTCCGTAGGCTCACCAATGATGCTATAAGTGCCGGTTTTCGAGTCGCACGCTAGCTTGGAGTCGTTGCAAAGCGCGTTGACTTCGCACATCTGTTGTACAGTCGCAGACCTAGCCGCAAGGTTCTCCAGGCGCTTTCCCTTCAACGAGATCTGGCCTTCAGGGGCAAAGCTGGTGCCTTCAACATCAATTTCCTCGAGTCCGTTACCGCTATCGTTGATGAAAACGATCTTGTTGACGCTCATTTGGTTGGTCGTCAGAGTGCCGGTCTTGTCGGAGCAGATGACACTGCAGCTTCCCAGGGTCTCGACAGATGGGAGACTGCGGACCACGGCGTTCCTGGCGGCCATTTTCCGTGTACCCAAAGCCAAGCATGTGGTGATGACGACGGCCAGGCCTTCGGGGATAGCGGCTACACCTAAAGAAACGGCAATCTGCGTGTCGTTAGCATGATGTTGGCTACTGTACTTCTCTCCAAGGCTCACCTTCAAATAATAGATGGCACCTTTCGCGAACCCGCCATGAGACGGGTCGCTGAAGTTTCCAATATTGATCAACCACACCAGTATACAGATTCCCGTAATAACCTTGGCCAACACATCTCCGAAATCATTCAACTTCTCCTTCAGGGGCGTCGGCTGCGAAATCTGCGCCGTGATGCTTTCATGGATACCCCCAATCGCGGTATTCGACCCCGTCAACACCACCAAGGCAGTCGCATGTCCCGTCACCACCGTTGTACCCGAGAACAACATATTGACCTGATCTTGCTTTACGGCGTCAACGTCCTTGATTGCGCGGACGTCCTTGGGCACGCTTTCAGACTCCCCGGTGAGGATGGATTGGTCCACATTGAAGCTGTTGCTCTGGATGGAGAGGATCCTGCAGTCGGCGGGAATCCGGTCGCCCACGGCCACAGACACGATATCTCCAGGTACCAACTCATCCGCCTTTATACGCTGGATCGTCCCATTCCGTATGACCTTGGCCTCGTTCGCGGAGTATTCCTGGAGGGCGGCGATGGCCTTCTCGGCGCTGGTTTCTTGCGATACGCCGACTACGGAGTTCAATATCAGGATCGTGAGGATCTAGACGTAGTCAGTAGATATTCCGCAGACAGTATCGAAGACCTGCCAGAAGTACTTACAACCGCAGGATCCACAAAAGCAGTCCAATCCTCTCCGCCCTCAAACAACGCCAAAACAAATGACACGGCCGCCGATCCCAGCAAAATCAAGACCAACTGGTCCTTGAACTGCTCGAGAATGAGCTCCCAAATCGGCGTCGGGGGATCCTCAGGAAGTGCTATCCCGAAATGATCAGCCTCAAGTCCTTCCTCTCCCTCTCCAATGCTTACCGTTCCTCCCGTACTTCTCCCTCGCAGCCCGTACCTGCTGCTCCGACAACCCCGCATGCTCCGTGACTTGGAAGTGCTTCAGCGCCTCCCCCGGCGTTTTGGTGTAGGCATTCTCCATCTCTCAAGCGCGTGTGCCGGCGCAACGCTCCAACGGTGGGCGGGATCGACGCTGCAATGCGCAAAAACCAAACCTTGTCAGAAATTGGTTTGCCGTAGTTGCAGTAGACGGTAGATGGTAGACAATAGTCAACGGCGGGGGCGTAGCAGCCTTCTTCTTCTCTACTCAGCGAGCAAGCGATCCGGAAATCAGCACCCCGAATCCCTCTTGAGCCTTTTTCTCTGACGTCGACGTCTCTCAGCGACAAACGAAGCGAACGACAATATCTGTAATCGAAGGATCGAAGGAAAAGATCAAGAGAGAAAGCAATCGTTCCTGGGAGCGAAGTTTCACCGTCCGTTCCATTCTTACCAACCAAGTTCCAGCGTGTCCTTCTTCCGCAACGCTCGGGCCTAGGGCCCGGTTCCTAGGCTAGTGGCGCATCATGGCCGAATCGGGCAATCGCGGGGGGTTTTAGTGGAAGATGCTGGATAGTCTGGGTTTCTCTTGGCGTGAAAGAGCACTTTTTACTGGAACATCGGCTTCGATACAACGTACGATGCAATATTTCGTTATGTCTTAGATATTGCTCTCTCTCCCCCTCTTTCTCTCTCTCTCACGATTCTATTCTCCGTTCTGCTTTAGAGACACGTGCAAACAACCGTCTCAAAGCCCGCCAAGACAGATTATCTGCCTCTTTATCACACCGTGTAAAGTACTATGTGGTAATCCACCACACAGAGGTTATGATTATTGGGAGAGTCATCAAGGATGTATGTTGTAATATTTCCTGCAGTGCCTTCTAGCTCTCATAACCCGGAATACTTCGTAAGTAAAAGCCCACCGAGCTGGACCCTAGCTCTCCCCTGTCTATACGTGCCCGAGATCCGCGAGAGTGGAGAGATATTTCCTAAACCCAACACGAAACGAACGGGATATCTAAAAGTATACAAACCTACTCCATGCAATAATGCAATCATCACAGGTATCATGCTGCAAAAAGCCGAAACAAGGATAACACCTCCGAACTCCACGTCTCCCCAAACATCATCAGACGTATTAAATGATATATCGAGAAAGTACCATAAATGGTTAGAGTGGGCAAAGTTCATGCCGCCAACTGGAAGGAGCAGTGCTCCACAATCAGCTTCTCCAAATCCTGGATCCGGAACGGTTTCCCCAGGAAGCCCTTCATGCCGACTTTCTCTGTCCGGTCGATGGCCGGGCCAGTGACATCGGCGCTGACAGCTAAAATCGTAGGGATCTTCGGTAGATCCATCTTCAGGATCGTTTCTGTAGCTTGGAACCCGTCGAGAAGAGGCATCCACAGGTCCATCAAGACAACGTCGATCTGCTCCTTGGGCGAGCGCTCTTGGCGCATCTGCTCAACGGCGTTGTTGCCGTCGTATGCTTCAGCTACGTTCTTGTATCCGAGCTTGGCCAGCATGCTAACGAGCAGCTTACGGTTGATCTTGTTGTCTTCGACGACAAGGAAGTTCAGAGGATACCTAGCAGCTAAACTGCGGTCAAAGTGGTCATCTGACAGTGTACGGGTTTTCGACGTCGCGCGAGGGCGAACGGGCGACGCCGAACGCGGTGTGGGCAGGTGAATTCCGAGAGGGGCCAACGACGGTGACCTTTGCGAGGTGGCTGAGAGTGCCGGAGAGCTTCGCGGAGAGAGCCTTTGGCCATTCCTGGATATTTCAGATGAAAGGGGCGGTGTGCCGGGCTGCTGTGTGACAGTGAACAACACCTCGGCGTCCATGGAATTGGCAGAAAGCGTGGGCGACCCGAATGGCGATGATGAACGACAGCAAGCGTCTCCGGGTGTAAGGGGTACGCACAATTCAAACTCGGAGCCCTTCCGTGGTCCAGCAACATCCGAGTGAATGCAACTTAGATCACCGCCGAGTTTCCGTGCCAGACCTTTAGCCACTAGAAGCCCCAACCCAAGACCCTCACTCTCTCGCGTCGTAGAGTTGTCTTCTCTTGCAAACGGCTTGAACAGGTTCGGTAGGAAAGCTGCAGGTATGCCGGATCCCGTGTCCTTGACATTGACGAGAATCCGCCGGCCGTTGTCGCCGAGGGTAACGCCAAGAGTGATTTCTCCGTTGTCAGTGAATTTGATAGCATTCAGCATAATGCAGGATATGGTCTTGGCGAGGTCTTTTTCGTCAATGAGAATGGTCTGCGGTACATCTGGCGCAACCGTCCATTCGATATGCTTGATGTTGACCTGTCCGCTAGATCTCCTGGTACGGACTTCAATGCGCTCTCCATACTCGGTTTCTTCTGCGATGGCCGAATCGGGGCGTCCCCCAACTTTCAAGGCATCATTGATGACATAACGGATGACCTCTCGTAGGTCAGTGTGCCGTAGGCCGGGCACTGTCGAGTGCTCGGAGGCGAAAAGGGGAGAGCTGGAAGAGTCATTATCGCATTTGGCGTCGGAGGCTTCGTGCGAGCACGCCTTGTGTAGAGCGCTCACTTGCATGTCTTGCTTTGCCAGTGTGGCCGCCTTGGTGGCTCGGGATTGGGGCTCCTCAGAGAGTGATTGTCGAATTCTCCTCCTGGGCATTCTGCAGACACGAGCATGGGTCGAAATCTCATCAGCTCTCCACGCGAACTCTTGTCGCCTCCGCTTCGTTCCCCGGAAATGGTTGTTGGGGCTAGTGTTGCCTGTGACCACAATATCTGGTTTCCTATCGCGCAGAATGATATTGTCTCTAGCGAGCTCTTCGAAAAGAGAATCGGGGTCTTCAGGTAGTCCCATGTTCATGTCATATGCGTGTACAATATTGTCGGCTGCCTCAACTGCCCGTCTGGAACTGTCTGTTCATGCTTAGCTTAAGAAGAGGATGACTAGGAAGGGGACAAAGTCACGTCTTTGGCAGACGGAGATATGGGAATGATGTAACGGACCTTGCACAGTTTCAATATTGTCCTTGAGTGTTGCTAGCAGATTTTGTAGGCGGATATCTTCCAATCCTTCGGCAGCCTCCTTTACATTTGCCATCATGACGTCCAGCATGCCGACAACGCCCTGCATCGGGGTTCTGAGCTCATGGGAAAGACTTCTAGCGTAGGGTTTCAACGACTGAGACATGGGGATAGCCGCGTGCGGTATCACTCGCGGTCTCTCTTCACCCGCGGATACAGTTGACGCAGCGAACCGCTTCCCTTGTAGCACCCGATCCAAGATCAAGTCCTCCAGGCCGCGCATGAGCAATTCCAGGTACCCCCATCCCAAGACTCTTCGGGCGGCTCCGTCGGCGCTCCACATGACACCAAAATGCGCGAAGCACTTGCCATCAGCAAAAAGCGGAATACCAAGGTAAGATTCGCCTGGACCGACCATGTCATTCGGATTATTCATGATGAAATCGTTGAGTTTTTCGGGGATGCTGAAAATCTTGTCATGGCGCATGTAGGCACACGGGCAGGAATAGGCGTGGTATTTGAAATGTTGGACCTGATGCTTCGTACCGTGACCATCGTTTACACAGAATGCAGCGCCCACGAGATGACACGACAGTTCTCCAGTAGGCGGCGTCTCCACGTGATCATTGCCGTCGTCGACCAGGATTCGCTTGGAAACAAAAGCATACTGAGCGGCGGCGATGGTAGCAAGGCCTTCGGCGAGAATGGGCCAGAAGGAATCATTGTCGGCTCTTCTGAGCGTGTCCTTGAGTTTGACGAGCTCTTCGGCCGCATTGCTCTCTGCAGGCGAGTAGAAGCGCCGCAGCTCCTCTTTGAAGCCCGATTGACCATTTTGGAGAAACAGGCCTAGCTGAGGGCGGAGGAGACGGAGCGTCTGTCGTCCTGATGATATATCGGGCGGTTCCATACTGCTCGACATGGTTTACCTGGGGCCCGCATACGGCGCGGGATAGGGGTTCCAGTACGTGAGATGAAATGGTCCAAATATCATTTAACGGCGGAGTGGTTTGTCCGGTGTGGTGGAAGTATGCAAGGCTGTTGTGAATGAAAGATAACAAGCAAATGTCGTCGGAACGGGACTTGGCTGCTTCAGGTTTGACTTTGTCGCATCCGGCTTTTTCGGACTCTGGAGACTAATAAACGCACGGCGGCAGTAACCAGCAGCGGTAGCAAAAGGCGGGGTGGAGGAATGCAGCAGTGAAAGAGGAGGGCATGCGACGGAGGAAAAGGGTTGCGAGGCTGCGGGCAATGTCTGGTTGGTGGCTTGCCAGCTGGAGTCGTACATAGGGTGTAATTGAGGAGAGGGCCGAGACCCAAGGCAGTCTAGAACGGGTCCAAATAACGGGCAAAGGCCTCAGCGTCCCGCTCTCAGTGACACTCGACGCACCCCGATACAGACGGTCCATGCCGGATATGAAGCACTGGGCAGCAGCTGCGGCGGGAGCTCTGCCAGACAAGGTCGACACAGTCAGATTGCACGATGCGCTGCTTCACGCCCTTCACTTCTGGCAGAAACTGCGACAGAAGCTCCAACAGATGACTTTGTGGGACACCCGGGCTGACATAATAATAAGTGCGCTGGCTGCTGGCTGACGAGAACGACCGACAAGGCCACACATTCTAGATCCCTCGGGGCCCGGGTCGTCGCCTTTGGATGCTGGTGAGGAGCGGGATCAACACCGCTAGAACGCCCATGGTGGTCCGGCCCCCTTAGGGTACATACCTACCGTGTCCGTACAGCACAGTACAGTTGTATCCCAAACCCCCCCGTCCCTTCGCGAAAGACGCTCGAGCAATCTGCAGGCAGGCAGGCAAGGCTTGTTGACGGTTCACGGGCAGCTGTTTGGTGAGCAGCCGATCGCAGACTCTCACGACTCTGATCAAGCGCAGTAGAAACCAGTGGTTTACTTGTACTTGTATGAAGGCTGAGGGTGCGTTATTCCCCGTGTGCTCTCATTTGTTAGCGCCCGAGGAGATGCTCGATTACATCACAGTCAGCGGCTGGCTCGGCGTCTGTGCCTAGGCTCTAGACTTCCGTCTGAGAAGTTCAAAATGAGTGATTCGTATCGACATGACCGTCTTGCGACTGCGCGGCGCAAATTCCGCAAGCTCGTCCCCCAGTAGCCCAATCAAATTGGTCGACCCGCGCCGTTTTTGGTGCAAATCGTCGTCCAGAGTCGCGATATACGAAGTGGCTGTTTACGGTGTCTGGTGGCGCCGGCTACATGCTTCCCCAGTTTCCTTGGGTCCCGTAAAGACGACGTGAGCCGGCGAACGGGACTTGTTCCTCGAATCAAGCATCACTCTACTCCACAAGGAGACCGTCGTGGCAGGAATCAAGTGCGGAAGTTACGAGTCCATAACAGCTATTCCGTCTGAGGTCCTCCTTTGGACTTTGGCAGACTGCGCCTTCGACGAATATTGCTGCGTTGCGGTGGTAACGTTACATAGCGTGGGCTGGGCTGAAGAACGAGGCTGGACCAAGTACGGTAGCTAGACCGCATTGGCTACCATCACCATCAGTATTCGTGGGGTAAAGTAGTAGGCCGTGCGATTGTATCCCATAATACTGGCTTATTTAGACCAGTGATTGCACAGCTGGCGTTGGCTGTGTGGTGTATTGTACTGTGCTGTGTTACAGTAGAGAGATGCAATACTAATGGGGGGAAGTTGAGATGGGATAGTGTCACAAGTGGCTCCTTCCAGTACCATTCTGCGCTCGGGAATAAGATTTCAAAACCCATTAAGGTACTTGGCACGGCTGTACGGAGTATTCACACACGCATCCCCGATTAGTCTGCCATCCATTTCTCTGACCACCCTGGACGTCGCACCCCTTTACATTATTTGAATTAAAATCGCCCTGGACTTGCAGTGCAAGTCTATCGGCTAGCATGCGCAGAACCACCATTGGGATCCCTTCGGCACCGCATAAAGGTCGAATCAATATCCTCGATTCTGGCCTTCGCATGATTTCTCATCGCCATGTCAAAGGGGCCAAACGTCGATGGTGTCGACGGTATCAAAGCTTATGTAAGCTCCCTAAATGATGCACGTCCGAGCGCGACCCCTGCCACCATATTGATATGGGTCGAGGCCACGCGCTCCAGGCCCGGACATCAACCTCCTCAAACTCACTGCTGGCTACCTACTACTGGCCACCTCGTACGAATCCAGGTAACCATCGCTCCCAACTTTCCAAGTCCTGCAGGAAACTGTACGGGTTGCGGGCGCCGCTCTGTTTGGTTTCAGCAGTTGCATCCATTATGCACGGCTTCTCCTGAGTGTTCATTGTTATCAGTCCTTTCTTCACAGTACAACCCTCTTTGGTATCCGAACCTTGGAAGTTATAGAAGACCCTGTCCAGCACCAGTAGTACCTCGATCATTCTCACAGCCTATTCACGTTGGCAATGGCTAATCTAATATGAGGCTGACAAGTTAACAAATGTACTCTGGATAGCTGCCAGTCATTCCTCACCGATCAACGCATTGGCCCCTCGTTTCACCTCCTTCTTACACATACTAAAAGGACCCTTCTAGACTCGTACCGAAGGAGCATCTCAGCATGACCGCCATTCCGGCTGAACCTTCCAAGGACCCCTTCCGCTTGTCGCCGACCATCTTGGTATCCACGGGCTATAATCCGTCACACCGCCTCTCAAGGCCCTTCAACCCCCTAGGGATTGGCCCACAGACAGAATTTCTATTGTGTTTTCCTTAACACAATACAGCCGGGCTTCCATGCAGTCGGACAGAAAAAGTTAACGTCACAGGACCACGCCCTGGCAACGGTCTGGACCACTTTATATTGAGCCTCTTAAGGACTATCCATGCAACCCAAATCTAGGAATCCGACTGTCCATTATACGTCATCGGCTCTTGTCCCCCATGAAACTTCGCATTTCATCTAGTCCCCGGAAGGATTACGGCGCACGTGTCCCTTGGTTCGAAGGCCTGGGCCCACCCTGGGGCAGCCATTCAATCGTGACTCTACAGTAAGGAGAGCTCCCTCTCCTCCCCTTTTTTTCCCTCTCGAAGACTCACTAACGAGAACCAAATCCTGACTTCCTTTGACGCATGGAACCTTGATACAATCGCTCTTCACTCCTTGGAGGAGTGTTGATGTCCATACCGAGGCATACGCTTCGCGGACATCACTTCACGTAAGCAGCTTTGATACGTTGCCAGCACGCTCGTGTAACATTTCCTAGCTCCCTCGAGCTGAGCCTGGAGCGCATCCCTCTCTTGATGGCGGGCCAGACGACTATATCCGTGCCGACTTTACATGGACATGCAGAAATCACGAGGAATCTTGTGTACCACTGCTTTCTAATCCGACGACTCTCTAGAACGGAGGAGAGGACGGAGCCCGGGTTATCTTGTCCTGGGAACGCGCAATTGCCGGTTCTGGGCCTTGCAGGGCCCTCCTTCACATAGGCGGTCCGTAACTGTTTACTTTGTTGCTGACAGGAACGGGGTGGCTGTCCAGTAACATTCACCTGGCGCCAGTGACATGACGCTGCATTCTATCATATCGGTCATGAGACTTGTTTAGATGCGCTGTTACTCTCCGAGTATAGGGTCTGGGCAAGTGCCATCATACCCTTGCTCTCCTCTTTCACTGGTGCCCATCTGGTGTGATAAATTTCCACCAACCGATGGCCCTTTGATCGAGGTATTACCAGACGTAAAATGATGTATTTGCAGCTGAGTGGGCCATGCTAAGGATCCAGCCGTTGCTATATTGTCAAATGATGGACAAGAGATCGCAGTGAAACAATCGCCTTGTTTCCTATATACTACGGCGAAGAGGCTCCTTTTATACACAAAAGCTAGTGTTAGAGATAAGAACTTATAGAGACCTGGGATCCAGATTATATAAGAGTTCTACATACATTCGCTAAGTTTCGGCGTTGGAAACGTTCTAGACCTCAACATGTATGCTTTACCACCGCGAAGTTTCTTATTAATACCACACCTTGCAGATGGAACAACAGGTCCATCTCATTGATAGTGCGATATTGACTACTCACACCTGAATGCTTATGACTGTCATTGCTCCTCTTTCTCTCCACACACAACATTGATTGGACCCCTGGTATGACTGGGCGATCTCCTCTCATTGCTTGCTTATACAAGCTAGATCCAAACACCAAATTCATGGTGACTCCGCTGTCGATGTGAACTGGGTCCAACGTACAGTTTTGGTACTGTGGTTTGCTCCCGTGTCTGTAGACATATCTTGCTTTGAACGCTATCGAAGCACAACTCTGCAAGACGTCAAGATATGAGCAGAGCTTTCGAGGACCGCAGTTCTCATAATTACCCCCTCGTAAACTTCCCTCCTCTCCACATTTCCACCCATTACCCCACCACCTCCTCCTCCTCCTCCTCCTCGCCCCTCTCTAATAAGGAATCCCATTCGTAATCTGCTGAAACCGATCATAACCCCCGGTACTATAACTCCCCGCACTCTTCTGCACCAAACCCCTCATATACTCGGCAGCCTCCCTCTCCCCCTTGTCCAACACAAACCTCTCTCGGAAATTCGCAATCGTCTCGGGCTTGAAGCACGGCAGCCCGCTATCCAACATGACCCTCACGATATGAATCAGATGCTCCGCATGCTGGCGGGACGCCAGAAACGCTTTGATGGTGAGTTCCTCGAACCAGCGGTACGACTGGGAAGTCTGGGAGCCGCCCATGACGTCGATCATCTCGGTGGTGAGTTTGAAGGGGGCCCGCTCGAATTTTATGCCGCCGGGTGCAATGTCGAAGCAGAAGCCGAAGTCGATGTGGATGATGTGGCCCGCATCATCAATCATGATATTTCCATTATGCCTGTCCTTGAACTGCAATAGGTAGCTAATGACGCTATACGCCGCCATACTCTTCACAAAGTTGGATCTCGCTTCTTGGAAGCGGATGGAGTCCTCGCCGCCATATTTGTTGACAAAGTACTCGTGCAGGCCGTTGACGGATTCGCGGCCGAGCATGTCGCGAGAGATGGAGTTGGGGAGCACATCGATGACGCCGCATCCCGGAGCAGTAGCGGTGACGCGATAGGGATAGACCCAGACGTCGAGGCCAACATTGTTGAAGATTCCCCGGAAAGTGGCGATCATTTGGAGGGCGAGGACGTCCTGGCGGCAGTCATCGCCGACCTTGAAAATGGCGGATTGCCAGACCTCGTATGTGTTTTCTTTGGAGGTGGCGGCTTCGTATTCTCCTCCTTCTTTGGCCTCAGGGCCGGGCTCGGCGAGACTCGTGTCAAGTTTGGATTTGCGGATGCGGAAGGTCGCCATGTACGGGGCTTTTGCATGGCTCTGGAGTGGTTTGCCCGATTTCCTGTCGATACCGACGACGATGCCTTCCGGATTACTAGGCAGGTAGACGCCCACTTCGACATGGATCTTGCGCAGTTCTTCTTCGATCTTCTGCTTCTTTTCCGGCTTGGGGCTCTTGATGAACGGACGTAGCTTCCCTGAGATGCCAGTGACTTCGTTGAAGAACGAAAACTCGCGCTCATAGAACTCCCGGTCCTCTACCGAAAAGCTGGATTCTAGGCTATCCATGACTTTGTCGAGAGTGGGTTTGATCGCGTCGGGCTGCTGTATGTTAGCCATATGATCTTCAGCATGATTGGCGCACCTACAACTTGAGAATCTTCGTCCTTGTAGGCATTGGCCTTCATGTTCCAAATGATCTGATGGGCAAAGAGCTGGGAAAACTTGGCAGTCTCGATAATATATCGTTCAACATAGCCAAGCGCGTCATATCGGAGCGTTTGGACAATCTGCGGAACGTAGAAGAACGTCACATCAACGGAGTGACTCTCCAAAGCTCTCATAGCGTATTGGATGATGAATGCGTTGTTTTTGTATGCAGGCAGGAAATATGTCACTGCCGTGATCGGGTTCACGGATGCCCAATACAGTAGATACTACATCTGGTTAGAGGGTGCAACTATAAGACGACGGAACTCATACCCTAAGCTGGAACGAAACGTCGCTGGGTAAGTGGTCGCCGAGTAGTAATTCAAGCGCATTGGGCTCATCCAGAACCTTGTGTGGAAAGTTGAGGACCAACCATCGGACTTCTTGGGACATCCGTGGGAAGCGTTGCGCGAGATGGACAGCGAGTGCTGGGTTTTCGGCCCATGCAGTTTTCAGATGTGCAGTCACAGTGGCCTGGAAAATCAGTAATCGCATAGCAACAAAGGATCCGTATCACTCACGTCGACTGGGCCCTTATACCCGGATCCGAAGTGATGTTTCTTTTCATGATCGAGCGGGAAGAGCCAGACACGGAGACGGCTTTGTTCTTCGGTCAAAAGTAGGTCTAACAATTCTTGTTTGCTCGTCAGTGCGTTTGCAGGAGAAACGGATGTACGTGAGACTGGGGTAGGGGCTTGAAGATCGGCCTGAATGTCAGCAAGAATCTGAGTTTCAGCCTTGATTTGGTGGCGGTTTCCACCAAAAGACCATCTAATGCCCGTTAGTGATGGAGCATCACAACATGGTACTAACTACTGACTGTGGTGCTTTTGCAAACCAGGCCAAACCAGCGGTGAGAATGCGGTCTTGCAGCCTCCATTTGATTGGAGGAGTTAGAGTAGTCGAAGAGCGTAATATCCGCAGCCCCAGCAGAATGGTATGAAAATATGCCTCCCTTGCCAGAGGCTGTGAGCATCCGGAGCCGAGAGCGTCCAGGGTGATATGGATTAGTCGATTGTATACCGACTCAACATCCGCATTACAAAGTCTTGAAGCATTGAAGTGACTTGACAAAAGCTGTAACAGTCGGAAGTGTGGCGCGATCGTGTTGTATACGCTTTGCTGGCGCTTGGAGACCGCTTCTTTGTCTGTAGGTGCGAACTCTTGCTTCCCGTAGAAGGGGTCAGGATGCCTAGAAGGACAACATCAGAAAGCGAACGGTAATCCACAGGGATACTCACGCACCGTATAAAGTCACTGAAGATACCTTGTCCCTTGCGTATCGTAGACTCCCAACACTGAGCCAGTTCAATCAAGATACGAGGCTCCATCCGCGGATTCTCCTTAATCACAGTCATCCACAGCGAAATGCCCAACTTGATCGATTGTTTTGAAAACACTGCAAAGGGTATCCCGACCAAATGATGCACAAGGGCAGGCTGGTCAGACTTCGCTCGGCATAACAAGGCGGCCGCTCGTCGAAGAATATCTCGTAGCTCAGCAATGCTGACAGCCTTGTGGCTAGACGTTCGAGTCTCCAAATCGATGAGCAGAGTTGTTGCATCCTCAATCCTCCTAGTGAAGGTAGCTGCTCCTCTGCGGTCGCCAGATGTCCGTAGCCACTCTTCCTCTTGGTCGTTCAGACCATCCACAAATTTGTATTCTTGCCTTGTTGTATATTGTGAGATAAAGTCAGACGCGGTATTGATGGCGAATCCCTGCTGTTCGATTGCACCCAGACGCTGGTCAGTTGATGGTATGACTGAGCCCATCTCAAGGGCAAAGGAACGACCAAGGGATATATGACCATATACACCTTTATCATCGAACTCTGAAAGATAAGTCTGCAGCAAGCCCTTGATATCGAGCGGAGCTAGGTCCAGAACATATCGGACCCACCCTTTCGCGCGTCTATGAAACCTTGTCAGGGTATCGTTGCGGAAGGCATAGTCATCCGATAGTTCCACAGCAATGTTGGACTTCATGGATGTAAAGGTGGATCGCCAAGTATACTCATCCGTGTCCCTTTCGAGACAGCTCGACCACATGATAGAAAGCAATTCCAACAGGGCGAAGAGAGCGGATTTCTGACACAGCGTGGATGGCACATTTTGGATAATGAAGTCCGCGCAGGCAACGGCAGCCTCCTGAACTTTCGCGATGCGGTGGCAGCACCCAGCGAATATGGTTGCAAGCTGTTGAGCAAGATAAGGGGTTGAAAACGAATGGAGTTTCCCAGAGAGCGTTCTCTGAACATATGTTCTCGTCACAGCCGTAGCAACAGCGAACATGCAATTGCCCACGGCACCCGTGCGGAGCTTGGGATCGAGGAAGTACACAAGAACCTTGGTGCAATCCCCCGAAGTAGCGCGCAACTTCTCAACGAGATATGCCGTATTCATGAAGACGGTCTCGGCGTAGTTCAGAGATTTGACGTCCGACTCGCAACCAGGTAGGAGCTGGGCAAGACGTTTCTTCTGATCGGCCACATGTTCCGCGGACTTACTCCGACGTAGTACTGTGTTCAGCTCGATGTCGCTTTCAACGAGTCCAGCCATTTCCTCGTTGATCAAGGGAGCGCTAAAATGGGCGAGCGTTCTTAGCTCGTTCAGATATTGCCTCCCAAGCTCAGACGTGAGATCAAAGCCGTGAATAACCAAGTTGAACCAAGCGTCTCTTTGCAACATGATGATATCATCGCCTAGCTCCACAGCCTCCTTATTGTTCGCATTCCTCACAAGGAGTTCTGCCAGGGGACAGAGCAACTGTGATATCTCCTGAGCCGCCATCTCACTGTCTCGTAGATGCGGGCGTTTAGCATCGTAGGCGTCTCCTTTGCTCACAATGATATCAAGTAGGTGGGTCAGGTAGATATCGTACTCCGGAGCTGTTAATGATACCTCTTTCGAGATTGTACGACGCGCGTCCATCACCTTTCTCTGTTTTAGCTCATGCCAACATACTGACAAAAAGTACTTACCGCTTGGAGCATAGTTGTGTCGCCCTCAACCAGGGATTCGTGGCATTGCTTCATCAAGTACTTGAGAAGCATACGAAACTCGCCGGTTCCGCTGTGGAGGCTTAAGAGAGCGGAATCTGTGATGATCTTGGCGTCTACCGGCTTGCTCACTCTCTTATGCTTCTGAATCAGCATAGAAAGCGCCAAAGCGGCAATCTTCTCGTCATTGCAACTCCTGGCCACCGTAGTGATAGTATGAACGATCGTGATATACACTTGGATCGGCTCTTCCGCGTCGCTAGGAGTTAGGGATATCGTGCTGGCTCCCTTTTCAGCATCGTAAACCGTATTCCGTGGAGTAGTTCCGCCGCCGTTGGAACTAGAGGAAAGAGTAGTACCTCTGTCGGCAAGAGGGGAAGCATTGATGACATTGCCTAGGCTGTACAATGTGGTGATGATGGCGTCCTGAGGGAGCACACTAAGAACAGAGGCCAAGCTGTCGGCAGCCACGTTTGCCGTTCTTTGAACGAATCCGCCTTGAACGATGGCCCTTGGGAGGGTGCGACTCAAGGTGGACGCTATGGAGGGGTCTACCTTTGCTAAGACGGTCATCGATTTCAGCACTGTACAAGCCAGGTTTTCGTCCGATGCCTGAACTGGGTCATTGAGGGCGCCGTCAAGCCAAGTCAATAGGAGGTCCGGCTCCGCAACCTCGTCATCGTAAATCGTGCAACATAGGTAACTCAGTAGAACTTTGGCTTTCACGGCGGCGCCCTGACGTTGTTGCCATACGGAGCCCACACGATGCAGGTAATCCAAATCATTATCCAACCGGCTCATTTCAGCGACCGCGATTTCCGTCAAACCGTTCACCAGTGCATCGTCTGATTGCGTGTGATTCACCTGTATGTTGTCGAAAGACGAATGTAGAAACTCCAAGATGTCTTTCTCGGGCTGCTCGTTAGGGTCTCTCACTAACAGTGAGGCACAAGCAACCATCACCTTCAAAAAGCCGTCATGCAAACTCATCGCTCCGAGTGGACGTCCAGTAGCCGCGTAGTGCTTTGCATAATGCCTCCAGTCCCTTAAACCATGCTGGTGAGAACCTGAATTGCGGACAACGGACAAAGCCGTCTCCAAAGAGACCAAGAAAGTCTCAGAGAGCGCTCCCCTGATGTCCTCTACGAGTTGAAGCCTCTCAGTAGACCTCCAGAACGCAGCATGTTCCGCGGCAGCATCCAAAAACCCCAAAAAGGACATCCCCTGTGTCAAAATGCGTGTCAACTCCCTATCCTTCCTGTGATTGCTTTCACCATCCTCGGCGTGGTCAACGGATAGTTTGCTTGCCCCATCTGTCCAGCCACTGAGGTATGCCGTGACAGCGGCCGTGACTTCTGGGTGGAGCTCATTATGGTGAATACCAATAGATAATATTGCCGCGGTAAGATTATATGTGAGTACTTCGTAGGGGGAGGGGTCGATGTCGCGGAGACCAGGAGAAGGGAATAGAACCTGTGCGTACGACTCGGAAAGGTAAGGTGACAGACGGGTCAAGAGTTGTTGGGCCACTTCATGGGATTGTATAAATGGCGCCGCTTTACAAAGTGCCAATATCGCCTCGAGTTCTGGGATTTTCTGCCGGTATGTCAGTCTCGGAGACGTGCTGTAGCGGAGGTAGGAGGAATTAAGGGGCATTACGCACCATGGGTGTTCCTGCGACAGAGACCTTACCCACCGTTCCGGTTCCATTTTGTGCGAAGGAACCAGTAGGGAACCGCCTATACAGCTTGGAGAGGTCAGGACTGGCTGCGCTCGATGCAGTTGACTGCACTGATAGCTGGGCGAGCTTCTGGAGCGCTTCTCGACGGATGCTACGACTGTTCCTTTCGTCAGTTTAATCCCTGCATGACCGTTTCCATCACTGACCCCATCTTATAGCAGGTCAAAGACCTAGTAGCTTGCGAGACGCGTGCAAAGCGCCGCGTCAATCGTACAGGTTGGACGTTGTTAGGTGACGAAATAGTCGTGGATGTGTGGCTGAGAGTGTGGCTAAATATTTCGGTGGCGCAGAAAGGAGAGCAACCAATCTGATCGTGTCTCTGGATATCCGGACTTAAGAGAGTCCCGAAACTGAAGATGGCTGCACTTTCCCGGAAGGAGAAAGCTCATATCACATTACAAATACCGTATCCGATATATCTACGTGACCAAACCACTATGAACGCCACAATGCTACGAACCATAAGTACCCCAAGAGATGTTCTCATGCATCAAGAACCCCAACACTCAAGTCCGCCGTGGGATCTCTCCGGACAGTCAAGTCCTCGAAGTTCTCCTCGTTCTCAATGACTAGACCTTTTTCGTTTGCGAGATGCAGCAAACATATGAAGCAGTAGGCTGTTGACAGGTCATCCAGCTGCTGTTTCGCATATCTCTTCGGAAGAGTGTTAACAATAACGTCGGTGAACTTCACGGAAACATCCATGGTATTGGATGAACCAGGTTCACCAGAATCTGACGTAGGTACTGTTTGCTGTGTCTAAAGAAGTTAGCTTGCTGCGCATATCATAGGAGCAATCGACAGCCATTTACCTCTTCGAATCCTAGACCATCCCATATCTCGTTCTTCAGTCGATGTACGTCCACCTTCTTCGCCTTCCGTGCATACGGAACAGCTTGAGGTACTGGCATATTGGGTAAGACCACGTGAGGCGCATCCCCTTGTGGCTCGCCTTCCTGGGTTGAAAAGATGCCAGAGGCGAGTCCCTGTAGGTGATTGGGAGCCTCTTCTAGTGGCGGAGAGAGCTGTTCTCGAGCGTCCGCGAAGTACTCAGCTTCCTCATCATCATCTCCAGCATCATCATTGCCTATGCCGTCATCCTGGTAGAAGTTTGCGTCGTAGTCGGGTTTCTCGTCGCGCGCTTGGTTTGCCCAATACGCCTCGTCATCTTCACGGTCACCACGGCCGGATCCAATCTTCTTCTCAGAAATCAACCGTTCTTCGCCAATCCTAACATCCGGGACCAGGTAATAGTAACGCAAGCTATTAGAGTTGAAATGTTTGTCATCAGGTAGAAGGTTACGAGCCTTTGATTGCAGTTGAGATTTCGGGGCCTGAATGGTAGAGGGAGCAGGCTTGGGCCCGAACAGAGCTTCGTTCAGGGATTGTGACATAGGAGCGAGGAAGTCGACCACAAATGGCACCTTTTCCTTACGCTCCCTTGCCGGAGCGGCTTTCCCCATGCCCTTGATCCGCGCGACACGCCAGTGCTCTGGCCCTGCCCAATTCTTCTTGAACGCTTGGTCGAAGTAATGGAACATATTCTCTTGCTCAGGGCCATGAGCTGCCGAGACCTTGTAGTCATAGTCCTCGGCGCCGGCAACACCGTCTTCAGCGCTCTCCTCCCTCCTATCTTCGTCGCCAACTTCAGGAGTCATCTGGTGAACGCGAGCCTGCGGTTCCAACGCAGCTTCTCTGGCCCACGCTTCACCACCTTCACCAAATCCAGCCTCGGGGGGTTGGGCAATCGCGGTCATATCGTCGTCATCATCGTTAAATGCCATGTAATTGTCCTCGGGAAGATCTCCAGAACCATTTATAGCTACCTGGTCGTCGTCACCGTCGCCATCACTAACATCGGGACCCAAGTCCTCCGGAATAGTAAAATCTGCTAGGTCTAGCGATCCGGTGAAAATGTCGTTGAGATGCAACCGAGTGCTGGAGGGGCATATCTCTTGATGGTCCAATTGAGCGAAGCTGGGCAGGTCGAAATACTTCGCAGCAAGGGAAGAAATGTCAATCTCAACATCTTCCGACGCTTCAGCCTCTGGTGTTGAGTCGTCATGGTCCTCTTCTGCGCCGTCGTCAGGAGCTGGAGTCATCTTATGTTCCACAGTTATGTCTTCGGCGTCGTCGCTGCTATCAAAAACAATCCGCCCCTTAGAGTCAAGGAACAGATTGTTGAGAAGAAGGCCCTTGACACCCCCCTCATCGAAGTCGGCTGAGGCTTTCTTGAACATCGGATCCATGGATAGTTCAATGTCCATCTTCTTGTTCTGCAGCTGCTCATGAGTAGAGAGGTTCGCGTCCGGACGCGGAGCCTTCTTCCTTTTCTTCTTCTGGCCGTCCTCGCCTTCCTCATCCTCTTCTCCGTCACCCTCCTCGTCCTCTTCTGCTGCTGCCCTACCACGGGATTTCTTGTTTTTACTCTCCGCAAGGCCGTTGAGAAGTTTCCCAGTCTCTTCAGCAACGCTGTCCACACGATGGGTATAAACTTTAACACAACCTTCCAGTGTATTGCTAGCTTTCTTGAAGTCCACCGTATTTCCATCCCGCAGTACCCGCATATCGTGGAAGAAATCAATGAGGCCGGAGTTCCAAGAGTTCGCTGTGTTAATTTTCTAATAGCCTTATTAGCGGAAGCGCAGTAGACACCCCGCAAGTTCTTACGTTTTCGCTCGTTTGCTTCAACATCTCTTCAAAAGTGCCCCAGGCATAAACATCCGTCATTGCCCTCCCCGGAGTTATACCGGTTCCGGTGACAATCGGCGTATCGTCGTCCTCCCCTCCTTCTCTGTTCGGCGTGTGAGGACTGTCAAAGGTGACTGACGCCAGACGTCTACGTGGTGTAATGGACAATCTCATTGGGGTTGCGGCACTTCTGATTGAGGGCGCTAAGGAGGATCTGTGTGAACGGTCTGGCGTAGTGGACATCCTGGATGAGCCAAGTTCTTCCTCTTGGATTGCCTGTCGCCGGTTGAGGCGACGCGCGTTTCGTTGCTGCGGTTCATCGTTGAGGGGGATTCTGAATGCTACGTTAACACCAAGTGTATGCGGAAATAGGTTAAGACAACTGACTTGACACCCTTAGACGGCGTGCCCGTGAGAGACTCTCTTGACCTTCGGAGCGGCATCGTTCCCACAGAGCTTGGGCGATCGTGCTACATCCACGGATAGATGGTTTTTTTGGCGTTGTTGACACTCGCGACGGTCCCGCTCCAGCCACAACAAACAACCGCCTGGGCGGAGCGCTCCACTTTCCACGCGCGCACGTGCTTCGAGCGCCACCCGCTGTGGCTATGCCCCTGCACGTCTGCCGTCACTGCAGCTGCTGTCATCGAGTTGCAACGAAGCTGATGCTCTGCAAGATTCGACATGCTTTTGATGTCTCCAGCCTCTGCCCTCCGGCTTGCAACCCCATCTTATCGATGTATATATCTCTTCTTTAGGTCTGCATAGCGTTTCCAGCATCTTGGACAACACCGAACTCCGCCGCGCGTTCACCCGTTGATCTCCGGTACCTGGCACAAGAGGCATCCAGCGACGAACGTCTACGCCAGTACGGGACACAAATATACCAGCGAGCAATCCTGCCGACTCTGATCGGGTACCGCGGAACGTCCACAAGTCCACCCTTTCCTTTCGATAAATCAAGGATGCAATAGCTAGGACAATGGACGCCGCGTACACTGCTGGAACGTCGAAGCCTCGACAACGACTCAGGTATTCTGCCCGGCCGTTTCTGCTCACACTGGCCGTAATCTTTCTCCTGGTCGCGGCATCATGGATTCGACCAGGAAAGGGAATAAAGCCGTTACCGGCCGGCCATTTCCCGTCCAAGCGGGAAGTCGTGATGGTGCAGGACGAAGAGGTATGGAATTGAATAACTTCAGTAGGCTCCAACTAAACTCTCTTCAGTGTCGCCTCGTCCACCATGCGACCGACAAATGCGCCTTTATCAAAGCCAATTGCCCTGACGAAGAAGCCGGTATCTTCTCCTATCTTGACCTCTACTACTGTCGGCTTCCGCATGCTCAGCCGTTCGCGTTCATGCTCCTGGTGTTATGGCTTGCATTGTTATTCAGCACTATTGGTATCGCAGCGAGCGATTTTTTCTGCGTCAACCTGAGCACCATCGCCAATCTCCTGGGAATGAGCGAGAGTATGGCAGGAGTCACCTTTCTGGCTTTTGGAAACGGAAGTCCGGACGTCTTCTCCACCTTTGCGGCAATGAGCACGAACTCGGCCAGTCTTGCCATTGGGGAGCTGATCGGAGCGGCCGGCTTCATCACCGCTGTCGTCGCAGGCTCAATGGGGCTGGTCCGCCCATTCAAAGTCGCTCGAAAGAGCTTTGTACGGGACGTCAGCTTCTTCATTGTTGCTTCTGCCTTCAGCATGGGATTCATTGCCGATGGCAAGCTGTCCTTGTGGGAGTCTGCGACCATGGTCGTGTTCTACATCTTCTACGTCTGCTTCGTGGTGGCATGGCACTGGTGGCTGGGGCGGCAGAATGCTCGTCGACGACGTGCCGCGGCTATTAGAAGCCATTACATCACGCCCGGCGGAGAAGAGGAGGAAATCCCCCAAGAATATCATGACGATGAGGATGGAACCACGGCTGGGGGCGCTCGTTCCCCCATGGGTAATGTGTCGGTGGATGATTTTACAGCCCTCGAACGGGCTGGCGACGAAGGGGGATTGGAAGAGGACGACAATGAGGAAGTGCGGGAAAGGTGGCTTGGTGAATTGAGCAGCAACATGCGCCTCCAGAGGCCTGGCCTTGGAGCACGTCGGAACACGCATAACCCAATTCGACCTAGTCTTGTGGGTGCACTGGAATTCAGAGCAGTCTTGACATCTCTGCAGAAATCCAGAAACATACAGTCCATGCCCATCAATCTGCGGCGCTATTCGGATGATCCGAATTATACATTGGCCCAGCAACAGCACGTCATATCTGGTTCCGAAGGCCCAGTCTCTCGACCTGCTTATGACTTCCGTCAGAACTCGGAATCATCGCCGCACCTCTCTCGCCTTGCAGCTGACGCGCATGCCGGCAACAGGCCGCGAGCTGTCTCTACTAATGACATGGAGAACACCCGTCTGGACCCAGGCGCACTCTTTTCGGGACCGGTTCCAAGCATCAGCCTGGGGCCTGCCTCTCCCGAAGATGAAGGTCAGAGCCAGCCTCGCGGCCATGCACCTCCATCTCCGACAATCTCACTATCACCGCCTCCTTCTGAACATCCGTCCCGATCGACCAGCCCTGCACCATCAAGCTTGAGACAGCCGTTCCCTGACAGACTGGCTCCACCGAGTCTCGACGGACAAGGGCTGCAATCTCTCAGCCGTGGGACTACACTCAGTCCCCTCTCTTCACCTGCCCTTGAAGCTTCGGCTGAGCGAATCGGTCGGCCTCGCCCCAGGCCCACTGTCCCCGGGGCATCGTCGCCGCCTGCTCCCTTCCCAGCATATGTGGACCAATCATCCTCCGCTCATAGCTCGGGACCGCCGAGCCTCAGGCTACCGTCGCCCAGTGCCTCCCCTGAATCGCTCTTCCCAAGGGATCACTACTTGGATACGGGAGACCAATCTCGGGCGCCTAGGTGGTGGCCCGGGAGGGTGCTTCCTCCACCCAACATTTTCCTGGGCACACTCTTCCCTACCTTGTACAACTGGAGTGGCAAAACTGCATGGGAAAAACTACTGGGTATCGTCGCAGCACCTAGTGTGTTCATACTCACGGTGACTCTGCCCGTAGTCGAATCTCAGAAGGACGACACAGACGACGTTAACCTCGTCTCCCCGACGCTGAGTCTCCCCGCTGCGCTTACGCCGAAGAGAGGTAGCCTGGATTCTCATAAGAGGGGGAGGCTGGCGGCATTGTCATTAGACAGTCCTCAAGACATAGACGCAAGGGCCGTTAAGAGCGGCAGCACTGTCCACACGACAGGGGACGGGTCACCGGAAATCCGTGTCCTCGTCCCTACGATCACAAATGATGACCGCGTGGCCATGTCTCCCGAACAGCTACCGGTTGGACTCACTCCGTCTGAGCCCAAGCCGTGGAACCGCTGGCTGGTCATCGTACAGGTATTCACGGCGCCGTTCTTCATTGTCCTTATTGTTTGGGCCAATACGGAGCTTGACAACCCGCGGGCTCTCGTCAAGCCTACGCTCTACTCGATGCTGGTCTCGTTGGTGGTGCTGGCACTCATCGTGGGCACGACGAGTCCGACGCGGCCTCCACGATGGCGGACCATGCTGTGCTTCATGGGGTTTGCGGTCAGCATTGCTTGGATCAGCACCATTGCCAACGAGGTGGTTGGGGTGCTGAAGACGCTCGGGGTGATACTGGACATGAGCGATGCTATTCTTGGTCTGACGATATTCGCTGTGGGGAACTCGCTGGGAGACCTCGTGGCAGACATCACCGTGGCACGGCTGGGATTTCCCGTGATGGCACTTTCGGCGTGTTTTGGAGGCCCGATGCTTAACATACTACTCGGGATTGGCATCAGCGGTTGCTACATGACGGTCCAGGGCAGCAACAAGCGCCACCACCGCCATCCCGAACGGCCGATCCAGTTCAAGCCTTACCACATCGACGTCAGCACCACGTTGATCATCTCCGGGGCCACGCTCCTGGTGACGTTGGTTGGGCTGCTGGTGGCGGTGCCTGCGAGAGGCTGGCGGATGGACAGGGTGATTGGATGGGGATTGCTAGCACTCTGGAGCGCCAGCACTTTGACCAATGTCATTGTCGAGGTAGCAGGACTCAGCAGCAAGGTGAGCTGAGAGGTATCGAGTTGCAAGCAGTTCTGTTGCTTGGACTTGTGGAAGAAGGCCCGGCAAGGCAGTTGGTCGGTCGGTTCTACATGTGGAGCTGGCCAGCGTCCCTTTCTGGACAAGCCTTTTGTTTGCAGCGATGGACCCGTCTTTCTTCGAATACCCCGGAGGTCCACAGTCGATACAAGCTCACAAGGAAAAGGAAGATGGCTGGTAAGGGGGCTGCCCAACGCACCTAGGCGGGCGCAAGAGGGCACCCGACGGAGGCCAGGACAGGAACTGGTCGACGACCACGTGTCGGCCGGGACATGAGGATTGTGAGCTTGGGCGGCAGATTGGGCTGCAGATGGGCGCTTTGAGACCTTGAAAAGTGAGGTGTCGGTGGTGGGTCGAAACAGAGAGTCGGGCTGGGTAGGGTGCTGGCGCGAAAAGTCGAGGGCCAAAGCGTGGGCCGTCTGTCAATGAGAGCGAGCCACGTCAAATGGGCGGAGACGTTGCAGAGGGACGTTTCTGAGCAAAGGACCAGGATGGGTTATGACTGTTCGAAGCTTGCACCGGTGTAGCTGCAATAAATAAGGGAGAAAAGGGGAATGGGCAGCGTGCCCTCGTCCAGCCCAGCGCACGCCTCTCCTGCCCTTGCGTCAACTGTCTTTTGTCGCTATCTTTCAGCTTTTTTCGGCTCTCTCGCACCCCATCCCAGAATTTCCGTTGTTGTTGTCGTCGTCCACGACCAGACTATGTGCCAATCATCGCCATCGAACTCTTCTGCTACTACATTTACTCGCACCCACCATCACCACCACCAACGTCGTCGTCTGCTTGTCAGAGTCCGACGGCGCAGGCCTTGAGCTACGGATCGACCCGCACCACGCGCATTCCCGCGTGCTCCCCCCACCCTCTACCAGATATACAATATACTCCGTACTGTGTACACAGTACCAATCGCACAGCAAAGCCCACGACCACGCCCATCCATTATTATTCCCTGGTTCGGCTGATCGCCTGTAGAGAAGCTGCTGGCATCTCCTGTGCGACATCCCCATCTGATCTGTCCCCCGCTTCACCCATCCGAGTCTAGCGGGGCGCCTCCCTCTGAAGCAAATCCTCCATTCCAAGGTTGAGAGCATCACCATTATTTATTCCCATCTCCTCTCCGACGTTACAGACAATCCACCCTCGACAACCCCAGGCGAACTTCGAAGCTTGGCATTCCTGATTCCTGCGCGGACCGCCGTCTGCCCAGTGTGCTGCTTCAGCCCATCCATTGCGAGACGCATCCCATCCTTTTACCCCGTCGTCGAATCACGCTTCAGCCCTACCACCACCGCTCTCCCCCTCCGACCCTCATCAACCCTCACCCTCGCTCCCTCGCTCTCTCTGTCTATCATTACACGCTGCTGCTGCCCTCAGCCGCCGCCGCCGCGTTGTGAAAGCTGCTGCTGCGGACCAGCCCGCTGTATACACGGTACAAACATCGAGGACCGAGCGATCCGCTCCCTTCACGCTGCCCCGCCAACACCCCCAGGGCTGTCAGCCGTCGCATCGCATCCTCGTCGTCACAAGACTTCGCTCCATCCATCCATCCTAGGACACCAGGTCCGTCTTTTACACCACACACTGCCACACTTCCCTACAACGGGGTCGCTGCTCTCGGCCTTTCTCTGGTTAGAATAGGCTCGAGTGCGGTGCCTCATCTAACCATCCAGCTCCATGCCGTTAGTCATTGCCCTTCCTCATCGTCGTCGTCGCCCCGTCTCCCGGCGAGCGCTTTCGCGCCGCCCTGCTGCCCAACGTCGACCTGTCTCTTCTTCCTCCCGCACCCAAGCCCCGTCCACTGTTTCGATTTCCCTAAACGGTGAAGCCGACACTAACCTTATGCTGCCCGTTAGGAGAAACATCACCATCAACCACTCGACCGGCTCCGAGCACTACTCCATCACCGACGAAGACGAGGACTCGTCCGGCGTCGTCGTCTCGTCTGGCAGCTACGGTGACGAGTACACCACTGACGAAGACGACGAAGAAGACGACGACGAGGACCCCGACTGGGACCGCATCCACGTCGACGACATCGATCCTTCCGATTCGGCCTCTCGCCCACGTCCCCTCAAGCACCACGCTAGCGTCCCCCCGCGCGCCCCGCAGCCGCAATCCTCCCGTCGCAAGTCCGCCAGGCACAACGTCCCCGTCCACGATCCGCCCTCCCGCCATCGGTCGCGGAGCAGACACAACCTGGAGCGCGAACATCGACGCCGCCGGGCTCCCCGGCCGCAGTCCGACCATTCCGACAGCGTCGACGGCCACGACGATTACCCTCCCTTCGCCCCGCCTCGTGGCGGCCCTTCTCCTCAGCCGGCCAGCGCCCAATGGGGATACATTCCTCACCAAGGCGCTCCCAGTGGCTACGCTCCTAGCACCATGTCCTACCCCCACAATCCCTTCGCTGCCCCTCCCCCGCCGGGCAATCAGCTAGTGCCCATGCATCCTCCGGACCCATATGGATATCAGAACCCTTTTGCTCCCCAAGCACCGAATCCCTTTGCATCGCCTCCTCCAGGCGGTCCGCCCAATGGCTATTTCGATGCGCCGCCTCCTCCGCACGGCCAGCGTGGTGGCAGGGCCCACCGCAATTCCATGCCACCCGCCCCTACGGGAGAACTCATGCCCTTCTATCCCAATGGCGGCTACTACCCTCCTCCCCACTATCCTCCCGGTTATGCCTACCCTGGCATGCCGCCTTACCCTCCGTATCCCCCGCATCCAGCACACCATACCACTCCTCCGCCTCCGCCTTCGAAGAAAGGAACCCCCCATCCGCCTCCTGAAGCTCCTCCTGCCGCCGTCGCGGCCCCAGTGCAGGTTCCTGTACAGACTGTCGCTGTTCCCGTGGCGTCTCCCGCCCCTCCCCCACCAGGACCGCCCCCCGAGGACGGCGTGCTGACCAAACTGGAGAAACTTCTGCTCGGCAAGGAGAAGGAGGTCATCAAAAAGGAAGAGGATGCCAAGTTCAACCGCCTCGAGAGCCTGCTTCTTCAGGAGCACGAAGCCCGTGTCCGGAGGGAAGAGGCAGAGGCAAAGGCTGCAGCCGACGCCAAAGCGGCAGCGGCCGAGGCCAAGAAGAAAGAGGATGAGGATAAGCTGGCGAAGCTCGAAAAGCTGATCCTCGCTCAGAAGGAGGAGTTGCAGAAGCGCGACGCTGCCGTCGAGGCCCGTTTGGAGCGTGAGCGGGCCGAGGCGGCCGCAAAGGCGGCCGAGGAGGCTCGAAAGAAGGAAGCGGCGGAGAAGGAGGCTGCTCTCATGCTTGAAGCCGCGAAGAAGGCACGCGAGGAAGCCGAAGCCAAAGCCGCAAAGGAGGCAGAAGAGCTCAAGACCAAGGCAGCAAAGGAAGCAGAGGAAGCAAAGGCCGCGCACGAGAAGGCGTTGGCCGAGGCGAAGGCGGCTGCCGAAGAGGCGGAGAAGGCCAAGAAGGCCGCAGAAGAGGAGGCGGCCAAGTTGAAGCCATCCGATGCTCCAAAGGCCCCTATTCGGTTCAAAGACGCCGTGGGTCGAAAGTTCAACTTCCCATTCCACCTGTGCAAGACTTGGAAGGTATGTTTTATTCATCACGCTCTCTCTAGACGCCATACTAACTTTTCCCCAGGGAATGGAAGACCTTATCAAGCAAGCCTTCCTGCACGTCGACGTGCTCGGCCAGCACGTCCACGAGGGCCACTACGACCTCGTCGGCCCGGACGGCGAGATCATCCTCCCGCAGGTCTGGGAGGTAGTCATCCAGCCCGACTGGGCCATCACCATGCACATGTGGCCCATGCCTGAACCGCCACCACCCCCGAAACCAGAGGAAGTCGCCATGCCCGTGGCCGTGGAACAAATGATGGTCTCGGGCAAGCACTCCAAGGGTAAGGACAAGAAGAGCTCCAAGAAACGCCACTCGGCCCAGGAGCACATCGTACACGTTCCGCCGCCTCCACCGGCAATGGTGCATCCGGCGCCTCCACCGCCTCCGCCCGCACCAGTGAACCCGAATGCGGGTCATCCGCCGCCACCGCCCATGGTCGTGCAAGTTGCTCCGTCAGAGTCGAGGTCGTCAAGACGACCCGTCAAACCCTCGCCGCTTATGAAGTGGGTGGTCGGTCAGAGTCGTTCGCAGTCTTTAAAAGGGTCAAAAAAACCTGAGGGCGCCAACTAAGGTCCCAGCTATGCAGACGGCATAACGGGGGAGATGTAGGTTGGTGAGGAAGAGCTGGGGTGTTGGCTATGATGGCTGGATTCGTTTTCCTTGTCGGAGTATGATCCCTTCAGCACAGCATCTACACTGTCACTACCAGTCCCTTCTTCGTCGTTCTTCATCTCTCTCCTGCTGCATGGTTGGGATGGGGCTCTCGGGAGGCATGGTTTTCCTCCCGCGACGCGCGGGTCTTTCATGCCTCAGGGAACGTTGTGGATGCGGTTTTTCTTCATCTCCTTTTTTCCTTTCCATCTTCTTCACATTTTTGTGGCTGATTCGATTCTGTGGAATTTTCGCTATATATCACTTCAGCAAGTTGGATATCCGAGCATTGGTTGCGTTCTGGAGCGTTTCGGGCGCGGAGTTGTGGTCCCTGTTTTTCTTGCGCCGGACAGGCGGAGGAGGGAGGTTTGGTACTACGAGAGTGGGAAAAGTTTAGATACCATTGTGAGCCCGTTTTGAGCGTTTTGTTTCTTCCTTTTCGTCTTTTCCATCTTCGTGTTTTGGTTGTGCGGTTTGATGGATGCCATGGCGTGCGACACTGGTGGCAACTCCACTCTCCTAGACCCCCTGTTGAAAGAGGAAGTGAAGCGTGTTGAACAGATGAGAGATGAGAGATGATTAATGTCGGGGTGGATCGTGGGGTTGGATTTTCGTCTTCTTTCTGTCTTTCTTTTTCGGTTTTGGTTGGCATTGTCGTCGCATCGTGTAGCAAATGTTAGGGATAGTTTGCAATACCTTCTTCTCCCCTCCCTCATCACAATGCATTCTCTGCTACTCTCTCCCTCTGCTATACGGCCACCGTGATGAGAATGCCACGCACTCGCTGAACGCCCCATACACACTCTCTCCCACTTCCCCATCTCCACTGTTCTTGTAACACATCCACATACGTACCGCGATACAAAACGCGAACCCAACGCCAAACGCCGGGACCAAATATCGACTTCTCCCCCCATCCATGTACCTACCCACCAATGTTTGTTTATAAGAAGAGTCTTGAAATTATTTTCCAAGATGGTTAGTATTGCGTTACCGCTTCATTGCTGCCGTTGCTGCGGCTACAACGGATTCGCTCACGGGGACGAGATTGTATATACAGTGTCTCACTTCTCTTCATATATGTTCATTGACCAAGCCAAAAAAGCTTTGATTGACTTCTTGTTGCTTATGTAGGTATGTACCTATGCATGTATGTATATGTGCTCGAATGCTTTCGCTTTCGGTTTCTGGTTTCCGCTCGCAAGATTCGATCTCGCATTCTCCCCGCTCGTGGAGCCATGAATATGTACCGAGTAGACAAAGAAAACGATGCAAAATAGGAAAAAGAGCCAAGCCAATGTACATGGATCTATCGAAAACGACTGGGTATCACACCTCCCTCCCTCTCTCCCTCCCCCTACCAGATAATCCCCTTCCACTCAAACAACCCATCCACATTCCTCCAAGTCCCCCCGCCATCCCCCCTCCCAATTGCCTTCTCCCACCCCATCCCCACGGCCAGAATCCGACACCCGACGGCGCTAACCCCGCAGACCACGCCATCCGCCTGCATCAGCACCGCCAGATCCATCAAGTACGCCCTCCCGACCAACTCCCTCAACCGCATCGCCTGCTCGGGCACCTCCTCCTCCACTTCCTCCTCGCCTTCCTCCTCCCTCGCAAAAGCCGACGACGACGGCAACGAGCCTGCAGTACGAGCCTCCCCACCCCCAGCAGCACGACTCCCAGCACGACTCCTCCCATCCCGACCAAGCGAGAAAAACACATCCTTGAAGAACCCGCCCTCCCACCCCGTCAAGTCGTCGATCCACGGATTCTCCTTCTTCTGGCCCCAATGCGCCGCCTCGAGCGCGCTCTTGGTCGCCAGCATGATGCGGTCCTGCGCCCGCACCGTCCCCGGTAGTAGGTCCGGCGACTCGTACATCTGCGGATCATCCGACGCTATCACGATCTTCCTCGGCTTCGACCGCGCGAGTTCCTGCGCGGCTGCCATGTACCGATCCACAGGGATGTAGTCCTTCTGGAACTGGTACTCAAAGGGGTGTTTATCGCCCCTCCGGATGTGCACGCCCACGCTCTTGCCTCCCTGCTTCCGCACGTCGGCGTATAGGGCTTGCGTGCGGTTGCCCACGTACTCGGCGTCATCCTGTCGTAGTTTGAACAGCGCCTCGTAGCCTGTGCGCAGGAGGCCGAAGATCTTGACTTGCCGCTGCACGCGCATCTTGCGCGCGTCCTCGAATTCCTCGCTGAAGGCGTGGCCAAAGGTTTGGCGGACCGTGGCGCTGGACACGATGATGTGGTGGGCCGTGTGGGGGCACGGGAGCATGTGCGAGGCGGGAGGGGGAAGGCAGTGGGTGGGCGGAGGGGGGAGGAAGTAGGTGAGGTATTTGCCGTAGGGCCTATTTCAATGTCAGTCGATTTGCCAGATTCCCTCAACTGAGAGACGGGGTTCAAAAGTATATACGCACCAGCGAGTGTCGTCGACGAAGAACGCCCGATTTTCCTTCAAAGCCAGCCCATAACTCATCCACAGCCTCATCAACGTAGTCCCCATCCCCGCGTCCGTCGTCTCCATCACGTACGTCAAACTCCGCTCACACACCTTCATCTCCTCCTCCTTCTGTGGCCTCTTCGCAACCATATCCTCATCATCGACAAATCCCTTCGGCCTCCCATTTGCCTTCGAAGATGGTAGTAACCCCTGCTCCTCCGCCTCTGCCACGTCCATGAAATACTGATCCTTGGTGTAATACCCCAACATCCTCTTGACCATGGAATTGGACGCCCTCCCCTCCTGACGCAACTGCTTCGACAGCTCCATCGATTGCTGGCAAATCTCCTGATAATGCGCCGGACGCAGGGGGAATCCGTAACTGGGAGGGATCGAAACCGTCCATTTCGGATTACCCTTGACGTCCTGCACTATGATCGCCGAAGGTTCTTGGGGTAGGGAATTCCCTCCTACCATTTCCCACTCGTCGCTACTTTCGAAGTCCAGCCCCTGCGATGTGCGCCGCTCCGACATCAGATGTAGCACCAGCCACAGCGCCAACGCCGTCCCTACTATCACCAGTACTGACCTCTTCACAAGTCCCGAATGAGAGCATGAGGGCTGCTTCTTCCCATGTCTCGGTATCAGGCTCGGCAGACTGGGCGACAGCGGTCCCGGCGGCGAGAGCAGTCCCCGTCGTGAGGCGGCGGTGGGGGAGAGGAGGGAGGCGGAATGGACAGGAGGGGAGAGCTGGGAGTAGGCGGTTGCGGTGACGGAGAGGTTTGGGTTCCGTCTTGCGTGCATCTTTTTGGTCGTGTTGAGGAGCATAGCGAGGGGGGAAGATGTTTCGATATCGATTTCGTCTGTGTCTCTGGTAGGAAGTTGGTCGTGGCCGTAACTCTAAAGCTGGGTCTCCAAGCCAGAGGCCTCTCCTTTCACTCAGTTGCTAAGTAAGTCTTGAGAGGGAACCTGTTCCCGCAGGTTCCTCCAACCGTGAACTCCAAATATCGATTCAGAAACAGAAGACAACCCAATTCCTCTCAAGCAAGGAGGTGCCTCAGGCTCTTTTCCTTGCAAAACGTCGTCGTCCCGCGAACTCGAATGGCACCAACAATGATGCTAAAGGGAAGGAAACAGCCTCATCTACGTAGTAAGTGAAAGCGAATGAAGAATGGACGATCACTCCGCCGATCTCCGACCAACAAGCCAGACTGTCGTTAATATATCTGGGCCTGCAGCAGGCGAAAAGGCAGGATGAAAAGGGAATTCGCAGCCGTGACCCCGTTTCAAACGGAGCGCAATTCCCCCCCTCAAAAAGGCAGGCAAGGAGGAATGATGGCAGTCCGAGGGAGATGACGGGAGCGCGCCCGGGGGGGCGTCAGAGCTGGATTCCGATTCCGAATCCCAAGGGGTCTCCCTCACGGTCCTCCTGATAGTATGTGTGTCGTCAATTCGTCAATCCGTCATACCTAAAATGTCTTCCCTTCCTAAATCGGCGGCCATGGAGAAGGAGTCGAACGGGATAATAATCTATCAAAAAAGAGAAGAAGACAACTCCATATTGCACCGCATATGCGTCCACTTGCCGCCACCCCCTCGGGCATGTCCACGTCGCAGAATGTGAGGGGCCCAGGATCTGAAACACATGCTGGTCGTGCACGGACGACCCCGGGCCTGGGCGCCCCCAGGGAGCCCTCCTCCCTCTTACGGCTTAGTGTAAACCCCATTCCTTCCGATGTGAATACACACTAGAGTGAGCGCCACTCTGATTGGGTGACGGGGTGCGTCGTGGTAAGGGCTTGCATAGGTGTTGCCCACCACTGAAGGTGGTACCTAGGAAAAAAGACGAAGACCGGATTGAATGAAATCTTTTATATAGCGTGATAGATGTGACCGACCAGCTTGAATGGGTGAATCATATGGCCTCGTTCCCATTCCTCTATTCATTCTACCCCCTTTCCAACCTTCCTTCCGCCCTGTAGATATGCCTCGTGCCTATTAATACGAATAAGAAGGGAAAGAGGATGAGTAGAAACGTAAGCAAAAAGCCAACTGAAAAGAAAAGACAAGAGACAAAAGCTGGGTATCAAGTCGAAACTCTGCCTCGCAAAAACCTCAAAACTATAGTCACAAAAGTCCACTTCCCGCTCCTCGCTTTAGATCATCTCCACAGCCCATGAACGCCCGTGATTCCCGTGAATGGATGGTGTGGAAATGGAAGAGGGATGCTTCTTCGTCGTCTGCGTCTTGAATCCCTGTACAGAGAGTCTTTGTACAAAACCGTCGGGGTCCAAGGTAGTCGTGACCGCAATGCCAATCGCCCTATCCAACTCCGATAGCCACTCATCCAAACTGTCACTCCTATCCAGATACTCGAGTGGCATCTCATCATCTGGCGCCACCTGCAGCAACTAAAATCTCTCCAGCCCTCATCCCCTCTGCTCACTGACGAGCCTCAGGCTATTGCTCCTCCTCCTCGCATTCGCGTCCACGCGTCCCGAGATCATCTCATCGAGCATTCGCGTCACATCATCCAGGTCCCGCTCGCTCTTCGACGTGTGCGACAGATGCTGCTCTCTCGAACTGACACTAACCGGGCTCGATGTCTTTACCTTGGCGCTTGAACTCCCGCTGCCCACGCTACGCTGATGCGATACGCGTCGACTGCCAGAGGGACCATCCGTGCTGATAGCCACGCCGACTTCGTGTGCCGTTTCGCTCTTCTTCCTCGCCGACGTGAGTGCTGCGATCATCTTCTCTTTATCTTCGAGTTGTGCTCGCAGACTGAGGATCTCCGCGTCCTTCTCCGCAATGGTGGCGATGAGGCCGCCGTCTTCGCTACTGCCCGCAAGTTTTTGGGAGAGCGACATGGACACCCGGGAATGGCTGGAGCGTCGGGCGTGCAGGAGTCGCTTCTCCAGGGTGCTGATGTAGCGATTCTTGTCCGCGAGGTCGGCCTGCAGCGCTTGGATTTGGGCTGCCTGGCTGGCGCTCCCGTCTCCATTCTCGCCTACCGAATCGTCTTCCTCAGACCCATCGAGTGGAGGGCTTTGGAAAGGCGTCTGGGACGCCGGTACATCCAGCGTGGCAGACGAGCGCGCAGAGCGCAATTGGAACCTGTCTCCGTTGCTGAGGACCGAGTGGCGACTGTGGCTCATGGACGAGAACGACCTTCCGTTGTTGACACCGATGGACTTGGAACTCAGAATGAGTCTGTTGAGGTGCTCAATGCGCTCTTTCAACGCAGTACGTGCTAGCTGCATCTCGAGCATTTGCTCCTCGTGACGCTGCCTGTCCTCGAGTTCGCGCGCCTTTTCCTCTTCCTCGTCCCTTTCTCGCTCCTCCTTCTCCTCCTTGACCTCTTTCGCCTTGTTCTGTTCCTCGAGCTGTTTGCGCAGCTCTTGGATCTCAATGCGATACCGCTCCAATAATGCGCGGCTTCCTGCATCTGCGCCAGCTCCAAGCGACTCATCCGCCTTCTTCGCATGACTGACAATGTTGTTCTTTGCCCGCGATGCAAACTTGAGCGTGTTCAGCGTCTCGCCCGCGTGGCTGTTGGCTGCTGCGCTACTTCCGCTGGCTCCAATCTGGATGGTGCACAGGATGCTGACCAGCGAATTCCCCGACAGCGCTGGCTGCAGTAAACGCGTGAGTTTACTGTCCCGGTACGGGAGATGCTTGTCTTTGCCTCCCTTCTCTTTATCCCCGGCAGCCTTCTCCTTCTCGCTGGACAGCCGAGCAATGACGGTTCCAAGCGTAAGCAAGCTCTTGTTGATGTGAGACCCCTCGGTACGCCTCTCTTTGTCATCGGCCGCTTTCTCAGATCCGGCCAAATCGATCAGACTCAATGTCGACACCCGAACGCCTCCGGGGACTATGGCTGAGCGCTTGTTCTCTTGTACCGAAGACCCCCCCGAGCCACGCGCTCGACTCTCCACGACAATCTGAACAACCGCATGGCTTCGAGAACTGCGCGCGTTGAACTGAGTCCCTGCGACCCTTCTGGCGTTATCACCACGGGCAATTACCCTCAGCAACTGCGTGGGGCTCTGCACAATCTCCTCTTTCAGGGGTGTCGCGTACACGCCACGCTTACTGTCCTCCCTCAGCTTGATCTCCTCTTGGGGGCCTGGCTGTCCATTCGCACTTGCGACTGGTCCGGCCAGGAGATCGTGAATCTTCTCGTTGTAGATCTCCAGGTAGCTGACTCGCAGCAGAAACTCCCGATGCGGCGTTTCGCGAATGTAGGAGAAGATATCGGTGATGGCCAAGGGGATCACACCGGGATTGGTAGCAGTGCCTTGCATCGAGAATGTCTTGCCCGTCCCCGTCATACCATATGCGAATACGGTTCCATGGTAGCCCTCCATGACCCGCCGGACCAGCCTCTTAGCAGCAGCATCGTACACGCGGGCATTGTTGTCCTGAGCGTCAAAGACATTGTCTATATGGATCAGTCAGTCTGAAGTCAGGATCATGCCGCCCGCTGTGTAATCTCACCGTACAAGTACTCTCCGCCCTCACGGCCTCTGTATGCAATAATGGAGCGTTTGCTGTCGACCTCCCAGTCAAGGTTCGGTTTGCTGTCTTTGACGATGTCCGGTCGGACTCGTACGCTGACAATCACATTGCCTTTACCATCTTTCTGCGTCGTATTGCCGTCAGCCTTGCCATCTACCCGAGCCCGAGCCTCATCATCTGCATCTTCAATGGTAGTTGTGCTGGTAGCGTAGGAGCCTTGTGCGGAAGAGTTCCTGCTCTGTGGAGGTGAGGGTAAGCTGAGATGACTCGTGTTTGCGACCGAGGCTGACTCTCCACTGCCATTTAGGAAGCTCGGTGAGTTAAGAGGCGGCTTGCCCAGGAGTCCTCGACCTCCTACACTTGACGCCCGGGGGACTGCCTTCTTGAGACTGCCCTGCCTGGACGGGATGGCCACCTTTGACACTGAGGCCAGCCTCTGGTCCAACGACACGGTGTCAGGCGTTGAGCTCGCCGACAATGGACTGGGAGGATGGCTTGTAGACCTATTCCCATGCTTTGGTGGCTGCGGAAAGGCACCAATGCTAACGGTCTTTCGTAGTGTCCGTCCCGGTGGCAACGGGCCGGCCGGAGTGTCGGCGCCGGTTAGAGTGGGTATGGTGGAGGACGAACTCGAGTGTGCTTTTGTGGTTTGTCGCTGGGGCAATGCCGATGACGAAAGGGTCCGAGATGCAGTGGCAGGAGAGGGCAGCGATGAGGAGGGCAATCTAGGAGAGGAGGTGACATTGGACGCTCGCGATTTGGGGACGGGTAGAGACGGGAGGGGGCCGGTGGGAGGGGCGACTGAGGGCCGCGAGGGGCGCGGTAGGGTGGTGGTGCTCATGATGGGGTTGTGTTGGGGCGCATGCAATGGAGGTATGACGCAAGAATGCGGACCTGTATAAGAGTCTTGGACTCGTCGCTCTCAGACTCGTTTCTGCCGAACCTACGGTGCGGCACTCATTCTCCCCAGGCTCTCGTCTGGACGCGCGGTCAAACTGAAAGCGGCCGGAGTGGAAGCAGCTCGGGATTGCTTGTTCCGGGAGCGATTCTCTGACAGCTGGTGAGCGCCGCAGTGTCAGCTCGGTGGGGAGGTCCCTGCGATGCGCCTGTGAGGGCGGGTATCACGTGTGTGGTAGAGGGGAGGGTGCGGGAGGGTGCAGCTTGAGGAGGGCAGGGTGCCCCAGAGTTGAGCTCGAGTCGCGGCGAACAGGTGGAGAGGCCGTGATGGTCGACGCTGGTGGGTGCAATGCGGAGGGCGTCGATATTTCTCGTAGTTTCGCGTCCGTGGACGCGTATGGCGACAAAAGTGAATTGGGAGAACAAGGCGCGCGGTGGAGAGAGGGAAGCAAAGAAGGACGTCGTGGGGAGGAGGAAGGGTGGTGGTGCAAACGATAGTGCAGGGGCCACAGAAGCAACGGGCCATGGACGAGGGGCCGCGATCAATTGATACGACGGGGAAGCAGGGAGCAGGGACTCTGTTCGTAAGTAGGCTAGAGAAAAGGCAGGGTGCAAAAAGGGGTCACGGCAGCCGTTATTTTCTCGACGTGGAGCGTGAAGCGTGGACCACACCACCACCTGGGCATCAACAACAGGGCCTGGGGATTCGGTAATTCATCTCTTTGGCGGCGTGCTTCCGCTGCGCAGCTTGCAGATCACGGGCCCAATCAGCCGGATGACGGACTCCGTCTCGAGCACGAGAAGGACGGCCGAATTTTTTCAGGGGAAAATAATCAAAAAGAAAGAAGTTGGTTGGGGAGCCAAGCCCGGAAAAAGACTCCCCTTTTTTCGATTGGTTTTGCCCATGTTCCTCGGGCTGCTGTGAAACAGGACTGGATAGGAATATCAATGTATCATCATCATTATGTCCGCAGTACTGTACGGAGGGAGATGGTATAGTGAGGGCGTGAAGGAGGGGGAGCATTGAAGGAAATGAACTCATGTGGGTCGAGGAGGAGCAATTCACACGCAAGCCACTAGTCTGTCGTTGCCCTGACGCCAGTTGCCGTGCGCGTCTCTGGTAGGTTCTGGTAGACTGTGGCAGGACGTATTGTGTGTCGTGTGTAGCTGGAACGGTTGCTCATGCTCCTAGCATCTCATTGAGAGCCGAGTTGTGGGGTCCAATCACGTCGCCCACCTCCGCTGCTTACAGCTATCAAGGACACACAGAACCGTCTTCTTAGAAGTCCCATACGACTATAGGCTTGGAAGGAATTAGGAATTACAGTGCTGTAGTAGGTATTCCTGTTTGCCTCTCGCGACGTGCTGCCTTCACACAAAATAATGCATTATTGATGCCAAGTGCCCGGCTTGTACCCATCTGTAGTCATGCATTCCCCACCTGTCTTCAATGGTACTGTCTTAACGAGGTACAGTACAGTAATACCAACCAGTAAGCCAACAAACGTAAGTCTCATCTCCGCCGAATCCTTATTGATTGGACTGCTTGTAAGTCTACCAACCTGTACACCTTGTTCCTTTCCCCGTCTCTTTCCGTGCCGGCCTATTCACTGCCTCCTCTCAGGATCGCCCCAGCCAAAGTATTTCTTGCCAACATATGTGCTCAGACCCCACTGAAAAAAGAAGAGTCCAAACTCAATAGCCAAGCCCACCCCTTCGAAGAATACCAGTCTGGAAAGCAGAGTGCATGCCCATCGCATGTCCATCGAACGTAGCTCGGCCAGAGGATCGAGAAGCCGGTACCGCCCAAGTCTAGTTGAAGAAACATGGCCTCCAGGAGCCAACAGATAGTGTCCAGCAACCAAACGATACATCACCACGTCGAGCGGAAGTTCCGCCAGCCTGCCCACAAATTTGGCACAGATGGTGACCGCCGTACTTGCTGGCAGCATCGAAAGCGGCGTAATCCGACAAGTCGTCCATTCACCTCGTACAGCAGAACGACCAGGACGAGCCAACTGGCCGACCGCTTCTTCCAGTGACTCAAGTGGCTGAAGGTTTGTTACAACGGTACCGGAAACTTCAACTTCTCCAGGATGCCGTTCGCGCACCTGTATCACGTGGTGGTTGCTTCTCCACCCAAGCACACCGAAGATCCTGTTGCTCGCATGTAGTAACGTGCGATGAGCCCACGTACAACGGGACGCGTTTACACGGATATGGCGGACCAATTGGCGCTTCGGGGCGTTGCTTGCCGGAGAGTCAATCGTTGCCAACAGGGGCCAAAATGCTGTGTGCTGCACCCACGTAGTCCATAGAGTGATTAAAAAAGCCCAGGGGGCAGGCCATACCAGCACAGCTTTGGCAAGCCGTAGGAACGTGGGCTTGGAAAAATGGACTTCCGAGGGCAAAGAGGATAAAAGGCTCGTGCATTGGGGAACAGCATCCCAGAAGGACGCCATCGTGGTAGGTAGAAGGCCAAGTCTTTGTAGGCTTTCACGGTACCAGAATGAATAGTAAACCGGGTACTCGGCTGCTTTCGCCCTACTTTGATTAGCTTTCCTCGACTTGGGCATCGATGACAACTCACATGTAAAGGAGTATGCAACTGAACCGGCCTACCCAAATTCTGGTGGCCCGAGAAAAACCCGTCGCCCGCAGTATGCGCTCAAGTGTGCTAGACTTCTCCAGAGAGGTAACCACATAGCCCACTAGAGCGGAAAGGATTCGAAGATCCATTCCTGCATAGAAGATGCTGAGCCCAGAGAGCCGGCATTCGGAGGCAAGAATCTCCGCAATGGTCATGGAACTTGGGAAGTCAAATGCGCATAGGCGAGCAACGATATTACCAAGCCACCACCTCGATAGCACACTACCCTGGTTGAAAGCGCGCTCTAGCCAATACCAGTACTTGTCCTCGAGTTCGATCCGTTTATGATATTCATCGGATGGCCCTGGAAGCTTCTCGGACGGTGGCAGGTACTTCTCCACCACCCCAGTGGCTGCCGTGATCTCATTGAGGGCATGTCGGGATTTCCTCGCAAATTCTTTCGCAAGAGGGTTGATAGGGTGCCCACGCTCATCGTAAATCTGGATATAGCGACCGTCGTCCGGATGCAGGATATGTTGGGGTATCTCCTCTCCTTCGGCGATCTGGAAATAATGGGCGGTCCGAGTGATTGAGGGGGTGTTGAGAAATGGAGACCGTCCCTACGAACAACAGTTAGAGCGAGGTCCAGGTGCTATGTTGAGGTTATACACACCAGTCCGATGCGAGTTAAAAACGGCTCGCGGGGCATGGCGGTCGGTCTGGTCGGTCTACCGCCCCGGTGGGTGACGGCAGTGTATGGAGAATGTTGGGAATCCTTTCATGTTGGCCCGCGTAACGAGTAACTGGACAACAGAAAAGAACCCTCCGCCAGCAGGTGCTAATGTCAGGAGCAGAGCAGGTGGTTGGTGTGTGGATGGGTAGTCGAGGGGAGCAGTTGCGATAGCCTGAGCTTGGACCCGTTAAAGCCCTAATCGATAAGACACTGGTCCGAGCGTCAAAATTTCCGTTTCCACCGAGATGCAACAGAGTGATTACACAGTAGAGCCACCTTTCCTCTTTCTATACACATTCAAAATGGCGCAGCGAGCGGCTGTAAAGACTACATATGCGGTAGATCGTACCATTCAACCGATATATTCTGGAGGAAGCGTTACGCTGAGTGGGAATGGCCGCATCCTGGCCGCTTGCGTCGGCGAAGATGCCGTGCTCACAGACTTGACCACAGGAGGGGAATTGGCAAGAATTGAAGGAGTACGGTGCGACTTCTCCAGCTGTTCTTTATATACTAACAATTCCGCAGGACGGAGAGGCCATCACAGCCCTTGCAATCACGCCGTCTGCCTCCCATCTAATCGTCTGTTCTCGGTCGCTTTCGATGCACATATACTCCCTCGTGCTATCCAAATCAGAGCCAGGTGCTGTTGAATTGGAGCATCTGAAGACGTTGAAGCCACATACTACGCCCGTCGTATCTCTGAAGGTGGATGAGACTGGGACTCTCGTCGCTACTGGTGGCGCCGACGGCACAGTCAAGGTCTGGGATATTCAAGCAGGTTACTTTACGCATACCTTCCATGGGCACGGTGGCGTAGTATCTGCCCTCTCGTTCTTTCAGGTCGAAGTTACGCGAAGAGAAGGTGGCGGCAATGGCAAGAAGAGGAAACGGAGCAAATCCAGGGTAGAAGAGCAAAATGGTGTGGAGGAGGGAGAAAAGGTGCTGGAGTATCGTCTCGCATCCGGTGCAGAAGACGGAAAGATACGCATATGGGATCTTCATAAAAAGAAAAGCGCCGCCGTTCTGGATTCTCACGTTTCTGTTGTCCGGTCGCTGGACTTCAACCTAGCACAGAATACACTGGTGTCTGGAAGCAGGGATAAGACTCTCATTATGTGGGATGCCCGGACATGGAAAGTAAAGCGGACACTCGCCGCCTTGGAGGGCATTGAAAGCGCCGGATTTATCTGCGACGGCCAGATTATCTATGCAGGAGGCGAGAACGGCTGCATAAGACTGTGGGCAACTGCTACTGGGGTCGAACTGACGAAAGAGCAACCAGCAGGTCTAGAGACGGATGCTATTGTCGACATACTATCTCATGCAGATCTCTCCTATCTTATATCCGTCCATGCCGATCAGGTACTGAAGTACCACTCGCTGAAACCTTTGGATTCCCTTTTGGTGGAGGACAAGATCGATCCGCTCCCCGTTTTTAGGCGAGTATCAGGAACCCATGACGAAGTCATTGACCTGGCTTATGTGGGCTCCGACAAATCGCTCCTTGCACTGAACACCAATTCTGAGGACGTACGAATCGTATCATTGGAGGCATCCGACGCTGGTTCGGATGAAGGCAAGTATTTTGGCGCCGATGTAGCCTTGCTGAAGGGCCATGAAGATATCATCATTTGTCTGGACGTTGACTGGTCTGGGCACTGGCTTGCAACAGGCGCCAAAGATAACACTGCTCGACTGTGGCGGCTTGACCCCGAGAATAGCTCATACACATGTCATGCAGTGTTGACAGGCCACGCGGAGTCCCTTGGAGCTATAGCACTCCCGCACAAGGTTCCTCCTGAGGGCTCCCAGGCGCATACAGATCCCCTATCTCATCCTCCTCAATACCTGGTGACGGGATCTCAAGATAGGACCGTCAAACGCTGGGACATCACCAAGGATGCGAAGGGAAAACTCCGAGCTAAATACACCCGCAAAGCCCACGACAAGGACATCAACGCCCTCGACATCGACCCCTCCGGCACCCTTTTCGCCTCCGCTTCCCAAGATCGCACAGTCAAGATCTATTCCGCCGCAGAAGGCGAAGCAATAGGCGTCCTCCGCGGACACCGCCGCGGAGTCTGGACGGTCAAATTCGCACCCAAGGAATCGCAAGTCCCAGGGTCCAGCAGCAAAGGCCTCATCGCAACAGGCAGCGGCGACAAAACCGTCAAAATTTGGAATCTCTCCGACTACAGCTGCCTCCTCACCCTCGAAGGCCACTCCAACAGCGTCCTGAAACTCGCATGGCTTCCCTACCGCCCCGTTGACACCCGGGATAGACGGGGTCCCCAAATCGCCTCCGCTGCTGGCGACGGCCTCGTCAAGATCTGGGATACCTGTTCAGGAGAAGCAATGACTACGTTGGATAACCACACCGATCGTGTCTGGGCTCTCGCCGCTAACCCGACAACCGGCGCGCTTATCTCCGGCGGCGGCGACAGCGTCATCACTTTCTGGAAGGACACTACTTCATCCACGCTCGAAGCCGTCACCACGGCAGAAACGCAGCGCGTGGAACTCGAGCAGAAACTCGAAAATTACACATACGCGGGTAACTACCGCGAGGCCATCACCCTAGCCATCCAAATGGACCAACCAGGTCGCCTCTTCGCGTTGTTCAAATCCGTCGTCGAGACGGAGAACCCCGATGAGGGAAGTCTCATGGGCTTGAAACGCGTGGATGAGGTTCTAGCGACGCTGTCGGACGAACAGTTGTACACGCTCCTCCTCCGCCTACGCGACTGGAACACGAATGCTCGGACTTCTCCCATTGCACAGAAAATCCTGAATGCGCTTGTGAAGTCGTATCCGGTCTCTAGGTTGACGGGACTGAGGCCGAAGGGCAGGGTGGGCGCGAAGGGAAGTTTGAAAGAGGTGCTCGCGGGGCTGATAGCGTATTCGGAGAGGCATTTTAAGAGGGTGGAGGAGTTGGTTGATGAGAGTTATTTGTTGGAGTTTACGTTGAGGGAGATGGATGAGGTTTTTGGGGGGAAGGGGGTGGGTATGGGTGTGGAGGGGAGGGAGGTGGTCATGGTGGATCGGTAGGGGTTTGGTGGGAAGAGGTGAAAGGAAAATGTGGGGGAGAGACATGTAGAGGAGAGGAGGATATACCCGTAGCTGTGTTGTATAAAAGAATTTTTTTCAGGGATAAGCTGGAGAAATTACTATGTCTAGACGTTGCATATTACAGACAAAATCGCACTGCTGGAAATGTTCAACAATCCACCACAGAAGCTGACTTGGCTTGGTCGAAGAAACAAGCAAGGCGTGAGGACGACTGTATCGGAAGTCTAGGGAGATCAAATAGACGCGACGAACACCAACACTCCGACTGCAAATATGAAAGTAGTTTATAATATAACCCCATGACCTCGACCTACCCTAGACATTAAGAGAAAAATGAAGACGAAGAAAAAAAATCGGTATTATGCACAAATCACCACCGTCCTCTACTGCTAAATCCAGGTACGTCTTCCAAAGAGAACTCAACAACTGACATCGACAACGCCTATCAGCCCATAATCTCAAGAGTCAGATAGCGCAACCGACTTCTCCTTCCTCCATCTCCTCGTCCTCCTCTATCAGCTCGAGATCGGACTACGATCTCTGATGTCCCCCACCGTTCCCTCCCGGCCCAGACGAAGCCGGCCCGTGATTCCCATGATTCTCAAACAAGTCTTCTAGATACGCACTCGGCGCCCTACCCCCCGCCACGCTCGTTCCTCCTGGGACATTCAAACTCAGCTGACTCATATTGCCGCCGTCCTGGCCATACACACCGCGACCGCCTGGCATGGGCGGGGCCTGGTTACCCAAGGTGGCCACGCTGCCGCGGTTATACATGGAGTTGACGCCGTCGCGGCTCGGAGGTGCGCGGTCGTAGCCACGGCTAGGAGGCAGGCTCGGGGAGCCAGGAGGGGATACACCGCTGCGGTGGGAGAAGCGGTTTCCGGGTGTCGCGAGCGAGTGTATGGATAGGTGGGAGCCGTGACCGCCGACGTGCATGACGGGCGAGCCGGAGGCGGCTTGTGCGTTCCCCGAGGGGTAGTAGCCCGCGGGGAGGTAATTTGAAGAGCGGTTGACGGAGTCGCGAGACGTAGCGCCGGCGGCTGTAGGGGAGAAGAAGAGAGACGAGTTGTTCCTGGGAGGGGTGCCGGAGGTGGGGGATGCGAATGGTTTGGGCGGTCTGGATGTGCCTGTTGGGGCGGCGGAGAGGCGGTCCAAGGACATGTTGGAGTTGGCACCGACGACGTTGTACATTCCGCGCTTCTTGCCGGGGACGGCCGTCATGGCCTTTATGTCGGCCATGTTCTGTACATGGGCGGCGCGCTTCACGGAACGGTGGAGAGACCACGCAACGAGGCCTCGCCATGCGAGAATTGCAGCCCCGAAGAATCCCAACGCAGCGCCTACGCAGATGAAGACCGTTCCGTCTGGGAGAGACGACTTCTGCATGTAGGGCGCTGCTTTGGTATCCGGCACCACCATATCGGGGACGCCCACGCCAGCGAGTGTCGGCATATTTGACGGACGCTTGATACTTGTGGGCGGTCCATTCTGGGCTGCGGTAGGCTCGGTGCTGGTCGTGGCGGGTGCTGATGTGGAGACTGGAACTACGATGGGCGGCTTATTGTCTTGCTTTGTGGTTGTCGCTGCCGGCTGGTCTTGCTTTTGCGTCTCTGGCGGCTTCTCGTCCTTATTTGTGGTTGTTTGCGGTCCGTTCGGCGCTGGTACCGTCGTCTTCGCATCTGGTCGATCCTGTGCCTGTGCGAGGACGTTGGGCGCGAGAAGTAGGACGAGGCCTACGAGGCCTAATGAGGGTCGCATGGTGTGATATTACTGTATGATGTGGATATCTGAAAATATTATGACTGCTTGATCCGAAAGGACTAGAAATGACGTAGAAATGGACGAGGCGGTAGTCGTTGGTTTCAGTCGATATGCCGCGTCTCAAAGTGAATGATGGTTAAAGGCGACGAGTGGGTATGGTCAGAAGCGTCGTCGACGGCGTACCAAAGGGCAGCAAACAGCTGAAACGAGTGACAGAATAGCCAGGGATATGTCGGCGTGGAATGTACCGGGTCGTAAATATCGGACAAGTGAATGGACTGCCTGGATGCGTTGGTCTATTTCGACGCGCTGTCGAGGGGTCGTGAATCGGTTGAACGGGGAGCCTGGAATCTACAGATAGCTGATGCTCGGTAATATGCAGTACATCCCCAAAGCAAAGTCCGGTATGAAAAGTGTAGCACGTTCTGGATGCAGGGACGTCTGCGAGAGGGAGGGATGCAGCGGGTGGTGGGTTCCTGCTGTGCCCTGGTGGAATCGGTAGGGAGGCGCTGCGGGTAGCCATCAAGGCACGGACTTCTGATCCAAGAATATAACATGTTTGAGGTTAGCGTTGCCAGGGGAAGCGACGGGGTCCGACACTTTCTCCGAAGAGCGGGACGTCGAAATCTTGGCAGATAATACTCCACCAAAAAGTTCCCGCAGAGTACCGTCCACACGCCACACATAACCCGTCTGCATCATGGGTGTCGCAAAGAAGACGCGCAAGTTCGCCGCCGTCAAGCGCGTTATTGGTATGTTCTTCTCTTTTCAATGGTGTCTGCACTGCAAAATCCGTCTTGGTAGACTGCATCTTACCATACCTCATCAACCATCAAGCATCCAAACATCCCACCAGCATACTGACTATACCCCTCAGGCCAGCGCGATGCCCGCCTCAAAAAAAACCAAACCCTAGGCAGCGAAGTTGCCAAACAAAAAGAAGCCGCCGAGCGCCCCATCCGTGAGATCCCACAAGTTCCGTCCCACCTCTTCTTCCAGGCGAACACCAGTCTTGTGCCTCCATACCAGGTCCTCGTTGATACAAACTTTCTGTCACAGTATGAATTCCTCCTATATCATACATGAACCTCTTGCTGACGAGGGTCTCCCAGCACCGTGCGCGCAAAACTCGACCTCCAACCCGCCCTCATGGACTGCCTCCTCGCCAAAGCCCAGCCCATCATCACCAGTGCGTGCCCAACACTTCACAACCTCCTTAAGTCTCCTTCTAACAGAGACCAGGCTGCGTAATGAGCGAGCTCGAGAAACTCGGCCAGAAATACCGCATCGCCCTGCAGATCGCCCGCAACGAAGCCTGGACGCGCCTGAAGTGCGACCACAAAGGCACATATGCAGACGACTGCATCGTAGATCGCGTCATGAAGGATAGGATCTACCTCGTAGCGACCAACGATAGGGACTTGAAGAGGAGGATCCGCAAGATCCCCGGTGTACCGCTGATTTCGGTGGCGAGGGGCAAGTATGTGATTGAGAGGTTGCCGGATGCGCCGAATAGTTTGTAGCGGGGGAAGACTGTTTGAATTGCATAGCGACGGCGTTTATAGGGATGCATGTTCATGGTAAATGGGGCAATGGGCTCGGGCTTGGGTTTGGGTGGCTAGAGATATCTATGGGAAAACGAACGACATCGCGTAGTCTGATCTAAAATAAACGCAAAATGCTGCTCAAACTAAGAAATGAATTCTTGATCCGATCACTTACGCATCACGCCATAGAAAAAAAGGTCTTTCCAGTTGCAGGCGAAGAAAACATGGTCTTGACACACAAGTACGTGATACGAAACCTCCGACACAACAGCAACATCATTCGTCATCATATCATCATTATCGTCACCAGGGCCCATACAAGCAACAGCATGTGCAACACTCCTAATCACATCCTCCATCCAAACTACCTTCCAGCCCTCCTTCCATCCTACACTACCCCTCGTCGTACTCCTCTCACGGACGCCGCAACCGAGCGAGAACCAACGAGAAAAAGGACAAAAGAAGAGAATAAAAAGGGGGAAAGATGACTCAAAACGACAATAAGACAAGGGCAGATATACGCCGCGTGCGCGCCTCGTTATTTCTTGGAACATGGTCGTGGGCCTCGTAAAACGGTTAGCAACAGGGGAGGAAGACACAACACCCTGGTAATAACCAATAACCAAGAAAAGAGATGAAGGAATCGAAAGTAACCGTGTTACGAGCCGAAACGAGACGGTACGAAACGGGGTGAAAGACGAAAATATGGGTATTCCTCCTCGTAGACAGGTGCGCCGGTCCCCTGAAGGTATGATTGGGGATATCCAGTGCACCGCTCCTTTCCGTTCCTTTCCTTTCCCTTACTCCCTTTCTTTTCCGCAAAATAACAGAATTCATGCCTCCATGATACCTCGTATCCAAGGATCCGAAAGATTCCCCAGGATCCCAAAATCCAAAGATCCAGTTTGATGCCCAGACCCTCCAGCCATCGGGGCCAAACTCCACAATACAACCCGAGAGGCGTAAGACAGATGGGAATTGACTGGAATATAAAGAGGAATAAGATTGCCGTAGACGGACGTGAAAGCGCCACCGACCGCGTTCCCAGCTTCCGTTACTACGTGCGGGAAAGCCGGCATACCATATGCGAGCAGGGTATGGTTTGTAGGCCCGCACTACGGTAGCCAGAAGGAGAGCAGGAACTGCCCGACGAGTCGCGAGGTATACTGTGCCTGGTTGGCGTGCGAGATACTGACGTGCGACCGCATGCGTAGGAAGTCGGCTGTGGGGGGTATGGTTAGTTAGGCAGTCTTTGCCAGATCCAATAACCACTCGCAGAGACAAAGAAGGATGCCCGAGTCCTTAATGAGAGAAGGAACATAACAGGAGAAGACAAAAAGAAAAGCAACACTCACTATTCTCCCTCACCAACTGCGCCACCCTCCTCACAAACGCGACACCCCCCTCGCCCTCAAAGCCCATCTCCCCCCTCCAATCCAAGCTCTCCGCATCCCTCAGCGGATTCACTTTGCGGTTGTACTTCCAGCGGAACAATTCGTTGACGAAGTTGGTGCGAGCGTCAATCTCCCGGCACGCCTCTTCCGCCTTCTCTCTGTATATTTGCCCAATCCGGACCTCTCTTTCCCTGTCATAGGTCTGCGATGACGATGTCCGACCGTCCTGTGCGCCCCCACCACCCTGCCCATCGATCCCCGCATCCGTCCTCGCCCTCGTCTCCATGACCTGATGCACCGTCTTCTGCTGCTCCTCCGCCACCATGCAGAGCCCCAGCACGGCCACAAAGGCCGCGAGCCACTTATCGCACCCTTTACTGCTCTTGAAGATCTGCTGCAGGCGGTTCAGCACCGCGGTGAAGATGTGGCGCTGGAGCCTCGCGAAGAAGTACTTGAGTTGGCGGTTCGCCATGCGCGGCGAGGTGAATTTGCGCACGTACGACGTGGGGCCGGGATACGAGTGGAGTTTGCGCAGGGAGTCGTGCTTGGTTTCCTCGGCGATGGTGAGGGTGTGCGACATGATGAAGGTGGTGACGAGGAGCCGGTGGACTTCGCGGAGGAGTTTGGCCTGGGCGGTGTTAGTAGTGGTGATGGTGGCGGTCGTCGGGGAAGGAAATGGAGATACCCACCTCATCCTCATTCCTCATCTCCACCCTACTCATCAACCGGTACAGCTTTTGTTGGAAATCGTTATCGTCCTCCATCCAACACAGCTCCCCAAAAGCATCCAGATGCCCATCCACAATGTCACTAACGTACTTGTCATACTTCTTCTCCTCATCGCGATTCACCTGCACCATGCCCAACGCCGGAGACTCCTTCTTGACAGCCACCCTCTTATGCGTCACCGGATCCGTCTCATACTGCCATTGCACAAGCAACTCCTTGCCGTTGGGGATGAATTCGTACACCTTGACGGGCATGCGGGGCATGTGATCCTGGCCGCACGTCATGTAGATTGTGATTTCGACATTGTGCCACTGGCGGATGTGCTTGGTGACGAACTGCGTCAGGTGCTGATCGTCGTGCATCTGCATCATCAACCAGGGCAGGAAATCCTGAGCAAGCTCCGTGAGTTTGACGCGCGAGCAACCCAAGCCGCAGTCTGCGTTGGGGCGTTGGGAGCGCTTTAAGCAGCGCTCGCAGATTTCGCCGGGACCGCACTGGACGCGTGTTAATACCGGACCAAAAGTATCCCAGGGTGAGAAGGGGGAGGGAGATGGGAACCAAAATGTTTTACCTTGTCGCGCTGCAAGGCGCAGTGCCAGCATGTAACCACCTTGCGCATGTCGTGCGCTGCTTTCGCAACACCGGGAGACAAATGGGTGCCTACGATTCTGCCGCCCTTTTGACCGACGCCTTTGCCACGGCGGCGACGTTGTTGTTGTATTTCTCGCTGGAGTTCCGGCTCGGGGGAGAATTCGTTGAAGCTTCTTTCCGACGCGGATGCACTGGGTGAGAGGTTGGACTTGGTCGTGGGTATCATGAGGGCAGTGCTTGAGCTCGACGGAACTCCAGCCGTTGTTCCTGGATCCGAGGGCTGGTAGGTTGAGAGGAGGCCATCTGAGCCACCGGGACTGGGGACTGAAAGTGGACTTATGTTTGTCTGGTAAGGGGACTGGGTCTTCTGTGGGGATAGCTGTCCAACTGAGTTCCAGGCTGAAGATGGATTTGACGCAGGCGAGATGTGAGATTCGGCCAACCTTTGCTGGCCGATGAAAGATGTTGACGGACTCTGATTCACGAACGGATAAGCTCCAGGGGGTGGCGACGGTACTGTTAGTCTCAATGGGATCCCGTTTTGGTTGTGCTGTCCCCGCTGTCCCTGCTGAGCTGCTGGGACAGGAAGGCCACAGATCTCGCCTGACGATGGCGGTAAGGGGTCATTTGGGGGCAATGGGATGAATTGGGTGGGATCGGTGTTTAGCCAGTTGACGACACCGTACAGATTGTTGAAGCCCGGGTCCGTTTCGGGATCGAAAACATTGGTACCACTATTGCGGGGGATGTTGAAGTTCTGTTGCGGTCTCTGGCTTGTCCATGGATCATGGTGCGTTGGCCGGCTGGCGTAGTCCTGTCCAAAGAGCGGGCTGACCATGCCTCCGTAAGGGTAGTCCTGCGCCGGAAAGGAGGCGGCATACTGCTGGCCCTGCGGCGATACAGACGTAGTGTACGTTGGCTGACTGAGAGCTGCTGGAGGATTAGAAGATAGCTCAGACTCTGTGCCAAATACAGTACCTTGATCAAAGCTGTACAAGCCCGAGTCTGTGGCTGAAAGAGAGTCCTGTTGCGTCTGCGTAGTAGCCATAACTGGATCCTGAAGGTAGAATTCCCTCAATTGCTCAGAGTCGAGCATCTCCTCGAAGGTACTCTCATTTGGTGTCGGCACAGAAGTAGGAGACGAGTCCGACTGACTGCCGCTAGCATCGTCATAGAGCATCTGCTCGGGCCCCTGTTCGGGTGGATGCGAATTCCCACGGCTATGAGGCGGAGTGCTGAGCGGGCCAGGAGAGTACCGGGGATGGTTGATCATCGACGAGGGAGTCTTGGAACGTTGTCCATCCTCGGTGCCATAGGCGAGGTGGTCCGTCGATAGCAGAAGCTGTTGGCCATGGTCCGGATAGTAGTAGTGGCCGAAGGAGGAGGACATTGTGCATGCACCAGGTCTGTAGGACGGTCCTCACAACACAATAGTCAAAAGGCTTTCTGGAAGCTGCGCATCGGTAGGCGCCCAGGATGCCCGAGGCTAAAAACGCCTACGCCTAGTAGTGCACAGGTCTACGGGCGACTTTGGACAGCGGACAACGGTGGCTTTGGGAATGAGGGAAGAAGAGATCCAGGAGCGCGTAGGAAGGGAAACAAATGCGACGGGTCCGACAAAGCAACAGAACGGCGTCAACTCGAGTCGAGGGACGGAGTGGAAAGACGAACAATGAATGTTGTCTCAGATGCCAGCGGCTGATGGGATCAATAGGTTGAGCTGGCTGGCGCGAAGAACGGGATTGCTTCGTTGCATGCTCTCATCTCTTGTGCGCAATTCACTGCTGCACCCCCGCGACGACCGGTCAAGACCCCTGCCATCTCGTAACCAAACCTCTCGGCAACGCAGTACGACATCGATCCGGGCAGCGCACCAAACAAAAAGCATTCGACTTTTTGAAGGTGTAAAGAGAGGAAAAACGATTTCTGCACCGGTTTGCAACGCAAATGCCATGTTTCCCTTTCATCTTGAAGATATCTCTTGCAATCGACCTCTAACCAGAGTTTCATGTATCCAGCATGCCTCAGTCATCCACAAACGATGACAGCATGCACTCCGCCACGCTCGCTAAGCCGAGCTGAGCGATACAAGCACCAGGACACAAGACTTTCCATGTGCGGCAATCCATTCTGCGGCTCTGCGCATCCTCTGACCGGTTTTCTGGAGCGACATCATCACCCTTACAAACCCCCTATGCGGAGAAGCACATGGGTGCTCGAGCCACTGGTTCCAAGGTTTGGGCGGAGGGCGCCGCTGCTGAGAGATGGATGGCCAACACCTGCGTTGATATTGGCTAGCAGTAGACTAGCCCTCCTACCGAAGGCGCCATTACGTGCGGCGGTGCGGGAGTGGCGCGGCCGTTTCGGCATCAGATAGGATGGCGTTCAATCTGCCTCGCTGAGTGCCGTACAGTTGTTGTGTTTAGGCGTCCACATTATATGGGCGATGATTGCTGGTGATGGAGAAGGGGGACGATAGCAAGGGAGGCTCCGCCATGACGAAAGCCTCCCAGCTAACCATATTCGGAAACTCCATACACAAAGAGCAGCGGTAGTATAAGGGCGATAAGAGTGAGATTCGAGGTAGGGCATTTTCTGTGAAGAATTATGATTAAGTATGCAACGTATAGATCCCATTCCCGTACCAACGCCAATGGCTATGCTATCAAGGCCCAAAAACGCCATGAGGACTCCCATCCCGAAATCCCCCCTCTACACCTCCGTCTCGATTCCTCGACCTCCTCCGTCACCATGCTTGAACAACCCTTCAACCTTATTCTCCCCTCTCTCCGCAACGTGCTTCAGGTACGCCAACGTCCTAGGCGCCTTCCACTGCATGATTCCCCTATTACTCCTATGGAGCTGCTTGGCATGCTTCTTATACTCCCTGACCTGATCGATTGTGCCCCTGTTTCCATCCTTCTCTGGGTTTGGGTTTTCGTTGAGCAAGGACTTGGAAACCCCAGATTCCTCCTCTTCCCCTTCTGAGTCCGAGTCCGAAGAGGACGAGGAAGAATCAGAATCTCCACCGTCCCAGTCCATCTCGTCGTTGTCATGGCATGTATCCAACACTTCCATGACATCGCGCAAGTGATGATCCTTCTTCGCTAACTTGCCATGATAGCCCGAGAGACCAGCCCAGAACGTCATGGTCAGCTCGATCTCGCCGATCTTCTCGCCACACTCTGGAAGCGTGTTCTTCTCCGCCCTCTCCAGATCGCCCTTCCATACCGGCAGACGAAGCGTCTGCTCCTCATTATCTGGAATCTCGCGCAGCCACAGGACGCAGAAAGCAGGCGTGCGATCGCGGAGCGCCGAGTCTTTGCGGAACTCGATAACCAAGGGCGAGGCATATCGTTGGTGGACTGGAAGACGTAGAGCGCCACGCTTGGCCTTCCAAACGACATGGCCGTCATGTTGGTTGAGCTCGCCATCCTCACGCCCCGAATGTAGCTTCCCTCTTGCGAGGTTCGTCCTGATCTTCATTCTCATTCTCTTGAGATCGTCAGGTACATCAATGGCCTTAACAAGGGGGTTAATGTCCAGCGTTCCATATTGCCAGCCCAGCATCTTCTTTGGCGCCTGTAGTTGTACGGAGCGGAAGACGAGGGAGATGCGAGCTCGGCCATATCCGACCCCACCAGACAGAGGGTAGCTTGCATCAATTTGACTGCGGTCGGCGAACAGCTTCTGCAGGGGGAGGTAGATGACCCCCAGCAGCGGGTCATCCTCGTGCGGGCGTGCATCTCTGACCGAGATGTGCAACTCGGCACTTTCGAGGTCGGGGATGAAGCGCTCACAGCCTGCATTAAAGAATGGCTTGGAGTTCTTGGGCTTCGTCCGCGTCTTGAAAACTTTCTGGTGGTTCAGAATGACAGTGCAGTAGGCTGAAGGCAGGTCGTCCTAGGGCATCGAGGTTAGATTAGACCAGGCCCACGTTGAATATGGATCACTTACTCCTTCCTCTTCTTCGTCGCTAGCGCTATCGTTCTTTGATGCTTTCTTCTTGTTGAGCGCTTCAAGCTCGAGACCGGTGATCTGGTGAATCTGGATGCTCAGGATGCCTGAACGGTATTCCTTCGAAGGCGGGGACGCAATGATCAACTGATCTTGACGCTCCTAGAAATAGTTAGCACTCCTATCCTCCGGCAAACGCGCATTTACGCAATCCGGTGATAGAAACAAACCTTAAGATCCTGCGCCTTCTGCTGCTCAATCTCATCACTCTCGTCCTTGCTTGCCTCCCTCAACTTATTCTCAGCATCCTTATACACCTTATCCTTCAACTGTTGCATATTCTTAATGTCGGGATCCTCCTCTTGAGCCGCAAGCTGGTCGTCTGTGATCCGCGTCTTAGAGAAATAACCCACGCTCCACTCGAGCTTCCCAGGCATCCCCTCGCCTGCCTTGAGAGATTTGAAACCGTCTTGGCGATGAGCTACCCTTCCATTGGTGTCTTTCCCTTTCATAACACCCTTGAGATCTAACTCGATACGTCCCAAGTCATCATCGGCAGTGGTGCGGTCGGAATCCCACAAGCTCACCCTCAGTTTCTCGTCCACATTCAACTCCTCGGGCGTCACAAGAATAAAGCACGTCTCTTCCCAATACGGCTCCATCTCGTTCTCCAAGACGCGCGTGGACCACAGCGGCTTCCCGAACTTGGCCCAACCGACGCAGACATAGGGGTCTGCAGAGCCGTTCAGGGGACCAGTGCCGCCATCACCTTGTTTGAAGTCATATGCACGCTTGATAGTGACCATCAGGACGCCTCGGGCAGTTGTGTCCTTCTTGAAGTCGGCGCCCATGAGCATATCTTTCAGATTGAGTGTTAACGACTTCGGTGCCACGTACTCAGCCATGGCAGCATCGACAGAGGATTGCACGAAGCGGGATATCAAGGGAAGATCCATAAGGTTCGGCATCTGTTTGAGGAGAGGAACACAGGACAAGCTGACTTTCGGTTGGCCCAGCAAGGTCAAAGTGCAGAGGGAGAAGAAGGGCGGATCGGGTGTAAGCTGTAGGCGCAGGCGCATTACGCCAACAATACCGTGGAGTTCAACCCATACAGCTGGCTGGGTTAGCTTTGTTCTAACTACCGTAAATGTGTAATGCTTGCGCAGGAAAGGGAGGGTGGACGTACGAAGTCTGATATTGGAAGGCAAATAGAACGCCAGGTAGAGATGTGCGCTTTTCGCGCGCTCTTTGATCCTCTTCGCACCCGTCGAAGGCCGATATGCAAAGGCGATCTCCATATTGATAAAGTCGCCCTCCTCGGCTTCCATCCCTTCCGCAACCTTCTCATCTTCTCCCGGCTGGTCGCCTTTGTCGTCATTCTCCTTCGTCTCTGCGTCAACCGAGCCTTGCCCTGGCACCGTGCGATCGTTTTTCCCTTGGTCCTTTGCCTGAAGCCTACCGTCCTGCGAGACCGAGCGTGCAGCCGCGCCTGTAGGCAGCCACCGGACACCTAAGATGCGAACGGCTTCGCTTCCTTGTCCGAAATCCTCTACAGAGACCATACGGACCATTTTCGGAAGGGATGCTTGCATTACATCCTAGGCCTGTTAGACATAACATGTACATGCCGCAGAAGATGCTCACCTCTAGAGTGTCCGAGATAGCGGTAAACAGATCTGGGTTTACCAGAGGCCAGACAGAAGCAAGCAGCGAGTTCAACCACTGCGCACTCTCTGCCGTGCGGTTCTTCACCAACTTTCTTCCCTGTTGCCGCTCCGCTTGCCACACTTCTGTCTCCCATACATCCTTGATGCGATTCTCCGTATACTGACGCAAGCCGACTATGACCGCTACCGACACCGCTACGCACACAGCCACTTCGGCAAAGGTGGAGAACGTCCTCGACCATCCCTCCGTGTGACTTGTGAGCTGGAACACCGCAATGACAAGCGTCAAGCTCCCGCTAACAATACCCAATCCAGCCGTCAAGGCCTTCCGATAGATATCGGTAATCTCGTCTCTCGTCTTCTGGAACTCCGGAGGTGGAAACAAGGCATCCATTGCCGAGTATGAATCCTGCGAATACTGCTTTTCATTCTCCAATTGCTTCTCATCCTTCTCTGCATTCTCTGCCCCCGTAGCAGTTTCCGGTTCAGCACCTACGGGCGCATCATTCTTGGGCGTCATCTTCAAGTCCTTATCCGTGAAATCATGAATCTGGACTGGTAGATGTGTAATGGGATCAGTGACTTCGCGCTCCGTGCCCTCGCCCGAGAACTTCTTCATCGCCTTACGCGCCTTCTTTGGATCTTGCTCGTTGACTGGCAACCTCTCCGTCGTATCCTGCGTAGTCTCTTGTCCTTCGCCTTGTTCATCGTTTCCGTCCTTCCCACCCTGGGGATCCCTCCCCTTGCCCACCTTTCCAGCATGATCATCGGCAATCTGTTCATCTTGTACGATATTCTTGTTCTCCGCCTTATACGGCTGCGTCGTCTCGTCGGGATGCGCCGCCTCAGGTCCGTGTCTGAAGGTATTATACGCCTCGCCTAGCCTGTCCAGTTTCCCCCGATCTTCATTGTCATCATTGGGGGCACCGTATTCCGCTTCTCGCTCGTGCTTCTCTTCGCGGTATTTCTGGACCGTGGGGATGGGGTGGTGTGGCGTGTAGGGTGCTTTGTGGCTCCTTCGGCCGGTCTGTACGTCGTCGAGGCCGGACATGGTGGTGAGGGAAGGGGGGAATAGAGAGGGTGTCAAATTGAGGGTTTCTCCGTGTTTCGGTTACTTTGAGGGAGAGCAATGGCGCCTGGTTCGAGTCTACGATGTGCTAGACGTTCTTCTGCACTCCCAATCAATCGTAGGCCAAGGTGCAATCAGGTCCCAGCACAATAATGGTGTAAACCATACTAGCACTGCGTAGAGAGTGGAAGCAGCATCAAGGGGAGGTTTGAGCTCCTACGGTGCAAGATTACGTATGTGTTGCGGACGCTTCGTGGCAGGTTTTCCTGCAATGGCCAGTTTCATGCGTTGGACAACTTCCCAACTTGTCCGTTGTCCATTCAGTCTGGGCGACTTCTCAAGGCCACTGGCCCTGGCGAGTGCCGATTGTTCCAGGTGTGACTGCATTGCGTGTGCCGTGAAGTTGGGGGACGATGACGTAGGGTTGGAACGTTTGGAAGCTTGAGAGAGCTTGGGCCAGGTGTGTCGGGGGAGCATCACGTGCAGGGTAAATTCAAACCACTGCAGATGTACAATTGATGTTCACTACCAGAGTACCGTGCAAAAGGTATGGGGCTGGACTCAAGTTTTCGCAAAAGGAGATCTGTAAAAAGAATTCGCAATATTGGCGAAATGCTCAATCACGACAACCTTTGGAATGATTCTCTCGACTGAGACTCAGCACTTGCAACTGCTTTCCGTCCTCCAAAATTCTAGAACCCCCAGGCATCACCCTCTCCCACCTCAGCCACTCTTGACTCACCCATCCCAACCCCAGAAATTCCCCAAACCCGCGTCCCCATCTGCAGCTCGAACTCCCCAGAGCGGCAAACGGAGGCCCAACGCGCCGTTCACAAAGCTTCTCTCTGACTAACCACACCCGCCGGCGGCCGCCCTCCGACCACCACCGACCGCGCTCCAGATTAATAATCCCCACCTCTAGGCAAGCCCGCCCTTGCGCGGCTGCGCCTCAGGCAACTATGACTCCACGCCATTGCGTTTAGGCAAACAGGCGTTCAAACTATCCTATGAGAAACCCTGCGCTGCAGTCGGGTAACTAGGCGCGAGACGGGATTGGCTGGACTATTTCCTTACTAGGCCTACGTCTGGCGTCGTACTTCGCATATGCTTACCAGAAAGGCATCGCGGTGGGTTTTGGGGATTGAGAATGAGTCAATAATCAATGTTGCTCTGGAATTCGCGAAGAGGGGAGAGAGGTGATGAGTGAGTGTGAGCGGTTTCGGAGAGGGTATATATAGGGGGTGGGAAGGAGGGTGTTGAAGCATCAACATCAGCATCGATTTCGATTCTACAGTGCTATTTGGCTTTTGCTCGATAACATACTCTCAATTCAGCCTTCTCCATCTCGTCAACTCAAAGCCTCGACACTGTCATCACCATCTGAAACCTTGCAACAAACCAAAACAAACGTCATCCTCAAAAACATTCACACGAGTACCATACACATCATGTCTTCTCAAGCATCAACACCACGCACCTCCACCTCTACCCTCGCACCCCCACCCCCTTACTCTCTTCCCACAGCAAAGCCCGACAAGGCGAGGTCATCAAGTATGTCCCCTTCCCCCTCGCCTACTCCCCCGTTCTTCCTCTTATTTTTCTTCACGAACCCTCATTAACAGCTCCCCCAGCCAACGCCCCAACAGACAAGAAGTCCGCAAAGGCCGCAAAGAAGGCTACCTTCTGGACGGCCGCGGGTACGTATGCCGCTATGCGGTAGCCAAACACCGGATCCATGTTGAACCTTCGATTCTTCACCGTTGACGACGTTGCCTTTGTCCTCCGAGACCTCCCATATCAAGGGAAGGGGAAGAGAAAACACATCGACTCGTCGCATTAGACCCCATCACACGCGACTGGAGGGGTTGTGGGGGATTTCATTAAGCATATGGGGCTCGTAGCTCGGAAGCGGACGAGGAGCAAACAAGCCAACGGCAAGAAAAAAGAAAATCCCAAAAGGATGAGCAAAATGTCTTCGTAACAACCAGACGGAGCGCGGATACGCAAGGAGAACAAAACGAAATCCGGGATACGCAAGAAAGGGGAGGTTGAAATGGGGTGAAAGAGATGGATATTAATTCACGGCTTAATGATTTCGATTTCCATGTAGATAATTCCCGGCTAGAGCAGTCGTGGGACAAGAGACGTACATAATAGAGGCACCTTCACTTCCAATCATAACTGATGAGTATGCAGAATCCAACCGTATTCCCACGATTGGTATTGATGTGATGATTATATCCCTTCGCCATCCGGCGCCATGGCCGTGCAAGCCTTACGAATATCTACTCTCGTTCTCTCTCTCTCTCTCCATACCTGCCCCTCTTGCATAATCTATGCAAAGACAAAACAAACCCCCAACTGGGAAGTATCTCTAAAACGCCGCCCATGCATCATATAACACAACGCAACGCTATGCAATATCAAATCTCAAGTCTAACAGAATCTAACAAGGAAAGTCTAAGGTAAGTTGAAAGAAGTCTAGGCTAATGGACCGCAGGACAAGCATACTGCGCGCGTTGCAGCGCTTGAGAGAACATGTCCTGCATGGCAGTGTAGTGAAAGAGGATGCCGCCAAGGACGGCTACGTGCCACTAAAGAGACGTTAGGCTCGTGATCGTTTTGCAGAGGGAAAAGGACTGCGGAAAAACTCACCAAATTGTGCGAACACCCCACATAATCAAACCTGCCCGGAAACCACCGCTCGGGCACCTTGCAAGCATACAACAACGCCCCCATGAAGTACACGAGAATGCTCTTCGTTATCGGCGCGTAAAAGTAAATGGCCCAGTCCATACCTCTCGTCATGGAGAGCTGGAACACGGGGATGAAGCCGGTGAGTGCGAGTGAAACGTAAAAGAAGACGCGCAGCCAGGCCATTTCCGCTTTATTGAAGGTAGGGTGCCAGGGGAAGATCACGCCTGCGATGCCCAGACCCATGGTGGTCAGCATGTAGAACCAGCGGGAGGCGGGCTCGCAGTAAAAGGCGGCGTATTCGGTGGTGATGATGGAGGAGGCGACGAGGAAGGAGATGCCAGTGTAATCGACGCAGGCGAAGCGTTCAAGAAGGGTCTGGTGGGAGATACTATTCATCGTATGCCAGATGGTCGAGCAGATGAGACACTTGGCGGCGGCGAAGAAGAACATGGCGGCAACGAAGACGTCGGCGTTGGTGGAGAGGTGGAAGTTCACGTTGCGGGGGTAGAAGTAGAAGGCTATGGCGAGGACGAGCACGAGACCGACGGCGTGCGACCAGATGTTGAAAAATTCGTTGTGGAAGCAGACGACGGAGCGGACGCAGGACCAGGGGCCATCGGAGAAGCGGTAGCCTTTGAGGATGTGGGGGTTGATTTTCCAAGGGTCGGGAAGGTCGTGATACTGGATCAGGCCGTGTTCCTTTGCACGGGCAAGGGCTCGCTCGATGGCATGTTCGATGGTGAGCTCGAGGGTTTCGCGCGCCTTCCGCGCCTTGTCCAGTCCTTCGTCTACCACTTCTCTTGCACGCTCCAAGCCTTCGTCCACTCGCCGCCGACCGCCTGTGTAGAACTCGTGGGCTACGCTTCCGATGCCGGCGTCGCGGATCGCATAGGCTCTGGTCTCAAAGTCGGTCAAGTACGACTCCATCAGCCGTATGCCCTCCTGCACCTTCTGTTCAAACGACTCTTTGGATGCAAGCGCATCCTTGTACCTCTCCTCGAGGGTCTCGACAAACACACCGGCACGGCGCCTGCCTGCCTCAATGGCATCCTCGGAGATCTTGGAGCATGATTCGCGAACGGCGTGGAGGGTCGAGTAGGCATATTCGACACCGGCGTCGAACTTGAGGTGGCCATAGGATTCCAAGAAGTCTAAGCGACAGCCGAGCTCAGTTATGAAATTTTCGAGCTGTGTAACGCCAATTAGCCAGAGTGGTTTGGTGACGACTCGGTAAGTCAACAAGACATACCATGATCTGCACATTCTCCGAATCCACGCCCCAGGGTCTCTCATGGTTGGTGTGGTGTGAAGAATGGCGGCGGCGGGACTTTTGCTCTCGGGAAAAGGTACCGTAGCCGTTGTGGACAACGGGGTCCTCGAAGGAGGTCATGACAGCGGTACTGGAGCCACAGGACACCATGGTGGCGGGTGTATATACTGAGTACAGGCGCCGAGAGGCTGCAGGGTGCCTGGTGGCCAGACGGATTGCCAATTCAGTCTGCTTTTCTATGGTGGGGATGTCTTTTGCCAGATGATGGTGAGCGAGGGTGCACGTTCCACAAAGCCGGAAGCGGGATTGGTCGGCGCCCTAAAGCGGATGCTGTGGGCGTAATATGTGTGCAGATGCAACGGATGCGACGGATTCTAGGTGTAGAGAATGGTATGTTGAGGAGGAATAGGGACTCGAGGGTGAAATAATGACGCACGTGGAGGTTTCGGTGGGTCTGGGTACTTGCTCAGTCTTCAGAGAAGGTGTGCGCAATGCCAATACCCCTAGAAAGGGGAACGGGAACAAGGCCGATTCCCAGCCAGCGAATCAAAGCCCGCAAATGCCGCAAATTCAGGTGAATTTAAACCACCGTAGGGCTTACCTTCACCTCGGGACCAAAGTCGGCCCGGGACGCTGCATAGGAATGGTGGTTCGAACTTCGGCCAGCTCCCCAGAGGTTCGGCCTGAGGGCGCTGTGAATGGCGGTTGTGCTGGCATCTGGGCGCATAAGGGGGGCCCTCGGTCACACACACGCAAGAATGAGGGGATGAAAGGATGAAAGGTACGGAGTACTGAGTATGTAAGCCGTTTCCGGAAGCGGCATCGCTCCCCTTCCATCTTCGTCACTGTGGCCCCGGGGGTCTTGGCGTCGGGGCCATGAACTTGTTTGCAGGCGAAATACCATACTGTTCACTGTGTACTGGCCTCGGAGATTCGCGGCTGGAAGATTAGTTTTCTCATGATACTATTGTAATGCCGTCATCCCGCCCATATACGGCATTTGGGTACCTTACCGGTAAAATGGATCCTTCCTGCATAAGTTCGAAGGGCTCATGAAAAGGCTACCTACTGTGGTACTGTGTACTGCATTAAGTGCCGTCCACTCAACGTCATTGAGAGCGGAGCGCAATCTTTGGAGGGGCAGTACTACAGTATGTACAGTAGAACCATCACGATGCCCAGCAGTTCCAGACTTCCGTACCACAACCCCTTCGCTTTCCGCTCTTCACCGGAACCCATTTCTCGTTTGTGAGCAACTAGCCTCCAAGGCTGAGGCGCTCACCAAGTCTTCTTTGTACCATGTCAGCTCCCTGATCATGCGGACGGATGGCTGCGGCTCTACCCAGGTATCCGTCCATGGTTTGCTCCACGCTGCGCCTGCATTCCTCGGGTGTACTCCCGTTTGCCTCCTGTATTGGTCACCGCGTGTTTTGAAGTCCTGACCTCACCCATCCCATCCTTGCAGACGAGCCGCGCTTTCCAAGTGTAGATCATCTCAAGCAATCCACACCTCTCTTCATGCCACTTCTCCACACTTCTCCTACCGCCTGAATACACTGCTTCATATCAACCAAATCAAACAAGCAGGTTTTGCTCTAGATTCGATCACAGGTTCATGGCAGATTTCGCCGCCATCTTCTCCGCCATCGCGAGGTCGTCCTCGCTTGCCCTGAATCTGTATAAAATTGCCACTGCATCGCCACAGACGGCGGACATTATTCGGGTTGCCCAGTCGATAAACAGTTTTTCTTCGGCGTTGAAGCAAATAGCGACCTTGATTCGGGAAGACGATACCATTTATTCATCCGAAGTACGTAGCCCGATAGGTTGATAGATGAGAACAGATAAAGTTTGCTAACCGAGCATTAGGCTGGGGAAACCCTCGAAGATGTTTTGGATCAAGCGCAGGCTGTCTTGAACGAGATCGAAGCGATCATTGTAGGCAAAGGAGCCTCTGAAGATGCAGAGCATTCGAGAAAAGTTGAGGATGGCCTCAGCAAAGTCCAGTCAAAAAGGCTCCTCTATTTGCAAGCTCATCTCGATGCCTTAAGGGCCACCCTCGCAATGCTACAACAGACTCTCTACACTGCCCAAAGCATAATATGGGCTACGTATGGCTCCCTTACGTTGTACATTGACCATCCATCCTGACAACTCGCAGTGTTCGACCGGCTGTCTCCCCCCAGCAAGCCGCAGCAGCGGTCGGCAACGAAAAGACCCAACTCGAGAATGCCGTGATCGAACAGCAGATCAGCTTGCTCTTCGCCTCAAAAGTCTACCAGCCCTCTCGACCCGATGCTCGACTACTCATGGAAACAGAGAGTACGAATAGTGTGATGGTGAGAGATAGCAGCCTACCGAGTCCTGGGAACTTGCATCGCTATCAAGAGCGCTTCATTGCCAGTCTGGACATCTCCGAAACCAGTGAAGACGAGTGGCTCCCAGCGGTTTGTGGGATCGCGAAATCGCACCTAGAGCGTCTATTAGAGAGGTGGACGAGGCTGCGCCAATTCCACGAGCGGATGGAATATGAGAAGAGGAGGGAGGAATTGGAGAAGAGGGAAACCCAGCAGCCTACAGTGGAATCGGACAGCGATGAAGATGGCCAACGTGTTCGAGGAATTGGAAAAGACGGCCATTTTGCAACTCCGCTTCCTCATCGGCCGGGCAGCACACAGCCGCTCTTCTCCGAATCAACCAATCTCCCCATCCCCGTCAAGGATCCCAGATACGGCCCCACGGCACCCCTATCTCCCGCCTCCTCCTCTCCGCGAGATTCGGCCAACTCCGTTGCCCCTCCTTTATCCCCTAGAACCGACGCCTCCCACGCCGACGAGGAAACCAATCTCGAAATCCCCTGGAAGCTCTGCACCCGCCGGCACTACTGGCGCTACGTCGACTCCACCGTCACGGACAGCAACACGGACCTCCCGCCCTCGTCAGCCTTCTCGGACCGCAACGCCTGGACCGAGATCCTCGCCTCGTGGGTCTGCAAGCAAGCACTCGAGGAGGCAGGCTTGCCCTACGCGCAGGTCCAGAAGGAGCGACGGGTGGGGAGACGCACGACATTCGAGCCGTGCTTTTGCGTGCAGGCGCCGTTGACGTTTGCGCAGGTGCAGGGGTTGGTCGAGAGGACGGTGGAGTTGTACCGGAGGGGCAGACGGGGTTCGCAGTCGTCGGAGAGGGCGGAGGAACATAGGAGGGGCTCACTCAAGGAAGACAGGAGGAATGGGAGGTTAAGTCGGAGTCCAACGGAGAGGGACAGAGACAAAACGCCTCTTGCGGTGCAGCATCCATCGCCGCAGCCTCCACCGTTGGATCGATCGAGCACGTATACGTATCCGCCGCTGCATCCGAGGGCTAGTCTGGAACGCGCTGCGTCTCTTCCAGGAAAAAGCGTCCCTTCAGGTCTCCCTTCACTTCAGATCCCTCATCCCACGCCTCTACCAGGGGCTTCTCCGATGGCATCTCGAGGTGCATATTCCCAACTTCCCCCCTCGACACCCACAGTTCCAGGACCGCAACCTCCACCACAGTCACCGTACCTATCTCCTCACCATCCACCTCCCTATTCGCCGAGTTACCTTCAATCCCGCAACTCCCCAGCCGCAAAACACGCATACATTGACGCCAGTGACACCACTACTACGTCCGACTCGGACACCGCGTACCGCTCACGCGAGAGGAGGAAGCATCGATCCAGGAGCCACCGGGGCTCCAGCAGTGCGAAGAAGAGCTCCAAGGTGGACAAGGTGGCGAGTCTGGCGACCATTGGAGGGTTGGCGGCTATGTTGGACGGCATCGTCGAGATGGGTGTGTTGTAGGCTGGATGGAGTTATAATGCAGGTTCTGGGTGTTGGATAGGGTTTGATATGTCCTTCTGTTTCATGTCTGAATGGATATGAGATGAGTAAAGATTTGATATATGTAATAACGACTGTAATGAACCGTCTTTGCAGCCCCTTTTGCTTGGCACATAGATATATTCCTTAATCAACCTAACAATACCTATCTATGGTTGAATCCCAATGTGGACGGACCCATCAAGATCCGGCATCGTACGACCTCTAAAGGCTCCTCACGATGCGTGCATTCCTATCACATCCTTCCTCCACTCAACGAGGCCAATTCCTCCCTTAGGACTTGCTGGACATACACACAAGCACTGGTGCAGCTGTGCTTCCGGCCCATCGTCTCTGGAACCCCATCTTCCCCACCATTTTTTTCAAACTTCCGCTTTGCCGCTGCGCTGGGATATCACTCGCGCATCGCGCCGCGCTGGAGTAGTAGACGCAGTCAACGTTTCCCACACGTGCTGCGTAAACCAAACATCCTACTTGAAATCAACCAGCCGCAGCGCGGTACAGCCCCCATATCGACCGGCAGAAATGAACAGGCAAACGGAATGCCCTCGTCATCATCCTCCGCTTCTGTCCTCCTCCTGTTGCGGTCGCCGCCCGTCAGTACCGAGGGATCCCTCATCAATCATCTACTATTCCCCATCTCTCCCATCTCTCCATCTCTTTACCCTCCATCCTTTCAACCCTCCTCAACACCAAACCCCACCCGCACCCACAAACTGCAACCCCCGCAGCCGACCAGCACCTCGGTCTCGCCTCTCGCTGCGGCATCCTCGAGCGCGGATTCGCGGATCTGGAAACCAGGGGCGGAACCGCAGCGGCAGGGGTGGGTCCATGTTGTCTCTTTCTTGGTTTGGGTTGGTTCTGAAGCGTCGGGGGAGGAGGAAGGAGGAGGAGAAGAAGAAGGAGATGCAGAAGAAGAAGAGGGCGAGGAAGGCGAAGTGGAAGGCGATGTAGACTCCGACTCCACAGTCCCTCCCACCTGCCCCTCCACGTCCACCTCCCCCTCGACGAAATCGCTCAAATCCCAGACCTCCAGGCCGAGCACGAAATCCTCATCCACATCCCCATCACCATCCTCTTCCCGCTCCCTGCCCCCTCCTCCTCTGCGGGAGGATAATAATCGCTGCCGCGCCAACCACGCATCATACCCCCTCCTCCTCGCCTCGTCCCCAAGCACACCATATGCCTCCTTGACATCATCGATCGTGAAAAACATCAACCCGTTCTTACTCCCACTGCCTCGCTCACTGATATCCCGCCTTCCCCCTCCTCCTCCTTCTGGCTTTATATCATTACCACCCGATGCACTGGTCGATGTACATGTAGATGTAGAAGTAGATGTAGATGTAAAGCTAGTGCGTTGTTTATCCGGATGCGCCCTCAGCAGCGCCGCGCGATACGCCGCCTTGATCTGCTTCTCGTCCAGCGATATGCGTGCTCGCGCTGGTGCATATGCGTTCCCGCTCGCGACGCGGGTGGTGGGTGGTTCGGGGAGGCCGAGGATGCGGTAGTACGGTTTGGAGGCGTCGAAGGCGTTGCTGCTGTCGTTGTTGTAGGTGTTGGATTGGCGGGTATGCGGGAAGAAGGGTGCCATGGCTCTATCTCGTTTTGTATCTCTGATTCAGATGGGGTTGGACCACGTTTGGTCGTGCGTGTGGGCGACTATATCGTTCAATTTGCAAAGTCGTGAGGTCGTACAGGTCGTCAAGAGTCGTTTCCAGGACTGCCCGTGGTTGTTGTTGAACTGGAGAAGCAAAATGGGAATTCCTCTTCTTCTTATCGTCCTTCCACCTATATAGCTCTCCCTTTCTTACACCCTTTCTATCTTCTCTCTCTTGTCCCCTCTCTTCCGTCCGTCCTTCACCCACCTTCTTCAAGCAATCGATATCGCTAGCCGCAGCGGGTATGCGAAAAATCTCTCTCTGGGTGAAACCAATATCTGCACGGTCTTTTGAAGAATTAGATAACGAAACACACTTCCCAGTACTTCCCGAATAACGCGCGTAGACGCCACTAATACGCGGTTCTGGATGTCAAAGCCTGTCAGTGAAATGGGGCACCGGCATTTCATAGTTAGAGGTTGCTGTGGCGCGGGGTGTGGCGGGGCAATTATCCGCAAGTTATCAAAGAGCCCGCCAGATATGACATGTGAAAGCAGCCCAAGCGAGTCTCAAAGTCAGGCAGTGAAACCCCCAACTTGGGTTCAATTGCTGATGTCCCATCCGAAACTTCACATCAAATGCATTCACAAACACACCCTCAGAATAGAAGAGTCTCTTAAGCCCTAACCAGATAAGAGAAGTACAGAAACAGAGCCCTTTAGCACGCGTAAAGTAGGTAGCCTTGCGAACCCAGACTCACACAACCCACACATGTCTCTGCCCCCTTCCACAATCCGTGCAATAAGAAACCCCTCTCATCCGGGCTGGTCACTCTCCGCCGAAAACGGGGGAACTGTTCGTCTCGTAGATGTGGTGCAAAAAGGAAAATATCGAGGAAATCGGGGGATCGTGTCGAGGGTGCCTTTCCCCTCACTCCCAGACACTCGCAACACCAAAGACCGGCTCATGGCTTCTTCCGCGGGGAAGAAGGATTGAGCACGTCAGAGATCGGCCGGCACAGCCACTAGAATGACATGTCGGGCCAAAAGTGCTGGTAATGGAGGAGGGCAAATGAGAACATGAGTCGTGGGGGAATTGAAGATCCGAGCCGCTAAAGCCAATTTTCGAAAACACATAGACACACACGCAACTCCGAAAGACACTCGCTGCCAACGCAACCCCCCTCTTCTATTGGGAATAGATGTGGTGGCTGAGAAGGGAACATTCGGTCGATAGAGAGGACGCACGTCTAAGCGGCGGCAGGAGCCGGATTTTGGCCCTCAGCAGCCTCAGCGGGCTTCTCGGCAGCGGCTTCGGGGGCCTTGGGCTCCTCCTTGGGGGCCTCAGGCGCGGGCTCGGCCTCGCCGCTGTCCGACGACGTCCAGAGCGTGAGGTTGTCACGGAGAAGCTGCATGATGAGCGTGCTATCCCTGTACGACTCCTCGGAGAGCGAATCGAGCTCAGCAATGGCGTCGTCGAACGCCTGCTTGGCGAGGTGGCAGGCGCGATCCGGCGAGTTCAGGATCTCATAGTAGAACACGGAGAAGTTCAGGGCAAGACCGAGACGGATCGGGTGAGTGGGAGTAAGCTCAGTCTGGGCAACATCGGTTGCGGTCTGTCCCCTCAAAGTAAGCCATTGCGCTTGGACATGAGATTAGCGATTGCGTCATACCTTGTACGCCTCGTGTGCGGCAGTGGCAGCGACCTTGCGCTTCTCACCGGATGCGAACTCGGCGAGATAGCGGTGGTAATCGCCCTTCCTGTAGTCACGGATGTGGTTAGCATTGCGAAGTGCGAAGGTGCGGGCCAGAAAGCGGGGATGCGTACATCTTGTGGTAGAAGACCTTGGACTCGCCAGATTCGGCCTTGGGGATGAGGGACTCGTCGAGGACGCTGAGGACATCCTGGCAGACCTTCTCGAGCTCGGCCTCAATCTTCTGTCGGTATTCGCGGATGGTGGCAACGTGCTTCTCCGAGCCCTTGGACTCCTCCTTCTGCTCGATGGACGAGATGATGCGCCATGAGGCACGTCGTGTGCCGACCACGTTCTTGTAGGCAACGGACAGGAGGTTGCGCTCATCGACAGTCAATTCGCCGCCAATCTGCACCCTTTTTGTTAGATGAAGAGCCCAGCGTAACTGCCGTCGCAGCGTGCTCGCGGCGCGAGCCGGATGGGTGCGTCAAGACGTACCTTTGCGACTTCCTAAAAGGCGGTCAGCTCATGAGCCTGGCTTTACATGTGTTCACGCAGCATTACTGACCTTCATGTACGTGACCATCTCTGTAGAAAGGCATGGTTAGCAGCAGACGAGGGCAGCAGAGCAGCGAACTCACCATCGTAACGCTCAGCCTGTTCGCAAAGCCGGGCGAGGAAAGTCTTGCTGTCGGATTGTCAATCGCGCTGTCACTTTTGCAGGAGCAACTGCAGTATTGCATACCTCTCGCGCTAGAGGAGACAGGCCAGGTCAGCATTTGTTTGAAGTTATCGGGCATGGCGGCGTTGGCTGCTGAGGGGTATTGTGTCGCGGGCAGAGGGACATGATGGGGCCGGTGCAAAGAACGGCAGACATACCTCGTTCGCCATTGTACAAGCGGTGATGTGAGTTTGATTAGGATGAGGTAGAAGAGGATGCGGGTTGCGGGTGTGGGCGTGTTCGACTGTGTGTGTGTGTTTGGGAGTGTGGGTGTTGGTTGTGGTGTTGGGGTGGGAGGTGGAAGGTGGATCGCGGGAGACGAGAGTGTTTTGGGCTTGGGCTGCCTGGTCGCTTCTTGACGAGTGACAAGTCTTTCACTGCACAACCCGCTGCGCACACCACTGCCTCCCCAACCGCTGCGACCGCTCCGATTCTCGACGCCCCTATACTGTGTACTGTGCTATGTGCCCCACCCGGCGCCTCTCAAAACTTCCATATTTCTTGCTCACAAGCAGTCCTGAGAAGCCCTCACAGGGCTTCAAGGCTGGTCTTGGCACCTGAGAGGGGCTCTTACAGTGGAAAATGAGCAAGGGCACGTGAGCGGACTACGACTGCTGGCGAGGCTGTGCGCAACCGCCTCAGAGAACCCCCACCCCACTACTCTCCCCTCCCACGCAGATTGACCCAACTCCAAGCTAGCCCCATATCGCGAACATGTGTCGCCGCCTTGTTTGGCAGTCCTAGGAAGAGACCTGCTAAACAATAGATTTGCTGCTCACGGCTGCTTTCGAGGCGGAACGTCTTGTCGCACACCAGTCACGCCCCCCTGACTGGGCAAAGTGGGCAACACTGCCAGCGAGACACATGGCTGCGAGACCATGTCGACGCCGGGGCCAATCACTCCCCCGCAGAACCAGCTAGAAAACTTGGAAATCTGATGAGGGTCCGGACGACGTCGAGCTGGCACGCTGGCAATGGGGCCATCACCCTCTGCCGCAATCTGGCCAGGCTGAAAGTGAGTCGTGTCGCCATCCATCTAACCTGGGACGAAATGGCTCGACGCAAAGAAAAAGCTCATCTGCGCGGCATGTCTTGGGCAGTGATGTGTACATTACTGTGAGAACATCACCAAACGTACCCCAAGGCTGCTCACCACCTGCAACATTACAGTCCCCGGGGTTGACTTCCTATGATGAACTGTCTGCCTCTGACTGATAAGGCCGAGTTAAGCGTATAGTAGTTTGCTATTAATCTTTACTAGCATCTTCTATCGGTGAATAGGTACCCTCAGCTGAAATAGCGTGCCCTGAGTGCCTGTCCCATACGCTGCGTACTGTTATGCTGAACTACTCCATGGGCGAAGCCAATGCCTTCTACGAGTCCCACGCCGAAACACACCTGGGGCATCACGCATCTTCCGCACAATTGCTACAGAGGACTCCTTCGTCGACACAGTTCGCTGTGAAGGGCACCGGGCGTGCCGGGATTCTGTGACACCGACACAATGATGCGCCGCGGAGGCTGAGGCAACGACGCCCCATTTCCTCCGTTCGTGTTCCCTCAAATCCAAGGTTTCTGCCTTGGTAGTGCCTCCAAGAAACAAAAACGGGTATTGGAACAATGGTCGTACAGCTTCCTCACATCAGCAGACGCCACACACCGAGCATGAGTGCCGCTGTGCCTGTGCAAACGCCCCTGTCAAACAAGTCAGTCATGCCCCAACAACGAATTTCAGCCTGTGAAGACAGAACGTACATCAACCATTGCAGCGTGGAGAACTTGACAGCCTCGAGCCGTTCCCTGAGCTGCGCCGTCTCCTGCTCGATCCGCGTCTCCGTCTCCTTGAGCTTGAGTTCCTGCACGTTTGCCTCCTCACGGATACGACCCTTCTCGAGGTTGAGATCCAACCGCACCGACGCCTGCGTCCTCTGTATCTCGTCCCGTAATCTCGAGTTCAGCTTGGCCAGTTCGTTGGTCAGGCGCTCGTGCGATGCCCTCGTGAGCGACGACTCGGTAGAATCCGCCGTCATGAGCTCCGATCGCAGTTTGGCAAAGTCGACCTTCTGCGTGTAGGTGGCGCGCTCCTGGTCCTCTCTCAGCACCATGGTGCGCGTCAGGTTCTGAATGCTGGGTTGGCCGTTAGTCGAGGACGCATGTTTTTGTTCGGAGGGGTTACGCACCTCTCCTCAATGACGTCGCTGAGGACCCTCATCATGGCTTCTGCTTGCTCTTCCGTGAACCCCTCATCTTTCAATCGCTGGACAAACTTCAAGGTATCGAAGTGGTGATCGCGCGCCTGAGGGGCTGTCGCAGTGAACTCGCGGCGGAAATTGAGAGCAGCAGTCGCCTTCGGTGTAGTCGACGTGCGTGCTGACTGCCACGCTGCGTTCCAACTCTTCAGGGAACTGTGGGTGAAGGGTCTTCTCTGTTGGGCGGAGTTCGTCTTTTGCGTCTCTTGCCCTGTAGACGTCATATGCTGTGGGAACGATAGCATGCCCATAGGGCCGGCACGCCTCAGGGTCATGGTACCCCATGATAGTTGCGGGAGGAGGAATCGCGGTATCGCAGCTGTCTGAACAGTAGAGGTCGCCATTCTGCCGTGTGTCGTTCGCAGCCGTCGAGGAGCTTTCCTCTCACACAGGATAACTGCCAGACCCACCATTGCTCGCTCTGCTGATTAAGCGGGCATTACTCGTTTGGGACAGGATTTCCGTAGTCGACACCAAAAGCCAAAGTCCAGGCCTGATACTTCTCCCCTTAACTATGATTAATCTCTTGATTCGATGGCAATGACAACTGCTGGGATTTTCGCAGCGGCATAGCATTCCTTCTCTCCAATGGACAACTCGCCGGATGCCCCTTCCGTATCATGGATTGCACACCTGTCACTGCTAACTTGAGGTCACTAACGAGACAGCAGCATATGATGAAAGCAAATAACAAGTATGGGTATCTCCAACTATGCAACTACCAAAAAACAGTATCTCCACATCTACACGCCAACGCTGTCAACCATCATGTAGAGTCTCCTTTCCAACCCCAATCCACCACCTCTAATACCTAAACGCCACAATCCCCGCCCTCTCTGGATCCAACTTTGCCAACAAAGGGCGAATATGAGGCTTATCCAGCGCGAGCGCCCCATTAATCACCAAACTCACACTCCTCCCCAACACCTCGACGTACCGGTCCCTGATGGCCGGTTCAATATGCGGCACGCTGATGATCGTGTCCAGCCACTCGCAAATCTGCTCGTGCTGCCATTCGGGTGAGTAGCCTGTGGGACCGGCCGTCTTCCCGGCTGGTGCCGACAGCCCGCACATGGCCATCATCTGAGACGCCTGCCAGGCTCGCATTTCCGACAGGGTCCAGGGGCTCCAGGCGCAGATGGGCGCGTTGCTCGTGACGGGGATGACGAGGCCTGGACACCCGTCCATGAGGTGGAAGATCAGGGTGCCGCAGCCGGGGCGGCGGCTGGTGGACCACATGTTGCCGCGGTAGGGAGAGATGCCGGTGAAGAAGAGGAGGAGACGGTTGGTTCCAATGTCGGTTCTTGGGTCCGAAGGGCAGAAGGAGAGGATTGAGGGCATCGATGGGAGGAGGGCGGTTGTTGTGAGGGCGAAGTCACCTTGGGAAGGGTCAGGTCGAAAGCCAAACACTTGGAGAACAAAAGCGGTCTTGTAAAGAATGCTAGGCACTTACCACCCAGAAACGGCCCGTAGAAACACGCCATCCCAAAATCATTCGCTCTCGGCACCTGCGGCGTCCTCGCACTCGCAAACAAGTACGGACAGAACCACCCCTTCTCACACGCCTTCTCATTCCTCGTCGGATACACGCCCCAGAACCGCAAGTCGGCATCCACACCCATCAACTTGTGCTTGATGCCCACCTGCAGGCTCTTGACATTCTGCGTCTCCAGCATCTTCTCCTCTTCCGGCAGCAAATGCTCGAGAATGCCCTTATCGATCGCCTGCTCCACAATCTGGAAAACACTGTACTTGATGATGGTTGATCCTGTGATCGTCGCCGCCCCCGAACTCACAATCTCGGAGACGAAGCTATCCGCGCCAAAGACGCCCGTCACGCCATCCGAAATGCCGTCGACCAGCGGCGTCCCGATGAAGGCGAAGGTGGTGAAGAGCACGGCGTCTCGGTAGCGCACGTTGGGTAAGGTGACGGGGTTGTTGTCGCCCCAAGGGGAGAGCGAGGCGGGCATCCGGAGGGCGGAAGTGACGGTTTGGACAGAGGCGCGGCCGACGCGGCCGAAGAGGGTGTCGCCGAAGAAGCGCTGGACAGAGGAGGTTTGCCTTTCGTCGGTCGGGCCGGTGGGTTCTTTCTTCTTCTTTTTCCCGTTGTCGAAGCGGCTGGGGAGGGGACCTTGTGCGGTCGCAAATTGCGGTCCTTGGGGGAGGAAATGGGGTTGTTGAGGTTGGGGTTGGAGAGGGACGGGTTGGCCGGGAACAAGAGGTTGCTGGTATAGTTGGGTTTGGGGTTGGGGTTGGGGTTGTTGCTGGTTCAAGAGCTGCTGGGCCTGTTGTTGGTACATTTGCAGCTTGTCCGGGGGCATGTTTTGGATAATCTGCTGGACTTGGTGTTGTTGGTCGGCAGTCATGTTGGGTGGATATTGGAGAGGCTGTGGTGCCTGAGGAGACTGAAGGATGTGGGACTGTTGGCCCTGGAATTGCTGCTGAGGGACCATGGCTTGCTGTTGGAATTGGGCCTGGGGTTGAGGGAAGCCATTTGGTAGTTGTGCCGGTGCCTCTGCTAAGCCTTGTGGAAGTGGAGGCTGCTGGATGGTGGGCGTGTACGGTGGAGGCGCCGGTGAGGCGGTATTGTAAGGGTCCATGGGAGCCTGTTGCATGGGCACCCCCATCTTCTACCGTGTTCTATGTATCTTCCTCGGTACAAGTGGGGTATTGTAGAGAGTTGAGCCAAATGCCGGCTGCTACTGGAACACAAGTGGAATGGATGGACGGATTCGACAATTCGACTCTGACGAGGACTGGAACGGAGAAATTGGAAGAAGTAAAGACCTGGTCAAAGGAGAGATAGTCTAGTGGAATAATGGGAGGAACGAGGAGAAGATGGAGAACAGACAGAAAAGTGACCAAAGGTTGAGGAGGCTCAGCCCTCTCGTATAAAGTGACCAGGCTAGACCTCAGCCGCATGTATGCTGGTGGGCTCATGCTTTGCCCTTTGCGGCGCATCCAAGCGACACGTGCGTTTTGAGACGAACTTGGAATCCTTTGGTGAGTCTCGACCCTTGTCCAGGTACTCACGGTCCGACATGGTGTTTCTCTGCCCTTATATGGTGTAGGAGTAGGCGGATGGAGAAGGGCAAAGTCAACGGGGTATTGCATCCTCTCCAATTCTCATTTCAGCAGCCAGGATGACTTTGAGGACTTTACAATCGCCCAGAATAACTGAAGCCCAGGTACCTACACAGTGGTTCGATGCTAGAGAGATGGATGGGTGCAGAGCACAGATGTCGAAGTCGACGATCGTTCAGTTCGCGAGGAGCGGCCCGTTCACCCTCCCGAGCTTCTTTGGACGACATCCATCTCCCGAGGTCCCTTGAACGGCCACAACTGCTGCACTGCCACAGTTCAGGCCAGCGCCACGCACAACCACAATAATGGGACGACAGCATGCTACATTGCCAAGTGTGATGGGTTGGCCTCCAATCCGGCCAGCGGCGCGTATATGGGCCTGCTGCGCCAATCATGCGCACCGCCGTGGGCGCGTCGAAGGGGGAGGACCCGCAGGAGCCCAATACTCGACCTTGTCCTTGTACAGTACCGAAGTAGGGCTGGTAATCGTACGTAAGTCAGCAGCATCGCCCCAGAGGAAGAGCAAGAAACCTGTCCCTCAAACAAGTCTGACAGACTATTCACTGCAACTCTTCAACACTCATCGACGCACTTGTGCCTGCCACTGTCCGCATTCTCCCCCGTCGTCAGGTCCCCGCCGCAGTCACCCTCACCGTCCCTCTCCCGCTGCAACCCCGCAAGAAGGCTGCGAGTCTCCCAGGTACTATACTGACCCTCCTCGTCCCACAGCTGGCCTGCATTCTCGAGCCTCTCGTTCTCAAACAATAAAGACTTCGCCATCATCGCCTGCTTCCACGCCATCCGAGTCGCAGTAGAATCGCTTCCGCCCCGCCCGCCGCCATGGACGGCCGAAAGCAGGGGAGGCCCGAGGAGGAGCTGTTTCTGCGGCCCGGCGACACCCCAGAGACTCCAACCGTGGGTCCGTTGAGGATACAGAAGAGGGACTCGGCCTCGAAGAGCCCTCCACCGCGGTCCGATTCTGCGGGAACCTCCAGCAAACCACCCGCCTTCTCGCGTCCGCCGCCCATGCCATCCTTCCCCGCGCCGCCCACTAGCCCGCCCACCGCTCCACTACCCTATCCCGACGACCGCCCATCCAAGCAGCAGCAGCAGCAGCAGCAGCAACAACAACAACAACAAGGTCGCTATACCCCGCTCAGCGAGCGAGAAAGAACAGCAAGGAATGCCACTCCGCCCGAAGCGGATGGTAGAAGACGAGGATCCGGCGCTGGTTCATCGTCTCCAGCCTCACGACCACGATTCGATGGGAACGATCCAAACCGCCCCACGGTATCTGGATATGCACACGCGCCTGGGAGAGCTGCTGATGGCTCCATACAACCTTCAAGGCTGGCAGAGCGCCGCGGGACGGCTCCAAAGCCACTTCCTGATTCTCCAGGACCAGAGACGCCTGATAAGGAGGGTCTGTTCGCGCGTCCTCCCCAACGCAAGAACAGCGCAGACCCCAACCCCTTTCCCGACTATCACCAGCAGTACTGGCCTCCCCCCAAGAGTGAGAGCCCCAGCAATACCGAGTCGTCCGGGCTGAGCATCCCGAAGCCTGCTGGTGTGAATAGGCTGAGCTCCACAGCTTCGACATCTACTACAAGAGCGCAGAGAGGGTCTCCTCCTCCTCCGGAAACCCCCATAATACCTCCCCCCGGTGGTGGCATCGAGGCTCGCTTCGCGGCCGCCGGTATCGCAGGGCCTGGCACTCTGAACAACCTCCAAGCGCAGACGGCATCCAATGCAGCTGCAGCTGCCAGAAATCAAGTCTACGCGAACCAGCCCAGGCCAGCTATCACGTCGCCTCCGCCTCAGCAGCAGCCTCCGAGGAGACCATGGACGCCGACTGAACAGCCTGGAAGCCATCCTCATGGCCCGCCTACCGTATATCAGGGGATGAATGAGGTTCCTGGTGCTCATGCAAGTCCCCCACGCGCGGCATCACAGCCTCGCCCAAGCACTACATCTCCTCCGCCTTCAAATATACCACCTGAGCATCCCTTGAATCAGGAGATGGGCCGCATGAACTTGAACGAAGAGCCTCCACCAGCCTATTCGAGTCTTGCTCATCCAGCAGGTGCACCTGGAGCTACGACGGCACAGGGGTATCCGATCGAAAAGCGCAATCAGCCGGCAGCTGCGCAAACGCAACATCCAGCAAACATGAATGAGCCTCATCTGCAAGGACACCCAGCATTTGCCAATGATCGACCTGCACAGGCGGGACCGTCCACCCACGCAGCTGGAGTAGCAGTGGTTGCGCCAACCCCGACAGCAGGCCAATTTCCCCAGCAACAATTGCAGCATCCCACAACTCCCAGTCCAGCTCCCGCTCCAGGTCCGGGGCCGGCATCACCTCCACCGCTTCCGGAAGGCTGGATCGCCCATCTGGATCCCAACTCTGGCCAGTACTACTACATCCACTTGCCTACGCAGTCTACGCAGTGGGAATTTCCAAAGAACCCTACTCCCTTGAATCTCAACGAGCCGATGTCTCCCACGGGCACCTTTGCGAACTCGCTAGCTTCACCCAGCTTTGGGAAGGCCCCGCTGGCTTCTCCCGGTTTTCCGACACAGACGGCGGCATTCCCAGGCGACATGTTGGGCATGGCTCCGCTCGCTACACCTACCGCAGCGGGCTTCACTGGACCCCCGCCAGCAGCTGGTGTGGACATGTACAAGGTGAACCCCACGAACAGCGTCTATTTCGGTCCCTACCTGAGATATACCAACATGGATATCGAGCGGGGTCTGTGGCTAGGATCGATTCTTCTGATCACAAACACACCACATCCGCCTACGATACATATCCACCAGAGCGTGGACCTGTCGCCAAATCCTCGACAGCTCAAGGCGAACCCAATTTACTCACATCAGACATGGATCTTCTACAGATATGACATCGATCTCAAGATGGAAGAGGATCATGCTGCAAAATGGACATATGCAATCACCTCACATCTCGGATGCACGCGGTTCGAGTTCCTTGTGGCAGGACGGCACGAGACTAGCTGGCGATTTATTGCCCATTCGGGCAATGATTTTGCGCTTAATGTGAATGCCAACGAGAGATCGAAGCTTGGCGGTGTTGGCTTCATGTGGAAAGACATTCTTCAGAAGAACGCAGAATGCGGAGGGTTCCATGTACAGCTAGGTCTAGGCGGGCAAATTTACGCCGACCGCCTATGGAAAGATATACCTCTGCTCAAGCAGTGGACTGCGACGAGTGGCAAGGAGAACAGGAAAAACGCGCCCTGGACGGCGAAACATGAGGAGGAGGTTACGCATGCGTACTTCCACTACTACACGAGTCATTTTGATCAGCCTCATCTGAGAGAGGCGTTTGCTCAGATACCGCATATTCTGACTCTGGATGATCATGATATGTAAGTCGATGCGGACTGTTACCTGTTGCGGATTACTGACATGGAGTAGATTCGACGGCTTCGGTTCTTACCCCGAACATATGCAATTCTCCAACATGTTCAAGAACATTGGCCGGATAGGAATCGAAATGTACCTCTTATTCCAACACCACACCACTCTCGAGATCCTCCGCAACGTCAACAATGACATGGATCTCTTCACCATCACCGGCACCGGCTGGCACTTCATCAAGTACCTTGGTCCTTGCGTGGTAGTCTGCGGTCCAGACTGTCGCTCGGAGAGGAACCCGCACCAGGTCATGGCAGGCCCGACCTACCAAGGCATCTTCCCGAAGATTGCAACGCTGCCGCCCAATGTGCAGCACTGCATTTGGATGATCCCGGTGCCCGTGGTGTATCCGCGACTCGAGTCGGTAGAGTCTCTGGCCAATACCGTGGCGACGGGCAAGAAGGCCGTGACTGGCACGTTCAACGTCCTGGGCAAGGTAACCAGCTCTGTAGCGGGTGTTGTGGGCGCCAAGCAAGTCGTGGGCGAGGGCTTCAACTCGGTCAAGAAGGCTATCGGAAAGTCCGGTCTCATGAGCGGCGTGCTCAGTCCGTTTGGCGAGATTGATCTGCTGGACGAGTTGAGGGATCAATGGACACACGAGTCAAAGGTAGGCCATGATCTTTACCCAGTCTACCCAACTCGCTTTCCTCTTCCCCTTGCGCTACCTCTGCCGCGTGGTTCATCACACGAAATGCTAACGCTTCCCTAGGACCTAGAACGCACCTACCTGATCCGCACCCTCCAGGGCATCGCACACAACAAATCTCTCCGCATGACCTTCTTCAGCGGCAGCGTCGACGCCTGCGGCGCCGGCATCCTGCACGACCCTTCGAAACCCCAGGACCACAAGACCATGTACCAAATCATCGCCTCGAGCGTCGTCAACGCGCCCCCCTCCAACTACGTTTTGCGTCTCTTGCACAACAACCGAGCGCTCTACGTGCCCGCCAACGGGCACCGCAGCACGCACACGCCGAGCGACACCAAGGAAGACATGATGGAGATCTTCACGCAGGACGTCAACGGCCAGCCGCGCGAGCACAAGCGCCTCATGGGCCGCAGAAACTACGTGGCGTGCGTCATCTACGACCCGGAGATTGTCAATGGCACGTTTGGGCAGGCGGTTCCCGGGCACGGCAGCGGGAAGCTGAGCCTGGCGGTGGATTTCATGGTGCAGGGGGATGTCGGGGGCGGGGGGTTTGGGGGCGCCGGGTTGCCCGTCAAGTATGGGCCGGTGATTGTGCCGAGTTTGGAGTATGGGAGGTAGGGGTGTATGTATGTGTGTATGTAGGGATGAGTCAGGGGGTAGGGGGGGAGTGAGTGGAAGTCCTTTTTCTGTTTATTAGCGAGGTACTTGTGTCTGTCTGTGTCTAATCTATTTGGCCTAATTTTGGACCAGCCAGCATGGAGGGAGGGTGAGAAAGCAAAGGTTGTGTCTCTGTGTCTGCGTATAATGAATGAACGGAATCCCATCCATATTCATGTGGTTCCTTCCTTCCTCCATGCTCACAGCGCTCCTTTGCACTATATAGACCCTCTGCTCCTGATTCTGCCATCCCATGTACCCCTCCCTACACATGGTGATCCTCATTCAAAACCTGCCCAACACATACATGCAGGAAGTAGAGGGGCCCATTCATCACATCACCGCACAACACCGCACAATCACATCACCCACACCCACGCTCATACCCAGCAATCAGTTCAGGAGCCCAGCACATCAACAGCGCCACGCAACCATTTCATTCATTTCGGCTTGCCCCCTCCAGAAAGTCTAACGCTGAGGGAAAAAGATGAATGTACGCCTTGATACTATCGCCCCACGAAAATGGACAAGAAGCATGTTCACAGTAACAGTAACAGTACCATGCACCCATGCACACCTTCGACCCCTTCCGCAGTAATACCCTTCTCAAGAACGCCATCGCCGAAAGGAAAAAGGAAAAGGAAAAAAACTAAGAAGACCTTTCCACCCTGCCGCGTCGATTGATGCATGGAGGCAATTCCAGCAATAGGGACACAGAAGGTGACAAAAGAATGAATGAATGCACAAGAACAGGAAAAAAGGAGAAGGAGAAGAGAGCAAAGCAGCAAGAAATATGTACTCTAGTAAGGGATACCAAGCAATATAAACCCGAAGCCAAAAGATGCTAGAAAAAGAGTAAAGGAGGAAGACATCGCTTGACAGCTTCGACAGTGTCTGCTATCGACGTCTCGATGGATCGATGATGGATGATGGATGATGAGCATTGGGCATGCCGAGAATGTCGACAAGTAGAAGACTGGTCATGACTGGGAAGAATAAAAAACCCACTGGCAGGGTTGCCACATGCCCATCTGCAGTACAGGTGTTGTCCGCGAGGAGCAAATCCGTCTAGAAGAACAATGCTGAATATGTGGGGGTATCATATCCATATCGACAAGAATGATGTTTTGCAGAACACAGCAACACCCTTCGAGAGCCGTTAGCCCAATTCCCTCTCATCGGAGTCCTTATCATTCGCCCTACTCACCTGTCATCCACGAGAACTCGTCAACGCGAACTGATCGGCCGGCTCTGGCCCGGACTCGCCCACACCCCTCCTCCTACCGCCTTCGAAATCCCAATGCCCAATCCCGTCGCCGCAGCCACGATAAGCAACCCAATCACAATCTTGACCCACAGCCTCTGCTTGCTGCTCAGATTGCGGAACAAGCTACACGAGCGCGCCTGCTTGTTCTGCCGCTTCTTATCGAGCATGGCCTGTCGGGAGGGCCACATGGTGCATTCCTTGACGCGGCCATCGACCGACACCTTTGGCTGCTGTGCCGTAGTCGCCGCGGAGAGGTGGGAGCCAAGTTCGAGGTCGCGGTCGTCGCGGTCGTCACGGGTCGTCTCGCGCTCCATGACGACTACGTGTAGATTCGTTTTACTGGGTTTTTGGCTCGGGGTTTGGCTCTTCTCTTCCCAGGAGCGGCGCGCGTCCGGGTGCGTGTAGAAGGGGGAGAAGGGGTTGGAGGAGTCGATTTCCATTTCCTTTTCTGCGGCTGCGGGTATTGATATAGGTGAGGAGGAGGCGTTGGTGTCGTTGGAGGGAGGGGAGCGGAGAGCAGGTGTGGGTGCGCAGGGCGGTTCTATCGTTGCACCGAAGGTGACTGGTGGTTTTTCGGGGTTTGCCGCCATGGTTGGTTGGGCGGAGGCGGAGGTTGGATGATGTGACTGTGGGTATGACTGGCGGGAGGAGGTTGTGGACTACGTCGTACGGGAGTCGTGGGGTTTTGAGTAGACCGGTGTCTCGAGACAGACGGCTGGAAGACACGCGGGTTTTGCCTCTTGTAACAGAACTAGTGGAAACAGGCAATGAACTCCGTAGTCGTCGTTCAGAACTTTGTCCTTCGTCTTGCTCTGAAGCCTTATCTCTCACGCTCAGGAAGGCAATCCTCGCACAAAGCGCTCCGTCGGTACGCTTGTAATAATCGCAAGCAATGGGTCCGGCGTCCTTGCAATTGGCGTAGCTCGTCGACCGTCCGTTCAAGTTGCAGCTTCGGAGCTCGACAACCTGTGCTCTTGATGTCGGGGACCCGACTTTTGAGTGCGGTTTCTCGACGCCTCACGCTCGCAATGCTAACTAGTTGCTGTAGGTAGCTTCCGCCGTCGGAACACTAGCAGAGAAAGCACGAAAGAAGGACCGACCGAGGCTGGCTAGGTCGCTCCGGGAAGAAGGGTGAAACGGAAAAACCCGGGAATCCGAAAAACTGTCGACGCAGGGACGGAAGAAGAGAAGAAGGAAGCCGTGAAGCAGCAAAACCCAGCAGGAGGAGTTGTAAGGGGAGAAGAGAGGGAGGAAGGAGGAACGCTCCCAACCTGTCTTCAGAGTGCTTCCAGACTTTCACGGCCCTCTCCCCTTTTGGCGCCGCAACCGAGCTCCTGCAATGATCTGCGGGCTAACCGGTTCAAGCTACCGCCGCTGATAAGCCCCGGTCTAGCGGTGCTTGGTGGCCAGGAGGGGAAATAGCAGGGCTTGGCAGTGGCTGGATGGATGGACGCGCTGTGAATTGATGCGAGGTGGCGGCAAAAAGGGTGTGTGCTTGTCAACATCACCGTCCTGTTCGCCCACTAGGCTACCGCGTATAATGTGGAGGCGAGCGGCAATTCTGAAGAAGTCAAGCCTGGTGAGACTTGGGTGGAGGCAACGCACAACGACATCTTCCAAAAAGCCTAGGTGCACGCTTCCTCTCCCCTCTTTCCCCCATTCTCCACCTTCACCTAGCTTCCCCCTAACTTAGACATATCCGCCGTCTACAATTCAAAGCGCCTAGGAATAAGCTAGCCCTCTATTCCCGTGCTAGACAGCCAATAATGTCGTATTGCGTATGCCCGCACCACCAATCGCATGAGAAACAATCTCGTCTACCCGACCAATTGTCTCGCGTCGGAATGTCCGTCGTCATGATTCAATGCATCAAAACGTCGTTCGATACCGTGACGCGCGGCGCGAGAAACGTGCTGTGAACCGGAGTCAGGGGCTTGAAACCACCTCAAGGCTGTCAGACTGTTTGATCTGATGGGACGACTGTTAGAACATCAGAAGAGGACGAATAAATCCACTCGTCGATTTCAGGAGACGGGGACAGAAGAGGCTAAGGCAGCGGAAGGACCGGGACGTGTTTCCTCTCGTGGCTTTTCGATACCAACAAATTCTCCCATACCATAAAGTAGAGATTGCCCGATAGTTCTACATGTCGAAACCCAACCATTGGATATTATGAATACTAGAAATACTATGCCTCGCTACCAACCTCTTTAACCCGCAGGCTCTATACTCTGCGACGCGCACCCAGAGCGCTCGCCCCGTCGTTCCCAAACGCGCTTCATCCCCCAATCTACCAGCCCAACAAGCATCCAACGAAGTTGCGACCAGATCTATACCGATTCAACCCAACCCACTCAGAGCACTCAACCACCCAATATCAACCAATCAGATCCAAACCCGCCCCCCTCACGCATCCCCAAAGTCCTCCCTCCTAATCCCACTCCTGTCGCACATACTCCTAAAGATCCCGCCAGCCTCATAAAGCCGAATCGGCGTATCCAACTGCGCAATCGCCCCCTGATCCATGACGCAAATCCTATCGTACCCGATAATCGTCTTCAACCGATGCGCAATGCAAAGCAGCGTCTTTCCCTTGAAGCCTTCCACAATCGTCTGCTGGATCTTTTGGTCCGTCTCAAAGTCGACCGACGACGTGGCTTCGTCGCAGACGATGATTTGCGAGCCACGTACCAAGGCGCGCGCGAGCGCCATGAGTTGTCGTTGACCGAGCGAGAAGTTGAGCCCTTCTTCCTCGACGACCGAGTCGAGGTGGATGCGCCCGGATTTGTCCTCCATGGTTGCCTCATTGGAGACGAGGTCAGCCTGTCGCAGCGCCGACCACAGTTCGAGATCGGAATGCTCGTTGAAGGGGTCGAGGTTGGAACGTATGGTTCCTTTGAACAGAGTAGGGTCCTGGGGGATAATGGCGAGTTTGGAACGCAAGTCGTGTAGGCCTATGGTGCTGATATCGACGCCGTCAATGGTGATGGAGCCGCCCGAGAGTTCGACCAGGCGGAAGAGAGTACTCATAATACTCGATTTTCCTGCTCCGGTTCTGCCGACTACGCCGATGCGTTCGCCGGCTTTGACGTGCATCGTGAGGCCCTTGAGCACCAACGGCAAGCCCTCCCGGTACCGCATCTGCACATTGTCGAAGATGATCTCGCCATGCTCGGGCCATGTCGGTCGAACTTGTACCGTATGGAGAAGCGCTTCCTCCTCCAGTTGAGTGCCATAGTGATGGATACGCTCGGTCGAGTTCATGTCGTTCTCCACCTCGGCGAGCTGTCGCACGGTGAACTGAATCATCTGCACAATGGCGAGAATGTATGACAAGACAAGTCCTGCGATGCTGGGATCGACAGAGAAACGAGATGTGACGACCAGAATACCCGTGGTGAAGACAAGCAGGATACCGATGACATCGAGCCGAACGCTGAGCCAACGTTGGTTGGCGAATGTCAGGTAGTAAGCACTGTTCATGTCATCGATGGCCTCACGTACAGACCGTGAGAACTGGTTCTGCAGTCCATATGCGCGGATCGTCGGAGTTCCAATGACTGCTTCGCCGAATCGCGCAAAGACGGTGCTTCGCAGGACAGATTCATGTCTCTTGACTTCGCGCGCAGATGCACGGTAGTAGGCCGCAGAGAACATGAATAGTACAAACAGCGGTCCCAATGCAATAGCGTAATAATAGTAATAGGAAATGATGAGAATAAAGACCGAGATAATCATAGCGAGGGTCAGGAAGTACATGCGCATTGCATCCGTGAGGGCATTGTCCATAACGTCAACGTCCTTGGAGAAGCGGTTGGTGATCCGTCCGAGAGGTGTAGTATCGAAGAAGGACATAGGAGCCCGAAGTACGCGGTAAATGGCCCTATATAGCATGACCTTGCCCGCCTCAGTGCCATAAATGGAGACAGAGACTGAGAAGGCGAACAGAAGGATGGCCTGTGAGGCACCGAGGGCGGCATATACACCAATCTAGGATTGTTAGTCGACAGTCCATCGGCGGGGACAGAGAGACTTACATATGTGCCTTGGGCATAGCCCCACTTGTTCGACGTCCACCAAGAGAGCCACAGACTCGTCGAAATATTCGCTCCTTGAGACAAGATGAGAAGGAGCAATACCAGTGGGGCCACCCATAGTCCACCCCCAGCTTTGATGTACGCTATCCAAACGCTCCAAGCAACACTCTTGACAGCTCGATCCTCTTCTTGCATGAGCGCAGTGGAGCGCTGCTTCTTGCTTTTCTTTTTCTTCGCAACCTTCTTCTCTTCCCCACCCTCGCCCTCGAGAGCTTCCTCCTCTTCCTCTTTCTCCTCTTCTTCGGCCGTCATAGTCATGAGCTTCTGGAATCCTTCATTACTCGCCATCAGGTTATCGAAGGTGTCGACCGCCCTGATGCGACCCTCGTCAACCCAGATGATCCTGTCACACTTATTGAGAACATGCAGCTGGTGTGTAGCCAGGATTCGACACTTGTCTTTCAACAGTCCGCAGATGGCATTATCCATAATGTGTCGTCCGACGTGCGCATCCACAGCTGAAAGTGGATCGTCCATCAGAATGATGTCGGCGTTGAAGTAGATGGCGCGAGCAATGTTCATCCGTTGCTTTTGGCCTCCTGACACAGTAATACCCCGTTCACCAATCTCGGTCAGATCGCCGTTGGGTAGCATCTCCAGATCAGGTCGTAGGGCGCAGGCATCAATCACCTGGTCATACCACTTCTGGTCGAACTCCTTGCCGAAAACAATGTTCTCGCGCACAGTGGCATTCTGTATCCACGCGTATTGGGGACAGAACGCACGGGAGGCCCCAATCGTAACATGGCCCTGCGTCTTTCTCATATCACCAGCTAGGGCGCCGAGTAACGAACTCTTGCCAGAACCCACACTGCCAATGAGGGCTACAAGCTCTTTACGTCCTATAGAAATGTTCAGATCCTTCAGCTCGAACGGCTTCTCATCCTCTGTGGGCGAATCAGGAGTCGAAGGAGAGTCGGCGCCGCTTCCGGTCCGCTTGTGGCTCCGCTTGCTCTTCTTCTTTGCTTTCTCCTTTCCTACTCTTTGCTCGTTGCCAACACCCTCAACGTCCTCCTTATCCTGCGTCGGATGACGCTCCCAGGTGAAGTCGGCGTCCTTCAGAACAACAGCATCCTTCGCGTCATAGTCCCATTCAGCAGTCTCCTCCGCCTCTTCGGCCAAAAGGAACTCCTGGATGCGCTTGATTGAAGCATTGGCATCGATAACCTGGCCAATGACCAGCGGAAGAAAATTAAGAGGAATACGGAGAGAATTGAACAGCGCCAGGGAGGAGAAAATCGGCGCCGGATTAAGATTATTACCGGAGAGGGAGTACGTGATGAATGACAACATGGATGCAAAGACGGGCATCGACATCCCAACAGCCATGATTCCGTTTCTTATGGCGAGAAGGACCTGGACTCCGCGAATCTCTCGTTGCCTAATAGCGTTTACACGCTCGAGGAAACTCATTTCCCAGGCGAAGTACTTCACGAAGCGGACTGCTTGGAGGATTTCCTGCGTGAGGCTGACGCGCTGATCGGTAATCTTATTGATGGCCATTCTTCGACGGAAGAGGCTTCGAATGGCTCGACCAAGAAGGGGCATTACGATGAGGAGGAAACCGAGACCAGACAAGGCGCTGTAAGTCAGGTTGACAATGAGCAAGGCAACTGTCACTAGGATGGCGACAGGCGAGGTCCAGATCATGTGAAAGAAACCACTAGCCTGATCGACTCGGTAGGTGTCGGTGGACATCAAGTTGATGATTCTTCCGTTGCCCCAACCATGGCCATCACCGGCGACACCGTTATTTGCGTTAGGGTTGTTTAACTCTTTCTGCTTCCGCTTCAGTAGCTTCTTATACCATTTCCGTTCCTCTTGACTGCCCGGTTTGATATCCGCGGGCGGAGCTTCCAGGATGGCGGCACCACCCGCCTTTGCACGGCCGGACAGTTTCATTGCCTTGTCGAATATCACGGCTATCAGCACAGCTCTTGCCTCTCCTCCAACCATCATGCCCCGGTACATGAAGTGGTTGGTGGCCATACTCTGGACGAATTGCATAGCCGTAATACCAATGACAAGACCTATGCCCTCCCCTATATTTGGCTCGGGGACATTTCTGCGTTGGGCGACGTATGCCTTCAGAGCGAAATTGATAAGGTATCGGAGAACATAGGGTGCCAGGGCTTGGACCAAACTGGCAAGGAGCTGGCAAATTCCGCCGATGATGAACTCCCATTTGAAGGTGTCGTAGAGGGCTCCAACGAGTGGGCGTTTGCCGCCGCCTTCTCTCCGCTGCTTGAACGATTTCTGAAGCCGCTCCACCATAACATCAGTACTTCGGTCTGGATTCACGGTCCATATGTCGTTTCGTTCGAGGGGCCGCTTGTAGCCGACCTGGGGGAATCAGCGTGCGAACTTGGAGAAGAAGGCTAAGAGCGAAAGGTTCTACTCACAGTCATGAGCGGAGACATCCACTGGAAAGTCAGGCGACTGAACCATCCTGCCTGGTACTCGGGGCAGACCGTCCTAGTCTCTGGTACAGGTGGTTTCGCGCCCCACCTTAGGGGATTCACATTCTTGTACCATTTCCGTTTCCCGATGGTGGAGCTCTTCGCAACCGTGCTGTGGCTGCTCACATCCGAGTAGGCGCTGCTGCGACTCTGTATCTGGGAGAGGTTTCTTCGTGAACTGCGGCCGTCGGCATTGGCCTCTAAATCGGTCTCGGTCTCGGTCTCGGTCTGCAGAGGCTCCGTCTTGATGGGTTCATATTCTTTGGTGTCTCGAGCCACCTCCTCAGGGTCTCCTATCCGCCATTCCTTGTCCTTCTCCTCGAGCGAGTGCGACGAGGAGGACATTGAGTCGCCACACGTGTGCGCGCGAGCGCTCCGAAAATCAGGCCCTGGTATGAAGTTGCTGCTTGTCTCTATGGCATTTACCGCTGGGCAAGGTCGTAGTTTCCGATGGAATCCATTAGGAAGCCGAAGAGAGGCAGAAAAGGGGCACACGTCACTCTGTTTATTATTCCTCGCAGCAGGCAGACAGGCGGGTCGATATAAAGTCCGAGGCTCGCAAATGATGGAGGGCAGTTAGAATGGAGCTAGGACAGGCTTACCGAACGGACTTAGGAAATAACCGATCAGATGGCGGACGTCACCATCTCCCGTACATAATAAGTACATACATACATAAATCTGGGGATTCGCCAGACAAAGTTGCCGTCTTCCGGGCTCAGAAGAAGTGGAAAGCGGGTTTGTAGCCTTGGTCGGGTCATTTCATCGCCCAATCCACCGTGAGTCCGACACTGTCCTGTGGCACAGCGCACGTGGTGAATTTTTGCAGCGTGCTCTTCCGGCGGATGCGTCATGACTGGGACGGCTCATGATTCTCACCCGCGGTAATTGTTTGTCATAGTCGAATCAGAAAAGGCGTCCAGAACTATTCCAGATGCAGGTTTGCGCGCTCAAGGAAAGGGTTCCGAGGTTGGGTCCACCTCCCCACACACGCCAACCTTGAGACTGTGTGTAGCCAACCGTGTATAAGCACTTCTTAGCGAGCACGCGTTGAAGCTTGTCCTCCCCCCTCCCCCTTTTCTTTTTGTCGACGTGGCAGCGCAGCTCGTTGACAGGCCTCGTGCCGAGTGCCGCTCTCGCGCGTCTCTCCTCCTGCACTGTCAGTTCACCTGGTATCGATATGCATCCAAAGATATCCAGCACTTTGCACTGATTGGCTCCTTAGCCTCTGACTCCTCAAGACTGCAACGCTGAGAGGGTGAGATGGCGTAGCGAGGGTAATCGGGAAACTGTGCCATTGGGTGATGGTGCCCAGGTGAGGCATGGATGCGGGCGAGTGTGCCGTGACCGTGCAGGCGCCATTTGGGCTGCAAGAGACTTGACAGGCCTTCGATCTCGATATGTAAGCTGCTTACAAGTACAACGCAGTAATGTCGAGCGGTGTAGGAGGGAGTGGTGTGAAACCGGATAGACGGATGAAGAATGCTGGAGGGAGAAATAGAGGCTTGGTATACACTAGTCTTGTGGAAGGAACGACTCCAGGCATCAGAATCCCAACCAAATATAATCATTGTGTTCATGATGGAGTGATTTAATAGCAGGCCTTAAACTATTGGACAACTGCGAATGCGCATCATAATCATTGCTTTCGAAAGTGATGCATTCTTCTTCTTACCGTATATACAGTCGGATAAAGCGACTGTGTCGCCAACAAAAGGTCTCGCTCTCTTTATACACATCTAACTATACCACCAAGACAGTCTGAGACAGTAGAAAGGGGTATAGGCGTGAACCGCTTCTCTAAACCTGGTCATCCTCGCTTGTGCGGAGTCCACATATATCGTCATCTGCTAACACTGACACGCACCAAACATATCCCTAGTCATCCAACCCGATGCGAACGCCCTTCTCGCCAGGGGGAATGATCTCATCCTCCTTGGCGCCTTGAAGCGTAGGCAACTCTTCCATGGCCTCCTTGATGATCGACAACGCAGTCTCAATCTCCTTCTCTGTGATCACAAGCGGAGGCGCAAGACGGATAATGTTCTGGTGGGTTGGTTTGGCCTGGAAGCGTCAGCAGGCAAGCATGCACACAAGAAGTTATTCAGCCACTTACCAGCAGACCCTTCGCCTTGAAAAGCATGCAAAGGTCCCATGCGGAATGACCGCCCGTCTTTGTCTCGTCAATGACAATCGCATTCAGGAGACCCTTTCCCCTGATGATCTGGACCATTGGGTTGTTGATCTTCTTCAACCCCTCGCGGAACAGATTGCCCAGCTTCTCTGCACGTTCGACCATGTTCTCCTCCTGGATGAGCTCCAATGCTCGGATCGCAACGGCCGATCCCAGAGGGTTACCACCATAAGTGGAGCCGTGCGTGCCGGGTTCAATGGTCAGCATAATGTCCTTGGAGCCCAGAACGCACGAGACAGGATACATGCCACCGGAGATGGCTTTGCCTAGCAGAACCAGATCGGGCTTGATCCCGCTCCATTCGTAGCAAAGCATCTTGCCAGTGCGCGCAATACCAGTTTGGATCTCGTCACAGATGAGGAGGACATTGTGTTTGTCGCACAGCGCTCTCACCTCGCGCAGGTAGCTCTCATCGGGAACCACAATACCCGCCTCTCCCTGTATTGGCTCGACCAGGAAAGCTGCAGTATTCTTGCCATGCTGCTCCAGCACTTCCCGTAGATCATCGACATTGTTGTACCTGATCGGCTTCCCAGTCGTCGGATTTACGCTGCCAATGTTGGGCAGATAGGGACCGTAGTTGTCGCGAGACTCAGGGTCGGTGGACATTGTGATCGCCGCAAACTGGAGAGGCCCATTAGCTTCATGGAAGAGTTTCTCAGGCATTATACTGCTTACAGTGCGCCCGTGAAAGTTCTCCTGCACAGAAAACACCAATGCCTCGTCGTGAGGGATTCCCTTGACCTTATATCCCCACTTCCTCGCAATCTTGACACCCGTCTCGACCGCCTCAGCTCCGGTATTCATTGGCAAGACCATGTCGAACCCGAATGTCTTGGTGACATATTGCGCAAACCGCGGAAACACATCATTGTAGAATGCGCGGCTGCTCAGCGTCAACCTCGACGCCTGTTCCGTCAGCGCCTTGACAAGCTCGGGGTGGCAGTGGCCCTGATTCACGGCGCTGTAGGCAGAGAGGAAATCGAGATAGTGCTTGCCCTCGGGATCCCACACGGAGCATCCACTCGCCCTGGAGAAGACTTTCCAATGGTAAGTCAGAGTTGTAAACTAGGAGGATGGTCTAAGTTTTACCTATGGGAAGTGGGTGGTAGTTGTGTGCCGCGTACTCGGCCTCTGCATGAATGGCTTCACTGGTCGAAGCAGCATGATACTTTGAGGGATCGGGAGTGCCGGTGGGGTGGAACGAGCGTGCAGTCGGCTTCAAGGACGACTCATTGCGCGCCGAAGCCTCAGTAGAAATCGCACCCGCGGCCATGGTTGTTGTGTTGTAGCAATTGTAAGATAACAAGTAGTTGGAGGGGCAACTTTGCTTCCTTTTGGCGGGGAGGAGACTCGATATTGAAGGAATGCGGATGGAGAGGAGCTGGGAATCACAGTGGTAAAGGGGATTTTATGTGGCCGTTTCCCTTTCGTGCCGCAGGTAGCCTCCAACTGCGTATAGCGATATCGACTTCCGAGCCATCGCCTCCGACTGCCATTAGGGTCCGACAAGCAGCGTTGACGGAGTCTAGGCTGACAATGCCCACTTCTCGAGGCCTCGGATTGGCTGATGCTGCGGCTCGCTCTGGTCTCGTGACGGATGGCTCCATAACAGCAGAAAGTTCAACAACAGGAAGGGCCATTTCTGCGGAGGATGATGACGGAGGCGAGAGAACTGCAGATGTGCACGATGAGGCTCCGGGAGATGTTCGTGTCGCGCGTCGGTAAAAGTTGTAAGGCGACCGCGTCCGCTATGCTGTTCTTACCCTCGCTCAACGACACCCAATCCGCTGCGTGGCCCATACATAACACCCTTATACACAGTAGGTCACCTCAGGACCTCCTAAAGCAGTCTTGGAAAGGACATGCAGGATCGCCTACCGAGTGGTTGCAGAAGTTTTGTATAGAAAGGATGAGATTTGGTTTTCCCTATTGCTTATATGCTCCCCCGCGCTCCACTCAAAGCTATTCGATAGCCTTCCAGCGAAGGACAGATTCTGTATACACTCACGGATGTGCTGAGCACTGTAGGCTACTGCGATCTTTCCACCGTATGACATTTGATGTCTTTTATGTAGAGGATACGGGACCTTCATCAACGCCGTAGGCCCGGACAGAGGCCAGGTCTTTCAGTGGGATGCAGAGGATCCATTATCTGTGCCCGATCCGACTGCGCAAGCATCTCATAGAAGTGACATGTTTGACGGCGGATTCGATCCGACCATCAGCCTTACAACCCCCGTTGGTTTGTTTCGCAAACCACGGAGCTTGAATGGCACGAGGCAGGACCTCTAGTCCATAAGGTGTAGCCTGAGGGTTTTCCTTTGATGCAAAATCCATAGTGTGGAGGTACAGGTGATCCGAAACTTATGGGAGTATTGATTTGAAAACGTCGTATAACGTAATCCACCACCGAGCGGGACAAAATCTCTTGGCCTATCCGTCTCATCTTTTTCAACCTCAATCCTTATCATCTTCAGTTAGTAAATCACTCTCAGGCTCGCTCAGCTCAGAATCAGAAGACACTTCTGTAACCTTTTGACAGGTTGTAGCGTAGTGCCCAGGTTCTTTGCAAATCCTACAGCGCCGTATGCTGCTTTGAGCCCTCTTAGTATCCCTACAACTACGAGCCTTCTTCTTTGACTGAGCTGCGCTTGGTGATCCTGCAGGTACTAGAGAAGCTCTCTTACTGTACTCTAGTGTCCCACCTTTCTGAATCCTCTTCCGTTTGCATGACTTGCATTTGGTTATCTCCTTTAATTGCTCTTCAAGCTCATGGATGCATGCCTTTTGGAGCGTATTCTGGTGAAGCATCTATTCAGCACCTTTAATAAACATAGAGAAGCTCTCCTGTGCAGTAACAGGTAACCGAGTAGATGAGTCTTGTATGAGCTTTGACTGAGATCCAAATTCGTGTAAATTGCTTGGTGTTTTAGACTGCCACGGGGTCTCTGGTTGAGGAGGTGCTGGAGGGGTCTGGTATCGCACTTCAAGACATTCCAAGACTCTTAACGGATTAAAGGGAACAAGTCCTGTTGCCTCAAAGGCCTTCTTGCAGTTCTTTGTTGTAAACACGTCAAGAAACGCATCTCTAAATGCTGGCAAGAAGCCTTCTTTGTTGATGTGGAAGACATGTCGGTGTGCCAAGTCTCAAATATGCTGGGAATACTTCTGCTTCAAAGGCGAGAAGCAGATGACGTCAAGGGACTGGAGTATATGTGATGAATGAGCTGGCATACAGACTGTTACAATCTTGTTCTCCTCGCAGTAGTCCTTGAAATCCTGGTTGAGGTGGCTCTCGTGCCCATCTAAGATGAGTAACCTGTATACCCTCACCTTTTGACCCTTCGTACACATATCAAAGTGTTTCAACCATTCAAGACCAAGCTCATTGTTTGTCCAGCCATTCTCTGAGACTGAGAGCTTCTAATTCCCTGGTATACTTGTCTCCTCATACCATGCAGAGATGTGAACGCGGCCCTTGTAGATAATAAAGGGTGGGATTGCGTAGCCTGCAGCGCAGATACTCTGGATGACTGTAACCTACTCACGATCACCTGGCTGAATAAGCTCTGGTCGAGTACACCTCTCTGAGCCAGTGACAACCTTCATTGACCTAATCACACCCATCTGGAACCCACTCTCATCAAAGTTGTGCACGTCATCGTCCTGGATGCCGTACTTGGCCTTCACATTGGCCATGAGCCCAAACCAATCACCCACAACCTGAGGATCTTCCTGGAGACTTCTCTGACAGTCCTTTGCTCGATTGAACGCTGTTTTAAGCTCATTCGAACGTGTTACAAACCGTTCAGCCCAGTGCTTGCCTACTGGTTCTCCACCCCATACATCTAACATCTTATCTGCCATATCTGCAACCTCACACAGCCTAGGTGTAAACCCTCGTGAATCAAGGTCAAGGATATATTGAATAATCGTATACTCCTCCGTTGAGGATAGTTTCCGGCAGTTGGGTGTGGTTTTAGGTCGAAAGCTGCGGCCCAATGCACGATAGGCAAGTGTTGAATTTGGTACATTGTAGGCTTCTGCAGTGCGTCAGAGGCTTTTAAATTGGCCAGATTTGTAGGCTTGAAGGGCAATTTCAATTCGGCCTTCTTGTTTAGCCAAAATCACGTTGTTCTGTTGAGACATGTCGCGTTGAGAGATGAGATGGCTGGGCCAAGAAATTTTGTCCCGCTCGGTGGGTTGTCCCGCTCGGTGGTGGATTACGTTATAAATAATCAGCAAGCGGCAAGTCATACGTCGTAAGGCCAAGGGTGTCGTCCACATATAAGACACAGGACAATACTCTTGCCTTCCCAATTGCAAAGTAGCAATTCTTTTCGGCGCAGCTGCAGCCTCGCTATACGTACATATCCCGCGGACGGCTACTTGTAGCTGTCCACCACCTACCGGTCAACCCGTGGACGTTGCACTTCGCCTGACTTTCCTTTCTCGCTCGTCGGTGAAGATGACCCCCCGCGCCGCCCTAGTCCGAGACCCTGCCATCCACTTTATCCATCGACGTCTTACAATGTGTGACATTTCGCACACCAATACAATCCGCTGAATGACATTTTATATTCCTCAGTTATATCGTAATAATCAATGAATCTACTTTCCCGTCGGCCGGCGCCGACGTCATGCATTGACGCCTCATTCCCGCTCGTACCCAGGCTCTGGGCCCGGACAATGCACTGCGCATCACAGCGGAAAAGGAGGGCATGCCATCTCCCCATCTCAGGCACGGCGGAAATATCCACTGTTCTCCAGCAACCCTTTTTACGAACGATAGGTATCCGTGGACTTCCCAGTTTGGCGGTTGACACCACACTCTCACCGTGCTTCCTATTTCCGCGGCTAGCTACCTAGGTACTTCGGTACAGCATAGCATCCATAAAGGCTTGTCTCAAACATGAACGCCGCCATGGCGACTGACCGATGTCTTGATTCGACCTCGGCCTTGAGCCGCGGTCTGGAACAGGAAGCTCAAGATTGGTCGAAGCTGTCCATCAGTGATGATGAGTTGCTCGACCCTTTCTTCCAAGCAGGCAACGTCGATGAACCACCAGCCAACAGTTTTGATGAACTGTTTCAAGATTATATCGAGTTGAATGAAGGGAACCAATCGTTCCCCCAAGTCAGTGCCGCAGAGGTATTGACTGAGAGTTGCAGTCTGGCAGCTCACGTCTACTCGGTGTCGAACGTGGCAAACAATGCCTTCTATGAAGTGGATCCTGACTTGAATAGAGTGCACAGCCCGTTACCCCAGGTCGACACTAGCTTCGAGGCAGCGAACGATCAATTCTCCCAATTCGATACGGCCTTCACAGCACTCAGCAGGTGCTCAGACACTTCTGCGTCCGACCATCACTTCCACGAAAGTTTCTCCAGACTTGACTCCGTCCCTGAGGACAATGTTGCTTCGCTTCCTGCCTCCACCTGCGAAGGCCCGTCGCCCGGGATTCCCTTCTCTTGGGAAAGCAACACAATCCCCTCCACGGCTGCAACCTCCCTAGGCGAATGGGACACAATTCCTGCCGAAGCCCCTCAGACGGAGGTGGCGTGTCTACCACAATTGGGAAACAGTTTCCCAACTGTTGGTCGTTGTCCGATGAGCAGCTCCGCACCTGGGCCCATATACACACCGAGTTTTGATATCCGGGACATTTTAGCCTCTCAATTGATTGGGATTAACGAGAAGAGGTTACAAAGACCAAAGTCCACGGCTCCTGGTATTTCCGAGGAAGCTCCACTACGGCCTATACCCGTCTCGCAGAAGAGATCAATAGCTCCGGGAATCGGGATGTCTTCCGCCAACATCACCCAAAAATCTCAGTCGGAACTCAGCGCGGTACACGGAATCAATATATCCCAGCCAAATCGACGATCAAGTTGTAACACAAACATGAGACGCCGCCAACGGCAGGCATCACTGGTACCAACCGGCTCATCCAGTTTGCCATATACCTTACCAAACTCCTCACATAACTCAGCCGCCGAAACCAGACTCTCCAAAAGCAGCCTAGCCAATCCCTCACACACATCCACACCCCTCAACATTATCCAATACCAACCACGTCCAGGGACTACTACATTGGCACCTTCATCAGCACCCGCCAACACAGGCAGTCAACCAAAAGGCCGAATTGGACCCCTGAAGTTAGAACAACGACGAGAGGCCGCTGAGATGCGGAAGATCGGAGCTTGTACGAATTGCCGACAGAGGAAAGCGAAGTGTGATTCCGGAACACCTTGTCAGTCGTGTTTGAAACGACTGGGATTTGCGCTGTTGGAGATTCATCCTTGCGTGCATGTTCGTCCTCCAATGTCGCCGTCGGTAAAGTCGTCGCCGTTCCTTGCGAGCTTGGATGGACGGCTGGACGATATAAGATTGGAACCTTCGACTCCGTTAGAAGAGGTAAACATATGAGTCTACGCTAGACTCGGCGTCAGGAGGGGGTTGAAGGAAAGGTTCTAGAGGCGAACGCAGGCGAAGAGAAGTTGGCACTCTCCTTCAGTGTCACTTTCCACTTTCCTGATTTTCGAGCGATAGGACTGACCTGTTCGACCAGTCGCGCGGCGTTCTTCCAGTGTCCTCTTGACTACAGACGTAAGAGCTGGGGAGTGCCGCGTTCCAGGAGCTGCTATATCTGGCTCCCATGAGCGTTTACACTCTATCCGTTCTTGGAGATATTGCTAGAATGTTTGGATTATTGGACGATTTCCGAGTATGGAAGACGCGGTTCACTTACGATTTATGATTACGACGATTATGATGGCGCATATGGCATATATAGACAGGCAGTTGCATGCCTGAGACAGTGATCTTCATAGCTGTTGTTATTATTGCTTGCAGATGGGGGCTAGGCGTATTGGCGCATTCAATTTTCGAGGTTGTCCTTAAGCTTGTTGGGTGTCTGTACGCTCTTTGAAGAACGCACTAGACACATGATAAGTAGAAGATGGGATCCACGGATTGGCACGTAGGTAGCTTCGGATAGGACTTTTTGGTAATCTCCGTAGCTTTATGTGAACAATGTGCATCTTCCGACGTTCCGTGCGACTTGGCGATAGACCTGCGACAGTCAAATACTTCAACCAATGCCAAGTTGTGTAATTGAAGCAGGGTAATGCAGATCTTGACTTATCTTGACTTCAACCACACAAACACATTTCGAACACAGTTTTAGAATATTCTCATATTCGATCTTGCAAAAGTCTTGCAACCCCGAAGAATTCTTTCCTTCAATATCCCAATTGACGCCACCCGATGCCATCTTTGTACAATATCGTACAGCCATTCCACCAACCTTTCCGCTACCCCCACCTCCAGAAACCCCTCTCCCTCTAACCCTTCCCCCCTACATCTGCACCCTCCCCATCCCACCCCTCTCAATCCTATTCAACTTCCTCGCCGTATTAATCTGCGTCCTGGTATTCTGACCCCTCACCGGCAAACCCATAGCATGCCGTCTCCCCCTATACGTGCCCATATCCTTCAACCGTCGAATATTATCCTGCACCTCCCTCCTGAGATCGTTTTCTATCTTCATGCTCGTCAAATCGGCGGTTAGAGCGAGGACGGTGGGGTTTTTGAGACTGCCGACTTTGGCCCAGGGGTGGATGTGGTGGCGGGCGAGGATGGCGCGGGAGACGCTGGGGCCGATGCCGTAGAAGGATTCGAGACTGCGTTTTACGAGCGTCGAGTCGGGGAAGTTGAAGCCGAAGATGAAGACCTGGGGTGCGGTGGTTAGATGGCTGTTGGGGGAGAATCGATGGGGGAGATGGTGGGTATGCGTACCATGTTGCCGGCTGCGTGCTGAAAGTGAAGTTCAATGGGTTAGGGGGAATGTGCAATGATCTCTGCGTCCTGCGCTGTCACGTCGCAATCGTCTTCGACTTTCCCTCTCACAAGTTATTAGAAGTTCGGAGCTTGGCCCGCGGAGGTGAAAGCCTCCCCTTTCCCTGTCCGCTAGATTGCCTCCCATTGGCGGATTGAGGTATCCGGAAGAATACTTTTGCCGACGGACCGCCATAGCTTCCACGTTGCATAACAGTTTCAGGGCGAGCCCCTCCTTCTTGTCCTCTTAATCCCTCTGCTCCCGTCGAAGACTGTTCAAGATGGCTTCGATTCAGCGATTCATCATCTCGGTGTTGGTGGTCTTGTCGGTGGCGTTTGTGTTTTTCGCCCAGGCGGCGGATGCGGCGAAGGGCCCGAAGATTACGCATAAGGTATGTTGATATGGAGGTGTGTGAGGAGTAGAAGAGGGCATGTGTTTTGGGGAATAGATTGAATATCATTCTGGGTGTACTGAACTGGGTTATGGTTCGGTTGAGAAATTGGGGATCAATTGAGCGGGATGATCGAGTATTGAGCAATTGATGTGCATTGGGCTAACCTCTGAATTGTACAGGTCTACTTCGATATCAAGCATGGCGACGAGGAGCTTGGACGCATTGTGATGGGTCTGTATGGCAAGACTGTTCCCAAGGTACGGCTTCAAGCATTCCCTCTCCATGAGCTCAAGCTGATCCGTTGTCAGACCGCTGAGAACTTCCGCGCTCTGGCTACCGGCGAGAAGGGCTTCGGCTATGAGGGCTCCACCTTCCACCGTGTCATCAAGGATTTCATGATCCAGGGTGGTGACTTCACCAACGGTGATGGAACCGGTGGCAAGTCCATCTACGGCCAGAAGTTCCCGGATGAGAACTTCAAGCTCAAGCACACCCGCAAGGGCCTCCTCAGTATGTACTTCCCATTTTCAATGAGCAGATCAGCCCTAACATCTCCCAGGCATGGCCAACGCCGGAAAGGACACGAACGGCTCCCAGTTCTTCATTACCACTGTTCCCACCAGCTGGCTCGATGGCCGTCACGTCGTCTTCGGAGAGGTCTTGGAGGGCTATGAAATCGTGGACAAGATTCAGAATGTGGAGAAGAACCCTGGCGACAAGCCCGCCAAGCCGGTCACAATTGTGAAGAGCGGCGAGCTGGAGATGCCCGAAGAAGGTATTCACGCGGAACTCTGAGCAAGTATATAGCTACCATGTGCATGTAGAGTCGCTGATACATTGCCTCTTCTCAAGATGATTCCGATGATATGGTGGCTGCCATCGAAGGTGACGATGCCGATGTTGCTGAGGCACAGACAGAGTTCGCTTCTTTCGCAGAGCATTCCGTTGACCATGCCCTCAAGGGAGCTTCTGGCGAGACGGCAACCATCGCAGCCACGGCAGATGCCAGCACGGAAGGCTTGTCCTCTGCCCAGAAGCTCTTCTTTCTGGGTGCTATAGTCTCAGTCTGCGTACTCTTCGTGCGTTCGCGGAGGGGCAATAACGGCATCGGAATGGAAGCGTACAAGGAGAAGAGCATGGCATAGTGGCGAGGCCAGCTTTACGGCGACGTAAGGTGCTGACATGACACTTCGCCTCTTCGCCTGTGATCGGCTTCGCTCTGAGTTCCTGATCGGCTAGTGCTGATCGCTGTTGTATTCTTATTAGTTCACTCTGGTGTCCTACCTCGTGCGAAGTAGGCCTTTTCTCAGTGGGTAAGGTCGGACCAAGTAAGACGGCACTGAGATCTGGAGGTTCTACTTGTGTAAGGGCAGATGCGGCGGGTGTTAGTCCAGTAGATTGATGGCAAACGTCTTAGGCGTGCGCACAGGTCGCCGCCCCAGGTTCCCATCCTCCCTCTCTGTGTGGCTAGCTGAGTCGGTGGTCGGTGGTGGTGCACATGTGGAGGTCGAGGTGCGTGGGTGGGTCGCCTCCAGTGCCCTGCGCTTCGCCGGGAAGAATTTCCTGCACGCTCACCGCAAGGTCCAACCCGCGAGAATCTAGTCCGAATCAGGCTAGCAGCGTGGTGGCGAAAACGAAAAGAAAAAGGTCCCTTCGCTTGCCGTGCCTCCTTCCTCCCAACAACCACCTCCTCCAAAATCCACACTTTTCCAAGTGTCCTTTGAGTTTTCTGCATCCTCTGTCCTCTGCGTGTGGAGTCCTTTCTTTAATAGTTTGGTCTTCACATTCATTTTCTTTGGTCGTTAGGGAAAAAGGGACATCTGCACTCCTTTTTTCCTGCTGTCACGAAGAGTTTCAGGCACGTTTCCGCCTGCCAGAGTCACTTTTACGAACGACAAACCTTTCGTCGCTCCCCGCGTGCGACTCTTATATCTACCTAGCCGATACACGTCTCCGCTACGACAAATCTTTTCCCAAGCCTAAAACCACACAACTTCTTCAATATGGCTGAACAACTCGATATGGGCCGTCTCACTCTGAACGACTCCCAACACGCTCCCGGCGCTGGCAACTTCCCCAGCGACCGCGCTGCATACATCCCGCCTCACCTTCGCGGTCGGCAGCAGGCTGCTGCTCCTGCCCCCCTCGATGGACCTCCGCCCATGATGAACGGCGGTGGCGGTATGGGAGGCGGCGCCTGGGGACCCCCTCCTCCGTCAGTACAACCTCACCACTACTTAAACGATCATAACTTACTGACTTCTCGCAGGCGTTATGGTGGCCCTCAACAGCGACACGACGGCGGCGGTAACTGGGCCAACGCCCCCAACTTCACCCCGCGAGGTAGCAACGCCCCCCAACAAACCGGAGCCGGCTGGGGAGCTGCTCCGGCAAAGTTCGACCCTAATGCTTACGGAAAACCAGGTGCAGGAGGTTCCGGCTCTTCTGCGCGTGGATCTGGTGATGGACAGTGGAGGGACGGCAAGCACATCCCTGGTCCGGCCAATCCTCGCCTTGAGCGTGAACTTTTCGGAACTCCCAACGATCCCTCGAAGCAACACACCGGTATCAACTTCGAAAAGTACGACGATATCCCCGTTGAGGCTTCAGGCCAAGGTGTCCCTGAACCCGTCACCGCATTCACCAACCCCCCTCTGGATGACCACCTTCTGAGTAACATCGAGCTTTCTGGCTACAAGGTCCCAACACCTGTGCAGAAGTACTCCATCCCTATCGTCATGGGTGGTCGCGACCTCATGGCCTGCGCTCAGACTGGTTCCGGAAAGACCGGTGGCTTCCTGTTCCCTATTCTCTCCCAGGCCTTCCAAACTGGGCCAACTGCTGCCCCTGCTCAGCAGGCCGGAGGCTACGGCTATGGTCGACAGCGCAAAGCCTACCCGACTTCTCTCATTCTCGCCCCGACACGAGAGTTGGTTTCCCAGATTTTCGACGAGGCTCGCAAATTCGCGTACCGCTCTTGGGTCCGCCCCTGTGTGGTCTACGGTGGTGCCGATATTGGCTCTCAGCTGAGGCAGATTGAACGTGGCTGCGATTTGCTCGTTGCCACTCCTGGTCGTTTGGTCGATTTGATTGAGCGCGGCCGCATCTCCCTCCAAAACATCAAGTATCTCGTGCTTGACGAGGCTGACCGCATGTTGGACATGGGTTTCGAGCCTCAGATTCGTCGCATTGTCGAGGGCGAGGATATGCCTCCTACTGCTGCTCGTCAGACGCTCATGTTCTCGGCTACCTTCCCCCGCGATATTCAGATGCTTGCCCGCGACTTCTTGAAGGACTACATCTTCCTTTCCGTTGGTCGTGTGGGTTCCACGTCCGAGAACATCACCCAGAAGGTTGAGTACGTTGAAGACGTCGACAAGCGCTCTGTCCTGCTCGACATCCTCCACACCCACGGTGCTGGTCTGACGTTGATCTTCGTCGAGACCAAGCGCATGGCCGATTCCCTCTCGGACTTCCTGATCAACCAAGGTTTCCCTGCCACTTCGATCCACGGTGATCGTACTCAGCGTGAGCGTGAGAAGGCTCTCGAGATGTTCCGTACTGGACGCTGCCCCATCCTTGTGGCCACTGCAGTTGCTGCCCGGTAAGTTGAGACAGTCATAACTCATCGTGCTATTGCTAACAACGTTTTAGTGGCTTGGATATACCCAATGTCAAGCATGTGGTTAACTATGACCTGCCAACCGATATCGACGACTACGTGCACCGTATTGGCCGTACCGGTCGTGCTGGCAACACTGGTATTTCGACCGCCTTCTTCAACCGTGGCAACCGCGGCGTGGTCCGTGACCTGATCGAGCTGTTGAAGGAGGCCAACCAGGATGTTCCCCAATTCCTGGAGTCCATTGCCCGTGAAGGCTCCGGCTTTGGCGGTGGCCGCGGTGGTGGCCGCGGTGGCCGTGGCCGTGGTAGCCAGGCTACCCGTGACGTCCGTCGCTATGGCGGTGGGGGTGGTGGCGGTGGAGGCTTCGGTGCTGGCGGCGGCGGCGGCTGGGGTGCTGCTCCTCAGGCTGGTTACGGAGGAGGCTACGGCGGTCCTCCCGCTGGCGGCTACGGTGGCGGCTATGGAGGAGGTTATGGTGGCGGCGGCTACGGCAACCCATCTGGCCCTGCTGGTAGCTCCTGGTGGTAAATTCCAGGATTCACGACCTAACGATTCCCGGCCTCTAATATCTTTCCCGGTTCTGGTTTCTTAAAGGTCCGTTCGAGGAAGCCTACTCCTGAGCTTCCCTTCTTCAACATCTCGTTTTTCTTTTCTTTTCCCAGGTTTCTGCGACTCGTTTCTCGACTACGAATCGCCGCGGAAGACCGGAACTTGCTCTCATACCCCGATCAGCATATAGACAGCGACTGATTCTTTGCGGACTGCCTTCTTTTCGAGCTCTATCCACTTCATTCCAGGATACCCGATCGCTCTATCGTCGAACTCACGGCGAGCTCGATTCTAGACGGCAGAGGCGCGAAGCCTTAACGCGGAAATAATGCATGACGACCAGCTTATGTCTCACGCTGCACCAATGTGCGTGCTGCTTGGGGAGCGCCCAACGATAGATCTCGTTTTTCCGGCTTTCGCCAGACGAGCCGATGACCTGTGTTTTCATCTTTTTTCTTTTACGTTGCACATTTCAACAAAAGCGATTCCCTTTCCTTGTCATACCCCGGCGAACGAGTTCTCGCCATTCTGCATGCGAGAATCACTGGTGATGGATTACTTTGGGCAACTAAAAAGATTCACTGGGAAATCCGGTGGATGCTCGCACATAGATGGCGTTTATGAGGCTTTTCTGACGGACCCTTTCGGGGTTTGCACTGGGAGAGGCCTCATATTCAGGGCTATGGGCTGGTACAGGCCCCCTTGGTGGAAGCGCTTGGTTTACGCAGTACAGCAAGTTTCCACCCTCTATGACTTGGGCATGGGAATCAAACAAAAGCACAGTGATGGAATGGATTAGTTCAATAGACCTGGTTGTATCAGGCATCCATACAATGACTTGGTTCCTCATTTTCATCTCCATGATGTGACTGACCGTAAAGGGATTGATCAACATGCGTATGTTAAGTCTATATCTAGTGTGTGTGTGTGATGACAGACCAAGCCGCACCGACTTCTGGAGTTATTCGTTCTTCACCACGAGTCCATGGTCGTGCATCGCTAGAGTTGCTGTAGTATGCGTAGGTACAGTCTACACGTTCCTCAAAGCATCTTGGCCACACCGTGTTTTTCTCAATAGAGAGCCAAGCTTGATATATTTGATCTTCCAAGGGTCCGTCACCCGTACTCATGGAGCCAATGTGGCGGTAGGCCCCCGGAACGGGCCCCTGCTCTGGTGACATTCCAGACCGATCGGAGAGAAGTTGATCCGTGCCGCCCTCGATATGAGCTCAACTTGTTGGAAAGAGCTCCTATGCTTCTGTTAAGATATCTCTCTAGCTATTGCATGTGCAGGTGATCGTGCATTTTTGTTCCTTTAACCCAAAGTTGGCGGTCCAACCGCTGCGATTAGTCTGGTCAGCTCCGACGAACATGGATCCAAGTAGCCCCGTCGCTGCGGCACCTCCGCGCGACCACCACGAACAAACCCCAAAGACGAGCCTTCGACATATTTTGGCCTCGGAGCCCGACATGGAGGAAGGCAAACCTTCTGCCTCTCGTCGCAATTCCCCCGGACCGGAAGGCAGCGCGGCAGCGCACGATGACATGACCAAGGATGACGTCGAGACGCAGCCCTCGTACAGGGCCACTACCACCACCACACGGCGCAATGCGAACGGAACCGTGTCGTCTGTGTATGCGGGAAACAAAATCAGGCATTTGAAGAAGGACGACGGTATACCGCTGTGGCGGAAGGACATTCAATACGACTTCCTCCGATATGTATTCGAAGACGACAAACGCGTATTTCACAAGGTCACGGACGGACCTGGCGGAGAGCTGCACACGTTTGCGGATATCTATCTGGATGCTATGGCGAATAGCAGCAAGTGCAGTAAGATCTTGAAAGACAAGCTACTTAGCGAGCGGCCCGCAGCAGTCAACATGGCCATGGTGTGCCTGCTGGTCAACGTGGGGAGAATGAACACTACGCTCAATTGTAGGTTGTGTGGTACTGTGCGTATATGGAGTGCTAACTGAGGGTAGTCTTCCCTGAGATGCGCGCCCAGCTCCGAACATACCACTCGATCCCATCCTTGCAAGCACACCAAGATCCAAACGCGTACAAGCAGCTGCAGGATGCTCCTAGGCTGAAGTCAATCTTGAAGGGAGCATCGGAAGACGTAGAGCAGCCTAACACGATCGAGGACATCAAGAAGGCCGCAATCCCGCGTACCAATCCTGTCAACCTCATCTTCGTCCTCTCGCAGTATGCTCCCAAGATCTCCGAGATTCATTTCTTCCCTCCCCGCGATTTCTTCGACCTTGTGATGCGCCCCAGTCTCAGTAGCCGAAGCCGAGCGACCGCCTTCTTATGGCTGATGTGGTGGTATCTCGAGAGCAACTTCACCAAAGAAGATGCATTGAACAATCCATTTGGGCCTGGACAGTATGCCGACCCTAGCGATTCGGAATCGGGCGCCGTACCTGTCAAGTGCCCGCCCTTTGAGATTCTCACGCCCGAGCAGGAAGCGTTGGAGAATGTGGATACGCCTGACGAGAAGAATTTTGGCGAGGAGAAGAGGAAGGAAAGAATCGCTATCTTACAGAGCGATATGGCTCCTGTAGTTACTGGACCGAAACGGTCCGGTAAGAGAGGTGGGTGTCATTCTTTTGCCGAAGGTGTTCCAGAATCGAGACGGCAGCCGCCCACTGAAGCTTGGGCACGAATATGGCCTGCTGTGAACCCGTTTACGGACGCCGTAATTCATGAGAATTTTGGTGCTGGGACCGGTTTGACTGGCGGTCAGTATATGGCTAGCTTGATCGAAACATGGATTCCCTTATAAACCCCCATTTGGCCACCTTTAGCTGACGATATAACAGGCTTCACGCAGAACCCTGTGTTTTCTGTGTTGGCAGACGATGGAGCAACTACTCCTGGCAAAGATAGACAGTCACCATCCCATGGTAAGCGATCAGTTACCTTGTGTCCAACTAAGTCCTAATAGCACTCAGGATCTGCACGAGGTCGGGGCAAGCTCGCAAAATCAATCCTTGAGAGAGACTATCCTTCAGATACTGACCGTACACGTTCAGCCTCACCACCGGGAAGCGTCATTGGGACCGCTAAGAAAGGTACCCCCAACATGCGCATAAACACCCTCATCAACGACGGAGCCACGACCCTAACCCCGGCCCCCAAAGGGCCCGGGCGAGGCAACTGGTCGCGCAAACCGGGCGGCAGTGCCCGCGGCGCAAAAACCCGACTCGACGTCCAAGGCACCTCTCAGGAAGGCCAATCTCCGTTAACATCGACAGTACCCCCAGTATCCACCTACACGGGCCCCCACGGCTTCTACCTGCCCCTCAACGGCTCCGACCCCAGCCACAAACGTACGAGACCGCTCACGGCGCACCAACTCGCCGTCGAGCAATTCCGCCGCCGGCGCGTAGACGTCATCCTCGACCGCGGCCTTCGCGCAGAGTACGAACGGGCGCGTAAACGGCGGCGCGGGGAATCGTCCTTCTTGCGCTCGTGGGTACGATGTAAAGGCATGACGGACGGGTACGACACGGACGAGGAAAGCAACATCCAAGCGCTGCAGCAGGCGGACATCGAGCATGGGAGTAAACAGCCTCCGCCGATGTTTGCGGGCTTGTTGCCTCTGAATTATGGAGGCGAGGTGAATGATTATGGGGAGGAGGCTTATTGGCGGCGGAAGATGATCTCGAGGGTGGTGAGGAGGTTGGACAGGTGGGAAAATGGTAGGGAGGTGGTTAGGGTTAAAGGGGGAAAGAGTGGGGGGTTGAGGGCTCCGGGGGAGGGAGCTGGTGGTGGTGGGGGTCAGGCGAATGGTGTTGGGACGACCGGGACGACGCCGGCGGCGAAGAGGAATGGGTTGGAGCGGAAGGTGGAGGATGATGAGGAAGAGAGGGAGACTCTGCAACTTGATCAGCGGCGGCGGCGGGGAGGGGAGAGGGACAGAGAGGATGAAGAGCAGGAACAGGAAGATGAGGACGAGGAGATGCAGGATGTGGGCGAGGGAGGAGGGATGGATGAGGAAGAGGATGAGGACGAGGAAATGTACGATGGGCATTCGTTGCCGCCGCTTTCGACCGTGGTGTAGCGTTTACCGTCGAGTTTGGTGGGTTTTCTCTAGATGATGGGTGCGCTGGGATCACGGCTTGGGTTGGTAGGCTTGAATGGGATGGTTCCATTTCTGGTGTGTGGAAATAGGGTGAAGGAGTTAGGGGTTTACTCCTGGTTTTAGCAGTGCTTGCGTCTTATTAGTGAGGAGACTCCAGCTTGTATTCCCAGAGAGGTAGGAAATGGATTGCCAAACCCGCATGGGGGTTATCAGAGAGTGTGGAGTCAACCAAAGATACTGAAAGGATTGAGTACTGGCTGCATATGCGATTCGCTCTGCCTTTTGTTCCAAGGTAAGCCTAAACATCAGTCATGTAAACGCCCAGACGATCATCATGACGGGTATCATTTCTCGAAGACAAACCATCTCCTTCCCTTCCCCTTCCCTTCCACTCCGCCCTACTATTCCCTCTTCAACACTCTTCAACCTCTTTTCTCCCCCTAAAACAAGCCTAACCCCTAACATCAAAAGCCACCTTCTCCACCTCCAAGCTCTCCAAATCCAGCACCACGACCTGCCTCGTCTGACTGAACCTGGGCACCGCGATAAGCAGCACTCGCTGGCCCGCGGGACCCGTAATCACCCGCTTCGCAAACTCCGCTTGGTTGCCGACAATGTAGATGTGCGGGCAGTCCTTTACGATTAGGGGGTCGTCGTCTTGGAAGGGATAGCACCCTATCGTCAATTCATTAGCTTTCCACCACTCCAATCGGCAAGAGGAAATGATACTTACACAGCGTATCCGGCGCCGTGGGAGCTATACATCTCCACCTCAGCATAAACTCCATGACATCCAGAGCGCCCACACTCCCAAGGGAAACATACTTCATCAAGTCGTCGACATTCTGGCCTCCGGAGCCGACGACGCGCCAACCCTCGATGTCGCCTTCCCAGGGGTTCGTCACGCTGTCCAACCCTTCGCGCGTCTCGTTGCTCGAGGCCGGAGGGTTGGCGTAGTGTCTGCTCTTCGGAAAGAGCGCAGGATGCAGCGGTTGCTGGGGTAGCGCCACGTTTGCGGGATCGGAAGCGCCGGGGAGAAGGGTGACCGGTACCGTTGGCAGTATCTGCGCGAGGAAGTCGTCGAGGCGTTCCGAGGGCGAGGCGTTGTAGGCCGAGCTGTCGTATCCGTAGTGTTTCTGCTTGCCCGCTTTTCTCGCAGCCGCGAAATCTTCCCTCGACAGAATGGGAGATGAGTGCGACAGACTGTTGCCCGCGATGAGAAGGCGGGAGAATTTCGTGCGGGGGGTTTGGTCTGGCGGACCGCCGGATTCGCAGGTGAGGTATTCTATGAAGAGATCCAGCGGTACGTCGTCGTCTTCCGTGCCCGTGATTTCGAGTCCCGAGACGATGGCGAGTTTGCCGGATTCGCCCTTTCTCTTCTCTGATTTGCGTTGTGGGACCGGTTTCTTTGCCATTGCCAGCGCCGAGTCGTCGCGTTCCCACCGCTGGGGTTGCCGGGGCAGATCCGCCCATTGCGTTGCTAGGACGTGAAACGCGCCGTCTGCTTGTTCTGTGCCTAGGGCCGCGAGGACGCAGCCTGTGACGTACGAGTACGAATCATCGTTGGTGGAGGAATTGGTTATTGCGCCGGTGAGGCGCAGGCGGCCGGATTCGTCTTCCAGCATCATTGCGTCGTTTGTGGATTTGTAGGTGGCGCGGGAGGGTGGGGCGGCGATCCAGTGCTAAAAGGGTCAGGTATTCTGTATGTGCAGGAATGTGAGCAAGTGGGAAGTATACCTCTTTGGCTATGTCGTCGAGGATATTGGGCTTCAAGCCCATCTCGATGTACACTGTACCAATGACCCAGCATAGCTCGCCTTGCCGCACATCTAACACTCGATCGACGAATCGTGCTTGTTCGTTCCCAAGCTATCCAGGAATCAGTTTGCTGAGCACTCGTCCCATAACTTTATGGAGAAAGCTACCTTGAAGTCAGACCAGGCGTCCTGCGCCTTCTGCCTCACTGCCTCCTTCAATTGCGCCAGTCTTAGGAAGTACATGTCCGCGAATTGCTGTCTGTAGTGCTTATCTGCTCCCTTCGGGAGCTCGAATGTGTGCATTGGATTGTACGAGGAGGGGAGACGCGAGGGGAGATACGCGGGGTCTTCACTATAGTAGTAGATGGTGAGCGAGTTGCGGAGATTTGAATAAGATATATGTTGAGAACTTACAATGGCGCTCCTCGGAGCATATTTCCGTCTGAAGCTCCCATGATCTAAGGCTGTGTGGTTATGAAGAGAATCTGTAGCAAGAATAGCACGAAGCGTGAGGGAGGTGGTCGTAGATGGTGACGTTCTTCTGGAGCGGGACTCCAAAAACTTTGGGCATCTCGCGTCGCGTCGCGTTGCGCTAGACGGAATAGGAAATGTAAGAGGTATACAGTAGTACGGAGTACCATCCGAACAGATCCTATAGACGATTCAGAACATTAGCAAGCATTTCAAGAACCCTGGAGTGCGCATAGAAGGTGAAGTATTAAAGTATACATTTATGTGAGTCTATAAATCTATCCACGCATTTTGCTCTCATCCAAACCAGAAGCTCATTTCCACCCCAATCATTGGCCATTACGAGTCGTAGTCCCCAGAAACTCGACTATTACAAAATCTTCATATCTTCTGTAGAAATATGTCCCCCAAAACCCTGATCTATAATATATGGTCGGAAGAGTCCCAACTCCAAGCATTAGCATTCGATTTGATTACCCCCAGTAAATGCCGCCGAAAAGCATCCCGTTTTCGAACCGAATTCGACCAATGCCTCCACGAGATTGACTAAATGCAAACCGGGTTTACATCATCTATCCCTCGTCAGCTACCATTCACCACGTCTCACAATTCAAACAAAAAGCTCACCAGCGCAACACCCCCAGCAACCACAATCGCAACAACGCTCCCAGCAACTCCCAGCTTACTCGCCGCACCTGGAAAAGGAACGAAACTGGTCGTCGGAGTCGGCACGCTAGGAGGAGTGGTGGGTGCGGATGTACCGGTCGGGTAGATGGGCGCCAAAGTCGTGTTGTACGAGGGGACGTAGGTAGCGGATGCCGTGGAGGCGGCGAGCAGAGTGAGGAGGGAGAGGGAGAAGTGCATTTTGAAAAGCGAAGGACTTGGTAAGGTGGTGGTTTGGTTTGGATTCGAGGAGTGGCTTCAATTGAGGTGGACAGATGGATGGAAGGTTGTCAAGCGAATGAATACGCCCGGCCCTCGAAGACGTTTGTTGTTCAGAGTAAGAAACAGAACGACGAAGTAAGTTGCTTGCTTTGTGGATGTACAGAAACAACTTCCTCGCGACTCATCCTCTTCTTATTATATCCCCCCTCCGCCCTTCTCGACACCTGCGTAACGCAGATGGCAAAACCCCACCACTTGTGCGTCTCTAACCTCCTCTTTCTCTCTTCCCATTAGCCGTCACCATGGCGATCCACATCGCGTTGACGTCGTGCTTCCATCGCCCCTCTTCTTCCTGCGGGTTTGTTATTCATGCTCCAATGACCTTCCTGTTGCTGGCGACACACGTCTGCAGGGGATCTGCGTGGTGGCCGGAAAGAGTGGGGAGAGGTGGCTGGCTGTCTGGACAACGATCTGCAGCAGTGGAGTTTTTCAATCATGGTTCGAGGTGGGAGCTCGACAAAGCAAAGGGGCTGGGGCTGGGGCTGGGTGAGGCGCCAGCAATGCACGTGTCAGCCACGATTGAGAAAGCCGTCGTCTCCTGGAAGTCCGAGGATTCTCTCCTTCCTGCTTCTAAGCAGTTTGTCAGGACTATATGCGGGGAACGGATGGTGGACTCTAAAAAGTGCAATCACTCGACACCAAAAGGACTGGGCTGAGAGGACGACGCACTATGACTTTACAAGTGTAAATAAATACAAACGACTCACTTCCATGTGCGATTAAGAAAATGACTTCGCAATGTCTAGCCCGTCTTCTGAAGCGTAGACCAGTCTTTTCAATGAAACATATTCTGGGAAAGGGGATTCAGGACTGAAATAAAAGACTTCCGAATTGTTGCTGCATTGGTATCACTAAGCCTTCATATACGATACTTGCCCGCCAGGTTACATGCCCCATCGTCATTACATCCATCCCAACGCCCATTGCTCATGCCAAATATTCCAGCACATGCTCAAATGCTCGTACCCGAACCCATATGGAGTTTCCTCCAGACAACCCCCCACAACAAAGCCAGAAACACCAGGTATATCGTAGCAATATGACGAAAAAGCTCTCCGGTTCTGACAAAACACCTGCAACGCCTTGATTCACGGATATCGCCAACCATATACTTCGTTGTATCGTTACACACGCCTCCCGCTATCCCTCCTCTTCACCCACTCTCAGTATCGTCCCCTATCCTCGGTGGACTCCCGGAATGCGAACCATTCCGACTGCCGAACGGCGACGTGCTTCTCCTGCATGGTCACTTGTCAGTCATCCCCCAACGATTAGAAAGTCTTCCTTTGTAGAAAGAACAACTGCAGCAGAGGGAGGGAAAAACCTACGAGCGCCTCTTCTCCGCCTCCTTTCTCCTCTCCTCGATGATCTTGACCATCATTTTCCGTCCCCCCTTGGCATCCACATCCTGGTCGCGCATACTCATGCTGATCTTCGAGCGAGAGTCGTGCCGCAGCAGGCGCTTGAGGAGGAGGTGCCGCATCAGCAGGCAGACGTAGACGCCGCAATCGCTGCCGTTTTCCTGCTGCGGGGTATCTTGCATGGCCATGTACCTGAGCGGTTTCCCCAGCAATTTGCTCAATTGTTTCGTCGTGGCGCGGGCTTCGCGGTCGTTGGAAGGGGCCAGCGAGTCGTAGTGGAAGGCCACGCCGTCGATGACCGAGACGACGATGAGGGACCAATGGGTGCCGCCTTCGGCAGCGGTGGGGTCGACGTTGTCGTTGACGGGGAGGAAGATGTGGGTTGTGGCTTTGAAGTTTGGGAGGACGTCCTTGAGCGTGAGAGGATCCGGCGTGTTCATGAGCATGAAGGACATGCTGGGTCGGAGGAGGACGATGTTGGCTTGCGGGTAGGCCGAGAGGTGTTCCCGTTCGATGTATTCTTCCCAGAAGGCGATGGCATTGTCGGTGAGCCAGTCGTTCTTGATGCTGTCGACGTCTCCGTTCGTTAAGCGCACGTCGTGGTAGCTCAAGTAGGCTTCATCTGGACTCAGGCTGTCGCCAAAGTGGCGCTGCACCCTCTTCTTTAACCTGGACATAGCGCAGTGCAGTCGTGTGTTAGTCTCTTAAAGGCAAGGAAGGATGCGCCGCCCCGGTATGTGTTCGCAGGTCCCTCAGTAAGCAGTGAAGAAGGACAGCGAAGGGCAACGGTCAGAGGCGCAGTGTGATGGGAGAGGAAAGTTGTCTCTGCCAGACGTCATATAACACGCTCGAGGACTGGGGGCCATCCCGCAGTCGAGCAGGGATGAGAGCTGGGGTGGAACGATTCGTCGACGACGGAAGTGGGCAGAGCACAGCCACATATATATGTGGCTGTGCAGATCCGCAGAGACATCAAGCACCATTGCTCCCCAAGTGTCCGCACAGTAGATGCAATTGCACGAACTACGCCCGACCTGTTTGAAGAAGCTGGAGGAATCGTGGAAATGCATCTCCTAGCTCCTGTCTAGGAAATGGTAAGTTGGCAGCAAGGAAAAGGCTCCGCAATCACGAAGTCTTGGCTTCAGCAGAGAACTCTTATCGTGCATCTAAGTCGTGGATTCGTGGGTGAATGGCTCGCAGAATATGAATGTAGATGCCGCATCAAGATTCGTTTGCTGATTCTATCCTGGCTCATAAACTTTTGGGTTTCATACATCTAGTTGATTTCATTGAACCAATTTCCCACATTAGGGCAGCTCATCCACAGTCTCCTCCTTCTTGCCATTGGTCGGCTCTTGTCCCCCGACCGCAGGCTTGTCAACGTGGTACAACCAGCCGAACTTGTCTTCAATCTTCCCTTGCTGGATGCCCTTAAGGGTGCTGAGAAGCTTGACGCAGACAGGACCGGGTGTTTCCGCTGCGTCCTTGTACGTGATCTTGTCGCCCTTGGATTCCATGGTAATGGATTTGATGGGGACGAGTGCTGCCGCGGTGCCGGCTGCGAGGACTTCGTCGAAGGAAGAGAGTTCTTGGTAGGGGATCTGCGAAGCATTAGCGACTTTCGTAATGGAATGGGGTATGATTGATCCTCACTTCTCTGGACTCCGTTTCCCAGCCGAAAGACTCGCCAATCTTGAGGATGCTGTCGGCAGTCACACTCCTGATCACGTTCTTGCTGTTGGACGCAACAAGCTTGACCTTATCTCCATCCTTCTTGACACCGATGAAGGCGCTCGTCGAGAATTCATCAATAACTGATCTCGTCTTGCTGTCCAGGTGGAGAGTGATTCCGTAACCATCCTTGCGCGCCTTCTCGCTCCATCTCAGCACAGGCGCATAGTTGCCTCCCACTTTCGCAGATCCGGTACCCTCGGGTGCGGCACGGTCGAAGTGCTCCAAGATGAGGGCATCAACCGGATGGGTGCCGTGGTAGACGCCAGTTGGAATGCAGTAGACGACGAAGGTGTACTCCTCGGGCGGATTCAGTCCCAATTGCGCCGAGCTGCCGAACAACAGCGGCCTCACATACATGGCAGCGCCTGTCTCATGCGGGGGAACGTACGCAGCATTCATGCCAACGGCGAGCTTGCAGCAGGCAAGGAAATGCTCCGTCGGCACCTCGGGGATGGAAATGAAGGAAGCCGAATGTTGCATGCGCTCGGCATTCTTCTGGGGACGGAAGATGTTGATGTTGCCGTCAGGAGCGCGGAAGGCCTTGAGACCTTCGTAGCACTGCTGGCCGTAGTTGAGTCCTGGGGCCATGCCATGGATACGGAGGTAGGGGTCCTCGACAAATACTGGGTCGGTCCATTTGGCGGTCTTTACAGAGTAGTGGGACTCGACGTGGCCAGCGACTGCGGAAGGTTAGATGTGGGATTTGCGGTGATGGGATTTGGTACGGGATTGTACGCCATGAATAGCTCTTGCATATGTATGTATAAAACCCCGAATTCAATAGAAGCGTGCTTAACAGGAAAAGGAAATTGATGGCAAAGATGATTGACCCTACCTTCACGGATCTTGAACCCGATGTTGCTCCAGTCTGACGAGGAATTAGTACCTTGGGCTTGAATTGGTCTCAGTTTTGATCGGCAGCATACCAATAGTGGCTACGGGCTGCGGCGGGTACGATGACATGGCTGCTGTGTATTGTTGTTAGGGTGGAGTTGCGGAGAACGTTGTGGATGGGTGAGTTCCGCGCATTTGTTGGTGATGGTTGTGAGCGATATCGGTCGCCCCTAATCCGGCAACGGGGATTCCGTGAGCAACCGTCAGCATCCGACCGCAATTAGGTGGTAAATGGACCACTTGTGCGTTCTTCAGCACGAAGCCATCGCTCATCCGGCTTGCTGCTGGTACGCAGCGTCAGCGTACGCAGGGTCAGCGTGGAGTAAAAGTGACAACTTTAGCCGAGGGATTTGCGACATCAAGGTAAGTCTTGGCGGGCGGGTTGAATAATCTCAAGCTTTGGATGTTCTCACCACTCACTACACTCACTACGTTTACTCTCGCTCTGGTAGCCTTAGCTGAACATCTCTGCCATTCTTTTCCACTATCACTCGCGTTATGGTGTCCACAGGAGTCAAGGCTCGTTTTATATTGCTATTCATCCTTGTTTGCGCATTCATTTCTATCCTGATTCTTGGATCATATCAGACGCCCTCCGGCGTTCAACCTATCCCGCACACACCGGCAAAGCATCCGGGAGGTGAGAAGAATGGCGCATCCCTGACAGGCCATGCGATCGCGCCAAAGCTGGGCAACGAGACGGCAAAGTACGTCATTCGTGAGCAAGCATAGTCTTCCACTGCTGTGGCACAGGAATCATCTGTTTGCTCGGCCATGACTGACCTTCATTCCATCACAGGGCCGAACTTGGTCGCGCGGCATGGAAAGTGCTACACACGACTTTTGCCCGCTTCCCCGAGCAGCCATCGGAAGATGAGAAGGAGGCACTACGATCATTTGTGCACCTCTTCCAGAGGGTATACCCATGGTACGCCACCAGGCGCCTTGAACTGGAGTCAGGCGCAAAGCTAACCATGGTTGCAGCGGAGAATGCGCCGAACACTTCGGACAGGTACTAGCCAAATACCCTCCCCAGGTCTCGTCACGTTCGGCGGCAGCAATGTGGGGCTGCTTCGTCCATAACCTAGTCAACAAGAAGCTGAAGAAACCGGAATTCGACTGCGAGAAGATCGGGGATGCATATGACTGCGGCTGCGGGGAGGACGACAAAGACACGAAAGGCAAGGACAGTCTGCGCGCCGTATAGAACCCCGGGCGGAGGCGCAACAAGCGTGCGGCGCTGAAAGAGGCCTGATAAAGAGGGGGAACACCGACCAGGCCGTGCTGGGGCAGACTCGAGTGCAGAGTTGGGACCTGAGACGGTGGGTTTGAAAGACGGCTCCGCCACGAAGATGCAGGCCGTCTCGAGGGTCAGTTCACTGAGTTCAGGCTGACGTAGGAAGCGACTTCTGCTATCTGGAGGCGATGGCCCAGGAGAGCGGTACCCAGCGGGCTCGAGTGACTTCCAGGGGTTCGGAGGTGTTGGGTCAGGCTGTCAGCGGGTTTTAAGTAGGTCGATTGTCCTACCGCGGCGGAGAGAGGCAGGGCAGCGCGTGCAAGTGCCGGCTGGCAAATGGGAGAGCATGTGGTCAGCCCACTCAGCCATGGATCAGACATGTGGGCGGCGAGTTAACTCTGGGGATGTGGGATGTGGGATCATGTTGGTATAACTACGATGCGATAAGTATATCCATCAGTCTATCTGCGACAGAGGCGCAATTCTCCCCAGATGGCATGGCAGTGTCAGTTGTCCTTGTCGCCATGCCAGGTACGTGTGATGGCTGAGTGACGGACGGCGCGGTATGGCGGCGCAAGCAGGAGGAGACGGATGAGGCGTTCACCCTCTCACAGCTCCTGGTGCTCAAGTGCTCGCCGTCTGGTCGAGGTTCGGCGCGTGATGTATTTTTGGCCATGGGCGCGGATCGTGCATGGATGGCATGGGGGAGGCGCGGCGGACGGGCAGTCTTGCGGACATCCATGGATGCTGGGCAGGGGCAGGGGTTCCTGGACTAGCGCCAGTTGGAAAATCAGAGACTTGAAACTCGCTGGAAGCGCTCATCAAACATTGGACACCCCCCCGCCAGCTGGTAGAATATCCATTGCTGCCACTACCGCGATGCACTCCTGAACCACTGCTCACCGACTCATCTTCCTGTCTGTCCATTGACGTCCTGCCAGCTGTTCACCGCTCTTCTGCGCATCCACCGTTTCCCAGGCCCGCCATGGTCTCGTTTTCCTGCGAGGTATGTTTACACCATCTGTTCCCGCCCCAGGCATGCCGCATGCCCACACTTTGGGGCCGCGGCCGGCCTTGGAAATGAATCTGGTCTCCAGAGAAGTGGAAGCTGACAGGCGAACTGCTGCGAACAGAACTGTGGGGACGTCCTCACCAAGAAGAAACTCGATCCCCATCGCAACCAGTGCTATGGCGCCTCGTACACCTGCCTCGACTGCATGGTACATTTCCAGGGCACTAGCTACCGATCTCATACAGTATGTGGATTCTCCTAAAGAAGATATTCTCTTTCACAACTATTCTGCATTCAACATCAACGTAGTATGCTGCATGCATAGCGGCGCATCGCGTAAAATTCTGCGACTCGTCCCGTCCTGCAAGCTAACCACCGACCCACAGAGCTGCATCAGCGAGGACCAAAAGTACCAGGGCAAGCTCTACAAGGAGAAGAAGCCCAAGGGCCAGCAACAGAAGAACAACAGCAGCAGCAACAACGCACAGCAGAACAACGACTCCAAGGCTCTCGTTCCCCGCAATGCATATGTCGAAGACGCCCCGGACACCGGCGCTGTCGCCATTGTCGATGCTCCCCCACGAGCTCCAAGCCCGCCGCCCGCCTCACGGTCCCTGGGATATGAGGAGCGCGCCGCTCTCCCAGACGTGAACGTCTTCGACTTCCTCGACACCTCCGAAACACCCAATGCCTCCCGCGTGAACCTCAATCCCGTCGATGAATCCCGCATGATCGAAGACAGCATACCACCCGCCTACGAAGAGCATGCGAGCAATCCCGCTCCCGATGCTCTACAATTTCAGGCGCAGGACGAGCAGTACAACCAGAATGGCTATACCTACGGCGAGGGTGCCATTCCAGCCTCCAACGATCGCCACGACTCCTTCTACCTCACCCGCGAACAAGAACCAAACTTCAACTTCACAACCCCAGCCCCGAAGGTCAAACACACCAAATCCCGCGACAAGGATCCCCAACCCGACACAACCTCGAAAAAATCCGATCGCAAGCGCAAACGCAACTCCCCCGCCGAACTTGACATGTCTCTCGTTCGCGCTCAGCAGGACAGGGACGTCATGATGTCTGACGCGCCGCCCATGCTCCACTCGGGCCTCACAGGCGGCCTGAATCGTCTCCTGGCGAGACCCGAATTCCCTCCCAGCCCGGAACTGTCGGGAGAGTATGTGGAGAATTCCCCGCTGAGTCCGATGAAGCGCGCCAAGCAGGGGACATCGAAAGCGCTGATGCGCGCGCAGCGCGAGTGGGAGATTCAGCAGGAGAAGGAGCGGAAAGCGGAGGCGAGAGAGGAGCTGCAGCGCGAGAGGCAGGAACGGAAGGAGAAGGAGCGTGGGAGGGAAAGGGAGCGCAAGGAGAGGAAGGCGAGTACGGCGTTGGTTAAGATCAAGCCGAAGAAGAGACGGGACGACAGTGCGAGGGCGAGTCGGAGGTTGAGGCGCAGAAGGGGAGAATCGTCTTCCGTGTCTCCCGATCGCGAGCGCAAGGGTATGAAAGCGATTGAGTACCACGCACACGACGCGGACGGCAATGGCAATACCAACGGCGCGTTGATCCTGCGCGACACCAATAACGAACTCACACACATGAAGAGCAGCAGTACCACCCTATCTCGCGCCGAGCTCTTCATGTCCTTCATCACCAAAGGCCCCGAATCGGAGCGCGGCATGAGCGTCAACAAGGCGCTTAAGAGGTATCATCGGGAGCGGTATGAGCGAGGCGAGCGGGACATGGAGAAGAAGGACGAGGAGAAGGAGTTGTGGAAGAGCTTGCGGCTGAGGAGGAATGAGAGGGGCGAGGTTGTGCTGTTCTTTGAGGGTGCAGAGTAGGGTGTTTGGTGCAGCGCCAGTGACAGAAAAATCAAGAGATGGCAGCATTCATGGTCATGGTCACGGATTGCTGGGCCTGGGCGATACCCGACTTTTGGTCAATTTCTCTTCTGGGTGGTCGATTTTTGGTGGTAGAGTAATGTGGTGGATGGGAGGGGGACGCACTTGAGCATTTTATGTTGCATCTTCCCATTATGTTTCTTCGCATCTACTGATATGCCTTTATTGACTGGAACGGTTTCCTTGGGAGCGCTTTCCTAGGTATTCATTACTTGGGCAACTTTACACGTTCTTCCTAACGGCCTCGAACTTCTTCCATCTTCTTCATCTTCTTGCCCAGTTCTTGGTTAGGCGAGGATGAGTAATGGCAGTGGAATGGATTCATCCGAATAGAGTACCATCTCTTTGCTGCGACCTCGTAAGGCTCCTTCGTGCGCTGGCGACTTGCTTCGTTGCTTTGACGTCCGGTTTCTTCTGTGCTTGTTTGCGTTCTCCCTTTCCTACCTCAAATTCATGATGATGGTTAGGAGGTCGTTTACGTGGTTGACGAAGATTTGACGTCCCTTGCTCTCCATAGACCTACCTCCGTTCTCAATCCGCCACGTCCATATTAAACAAACAAAAAATTACAGGCTTCAAGTGCTACTACCACCACCGCCGCCTCAGCCACCCCAGCATCCGCCAAACCCCCCACACCATACCCACGAGGCCCAGGAAGACGGCAACCAGCATGATAGCCATGATCCACCTGCGCAGCTCAAACGCATCCGTGACCTCCAACCTCGCCATCTTGCGGATCTTCTTGTGCAGATACCACCGCTTCTTCCCCTTACTTTTCCGGGACCTCGCGTCTTTTTCTCCGCCTGTACTACCCTCTTCCTTCTCCTCGGAAATTCCACCCATCATCCCTCCCGGGTTCAGCGGCTCCGACGGCGCTACGTGCGCTGAGTCTCTGCGCTTCCAGCGTCCCGAGGGGGGATGTTGGTGTGGTTGGTCGGCCGGGTGGGCCGAGTCGGAATCGGAGGAGGAGGGGTAGGAGTAGGGTTCCGGATCGAGCCAGGGGAAGGGGTATGTGCGGGCGCGGCGGGCGCGATCGGAGAGGGAGACGAGGGCGAGGGAAAGGAAGAAGGAGGTTGCTAGGAAGGGGGTGAGGAGCATCTATCATGTGTGTTTCGTTAGAGAGATGTGTGTGCGAGCTTGGATTGCATGGTGGATGGGAGGATTGGTGTGTGTACCTTTGTGATGCGCCATTGGGAGTCGTGCTCGTCGGCAACGGTCTCATTTGGAGGTGTGGATGAGGCGGAGATGGAGTCTGCTGGAGCTGCACTTAGATTTAGGAATGGGTCCTTCTTCTTTCTCTTGAGTCTGCGACGCATTGTCGCTGGTGATGGTGGAGGTGTAGGCGAATCTGCAGCGTGTGCTTGTGCCTGCGCTTGCGGCGAGTGTGCTTCACTTGGTGCTTGTCGTTGGGACGGAGTTGCGGCCGTCGAACCCATTTCACGGTAGTCAAGTAACGTCTCGGCCATAATGGACGTGGTCAACCAGAGATGTATGTGCGATTCTGGGGCTTGGGAGGGAATTCAAATCAGCTGAGGAAAACATTTGGGTGCGCTGGAGCTTTATGACGAATTGTGTGGGGAAAGGGTGGAGCTGGAGGAATGGCATGGGTTGGTGTTATCGATAAGAATACGCGTATTCATGATATCGATAAACCCACCCGTGGACGGCGCATTCGGAGTCACGTGCACGAGGCACAGTTTGACGAATTCGGTGCTTTGGACCTGAAGGGACGGAGGGGTTGTTCTGGTAAGTGTCGCGGAAACGGTTCATTTGATTCATTCTTGATATCCGTAGATGGCGGTGGCTCTAAGCAGGTGACTGCGGATGTCCGGATTCGAGTCCTTCAAGGAGTACGCAGTGTACTCCGTAATAAGAAACAAGTCGCTGAGAGTTCCCCTCGTCGTCGAGAATAAAACGGAGTTTACGGGTCCATATCCGTGCCCTAGGAACTGATATTTGTGTTATATCCATGCGGCGATCGCGCCGTCGGAATCCGCAAACGCCGATTCGCCGCGGGTTCGTCGCATTTTGGCCCGTAAAGAGCCATCGGTCCTGCGCCCTCCCCTAGATATATCACAGCCCTTAGGCGAACCTTGGGCTCGCCCCCATAAGCAAACGCCCTTCCTCTCTCTGGATCAGGCGTGAGCACTAGATGAGAACCTGCTCAAATCTCTCCTATCGCACTCATTTCTGAACCTTCTCCTCTGTGATTAGCCACCTTGCCCTGCTTACAAAGCCCCTTCAACCACCCCCCGGACGAGCCCCGGACGAACCCTCTGCTGCTCTTTCTCTCACAGCCATCTTTGCTTGCGCGTGTACACCAACCTTTTCCAATTTCACTTTGCTGCCTGGCGCAAGCTTTTGCCAGCCTTATGAGACGCCCTGCGACTCCCAAGATTGATTTTAGATAATCCACAGTCAGCTTCCTGGGGAAGCCGATCAGAAGAGTACCCAACGTCGTCCGGTGCATCTACCTAGCGGTTGCGGACTAGATCTGGACAAGATGCCGAAGGAGCATACGGATTTGGCGGTGCGGAAGAAGATGAGGAAGGGCACGCATAGTTGTTTTGAATGTAGGTGGATTTGTTGGCGTGCTTTTTCCTTTCCGAAGCTGTTCAATTCGTTTCCTCTCGCGCCTCCCGTCTACCTCGTTGCCTTGAACTCTCCTATTTCCCAAGCAAATTGCTCTCCATTCTTCTTGAACTCAGCCCTTATGCATCATTTCCTCAGACGATCGTCTACGAGCTCCGATTGACCATACCCAGGTCGTCGCCGCAAAATCAAGTGCATCTTCCAGCCAGACAGCCCTGATGTCTGTTCAGAGTGCTTCGCTCGCGGCTCCCGCTGCATTGACCAGGAGCACGCGAACCCGGACATTGTCGTCGACCATAGGAAGAACCTTCGTGAGCGGGTGTCCCGCCTGGAGGCTCTCGTCGACTCTCTTCTAGAGGAAAAGAGTGAACGAACATGCAGCCAAACAGAGACCAGTTCCTCTCGAACCCCTCATCTCGTCACAAGGGACACGTTTCCTCCCACTCCTCATTCTTCCGAAGCATGTTCTGCCATACTCTCAGAACCACAACCGAAACCGCAGCGTGCTGCATCGGATAGGGGTCACCACATTCCCATCATCTCTGCTTTTGAGGATTCTGTACGTGGACGCTCGAACCTCCCTACGTGTTGTGTTGCTGACCGTGCTGACCGAAATAGCTCAATGATATGAAGACCAAGTTGAAGGGACGCATGGACCAGGCATCTCCCCTCGGTAAAGAGGCACCAAATACTGTTGCTGAGCACCGGTATACCATCACGTGCAAGAACCCGGAAGACATCATGGACGAAGGCTCGGCCAGATTCAAAGCCAAGAGAGATCGTGCAAAGGCGGGTCTGCTTTCCATACTTCCCCCTTATGACCAACTACTACGCATACTCAACAGCAACGACGGTTGGTGGCAGACCTGGAGAAGGAAGTGTAGTGGAACTTCGGAACCCAACCAGTCCCTGGGGGACTTTGCTACTAAGGCGTTGGCTGATGACAATATCGGCGCTATTGGCCTTGTTGCCCTCGCTGTAGGCATCTCATCCGATGACGAGGTTGAGGCGGAGAAGTATATTGAGGCTGTGGATCGTTTTGTTATGTTTGACGACGAATATGCGGCTACACTGGAGGGAATGGAATGCTTGATCCTGAAGGCCAAGTGGTATGCGGACGTTGGCCAACCAAGAAGAGCATGGATATCGCAGCGAAAAGGACTGCTGTATGCTCAGCTTATGGTAGGAGAATCCCAGAGACTCTAGGACGCAACACGATACTGACTGGATGCCAGGGCCTGCATCGACAAAGAACCGCATCAGCACCCCACGAGAGTATATGGTGGTCCCTCTACCACGGTGACCGGTTCCTCTCTCTTCTTCTCGGCCTCCCCTACGCCATCCAAGACAGCCATTGCGACCTAACTCTCCCCGACCTGGGCAACGGCCCCTACATCGCCCCCCTCATCTTCATGAACAAGGTCGCCGTCCTCGCCGGCAAGGTAATCGACCGTAACCAGTCCGTCGCCGAGCAGTCCTTCGCCTGGGCCCTGCAGCTCGATCAGGAACTCGAAGACCTCTGGAAGCGTCTCGACCCCGCCTGGCTCGAATATTCTGAGCTCATGGCCGACATCGAGAACAACGCCGCCGAGCTCCGCGAACGCCTCATGGCGCAAATCGTCTACCATCAGATCCGCGTCTACCTCCACCTCCCCTTCATGCTGAAATCGCAAACCAACCCCCGCTTCTCCTTCTCCCGCAATGCCTGCGTCAACGGCTCCCGAGAGGTCCTGCGTCTCTACCAAGCCCTCCGAACCGGCGAGGTCCAACCCCTCTACGAATGCAAAGCCATCGACTTCATCGGCTTCACCGCCGCCGTCCTCATCGTCCTCGGCTTGTACAATTTCGGCGGCGCGAGCGGCGGCATGGCGCCGAAGGACCAGGAAGCGGATATCCGACTCATCGAAATCAGCATCGACATCTTCCGCCGTGCCTCGTCGGAGAAGGGTGGCAAGGTTGCACTGCAGAGCGCGCAGGTGCTGGAGAAGATGGTTGGGAGGTTCAAGTCGGACTGGGCGAACGGGGGAGGAGGGAATCCGGGCCAGTGTGAGGGTCCTACCGATTTCGTGATTCCCTACTTTGGCACGATTTCCGTAAGAAGAGGTGGACAAAGTGGGCCTGCGGCTCCAGCTCCTGCTGCCGCCTCGTCACGGACGTCTCAGCAGCCCTCCAACAAAAGGCAGGGTAGTACGGGCTTCGCATCGCGCGCCTCCGCATCCGCATCCTCACAGTCACACTCCCAAAACGGGCCCTTGACAGCCAGTCCTGCCCTCATCACTCCCTCGTCCGACTCCACCTCCTCCGACCTGTTCGCCAACCCAGGTCTCTCCTCGTCCATCAGCGGCGGCAGCGCCTCCACGCCCACCTCCACCACAACCGCAAACCCCAACACCAACAACACACTCTTCTCATCCACCGACCCCTTCCCGTCCATCTCCTACGACGGCTTCTACAACTTCCCCAACCTCGCTGACCCCTCTAGCACCGGTAGCAGTTCCGCACTGCCCAACAACTCCGGTACGACGAACGATCCAGCGCTCTCGACGCAGATCAACGACGACTCGATGAACAATTTCCCCCTCCCGACGAATAACTTCTCTTGGCAGAATATGCCCATGGATATCGATCAGGATTGGAGTTGGTTCTTGAATGATGGTGTTACTACGGGTAGTGCGTTGCAGGGTGGTGGCAGTGGAAATGCAGGGGGAGCGAGTGGAGGGGGCGCGAGTGGAAACGGGGGGCAAGGGCTGTGGGGTGGTGTGGGGGGTGATTTTAGTATGCAGACGTATGCGGGATTTTGAGTGAATTTGGAATATGGGATGTTCGGAGAAGGTAGGGTCTATAGGGAAGGTGGAGGGAAGGCAAGCGGACGGCATCAAGGGGTCCTTCCCCATGCGGTTTTGGTATTCACAAAGGCGTTCCAACCTGTACTATTACCACGATTACTTTCGCTAAGCAAGCGCGGGCTGATGGGTGTATCTCCTTCATTGGTGCTACGAAAGGGGACGGAATGCATGGTCAACATTCCCTTCTAGGGGTGAGGGTTTCATCGGGACATCCAGTTCTAGACAGACAGCACCCTACTCTGAATAATGAAATGTATTAAAGGAATTATGAATTTCGAATCACTATCAGTGTGCTATACTCCAGTATATGCAATAAGCCACCGCCATAACCAGTTTGATATCCTACTATTCATACCTCCCTCCTTCAGTTGCCTTCCATAGCGCTGAGACCGCAGAATCTGTGAAGGTAATTCCACCAAATGAAGCCCCTAGTCCATACAAGACGTTTAACCGCGCATAACATCCCAGTAATAAAGATACAAATCCGAGAAGCTGCTGACTTGGTGATATCGCCTCGAACGCACCCAGGCCGTTAGCAAGACTAATTCTAACCCATAAAATGCCGGCACACCAATTACTCACTCCTCAACTCCCTATCCATAGCCTTCCTCCTCTCTCTGAGCTTCCGTGCCCGAGTTTCCAACTCTTTCCTCATAGCTGCTTTCTTCTTCCTAACCTCCTGCAGAACCACTTCGTGTTGCTGGCCATGTCTCGTCACCACCGCCTCCACCAGCCTTTCCCCATCGCTCCTATACGTCTCCGCAATATCATGGACAGCCGTTTCCTTATCGACAATATGACGAAGCGCACGCCTCGTTATGCGGGTAAGCTGCGCGCTGAGTTCACGTTGATAGGGCCTCAGACTAGCCTCCCATTCCTCGTCTTCTCTGGCTTCTGATTCCACGACTGAGGGCTCATCGGGTTCGGCAGAAGTGGAGCTGTGGCTGCTGAGTGAGTATCGTGATCTTGGCGAGGACGAAGGCATACGGGCAGGCGAGGCTTGCATGGCCGGCTCGTCCTCCTCCTCACCGATCAACGTTTCATCCCCATCCACTCCGGCGGCCGGTTGATCAATAGCTCGATCCCTAGTCAGCGTCGTGCCATGGGGCAATGATTGGGGTGCAACATTTGTCAGGGTAGGCAACTCAACGCCAACAATCTCTTCCAACCGACGGCTAAAACTATTGAGTTTGCGAATTCCAGATGAATGCCTAAAAGGGTCTTCATCGCGCATCTGACGACATCTCTGTTCTTCTTCGTCCAGATCTGCATGGCTCGCATGCCCAGATATGGCGGTTGACTCTGCAGTCGGCGGAGCAGGCAAAGGCTTGCTGTTGCTTGACGCAATCTCCAAATTGGAACCACTGGAGAATGTTCGCGATAATCCCTGATTAACCGGAGTCTGCTTGCCTTCCATATCGTATGGTCGCAAAATGGTTGCCCCTGGATTTGGGTGACGAGGTGTTGACTGGGTCGCGGAGACAACGCGGCCATCGATACTTCCAGCAAATACGGGCTCCATCGCGGTACGGCTACCACAGAACCGATTAGAATTGGATTTGATTTCCAGTGATGGGCTAATGGCTTCAGCAAGTAATCGAGGTGGTGCCATGGTCTTGGGAAGATCCTCAAAATTGTCGGTCCTTACCCGTTTGGGTTTTGGTGTCTTCGGGGAGCATGATATCGTCGCCGAACGTTTTTGGTGAGCTGCAGTCGACAGTTTAGAAGATGCGCAGTAGACTGCTAGCACCTCTTCAGAATCGAATTCATTATCAGCCACTGGCCCTGAGACAGGACTGTTGCTGATAGCAGCAGCGCGCCGGGAAAGAGGACTTGCGTGAGTAGGTCCTTCATCATCGACCAAGCGAGAGAGGGTCTGAGCCACTTTTTCTTTTCTCAGGGGAGATGATGGTCCTCGAGTCTGTATGATGGCGCGTTCTGAGGCTGGATTGGTGGTACATGCCGGCTCTAACGCACTCGCAGGCCTTGGGCTAGTCGAAGTGTGACTCTCCTTTGACAATAATGTTGCGACAGGGTTGGGTTTGACCGGAGATATGCGAGGATTGTGACCATCTTGGGTTGTCTTCCCCTTCCGTGATCTCTTGATCGAAGTAGTCTTCGGTTTAGTGATGCGCCCGGGGCGTGAGATCGAAGTGGTGTCAACTGATTGGCGGGGTCTTTTCTGCGCTGGTTTTGGGGCCATGTAGTCCGGATCAAGGCTCTCATTGTCGGAGCTCTCAAGACTCTCAGATGCACTAGAGTGCCTTTGCTGAACCGCTTTGTGCCTTTTCCGTGATTTCGGAATATCAAAGATGTCGCCGTCTCCTTGATCGTTCTTTCGTGACTCCGACTCCGTCCTGTTTCCTTTTTTGACGACTTTGGGTAAGCCAACATGTTTGCGTTCCGCTAAACCGCCTTCATGGTTATGCATAACGAGATCTTCCTCCACATGCGCGGCCGAAACAAGGGTTCGTAACCCACTCGGAGCGTGTTTCGATGCGGCATCACTGGCATATGGAGGAATACCGGGTTCGTCGCCCTCCGAATCATGTATAATTCTCGATTTCGTCGCTCCTGCGCCGAACTTCCCTTTGCCCGGATCCTTTGCGACATTTACTGTGGCATTGTCTATGTCGGCTTTCTTTGGGAGTTCACCGCGACGTGTCCTTGTATTGGTCTTCGACGTCCTGTTCACCTGGCCCAGCGTTTTCATTCCTTTTGGAGAATCTTCAGGAACAGCGTAGACGTCGTCTTCGTTGCTTTCAAGATGAGCTCCCTTCCCTTCATTTGTCAGCCCGGTCTTCTTGATTACAGGCAGTGATCCTCTAGCTGAATTTGTCTGTCTTGCTGTGCTCTCCCTATTCTTTGCGGTGCATTTGAACCCAGTGAGCGGCGTGATGGTGGGTCTGGATTCGCTCGTTTGGTTGAGATCATGTTGACCCTTAGGGGATGCCGTTTCGGAGGGCTTCGGGCGAGAGGCATTGTGATCGACATTGTTTCCAAAGTGGGTGCTGTCTGCACATTCTATTAGCACATTTGATTTCATTTACCAAGGCAGTCCCAAGTATCTCGAGAGAATTTCTTACATGGGCGGCTCACCTTGAACGCTGCGGCGGGTTCTGTCATCCGACTGTGTGGAACTTTGGCCATTTGCACACGTAGAAGGTCTGCTGTCGGTAGGGACATTAGAGGGTCGGGCCTGAGGACAGAGCGAGGCCTTTGGGTGAGAGAGTATTTCTTTGATGCAGCTCACACACTCCATGGAGTCCTGTTTATGCTGAAAAAGTATGGTGACTCGTTTTCCCTCATGTCGGGACTCGTTGATTCTATATGTCCAAAATTCAGCATCGAGCTCGATTTCGACATCCCAGGGCTCAGGATTGGTCGCCCGAGCTTGAGAGTCGTGAAGACCAGACTTTTTCAAGTTGCAACGCTTAATGTGCTTGAGTGGAATGTCCACGAAGTGAAACGTTTGCAATGAAGCATCTGTGGCCAGAAGCGTGAGCCTCTCATTCTGAATAAGCGCAACGGGAGCCACGCCATCAGCGTCTGGCCATCTGAAATTGTCTGATGTGGACAAGGCCACTGGGTAGAGAATAGCCACGTCTGAGCTGGGACTGCCGGACTGATTGGAGAGCTTGAGATCCTCCAGGATGTCCAGATATTCTTGGAAATCCCTCATCCAAGCCGTACCATCTTCTTGTGGGAATTTAGGGGCGCTATCCGGCACCTTGGACGTCGGCCAGCAATCTGCATTGTCGACGCCTCGACACAGCGCCTCGCGAATGACGAGGCCAGCAACGATTCGGGTCTCTTCGAGCTCTCCGCTCGCAAGCAGGATCTGGCCGAGCTGTGAGAGTTGCTTTCTGTGTGTCTTGAGATTCTGAGCTATGCCGTCCGAGGTTCTGATCAGCTTGGATAGCACCACACCGACCCACCGTCGCTTCGCCGCGGGAGTCGCGGTGTCGCAGAAGGCAGCTAAATACTGCACTGCGGTCGAAGGAAGGCTGTCGCCACTGAATGCTATGGTGGGTGAGAGGAATTGGCTAAGTCGTTGCTGCGAAGCTTCGCAGTCTGTGACAGCTAATGCAGCGTCGAGATTCTCAGCTGACATTGAATTGAACGCGCAGAAGAAGAGAGTGAACAGAAAACAGGAAAAGTGACAGTGCTAAAACAGATTTCGCGCTTGATGGAAGACTGGTCGAGCGAAATCAAGAGAGTTGTAAGGAAGTGAAGGTGTCATGACGGAAAGATTGTGTCACGACGCGAGGCTTCGTCGAACGCGACTTCCTTACAAAGTGACTTCACCGCGACCTTTCGCTCCCACCATGCCGCCGTCACCTCACACTCAGTGCGGATTGCACGTCTAATAAACCTCCTGAAACCTCCGCCTTATCATTACTGAATGACTTTGATGGACAGTCCGCACATAAGCAAACCATCCGAGTCCGAGGTGACGCGTCCTATCTGGTCTTGAGGCCAGCAATGGGGCCGGCATTGAAGAAGACGACATTGTTCTTCTGCATTTACAACGCATCCAAATGCCCTAAGGTCCGATTGCGCCGCGAGACTCTCGCCTTTAGGCCTTTCGTAAGGTTCCAGTTATTCGGGGTTGAGGACATTAGGAGTGTCCGTGGCTAACAGCGTCAGGTCCCAAGATAAGGACTGCTGGCAACAGCACCATCGCCGATGCCCGGGTAGAGTGAAATCCCTATGTACCCAATGTACGGAAAAATAACCGACAGGGCTTTCATCCAAAATCCCGTCCCCCATGCTCTTCCAAAAATGCACACCTGCATCGTTGGATTACGTCACGTGCTACACCGTCTTGATGACACGATTCAGGGATGAGGGCCATGACTGAGTCAACCAATGTCACCGCTATCTTGCAACTTTGGATACACTGCGGTATAGTCCGGTCTTTGATTTGTTCTTGCTACCAGGAGCTCTGAATCGAACTTCGACGCCCGTTCGTTTCTACGACCCGGCGCGAACACACAACTCTAGATCCGATGCAACCCAGGCCAAGGACCAATATGCCACTGTATCCCAGTACATAGGACGTTACACGGACGTTACGAAAATTTTCTATCTGCTCTTGATTCTTCCTATCTTCTGAAACGTCTTCTCTGCCCTACATATAGTGCCAATGCATATGGCTTCCAAACGAGAACCAGACGCGAGCGATGGACCGACTACATCAGCATCGCCATCACTCCTGCCGGGGATTAGCTCAATGCGGCTACATCTCATCGTCGCTGGGTTTGTTTCGCCAGTACTGCCATGATGAAATTGGCTAAAACAGATAGCTTGTGGTTATCACTTTTTATATCAGCTCTCGACACTACCATTATCACTACTTCATTGATCAAGATTTCGAGCAGCTTCGATGCCTTGGAACGCGGCGCTTGGCTTATCACGACCTATCTCCTCACATATAATGCATTTATCATGATTTCAGCAAATATGAGCGATATCTTCGGACTGAAGTTTGCCCTTGTAGCTTGCTGCATCTGCTTTCTCATCTTCTCGTTAGCGTGCGGAGGTGCTCAGACTATGGTACAGCTGTAAGTGCCGCATGGTTTTGGAGATTCTGAGTCTAACTCTTCAGTATCGTTTTCCGAGCTTTCCAAGGCATTGGAGGTTCTGGTCTCTATTCACTAGTATTCGTGGCCATCATCAAAGTAGGATAGTACCCCCTGCTCGGAACAAACCTGACCTTCGCACAGCTTATTACACCTGAAAAGGCGAGCTTTTACTCAGGAGTCATCAGCTCTTGTTTTGCCATAGCTAACACCCTCGGTCCCGTGCTTGGTGGAGTGATCAGCGACCGTTCAAGCTGGCGATGGATCTTCTTCATGAAGTACGTATATAAACCAGATCTGATCTGCCTAGTGCTAACACCATAGCAGTGGCCCGATTGTTGGCACAGCGCTCGTCATATTGTTTTTCTCTATGCCGGGGCTTGGGGACGGAGAATCGAAGATTGAGCGACTCCGTGGTTTTGATGCCATTGGCGGTGTGCTCTCCGTCTGCTGGCCTATCCCACTTATCTTTGCCCTCCAAGAAGGCGGCGTACGGTACGCATGGAGCAGTGCCATCATCCTCGGGACGCTAATCGCTGGACTCGCCGGCCTGCTCATATTTGGAATATATGAAGCATGGATCCCTTTTCGAACGAAGAAGGATGCCGTTTTCCCAATCAAGTTCTTCACCAATCCGTCCATGGTGCTACTATTACTGTAATACTTCTGCACTTCTTGAAACTGACAATGGCTCATCAACTTGCAGGTGTATGTTTCTGCTCGGTATGCCTTTTTATGTAGCCGTCATTCAGCTTCCGCAGCGGTTCCAAGCAGTCAATGGTACCAGTGCCGAGAGGGCAGGCATTCTTCTTCTTCCAGTCACATTGATGACACCATTCGGCGCTATGCTTGGCGGCCTCTTGTAAGATGAACCAATGATTTGGGGTTTTGGCTCTAACGTCAGTCATAGGATGGGAAGAAAGATTGCAGCTGAGTATCTGCTCATCTTATCCACAGGGATTGCCTCCGTTGGCATTGGACTCCTCAGTAGCCTCCCTACTTCCGTTGGCTTCTGGCCCGGAACCTATGCCTATGAAATCATCACCGGCCTCGGTTTGGGTCTCGCCAGTCCCGTATACTACTTCTTGCTATACACTAGCGTCGAGGATAAGGATATCGCCGTGGGCACCGGAGCTTTGAATATGTTGCGCACATTAGGGGGCTGTGTGGCCGTCGCCATCTGCTCGGCCATTCACAACACGATTCTCGACGACAGGCTACCGTCCATTCTCCCTTCGAGCCAATCGGCACTTATTGAGAATTTTGATAGACTGGATAACTTGCCTCCGGGTGTCAAAACGCAGCTGGGGGAGATTTTCGGGCATAGCTACAACAGGCAGTTTCAGGCGATTCTCGGGTTTTCTCTTTTGAACTTTGTGGTCGCAATTGGGTTGGCTGTGGTACGGAAGAGAATGGGCATATTCGGTATTGGGCCGTCGGGAGAACAGTGGGAGAAGTATAACCAGGAGCGGGCCGCAAAAACTGCAAAAAAACACGCAGATAAACCGGAGTTGTCCAACCGTGAGATCGAGGAGAAGCGGACAGAAACGACCATATCTCCTAAAGAGTCGTGATTGATGGAATGAAATGATAGTTATTCTGACTGTAGCGATTGATTACTATCGGTAGCAAACTCCCTTAATTCAGGCCCATTGTGAACCGCAATTACAAGCTCTACTTCGTAAAGCCTCATTTCATAAAGAAGAAAACATGTTCAAGTAACGAGTGAACTGTCTCCCCAAAGGATGACAACAGCCTTACAGAACTTTCCCCTCCTCTCTATTACTCGTGACCCTTGCCTAGTGTTGGCTCCTAACCACCGCACCTATCACCTCCAGCTCCCACAGCCGGAGTCGGTACATCTTCCATCTCCCCCTCCTCACGCTTATTTGGTGACAGCGGCGGTTGAACATGACGCTGCGGTACTTCCCCCACGCCCAATCCCTCATTTCTGTAACTCCCGGCACCATATCCGCCAGATTGCTCATACGGCCCTGCTCCCGGGCCAGCGTACTGGTCGTACCGATTGTCGATATTCTGTCCCGGGTGATGAGATTGAAGGTGAGCAAACCCTGCGGCTCCAGCGGTCGTGGTGGTTGTCGTTGTGGGAGAGGTTCCAGAGTATTTGTCCGACATTGCTGCTTCGGCGGCTGCGCCGCGGTCACTGTGACGGATACCAGGGGCGGGGACGCCGGCGTTGTGGAAATGGTAGTAGTAGAGGAAGGCGAGGGTTGTGAGGGTGAATAGAACGCTGCGACGACAGGTCATTAGTTCTTCTGATGATCATACCTGATTTCCTCACGCGAGAAAACATGAAAAAGCGTGAAACGCGGAGAGAGGGACCGGAAACGGGAAAGAGAAAAGAGATACGCACAAGTTCACGGCGGAAAACACCGTAGCCGCAAGTCCCGTCCTCCACGCCCTCCTGCATTCCCAGCAAACCTCTGCCTCGGCGAAAACAAACCTATCGAACCTACGTCCCCAGTCTCGGAAGATGTGCTGGTAAGATGCCAGCGCCGCAAACGTTGCGAGCCAGTACAACGCCGCGAAGCCATCCATCAGCAGAGCGATGCGCGGATCGTACATTTTGCGTTGGGCAAGGTGCAGAGGAGTGGTGAAGAGCAGGATGGGGACGAGGGTTAGGCCTGAGATGATGATTGTGGAGATTAGAGGGGGTTGGAGCTATGTAGTTATCAGTATCATGGCCTTTGCATTGAGCTTAAAGTGTACGTGAAAGAACTGAAGAGGAATCGATACGTACAGGTCCTCCACCGTAGACAGACAGCGAGTACGCGCACATGGCTAGAGCCAAGATGGCGAAGAACAGCTGCCCCCAGCGGAAAATGAGAATCCACGAGGGGATGGCGACGGTGCCGCCTTTGAGGCCGTACATTTTGTTAACTCGGTGATAGGGGATGCTAGCACAGTGTATTTGGAACTGGACTGTCGTCCCGGACGAGGTACGGAGACTCGACCATATTTGAAGGGAGCTCTGACAGTTATCGAGATGATAGACAAAGAGATCGTGGGGTAGCTTCTGACCTTAACGTTTGCAGGGGGCCCGAGGGGGAGGTGGAATGTTAAACGGTACTGTTTCGGCATAGAGACAAAGAAGATGGAGGCACAGTTGGCGCGCACGGCCCCGGGGGTGTTCGAAAAGGACGAACATGTGATTGAGGCGGCGAATAGAACAGTGAACATCTGGAGAGTAGGAGCGAGGATTTGCGCCGTGCGCGGCTCGTTGTTGTTGTTGTCCTCGTCGGCATGTCTTTAAGGTTTCTTATGACGATCCTCTGACCAGTTGACCCGTCCTTGAACTTCAATTAGAAGCGACTATTGGACAAAGTGGATGACAATAAGATGTTGTTTATTCAAATCGATACGTCCCTTCACATAAATGTGCCACTGCAGTTGTAGCTCTCATTTCCACCAATGTGGTCACCGAAACAGTCAGGACAGCACCAACTATCTCTCACCTACAAGGTCCAAACAACGACTCTTCCATCAACTCCACTGGAGCTGATCTTGGTGACCTTGCCACCCGCCTCTTCGAAGGCGCGGATGTTAGTGATTGTGTTCTGATGGATGGTATCGAGCTTTGTGTCATCCGTAGCCTTGCCCTTCAGATCCATCTGTCTAAACATGTTAAGCGCGGACTCCTCCCTGTGACCTTGAGCTCCTGGGCGTCCCTTGGTTTCCAACGAGCCAGCTAGCTGCCAGCCGTGTTCCGAGCCTTGAAGACGGTAGGCCTGACAATCATAGCCTGCAGCAATAATCTCGTCTTCGCTCCTCCAGACTAGACTCATGAAGGGCAGAAGTTGGGTGGAAATGTTAATAACGGCACGAGGAGGTTGCTCCGGTGCACTGGGGTAGACAACCGTAAGACTGCTGTCATGGGCAGCGAAGGCAAGGGCGTTGCCGCTGGGAGAAAATGCGACGCTATGTATCCAACCTGCCGTGTTGTTCAAGAACTCTCCACACACAGTGTTGAACGGTAGCCTCTCTCCCCACGCAGAGGGTTCAGGCCTTTCATCCACACCCTTGATGAAACTAGAGAGAACGCGAGCATGGCCGTCGGTGGAACCTGCAGCAAGCAATACAGAGTTCGGGTGCCAGGCAACAGTTGTGATGGTGCTTCGAATAGGCTTCTTCAAGTGCTTCGACACCCACCAGTTGTCCTCCTCTTCGAAGTAGCAGACCGGAATAAGTCGCGCACCAGAGCCTACGGCGAATTTGGTCTCGGAAGGAGCCCAGCGGACACAGGTAGCAGCGCGATTGATGCGGAGAAGTACGAGAGTGGGTTTCCAGCCGTCAGCAGAGGGCTCCCAAACGTACGCATTGCGATCTAGGCCATGTCAATTACTGTGTGGTATGGACATGGTACGGTTGCCTCCAACCCACCTTGGGAACAGGTAACGATCTTGCCGCTCCTGGGCGCAATATCCACACCAGTAACCGTCTTATCATGGCCCGTCAACTCATCTGTGAGTTGGAACTTGTTTCCATTTCTCTTAAACAGATCGACTGTGTTCTCGCGGGCCACAGCCAGCGTCTGGCGATCGGCGGAGAAGGAATGGTCCGCAATGGGGTGATGGAAAAGGTGGTGAACCTCGGGAGGGGCCATAATGATAGTCTGATTGCAATAGGAGGAGCTCTCTACTATTGCTTTGCGAGCGATTGCGGTTACGGAGTTTGAAAGCTGGGGAGAGTTGAAGTCCCCGCGCAGAGGGGCAGGCACCGGAGGAGCTGCCCCGGTCCAACCACCACGCTCGAGCACGTCCCGAAATCTTGGCATCAGCGACAGCTTCAACCTTTTGAGTGTACGTTCCCGTACTTGAAGCCTACGTGGTGCTCAACCTTCTCCACAACTGCACCATGGCAACTTCAGCGAGGGGACCGCCCGGCACGGTCGCAAGGCCGACTCCACCAAACCAGACGTACGTCACAACTCACAAAACCCCGCCATCTCAAAGCTAAATTCTCTCTGCAGTCTCTACGTCAGAAATCTCAATGACAAGCTCCAGAAGGCCGACCTTAAGCGCAACTTGTATATGTTATTCGCGACATATGGTGTTGTCCTTGACGTTGTTGCGCTCAAAACCACGAAAATGCGCGGACAGGCACACGTCGTTTTCCGAGACGTTGATTCGAGTACGCAGGCAATGCGGGCTCTCCAGGGCTTCGAATTCTTCGGCAAGCCTATGGTGCGTCGAACCAATTCTTCCCTTTCTCGGTCATTCTGGAACAATTGCTCTGTGATTACTTGGCTAACACAAACCAGAACATCCAATACGCAAAAGGGAAATCCGACACCGTCAAAAAACTCGATGGTACATTTCAGCTTCCGGAAAGGGAAGAACCGAAGTCAACGGAGACGACGACCGCACAAGAATCGGTATTTGGAACGGGACCTGCCCCTACGAAGGCGAAACCTGTGAATGAACCTGCTGCTCCTGCCGCTCCTGCCGCCCCTACCGCCGAGGAATCGACCAAAGGCGTAAAGAGGGCAAGAGAGGAAGAAGAGGAAGAGGAAGATGAGGGTGCTGCTATGGACGTGTCGGATTCGGAGTAAAGCAGAGAAGCTGAGGGTGGTACGGATACAGAGATTGCAGTCGAGGATGTCGGTGTGGACATGTCGGAGTCGGAGCGAACAGATCCAACCAACGGATCAAGTGGATAGGCACTTCGCCTTATGCTGGATGTGTGCCGTCGGAGACATCTATGCGGTGCACACTATGGGGACATGGAAAACCGCAACCGGCGTCACGAACGGAGTTCAGGAGCTGCATTTCTCAAACCATAACGGCAGAGGTAAACAATTGGCTACTTCCAAGCAGTCTGAAATGGTACCTAACACAATAGATAGATACCCAGACCAATAGCGCTTTAGCTTTCAATATCAGGTTTTCAGTTGAGCAAAAGCCGGGTTACCTAGGTAACAGGCGCCGGTATCGTTACGTGAACGAGTGAAGTAACCCCTCCTTGAGCCTGTTCCACTGCCCATGATATTCGCTGCGATGTTTAACTACTGATACAACAGCGCACAATGGCAGATGGGGTAATGCACAATACCTGATTCTCAATAACTTGAGGCTTCAAGACGTGGGCTCGCTTCACAGCACCATGCCGACCGGTCTCAACACATTAGCTCCCTGCATCACATAGCTCACTGATGTTTAACTACCGATCGAAAGACGCACAATGGCTACGCGGAGATATGCACGATCTTTTATCCCTAAATCCAAGCCATGGCATGAAGCTTCACGGCACGCGAGAAACCCCGACACGCATTACTTCGACACAATAGAGCCCCCTTCCTATCGAAATCCTTCTTCAAGAACTCAGAGGGCAAATGAACCTCTTTCGATGGCGGACACGGCTTGCCCAGCTGGCTGCAAGACAACATCGTATGTTGCCGGGTTTCGGGGGGTCCACTGAAAGTGAAGTGACGCGCATTGAATGTCCGTAGTATTACCACGTAGCGACAGGTTTGGGAAGACCAGACGGACACACGGGAAGCAAAGATACTATGTACCAGATCGTGACTCTGATGCGTCTGTAATGGAAAGAAATCGCCATGCCAGGAGGAAACTGCAGGCAGAATAAACTGATCGTGCAAACTAAATGTACGGAAGACATGATTACGAGTCAATGCCAGACCTATACTAACAATATGAGAGTTCTAAAAGAATGCGAATATGGCCAATGCCTGGTATCAAATGCTCCAGCCCATGGAAAAGAATGTCAGGAACCAACCGAACGCTATGCAGGACACAAAGAATGCATCAACGCCAGCGCTACATGCAGACCGACGCACACGAAAGCAGGAAACCTCACACCCAAGACGAATAAATGCAACGTCGGTACCTGAACAACGTATTACCTCGCTCTACCTGGACTCCCAGCCCACTTTCTCACATCGTTTCTCGTCCGCTCCTCAATTCCCGCCCTCTCCATCAGCTTCGTAAATGTGGTGTTCGTTGAGTCCTGCGTCAATCTATTCTTATTCTCGCTCATACCCGGGGCCTTGGGCGGAGCCAGGAAACTCGGAGTCCGCATGAGAACATCAATCGTCTCCGTGCTGGTGCCTCTTGTTAACGTGTCCGGGCGCTGTTGAGTTGTTGTGCCCCTGTTCTTGGCCGCAATCGCGGAAATTCGTGTGCGAGATATCGAATCGGAGCGTTTCGGTGTCCGTGTAGGTGTCTTGTACGGATCGCGCCCGTCATGCATGCCTACCCTCACCGCTGGTGCGGGATGCGCCGGTAGTGGGCCCCCGAAACCGCTGAAGCCAAGTTTAGGTGTACGTTCCCATAGGCTCCTGATTTTGGGCGTCATTCCTCCCCCACTTTGGGTAGTCTCCTTGCGTACAAATCCGGTGGTGGAGTTTGGCGATGGCTGCGCGGATCCCGAACCCCGTCTGATGAAGTCCGTTCGTGCCGCATAGTTGGGGTCGTAGATGGGATCACTGATGGTACGAGAAACATGACCAAAGTCACCGGAGTAGCGGTTCTTTTCTTGAACTTCTCGTCGCTTCTTGATGAGCCAGATCACGGCCAGAGTGGTAAGGGCGCCGATGACGATGCCGGGAAAGAAGCCAGCGACGAAGGACCTGCCATCGAAGCCTCGCTGGGTCTGCACGATGGTAGCCGGGTCAGTTGTCTGGGATGCAGAAGGCGTCTGAGACGGGGTTGGCGTCGAGGTCGGGGTACGAATGGTCGATGGTGGAGTAGATGGAGAAGCCGACGGCGACTGAGAAGGCGCAGAGGAAGGATTGGCCTTGCATGCATTTCCATTGCATGAATAGCCAAACGGACAACACTTCTCACCGCATTTCGGGAGCTGAATTTCGGTGGTGTTGGCCAAGTGCATCTGGTTGTCTGGGTGAAGCTTCGCATCGAAAAGGCCTATATCGCATGGTATGGACTGTATAAGCTCGCAGTCGGACCCGGGAGGGCAACAGATGACCGAAATAGCATCGGCGCTGTTGAGACGCTTGCAGGTGGAATCTTTAGGACAGCAAAACTCGGAGGGAAGACCGCCGCCACACTGTGAGAGACCAGGTAAACCTCCACAGACCGCATCTTGACGTTGAAAAAGACTTGACGCCTGGGAGGTAGCGAAGAAGAAGAGTATCGATAGCCTTGAAAGTTTCGGAAGAACCATGTAGGGAGTCATGTTGAGAGGGTTGCGAAAGGTGAAGATCGGTATGCAAAAGCTACAATGATCCGTCAATATATGAGAGAAGTAGCGATCAGCTCAGCGACCAAACGAAACAATGTCCCTAGACGAATATCATTCGAAGATAGAACGGAAGCAACCGAGGAAACGCGCCGTGAAACAAATTCTCAGATCCGAAATGGCAATTCAAAGTAGACAAGCATGAGCAGCCGCTCAAGTATATACCCGCGACCCATTTCGACACGCATCGCTACCTCGTGCTCGAACCTGATGTCGTCGGGCCGCCATGGAAGTTCTACTCGCCTGTCGCTGGGGTCTCGAAATAGAGCCATGGAAGCGCTGGGAGGCCGACAGCCACTCGCTGACTCGTTAGCATGAAAACACTCGGGTTAACAGAGACCATATGACTCCTCGCAACGTGTGGCTATGCATTTACGACGCGGTGAGAGGGTGAAACATTCGTGCTGTCGACCAGGCGCTTGCGTGGTTTGAAGTTCTCGAGCGACGTTGAACAGGGCGCGTCGTGATTGGCTGCGCGTTCTCCAGCGCGCTAGCGCTTCTCGTCGCCCGGACGGGAAAAAAGCTGAGGCGAGCGCCGCCGTCTGCCAGACTGGCTGTTGCTTCTCTCAATTGTATACACACCGCCGCCATGATATTACGCTCGTTGCTGCGGCGGCCCGGCGCCGTGCAGTCCTTAGCTGGAACTCCTGCAGTGAGTCGTTTGCTTGGGTGGTCTCATTCTGGGTCGATTGGGCCAACTGACAGCCATGTAGAAATGCGTCTCCCCACTGTTCCTCCGCTCTTTGCACGTCGTCCCGTCGCTCGTGAACCACCAGGAACTCGAGAAGAATGGCATCCCGGGACTGCTCAGCCCCAAGGGTTTCAAGATTGCGTATACAGACTACCAGCAGTTGATGGTGGACGAGTTGAATGCGGCTACCTCCGGTATTGCTTAGTCCCCCGTTCCGACCTTGGATCGCCATTGCGACGTCAAATCGTTTGGAACATGGGCTGATGATCATTCCTCCAGGCACGACGCTGGAGGGCCAAACCCCCAAGAGTTTAGTCATTGAGCTGGCACGGAATCCCACAACCGCATACAGCTTCAACGTCGCATCCATGGCCTATAACAACCACTTCTTCTTCCGCGGCATTGTACGTCCAATACACATCAACAGCCTCCATCACATTTTCAAACGATCAACAACTCGCCACTCTCATGATTCCATCTCATCTCCACGGAACCCATGCTAACGCCCCTCGAGGCCACAGACCCGAACGTCGTATCCGCCCCCTCGACCGACCTCCTCGCCGCCATAAACTCCTCCTTCTCCTCCCTCGACACCCTCCGCGAAGAATTCCTCGCCACCGCCGACGCAATGTTCGGACCCGGCTTCGTCTGGCTCGTCCAACTCAACGACACCGCCCGCCGGCCTCTCCGCATCCTGCCCACCTACCTCGCCGGCAGCCCCCTCTCGGGCGCCCACTATCGCCGCCAATCGCACGATCTGACGACACATAATCCCGACTCGTACCAGGAGCTGAATCCCGTGGGAGCGTTTGGGTCGGCGGCGCGCAGGGGTGCGGAGAAGCGCGAGCAGAAACCTCTGGGAGGTGTGGATGTGGTGCCCTTGCTGTGTGTGAATACGTGGGAGCATGTGTGGTTGCATGACTATGGGGTCCGGGGGAAGATGCGATTTTTGGAGAAGTGGTGGGAGAAGATCAATTGGAATGTTGTGCAGGAGGGCGCGACGCTGCAGCCTAGTGGACAGGTAAAGTTTAATTACGGACAGGCGCAGAACTCGTTTAGGGCGTAGGTGTGGATGAGGGGACGACAGCGGAGTGAAGAAAGATATGGGTTGCGCGTTAGGCGCGATGGGCGAGGTGGGCGACATTGTATTATATCATATCTATGTGTACAAATTTGGGTTGGGTGGAAGGTACTGCATATAGAGTCCTCGGGGAACCCCATGTACGGATTTGAAGTTACTGGATATAGCGAACTTCCTCTTTTGACGGTTCGAGCGAAATGGTGCAGTCCATAACCTTCAAACAGGTCGCAGGAGACGTGACCTGAAGCTTGTCTGCCATGCTCCACAGGAACCCCAGCCCCAAACGCTCGGCCGCCCGCCTCCGCCATCAAATCTCCACAGTGTCCAGCCGGATCCATAGTCCTCCCGTCTGAAGCAAGACCCAATACTGTACAACGGATGGTATAAAACTCCAAAACGTCCCATTTGATGCAGATGGCGCATATGCTGGAAGACAGCCTCTTTCTTCGGCTTCAATCAGCCCCACCAGCTACTCTTTCTCCGGGCTTCTTTGCGTGCGTTCGTCTGAGGAAGATGAATGTCAGTAATGTATTCCTCTTCGCATGGACACCTAGGGGGGTCAAGCTAATGCCCGGAGAGCAGGGAAATGGACGATTGAATGTGCAAAACGTACCCATTGCTCCTTGCAATCTCGATACGCCCTACGAACACGCATGTATCAGCAAATACTCTCAACCCGGCAATTGTCTCGCACGCCAACCCCAAACCGTGGCGCAACCATGCAGAATCTCAATGGTTACCACCAGCTTCAAGGAACCACCTACTGGAAGAAATCCGTGCACATCTCTCGATCTCCCCCATTCCGATGCAAGCACCGTATACTCCTCTGCGCCGCGTCCTGGCAGGGATCAAAGTACTCGCTATGTTGTTTCCTGTCCCTTTCATCAGCCTCCGAAATCCCCTTCATGCCCGTTCCGTCCAACGGTGTATCGTATTGGGACATGGCGCATAACGTACGTCTCGAATCTGGTGGCTGTCGGGCCGGTCCACGAGGCTGCTGAGGATTTCTCCGCTATTTCGGGGGTTTCGTCTTTGGTACCCATGTCGGGCTGGTGCGTGGAGCTGTAGTTGAGTAGGAGGGATAGCTGTCAATGTTTGTTCACGGTGAGGCGGTCAATTCATCGGTCGAGTGCCGTTGGAGGTTGCGGTTGTTTGTGAGGTCTGTGCGTCGCCCTTATCGATATGATAGACCTTAAGAAACCCTGGCCATGTCTCCAAGACTAAAATCATTTTGATACCACTAATCCCAGACGTCGATAAAACGTGGGATGCACGTATCTTTCAACATGCCGCGAAATGCAGTCAATGGAATTACTGTTCTTCAGGAGGCAGCAGATTGGAGGACTAGAGGTTCGGGTTCCCCGCATTGCCATTCAGGAAGAAGTATATGCCATGTTACGAACCGTTACACTAAACGAGAGGAGATCGATGCTTCGATTGTTGTCTTTTTCTCCTTCGGAGTGGAGATTTTATAAAGGCAGAGCATGTAGTGTCGGACTAGATAGTCCTGAATCTGCCTTGCCAGAACTTGAGGCGTGGGAAACCCAAAGATGAGGTTCAACAAGCTGTGAGACAGGATATTCCAAGGAGCTTGATAACAATATATCATTCCCTGAAAAGTGAGCCAAAGAATTAAAACGGATGGTGTAGATACAGGTATAGAGAGGCAACAACGAGCGTCATGAGAGATTTACGACCACTGAGCAGAAGTCCCAAGACAGCAGAAGGGGCCATAGACTTGTACGGAACTTGAGGTCAGAGTAGACTTGTGAAGTCGGTTTCATCTCACCATTCCCCAGCCTTCCAGAGCATCAGGTATGCTGCAAAAGAGCTCATGTCCACAGCTCCCCACCATCATTATAACTCTAGTTGACCTCGTCTCGTCCTGGTGATAGTTCTCCTACTCGCAGTCTCCTCGAGCTCATGCTGTTGACATGGCTGCGTATGGGCGAATACATGAGTGACTCAAGCGCCAGGCCGGCCAGAATAGGCAGCTGGGCACGAGCTCAGTGAGAGACGAGAGTGGGAGAAGCGGAGAGGAGATGCATTGGTGACGGAGTGAGTGAGGAGCCGCCCTGCCCTGTACCCCAGTTGAGGTTCCCGCCGGCTGATCCTCGGGCGCCGGGCACGTACCTCCCACTACCACACCACCTGCACCATCCTTCGGACATATGTACGCCTGCCAACTGTGCTGAGTCTTTCCTGCTTCCTCCAACTCCTCTTCCTTCGTTGATGCACCACGGTGCTTGCCCGGGCCTGGAGCGCTGGCAGCGAGTTGCTTCCTGTGCGACCCGTTCGTGACATCCCCCCGCACCCGCTCTCACGCCTCGCCGCCCACAGATGCACACCCACCCACTACCGCCATGGACTCACGTTCTTCGTTGACCCCGCCCGCAAAGGCAAGACCTTCGACCTCCTCGTCGTCCATCGCGTCCGCCAAGTCTCCCAGCGTACCGCAGCAGTCGTCAGCCATGGCCTCCAGCTCGCGGACCGGAAGAGGGACGACGCCCACAGGCAATCGCCCGTCCACCAAGGCTGCAGAGGGCGACAAGCCCACGCGACCCCCCAGCAAGGACAGTCTCAAGCAAAAAGCGACCAGGAAGCCCGAGGAAGGATCAAAGCCCAGCCAGGCCGAAGAGGTAAGGCCGAACAAGGCGACGATGGCACAAAGGCATGGGCGGCTAACCGCTGTGTAGCAACTACGAGCACTGAAGTCTGACTTCGAGGGCCTTCGCTCGCACCTCACCTGCAAGATCTGCGATCGTCTGCTCTATCAACCGTATACCATTTCTTGCGGACACACGTACTGTTACAGTGTGAGTGTGCTCCGCCTTGTACCACTTACGGAATGATTCCTCAACCTCTCGCAGTGTCTATGTACGTGGTTCGTCGCGAATAAGGCCCGCAAGACATGCCCGGATTGTCGAGCAGTGGTCACGCAGCCCCCAGCACCTGCATATGTTGTAAGTGGCTCCCTTTCGGTGGAAAAATATTACGCATTCACACCGACCCTTTTAGATCCGCGAGATGGCATGTGTCTTCATCAGCCGAACCGAACTCCTTCCTGCAGGAGAAACGGCCGAACAACATGCGCAATGGCAAAAGGAGGAAGCAGACGCTGTTCAGCAGGACAAAGACAGCCAGGACCCCCGAACCGGAGGCCTGTTCAAAGGCTGTTTCCGCCCAAGTCGACATCATGCACCTTCGGTACGCGCTATTCGAGATCAAGAAGATGGCGTGGACCGATGTCCCATGTGCAACTGGGAGCTGGAAGATGGTGGATGCGAGCAGTGTGGCCTGTTCTTCGATGAGAACGGCGAGTTGACTTGGGGAGATAGCTTTGCGGGCTTCTCCGACATGGACGAAATGTCCGAACATGACATGTCCAGTGAAGATCTCGATATGGATTTGGAGGACTACGACGGCGGCTATGATGAGGCGCTTGACGGGTGGCATGGCGACGAGGGATCTTTCATGATGCAAAGATTCCTTGAGCACGGCATCAATCCATACGCTGCCCAAAGGTTTCAGCGCAGAATGCACAGCGACGCAGGTAGCAGACGATCTTACAGTCAAAGCATCATCTCAGACATGTACACGGACGAGATGGACACCGTAGAAGAGGAAGACGAGGAGGAAATGGATGGTGACTCTTCCATGAACGACTTCATCGACGACGATGACGAGCCCGCTTCGAATACTTCGAGAAGTACCTCATCTGCGGCAAGCGTGACCCCGCAACCTCCCAGCAATCGCGCCAGATTGCAAGGCAGGGCCCAGCGCGTCGTCGAGTCAGAAGCATCGTCAACCATATCAAGCGCCATTGCAGAAGAGGATGAAGACGAAGAGGACCAGGGCCCAATCCGACGAGGGCGGCGCAATCCAGCGCAAACACGGATCTTGAACCGTGCTAATGGTCTGCGAAGTCCGACTGTCGGTACGTCGTCAACGTCAACAGACGCGTCAGGCGAACAGGAACTCGACGAGGACACGCAGGCATTACTGCAGGCGGAGGGTTGGATGCTACAGCACGATGGACCGGATGAGGAAATGGATGAGAATGAGCTGAGTGATGGGGCACAAACGACCGTTGGGTGGGACGCGACCGCGATTTCCAATGATAGACTTCGAATGGGTGGTTCTCTAACACCTACTGCAGATCGACCACAGCCTAACGCGCCCATACGTCCCCCCTCTCGAGTGGGCAACCCCCGGTTCCTAGATGCATCACGTGGCTTACGACGGCGATCCTCCATTCTCTCTACATCCTCGGTGCACATGGAAGACGGTGAGGCCGATGACGACAATTCCGACCTGGACAACGACGGTGACATAGCAATGGCTATGAACTCACTACGTAACCGTCGATCAAGAATTCACCTTCGAAACTCCACCGCTCTTAATAGCAATAACACGGCTAATCGCTCCTTGAATCGAGGTGTTTCGAGCAATAACCCCATTGACTTGGATACCGACGACAATTCAGATACTTCACAACCGGGACGCCATCGCACGACACCGCATATACGTCCTCGAGCGTATGATTCACGAATTAGTTGGATGTTTGCTAATCATCAACGTATCCTGCAGGAGGTCGAACGGCCTGGCCTGCTGGTTGATGTGGAACATCGCTCAACCACCCCAGTTGCCCGCCCAAGGACTTCCAACAGAAATAGGCCCAGTCCGGCGCAGCAATTCTCCCCTTTCCCCCCTCCGGCCCCCGCAAGGTTGCGTACTCCGCTGATGGATATCTCGTCAAATCCTGGCGTACCCTCCCGTGTACCAACTTCACCTGCTCAACGTGCAGTGAATTCACCCGCCTCGCCTGGTGCAGCATCTAATCAAAGCGCTGCTACAGCAGACCGTGCCTCCTCCATTGGCTCTACGAGCAACGCCTCGAGTACACTTTTCACACCTGGGTCGACTACACCAAATTCGCAACGCTCCATCAATGCTACATCTCAGGCACAGGCGGCTGCGGCCATCGATATGATCGAACGACCGCCTAGTAGGGTTGGGCCACGGCCGCCGTCTGCGGCTGGAAGGAGAACACCAGCGGGGTATTCACCCGTATATCCAGTATTCCCGCACGCCAATGTGGGCCTGAACATTCAAGGTCGCATTCTTCAGAATCAGCGTATGGGTAATCCTTGGGGCGCTTTCGTTCAGCCTCATGGGGTCCGAGCACGCACCTCCCGCCCTGTGTTGAGAGACCAGTCGTCGACAGCAACCTTAAGACCAGCGATGTCACGTGCGAATATGCGTGACGGTCTTAGTCAAACTCAAGGAATGCGGACCCAAGCGTCGCGGATTGATCTACGTCACCAGCCTTCCCGGCGCCGTTTGAGTACTCAAGCGTCTACGCGGACGCTACGAGCCAGTGAACACGCTCGGCCCCCTCAAACGGCTGGTAACACGGCACCATCTCCCAACCACTCGGTCCCTCGGCCCACAAGGTTTACTCCAGATGAGCGGGAAAGCCTAGCCCGTGAGTTGATCAACACCAGGATGCGAGCGCTGGGAGGTGCTCAAGAAGCCAGCGCCAACCCTTCACGAACAAATCCATTTGCTCCCGGTTTCAGGCGACCTAACGCTGCTGCTGGCCTACCGTCGGCGGCCCCGTCATCTGGTAACCCTCAGCACATCAGGAGCAATTCGAGTGGAAGTGTCAACTCTGGCGTTTCCGCTACTACAACGCAGGCTACACCAGTATCACCGGCTCTTGGACGTCGCAGAAGCAATCGAAACATCAATACGGCTCCTCCTCCTGCGCTTTCTCCGGCACAAGCGGCCTTCTCTCCACCGGCTACAACTTACACGAGCACCTACTTTAGAGCTCGGCAAGGATCATATAGCGGAAGCAGTGCCACCTACGAATCTTCGATCAACACCAGCACGACAAGCCCGATGGTTGCTGCCGCTGGGCCGCTGATTTAAACTCGAAGTCCTCCGCGTTCGGGGGGTTATCAGTCACCTGGCATCGGCGTACAAGTCACCTATCATTGTTTTTATTCACCGTGAGGAAGTTACTAGGAATGGGGAATGGACTGGGCTTCACGACTATGTATGATCATGAACGTTTTTCTTCGGTATGAACATTAGCACTTGGGCATTGGTCAATGCATGAGCTCGGCGTCATCAGAGGACAAAGTCCTTGATTTGGGAAAGGTTTTGATGGTACTCTTCTATGTTTGTGTGCTTCCGGCGGCATAGTCTACATAGCGTGGCGTCACGGTCACTGGTATTCTACTTTTTTTGGGCCTTGATTATTTCTATCCCTCTCTACTTCCTACCTGCGAATATGTGCGCGAACTACGATGACGTTGTAGAACGAGCATAAGCAATGCCGTGACACCATTAGTGTCGAAACGCAACGGAATCAGCACTGCGACTGCGTTTGTGTTTGGAGTGAGTAGCTTGTTACAAGGTGTCGGTGAAAGGCGGACTGGCACCTGTGCCGGCTTTCACCGCCTTCCGCAGGCTACCGCGCAGAAAGTAAACAGACGAAGTGCAAACGGGCTCGAGGTAAACAACTCGCTGCCCTCCGTCTGCTGCTTTTTCCCTTCCGTCAACCTACCTCTTCGCTGTTGTTCGGACAAGATTCTACGTCGGCTTTGCGCTTCGCACACGCGCGCGAAGATATCGTGGGGGCTCGCTTTGGATACTGATCGCGAGTTGTATTTTTGCGGCAGTTTACTTGCAGTAAGTGGGATTGTAGCGGCTTGCGGCGGTTTGAGCTCTTGATGACAATGATTAGGGACTTGAGTCGACGGCCTCGAGGACTGGACTCAACTGCTTCTGGTTGAAAGCCAACTTCACTCTGCTTGTACAGACCTCTGCGTCTATCCTCAACACTCTCCGATCAAAATATAACCAGCGTACTCACATTTGATATACAGCTTCAAGATGCAAGCCTTGCGCTCCTTCTTGCACCTCAAGCCGCGCGCGAAGGACGACAACCTTCTCTCCCCGTCCAAGAAGCTCGGTTTCAAGTCGACGCCTAACGTCAATTTCCCACAGACTGAAGCGCTATACGCCAATGCCGGCAGCCGCAGCACCCCATATCTCGGGATTCCCCTCACGGCACCAGAAGGTGAAGGAGGAGGAGAAGTCATCGAAGGCTCCTGGCGCTGCTGTAAGTGCCTGTCAAGTCATGCGTACCGCGTCCAGTCGGGCCCGCACCCACTGGGCCGAATGTCCTGCCCCAAGTGCGAGCATAAACCATGTGAGGCTTGCGTCTGGATCGGCGAGGGCCCAGTGAGGGTCTTCGAGCCCATCGAGGAGCCGCTGACGGTGCCGGTGCCGGTGGCTGTTGCACGGGGTCCGGAGACAGATCTGGCAGTGAAGCAGATTGGGGAGATTCCCTACGGTATCATCTGCTCCATTTGTGGCCTCAGTCATCGAGCTGAGGAGGTCAAGGCAAAGGTCAGGCACAGCAAGAAAGATAAGCGAGTCCGATTCCTAAAGGGCAGAGGTGTTAACGTGTTGTTTGGCAAGCAGCTGAAGAAGGATCCGGAGACTCACGAGGAGACGGTTACGGCTACGGCTGCGGCTACGTCTACGAATGCGCCGCTGACCCCGGTCCGCGAGTATCATAGCAACAAGTCTCGTCTTGGCAGCGCGGTGGCGGGTGGGATTAAGGGGCCTGTGAGACAGGCGAAGAGTATGGCTGATTTGAGGCAGGGTTTGGGCAGCTTGGGGTTAGGAGGCGGGCTTGGGAGCTTTGGCCTTGGTGGGTCTAGTGTTAGGGTCAATGAAAAGAGCATGGGAACGAGGGAACTGAAGACGGTGTCGGAGGAGGAATCTGGCGAAGGGAAGGAGAAGGGGAAGGAGAAGGGGAAGGAGAAGGAGAAGGAGAAGGAGCCGGAAGTGGAGTCTATTGAGATCCGCTTCGGAGGCAAAAAGTGCGACGGTTGTGGATGGTTGCTCAAAACCGAGGGAGGGTTCTGCTTCAAGATCGTTGAGAATGAGGTCGATGAGGAAGCGATCAAGGAGGAGAGGAAGAGGAAGGAGGAGGAGGAAAAGAGGAAGAAGCAGGAAGAGGAGAAGAGGAAGAATGAGGAGAAGAAGCGGAACCGAGCTTCCTTGGTGGAGAGGGGTTACGGGGAGCCGATTCTGACGATCAGAGGGGTCAGGCATCCGAATCCGTTGAGGTCGAATCCGGTAACGGAGGAGGATTTGAGGCTGTGCCGTGGTGAGGGGATGGGAGGAAAGTGATAGTGAGAGTGCAGGTGGAGCTCTGAGGGTCCCACTTCGGTAGGTGATTGGAGGTAGTGGTTGGGGATGGGACTTTCATGGCTGTGCTTTGGGGGTATCTCCTGATGCCTATATCAAGGCGTTGGTTTCAAGGGTTCGTCGATGGGCGGCATATTGGACGCAGGATTGGAGGATCGGTTGAAGACCTCTAGTGAATTCGCTCGTATACCGGCTTCTCGTACGAAGGCGTCGGATGAGAGGGGTATAATTCTGTGATTAATGGTCAATGGCAATGCGAAGTTCAAATCGATGCCTTCCGCTGGTGCCCATAGTAAGTCCTAACGTGCTCTCACCGGTGAACGTGGAGATTCTCAAACAAGGTATCAGTTTGGGAGTCTCCAATACATTACCTTCAATAGTCGCCCTGATCCTTCCAGCAACAACCAGTTTCTGAGGTGGCTGTGGGCCGCTACCCTGAGTTATCCTGAGTTTTCCTGTTGTGTTGGCAGCAGTGAATGTTCCAAGTTACAGCTACCACCTTCCAGATAGGACGATTCTCCACTCCGTTAGCATAGCCTCAAAAACATTATCTATGACCTCAGGCCCCCATCTTATATCGTATTGACCAGCATCAAACCCCGTTTAACACCGTGCGCGAAGTTATCCGAGGTGAATGTACTTCTCCGGAGACAGCTAGCGCCTAGGCAACGTCTGACATGCACTTCTCATTGGCCCCCAGCACAGCCCCGAGCCACACCCAGCCACCTTGAGATCCATCAGCCGTGAACAACAACAAGCTGGGCGACCGATTACGGGAAAGGGTACGATCCACTCCATCAAGCGCGCGCTTGAGTGAACGAGGGTGAAAACGCATATATGAGTGTGGAAGTATTTGAGCAGGACGTCTAGCCATCAGATTGGGATTACAACCGAGAACAGCACACTTTGAGGCGTATACACACTTTGCCTAGTCGTACAAGAAGATATTCACAATTTCCCAACAAGACACGTACGTGAGACGTGTATATAGGCAAATGGGAACATTCTTTCTGACTTGTGTTTGCAGGCTTCTCTCACCGTTAAGATATACAAGGACTAAACCATCGCTTCGAGAACATACTGCACCTAAACTCAGAGGGCAGTCTCTCTCCTCGGATTTTCAACCCCCTATCGTAACCGGGAACTTGATCTTGCTTCTGAAACATCCACTTCGAGCATCCAAAATCCGCCTGATCTCTTTCTTCCTTCACGCCTACCAACATGGCATCCACCGCCGCAACAGAGGAACCCTCCAAGGCCACCCCCAAACCCACAAGCACCGGCATCGACATCTCCGCCGACGTCGAGGACACTCTCCAGCAACTCCCACCCCTTCCCTCCCCACCCCTCCCCACCCATCCTGACTTCACCCACTGCACTCCCCCGGTCCTCCCCACCTACCGCAAATTCTCCATCTTTACCGCCGGCAGCATAGAAATGGGCCGTGCCATCCAATGGCAACGCCACCTCCTGCACTTCCTCTGCGACCTGCCCATCACCGTCTGCAACCCGCGCCGCGGCCACTGGGACGTCACCGTCACGCCGAGGGAGAAGGACCTGGCATTCAACCGTCAGGTGCAGTGGGAGCTTTCAGCCTTGGAGCACGTCGAAGTGATTGCCTTCTTCTTCGACAAGGCGACGACGAGTCCCGTGACGATGCTGGAGTTGGGCCTGTGGGCCAAGAGCGGCAAGGTGGTCGTGTGCTGTCATCGGGACTTCCATAAGGCGGGGAATGTGCACATCACGTGTAGGAGGTATGGGATCGAGTTTGTCGAGACGTTTGACGAGTTTGTGCCGCTGATTCGGAAGATGTTGGAGAGCAAGGGGTTGAGGGTTAATGAGCGGGGGAATGTGGTGGATGAGCAGGGCAGGGAGGTCGAGAATAAGGGGCCCGTGGTGACGCAGATTAATGACGTTTTTACGGGGATTGTGGTGAGGGGTGAAGGGGACGGGGAGGGAAATGGAGAGAGGGAAAACAAGGCCGAAGGGAATGCTGCTGGCGCTGCCAGTGCAAGTGCAATTGCTGCTGAAAAGAGCGACGGGAAGATTGAGCAGACGACCGCAGCCAAGTCCAACGAGCAGAAGGGGCTGAAGAAGGGAAGGCTTTCAACAATGCTTGGGAAGATCAAAGGAGACCGCTAACCAGGCGGATTGATTTGGCACGACTCACGAGCTACGACTTGCTGCGTATTCCTCCCATTTTCGTTTTCATTGCTATCTATGAGAGGGCGCGTTGAATCGGGTAACCAGGCAGAGCGGGAGAAAGCCTGGTGAAGAAGAAGATATGATGGACGATCAAGCGTAGTACGAAGGTGTTTTTTCCGCGGATATGCAGGGGGTTGTATTGCGTGTATACCCTTTATTGGTAGACGGAGCTCTTTTGCTAGCAATTCATAGGTTTCTTTCCAAATCCTCCTGTCCCAAATGCCAACTGTCATCAAGTATCCCACATGGAAGTTGAGTTATTTACGGATTACAGAAGGGCAGACAGTCTCTGCATCATATGTCCTCTCCGTCCTTATATTGACAAGTATTCCTCTCCCGCTCCTCGCAGTGCCTGAGACCTCATACCTCTCCTATTAATGCGAATCAATACGTTCCGGAAAAAGAAACCGGGGGTATTATGTTACAGGAGGGGCGCTCGTGGGTACAAATGAACTCTTCGGAGTGAGGCTCAAAGTGAGGCTCTGATTGTCACCCTCTTCACCCACCTACGCTATCCGGGATGCGAAGGGCGAAAAAAACCAAATCCCACCCTTGCTGTAAAATGATGCAGATCTCTGGACATGATTCGACTATGCGTATCTCTGCTCAACGGGTAGTAATATGAGCGGCTCCACGACGTGTGCTACTCTTCTCTGCACAGAATGTGGGCAAGCTATGTGTCGAACAAAGTCGGTGTATTTGATGCAGAAGTTGCAAATGGCTGTAGCCTCGCGCTGAGGCAGTGGCGGCAATACCGGTATGCTATGCTGAGAAAATGAAAGCGTAGTTTTTGAGAAAGCGTAGTTTTTGAGAAAGCGCAGTTTTTGAGAAAGCGTAGTTTTTGAGAAAGCGTAGTCGTTGATGGAATCGACTTCACAGATTGCCCCATTCATCGGACAGGAACGTTGCGGTGCATCAGGCAATAAGCGATACTCAGTCCTCTCAGTCCTGAACGACCGTCATCAAACCCGTTCGATAGGCCTCAGCGGAGTTAGGATGGTATTCGGGAGCGGCGTCTGATATGTGCGTAGCAGCAAGATAGGCGGTAAGTTCTGCACACATCTTTTCGGGTGTGTAGCCACCAAAACCGTAGTCACCAACACATTGTCTAAGTTCCTCGGCGAGCACAATTGCCTGCCTAGCTCCAATCTGCGAAGCTATATAGTGGAGGATTCCGACGACCCATCGCTTGTGGTCACTGAAGCCGATCTCTGCCGAGGCGGTCACATACAAGGGCCAAATTAGCTGGTGCATGCCTGTCGGCTTGGAGGGATGCAAGTATGTTCCAGGTGGGCGCAATTTGAATGTTGGATCCAGTGGGTCGTAAATGCTTGATATCGAGATGCTTCCCAGATCGTTACGGGCTTTATCAGGGAGCGAGGGGTAGGGAATTTGCCCGATCACTTGTGGGACAGTAGCACAGGTGTCGGCGGCAGCCGAATATATGACGTCTCTTGAAGCCAGTGTTTGATAGGCGATCATTCCCGCGGTGAAGACAGGCGGGACCTGTTGTCCCCCTTTAACAAGATGACCAAGTATTCGTTTATGCAACAGAATTCGGATTGAGCGGAAGTTGTTCCACATCTCTGCGATCCAGGGATCCACGTATACGTGGTAGAAGCTCCCGTATAGGGTTCCTGCATCCGGGTCGAGCCACACCTTTTCGTATTGCCATATGTTAGGGACCACCTTTTGTATCTCTTCAAGGCACTTGTCATGCTCAACTGTGGCTTTTACTATAGCGGCTAAATCGTCGCTCGAGTCCTGGATGAGGTCTAGAGCACGACTCATCTGCCGAATCATGTTGGTCGTCCATTGTTTGCCAAAGACTGTGTAGTCTCCGATCTGGGTGTTGGCCTCCCAAAATTCCGTCATCTCACGGGGAACGCGAGTATTTGCCTGCGTCGCAACGAGCAGCAGAACACCGTAAAACTGCTGAAATATACGGTGTCCGAGCTTGCCAAGCAGCTGCTCCTTTCCTCGCAAGGCGATAAGTGCACAAGCGCCGTTATTGTGCTTCGACCAGGATCTGATTGAGCCTTTGCTCTCGAACCAAAAGCCTTCGTACATGCCCAGCATAATCACGGATACCAGTGTGCTGTCCTGAATTGCTGTCTCGCGAGTTTGGAGAGCTTGGTTGGTAAGCCTTAAGGCGGCGACGTATTGCTCCCGTGCTTTTTTCATGATAGCATTGTTCTTCGTAGCAATCGCAAGCCCTGCTAGCCCAGCAGCTGTGACGCTTGTCCGTAGAAGCGGGTTGGTCTCGGATGGGCCCTGGCCCAGTAATTCCGGGAGAAAATCAAAATGTCCCCGTGGTACAAGCGACGGTCCTTGGACATAGTTGGAAATGAAGAAACCTACGCCCTGGTCTTCTAGTGAGGGTTCCAGGGCTCGTGCTGGCGACACATTCCGTACTCTATGCACGAGGCTCTGTTGCGGAGGCGTTGCAGAGGGACTCTGAACAGACATCAGACGATTGGCATCTTCAGAACTTGGCGTTGGGCTGGCCTCGATGGTCTCACTGGTCTCGCTGGTTTCACTAGGAGTACTTGGACAGCTTTCTCCTTGATGCTGTTGGCGTTTCCTTTGTTGTCGCTTTACTCTCGTCCTTGCCAGCTCTTGATATTTGGTCTTGGCCCTCCGAGCAACAGCATCGTTCTCATCCCGAAACATCATTTCTAAAGGGTCCCTGTAGCCATGGCAGTCCTTCCCTGACCTGATGCATTGGCCGCATGATGGGCGCTTGAGATCACACTGTTAACAATTTAGAAAGGCTGTGTTGCTTGAGCAATGATTGCAGGACTAGTCTGACCTTGACCTTTCGATCTCTACAGTTTTGGCACCCTTTAGACGGCCTGCCAACGTTGGGCATTATCAAAGAGAGCTAGTTTTGTCTGGATGCTGCTGCCCATGGGCACGGTACCACCGCAATGATCAACTGTACTTGACCACCAACACGCAAAGGCGTCTTGCAGCAAGCAGCCACAGTGCTGGGTAACCTTGACAAGCATCGCACGATCGCCGGATACTTGATCTCTTTAAGTCGGGACGAGGCATGGGCGCGACGGAACGGTGTGCTGGAGAGAACAAAGAAACGGGACATCGAATATGGGGGCTGAAGATGTGATGGAGCGGGCAAGCCGCTAGCCCTAACACGGCTAGAGCACGAAATGGTGAGATGGTGATGGAGTGTGATTCGATTGTATCTGGACTCTACACACTAGTAATCTACAGCTTCGATTTAGCTTTCTCCTCCTCAAGAGCCTTGGTCTTCAACACTCTCCTCAAGATCTTGCCGCTCACACTCTTGGGGATCTCGTCCACAAATCGAACACCGCCCCTCAACTTCTTGTGGTTAGCGACCCTCGAGTTCAGCCATTCACATATCTCGGCTGCCTCCCTCTCTCCCTTGCCCAACCCTCCGGCAGGTACAACATACGCCCTCGGCAGTTCCGTTGCTTGCTCCTTGTCGTAGACTCCGATGACCGCAACGTCATTGATGTTGGGGTGCGAGACGAGAATGCCCTCAAGCTCCGCAGGTGGCACTTGGAAGCCCTTGTACTTGATCAGTTCCTTGACGCGATCAGTAATGTAAAAGTGGCCATCCTCATCTTGGTATCCAACGTCGCCAGTTTTGAAGTAACCATCCTCAGTCTTCGCATGAGCAGTGCCTTCGGGGTTGTTCCAATAACCCTTGAAGACATTGGGTCCCTTAATCCACAGCTCACCAACCTGTCCAACCGGCACTTCCTGTCCGTCCTCAGACATGTACTTTGCCGTTTGGTACGGAAGCAAAGTGCCAACGGAGCCAACCTTCCTTTGCCAGTCCTCCCAGGGCTGGGTATGGGTGGTTGGGCTTGTCTCTGAAAGGCCGTAGCCCTGCTTGACGGGCACCTTGAGCCGGGCGTACAGAGCTTCCACCAACTCTTTCGTCAACGGTGCGGCACCAGAATTGAGCATTCTCAGGGTGCTGAGGTCATACTTTTCCACAATTGGATGCTTAGAAAGGAGGAGGACGACGGGCGGCACCACATAGGCGAATGTGACCTTGAGCTCCTGCACGAAGCGGCAGAAATGTTCAAGGTCAAACCGGGGCATAACAATGAGGCGAAGTCCAGAATAGATTGCCTGGTGAATAAGGCAGGTTAAGCCTGCTCAGGAATCAGTCACTGGCGTTCGGCTTAACAAAGACGGGAACATACCGTAGATGTGGAAGAAAGGCAAGAAAGCCAGGATACGATCACCATCGCCGGTTGGGCCACCTTCCCAGCTGAGCTTGCCAGCTTCTCCGGCCTTGATCATCAGGGTGTTGGAAACAATGTTGCGGTGCGTAAGCATGACGCCTTTAGGATGTCCTGTAGTTCCCGAGGAGTACACCAAGAATGCCAGGTCTTCACTGGGTTCCATCTTCGTCCTCCTATATCTCGAAGATTTGGAGAGATTGCGTATGCTTGTGAAATGCTTCACTTTGAGCGCAGGATCCCGCTGGTCGCCCATAACAATTATGCGGTCCTCTGGGATGCCGACTTTCTTCGCGGCCAGTCGGGCATTCTCAATGTACGGCATCTGCGTGACGAGTGCTTTCGCACCACAGTCCTTGAGCTGGAACGCCAGCTCATCGACGGTGTAGCCAGGATTTGCCGGGCTGAGGACACCACCAGCCCAGTGACAGCCCCATGTTATGGCGGGTGTATCAATGCAGTTCGGGGAATAGAGCGCGAGGACATCGCCCTTTTTCCAGTCCCACAGGGCCTTCAGCCCCATCCCAAACTCGATCGCAGTGCTCTTGACATCGGCGTAGGTATAGGAGCGGTTCGTATATGGGTCGAGGTAGATCACTGTTCAAGTTAGTCATGCCCCTTCAAGCGATGTGCAGGCGCACAGTGACCGTTTCCATGCCTTTATTATCAGGAAACGGCTTATCCTTCCGCTCAAACAGGAAAGCCCACAGGTCAATGTCTGGGATCGGGACGTTGGGGTATTGGGACTCGGTAGGCATGTTGATGAGTGTCGTTCAGGTGTTCTGAATTACGAGATGGAGGAGCTGAGAAGGGGAGAAGTCAAGAAACGTTATCGATGCCGAAGCCGAAATAAAAGCCGCGGGGGACATTCCGCAGAGCTCCAACAGCGGTTCCCCGAGGAGGCTATCATTCACGCCTCCGGATCCGCCAAGTCCGCCGAGGGTAGATGCGGAGGTGGGCGGGACGAAGGCGTGGAGGATTTAGCGTTGGGGATCGGAGCCGAGGCTTTTTCCAAGACGGGGTAGATATGGGGTCAGAGGGAGACATCCCAAGCTCCTCTCCGACAGCTCAAACAATTTCAATAGGACAATTTCTCGCCATTGCAGGACCTTTTAGAACTCAAAAAGGGATGAAGTTGACAATAACCTGGTTGTCAGGCTGCTGGATGTCTGTGTAACGTGGGAGAGTTCAATCGGTCCTGTGTGCGGGTTCCTGGGACTTTAAAACCTTTAGCGTGAATATCAACATCCGAGGTCAACATCGGTCAGCTTGCTCGTCGCGAACCTCCTTGCCATGATGTAGGCGTTAATAACATATGTGCGTAGGGTCCCGTCGATCTTCGAGGGTAGCGTCGCTCATCATGCCTACATGGTCAGAAGCAACCGCAGTGAAGAAAGTGGACAATGGGGTCTATGAAGGGTTCCTGTATGACGACTGGTGCATCGGTAGTGGTGAGTGCACTCGGACGAAATAACCTCCGTCGGAGCACAGAGTTGGGAGCTCACAAAAACTAGTTCCCAATGGCGGCTATGTGACGGGAATCATTATGGAAGTGGTGAAAACGCACTTCAGCACCACCCTTGCCAAGCAGAACCAGCCGCATACGATTGCTCTCCATGTCGAATTCCTTCGACGGACGCAAAAGGGCCCCGTTACCTTCAAGGTGGAGGACGTAAAACTCGGTCGACAAACGTCGATAGTCCACGTTCATTTGTCTCAGGAGGGACGAGAGGAAGTCATCGCCTATGTGACCAACTCCAATATCGACACCGAGGAGGGCTTTTCCTTCGACACCGAATATAAGCTGACGCCTCCTCCTCCGCCTGTTGACCTAGCCAAGCTTGAGCAGAACAAGGACGAGCACTGGGAGGCCCATGCGAAGATGCCCTTCTCCGAGTTTAGAAAGGCCACTCAGAAGGTTGTGTGGCATTTTCCCCGGAAAGGGCATGTTGCGAAGAACACTGCTGATGAATGGCTGTGCTTCGCCGACGGGACAAGTTTCACAGATACCAGCATAGCATTCGTCGCAGATATGTTTCCCCAACTCATTGAGTCTTACCGAGATAAGACTCAAGGACCGTTCTGGTATCCGACGCTGCTCCTGAATCTGGATATCAAGAAAGCTTTGCCTCCCCAGGGTGTAAAATGGTTAGCCATTCGAGTACAGATGAAGAAGATCAAGAACGGAAGGATGGATATAGAAGTCCACGTCCATGATGCTGAGGGTGATCTCGTGGCGCTCAGCCACCACGTAGGATTCGTCTTGGACGCAGCAAGGAATATGGCCGAACGAAGGAAACCGAATACCAAGTTATAGATGGCACCGCATGGTCGATATTATAGATTTGGTTAGACGTAGAAAATACACCCTAAGCAATTATGATATGGGTTCGCTGGGAGGAAGCCAGGAATTACTAACTGTGACTAGTTGAGACATCACCAAGAGAAAAAGACGACCAGCGGTCTTTTTCTCTGTAGAAGAGGACAAACAACCTTGGAAATAAGGACCGTAAATGGAAAGCTTGATAAGACTTCTCGCGGAGTGGAGCGGATGAAGGTCGATAATCCTGGGGTCATGTGACGTGGGCTTGAAACTCATGAAAGTGGCTAGCGGTCTTGGCACGCACTTTCCCAGCCGAGCCCAAATTATCGAAACTTGCAACATCGCGAACCTCACCCGACGACCGACGACACTACTAACCGCCACCATGCCCAAGGAAGTGAAGCAGCGCTCCGGTTCGTATTTGTCGCCGTGTGTTGCTGAAATCTGACAGTGCTAACAATACCGCAGGCCTCATCGTTGGCCTCAATGCCGGCCACAGTATGTTCCGCCCACGCCGATCGTCTGAATGCTGCACGAGAGCCCCGCTAACCGCGACGATGAATAGAGGTCACCCCGAGGCAGCCTGCCCCCAAGATTTCCCGGAGGAAGGGTTTCCTGTCAAAACGGACGGCTTTCGTGAGGGAGATCACTCGTGAGGTCGCTGGGTACGTGCAATACCAATCTGGAGCGCTGGCTGGACACAGAAACGGACAGCGAGAAATCAGGAAAAGAGGGCGTATGGAAGTTGCTCGGGATATTGGCTAACTGGAAGATTTGCAGTCTCGCTCCCTATGAGAAGCGCGTCATTGAATTGCTCCGCAACTCCAAGGACAAGCGTGCCCGTCGTCTGGCAAAGAAGAGAGTACGTTATATCTCCCGCGAACACACGATATTATCACAACGGCTCGCTCGATGGTTGCCTGCGCTTCGAAATCAATACTAACATACCATAGCTCGGTACCTTCGGCCGTGCCAAGAGGAAGGTCGACGAGATGACCAAGATCATCGCCGAGTCGAGGCGTGCGGGTCACTAAGCGTGTATTTCGATTTGCATGGGGTTGAGCGGTCAACTGGGAGCTTTTTCCACTTCTTTCCGGGTGTTAGGTCTCTTCGGCGAGGTGATACGACTTCGGAAAACTCGAATACACACCAGGATGACATGATATCCACTGCAAAGCTTCAAAGAGGCGGATACATCACCATGTCACCTAAAATCATGAATATGAAGATCAACTCACTTCGATGGCCATGCGTAGAATGCTGCCGTGCGGAGCATGACGTCGATATGGATATATCCAGGTGCCTCCTTCGGTCCCGATGTGTTGTTATGCACCAACTATGTACCAAGCTTGCCGTTCAAAGTGGCCGTCCATTCTACCCTGATCTGTTTCTGTCAGGAAGCGCCATGATACGAGTATTTTGCCCAAAAGAGTCGTTCAGCGTATCATCATATGCTTGCATTTACAGCACCCATTCGCACATTTGAACTGCTTTACCATGCTGGGACAAATGTCTTCCAGCATGCACTAGATTATATGCTGATCCCGCCCTCGATACCCTTCCAACTATACATGGCAGCATTTGCCTCAGAGGGCGATACCTGTAGTGAGGAAACACTTCCCCTGATGCGTAACCTACCGCTTCTTGAACAAACCCTTGTTAAGGATATTCTTCAGTTTACTCTCCTTGTCCTCGCTACTAGTCTCGGATTTCTTCTTTTGTTGCGCCTTGCTACTTTCAGCTTGAGCCAGCGCAGGCGGTGCTTCCACCACCGGCTCCTCCACCCTCAACGTCTCCGCCTTATCCTGCCATTCCTTCGCCAGAGTCTTCCGCGACAGCCGCGCCTCAGTCGACGCCTTCTCGTCCCACAAGAACGTGATAAGCTCTGCCGCGGAGAATCGAAGATCCTGAATCAAGCGCTTCTGGTCCCGTGCAATGAGGACTTGACGTCCATTTATGGGACTAAAGTATTTCAGTTGGAACGGTTCCTTGTGCTGCAAGAATCCCTCTACGAAGCTGTACAGCGACTCTGCGGTATCCTCTTTGTTCATGGACGTCTGGATAATCATCTGATCGGGAAAGCGGATGCGTACTGAGCTTCCCTTCTCCGCTGCTGCCAGCAGCTTTTCCTGGCGAGCCGCCTCCTGATCAGCGATTTCTTTGTCGGACAGGAGACGTTGGTTTTTGGTTCGGGCTTGCAGGGCAGCTTGGTGGGATTTGGCGTGTTCGATGGTGGGGATATAGTCGCCTTCGTCGAAGGCACCTCGGGCAGCTTGCGGGGTAGACGACGTGGGAGCAGCGTAGATTTTGACGTTCCGGCCCATACCAGCCGGTGGGACAGTTGAGTCTGCAGTGGAGGGTTTAGGATCCGGAGGGGAAGAGGGTGCGGGTTGAGTGTTTTCAATAGCAACAGTTTCGCCGAGGGAAGGAGTCGTGATTGTTTTACTGTCCCCGTGATCCATATCCATCAGTTCAGGTTCGGGCTCCTCACTCCTTATGCTTTCCCCAGCTACGGTCTGTGTAGCTTCAGGTGCAGCTTGGTCGGGGTCCGGGGCGGTACTGGCTTGAGCTGTGTCTGCGGCATGCGCGCCGGGAGCAGCAGGTTCCGAGCTCTTGAAGTACTGCGATATCTCTGTCATAACCTCCTCCAACGGTCTTCCACTATTCTTAAAGCTCAGCCTCAGCAGAGCGGAACCGCTGTCGAAGCCAAGCTGACCCAGCGTCTGTTGCAGACCAACAAATGTTGACTGTTCCCTATGGCCGGGCATGACGGTGATTACGGGCATCTCGTAGTTCAAACGGCCAGCGCCAGAAGTTCCACCCGAACTCAATGCCGGAACACCGCGCTGGGTGAAGTTGTATATGGGGCCACCTTCCATGCTCTCAAACTGCCGTAGTATCTCCCATAACGTTGTATTGCTTGCGAACTTTTGCGTCAGTCGTACATTCTTTTCTGATTCGGGGAGCTGAAGAGCGACCGAGATGACGGTTGGCGATTTAGAAGCCTGTACGAGCTCCAACCGCGCACCCTGAGGCAGATTCGCAAGCCGTATCTGCTGATGTAGCGATATCGGCTTGTTGTTATACCTGGTAAGAAGTCAGAGACCTTCGATAGGGGCATTTCCTGGATGCGGTGCTTACTTCAAGGTGAATTGATCATTGCTGACCTTGAACTTCTGGCAAGCTTCGTCGCGCACCTCTGTAAGGTACTTTGTGGGATTCGTAGGAATCCTCACCGTCTTCGCAGACGAGTTATATACAACTACGTGTGACATTATGCCGGCTTGAATAGTTTGAATAGCTTGTATAGGAGGAAGCCAGCGGCAGGGGCGTGGGTCAGGAGAACGAAGCGGGAATAGAAGCAGTGGAAGTGGTGATGCTTCAGGGTGTGATCGCACCGGTCGATAATGACCAGGAGGCCGAAGAGGTGTATAAGCTTCTGTTCAGGACCGCTGAGAAAGACGTTACTTGAGCCTGCCATCAGCTGGCGAACCAGGCTAGGAAGGTGTAAGGAATGCAGAAGGGTCGCGCGAGGGAGGAAAGCTCACCGGCAGAGGAACTCAAGGAGGAGGACTCGGGCTGCTTAACGTACTGAGCAGCGCAAAGGGCGATGTGGTAGATGTCGTGATGTCCTGTCTAGTCGGTCCCGAGTTGTGAGCAGGCCTGCAACATGAAGGCGTCGGCTCAAGAACGCCTCTAATCGTTATTTGTCACGAGGGGAAGCCGTAATCACATATACTGTTGGTCAAAGTGTTGCCGCCCGATAGAACCGGTTCTCGAAGTTTCGTTGTTGAAGAGAAGTCGCGTGTCTATTTCGGGTACCCCCAGGATGGAGGTGATCTATGCTGCAGGCAGGAGGAGGCAACGTCAGTGTTGAACGCGCCCCGCCCCCACCAACCTGGCAACGCGACTCCACCTCCGACAACCAACAACACACTCATACTCTACCGGACTACTGTGTACGATATAACATCATGTCAGAAACAGTTGAGATTTCGTCGGCGGCGCAGCTGAATGGCCTCCTCTCCTCTTCGCGTGTGGTAGTGGTCAATTGTACGCCATACCCAATCTGCGCTTTGTTCGCCAAAAGCTGACGCTCTTTGCATAGTCTACAATGAAGCCGACGCAGCCTCGAGAGCCATATCTACGATATACGATCAACTGGGAAGCCAATTATCGCGTCCAAATAGTGTCACTTTCTCCAAGGTGAATGTGGAACAACAGAAGCATATAGCTCAGAGCTACAACATTACAAAGTGCGTTGGAAGACCGAAACTGCTGTGGAAGGCAGGAGACTGACAATGAAAGCCCTCCTACCTTTGTGATCTTCAAGAATGGCCGACAGATATCCAAAGTAAACGGTGCAAATCCCCAACAACTCTCGGATGCGATTAAGAGACTCGCGAACGAGGCCGAAGCGGACCAGTCCTCCAGAGGCGGTGCCAGCTCAAGCTCTGGTGGAAGCTGGTTGGGAGCAAGCCTGCCTAGGGGTTACCACGATATTTCCGACCAGGTCGACATACGTGGCTTGGACTTGCTGAACTCCGATAGCGAATTCGGTGGCGTACGCACCCTGTTCGAAACCACGGCGCCGTCGTCCGCTGCAAAGGGCAAAGGTACAGCCAGCGGATCGGAGTCCAAAAAGGACTGGGTGGAAAGTGACGTGGACGAACAATTGATGCTTTATATCCCCTTCACATCAACCGTGAAAGTACATACGATCCAGCTCACATCACTTCCCCCGAAGGATAACGACGATGACATACCCCTTCGGCCAAAGACTATCCATTTATATACGAATAGACAGCACAACCTGGGGTTCGAAGAGGCCGAAGACATACCTGCCACGCAGATTATCGAGCTGAAGGCATCGGACTGGGATGATCAGACGGGCACAGCCAAACTTGAGCTCCGCTTCGTTAAGTTTCAGAACATCTCCTCGCTGGTACTTTTTGTGGTGGATGGAGATGGCAGCGGCGAGAGGACAAGGATAGACCGCATTCGCATTGTAGGTGAAGCAGGAGAGAAGCGGGACATGGGAAAACTGGAAAAGATAGGAGATGATTCCTAGTGTAGCCTCGACAACGACCACAAGCCGAGATGTATCAGGTAACTCGGTAATGAAGAGACAGAATCAAGGCATGCAATTCTAGCGGAGAGATTATGACCAACAGGGACTGGACCATCGCAGATGAATCTATGTTGAGATGTTCGACCTTTTTCCAGCAAAGGCGCCACGGTAATGGACGCCCTCACAAAGTGTATACGATCGATTGTGCAATATGTTCGTTCTGAGAGGTCAATGACACTTGGTACGCCATGGTAATGTAGCATCCAAACAACAGGGGAAACTGTAATATTGACCTCTGCCGCACGAAGAGTGGAAAAGGTTCGCAGGACGTCAAGCTTTTTGAGGTTTGCGAGCACGGACCATCGGAAACATTATTTTCCGACCGACTCCATTACTCAGCATGCACAAGCCTCACCCTCATGGCGAAGATTTTCGCTGCCGCGAGTTCCCTTCCTCTTTTCTCTTCATGGCCGTTGATGAATATCTCAAACAATCATGATAGGAAGAGAGTGACTCGGCAAATGCTGGGACTGAGCTCAATGTTACAATTTCTGAGGCCTGTTTACGTCGCGGACGTTCGACAACCTGGAACCTGAGACGCGGCTGATGAGAATCATCATGCATTGTTGGGACATCTTCTTCGGACCTTCTCCCGCTTTTCTATATCTCCGTCGGAGGTTTCATTTCTCGTCTCACGGCTATTTGTGGCAGCAAGAGTGGGAGCTTTCTCGGGTAACAATAATAACAACAACTCCCATCGCCTAGACGACCTCAAACAACTCGAGAAGAATCAATGTCACATTTGTAACCGGCGGACAATCCCGAATTGCTATCTTCTGCATCACAATGACTGCGCTACTTCGCCATGCTCAAGGCCAACCGCTTCACATTCTGATTCTTCATCAAAGTGGCTCCACATTATGTCGTCTCCCAAGGGGCGTGCAGAGTCAAACTCATGCTCCCGTCAGTTTGAAGGCAAGGTTCTTGACCTTTTCAATGATTCCAGGACCCCATTGGCAATCAGCATTGCCGTCATTTCCAACTGCAAGGCCTCGATCCTTGCCAACTGAATCTTGACCGAGCTCATGTTACATTGTCATGATGAGAATGGGCTCGAGCGTACATGGGGGAGTCTGTTGACACGCAGACGTGGACAATCATTGTCATCTGTGCCCATGGAAATGTGAACGTGGAGTCAAATTATCCACATACACCACCGGCAGTGCTAGTCCGAAAGCTTCTCTTGCAAGCCAAACTTTGGCGGGGAAAGAAGTACTGTGTATGGTCCAACAGCTCCATTATTTTATCACGTTGTCTTCTGCCCGGGTTCACGGACAGAGTTGAATCTCGACGATTGAGCAGTGTGCAATTTTTGACTACGGCAACGGGAGCCTTCGGACAACATGGACCACATCCACTGCTGGATACCCTCCTTGAAACAGACGCAATATCTAACGCGGATATCAGCATGAGCATACCTACTTTGTAGATCTTTGGCCGTGACTACAACATGCCATTCCCAATTTCCCCCATCGGATGTCACTCCACGTTCTCAGAGATGCCGAAATATGACAGTTCTCCGAGCCCGGCAGACGCTCACTGATTGCTTAAAGCTCCGCGCGCTTTGCCACGGCCGGCGACGGCGACGGCTCCAGAACGGGTCCTCGCGAGTTCCACTTGCCGTTCGAACTTGGACGAGCAGAAATGCTGTACCTAGCGGTCCGTGTACAGTGTACATAATACTGTTGATTGCGTAGACGCATCATGGAGTTGCGACGCGGAATCGACAGCACAGATGAACGACAATCCCATGGTCCCAAATACTCTGTTCACGTCCCTCACAGCCTCGGATGATGAGGACCATCGTAGCAGGGAAAGAAAGTCGTCATACATGTTCTCAAAAGCCACGCTGCCAGGGACCAGAGGAGCGGGTGTCACCGCATCAGCGCTCTGACTCCCGAAAGTGTTACGAGTTCCCGGTTGGTCGAGCATAACTTCGAATTTCGTTACAACAGAGGTGCCAGGGATCCCAACAAAGATTCAAGCGTCCCCAGCAGAACGGCTCCAGGGATTTCACTAGCTTCCTCATTAGGTTTGAGGCGGATTCAGGGTCCCCAACTTTCAGATCTAGCCAACACTTTGACTTTGTTTCGACAAAATTGCGGCTGCTATGGCGCATGATTGACTGGTTCAACAGTTCGCCACTGTCTCTTTGACAACACCGGTAGGTTGTCTGTGCGGCGACTTCCAACGCGGATCTCACAGTTGCGATTTGCGAATGTGGAAACCGAGAGGCACAATCACAGTCAGAGGAATTGTCACCCGAAACCCGTCACCGACAAATGGCATCATCCCGCGCGACATGTGCTATCAGGTCGTGCTTGGGACAGGTGCGATGGTGGAAAAAAGTAAAACTGCCACTGCACACGCCGGCATGCTGTTTGCCTCGGAGGCAAGATGGAATTGCATCAATTGTTATTCAAAGTGGCAAGATGCTGGACGAGCGGCTTCGTGATGCAGCGAGCACGAGTAATCGATATCCGTCGACTCAGGGCAGCAAAGTTTGAAAGCATTTGACTCTGTGGAAATCTGGTGGGGTCGGCCAGAGCAGAGTCGACCTGCCATCCCGTGATTGACGTCGACTTAGTTTCAACAAGAGGAAGAAGTCGATCTGATGCAGGGACTCGACGACGCTGAGACGAAGGGAAACCCGGCCATGTTCCCCGGCACCGGCTTTGTGGCAAGTGGAGTCGCAACAGGCCACATGTTGGATCGTGAGGCCACAGTGAGTCGTGGTGCCAGGCACTGGTTTGGGACAAGCTACTTGAGCGTCGTCGGATCCGGTAACTTTGACTTCCAGAACATGGCCGTGGTCCAACGACAGCAACGATATCTGACGTCTTGGATACTTTTTCTCGCACCAAAGATAAAAACAACGGGTGTGGAAAAACCAAAATGGGTTTCAGACACTGTTCCTGCTTGGTTCCTGCATTAGGCATGCCTATTCCAGAACATTGTCATGCGGGAAGGTGTCACTGTGGGGTGGAATAGCTCTTGATTGGATGGGCCTGCCGATTCCTCGCCGTTTCTCACGTACAAGCGAAGGACGATGGCTTGGCATGCATAACTCGTATGGAGCCCTAAAGCGGCGAGGCCGCTATGCCGTATAAGGAGTCAGCCACCGAGTTATGCAACGCAGGGAGGGTGAGCACAAAAATTGCCCTCCCCAAAATAGTAGTTATCGTCGCGCATTACTGACGGATCAAAGGACTATTGGCAGGATATGTCGGAGGTATACGACATCTTCCAAGGATTCACACTCCTACAGCCGCGAGAAATAGAAACACACAAACAGCAAATATATTCGATTGGAATGCCGTCTTACTACGCAACACCATCCGTTCGCATCCCGGAGAGGACCCAGCGGAAGGCCATGAACCGCCGGATAGAGCACCTCTCGCGGCAGCCCGCGGCCTTTCGCAATCCTCTGTGGCTTCAACGGAAGTCAAGTGAACGATAGTGCAATGGGAACAAACGTGCATTATCCGACCCATTCGACCCCGCACGACTAAGTTAAGGATAGCCGTCTATCGATAGCTGACGAGCCCTTAAGCCGGGATGACGACGGTTAGTGAGACTTGTCTCCAGACTTTCCCCTTCAGAATTCAACTCTGCAACAGAGTTTGATTCGCCGCGGATCTTTGACGCTTATTGTAAACCTTGGAGCGAAAATTGCCCCTCGACGAGACAAGCGTCTTGGTCGCGGCCTTGTTTCACCATCAGAGGAGCCGACTTTCAACCATGTTCCCCCGCACTTCGCAGACCCTAGGGGAAAAGTCGTTCTGGCCGGCAGATGGAAGCAAGCAGCAGTTTGCAGAGAGCGCGGGCATGCGTGCATGAGGGCGCAGTGGTGGTGGTGGTGGTGGTGGTGGTGGTGTTGGTGGTGTTGGCTTCGTGCAGCATGCGCTTCCCAGCGAGTCGCCCGTCTGGCTGTATCCGATGCATCTGGCAATCCATCGATATCGTCTCACGCACTGTTTCTATTGATGGGCAAAGACGCCTGGCGGACAAGCAGTCATTCACAAGACAAACTGCCATATTGTTGATTGCGAGGATGATTGGCGCACCGTGGTGCAGCAGGCCAGCCTCTTGTTCAACGGCGGGCGACGGACGGCGCGTCCGCAACATGTCGCAGCGAGGCTCAGATGTGACAGTGGCACTGCACGCCCGCGTACCTAGGGATTTCGACGCCTTGGGCGCAAAAGATTGGACTGCATGTGGTGGCAACGAAGATGTCACGATGGTCTTTCTACTTGCATGGCAGCTGGAGCGGTTGTAGTTGCTGGACTCTGTGTGGCCGCCTGCGGTTTCCAAACAGCCACACACGCTCTCAAGTGGCCGTGAAGATGGCCAACAGATGGTCTCATCGAAGGCCCGTCCCACGGCCAAGTCCGTTATGAACAGGGTCCTGGCCAGCGGGGCAGATAGCATTATCGATTGGGCGGACAGGCTGAATATCGACGGACGGCGTACGCTGAGGACACACCGGGGACGTTGTGGCACAATCCGTGACTGGTCGAGTCGAAGGCTGCCCGCTGCGCTCTTCCCGGTCGCGAAACACCAACAACAGGCCAGTTGGACAAACCAAGAGGCAGAGCGACTCTGATCTTCCTGCTTCCCCGAGACGACTTGCCAACAGACAGTGTCTCTCACGGTTCTGAATGTTCGCCGCCGCCGCCGAGATGGCCGTGCTGGCTGGCGGCCACTGTCTCACACGAACCTTCATCGCATTGCCTCTTCTCTCGATAGCCTCGACAGCCTATCTCCTCGTGGTGGTCCACGATCTAGCAGCGGCCGCCTGCGCGTGGGTGACTACGGGTGACGGTCTTCATTTCGCCCAAGACCGGCCATCCACTGGCGGTGGAGCTGGGCGGGCAAGCCGTGGCAGCGCCCTCCCCCCCCAATATTCTTAGTGCATCCCGCAGCACAAATTGAATAATGCCGCTCCCGTCGTGCTGCCCTAAGCTGAGAGGATGCACGCAGGAATAGGATGGGATGGGTCTGGGACATGGGCAGGACAAGGGACCTGGCACAATCCCACGAGTCAACGAGAACATCCGCGCATGAGCCAGTGAGCCCGCGACGGGGGCCCAGTGCCCGCCTGCACCGTGCGCGTTGTGTCGTCTCGTTGGGCTTGGGCCAGCTAGACGTTCCGCTGCTGCTGCCACTACCTGTGGACTGCTGCGCCCTCGGAGCCATGCTGGCGGGCCATATCTTCTTTCTTTGCCTATAATATCTCCACGGTGTGGTCTCACTTTCCGTCCCTGCCCTACTTAATCATACCCACGGCCTGAGCGACCCCCAGCGCTGGCTTCTTTTTCTCGGCCTCTTCTTCTAATCTTTCCCCTCCACCCAACCATTCTTGGGGACGTTGTCACCAGTCCATTCTTTTCGAACCGCTCCTCGACACAGGTTCATCCGGTGCATCGCATAACATAGTAGTTGACCGTCTCGCCTTTCGAGCCGTCGTCGCGTCCTCTCCTTCGAGTCCCAACCCACCCATAGTCCACCTTGTACCAAATACGTATAACAATTTTAATAATTCCTCGACGCTTTCTTCTTCAACGTCACGTCGGCACCGTCATTGCCATCTAGGAACGATTCTTGGCTGTAAGTTCATACCAAAGCGTGGGACGGGTGGGAATGCCATGTCTAACATTCCACTCCAGAGGACGATCCAACATGAACACCACGGCAGGATTGTTCAACAATAATAACAACAACAACAACAACATGGGGTCGACCTTCGTCTATTACTCTCCCCACCCACAAGGCACCGCGGAAAACAGCCGCCATCACGGAGTCTTCACGCCTCAACCGCACCCACCCAGCCAGCTGTTGCAGCCAGGTCACGCCGTGATGCGATCGCCCTCTCCGTATCAGTCCCATGCAGGAGGTCCGCTGCATGCTCCTCAGCCCATGTCCCAGCACCGGCTTCCGATCCTGGGAGATGTTCGGCCGCATCCGCCGCAACTCACGGTCAACGCTCCTCTGACCCCCTATGATCCATCAACAGGAGGATTCGGCTCGCCTCAGCTGACTCCGACGACACCAGCCTTGACTCACAGCTGCATGAGCAGTCCCGCATCGGTCCACAATCTTCCCCCGACCCCAGTGCATGAGCAGTGCCCCGAGTTGGTTCAGATGGACATTGTCGATGCGGGAATCAAGACGGGCCGCAAGGAAGCCTGCGATGACGTATTAGTTGCTAATGCTGAGATCGAACCCGGGTTCAATCCAGGTACGTTTGGGGGTTTTTTTTCCTTCGAACTCATGTTATCCGAAAGCTCTCTTTGCTCTTTTTGTGTCTTGGATAGCAAGCACTTAGTGCGTGTGGACCGTGCGCCAGCAACAGGCACCTTAGCCTACCCGCTACCTCTCCCTCTCTCTCTCTCACTTCAACGTTCCGGTCGTTTCCCCTGAACGAGCAGGAATACAAATCGCTGACACTGTCCCTCACCAGTCTATCTGAGCAACACACCGAAGGCCGACGTCTCCAAAGTCGAACTTGAGTTGCCCCGCTCGCTCCTGACCCCTTCGCCTACTCCTTCGCCCCAGAGCCCCTTGGAGTGCCCTGAGACGGTCGACCCCCGTGCGCTGAGCCTCGACTTTGGCAACTCATCGTCCGGCACCGTGTCCCCTGCCGACATCTTTGGCACCCCGCCAACCTGTAGCTCACCCTTCTCGTCTCCAGCATTCTTTTCCGAATCCACTCTTGGCGACTTCTCCGTCGATACCTCGGCCGTGTCTATCGCTCCTGAGGTGACGTTGTGGGAGGACCTCTCCGTCGCTGACAGTGCCTTGTTGCCTCCCAGCAAACGCCAGAGGACCTCTCTTGCTATCGAGGATCACTACTTCACCGACGAGGCCGAGGATCTTCGTACCGGGCTGCTGACGCCTGATTCTCTCAGTTTCTCCCTCTCCCACGACATGTACGGTTTTCCTCTTCAGGACGGCATGTGTCCCCTTCCTGCAGACTCCGCCGAAGGCAAGCCTGAGCCTGCAGCCACAGAGCGTCAGTCCACCGTCAGCCAGTCCCACGCTGAATCATCACGCCAACAACCATCGGCCACCGCCGCAAATGGAGAGGAGAGTGGCGTGGCATCCGCCTCCGAAGACGATGCACCCCCTAAGCGCCGTGGACGCAAGCAGTCTACCTCGGACGATCCCAGCAAGCCTTACTCGTGCAACGTCTGCGGGGTACGCTTCAGGAGGCAGGAGCATCTGAAGCGCCACATTCGCTCGGTCCACACCAAGGATAGGCCCTTCCAGTGCAAGGACTGCGGCAAGCTCTTCTCTCGTTCCGACAATCTCACCCAGCATCAGCGCACCCACGGAGCTGGAGCCGTCGTTCTCGGTGTTAGGGATCCGTCGATGCAGGAGACGCTTAGTGCCCCTGGCTTCAACACCAACCAGGACCCAGGACAGCTCGGCGCCATCCTCTACCAAGCCGCGGATGCAATTTCCACAAGCTCGAGCTCCACCTCGGAGAGCAGTCCGGATGACAAGAAGAGCCGCAAGCGCAAGCGGGACTCGTAGGCTGCTTGCCTATTTCTGCTAAATAACCTTATGAGCCATGATCATCACGTCGTTTACGCTGGAGTCACCACAGTAGACTGGATAGGATACATCGGCGGTCGGAATAGCCCGTCTCACTTTCTCGGCTTCACTGTATCTTTTTAGCTCCGCTCTCTGGCTTGTCTGCGCGTTCAGGCTTGGGCAAGTCATCTTTTCACTTTCTTCAGGTTCAAACGGTTAGGCATTCCGGTTCAGGCTGTACATGTTTATTTTTGTTTCTCTTTTCCTAGTGCTCCACATACCCTTTAATGCGTCGTCATTTATCGCGGCGATTGCGCGGCGCGCTTCTCTTCTTCAAACTTTGGCACTTGCGTTCGTCTTCTTCTTTTTTCGCCCTCTATCGGTGTTTTAGATATCTCTGTGCGCTGGCCTGCTCAGGTATATCATCTTCTGCTACGCCACCCAAGGGGATTCCACTGGGTTTGCCGTTTCCACACCATACCTACTCCGTACAGTTCATGTAATATCTTTGAGCGAATCTGCTTTTGCCTGCCGAGTTCTAATCATTCAACTCGGTGGGTGTAAAAATACCTTTTCCAACTTCTTTTTTGTGGCCGTTAGCGAGCATGAGGGTTAGCCGGGTCGAATGGGATCGGCAGGTATAAATCTATAGTGAATGGATGCTTTTGCATGACTCTGATGGTCAGTCATTGGTGATGTTGTGCTGTTGGTGATGCTTATTTAAGTGGGTGGGGCTGCATCTCGTCTCCCACTTCGCTCAATTCCGCACCACCCTCGGGTAGGCAGAGGTACACCAAGTGATCGCTCCCTAGGGCACGACATGATCGGTACAAGTCCGTCACTCCATGCGACCTTCTTTGTATCTTGGGAATGATGGGATTGACCTAGACGTACTGGTTTCTGTCGCATTCCTTGGCGCTCGTGGTCGTAGGCGCTCCCGTTCCCAGCAATATATGGAGACCTTTCGGCACCGGACGCTTGACAGAAAGAGATATTGATCCTAGGTATTGATCGTTCGGTCAGGATATCTATATTCCTCTGGAGAACGCGCAACAAAACTCTAGCTCGATCCGCCAACCCAAGTCCCCGGGGGACCTCCAGTTTTTCCTACCTGAGAACAACACCAATTCAACCCCATCCACGCCCCTTGACAACTCGCGACAATATAAACAATTACTCTCGACCTACCTGCTCTCAACCGGATTTCCCATTCCGGCAGTTGCTACTGACCCTTGCTCGTTGAAAATCGAGAGGAAGAGAAAACAAATCTCGCAATGGCCTCCGAATCGCTCAACGTCATCGTCCTCATCTCCGGCGGCAAGGACTCGCTCTTCTCGCTGCTGCATTGTCTCGCGAACGGGCATCGGGTGGTGGCATTGGCGAATCTGTATCCACCTGGTCTAGATGAAGTCCCACGCAAGGACGGAGACGAGAGCAAAGGAGAGGGACACAGTGAAAAGGGCGAAGGCGAGGACCTCAACAGCTACATGTACCAAACCGTCGGCCACAGCCTCATCCCGCTCTACGCCGCAGCCCTAGGCCTCCCCCTGTATCGGCAGGAAATCCGCGGCGGGGCCGTTCATACGGAAAGAGAGTACTCGTACTCTCACCGTCGCCGCTCCATGCAAGCCGATGAAGACCAAAAAGAAGAAGGGGAAGAAGAACAAGAAGAAGAAACCGAATCCCTCATCCCCCTCCTCCGAACTGTCATCGCCGCCCACCCCACCGCCAACGCAATCTCCACCGGCGCAATCCTGAGTACCTACCAACGCACGCGCATCGAATCCATCGCGCTCCGTCTGCATCTCACGCCCTTGTCCTTCCTCTGGCAATACCCCATCCTTCCTCCTTACTCGCAGTCAGGTCTCTTGGATGATATGCGGGCCGTCGGCCAGGTTGCGCGTATCATCAAGGTCGCATCGGGTGGGCTGGATGAGTCGTTTCTGTGGGAGGATGTGGCGAGTAGCAGGACGGTTGGGAGGTTGAAGAGGGCGGTGGCGAGGTTTGGAGGGAATGGGGATGGGGCGGTTTTGGGGGAGGGAGGCGAGTATGAGACGTTGGCTGTGGATGGGCCGGGGGTTTTGTGGAGGGGGAGGATTGTGGTGGAGGGGATGGGGGTGGTTAGGGGGGAGGGGGGGAATGCGGTGGGTAGGTGGAGGGGGGCGAGGGTGGAGATGAAGGAGGAGGAGAATGTGGATGGGGAGAAAGGGGTTGGCGGGGGTTTGGAGAAGTTGAGGAGGCCGGAGTTGTGGGATGAGGAGTTCAAGAGGGTATTGGGCAAGGTGGAGGCGCTGGCTGCACGAGACGCGGACGAGCAGCCTCGCCTTTCCACCCCTTTCACAGCATCACCAATTCGCCCTTCTTCAACCCTTCCAACCAACCTCACCCACTCCACCATATCCACCCTCACCCTCTTCAACCTCGCCTCCCCTCCTCCCCCTTTTACCCCCTTGCCTATAACCGCGCAACTAACCTCCATCCTCTCCACCCTCTCCACCCTCCTATCCACCCACCACCTGCCGCCAACCTCCATCTCACACACCACGCTCCTCCTCCGCCACATGTCCGACTTCGCCGCCGCAAACCGCATATACAGCCCAGCGTTCGACTTTGTGAATCCGCCTTCGAGAGTCACGGTGGCGTGTGGGGAGCGCATGCCAGAGGGTGTGGATGTGATGATGAGTGTGGTTGCTGAGAGGACGGTAGGGAACGGAGTACGAGGGAGGGGGAGGGGGAGGAAAGGGTTGCATGTGCAGAGTCGGTCCTACTGGGCGCCGGCGAATATTGGGCCGTATTCACAGGGCATTGGGGTCCTTTTGCCGCAGGCTTCTTCTCCGGCGGAGGATGACGCTGATGATGGGGGTTCGTGGACAGCCGAAGTTGAGACTTCCGCAGAAGAAGAGGACGAAAGAAGAGGAAGGGAAGAAGAACAGGAAGAAGAAGAGCCCCAAGACGAACCACAAATCCACCTCGTCTACCCAGCCGGCCAAATCCCGCTCGTCCCGTCCTCCATGACCCTTCTCACCGGCCCTTCCTTCACAGCGCAGGTCGCACTTTCACTCCAGCACCTGTGGCGCGTCGGGCGCGCGATGGAGGTGAGATGGTGGGTTGTTGGTGTGGCGTACCTATCCCATTGCCCCGAGGAGGAAGAAAAAGAAGAAGGAGGAGGAGAAGAAGAAGGAAAAGGAAAAGAAGAAGTGACGCGCAGAGTCAGGATAGCAGCCGAAACCTGGCGCGCCATCCACGAGGAATTCCTCCCTAAAACCTCCCAGGAAGGAGAAGCGTCAAACTCAGACTCAGACTCCGACTCGGACGACGCCATCGATCCCTGGGACCTCCAGAATCGCTTCCACGGTACACTCCCCGCTTCCCACGCCGCAGCCTCGGATATCACCTTCCGCGCCCCGATCCCCGATCCCTCTGTCCTCCTTCCGCCTCCTAGTCCATCTCCATCCTCACTAGACGGAAAGACGGGGCCGGCGAGGAAACGGTGTATACCCCCACTCGTCGTACCCCAAGTCCGCAGTCTACCACGCGACGCGCCTATCGAGTGGTGGTCTCTCGGCCTAGCGAGTCCTTCTACTACCGCCGCCGAGGGATTCAAATTGCGCTTTCACGCCGGCGAAGAAACGGATGGTGGCGAAGAGGTGCATGTCACGGAGGTCATGGGCACGCCGACGCGGTTCTTCACCCTGCGTATCCCGTTTCCAGTGATGGCGACACCGGAGAGTACCCGCCAGCGAATCGTCAGAGCACTCAGTTCTCTCGCCCCTTCATCATCGGGCGGTGAGAGAAATGATGGGGTCAGTGGTAGAGTCGAGTGGGAGCATTGTATGCTTTTCGCGGGCCCGGAATTGTGGAGCGAGTGGTCGGGTGTGGTGGCTGGGTGCCACTGGGTGCCTTGTGAGAGGGTTTGGATTCATCAGGATGGGGATGGGACGGAAGAGGTGGCGGGGGTTGTTCTGGGGAGAGTAAGTGTGTATTAAGATGGGACAATGGTGACGCAGTGGTAGAAAGGGAAAGGGGTAAAGCCGAAAAGCTTCGAAGTGATGTAGGCACTGGTATGAGAACAGGCTGAGAAAAGGGGGTAAGCTGTGGAATAGACATCTCAGGGCAATTTGGGCATTCTCCAGCTGGTAGGGAACCGTGCGAAGGATCATGGCGGATCGATACTATGTCCTTGTTTTGAAGCTCCCATAACTTGTCACCGAGACAAAAGAAGCATAATGCTGGATTTTGATCACCCCAGTTTCTAAAATGTGTCATATAAATCGTCGATATTCCCGCGCACACATGTCGCTCTACAGAGTAGCGTTCCTCTTCATTTCACCAATCGAATAATCAATCAAGCCATGGTATTTTCGCCCGTGAAACCCGCCAAACAAACGCCGGAAAATGCAGATAACCACCTCCTCTTCCCCTCCTTGAATTCCAACCCCCTAAAACCTCTCCTTCATCCTGCTCGCCACCGTCCGCAGATTCCCATACACCTTCCCCGGGGGCTGACCCAGGATCAAACTGACGATACTCTCCCGCGCGATGTGGATATTCTTGAAGCCGCCCAGGATATGGATCTTCTGGTCGGCGAGTACGACGCGGGTGCGCGAGGCGTTCTCGATGGCGAATTTCGTCTTGCCATCCTTGCCAGCGATGCGGCCGATGGCACGCGCCAGGTGGTCTCCGGAAAGGCTCTTGACGTCTTTGATTTCGAAGGTTTCTATGTAGAGGTCGTCCTAGAGAGTCACAAGTAAGTTTTGAGCAAGAAAGGGTTGGGGAGATGTGGGGACGCACAAGTCTGAGCAGAGCGATGGCGTCGTCGACGTCAAAGCCCAGCGTAAACGCCTTGACAAAGTCTTCGCCTTTCTGCAGAGCGCCCGTGTCGGTGGTGGCCTTGCTGGTGCGGAGCTCGACGGAGTTGGTTTTCACGTTCATGCGGACTTGGAGTTTGAGGTGCTCGACGAGGGGTGGGTAGATTCTAATACCGTGTCAGGAATCTTGTGATTGTCTGTGTATAGCTGAAGGGGTCTCACTTGGGCCACGAGTTCTTCAACGGCGTCATGCGGTGTGGTGGTACGGGCACTTTGCGCAGTTCCCTTCGGAAGGCGATTGGGGTGGCTATTGCGGGGGCGAAGCGTGGGCGGCCTGTCTCGTCCGCCATAACCTCGTCTTCTGTGGCGGCTTTGGGGTTGGATTGGGGTGCGAGCTGCGCGTCTGTAGAGGGGGCTTGAGTGTCGAACAGTTCCGTCTGTTCTTCTGCGGGGAGGGGTGTGGATTCGGCCATGGGTTGGGCTTCAGTTGGAGGTGCTGCATTTCGCAGCGCTGTGGGTGCGGGCATGTTGATAGCTTGAGATTTATTCCCCTGGGCGATCCGTGGAGAGAGAGAAAAGGCGGGGAAGGAGTGGTGCACTGTGGTAGGTGGTCGTCCGCGAACATTCACTCTCCATCTATCGATAAGGATAATTTTTGTGTCGCGCCAAGCCTGTGGCTCGCTCCTGTCCTTCCTTGCAGCAGACCTCTATGCATAGCAGAACGTCATCCAGCCACCACGCTCACACACTCTTCGACCCACTGCTTCCAAACTGTCGCCGGACCAGCTGAGTCTCGTTGGCCGCCATGTTACACCCGCGTCGATAATGAAAAGAAATGTAGTAGGCTTTTCGGTCGGCGCCTCTATCAAACGCAATGTCGTCGACCCGCCGAAGATACCGCGTTCTGCGGCTTTTACACCAACGACGGGACTGAATGGAGGTGCACGCCGAATAGCGACGTTCGACGGACCATTTCACCTCTCTAGAGGGTTTTCGAGCCCGTCTCCGCCCAGATTTCCGCTGTTGTCGAAGAATGCAGACCCCACATCCCTGTCAGCCATTGTCCATCCGGGCTCTTCATTGCTCCTCCGGCACCACACATCCACCTCGCCTCGCCTCCACGAGTCCGTCACAATAGCTGCAAGCTTGGCATGGAGAAGAGACTTCCATAATCATGCGTCTCAAAGAGTCAGGAGACTAGGAGAATTAAACCGACGGAGCAAGAGCTCACTGACTGATGGCACAAAAAGGAGCCCGCAAGGAGCTCCTGCGTCTCAACCGCACGGTTCTGATGCCACCACCTCTCAGTCCTCCAGCGCAGGGTATCCACCGCCCGCTCCCCAGCAGTCCGCACCTAAGGCCGAACTTTCTCCCCAACCCAGTGCACCCCCAAATCCAGCGGAGCCGAACGATACCAACCCAGAGTCGGACCCATCATCAGCGAAGCATCTGCTGGATCGTCTTCCAAACTCATTGCCGCATCTTTATAGACCCACCAAACAGGAGTTGCTGGAGGCAGCATCGGGCTTCTGGTCGCGGATGAAGGTTCATTTCAAATGGCTCACCATCAGGAGCACTCGTCCGTTCAATGCGGACGAGATCTACGCACTGTTTTCGTGGATTTTAGCGGCGCATATTCTGTGGGTTATCGTGGGGACAACGACGTTCTTCTCGCTCACAATCTTCCTGATCAACACTGTTTTTGCGCAGGAGACGCTGGCGAAGTGGATTGGCAATTACCTCACCAAGTCGTCAGGTATCAAGGTTGTCTTCGAATCTGCAGTCGTACCCAAGTGGAGAGATGGCGTTATCTCGTTCAGCAAGGTCTTTGTCTCCCGGCGCCCTGGTCAGGGACGGGCCAAGGTCAGCAAGGGCTCGCAGACATCCGCAGCCGCAGCGGCTGCTGCAATGGCACACAAAGACCGTGATGCTGCTGAAGGAGTAGAAGAGGAAGAAGACACAAACTATACTCAGTTCGATATATCGATTGACACGGTTAATGTCACTCTGTCCTTCTCCAAATGGCTCAACGGCAAGGGACTGCTCAAGAACGTGGAAATCAAGGGAATTCGCGGTGTGGTGGATAGAACCTCCCTCAGAGACCCCGAGGAGTATGTGGACCCGCGGACCTACAAGCATGAGCACCAGCCCGGCGATTTTGAGCTCGACTCATTCAAGATGGAGGATTTGCTGGTGACTATCTACCAACCCAAGAATTTCCGACCATTCTCTGTGAGCATCTACTCCTGTGACCTCCCGCAGTTGCGCAAGCAGTGGCTCTTCTATGACTTCCTATCCGCGAACAACATGTCTGGCTCATTCGACAACTCCCTCTTCACCATCCACCCGCGCCAAACGCACAACTACACCGGCGCACAACTCACCAACGGCGTCGACGCCGAAGGCGGCCGCACATGGAAGAAGCAGAGCCGTATCCGGATAGACGGGCTCAACATCGACCATCTCAACCGCGGCTACGAAGGTCCATTCTCCTGGATCTACGAAGGGAACGTCGACATAGTCGCAGATGTCATGATTCCCAGCGATAACGAGGAGAGCATCGCAAAAGTCATGTCAGACATGTACGACCGCATGGAAGCAACCGTGTCAAGCACGCACAAGCATTTCACCGACCACGCGCACGACTTCGAGGAAGAGAAGTCTGAAGCCGCACAAAAGGCGGCGGAACGCTCCTCGGAAAACGATAACCGTTTCATCATCATGGATGTGCGCGTCCATCTCAACGATGTTCGAGCCGCCGTTCCCATATTTACGCGCGACATCTCGTACGTGAATAATGCGCTGGTGCGGCCGATTGTCGCGTACATCAATTCGAAGAAGACGTTTATCCCGGTGAATTGCAGGGTTGTGAAGCGCGCGAGTGATTTCGATGGGAGTTGGACGATTTACGATAGCGGGTTGATGGAGGATGTGTCGAGGGAGGTGAGTGATTTCCATCTATTGCAGCTTACTGGATTGACCATGGCTAACGCCGGAATGCAGATGTACGATGCCTTTGCCCGCGACGTCCTGGACGATAATCGCGCCCGGAAACGGAGGATCAAGAAGGTCGGCATCTGGACGCTTCAACTGGCGGCTCAGGCGCTGTTTCTGGGTTTGGCGGGTAACGTCGCGTAGCGTAGTGGTCTCCTTTTCCAATCCTGGCTGTATAACTCTTGTACGAAATATGTATATCATGCCGGGTGTTTGGGCGTTCTGGTTGGGTTTGGGAAGGAACGGGGTGCGGAATTATCCACATCCCACTTTATGGGTTTCGTGATGGGTATCAGGAAAACAAATGAGGCGAGGAGGGGAGGGGAATGATGCTGGTATGCATCTTCGGCTTTTGAGGAAGATTGTACGGTATATGTACGCACTATAGTAATATGCATGTGTGAATGACAGTTTGGGGATATTGACTGTAGCTAGTCGTCATCACACTCAAGTTCAGCTTCCAAGCGTAGTTGAAGAGTACCAGACATGGTGAACGCTTTCTGAAGACCGTGCAGTGCTTATTCTATAAGGGTATCTACACTATTCCAGCATCCAAACGACCCAACCTTTTTTGATATATGGCATGGAGAACAGAGCGCGGTGCGAGAAGGGAGGAGCAGAATTCAGCTATAATTCCTCTTCCTCTCCTCCAAACCCTCAAACTCATCCATACTCCCTCCGGCGCTTCCTCCTATCCTCGCTATCAAGACTCCGTTCCCTATCCCTATCCCTGTCTCTACGTTCCCGCTCCCGCTTCTTCTCGCGCCGACGCTCCTCATCGTAGGAGTCGTAGTCGTCGCGGCGGCGACGGTCACCCTCTTTTTCCTTGCGGCGAGAATCTCTATCTCTATCTCGTTCACTCTCCCTCTCCCGCTCGCTAGTACGGCTCTTGTCACCGTCTCGGTCTCGACCACGATCACGCTTGTCGCGACTGTCCCGACTATCGTCATCACGACGACGATACCGGTCCCGTTCTTTCTTCCTTTCGTCTCTGGAATCGGGAGTCCGGTCTCGGTCCTTCCCGTCCCGCTCACGCTCACGCTCCCTCTCACGACGCCTGCGGTCTCTCTTCTCCTCTTCTTCGTACGAGTCGTCATCATATCGATCCCTCCGCCTCTCCCTCTCCTTTTCCCTCTCCCTCTTGCCATCCCTACTGCTACCCCCCTCCTTCTCCTCCTCCACCAACTTCTCCCTCTCCATCCTCTCCTTCAACTGCTCCTCGGTCAAAATCTCCCCCGTCCTCGAATTCCTCAACACAACAGGCAAATACCCGCCCGCATCCCCCTCTTTCTTGCCCCTCTTCCACCCGCTCGTCCCGCTGCCCCCCACCACTTTATCCTCCTTGGCTCCGATCCCCAGAAACTCCGGTCGCCGTTTGATTTCCCTCGGTTTCGCTTCCTTGCCTGCGCTTGTTGTTGGTGTTGTGGTTGTCGTCGACCCACCCACTCTTTTCCGCCCAATCGGTTCCCCATCCCTCCACCCCATACCCCGTAGCAGTGCGGCGCCGAACCCGTCGACGGGAACGGCAGTGTAGTCGTCCAGACTGGGTGCGTCGGGCGCGGACGCATAGTCGTGCGAGAAGGCGGCGTCTTCGTCTGGGTGGATGGGGATAACGGTTTTGTTGGCCGAGGCGTCCGGGTTGAGCAGGGCGGCGAGGGCGCGCTTCTCGAGTCGCTGTTCTTCGGTTAGGTTGGCGTCGTCTTCTTCGGCGGGCGGTTCTTCCTGTGTGGTGGTGGTGGTAGTCGTCGTCGTTGTGGTCGTCGTTGTGCCATTGCGTTGGGCGGCGGGAGGCGATTTGCGGACGATGGTCAAGCCGTAGGATACGGGCTCTTCGTGTTCTTTGGACTCATCCTCTTCTTCCTTGCCCTTCTTCTTCTTCTCCTCCTCCTCCTCCTTCCCCCCCTCCCTCGACCCCAACCCTGCCCATCGCCCCTCATTCGGCAAGCAAGGAATCACCAACGGCGCCTTCTCCGCCTTCTCCCCGCCTACCCTGATGGCACCGCCGGCAGTGACATCGTACCCCGCAATCTCCAATCTCTCCTCCTTCTCCTCGGGCTCGTCGTCGCCGAGCAGGCGGCCGCGCTTGGTCGGGGGTTCGTGGCTCGGGGCGGTGGTGGACGAGGGCCGCTTGTTGAATGGGTTGACGCCGCTTTTGGTGGCGGCGGGTTTGGCGGTCGAGAAGGAGATTTTGAAGGGCGTGGTGGTCATGGTCGCGCGTGCTTTTACTGTCGGGGAAGGGGTATCGTTGGCATGGGTGCTGGTTTTCACTTGTTGTTGCTGGACCGCTTACGTTTTGCGATTGGGGGTTCAAAAGTTCAGAGAGCGCTATGACATCGACTTGGCAATTTGAGGCAGCATGATCACGTGATTTGGCTTACTGCGATTGACACTATTAAACCTCTCCATGGATCTTGACGTTGAAGGAGATTCTTGATACATGCTGGATGATGTGTCGTCCGAGGAAAGAAACGAAAATATTGTTGTTCGTCGCGCGGAAAAGACCAAGGTATAGTAGAGGTGAGCAGATCTAGCATGATCATACGTCACATTAACCGCTTATCTATCTACATGTTAAATATCCCTTCCTCATGCTCCCAAAGTTTCGTCTATACTCCATGTCCATGCAAGTCGCTTGAAAACAGATCCCAGAGCCGGGTTGCTACAAATGCCCTAACAAGGAAAAAAAGTAAGGAGCAAAAAAAAAGGTTATCCACCGAGGAGCCATACGTCTTATCAATGGGCATGAGTTAAGAATAGAAGATCAGGAAAAACATACGAGGGTATCTTACGACCTAGAAATTTCTAGACGGAGGGACGGCCGCAGGTGCGGGAGGTTTATGGGCGTTGAGGTGACCGTTGGTGTCACCATTCGCGTGCCCATTCATATATCCGTTGGTGTAGCCGTTCCCATGCTCTTGGGCTGCGGCACCACCACGGAAATACCCCCTCTCTGCCGCCATCTGATCACCTCCCTCGGCAAGAGCGACATCCATTTCCGTCGCTCTGCTCTGCCGCCCCTTGTGCCTCACGGCGGGCATGAAATCGATGAGGAAGCTGAGGACGTAGAAGAAGAAGATGAATGCGATGACCCATTCCAGAACGGCGCCGACGTTGTACTTTTTCTGGTTACCGGCGACGCCGAATGCAATGGCGAGGGCGACCTCGACGATGATGAAAAAGAGCTTGATCCAGAAGGAGTAGCGCAGGATGGATTCGCTTCTGTAATAGTATCCCAGACGTTGATATTCCCAGCAGATGAAGATGGCGCTGACAATGTAGCCGCCTATGAAGAGGCCGAGGAATACGCGATGCTTGCGGGGGTGATGGAGGGTATCAAAAACGGTGACGAGGATGAGGCCGACTCCGCCGGCGATGGCAGCGATGACAGATGCGAGAGACCAAATCTTTTGCCAGACAGAGGTGTTGGGAGCGAGGCGGCCGGTGTGTCGAAGCCAGCGCTCGAGGATGAAGTTTACGTTGAAGGAGACGACGGTTATAGTCGACATGGTGATGAAGAAAGGCTTGAGGCCCTGGGCGCCAATATCTGAGATGGGTCAGTAAGGGACGCGCCAAAGGGAGAAGCTCACACCCTACCGGATATGTATGCTATAGTCTGGGTTTGCTCCATGGACGGATACTTAGGATAGCCGTCTGTGGCCCAAACGACCAACATGGTTATCAGCATGGCGGCCCACACGAGGGCGCTGAAGACGGGCCAGAACCAGTATGATATGTACCACATGCTGTGTTGCAAGGGAGAGAGTAGGAGGGATTGCTGTAGATTCGGACGTTGAAATATCTAATGGATGTCTGGCGCAGCTCGCGATAGACTCTGCAGGAATATCGAACAACAGCCGACAGAGAGGGCAAACGGCAACGAGAAAGCAAATGCGGCAGAAACAATCTACAAATGCACAGTTATTGGGAGAATGAAGGGGAGAAACAGGAAGATGGAGGAGAAAATGTCGGCGCCATGTTGAGCAGTTGAAGGTTCCTGGTGGCTGAGCATGGTTGACGAGGCGGTCGTGCGATGACATCACAATTGCCAAGACGGGCCCCTGTGCCGATTGCCGAGGCGGGAGGCGTCTGCCGTTGTCCGGCAGTCGGAAGTGGTTGGGCTAGGAGAACCTAATATCACCGTGTCGATTCGGATATATTTTTTGACAAAAGAGATGAAAAGACGCGCTCTCCTTCCTGCTCGCGGTGTTGGCGACGGCTTGCATCGAAAGACGTGGGAAAATGCGGGGAAAGGAAGCGGAGGCTGGAGCTCGCTGGCACAGCCTGTGCAGCAGGATCCATCTGGGGTGCGTGCTGGGCCAATGCTGCTGAAGGTGGTTGAGATGGAAGCGAATAATGTAATAATGGAAGCGAGTGCGAAGGCATCTCTTCCATTGCAAGTGCAATCTCGGCTCCACCAGTCGTCACAAGGCAGAGACTGGGCCTCATCTACTTGTTACTTTTGCATGTACGGGATACAGAGCAGAGGATGCTTCCATAGCAGCAGTTCCCTGCAGAACAAGGTGCTACAAGGCAGGGCGGGCATCGGGGGAGAAAGAGCAGCCGAGTGGGAGCTCAGAGGAACACACATTAGTGCAGTTCAATGTTGGCGAAGTGGAAAACTGGGCACGGCAAAATATGACACAATAAGGTGCCAAATGGCAAAGAAGGCGGAATCCATGGATGGATGGGAAACGGTGAAAGGAGAGGTGAAGGAAGCCTGCATTTATCTCCCGTGTATTATTATGTATTCCTTGCGATGCGCTCAGGGATCCAGGGCCTCCACGCGTCTCTGCTTGCCCCACACTGATTGGCGACAACGGCTCGCAACGCCTCAATGCGGGCCGTGCGCGCGAGTTTCATCTGCGGAGTCCATGCCAGAGCTTCCAAGTTCTCCGTTAATCCCACTCTCAGCATCGAACAGTCTACTCCTGGAAAATGCCATTCCTCCACCTGCCCAGTTCCACCTTGCCAACACGCCGCTCGTCTGCATGGCTTCGTCTTCCGTGCCATTTAACCTTTGCACTTGCACCTGGCTGACCTGGCTCCAAGAAGAGGTTGTGTGTTCTTGTTGAACCTTCTCTCTCCCGCCGTGTAATCCCTACACGCCCACTTGTCCCAGCCCCAGCACCCGGCGTAGCACCGTTGAGAAGAACAACAGATAGGTAAGCTCCGCTCTGATATCCTTACCCCTCACGGATCCCCTCTGCTGGCCGACATTGCTCGCTGACACTGCTCGCTCTCTCTCCAGCCCACGGCCCCCAATGTTCGTGCCTCAGTCTTGAGCCCGGCGTCAGAGTGCCACTACCTATTCCCTTCGGATCATGGGCAACGCTCAGAGCATTCGAGGTAACCAGAACCGCCTCTCCAAGCCCAAAACAAACACCAATTCCCCGAGCCCATCTCCCAAGAACGGCTCCCCAGTCTCCGTAGCCTCCAAGTTCGCAGACACTACCGTCACCAGGCGGAAGGAGAGGAGTATAGGGAGCTCTCCGCTGCGGACAGAGTTCAGTTGCGGTTTGGGTTCGAAAGCCGATGAGACGTGGGAGGAGTTGGCCACACAAGTGCAGGTGCGCCTCTCCAGCCTGTCTCGGTCCAATTCGGTGACCTCCCAAAATGGCCGTGATCCCAATGGCAGGTTATCTGCCTTGCCTCGCTCAAAGGCTTCCCTCGGCACGCAAGCCCACCATGTGGATATGGAGACAGCTCTTAAGATCCTGCACGAGGTCAGGAAAAGTGCCTCTCCAGAGGATCTGGCCGCCTTGCGTACGTTGCTTCTTAGACCTGATCATCCTCCTAGATTCTCGAGTCGATATCAGACTTTCCCTCGACGTGAATGGGACAGTACCTGACTGACCCGCCGTTTCAGATGAAGCCCTTCAGCCTTCCTCACCTGCTCCTGAGAACACATCGAGTGGCAGGTCTTCTCTTCTCAGCCGGTCCACTTCGTCCCTGATACGCCATCGTTCACTGATTTCTACGCCCGGGCTAGCAACCCGAAACTCCCAAACCAATTCCCTCCGCAGATCTTGGAGCTCATGGAAGCCACCAAACTCTGCTCAGGAGCACAAGTGGAAGGTGGAGATGATGGGTAGCTCGCAGCTGAGCGGGCTAGCAGCGCTCGACTTGGCCGAAGAAGGTCGGGAATCTCCCTCCCCGCGTGCCCGTACCCCTGGTGATATGGAATACTCGCACCTTGGCTCCTTCAAGCTGGGTTCACTCGTCGTCACAAATGGGGCGCCGTCTCCAGCAGCGAGTGCACGCAGAATCTCACGACGCAGGTCCAACTCCGATTTATGCCAGGAAGAGGATTACTTCTCTGCGTCTGCAAGCGAAGCCAGCCCTATCGTGTTGAAGGCTGAGCGCAGGCGCGGGCATTTCAGAAGCAAGTCCTCTATCCTCCCCGACACGTCGCCTTTACTCCGTCACATCAATGGTGCGAGGCACGGCAGGAAGACCACCAAATCAATCCGACCAATAACTCCTCCCAAGCCTGCGCGACCGTTCGAATTCGAACCACCGCCAGAGATGCCGAAGGGGCGGTTGAAGGTGGTAAATAAGAGTGCCGACACACTTGCCACAGACGGCATGGCCGAGTCTCCTGTGCGCGATCCTGGGGTCGTGGGCGCTGTGCATCATGACGGTGTCGTCGACCCCTTCTCGGACCGCATTCCCACATTCAGAAAAGAGGCTCTGGACATTCTGGACGGCACCATCTTTGCTGAACCTGACAACATCCTAGAGCGCACCTCCGCCTCAAGCTCCATGCAGCAACCAGCGCAACTCGATTCGAAACCGAGGAATGCAAGGCCGCTCAGACGACCTACACCCAGCACGGCAGACTCTGGCTACTCCTCAAGCGGCAGTTTTCGAGCTTCTTGTCGCGACACTGCTAAATGGGACTCTGTTCATGAGCGTTCTGAAGAGATGGATGCGGCCGAGCACTTGACATGTAAACCCATCGTCGTCGATGATGGTTCCGGGAGCCTCTATGACTTTGAAGAAATGCTAGCTCTCCCCATCTCCCAAAAGCCGCTGCCATCGCTCCCACTCAATGACCACAATACAACAGAGAGAACCGAGACCGACACTGGGGGATTGCCGCAGGCATGGGACCAGGCGCTGGACACCCAACTGGCTCTGCTGGAAGCAGGAGAGAAATCTACAGCTGCTAGTATTCCAACAAGCCCTACTCCAACCCGGAGTATCTCTTCTGCCCTGTCTAAGCTGACCACAGAAAATGCAAGTGCGGTTCAGAATCGCTTGCAGAAGCGGCGACCGTCCATGCCCGATCTGCCCATTGTTCAGTCCTGCCAACCGGCCGAGGGCATGATACCCAATGTTCCTCATGATATCAGAGCGAAGTTCGTCCGCCGGCTATCCGCTAGTCCTGAGATGGAGTGCTTGACACGGACCTTTTTGTCGGCAGAGCACACCAATCTTGAGGAGCCCACCGTGGATACCCCTTCTACTGCGGCATCTGCAGCCATCTCTCTGGACTTTACAGCCCCATCTCCTGCTCCGCCTCCTCGGGGTAGACATCATCTGCGAGCTTATACTGAAGGCTACTTAAGGTCATCGACGGTCAGTATTAGGCGAAGTTTGTCGGCACTACGTGGCAAAGACCCCGCCAGCAAAACAAAGGATGTGAAGAATGCCGATAGTGCTCCCTTGCAGGTTGTCGAACTGGGCACTATCGGCTCCACGCTGGGTCGGTCTCCCTACGATGCGGCGATGTCTGCTAGGCCTAGGTCGGTTGCCACTTCAGCGACCCATGCTCACCAGCTAGGCGATGGGTTTACCCGGGCGCAGTCGATGGTTGGCATGGATTCGAAGACGGCTGCTGAATTTGCCCATATGGGGAGTATGGAGCGAGGCCAACCGCGAGCAGAAAGACTGCAGAGGCCGATGCTGGGCCAGCGTCCGCGAAGCTATCATGATGCCAATCTAGATGTTGGTGCAGCAATGGCTTTGGGAGGAGGCCTACGGAACAGGCGGTCTCTTCAAACCTTCTCGCACAGCGTGCATGCTCCGAGCCCGCATCCGTATGATGCGCAATCTCCGGCCTCAGGCGTTGAGGCTGCACACGCTTCACGAGTCCACCCGGGCCCGCGCTTTCGTGCTCGTTCGACCGGACGGGGACCCATGGTCTCTCAGCTTGTCGGACAGTATGACGGGTATTACCAGATGGTGCCACTGCCCGAACGGCAGGATTGGCAGCCATATGCGCGACTCTGGAACCAGCGTCGTAGATCGATAGAAGGAGGCTTGCATGAGCAGGAAGAAGCTTCGCAATCCAGCTCTCCTCGGATGAAACATGGATCCGCTTTGCAGAAGTCTATCTCATCGACGGCGATATGTAACCGGTCTGACGGCGGACTCTACCATGGATACGAAGCACGTGGCTACGGGAGCAGTGGCAGTGCAGGTACGACGCGGCAGCTGCACAGCGCTGCGAGCCGCAAAAACATGTGGTACAGCCACCAGCTTGGGCTGGATCTATCCGACGTACCGGTGGTCCTGCAGCGGATGGCGTAGGATTCTCTGGCAGCGGGCGTCGAGCAGTTTTGTTGTCATGATAGCACGGATTTATTGCATGACACCGTCTTTTCTCTGGAGTGGATTGGGCATCTTCGCAGGGCGGTGTGTTTGGGCTGAATGCAGGCGAAGTGCCAGGATGGGAGTTGGCACAGCTGCTGGGTATGTGATGAAGGGGAGAGACATTAATCTACGAGGGATATCTGTCGGTTGAGGGAGATAATGCAATAATGGCGGTGTGAAGGATATGTCTCAGTGCACCGCTCGCTGAAGTCCGGATATACTGTGAGTGTGGCAAGCGTTTGTTGCGACCATGATGCATGCAGCTAATTACGACGACCACACTGCAGCTGTTCTATCGAATTCCAGCACCGGATATAATCGTAGCTTTCCAGATGTAAGTAGGGCCGCGTCGCAATCAAGGCCAATGATTACTGCACCCTCAACCCCCTTCTGCATAGACCTTCTGCAATTGAGCAGTTTATCCCATTCAAGCAGTCACAGTTGTCCGATTAGAGAAGCCATGTTGCTACGAATAGCACTCAGCTCTGCAGCCTCAAGGAATAGTGGCGCTGACACGAACGGGCTGCGGCGGCCATGTGGTGGCTGGAGCAGGAGACAATTTCAATCCTGTGTTGTTAATGTTCTGCCATCAGTGATGTCAGTCTTCCAGCCAGGTCACAAGTTCGTTCTTCCCCCTGCGCAACATGCGGGAACTGTCGGATTAAGAAAGAGGCGAGGCCTGTGCGCGAGCTTTTTTGAATCCCCCCCCCGGCTCCCGCACATGCTGGGCAGGGCAGGAGCGAAAATTGACGAACCGCCCCTCCCCACCACCCGCACACCAACTGCCAGCTTTCTCTTCCCTCCTCTCCTTTTTCCCTTCTCCTCCCCCTCCTCCTCCTCTCCTTCATCCCTCAGCCATCGCCTTCACTCGAGACATCCTCGTGTCTCTTGAAAGCCGCTCGCTGCCCGCAGCTCCCCTTCGCCGCATCTCTTCACTCAACATCGACCGCCTTTGGTCGAAGCAAAGGCACCCCGCGCACTACGGCTTCGGCCCTGATCCTCCTTGACCTTCAAATTGTATCTGCTCGACCTTCTCCCCACATCTTCAACAACCTCCCGCCTCCCTGACTGGTCCGCCTCCCTCTTCCATCTCGAGCGTGCGTTAATCTCCCCCAACGCAACCCCTTCCCCGGACCCCACCCCCCTTCAGCTGCCGCATAGGACGCTCTCTGTGGTTCTTCCTCTCCAGGAGGAAGAGTCGAGGAGACCTCGCCCGCAACCAAGCCTCGGCTTCGAGCCCTTCCGGCCTCCCTAACGTCCCCGTCGACAACCAAGTCAACAACCCTTTTTTGGTCCAAACCCACTACTCCTGTGTCCGCTTGACCAGGGTATGGCACCTTCTGCTCTCGCGCCTGTCGTGGATAATTACGTGTCGTATGACCATGGCGCCAGTAAATCAAAGCAGTTGATCGGGGAAGCCCTCAAGGCCCGTGTAGAGGCTATTGATCATGACGCCTGCAGCGTTGGCGAGGAAGACCCCTTCTTCGTAGCCGACCTGGGCGAGGTCTACCGCCAACACCTCCGTTGGAAGAAGAACCTGGGACGCGTCAAGCCGCACTATGGTAGGTTGTCATGTGCTCTGCAACTCTGCATGAAGTCGCTGACATGCGGCCAGCCGTCAAGTGCAACCCGGACCCACAGGTGCTCCGCCTGCTGGCCGAATTGGGCGTGGGCTTCGACTGCGCATCCAAGACCGAGATTGAGACCGTCCTGAAGATGGGCGTGGACCCTTCCCGCATCATCTACGCCCAGCCCTGCAAGACCAAGTCGTACGTTCGCTATGCAGCCCAGAGTCACGTCAAGCAGATGACGTTTGATAACGCCGACGAGTTATACAAGACGAAGCAGCTCTTTCCTGAGGCCGAGTTGTATTTGCGCATCTTGACGGACGATTCAGCCAGCCTGTGCCGTCTGAGCCAGAAGTTCGGAGCTTCTCTGGATACTACCGCGGAGCTTTTGGAGCTTGCGAAGAAGCTCGAACTCAATGTCGTTGGGGTCGCCTTCCATGTTGGATCTGGCGCTTCGGATCCCAAGGCGTTCGTCAAGGCTGTCCAGGATGCCCGTTTCGTCTTCGACCAAGCGGCGGCGCTCGGATTCGAGATGCACACGCTCGATGTGGGTGGTGGTTTCACCGGCGACGAAACCTTTGAGCCCATGGCCGCGGTCCTGTCGGCCTCGCTGGACGCATACTTTCCGCCCTCGATCCGAATCATCGCCGAGCCCGGTCGGTACTACGTCTCCACGGCCTTTACCATTGCGTGCCATGTCATCGCACGCCGTATCGTCAACGACGCGACCCTCGGCACTACGTCGTACATGCTGTATCTCAATGATGGTGTCTATGGGAACTTTTCCAGCATCATCTTCGACCACCAGCATCCCGTACCGCGCTTGCTGAAGTGCGGAAACGAGGTCATGTACGATGTTCGCCGCTCCGGCTACGATACGCCATCGGGGATCGAGTACTCGCTCTGGGGCCCTACGTGCGATGGCATCGATGTGATTGCCCAGTCTTGCAACTTCCCTCAGGTGATTGATGTGGGGGATTGGCTGTACTTTGAGGATATGGGAGGTGAGTTCATCTCCATGACATGGGCATCTGGATGAGAAGCTGACGATGACAGCGTACACCAAGTGTTCCGCCACCCGCTTCAATGGGTTCACGGATAGCCACGATGTCGTCTATGTCTGCAGCGAGCCCGGGGCTGCGGCTCTGCTGGGCATGTAGATGTTCTGTCGACCAAGCCGACCTGGCTTCTCGTGGGACGGCAAGACATTGAGCTTTTTCCTTGTCCAAACCTTTCCTATCGTACACAACATACGCTCTCTAATTGTAAGCTGGATTAACTGTATGCTGGTTTTGTGAGTGTAGTGGGTGGCTGGCTGCGTTGAGCGGGCTTTTTTCCCTGATAGATGGACGGTGGGAGTGTCTGATATGCCTGTGGGAATAAAAGTGCTTTTGTTTTCTGTCCTGTGATAGAGCTTCTTGAAAGTGATGGTGCGGCGGGTAGGCAGACAGACTAATGTTTACCGGGACCTTAGGGATCTTTGAGGATTTTGATGTGTTCTGCTGCTTGTAGCGTTTGTGTCTGTGGTGGCTCTTTATTCTGTTCTCGTAGGAGGGAAGGGCTATTGGCTGGAACCGACAATGCCGTGCCACGACTCCTTGACGGTACAGATTTCGGGGACAAGCAGAAATCTCAGCTCGCATCAATATGTATACTACCTAGCGATGGGATCTTCGTAACAAAAGCATGAGTGGAATAGAGGCGTCGGGGTGGTTTTCGGTGGCGGGTTGTACCTTCATCTCCACATGCTTGTGGGGAGGTTGTACAGATGACGAGATTTCGATAGGAGGACTCTGGTGCGGGCATCATAAGGGATAATAGAACTCCGAGGACTGCAGCGTCGGTGTCTGCATCTCGCTCACCAGCAAACACTCTCCGATTATGGAATATACTGTAAATAAGCAGCAGTCGTGTGAGAAAAGGGTCGGCGGCTACGTGCATGCTGCCATCTGCAATCAATCCAATGCACACATATATTCCACCAAAACTCTCCCGGGCGCCCCAAGATCAAACAGTTCAAGAAAAGAGGGCGATCCAGTTTCGACTTCCTTTCCAACAAACGCAAGATCAAGCTGGCCTATATAGGTATGGATAAGTCGAGTTCACGTCGACAAGGAGACATCATATCCCTCAACCATCACCTTCTTTTTGAACGGCGTGGGCATAGTGTCGCGTTGTTGGCATGCATGCGCTCCAACCCCGTCGTACTTTCAGTACTCGAGAAGGGAGCAGGGCTGCAGGGGAGCGAAAAGTCGTACGATTCCCCTCGCGCATCAGACGTCTGGTGTTTCCAACCGCTGCGCCCGGTCCTGGAGTTCTGTCTTGCTCTGGGGAGGATTTGATACCGTTAATTACGGGATTATCGGCAGCTGGGGAGTTGGAGGAAGCGCGGTAATTTGATACAGGTTGATGATCCCGAACTGGGTCCTTGCAGAGCGGGGTTTGCCCGTGCAAGGAAAGCTTCGCCTTGTTGGGATACAGACAGACATGTCTCTCTTTTCCCATGCAGCCAATGAGGAGCGTGCAATGGAGAGGATGTGTGCTACCGTGGGGTGACGGACCTCCAAGACTCCTTTTTTTCACCCCGCCCGCCACAAGCGCTGGCCAGTCACAAATGCGGAGATGGTGATAATAAGCCAGGGAGTTGGGGTTGCTATAGGCACGAGTGTTGTCCGTAGGGACGGAAATGGTGGATTTTGGATGCTGCGGTGTTGGATGCGCTTGTGTGGTCGGAGGTGAAGAGACATGGAGTTGGGAGCAGAATTCAAGGATAATAAGAGAGCTCTCGAACTCAACCCTCTGATAGGCAGGCGATATGCATCCAGGGACGGCAAAGATGCAGAAATCATGGGCGGTCATATCTAACCAGTCAGCATTCCTCACTACACAGTAATAAAGCCTCCAGGCGCTTACGGATCCAGCCATCATCAAGTCTCGACACACACAAAGAGAGGGCGCCGCTTGTTTCAGTATGTAGTGCAGTTCATGTGGTTCATGAGGCAGGCAGCAGAGGCCGCCGAGAACAGTGCTCACGAGGGACCAGGAGAAGGGGTGGATTGACCGCTGGGAGCGAGCGGATGCAGGAACACCGCAAAGGGGACAGGCAAGGGCGTCCGACTAGCAACCTCCAGCAATCTCCAATCTCCATGTCTCTCTCATCAATCGACCTTGTCGCCGTCGTCTTTCCGGCTCACCTGATGATTCCTCGTCATCGATTATTATTCACTCGCCTCCGCTGCCAATAATCCAGAAGCCTTGCCCTCCGGAGGCGCTAGCACTCACCAATCCCCATTGCCCCAATCGCCCTCGGGAGAGGGAGAAAGGGAAACCCCTTTCTTTCGCTGCTCTCTCCTGCTCTCCCACCTTTTCACCCTCTCCCATGCTCCTTCACTGCTGACCCTCGCCTATTCAGCACAGGACGCGCTGCATGCCAATTCACCTCTCCCACCTGGGCAGCGCGTGCCGATACCTAGGTACAGATAGATTACGGGTTTCCTTACGAAACACGCCTAATCCCCACCAAGTCCCGTTACAGAGGAGGGATCCTCCAAGATCAACCATCCCTGTGCTGGCCGGCCTGCCTTTGGTCTGAGCGGCATTGCAACCGAGAGAGCCATGCTTCGCCAGCACCAGCACCAGCACCAACACCACCAGCGAGGTCGTATGGACAGCGCCAGCAGCACCCACTCGACTCCCTCCGACTCCTCCGAATCCTCTCCCTCTTCGACCACCTACACCAACTCGTCGCTGCACGAGTCGACGCGCCCCAGAGGCCTTCCCCCCTCGCCCATTGAAGTCCGCAGCGCCGCCCTCCCTCGAAAACCCATCCCCAGCCCGTTGCAGCAGTCGTCCCTCTATTCGTCTGTCGACACCTCAGACGACACCGCAATAGGCTCGCCGCGCTCACCCAAATTCTCTCAGCCCTCCTATCACGACGGTCCACGCTCACCCCGCGAGAAGCTCGACGCTTTTCTGGCCGAGGAGGACCGTCCACTCTCTCCCGCATCCACGCCCACGCCCACGCCCTCGACCTCCAATACCCATCCTTCTTCCCGTCTGGTCGCTGCGCATCGAGCTGGCACTACTCAGCCTGTGCAGCTCTCGTCGCATGCCCAACCACGAAACGTCTCCGCTCCCGTCCTGTCCTCGGCCACGGTGTCGCCTCCCTCCTCTCCAGCCGCGATGCCCCCTCCATCGCGGCCAAGCAGACCAGACACTCACCCCACCGCTCCGCGCAACCATTCCATAGATTCTCAAGTCTCGTCTCTGTCTTCGACTTCGCAGAACTACAGGGCCAACGCGGGCCACCAACCTCGACCTTCTCAGGATGCGGCTCCCTCGCAACCCCCGGACATGGCCAGCCTCATTGCAGCGGCAGGCTCGCCCGAGGCTGCGCTGCTTGCCATGTGGAAGGAGAAGCAGAGCGCTTCCAACCACAATGCCCAGCTCTGGCGCTTGGTGGAGAAACAGAGGGCCATGATCCTGGGCTTGAATAAAGATCTCGAACGAGCACTCAAGGACAAGGATCGCTACCGGAAGAAACTCAAAGACTATGTCAACCAGGTGCCACCCGTTCCCGGTGCACCCAAGAGGACAGACACCTTTGACTCTGCCGTGGAACGCGGAGAGACACCCTCCCCTGCCCCGAGCGAGAGGCAGGACGACTCTGCACAGACCCAACCAGCCGCTAGGGGTGTGGAGCACAAGACATCGCCCCTGATCCAAGGTAGCACCGCATCGCAAACATCTGACGGGACACAGATGCCTTCACAATCTGAAGGTGCAGGACCGGTACCAGCGTCTTCCACCGAGCCGCCCACCCGAGAGCTTCCTTCTCCGCCGCCCGACACCGCTCATGCAGGCTTAGGATTAGGGACGATAGGGGAAAATACAGAGCCGCAAGCAGATTCTACCACACCCACCGAATCGCCTGTGCAGCAGGAACCGGGCGCATCTACCAAGTCGGCTGACGCGCTCAAAGCCCCTGCAATCTCACTGGCGCAGGCTGCTCCTGCTTTGTCACTAACACAAGCCACTCCTGTTCTAGGTGGCGATGGCTTTGACACTCCTACCAAACCTTCGCATACGCTGCGGAAAGCACCACCAGCCCCTCTCAATCTCTCGAAGCCTTCAAAGACCAGCGCACATCTTTATCAGCCTCCGCCAGGCGAGCAGTCCGACGACGACGACGATTACGACGACACTTTGGAGGTGGATGAGATACCTATTGTTGAAAGAGGGAGGAGGAAGACCCGCGAGGAGGACGATCGCGTACGGGAAGCGATGATGATGAAGGATGAGGAGGCTCGCAGCAAGTCGAAGAAGAAGAAGAGCGAAAGCAAAAACAAGTCGAAGGCTGCAACCGAAGAGCCTGTTGAGGAGAGCGAACAGGCCAAGTCGGCCACTGCGTCTCTGTCACCACGAATGTTCAGCCCACAAATGTCTGGCTTGCCCCTGTCTCCACGTCATCCCCCTGCACACTCACTCAACGCTCTGTTGAGTCCGACAAACTCTGACAGCTCCATGATGGCAAACAGAAGCGTCAGCAGCATATCATCGCCTCTGATGAGCCCAGGACTCCCCACAAGTCCTCGTCCTGGTGATAGACCTTTGGGATCGCCGTTACCCAGAAACCCCCGACAAGGTCTAGCCTCGCCACCTATGTCTCCCAGATCGGGTGTCAACGGCATCGCTCCACGTCCACCTCGACAGCCAATCCCACTTCCACCCAATACGCCACAGTCTTACACGTCGCCGCAGGTAATCAAGGAACAGCAGAACCAAGTGAAGCAGCAGGTTTCATCATCTGACCTTCTGAGACCTCCTAACGCTCAGCCTAGCCCTGGAATGGACCACACTCAAGGGGAGACAAACTCTGAATTCATCTACCGCGGCTTGGTCTCAGACCAATATCCTGGTTTGCTGCTCCCTCCCAACGCCCTGCCCTCCATCGATGTAAAGGTCTTCTCTTCCCGTTTGCGGCCGTCTAGATTGAGCTTCCTGGCACCGAAACCGCAAGAGGAGGACCCCGTCTTCATTCTTGCAATCTACGCCCGCTCGGATGGGAAGCAGCTTTGGCGTGTGGAAAAGACCATCATGGCACTGCCTGCACTCGACTCGCAGTTGAAGTCGCTCTGCGAGTTTGCTGGGAAACTTCCGGACCGCGCTTTATTCAGTGGCCACGCACCCGCAAAGATGGATGCTAGGAGAGCCGCCCTTAATACCTATTTCGACATGATGCTTGAGACGCCCATGAGTGAGAAGGCAGCGCTAGTGGTCTGCGAGTTTTTCTCCACGGATGTCATTGGTGCGCAAAACGACGATGCCCTGGCTCCAGAACCTGCTGCTGCCCAGAACACAGCGGGACCGAAACCAAAGCAGCGGAAGGAGGGCTATCTCACGAAACGCGGGAAGAACTTCGGAGGGTGGAAGGCGCGCTATTTCGTGCTCGACGGGCCCGAGTTCAGGTACTATGAACAGGCAGGGGGCGCTCATCTAGGCACCATCAAGCTCCAGAATGCGCAAATCGGAAAGCAGTCGCAGCAGCAGACCAACCAGTCGCCTCAACGGCGCGATGATTCGGAAGACAATCAGTACAGGCATGCTTTCCTCATCCTGGAACCCAAGCGCAAGGACTCTTCGAGTTTGGTCCGGCACGTACTGTGCGCCGAAAGCGACGCGGAGAGAGATGCATGGGTCGATGCTCTGCTACAGCATGTGGACTGGCAAGAGGAACACTCCCCTACTGAGGCTCAACCGGCGGCTGCTCGCAACACCCAGAGCAAAAGCCACGGGCATGATCAACAGCATGCGAACAGAAAGGACAGTCCCGAAGTGAACAAGGCAGACAAGGTGCAAGGGCTCAGTTACGAGGATACTGTAGCAGCAGAGGCTCCAATCCGTGGACCGCCGCTCCAGAGTCACGCGAGCTCTCCCAAAACTTCGTCATTCTCAGAAAGTGGGCACCTTCCTACTATTTCAGGACCCACCAACGGTGCGCCCATTCAGAATGCCGAGTCTTGGGGCAATAAGCTGGCTGCCCCGACCAGTGTCAAGGACAAGAAGCGGAGTATCTTTGGTTTCAGAGGGCGCGTGTCTTCCGACCTTGCCCCTGTGCAAGCCGCAAATCAGCAATCTCAACAGCAAGTTCTCGACCGTGGTCCGCAGCAGAGTCGCAATATTTTCGGCATACCTCTTCAGGAAGCGGTCGACTACTCGCAACCTATTGGAGTCAATGTTCAGCTCCCGTCTGTCGTGTATCGATGCTTGGAGTATCTAAAGGTCAAGAAAGCCTACCAGGAAGAGGGCATTTTCCGGTTGAGTGGTTCCAACATTGTAATCAAGGGCTTGCGGGATCGCTTCAATAACGAAGGCGACGTCAAACTTCTCAGTGGAGAGTATTACGATGTACATGCCGTCGCGTCTCTCCTCAAGCTCTACCTTCGCGAGCTTCCATCTTCCATCTTGACACGGGAACTTCACATCGACTTCCTCAAAGTACTTGGTAAGTGTCCCGCATGGCTTGCAAAGCTCCGTCCTAATTCGCTTTAGATATGGATGAGCGCACGAAGAAGATTCAGACGTTCAATGTCCTTGTGCACAAGTTGCCTAGGGTCAACTTTGAGCTTCTCCAGGCCATGTCCTCCTTCCTCATCCAGATCGTCGACAACGCTGCCCAGAACAAGATGACGGTGCGAAACGTGGGCATCGTATTTGCCCCTACCTTGAACATCCCGGCACCCCTCATCTCCATGTTTCTGACGGACTTTCCGGAAATCTTCGGCATGCCCGTCGACGAGACCAGCTCGCCCATCCATGAGATCCACGTGACCACTCCTCCTCTTGGGGACGAGGCAATCCGCTCGCCCCGCCACCAAATGTTCTCGGACCTCCCCACGCCCGCCTACAACCAAACCTCCTTCCAATCGCAGGACAGACCGCCGGTGTTCCCGATGGGCGCCTCCCACGCCTCGTCCTTGCAGCCACCTCCACACCAACAATCTCACGCCAGCTACGACACGGGCTTTATCCCACTACGGCCGAGCTATGACGCCCCGATGTACGAGCAGCACTACCAAGGCGATGGTGGGTACGGCAGTCTCACTGCGTCATTGCAGCCGAATAGTGGTAATTCGAAGGAGGCGAGGCAGGCGAGGCGAGAGAGTGGAATGCTGCTTATGAATATGGGGATGCAGAATCCACCCAGGAAGGGATCGAATCCCCGGATGAGGATCGATGAGGAGCGCAATCCGAGGATGGTGAGAGAGGAGACGGCGTTTGACTAGGTAGTGGGTGGGCGGCTAGGGTGTTGCGGGAGAGAGGGAGTGAGTGGATGTTGATTTGAAGGAGGAACTCCATTCCAAGGTTCCGAACCAGGTTGATGATGGAGCGATGATGGAGCGATGATTGGATTTGCACAAATGCACAATGACGACAACGACAAATAATACGTAAACATAATTATGCGGGTTTTCTGGAAGGACGGGGAATTGCACCTGGGGCTGGTTCTTGGGGTCTTTCCTTTGGAGGTATCGGACATGTTTTATGCCTTGGTGGATATCTGTTTGTTTTGCTAATGCCTTTTTGACGATTCTTTGGGGGTGGGTTGGCGTCGCGGTACGCCTCTTCGTCTTGCATCTTCGCACTGCGCCGCCTGGGGTGCTGTTTGCAGGAGTTGGTTTTTTTGAGGGGTCGAGACATGAAGAAGGGGGGAGAGAGGGAGCAATTTGTTTCTGGAAATACCCCTAGCTGTGAGGAACCTTGGTTTGCTGTCTGGATTGGTGTATCTTGCTTCTTACTCTGACAATGATGGCTTGTTGTTTTCTGTCAAATGTTGTGCGCTGCGTTTTGGGCATTTCCGGTCCTGGCGTTGGACTTATACGATTTCTTAGTGTTGATCGTTTGGTGAGCTAAAAAGGGTCTTGCATAACAAGTTCACAGCGTATTGTAGCATCTTCGCTGTGCATGCTATAGAGAGTGATCTTGCATATGGCATGAGCTGGGGATATTTTCCGGGGTTTGCATCTGGGTCTAGAATCATACTGTTCCACCTTGATCCATTTAGATGGCATGATGAAGTTGGACCCACATGTTCGTTCCCCAGCCTTGGCGTTGCGGCTCGCCTTATTTAGCGCAAAGCTTAAGGGAACGTTGACCTCATTGCTCCACACTCGCAATTCACATAGCAGGGTATTGTCTATATTTCGTTGTCCCTCTTTCTTTTTATTGTATTGCGTACATATCTGGATTTCATTCTTTTCGGTTGGGCCTCTCCGCAAGTAATGCAATCGAGCGAATCCTCGAAGACTGAGCAGGCAATTTCCACATCCATAGAAGTTGAGAATGGGACTCGTCCGCAAGATGGTTCCTCTCAAAATGTACAACAAGGCAGTCATGAGATGAGCACGAGTATAGAAAGAGGCAGAGATCAACAATATGCCTCGCAATGGCATAGACGAAGGAAGAGGATACTCGACAGACTTCCTATACCGGTGCAACGCTACTCACGCAAGATAGTGGCCTGGATCAAGGGGCCGCAGCCTCCGAGGATACACAGGATCTCGCCCTTTCTTGAGAAGGTCCAGGGGCGTCCATTTCGGTTGCTTTTACGGTTCCCCAAGAGCGTGCGGGTAGGCCTTGTGATGTTGCTGTTCGTCGTATGGGTGGTTCTCTTCGGAGTCATCTTGTCCAAGTTCAGTCTACCGGCAGATATTGCTGGGTACGGTCCTCCTGTGAAATTGGCGTGTACTACCCGACCATGGTAATGCTATCATTCCCTTCTCCGGCCCTATTTGTCGAAACGTCACGACTAACACTTCCTCCCTACAGGTTCGGCGCCCAAAGTTGCGGTCTGGATGGAAGAAACTGCCTCCCCTTCTCCAACACCAGCTTCGCATTCGCCTGCCCTGCAGACTGCGCCGGCGCCCAAGTCCTCAACCCTTACACCATCGGCGACCAGCAAATCATGTACCGTCCACTCGTCATAGGCGGCACGCCAGACCCCTCGCTCGACAACCTCCCCGTCTACCGAGGTGACTCCTTCATCTGCAGCGCAGCCATCCACGCCGGGATCCTCGAGAACTCGCGCGGCGGTTGCGGCGTCGTCTCCCTGGTCGGCACGAGATCGTCCTTTGGCTCCATCCAGCGAAACGGAATCACCAGCCTGGCCTTCAACTCCACCTTCCCCCTTTCCTACACCTTCCCTACCTCCCCTGCCATCCTCTCCTCCTCGGCCCAATGCCGCGATCCCCGGTGGAACCTGTTGATCCTCTCCACCATCATCTCAACACTCATCTCCCTCGTCTCAACCCACCCCCTAACCTTCTTCCCCCCGATCTTCACCATCCTCTTCTTCCAAACCGCACTCGCCTCAGACCCAGCACCCACCCCGGACCTCCCCTCCCTCGCCTCCTCCGCCCTATCTACCTTCCTCCCCGCCACCCTCATCATGGCCTTCCTCTACAAAACCACCCTCCACCGCACCCTCTCCCATCTTTCCCCCCTGGCAAACCTCGAAAAAACCCTCCTCTGGCTCGCCCCCGCCTGGCTCGCCGCCCTCTCCAACTCGACCCTCTCGCGCATCCCCCTCCAGCGCCTCACACCGCACGACATCCGCCAACAGCCCGGCGCCGTCGTCGCTCTCGTCCTCATCGTGCTCGTCATCGCCGCCGCAGCCGTGTGGCAGGCTTGGTGTCTACAACTCGAGGGCCGCTTACCCGGGTTCTTAGCCCTGTATGCCGCCATAGGGATAGGGTTGGGCATTCTGGCCGCGATCCCCGGGGGGTTGGAACTTAGGATCCATCATTATATCCTCGCGCTGCTGCTGCTCCCCGGCACAGGCCTGCAGACGAGGGCGAGTCTGGTCTGGCAGGGTTTGCTGGTCGGCTTGTTCGTGAATGGCGTGGGGAGGTGGGGGTTTGCGTCCATTCTGCAGACAAGTCGGGAGCTAAAGGGGGATGCGTTGATGGGCGTGGGGAGTCCCATGCCGGAGATTGTTGACGTCGTGGTGAGTGCGGGTGGTGGGGAGGCGATTCGGTTTGTCTGGGCGGCGGTGGAGAATGGGTTCGATGGCGTGAGTGTGCTTGTGAATGATGTCGAGAGGTTTAGGAGCGGTGTTGGCGCTGATGTCTCAGCTTCTCCTTCGAACGGAGCCTTTGACGGCTCCTCCACCTTTCCAGCAGGCAATACCACGCTTCTAAATAGTAGCACCAGCGACGCAGACAGATCTTTCACTTACCACCGTCGACAGGAACCCTCTTCTTCTTCGGACGTGCCAACCTACTTCCGCTTCGGCTTCGTCAAGACCCTGCCCTTTGGCAACGTCGTCTACTCGGATTTCACGGCCCCCGGGGTTTGGTGGCCGAATGGGACGTGGGGTGGGATTCCACAGGGGAGGAGTTAACCGGCAGTATGCATGGATAGATAGATAGATTCGTCTTGATTGTGATTGTGATTGTGGAGGGTGGACTCGATCGACTACCAGTAGAGTAGTTATTATGTATACACCCAGGTTTATGAAATCGAATTCGCATCTATCTATCTATCTGTCTATCTTATATCTATCTTCCTTGACGACGTCCACAAGTCCTACCATCCTCCTTTCACAATGTATCGAGCGTTGCTCATCCCCTCTCTCCTTCAATAACGCCCTTTACACAGATATACACTCGTCACTCGACCAATAGGAAAGGTGACAGTCGTACTAAAGAGAGTCCAGAGTCTCTAAAATAACCAAACTCACCAGGTCGACGGTGCAGCATTGATATATATACCATCAACACTACAAGCATTACCAAGACTCCTAGCAGTTAGCAGGAATTTACTGGATTTCTCAGAGGGTTACAGTTCCATATTGACGTCGGCAACACTTGACGAGCTACCTGGTCAGATTTCATAATGTACACATCGACATTGCATGATTAGTTTCCCACGCACCCACAGTCCCAACGTCATCTCATGGCATCGTGGAAAGTAAACAAACCCGAGCGTTCATGGCAAACGACGACGGCCATCATAACGCGAGTCCAGAGACACACAATCAATCCAGCCACCGACCCGAAATTACACCATGCTCCACCCGATGCCCCATTTGCATAAAAAGACACAGCAGAAGCGAAAAGCGGCGGCGCAACAGAAAAGCGCTGCGCCAGCCTCCCGCAAGACATGACAATGTGAAGAGAGGTGTTTGGCAGACACCCCTGAAAAGACGCAAAGGTGGCTGACCTACCTACCGAAAGAAAGTTTGCCGGATGGAAGAACAGAGGCGCTTCGCCATATTGATTACTGAGGCAGATTAGCGGGACATGGACAGACAATGACTTTGGTGTACTTACCAATAGCTTTGTTCGAAGTTTGCCAGTCTTCAACAAAGTAGCGGCGGCAATCGAATTCGGGGAGGGAGAACTCAGCTTCTACGTCTTGAGTATGGCAGCATTGTCCCGAAAATCGGGCGAGGGCGGACCATTCCCCTTGGAGCTGTCGCTGTAGTCCGGGACCTGAACTGGGAGTGGGAGTGCACTGTGCGGACGGGGACGTCAGTGTTAGCAAGGTTTTTGAGATTTTTTGGTTGAAACACGCCAGAAACCGCGGACTGCAACGGGAAGGAGGCGCGCGGCCTGTACAAGCGGTTTACATAGAGGGGACAGAGGTTGGGGTCGTGCACGAATGGCGCTGATGTATCGTCCCTTATGTAGCGAGACCTCGCAATGGAAACTCCGGGAAGGAGGGTGTGGTGCAAGCTGACTGTGTAGTGAGGCGGCTCTTATACAGGGGACGAGGAGAGGGAAGGATAGGGAAGAGGAAGGGGAGTGGCAGGGGATACTTGGCAGATCATACATACCCGTGCAGTTGCTTGTCAAGGAGCATGTACTCCTCGGCGGCCTGCTCCCCTCCGCGGTTAAGGAGGAAATCCAGATAAGGCTGAGAGAGCTCTTTGAGGTCCGGAGCGGAGAAGCCTCCCTTGTCACGCAGCAACGTGTAGCAGCTCTTGACACGCCAGTAAGCCTCGGAATCGTTCGCCGAAGGTTGGTCGATCTCGAAGTTGAGGTACGCCAACCAGAAGTCACGGGAACCCGGATACTTGTCGTGGCGCTCCATGAACAGCTGACGAGCCCTTTCAGGACTGCGGCTGCACTGCCACAAGATCCTTCCTTGCTCGGCAGTCAACTTCCCAGCAATCTGCATCTCCCGCTGCCCGATATAGTTCTCTAGGCATTGAAGGGCGGCCTCATCACCTGCATGGCGGCGCTCCAGGCTGGCGAGGGAGATGATCGTATCCACATGGTCCGGCAGTTGCTCCAGGATCCCATAATGGATGTCTCTGGCAACCTGAATAGCACCGAGCTTCTCCTCGAACCGAGCCCAATGAAGACGGATGGTAGGCTGGGAGATGGGGACAAAGAGGCAGCTGGCCCTCATGTAGATGATACGAGTGTCTTCATCCCGGCCCTGGGCGAACATCCAACGGGCATAACGGAACCAGAACTCCTCATAGAGAGCGCAGGCCACTAGAGCACGCTCATAGAGGTTGACGATGCGTTTGAAGTCGCCTCCGGCCTCCTCGAAGTCGAGGTACTTGCGCCAGTTGGCAAGCTCCTCCGGGTCCAGGTCAGTCACGTGGAAGTACGGCCTCTTAATCGCACCCTCAAACGCCCAGCGGGTCTTCACCTCGTCCGTCATACGCATGGCGAGCTCATAGTAGATTGCGTCTAGTTTGACTCGGATCATCCTCTCAATCTCGATGTCAGATTTTCCCGCGTATCCTGGGGTCTCAGCCTGCACTTCGGCTTGGGCACGTGCAAGCGTCGCAGCATCCGTGACTTCTTCCAAGGGTCGGTTGCCAAGAAGAGCGCGATACTTCGTGTAGTAGCGATCAAAGTAGTAGGTCGGGAGGTGGACCAGGCGCTCGACAATCTTGGTGATCCGGCCGATCTCCCCGTTGGCCTGTTCGAACTCCATGTATTTCTCCCAGAAGGGGTGGGATTGGAAGTCTATACCTACAAACTCGGCGGCGCGTTCGAACAAGCTGAACGTGTCAGTAAATATCAAGCGTAAGTGGGAAGGGACATGGGCAAGGCATGAGTGTCAAACACATAAAGCAAGAATCCGCAGCATGAGCATCGCGGCTCTGTACATGGTCCGGGCTTAGCCAGTGTTCTCGGGGGGGATAATCCTCGACGGACAAGCCCAAGGCCCAGCGTCCGATGGGGAGCATCCAGCCACCGTCGGAGGTGATCAAGTAGCATGAGCACCACGAATCACACACTTGTGTCTCGTGGTGAGGATAACGCCTGCGCATATCAAGGTGGAAGGCACTTACTCGCGAATGACATCCGGATCATGGCAGGTGTTCATTTTGAAAGTGCAGTAGTGCACCCAGAGGTCCACGCTGATGGGGATGCAGCTCACGCCGCGTTCGTAGACCTAAGTCCAGCGTCAGCTTGGCTTTTCACCAGTATGCAAGATGCGCAATACGCACCATCTCGGCCGTCTCGGTCCCTCCAATGGCGAACTCCAGATCCGCGTACTTCTTCCAGTACCCGAAGAAGAGCGGAAACTTGGCGAGCAAGCAGTCGAAGACGTTACGAACGAGCTCAATGGCCGACGGACTCGAGTTGCGGGTGACTCCACCTTCAAGTTCACTTGCGCGCGTGACGAGAGGCTCCCAGCGGTCGAAGTCGTCCTCGTTCTCGACCTAGTGTCTGTTAGTATGAGGTGCGAAGACGCAGTCAAGCGCGGTTGCTCACCAGAGAGGCGAGGAGCTTCTTGATCTCAGTCGCGCTCTCATCGCCTGTATACTGCACCTGGGCGATGCTCCCCCGGCCGATCGCCAACATGGTTGCAGTCTCTGCGTAGGAATTGTCGGTTTACACTGAGATCCTACGGGCGGAGCAAAAGGGTTGTCGAGTTGCGCAAGTGAAGGTGGGGTGAACTTGTGTAGGTGTTGACGGTCGAGGAAGGTGAAGCTCAGCTAATGCTCTTGGCGCCAAGAACCGTTTGTGAAGCTCGAAGGACCGACTGCTGCTTTTCGCCTTGACTGAACAGAGCCCTACAGTTCTTCCGTAGGTTAGATGAACACCGCAAATTGAATCGGCTACTGGTAGAAAATTTCATGACGGGAGCATCGTTTTGAAGAATATTGTATTTACCGGGGGTAGAAATGCAACGGAGCAGTGTCCAGGGTCTACCAGATCACCACTGTCTGCCGTCGCTCGGGCCAACGACTCAGCAGAGAGCTGAGCCATGGATGCATGCAATCGTAGTTTGTTGATCCGCATCATTTGATAAGATCGAAGCTGAAGCCATAGAAGTTTTATTTATTTCTTATCAGCGGGTCTACTTTTCACCCAAAATCATCAATTGTGTGCTGAAGAAGCTTGCGACAACCAGCATCACTATCTCTACGCCGTACTCTAGGTATCATCAGAAGCGATGGCAAACAAAAACATCGGCCTTGCGAAAATCGTCCCAATACAATCCATGACTCCTCATCATCATAATCATGTCTCTTTTCTCCTTCCCCTTTTTACTACGCAGCCTTCTCCCCCTTGAGATACTTGGTCGTGTCATTCCCAGCAAAGGAGAACGGGCTCTTCGTCATCTCCGGGCTGCGCGGACTGATGGGTAGCGCGAATAATCCGTCATCCACATCGTCGTCCGGTAACGACGGGCCGCGCGGTTCGAAGCTGGGGGTTGGTGCGGCGAATGCATTCAGCGACGCCATGCCGGGGTGTTGCTGCTGTGCGACGACCTGGGGCGGCGGGACCACTGCTGCGACTTTGCGGGTTGAGGGCTGCTGCGGCGGTTTTGCAGCCAGGGAGGCGGGATTCTCGCCTTTGAAGGCGGCGAAGGAGGAGACGGCCACGTCTGAGGATTCAGGCGATAAGGGGTTCGATTGCGGTTGTTCGCCCGGTTCAGGCGTTCTGGCTGTGAGGTCCTTCTCGCTGGTTCCTAGCTTCAAGCCTCGCAGCTTCTCCATCAGGCGTCCTCCGCCGGGGGAACGAGGGCTTGCGGGTCCGAGGGGCGCGACGGTGGGTTCTGCGACGATGTTCAGGCCCATGGGTTTGGCGGTTACGCCGAAGGTCTGCTCAATCCATTCCTTCTCTTGCACGGCCATGACATAGCCGACACCCTCGACGTTTGTCTTGGACTCGGCCTCAATCTCCTTCTGCAACACCTGTAACCTCTTCTTCGCCCAGATTGTGTGTAAAACCCCCTTCTTCCCCGCCGCCCGTGCCGACGCCCCCAATTCCGGCGGGAAGATGGCCGGGAGCGGATTCGTATGCCATATCACGGGCGCCTTTGAGCTGTCCTCGGGGCGATGTGTGAGCGTGACAATCGACGGTACCGACACTCCTGGCGACAGCAGAAAGTACATGCGGTTCACGTCGTTGGTGGGCTGGTCCTTGGCCGGTAGCACCGTCGTCTTGCCCTCCCACGAAATGTGCCAGTCCCCCCGCTCGCCTCTCGTCGAGTCGTCGTCCTCCCACTCCACCATGAGAATCTTGGTGCCCTCGCGGCCATGTCCCGCCTCGAACTCGAACCGTGCGAGGGCATTCGTGCTGGATATGCTGGGCGATTCCACCTCGTCTTTCACAGGCAGAAGGGTGCCCGCGCTGGACGTGTCGACGGGCGCGAACGGCGGGAATGTGGCGGGCGACGACATGATATGCGGAGATAGTGTACAGAAGGAATGTGGAAGCGCGTTTCCCCAGGTGAGGCGTCGTTAAGTACGGGTGGGGGCCAAGCGGATTAGATTGAAGGGCAAATTGGAAAAGGTCCCAGACCGTATCCGTCTGGCGATGCGAAAACAAGTGGCCCAGCCGCAGAGCCGCACTTGTGGGAGAGAAGTGAAGTCAATTCCAGCGGTGCGAACAAGTCGATGAACTCTGCATTGTTGGTCGGTCCGCTGCCCCTCACAAGTCTCCTTGGGCTGGCGTCTGTTGAATCGACCTTGGAAGCCGCCGCACATGGGCCTCGTGCTATTCTTAGAACGTCCAAGGTTGCGATGCGACCACTTGTGGGACACACAAAAGCTGGAACGAATCTGGTAGAAGAATTACAATCGCCAACCAATCAGATCCATCGCATTCATTCACTCAGATGTACTTGTACTTGTACATACTGTGGGCGTAAGACAGAGGCGTATTGAATTGAGCAGAACTGCTCGATGCTTTCTCGCATTCATCCGGACTTGTTTCCAAGTCTAGGCTCTAGAAAGCCCAATCTATCTGGGCCCCTTCCTTCAGGGCCCTGAGATTACTATACATGGTGTCCATGCAGAGAGAGAATTGCTGCACTAGCGTTCTCTCAACCCATCCCTATCAAAAAGATCGTAACGGCCGTTGCTGTCTTCTCAACCCCAGCCACCAGAAGATGCTGCCTCCATATCCTATGCTATCCATCCATGAAGCGATGCAGCGCCTCCGGGTATATAGAAATTATAAAAAATTGGGTATATGGCGTAAATGAGATAAATATATGCAAAGAAGAAGAGGACGAGCAGAGTTGCTCAGAATGATGGTTGCCATCGCAACAACGGCCAGACAAACAGACCAGGATGCAATGGCCAGCAGAAGGTGCTCGGTGCTCTTAAATCAAGAGGAAATCCCAGCCCTTCTGTTGCATCATGTCCCGCCAGTGGACACTCTGTTTGTCGCCGTTTGCGAGAGCGGCGTCGTTGAAGCTCCAGACATCCTTGAGAAGCTCCTTGATCCTTCCAAAGGAGCCGAAGTTGGAGGCTTCGCCGAGCCGGGCTGATCGATCCGCGAACATGGTGCGGAAGGACGAGTTGGGAAGGGAGACGGATCCGGCGATGAGAAGGGGCCAGACAAGGGAGCGGTCGAAACCCTCGGGACCCGCGGGGATGAAGTCCATTGCGTCGCTGAATGCCTTGACGAGGTTGGCGATGCTGCCTTGGGTGCGGTGGAAGTCCGGCACCAGACTGCACAGGTAGATGCGCGCAGCCAGGCGGAAGACGGCCGTCATGTTGCGGTTGAGCTGCTTGGGCCGGATGGCACCGGTCGCAGAGTAGGCATTCGCAACTGTGCCTGGCGGTGGTTCCGTGATGCTGATCTGATCACCGAGAAGTTTGATGTGGGCGCACAGCTGGACCTCGTCCAACGTCTTGTCGAGCTTGAGTGCCTCGAGGCATGCGATTTCGGAGATCAGGTACATGATCCTGTCGTCACATCCCATGAGCTCGGCGAGGCCGGACGGCGAATCCCCGATCAACTTCTCGCGGTACGTGTCGGAGAACTGCGGCGCTCGTCCGCGCATCGTGGCTCCGAGAATGTCGATCCAGGCTGCCAGTGTCATATTGAAGGGCGGTTGTGCGTTCGGAAGACCGTTCATTGCGACCAATTGCTGAGGAAGGTTGAGCTTCTGGATCAAGCTCGTCGCAGCCTGGAAGTGGTGGTGCCAGGGGATATCTGGGAGCCCATCGTCAGGTCGGCCCACGGAGCACTGGAAGAAGATCATGCCCAGGGTGGCTTCCAGAATCTGCGCATGGTCCTCATCGCGGTTGAGGGCCTCGCAAAGTTCAGAAATGGTCGCATAGCGGTGGCGCATGATGTCATTGTCAATCTGCTCGCCTTGCAACCTTTCCGTGGCCTTGAGGTGCAGTGCGGAAATGCTCAAACAGCAATGGAGGTAGGTCTTGTTGGACTCAAGAGCTGGTAGAATGACGTCGGAGCGAGCGGAACCATGCTGGTTTACGTCAAGAATGGGGAAGATCAAGCGCAGCACATTGTCAATGAAGTGGTTGAGTAGATGCTGATCGCACTCATCCACTTGGATCGTTGTCTGGTGTGAAGGACTGAAGGAACCGTGGGGAAAGTCGAAGACCTGGAAATCCAATGGCTCCTCTGCGAAAGACTCGCGCCGGCTCTCGAAGTAGTCTTGCTGGATCCAGTTCTCGGCACCGAATTGGTGGCCAACAACTGGCGGGGTGTGATAGGTGCTGAAGGTGGAGATTGTGGAATCTCGTCGCATGGCAACGTCATTGACGAACATCTGGGTCTCGGTCTTGATGTCAATGTCGTAAGGCGGGAAGTGAGCAGGGTGGGGAAAGGAGGGTGCGAAGATTGGCGGGGGCATGGCAATGGTGCTGTACATGTCGGGGTTCGAGACATGGTTGAAGTTGTAATCTAATGAAAGTTGGGAATCGACGGACGGTGCGCGTGTGCAGCCCATTCCGTCTGAGAAGGTGTCGGACGTGGGGAGAGAGTGGCAGAGGCTAGGCGGGGTGTTTGAGGTGGTGAGGGTGACACCCTGTGCGGACTTTTCGTTGAGCTTGGTGCGCTTGATGATGTTCTTTATTATCTCCTTCTGATTGCGCCTCTGCTCGTTGTTGCTCCACCACATTGGCCTCTTGTATTCGCACTTGAGGCCCAGGTGTTTGCAGGCGCGGCAGGTCGGCTTGCCCTCGTCGCACTTCTTCCTTCGCAGGCGACATGTGAAGCAGCCTGGGAGACGTGGTTAGCAGCATGTCCATGCGCGATGATCGCTGCAGGGGAGGGAAGGGGAACGGACCTGTCCGTGAGCGACGGTGCTGTTTCGTCGAGTCCTTTGCAGCTTGTTGCTTTGCAGCATCGGCCTTTGTGGTTCCCACCATGGTTGCAGAGGGTTTGCCAGCGGCCGAGAGAGCGGCGGAGGAGGACATGGACAGCTCTTGTAGTTTTTCGGGATGGGACCAGCTCGGTGGGTAATGAAGGCTAGTAAACAATGCGGCAATAATGAGACTAACGCGCAGCGGCGAACGGGATCGTAAGGGACAGGACGGCAGGGCTCGACCGGGTTTGCTCGTAATTAAAGATAGACTAGTAATCGAAGCCTGACCAGCGGACCTCGACGAGAGAAGGAAGGGTGAAGGAGAGCAAATTATGTGGTCTGCCGTTTCTGAAGACGGGGAGTGCGGAAGTCAAAGTACCTTATATCTCCTCAATCGGCTGCAATGACAGCAAAAAGTGCCCATCTATTCTTAGAAGAAGCCCATTCTGGGAGAGAACTCCCATCCGGGAGACGGGATACGACCAACCTGGCTGGATGGGTTCCACGGCAAAACGATTGGTCCAGGGTGCTCTACCTTGCAGCGAGAGCACGTTTTGGGGCATTTAGCTATTTTTGCGTAGCGGCTAACCGCCCGTGGGAAGCCTCAGAACGGCTTGTGCACAGGAGCCACCTGCACACGGGAGCACTTTTATCTCGCCAATATGGCTGCTAATAGTCCCCTTCAGGCAGAATTAGCTTCTGGACTGCTGACCCCCAACCTCTCCCCAGCTGCAATATCCGTCCATGACCGTCGGCTGCCCCAAAGCGGCGTAGCAACAGATCGAACACTTGCAGCGGCTGCGATAAGTGGCCGGCCCGGACGTTGCTCCTCGCTCTGACCACCGTCGATCGCCCGAGTCTGCCAAATATTGCCAAGGCTGAGTGGTGATGGTTGCATTTGCCAGTCCAGACTGTCGGAGTGAAATACGTACTGTATGATACAGCTCCTCGCGAGCAGCGGTGGCCTTCACAGAGGAGCCTCCTGCCGCGTCCGGAAGGCAGTGGGAAATGAATCACAGCAGGCGGAGCGGCACATTGTCTCTTCGGCATCGTCGTGCCACGACGAGAATGAATGGCCCAGGATGGGCGAACCTGGAAAATGGTGATTGTTACTCCGTATACAAGCAAATAGTTTCGAGGGAACCCCGAAACGGTACCGTCACGGAGTACTCACAACTGGTACCTGCATCGCACTGTATGAGACTCACCTCGAGGGTAACCGGAATTGCTGAGCCTCGTTTCTGTGCCTGCCACGCGCGTCCGTACGGAGGAGAACACCCTCCCCCCCTCTCCGACGGCACACGTCTCTTCCCCCCCCCCTTCCTCCGGCTTCTCTCAATTAGGGTCCCTTCTCGCGACCCGCGGGAGAACTTTTGCAGGCTCCCCGAGGGATGCGCCGGGAGACATGGATTCGACTTGCAGGTTGCGGCGGGATCAATGGGCGTTTTGCGCGGGAACTGCCAGGCTCAGGCTGAGAGGAAGAGCGAGCTTGCGAGGGCGCGCGGGAGAGCATGAACAAGCTTTAGATTAGTCTAGCCGATCCGTCCAATCGCATGGCACGTCCACGCCAATGCGCAGATGTGGAGCGAGGGACAGCGACCAGGGCCGCGGGCTTGCGGTTGGAGTGTGCTTCCCCTGTCCCCCTGTCCCGTCCCGCGTTGCTGTGCTATTTAAAAGTCAGTTAATTAACCTCCTCTCTTGTCGAAGAATTACCCATAATTAGGCTCAAGGACAGGCCCTCTCTCTAGGCGGGAACTAGGAGCGTGGTGCTAGGAGAGTATACGCCGGCTGCGGGCTCCCATTGGTTACCGACTGCAAATGGCAATACTTGTAGCCTCGCGAATAGTGATGCGTGTAGCGGGTACTTCAGCTTACCTTGACTCAACACTTAACTTGCTCACCTGACACCGCGCATCGCGTGCTCAGCGTCGAGTACCCGTTACAAGCCGCCCATTTGCTGCTTGTTGATGATGGACTCCTGATAAGAGCGGGGGGTGGCAAAGGTCCACGAGTTTTTCCAGCTCGCGTCGGCCCTCGGCCTGACGGTTGGGCATCCAGATCCCAGATGCCGACATCGAGACTTCTCGCATTTTCGTTTTCTGGACTCGCTTTTGTCTGGAAGGCTACTAATTCCATAGTTTCAATCCGCCTCATGACGGACCCTCATCGGTAAGCGGAGCGGGAGGACAGCTAGGCGCATCTGCCCTTCGATTGGTGATCCCCTATAGCGATCAAGGCCCATTTCGTGTTCACAATCCGTCCCAGAGAGAGATTGTTGAGCCGGGAAGCTCCAACAGCTCCGCCTGGAGCACGACAGCTAGAGTCTCTGCTTGTGCTTGGCCAACAGCTCAAGTTGTGTGGTTTTGATTAATGCCTCATGGGTCGCACCCCGTGATCGTCTCCAGGCTGTGATTCGGCTCTGTCGCAGTCCAAGGCCCTGAAGGAGTCGTGGTGTGGGAGTACGAGATGCTGGAATGGGTGCACGCCCGCATGAGTGTTCAGTCATGTGAGGGCAGTGTGGCAGCATTCTGGAAGGTAGTTGGTCCTCGAATTCACGACGGTGATATCGGATGTGCTCCCAAGTGCATGGTAGCATGCCATGAGCAGTACACCGTAGGTATAGCGGTCCACGAACCCGAGGCGAGTGGGACAGGACAGGTGGACGAGGTCAGGGTGCGACGGAGGGTTTTGGGCAAGGAAGCATCGAAAGCAGCCCAAAGTGCGTCCGCTATCGGGCCAGAGGGAGGGCTGGTGTTACTTTTCTACTTTTGCGGGAGACCTACACATATTGCTGAGATACACGGCAGCGAGCAAAGTACATATGTCCCACCTCAATCACCCACCTCCCAAGATGACCAAATTTGGCATCACCTCTGGCGCACGGCGTCGAGATGGCGTTCATGACGACAGCGGGGGAAGGGAAGCTGTGCGCACGTCCGCCCGGGTGTTGGTGGCAGCATGCAGCCACGCTTCGAAGCGGGCGCCGGGCGCCAGCTGTGAAGGATTCGTTGGAGGTGCTTCTCCTCGTGTGGCGTGCAACAACGCAGTTGACTTTTGCTCCACACGCCATCACGCGGCCGGCGCAAACACTAGGAAACGGTATCTTCTGCGGGCGCGGTATGCGATCCCGCTGTGGTTACTTGTGGCAGATGTTCAACTCGAGAAAGCACTCTCCTACTCCTGGGTCCCATGTCTCGTCCGAACTCGGTTGTGACGAAAACAACCCTACCCGCGGCCTTCCCCACCTCCCTCGCCCCTGTTCTACGGCCAACCTCTTTCATGTTCAACGCTCCCACGCCGCACAAGTACAGACGGACTACTCAAACGCTCCTCTTGTGTGGCGTCTCCTCAGATGGCGGAATGCTCTCTGCGAACGAGAGGCGGGTACGGTGTGTGAAGGAGTGGAAGCGAGAGGATCGGCCCCATGAGCCCCCAAGCACTCCCAACCTCCTCGCACGGCTAGACTGCCATCCTGTGTACTGCTATCCTGCACGTCGATATTAATGGCCTTTTGCGGACCCCCAATCGGGCATCTTTTACGGGTGGGCTGCAGCGCCCAGAGTGCCCTTGACCAGAATCAACCGTCTCCCTCACCCTCTCAAGCCCTCTCACCATCGCCGGCTAAGCGCCCACCCTCCACCCTGTCCAGCAGCAAGTGAGGGCGGGCCGGCGCCGCGCGAAGATTGGCCCGCTGTGCTGCATCCGCCGGCCTTCCCACGACTCCCTTCGCTCAGTGGACAGAACGTGTGCAGTCTGTGCTGGCGCTGCATGTCGCACACTATCGAGCGATGCCCTCCTCCGCTCCGCTATCGTAGACCCTGACCGTGTGCGCTTCTACAAAATCTCCCGGCATCGCCCTCCACCCGCAGGGTCTTCTCTCCGATTTTTGCCCATATCGCTGCTCTCCCGTGCATGCCATGACCGCAACCTTCACCCACCACACCCACTAGTAGTCTGTCGAGAACACCTTACTGCGTCTTGTTCCTGGAACGAACACCAACTCGAGCCTGTGCGCTCCCCGCCCGTCATGGTAAGTCGTACGGGCAGCCGCATTATCGATAAGCCGCCTTAACCCTTTGTCCAGCAAGCCATGACCCCGATTACCCCGTTGGAGTCGGGCGTAGAGCACCTGGGCATGTACCAGAGGGGCAAGTCGTCCCTCTTTGTCCATACCGCGATCGCCGGAGCCCGTAGTTCGCTCGAACGTCCTGTGTCGGTGGTGAGCGAGGCATACACCGATATCGAGGACGACTCGAGTGAATTCGAGGAGTATAGTTTGGGTTCCAATGTAAGTAGAGCGTGCATGTCCACCACGTGCGGGTATTGATTCTTCGTCAGACCGAGAACCGCAGGAGCCAAACGACAATCTCCACTCTCGAGGAAGTCAGGACGCCAAGCGATGAATTGCGCCCACAGTGGATTATAGCTAACGACTGGCACCTTCCAAAGCCCGTGGAAGGACCCAAAGGACCTCATCTATTCCGTGCTTCCCACTCGTCCAACGATTTCGACTTTGCCCTCCAACTTTCGCCCCTTCTTCCCAAGGAGCCCCCTGCCCGATTGGACACTGCTTTCCGTGAAGCGACCCCTGAGACCATTGTGCCCCAGAGAGAGTACAACAACATTGCCTCTGCGGTAGCTCACCTGGACACCACCGAAGTGCGTGCATGGACCGCCCGCGATGTGGCCACTTGGATGTACCAGAATGGTTTCGATTCCGACATCATCGACCGTTTTGAAGCTCACGACATCACTGGCGCTGTGCTACTTGATCTCCAGTTTGAGGACCTCAAGGAGCTAGAGATTCAGTCTTTCGGAAAGCGTCACCAACTCTGGAACCAGATCGACTCGCTCCGGACCGAGGGTCTCCTTTCTCCTGCGGCTCCGGCACCAACCCCCTTCGAAGACATCAGCCGGCCTTGCACGGGCGCGAGGGACCGATCGAAGAGCAAGAACCGTGAGAGACGTCACCGTGACAAGTCACGAGGTGGGAACGATTGTGACGGGGATGAGCTGGTTACCCCTGGTGGTGCTCGAAGACGAGGCAGAAGACAGCACCGCGCTGGGGCCGACGTGATCACACCGGCTGAGTCTGTCTCCATTGTGGCCATCGAGCAGCTACTACCGAAACCTCACAAGTGCGCAAAAGGGGAAAGATGTGCCAAGTGGAGGAAACAACAGCGCCAGCTTGCCAGGCTCCAGGAGGAGCATGGCTTCCCCATTTCACCAGAGAAAGGCGGCCACATCTTCATTGCCGGTGACCCAGGGAACCCGCAAACTGCGCAGCGCGCTGTCGATAATGTATACCGTCCAGCTTCGGATGCCATCCCCTCGGTTGTCGCCTCGTCTGACCTGCTCGGCCCTGGCCAGCTCCCCGAATTCTCGCTCGAGGAAGATAAGCTGAAGAGCTTAGAGCACCGCGATCCGCAGGACAATGTCCGTCAGTTCCTCGCGCTCCAAGGGCTTCAGCAACCTTTCGCATCTGCAACGCCCATCGAAGCCCCTCCGACTCCGCCCGTCGAGATGTTCCCGAACCGTTTCACTACCGTTCCGTCGTACCAGCAGCAACAGAATTCCTCCTTCTCGGCGTCCACCTCGGCTCACACATCAGCGTCGTTTGAGCCAGCTGCCCTTCCCGCACCTGCGCTTCACCCAGCCGAGTATATACCTGCTCCACACTACAATCTCAAGAGTCTCCCAAAGCTCGCCATCCCACCACCTCCTCGTTCGATGTCAGCTGGACCATGTGGTGGTTCTCGCAGTGCGGCACCTACCCCTCAAATGGCGCCCGACACGGCATTCTCGCCCTGTCGCACGGCATCGCCCGGCGGCCTGTACCGATTCGGGACGCCCTTCTCCGAGATGGACGTTCCCGTAACCGCCGTCCCAACGGGGCCCGTCGCACGTGACGCCAGCCAGTCGGTTCCACCAAACATGCAGTACCGCGACCCGATCCAGCGCACCGGTTCCACGCGTGACTGGCGCCGTCCCTCGCTGCCGCTTCCCGCGCTCAACGAGGACCAGGTCTACGAGCCGGCACAGCACCAGTTTGACGACACGGATACGCTTCACGAAACCCAATTCTCTGGCGAGAACAGCGCAGTCTCCTCCCCCATCAGGACGATGAAGTCGCAAAACGTGCCGGGGAAGGGCGGCTTCGTGTATCAAAACGTCAACCACCACGGCTGGATGAAGAAGCGCCGCACCAAGCTCCTCCGGCATGAGTGGCAGGACCACCACTTCCGTCTCCAGGGCACGACGCTCGCCATGCATCCCAACGAGCTGCCTTCGTCGTCTCCCTTGCAGACCATCGACGTAGACGATTACGCCGTCGCCTGCTCATCCATTGCGTCGAACAAGCTCTCCGCTAAGCTGAAGGCGCTGAAAATCAACAAGGAGCATAAGGAGCAGGCACCTGTGTATGAATTCCAGCTCGTGCCCACGGTGCCAACCGGCAAGGGGGACGTGAAGAAGGTCACCCCACATGGCAAGATGCACCACTTTGCAGCCAAGACCAAGGATGAGAGGATCGATTGGATGAGAGAGCTGATGCTCGCCAAGGCGATCAAAGCGAAAGGAGATGGGTACGAGGTTAATGTTAATGGAGCGGATGTGTGAAGCCGAGTTTACGACTGCATGACCTTTTCGATTATCCTTGCTTTGCTTCTGGAGTATGGGATCTTTGCTGTTTCCTTCTTTCCCCTTGCTTTCTGCACATTTTTGACTTTGGTCTTCTTCTGTTATGCTTTTTTTTCTTGCGATGCGCATATATACCCGCTTGGAATGACGTTTCCCATCTCCTTCTACGTACTTTGTTTGCAGGCTCCTTGTTTAGCGTTGGCGTTTCTCTCCCCTCTCTTCTCATCCACTTCAACCCGTCTGAGACGGTGTTTTTTCGCATTCTTACAACACAGCATGAGCGTTAGATCAAACAGGAATAGGCCCCACGGCCACGACACACATATCGAAGGACACAGATGCGCGCGAAGCGAGGATAATTGACTGTAAGGACGAAGTTTCTCAATGGAGTCGTTTGGCGGCAGATGAACACTTCTGGGCGGTCTAAAAGTAGTCGGCGACAGATTTTGCAGCGTTGGAGATAGCATAGGTACACGAGATATGAAAAACGAATAAATCAATGGAGCGCCACCCATCCCTTTCGTCCCTTTGCCCATCACCTGCGGTTCTAACAATAAGGCCTTGTGCCTGTAATTGGTGCCCAGCTACACAGACTCTACACGCTTTTTCTATTAGTGTCCATTCACGCACACGGTAACGTTGCATTCGCAGCGTTACCTCGTGCTTCCCAACGCCGTGCTCTCCCAACGCTCCTGTGTCTACCTTCCGTTTCACACCGCGCAACCGGGCACCTTTCAGCGTGGTACCAGGCGTGAATTCACGTCCCCGCTATGCTGTGCTATGCTGTGCTGTGCCCCTCTCTCTCTTAACCTGTGAATTCATTCCAAATATCCCGTGTAGCTAGGTACCTAGCTACATCAGGAAGTTACACAGCGTAAACCTCACGTTTCGTGCTAAGGCTGCTAATTTACCTCCTTAACTCCAATATTCGGAGTAGTTATGTCGAGGGTTAAGAGAGAGAGAGTGTGTGTGTGTGTTTCATCGTCTGCGCGCAGAGGCCTCCGATAAACGTTTTCCGTTAATGTTTCACGTCTTTCTCGCTTGGAGCTCCGGACGCGGAACGCACGAGATGGAGGTTTGTCTGCGCCTCATACCAAAATGGGTGGTTATGTTTATGCTAAGGACCGCGAAGGAGATACACAGCCCATATGGACATAGCCCCCTGCCGTCATGCTATACCTCCCTTCCCCTTCCCACACTCATATGTGGAAAAGGGAAAACATGCAAGGAATGCTGCGCCTACTTGCTTGAAGAAGCACTTTAAACGCATATGCTTTACTGTTTATCTGTTTCCGCGAGGCGTTTTTTCCGTTTTCCGTTTTCCAAGTTTCCGGTTTTCGCAGGCACCCTAGTACTCATGCGGCGAGAGGTCAACGGTTGCGCGGCACGGTTGGTGCCCCTGTGATCCTTGCGGCACTTGCCTGGGTAGGGTTTGAACTGATTAGGATGTGCAGTGCTGTGGCGCGGGAGTTTGGATGGTTCGGAGCCGTGGTTCTGTTCTCTGTTCATGCAGGAGGGGTACCCTACTTTACGATGTACAATACAAAACTTGGATATGCCCTACAACGGTAAAGAGGGGAATTTTCGCTGAGGTGGGTGGGGGCGGGGGAAGTAGAGAGGCGGCGCAGCACCTCAGGGAAGTCCGAAATACTAGGTCTGGAGCTTTGGGAAATTTTGACTTAGCGATGGGGGCTGGAAGTTTTGACCTGAAGGAGGCGCTGTTGAGAACCTTAGGAAGAGCGGTGGGGACTTTGGGGTGATAGGGTACCTTTCGCATCTGTACGGATGTATGTAGGGGCTAAAACGGGCTGAGGTCTCGGGGTGTTGACATTGAGAGGTACGGGAGGTAGCCACGGAAGTCACCCTGGGATGGAGGCGGTATTGGGTCCAAGTCCTACTTCTCGACGTAAGAGAAGTCCTTGTGAACGGGAGTCAAGAGCGTACCTGGAACTTGAACTCTCATTGAATGCTCGCTCAGCGTCAGTTGCGACGATATACTTAGTGTAATATAAACTGCAGTGCAGTCTCGAGCGGAGACATGAGGCTTCAAACATGAGAATGTTTGGTTTCCGCGACTAAGAGCAGAACACACTTACAGATTTCCGACAATCCGTAAGGACGTTTCCAAGTCACTTCACGGCGGCAGGATTTCGCGCACCCAGGCCGCGTCGAGGAGCATTCATGAGCGACATCCACCTTTGGCATATGCCCTTTTCCCTCCGGATGCCGGGATGGGGGGCAGTGGTGTTTCTATTCAGGCCGCGACAGCTTTGTTTTGTAGCTTCAGCGTGCTCAGACTACCAGCTTCACTACCAAGTTTAGAACACATCTTCTTCTGAGAGGCTCAGATGAGGATAGTCCCAGTTTATCTCCGCGCGTTCCTACCTACGGTCGCAGGAAGGAATTAGCAAAAGCCGTTCTCAATGTTGTTGTTGTGACTTTGAGAGGACTGTAGCTTAAAGGACCAACAGAGATTCATGCCTGGAGACAAGTGTCATGGGTTACGTTAGAATTATCTCACTCTTTATTCACAGTCGGGGATCGTTAGTTTCATCCGAGGCACTTTCCGATCCCGCAGATTTACGACATCCACGCGCTACATTGAGACCCGTGACTCCGGTTCCGCCTTGGTATACCGCCATCACATAACAAAACATGTCTCTCTGACTGCAACTACTTAAGCCTTTCAATCTATTACCGCATTCATAGAACCTTTGCCTGACGCTTTTCCGGACACTCGGAGGTCCGACTGCCGAGTTTGGCAGGACAATTATTGCAACAACTTCGAGAGTCTGTACAAACCCTAACGTGTCCTGAAGTCATATCAAGCGCACATCTTTAAATTCATTTTTCTGGACATTTCGAGGCTAGGAAGTGTTGTTCAGCTAACATTTGAACGTGCGTCAGGGCCAGTACCATGCCGCTCGACCAAGCCTTCACACTTTACATAACAGTACCATTTACTACATCCCGCAAAATAATCTAATTTCTCACATGCAACCGTCTATTGAAATATTTGTAGTTCGTTGATGAACCCCGAATGGAAGGGGTGGAATATGAGCAGGTTGGAGAAAGACGGGAGAACCCCTTGGTTGATTAGTAAGCAAAGCTCATGGACAGTTCCACATCATCAGGAACAGCAAGCAGGTCCTATGGCTATTCACCGATACTATATTTATTGTAGGTCTCCCAAGATTAAATGAGCCACACATTCATCGATTTGTGTGACGAACCTTGCTTGGACGGGTAATCCATCCGATCTCCTCGTGGTCCAGGAGTTCCAATGTTGGCGCTACGTTACTGTGGTACGACCGAGTTTCTCTTCACACTTGTTCCACCCATGCCAGACGTGTGCCAACGCGGGTAACAGAAGTGGACATGATTACGACGGCAGTGACTAACGTGACTAAAACCAGATAGTGAAATTATAGGTGTCGCATGTTCAACTGAGACGAACAGCTCAAGGGCAAGCAGATCCAGTGGAGCGTACCATTTTCGGTGGTACATGTGCATTGTTTCAATACCAGTTTACGATTAACTACTATTACCGAAAACTTAACCAATCTTGTTAAGCTGAACCATCATCAACGAATCGCATCATACTCGGACAAAATGCGAGACAAGCAGGTCAATTCGAACGGTGGAAGCAGGGAAAACACAGGCACATGAAGCGGAAAGGACTGACAGAGCACACACAGGCACACGGAGCGAAAAGGACAGTGTTTCTATATCTCATATGAATAGACCGGTGTGTACCCTTACACGAGCGATGACGCTACCCATCCTATCCAAGCTATGAACAAGAGTGCAAGGACCGGTCAGCTCAGCCGACATCCAACTGAAGAAGCAGACGCCGGCCTAGGAGCCTCTGTGTGAATTGGCGAAGTTGTTTTTGTCGAAAGGTATATACACGCCGACCGCAGAAGGGAACCCAGGAGTGGTAAGTGTGTGACCGGAGAACTCGAGTATCGGCGCTGTCGAAAAGAAGGAAGGCGAAGCGACACCGTCAAGCGTCCGGGCTGGAGAGGTAGCCGGCGAGACGTCTATTCCAACTCCATCTCAAGCTCGCGCTTGACCTTCTTGCAGGGCTGCCCACGGAACCAGCAGTCAGGGTCGGCTTCACGCTCGAAGATGTCAAGAGCCTCGCGTGCCTCAAGGTCGCGGCGGGCCTTGGAGCAAGGCTGGCCACGGTACCAGCAGTTGGCCTCAGCATCTGCTTCGCGCTCGGCGAGGTCCAGGTCGCGCTTGGCCTTGGAGCAGGGCTGGCCACGGAACCAGCAGTGGGCCTCACGCTCAGCGAGCTCGACTTCGCGTTTGGCCTTGGAGCAGGGCTGGCCACGGAACCAGCAGTGGGCCTCTGGGTTGGCCTTCGCATCACGCTCGGTGATCTCGAGCTCACGGCGGACCTTCGTGCAGGGCTGCCCACGGAACCAGCAGTCAGCGGCAGCGTCACGCTTGGCCTTGCAGGGCTGGCCGCGGAACCAGCAGTCGGGGTTGGCTTCACGCTCAACGATCTCAAGATCACGCTTGACCTTGGAGCATGGCTGACCACGGAACCAGCAGTTGGCCTCACGCTCGACGATTTCGATCTCGCGCTTGAGCTTGCGGCAGGGTTGCCCACGGAACCAGCAGTCTGGGTTGGCTTCGGCCTCTGGGGCGGCCTCTGGGGCGGCAGCACCGTAGGCGGTGGCCGCGAGAATAGTGGTCGCAACGATAGCGATGAACTTCATGGTGTTGGTAATGAGTGGTCGAAGTAGGAGTTGTCGACGGATGGGTTTCGAAATGATTGACGAGGTCGATGAGAGAGAAGTTGACGGTGGAAGGAGGGGGTATTTATGCTGGAGAGAGGAAACTGAGAATAAAGAAACTCCATGGCGGCCTGTGTAGGTTGCCAACACACGGCAGAGAAGCTCAATAGGATGAATACAGTATCCAAGGGGCACGGCGGTCCAGAACTCCTCGGGGACAAGGGGAAGCGTTTGCCACGAGGTATGTTGGACTCCATTGAGGTCCCTGAATAACCTGAATAAGGAGCAGTTATTGGTCCTCATCTGTACCGGAGGGACGCATGCCTAAAAGTATAACGCCTCAGTGACGGCAATTGATGGTGGTCGAGGCCGGGGAACGCTTTGGCTTCAGCGGTCCAAGACCACGAGGCCGCGAGGCTAATAAAGGACTGGGTATAATTACCACGGAGGCGTAGTTCACCGTTGTGCTGGGTGAAGGGATGTGTTGGATGTGAAGTCTGCCGATTTCCTAATTTGGGTCTGAATAGGACTTCTCGAGGGTTTTGGGCTTGGCACCCTTTGTAGACTGGTTCCGCCTCCTAACACCGGAAATCGGAGAGGGAGTTCCGATAGTAGCATTTAACGCTAGGGAAATACTCCGCAGTGTCAGTGTGGAGAGGGCTTCAGTGGCACCATGGGCTTTGTAGACTGTGAGTGAACGGGGCGAGCCGGGGTCTCCCGCATCTAACAGACCTCAACGGTGTGGATATGCATCAAAATGTGTGACGGTAGTGATTGGCGAAGGAAAACAAGGCCCTCGATACTCTAGACCTTCGTTAAGGAGAGATCAGTCTCTCCATCAAGCATATTTTTGTTGTGACAATCGTACTGCAAATGAGTCTTGGGGGTGGGTTTGACATCAGAGACATCGTGGTCTTAGTGCATCCGATGCATCCCGACAGAGAACAATTACTCCAATTCTCAAAGCTTCCCGGCGGTGATGATACGGATCGTTTCGCTTAAGTCCAAGCGGCTGGAGGATCGTCTCATGTGATGGGCCGACGTAGGTCCGCAGCTTGGGAAGCAATCGCTCCGGCGGTATGCATGCTTTTTGGAGAGAGCAGATTCGCTTTTGTAACAGCAATTGCCGGCGAGGAACGATTATGAATCCATATGGCTGTCGCTGTGATGGTTTTTGGCGGATGGAGAATGAAATTCGGAGACGCATGACTAATCCATGACGCGCTGTCACGTGTGCGGCTGCCAATTCCAAGCTCCGACCTCCGACTCCCGAACTTTCGGAAAGCTCGCAAAGGAGGTTTCGCGATGCAACTTTAGAGAATGCGCGCAAGAGTCTTCACTTGGACTGCCTCTGCAGCCCGAAGACCTGCGCACAGCTCGTTACTCCAACACCCATGGGTGTGCAGGATATGCAAGGCTAATGGAAGATGGTTTTCTTCCCAAACCGCTCCCGAGGTTCCGTCCGCGAAACCCTTCTATATCACCACTCCGATATTTTACGTCAATGCCGGTGAGTTCCTCCGTGAGGACTGTAGATCCAATCTATAACACTCTCAAGCCCCCCATGTCGGCCATCTGTACACAATGGTGCTCGCCGATGTCATCAAGCGGTGGCACCAATTGAAGGGAGAGAAAGCTATACTTTCCACGGGAACCGATGAACACGGGTTGAAGGTACACATACCCCCTGTGACGTGGACTACGGCCTAACTTTATGCCAGGTCCAGAAAGCTGCCGAAACAGCTGGCATACATGCAAAAGTCTTCTGCGACGAGGGTGCGGCCATATTTCAGGTGGGAAACGAACCTATTTGGCTTATGCTCTCTGCTGACATGGTGCAGGAACTTGCGGAGAAGGCGTATATTTCGAACGATCATTTCGTCAGGACGACCGACCAAGACCACAAGGACGCCGTGCAATATGCTTGGGTAGGGAATTCAAGACGGCCAGCCTTACTGTTGAGAAGCGGAGACTGATGGGTGGCAGTTCCTACTCCAAGAGAAGGGCTACATATACATGCGCAAGCATGAAGGCTGGTACTCTGTCCGGGACGAAGCTTTCTATCCAGAGTCTGGGGTACGGCTCTATCTAGAACCCTCGACAGGCAAGAAGATTATGGTGTGTTGGCCGTTTGACTTTGAGGCGAGCATGACTGACAACTTTGAAGAGTTCGATTGAAACAGGAAGCCCTGTCGAATGGAGCTCTGAGACTAACTATCATTTCCGCCTTTCAGCGTTTCGCGAACCTCTACTCGAGTTTTACAAGAACAATCCGGAATGGATCAAGCCAGAAAGCCGGATGCGAGAGGTAGTCCAAGAGGTTGAATCTGGCCTCGCAGACCTCTCTATATCCCGACCGTCAGAACGCCTCAACTGGGGCATCCGAGTTCCGGATGACGATTCCCAGACCATCTATGTCTGGCTGGATGCGCTTTTGAACTACGCTGTGAAGGCTGGATATCCTTGGCCACCAGGTAGCGAGCTTGCGGGAGGTTGGCCTGCAGACTGCCATGTCATTGGTAAGGACATTGTTCGGTTCCATTGCATCTACTGGCCTGCTTTCTTAATGGCTCTCGGGCTTCCACTTCCAAAGAACATCCTCACACATGCGCATTGGACACTAGGCCGCGCGAAGATGTCAAAGTCGACTGGCACGGTAGTTGATCCGTTTCTGGCACTCGAGCGATTTAGCGCAGACGTCATGCGATTCTACCTCACACATGAAGGCGGTCTTCAGGATGATGCGGACTACGACAACACCAGGATCATTCTCATGCATAAGAAGTTTCTGAACGGTTCCCTCGGTAACATGACTTCTCGTTTGGTCCGTAATAAGCGTTGGAGCGTACGAGGAGCCGTTGAGAGGATAGGACCGCTTCCAATTGAGGAATGGGAAGCTGGACCAGGGTCCAGGTTTTACCATAATACATTGGTTGCAAGGACAGCCAAGATCATGGAGTTGATGGATGCGTATGACCCAAGACAGGCGGCACAGCAAATTGCAGAACTTGTCCGAAGCGTAAGTTCTGATATCCGCCTAGTGTGTCTGGCTATTGACCAAACTAGGCAAATTCGTTCTTCCAAATGTCGAGTCCCTGGGAGAAAATGACGCCCTTCGGCCCCGGTGAACCAGGTGAGGAGGTCGACAGGATCGTGTTCCTGGGGGCAGAGGCCATGCGAATAAGTGGCATCCTACTACAGCCGTATATGCCCACGAAAGCAAAGATGCTGCTGGATCAGTTAGGTGTTCACGAGTCGCGGAGAACGATTGAGTACTGCGGACCTAACCTTGATTTGGATTACGGAGTGCCGATGATCGACGTTGGAAAAGGTCATGTAGGGGCACTCTTCCCTCCACTAGCAAGCCATGAGTAGGCGACATGTATTGAGTACTGTATATGATTGTAATATAGCTGGCATAGAGGAGCTTTTATGCTGATGTGGTTGGGACTGCGAGTACACTGATATCCAGCCATGTTGAGAGCCGGAGCGCAACCATGAGAGCCACTCAATTATTCCAGGATGTGCCTATCAATGCAATGTAAACGTATTGGTTGGTCCATTCCCTTCATATGAAATCTGGAGTAAGTATAAATGCGGTGATCACGTGCACCATTAACGTCCGTCAACGGGTAAGTGGAGGCTAACCTTGCCTAATTTCATCGCCTTTACGAGCCTCTCAACCTGAGAAACGACCTGCGTCTGCATATGCATCTGGCGTGTCACGGTTACCGTACTGACGAACGAAATCTTGTCCTTCATTCAGATCATTGATCCGCACTGATGCATCCCCACAGCCGCCATGGCACTCAATTTTGAAAAGTTGTCGAAACTGCAGCGCGACCACTCCAAGCCGAAATTTGCACAGCAAGAGATAGCGAGGCAACTTAAGAAAAGACCCAATGACCCGTATCTTTTGGTAAAGATGGACAAAGCTAATCTCTTCCCCAAACTGATTTTTTTTGTAGGCCTGGCAAGCCGATAATGCACTCCGTTTAGGAACGAAAGAGCTGGCTGTTGATACGCTCAATCAGCTACTAGAGCGGAAGCCCCCAATAACTGACATAGATCTCCTGTGTTACTTGTATAAACTGTCAATCAAAGAGCAAAAGTACTTTGGGAAAACGACGCAGCCGCCGGCCTCGGCGGGTCAGAGAGTGCTCGCAGTATGGGAGAACGTAGCCAAGAGTATCCCCAGGAGCAACGTGCGAGCGGATTTCTGGTCGGAGCTATGCGTCATTGCAGCGAACAAGGATTGTTGGGACGACGTGCGGCTGGTATGTTTGCGTTTTCTGCACACAGTGAAAACATACTAATGATAGTAGGCTTTGGCCAACTGCCAGAAAGAAGGTTTCCAAAAGTCCAAAAATGTTACATTTTCGCTCATCCTTGCCAGCCAGCTATCCTACGAATTGCAGAAAAGAATAGCGGATGAGCTGCAGCAGCCTTTCACCGCTCAAGTCAACCTTATGAGAGATCTCGCGCTCGCAAGGGTGAAGCTGGCATTCACGAACGCAACTAAAGGCGACGTATGAAACCCCTGAATCGTGATAGTATCATCACTAAATTGATTACAGCAAACGCCGGTCCGGGTACAGAACCTCAAGGATCTTCGATTCATGGCTGGCATCTACGAACGTCAATCTAAGCTGAGCGAGCTTTTTGAGCTGTGGGACAAGGCCACCGGTCCGGCAAAGGAGCTGTTGGATAACAACTCCCACGATGTGTTACTTCTCAAAGTGGAGCTTCTCCAGCGACAACAGCAATGGTCGTCTCTCCTTCAACTCTGTACCAATGCAGTTCATCGTGCCCTGGAAGAGGCGGATATACTTCAAACTCAGGATTCTCTGAAATTCTTGACTGAGAACGCTATCAAAGTCATAGTCATCATGGCCGAGATTATGCGCAGATCCGATCAAGGTCATGATACAGAGTATGTTTTGAACGATCTAATCGCGTTTATGACTCTCCTGCTCATAGAAATAAAGGGAATACAAACGAGCAACAGACGTCGCTCAACAGCTGGCCGACAAAGCAAAGAACCTTCCAGGTAGATCAGCCAGGCTCACTTGTCTGATTCTTGCGACGGTCTTGGACAGGAAGTCCTTGCTTCCTATGTGCCAATCGTACTGGCAGGAGTACAATCACCTAGACGCCTGCTACAACGACCTGCTCCTGTACCTCCGAGAGGTTGATGAAGAGGAACGAAAAGAGTTTCTTGATCATATATCATCAGTTTCGTCGGAGGCGGAAGCTCTTAGCATTGCGGATGATGACAAAGTACAGACAACAATTTTCAGTCATAGAACCTTGTTCGCTGATCAATTACAGGAAGCAAAAAAGGCTTTTCAGCGCAGGGCCAACGTTCTGCGCTTCCAGTATCTCCTCACCGTATGGTCGACTCAGACGACGGACGCTGATGTCGTCGAGGCCTTCGTCGCCAGCGCCTTGAAGACCTGCAAGGCCGCCCGTGGAATCAATAATGAAGTGTACTATGAAGCCGGCTTCCTTGCTGTTCAAGCACTGTCCGGCTACGCCCAAAGGGTGGTCTCTGGACATCACGGCTTGCAGAAATCCTCCTTAGCGAGCAGGATGCAATACCAAGCTGCGGTGCTCGCCCAGCGCTTGACGTCCGGCAAGCAAGGTAAAGAGCAAAGGAAACTCCTCCTCTACTCTGTCCAGCTTCACGTCATGCTCGGCCTGGCGACAATCGCATTCGAGCTCTACCCTCATGTCCGAGTCAAGGAAATGCTAACCGACACACTATCGCACTCTCTTCTGACGCGCATTTCCCATATTCTCCCATTCGAATCCACAGGTGGAGGAACCAAGGCGTCTGCAGATAACGAACTAGCCCACGTGATCGGCAAGATTAATAAGATGGAGAAGACGCTGAGCGATCTCATCTGCAAGGACAAACTCGAGGACTTTTTGTACGACTCCGCCCTTGGCATGTTGGAGACGAGGCAGTCGCTCCTGTCTAGCATGACGAAGCATTTGTGCATTATGGAAAGACGGCGGATTGCAAGGTTGAAAGGCGAGACTATTGATGAGTCGTTGGAGCTGGATCTGAGCAGTAAGTCCGACTATACAAACATAAGGAGTATCACAACTAAGACAAAAAGACTTCGTCGACATCTCGGACAAGCGCGACTTCTCCATCCTCCCCAACCCTTCGCTATCCCCTTTCCAGGACTCTCCAGCAAACGCAATCCCAGAAGGGTGTCCCACGCTACGCACACTGCACCACTACTACACCCAAGAAATCACAACCCACCTCCTCTTCAAAGAAAAGCCCCACCCCACAACCCCCAAACGCCTCGCCCTCATCTCCACCGCCCTCTCCCACTCCCCCACCACACACGACGGACGCCTTCCCTGCGAATGCCTCCTAGACGCAACCTGGACCGCCCTCAGCAACTGCACCGCCCACCTCCTCCTCCATGAGAATCCATCCGCCATTCCCGAATCCCTAACCACCCTCCTGACCCACCTCACCTCCACACACACCACCTTCCAGACCCTCGGCGCCGTCACCGCTCCCTCAACCGCATCCCCGTCCTCCTGGCCAGACAGCATAACCCTGACGTACTGGTACTCGCTCCTCTCCTTGCTGCAACATACGCACCGCCTCTCATTTGCGTTAGAGGAATCCTTCAAGAAACCCGTCAAGGCGTCGCCGAAATCAGTCTCGAGCGCCACCAAGACGGAAGTTCTTGCCAATGCGAAGAAGCTGAGGCAGGTGGGGGAGCAGTGCTATGGGGATGTTATGCGGTATGTTGATGCTTGGAAGGAGTATTTGGGTAGAGAGGGGGTGAAGGTGGTGAGGAGGTGGGTGGGGGAGGGGGAAGTGGGGAGGGCGTTGGGAGAGGTGTTGGGGGGTGAGGGGGCTGGTGGGGAGTATTATGCACTGTCGTGTGTGCGGAGTTTAGAGGAGGTGTTGAAGGGGGTGGGGAGGGTGAAGTTGGTGCGGTAGATGGATGGGAGGAAGGAAGGAAGTGAGAGCATGGAGGATTCTGTATGAGGATAGGATAGGTGAGGATTGTGCATGATGTCGAGAGAGAAGAAAAGTATAGAGATAGGAATGAGTTGCGCAAACACCATCACATATCAATCGAGTCCGCAGTGATGAAAGGAATATGGGTATAATTGTACAGAGTAGTACCAGTAGGAGTGGAGTAAGCCATGCTCTCATCAGGCCAGTGGTCCCAGCAACCGTTGCCAGACCATGTTACCCTTCCCTCCTAAGAAAGCATACCGAATTAATCACTAAACAAACAGTTGCTTTTGTCGTTGTTGAGGATGGAAAACCCAAACACCAGTCCCCGGCACCAGCGCCCCAGCCGGAGAACCCCATCGCCATTCCCGAGCCCTGAGGATATCGTATGAAGCCAATTCGCAGGAAAGAAAAGGAAAAGAAAAGAGGAGAAAAGGAGGAGGGGATGCCCCCAAACCAGAAACATTGTCTTCATCGGCCGCCGAAGCCCTACTTCTTCAACCGATTCAACAATTCCTTCCCCTTGCCCACCAACCCCCTCTCCTCGCTCTTCCTCTCCTCCCCACCACTCCCACTGCCCCTCCTCGCTCGTCCCTCTTCCTCCTTCTTCCCACCGACCTGCGGAACCGGTTGCGGCTCCGGACTCGTCGTCGCTACATTCGCCGCGCCGCCTCGACCAAAGTGGTGGGGGCCCTCCGGCTCGCGGTGGGGAGGGGCCTCGACGTCCTGGCTCGCGCGCGCAATCTCCGGGTGTGCGGGGTCGTTGCGGGCCATGTTGCCCGTGCCGCCGCGGCCGGTGGTGTAGAGGTCGGATTTCAGGGTGGGGGTGATGAGGTCGTTGGCCGAGGGGCGGGAGGAAGGGTTGTCGGTGCTGATGTTTCCTGCGGGAGGGTGTTAGTACTTATGACAGGGAGTGCGGTTTGAAGGGGAGGCACTTCTGCGTAGGGCGGCGCTGGAGAAGCGCGGAGAGGGGATTCGAGGGGGACGGAGGGGTATAAAAGCGTACCGGCACCGCCGCGGCCGTAGGAGGCGACGCGGTGGATCTCGTTCGAGGGGCGGGTAGCCATTGTAGTTTAGACTTTTTCGAGTGTAGATTTGTGGACGCAGAAGAGGGAGCCCTGGAGGGCAAAAGGCGCGCACGGAGGAGAAAAGGCAAGATTCTGCGTCTGGTCGCACAAAGCCGAGGAGAACGAGAGGCAGAATGAACGACTCCGGACTTCAACCGCAGATATACTGTCTCGCTGTTGGAGAGAGGAGCCGACCAACCGGGTGCAGATGTGTGTCGACGTAGAGTGAAAGGCGTTTGTCGCAGAGAGGGGGTATCCGCAAGTTCGGTAGTGTCGTAGGTAGTGCTTGCTTCAGGCTCCGAATATAAACAACAAAGGCGGAAAACGAACGGACTCCTTGAAATGACGTGCGAAGACACTTGCAGCGCTTTTATATGTAAAAATTCCTCGCCTCGCCTTCACCGACTCGCAATACAGTGCGCCCGTCGTGACGGCGTCGTTGGTTGGGGCGGGGCCGTCCATAGTTTTCTGAGCTCCAGCGTGACCCGCCATAGATCCATCGCGCCATCCCGCTTGCACTTCGGCATCGCAGGAGTTTGTTTGCGGAGGAACGACCGGCCCAGTCACTAGTAGCCTTCGAAAGGTGCTTTTGCCCAGGTGGTTCCGAGTCGATTTCTCTTAGCTAATGCGTCATCATCCAGATCCAAGGATGGTGAGGGGTGCATGCTTTCTGCGGAGACACGTGCTCTTGTTGGCGGTGGTCAACGGGCGCATCGGGCGAAATGTCACCATTGCGAATCATGGCTCGGCAGCGATTCATTCAAGAAGGAAAAATGTTTTGGATTATTGAAAGCATCAACTGGGGAGTCTTAAGCTCTTATTATACACAAGATACGTGGGCAATGATTTGCTTTTTGCACACAACGGACGCGGGGGGACAGAGTGCAAATAGGGAAACGTAATTGGTCAAGATGATGACAAAGCCGGAGCACGGATCTCATCTATGCACGCTTCCCCTCATGAGCGTGGGGTCAAACGGTTTGTTTTCCCATCCAAGACTTCATTATTGTCCATCAACAGCCTGGCGACCTCGATGCCTAATCCATCTCCACTGTTATACAAAATACAAGGAGAACCGTCTACAACCCAATAACCCACCCGATACTCCCATATTCCCCAGACCGTCAGTCCTCCGGCCGGAACAACCGTCGCCAAAGCATATCCAAGGAAAAACCGAGAACAGAATATCCGACCCTCTAGAGGCAACTCCCCAACGATGCACACCGAGACCATAAGACCCAATATACCCGACCCATATTCCGTACAATGCCCAGATATCCATTCCATCAGCCGTCGAAACCGAAATCCATACTGAAATCCATACGTGTCCCTCGTCTATCCCAACGCCATGCTCGCGAAACCGTGAAACCCAGAGATGCCCAAGTTAAAGCCAAATTGACAACCAATGATACAGTCTGACAAGGAGAGCGTGAAGGATCCGAGTAGGCACTCAAGGAAAACCCCGAAATTTCCCTCAAGACACCTCGACCGTCCGGCGTGCCGTCGAAATGATGATGATTGGAAAGGCGCCGTCGATCTATCCACAATGTGCTGCAGTGGATAATACTGCTTGCAGGTATCAGCATTCCAGCTCAGAAAGAAAACTTCAAAAAGCAACGTACTTGGAGAAATTGGAAGCAATTAGCCACCATCTCTCGGCTGAGGGTCCCTGCCAGCCATGGACAGCAACATGCCCGAGGTCGATACCGTTCTCAACGATGTCCTCTGGTGTGGTGCACCACCGTCTCTTGGATCTCTTGCTCGAGGGGTCGTGTATGCCGACGTTCTGGACGATGCGACGAAGAGTCTCATTCTAGGAACAAGAAGGTTATGTGCGAAGTCGAAGTGGTGTTGTCTGAGGTTTCAAGTAGCTGTGGCTGAGACTGTTTTGCTTCCAATTGCTGAGGTTGATGTGTGTTGTTGAATGGTTCATTCCGAGGGAGAGGTATCAGGGACGTTTAAGTAAGTAGACTACCACAGGCAAAAGCAGGCGCCACGATTGAACAGCCCCAACAGGCAACATGCCCAGCTTCAAACGGGCAGGCATCTCTCGCCTTCTTTCAGGCTATGATGCCATGAAAGGTGGGAACTCGAGACTGGTGTCAGTACAGACCTTCGCCAAGGAGGACGCTACGGCTGCGCCACAGCACAGTGAGGCGGTTGATTATTGGCCCAAGGTCCCAGAACAGACGGCAGACGTTCTTGTGGCCTTCTCGAAGAGAATACTGTTGGCCGTGTCAGGCAGCCAAAAGCTGGTGACTCGAACAGTATCCTGGCCCGAGCGGCCTTGCGAGAAGCCCACAGGACGGCCCAAAGTGGCTTATCCGTGGGCCGCTGCAAGGGCCAGCGGACATGGAATTACGAAGACCCGCACCTGAGGGCGGCTTCGGTGACCACATTGTCTTCGTGAAAGGATAAAGGGTAAGGGCTTCGTGATTGTCGTTCGGTGCCTGCTAACTAGTGAGGGCCCTCTGCGTGGCTGTGCAATTAGGTATGGCTGCACCCCGGGCGGACCTCAAGGCGCTTTCGACGACCTGCCGGTGTGGAGTTGGAGAGCGACGCTTGATAAAATGAGGCCAGCCGGTAGCACATGGGACTAAACCGTGACTCCTTCTTCCTTCACCGGGGAAACTGCGCCCGCTCCCGACTTCATCGGAGGAGGCTGATTGATGTTGGGAGGTCAACATGTCGTCCTCCAACGTCCTACCGCTGCGCCTCACTTGCCAGAGGCCTAGAGGTTGTCTTGCAAGTGATTGGCCCGTAGCCGACAGTGGCTAGTGCTCAACTCTTCAAACACGAAAACACGACTTCACACCAGCCGCAAACCATGGGCCAATGGGAGACGCCCGAGCCACATCCAGTTACCGAAAAGGGAAATCCAAGTTCGTCGACCCAGCTGAGAAGGAACCGAACTTCGGGCCAGCGCCGTATCGAAGGTGGTTGTCATTGACGGAATCACAGCTGGCCATGGGACTGGTAGAACGGACTCCGAGACCAATTTACAACCGATCAGAAAAAAACCGGGAATTCGAGAATCCATGCCGCTCGCGTGTCCATAAAGCAGTGGTGCTGTGCCAGACCTATTTTCACTGTATATCAAGCGTCAGCATCCTTCCATCAAGATGAGACCAAACACTCACTTCTATTCCGTCTCTAGGCTGAGCATCCGGATGCGGTTGTTTTGGCTTCATGGCTTCAGCTCCCAGGATTGGCTGGGAGGCGGATATGTACTGGGGCCTGGTGGCGGTGGGTGTGCACACACTTTGCGACCTTCACAGGTCACCGTTCTCGATGAAGAGGTCGCAACAGCAAGATTCGACCAAGGTATTGACTTGAGCGGCAGGTTTTTGTACTTGAATACCCGTTCCCAGACCTGGATCGTGTCTGGTTTTTATACATGGCTATGGCCTCCAGAGCTTAGGTCCGAGGATGTCCACCATGTCTGCTGGAGCCGCACCAAGGCAAGAGGCGACTGGACATGGACTACGTACCAGAGGCGTGCACTGAGCAGCAAGTGAAGCTGCTCTTGGAAGACCATTCACGGTGAGTCAAACGGGAAAGCCCACCAGAGGACGACACGGCCATTGTTGTTCAGTCAACACCAATGAGGAGGTGCTGCGTGGGCGCTTCATTCTGTTGTTTCACCGATGGCGTCGTCGTAGGCGCACATCTGTGCAGTAGGCTAGCGATGAGGGAGCGAGCGTACTGTGTCGGTTGGACTCTCGCTTCACTTCTGATTGGCGGGGGTTTGAGTTGAACCTGACAGCGACGACAAACAGCGCAATGAGCACCACGTCTGGCCTTGTACTACAGGGCCGCGGTGCGTGGGGTGGGATAGTCGGCTGTTGGCGGGCATCAGAGCGCGTTAAAGGGATGAGACAAGCGGGCCCAGTGCGAAGCAGCCACGCCGGCGCATTGATGTGTCGGTCGGGCCCAATGATGCGGCACAGCGGCGTCGGTGAGAACCGTCTATGGGGACTGACGCAGGTACAATTCGCGGAACCATGGAGCGACGCGCTCGGTGTAGGGTGCGGAGCACATTGCATGGGTCTTGGCCGCAACCTGAGTTGCTGGTAGACCGACCATCCATGACGGTGCGTAGAGACAGGAGGTCGTTATCTTTGCGTCCTTCTCGGTGGCACGCATGGGCACGCCTCGACGCCTTCAACTAATCTCTTGACTGTGACGGAATTTTCAGGCAAGGCAAGGCAGGAGGAGAGAGTCTCTGGAAATGCCTGGCGAAAGCCTCACCCGGATCAACTGATTGCGCAGCACTGCCCTGGATACTCGGCAGCACCAGACCTAGGTAGGTTTGCCTTTTGCGTGATTTCTTTTGCTCCCGAGGAACGAAGAAGATGGATTTTGCCTCCTCGATAACGCATCTTACTGATATCACTGCTGCGGGAAGGGGGCTGCGCATCGTAGTGCTGGCTGGCCTCGATCTGGATACCCCGGCGTGAGCAGTGGTTGTCATACGGAACGCAACTCGACGCTGAAGCAATCAATAACACCAGCTCTGCCTTCTGCACGTACAGTAGGGCGGCGTGGGGTCTGTCGGTGCCGGATAATGTGAAATCGCAGACATGGAATGCCCACCTTTGGGCCTTTGCTGGAGTCGCGACTGTGCGTTGTGTAGCGTCGTTCATCATGGGGCCGTGAGTCGAAGGTGTGGCTGAGTATTCAAGGGCCGAATTAAGGGCCGGAAGTGCCTGTAAGGGAATGTTAGTAGCCAAGGTTCAGCAAGACGGACTTGGGCGTTTTCCAGGCAGAGGGAAGGAACGTGTTGATGCCGTAGCGTTGGAACAACCTTATAGGTAATGACGATGCCTCTTGACCTGTTTTCGTTTCCCCTGCTCTTTCCGCAGGATCCATTGCTTTGAATGAGTACCAATGATGATAATGGTGGTATCCACGTATGCATCACACTCCATTACGTCGAAGTCGCGGTTGAGAGGGACATATGAAGTGGCAGATGGAGAGAATGAATGGTCGCACAGCGATTGGTTACATCACCGCACCGCTAATCGGTACATACTTATACGGAGTACCTCCACAGCTCTCAGTAGTTTTAGGACATCCCTTCGAATTCTCCATTGCAGCAACCAGATACGACATGTCTTCAATGTTCACCCTTCAACGCGGCGGCCAGCGGACACAGGTCTTCATACCTGGCGTTATCCTCCTAGCTGCATTCCCTGCCGCCGCATACCAACTCATTAAATCATACCCGTTAGCCATCCTCTACATGCTACTCCTCGGCAACATACCACTCAAAATCACCCGACCGTTACTCAACAGCCCAGAGAGCAGGCCTTCCGACACCTACCTCGCGCTTTCGCTGGCAGCCTGTACTGCTCTCGGACTCGTTCTCGATAACTACCCGCAAGCCCTGAGAACCACAGCTGAGCGCTGCTTCGGCCACTTCATCATATCCCACTGTGTCTTGTGGCGGTTTGAATCGGATCGCCTCTTGAGCTTTAGACGAGAGGAAGAAGAGCGAGAAGAGGCTCAGTCGAGAGAATCTCTGGAGAAAGGGAGTGTGCAGCAAGAATGAAAGGCTCACTCGAGGCGGGAACCAGAGAGAGAAACTAGCCATGCTCGAGCTCCTAGCCGATGCTCCTGCCCACCCTGGGCAGGATAGGATAGGACCAACCATTTCGGTCGTTTGAAAATACGGTGAACTGCTACTTCGAATGCAATCATCGTCTCGAACTTGGATGAGGAAGCAATTCTAACGATAGAGCTGGCGAGGAGAAGGGAAGTCCAGGCGAACAGAGGCGACATCGCACGACCTATAATCCTGTTATCCTTGATTGTAGCAATGTACACAGTAGGACATAAGAATGAATCCTAGGATTTTCCTACTGCATGTAACTACCCCGGATTTTCGTTCCGCTCGCTAAACCCCGCTATCTCCATTGGAGACTGCAGGAGAAGGGCAAGGGTCGGGTGGGGCGCCATGAAGCTGCACAACCACGTCTGCGCACCTATCAATTCACGGGTTGGCGCCCAACGATGCATGTGTAGAGTTCCATCCGGGCATGCCATACAGAAACCGTCCGTCCTCAAGAGCTTCCTCAAGTCATGCTTCAGCTGGCGGCGCGGGAAGTTCCTCATCCCCAATCTTGGGCGGCGTCCAATCCCATCCGCCGATCAGCCTCAGCTACGGAAACGGAATGGGCCATCACGGCTCTATTTGATACCTCCCACACCCCCCCTTCTCCGAGGCAGGACCTGATCCTTTTCGTTCCTCCACCATCCTTTGCACACTCACACTCACTCCGCCATATCCAACCTTCACTCGTAGCTCGCAATACTGCTGCAATCCTTCACCATGCGCGCCGCCGCCGTCACCCTCCTAGCTACTTTCAGCTTCCTCGCATCCGCGCAACTTCTGGATCAATTGCCCAAGTGCGCCCAGGATTGCTACGGCCGCAACACCGGCAACTGCGGAGCCCTTGACATCAAATGCATCTGCGGAAACAGCACTCTCATCGAGGGTCTCTCGTGCTGCGTCGCCTCGACCTGCAACAGCCAAGATCAAAACAGTACGTCTCCAACCCTCTCGACTCTCTCATAAATCGTCCAAGCTCGCTGACATGCACCAATGCAGCAACCATCATGTTCGCCAAAAACCTCTGCGAAGCTAATGGTGTCACCGTTCCCACCTCTGCCAGCTGCGCAGCCTCCAGCCCGACTTCTACGGGTGGCTCCGCTACTCAATCGGGTCAATCGTCTGGAACGCCCACCCAGCAAGCTACCTCTTCCCCTTCCTCCACGGGCGCTGCTGCAATCCACACTGGAATCGGCATTGGTTTGGGTCTAGGAATGGCCGGTCTCTTCGCCGCGTTGTAGGTCGAATGATGCCATATACCGTCTGACATGAGGGTATTCATGATGGGAAAGCCTGCTACAGTAGCGGATGCACCTTGGGGAGGATGCTGAGCAAGGGAACGGTGATAATATAATAATACTCGGAATACCAGCTTGATCATGCACCCAGATCTCTGCTGGGGTATGTTTGGTTTCTTACGCTTCATTACTGTGATGCAATAGATGAGTACCGATGCGCATGTGTGACACGGGTACTTACCCTAACAAAGTACACACACCGTATTGTACCACGGCCCTATCCAAATATGCTCACTACACGAGCCTCCAACCTAGACAAGGTTAAGAGCATAGGCTCGCGAATGCGTTCTAGCCTATTTGATTTGGTATCACTCTTTCGGGGCTGCTGTGTCAGCACCGGTGCGCGCTTCATCGATTGGAAACGACTGCTTGTGGAAGCGCAGGCCCAACCACCGACCATCCCCATCCCCGCAAAGCATAGATCTGGGCACGCACTTAGACCACGCGACGCTTATTACCCACTTCCAACAAAATATGGAGAATCTCCCTACATGATAGTAACCACCACCGGCCCTCCTACAAGGCCAGCATGGCCACCAAATCCAATTTCAAGCGGGCGGTGCCTGCGGGGCGGTCACCGAATCCCCTCGCAGCTCTCCGCAACACGCAGCTTGTAGATTCCAAGGCCGTTCTTCCTGCAGGTTGGTCTCCCACATTCAATCATTGAAGCTGTAACTGACTCTGCGCCCAGAACTCATCGACACGATCCTCGATTACCTGCCCGTGCCGGACATGCTCAGATTCGCCCGTACCTCGAAGCGCATGCGGGAGATGGTGTACGATGACACGCGATGGATACGGAGACTGAAGAGCATGGGATGCTGGAGTGATGTGGAAGCTCGGCAGAGGTTCGAAGAGGGTATGAGAAGGAAATTGGAGGCTCAGCGTGCGCGGGAGGCGGAAGAGGCTCGGAGGACCGGCCTGGGTGTAAATGGAGGTGTTAATGGGGCAGCTGGTGAAGCGGACCCGGCGCGAAAGGTTAGCATCACTCTCTTCGATGCCGGACAGGAGGAGGAGATATTACAAAGCTCTCAGGAGAGGCCTCCGGGACGGCATAGAGCTTCGACTCTCGAAAAAGGTTTCGATGAGATGACACTCTCGTCCGCGAGTACGGCACCAGGACCTCCGATTGCTCACATACGGGATCCCAATGTCGCTCTCACCGTTCTATCACGCGTACGGTCTATTCGAGGAATGGCACGACAGGAGTATGGCAAAGTATATGGTGCCCTAGCGCCCTACTATTTTGATCTGGCGAAGTCGCAGAGCCATACCGATCCCATCTTGTTCCGGACCTATCGAGACCCAGATCAACAGGCCCAGATGCTGGCACAGTTGAAGATATTTGCGAAGAGCGACTTCTCAGAAGGCTGGAACTTCCGCGAGGAAAAGCTCAACACGATGATTGGGATTTTCGAAAACGCGGTACTGCACGAGTTTGAGCAGGGACTTCAACAGAAGGACTATGACGGGCGGGTGAAGAGGTACGCCTACGTGCTCGTCACATTAAATGGGGGCTCGGCCGGCATAGACACCTATATACACAATCATCCTGTGATGACAGAGAAGGAGCAGCTCGGCAATCCAACAGACTGTTTGCGGCATGCGACACCGGGTCACATATCATTGGCGCCGTCTCAAGAGTTCTTTCGACGTCTGGCCACAACATTGCAGGAGGAAGCGGCTATCATCGACAGAGTGTTCCCCCCGTCGGTTGACGTACTCTCGCCATTTCTCGACCGAGTCGCCGAAGACATAATATCTGAATACCTGACTTCGCTGCTTGATGCCGCACACGATGCCAGTATCGAAACATACTTGAAGGCAGTGGCGGGTCTCTTTGACCAAAGTGTACAGCTGGCATTGTCCCTGAAACCCACAAAGGGCTCGAAGGGTGACTTCCAGGAGCAGACGATGCGGATCATCGCTCAGTGTTTCGAGCCGCACATTGACCTCTATCTGCAGGAAGAGCTGGAATTCTTCAAGAGCAAGGCGGAAGCTCAAGTGGACACGTGGGAGAAGCGTCTGACGGAGGAGGAGGAATCTACGGAAACCTACTTCATGTCGAACATTAGCAGGCAAGCAGCGAAGCGGGACTTTCTGACCTCTTTCAAGAAGGTCGTCATGATGCCTGTCAATGTACTACCTACCATTGGGGGTTCCAACGCAACCAAGTCATCCCAACCAGTGCCTGCGTCAAACGGCGAAGCACTCGATGTTCCGTCAAGAGCAAGCACGCCCCTTCCCGACGGCATGGCATCACCCAGACCTCTTGAAGCACCAACCACCGAGCTAGCTGCCAAAGCCGCCATTATGAATTCTCGCCTGGAGGGCATACGCTCCCTGTTCAGCATCGAAGTGGCCCTGGACCTCATCCATCAAGCGAAAGCCAGCTTGGAGCGAGCTGCACGGTTTGTCCGGTTAGGAGGGCAGTCCGGGGAGGAGGCACGGGAGCAGTGTGAAAACATCTTCATCCTGCTGCTGCAGATTCTCGGAAACCGACACATCAAGCCTGGCTTCGACAGAGCCGTCAGCCACTTATCGGCGTATAAACCCAGGGAAGTCGCCAATCATAACACGCAAGGAGTGGCGCCTCTAGTCGCCTTCCTCGAACTCGTAAACGTCGGAGATCTGATTCAACAGATGGTGGATGTCTTTTACGTGCAGGAACTTGTCCAACCGCACCTCACTGACCGAGACGATTTTCTGAGCCCTGCATGCAAGGAGAAGAAAAGATTTGAACAAATGCTTGACGAGCGGGTAGCTGCAGGTCTAAACAAGGGCATCGACGTGCTCATGGACGAGGTGGAGTTCATCTGCGGGACGACGCAGCAACCAACTGACTACAATCCTGCGCCAGGGGTTGTCGACATTGGCCCGAGCCAGACGGCGAAGAAGATTGTAGAGATGGTTTCGTCGCATACCAGCATGCTGGTGGGTAGTACAGACAAGAACGTGCTGGATGTGTTTAACCAGGAGGTGGGGCTGCGCCTCTTCACTGCTCTGTGCAAACATCTGAAACGCCAGAGGATCAGTGTGGATGGCGCCGTCATGCTCATCAGGTACCGTGCTTCCCGTCTTTCTCAACGATCTCTTAACTAACGGATAACAGTGATATGAACGCATACAACGCTTATGTACAGACCCTGCGCAACAAGTCACTGAGCCAGTATTTCGCAGCCTTGCGCGAGCTTTCGCAGATCTATCTGATTGCTCCGGACCATGCCAAGGAGATAGCAACTATCATCGCAGACTCTGGTCGCTACCACGGCATCTTCAGGGCCGAGGAGGTCTACGAGTATGCGGAGCGTCGAGCCGACTGGTACCAGATTAGGGGAGCAGTCGAGAAGCAGATGTACGGTGTTGGCTGCGCAGTGATGTGATATACATGAAAGGGCTGATATGGGGAAAACCTCATGTCATCGGGCAAGTTGTTTAGGCTCGCGCCTGTGTATTGAGAAATACAGAGCACGTTGATGCTCATTGTTTGGGTGTAGTGGGAATAATTGTATATATCAAAACTACTGTACTGTGTACTAGTACCTAGGTACACAGCACTAAGCGCCACACAGCCCTGCATGCATGCAAGCTGTTTGGCTGGTGCGGCTGTGGTCTGGGCTTCCCCAGCCACCCCGGTCCCACGAGGTCGATGGATCGGCAAGCGGCAAGCGTGACACTCCACTTACAGCTCCGACCTCACATGCTCCATCTACCATCCTCCACCAGCATCGCTCCCGCGGCCTCTACAACTCGTCTACACCACCGGTGCAAGCTGCTCACCGCTCTCCCTCACTCTACAGAGGCAAGCAGCTGTGCATGTTTCTTTCCATCCGCACCTTCTTTTACTCCGCTCGTTTTCCTGAGCAAAAGCCCAAAGCTCTCCCCCCCACCTTCGCCGTATTTCCGCATTGAGAGAGCATCTGATCACGGCCGCCCTCGCGCTCCCATTCTCGTCACGCGTCTTCTGGGCTCATTGGACTCAACAGCCCCGCCATTCCCCTAAATTGACCAAGTCCCTTCTTGAAAGCACTACCTATTTCTGACGGAGGTCGTACGCCGTGCAACCGCGCGCCAAGCATCATGGCCCCCAGTAAGTCGAGTTGCTGTTTGGAGAAACTGGAGTTATATGCTCATGCCATACGCTATAGGTCTATCCGAAGATGACAAGGCCTTGTATACGCCGATAATTGACGAGATCCTGGCGGCCAGCGATCTGGAAAAGGTGTCGGCAAAGCGCATCCGCAAATACATATCCGACAAGGTCGGCTACGACATTTCGCACCAAAAGGTAGGAATCCGAGCGCGGAAAAGAAAAGTCGGAATCAGTGCTGAGTAAGTCGTTTAGGATGCGGTAAACGATCTGATCATGGCACGCTTCGACAAGTTCATGGATGCGCCGAACGGGGCTTCCGAACCAGTCCACCAAAACGGTACCAAGCCAGGCAGTCCCCATGGCTCCGCGCAAGCAAGCCCCACAACGTCTAGGAAGCGCAGTCCTGACGACGATTCCGAGTCCCCTCAGTTACGAGATACGCCGCCAAAGAAGAAGCCCAAGAAGCAGCAGAGTGTGGAGGAGGACGATGCGGCCTATGCTGCTCGACTGCAGGCGGAGTTGAACGCGGCTTCGCGGCCGAGGTCGACGCGGGGAGCTGGCACCCAGAAGAAACGTGCAGCGGCGCCGAAGAAGAAGGAGAAAAAGAGGAAGAGCGCCAACAGGGTCAAGGACGACGATGATAGTGACGTTGCATCCAGCGGCGCAGAAAGGAAGGAGAAGAAGAAGCGGACTGGCGGATTCCACGTAGGTTGACATGGTTCTAAGACACGGGGAAGCTATTGACACTTGCGCAGAAACCTATGGGATTGTCGCCAGCGCTGGCAGAGTTTCTGGGAGAAACACAAGTGAGTTTACCGCGCATGCACATATCGGCACTACACGGAGCGTAGCGGCTAACGTACAACCTCAACAGCTTCCACGTACCGAATGTGTTAGCCGGCTGTGGCAATACATCAAGCAACACGACCTACAGCTCCCCAGCGACAAACGACAGATTGTGTGCGACGACGCCATGCGGGCCGTCTTCAAGCAGGACCGGATGAACATGTTCACCATGAATAAGATTCTCGCCCAAAACCTCTATAACTTGGAGGCGGAATAGCAGGCCGAGGGCTGTGCCGATAACCACCCTCACTTCTAAGTTCCTGTACACATTCGACTGCCCGGCTTTTCTGGCTACAACCGGGACGGCCCCGTCCGAGTTGAACGACTTGAACGGGTCGACTCTCTAACCGCACCTCGTCTGCCCCTACCTCTTCTGCTGCGTCGGATCATGAAATCATCCAATCCTTTCCATTTTGTAGTCGACTTTCAAACATCGGCATGGCGATAACACGGCATATCCTTTTTCCTTTGGATGCCCCTTTGGTTTTCCCTCTTCTCAATCTCTTTCCTCTTCTGGGTTGCGACCGCTTTCCAGAAATCATTGCGAAGCGATGATTCTGGGTCTGGCGCCTTTGCTGGCGCCCGTAGTATTTATTCTCTGGGAAGGCTACTGCGCGTAAAAAGGCTGCTGCGAGAGGGGATGCGGGTTTCGGGAATGTCGCGCATGGCGGTTTGCGCGAGATATCGGAGCGAGCGTACAGGTATACAATAGTAGCACAGGTGCAGCGAGGGGGAGCTGTGCTGCGGCTTTGGCGCGGCGGATAGTTGAGCGTTGCGTTGTGAGGGTATTTGGACGACGAGTAGGAGCATATATACTTGGAATCGACGAGTGTGTTCAATTCTTGTGTGCTCACAGTAACGAGGAGAGAGACTGTTCAAGGTGACGAGAGCGACACTCTCCTACGGACATGGCATATCTTCGCATTTTGTGCATTGAGATCCCGAATATACGCAAGGGCATGGGTTAGCATCCATCCAAGTACAGAAACCTCGGAGAATAAGAAGAGTAGGTATTAAGTGGTTGTATCCCTGCACTCGTATAGTACTGTTTGCCAGGGAGGAAAGGAAAAGGGGGGAATAGGGAAACATCAATAGGTCTTCGCCACAGAGCTCCCCATGGACCAATACCAATACCGAAAAAAGAACATTGCTCTTTTCGGAGAAGAAAAGGCCCACAGCAAGCACTAACGACAGTATACCAATAGCGCCAGCCCACGCGCTCCTAAAAACCACGTCCGTATCCATATCCAGAAGCCCGCTCCCCATCAAAGATCACCCCCTCAAACAGTGGAAAGGAACCCTCATAACCCCTCCGCCCAAATCAACCTTCTCACCCTTCAACCAATTCCACATCCCCGACTCTAAAACCCCTCGGGCAGCTGCAACTGAAACCCCTCATACTCCTCATCCACCGGATCCGGGCCCTCCAGCTGCACCTTGAAGCTCTCCATCCACGCCGCATCCCCTTCCTCGTCCTCCTCCTGCAGAAGCAGGAGCGCCATCTCCCGCTCCACGTCCTCGGCCGTGCGATACGTCTCCAGCTCCAGCTCTTGCTCCTGTTCCGGCTGGGTTGAAGCGACGAGCGTGGCGTTCGTGGACGTGGAGCTTGAGCGGGAAAAGGGAGCGCGGGGTCGAGGTGCCGTGACTGCCGTGGATGCGGTTGTTGCGGAGCGGCTGCGGATAGACGAGGCGGTGGTCGGACGGGAAGAGGTGGTCGTAGGACGTTTAGGGACAGTGACATTTGGGGGCGGGCGGGAAACGTTGGAGAGAGGTTTGCGGGGTGCGATGGAGGAACTCGCTGCGCGGCCTTGGGCGTAGCCGATGGTGCTTTTGGAGGCAGCCACGGCCGCGGCGTTGCGGGAAGCGGAGGGGTTGAGAGTAGGTTTTGTGGGCGCCTTCTTGCTTGCAAGCAGACTGGTCGGTAGTCTGGATTTTGCGGTTGGGATAGCCGATGTAGGGCGAGGACGAGGCGCGGGCGAGAGGGCAGCGGCAGCAGCTTTGGCCTTTAGCGTCGAAGGAGCGGGAATCTGCTGCTTCTTGGGGAGCTGTTCCTTGGGAGCCGGTTTCTTGGGCGATTCGATGCCTAGGTAACGTCTCGCCTCCGCATCCTCTTTGGCCATGATCTCCGCGAAGAGTTTGTCAAACTCTTCGCTTGCCTTCTTCTTCTCTCTTGCAAGAGATTCCTCGAGTTCGCGCTCTCCGCGGGTTCGGCCGTCGTCTTCAACGGGGTTGTGGTATACGGAGAACACTCCACGCGTCATATTGGCTCCCTTGAACATGGGAAAGTCCCAATTGATGGGTGGCATGTCCTCGTCCAGATCATCCGGTAGAGGGATCTCCTTCGGAGGCACGTATTCCACTTCGGGCACATCGTCTTCTTCCTCAGCTTGAACTTCTGGCTGATGGACCTTGACCTTGGCTCGGCGCAACCGGGGACTGAGTTTCTGGGTTTTTGCAGAAGCGGAGAGGGGCGCGGGAGTCTGGAAGGCTTGGGCTTTTGCATTGGTCGTTTTCATGCCAAGAGGAGCGCGAACGGTGCGAGGGCCTGATATTTAAAGATCAGCAGATGCGGATATTCTACTATAGTTGACAAATATTCACCGGCTGGAGTAACGAATGCATTGGTAGCTTTTCCGCCTGCTTTTAGCGCAGACTTTCCACCTTTGTTCACGGCATTTTCGTCGTTGAGAGGGACCTTGAATGGTGTCTTGGGCGGTTTGTTCGTGCTCTTGAAGCCCGCATTGAGGCCCTTCACAGCGGCGCCAGCCTGCAGACTGTGCACCAGATTCTCCTGGTCGTGAGCAGCAAGTAAGGACATGGCGGTTGTCACATTGGGTGCTGTGATTGTCGAAGTGTGTCAATGTCGCAGTCGATGTCGTCGCCGTCTTGCTTGTTTACCCGTTGCTAGGGCCCGAACTGGGTTTAGCTCAGCTTGTGACGCTTGGCAGGTCACCCCTGTCGCTTCCAAAAAGGTCCGACCGCCCCGCTGAACCCCCCATGCCGGGTTTATCTGAGCCAGACAACAAGAACCACATTTCAGACAACAATCCAACTCTCTCCCTGTGCCGCACGCCTACCAGGACTTCCTCCTCGAAGAATCCACCTCCCACCTCCCTGAACATATACCGCAAGTACCCTCACACAGACTGTCATTATGGAGCAGATCAAGCAGGTAAGCTATACCATGCATGCCCCGCCATAGCCCCTTTGCGGGAGCGTCCGGAGGTCTCTGCCTGGAGCCTATACTCAGTGTCCAGCCCAGAGAGTCCTTCCCACTCTAGCAGCTCCAGAATGCTGATGAAGTCTTCTCGCAGCGTATGCAAGCCCTCCGCGTCGAGGCCGACGAGAGCGCCAACCGAGCCGAGGAGTTCAAGAACAAGGTCAAGGCGCTGGAGGCGGAGAACACCCAGAAGGAACAGGAAATCACCTCCTTGACCCACAAGAACCAGGTGCTGGAGGCCGAGGTGGAGAAGCTCGAAGCGTTAGTCAAGACCTTCAAGGAGGAGGCCGGTGCGGGCGCTGCCGCCGGCACCCAGGCCGAAACCCTGCAGCGCAAGATCCAGGTTCTCGAGGAAGAGGCTGAGGAGTCTGACAGGACGATCCGCGAGCTCAACGAGAAGTACGTACCCTCTTCATTCCCTTCATATACGGACTCTTGGATGGCTGTGAAGTGGACATTCTGCTAACCCTGCTCTTCATTAGGCTCCGCCAAACCGACGTCAAATCCGGCCACTACGAGCGCAAAGTCCAGGCTCTTGAGAACGAGCGAGACCAGTGGGAGGCCAAGTTTGAGGAGCTCAACCAGAAGTACCAGCAGAAGCAGAAGGAGCTTGAAGACCTGGCCCAGGAGCTCACCAACATCTAAGCTCGGCTCCCCTTTGAATTCACCTATGTCAACATGTCAAATAGTTGTAAGCGGACGACAATGGGCGTTCCGGAAAGCGGTATAATGTCTTCTTTTCGAGATGGAGACGATGGAAGATGAGTGGTGGTTTCACATGTATGCTCTAGACCGCATCTAGACGCACAATACAATGTTCTGGTGGTCTTCTCCGTAGTAGGACACATCCAGGCGATATATCCTATGCAAGCGAGCCTTTAATGTACAGATCTACTCTTGGATGGGTATCTTATGGTTTGCGAAGTCAAGTCATGCACGCTGAGGGAGGGAGCTCCACCTCTCGCCCTCAGCCGTTGGGCTGTCCCGTTAAGCAGATGCCAACATATACCCCCAATCGATCATGATTTCTCTTTTCGAGCAGCGGCCCGGGCTTTCTTCTTCGCACTCTGCTTCATCCTCGTCGCCTTTCTCTCCGCCTTACTCTCATATCTGAACTTCTTCTTTCTCTTCTTGGGTCGATCCGACTTTGGCTTCTCCTTCGTCCACTCCCTCTTCTTCTTCTCCTCACCATCCTTTGTCCTCTTGCCATCTTCCTCCTCTCCACCTCCACCACCGCCCGCTTTCTCAAACCCGTCCTTCGATATGCCAACACTTTCTATAGTAACGGTCGTAAATTTACCTTCGTCGATGTACTCGTCTTCGCGATCTATATCTTCCGGCTGCTCATCGCCAAAGCCTTCGAACTCGGCATCTTCGTCTTCCGCGTCTTCCTCGCTGCCGCTTTCTTCGCTGGCTTCGCCCGCTGCTTTCCTTAACATGGCATTCACCTCGCTCACATGCTTTTCGAGCTCCTCTTTCCGCTGCCTACGCAACTGCAACCCAAAATCAGCACTACGGTCCCATACCGCATATACTGTGTAGAATACAAAGTTCCGTCTCTTTCGCACTGGAGTGTCCAAATTAAATATCTAAGAGAGGACCAGCACATACCTCCCTCCTCAACCTTGCCTTCTCCTCCTTCTCCCGCTTCGCCGCCTCCTCCTGCGCATGCTTTATCCGCGCCAGTTTCCGCTTGTGGAACCCCGTGAGATATTCCTGGCGCGCGTCGAAGTCGAAGACGATCTCCGCGGGCGCTGTGGAGGCGAGTTTTCGCTTTCTGGTGGCGGGGGGCATGGTGTGTTTATTCTGTGGGATTTGAGGTTAGGGAATTGGAGAAGGTGGGCTCTGTTTGGGCGTGCTAATGTCTACTGTAGTTCAAGCACTTTGCGGAAAAGTTCGCGGGGATGGGGGAATGTTTCGCCGGTGTGGCTGACACGGTGTGGCTTGTGAGAAAGCAAGGGTCTACAGTATGTACCAACATATTCAACTTCCCTTGTGCATGCCTCTGAAACGTTCAAACTTTCTTATCACATAATCGCACTTTCTGGCCTAGTCACTGCGAGGGATATCAACAAATCCAATGCTTATGCATAGCTTGCTACCTGCTTTCTCCAAGGCAGCGATTCTATGTGCTCTTTGACACGCTGACTTATAGACAAAGGGGCCCAAACGGGTCTCAAACCAGGCTCGCCGAATAAAGCAAGCGTGAAGAGACCCAGATAGGCGTGCAAGATATCTGGATAGTCGCCCGGCGTCTTCCCAAAGCCCCCTAGTACAAGGTGCTGAGTCCTGTCGAGCAACCAGCGTCGAATGGGTTTCGCGTTCACCAGGTCAAGATGGCCTAAGATATGAAGCGATGTGCAAACGTAGTAGCTGTAGCAAGTATCTGCAATCTTGCAGCAGCGCCCGTTGATTCCAACCCATGGTAGCTCGGGAATGGCAGAATCTGAGGGTGGTGATCCGCTGCAATATGTGGCCGAGAGGCTCGCTTCTTCTCCGTGAGTGTCGATGGCGTCGTCGTTGTCCAGTGTCAACGTCTGCCGCGAGACAAGCCAACGCAGTGTTAGATGAGGTTTTGTGAGTCCCCGTAAGCGGGTATCTGGAGGTTGTGAGGATTGGAGAGGAAGACGATCGACGAGAGACAAGGCACTGATGGCACACGAGGTATATCCAGCGTGAGCTTCCCGGAACGGGGCTGCAGCAATGCCTCCATTATACGTCTCCCGTTCCCGAATACATTGCACCAATTTGTCGACGTCAATATCTGGTACGCCTTCGACAGGACCTTCGACATTGCTCCTGAGAATCCACCTGATGCCAGCGGCCATGTAGCAAAATCTGGGATCGTATCCGCCTTCTGGTGGTCGGCCGTAGTCTTCTAGGATTTGTCCAAAACTACCATCTGGTCTCTGCATTGCGCTCAGCCAACGCAATATCCCCTTCCTCTTCACTCTTTGCAGGTCGTCTCCCAGAATGGCTAATGAGAGAAGTGCACCAAACGTCCCGGACAACTCCGGAGGATCCCATACCGCATTTTTATCATCTCTTGCAGTGCCTAGGTCTGTTGCTGGAGAGGACCGGAAGCCGCCCTCTGGGAGCTGGCAATGGTATATCCAGTCTATGTATCCTTGGCGCTCCTCTGGTGAAAGGGCAGCATCTAGGTCCCCCAGAATTTCCTCGGCGGAAAGAGTGAAGAAGGCAAGCATCATGCGGTTCGTGTCATTTTCGGTGTAGTAGGTCGGCAAGTGGGTCTTGAGGTTTCTTCTCCAGTACTTCACATGCCTAGGGAAGTGTAGGATTGTCCCAACCTCCGGGGCTGCAGCCATATTTATTTGGCCCAGGCACGTATCCAGCTGGAAATCCTGACGCCCTTTGTTGCAGGGCAAAGAGGACTCTAAGTCTGCTCGCTCTAAATCTCAGGCTTGAATCGGAGAAAGTTCTCTGGTGATGTTCGGGCGCGATGCAGTTGTCAATCAAACCTGGCTGTGCGGGGGGATTGTTGGACGAAAGCAGATTTCCGACACTCTCTGGATCAGCAGAAAAAAGATTCCATGCATGGATGCACAATGAGTACACGTACAAGTAAGTGTGTGAAGGTCGTCCAGTGCCCAGTGATGAACAGGGTCCAACAAGCGCCGCGCGGGCTCCCCCGGAAGACGACTTAAGAAGAGCTCGGCTAGTGGGCCGCGCCTGGCAGGGGTGCGTCGCCTCTCTTTGGATGCAACTTCAGCTGGCTGGCTCAGGCACTCCTCAATCAGCTAAAAGACTCTCTCCCCAAGTCAGCAAATCTTCACTCACCTCAATCGACTCCTCCCACCACCTCAGTCCTGCAATCGGCGCTGCACACGACTCTACGCCGGATTACGGAACACACTTGATCCCTTAAAACCTGCGACACTTCACGCCTGCCTGCGTAATCGGCCGCTCGTCATCCGTGCTCACACACTTTGTCGTTCACGATACCACGTCTACGGCGGTCACGCCTAGTCATTGTTCATTACCTGATTCTCTCATCGATATCTGCGACTTAAGATACATCAAGCATGACATCGGGCTTCGCGGGGTCCTTCTGGTCCAGCGACTATGCTGGCGGTACGATATCCCCAACCTGGACCCCAATATTTGAACGAGATACTAATGTGTGCAGGGCTTGGAGTCCTCTTCCAGAAGCTTCAACAAGGTGTTCAGGAGAACCAGCAGATCCTCACTATCGCACGACTGCGCGCCGACGCCGAGGAGGCTTATGGGAACAGCCTGGCCAGCATTACTCCTGCTACGGAGCGCATATCTGGCGGCTTTGGGCGCGATGAAGGAGCAAGCGTGCGCAAGGTTAGTGTTATACATGGGCAGTGGGATATTTTAAGTCGCTAATGTGGCCTAGGCTTATGAAGGCGTCCGCACTGAGATGGAGGTCGCGGCGCAGAATCACCGCAAGATCGCTTCTAACATTCGCGAGCTTGTCGTGAATCCCTTCAGCCGTTGGGCTGACCAGCACGCTGCACGAGTGCAAAACTCACAGGACGATCTCCAGGCGCGCATCAAGCTCCACGACCGCCAAGCGGACGCGGTCCGCAAATTTCGTTCTCAATACTATAACAAGTGTAGACTCGTGGAAGACCTGGAAGAGGAGGACAAACTTGCATTCCAGGATCCGCAGAGCGAGGTTTCTCAGAGCCCCAGGGTTAAGGTCCCTACGATCAAGATGTCCGAACCTGAGGAGAGCGATGACGATCCGATTGAGCTTGGTGATGAGACCTACCAACCCGAACAAGTCAAAAAGATCCTTACCCACGTGCTGGAGACGATCAAACTGCAGGAAGTCAGAGTTCCTATTCTCGGCACGTACCAGAACTGCTCGACCGGTGCGGATATCACGGAGTACATCCAAAAGCACATGGCTGCCACTAGTGTGAGCTATGCTGAAAGGATCGGGCAAGACCTCATCTCTGCTGGCTTTTTGCGCCTCGTCGGCAACGTTGGAAACACGTTCGCAAACAGCTCACGGATGAACTACCAGTGGAAGTCCAAAGTGTTCCAAATCACGGGGATACCAGAGAAGAAAAAGGGCCTAGAGAGATCTGGAACAGTCATGTCTACCATGTCGCAGGATAGCTTCACCGTGGACTCCCCAGTGGGCGCTGTCCAGGAGTTGATCTCCGGCTGGAATCCACTCAACAATCCTTATCCCAACGAGACTCCAGCCGAGAGGCTCCGACGCGAGGCAAGGGAGGCAGATGAGAGGTACAAGGCGGCCGTCAAGAAGTTGGACTCGCTACGCTGCAATCTGGAAGAGGCGATGATCGACCATCTGAAGTTCATGGAGAGGTGCGAGTTGGACAGGTTGAAGGCCATCAAGGCTGTCATCCTTGACTTTTCTGGGGCCATCAGCAACGTCATTCCTAGCCTGCAGAGCACGGTCGACAAGATGATGCTGTTCCAAGAGACGATTCAACCACTCGGGGACGTAAGATACTTGCTGGAGAACTACAGGACCGGCCCATTCCATCCCAAAGTCGTCACGTACGAGAACTACTACAACTCTGTCGATGGTGAGAATAACGTAGCTTTGTTCGGAGCCCTCACACTGACCATGGTATTAGAGCAAACGTTTGGCGTAGATCTGGAGGCGCGGGCACGGTCTGACCGCAAACGAGTGCCTGTCATCGTTACTACCATCCTGACATTCCTGGACAACCACTACCCAGACCTTGAGGGTGACGAAGCCCGCCGAGGCATCTGGTTGGTGGATGTCCCTCTCGCGCAAACCCACAGTCTCCGGGCTGCCATCAACACCGGCAAGACCTTCCCTCATGAGATCCTCGAGAAATACGACATCCCTATAGTCGCTAGCGTCTTGAAACTCTATCTCCTTGAGCTTCCTGGTAAGGTGTTCGATTGTCCAGGAGCTTGACCGTTACTGACTGCATCAGATTCTTTGGTGTCCTCGCACGTCTACGAGATTGTAAAGACCATATACAGCACTACGGCGACTGAGACATCCGAAGAAACCAGAATCTCAGTTATCCAGTCGACTCTTGGCCAGCTTCGCCTCGCTAACATCGCGACGTTGGACGCCATCACCACACATTTCACCCGCCTGATAGAGCTCACATCGGCTGATGAGACTTACGTCGCTGCCCTCGCCAATACGCTGGCACCTTGCATCCTGCGCCCACGCGTCGAGTCAAGTCTGACAATGAATGAGCGCTACAGCTACCGTCTCATCCGTGATCTTTTCGCCCACAAGGAAGCCATCTTCGGGGAGCTGAAACGCGCAAGCACACTCACGCACTCGGCCTCCGGTGCGCAACGTCCTCGAGCCATTTCGACGGATGAAAGCAACCGCCGCGCCAATTATGAAGAGCGCAATCGAGCAATCGCGGCGCAGCGGTCTCCGAGGGCAACCTCGCCTGCTCCAGGTCCGCGTAATGGGATAGCACATCGCCGCGACCGTAGTCAAACGAGGTTTCCCGTGAACACATCTTCGCCGACTGAACGGAGAGGAACAGTGGGCTCGAGGAACTCGCTGGAAGTTCCAGGTACGGCGGATAGCCCCGTGGTCGACGATAAGGGACTGAATGGGAACTCTGATGCACAAGAACATCCCAGCCCATCAAGCACACGTGTGCCCTTTCCCAGGAAGCATGCCGGTAGCTTGGCAAGGTCCAATCGCGATTCCCTGAGTAGTATGAAGGGTGAGGATTCCGGCCCGCGTGGGGTTCAACTCGAGGACAAGCCTATGGATGATTGATCGCCGAGGGTCTGGGACAAAAGCAGAGCTTCTTAAGAGCTGTTCGCATATCTTGGAGTGCGATGGGCGGTATACCAAAAGGGAGGACGCGATATGGGGCCTGCCCAGGTCATATCTGGGCTGGCGAGGTGGTTTAATGGGCCATGGGATGTGAATGTCGGGTTCCGAGCGTGTGTAAGTCTATGCGCATAGACTGATTCTTTTTGTTCTGTACCTTTTGGCGAAGCCATAGCGAGCGATTACCCAACCTTTTGTACGAATTCACGGGATCTGACATGGGACATGGGGTTAGAGGCTAAGATTTCCGGGTGCCCAGATTTGTGAACCGGAGTTCCAAGGTTCGAAGAGGCAGCGTGGCTGGGGCGACGCCCGATCTCTCTGCTGCATCTGATCCTCACCTGGCCGCTTCACTGCCGGACCCAGCCTCTTTATTAGGGGGCCACTGCCGCCAGCAGTCCTGCAGCGCCTGGCACTGCCTTTTTCTGAACCTTTCGCTCCTCACTTTGGCAGCGTGCCCTTTGTGTCTTCTCGTTATTTATACGTTCAGCTCTACGTAGAGCCAGAATCACAGTCCCCTCGCTTTGCAACCCACTCACTCGCTCTGGGAAACGCACCCGGATACCAGAATGTGCCTTGTCAAAGTCCGGCAGGAGGAGGACGTCGTCGTCCCCTACCGTACGGTTGTTCGCACACGCTCGAGGTCCCCACATCACCGTACGTCACGCCGTGTCTCGCGAGTATCCGTGGTCCGCGAATCCCGCCCAGCGTCCTCGTCGTATGTGAATGTCGTCCGTCCGCCGTCGAGCAGCTACGTCGCCGTCCCAACCCCCAAGCCTCTCGCAATTCCAGCTCCACAGCCCGTGCCGGTATTCGTCCAGCCATCGCCGCCTCCTACCCCTCCTCCGCCTCCGAGCCATCATCACCATCATCATACTACGGCGCACTATGTCCACGTCAGTCCTCGCAGCAGCATAAGCAGCAGCCCGAGCCGCAGCGACTACGTCATGCACGAGCGCGAGTACAGAAGGGAGAGGGAGAGGAGAGACTACTCGCCCGACTCGCCGCGCCATGAGCATTACAGATATGTGCGTGCGCCGCCCTCCGAGAGCGACCACTACGAGCGCTTCACCCTACGGGAGCGCAGCCGCAGTCGTGGGAGGAGCCAGAGTCGCGACTATGCCTATGATCCGCGAGACAGCTACCGCGAGACGAGGGAGAGGGTTGTGATTGTGGACGGGGACGGTCGCCGCAGGAGGGAATATCGGGACTAGCCGTAGCTTGACGGCTCCTACGAATTCTTGCCGAATCTGCTCTTCTTGTTTCTTTCCTTGGCTCTACATCTTTTCCGTTCTGTAGGGATATGACAGTTTTGGCCATTTGCGCTGTTTTGAATTTTTACGAGCTGGTATGAGGAATGACACGACCACATGACGACTTTTTCAACGAGGATTTTTTTTACGTTAAATATGGAGTGCGAATATAGAACATTGTCAATCTCCTCATTATTGTGATGTTCTTCCGTGATTCTCTCCATACAGTCTTGCTTGCGCCTATGTATTGATAACCTATGAAGTCGTCGCGGGGTCAGATAAAACATTCACATGCGGTGCCGCAATGCTGACATTCAAAGCAAGCAACCTCTTCCCCAGGCTACATAAATATACGTTTTCGGAACGTGATCAACATGGCACTGGAACAAGCGAGCCCTATTTCACCACGTGCGCGCTTGTGGCAGTTGCTATAGGAAAAGGTTCTGTGTAGTATGTGCGCTCGCCGACCTTGATCAGTCCCCTCAGCCTCCCACCCGACCTGACCGCTGAGCCTCCGTCACCTCACACGTGCTGACAGGCGATCAAGAAGAAACCGCGTACCAACCTTCACCTCTCTATCTCGAGAACTCCTGGCGCCTTCGGACATGCCTCTGCCCCCTCCGACGTCGCCTTTCCGCATGTTCCGAAGCCGACAATGTCCGTCCGCGTCCTAATCAAGGAATATCCGCACCGCGCAATCGCCCTCACCACTGCCACCCACGCCCTCGTCCTCCGCAATAGCCCCTCTCCCACCGACCAGAATGGCTTCGCGAACGCCTCCCAAACGTCGCTTTCAAGCAATGGCTCCTCCGCAGGCGCCCGCGCCATGGTGGAGTTTTCCCCCATTGGAGAAATCGATCTCAGCGAGTACCGAGCCGTGAACCTGTCGAATGCGCATGGGACACTGGGTCTAATAACAGTGAATGGGGATATTTTTCTGGTTGTCGTGAGCTCGGCTTCGAGAGTGGCTACTGTACGGCCGGGCGAGACGATCCAGAGAATCAACGCTGTGGCATTTTGTGAGATACCCCCCGACGGCGCTCACTGTACGGAATGGGTTTATTGATGCTTAGGCAGATTGTCTGAACAGCTCGAACTACGATGCGCTACTCAACGAGGATGTTAACCCATACCCCACCGATACCATCGACGATGAAGGTTTTGAAATGGGTTTCGGGCGTGGGAAGGGCGAGTCTCCTCTAGAGCATCCCTGTCTGGCCCTCAAGAAACTTTTGAGTAGTGGGACCTTTTACTACAGCTCCGATTTTGACCTAACTCGGAGGTTACAAAAGAGGTATATGGAGCTCCTTTCCTGGCGGAAACATCTAGCTGACGGGTGACGCAGAGTTACGGATGCAGCAACCGTGTCTATTGACAGCCTAGATGCTGGCTTTTTATGGAACTCCTACATGATTCAGCCGCTTGTCGACTTCCGCTCTCGTCTGTCTCCGCGTGAAAAAGAAGCCCTCGACCATTCTGGCCTTTTGACCTCCGCCATACGAGGATTCGCGCTGACGATAATCGTGCCATCCTCGTCATCCCCTATCAAAACAACACATTCTGGCATGCCCGCGTCATTAACGCTCATATCTCGTTTGTCTTGCAGAAGAGCTGGTACTAGATTCAATTCCCGCGGTATCGACGATGACGGAAACGTAGCAAATTTCGTGGAGACCGAGACCATCTTCTATGCACCGACAGGGCTTTGCTTCTCATATACCCAAGTCCGAGGAAGTGTACCTTTATTTTGGGAGCAACAAACAGGTCTACTTCCCGGTCAGCAGAAGATCACGATCACGAGATCTCATGAGGCTACGCAACCCGCATTCGACAAACACTTCGAAAACCTCGAAGTCAGCTATGGCGCCATCCACGTCGTCAACCTTCTTAGCAACGAGAAGCCCAATGAAATCGAACTGAGCGATAGATATCGTTACCATATCAAACATAGTGCTTTGAACGCCAATGTTGACAGCGAGGAAGGCAATGAGCTCATCCAACTTACAGAATATGACTTCCATGCTGAAACCAGAGGACCTGGGGGTTACGAGTTGGCAAGTATGATTGTCCAATGGATTCGTCGATCCGCCGATGGGTTCGCCTATTTTCTGGCCGAGGAAGCAGAGGAGCATATTCAGAACAACAATGGTCAAGAGCAGGTAGTTAAGCGTCCAACCGTCATTTTACAACAGGAGGGCGTATTCAGGACAAACTGTCTCGACTGCTTGGACCGTACAAACCTCGTACAGACCATAATCAGCAGAATGGCCATAGAAATATTCCTCAATCACAGAGGCGAGAGTGGCAGTGCCGACTTTTGGGCAAGACATTCCACCATGTGGGCCGACAATGGCGATGCGCTGTCGCGTATTTATGCTGGAACCGGAGCGCTGAAGTCCTCCTTCACAAGACATGGGAAGATGTCTCTCGCCGGGTTCCTTGCGGATGCTCGAAAAAGCGCCACCCGGACGTACATTAACAATTTTGCAGACAAGGGTCGCCAAAATACCATTGATATGTTGCTAGGGCGTCTGATGGGCCAAGTACCTGTCCACCTCTATGATCCTATCAATGACTACGTCGTTGCGGAATTGAACAGGCAATCGTCAGAATACACCGAACAGGAAGTCATTCATATTCTAGTCGGAACATTCAATCTGAATGGAAGGACCAACGGCATCGATGAAGACCTGTCGCCCTGGCTTTGTCCTCCTGTAGATCCTTCACAGCAGCATCCGGAAATTGTTGCAGTTGGCTTCCAAGAGATAGTTGAGCTTAGCCCTCAGCAGATCATGTCTACTGATCCCGCGAGGAGACAAATGTGGGAGCATGCTGTGAAGAAATGCCTGAATGATCATGCCGCCAAGTATGGGAAGGAGGAGTATGTTCTCCTTAGAGGTGGTCAGCTAGTTGGCGCCTCCCTGTCTGTCTTCGTCAAGGCCAGCTCTTTGAAGTTGATCAAGAATGTTGAGGGTGCTGTCAAGAAGGTAATGAATACGGAATCCGTTATGGGGCTTGGTGTTAACAATCACCGCAGACGGGAATGTCCGGCATGGCAGGGAACAAAGGTGCTGTAGCCGTTCGCATGGATTACGCCAACACCTCGATAGTCTTTGTCACCGCCCACCTTGCCGCTGGTTTCGCAAACTACGAAGAGCGGAATCGGGATTACAAGACCATTAGCCACGGCTTGCGCTTTCAGAGAAACAGGTCGATTGAGGACCACGACACGGTGATTTGGTTCGGCGACTTCAACTACCGTATCGGATTGAGCAAAGAGAAGGTGCAGAAGCTGTGTCAAGTCGGAGATCTTGAAACGCTCTATGAGAATGATCAGGTATGCGGACTTTCATGATCCACAATCTCTACGAGACTAATCATCCACACAGCTCAACCTACAAATGGTTGCTGGTCTAACTTTCCCATACTACTCGGAAGCACGCATCACGTTTCTACCCACATACAAGTACGACATTGGGACAGACACTTACGACACGTCCGAGAAAGCGCGAATTCCCGCTTGGTGTGACCGCGTCCTCCGGAAAGGCGACAATATTCGGCAGATCAACTATGACGCCGCGCCACTAAAGTTTTCGGACCATCGACCCGTCTACGCAACCTTTCAATGTCTCATCAATATCGTGGACGAGAAGAAGAAAGAACAGCTCAGCGAAGAGCTCTATCGACAACGCCGGGAAGTCGTGGGCGATACACACGCCGCGGGCAACGCTGACGACAGCGACGAGGAAGATCTGCTAGGTTATGAGGCCATTGAGCCTGGCCTACCACCCGCGAGCTCGCATCGCAGGAAGTGGTGGCTTGACAACGGTATTGCATCTTCCGTCCCACTGATTGCATTCGTATTGATCTTCACAAGGTCTGCCGGCCCGCTCACGGGTTCAGCCCCCATCCAATGACCACTTCCCCAACCCCAAAAGGCCCAGTAACCCCTTCACGCCGTCCCCAGAACCGGACTGGGTGGAAGTCAAGCGCATGGGCTCCAAACCTGAACCACCACCCGCACGAGGTACCTCGAGAGCGCGTACGATCGACTTCAACGGAAGCAGCATGCCTGGTAGTAAATCCGGAATCAACCAACGGGCAAATCCCATGGCAAGGAAACTCATCGTCCCACCATACAACCCGTCGCCGTCCGTCTCCCTCCACGAAACCACTAAAGCTCCTCACCCCTCCCCAATCGCCCACACTAATCTCCACCGTGCCTCAACTACCGCGTCCACCCGTTCTCTCCCCGACCTCACCAGAACCCGAGCCCTACCTCCTCCTTCCACTTCATCCCCCTCCCCCTCCTCTCCCTCTCCCTCTCCCAAGCCCAAACTCTCCATACCTCCCTCCCCCAACCAAATCCACCGCAAACCCGCACCCCCCGTCCCCGTGAAAAAACCCTCCCTCCTCTCCAAACCCATCCCCTCATCTCCTGCAGCAAAATCTCCACCTCCACAGCAGCAGCCCTACAAAGATACCCCCGAACCCGTCGCACCGACCACCACGAAACCGCACCCTCCACCACCAAGACGAAGCATGGCGAGCACGCCAGCGGAAGGCAGAAAACCTGCACCGATGAACTTGATGGATGACGATGATGGGAGAGATAGGCCGGCCTTGCCGCCGAGGACGGGCACGGGGGGGTTCAGCGGGAGGAGGGGGGTGAGCGGACGGCCTGGACAGATGGCGGGTAGTTTGATGGATGAGGATGCGGGGGAGGAAATGGAGGCGTTGAGGGGTTGGGAGGTCTTGAAGCCTGTTCATTAGGAGTGACATGGGTTGTCTTGACTTCCAAGGGTGGTAAGGTTAGTGGGTAAAACGTGGATGAACTGGGTTGACTGGGTTGGCGAGGGAGTTTCCTTGAGTGGAAAGGAGAGAGCGGAGAGGATACATGTATGATTGGTAATGAGTGACCTTTAGCGTGGTGTTCATGGTGGTAATCAGGGTTGGGATACGTTGTGAAAAGCAAAGGGGGGTTAAGGTCTTCTCTCAGGAAGGGAACGTGTCATGTTTGGCTCCCATTATCCATGTGTGAACAAGCATTGTATTTTGACCCTCCTAAGCACCGGACCCATGCAGCGCTCCACTACAGTTTAGAGAGATCCCAGCATGCTCAAGAAAATTCCACACACATCGCATAACCTCCCAAGTATCTCCCGCACACGGTCATGCTCACGCCGCACCACTACTAACCAATCACCTCCTCCGTCTCCTCAATAATCTCCTCGACAATCTCCTCAATCTCCTCGACCTCGCCATCATGATCCGTCCGCACCTTTCCGTTGTTCAGCTCAATCTCGGCGCCCTCCTCCTTGAGCATCTGGATCATGCTCTCGCGCCACGCCAGCCATTCCTGCAACAGGCGCCGGCGAGCCTCGACGACCTGCCGGTTGGCCGTGTTCTTCTTGGCCAGATCCTGCTCGTCGAAGATCTTGGAGTAGTTGCGCAGGTTCTTGCGTATCTCGGCCTGCTCCTCCTTGGAGAGCAGCGTCGCCGGTCGCGGCCGCCAGATGAGTTGCTTGAAGCGGTCAATGTGCTCTTCGCGGAGTAGGGTGCCCTTGAAGTCGTAGAGGTGGTATCCGTTCTCCATCTAGGCAATTATTAGCACGAATAGAAATGGGTTTCCTGATCACTGGATTTACCTGGTGTCGGAAGGCACTGGCGACCGTGGCAACATAGCGACCGGTCGGGTCCCATTCGATATCGGTGACTCCGTAATGCTCGGCAGTGGCCATGAGCTGTAGATTGGCATTCAGCTCCTTCTCCTTGTCATCCTTGTCATCCTTGGGCTTCTCGAAACTCAGATCCCAGAAGTCAAGGTCGCATGACTGCTGAGACTGAAGGGTGGCGACCACCACGAAACGGCCCTTTGGTGACCAGTAGATGGCGTTGCTGTTCTTCTTGTCGATGGTGCGGATGTGACGGAAGTTGCCCACGCCGCCGCCCTTCACCTTCTCAGGTGCGAAGAATGATACTGCCGTCTTGGGTGGAACAGCGGTCTGCGCCAGGGGTTCCGCGGTTGTGATGAGGACGAATCGGCTGCCCTTGGGCTCCCAAGCAAAGTTGATAACCGTGTCCTTGATCGAGTCGACGACTTCAACCGGGACACCCTTTTCGCGGACGCGGAAGATTTCGAGATTTGTGGCCATGGACTTCTTGGACTTGGAATGCCTATCGACCTTGACGCAGACGTAGGCGGCCTCCGATTGCCAGTGCAACTTGGCATCTGACACGTTGAAGAGGTTTCGTGTACGGACCACTTCTTTGGATGGGATGGACATGAGACCGACCTTCGCAGGGTTGCTGCCGAGCTCAGGAGTCCAGTAGCAGAAAAGCTGCTCGTACGTCCTGACGCCGTCCCGCTTAGGAGTGGCGGGTGCCCATTCGAAATCCATGACTCCCTCAATCTTGACAGAGGCCTTGTCCAAGAGGTTCATCCTGGGCAGTTCATAGATGGAAATGGACTGCCCTTGTGTCATACGAGCGACATACTTGTCATCCGCAGACCACTTGAATGTAGGCCACTGCATCTTCTTCTTCACTGGGTTACCCTCAGCATCGGTGGACGTGGGAACCTCCAGAGTAGCAAATGATCGCAGCGGCTTGCCAGTAGCGATGTCCCAAATGATGTAGTTCTTGCCATCTTCTTCCAGAGAAAGCGACGGGACAGGGTGGTTTTCGTCAACCTGCAGTGGCCTATGTGACCACGTCGTGACATACTTCTCGTTGGGCGAGAAGTCGACCAGATTGACACCCGGATGGGCAAAACGCTTTTGCCTACTCCACGCCTTGCCACCCCAGAGTTGCACACCCTGAGCGTGTATCGAGGTAAGATACGTGCCTAGGGGAGACCACTGCACGAACGACTCGGTCCAGTTTTCGCGATCAACCACCTGCTCCGGCGCGTCCTCCTTTTCATTCCAGAAAACGCCCACCTTATCTCCGCGGAACATAACCATCTGGTCGCGAGCGTCGGGGTCTCCAAGCCATGATCGCAAGTGCTCTTTCTGCTGGAAGGGCTCGATCTCGGGCGGGTGGTACTCCTCGTCAATGCGGCCCTCGCGTCCATAGCGGTCGATGTCCGTGAGCTTGTTTACGGCCATGGTGTGTTTCTTGTCGAGCGGAGTGCCATGGAGCTGCTTGACGGCGGCAACCGCCTCGCTGGGAGCGCTGTACTCGACGAAGGCAAAACTGTATCGCGGTCAATCCCCTCGCTTCACAGGAATCGCAGACCGGAACGCACCCCTCGGTCTGACCCGTCTCCTCGTTCAGCGGCATGTACACGCCATCCTCTTTGACCTTCCCCACCGAATTCAGCTTCCTGAGAATGAACTTCACGAGCTTCGCCTTGTTGTCTTCCGGGACCTTGGGCAGGCCATCCACCACGACAAAGGCGTCGAGCCCCTCATCCAGGCGGACCTGATACTGCTCTTCGAGGTCGGTAAAGTCGATTTGAGATTCGTCGAACTCCTCGTCGTCGATCGGGAGGTTTTCATATGAGGGCGCCATTTTGCCTGGTGATGTGGTCGTCCGTAAAATTCACCCATCGGGAAGATTCACCTCCCAACCTGCATCTAAAATTCGAAGTGGGGGTTTAGCGTCCATCACGTGACTCCGCCTTCAAGCGCACCACCTCACCGCTGGTGTCGCTCTCACCGATGTTTAGAACCCAAGATAGAAAATCAAACCATCAAATTGACATGTAAGTACCATTGAGAATATAACGGAGGAGCCCGTGTGCTCCGACAGACCTCCGCTGTTGTGGCGCTCACACCATCGTCTAGAAGCGCAGTCATTAACCATTACCACTCTCTCTATGGGCTAACAAGAAGTATAGGAATTCGCCGGGCGTATTTCCCGTCTCGTGACAAGAACTATGCAGCCAGCTGTTACCCTCTAATCAGAAAGGAAGCAATAACCGGCGGACAGATCACTGTGTCAAGCAGAGAACCTCGCCTGGACTATAAGCAACCGCGGCCTCCAATCACCGTCATAACATCCGGAAAACCAAATGCCTCTCGCAAAATCATCTCGTGGCCCGATCTTGCATACCTTAGAGTCGTAAATAGGAACGCCGACGGAATGGCCTGGGAGAGCCTAATACCCAGGTTAACCAAACCAAAGAGAATATGGACTCGAAGAAAACAAATGTGTGAGCAGATGGAACACTACAAGCCTCGCCTACTTTCCGTATTATCGGGGTATGACGACTTTACCAACCTTCCACCAGCGCTGACCCTCTTCTGTAACCTGGCTTCCCTCTCTTTGGCGCGCTCGGCCGGAGTGCTGCCATTACCGGCCACGATGTTAGGGAGCGCTGTGATCGTATCGTTGCCAGGGCTGGCTTGCCCTCCAATCCCGGCAGTCGACCTCTTCCCGGCTCGTTGATCGGCCTTGTGCTCGAGATACAACCGCGCTGAAGGGCTTAGCGGAATCGGGGCGGGTTGGGACGGTAACTCGGCGCCATTCTGGAGAAGCAATTCGGCGATAGCGAAGGGCTTGCGTGGCGGCTGCGGCGTTGCAGGGCGCGCCCCTGGACCTGGTGAGGTAGCGGGTGAAGCCGACGCTGATGGAGATGCTGGATCAGCCGCGGCCAGAGCCAGATACACTGCGTGCGTGCCCCGTGACTTGTCCTTCGAATTCGGATCCGCCTTCAGAGCCAAAGCATACAATACGTTCTGGATATCGTTCTTCTTAATGGACGCCAACAGAGTTTCTTCGGCTGTGGGGTAGTGCGACAAGGTAGGTGAAATAGGAGCAACAAAAGCCCGATCAGCGTACTTCGAGGTGATAAAGTGGAGCCTCTGCTCCCTGGTGGATGTTGGAGACGGCTTTAGAGCCCTGTCCAGCTTTGCCTCCCAGACCATGTTGCTGATTCGATTCCCGATCCTGAGCAGAATCTCGATGATATCAGGGGTAAATGAGACAGTATCCAGAGTTAGAGACCGGACTTTGGAGATATGCGTGCCCAAGGAGCGGTGGATACCGCTACACTCGATACAGATGATGATCCCCAGATTGATGGATACCCAGTCCACCTTGTTCTCGGATCCACAGTCTGCGCAAAATTTATTCCCCGCATCGGCATCGCGGACTTGCTGCAGGAGCCTGCCATCTTCTGTAACGCCCTCATCCCGCCTGTATGTCGGTCGCTCACCAACGGTGGCATGTCTTGCGGGTGTTTTCGAGCCGTAGTTGTTCCGGTGACTGGATAGAGACGGGCTTTTGCCTGTGAGGACTGACGCGATATCCCGACGGGTAGCTCCAGGCAGGGAATCTGTAGAGGGACGGTCATTCTTCCCTGCCGTCTCCACGGCGGTTTGTAGAGCATTATTGACCGAAGCAATCCAGCTTTTCATGTCTTCTTCAGACGTCGCCTGGTACACCCTGGTGAAATGAGGTGTGATGACTTCGAAGCAGAATCTCCGTTCCGCATTACGGGCCTCTCTTACAGAAGCGACGCGAAGGTCAATGGGGTCCATGTGCAGGTCAAGCTTCTGCTTCCAATTGGTATACTCCGACAACTTGCCTTGATCCAAAACGATCCAAAATCTAGAAATATCAATAAATGAATCTTGCGATACCTAGGTGTTAGGGTGAACTTACTTGTGCCAAGCTTGCTTGTTCAAACCTTTGGGATCCACATGACTTCCGGGCCTGCTGAGCGCCCATAGAAGTCCTTCCTTTCTATAGGCCGCTAGGTTGGGGTCAAGCGTGGCTCCCGATGCATTTTCTTCCAAGTCCCGGATACCTTTGAATTTATCTGGTTGGGGGCTCCCGGCGGGTATGCTTTGCAAACTCGGATCCGGACTTGGAGACAATGCAGATGGCACATTCGAGGAGGCCGAAGCAGGAGGGGGAATAACAGCGCTCTGGAAAATGGGAGCGAGGCCGGCTTTCCGCCCTGGCAGATCGGAACCCGAAGTCGAAGGCGCTCGGGCCACACTGCTATTCGCAGGGTGTGAAGGTGAGGTTTGCGGCGCCGGAGGCTCATCATATGGAGTTTTGCTCTTCTCCAACGCTCGCCTTTTGGTTTCTCTCTCCGTTCGTTGGAGCTGGAACTCCTTGTCTGCTTCTTTGACCTCGAAAGTCAGAGCATCGAGCTGCGGAAGCATGGTCTCTATCTTCTTGGCTGTCTCCAAATAGCTCTTTGCTTGAGCGTCAGCATACCGCGTCAGATGGGACAGTACTTCTTGGTCTTTGCGGCCGCCGTGCAGGTCTTGCATGAAGGAAGAATAATCGAATCTCTTTAGTTCGAAGTTACGACGTTTTGCCTGATACTTTGAGTCTGTCTCCACTCTCTTCTTTTCTTTGAGCGAGTCTTGTCGCTGGCCAAGATATTTACCAAGGTAACTGTAATAGGCGTTGCTCTCTTCCTCGAAGTCTTTCCGCTTCGTCTCTGCTTGCTTTATGTCATTGTTGTAAAGCTTTGAGATAGGGTCGATGATGAGCTTCTGAATGTTGGTCGTATTTGATCGTTCATATGCTAGAATCTCCTTGGCGATCTTGTCGAAATAGTGATCAATAGCGGGCTGGACGGCATTGGCGTTGGATCTCGAAACGTCGCGAAGAGCATCCATCAGATCCGCGACTGCGTTGTTGCAACCGACTTGAGCTTCGAGTGCCGCCTCGGCCCTCTTTAACACCTTCTTCCATCTGGCGCGCATGATTCCCGTCTTTTGTTCCAGAGACTTGATCGTGGCTCGAAACAGAGGACCGTCCTCTGTCTGGCTCAAATCGTCTCCGGGCCGTGAGCAATTGACGTCGACCTTAACGGTGTTACTAGCAAGCGTCGTCGTCTGACTGAGTCCCAATCCATACTCGGGTATAGACTCTATCGTCGGCGACTTGGGGGGAAGGACCTCGGGCCCATCTCTGTATTCATCATCGCTGATCCTCGATTCGATTGAGTGGGCGGAGTGGGCTGATGGGACGCGAAGCCGTGGCGGAACACCAATTTCCAACCTCGGAGAAGGGTATTTCGGGCTGTTCAAGGGACGTGTATTCTGGGTCCAGAAAGCGAAACTGGCCAGTGTCTCCAGTTTATGCGCCCGCTGATCATATTCGACGAAGCTGCAGCTTGTGCGCCAGCCTCCACCACGCTCCTCCTGCGCCTTTGGTGGCTTCCATTTCCACGTCCACTGAAATTGGACCGAAGGAGTCCCTCCAGTAGAATAGTCGCCGACCAATTCTACCAACGGATTCTTGTGCAGATTTGGGTTCGCATGGAATTCCCTTGTGACAAGATTCTCCAACTCCTTGGGGGTTGAAGCGAACACGAAGGTGAGGCCGTTTATGACGGTGTCGACAAGAGCGGTTGGAGCTATGGTGGAGGCATTATTTACATTATAGATACTGGCGGGTGGTTGGGCTTGTCGAATGATGAAGGTGAAATTGAAGAACAGGTCTTCCTCGTTCGTTAAGCGTAGCAGGAAATGTGGAGGTCCACTGGCGGATGCCGACTCTGGATCCTACTAGCTGTTGAGCTTCGGTTGTCCCAGCAGCGCACGTAGACATACCTGGACATATTCAACTACGGCGTCGTCCCCTATCGGTCTCTTTGCGTTGTACCTCGTAGCCGGAAAGGCGTTGGGGACTATAGTCAACAGCGTCTGGTTCCGAGCATTGGTGATGTTGAGAGCCGCAATGGAGACTGGGTAGCGTTAGCGGAATATGTACAACAGGCCTCAAGGAGCATAGACTCACAGCGCGTCTGATCGCGAAGGTATAAAGCGTCGCCGTCTCCCAATCTACTGTTGACGGCGCCCATGGTGGTAAACAGTCGCTATAACTGGACTGAGAGGTGGGGAGTTCTCAAGATAGGTGTAGCACAGAGGCGAACGAAGACTCTTGCGCAGCATGCCGTTCCCGCAGGGGGAACGACGCGATCGAGGAGGTCTGCGCAGTTGGTCGGAGTTCTGGTGTTGACAAGCGTCCGGAAATTAATATAGCTACGGGATGCGCGCGGGGAACCGTTTCGGGGGAGTAAGGGTAAGGCGTTTGTGATAGCAGGCTGGCGCGGATATAAAAGCTGTTCTATAACACTGTTGCGCTGCGCATAAAGTGGTAAGAGGCTCGAGGATAGCACGGAGAAGGCGATGGGGGAGCTGCAGAAGGGGAGTGGTGGGAGAGGACAGGATATGGTCGTGAAGCAGCACGGGCAGTTGGTGGGATTCGGAGGTGCGGGAGAGAGGCGCGGGACAGGACGGAGGCAGGCACTTCGTAATGAAGGACGGCAGGCAGCGACCACCTGGGCGAGCGTAACGCACGCACCTTGCAAGACCGTGGTGGAAGAGGCAGACTGACGGCGAGAGGCTGAAGGAGTTGGGCAAGACAAAGCTATCCACAGCGGCGGTCAGTCGTCCTCAGGGCTGCCCATGTGGAGTTCCAAGGTTCACCCCGCGTCACCTGACAGCAGCTATTTACGGCTTGTTATGGAGATACTGAGGTGAAGTGGATTTGGCATCGAGTCAAGGATATCTACTGGCAGGCATCACCTATGACATGCATTTTCAAAAAATGGAGTCTGCGATCGCGAGGTGGTTTCTGATGGGCACGATGGTCTACACACACTACCTAGGTAACTATAATACATAATACAACTTTCACATGATGTGTCATCTTCCCAGGACTAGAGCAACAGCGCCCGCGTCAAATATGGAGCTACGTGATCAAGAGATCCCTTGCCTTGCCATGTGCCCATCTCACTATTACCGTTAGCTCCACTTGGATCTACTAGGGAATGAATCTCCCAAAGATGATAGTTACCCATCTTTGTGTGGGTATGCCTCCCCCGGCCAATCTTCGGCAAATTCTCGGCCAACATTTCCCAATCATCATTCATCGCCATCCGCAATGAGACATCCCAAAGTCAGCACACCCTTTCGTCATGGCCTCCTCCGTCCGCGTGCCGACGATACGGCACCTCCTCCGCCAGCCTCTCCCGAACCCACAACTCTGCCAGCGCCGCTGGGCCCAAGTCCACAATGTCCGCCGCTTCGTCTCCACCGACGCCGTCCAGCAGCGCATCCTGGCCAAGTATCGGGATAAGCTAGAGAGCAAGGCTCGCGAGGAGGGACTGCAGGATGTCTCGCAGCTTAAAGAGGTATACAAGGAGAAGATAGAACGCCTGCGGAAGGAAGCCGCCGTCCCTGGAGCCACAGCGCCGCTCACACCTCCGCCCTCCTCCTCGTCACCTTCTCCAACTTCCACACCCGCATCATCATCGCCACCACCCGCCTCCAAGACACAATCGCCATGGCCGGCTCCCCCTCCACCTCCGTCGCCCAATGCCGCTCCGAAACCTCCCCCAGGCGTGAAAACCCTCAACTCCTTCCTCGACATGTCCAAGATCTCTGCGCTTCCCCAGAAAGAGATCGAAGTACTATGGCGCCTCCGACACGCCTCGAATCCACAATCGGTACACTTCCACATGCCATCCACAACCTTTAATACCCTCCTCACGACCGCAAAGAAACACCCTACATTCGTCGTTCCCCTGCCTAAACAGGTTCCCGCAGAGGAGACTACCTCGTCTGAGGCACCGAAGCAAGCCGCGGAATTACATTACCTTCAGTTCGGACATCCTCACCCGGACACAACGACCCTGCTCTTCACTTCGCTTGCCGAGTTCAAGCTACGGGGCGAATTCGCGAGTCCTCATACGACTATTACTTTTCACTCTGAGCTGGCTGGCAGCCACGGCCTAGTGCTGGGCCAGGGAACCGTCATGGAGAATAGGGGAGTTACAGTAGATGAAGCCCGCTGGTTAGTCATGTGCATGCAGAAGTTCTACGTCGTGGGAGAAGAGGGGAAGGGCAGAGGCGAGCTCCTGGAGATGTTCACCCGTGGTGACGGTGGCTTCAAGGTCGAACGCCTTCTTGAAGAGGCTGAGAAGCTTGTTTAATTAGCGATGTTTTGTTACTGTTCTTTCTACGTGTAATAACACCATGTAACTGGCGAAATTTTCCCCGCCATCTTCCTGGCCTACGGGGGCTGGCAACACGAGGATCGGGATAGGATCCAGGAGTTGAAAATCGTAGCATGGTTCCAGTTCCAGGCGTCAGGAGGCTTAGAGGAAATGCATCAAGTACACATATGATTGTCCATTCTTCTATCTATCTTGTCGTGAATATGCATAGTCATACTGCGAATTGAAATTCGTTGCATTTATCTGGGTGTGTGTGGAGCTGTCATGCGGGGTTTTGACTTTGCCAGAGTGGATGTCGTGCTATATATGTGTGGTTTCCAAGCGGGTGGAAGTATCGTAATGGTGTGTCAGTGCCATGTTTCCTGAATATGTGATCTCCGTAGTTTCGGCGACTCTCTTGCATAGCTCCCCGGTTTCGCAGCAGGCGGCCGTCGATAAAATTGAATGAGGATAAAGCGGCGTTAACCTCCTCGACTGCACAGCATACCGGCCTGAATAGTTAATCTTGTCGTACACAGTTGAGTATTTCGTAGCCCTCGAGAGGGCCCAAGCCACGCTGACAGAACCTGACCCTCAGCCCACTAGACAGCTTTTTTGAAGACATTGGCCAGATACTCGTCGTAGCCGACCTTGGGCCAAAATTCTTCCAGCTTGGTTTGGCGAAGGTACAGTGCGCCTGGGACTCGGGGTTCACCGCGGACATGTCGAAGGTACGCTGACAGATCGTACATATCATCCACATAGACCTCCTCATTGTACTCCCAATCTTCGAAGACCCAGCGGCCATGAACCGTCATGTCATCGCCATACGCATCCTTCGAAGGGATCCTGCCCGGTACTTCCTCGTAGTCCACAGCAGCGTACTCATCGCTAACCTTACCATCTTCGATATCGTCAGGATCCCAGAACATATCCATGTCGATGAGGTCAAATTGCAGAGCAATCACTTCGTCAAGTTGAGCCTCGACGTCGACAAATTCAGTCTCTTCCTCAATAGGGTTGGTATCCTCCGACAACGGATTTGCACACAGGGAACAGAGCCTATCCCAATGGGAGAAGGACATTTAGCTTCGAAGATCAAAGGTGGCGAGTAGAACCCTCGCAACTTTGGAAAATTGTACTTACGAGTAAAAGGACGGAGCGGACGCTGGACATGTGCAAGACCGGGTGAAGGCGAGCGTCCTAGTATTCCAACCGTCCGTTTGATAGAACCTTTCAGCCAAGAAGCACGCGAGGTCAGGGCCGAACAAGGCGTTAGCATTGTGAAGGCGGATAGTGAGATGCTTCATCGGCTTCAGTTCGACCAGATTTATAAGCGCTTCTGAAATAGGATGGGCGGGGGAAAGAATATCCCAACGGCAGTTGCCTTCATCGAAACGGTCAGAATACCCCATTACTGTCAGATGCTCTAGCTTCAGCGCATGTCGACAGAGAGCTCGGAGGAAATGCCCAACACGCCTGGACGCCTCTGACCTTGGGCCATCTGCGCGAAAGTAGATACCGATGTTAGTAAGAAACGGCATACTTCGGCGGCTGATTGGGAACCGCCAGAACTTCCCGGGCTTGCCAGCTTTATTTGCGATTAGCGGACTATAGCTTATAGGAGGGGATAACAGACTAACAAGCTCCTGTGCAGAACACAAAGTTGTTCTTCCCGTAGAGAATAGGCATCGCTTCATTGAAGTATTGCCGGCAAGTGAGTAGGACTTGCCATGGGATTGGTACCTCTTCGCTAAACTCCCTCTTATCCAGCGGGCCAAATTCGCGAGCACCGCGAAAAACAGGCTTTGGCCGCACCACAAGGAGCTCCTCAAAGATCATCAGCCGGATCTCCGTAGGTAGCTGACCAAGTACGTCGCTGGGTCCACCGGCTTCGGTCGAGGGCCGTCGAGGTGCGGTGGTCAGAGCCGTAATAGACTCATCGGTGGTAGGACATGCGACGCGTGAAATTGCATTCGTCATGATGTGCAGAGGGTCTTGGGAACTGAAATGAGCGAGTCGTAAAGAATCGTGAGGAGGTGAAAGTCTGGAGGAGCTGGAGATGTGCTGGCAGTTCGAGGAGATAAACACACGCCAAGCCTGACCAAAAGCGGAAAGCACGATTGCATGAGGATCGCAAGGCTGCCTCCAATCTGCGCAGGGGTCAGAAAGGATATTGTACGGACACTAAGGGGAAATACAATTCGAAGGTTAATGCCGAAGAGTATACAACCTGCTTGTCTCCGAGCAAGTACTGGTATGGGTTCTCGCCTACAGTAGTAATCGCGCTGTGTACCTCCTTCCAAACCATCTAGAGGCTTTCAGTCCCATGACTTGTTCTTCTTCACTCTTTGACTCTGTAACTTTTCTTTATAGTCCTACACATACGTTAACCACTGTAACAGTCCGGAAGCCCTTTGTCATGAATGCTCACCTGGCAACTGACCACCACAGCTTCAGGCAGGCTTACGCGAGGAACATATCCTAACACGCGTCTTGCTTTTTCGATGCTCATATACCTCACGGCCGCGGCGTCCCGGACGACGCCCATGCTCAGGGTCGAGGGCTGCCGTGATATACACGATACCCACTCTGCCGTCCAGCCCAACCACCACGCCAGACCGGGCGGTACTGAAATGTTCAGCGAGGGCACATGCCCAAATTCTTTCCAAACGGCAACACAAAAGTCTCGGGCGGAGACTGGCTCTCCATTGGTGATGAAGAAAGCTTGTCCCGCTGCAGTGCCCGATTCCAGAAGGTTGCTGGCTGCGAGAACATGCGCGTCTGCCACATTCGAAACGTACACAAAGTCGTTGAGGTTGCTTCCATCTCCAATCTAAACATTTAGAGACAGTTAGCACCACCGATCGGCGAGATTATTGCATCACGGTCATACCACGAAAGATGTCTCCCCTCGAGCAATGCAATCATGTAGCCGGGGTATGACCGTGGGGTCGTTAGGCCCGAATATCAATGTCGGCCTCAATGAGCAGGTCCGGAAGCTGGATGTATTTGAAGCTAGCACAAGGTTCTCAGCGGCAGTCTATGGTTTGTCAGTGGATAGCAGGAAAAGCTTGGTGGAGATTGGGCAGTGAGAAGTCGTCTGAAAGTAAACAGTCACAATGGGCGAAAATAGCGGATAGATCAGAAGGCTTAAGAATAACAAAAAAGGAAGTAGAGTGATTAAAGTGAGAGAGGACACGAAGAGATATATGACCTTAGCTCTGCCATATGGAAGTGTTGCCCTCCCCGTCGGCCATGTTTCATCTGCATTATGAAAATCCGCCTCGATCTCATCAACCAGCACGGAGAAACTAGAGGTGTACACCAGCCCTTTTGCGCCGTTCCTCTTTGCCGCCTCAAGAACGTTTTTCGTCCCTTGAATATTTACTTCGTATACAGGCCCCGTCGATCTGTTCTGGTATCTCTTGTTGCCAAGATCATACACGCCTGCTGTATGAATCACGATAACGGGTTTTGCTTGCTCAAATGCGTCTTCTAGTTCGCTGGGTTGAAGGACGTTGGCCCGTATATACCGTACATTGGAGAATGTCTCTGATCCAAGGGATGGCGGGAGGTTATCCAGGGAGGTAACTTTGTATTGCTCGGTTTCAACCAGCTTCTTGATGACCTCCGAGCCGAGAAATCCGGAGCCTCCGGTCACAAGCACGCTAGGAACAGTCTTGGACATCTTGAATGACGGAGCAGCCGCTGTGCAGGGTTTCAACCCTTGGGAATCTTGTTAGCGATTATGTGGCAAGCGCTCTGCAGACGGGTCCAGGACAGGAGTTGAAAGTGGAGCCCCAAGAATCCGTTCACCAATGCAACGTGCGGAGAGGAGACGGACCCAGCTTGCAATGGTGTTTAGAGATTGAATGAGCTGGGAATCGAGCGGGATTGAAGGGTACAGAGGGGGTGAAATGCTTGGCGCCCCGCCTGCACGGGGATTTAATAGAAGGATATCAGATGTAGCACATCAATTCAAATTAATGTCTCTCTCCTAAGTCTTTTTCAGGGTCTGCCTTACAAGACAGTGTAAGTGTGATTTACTAGTAAGAGTGAGTCCAGTTCTTCAAGCTCTGCGTGCTGCAGCCAACCAATCACAGACGACGCCCAAAGAAGAAATCAGTCAGAATTCCTTCTTTTGCGCACTTTTTATACGTGTGAAAGTCGGCTTCTAGACTAGCATTTCATACATTTCGGAACGGGAACGAAAATGAGGCTGAACGAACATCAAGGTCGACCCATCCTACACTGCAGCTGCTACACGCTGTAGGGTACTAACCCGCACCAAAGCCGTCCTGTCCCCAAAAATCCTCCTCGTTCCATACTCAGAGCATCATGTGCCCACCTACCACGAATGGATGCAGGACGAAGTATTCGGGAAGCCTCCAGTCAATAGATAAGATCGAACACTAAGCGTTCAAAGGCTCTTCAAGAAGCGACGGCGTCAGAGCCTCTAACTCTCCCCGAGGAGTACGCCATGCAGAAGTCCTGGCGGACAGATCCGGACAAGCTCACCTTCATTGTGTGCGTTGCTCCTCATACTGCGGGAGCGAACGAATCAGCACATCTCGTACTGGAGCGTGGGAAACAAGATGCCCCATCTTGCATGCTCGGGGATGTTAATCTATTCTTGTACCCCGATGTTGCGGATGACGAAGAAGATCCGGACGTGGCAGCGGACGCCAACGGTGTCAAGAGCGGCCAACCAATTCATGACGTTATTGGCGAGGTGGAGATTATGATTGCTGGGCAGCATCACCAGGGGAAGGGCCTCGGGAAGCAAATCCTCTTGACATTCCTGTGGTACATCACCTCTAATCTGACCGAAATACTGGGAGAGTACCGGAAAGCGCACACCAGCGGGAAAGCAGAAACTGTCCTGAAGTACCTAAGAGTCAAGATCAATAGTGAGAACGCAAGGAGTGTCCGGTTGTTTGAAAGCGCGGGGTTTGACAAAGTCTCCGACACGCCAAATTATTTTGGAGAGCTCGAGTTAAGGCGATCAATATCTGCGGATCACATCGATGATATTGTTCGGGAACTAGGCGCGATACCACTCAGTTTAGCGTATCCATAATTCTACACATCTCGTAAATAAGAGCATCAGGTAAATGGTAATAAGTACACGTGATGCTTCATTTCTATTTCGAGATCTCACACACGCCGCATGGCACCGCCCACTCTATAGCTTCTGGTACTCCAGCTTGCCCTCCAACTTCTTCGACTCAGCCATCTTGCGAACCGCTTTGTTGAAGTCGTCCTGGTTGATTGCATCTCTGTAGTCCTTGATAGCGAAAAGACCGCTGCATAGCGTCAGCAATAGCTCGTTCCCGTCACAGCATGATGACTTACGCCTCTGTAACCACATTCCGCAGATCGGCGCCGTTGAATCCGTCGCTCATTTTCACAATGCTCTCAAAGTCGATCTCCCCCTCGGTCTGTACCCCGCTGGCGTGAATCTTGAGAATCTCCAAGCGGCCCACTTCGTTTGGAAGCGGAATCTCAATCTTTCGGTCCAAACGGCCAGCTCGCAGAAGGGCAGGGTCTAAGGTATCTGGCCTGTTGGTCGCCATGATAATCTTTGTTTGTCCAAGGTAGTCGAAACCGTCGAGCTGGTTAAGCAGCTCCATCAGAGTACGCTGAATCTCACGGTCGGCAGAGGTACCTTCCGAAAACCTCCGTCCTCCGATCGCATCTATCTCATCCATGAAGATGATGCATGGCTCGTGTTCTTTCGCATAGCCGAACATCTCGCGAATAAGCCGTGCAGACTCTCCGATGTACTTGTCGACGATTGCGGATGATACGACTTTCAGGAAGTTGGTCTCCAGACTGCTCGCCACAGCACGGGCTAGCAACGTTTTTCCTGTTCCCGGTGGTCCGTATAGCAGCACTCCCTTTGGCGGCTTGATACCAACTCGCAGGAAAAGCTCAGGATTCTTCAGCGGTAGCTCAATCACCTCTCGAAGCTCGCGAATCTGCTCGTTCAAACCACCGATGCCGCCAAAGCTAACCTGTCCAGGATCCTCCAGAGACATGTTGTAGACGAGCGGGTCGACCTCGCGGGGCAGCATTCGCATTATGGTGAGAGTCGTCATATCGAGTGCAACACGGGTGCCTTGCTTGAGCTTCGACTTGTCGACCTTGGAGCGGCAGCCCACGACGTATCTGGGTCCGGAGGAGGCTTTGACGATGACTGAAGTATGTCAGATGGCAGCTTCGGCGACAACTGAAGGTGTAAACCTACATCTCTCCTCATCCAGCTGTTTAAGGACTTCTCCTATTATCTGACCCACACTCTGAAGCGCTTTGATGTTGTCCTCTGAAACGTCATAGTCATGCTGCAGGGCCTTGATCTCCAACCGTAGTGCTTTGAGCTTTGCCTCCCACTCTCTCGACTCCAGCAACTTAGCTTTGTATTCTTCGAGTGCGTGCTCGCGCTCCGGATCTAAGCTGCCGCTCATCGTAATCGCAGTGGATAGAGGGAGATGTTGTGGTTGCGGGAGGAGGCGGCGACGATGATCAATCTACTGTAGCGGAGCTATAGCTGGATTTCAGGATCGATGTTGTTCGCACCGCGACTTGGAAGCTTGTTGCACGTCGGAGATGGGTAAGGTAATGAAGGAGGAAAGGAGCAAGCGATGATATAGTGTCAAGCAATGTGAAGCTGGCCTACACTTACCAGACCAGACCGGAGGCGTGAGGGCGGACGTGGAGAGCTAGCCTAGCTGGAAGGCGCACGGTCCGCTTCCGGAGGAACGTAAAACCGGTCGGCGTCAGAAAATGTTCAATGGCCGACATTTTTTCTGGATGAGCTTCCAAGAGCGCCGTCTGCACAGCTCTTCACCCACGCACGCCCAGCATGTCCTCCTTTTTCACGGTCCCGGCCTCGCAGAAGAAGCGCAAGCGAGCCGATGCTGCCTCTGCAGCCTCGAAACGACGAAATGTAGCTCCGACGACTACACAGCTTACCAAACGACCTCGCCAAAGAGAACGGGAGGAGTCGATATCGGGAAGCGAAAGCTCGGATGGCGAGCCTGCGCATGCAATTGAAGAGGAGGAAGAGTCGGGCTCCTCCGGGGACGAAAACGAGACAGCGGCAGATAGGAGACGCCGCCTGGCCGAACGATATTTGGAGAACATTAAATCCGAGGTGCAAGACGATGTGGGCTTCGATGCCGCGGAGATCGATCGGGATCTTATTGCAGAAAGACTCAAGGAAGATGTTGCGGAAACGAAAGGCAAGGTGTATAGGCGCATTGCGGAGAACTTGGATCTTGCAGGGGCATCGCATACTTTTGGAAGATCTGGTCCTCACCGAGCAACGCCGACTGGCTGTGCTGTGCATCTACCGTACGCCTGGATTATTAGCAAGGAGATGTTCGTCGAAAAGTGGGAACTAGCAGATCCCAACACCTGGAGGAATCCGGACCCCAATAGGCCAACGAACATAACCCCTCGCACGAAACCGAGAAGGCTGTTCTGGAGAAGAGGAAACTCGAAAAGAGCTCATGACCGCGATTACCTGGGGCATACAGGTGCAATTCTCTCGATAGCTGTATCGGACTCTGGAAAATTCCTCGCCACCGGCGACGAGACGGGTCGATTGGTTATCTGGGATGCAGACACCCTGACTCCCAAGAAACTATTTACACAACATCGAGACGCCATAACGTCGCTTTCCTTCCGCCGCGGCACGGAGCAACTGTTTTCTGCGTCGGCAGACCGCACAATCAAGATATGGAGCGCTTCAGAACTCGCGTACATTGAAACCTTGTTTGGGCACCAGGACACAATTCTAGGCGTTGCAGGTGGCTTGGAGATAAATCAGGAAACTTGTGTTAGTGTCGGAGCCCGGGATCGAACAGCACGACTGTGGAAAGTGGTGGAGGAGAGCCAACTCGTCTTCCGAGGAGGTGGAACCGCGAGGCAGAAGGGCATGGAGAAGCTGAAAAAGGGTCGCTTTGGCGGCTCTACAGCGGAGGAGGAGAAAGTAACCACCGATCACACCAACGGTATGGCTCCGGATGACGAGGATCCCCCCATTGCATATGCAGAAGGATCCATCGATTGCGTGGCGTTTCTCGATGCCAGTCTATTTGTGACGGGCTCCGACAACGGCGCGCTGTGTTTATGGTCTGTCCACAAGAAGAAGCCTCTCTTCACGGTTCCATTGGCCCATGGACGCGATCCCCCTATCCCCCCAGAGGAGATGTCGACAGATGGCAACGTCACAGCACCCCGTTTACCCAGATACATCACTGCGGTAGCGACTGTGCCGTATGCCGATTTGATCCTCACAGGAAGTTGGGATGGCGTTATCCGAGCGTGGCGACTTGGCCCAGAGAAGCGCAGTATCGAACCTTTGGGCGATGTCGGACGTCTTGCTGCTGAGGAACACGCTGGGATGGTCAACGGTGACAGCACTGCCAAAGTGTCTGACCGGAGGGCAGGCCCTGTACCGGGTATTGTGAATGGATTGACGGTTTGTGAAAGGGGGAACAGGGGCAAAGACGGGGTTTGTATTGTGGCCGCCGTTGCGGAAGTACCCAGGCTAGGGCGTTGGATGAGAAAGGACGTTCACAATGGGATTGCGGTACTCGAGGTGCCAAGAAAAATCACACATGGAGTTGACGAGAGCGAGGATGAGGAGGATGCATCATAGATATACCCCTTCGGTAGCAGTATCCCATATTTTGAACATCACCTGCAGTTTGCCTCGAGCTGGGGCTTGTCCACTAGATCGATTCAAATGCGACAAAGACAAGATGGGTATGGGATCGCTATGCAGCAAGATTGAAACATGATACCCGCCAAACCAACTATGCCACAGATATATTGATGATCTTGATATCCTCCTGCGGCTTCTCTTTGTACACCTTTGCATTCTCAATCTTGTGCACGACATCCAACCCCTGAATCGCCCGGCCGAAAATCGTATGCTTCCCATCCAGCCACGGCTACTCAACGTTAGCAAGAGCAATCATGGAAACAGGCGTACACAACTCACCGTCTTCTCCGTCGTGATGAAAAACTGCGACCCATTGGTGTTGGGCCCCGCATTCGCCATGCTGACCGTATACGGCTTATCATGTTTGAGCGTCGAGAACTCGTCCTCGAATTCCTTGCCCCAGATACTCTCTCCGCCGGTGCCGTCGCCCAGGGGGTCACCCGTCTGGATCATGAACTTGCGGATGACGCGGTGGAAGATGACGTCGTTGTAGTATCCGTTCTTTGCGTGGGTGACGAAGTTTTCGACCGCCTTGGGGGCCGCCTCGGGGAAGAGGCGGATGGTGATGTCGCCGTAGGTGGTGTGAATGGTGGCCGAGGTGGCGGAGGCGGCTTTTTTGGTCTCTTGGACGGCTTTGGCGTTGGCGTCGCGGGGTCGTTCGTTTTGGATATCTCGCTCGGATTTGGAGACGCTGGACAGGGTTAGATATTAGTGGGCCAAATGTAGAATCAGGGCAGTAGAGGCGTAACATACCTGTCGTTGTTGGTGAACATGTAAAAGCGGACCTTTCCAGACCCGGTGCACACCAGCATGGCATCACGCGCCTCTGCTTCTTGAAGCAGGGGATTTTCGCTTGCGGCCATCTCTACCGTGACGACGCCTTTCTTCTCGGGTTGCCCCTGATACAGTGCTACATTCAGCGGGCGTAGAGCTTCGTCCTTGCCGTATACCTTGACGACGCGGTTGGTCAGCGTATTGATGACCTTGACGCCGTACATGGAACCGTAAAGAATAAAGTTGCCCGTCTCGTCAAAGATGACGTTCATCCGGGAGCGCATAGTGGGATGGTCTAGCTCGCGCTCTATCCCTAACCGACGGCCAAACTCCAGGTCTTCCAGTTTCTGCAGCGCGGTCCCTGCTTGCAGCATCTCTGTAATAGTCTCGATGGACTCGTCGTAGGTCCGATGGAGTTTGCCCGAAGCAAAGTCGAAAACTCTGACCTTGCGATCCGGGAACGAGAAAGTAGCGAACTGCTTTCCTGTAGGTGACATTGTGATGGAAGAGGGTACACTTTTGGACTGCTATGGTTAGCGACAGTATTCACAAGCGGTGAGGTCTCAGGCACCTTCTTGAACTCGAACAGATTGGTCGAGCTTTTCATGGAGAAGACATTGTCTGGTTTCTCATAGTTTCCGCTCGGCCGCCAGTATTCCAGCATGCCGCCCTGATCCACCGAGACGACGCAATCGTACTCGTTGTTGTAGGCCATCAGTATCACCGGTGCCCTGTGCAAGCTCTTCAACACATGCAACGGCTCCTGGTTCTCCCCTCTACCGTCGTATATCCTGATCATGGGGTTCTCGTCCGAAGATATGGCCAGCAGCGGAAGCGACGCCCCTCGCCCATGAACCCAGCACACGGCCTTGGGAGCATAATCCAGATTCAGCATGGAAAGCAGGTCGAACGTAGCCACATCAAAGATCTTCACAGTGTTATCCGACCCTGCCGTAGCGAAACTCCTCCCATCTGCGCTGACGCTGACCGACCGAATCTCTCCATCATGCGCCTTGAACTCCTTGACGAACTCGATGCCGCCAAAATCCTTCTTCCAGAACTTGACGACGCCGTCGACGGAGGTGGTGATGAGGAATTCGGTAAAGGGGGTGAAGACGGTGAAGGAGAGCTGATCTCTGTGCATCAACGACCTGAAGTAGCGGCCGGCGGAGGGCAAGGCGGCGATGTAGAGCTTCTCATACGGAAGCTTTCGCTTTTTCCTCTTTGGGGCCGAGGCAGGGAGGGCAGGGCCGAAGTCATCGTCAGAGGAGGTATCTTCTGTGTATGGGTAAGTGGCATGCGCATGGCGAGGGGTGGGAACGGTGTACCATCGTCAACTGCGGGCTTTTGCGGAGAATCATCTTCCATTTCTGAGCGCGATCTTTTCGCCGCCTTGGGCGAAGGCTGTCTTTCCGAGGCCATTTCTGTGAGAGTAGCACTGAGTTGCGCGCAAGAATGGTGACAGCTGCGTTGATAGGGTCGCGAATTCTTGCCAATTGATCTTCCGGAAAGCTGGGGTGCGGCAGAGTTGCTGTGGAGCGCGTCATCACGTGCAAGGCGTGGGCGACTTGCCAAGCCATACTATTACTTCATCCCTACAAGATGTGAACCTCCATACGAACGGTTGCTGTGAAGTTAATAGAGGAGAGAGGAGGCACAGTTGAGCTACTCTGATAACATTGACAGGGTGAATAGAACTTCTGATATCCCGTCGACATGTTGCGATCATTGCTATGGTATCTTATATCGCAGGCATATATAAACTCTTCAGTCGTTCAGCAACTCGCAGCCAGTGCAACTTGATAAGCTTTCCCTGCCAACTTGTTGGTTATACACTTCAAGATGGAACTTCTGCGTTAAGGAAGTCGATGCTTCCACCATACGGAGTACTCACGATATGATTGATTGAAGGCCGGGATGTGCTTCGGGGCCAGAAGCAGACGCGGAAGCGGGCATGATCGGCGCTAAACTAAAAGCAGCGAACTGGCTTGGGTGAATCTGTGGAGGCCTCGGGTATGCACGCCGCGCCCCGGTTTCCATGTCAAAGCCACGCCGTCATGACGCTGCATCACCCGCAGCAACCCAAAAAAGACGACTCATGCGTCAACAAAACACGTCGGGCGATGGGGGCTTATCCATCTATTAATGGGCGCTCAGTGCGTCCTCCAAAAGGCCACGCACTAGGCAGTAGACGAACGTTGCTGGTTTCTAGAGTGCGGGGGAAAGCGGTGACGCGTCACGAAGACAACTGAGACCTCGAGGTGGGTAACACCAGTGTGCCAAAGGGCCTGCCAGAGTGTTTCTCGTCCGCATTCTGCAGCCAGCGGCGGTCTCTGAGCTGAATGCCATGGCCACTGTCAAACCGGCTGATAAAGTAAAGGCAGAACAGAACCGGGAGCGGGGTTGCTCTGTCTGAAACAATTTATGGCTGGATGATGATGATGGAGGCCGGGCAGGCTGGTATGTTTACGAAGCTGGGGTGGCAGGATAGCATTCCTGCAAAGAGTTGCTGCGAGAACCACCAACTGCGCAAAGCGGCATCCCGAATTTCTTGTTTCCTCAATATCTTTTTGATTCCTTGATGAATCTGCAGCTGCACGGAAGCACGGGAGCGGAGGCTGGGCGCCAAGTTCGCCTGGTGGTCCGGGCAACCGAGTTTATCAACCCATCTCGATTGCTCCGGCGGTGAAACTTGAAAAATGGCTGGGCTTCGGGCGCGCCCGCCAATTGCAGGTTTGCCCGGTGTGCCTGCCAATGCCTGCTTGCTGCTGCCCTGGAGGGAAGTCGCGACAAACACGATAAAACCCTCTTGTCTCCCCCGCCCGCGGCCGCTGCACTTCTCTTACTCTTCTCTTCTCTCCTTCACTTGCAACAACCAAACAGCTGTACTCTCCGTATCATAACCCATTGCATCCCCGCTTTGTAAGTCTCCTGCTCCACGGCCTGCATATGCCGCTGCTTCGGCGCGGCTCTCCGGCGTGCCTCAATTGACCATTTCACGCTGTCTTCGCCCTCTCCTCCTGCACCTCCTCGTTGCTACACACCCTCGCTGACCACCCCGATACAGGCATTGATTCCCAGCAAAACATCCACACCATGTTGCTCTCCTCTCTCCTCTTCGTGGCTTCGACCCTGTCCCTTGCGGCGGCCCAGAACGAGTCTAGCAGCCTGCCGCCGGGCATGCAGCCGTGTTGCCAGGTCGATCCCAACGTGATTCCTCAGGACCTGCGCAACTCTTGGTGTCTGGCCCAGCGCAACACGTGCCCCGAGCTTTGCGGTGGTATCGGCCAGCTTGCGCCGAAGGGACAGAGCTGCGACACGGTAAGCCGCTTTTTCTCATGTGTCGCATCCCGCAGGCATGCAAGGGACGCTAACCTCGCATGTACAGAACACGCTCGAGTGGACGTGCGAATGCCGCAACGGAACCAAGCCTGATGTCGCCGCATATCAGCAAACCGTGCCCGCCCAGATGTGCCGCTTCTGGTTCGATCAGTGCATCAATGCAACCAACGAGAACCTCGAGTACCAGGTCGAATGCCAGAACCAACGGGACCAGAAGTGCGGTAATCTCACGACGGATGCCTCCAAGCACACCTCATCTTCGGCGTCCCCCACTGCCTCTGCAACAGGCACTGGCAGCGGCGGTCAGGAGTCGCCCTCTACCACTGGAGAGGCCCCTGCCTCGACGAGCTCGCCCGGTGCGGCCTCGACGCTGACTGTTGCCCGCGACTATGGCACCGTCCTTCTTGCAGGCGGCATCGCTGCCATCTTTGGACTCGCCCTGTAGGGCGCCTGGTGGCGTCGAGGGACGGACTTGGGACCTTGGAATGAGATGGGTGCTTGCGCGACACGCCGACCTTATTTGCAGACTTGTATTTGGTGAAGGACATGTATTTCCGGAGCCTGGGTGAGTCGGACGGAGGATAATGGCATTGCGTGTCTAATAATGAGCGACGAGTAATTCCGAGGATGACGTTTAAATGGACGGGACGACATGACGATGGGAGGATGATATCCAAGTATGACGATAATAATTCTGCAGCGAATGCAGTGCGATTCCCCAAGCTGGATTTGAGAAGTACGATGAGCCGTCTTTGTGATGTATTTCTTCTGGGTGCGAATCATGTCGCTGCGGTGACATTGGCTAGATGGTGCCCAGGTGGACGAGGTCGGGGGACAGCTACGAATCGAGCCCTCATTGGCCAATGGCTGTGCGCATGATGGTGTCAGCGTGCTTTATCGATAAGCATCCGTACGCCAGGGCTGCAGGGGATACTTTTTTGCTCACGTGTGTGCCATTCCCCCAATTCCCTTTGATGGCTTGACTGCTTGCTCTTCCTCTCACCTTTCCTCCTCCACGCCTCCCTCTCGCCTCTTCTGCTTACGCCGACCGGCTCGCTGCTCGCTGGTTGTGGACTCTCTCTAGCCACCCCTAATTCTCCTTCACCTGCCACGTCTTTCGCTCTCCCCGAAGCCGAGGCTTGCCGTCACTCCTTCCGCTTCCAGGGCCCCCGCTGAGTTAGCAGTCGTCTGCGTTCTGGCCAGTGCATTCACCTCGTCCTTGCATCTGCGATTGAATACAATCCGCTCCTGCTCTTACCTATAAAAGTGGCCTCCTCAATCCTCCTGCGGTCTTCCAGCAGGTTGTTTCACCAACTCAACTCTCGTCTCGGCCGCCTCCCCGCCATTACTCCCGCTCCCGCAACTACCAGGATCCTGTCGACGTCTACAAATATGGCTACATTAGCAGCTCAGAAGCAGCACAAGGTGACCATTGTCGGGTCTGGCAATTGGTGCGTATGATGCCCACTTTTTGCATGCGGAACGTTTTGGCCCTATGAACTGACACATTGATAGGGGCACCACCATGTCCAAGTTGGTTGCCGAGAACGTGCAGGCAAATCCTCATCTCTTCCAACAGACTGTGCAAATGTGGGTGTATGAGGAGGAGTGCATCATACCCAAGGGTTCGCGCCACTACGATCCTTCGTCGGACATGTCCACGAAACCGCAGAAGCTTTCGCACGTCATCAACACACTACACGAGAACATCAAGTACCTCCCCGGTATCACACTCCCTTCCAATGTCGTAGCGAACCCCGATTTGCCGGCCGCCGTCAAGGACTCGACCATCCTGGTCTTTGTGCTGCCCCATCAGTTTATTCCGCGGGTGTGTGATCAGCTTGTTGGGCATATTGTTCCTTTCGCACGCGGCATCTGCTGCACCAAAGGCGTGGATGTGAGCGAAAAGGGCATCAGGCTCATGTCAGAGGCGATCGGCATGCGGCTCAACATATACTGCGGAGCTCTTTCGGGCGCCAACATTGCCTCCGAAATCGCCCAAGAGAAGTATTCCGAAACCACTGTCGCCTACGACCCTCCACCAATGGACTCCCGGCATCCGACACCCAAGGTCTCGCCATCGTCTTCCCAGGTCGATCTCATTTCTCCAAGCAGGGTCAATCCAAGCTCTCGGTCAGCACCTCTAATCCCTCTCCCATCCGATTACCCTCCGCTTTCAAGGGAGAACATTCGTAAGCTTTTTCATCGGCCATACTTTCATGTTCGTATCGTCGACGATGTCGCTGGTGTATCCCTGGGTGGGGCCTTGAAGAACATCATCGCACTTGCAGCGGGATACGTCGACGGTCTGGGCTGGGGGGACAACGCCAAGGCCGCCGTGATGCGTGTCGGTATCCTAGAAATGGTTCGGTTCGGCAAAGCCTTCTTTGGAGACAGTGTCAAGACGGGCACGTTCACCGAGGAGAGTTGCGGTGTTGCCGATGTCATCACGTCCTGCATGGGAGGGCGGAATTTCCGCTGCGCCAAGAGGTCCATCGAAACAGGGAAAAGCATCTACGAGATTGAGGAGACTGAGCTCAATGGGCAGAAGTTGCAAGGCACCAGTACAGCGCATGAAGTTCACACCTTTCTGAAATCTCAAGGGCTAGAGGCCGAATACCCGCTGTTCACGGCAGTCTATGGTAAGTGAAGACATCTTGGAGCTTATGATTGATGAGCTTACCATCCGTCAGACATTTTGGAGGGCAATGTGAAACCGGAACAGATTCCAGAGCTCATCGAACCCAAGGATTAGGTACTCTTCGAGGGTGGCGTGTGAGACAGCCTGATTCTCCATCGACTATACCTCCTGACAAATGCTAAACTAATACACACTACAATTGCGTTTCATCCATTGTTCACTGAAGTCAAAGTTGCAGGTCACGCCATGGGCGGCTTTACATCGTCCTGGGATAACACGGCTGACTCGTTTGCGATCGCTTCGCATGCATAGCGGACTCCGCCATCCTACGCACTGAGTTCTGCCGGAGGAAGCCAAGGTTTCGGGTTCCCGTAAGCCTCAGCCGGATCCCTGAAACCTGGGCCCTCGACAAGGTTGGTCGCTTGTTGCTGATATCCTGAATACTGGTGGGATGCTGCTGAGAGTTCTGGGGTGAGTTGAGAGGGTTTTTCCATTTTCCTATCCGCTTTCCTGTCCTTCCCGCGCCCTCTCGCCCAGTAGATGAACACCAGGAATGCGAGTAAGGCGCTGAGACTGCCGATTACGGTTCCGGCAATGGCTCCCCCGGAAAGTCGAGATGAAGCTGTTGCGTGCTCATCTGAGGGATTGGACGGCAGGGTGGCAGACGATGAGGAACTAATTGAGATGGCTGGATTCGCCGTGGTCGCGGCGGAGGTGGTCGATACAGGTGCAGAATTGCTGTGGCCTTCGGATCCGAAGAAGAATCCAGAACTCCAGAACTCCAGAACCCCCCTCCTGCTTGATATTTTTGTGTACCGCGAGGGTTCACAACCCTAAAGTGAAAGGGCATCGACAGGTTGGTGTAGATTGGAGAGGGCCTGATGGTCCATGCGAATTCCTTCTTATCCGTGTTCGCTGCAGTCGGGCGGTCAACATTTACACTGTTTGAAACCATTTACACCGTTTGAAACCATTTACACCGTTTGAAACCATTTACACCGTTTGAAACCATTTACACCGTTTGAAACCATTTACACCGTTTGAAACCATTTACACTGTTTGAAAGAGCGACGGGTGGTGGGATGCTAAGAAGCGTGCCATCTTGAGCGACATGTGCTTACCAGCAAGCAGCTGCGCGGTATCGTCGTCGTAGAACTGCGAGTAGAAGAGGTTACTCCGCTCATACGAGGTATTCCATTGAATGTATATCAAAGTCCCGATCGTCCATGTCGGAAACCCCGACTGATCTTTATCGTCGGCAAGGTTCGGGGGGAAGATGAAGGAGCCATCTGGATAAGGGCCTTGCGCAACAACGTTAACGAGCCAGCAGGAGAGATAAAAGAATGTACGACGCTGCATCAACATGATAAAGGGAGAACAGAGGGGAACGCTGACGAGAGCCGTCGAGCTCTGGCTGATACGCCTTTTGGTCTTCTGCAGCCATCCTTTGATGGGGCTATTCTCCTCCGACCTCTTTGGACTTAAATTATGCCAAACGGGGCGTATTTTCTGGTAGTAAGATCGGTTCCCTCACCCCCCTGCCCTTGTGGGCCGTGGTATAAGTATGCAGCCGCTAGACTGTGCCACAGTTACGGCTGTGCATCAATATCCATATTGCGGAGCTGTACACAGTAACCTGGCCATCCGCACCTCTGACTATCCAGGCAAGTGATTCCCGATGGGCAAGGAACAGCCTCCCAACATTTCCATGTCGCGGGCGCACCCGCACGAGACGCACTGCGGCTCGCAACTCTACACCCATGGCATCATAGACGCCGCCCCCAACGTTAGCTTACGTAGGTACACGCGTACGGGCCCAGCGCAATCCTTCGGACTGCATCTTGGTTTCGTGGAAAAGACATGACTGAGCGCTGTCAGACATTCACCCACACCGGGCGCTTTTATGAGGAGGATGCTGGTACACCCGAGGGCGCCATCTTTGGGGCGTTTGGTCCTTGCTGTATCCATCTTCTATTTCCTCTACTTTTTCTACGGGTCGTTTGCGCCGTCTGGAAGGCGAAAAGGAGGGGGAGAGGATGCACACTCCAAATATGCTCCAGGAGAGGATACATCGCCCGCCGCACATGGCGTCACGGGAACGAAATGTGCACGCTTCGCGCCTGCTGAAGACATGTTGGTCGTCGTCAAGACGGGCGCCACGGAAATCCACCAGAAGCTACCGATCCACTTCTCCACCACGCTCTCATGTATACCGCACTTTGTCATCTACTCGGATTTGGAAGAAAACATCCACGGCCATGAAGTACACGACGTCCTCGCTTCCATCAGTGCCGACACAAAGGCCAGTAACAAGGACCTTGCCTTCTACAAGAGGTTGCAAGACTCCCACCGAGCCGGCCGCCATCCATCGACCCTGCAGGGCAAGGATATCGGCCAATTGGCATGGAACCTGGACAAGTGGAAGTTCATCCCCATGATGGATCATGCTCTGCGGTACGCATCATCCCCCTCCACCAAATGGTTCTTCTTCATCGAAGCCGACACGGCCGTCATCTGGGACACCATCTTCGCCTTCGTCTCGCGCTTCGACCCAGATCAACCGTGGTACATGGGCAGCCCCGCCTGGATCGGCGACGTCGAGTTCGCCCACGGCGGCACGGGCTGGCTCATGTCGCGGCCGGCCGTCGAAGCCGTGGCGCGCCAGTGGCGCGACGACCAGGCCGGTGTCGAGGAGCTGGTTGCGCGGCCGGAGAACTGGGCCGGCGAGTGCTCGCTGGCGCAGCTCCTGAAAAAAGCGGATATCGGGTTGACGCACGCGTGGCCCATTCTCCAGGGGGAGACGCCGTCGTCGCTGGATTATACGGAGAATCATTGGTGTTTTCCCGTGGGGACGTATCATCATGTCAATGAGACGTGGGTCACGGATATCTGGGAGTTTGGAGAGGAGTGGGCGGGGGGGCATGAGGATGTGGTAGGTTTTCTTTTTCCTACATACGACTTTGGTTGAGAGATGGTGTATTGGCTAATGAGAGGCGTGTTAGAAGAAGGAGCCGATGAGGCATCGCGATGCGTTTGACCATTTCGTGTATCCGCATCTGGCACCTGAACGCCGAGGGTGGGATAATCTCTGCAAAGGAGGAGACGCCGTCACTCTGAAGAGCGTGGAGGAGTGCCGCAAGATGTGCGAAGCGAGGCCCGCGTGTCTGCAGTGGTCTTTTAAGGTTGGGAAATGGTGGTCTTTTAAGGGCGGGGAATGTAGAAGTGCGGATGTGGTACAGCTGGGCGAGAGTAAGGAGGGGGCCGAGGAAATGGTGTCCGGGTGGATGATGGATCGGGTGGATCAGTTTCGGGAACGGTTGAAGGGGTGTGAAGGGAGGGATTATTGGGTTCCGTAGGGAGGGAGGAGGGTTGGAGCGTACAGCGGTTTATGAGTGGGTGTATATATGTATTTGTACCTGCGAGAAAGTCGGGGGTTTCGGGTGGGAGGGGGGAGTTGTGATATCCGCCCGGAGCGGAGCTATAAGGTGAAGCTATCCAATGTACGGAATTGGAACAGTCCTTGGGAGATATAAAGGAGTGACGTGCGGAGAGCGACCTCTGGAGTTGGGACTCTGGTTCGAGTTACGGAATTGACATGGAGAACTGCAGCTGGGGAAACCATTGATATTCACGACGAGAGGATAACGTTGCGACACCAATCTATTCTCAGGCTTTGCTTGGCAACGGTTGTGCGGTCGAGGATCCACAATGCTTAACTTGACGACCGCCTCGGGTTAGCTTAGATCTTAACATTGCTTTTTCGGAGAAATATTGTGCATATCCGTATCTTCCCATGTGTACCGTTGTGGCAGACTTCCCAAGGTTCATCAAGCGAATGTTTGGATAAGAAGTATTCGCCGTTCATATCCCTCGACAACCCACTTCCAGCAGGATATGGAGACGGAACTCTTCACCTTTCTACAAAAGAGTTCATCGAACTAAGGTCATGAGTGACACGCCGCTCCCGCAACTGGTTCTAGTCGTCGTTGTCTCGCTTGCACTTTCGCGATTTCTTCCTGGATCAGAGATCTCGACTCGAAAGAACCGACTGCAAGAATATCTTCCATGCTGTTCACCATTCTGCAACACAACCGCCGGAGGGATGGTTATGTCCTCTACACTGTCATGGACGAGATTGAGCGTCTCATCCGCTGCGGTCTGTGAGAAAAGAGGGGGTTTCCACTGTGGTGGCACGCGTATTTTCCGAGTTGAGATTGACTGCGGAGCGGGAGCGATAATTGAACTTGTACAAGCCAGGGTATACGAGCGTTTTATATCAACCCAACCCGGGGAATGGATCGACGTGCTTCGGAAAAGGAGGTGTTGGACACCCTCTGCCGTACGCTGAGCGTGGTAAACCGCATGGTTCGGATGCCGTTGGCGGAAGAATGAGAGCGGACTGCGGTAAGGTTCGACTACCCCTTGATCAACGACGGAGCAGAGAGAGGGTCAAGCAGAGACGGTTGGCTGAGGTCAAGTTCGACTGGTCCTGGCGCAAGATCGATGGAACGGTTCTGGCGAAGGTGAGGGCGCAAAAGCTGTACGGTAGCGTACGGTCGAACACTGCAAATACCCTCAGATGATGACAACACCGCGCACTATACAACGCACAGAACCGTGGATACATATAGATCCCTTCAAGGGATCGACAGTCGCAAAGGGGAAGAAAGCCGCCGGAAGCGTCAGAAAAGCGCAGCTGGAACTCGCTCGAACTGCGCAGGCAGCGAACCGTCACCAGGACCGATGGGAAGCGCAGTCCGGACTGGACCTTTTTCAGGCTTCGCGGGTCAATTCCAATAATAGAGAGATGCAATGGCTGACTGGAAGTCGGGGTAATAGAATATCTTGATACCAATGAACACACGGATATATAACCGCTGGACAAGTTGGCATGTCTGAATTTCGGCCTCGATATTTGGGAGAGTGATAGGCGGGGCGCCGCTGTGTTGCACATTGGATCCTGTCGTGAAGTAACTGCGGCCTAAACCAAAAGATTTACTGTTAGCCAGGAAGGTTCAAGTCTGGGCGGGGTATGTGACACAGCGTCGCAACTTCTGTTTATGTCCAAGTCCTCCAGTTGCTCAAAGAGAAGCCAATTCCACAGAAGACTCTACACTATGCATTGTATATCATCCTCCCGTACCGCTTGCTCACTCAATCTCCTCATGATCCCGCCACGGCCAACCCGTCCGAAAAGCCATCCGCTCGTGCTCATCATCGCAAGCCTGCCACATTTCCTCTTTCAGCTGTTCATGCTGCCTTTTCGCCTCTTCATAATCCTCATTGCTGACCCATCCGTCCTCAGTCATACCGCAAAGCCTCGTCCGCCACAGCTCCACACCCATATTCATATTCACCCATCGCTCCTCCAACTTGGCAAAATCATCCATCTCCTCCTCGTCGATCTTCACGGGGCAAGCGATGCCTTCGACGTCGGGCAAATGCTGCCAGAATTTCGCGGCTAGGAGAATCGTGGATTTCAGCGTGACTAGATTGCCGGACCACTGACGGCCGGCCCTATCGACCAGCATTTGTCGGCCGATCAAGAGGGGATCGCGTAGAGCTGCTATGTGCTGCTTATTGAAATGGCCGTTGAGGACTCGATAGCTCCAGAAGGCGAGGCGTCGTCGATAGAGCTCTGTCGCACCAGCCTTGTCGTTATCATCCAAAGTCTGCAATTCCGGCGGGAGTCGGGGCTCTTCCAAATCGGTTGGCCATTCCTCATCCGGGTTTTCGAAGGCTGGGGGATACCCGGCTGCTAGAAGAGTCGGTTGAATGAATGCGTGCTGCCAATCGATTAGGCACGAAACCTCACCGCTTTTTGGTGATATGAAAATGTTACTGTGCGTAAGGTCAGGGTGGTGGAGAATTGGTGTGTTGAAGGGGTGTGATGGAGATTTTGGCAACAGGTGGGGGGTCAGAGACTTATAGTCGTCGAGAAGTCGGAGGTAGTCGTTCGGGTCTTGGACACCTAGGCCCAGGCAGTTGTGAGGAAAAGTGGGTTCTGTTGGCTCGCCATAGCGTCGCGTCCATTCGATCTCCTTTTGTGCGATGGAACGGAGGTAGGCTACATGATCGGTCCATGGACCACGGTCCAAATCAAGACTGGCCCTTCGCCCATACCAGAACATGTAATCGGCAATAGGACCGACGCAGAAGGTTTCTGTCTCGGGACGTTCTGCTACGAAGTTGGCAGAGTAGAGCGGCGCCTGAAGCTGCAAAGGTATATCTTTCTTGGAATATAAGCTACCAGTCGCGCCGAAAGCGATTTGGAAGAACTTCTGCTCAATGTCCACGAAGCTTTTGGTCACCTTCCGTATTTGGCCTTCGGTGAGAGAAGTCCATTGCGAAGCTAGTGATACTCCCGGCGCTTTCTCCATAAAGATGTATTCAGTGCCAACTGGATTGTCCGATTTTGGCGAGTATCCGTACATGTGGGGAACAGGTATGCCTTTCAGCCGAAGAAACGGAAGAGTAGCGGCCTCACTCGCAGTCGTATAATAGTCCGGTTTCGCCAGCCGATATGGCACCTTGGCGATTAGTTCGAAGCCGTCTTCAAAAGTTAGAAGGAACACCCGGTTGAAACCTCCCTCGGCTCGCTTCTCCAGACTGCGGACCTGGCCATGTTTGTTTTCTACTGCGGTTTCGGCTGCGAGCTTCAGACCAGCAACGTGAAAGACAACGTGACGGTCCTCAAGGCGCTTGGCTTCGTTGAAGAGATAACGGCCTGATGTGTATGAAAATAAAGAAGATTGCGGATCCGTCGAATCTAGTAAGATTAGATCTATAAGCTTGACCGTTGACTCTTTTCAATTAAGGTGAAGTCTGGGGATTTCGCTTACCCTCCGATTTGGCTTGCGGCGTTGGCCATTGTTTTCTGAGAAAGATGGAGAAATCCCGCTGCTGCGCTCGGGAACGTAGAAATGGTGAATACTGGCTGAGAAATGGGCGAATACACCCCCGAACACACTTCATCTGCTCCACATATATGGACGCTATGGAACAAATAAGCGTGGGGTTCTGAATTGGAAAAGAGGATGTTGCGACGCGTTCCTCGAGGTCACAGCTGCAGCTGCAGAGGGTGTTACACTGGTGGAACGTGCGCAAGGCCTGTGCGACATGGGTGAATCTGCATGGTATCGTGTCTAAGTCAACACCTATTTTCGAAGCAAATCAAAGCTTTTGCATGATCTGGTGAGAAAGGTTAACGACTTTACTTGTGCTGATTTGTGTCTCCTGTAAGAAGTTTGGAAGTAAGCCCATTGCAATCAATCCAAACTGCGCTTGCAGCATTAACATTGAGCGGATAAACAGAATCAATTGGATACTAGAGAAGGACGTAAACATTTGACTGGCTTCATTTCCTGAAACCCTGGCTATTCTGATTCTTGAAGGTAGAAGTTCAGGACTGCGGCCTCCACTCAGGAGAATACATACTCCTCGGGCGGTGGTGCCGTTTCTCTTCCTCCGCCAGTGCGCCATCGTCCTCTGAACAACGGCTTCAAGGCTGCAGCAGAGCCGGCAATAATACCGCATCCCATTTCCACTATATGACACGTGCCCAGTGCCGCTCGACCACCCAATCCTTCCTCGTTATGTTAATGAATCGTGAAACCCAGTGCCACGATAGTTGCAATGCAACCCACTCCTCCCAAGGACAAGAGCCCCACGACCGACAGCTTTGTCCTCCTGGTCATACTTGAATTCCACAACATCTTGATAGGCATGGTGGCCAGAAGGATATCCAACACGACCGACATGCTTGTGACGAAGTAGCTGTACCAGTCCACCCGGATGGGCGGGTGTTTGCCAGACTTATCATCCTCCCAGAGAGAGCTAAGCGGAGTCGCTTGAGTCAAGATGCCGATAAGAGTGACCATAGACGTAAAGACTGTCGCAACAATTATCCCCAATAAGGTCCGCCGGTTCGTTCCCTGGGTAATGGTAAATCGAAGGAGTTGTGCCGCAATGCTCGATCGGATAGGACAGAGGGATACAGCATAGAGAAGCTGGACCAGGACAACGAACAGGTAGGGTTTGCGAGACTCGTCTTCGTGGTAACCAGCGTCATGTAAGTGTTCCGTTGCGATCCCCATATACGCGCCCGTGATGGCGCAAACAGTCGTTGCCGTAAACAGCATCTACACCAGTCAGATTATTCCCCCTGCTAGAGGCGCGTACTTACGGTTCCCATTATCATCAAAAAGTCATCGATCAAGAAAACCTTGAGTCGAATCCTGATGAAGGACCTGGCGATCACGACTATCCAGGATGTAATCAGGAGGATAGTGGAGATAATGGCGACGACCAGGGCCTGGCCTGGAAGGGGGTTATTGTGCATTGTCAAGTGCTGGATCTCTATCGTGAGGTTGGAGCGTTGTTGCGAGCACAAAAGACTGAAGGCGTGTGGCAGAGTAGCGGTGGAAGGCGCGCGAAGAGTTTGAGCTAGACTGTAGTTGGCGTGAGGTCTCCTTCACTTCGTTCGAGAATTCGTGAAGGTGAAAGATTGGCTCCCGCCTCGACGGGTTCGGAGTTGAGCACCCATTCCAGCTGGAGTGAAGAACACGGGCTCCCTGGAACATCGAGTCGTTTGTTGCACTGTATGCGTCCTTCAGCATGTACAGAGTTCAAGTTGGCGCACCATGCTTTTGCGGTGACGCTCGTCTCGGAATTTTCCTTCGAGCGAGGTTCTCTCATCATCCCTGCAGATGATAAAGGATTCTAGTGGCCCTTCTTACGAACTTGTAAAGTAGTAAGTCAATTGGATTGGGAGGCTGTTTTTGAAATTCCGATTGCTAATATGTTTTGCAGTTTAGGCAGTTGTATAGTCAGTCCTCCCCTCGGTGCATATCGTCTCCACACATCGGCGATTACTCGTGTATAAAGTTCTGTCTGGGAGAGGGAGAGGGTCTCTATGAAGGTTTCCAAGAGAGTAGTAGAATATTGCAGCGTTTCAGGAGTTGTAGCCTGATCGAGAAAGTAGGAACAAACTGAGATTCTGGTCTACTGCAAGTGTGATCGGTCAACGCTCTGCAAGAACAGAGCCCCACACTCTTGGATCTCTTCAAACCGAACAGTCCGCAGTGAGAATGGTTGCTATATAGAATGCAGATCTCAATTGGATCTGTTATTTGCGTAACCGGGATTCGGTGTAGAGAACTTGGAAATGTGCGGTTCTGAACATGCAGATGCGCACAGGAGAGCTCGCCGGAATTCTTATTGCACGGGTGCGCTTATTCAAGTGCTGGAAGTCTAAGACGAGCATTTAAAGGATACTCAAATCCTAGATGAGTGTTTCTTTCCTGCAAACGTCAAAATCCCAGAACGCCCCGGGGCGGCTGTTTTATACCAACTGTAGCCCCAGAAGAGCCCTTTGCTTTTGTGCAGTTGGCTAGAAACTTGCAAACACATACTGTAGTTTGTCGCAGCACATGACCTAGAAATGTAGTCCAATAGCCCAAGCAAATACCAGATTACGTTGGTACCCCAGTAGATTATACAACGGTGCTAGGGTGCCGAGCGCCTGGCACCTCTATCCCGCGTACCGGGATGACCGCATATGTCGTGTACCTGTACACGACATTCCACAAACTTGGTGTTCCGCGACCCCGAATTACTTTTGCAGCCTTGCACAGACCATTGAGGTAACGTCACGTCACATTGAACTCCTAACCTGTCTGCACGTCTGGTCAAAGATAGGGTATGCGAGTTTGGACTGCCTGAAAGCGAGTGCGCGAGGGATGGCATAAAAAATTCTCATCTATCAGATGTGTGGTGTCGAGTTTGCGCAAATTCTTCCATCCGAATATATCATTTTCTGTTGGGGATTGGTAGTACTCGACGCATTGCGTTGGAAAGCTCAGAGGAATGCGTCAGTCAACCATCCCCTAACACGAACACTCTAGCCTTCGGACATGTTGATTTCTGAACATGGCGACACGCAGCTTCCTACCCAAGGGGTCCCTTTCAACGCCGTCACAATCATAAGTTTCGTCCGTTTTGAATATGCTATGGCTCCCCAAACATATATGTTGGCCAAGTATATCTGGATGCGATGCAAATCAACTTATGCACTGAGAGCCGCTCGATGCCCTAATAACTCGAGGGATTTTATAACCCGCCTTTGGACCCACCATCTATGCACGTGTTCTTCTGCTATGTTCCTCATGAAATATATTTGAGCCTTCCAATCTTCTTAACATGAAATTCTCTTGCAGAACAGGAGACAATTTGGAGAAGGCCAAATGCATGCCACGGCACACTTGAAGGCTACGGTACCTGTCCGTAATCTGTAGCCGATTACCTACTTGTACAAGTATATACCAGGCGTTGTGATATTGACGGCCAGCTATGCATGGCTTCGGCTTTGCAGATCGTGTGCCCGCTTCGGCAGCTTGGCTGAAGATCCGGTCCCTGTTGGCAAGGGTGCGAAGAAAAGTTATCGGAACGTGCAGCCTCAAGCTCAAGGCGGTGCGCTTGACTCTTCCAAGGAAGAGATCGACTTTATTATGTTTCAGAAGAAAATAGTAGCTACGGAAATGCATTGCTATGTCCCTAGATGAAAATTTTCCTCTTGCACAACACTTCATTATTGATATATCTTGTTGGGGTTTCATAAAGCAAAAAAGGTGGGTCGACATGGTCCGAAACAAGGACGTCTCAGCACAGGCGGAGGGCGAAACTGCCTCAGGTGCATTGCAATTGACTGAAAACGTTAAGAATACCATTGGGTATCCGAGTTAACAAAAGAGCGAATGTGGATTGAAGATAGCACTTGGTTGCACCAGTGAAATGTAATAAGTACCCCCTGAGTCAAGGACGGTGAACTCGAACGGTGGAGAGCTTGGAGAACATTTGCGCAGCTCGCTGTTGGCATTATCTTCGGCTAGCGTCGGAAAGGGCAGCAAAGCTGATGAAATTAGACCTTACGCGAAGGGAAACCTTACAAGTAGATACCAATCAATTGCTGCTGCTGTAGTGACACCAAACCGGCGGTGAAATTTATGTTTAATGAGATGGGTCTACGCTGGAGGCGATGGGTGCAATGTAACTTATAAAAGCGGGTCCTTGGCTTACTATGTGCCATTGCCGCCGTTTATTGGACCGCGAGCACCTGTTTTTAGGGCCGATTCGGGAACGCTGTGGATCTCGCACTATTGGGAAGGCATCAAATTTACGGGAGCCAGCTCAAATGCAATAGTGGAGGAGGGGGGCGTAGTGTCATGACCAAACGAGCCTGGGTGCGTCTCTGTTCATTAGCTAATGGACACTTCAAGACAGAGTATTGACATTGGATTGACGCTCCGTAACGGATGGGTATCATTTAAACATTAATCTCGCGTGACCTATTTCCAGAAGCTCATGCTCCTACATGACATATGAGACTCAGTTAAAAAGAAAGGAAAGAAAGAAAGTGAGTGCGATCGACGTGTGCCTGACCAGGTGGAACGGACCAGGCAGCGTCCTCGGGGAATGGTAAGCAACCTTCATCCTCATATGAGTATCGAAGGGCAGAACCAGCATCGCGGATGGTTGCCATTGGGAAACCAGCTTTGCCTTGGATTTCCCATTATCGTAGTTGCGGCTGTGGAGGCGAAGTAACAGATGGGTGAGTCAAGTTCGAGATATTGCCATCGGAGTTATTCCTCGGAAACGTCGAGGATTTCCGGTTCTCGATATCAATCTCCACCTCGTTCTTCACATGGATTCCTCCATCAAGGATGGCGTCTTCCATAGACATGCTGGCTCGGCGCCTTCCACCTTTGCCTTCCGAGTGGTATTGATAGGCACCCATTACGTTCCTACGTCTGATGACGGATGAGTTGAAAAGGGACGGGACATATTTGGCAAAGAGCGCGCGCAGTGTGGGGAGCGAGGCGCAGATGATTCCAACGTTGAGCTCTATGGTTGACCAATATGCTGTCGCCGGGTTGTCCCATGTCATATCGCGGGTTACGGCAAGGCTATAGAGAGCGTGGAGACGGAAGATAGAGGCAAGACTTGCGCTACACATGCGTCAGAGGGGTTTTGCGGGACTTGATGAAAAGGACTCCACTTACAAGCCTCCCAAGCCAAGAATCAGAATCAAGATGACCTTCTCGCGACGTTGCATTGCGAGTTTTCTCAGCATAAAGACGGGTAGCACGACGAGCGAGATGTCTTGGATGATGTTGATTCCCGCATTGACATACCAAAGGGTGGCTTTGGGGAGGCATCGACCAGATATTCGGTCATCCCAGAATTTTGCAAGAGGGATGCAAGTCACGAAACCGGTGAGGAAAGTTTCGGCACAGGCCGCAAGGACAAAACCTAGCAGCAGCCAGCATACCTTGCGCATGTTCTTGTCGACGGCGATCCGCAGATACTGTAGGATAATGGAGGTTTTCGTAAGCGAAAGCCCCAGGTTATATGTTATGATGCTGGCCCAAAGCGCCTGAGGACGGTGTCAGAATATCTGTGCTGATTGTGGCCGTTGGTGAGGGATCCGTACCTTCAAGGCCGCTATGCCTTGTTCCAAGGTAATACTCTGCATATGACGTCCCATGCCATTGATTACCTCTGATATGGATCAGCACAATGCAGGAGGGATTGGGAGTTGAAAGTTGAAGCGTACGGAATCCTTGGCATACGGCTGTTGCGATGCTGAAGACCTTAACAGAACATCAGTAAGCTGGTGTGGCCCCAATGAAGCCTCGGGCGGCTTGACTCACCATAGCAGCCAGAATTGCCCAATCTTCCTTGGACGCGTTGTTCACGATACTGATTCTGGTGTACAGTCGGAGTAAGACCACCAAAAGGGCCAAGGAAGGGAAGACGACGGCAATGGCGAGGAGTACCGGTCCCCTTGATTCGGCGAGATACTCGTCGGAAAAGGTTGGAGGTGGTGCGGCCATGTTTGAAAGGATGCGATTCGCTTGGTTGCTCAAGACGAGCTGACTGACGAGGTGATTGAGCTACGGCCCGGCACTCAGTATCACAGCGAGGAAGGAGGCGTAAAAGGATGATATACTCCGTACATTCCAAGGTCTTAGGACCAAGACGCCGATTGCCCTTATTTAAGCTTGGCCGGGGGGAAGTGGCGATTTGGCGCCGATGTGGCATGGCGTGCCTGAATTGATGGGAAAGGGATCCACAAATCCTGGACGACTGGACACAAACCAGACCCAAAGCGTATACCAAAACGGGGTCTTGCTTCGCGTCGCTGGGATAGAGTTTTGATGGTTTAGTCGGTGCTTGGTGCACATGTGCGGCTCGGAAGTTATTCGACGTACGCTAAGCCGTAGCTGTATAGTTCATTCCGGCCACGCGTGGGGCGAGCATGTATGTTGCCGGCGATCCATGGTGGCCGCCCACTACTGGTGGAGGTTCCGGGCGTCTGAGTACACAGTTCAAGTTCAAGTACATCTGGAGCTTCGGCTCAGACCACTATCACCCCTAGCCATGAGGTTAACTTTTGGGGGATGTCGCCTATAAGTCGTGTATCTGTCAATATTAATGGGGTGGTCCTGAACGTCTCCCCAATTACGCAATTCCTTCCCCCAACGCCTTTGGTCACATCCAGGGACAATTATGGATTCTTGCCCAAGGTGAAGGACACTGGGATCTGCAATCCACGAGCATCGTAGCGCACCGGGCATCTCGGGCACACAGAACGACGATCGTGAACTCGCGTGGGGAAAAGCAATTTTGCGCAGTGTTGCAAGGTCGGGACGGCCACGATTGGTGTATAGGATGGCATTGCTGGCAAGTGGACTGTGAGGGGGTCGTGTCGAAAGTATTGGAGATTCTATTGGCGTCAGGATGTTCTCTCTATGTTCGCGAGCGGGGAGCGACAAAGGGGCCTTAGGATCCGGGCTGAGTCCAAGCCGCGAAGTCTCGCGCGATGGGACAAAGCTTAGCGTCATTGATTCAACAGCAAAGGAGCAAAAGTTTCGGGAGGGGCTGCGCTCAACAGATCGTCGCACGGAGTAGGAGGACGTTAGCCCAGTGGCCGAAAACGCCGAACTGCGGCGGGTGGCCTCTGCTTCTGCTTATTCAGAGTAGAGGAGTGTTGCGTTTGCCTGTCGTGGCCAAGTGGTTGCGCTTTTAGGTTTAAATCCTACCGTAAAGGTAGGCGCCGCAAATAGCTCTATTCAGAACAAGCAGTCAGACTCCGTACTGTACATGAAACTTTTACCTCCTCCCTAGCGAGCAACAAGCTTCGTTCATCCCGCGAAGAGCTAGCAGCACGTCGCCTGGGAGAGAGACCTTCTATCAAGTCCGAACGCAAACCTGCAGGGAGAGCCATGATCACCTGGAGACACCATATTCGAGCTCTTCCCCAGGTCAAAGTTACCTTGCGGTTTCTCCGCGGTTACGGGCGAAAGGGATCGGCAACCTTTGAAAGGGCCACATGTGTGCTCCAATGTTACCGTTAAGAAGAGGCTCCTTCTGCGTAGCAGATAGTTTAACTGTTTGCGCGTGGTTCGATTTTATATATCTTCTACATCTAATGTCCCAAGGCACTTCTAGAGGATTCGGATCTGTGAACCAAGAAGCAGGAGTGCCCAGTATTGCCCATCATTTTGCAGCCAGTGACAGCATCTCCGTAATGATCCTCTGTCCCAGAGGGTTTCATGGATGATCGGGCAAATATATGGGACCCTCTTCCCATCGGCGAACAGATCGGCCTTGCTACTGACGGAACAACCCGTCTCCTGATCGCTGACAATTTTATTGCAAACCTTTCATGTCACTAAAGGTAGGTCATAATTTAGGCTCCGCGTAAGCTGGCCCTAACCCCTCCGTCGTCCTGAGTTAAGCCGACTGCCTACACAGTACGGAGTACTATAGTCTATCTGAGGTAATGAACACCACACCTAGAATGCGCCAAAGCGGCGGAAACAGTATACAACGAAGAGCTTCCGTGGCTAGTGATGATGGACATTGAAATGAAACAGCCTTCTCTGCGGTCAGTGTCCATCGAGGCCAGGGTCTATGGAAATATAGTGCAGATGGAAGCAGTCAGTGGATTGGGCAGTATAGCCTTTATCTTAGCACTCTTGAGATGGGAGGTCGTGAGTTTCTCCAGTGACTTGTGGTTGCTGAGCTTGCTTACGTAATGTCCAGACCGCAGGTGCGGCTTCCAAGACTCCGACGCGTTGATTTCACGTCGGAAGAGTGAGCATGGAGACTTCGCAACAATGACTTTCTTAGCGCCCACGCAGATTAACTACGCTTTTTGGAACGACATTCGCGTCATTGCGATTCATCGCGCATTGGACTGCATGCAAATACGGAAAATATGTCGGTAAGAGGCCAAGTTCGGGGTCGCGGTAACCGCGGTCGTGGAGCAGGACGTGGCCGCCGTTCGATGCCCGGAACGATGATTGTACGTAAAGCTCCCCTCACTTCCTCATGCCGTTATTGATAGATATAAGTGGGAATGGGAAAACTACTCCCCTGGTCCTGAAGTCTATGACTCTCTTTTCCACGTCCGCGAAGCTCCACCGACGATCACCCCGACTCTTCCCGCCGCCTGTCCTTTACCAATCCCACAAGCTCAAACACGCATTTTGGATCGGAGGGAAACAGACGATGAAGTCAAGAGATGGTATTATGTGGTGTCGATGCGTGCGCCTCCCAGCCAACCAGGGCAGGTAGAATGGCGAGAGAAGACAAAGCATGTGGACATCAGTCGCATCCTGAAATATGTGTCGCCTCGTGAGCTTGAGAGGTTCGAGAATGAGAGATTCCGCGAGGAGGCTGAAGTTGAAGCCATTGTGAAACGGGCCGAGGAAGAGGAAAGGGCGAAACGCAGACTGCAGAGGAATGAAAGGCCAGCGGCAATTGCAGTTGCGGTGCCTGGTGTATATGGGCGTGGGCGTGGGCGTGGGCGGGGAAGAGGAAGAGGACGAGGACGAGGAAGAGTAAGGGCGGGACCAGGCCGTGTGGCCGTCGTCGTACCGCGCTATCGCCCGCCGTCCGAAGAGGAAGAAGAGTATGCGTCTGTCGATGGGATGACCAAGGCAGCCTTCTCCAACGCCTTACAGCGGACCGCTATCGACGAGCCGGGTATTGAACAAGAGCAAAGCGAAACCGAAGAACAAGACGAGGGACAAGAAGTGGTAGGCAACAGGCTCATCCACGCTACGTCTCCTGTCATGCGCTCTTCCTTTGTTTCCAACAGCGCTCTCCCTTTATCACCGTCCACACAGCGAGGATTTGACACCGAGGTCATACCAGAGACGGAAGAGTCAGAAGAGGAGTCACCACTCATGCGCTCATCGTTCGTCGCGAATAGCGCCCTTCCCATAGGTCCTTCTATGCAGCGCGCGCATCACACTGGGCCGACAACTCACGCTGAGACTTCTGACGACGACGTCGAAGTAGATGAGAGTGCCGCTGTGTCTCAGCAGCTCCTTTCTGAACGTTTAGCCCGCACTAGAGCGAGAGATACGTCAAAGGAAGATTCTTATGAATATCACGAGCGGCAGCCAAAACGTCGCCGAACTGAGAGTGTAGTGTCGCTACGCAGTTCCCCCAGTTCTGACACTAGTGTCTTCAATCACAGAACAACTGCACTACCAAGTGCACATCATGCGGTAGCAGAGTTGCCAGCAGATGCTCCAGTCACTGCCTCTCCGGTTAATGGCACTTCCTTGCGAAGCAAAACAGCGGATACTGGTAGCACAAAACCCGACGAGGGAGGTGGCGAGGAGGATGACGAAGAGTACGCCGTTGAGGCCATTCTCTCTCACACATATCAAGACGGCGTTAAATTCTACCTCGTGAAGTGGGAAGGATATGATGAGGCTTCGGACTGGTTGCCGGAGGAGGACCTGGGAGGTGCGGCAGAGATGGTAGCGGAGTATAATGAGAAGGTGAGGAGAAGGAAAGGCAAGAAAGCCGCCGGATGATTTGGTTAGGATACGACAGCAGGCATGGAGAGCAAAGTTCTATTAACGTTTTTGCAGCCATTTTGATGATACCCCTAATATCCAAAGCAATTCTGATTTCAACGATCTGTGCTCTATGTGTGTTTTCCAGAGAGAGCTATTATGCCACCAAAAGCTGTTACATTTGGCATACTGTTCTGCTCGCTGTACAGCCATGTCCTGATCAAAATACCCTGAAATCCAGAGCCTAGCACGAGGAGTCGTGACCGAATAGCAAGGACGACGATGGTCTTTCTCCAAAGATGACGCACTACTATTGCATCCAATTTATGCCCCGAGTCCCTTCCCCGCTACACTTACTCATCTACCTCGCTTCCTCCTGGTGGCCTTTATCCGCGATTCCTCAGTGCCAAACAGCGCCCGATGCTCATCCGCGAAAACCGCAGGCCGTAACCTCTGCGACCTTGGTGCTCTCGTGACTGCCGAGCTCTGTCCTGGGCCACGTTCGTATAGATGTTTGACGAACGAAAGCAGGTAAACCGCCCGATCTGTCACTTGAATCGGTCTCTTTTCCATGTACCGTACGGCAGATGTGTGGAGGGAAACGCGGCTGTTCTTGGGACGGACGTACGAATCGAACTAGCTGGAATGAGTAAATGCCATGTAAAAATGAGTTTACAAGGTACCATCGCCACGAGGTGTTCCGTTTTATTCATTTAGCCCAACGTGAAACCAGCGCTTTCTGAGTAGGTGGGAATGCATACGAAGGCTTCCTTCGAGTCGGTGGTCTCGGACTTTGGCGGGGAGCGAACGTTGGTTCGAGGATGAAGTTTGTGTGCGATATAGCTCTGTGGACATGTCAGTAGGATACAGTTTGAGCGTCTGGAACGTTTATCGACTGCGCAATGCGCTGATCGACGGGCGACGGCTCCATTTTCGAGTATGAAGTGGCAGATCGGGTGACATAAAATATGCCTTTGTTTCTGTGGGCTACACCTTGAGACTTTTGGCATGGCTAAAGGGGCGGCCTGCAGATAGTCGTGTGCCCACGTATTGAATGCGGTCGTGATGTAGATTGACGGCGTAGAAAAGAGATACATACGAATGCGGGTCGGAAGGTGTGGTTTCTGGCTTGCTCAGTTTCTGCCGGCTCAGCGTATTTAGGACATACGGACTGAAGCGGGCAGGAATTCCTGTTATGAAGCGAAATCCGGCGTTCCTGTACGGAGGGAGGCCTGAGGTGATGATGCGTACGTTGAAGTATTTACGGTGGGGAGGAAGGAGAAGTGCGGTGTAAAATGATAACAAGAGTCTGAGCGCTAATGAGCAACATCTTCTTGAGGGAGAAGCTGTGCGTAAAACATGCAGAAGCGCCCGGTATTGAGCCTTGAAGCAGCTATGCAACATGATGGATATCATCAGAGCGCGTCGAAACAACACCTGGGCGGTCTGCGTATGCCCGTATGAACGACACTAAGTGAATCTAACTCCGTCAGCTTGGGCTACATGAACAATGGAGTCCTCCATGGACCCGAGCAGGGAGGAAGCCACTAGGAACCGTGTCTCCATGCAAGAAGGCATGCACGTGACTGTGAATGCCGACTGGAAGCTCCTCGGTGCCCGCGCAGGCAGAGGCATACTATCACATGACCTGAGGACGGAGGGACAGAGTGCCGTATAGTGCATGACCGGACTGAGGGCGTGCCGCAGAGGCTGCCCCGGGGAGCGGTGTTGTTTCCCCCGCCCCTCGTGATGGAGCTTTCACCGCACATCAGTGTTTGTCTGCACATGCCCTGCTCAGCGCACCTCCCCGGGCACACCACACGCTCCTATCCGGCACCTTGTATCCTTCACTATGTGTGATAGGTCCGCTGAGGGCCCACAAGTTGTTAGTCAGCCCAGCTCCCCGACGAGTATATAAAGCCCTCCCTCTCCCGCCCTCCTTCTCCTCTCCATCCAAGTGCACGGGCACTACGCAGGCCAGTGAAGATTCGTCTGAGGCTGCGTTTTTGCTAGTTGAAAACTACAACTAGACCAGCTCCTGTTGGCCTTCGGGTCGGCGGGGAATTTTTGGCACAACCTTCAAAGACTTTTCATTGATTGGCATGGCTTGACTGTGCAATTGAGGAAGAGCAAAATCATTTGGGTGTTTGAGAACTCTAGCGATTGCTTCAAGGGTATTGCTTCAATGTCGCGTCGCGCGCTCCAGAGAGGCTGCTCGCACAGCTTCCATTGTTTACAGCCGGCCCCGGGGGTTTAGGCGCGGTTCTGCTGGTGATTGCTCCTGTATATACCATTTGTTCAAGAGACTCTTGCCGTTGAAGCGCGCATCGTCATTATACATCCTTCCTACTTTGCCAACGCCCGGGAAGGCGGAGCAACAGCACAGTCCCATTGTTTACCTTGCCTTCCGTGTCCTGCTCATCGCGGCTATACGTGCCTCCACCGCTACATATGGCAAGCCAATCCCCTCTTGTAAACAGCAGATCAAATCCATTTGCCACATAAGCGCGGCCCTTCTTCTCGTTTCCCTTTGCGTTGTGGCCTCACTGGAAACATTGGAAAGGTTTGTCGAATACAGTGTCCCCCAGTCCGGCATCACACTTGGAAAGACGCGAAAGACTCTTCGCCTGACTCACCGTTACAAGAAAATACCGAGACGGAAAGATCAAGCGCGTCTTCATACCGTTCTCATTCGGAATGCGAACAGCTACCCGTTGGTCATGATCGTTTCCGCACCGGCATCCTGGCATTGCATCTCATCGAGACAGACTCTGGCGTTCTGCGGCGACCTCAATCTCCCCATGTACGCGGCGCCCTCTCATTCTGACAATATCTAAATCCGAAGTCCTCGATTGCAACTTGATACCTTACCCGTAAGAGAAGCAAGTCAAACAATGCCGCAAAACGCGTCAGTGGGACGGTGCCAGTTCGCCCAGTGGGTTTTCCGTATCTGTGTGTTTTGGTTGCTCTATCTGACTATAACAGGCATTCCAACCTGCTCTACCAAGAACATCCTCTCCATAGCATCTTCCTCGCCGATCATACTCCCGCCTTTGCCCTTCCGCGCGTGCATTCGCCTCTCACGTCGACATCGAATGCGTTTGGAACCGGGCCAGACACCATCCAGAGAGATTGCGGTAACATGGGAGACTGCGGGAGCGTACCATTCGCTACATGGGCAACGAAATTGATTTGGCGTTGGGAATATCACAAAGAAGGCAGCACTCAGTGAAAAGGGAAGACATGAAGATCTACACTCGTGAAACAATATCGGAGCTACTCTTTTCTGCTTCTCTGCTCGTGCGAACCAAGACGACACCATATGGATCGGCTTTGTCAAGAAACAGTCGTATACACCGTGGTGGCCATCTGGAATCCCTGTGAAGTCTCATACGGGGTCGAGGGCTTGTGTAATAGCAACTGCATCCAGGAGCGCATGAGGACATACTGAGCTCTAATCAAATAGGAAATAGGCATTGCATGGAACTCGCTTCTTCCCTCGCCTTCCCTTGATCCACTATCCGTCTCCGAAGCCGCCCTCGCTCGACGAATACATTTCTACTCACGAACTGGAAGACCACAGCAAGCGCCCTCGGGAACCTGACACCGCTCCTTGCTCAGCCATTTATGACTCCATCTACAAGTCTTCAAGAATTGACTAGACGTGAGCCCCGGTGTGGCCGTTATTACTTGCGATCTTACAATGGACAAACATAAACGGGCAGCATGGCCAGTGGGTTGTACGGCTTCCGTACCTGCATCCGCGGGAACGGATGGCACTGTTTTGGTCTCTACCATCGTGTTGCGAGTAGACACACCCATTCGAAATCTGAAAATTGACAGACAAGAGTGGAAAGCTCGTGGAGTGAGCGTCGCGGGCCGTTGCGCGGAAGAAGGACGAGGTTTCTGCGTCTTCGATTTGAAATGGTATTCTCTTCCGCCGGATTCGCTATGCCTCTTTCGCCTGCAACACTAAAACGCCGTTCTTCTGGTCTTGAAGGCATATTTGGTCTTCCTCTACCTGCAATACGCTTGCGATTTGGCTTCGATGTCTAGGTCCTCCGATGGAGCGGCAGTCTTCAATAGACACTGAACGAGGAGTCTCGCTCATGCTCCCATCTCGCAACACATGCGGAGGATAGCTGAAAGCAAGTTTCTTCCTCGGATCTCTTGCAAGCCAGAGATTCCAATGAAAAAAATAGGGTCTGCGAGAAGTGGTGCAAGTTTCTTGCAGGTCAGTGGGCGTGTAATCACGGGCTGACATCGGGCAGAAGGAGCGCTCATGTCACTCGTCCTGGACAGTGGGCAAGCAACGGCTTGGGCTGTCTCCGTGTGGAGGACGGTGGCACTGGTCAGGTGTCCACCGGTCAGTGGACAGGCGAATTCCTGGGCTGACATCCGGAGGCAGGAGGATGAACCGAAGCTCACTTTTCTCCTGGTCAGTGGGCAGACGGGCTCCGGTGAGCTCGCTGGACTGGACACCGTGCGATCGAAGACAGCGAAGAGCTGGTCAGGCTCTCCGCTGGGCCAGTGGACAATGGGAGGGAGGTGTTACGCATCTGCCATTGGGCTGGCCATCGGTGGCAGAGGAGCAGGCCCTCCCTGGGCACTCTTGACTCTGGACAGAGGTACAAGCGGAAAGAACATGGTCTCTGCTCTTTCCTTGCCCCGGTGGGCTGCTTGGCATGTCAACCGGTCGGTGGTATGTGGAAACTGAAAGACAAGGCTCGTCACGGTCGAGCTGGGGGGATGGCGAGCGTGGTGAGCGAGTCCGTGAAGGGGAAGGCAACGATGAGCACGACGGGAATGACCAAAAAATGTAGTAGCGTGAATGGGAGACCATGTAAAGACAATGTGCGGAGCTAAAGACGGAGAAGGGGAAGAACCAGAGAAGATGTAGAAGGTTGCGGAGAAGAGAGGGAGAAAGGAAGAAGAAAGAGCGGTGATGAACAACTTGATATTGGAAGCAGCTCGCTTGCTAGCGCGGGTCCGTGCGCGCGCACCCCTGCTCCGATCAGCGCAGATTGCCAAGGCTGGACCTTCGGTGAAGACGAGAGTACGCTTTATCCCCAATGGCCATCACCAAATAACGCACACTGCGACGAAGCGATGAGGAAATTGAAAATGTGTAGCAAGGCTTCTCATTTTTATCAGAGCCACTGTGCCGTCCTCGATCACCGTGACTTACCTCCGGGTTTAAGAGCTATGCCAATGTATGGACCAGCAGGTGTACATGGCTGTGCCTCGTGTACATTTGAATACATTTGCAATGTGGGAACTGGGGACGAGTCCCAATGTCTTTACGTCATGTACAAGTGCTCAAGCGGCTGGTATCGGTTTACAGTCCGGAGGTCAGTTCTGTTCTGGTGAAAGTCAACCTTTCACCGAGCAGTAATCTCATCTGCCTATCTTCACCAACCTCAAGTTGACCGAAACTTACTTTTCCTCCCATCATTGGCCGCATACCTACCTCAGCTTTTGCGCACAACCTGCCCAATTAATTCCTCCGCCCGTTCAAGCTCTCGATTCCAGCAATCCGACGATGCAAGAAAAGAAGCGCGCATCAAGCACCAGCCCAAAGGCATCCGTAAAGAGACCGCGAGCTCCGGAGCGCACACCACCGCCTCAAATCCCCCGTACCACTGGGACAAAACCGCCTCGCAAGGAAGTCGGACTGCCTGGGACGGGGCCTCCCGCGGCATCAAAAAAAGCGAGACCTACGCCTGAGCCCGTCACTCGGAGTGAGACTCTTACAAACTCCGCAATCCTAGGACCCAAGCCCATTGAATCTGTCTTCCAAACTTTCCCGAGGGAATTGACGGAAAGGATTTTCGGCGGAGTAAGTCCTTCACGTTCAAAGCGGTTAAGGTATCCCGCTAACTGTGACCTAGTTCAGCTTCAAGGAAATCAGAGAGATATGTAAAGGCGGAAAGCTCATGTGGCTGATGGTTACGCCTTATCTATACTCAGTAGTCATCATAAGTCCTTTGGCCATGGATGTAGCGGCGCTGGACCGATGTGGCCGATACTACGAACATACTCGAGTGCTAACGGTGCATATTCCGCAAGCCGAAGTCACCGATCACTGGGACCACGCCGAAAGCATTTTTCGGCATATGATAAGATATATATCCAATCGTACTTTGAGGGTCGTTTCGTTCACGCCTGCCACGATACTCAACACTGCCACCTGTCGTACTCTTTGCCAGCTGTTGGAAAAGGCGACGCAAGTAACGAAGATTTATTTACCGCCAGTCACCCCTCAAGAGAGAAGCAACAATGAAAGAACAGACCTGAATGCCTGGGTAAAACTCCGACGATATAATGAGGATGGAGAAGCAGACCTTGACCTTGTAGTTGCTTGGAATGCTGACGTTCAATTACTGAAGACGATATTACACCGGGAATCCTCCCAAATAATTTCCATGGCAATCCTCGGTACCATTGTGACACCTTCAGATGCACTGAACAATTCCCTTGCAGTACTCGGCTACGATAGAAATAATCCTCTGAACGTGAAAGAGCTTCAGCTATGTCGTCTGGACCTTACGCAATGGCACGAAACAGAGCCAATCCTCGGCCTGAAATCCCTTCAATCTCTAGCTATGCACGAATGCATAGATGCAGAGAACGCTATTGAATCTGCATCACGAGAGGCGTTGAAGCTGAAGCGTTTTGTCCTGACGAACATATGTGAGTCGTGGACCCCTACGCCTCCGCAGCATAACGACACAGTTCAGGCTGGCAAGGAGGACGGCTAGCATACGGAAACTCCACAGCCCAGAAGCAGTTTCGCCACGGTCCGCATTCACGGTCGCTGTATTCGTCGCCTGTTAAATTCATGCTCTGAATTGGAAATCTTGATCCTACACCGGCACTTGCCTTTCAAAGAATTGGATTCAGCGACGTTGGTGGCCTCTTTAGGCGCGAAATTAAGAATCCTTTCCATACAACTTGGGGCAGAAAGATTTCTGAATATTGAGGATATCGTCGAACTAGTGGACCGATGCCCTAAGCTTGTGGGCTTAGGTATGACAATCGGTCTGGATACCAGACAATGGGCGAAACGAGGCCCTTGCATATCGGCACCTGGGATTCAGAGACCAGGTTATCTATATTCCCTGAAGGACGTTGCGGTAAGTACCCAGGTTTTTGAGATGATTAGGAAATCCCTGACTGTCATAGGTCCCTCTCGCCACACTGCCCGATTTCAGCTACTTTGCAGCATTCACGCCCCTTTCCAATGGCAGCGCGAAACAGCTTCCTACCCGGGATGAGGACTTTGATATGCGATTGTATAACAAAGCAAACTGGATATCATCCATGCTTCGGTCAAGAGGACTGCGGTCCTCTTATGTATCCACAACCTTCCGAAAGGTGCATCTTCGCTGGGGTGAAAAGCTTTTACAAACCCGCCATTTTAGCATCCCTGACTCTGGAGGGCCTCAGATGGTTAGCGATATGTCTTCGTTGCAAGAAGAGCACAGGAATATTCTCAAAATCCTTGAAAGCACACCGGTCCGATCGCTACAAGACCTTGCGCACTCGCGCGGTCAGGAATTCCAAGTCAGAGGGCCGCGGGACTTTGAGACAATTCTGTGAGTAAGCTTGTGATTCTATCTGGAGGCACTTCCCGCAAGTCTGTGGTGGAGAGACAAGAAGCGGCTTATGCATGTGGCTGTTAAATGGGGGGGATTAAGGATACAAGCCCCTTTGATACTATACATGTCATCATAGATTCTTGCGAATGTATCACGAGTGCAAAGGGATACTTCCAGGAAATATATGCATGGGTTGGAAAATGTGAATATCTGAGCTAAAAGCAAAGTCCTCTGTCTTGCCGTGGTCGACAAGTTAGGCTGGGGAAACATGATTCCTCACCACCCCCTCACACGTGTTCCAGGTGACCAATGAGCCTTCGGTATACTGATACACGCCATTGGCTTTGCGTTTGTACACATTGAATTACATCTGTTCCTGGCTCAAGAACCCGGTTTTTGTTCCTCCCCAAACCAGATCCATTACTCTCTGCGGGCAGGTCCGGCTCCGCATAATTCACCATGGAACCCATACTGCATCCGATGCTCCATTCAAGTATTGTTTAGAAACTGGACTGTTGAAGATATGGCCACGATCCAGCATCCTGCGGCATTTGGCTAGAAATCACCTTCCTCGGGTGTACGCCTACGCTTGCGACTGATCGTAGGTGATCCTCCAGAGACCGCGACGGAATCTCCTCCATCCTCTCCGAGCGAGTGGGTGTCCACGAAGGTTTCCTGCTGTTCATCCACAGCATTGAGGCTTGTCATTCCGTGCGACTCGACGTCGAGGCGATTGTCATGGGCGTCATCAGTTAGGTCGATGACAACCTGATTCTGTTGTTCTCTTGCGGAAGAAGTTGTAGCCGGCATGTTGGCGCTCATGTCGTTGACGAATTTGCGGCAGAAATCAAAGATTTCATCAATATTTCTGCGATCGCACTCCCATTTGAATTGTTGCTCAGGAGTTGCTCCCTGTTCTTGAGGTGGCGGATAGAACGCGGCTGCATCCGCAGTCAGGATTGAAGAGTCCAGCACCTTAATGGTAACGTTGCTGGGAAACTCCTCCCGAATCTTCCTGAGCGATGTGTACCAGTCATTGTAGTACCCCTTTAGCAGACTGGGATTCGGCGCGCAATCCACTTCGATTGTGACGTGACTCCCAGGCATCTGCCTTTGGAGAAAGTGCTTGAGCAGGGCAACTTTGCTTGCCCATCTGCCGGGTTCGCCCATTTGACCGCATGGTTCATGCTCAACTAGAGTAATGAGATGTTTTTTCTTGTATGCTGCGTCTTCTTTCAGCTGCTCCCGCGCTGATTTGTTTCTCCATTTCAGCAATTTCTCGCAGGCGCTCGGTCTGTTCATTATACCTCCTGTCAGGACTTGGCCTTCGTGCAATTCTTTCTCTTCGAGACTTGTCCGTCGGCCTTAAGCCTGCGATTGCCAACGTGGATCTTGCTCCATTCTCCAAACTGGTTGACGTCCAGTTTACCGTATTTCTGCCCTTCAGGGCAGGACTCCGCCTCAAAGGTCATTCGGGCGTGATACTCTCCGTATCCATGAGCTCCTGGTTTGAGAATCACGTACTCTCATGGTGCATAGGAACTTTCAGAGGGCATAATGTCGATTGTCTTATTGGGCTCGTCACGGGACGCGCTGCTCGCTCTAACGAAGCCGGAAGTAGTGGAGGTCGGCATCTCCGCTGGATAGTTGATCTGGTTGCTGGTGACTATTGCTAATCAGCTGGATGCTTCGAACAACATGAGAGGTACGTACACTGTGCAGTCGGCTCTGGTGCCGTACCTGACGGGTTGCGCTGCCCTTCTGCTGCGGAATCCATGTAGACTAAGTGATGTCGGACGTGGCCAATCGAGCTCAAGTTGAAGCAGAGAGTGATGCACGAACGGACTGTACCGACGTGGGAAGGAGGTGTATGGAGTGAAAAACAAACGGGAGCACCTTGCGAGATCAAGTAACAGACAAGGCAAGCCCGAAAGGCGCTAACCGAGAATAGCTATTTTGTTTACGTAGTGAACGACTCCCACCGCCCAATTTTAAGACACTCGTGACTTCGGAACCAACGCAGCGGCCTGGCTCCAGCCAGACTTTTTTATCGCTCTAAGATTTCTCATTCTCTGCCCTTACCAGACTCCATTTTGAATACTAGTGATTGCGCCTTCCGTAAACGTGCTTCCCCAACGTGGGTGGGACTTTGGGAAACCCGGCCGAAGTACCTGTAACAGGTAGGTACATCGACAGGTGCGCCTTGAACTGGTTCTAATCTAACAGAAGGAAAAGCGCTCACATTCATTTGTGCACATTTCTCACTACTTCGTTGTACTTTCCCAAGAGCCACTACCCACACGAATCGCCAGCGCTCCTCGTCCGCAGGCGCCAATTCAGGATTGTTTTTGATGCATAATATGACTATCCAACATTCCATGTCGCACGGTACATGCAGACTCGCCGCGTGTAGCTTGGAGACTTTCCGCTGTTACTGGTTATGTATACGAAGTCTAACATACCTAGGAAGAGAGAAATGGCGGCTAGGGGACTTCTCGCTGGATGTTTAGCAAAACCCCCCATGGGCGAATCGTAGATGGGGGCAGAATTGAAGTACCCTCAATGTGGAGTGGCCATCAACCGCTCTTCACTTGAATCGCTGTGGTTGTCCTGCTTTGTGACCGCTCATACGCATACCCTAGGGTACATAGGCATACATAGGCACTTAGGAATATTTTGAAATACTCTTTGAGCAAGCACCACTTCTATGATAGCCTTAATACCCGTTTCCATGCAGTAATTCCAACAAAATCCTGTGAGGGGAGCCCGAATGAGTGCAGACTGCTTATCTGTTTCGTTAAGCGGTACGCTACGGGGGGACGAGTCAAGACGTATCTATGGAATAGCTATCGGTTTGCGGAAGCGGTCGGGTGGCGAAATTGGGGTTCCACACCTGCGTAGTTTTCAGCACGCATTACTCTCATTGCGTACAATTGAGACCGGATCAAGTACAACTCTATTGTCAGACTCACCTTGAGGACGAAGCACAATACGAGGACATGTAACAACCTAGGATTGGGGCGCCGTCCCTCTATTCTTACAGCCAAGTTCAGTTCAGACTTGCACAAGACGTGTTCAAGTAGCGGCTGAGTAGGGTGGATTCTCCTCTGTCGGACAGTTGGACTTTCGGGAACGAGTCAACTTAAATTTCCCAGCTGTCCACCACCTTGTCTGTCATCAAAAACCACTGCTTGTATATGCACTTTTCGGTAGCTGCGGCACAAGAGTCCGGTGAGTCTGAGTTTGTCCCCTACCACTTATCCCGGCTGGACCGCAACATCCCTCGTGAATACATGATTCTTGGAAGCTGACGCAGCGCAGGATACTGCGTTTTATTCATGCAAACAAGAAATCATGCAGAAGACACAGCAAGTGAATACAAATTGGTCATATCAGGTGCTTCCTTTCTCGATCCCGATCCTCCTTCGCACCTGAGTCGTAACCCGGTTACGGTTTTTCCCGCATCGATAATGGCATTTCGCATGGAGAGTTACTGTGGGAAGAGCAGAGCAATATGCAGTGTATAATCGACAATCCGAAGATCGTCACGGAGAAGGTAGAGAATGCCAGGTGTCCGGCACCTGAGGACGGCGGTGGAAGGAACACTGCACTCTATGCTGCCCTCTGTACATGTTCACGTCTGATCTGCACTTTAATTCTAGACGGACTGAGACAGATCATGAGTTCTGAGCAAACCGCGGGCTATGGCTGGCCTCTCATGGGTACCGGTGTTTGGCAGCTCACGCGGCTGGAATTGGCGGATATTGCTTGACATTCCACATGCTGCGGACTTCTGTTATACACGACGTTCCGCTCGAGAGAGGTACATACCGCTCATGCGGCGGAGATCATGGATGATTTCGTCGTGGATGATAGTACACAATGACGAGCGCATCTGACCCGAGCAAGCAATCCGGCTTCACATAAAAGCTCATTCACAACGCTGCTGTCTCTGCTCCGTCAGTACACACCGCAGCATTTTTCACCAATGTTTCCCTATACTAAGTCGAAACAGACCGCCCTTATGACGTGTGTGGTCGGAATTGGACGCACTGTTATCAGGGTAGTGAAAGTACTTCCACATGGGCTTTGCGTCTCGGACCCACTCCGCTCTTTGGTTTCCGCTCCTACCTGTTTGGTATATAGCACACAAGCATTTTCTGCTACTAAAACTTCCACAACATTCGGCAGCCGCGTTATTGAGATTTTCTTCTCAATATCTGACAGTTCGGCTTCTTCCCTTCTCTCTGAACCCCGTCTCTCGACGACAATGGCGACCAGTAGAACTCCGAGCCCACCCGTCACTGATTCGTCAAGCTCGGGCGTCAGTAGCGGCAAGTCCTCCGTAGAGGTCCCTCCGCCGGACATTGGGTTTGTACCTCACGGCAATCTGCTCCCAGTTCAGCTCCACTCGACGAACAACCCGAGGCTGAGAATACGGGTTCAACTGGAATCAATACTGCTGTCGAAGGCGGTGCTCACGACCAGGAGACTACTACAGACGACGGTTCAGTTCAAGGCAACCCAAGTGCGCTTGTAAGTATACGGCCACTCTCCAAGCTCTAGCCAGATTATACAGATAGATCAACTAATCAATCCGCAGCAAGGGCAAGCGTCCAGTACCCAACCGTCCACTTCCTCCGCCCAAGGGACCAGCAGCTACCCCGCCTTCTTCTTCGGGCCCGCACCTCTCCCAGACCCCACCACAGGCGAGCTTCCAACCTCTGTACTGGCCCGCATCAATCCAGAACTAAACGCAGAGCGTGACACGATTCCGAGCCTCGTTGACCGTATCCTTGATCCACCTCATTATCTGTTCAACGAGGATAGGACCCGCGTCACTCTGGACATTACATGGGCTATCGGTGTTATCGGCGTTGAACATTTCGAGTCGGACTGTTATAACCAGAGGAGGTTTCTGCGCCCAGAGAGTGCCTTCCGCCGTCATGCCATCCGCTACGGACTTCCTCGTGTCATCCATGATTGGCTCTGCAATGAGCCAGAGGAGGAAACTATCGAGCTCAACGTAGATCAGCTAAGGAACACTGGCCGAGGTTGATTGTATCGTAAGTACTCTTCATCAGAGCCTGTACGAAGCGTACTAACCCGTGCAAGCAGTATCGTTCCATCATGGCCAGGCTCAAATGCGAGGGCATCTTGGCCAGTAATCGGACTTGCTGGTCGTCTCTGCTCCCAGGGACAGGACTATTCGCATGCGAGCAAGTACCATTGGGTACATTCGAGCAGTCTGATACTCCGACGATAAATGGAGCGAAATAACTAGATTGTGGTTATAGAAGTCGGCGGCAATAAATGGCGTTTCGGAAGCATAATGCTCATTCTTCATTGCCTTCTTTATTTCATTGCACCACGTCGGCCCACAGCACTCTTTGCTTTCGGATCGGGCCAGACTTGGTGTATAAGACGAGAACTCTTGCTGCTTAATTCCGTCTTCAACTTAGCAGGATCTCTATTTGCGTATGCCCTCACACCTCTCTATCGCATTCTCAGGGCCACAGACAGCGTCTCTCTCCACTTATTATCTTGCAATTCGGTGGGATCACGCCTTTTCTACTGTTATCGATTTTGATACTCCACACAGCTACAATGAGGCTTACATCTGGACCGACTCGGCTCTTTGCTTTGCGCTCCTATGTACCTGTTTGGTTTCTAACTGACAATGCTACAGTACTCATGTCTCTCTCAACTACACTTGCTGCAGCCTCAACCAACAAACACACTACTTTCTTCGTTTCTTCAGCCTGCTTTTTACTCAACCCGCAATGGGCCACCGATCACATGCGACGCCCAACTATAATGTATTTCCGATTCCAGCTCCTTCTGGCGCAAACGCCGTATTTTCTACAACCTCGGGAACTGACGACTTTCCACTCTGATATCGTTCATTCTCTCGGCTCTATTCCCGCAGACGTACGGCGAGTCCCCAGCCTCCGTCCTGGCAAGATTCAACCTCAACTCAGATCCACAGCAAGATACTGCCGCTCGTCTTGTCGAAGGAGTCCTCAACCCCCCGGATTACCTGTACAACGGAACACACGTGACGATGGACATTACATGGGCGGTTGACGTGATTGGTGTCGAGCACTTCTCCTCCGACTATGCTGCCAGAAAGTCTCCCAACGAGATGCATAAGCAGGGACCGCCCTCCAGAGTAATCCCTGAAACCCCGGGAGCGTATGGGAATACCCCGATTACCCCGACCCCAGCCCCAGCTACGGCGAGAAGAGCCGTTCGAACAGAAACCGACACTCAGAGTTAGACGATCGCGGGAAGCCAGGACTAGGGCAACCCCCCGCGATAGCTCAGTTTTAACAACGAGAGCGCCTTATTAGATGACACACGCGCAGACGCCACTCAAGTCCAGTTGCCCGGCGGGCTCTCCAGATCCAACAGCAGTGAGGGTGAGAGTCAGGACTCCCCATTGGCTAAGAAGGCGCGCGCTGAGAAGACTGAGAAGATGCGAGCGAACAATGATACATCTTTCCAGCCCGAAGCCACAAGCACCCCAGCTAAGCACTGCGTGCGTTTCTTGCTAAATGACTTCGTCTACTACAACTGCGTAATCCTGCTACGAGGCTAATCTAACAAAGACCCCGTGCTTACTATTTGGGAGGAGTACGACTTCGAGACAGGAGAAGGCAGGAAGATTGGCGAACTACGACCGGAAGAGGCACTGCCAGCGCAGCTGGAACTGCTTAAGGAGCGGCTTTTTGAAACTATCTACACGCTCGATGGGAAATGGAAGCAGGCACAGCAGGATGCAGACGACTACAATGAGAGGCTCGGCGCCTAGTAGGGCACCCTCACATTCTTGCTCACAGTGAGGCCGCAGGTGTCCTTAAGGCTATGGCGAGCATTGTGAATATACTGTTGACTGCACAATCCCTATCTCGAAACGTTTCAATCTAATAGTATGTATCTGCAGGACGGTCAAGGTCGTCACCAGCAGAACTCCGCTTCGAACGCTCCCGCAACCGCTGCTACTATCGCTGTGGCGACCGCGACCGCCGCTACTTCAACGCAACCCCAGCCGTACAGCTTCTTCTTCGGGCCCGCTCCACGACCTGATCCCGCCACCGGAGAGCTTTCTGTCGAAGTTCTGGAGAGGATTAACCCGCAGTACAATGCGGAGCAGGATTCTATGCCTCATATGGTCCACCGTCTTCGGCACCCGCCTGAGTAGGTATCTGTACAATGCCGACAGGAGCAGGGTCACCATTGATATTATCTGGGCAATTGGGGTCATTAGTCGCGAGCATTTCCACTCCAGTTGCACCGCGGAGAGGCTGTATCTACGTGAGAAGAGTGTGTTCCGCAGGGATGCAATGAGCTACGGGCTTCCACGCATCGTATTCGATTGGCTCTGCAATCATCCTGAGGAGGAAATGCTTAAACTTGCAGCAGATCAACTCTGAAGGACTCCTCTGACGCGGGCTCTGGGTGCAAGGCCGACCATCGCAGGATCAGACCATTTACGAACATTCCCGCAGCTCAGATTCCGCATATCAACATACTGTGACTCGGCGGAAGATCTGTTTAGGGCTGTGAGGCGCTCATAATATGTGTACGACTCTCTTATAGAGGAAGACTTTGATTAATCGAAGCTTACCTATGTAATTCGACAATCAATATACCTCACGTGCCATGATAAACGCGGTCCGCCTCGAGCAGCAAGATCCAGTCCTTGCATTATCCTCATCGTTTCAACACACCACGCCCATGGATGTTTCTCTTGCGCGCTCAAATATATAATGGAAATAAAATGCCTAGTGCGCCAATATCTCCCTCGTCAAGCTGACTGGAGCGAAGCCTGTCGTCTCCGTCAACTTGGACGCTCGAATCCTTGCTGATCTGGGCAGAAATAAAGAGGAAACCCAGAACACGGATCATTCTGTCTGGAGAAATAAATATGCCACTTTTGCGATAACACCGTTCGCCTCCTCAGTATACCTTCGTGTTATAAGACTGAACACAGTACTCCTCTGACAGCGCTCATCACTCTCTCTAGCCCATTCGCACAGAGGTGCATTTTTTCTGCCTCTGCCTATTATCTTAACGTTTGGCTTGATTATGGCCCTTCAAGCTATTGTTCTAAGCCCTTATAAATCTCTCAACGGAGCTACGGTGCGGCTTGCATGTTAGCCCGCTCCGCTCTTTGTTTTCCGCTCCTACTTGTTTGGTATATAAACACACAACTTTCACTCCCTCCACTTCCTTTCCACAACATTTGCTTCCCAAAACCCAACCCTCATTTCAACCGACCCTCGCACATATACGATTTCCCTACGTCCCGGTGTCTGCGACAATGTCCGCTCAAGGAACTCCCAGTCCCACCGTTAGCGACTTCTCAAGCTCCGGCCACGACAGCGACACTTCCTCTATCGGTGCAACGGCCGCTACAAATGGCGGGCTTCCTCAATCTGCCTCTGCTCCCACCGTTCCCGAGGAGCAGAATGGGACTGCTGCCACGAGCCTTCCACTTCATGGCGCCAATACAGCAGGGGAGTCCAGCACTACACAACCCAATACGGCATCCATCTGGGAGAACGGCCCCGGCCCCGCTACTGTAAGTGCACTGCTGAATCCTTAGCGGATATCCTAGGTACCCAAGCTGACCTATCCTCCTGCAGCAGCAGACCTTCCCCTCTCAAGCACTCAGCGCCTCCGCAGATGCAGCCAGCGGTGGCTACTCCTTCTACTTTCTACCTCCTCCGCCCATGGACCCTACCTCAGGAGAACTCCACCCCTCCCTCCTCGATAGGCTCAATCCAGCCGCAGTTCCCGACGACTCCATCCGTCACATCGTTGACCGCCTTTTAAGCCCACCCGACTACCTGTACAATGCGGAGCGCACCAGGGTAACGATCGACATTGTCTGGGCAATTGGCATCATCGGCCGTGAGCACTTCCACTCCAGCTGCGTCGCCCGAGCGTCTGTATCTTCGCCCGGACAGCGAGTTTAGGAGCGAGGCGACGAGTGAAGGTCTTCCAAGAGTCGTCTTCGAGTGGTTGTGCAACAACCCGGAGCAAGAGACGCTGGAGCTCAACGCCGGTGAGCTGAGGAACACTCGGGAGGAGTAGAGAGTGTGTAAGATCCCTTGTGCTTAGCGAGTACAAGTTTTGACTGACTCAGGGCAGCTCTTCACTTCTGGTGCTCGGTCTTGATTAAGGCACTCCGATTGGCAGCGATGGAATTGGCAGGCGTCTGGTTCTTTGGCGGATGATACCCTATTCCTGGATCTGTGAATGGTGGGCTTCCGGTTTTGCATGGGCGTTTTGGAGCAATTCAAGTATACCCCATGGAGTATTGGATTGGGTTACTCTATGGAAGCTTCTGATGCATAGATGGCGTACGGAATAGATGGCATTCCCCATTTACAAGCTCTCCATCATTCGGTGATAACCACAATCGTGACTGATCCTTTACCCTTTGCCCTTCCACGCTATATCCGCTCATGTGCAGATGGTTGAAGCTTCTTCATCGAGTTCATGATATTGGAGTTGACCCTATACCCCCATTGTCTCCATACACTTGTCCACCACAAGCTTCATCTCCGTTCCTTCTTGCCTTTCATCATCCCTTAGGTAAACACCAACAGCCTTTGCTCTCCCATACTATGCTTCCTCAGCCGTAGGTAGTTACCCTTCTGCTAACCATTCCATAAGCTTTCCGATGACGTTCTCCTCACATCGCCGCTCCGAAGGAGTTGGCGCTACACCCACTTTTCTTTCATCCACATCTCGTCCGCTTTCTCCCGTCTATACCCGTGAGCATTGTTTGCTCATACCCTGTCCCTCAGCACATAGATGGTTGCACTTCTTCAGTACAAGGCTTCTCCCAGCAGGCATATTTAATCCGCTTCGCCCTCCGCAATATGGCCGGAGATAATCGCCACTCGGCTCGTGTAGGGTCGATTGTGCCTCGTTCCCGGGTTGGGGCTTGGGGCGTTGAGCTTCCGCGGTATTGGGATGATTGAGTCAATGAAGATGGGCGTCAGTGGAAGAAGCGTTGTGGTAGTGGAATTGGGGCCGTAGGTATGCGTGGAGCTAGAGTGAATTGGATGTAAGAAGAGAGAACAGCTGCGGGAAGGTCGGAAGTGATTCGTTGCCCGAGGGTACCTTACCTGATGCCGTTCAGTGTCTGAGCTATACATCTGACAGAGAGAACATAAATTGTTGCCGTGAGGAAGATACGCATATCGCAAGTGGAGCCTAGCATCAACGTCAATACGTCACGAACGTTGAGCAGGTACAATGGGAACATCACGGGCGAACATTACAAGCAAGGACTGAGGAACTGCTCTAGTGTTGATGAGCCATCACGAATCAATCACGTTTCAAAGCAATGAGGGCAAGTGCATGAAGTCGAGGGGGTACAGTTTTCTATTCTCATAAGGTAAACAACACAACAACTTTTTGCCCAACCATGATGTACTCAGCAACTCGATTCGGAAATGCCGACAGAGATCTGGATCGAAGAACTCGACCCAGACGGACATGCATCCACATTTTGGCCATATTGAGTGCCATGATGTATTCAGCAACTCGTTTTCGAAAAAAAAAGCCAACACGGGTTGTTTGGATCCGGGGACTCGACCCAAGCGGACATGCATCCACATTTTGGCCATATATAACGCATCCGAAGACATCGGCGGAAGAAGACTGGAAGTTGAGGTTGTATATACGGGTGTTCGAATAGGAATTGCTGGAGTTTGGCAACGATCCGCAGGCAGGTGGGCGTAGTAGACTGCAGGATGAAGTGAAACCGGGGTCGAAGATCGAACATACTGGTATGAATGCTCAAAGAGGAATTGCTGAAGTTCGGCGGCCTCCCACTTGTCGTTGTTCGGAAGGCACTGGTATTGAATAGGACGAGCCGTGCCTTTGGAAGCCCTATGTGAGCGCAGAGATAGAAGTCGAACTCGAACGGGTGATTGCAGCCGGTTTGCACCATAGGACCTGGAAAGAATTTTGTGGAGGATCGGAGCCACGGTGCTGTATCGAGGGCAATGTGTGCTTGACTTGGACATACACCTCGATGTTTCGGTAATGGTCGTGGCAGTCGGCGGCCGAGGTGATGGGCTAGGGAGTGTGTATTGCGGCTGCCCACCCGCGCTGTTTCGCTGTGAGTAGGGAAGTGACAATGCAAGCACCTGGCCCACTTACCGCATGATGTATTCAGCAACTCGCTCTCCCGGCCGCCGCCATGTTGACGTTTTCCAGCGATCTCCATACCTAGCAACCTGCCCAGCAAAAGAATGAAAAAGAAGGAACCAACTCACCCCCACTGCATGAAGGCAGCGCCTCGCCTGAGGAATTGATTTTTGGTTGGCGAGGAATCGACAAGACCATGAGGCCCGATCGACTTTTCAGAGTTTGGTTGGGGGAAAGAAAAAAAGAGGTTGGAGGGGGGGAAGAGAGGTTTATATATGCAGGCGAGCGCAGGACGCGCCAGGTGTGACTAAGCAGGGACATTGTTGTCCAGGCAGCGGTTGTACAAGTACACTGCCACAGCGAATCTGGGCCCAGGGGTATGTTACGTCGGTGAAAGCGTCGCCACCGTGACTGGAGTCTTCCTTGTCGGCACCGCCAGGTTGTGCCAAGGCGTTTCGGGCCTCCACTTCGAACTCCAACGAAGGTGACGGACGAAAGATGACGAAATAAGGTCGGAACGGCACACAGTAGGACTCTAGCTTGGAAGTAACTCGAAGGACGACTGGCTTCAGTCAATTGGTTTAGAGATGGGTATCTTTGCAAACGGATTGATGACCACCTCGCTATGTTTCACACCATATGCGGAGCTGTCTAGTTATTCGGAATGTTTTGGCATGGATCTCTGCTGTTCAGTATATGACATCTGTTTTGTCAACCTTGTGAGTCCTCAATGTAACTATAAACAACCCGAGAGTACACTGTCAAGCAGGTGTAAGTCGAAGACGTAATGAAAAGCCGGCGTTTCTTTGTTCGAGGCATAGATACGTCCTCACACAGATCTAAGAGTCGATGTTATGGAATCAACAGCTGAAGTAGATTAGCCACGCAGCGGAGAAACTGCAGTTTCAATACACGGGGAGTATCGTACTAGCTAATCGATTCAGAGTTATGAGGGAACTCTTGACTCGTTCGAACCAGCGTGAAAAGCCATTAGAAACTACCTTGCCGCATCCTCACCCGGACAATTCTAACATACCAGCTGCTCAACGCACCTACTTGTTACTAGCCGGGCTGTGGCCCTTGTCCAACTTCACAACTTTACTCAGAATCATGTAGTCTGCATGTATAATCCCACGTCTGGTGACCCTATCCTCAGGACTGGCTTCATCGATCGTATATCCCAAGCGCTCGTAACATCTCCTAGCAGGGTTGTTACTCGTAAAAACAGTCAACATGGTTTTGCCAATTCCGGTACTGTGGACCAGTTTCTCGGCCTGAGATACCATGAAAGAACCAAGGCCACGGCCTCTCACCTTGTCGTGGAGATGGACCTCGTAGATGTAGCCGACGCGCCGCCAGTCATTGGGAGGATCGTCATAATCGAGCTTGAATGAAAGAAAGCCGACGAAGAGAGCGGGGTTGACATCAACATCAGATTGGAGTCCGCCCTCATCAGCGTCTTTATCCTGAACGATCATGTACCACATCTCCGGATCGGCCATCTCTTTCCTCTTCTCACGTGGATGCCATCCCAAGCTGGAGCTCTTGTATGTCGTGCCCGACGTACTCTCAATCAGCTTGAAGCATATCTCCAATACTTCCTCGGTCAGCTCGATGGAGCGGCGTAGTAGGAAGAGCAATTGAAACGGCTCAAACTCGGGAGGGGTAAAGGTCTTATGGAAATCGTGGTTTTGCGTTTTGGCTTGGCAGTCGGTTTGCTCATCAGGGAATAATTTCGGCTTCTCTTGCATCGAAGTGGAAATATTCTGTTTCTTCTTCGCAGTATCCTCATCTGGTTTGCCGGCTTTCCTTTTTGAAGTGGACTGCATCGTACCCGTAGAGTTTCGAGATGGAGGGATGAAACGAGGACGTCGACAGGAGGGTAAAGATCAGGAGAGACTGTATCCGGAGGTTGAGAAGAAGGAAAGCGGAGAAAGGTAGTAACAAGGTACCACAACACCCAACAACACACAGTCGATACCTGAATATAGATTGTGATGGATGTCCTGTGGTAGAGCGACCCACAAGCCATAGAGAAGGGGCATCGCGCTTAGTGGCGCACGGACGTTGGGCGGATCTCTTGCAGGCGGTATCACAGCAAGACCGCTCAAGCTTTCGGGATCCATCAATCATCAGCCTCTCGAACATCCTACTCTACTACCAAAGTAGACGATCCAACTCAAAGTGCAAATGGCATGATGCGCCAGTATGCGACCATCGCGACAAAGGCGGCGTCGCGTCTTCAGAAGCGCGGCAAATCACCTTTGAGTCTCGATCATGTACGCCACGGTTTGGGGATCTAAATACTTAGCCTGAACTAACATGTAGACGAGTTCATACAACGACAGCGAGCTCTATCTTTATGGAGAAATATACTGAGGAGCACGGCGGGTATCTCTGACCCTGGAATCAAGCGAGACATGCGCCAATTTGCTCGATCGGAGTTTGAGCAGCACCGGAATGTCACCGACTTGGTATGCAATCGCACTTTGTTCTTCGACCAGCCATTGTTGCTAATCCTCCAATTCCCAGCATCATATTCGATACTTGCTCTCGGTAAAGCACCGTTTTCATCTCACGTTCAACGCTTGCTGAGATTTGCTGCTGACGTAAGACCAGCACGGGAAGACGCAGCTCGACGGAATGAAAAGCTCGCTCATCAATGCGGGTCTCCTACGGTAGTGTATGAGAAGAAAGCTGGAGCTCCACGAGATCATGGCAGGTTCCCCGCGCTTGTTGACGTCTTACAAGAGTCCCGTGTCTCCTGGGTACTCGGAGATTGGCGGCGAAGAGAAAAGTCCTTCATCCGACGAGGAACACAAGGCATCTCTGAAGAGGTAGGCAACAAAAGGAGAGCAATGAAACTACCTATTCTGTGCCTCGATCCGCCGCCTTGCCTTGTTTGAATGTCGTCAATTGTGAGCTGTGCTTGGGCGGAGCTGATTGAGGTCGAGGTGTTGCACAGGCTTACCCCACTAGTTCGCGCTAAGGAATCTCCGTTCCTGCATCCTGCCCAGGTTTCGACGACACCTCTTGCTGCCTCGAGCCTCAATGATCCACCGTAGCATATTGTATCACTGGGGTTTCTCTATCACATCGTCTGGCTTCCTCTACTACCGAGAAACCGCTCCGACAACTTCCGCACCCGGTACGACCATTCTGCGGCCGTAATCTCTGCCACGCGCGTACACACATCCATCACACATGTCACGATATCTATAGCCTATCCAAAGCCTAGCCTTCGAATCCCTCCGATACTATAATCGCCCCGTCTCATCAATTCTTCTGCATACGCCTCATGAAGACGGTTCTCATTGTTGGCGGAGGGCCTGCGGGCTTAGTCGCCGCCAAGACTCTCCTCCAGAAAAACAAAGGGACAGCGTTCAGAGTGACTATCTTCGAAGCGGCTGACCGAGTCGGTGGTATGTGGAGAGGAGATGCTGACGGAAAATGTGCACCTTCAATGCCTACCAACCTTAGCCGCTATACTGTCAGTTTTGCGGATTTGCCCTGGACATCGGTCAAGCTTCCATCCCAAACCGGGGACGTACCTCTGCTGCCCCCGATGTTTCCCAAAGCGAATCAGGTCGGACTGTACCTGGAAGAGTATGCAAGAAGATACATTCCGGAGGGCGTTCTCATCTGCAATCGTGCTGTCACGGATACAGAGCTCAGCAAAAACACCCCCCGACAATGGTCCGTCAAGTCAGTGGACAGACAAACATCGACGCCCCATGAAGACAAGTTTGACTATCTAATAGTTGCGAGCGGCTTCTTTGACCGTCCTAAAGCGCCTCTGTTCCCGTATTCAGCCTCCAGGGTACCCCGCCTGCACTCGTCTCAGTTCCGCTCCATTTCTTCTCTGGCCAATGCGCCCGGGAATATTGTAGTGGTCGGGGGTGGGATCAGTGGCTCCGAAGCGGCAGCAGTGGCAGCGATGCAAATATCGGACGCAAATCACGCTCCAGGAAAGTCCAAACCGGCCTGGGCAGACAGCAAAGTGTACCATGTCATAGACCGTCCCTTCTATTGCCTCCCACGATTCCTGCCCCAGAACCCCTACAATCCCGCCATCCAGAACTTCCGCCTAGCACCAGACTTTCTGCCGCTGGACCTCGTCCTTTACAATCTCTCTCGCCGAGGCGACGGGCTCATATCCACTTCTAACGGACCCGTTCCGCCGGAGAAAGCGAAGAAGGGACATGAGTTCATCCGCTCCGTCATTGGCGGCGACCAGCGAGATCTCGGCCGTGAAGAACTCGTCTACAGGCCTGAACAGACAGTATATCCCAGCTACACAGGTATCTCAGATACTTATAGTGAGTTTGTGAGGGATGGTCTGATTGTCCCTGTACAAGGTCGTGCCGAAAGTCTGGAGGATGGGAGCAATGATGGAAAAGGAATACTACACCTAACGCATAATAGTGCCTGGGCAGCGACATCGACCAGAAAGGGAACTTCCACGACCGAGATCGAAGACGTTGTCGGCATCATCGAAGCGAACGGCTTCCGCGCAGATCTCAGCTACCTCGACCCGGACGTAAAGAAAGTGCTCAACTACGACCCGACCTGTCATCGTGTGCCAATCTTGCTGTCTAAGGGCTCCATATTCAACTCGAAAGTCCCCGAAATGGCATTCGTGGGGTTTTACGAAGGTCCGTACTGGGGTATAATGGAAGCGCAAGCGCGTTTGATCGCGGATACCTGGTCTTCCGCGCAACCCATTCAAGAGATTGCAGCAATCGCTGACAATTTTACGGACGCTGAGCGGGTCCGGGATGCCCTCAAGGGTCAGGATTTGAGCGTTCCGCAATTCTGGATGCCCGATTATGTGGGCATGATGGAGGAGTTCTCTCGCGCAGCTGGCATTCCACGGAACGATTCTCTCTTCGCCGGTCAGAGCGGCCCAGCTTTCCCAGCAAGATACGCCATACCTGGTCCTGAAGCCGAGCCCTCGAACACTGAGGTAATGAGCGAAGTCCACGAGCTTTTCCAAGATGCCACAAGAAATTCCCGCTTCGCCGCAGCCGCCGCCTTCCGCGCAATGCAAGGTGTTTGGACCATGCGGAGGAAAATAACCTCTCGCCATCCCTCGTCGCCCGGCGGTCATATGGTAGCAACAGCGCACTTCCACCCCCGATATCCCACGGATCCGGCGTTCTCTGCAGAATATCTGTATATCGAGGAGGGCACATTTACGTTGGAGAACGGTTTCAGCTTCTCCGCGTCCCGCCGCTACGTATACCGATACAATGAGGAGACGGACAGGATCAGCACCTACTTCGTCGATGAAGACCGCAAGTCCGCCGAACGGATATTCAACGAGTTGGTGTTCGAAAGACCGCCTGAAGGAGACACGGAGAAGGGCTGGCTGGCGAAGAGCGATCATTGGTGCAGCCCTGACACGTACAAGAGTAGCTGTGAATTCAGGTTCCGTGGAGCGGCTCTGGATACGTTCGGCATCACGTATGAGGTTTCTGGGCCGAATAAGGATTATACGCATGAGAGCTGGTATGAGCGTCCGCCTTTGGGAAGAGAGGGGGGGGATCGGTGATGAGAATAGATCATGGACATGATGTAGCTCACGAGATATCAGGACATAAGAATGAGCACTGAGAAGAGTATCGCGTCGGTGGTGGCACAAGGGCCCAATTCCTCAATTGTATGACCTCACTCTACTTCATTCCATCTATCCCACAACCATCTCATTCCCGCTTCCCTTCCCTCGTTGCAAGAATCTTCACAGCCTCAGGCCCAGGATGATCGTCCTCAACAACGACCTAATGGATCGTATCAGCATCCACAATCTATTCAACTACCGTCGCAGAACAGCAACATTCACCCATAGCCGCATCCTGAGGCCCTAATTGTAGTACCCCGCGCTCGGCGCCGAAGTCGACGTATTGGGATCGTTTAGCGGCCCGCCCCCATTATGGATAATGACGGGCAGCTTGTGGCTCTTGGAGGGACCGCCTTTCGATACAGGAGAGGAGGAGGGATATGCCGCGGAGCCTGATGGTGGTTCTCCTTCACTGGTTGAGTGGGAGGCGGGTTGCTGTTCGTGGACATGCATGAACTCTTCTTCGTCGACTTCGGTTGCGGTGGCGGTGGTGTTGGTTGTGGTTGTAGTAGTGCAGTCGGCAGCCTCGCTGTTGCTGTTGCTGCTGCTGTTCTTCTCGGTGGAAGCCATGATTTATCAATGGGAAAAAGAGATAAGGAGATATCGTGTGTGAGGTGAGGGAACGAGATGTTATGGTATTGGGGAGATAATCAAAAGCGCAGCAATTGAAGTGGAAAGAATCGTCTACTTTGCTTCCCCTTCTCTTTGAAATTTACCTCTGGGCAGAGAAACACCCAGATATATCTACCCTCAGCCAATGAAATGGATGTGATACAATGCTGGGCTGTTCTCACAGTGTAGTCTTTCACTGCCACACTCCGCATGCTGGATTGCCGTGCGCGCAGAAGTGAGCCCGCGTTTTGACTCACGTGGTTTCTGGTATAGTTTGCTGTCGTATGCGTGTGCTGCTCAGTTGATCGCTCCTCTATTGGGGTTGTGCAGTATGTAAAGCTGCGGTTCGCTTCTGGTGTTTTCTCTTCTCATTCCCACAACCAAATTGTGGTACATACAACCTTCATTCACGAATATTCTCCAAACTTTCACTTCGCTCCTTTTACAATGTCCCACGCATCTCAAGTGTACGAATACGATGAGCAGGGCGTGCGGTGGTCGGTGGTCAATCCGGATGACGCCTGTGGAGTCGCGGTTTTGCGTAGGGGGAATCGTTTGCGTATAGTACATCGCAACAGAAGGGTATGCTGGAGTCTCGCCCTTCGTACCAATTCGAACTAATACAATCAACTGCAGCAGACCGCGCAAGAAGATGGATTTGAAGAGAACGGAGGGACTGACGCTGAAGACCAGCTTCTGCCTGAAACCGACGCCAGCACAATTGTAAGCTCTCTATTGCGTCGTCCTGCCAATCGCTACTAACAAACATTTTCCAAGCAACCAAGTAACATCTTCCTTAACACAGTCGACCGCGAACAACACAATCCGCCAGTCGACAATGGAACAGAGCAGCTACAAGCCCCATCCACCGCCGCGTACGTTCCAACGCACTTAACCGCTCCCTCAATTCAATCGCCCTACTCCGCGGGGGGCTTCCACCAAGATATAACGAGCCTGAAAGCCCTCATTTCAGACGTTCTCAAAAACGCTAGAAACCTGCAGCAGGACCTAACTGAAAGAGCCGAGCATCAGCGGAGAATCCTGACCTGGTTCTCACCACCGGTCATATACACAAGTGAACCACCACGGCTTTCCCTACTCCTTCAACCAGCGGAGCCTGCGCTTCTGCAGCCGTTGGGCGCTCCACCACGCCCTCTCTCTCATCATACTCTCAGAGCCGCACCGCCGCAGATTCCGCTCTCGTTACAGCCCGGTCCGCACCAGTCCTTCCCTCCGCCAGCCATTCACCCACCTCTCCACCTCCCTGCCGACCATGAGCACTGGGACTTTTGCCCGTTGCCAACGCTCATGCCGAACACGGGGCACCGAGGAGCGCCGAACCCGCGACCCGATCTTCATCACTCCCACCTGGCCTCCCTGCCCTGGTCTACCCAGCAAAGGCTGCCGTACCTAGACCCCCGTACAAGTCTCTGGAGCTGACACATACGTTCAAGCACCGGTTGAACGAGGGAGATTGCGGATACCAGTAGAGGAGGCGGAGGACGACGAGACGCCGCGCTTCCCGGAGGGATGGTTTCGGGACGACGACTTCTGAAGAAGTTTGGCTGTTTCTATGGTCGGCGATTGAGATTGGTTTCGGAGTGATACCCGTGCAGGAATGTGTTGTTGTCACAGGATACTCTTGAACGGAAGCCGTTGTGAAGATGGGTTTGCAATATACATGGGCGCCGAGGATAGATCAACGGCGTCAATAGAAGAGGATTTGGGCGTCTTGTCGAGCCTTGCATTCTTCCGTACAGACCGGATACCATCTTTTATACTCCCAATTGCGCTTCGAATATAATGAGTGGTTGTCTGCCGGCACGATACTCTCCCACTGTGGCTCGGCTTATTTGTTCCACGGCGGATATATATACATATGTCAGTCTAATCGAAGCACAAGAGAGTCGGTATGTGAGGGGCCCTCGGCGCCCTCACTCGGCTCGGCCACCTTCTCTCCGGCCCTCAGTGCAGTATTTTGCCAAATACAACCCTATTGCTCTACCGCCTCATTGCGGCTAGTAGGGCACCCTCACACAATACTGCACTCTCCTTACTTATTCTTTTTTCTTTTTCGCAGTCGAGCCGTAGTAGCTGCAAGCTCTGGCCTGAGGACGCACTAAGAGCCAAGGGCTACGTGCGAGTGTAACGACCGGGATCGTGCGCAAGAGCGAGATCTACACTGTCACCAGAAATGGCAAAGTCTTCCAACGAGATGCATAAGCAGGGGCCCTCCAGAGTAATCCCTGAACCCCCTGGAGCGTACGGGAATACCCCAATTACCCCGACCCCAGCCCCAGCTACGGCGAGAAGAGCCGTTAGACTAGAAACTCAGAGGAAGACAATTGCAGGAAGCCATGACCAGGGCGACCACTTGCGATACCCAAGTTTCAACAATAAGAGCGCCTTATTGGACACGACACGCGCAGACGCCACCCAAGTCTAGCTGCCCGGCGGGCTCTCTGACAGCAGTGAGGATGAGAGTCAGGACTCCCCATTGGCTAAGAAGACGCGCGCACAGCGCGCAAACAATGACACGTCTTTCCAGCCCCAGACTACAAGCACCCATTATCTCCTTGAGGACTCTATTCCACTTGCAGAATCTCTCGAAGCATGCGAAAGGCGCCGTTTTCCTGTGATGTATTTAGAAGCCATGAATGTTTCAATACTCGAGCGCTCAATATATCAGACAGTCCTTAGGGAGTTCGCAACAGATCTACTTTTCCTCATCACTCTCACACCTTAGCCCAAAACGGACAGTAAATCGTAAGCAGCGTGCCGCTAAGAAGAAAACAAGATATATAACGGTCATTGAAAGTGCCTGACACCTGCCAGAGCCTCTGATCAGTCCTTCTTAGAACAAATATTCCATTATATATATCCGTCCAGGACCATGGGTCGTCTTACCAGGACCACAAGCCCAGCAGCCCGTACGAGTTTCAATATGTCCCTCTTCAGCTCGGTGTACAGGCCGTCATAGGGAATGTTGGAGGAATCGCGGACGACCTGCGGGCGTCGGCATGGACGAACGTAGCAAAATCGGTGCGGCCGTTTCTTACGGGACGACTCTATGAGCGGTACGGGGTCGTCTATCAATACTCGTCAGCATTCACTTGTGCATGTACAAAGTCAATATATGCAACAGACTCCTTTCTGTGCGTAACGTGTGAAGGTCTAGTAGGCGATGAAACGAAGCACAGCTGAGATTGATGGACTTTTCGGGAAAACACGACGGCCTGTCGTGACGGGGTATCATATTGTTACTACATATACTGTACAAAGTGGTCATAACTCATGTGCTCTAAACCGGGAGTGCATCCGGCGGTGTGGGCGGACCTTCCTTATCCACGGTCCGCAGATCGGCCATCAGGAGCTTAAGGTGGGCATCTCTGTTCTGGTTGGACGCCCAGTTGACTGCTTGCGAGTACCACAGAATGTCCCATGCATCATCGGGTATGTTCTGCAGTAGCGTGGGTACCTCGCGGGCTCTCATGTACGAGCGCCAGAGAATACGTCGAACATCGTCGCTCGCTCCGAGGTACGCTAACTTGAGGGCCTGATTGAGGGACTTCAAAGCGGGATGAGCATTGAACGGGGGCGGGAGGTCGACACGCAACTGCTCAAGGGCTTCCAGATGCTCGGGGTCGTTCTCAACCATGCGGAGTCGCTGCTTGTACGTCGTAAGCCGGGACTTGTCTAGGGTCTCGGGATCGGGAGCGCTGGGAGGTTCGTAGGCCTTCTGCTTCACAATGTGGTGTTTGATGGCGGCGAGCTTGTCCAGAATGTAGGGATCGGCAAGCATGCTCTCCACGACGGCATCGGCCTTTGGATCGGGCTTCATATCCGGAGTACTTTGCTTGAGAGACGCGACACGAGCCTTGAGTTCGTTGACGTCGAAACCCTGCTTCTCTTCGAATTCGTCGGCGTTATCCTCGGGGTCTAGGCTTGGCTTGTCGTCCAAAACAGTCTGGATCTCTTTGACCATCTCCTTATTTCCCATTGCGGCCATAATCTCCTGCATCTGCATGAGAAGCATGTCAATCTTGAACTGATCGATGGGATCGGCTTCGTCCAGGTCTTCTTCAGCCTCTTCGCTCTCACTCAGCTTGTCCAACCATTCGTCAGACAGCCATTCCGGGGGAAGCTCCTTCTTCACCTCCTCTAGTTGTTTTTGGGCTGCAGGAATCTGTTGAAGTTTGGCGTTCAGGCGTTCTATAGACTCCTCGAAACCAACGTTCCCCTTCTCGAGGTTGACCAGTTTGGCTTGGAAATCCTCGAGCTCCTTGCGGGCCGAGGCATATTCGGGGTTGTCGATGTACTTCTGGGCGCTCTCGTGGAGGGCCACGGCGACCCGAGACCACATTTGTTCGGCTTCGATCTCATCTTCCGTCTTCGTAATCTTCTGCAGTTCCTGCCCATATGCCGTCTCGTTTTCCCGCCCCTCCAGCTTCGCCCTCAAGTATATCATGTAGTCTTTGATCTCGTCGTAGGTGGGGTCTGCCAGCATGTCGTCGAGAATCTGTTTTCTGAGTTCGGTGTCGTCGTAGTCGGGGTTGGTGGCGTCCTCGAGAGCCATTCTCCACTTCTTCTCTTCGTCCATGGCTTGCTCCCGGGTCGAAATCCTCTTGACGAGCTTGGGTGCTGTGCCTTCGTCGAGGTCCTGCTCGTAGAACTCGATTGCGCTGATGGTCTTCCCCAACTGGTCAGCATAGATGTTCTCATCTTTTGGTATGATATCTTGAGGTTTCTTCGGCTTCTTTCTGCGGGCGGCGCCACGGACGGTCTGGAGCGATAGGCGTTGCGAAAAGGGGCATGGGATAGGGCGTGGACGGGAAAGGGCGCGGAGAATGGAAGCAGAAGGGATGTAGGCGCGCGAAGAAGCCATCAGTGGCTAGGAAAAGGTGGGAAATGTGAGAGTTGAGGGATGGTGGAGGTGGAATTTGGGTAGTTCCCGAAACCGATTAAAGTTCCGGGCGGTCGCTTGGCGTGCAGGGGCAGCTCGTGGTTCCCGATCCGGCGTTGGATGGCGCTTACCTGGACAGGAAAACTACCACGACCAACGCCAACACCCTCCTCAATACTCCCGAAGGAGCGCTCGCTCTGGAGTGGCCTTGAAGAAGCAGTAATGGTTAGCAAGCGTAGATTACATCCAGCAGTCGATGAGATTCATATATGAGAACTTACTGGCAGCCGAGCCTCCTCCAGCTCGCGGAGCTCAATGGCCCGCTGCTCTTCTCTGCCATCCCTGCCGCTCTGGAGGGCAGCTTCGACGGCATTCTGCCCTGTTCGGATGTCGCGAGGCAAATGGTCAGCACAGCTCCGATGGTTAGGGCGCCGCCAAAGACGGAGCCGGCAACGATGGCCACGGTGGCAAGGATGGTCAGCGGCATTGCGCTGTGGTGGGTTGGGGGAGAAGGAGGATTGGGAAAGGGTTCAGCTTTTGTGCTTCCGTGAACCTGTTCGGTGAGGGCATTCATTTTATTGCTGGTGAAGGGGAGTGATGGCAAACAGAGATGAACTGGACTTCACTGCAGCTTCACCACTGGTCAGGGGCTACGGGGAGTGAGGGATGGTTCACTGGCATTGCATTACAGCTTGTTCCATCCATGGTTGCTAAATGGATGGTTAATTCTTTACACATTCATCTCGACTACATGATGCTATCCGGCCAAAAGGTTGGACTTGTTCCGAGAGAAAAGATGCCAAGAACTGGCCCCGTTCCCAGCTTAAGCAGAAAGAAGCTTTCGGCAGCCCTCTCCGCATCCGCGTCGTCGGGTACGCTATTCCCGGAAAGAAACATATGGCAATGATGGATTCACAATGGAATGGACTCGCGAAGTGAATCTATCTGTATTCCAAGAGGGATAGTACACTCACGTTCTTCTGCAATGCATTCGGCTTCCGCGCTATATTCTCACATCCTATATAAAACCCCCCTGTGAGTAGAACACGAGGGCCGGGGCCGGATTGCAAACGGGAAGGAGTGCAGGCGCTCGGGCCACGCGACACCACAACCACCGATGTCGAGCCCTTTTACTTTCTTCTCGCTTTCTCCCCTCACTCCACCTCACGCTCGCTTTCTTTATCAATAGTCTCACACTCATTTTGCCTTGTCTCTCGTTATTCCACCGCACTCCCTTCGCGGGAAAGCCTCCTTTGACCGCGCGCGACAATGAAGCTCCGCGCCCTCCTTCTCCTGGCCGCGGCCGCGACCTTGCACGTGTCTGCCCAGACGGTGATGGACTACTCGAAAGTCCCAGAATGTGCGCGTCAATGCACCATCCTCGACCAGGCCGAGAAAAACTGCGTTCCCCCAGCGGCTCCAGTCACGGATCAGGCCACTTATCAATCGTGCTTCTGCTTGTCGGCGCTCCTCACCCCCCTCCACTCCTCTGGAAGTCTTTGCGAGCAGTTCTGCGGCGCCGATAATGCTGCCAAGATCTCCCAGTACTATACGAGTCTCTGTAACGGTCCTGTTGTTCAGCCTCCCAATCCTATGACCACGACCGTTACTACCGCCACCACCAGCACGGGTACTTCCACCGCAACGGCTGGAGCGGCCGGCGCCAAACCAGTGAGCTCCAAATCCAATGGCCAAACCTGGTATGTGCTTGTTGAGTCGACTTCGGTTCAGGCTTCGAGACTGACAATTTCTGTCCAGGTGGGATAAGCACTGGAAGTATGTCATTATGGTCATTGTCATTGCAATTGCCATGGCAGTAATCTGGATCGGAGGCATCTATCTTCGCCGTCACTTCGACCGCAAAGCTGACGCCAAACGCGCAAACATGGCCGCCACCGATGCCCCGTTTGATGGATCTAGCCGTTCGGTTGTAGGGGGCCTTGGTCCAAAGAGCAATGCTAATCTCCAGGTCGACGTTCCTCCCCTTCCTCCCGTTCGCGCAATCGTTCAAGAGAGGTTGAGGAGTCGCAGCAGCTCCTTGACCAGCGCCATGGTTAGCAGCAAGTCCAACACTCCTCATCCTGTGGTCCTGGGTCCGCATCAGCACATGGCTAATGCCACGAACGGTCAACTCAACTCCCACCCTTCTTCTGGACAGGCTATTGCTCCTCCGCCTATGCCCGTGCGCAACCACGACGCCATGAGATCCGACCCCAAGTTCGTCCAGTATCGCGCTACACCCACGTCTATCACCGTCGAGGATGTCAGCTACAACAGCTCCACCAGCACTCTGCCGCGCCCGTCCCGCTTCCTCGAGCATTCTCCTGACTCATCCACTGACTCCATTCATCAACATGCCTTCGACGACGCTGGTCAACACACGCTGAATACACCGCGAAGCATTCCAAGCCTGCAGCATGAACGCCGTTTTGGCCACAAGTTACACAAGGCAAACAAGTACTAACAGACTTGGTCGCCTCATCTCTTTTCCTCGTAGCCACCTTTAGTGCATGTGCATCGGCGTCGGAGGGTAGGGTCGGAGTTCACGGAAACAGCTTTTCTTGGGGCAATTACCATTGGCCATCTCCTCGGCCTCGGAACGGTTACGGCGTTTTCTTGGGAGAGGTGGATCACGGTTCTTGATTGTCGCCAGTTCTCATGGACTCGTGAACGAGAACTTGGGTCCTCTGAATTGGGACCTGGCCTCGAAGCATTTCCGAGGGGTTCTTCTGTAATTTATAACAATCTTCGGGGGTGGACGGGAACCGCGCATCTAACGCGAAGTTCTGCGAAATGACTTGAAACAAAGGGGCGACTTACAGGCTCCCTGGCTCAGGGTCTGAAATAAACGGTCACTATACTGATCTCCTTCTTTGAACTCATCGTATGTGATGTGTGGGCGAGATAAGTAACCAAAGAGACTTCACAGTAATTCCAGCGGTTGTTGAGGTTCTGAGACATGGAATGCAGTGGCACGCGTTTCCTTTCTCCCTTTGACTTAGTCAGCACTCGGACCATTTTCTTGGCGCGGGGAGTTGAAAGCGAGCTGGCAGGATGGACTTCCTGAACCAACGCCCCTCTAACAGCGCCGACCATCCAGGCTGCTGGAGACGGGTTCCAAGAAGCTGTTCCTCATGAGCCTATGAGTCAATCTTCGCGAGTCATTGCTAACCCGCTGAACTCATGTAGCTAGATCCGCCCGTCAATCCTGGGATTCCGCGATACCGCGCATCGTACACCGTACACCTTTTTTCAACCTTCGCGGTAGAGAGACATACCTGCTGGTAGGGATGGAGACAATGTATTTGTGAGAAAATTGACGATGAACGATACCTTAGCGGCTCTATTCCGTCAGGACCTGATGTCCGCGGTCGCAGAGATATCCTCCCCGTCGCAGAACCCCCCAGATAAGTTGCAACGCCGGAGCTCTTATCGGAACTATCGAACCGCTACGAAGTATATGCGATGAGCTGCGTAAGCAGCGAAGAAGAGAAAGAATTTCTGTGAGGGATGAGGGTATCTTGGTTCGATTGAACACAGGGAGTTTGTACTCCCTTTCCACCCCTACCCGATCTGCGGATCCAGCAAGGTTCTCCGCCGTGGTCCTGAACAAGAATCCCCCTTCCAAGGCCAGAGGCTGGCCATATGTGCGCCACGGGTTGGGTCAGAACGCCCACAGGTTTTTCCGATTTCTATTCACATCTGCGCTTCATACGCCTCTTCTTCACATATGCCGAATCACCAGTAACATCTATGTTACACGCAATCGATTGTCATGATTTTCTACTAGGTCCGTACGCATATAGTCCCTCAGACACGCTGATTACTGCGTCACCCGCTCACGATATTCCCTCTCCTCCAATCTGACGACCGGAAGTGACAGCGTAACGGAGATGCCCAGAGTCTGGTGGCGGTGCCCACTCTGGAATTCTCAACAACAGCGACGAAACCCGTATCGTGCCATACATGGAGTGTGGATCATGTTCAAGGCGCCGAATCTGGAAGTCCGAGGACTCGCGTCATGCTGCATTGCCGTCCGGTGGGCTAGTCCTTGAACAAGCCGAACCGCTTAGATGTCGCACAGGAAACGATCGTGTCAAGGCACACGACGTATCTTTCTCTAAGGTTCCGAGCGCATGCGCTGACGGTTTGTTGCATACATGTTGCTCTCCGTAGCTGCACAGTGTGCCAAGGAGAGGTTGCACCCGAACCAGAAACTCGGATTCAAAGGCTATCAGCTCGTCCTGAAGACAGAAGATGATGATGTGTCCGAGTGATGGGTTTCGGAAACAGCGCTCCTGTGCACAAAGCCGGCATTCAACCGCGCACTGATATTCATGCATACTGCAGACAAAGAAACTACCTCTCATTGGCTTTCAACATTGTTTCCATCGGCTACCCTTAAAGGTGTTAGAAACTACCGAATCAGGGCGTTTCAAGAACATTGTGTAGGGCCTAGGGGAATGTTGGGACACATCTACGAATGGGCAACAGTGGTCCGCTGCACTTTGTGAAAGACATTGTGTATTCAGGGCTGTCACATATGTACAGGATCTCTTTGCTTTCCATTCCTCGCCTTCAATGCCGCTGACCTTATACTACCTCTGAACAACTCTACCTACCACATTTCCAGCCTTGAGCGAAGCACCTCGGCCGGATCCTCTGGTCAGCGGCTCGACTGAAGTGCTGGAAGTTCCCCCTCCGCCCGGACGGTCCGCATATTTTGCTCCCCTTCGCTTTTGTAACAGCTGAACAGTATGCTACCTTCGCAGCGATCACAACCTTCTTCAATATCGAGCACCGAGTCCACTTCTCCTGCAAACATGCTACAAACTTTTAGGTGGCCCAGCTACCAAAGCACTTACGACATGGTCTCGGATGAGCGATTCCAGCACTTCAACACCGAGTCCGCTAAGATCAATGCTGGGCTGCACATGCCTGCTGGCAGGCATGTTGCACACGATCTTCTCCCGGTTTTCTCGAGGAACTGGACTCCCGTCGATATTGACTTCAGCACGTTCAGAGTGTCTCAACATTCTCCGTCTCCGCAGAAGCCAACGGCTAAGGACATCGTCCGCAGCCTACTGTGTCCCCCTCCGCATGCCTTCGTCCATGGTGTCCTTTCCATCAACTGGGTTATCGCTGTTGCGGGAGCCACGCACTTCGAATGCCGCCGGAGCGATGGAAGATATATTCTGAAGAAAGATTCGCCGCTGCGGAAGTGGGGAAAGCAGTTGGGTCTGCCTGCTGTGTATCGTGAATGGCTGTGCGGGGACGATGAGGAGCGCGGCGCCGCTGAAGATGGGATGTGGCTTACGGAGGAGTTTTTCGAGAAGGAATTGTGAAGGAGATACGGCCGTCCTCTCCTTCTAAGCTTATCGTTGGTAGGCATGGTACCTGAAGGCAGGTTGTCGCAAATGCGCGAGCTCTTGGAAAAAGACTTGCAAAGCCGATAGAGGCTGTCCTGTCCCTGTGAGCTCCCCATTAGTAATTATAACAATACAAATCTCAACTCAAATTCAGGAACCGGATCGATTTGCGTTGCTATGCGTGAGATCCCTCCAGACCGATATTCACATTAGAGCCTGACCGCAACATAGAAACTTGTGACCAATTTGCCCGCCTCATCTCCATTCACCGCTTCTCAAGGGGCGTAATGGTAGCCTTCACCATGACGTAGAAGCGGAATTGCGAATGCAGGCGGTCAGGGTGCCTGCCCCACGTGAGGCCATTCAGCGGTATCGAGGGTGAAAGCTTCGCGTCCCGTGATCGGACCGCTTCCCTCCCTTCCTTGACATATAAGCACAGCTCTTCTCCTTCTGCCGCTTCATCTTGCACCTCCAAACCCACTACTTCTGGTTCCGCCAATATACAATCCTACACTCCTCAAGCTTTTGTATATCCATTTCCTCCACCCTCGCCATGACTTCCCCTTCTGGAAACCAGCCCCCTCGCCGCCCCGGGTACCCCAGTGACAAGCTTCTGCGCGAAGCAGAGCAGATCTGGGTAAGTGTTTCTTGCTCACAGCAGTGCTCCCTGAACTTCGCTGACCTCAGTGTCACAGAGTTTCAACCCCCGAGCCCAGACCTTTGAGCCAACGACCCCGACGACGCCCACCATTCTCGGCGGGACGGGTGCTGCACCAGTCCCTCACGAAGGGCAGGCTGCCTCCCGCCTCCCCCAAGGGTTGGCTGAGCCCGGCCCGCCCCAAGGGCTCGCTGCACCCGTCCCGCCCCGAGGGCCTGCTCCCGCTGCCGCTCCCCAAGGAGAGGGATTCGGTCAACTTCCAGATGGCGGAGATATCAGCGACCCCTACGCTTGGCCATCTGCCCGAGAACTTGCAAGGAAGCTGCTGGACCCTCCCCGCCAGTCGTACCCAGTCCACCACAAGAGACAAGGCTTCGTCGTCATCCAGTTGCGCTGGGTGCTCAGAGTCGTCGGGGAGCCGCATTTTCGGAACGACAGTAATCTCTCCCGGAGCGTGCTGAAGGAGAACAGCAAGCTTCGAACGCATGGGTGGGTTTTACAACTTTGCATCCTCTTTACATGTTATCGAGTACTGATGACTGCACAGACTCGCGGCCGGAATTCCCGAGGGATACTGGCGTTGGCTGTGTGGGAACCGCGAGGGAAGGCCAACCGGTCCTGATAGAAGCGAGTACTGGATTCCAGAGAACGAGTTCTTCTTGGTGAGTGTAGCCGCAGTTTACACAGGCACCTTGCTGATGAGCAAACAGCGTCCCGACCGAATTCCACCACCGCCGCCCCTACCTTCTGCTTCTGTGCCGCACGAGATGCGGCAACCCTCACCGTTCTGCGAAGGACCGCCTCCACCACTTCCACCGACCCAAGCCTACTATGGCATGCCTCAAGGGCACCAGCAGTCTTCTCCGCCGCCGCAAGGGCCCTTCGGATACCCACCGCCGCATTACTACTACCGGGGCTAGGGGGAGAGGGAACTAGGGTGACTTGTACGAGATCTTGGTTGATTGGAAGACACTTTTCTGCCGCTCGTTCCGGGTGTGGGCGTGTGACTCCAATTGCTTCTGGGTGTATGATTTCCTGGCATAGGGTAATGATAAAGGGGCAGGCGATACCAGACAAGTGGGATAGAGATGAGCAATGATGACTTTTTTTGCATATACAGTGTCTCAGACATGAAAACCAACCTATCGGGCCCTTTGTGCACGATGTTGACTCGAAGAAACACCCAAGTCAGCCCTTTTAAACTAGCTCGAAGGGCTGACTTTGACCCACCTCTCCCGGGGACCAACACCCAACTTAGCTACTCGACCCGAGATGCCGTTGCCTCCGTCGATCCTACCCCACTTCCGAGGCCCGTTCCGAAAGCCCTACATAATCCCGACGAACCTCACAACGTCACGCCATTGTTTATAGCACCGATTCCTCTCCTTGTATTCCCTTCCGCAATTATCCAAAGCATATTTCGAGCACCTACGACGACACACAAACCTTCCAAAATGGTCCTCCAACTCAAGCCCATGACCCCCTCCGACATCCCCTCCTTCGTCGCCCTCGGCGCGGCCGCCTTCCGCAGCGGAATGGCTTCCTTACTCCACCCGGAACCTCATACTCCCGAACAAATCCAATCCGACATTGACCGCCACCTCAACACCATGAAGAACGAGACGGACGCGCATTACCTCAAGGTCGTTGACTCGGAGCTGGTCAACGACGACGGCACCAAGGGCAAGATGATTGCGGGGGCGAAGTGGAGGATTAATCTGCAGGAACGGAGCGAGGAGGTGGTCAAGGCGCAGATGCGGAAGATTGGAGAGGATGAGAAAGTTACGGATGCGTATAGGGATTTTTCGGCGTGGTTGGAGGGGATGAGGTGGAAGTGGATGGGGACGAAGCCGTTTTTCTGTAAGTGCTGTTTTCTGCTGTCTTTTAAAAGATTCAGACCTGCGTGGCTTTGAGTATGGGGTATGTTATGGAGAGGTAGTAGAGCGTCGGATGAGTGGGACGGCGGACGGTTAGGGGAGTGCATTCCCATCGGGACTGGAACGCCGATGTAGTTGGCTGGAGTGCGGATGACGAATTGGCCGGCGAAGAGCTGTTTGTCTGGGTCTGCAGGCTCGTCCCAATTAGCTTCTTGAGAGGGTTATACTCCTCCTCTCTGTGGAATCGGCGCTTCTGAGTTCGGAGATGCTGACAACCACGTTTCCAGTCCTGCACATCCTCTGCACCCATCCCGATCACCACCGCCGCGGCGCTGGCGGCATGCTCGTGCGATGGGGTATTGAACAGGCAGACAAAGAAGGACTGCCGACGTACCTAGAGGCGTCCGAGGCGGGCAAGCCGTTATATGAGAGGCTGGGGTTTGAAGAGGTGGAGGTCAAGCTGTATGACCTCAGCAAGTACGGGGCTGAGGGAATAGAAACGAACACTGTCATGATTAGAAAACCGAGGACTGTGGATGGGACGATCTAGAAGAGCAGAGGGGCTAGCCTCGACGTGCAAAGCGGAATTGATACATATCAACAATGGAGACATCTCAGCTGGGCTGGGTTTCATCAGTGAGTTCCCAAATGCCCTCCCAAACTGAATTCAACTGCTGCAGCGCGCTCTACGGGAGGGTTCCGGAAGTCAGCGGCTCTGCGGACGCCGAAAACTAGATCCGGAAGCCGATTCAATCCCATCATTTCACGAAGTGCCTGCCAGGCTGTGTGCACATACTGTGACATCCCCAGCCGCAAAGAGGCAGTGAAGTCCCCTTTGGCCTGTCTCTTTCCCCAACCCCTCTTGCACGTTGCCCCAAGTGTCCACCCATACAATCCCGCTTCCAGAACCCTCCTTGTCTCCAGGAAAGCTCGTTTCACCCTCACTTTAGCGCCGCGCCAAGACAAACAGCATAAAAACTCTGCTCTTCCCCCTCTCTCACTATCTCTTCTTCCTCCTCAAAGCCTATCTTATACAAATTCATCTATCGTCTCCTGTTACATCCACCTTGGCTGTATTTCACTTGATGCTCGCTCCTGCGAGGAGGTATGTTTACTCCTGCATTGTTTGCTTCCGCCGTGCTGACCTCCAAACAGCTGCATAGGGAGAATGTACTTGTCAAGCCAATCAACACTCCCATCACGGACACCCGGGGGTGTTGGTTGGCTTGACAAGCGGAGGCTGAGCTCGGCTGGATTTTACTTGGAGAGAATCTCCTTGAGCCGAGCTCAGCCTCCTTGAATCACAGACAGCCGGGCTCGGCCTGGACGACAACCGCAACCCACGGGACCGCCTCATGATTACGCCGAGGATGCAGCGGGTCGTCCGGGCTGAGCCTGGCTGGATTTTACTTAGGGCGGGTGGGGTTTTGGGCATGTAAGTTGGCCACTACTTGAGATACTTTGAACGCGGCATTGACTTGAAGTACAGCTGTGGAGTGGGAATGTGCTCGTCAAGCCGGAGGCTACTTGGCTGGATTTTACTTGAACTTGGCTGGATTTTACATGCCGCCCGGTGTGGAGGTACACCTGGTAAGACAAGTGACGCTGAATGCGACCTCCGCAGGCTTACTGATGCGCCAGTGTAGGACTCATTGTCACTTGTCAAACGAATCATGCACTCGACCAGTAGATGGGCCAAGTAAGTCCTCTCCTCCATGAAGGTATCGACAATAATGCTAACCACCGCTAGGGCAACATCATGCTGATCTGCAAGCCGAGGGGCGACTCCGGCAATTCCGAAGATGTCCGCACGACCGTCATGCTGCGCAACATCCCGAACAAGATGGATGGGATTACCTGGTCCGTTGCGTCCTATTCCCAACAACATGGGTGGGATCACCTGGTCTCCGCAGAAGAACCAAAGAAGGAGCCCGACAGGAATCTCCTGGAAGCGAGTTCCTGAGTACATCACCGAGAACGGCGGATCCTACAAGTTCCGCGGTTCGAGGTGAATGTCGAAGAAGATTTGCATGTCAGGAACGCTTCACAAAAATCTCCTGGAAGCAAGTTGCTGAGTAAATCACCCAGAACGGCCAGTCCTACAAGTTCGGAGACTTGGAAGAGGCACGTTTGACAAGAATCTCCTGGGAGGGAGGTGCTGAGTACATCACTGAGCACGGCGGATCCTACAAGTTCCGCAGTTTTAGGTGAATGTGGAGGAAGGTTTGCGTGTCGGGAACGCTTGACAAAATCTTCTGGAACCGAGTTGCTGAGTACATTACTGAGGACGGCGGATCCAACGATTAAGAAGGGCAGCGCTTGACAAGAATCTCCTGGAAGCAAGTTGCTGAGTACATCACTGAGAGCGGCGGATCCTACAAACTCGGCAGTTCAAGGCGGAATTGTGGACGTGGACGTGGTGGACGGTATGATTTACTCAACGGTTGAGGCTCAAGGCGGTTCTCCAGGAGGCGAGTTGCTGAGCACATCACTGAGAAGAGAGGTGTGGAACCTGCAATTTCAACAATTTGACGTGGAAATGTCCAGAACAATGGCTCGATATTGGCATACTGTATCGTCGTTTGACTTTAGAGCAATTCTGTTGTGTGTTTCTGGTGTTCTATCGCTAATGTTATTGATACATAATTTTTCTCTCATAAGCTCATTAACACAAGTGGGGAACCCGTGACACTGGCTGATCTCCTAGCCTTGGGCCATACACTTCATTTATAAATCTAGTTAACCTACGCCTCCGCAGTTGCGGCAAGTACGGCAAATCCATATACTAAAACATGGCGCCCTCACCATCCCCGCCGTTGGTCGAAACGCCGAAACGTTCCCATCACCGCCTCCGAGGTCTTGGGTGGGCGTGAAACGCAATACCATGGCTACGGGGATAGTTTACAACGGTAGCAACGCGAATCGCCGGCGTTCACTGTTAACGATCCGCCAATTACCCATAACAGCACTACGGACGACAAAACGTCAATCCAGTACCACCGCATTATTCCTCGCAACCCGGCTCCAGCAGATAGGTGAGTAAAGAGGAACATTGTACATATCTAGGTAGGGTTGAGGCCATAGGATAATGCTATGATTGTTTGTGCTAGCAGTAACTCAAACTTCAGACTCTCGACATCTTCAACGACCCGTGTTACGCAAACGTAAAGCACCACCTATCGGATACATTCAGCTGCAAGCCGGAAGAGCCTTCACACTCGTCGGTGTCTGCGCCAAAGCTACTTCGGCCGCCCTCCTTCGTGTGAGTCCCGGGAGCGTCTGTCCACCAGCTTTATTCCACTTCGGAAGCTCCTCTGCAATAACAGTGTTGGGGCTTTCGCCAGCGTTGAGACGTTTGAGGAGAGTGGAAGATTGAACGTTGCTAGGGCCCACATTGAACGCCCATGACACAAGAGCGCCATATTGGTTCGCGTTGAGCACCACATTTGAAGTGGTCTTAAGAGTTATGGTTTGCTGCGGAGACTGCGGGATATAAGAATGTGAATGGAGCGGATCCCGGGATATCATACCTTGAGGTCCGACATCAAGAGTTGCGTCGCCGTTGACTCCGTCAAGGGGAAGGAATAGGGGACCTCCGAGCAACCTGTCGTCTGGCACAAATGCCCGTAACCGACAGTTGGCAGACCTATCGGATCCGGAGAAGGGCTAGGCACGAAGCCTTCAAACTCCTTAATCAGTGCGATCGTAGCGGAATTGACATTGGGCCCGGTGCAAGCACGAAGTTCGACGGGGTTCGCAGAGACAGACGAGAGTATGGAGGCTCCGATGAGGAAGAGAGATTTGGCATGCATGATGGTGGTGAGTGCTGGGCGTTCTGATTGTATGTGCAAGTCGAAAGGGATGGTGAAGGAGCCGGATAGGGTGAGGTCTCTCTTTGCCATCCCTTTTATATTTCTTCCCGGCCTTGTCTATTGATATGCTGCCTTCAGCAGCGCAGCTTCCTATTTCTTCTCCCCATCCCTCGTCTTCATGCATCGCCCTTGTCTGAAAATGGGAGGAGGTTGAAACCTGTTCCGGTTCGCGGGATATTCTCCGGTAGCACGAGAGATGCCCGCTAATGGGCATCTGGACCAGAATTAGCGAGAACAAAAGCCTTTCTGTATTAAGGCATGACCGGGCATTGGACCGACTTGGATCCCCTCGGGGTTACACAATGCACATCGGCGCGCGTAATGTCGATCTATAAACATAAGCGTTTTGAATCCCGACCTACGGACGTTTCGTCGGATCTGCAGGCGATCCATCATAGCGGGACAAGTGTGTGCAGCACCACTACTACACTATTCCTTAGTGGATACGAACAAGTCCTTCATTGTGCAGCAACTAGGGCAACCACGTGGGATTAGCAAGGGCTGCGAGGGGTCGGGCGAGGGTTTGGCTTAAGTTGCTCCCATCTGTTTGGGAACATCAGAGGTTTCCCCATGGCTCATAGCTCGATTGGACGAGTGCAGTATTTTCGGCATACGTGTGTATGCTCGGAGTCCCGCCCAAATCTTTAGTGAGGCTGAACTTTCGATATTGTATACGGATATTCGATAAATCTCTCTCTTTTTGGTGTAACCTCATCTGAGTAAGAGCGCAAATGGAATGAACGACCCCTCAGCAGGGTGGCCTGACTCCCACTATTTATGTGGACAGAATTGATGTCTTGCAACTGAGCATCAGGCAAGGTACGGACGGTGCCATATCTGATTTTACGCTCCATGCGCAGCTTCACCGGTCCTCTTTCGAATCAAGACTCTGGATCTTGCTGGGAAATCCTTCAAGGTCCGATATCTCTACTGTGAGCAGAGGATGCTTGTCCGAGAGCTGTTCCATGGACCATTGCGGAATGTTTCAGCTGGAATTATCGGATCCCCAGTCGGTGCAAAATTCAGGCAATTGAAACATGATCCCTATGGCAATATGCTACTGCCATAGATATAAACAACCACGGCAATGTAGGTTACTGCATGTCGCCTCTCCGCCGAGGCGACAGCATGTCACATGCCCAACTCCTCATGCATTGCCTTCCTGTTCCATGGCTACATCTCGGCGACCGTAAGAGGTGCGGCGTCTCTCGCTGTTGCGTTCGATTCTTCGCATGCAAAAGTAGGATATCCACTCCTCAAACTCGGCCTCTCAAATTTTTTTGAATTTTCCTCGCGCCCAACTCAGGGTCCCTTTCACAGCTGTGTGTCCACCCTTCTCGGAGGCAATATCTAGCCGACGGAGATGGTTATCGTTAAGCCATGCATACCACTGGAATCAGCGCCCTTGAAAGCACAAAGATTAGCCCTCAAATCTTAGTTTCAAGACAACTACTCAAAATCTCTTCTGCTCCTACAGACTCAGGCTCTAGAAGAGATGGGACGGTTGGAGCGGCTTGCACGTGATTGGTCGTATCACGTCTGCGATTGATCCGGGACATTCGTGGGACGTGGGTGCAATTGGAGCAGTTTGTGGCGTATCTCTTACCACAAAATCTTCTGTCGGCTCATGGTCCCCCCTTCCGACTCCAAAGAATGAGACATGGAAGCGCATCGACGTGGTCTGGCATCTTGAGAGACCACGTGAAAGTCACGTGATGAATACTCGGGCGAGAAACAGGTCCCTTTATGGAAAACCATGGTATCGGGTGGATACCATGGTTTTCGATATGGAAGGGGACCCTTGAAGTGGTCAAGGGCCATTCACGGAGCATCAAAGCCAGCCTCTCGCGCTTTAACGACCTGGCCTTGATGTCCACAATTCTGAGAACGAACAACTTCAGATGCTCTGGACGTCACATCTATACCCATCATGAATTCCTCCTCACAGCAAGACTTAAGCCATACATATACAACGAGTGCAATCGTAAAGCAGTGACGACGGGACGGGTGGTTGGCATGCTGTCGAGGAGTATTGGCAAATTGAGAGGCGCTTCGATCTTTCAGCACAATGAGAGCATGGCAGTAATGGAAGGCGAGCCGGATAGTTTTGGAGACGCAGCTCTTGAGAGATATCAAGGACGACGTGGTGGGGTTGTTGCGAAGGAACACATGCATGGTGATGCTTCGAGGAAGCTGCATGCAGAGGAGTCATGGGAAGAGCGCGCTAGGACTTGTTTCCGCCGGTCAAATGGAGAGGTATCTGCGGAGAGGAGTGACTGCGAGCTTTTCACCCTGCGGCAATCGGAATTGAAACTCTCCAGGGCTGAATCCAGCTGCCTATCTAGCGGATAGGTAAAATGTGGAACCAAGATATTTCTGGATAGACAACGTGTCCCCTTTGCGACCTGAACGTGTGCCCGGGCTCCGCCGACATTATCTCACCGGGATGGAGGGTCATAGCCTAGGTACGAAACCATGCTTTGTAATGTCGAGTATTCTGGAGACGGGCCGAACCGATGCTCCCCGTCCCTGAGGGTGGGCTCCAAATGTAGCTGTATGTACCGACGTGGTCTTGATACGCCATTTGGGACACCGTGGACCGATTAGGCTCTTATGAACCCAAGGTAGACGAGGCTTTGCAGATCATCTGGATGTATTTTCCGGCGAGCATAACATGCTGCAGAGGAGCATATCCAGGTGAGAAGGTTGCCAAACGAGCCGTTGCTGCTGGAGGCAGCGATCCGCTTTTGAAGTCGAATATGTTTTACGTAGAGTTTGGGGGGACTAAGCGTCGCCGTAGCTGGCTAGTGCAGCTACGGAGAAGCCGAGAAAGAGGTAACTGGTGTGGCTGTTCTGGCTTTTGCGGTTGATCCCAACACGCAAGGCGGTCAGCTGTGGGAACGCCTAAGCCGCATTAAGCCCCAGCATCCAGTCGTGTAGTAGCAGACTGTTCACAAACAATTCGGGGTTTTTTGACTATAAGGCCAGTGACGACCATATCTTGACAATGACCACTGGTATCCGCTGTTGAAGTGTGCGGTCCGTTCAGAATGATGCAGGTTATATATCGCAAATCCTAGACATGTACCATAACAGAAGGACAAGGGCGCTTGGTGCAGCGGTAGCACGCCACCTGTTCAGGTGGAGAGGTTTGGTTCGAATCCAATAGTGTCCATCTTTGGTAATGTAGCATCCTAGGACGCTACATTACCAAAGCCTTTTTTTGCGCTCTGTTTTTGGTCGTTTCATGCTCAGAGCTGCATGCATTTCTTTTCCTCTTTTGCGCCCACGATTTTGGAGCGTCGTTCTTTTTCTTCGGCTTTGTGTTCTTATGCTTTGCTGCTGAACGGCTGTTTTCACTCGACGTAGTGCCTGCCTGATTCGGCTCATTCGACTTCACCGGGTCAACCGTGGGCTCGCTACTGTCAACCCAATCAGGACGCTTCGAAGTGCACCCTCATCCCGTACATGAGAGCAGAGCTTCCAGGTATCGTATCCACTCGAAGCGTAGGAGCAAGGTCCACAGCCTTTGGTCTTTTCCTTCTGGGCCTCCACCACCAACCATGGAGATTTTCATTCGACATTGATCTCAACATCAGAGCGAGGATGGCGTTTCAGCGGCAGTGGAAGCAGAGAACTGAGTCTCGGTTTGGGTGAGGCATTGCGTTACAGTGCCTTTGCTTCAGGCGACGCTGACTTCCCAGGAGCGTGAGTCTTGCGCCGCTTCCTCCCATACCAACATACCATTACGCTACACCGCAGCTCAGCATGCCCGCAAAGGGAGCCATCACCTTCAACGGCCGTTACGCCACTACGCCCGGGAAGTACTCCGCCCCCGACAGGCTCATCATCGTACCTCGTTGTGCCATGAGCGGCAGAACACCAGACCGAACCCCAACCCGATCGCAAGCCCATAAGGAAGGCACACGAGGATATAAGGCTATCCGGAGGTGCTGTTGTTTGCAGTACTACTAGGAACAACGACGTGCTGGGCGAGGATATGTAGGAGGTGGCTCGGAATACCTGGTGTCGAATTCACGTTCCCAAATCAGCGCCTCATAAGCTTGATGTCTTCTGAGGGTACGATTTCATCAGTAATGGCAAGTCGCCCCTGCTCACTTGAGGTGCTCTGAACATGGGATTTCAGGGGGGTTTTACTGCAGCGATGAGCGTTCCCGTGTACCTCGACTGTAGCAGAGGAGATTGGAGGCGGAATCAACGGAAGCCACTTTATGATGGGAATGTCTAGGGCGGGCAGGACAGATGAGGACTTGTGAAGTCTCCGCTTTAACGCGGTAAACTACGGGAGGTTCAAGGGCGCGGCTTCATAAGACGAGGCAAGTCTTTGCAACTCGCGCTACGATGCTTAGAGTAGATGTATTTGAGGCGCGGTTACGCGGCGCGCCGGGCGGTCGTACTTTCAAGCCAGACAATGGAAGCCTACATTGTGTAGCTTGTGCTGGTTCGGTCCATGTATTGAGCACGGGAAAGCATGGGGATCGGCTCGGAAAACTTGTAGGATCAGACCATTGTCTTCATCGGTTGGGCCTGGTCGAGAACTGCTTGGGGAAGGGGGCGGAGCTCCTGCCTTGTTCACAGCGGCGCGCAGTTAAGCCAGGGGCGTTTCGCAAGTTCGTTTGTGATGTAGCTCGGCTTCTGCTAAATGAGTGTACTGCGAGCTGCTCAAGTCGACTCTAGCTGTCAATGCGGCGTCTGGTGGAGAGCGATGGTGATGGGTCAAGGTTCGAGCGTCGGACATCCGAGCAGTGAGGGGCCTACGGGGTAGATGGCGAGACGTGTTTGAGCTGAGTCGTTCGTACTGCAAGAGACAGATCCCGAGTGAGGACTGGAGAGTGCCAATGGCGACATGTTGCGTCTTCGAGGTTGCTCGGGGCATGTTGGAGTCGCCGTTGCGCCCCGATTGTCAACTCGGCGCAGTCGCCCCAGAGTCCGGCGAAGGCGTTGTCGCATATGGTCGAAGGCGGCCTCGATTTTGATGCAACCAAGGAAGCTCGCATTGATTCTCAATCATCATCTGCAATCTCCTGGTGATGGTGTTCTGCAGTCGGACCTCTATCCCGCCTCAGGCTTGGCATCTTGTTGAGGTTGGAGTTTTGTGCAGGCATTCACACAAAGCCCCGCAACAACCACCCAACACCGCCACAGCAACCTATACACAAAGAACCTTTATGCCTGGACTCGTGTGGGGTACACCCCATTACCGGGAGATTCATGCCGCCGGTATCAGGGATATTCCCCTGTACATGCTGCAGGAGCTTCCTTCCCACGCTACTGCTCGTCAAAGAAGCCGTCATTTGATTCGATTGCAAGCGTCTCCTCACTCGGATTGCGGATACGCCGACACTTCGACTGCCATGTAGGCTACCCGAAGCGCTGCGAATGCCCTGAAAGCGGAGTCGTAGGGCAGGATCCACAAAACTACCCCCACCCAACCCGGCGCCAATTCACCCCTCGGATCTCTTTGGCAAAGAGTTTGCCAGACAAGCGCCATGATGTCCCATCCAGTTATTCCAGGGCTAGGCGAAGGAAGGGCAGCGTACGCCTGAGCCTGAGTGGCGAGAGAGTACCTCTTTCAGCTCTCGGACAACACACACAGTCCAGCCAGATACCGCTTGGACTTCCAGATAAGCTGCTGATCTCCCGAACCGATACATGGTGAAAACGATGGCTGAGCCGAGTACCCAGGGCCAGTGCTTTGAACATAGGACGCTCGAGTCACCGACTCCGTGTTTACTGGAAGGCGAAAGAACCCGATGACACCATGCTACCAATGCAGCGACTCAGGTCAACGGAATAACAAAGTCGGAACGTCCGAACAGGTCAGATAAACCCTGCTAAGTCGAGGACATGCTGGCTGAACGTCGTCGGGCCCTGACTGGCTAGGAAAGAGGGAGACCGTTGTGCTGCTGACGATGATAGCTTCCAGAGCAGGCAGATCCAGCTACAACAGAGTCAACAAGATGAGTTCCACATCTCGACCCACCTGAACATACCTTTCGTCGATACCATGATCGATATCATTGATCACGAAGCCGGCGTTATTTCCCACCAGTCCTTCCGCATTTCCAACAGCGTTATTCTTGCTGAGATGGCGTACTGAAAGTCATATGCCGTTCTTGCAAACGCTTCCACGACCGGAATGAAAAGACACAATGCTGCATTAGTTTGATGCTCAGGTTCTCCAGTCCAGAGACCGGGGTTAGTGCGGAGATATACCAAGAATGAGGAATCATGAGAAGCCGAGCAGAGCCACTCCTGATATGCTCTCTTCTGACGCAATTTGAGGTAAGTCGGCAAGATCCATGCGCGGCACCCACATCTGACGGCTTACATGCGACATCCCAGGAGTAGTGAGTCTCTTGTAGAACCCATGATCCATCGCAAGATACCGCGGAACGACACCAGGAAGAAACGAGTGTTTAACTGTCCCGGTCGGAATGAAAAGAAGTGGAATGACGATCGAAGAAGGTATCGAGAAATGCCGGACCATCAATATCCGAACCGCACTTGATAGGAAAGACTTGAGACCTGACTGTTTCGAAGAGAGGACGAGGGGAGCTGGACGACAATGACGCAGGCGCCAGACCATAGGCCCGAGAAGCACCGCGTAGGGAACGGAAATACTGAGCATACCAGAGAAGAGACAAGAGCTCACGGACAATTAGAGACGGAAGGACGGGTGCCGGACAGCGATCCGAATGAATAAATGAACGGGAAAACCATATGGGACTTCAGTTGGCCCACGACGAAGAAAACGACGAAGAGAAGAGCTGGGAACGTGCCGAACCATGGGTCCAAAGCCATGAACACCAGTAAGCAGGGGCTAAAACACAATCGAAGATGAACATAGACGGGAAAGCAGTAGATATGCCGGACCATAGGTCCCGGAGCGTTGAAAGAGCAGGATGAGAAGACATGAGTGACCGATAAGCGAAAACGCGGGATTGTCGAGGACATCGGAAAGGACGGCATCAGTGGACTGCAAAGACGGATGTCCAATGGCAAGAGATGACTGAGGGCGACAAGGAAAAAAAGGGGAATTGCCGGACCATCGATTCATAAGACAAGCATCGAAGAGCTCAACGAGGGGACTTGGAGAAAGATGATCAGGCATGACGATGAGGAACTAGATGACGTGGAGCGGGGATTGGGAACATGCCGGACCATAGGTCCATTTCAGAAGCATGGGCGGGGACCATAAGAATTCGAGACTGGCTGTTCGGATGAAGAAATGAATGAGGCAAGGGCAATGCGAGAGAAGATGCAAAGTGCCGGACCATCGATCCAGACAAGAAGCACCAGAAAAGAACGAAAAGACTGGGAAATAGACATATGGAAAAGAAAAGGCCGGGTTAGGGCAGTGTGAAAATGAATGAGGATGTGCTGGACCATGGATCCAAAGTAAGAGCACTCAAAGAGAACAATACTCCAAAGTGGTGGTGCAAAGAAACCGTCGACGGCCGATGAGAAGACACGCAGAAGTGCTAGGCCATAGGCCTCAATCGAAGAGCACTGGGGGCCAGGGAACTGGCGAGGAGAACAGAGGGAGCGGTGCCGACCAAAGGCCTCAGTGAAAAGCACCGACTGAGCAGGGCAAGATGATGTGCAAAAGAGATGAGGGAGTGCTGACCATGGGCCTCTGTCAAAAGGACTGAAAGAGCAGGGTGAGACGGTGAAGGAGAAATGGGTGAGTGCTGGCCATAAGCCTATTTCAAAAGCACAAGTGCGGAGGGGCAAGTGATGTGCAAAAGAGATATGAGGAGTGCGGGCCATAGGCCGGTGAGACAAGCACTGAAAGAGGTGGGGAAGTTATTATGCAGAAAAGATGCGTGGAGCCGATGGGATGAGAACCGTGTGCATAAGAACTGGGACAGTGCTGGCCATAGGCCATTGTTGGAACACTGAAAGAGCAAGGAAGGATGACAGGCAGGAATGATGGGAGAATGCTGGGCCATGGGCCGCACTGACAGCACAGAAAGAGCAACGGACAGATGAGAAGCAGAGAAGATGGGGGGTGCTGGGCCATAGGCCCGGATGAGAAGCACTTGAAGAGCGGGGCATTGATTACGAAGGAAAGGAAAATGACGCCCAAAGGCAACGCTAAGTGCAGAAGAGGAACGGATCCGGATATGATGGACAAACGGGAGCAACCAGAAGTCGGATACAGGGAAGGTACCGTTCGTAACGCGCGCAGAAGTGCCGAGGACGAGTGGATATCGAATTTGACCGAGATGTCGTGGGCTTCAGAAATCAAACTGGACGGGATGGTCCGCGGAAGGGAGGGTGCCTTCCCAGCAGCACAGCGTTCCTCTCTCACCAAACAGCATCGGGCCCGGCTCAGGTAACAGCCTTTGAAGTATTCGAGGTCACTTTAAAGTCGGAGAACTTCGGGATCATCTTACTCCTGGGTTGCCCAGCTGCCAACGTAGGTGCCACTCTCACGAGCCAAGCCCACACTACGTCTGAAGGTCCGCCATTTGTGACAATGTCCGTCAGTCCAAACGACCCGGAGACTCTCAGGTAGCCTTTGGCCGTCATTACCTTTACCGTTGCGACGCCGCTCGGATCGATTGGATCGCTGAGCTACCGACAAGGCTCTTGGTCAACACACGAGGGGGGTGATTCCCCGCTACGGGCTGCGGGATAGGCTTGCACACACCCTGCAAACTATGAAGCCATGAGCGTTCCTGTCTGTATCTCGGCGGACATGGAAGTCAACGTGCATTCGTGTTTGTGGCCTGGGCAAAGTCTTCCCCACAAGCCTGTGGCGGGGAAATCACGACCGTGATCAACCAAGGCATGGCGCACCGCAGGCGTGCTAGCTCCCTCCCTTATAGCGATATAGGCGGTGTTTTGGATGCTGTCTCGACTCAGCCTTAACTCTGTGGCGCTCATGGCTATGGATGTCGTTGGGTTCGGCGGCCGGAGTGGGTGTGGCTTCCAAAGACGACGATCTACTCAGACTAAGCGGTCAGTATGCGGAGCTGCTCATGCTGTCTTCGGCCACAAGGATGCGTACTTACGTAGATGATCGTTTGATGTCATGCGCTGTACACTCATCTCCGCATTGAGGCAGAAAAGAGCGCTTGCGATCCTCCGAGACAACTTTGGGTGCGGTGTCCATGGAGCGTCAGCCGGACCTGGCTTGCTAAGAATGCTGGTTTATGGGGTGTACCTCGCCCATAACAGCACCGGCAGGAGATTTGCACCATTTGCTGTCCACGGCGAGCGGACGGCGGTGCCGGTGGGTGCTCGAAGGCTTCCTTTGACGGCCGTCCTAGCGCCCAGGCTCCACGGTCCAGCGGAGGAAGGAGAGGCTTGCAGGTTCCTGTCAGATGGCATGGCAATGGCGGCCACGACTTCTTTCTGCCCGGAGATGCTCGGGAGAGGGACAAAGCCGCGCGTTGCGGGAGGTGTGGTGAGTGTGGGATATTGAAGCTCTGGGGCAAACCCGTCGTCGGGGACAAGATCAGCGTTACGGCCGCTACCCGGGACGGAGAGAAGAATGTCACAAGCTCCCTGAAGAAGTGCGGAGCTCCTGTAGAGGGTTCGGAGTCTTGTGGTGTGGTGGTGGTGAGGAGCTGGTTGAGTGGTGAAGCTGGCAAGGAGCTTGGGGAGCTTCTCTCGTGGTGTTGAGCTAAAGGGGCGTGGAAGCTGGCTGCCGCACCAAGCCACCCTACCAGCACCACCAATACTAAGGCCATCGGACATTCGCAAAAATGATTTGTTAGCCTCCGGTGATCCTCCTCACACCGTTCTGAGCTGAATCAGAGAGATTCTGCGGTTCCGGCAGCATCCGAAATCCTGAACTCCCCTCTCTGATGAAGCCTTGGCGTCCCCTCCACCCTCACGACGACTACACCACTGCGAAATTCGCTTCGGAGTTTTGACATACAGGTTTGGGGGCATCTGAATATGCACGACAGCATCCGCAAGCCGGCAGATACTGTGGTTGTTGGTCCTCCGAGAGCTTCCGGCCTGTGAGGCTCAAAATTTGGCTCTGGGACTCCTGCCTTGCCGTTTGCCCCTCCAACACCTCCAACAGATCGACTGGCACGATGAGGAGGTTCCTGTAGTCCAGATTGAGCGTTAACGCTCCCGGAGGCCTTGGGATACCGAACAGAAATACCTCCGTATGAGCGCTACGATATCACGAAGATGCAAACCTGAACTACATATCGGTCCTATATCCAAAACTCCTCGCGACCGAAATTCCCCATAAACCGTTCCGGCCGCCGTCTGCGGCTGCTTTCCCCGCCGTACAACATCATTTCTACAACCTCGACCGAGACTGGAACGCCTTAAAAGGCGTGAGAGTAATCCACGCGATATCTGGGTGTTGCGCCACCTTTACAACCAACGCTCCATTGCAGCTGGACGAGGGGCTGGAGGAAGATATAAACACCTTTTCTCGTGCCTGCGGAGTCTGAAGACTGCCCCATCATACATGGGCTCCAAAGGGTGCTATATGACAGCGTGGAGAACCTACTCTGAAATGGAGGACCTACTCTAAAATGGAGGATATCTTGAAAGCTCGATTGGCCGGACGGCAACCCGAAGATCGGGTGAGATCCTTGCACAGCTGCAACCGTGGGCTGGAAGCATTGAAGCGAATGTCTGAGGATCGGGAAACACCAGGAACATTGGAAGGACAAGATCGAAGTATACCCCTTGACGCCAGGATTACGGGAGTGATGGCACACGGATTTCAGCAACGGGACTTGTACATGCGTCAATAGCCCTTGGTGGAGAACACTATTCAAGCATGGAACCGCATCAAAAGCTCCTTGACGAAAAACCCTGGAATCCGACCGTTGGAACGCGAGTCGTGTGACACATGGTATGACCATTGTATTGTTCCGGGAACGATCTGATCGTGCGTAGTTTGTGTCGGTTTGCTCGGTGTCACCGCCATCCTTCTCCCCAGTAAACTCACATTGTCCATTTCTAACAAGTTGAATGACCAGAGCTGCATTGACATGTATCCCAAGACTGGAAGTTTTTTTGAATCATCGAATTAATACTACTATGGTGATGTAGTCTCTTGCCAACGCATAAGTGCCTGGGTCCGTGTATTGCGAATTGCGCCGATGCCCGTTCGGGACTGCGGGAGCGGCAAGAAGGAATTGTACAGACCACAGGTCACTCTCTCACGATTATCCCATCTAACTCACCTTTGGTATCATATGATCATGTTCAAGGGGTTCCCCGCAATCACTCTTTGCTTCCCGGTAAGAGGCAATATAGGGGTCTCGGCAATAACATACCCGCGACACAAACTATTTTCCCTCAATCAGTGATCTATGGCCAGTGCACAATACATGGAGGTTTCTACGTCGGTTTTGCCAGGTTGAAGGCGCATTCTTCCGATTGATCAAGCTATAACCCACGCATATCCCGCTCTCTGCATCATTAGGTTTGTGCAACCACGGTCGACTTTTTGACTCTTGCGATGCATCTACTAAAGACCATCCTGGGGGCGACACTTCTAGTTGGGACCCATGCCACTCTCCAAATTGTACCTGGTGGCACCTGGACTGCGGTGAGCTTCTCCGTATCCTTTCCACAGTTACACGCTAAAACTTCGTGCAGACGAACACCGGCAAGCACATTCAAGCTCATGGCGGTGGCATTTTGAAAGTCGGAGAAACATACTACTGGTCGGTATTTACTGCCCTACCCGGCGGTCCTCAGGCTCATTCTTTTCCAGGGTCGGCGAGGACAAGACAGAAGGCTCGGCATTCCAAAATATCAACTGCTATTCTTCCAAAAATCTCGTCGAATGGAGGTACGAAGGGGCTCTTCTGACCCGCCAGGGTTCAGGCGACTTGGGCCCAGATCGCATCATTGAGCGCCCGAAGATCATATACAACAAAAGTACCAAGCAATATGTGCTCTGGATGCACATCGACAGTTCGAACTATGGTGATGCTAAGGTCGGCGTCGCCACTGGGAGTACGCCATGCGGCCAGTACTCTTATAAAGGCAGCTTCAGGCCTCTAGGATTTGAGAGCCGGGATTCTGGAGTTTTTGTGGACGATGATGAGAAAGGATACCTCCTCACGGAAGATGTAAGGCTTCATTATTGTTAAGGATAAATCCCCGTCTAACACTGTTTCAGCGCAAGAACGGACTGCGTATCGATCTCCTCGCCGATGATTATCTGACTGTCAAGTCATCCACGTATTTGTGGAAAGAATCAATTGAATCACCGGCGATGATCAAGAAGAATGGCGTGTATTTCATGTTCGGGTCTAAACTCACCGGCTGGGATCCGAATGACAACGTCTATAGCACTGCAACGAAGATAACCGGACCGTGGTCCTCTTGGAAGAAATTTGCAGACTCAGGGTCCAACACATATGCCAGCCAAACCACGTTCATTCTCCCCGTCGGCGACAGTTTCATGTATATGGGGGATCGGTGGGTCAAGGACAATCTGATGCGCTCGACTTATATCTGGCTACCTCTGCAAATATCAGGCACTACCGCCACTATGAAGAATGCGGTAAATTGGGTCCCCAATGTTGCGTCGGGGTCTATGACCTCTGGTCCCTCGGAGAATACGTATGAAGGCGAGTCAGCGCAGCTCAGTGGAGGCGCCAAAACGGTTTCCTGTTCTGGCTGCTCAGGAAAGAATGCTGCAGGCTATATCGGCGGTTCTAGCTCTGGTTCTGTCTTCTTTGCAAATGTAACCAGTGCTGCCACGACAAGAACGACGATCCGGATCAAGCACCTGAACGGAGACAAGAGTCAGCGTTTCGCCGATATAAGTGTGAACGGGGGAGCAGCGCAAAGAGTCGCTTTCTTACCACATGGGGGAAATGACCCCTCAAGTAGCACTCTGCATGCTGACCTGAAGAGCGGGGATAATACCATCCGCATCAGTATGTCTGGAGGAGGATGGGGCCCAGATATCGATCGTTTGATGGTGCCTACCTCTTGACCTCTTTGATACTTTAGCATCACGTCGGGTTTTGGAGCGAATGTTTCTATACATTAATATTATCAAAGTTATCCAGCAGCATCTGTTTTACGTACAATCAATGGAAGAAGCCGGGACAGCAAAAACTCATTCAATATGAATACTTGCGTCCGCACTCCCATCTCATCTATTTTGGCCTCGTTCCAACACGAATGTACGGAGTATATTTCCAAGCATCTCAGCGGCAAGTTCTAACCTTGGAAGCTAAGTGATCCTACTTATGTATTGCAAGCGTGCTGAGTGGTACACTAGTACCGAAAAGGACTGGCGCTCTTTCAGTATGGGGTCCTCTCACATCAACACGACCAAACCTACCGTCTCATCTAACGTGTTGTTCTGAGGGCACCAGTGCCCTTGTACCACTCCGCAATATGTCCCGCATGTCCCATTTATCGAGGCTCTGGAAAGCCTGGCAGGTGCGAAGGCGCAACCGTCAGGTAGCTGCGCCAGCCGCAGAGACTGGGGTAAGCGTAAGCCTACCGGTAGCAGGCTGACGGGCAGACCGACACTCATGCAATTACAGGTAGTAGGACTTATGAGTCCTGGAGTAAAGGAAGAGCATGCAATACCTAGAGAAGGAAACAAAGACGACGCCAAAGTAAGCGCCTTCCCATCACGACATCGTCAGTTGGAATATACTGACAATTACTTCACAGGTTCCTGCCAATGAAAAACCCAGCGTACATAATGGCAGAGCAGAAAGCACCACTTCAAAACGCCGAGTAGGGTTCATGGATCTCCCGGGCGAAATACGCAATAAAATATACAAATACCTACCCTTGTGTGACACTCCTCAGCTCGTCGCCTGGAGCTCGAAGAAAGACATCTCCCGCGGGCTTCTCCGATCCCCAATCTACCGTCTCAACCGCCAAATTCGCTCCGAAGCTCTTTCAATTCTGTGCACCGACCGAAGTTTTACCATTCTCGAAAACCGCGCCTTGGATTTGTTCCTCGAAGCTATAGGGCCCTCAGGCCGTGCCAGCCTCACTCATCTCACGATAATTGCCATCATCGAAGGTGGTCCTTCGTACAATTACAAAGACCATCTGTTCAAGTCATTGCTTCAATTAGATCTAAAATACCTGTGTCTGGAGCTGAACTTCGAACCGGACGGCAACCTTCCAAGGTTGAAAGAGCAATTCATTAAGTGGTGCAGGAGCTTTCGTGAGGTTTTCCTTCGCGACAATGAAACCATCGAATTTCGGCATGGTGTTCATCTAGGCCTGGAAGAGGTGATCCGCACCGTTCCTGATGAAGCAAGGAAACTTAATCATTCCTACGTAGTATTGATGCGGGAGACACCTTACGCCAATGAGGAAGACATTCTGAACATGATTGAGAAAGGAGAGCCATGGTGGGACCATACTCAACTCTAAAAATCAAGCCGCGGTTCTCTATGGAGGAAATTTGGGCGCCAGGTTGGTACTCGACTGTTGGTAAATTGATTGCATAGCGTGGAAGATTCTCATTGCGCACTTCTATACCTTTGCTCTGTGGACGGAATGCAGCTTCTGAGAGAGACGACCTTAAGCCGTGCATAATCAGTGAATATGCGGGGAAATGATGGCAGAATGCAAACATGATCCTCCAAATGTTCAGTATACTTTATCTCTTATGGAGGGTACTGTTGCCATATCCGCATCGATTAGATATTATCAAGGGCTTTGATAGATAGTCCAACTTCGAGATGGCCAATATCTGTTGGCAGGGGAAAGGCCCGGCCCACCATTTGTGAATTGTGTAGTATACGGACTTGTATTGGAGGTGGCGTCCGGTTCGCTGTGTGGACGGGCGGAGGAGCGGAGTCCGCAGAATGAAGGGAAATAGTCGGAGTTTGATGGCGTCCTGGGGTTCCATTTAGTATACTCGCCACCCAACGCACCTGAATTCAACCCCTCAATTACATAGATGTGTATATTACGAATCCCAAGGCCTCGACGAGATTTGGCTTGGGCCCAAGGTAACCCTGAAGCGGAAGCCGGCGGGTTGGCGGTGGTGGGGCAATGGAGGTAGGTATGTGAGTCTGTGTCGGCTGCAAAAGCTGCTAGAGCCAGAGGCGCTCAATGGGGTAATGAGTGTCAACGCCTTGTATTCGTGTAACTGCTTCAGTCTCTCTCGGTTCATCGGTTCATTCGGTTCGAGGGTTCGAGCTAGAGTAGGTGGCAGATGGGCAGGTGAGGGTGTGGTGTGGGGAAATCCCTCTTTCAGTTAGCCTTAGAAAGTACATCTTGCGTTCCATGGAGGTTTAGATCCTACCTGTGGTGTATTCGAACGTTTTCATGGTCCCCATTGCTGTTGTAGTGGTCATCTAATTCGGATTTCGACGGCTGTGGGCAGTAGCGTTTGTGGCAGCGGAGTGAGGGCCGAAACCGTCCCTGTGCTCATAAGGTATGGCTCACAGTGGTGATGAGATGTGAGATGTGTCTCAAAAAAGAGTTGATCATGTCCTTAAAGCTCATTTGAGAAGCGCACTCGCTGTGCTTCGTTGCGTCAAGGACGAAGAGCTGCGAGCGAGACGCGCTCACCGTCAAACGCCTAGCTGCCCCAGGGTGGTAAATTCTGGCCTCACCACTACAGAACGGCATATGAACAGTCAAGCGGAGACTCCAAAATTTATACTCACCTCAAGATGATTACATCCAAAGATTCCTCGTTCTTTTCGTGGCAGTAATGTCCCTTCCCCGTCATACGCGTGAGGCCGACGCGCTCCGCACTGACAACAACATCACCGAAAACACCAACAGCGCGCGCCAGAACAAGAAACGCGGACTCCAATACCCCACCACACACCAGGCTTCCACAAGGTTTCATGCCGAAGAGAGCAGCAATCGTATATAACAAGCATCACACCATCAAACATGCAGAAGCTATATGCAATGCAGAGACTTCCTGGCACCAGACTTTCGATCACCAACTTCTTCCTCAAGACTTCGGCAAGCCAAAGAGCTCAATGAAAAAGATGAAAGTCGCGTCAGCTGGAGGTAGTGCAATACCAGCGACACTGTGTCCTTGACTATGAGCAAGCCCAGTGAGCCAAAGACCGGTTCCAAAAATGAGAATAATCTTGAAATTCCCGTAGAAATTATTCCAGAGATTAAACTGGAAAGAACAGATACTACCTCTAATCAAAGCCAAAAGGCAAAGAGAGATGAAGAAGGAGGAAGGGGGCGGGGGGAGAGGGGCTTTATATATCTGGGGGACGTCATTCCACGCTAAGCCAGAAAGGCCCTAGCAAGACCGGAGGAAGAGGGTGCCAGACCGGAGTGAGGGACTGCCAGGTAACTGCTGTGCGGGCGCCGGTGAAGTCAGTGTTGGACCGTTCTGGAAGAGCCAAGAGGCAGCTTTGGTGAAAGGCCCAATCATCTCTGCCCACCCTGGCCCCGGCCCACCATAGGTATTATCTGGCCGCCCCACAAAATGCATAGTTTGTGCCAGGACATTCACGTACAGCGTCAGGAGCGCTTGAATTAGCGCAGTGATACACTGGGCAGCACGCCCTGGGGGCTTACAGCTTCTTGTGCCTGCGATGAGCGTAGACAACTGGGGTTCCCCAGGCATACGCAAACCAGGACGTTCATCATCCATTCGACTCTAAGGCAATGATTGCAGTCTCCGCGAACCGCCCTCAGCGTTGTAACGGGGCTTCGCGAGGTCCTCACCATCAGGAATCCATATCTAACAATTGCCTCCGCAGTTATGAACAACCCACCAGTATCAAGTAGAGTTCGAAGCCCGCGAGAAACTACAGTCAATCCTGCCATTCGTATATCGGTATCTCACCCCGCCCATGTTCCGTACTAGCGAGTCAATGATTCCATAGTCCACTGTGGGAATATCACTCCAGGAAAGGGAAAAAAAAGAGCGCGGGCCCGCTGGTTCCCAGATTCTATTCCACATGACAAGTCTCTCTTCACCGACCCAGTTTCATTTCCACTGGTTCCATAGGGCGGAACCTCAAGCTCACACACTCCTTCAGGCCGCTTCTATGAGACCACAAGATATGGCGCCGTTCCAGGCATTTGGTCGCTCTCCCAAATCTAACCTCCTTCCTCGCAGAACGTTATTCCACCGCTGAGGCGCCCTGACGATTGCCGCCGCCATTTATCAACACAATGAAAGAGACATAAGTAATATACACCATTTGTGATTGCGACTCTTCTCTTCTCCCTACCCTTGTGTACTCCCGGCCGGAACCCTCATTCTCTGACGGGAAGCTGGTCATCGTGAGGAATACCCACAGTGCCAGCCCAGTAGCGGCTTCGGGTTCATTATGGTCGTGGCAACGCGCAAGCACCCGGACGGAATTAAGTATATAGGCGGAATTCTGGGCAACGACCAAATCGAACTATTATGGGACTCATCTGTGATCGCTGGCATCGGCGAGGGGCGCGTGATCTAGAAGGTGTTCGGCGGCGCTGTTGTCAAGTGCTGGCGTCGGCTCTGGCATCGCGAATGGTAAACAGTATCGGCCAGAAAGGACCTGTTATTCGTCGGATACCGTTGATACTGCAACAGATTCGTACATACTAAGGGGCCGATCGGAACAACGACCGATAGAGGACGGCGCAAGATGGCTTCTAGACGGTTGCGCGCACAATGCTGGAGCAACGCAGCCTGCAATGTGCAGTATTCAGAATGCCCGAGAGAGAATCATCAAGAAAAGTTTCGAAGTTTAAGGTGACAGCATTGTGATGGGAGGGGGGACGGCGAGTTGCAACCTGATGGTGAGGTCAAGATTTGCGACGAAGAGGTGAAGCGGCCGTGAACACGAGGGAACTTTTCACAATTCGCTTGTTGGTGATATTTACAATTCCTGCAAGACAACAGTTATGTACGTCATATTCTTGATAGGGAATTATTGATAGCTCGCGGAGAGTTTTCAGTTGAGATCAAGAGGATGCACATGCTCCGAATGCAGCACCTGGCCACATGCGACCGACTGGTGTTTGAGCTTGACTCAAGTCTTGCAAATTCATGTCCCAATCTATGCAAAGGAGAAGCAATTACGCGTTGGCGAAACCACCACCGGCGTTCGTTCCTGCATCAACCGAAAGCTAGCATTTCATTGCGCATGTTGACTGCGGGAACATAGGGATGTCCTAAGACCATCAACGGCTAATCCAGGCGGCTTACCCACCGTAGCCCCGAGTAAGAAGCGAAAACCTATTCTAAGCGGCTATGATCTTCCGCTCATGGCATACTATTGATGAGCTTCACTCGTTAACCGGAGCCGAGAATCCCCTGAGCACCGCAAACGCAGCGAAAACCAAGGCAACGCGCTGTATACGTGACTAAGTTTGTCTGGCAATCCTTATCCGTCACTATTACAATGTCTTCAACCCGCCAGCTCCCTCTGCCAAGCTTTGTTGCGCCACCAGCAATCGTGAGTGAAGGAGGCTCTTTCTTGGCGCGGACAACTTCTCTCTGCTCCCTCACACGGCTGTTGAAAACACTACTCGACACCACCTTCTTCCTCAGTTGCTCTATATTCACTTCCCACTCTTTGCAACCTAAACGGCTGTCATCGCTATTCGCCCTCACTTGTTGCACTTGAGCGTTCAGACAATCAGTCACGAGTGACACAAGGGCAGTCGAAGACATTCCCACTGCAGAACAGAGGGCAATCTCATCCGGGTACCAAGGCTTCAGCAAGCGGTTTATCGTCCATGCAGTTGCTTGGCTCAGGGCAACCGGCACGATCTACCCTACAGATTGCGGAGTATTCATATGTGTGTGTGCGGTAGTCCTCGTACGCTTGCCCTCATTGCTAACTGCGTCTCGTAGGGCCGGCAAAACAAGGATATCCACAAACCTTCTCTCAAGTGCGCAAGAGGCCGTGGTCGTTCCTCTCAAACTATCATCTTGCTTGTTCATAGCGGTCGCCAGCCATTCGTTTTCGAAGCCGCCTCATGCACTACCGCCAGAGCAGCCTCGAGCATCTCGCACCTGCAGCATGTTCAGCCGCATCACCACTGCCCAGCCCGCTAATCACGGTACGGAGGTTGCCAACTCTCCAGTTCATTATGCCCGCTCCGCCCGAGAAACACATTCGGACACTGTGGAGCAGACGTTCCCCAGCTTCAGGAACCTCCGGGCTGTCGGCGCTATGGAGATTCGACAAAGCCTACTCCCTTGCGCCATCCCTTGTCCGACAAGCCCTGTGGACAATTGTACAGTGCATTACTGGGAATATTTTTCTGGCAGAAAGACTTTTCCACCCGAACGGTCAGCTATCCATATCAATCGCAGTACCCGTACTGTTAGCTTTCACCCTTTTCCACACAACACCGGGTATATCAATCCAGGGTCGCAAAAGGCTGTTTTCGTTGCCCAAACACGACTTGGGTATATCCAAGTGCTTTTCCAGCTCCCAAAGGTGACAGTTCGGCTCTCTAATGGAGCGCCAAATCGCCCTGGGAGAGGGTGCTTACCCCTCCAGCTCCGAAAGGTGACATTTAAATCGCTCCTGGCTTTGGCCGTCGCGCAAGGGGACCTCTCCCCTAATAAGAAAATGCGGACGTATCTCCTGCCGCTACAGTTGAGAGCGGAGAGAGCTCCATTGTGGGCGCTACCAGCCTCGTACGCGCTTGATGTTTTCGCCACCCAGGACGGCCCTTCCGCATCGTATTGGATTCCAGTTGCGAGATTCTCCAAGAGGCGTCCCTCATCAGACGCCATACCCTATCAGACGCCACCAAAGCGACAGCGACAACGGCAACGAGCCGAGCGCAGTGCGGTCGCCCGGGCCATCAATGACTCTTCTGTCTCGTTGAAGTGCGGTCCCTCTGCAAGTCGAGAAACGCTCGCCCACAGGCTCTACCATCCACGTCCTCATTCGCTTTGACGACATCAACGATTCTTCTGTCTCGCTGAAGTACCTGCGTGATGTCGGGTTTCTTGCCTCGCAGATCTCCCAGAGGGAGTTCCATGTCGCCAAGTTTGGAAATGACAGATCCGCCAATCCTCATGAGGGACAGGTCAAGTTGATGATCGCCACCAACAACGACATGATGCTCGAGGAATTGGTCCGGGAAAAGTCCTTGGACATTTTGACACCCCTTCGCGCAGCTCGCAAGCCTAGGCCTGACAATGATATGACGGATCAAGAACGCTTCTGGGGTAAAGCCAATCACAACTACGCTGCGCCACGATGCTTCATATTATCCCTGGAGGTAATTTGGAGGATCGCGGTGCAGCTTAGTTGTGGCTGGCATTGCACGGAAGTGTTCTTGGTTCTCGTATTATTGTCCGGTCTAGGTTTGCCGGCTAAGCGGAGGCGGTGGTGGGCAAGGGGTCATGGACGAGCATGAAACGGTGGAGGTTATTGAGACCGGACTTCGAGGAGTATGGTGGAGGTGTCGGAGCAGATGGAGGTATTGTGGATTGAGGTGGATGTGATGGAGCGCAGGTGTGAGTGGTGCGCTCACAATCGATGTAACTACCATGGGATAATAATTCATGTGTGTGGATCCGATATCTTGCCGTCATAACTGTGTACTACGAATAAAGTTAGCCGTATCTCCCCTTCCAGCTCCTACACTACTTCGTACTGGTGACAACTGACACTGCCGTGGAGTGGGCGACGACCCAACCCATAAAACGTGCAAGAAACAAGTGGAAGGTCGAGATGTAAGGAAAGTATCATTGTTCCTTGGACTCGGTTTATGTATTATCTATTACGCTTGATATGTTCCTATTATACCATCTCTGGGCATCATCCCCACCTCCTCCTCTCCTCACCAACACTTCAGTTTCGCCAGTCCCCTTTTCTTCGCCTTCCCCGTTCCGTCCTCTTCATCGTCACCCACTACCCGCAAGAACACCTCATCCAACGTCGTCGGACTGACAGAATAATACTCCAAACCTAGCTGCTCTCTATGGGTCTCCAGCAATTGTATCAGGCCTGGAATGCCGCCAATATCCATACTGCGATTCTGGGTAAGGGACGACTGCGTAGGCGTCCTCTTAATATCAGCCTCTGAGATATGTTCCTCCTTGTTTGGATGTACTGCAGCTTTCAAAACACGGAACCGTAACTGGCCGTGGCCTCCGCCTCTTGAACCCCATTTGTCGAGCTGCGCGCCGGAGACGTTGCGGTTCACCCAGTCCTTGACACCCTCCATCTCCTCCTCCGTGGTCTCAGGGGCAGACTTCAGGACGAGTTGCACGACCAACGCATCTCCGTACTAGTCACCAAGCTCCCGCACTGAACCCAGAGCCAACATCTTCCTCTTCATGATGCCGACTCGTGTGGCCAGTTTGTCGGCTTCTTCCATAGAGTGTGTTGTTATCAACAAAGCGCGTCCGGGAGCTGCAACGCCCAGGAGCGTACGCCACATTACTCTCTTCGCCGCAGCATCCATCCCAGAGCTCGGCTCGTCGAGAAGCAGCACCTCAGGATTGCCCATCAGAGCAATGCCCAAGCTGAGTTTCCTCTTGTTGCCGCCGGAAAGTTTGTGCGCAATCCTGTCGGCGAAGCGGGTCAGGCCGGTAGCTGAGAGGACAGCCTCAATATTAGAAGTCAAGTCCGATACACCTCGCGCACGCGCGTAGAATATCAGATGCTCACGCACAGTCATAGAGTCCATGGCGTCGAACTGCGGGCAGACACCAAGGTGGCCACGAGCCTGAGCGCGCTTTGCTACGATGCTGATATCTTCGATGAGGACGTCACCCCCATTGCGGTTAGGATGGACATCTCCTCTAATCAAGCTTATCGTGGTTGATTTCCCAGCGCCGTTGGGGCCCAATAATGCAAAGACCTGGCCACGTGGGACGCCGAATGTGATGTTGTTCACAGCGTGGTTGGCTCCGAATGTCTTGTGAAGATGCAGCACGCGTAGACTGTCGTTGCACGCTTCCGTACGCTTGATCTCAGCGACGACGGCGGGATCTATAGCCTCGATTTCTTCCTCGGTATGCTGGGTTTTGACCTTGTTTCCGGCGAAGATCGGGGGCTTGTAGCCGCTGTCCGACCAGATTAGGACGACCAGAAGCACAATTGCTTGTACAATAAGATAGAGAATGGGCCCGCCATATACTTTAAGGGCGCCCGGGTAAGAGCCACCCTGTTTCCATTGCAAAGGATTGAAAATGTGTTCAACGAAAGGAGGAATGTGCGTAGCAGATTGCCGGAAGGAGTGATAGTGGCAAATGCGAAATGGAAGATTTCTAGGTACCGGTCGATCTGGTATGCTGGTGCGTACGTCAAGATCGACATATAACCGATGAAATATAGGAGGAAAAGGGAGGCTTGTCCTCCAGCAGCGAACGCGAAGGTTGCGAGTTGCGACGTGACGACAATTGAAACGAGATAACTGAAGAGGATCGACGTAAGCCCGTAGAGAAAGAATACAAGAAAGAGATAGCCTGGGGCATACCACGCGCTGGATGCCTGTTCTGCATGTCAGCTTGCGTTTCCTTCATGGAGTCTTCAAGATAACTTACCCCGGCAAGAATCGCCGTAACAATAGCGCTGATGAGCACAACGAAGGTGAAATCAAAGGCTAGGTATGCAAGCCAAAGTGGCGCTGCGCGGATGCCGTTGCTATAATGCAAAGCTCGAACCTTGCGCAGACGTTCGATGGTAGGATACAAAGCGAAAAAAGCCGGATATACACACATTGCCAAACCAAGGTAAAGGACGAGCTGCAAACTGTCTCCGGTGTTGGGAGCAAATGGTCTGGCGAATTCTTGGTATTGAGTGGCAATTGGAACGCCAGTCAAGATGTTGTCAAGAGCATTGAGAGTAATCAGACCGCCATAGACACCGACATTCCCAAGGTAGGGCATGACGGCGGGGCCATCGGCTTGTACAAAGAAGCCACCTGGAGTGATGTTTCTGAAGCGGTCTTGAACGAAGCGGTTGAAGTCATCCAACCCGTTGAAAACCTCAAAGGCAGACACGTCTACCCCAGCCCGTCTGGCGATCGTCTCGACGTCCACAAGATTGGAAGGTCCGACGGGCACGAGTGGTACTAGGTCGCCGGGAAGGCTTGCAAGCGTGAAGACCCTTGGATCATCAGCCTGTGCTGCGGGATCGCAGCCGATAGCTTCAAAATCTTTGAGGAAAAGGGTGACGAGCCCCGCTGTTATAACGGGTAGAAGAACAGCGCAAATATAGGGCAGGAAATTGCGACGAAGGATGGTAAAGCGCTTTTGCATCAGAATCCACGTCTGCGTGGGCATGGATGTCCCCGTACCCTTTGACATGTTGGCCCCTTTATCCGAATCGGAAGATTCCTCAGCCAGAGGGACGCCATCTGCCTCCTTGATCAAGGAGTGATCTTTGGTGGAAACAACCCCAGTGTTCAGGCGATTCTCCTTGACCTCTTCGGCCAAAGCCAGGAAAACATCTTCGAGAGTGGGTCCAATGAGATCATAGTCGTTAATACCTTTTTCGCGGAGCCTACGGATATAATCGGTCGCTTCAATGCCGGTGGGGAACCAATACATGATCGTGCCTTTAGCAGAGGGTTTTCGAACCGCTTCCTTTGGCGAAACCCCAACGTTGTTCGGAACAGTGACATGATAGCCGGCGCCGACCTCGTGCTTCAGCTGCACAGATGTTCCCTTAGTCTTCAGGTTTCCGCGAGAAAGGATGGCGATATAATCGGCAAGGACGTCCGCTTCATCGAGGAAATGCGTTGTCAGGAGGAATGTCCTGTCGCCACGCTCCGCGAGCAAAATCTCCCATATCTTTCTTCGAGACAGAGGGTCCAGTCCAGATGATACTTCGTCGACACAGCATACGCGGCTGCCTCCTGTGAACATCATTGCCAGTTGGAGTTTGCGTTTCTGACCTCCAGACAGCGTCTTGGGTTGCGCATTCATCTTATGGCCCAGATCACATGCTCGAATAAGACTCTTGATGGTCTCTTTGTCATCACCCTTGCCCGCGCACTTCAAGCGGTTGAATATCTGGACATGCTCAAAGACCGTAAGATCATCCCACATGACGTTCTTTTGCGGACACAGGCCCAGACCACCAGTGCCGTCGATCTCAATCGATCCACTTGTGAGCGTATTGAGACCAGCAATAGCGTCCAGAGTTGTGGACTTTCCACTTCCATTGGCGCCCAGCAAAACCATAACCTGGCCCTTTCGCGCCTTGAGACTCAAATCGTTGACCGCAACGACGGTTTCGGGAGGGTGAATGCCAAACTTAGCGAGAACCTCCCTCCTGAACCAGGTGGGTCTCCAATGCTTGGAGAAGTTTGTGAGGATAATGCTGTGATCCGGGGACGATGTCGAGGTCTTCCGCTCCTTTGATACAGTCCCATAGAGCCACCGCTCCACCATGGCACCCAAAACCGGAAAGGCAAGAGTCTGGACAAGACAAAATACCCAAAATGCAATTCCCGGAAGCGTGGAGGTGTGGCCTTCGTATGGCGGCGCAGCTTTTATCAGGGTAGTTGGTTTAAGCTCCCGTTCGAAGCGGGCCAGGTATATGACGAAGAAGACATAATTCATCGACGGAAATAGAAGGCTGAGAATGGCAGTAGCGCCCGTGTTGAACGGTCCAGCAACTTGAGCAACGATGGCGAGGACAATACCGAGGATAGTAATGGTAATACCGGACAGCTGAGCTTTGCGGAAGAAGCTTGCGCCAAATATCGAAAAGCTTGTGAGAGCAAAGCCGATCAGGATGTGGTAGATGATCAGAATGGCTGCACTCGACGTTGGAAACGCCAGACGATTGAGTGTAATTGCCATGATGATCCAGCCTGGAAGATAGATGACATCGAAAGCGATATGGTTTGAGAGAAGTCGCGCAGCTTGCATGTACCAAGACCGTTTTGATGGTGCCATTGCCTCAATCAACTGTGACACGCCGTCTTCACGCTCTGAAGCCATCTGTCCAGTGAGTTGGTAAGTGACGCCACAGATGCCCACGTACAGCGCAACCCCCATGATGTCAATAAGGGCGCCCATATACAGCGTCCGGATCCGTTCATCGCGCTCTTTCTGAGTCTTATCGGTAAAGATATATGCATCGATGTCGCGGGGTGAATCTGAGCCTTCGGAGGAAGCGATGGCGGTGTCAATTGCACGCTGCAAAGGCAAAATATATATCTCGACGTCGTTGTCGTCCTGGTTCACAAACACCCGATCTCCCAAGGCGCCGTCTGCTCGCAAAGTGTAGTTCCAGATATGTCTATCTCCCTCTGTCGGCGAAGAATGGAACATGGCTGCCCCGAAGCATGTACTTGCGCCTCGCAGCGTGCTTCTGCATATCGTGAGCAGCTCCACCTCATCTTGCACCACCCGTACGTTCTTTCCGACTTCGCGCACCGTGTCGGAGACCTTGTTAATTACATTCTCGATATCTCCGCCAGTGAAGCCGTTGTTGACAAACACAACTGTGTCACGCCCCCCTTTCGCAGAGTCGAGGGCGTCTTTGAGAGCCAGAATTGGCAGAGGTCGTCCGATTCCGAATTCTGAGGGAGGAACGAAGAAGTTCTTTGCGTATGTAATGAAGAACATCTAAATAACATGTCAGATCATTCCTCTGCTAAGAGATGAAGCTTACGCGCATACGAAGATGATCGGCGCCCAGAATGCTCGAATGCTGGTAAAAAACCAATGGCGGTTAAAGACCACCACTAAGTTCTTCTTCGTGAGAGTCCATGTCTGACGGAGGAACGCCATTGATTGCTCTCGGAGCCTTGAAGGGCTCCTGATACAGGAGGGAACTGTTGTTGCGCAAGTCCGGCGCCTTTCCCCAACAAACCTGTGCCACAAATATCGAGTGGGATATGGTGGACGGACGAATCCTCCCGGGATGGTGAAACTTGGTTGATAAATGTGAAAAGGATATCTCAAGTCCAAAAGAAAAACTACAGAAGAGAACAACCGACAGAAAAGAACAAGAAGAAGGAGCGAAAGGCGCCATGGATGACGGGTTCGGCACGTTGGTGATGCCGAGACCCTCGTCATGTCGTCGTTTTGGATCCTGATGCCAAGCCTTAGTACCACGGAAGATCGATCCATGGTGATAAACGTGGCGTTGCACACACAACCACGCGGGAGCGCCGCCAACGGCCCGGATTGGAGACGGAAACCGCCTCGCGGCGGAATATGCCGTCGTCGATGAGTTTAATTCAACCGCACTCGACCCAGACTGACAACTGCTATATGGCATTCACTCCATTAATTCGATAACGTGAACAGGTTCTACAGCTACTCCCACCCTAGCCGCGAGAACCATCTCATGGCTGCCAACGTCGCCGCCCAGAGCGCCCAGCCTAGAGCTAATAACCCAACCGAAGTGCTGCGCCCCGATGCCGTGGTCTGTTACCTCAATTGATCTGGCCGCATTATCGCTATAAGCTGAGAAAACACATCTGATGGATACAAGGCGATTCGAACCCCAGCCTCGATTCAGTTGCAATATCCGGAGCTGGGCTACGGTCTCCTGTGCCCGGCTGCGTAGACCTCCATCATTCATCACAGTACAACCCCCTCCATCGCGCTGCCTCCAACACAATGTTCATTCATACATCCATACTGCTCGAGTGCGGTTAGTCGAAACAAGCAGACAAATACACATGAGTACACAAGATGACTCACAAAGCGGCCGCACTCGCGTTTGACGGCTTCAGCATCGGCGAGCTGGGATTGGCGCTTGCTCCAAACACACATGTCGGCTTCTGTCTGGCAAGGCGGACATACTCGAGGGTAGGTGCTTCGACTTTCGTCGCCACTCAGGACGAGCTGTGTTCGTCGGGCGGAATTGATTGAGAGAGCACCGGAGCTCGCAATGGTAATCCAGAAGAGAAGGAGAACAATCCCCATAGCGGTTTCGTTGATGTTTGGTTCCCGTATTGTTGACGTATTTGTTTGGAGTCGAAATAAAGCTGGGCGGTGTCTGTGTAACCGGTGAGGCCGCTGCAAGGGCTTCTCTAGGGCCGTTGGTTCCGAGAGAAGGGGCCTTGGTTGGGCAAACGCACGCCTCTTCCGCCGTATCACGGAGCTGTTTCCTATTATCACCTCTTTATGAAATAGAGGCGTACTTCATTGACATTTGAATGCAATTCTCTCGTTACTATGAAGGAGGAGCGATCCCGCTTACGAGCTGCCCCAGGGTGTACCGGAATTCTGAGATGGCCTTGTGTTGCATCAGCAGTATACTGCTGACGGAGTTGTAATGCAGTTATTAAGAAAACAGAGATCTCCCCCGATTAAGAGCGGTTCCTGAAAGACGTCAGCACCGGAAGAGCCGTCTTCAACACTATCACACCAACATACAACATCATTCCGGACACTACCAAACCAATCGCTCATCGCACACGTCATCCGCAGCATTGTCTCTTTTGCCATTCAAGAGCATAAGTTTACAGATATATATGAACCACGAGTTGTGTCACCACATACATGCTTTCGCCAGTATTCCTCCCGCTCCTTAGCGGTAGTCTATCTGGAATTCTCGTATGCTACGGGGCACGAACGCTACGTGCACCAGCACCGATCGAAGCACGCGTTTGACCTCATGGTCTTGGGGTTGCAAGGGACTCTCATGGAGACGGCGAGAGCTGTACTGATCGTGGTACCCAGGAATAGGGTGGAGAGCTTCATATTGGTGTTTGCAACTGTTGCTTGATCGGGGGGTCTTGTGCTCAGAAGACTGAGCTTGGATTCACGAGCTTTAGGATGCTACTATAGAGAGACCCCAAACGAGGCCATGGCGGTTATAAGAATGGTTGATAGTCACCATAGGCAATGCAATGGGAACTCCACTGTGGCTCTTATATATGCCATGGGTTTCTTCTGCGTCCTGGACTTGTTTGCTCCTCAACACAGGATAGAGTCCACCCTCAGAACACAAGATCACGCTTTGCAGATCTTGTGTCCAGTTGAGCGGGTCATGAGGGGTTTCAATGACCTTCTACATGACACGCCGCCCATGGAGGATTCCCTGCCCTTTTGACCCGCACTTGGTAGACAACCATTCCGCCTCCGTCATCTGCATATGGATTGTGGTGATATTTTGGTTGCAAACGTAGGAGCTTTGTGAGATATCTTTTCAAGAGTCACCATAGGTTGTTAGCCTTGTGAGGTGGTCAGTTACCTTCTAGATAGGACTGCACGCGGTTCCGAGGGTCAGTCTCCAACATCCTATGGGCCAAGCATAGAAAACCGCACTACTATATAATGTCTGTGAAAAGCGCTTGTTGCTGAGGAGCCCATCCAGATCTATGGCGAAGAGCTCGTCCGCAGGGCCGAGTATAATACGTCACTGAGCGGAATCTTCATGAAACCAACAGACTCAGAATTGCGGTCAATGTAGTTCAATGAGCTCGTCCAAGCAAAAATTGATTCTACATCAAGTTGCCTCCTCCGATTTTGATTGGTCGGTTCACGAGGCAGATGCTTCGGTGAAAGGGGATTCCACCCACCACCAGAAGGGCAACGGAAATTTCCTGCTTTCGAATAGAAAGCCGCGTTCACTCCCACCTTGACCGCCTCCTGCTCCTTCAAGTATATATGACCATCAACTCAACCCCCATATACCTCTTCTCCATACAACCATCTCCACAACTTCCCGGGATTTTGCCTCCCCTCGCCTTCCCTGCGAACGATACTACCAAACAGCACCTAACTCACGTCCCACCATGACCAATTCGAATATTCAGTCCCAGACTATCAGAAAGGGACGGGATGACGACGCGGAATCGGTATCATCGTATGACTTTATTCCGTCTCCGCACAATCGTGTCGCTACGCTCAATGGTCCGCCACGGTGGCATGAAGACTTCACGAATCGAAGCCAACAAGCAGGTCAGATATTGAGACCTTTAACTCAGTTCAACTTATCACTAAGATTACAACAGGGATGACTCAGGCTGGGTTCCACGCCTCTCAACTCGCCACGCCTCCGTCCGCAGACATGCAAACGACTCTTGCCTTCAATCCAAACGCGCCTTATTTTCAGCCGACTACCCCGACGACGACGCAACCTAGGCTGGACGACTGGATTGAGGTTCAACGAGTCCAGGCTCTTGTTTCTGCTCTTATCAACGCCCCAGGAATTGCCACCGACCCCAAAGACCGCGTCACAGTCGATCTTTCATATGTGCACAGCGTCCTCCCATCTGGGTATATGATTTGGGATTCCCGCCTTCACCGCACCGTTCTCCGAGCGGATACGGACTTGGCTCGACGAGGCGAGGAGCTTGGTCTGGCACCACGCTACCTGGCGTGGCTTCGCGGACTGGACTCATCCGTCAACATATATGTAATGATCAGAGGAGGGACGGAGGATGCAGGCCCGCGCCAATAGGGCAGCAGGAGGCACAATCAATGATTTTAGAAACATTATGCAAGGTTGAGTGGGTAGAGGTTCAGGAAGGAGAATGTCATAGAACGATGAGACATAAGGCATCTCAATGACCATTCTGATGATTGTGTACTCTCCTCATTTATGGAATAACACTGCAATGGTATACATGCAAACTAGGACCGACATCCGCGAGTTTCGAGGATTAGTTTACGTTTCTGTAGATAACAGTCCAATCATCTTCATTCTTCAATATGTGTAGCCGCGAAATATATTACCACCCCAGCATAATTTAGCCGCATCATGAAGGCCACCTTACATTCCACCAACCTCATAAGAGAGGTCTTCCCCATTCTTATGCTCTTTCTTTTACAATATTCTATTGCTTGCTTCGCTCATGGTGTTGCTATCCGGAGCGGGTGTGCAGGGAGAGAATTTGGGGCCCCAATTTTATTCCGCTTCACTTCATCACCAGTCCAACACAACATCCTTTGATTCTGCCCGATAGGAACATCTCTGAGATCCGAAAACGTGCAAATAAATTTATTGCCCAAGATGCGGTCAGCCAAGCCGACACGCCACAGCTACGAGGAATCGCCAGAAAGACTGAAAGAGCTTTTCAAGACACCTGCAGAGACGAAACCGACACCTTCGCCGGCAAAGATATCACGGGACCAGCTCTTGAAGGAGCACCAAGTGCAACTCAAGTTATTGTCCGAAGGAAATGTACCCGTTAGAACATTCGTACTGCCTCTGCCATACCCGCCTTCACGCATTTCACTTAGGAATGTCTCTTCCAGCAGGGTCAGTTTATTATTTTATATGATTAATCAGGGGACTTACATGTTTTCAGATTAAGCTAGAAGACTTGAATGTGGAAAGGCGTATCCCAAACACATATATCATCCTGAGAACCATCACGATCCCTTATGTCTACTCTGCCTCAATTACTGTGGCAGAAGACGAGGACGGCAACGTCTGCCGTGTGACGCTTTGCAATCTCGAAGACAGTGTAGTTGAGCCGCTCATTCCAGAGGGGACTGTTCTTGCTATCAAAGAACCCTTCTGGACCAGGCTTGTGGATGGAGGTTATCATGTGCGCGTCGATCAACCATCGGACGTTGAGGAGCTGAAACCTCATGACGAACTTGTGCCCAAGGAATGGAGAAAAGAAGAGATAGATGTTCAGAAAGATGCAACTCAGTGGAAGAAGGAAGGCGACATGATGTTCCTGAAGAAGCGCTTCCGAAACGCGTTGGAATGGTGAGAACAAGCTGTCTCATACCACGCTCGTTATCGAACTAACAATAAAGAAGCTACGACAGGGGATTGAAAGAACTCGACCACTCCACTCATGCCACCGCGGCGATTGACCTCTACCGCAAGAAGTGCGGCGTCAACATTGTCCTTCTCCGTCTTGATGATGCGGTGCAAGACCTCGCCCTCGCAATATCGACACATGCAGCTTCTACTCCATCCCTGGCCGACTCTCCTCTGACGAACCCCCCGGTGATCAATGAGTGGCTGCGTAATCACAGTATGGAAGACCCACATCAAATTGCAACTCAGATTCCGAATCCGCTCAAAGTCCTTGCCGCACGTATCAAGTTCGACTTGGGAATCTTCCAATCCGAGCCCGTGTACGACCTTCCGCTGATATCCTCATATGTGGGACCACTGACGCTGCATGTTGACGCTGCCAACTATATTTGTGACACCGAAGCCCGTAGCACGGAGAGTCATGGCCGGGGGTTGTTTGCGAAACGCTCGTTCAAGGCTGGCGATCTGGTGTGTGCGGAGAAGGCGTTCACGATGCCAGGTTATTTTATCCAGGACAGAAACTCCGATTGCTTTTTGTACAGCTTAGGAGATGAGACTGCGAGCCCTAGGCCTGGGGCATTATTGTTCAAGGAACTGGTTCAGAAGTTGCGGTCGAACCCAACGCTGAGAAAAGAGTACTTCGATTTAGACGACGGCGGTTATTGGAAGAAAAACGGTTGGGAGGTGGAAGAGGGCGAGGAGATACCGATTGACGTGTATGTGTGATTTGTTGCCTGCTGTTAGCGTGCGTCTCTTCGAGTCAATGAATACTGACTATGATTCAGGTTCCGAGTTGAGAAGATCCGCCAGCTCAATTGCTTTTCCGTACCCACTCGCTCCCTGGATCTGCTCACGCAGCCGCCAAACAGCAACCCTGAGCTCCGCGCCGGTTTCTGGTTGCATGCCTCGTATCTTAATCACTCTTGCTTGCCGAACACTGTGCGCACATTTATAGGCGATGTGCATTTCCTTCGAGCAACCCGCGACATTGACGCTGGCGAGGAGCTCACACAACAGTACATATCCCCCGAGATCGATATCGAGGATAGACAGAGGGCTTTTGAGGGGACGTGGGGTTTCCGGTGTGATTGCAAGCTTTGCGAGGTCGATGGCAGCATATCTGCGGAGAAGAGGAGGCAAAGGCTGGAGAGATTCGCCGAGCTGAAGGCTGTTGTCATGAAGCTGGGGGAGCGCGGAACCACAATCACCTCCATCAAGAAAATTGCCAGGGGTTTGAGGGAACTCGAGACACTATATTCTGCTCCACAAGAGGAGAACCTATATGCCAACCTCCCCAGGCTGGGCCTTGTGCATCCCACGCTGTTCCTGACCGAGGCTTGGAGGGGGGTTGGGAACACGGGCAAGATGATCGAGTATGCGAGAAGGCTTTTGCGGAATTTCGGGATATTGACGAGCGTGGCGGAGAAGAAATTTGAAGTCACAAGTAATTCGGGATTCGTGAACGTCGAAGGGGTTCGAGCGCTCAAGTACCTTGGAGAGGGCTATCGCGCGATGGGCGAGCTGGAGATGTCAGAGCAGTGTACAAATATGGCCAAGGTGTGGTTCAGGATCGTCACGGGAAGCGATGTGGGCGCGGACGAGTTTCTTCGATCATAATGAAAGTCTTCTGGTGCCTTTGTCAGTGCGCAAGTTTTTGGCGCAGGGAAAGCGGTCCTCTCAAGGTCACCTAGTCTCAAGTTAGACAGGTAGTTCTCCTTCACCACCTCTTCCATCGCCACGAACTCCGTCTCATTCCCTTCCTACCACCCCAAATGTACAACCTCACTCCTCAGCTACACATCCACGTGGAGTCCTAGAAGCCAAGCAACCATATGCGCAGTGCCCGCTTCTGTTCACAATCCAAAACCTCGATCCCACCAGCGGCACGCCGATTAGTAGAACAGCAGCCGGTATGTTCTCCGGTAGGAACTCGGTGTGTGGAGTCTGTCCGCTCGTCTTCGGTGGTGAGAACCTGGCATGGTGGAAAGAGAAGATGAAGGCGTTTGCTGGGTCCAGGTGTAGAGGTCAGTTTTGCTCGGAGAAGACATCGGGCCTGCATTTCCATGGAAGGCGAAGACTTGCAGCAATAGTTACTGTCATCGTCGGTACTATCCCTGATGAAATGAATGGGGCTGCGAGCGGCAAGCGCTTCTGCCGCGAAATGCGTGCCACCATTCATTCGCACTTTCACGAGGGCATGATGATACCGCCGAAGACTTTTTGGCAAGCCTGGGGTAGACTTGACTCGAGAGCCTTTCTTCAATCAGTTTCTTCATAGCTTCCCAGTGGCCATGAATCAGAATCATCTCCGACATGATTCCGAACTTTATGTGCATTGGAAGATGGTGTTGATGATCTTTGGTGGGATAGTCGAGCGAAGCTCTACCTACACAGTACGGAGTACATACGGGTAACGTAGTGGTGGCACCGCCACACGCAACGCCACCCGCCCACTCCGCATTCTCCATTTCAAACGCTCCCAGCTCAAGAACATGAGTGCAACTGTTGATTCAAACATGATATGCATATCTATCATCGGTTTCACCCCTTTCATTTGAGCACATGATATCGATTAGGGTCCAAGCGGCATCCACTCCAGCTTCGAGAGAGTCGAAGTCGCGGCCGACCCCTCCCTTGGCCAGCCCCCTTGCTTGGTCGACTCGAGAGACTAGCCTATTCCAGCACCACCACAGCACACACCCACCACGCTGCTCTTCCCATACAGCTCTCTAGACCTGTAAAGTACGGCTGAAGAACCGATCCCATGCTGACATAGGTCTTCGATGCCACTCTGCTCCGTCCTTCTGCCTGCAATGCCAATTCGCCGAGATACCCTGGACGAGACAAGGAACACAGGGTGTCAAAACATTGGGGGCTTGGTTTGAACCACCTTCCGATCTTGCACATGGGTCCTCCCGCTCCCTTCCTCCACGCTTTGGAACTCCATTTTTCGCTCGTTACAATCATGTTTATTCGACTTCTCGCGCTCGCTTATAGCTTGTTATAACGCTTGAGTACGGCTAGGACATTATACAGAGTATATGGACTCGGAATCATCATGTTGGTGAAAAGGGCCGCTGTCGGCGCAGCCCTAGGTTGTCCTGCCCTCACAGTATTGGCACAAGGTCAGTGACAATCCAAGAAGGGTCCGCTGCTAGTCTGTTTGCTGACCTCTCAGGTATTGCACCCACAGATGGAAATCGAAACGCGACAGCACCCGCACCCACGTCAACGGACCTCCCTTGCGAAAACCGCTGCTCTGTTCAGTACCCGGCCCTCACAGCCATACAATGGATTCCCGCGTCCCAGATCATATACACAACCACGATTGTTGTAGCGACAGTGTCTGTCATATACACGACCCTGGAAGATACTACGTATCCTCCGTATACTGAAACGTTATACAACCCAGTCGGCCCCGATTACAATCTATACAGCTTGGGGCCCAATGAGCAGGGCACTGTCATATTGACCGCTTCCGTGGGAGAGTCGGAAGGATACACAACTTGGGCGACATTGACTTACCCAACTCCATACATTGATTACTGGAAAGAATTGCATTGGGAGGGTGTACTTCAGACGCAGGACAAGGCATCGAATTTCGTCTGCGCCACCGCGACTCCCAGCCCCGCGAACGCGCCGCTCAACGACCATCCTGAGTACCCGCAGCCTAAGGAAGTATTTCCAGGCAAATTCGATCCACTCGGAACAGAGCATGTGCCTCTATGGGCCCCAGTCAAAGATGAACCCGACGCGCGTTTCTTCCGTGCCGCATTTCCCTTTCAGTCGGCTTTTTCTTTTTGCGAATCCGTCCCCGTAGCAGTCCCTCTTCCTACAGAATACTCGGCTCCCAAGTACGAAACCGTTACCACCACAGTGTACACGACATCGACTAGCCCACCCGGAATTGTCATCATCCAGCCTACAGCAACAGGTTGGGACAGAGAACCTTCTAGGCGCCCCCTTCCTCCAGCCGCCGCCCACCTGGAAAGCAGCGCCAACGGCTTTGGAGATGCTTCGACTATAACCAAAACACCGCCCAGAGTGACGTCTCCGGCCGCCCAAATAGAGCGCACAACTACTGGATTCGGCGATGGGCCTCCGGAGGGACCGCAGGCACAGCAATCTGCCAGCCCCAATAATGGTGGTAGCATTGGGGCGCCTGGTACACCGAACGGTGCTCTTCAAGGCGACCAGCAAGATTGGCCTGCGCCATCGCCCGTGTTCACGTACGTTCCTACCGTGATCGACGGTCGGACAACATCGGTGCCAGCGTACATCATGCCGGGATCCTCTTCCACAGCAACCATAGGGCAGACGGTTGCTGTCAACGGCGAGACCACAGTTCTGGAAATACCCAGCGCGATCTTCACGAGTGTACCGGTGAGAATCGGTCCAGCACCAACGTCTAGTCCGGCATACATCATCAGTGGCTCTATCACTGCGACGATAGGACAGACTGTCACAATTGGTGGTACGACGACCGTTCTAAGTATCCCGACCGACTCCGGGGGAAATGATGGCCGTGTTGGTAGGCCGGAAGAGACAGGCCGTCAGAGTCATTCTCCGGGAATGGCAGCGTCATGTGTGCGAACACCGTGGCGGACTTTAATCGCACTAGTCTTCGCTATCATATTGTGGGCTTAGGGAAAGGCAGTCAGGATGATTTGCGGAGGGTATCTTTCAGGAATATGGATGGGTTTGGTAACGGAGTCTCTAAGGGACGGGTGTATACTGGAAGTTACTAGGACGCGTAATGCTAATCTATGGAATGGCTCTATTTTTCTTGTATATCTGATCTCAAGAGGTATGTTGGCGGAACAAGAACAACGCAGGCATGGGAAGCGCATTTCTTTATCCTAGCGTATTCGGCACGCGCTGCGCGTTCAAAGACGAGGAGCATACCTTCGGGTAATCGACGCCATGGTAAATCTTGAATCGCAAATAGAGACCTGATAGAATTCATATGCTCTCAAGAGATGCGCCGCATACTACCATAGTACATCAACATCTCGCCGGGCAGCTTAATCCCATACCCGCCAGCACCGACAACGATAATACATGAGTCTCCCTCGTACACCCCGGAATAGCTCGCTCCCATCACCTTCCTCCTCCCTGAGCTGTGATAGAACTCCCCCCGGCGACCTAGGCTTGGACGGCCTGTGGCCGTAGCACACCGTGATGTCGAGCAGCAAACTGCCCAGCCGTGCTGGTGTCGAGGTCGGCGTGTGCGATGCTGTAGGATTGAGAGCGGCCAGACTTCCTCATCATCCCCTCCTGGGGGGCAAGCCCATTATGGGCTTTGAAACGAAGATACGTGGACGGCAGTACAGTCTTTCCTGCATCATCCGGGAGTTGCGTGCAGTAGCGCATCGCGATGTCGAGCGGCACACTGCCCAATGGAGCTGGTGTCGAGGTCGGCGTGGGTGATGCTGTAGGATTGAGAGTGGCCAGACTTCCTCATCATGCCCTCCTAGGGGGCAAGCCCATCAAGGGCTTTGAAACGAAGATACGTGGACGGCAGCATAGTCCCAACTTGCATCACTGGGAGTGCGAGGGTGGAGATCTGGCCGAGGGCTTCGTTTCTGGATGGTTCCGTAAGAGATTCCGGCGGCGTTTCCGGAGCGGACTCCCTCTCTGTTTATCTAGTGGCGAGACGGCGAACTGTTGCCGGTATCAGCTTGTACTGTTCATGGTGCAGAATATCAATGCTCAAGGCCCAGAAAAGCGACATACCTAGGCAATGTACTCGCGACACAAGTCCCGGGAGCCTTTTGAGCTGGTCGAATTGGTGTGTTATCCATTTCGACGTCAGTAATCGAACTCAGACATCGCTAGCCGGTGTACTCGTGGCACAAGCACGGCTTCCTGGTTTCCGTCAATAGCTCGCTACCCTTATCCTGGGGCCCTCTTGATATCATGTTCAAAAGGTATTTCTTTCCATATCGGTGTCACCGCGACTGAACGTTGATAAAATACTGGGGCCTTTTTTTTTTTTTTTTTTTTTTTTTTTTTTTTTTTTGTCCATCGAAGCGTAACCGTTCCAGGAAAAATTCTCATCCCAATCCAAACGGGGCTACTGTCTCTGAAGGAGGTGGAGCGGGAGCCCTGAGAGACAAGCGGAGCCACCTGTGTCTCGCCAGGACCAGTGGACGGCCCAGCAGCCGAAGGATGCATAATGTCAACGATCTCGTTATTGTCTGCAACGGTGGAACAAGACCAATCAGGTCACCCCAGCGATGTTGGTGCACGCTTTGACGGGCCCAGCATGTAACTTCCCAACCCAGGTGCCAGACGTGGGAAAGAAGCGCCTCGGAGTGCAGATGATTGAAATAGCTAGGGCAAATCTCCGTAGTACTGTATATATGTTAGAAAGTGGCAGTTGCCATCAGGCCAAGGAAAGGCGTACCTTCTTGTCGGGGCCTCATTCAACTTTGTGGGGGAAAGGGTGAGAAAAAGAGAGAGAGAGAGAGAGAGAGAGAGAGAGAGAGGAGGGAGGGCGAGGAGGGTGAGAGAGAAACTCTAGAAGGCAGACAATAACCGTTGCGCAACGACGCGCAGGTATCCAGTTTTCAGAGCCATTTCCTTTATGAAAGAATGTCTGACAGGACACCTAAAGTCCAGGAGAGTCCCAAGGTTGTGCATGTCATGCGCCACGTGATACACCCGTGATTACGACTTCATTCTCCAACTCAACTCCCATGACTCAAGGGAGTCAGTTTATGAATTTCAATGAGATGTAAGTATTCATTAAGTAGTACATTAATATAAATCGCTTCGTCGGCGCTTAGCATGATCCCAGTGTTCAAGACCCTGAAGGACTGTCATCTGTAACCGCTCCACTTGCAGTGCCTACTTGCTTCTTGAAGTCTCCAGTACTCCCTAGAACAATAAAGCTGCCTTCCCGGAACATGTATAGATAGCAACTCACAAAACCCTCAATCATATCATGCCACTCTTACTGCAGTCGTCCTTGTCTGGCTTGGTGGATTCGGAGGTTAACGGTGCTTTTTCAACCCCAGCATCTACCTCATGCCTGGCGACGAGCTTTTCAGGACTGGGCAACTCGTGGATAGCTTTCGAGTCCGCTGGAAGCTCATGCCGTATCTGGTCTCTTCCCGCAGCATCGTCCGACATGAGAGCCATCTGCTTCACATCGGCCTCCACCTCCCATCGGTGCTCATGCTTTGCGTTGTATAGCTCTGTAGGACCTGTGTAAAGCTCGTACTGATCTTTGGACTCGGCTTCGTGTGTAGCGGGGGCGGGGAGTTCGGCTGGCGTTTGTTTTTTAGCTGCCTTCCGGCGACGGAGGAAGAAAAGCAGGAAGAGCGCGAGCACGAGAGCCAGGACGCCCAGTCCGACGCCTATACCGATGATGGCCCCTCTTGAGAGACCGTCGTTTTGCGGTGAAGTGGTATCCGATGGGGTGGAAGTGTTCCTCGACGTCGAAGGGGAGAGGATTGGTATTATTTGCTGAGCAGGCATAGGACTCTGGAAGACAGCCTGATGAACAGAAAAGTTTGCGCGCTCGTAGTCTGCTATTACATAGGCCTCTTGTAGAAAAGTGCGGCCAAGGGTATATTGCGTATCGTTTGCTGCGCGGCGGATAGGAAAATAATTCGTCGAATTTTCGTAGATAGGATGCGATGCTTGCAGATCAAAGGCTCCATATGGGACCTGGATAGTAACTATATTCGCTGGGTTGTTATCGTTCCCAAGGGAAAATGTAACAGTGGGTTGTAAGCGCTGCAGCTCCTGATGGATGGTGTCATTCACAAGGTAGAGATCCGTTGTTGGGTCATACTTGAGTCCGAATGCTTCTTCGAATCGATCACATGCAGAGCGCGGCAGCCAGATGTGCGGAACAGTGGAGTCAATGAAAGAGAAGATGGGCATGTCGAGTGGGCTAACGGTACCCTTCAGTGTGTTGGCAGCTGTGATGCGCTGCACGCCCACGCTGAGGACTTTGGAGTCGTCCGCACTGAAGGGAAAAGTCCGATCGCTGGGCGTGTATCGGGAGGCATCATATCCGCCGAGCGTAAGACTTCCAGGGAGCTTTGGGATCCGATACGCCGCGCCTGCAGTGTAGGCGAAGGAGAGACTGGGTATCCGATTCTTGTCTTTTAGAGTCTGCATGAACGACGGTTGAGGATACTGCCAGTCTGAGAAGTTGGAGGGCTTTGGACCGAGCCCAAACAGGCCGAGATAGAAGTCCTTGGTGGCGATGCCTGCCACTACCTGATTCTCCAACGTAAGTCCGCCGGAGTTCTGTAGCATGAGCCCCACCGTGTCAAACCCGTAGAGACCATTGCCGGTATAGTTGAGTTCCTGGGCCAGGTACAGGTTGTATAATCCAATCGGTTTCCACGATGAGGAAGCGTTGGTCAAGAATCCGGTGCTTTTCTGGCCGTTGAAGGGATAAACGCCTCTAAGGTCGCCACAATTATCCGGGTCTGTTTCAATGCATCCGTCGGGGAGGGGGATGAATATCTCATGGCCTTGTATCGAGGGTAGCACGCGGAAGTTCTGTTCGGGGGTGCCTACACGCACGATGAAAGTAGACCAGCGACCGTCGTTGCCATCGAAGGCCTGTGAGGGTGCAAACACGAAGGGCGGCGGCACCGTGCGGTTCACATCTCCCATGATGGTGTTGATGAAGCAGTGGCGCCGGAGGCACGCCGCAGAGATGCAGACATGAAGGAAGAATAAGAGACCGGTAAAGATCCGGGAAGGCTATCGCCTGCGGGAGGATGCGTGAGCCCACATCCTTGAGTTTTGGCTCAGGACAGTGGCAGGCGGAATTACGCGCGGGGGGGCCGAATGCGATGGAGAAGAGATCTGGGTGGTCCAGCAAATGGTATTGGGCCTGACTCGTTCAGAGGCTAGCGCCAAGCACCCCCAAAATAAGTACCCGACCTGCATGGCACCTGCAACTGCGCTCTCTGTGCCACGTTTTTGATGGGGTTGTTCAAGCACCCACACTTTCATCTTGTACACAACATGGCACGAAGATCAATGGGTTCTAGTCGCTCTTCCACACGGATTTTATTATGATATTTGCTGGTACACTCCATTTCCGAAGTTGAGGTCAAGAAGCTGACAAAATTCCAAGCTTTCTGCAGCCACTCAGACCTCATAAGCTGACAACCAGACCACGCGGACTTAAGTAGTGTGATCCTTCCTAACGCACCATGTACCGATTCCCGGATTATAGGGTACCAAGGATTGCACTGGGAGTGACGTTACCTTGTCCAAGCTGCCATTTTGTGTATTGGCGAATCAAATCCTCCTGGAACGGCCTTAGGACAACACCTCTGCGTCCTCGGAGGGTCCGGAACAATCCGAGCGCGTAATATGTCAGCAACAATGCAGTGGGATTCTTACCAGGCATGGCCTAGAACAGCGAGAGAAAGGTTGCAGCTTTGGTGCCCTCTGCCGGTGGTTTTGTGTAACCGCCCGCAAGAACACCACGACTGACCCAATCTCGGCTCCTTACCATATCTGCATGGTGGCTGCTTCGCCAAGCAAATCCCATAGGCCAGAGGGTGGCAAGGCTGCACAGATTAGGTCTGATTCTGCGAGGAGGCTGAGTAAGATCAAGTAGGATTCGAGGCCAGGGCGCTGGAAAATGCGGCCCATATTCTGGGTACGTTCAAAAACATATCACGCCGTCCTGCTGGAATTGCACGTTTGAAAGGCGCCCAAACCTCTCTTTTCGTTCATTTTGCGCGAGAGCGCGTTGCCATTCCGTCCACTGCGTCTATTGTTCGACATGGCGGCTCGCATACTACCCATCGGCCTGCTGCTCCTTGCAGTACAGCAAACTGCGGCCCAAGGGCCCTGTAAGTCTTGAGCCGAGTTCGCTACTCTGGTCGTTAACCATCGACAGCCCCAACTTCGAACTTTTCCCTAAGTGTGACATCGCAAAGCCCTTCGGCCTCCGTGACTGAGCCACCATGCTGTTTCTACATACCAATGACCGTGGGTCTGAACGTATGGTGGACTTCGTCATTTACAGCGACTGTGGCGACGGTCGTCACAGAGTACCTCCAGTACAATAACACCGTGATACCGAATGCAACATCGACCATATACAATGAAGTCAAGCCAGACGACTTCTACACCAGCATTTCAACCGATTTGCTTCCGGGAGTCTTAGTCTATGAGCGAACAGCTATTCATCTTACCACTGTACTATCGGACTATTGGGGGGACAGTGTCATGTAAGCCATGGCCCCGAATCTTCAAATTTTGTTCTGGCGCTCATCTATCTGCTAGGTCCTATCCAACCCCTTTCGTGGAGGTCCATCAGATAGCGTATGCAGATGGAGGAATTGGAACTGACACGGCCGGTGCTCAGACTTGCACCCCGGCACCGTTTAGCGGAGATCCACAGTCGAGCTTCTATTATCTGTCCGAAGGCTATGTCTTTGCACCAGAGACCACCGCTTGGACCGGCCCTGCAAACGACGTTGAAGCTCCCACCGGGGTCCTGGATGCTTGGATCGCGCAGACACCCGATATTACGTCGAAGATTCCATGGTTGAAGAAATGCTCGTCGCTTCCGGGGTCGGGCGAACCCTCCATACATGTGCCTGTCACTGCCCTCACTGAGCATTCCAAGAAGACCATCCAAATGACTGGAGTAGCACCAGGACAGCCGGACCAGCCGGCTCAGTCGACCGCGGCTCCAGAGCTATCCTCCTCTCGACCTCCAATCGCAACTCAACCGATAGTGAGCAACCCATTCCCACGGCCAACCCGTACGAGCGGTCCTCAACCGAATCCCCAGACCTCTCTTCCAGGTTCTCCTGACGCTTCACCCCAGCCCAATCCGAATCCGAACCCTGAGACACCGAATCCTGGAAATCAAAATCCTGGAAATCAAAATCCTGGAAATCAAAATCCTGGAAATCAAAATCCTGGGAGTCAAAATCCTGGGAATCAAAATCCTGGGAATCAAAATCCGGGAAACCCCGACCCTAATAATCCCGGTGCGAACGTCCCCAGCAATTCTCCGCAACCTTCACCCATTCTCCCCGGCCCATCTCTCCCAATTCCTGTCATTCCTGCCCCCAACAATCCAGGCGTCGTCGTCCCCGGAGGCCCAACCCTCACTCCAGGCATTACCACGACTATCTCCGACCACGAGATCATCGTCCCCTCAAGTCCACCTACGGGTGTGGTCGTGCTCCCAGGCGGCGAGACCCTCTCTCCCGGAAGTACTACCACGATCTCCGGCACAGAGGTTTTCGTTCCTACAGATACACCAAGCGTCATTGTGGTGGGTGGAACAGCTATTCCTGCGCCTACAAATATCATCGTCGTTGATGGCACCACTGTACCTGTTCCAGCACCCATAGATAGTTCGTCCACGGAATTGGATAATCTGTACACGCCAACGACGATACCGCCCTCTCCTACGGGTAGCACCTCAAATGGAGCAGGGAAGCCAAGCAAGCCGATTTCTGGGCTGCCAGGAGAATTCACGGGAGCAGCTGCAGCGACGCAGGTGTCTATCTGGGGTGCTGGGGCATTAGCCATTGCTGGGGCCGTGATCTTAATCTAATACTGGAGCATCGTGTAATGGCAAGTAATGAGTAGACGTAATTGACGCACTCTATTTCAGCTGGGTATCTCCATAGAAGCCCGTGACGAAGCGGCAGTGAAGAAGGTGTATATATAGGGTGCTGGGGTGTTAGCTATGGTCGGGGTAGTGATCTTGATGTAGCACTGGAGCATAATATAATGGCAAGTCATGACTAGATGTAATGAAGAGCTCTATTCGATGGGTATCTCCCTAGAGACCCGTGACGCCTTGCAAAGACTCATGCTACAGGCCTACTCCAACAATCATGACCTCCATTGTTACAATGCAGCCGACTGGAGTTCCCCGACTACTCCTCACCCAACACACCTCACTCAGTTCCACTCAGCTCTCTCCATTCACTCCAATTGTCCTCGTCCTCCTCCATCTCCCGCTGGAGCTCCATTGGGAGCCGCGAAATCCAGTCCCTGCGTCCCAGGACTGGATCCTCCTCTGGATCCAGATAGCTTTTCATGTAAAAGCGCTCTGCGCAGGCCCACGAACACACTTGCACCTTATAGGGCACTTGAGGCCCGTACAGATCCAGCCAGTATTCGAACCACACCGCCCTGGGAATCAGGAAGCTCTTGCCACAGCGGCAAGTCAAGAATGTGGTGAGCAGCCTTTCCTTGTTGTCCTCCGCCCGAGAGAGAGCGGCGTCTATCACTGGGGGGATCTCGGCGCCGAGAAACTGGCGGATGGTGGCTGGAGATTCGTTCCTCAGGGCTTCGTTGAGAGAGAGAGAAAACAGGGTGCGTACGGCGGAAGACGATTGGGGCGGGGAGGGGGTGCGTTCTCGGTGAACCCGTGGAAAGCTGATGAGTCCTCTGCTGGTTGGAACCACGCAGGCTGAGCCGATGTCGGTGGTGCGTTTCTTGACGTCGTACAACGTTTCCAGATTGAAGGAACCAGGGATGAGCTGCCCGTGTTCGTAGAAGTAGGACACCGGGCTGCATCCTAGCAGTACATGGCGGTTGAAATAACTACAAAAATTTGGGTATTTGTGCTCCCAGTACTCGAAGAACGACAGGTCCCAAACAAGGTCCTCTCTATATTTGTCCAGAGACCCATCATAGTTCTCCCATTCCTTTGGAACATCTTCTTCTTTTTCAAGCAGGATAGCCGCACGGTACCTCTCCCACAGGTTGTGAAGACACTCGGCGCGCGTGGGTGGATCCTCGAGCTTCAGGAGAGCGAATGGTCTCAATCTACAGAAGCCGGAGGGGGTCGGCCAGGGCAGGCAATTCCCACCGCAGCTGAATCCTCGAAGGTTCCCATGGGGCTTAAGGAGTGAATGAAGCTCAGATGGCATCCAGAAGAGGTTGTTGTTGGACAGATCCAGCGAGACCAGGTTGCGAAGCTGACCTATTTGTGGGGACAGCTCTTGGATGTTATTGTCCCTTAGGGTGAGAGACGTTATATTCTCTAAGGAGAAGAGGTTAATATGGAGTCTGCAGAGCTGGTTGCAACGGAAATTTAACTTCAGTCTTGGGACCATGGAACGATATTGGCCATCGGCAGGAACCTCTGTCCCAGGATCTGGGCCAGGGTTGATGATTTGGTTTAAGAGGTAGACTTGTTCGAGGTGGTGATCTTCGAGAGTTCCGGTATCGTATTCAAAGTAGTCGCGGTTCGCGTGTACGCAGTCCAAGAGTCGTTGAACGAAGTGCTTATGACCTTCATCAAATGAGCCTGCCGCTTCCGGGACGGGCTCAAACTGGTCGACGTCATCACTGTAGGCGACAACCCCGGAATCGTATCTTTCCATGTTACGCCCTTTCTTCGCCGCAGAGGGCCGCTCTGAATCGCCTTCCCACCAAGGCCCTGCGCGCTTGCGCTTGTCGCGTGGTGAGGCATAGTTCTCGACGTCGTCCATGTGCTCCGGACCATCGCTCGAAAAGATTGGCGGCTCACTCGACGTCGGCGACATTGCCTCGGAAAAGGGTACCAATGGCGGCGAGCTTGCAATCTCATCCTGTTGAGGGAGAGGTTCGCTCTTGCTAGCCGTGTCTGTTCGTGCAAACTCCGGTGGAGGCAGATTTTCTTTCTCGCTGTCTGGGTCCATCATGGCTGCTCGCTGGCTCTGTCGGTAAGAGACTAGAACAGGGTCTTCTCTTGAGCACAGCCGGTTGAAGTCTTTTCCTCAGAGTTGGAGCGTGGAAGTATTGACGGCAATCACAGTATGCCAAGACTGTCAGTGTTGAGACACTGATGTAGCGGTGAGGGAATGAGATATGGATAGACAACCAGCAACATCCGAGGGGTCGAGCTGCTCTGAGGTGAATTGGCTGCACAAAAATAGCTATCCAGGGAAGAGAACGACGTGGGGAACAGGCGGAGAGAGCTTTGGCGATGCTGGTCACCGCAAAAGGTCGGCACCTGGAGTAAATGAAAAGCCGGAACGCCGTGAAGCAGGAGAAGAGAATGAAGGAAGGGCAGTTTAAGTGGGGTGACGCAAAGAGAGTAAAAAGTGAGTGTGGACTCCGAAAAGTACCCTTACGGTAAAGGTGAAATCCGCAACGCGTCTGCTGGGAACGCGACAGCACCGCCTCGGCTTAGGAACACCCCACCGGTGGGGAATAACAGGGGTGGCACGCGAGTCCAAGCGCCATACCTTCTATGGCTTACAACCTCCAACTGAACACCTACTACTGTACAAATCTAATTGCAAGGTTTGTTATTTTGCTGCACCTCCTAGCTTCATTCAACGTAGAACATAGCAGTACGGAAGAAGTGCAGAGTTTTGTTCAGTCAGATATGGAAGGAGGCAGGATGCTGTACCGCTGGTCTAGATAATAGATCATCATGTTGTTGCAAGGAAAAGCCTTTCCAACCGTTTGATCTGACAACGTTAAGAAGTTTGATTGGGAATTTCGGCTGCTGCAGGGACGGGCATCTTTTGCATTGCTCCAATGGCCATAACTCCAAGTTGGCCAAACATGCGGGACTCAATTGTAAATATTGGTGTCCTCATCTGCGGAGGCTTTTTCGATTCAGGAAGGTGTCACGGCTGCTCATTACACCTGCGTACTCCTAGCCTTTACGGTGGACCCACCACCTATACTGAAGTGACGATATGCAGATTGCTCAGCCCCGGAGTGAGCACTTCGACCTACGCAGATTATATAGTCTGTCCGCAGCTGGACAAGATACAATCTGGCTAAATCCCTAATACCTGAAGTAAACGCAGCCGCATCGTGCTATGGTACTGGCAAGATAGAAACAGATTCACTGAATATCCCGTGAAGTTCCTTATGTGTGCACGGGAGAACCACTGTCAAGGTCCATAATATATCTCCTGCGTTCTAAGTTTTGTATGCAAGCCATAGTTATATCATTACGCTTATTCCAATGTACGCCGGGATGCTCCACGATGGCACCCCGGACGCACCTGATAACCGTGCGTACGGGGAAGAACACCGGTGGACGTGATATAGAAGGTGATCAGATACACAATCAGGCGGTCAAGAGTGTAACTGGCCAGGCCTTGCGAAGCAGCGGTGCTTGTACATTTCGAAGTGGATTCCGCATCACCGCCTGCATGTAGATATAGTTCCATTTGATGCTCAAAGTAGAGCGATATCTAGTCTCTTACTCAGATAAGGCCCTTCCTCCTTGCAAAACAGTGCAGGGGCCGTAGGCGTTCGCAACTCGTCACCGCAGGCACCCGCCATCACATGACGCAGCCGCCTGGCGCCACCCAAACACTTCACCTACCGCCCACCACACCTTCTTTGACTATATAACTTATGAAAAAAGAGCCTCTTTCGCCCTTCGGGGCATCTGGTCATTGGAAAAATACAGAGGTCAGTCGTCCCACCGTTAACCATGAGTGAATCGCAACTAACCTCCCAATGCAGAAGATTAGCATGGCCCCTGCACTAAGGATGACACGCTTAATCATAGAGAGAAACCATTTTTTTTTTCGTGGCGGGTTCGACTACGGAGCCGTCAGAATTTGAGGGCTTTTTTTGTAAAATTGTGGGTGTGGGTGTGGCGCGACGGCACTGACCGCCCTGGCGGTGAAAGGCGCCGAACTGTGCAGGTGTGGCCGCAGTGTCCGCGCTACCACACCAAGAACATAGGACAAGATGCGGCCTCAGCTCGAAAAGCTTTCAAATACTGAAATATGTACATACAGCTATCGATAGGCATATATAAGGTCAGTGTCCCTGGTGGCCACGCAGGACAATATCTGTGATTCCATGCTTTGTTTATATCAAGGTCGAACCACGCCCATGCCGTCAAATCCCAAAGAACCACAATACTGAATTGCTCGACATGAGGATGAAGACGGATTGACAGCTTATACCTTCTATATACGCGCCGTGCATTGCTAGCGAGAGGTAAAATAACTCCATGAATGTACATGCTCTTCACACTGTCTATATACGGCCCTCGCCGCAATAGCCTCCCACTATAACATGCGAACGCAATCTGCTTCCCCACTTCACGCGCGACGGCAGCCACACGCCTCTCCAACTCTCTGAATCGAAACGCTGTCCAAACTCCCAGCAAGATCAGAAACGAGATATCATCAATCAAAGGGCATCCCGATCAATATGGTGGCCACAATTCCCCTCGTTATTTCTTTGCACTACCTCGCTCCGGACGTTTACAAGCTCCTCCCGAACTGGCTTCAAGCGCCGCCCATACTGCCCGATCCGACGGCTGACCCCTTTGGACAATGCTGCAGGAAATACGACAACCTCTCATCGTCTGTGCAATTGGAATAGCAACGGCTGTTTTCTTATACAAACTCTTTCCCGCCGACGAACTTGGTAAGGCGCTCGACCGCGTCGACGACCTAGAAATGATAAATGCGAGACTAGGAATGGAGGATATGGAGAATTTTCGTATGCTACCCTCTCTCAATCGAACTTCCCCACAATTACAAAAACAAGGCTAATTAACCTCCTCAGTGTAACTGCATTGTTGTTCCGAACCTATGTTCTCCCGACACACTATTATGCCTGCGATTCTCCCGCTCGCTCGCTTTCCGAAACGATTACGCATGACGTGCGGTATTGGCTGGGACAGGGATCGGTAGTTGCACACAAAGCCGCATAAGATGGGCAGGGCCGGGGAAAATGGGATTTGGAGGCATACACTGTTTGGGATGTAGTGCGGCGGAGTATACTTGGGGAGCAGGTGACGAGGAAGCGGTTTGGGAGAACGGCGTTGAAGCTCTTGCGCAAAAGGATCAGAAGCGGAATTCAAGATATTCGCCTTTGAGTTGATCGTATTTATTGACATTCACTTTGATGTGATTGCATTGGGGGACGCGGCGCAGCTCACTTTGGTTTGATACTAGTCTGCTACCATGCGGCATCTCTACCCGCCGCTCTATTCCTTAACCACCACAAGCTTCATACAGCTTTTCTGTCTTCTAGCAACGGTTCGGCACACCTCCGCAATACCTCACTCCAGCGGAACACTCTTAAGGGTAACAAGGCAATCCTCCTTCGAATCACTAGCCCTCCCCACATGCGCGCTAACTTGCTTCATCACCACCCTTACAACCGATGGCTGCGACAACGAGACCGATTTCCAATGTCACTGCAGAGGCGGACGAGCGCTTGCTTCAGCTCAGAATTGCTTGAATACAGGATGCGGAGAAACAGATAGGAAAGAGGCGACGGATAAAGTAGGCTTTGCATGTCGCGCAGTAGGAATGGACATGGGAAACACTGGTTCGAACGAAGATAGGAGCTCAGCTTCAAGCTCACCAACTCTGCAAGGTACTTAGTTCAGCTCCCGTCCTAGCCTTCTGTGCACATTCTAACATGTCCACAGTCACGACTTCCACAACCCAATCACAGGCAGCACCTTCCACCGCGTCGGTAACTATAACATCCACCTCCTCGCCCTCCTCCCTCACAACCTCCGCAATCCCTTCAACCACTTCCATCCCAAACCCCACAAACATGCCTTTCGCTCCCCGCCCATCGAACCGCCAACTCTCCGCCGGCGCCAAAGCGGGCATCACCCTCAGCATCACCCTCTTCTTCTCTCTCCTCTTCGTCTCCACAACGCTCTACATTCGACGCCTGAAGCGCCAACTCCTCGCCGCACAGGCCGCTGCCGCAGGCGTGCCCGAAGACGTCTGGAGGGCGCATATCTCCACGGCGGCGGGACTGCCTGGGACGATGGGACGGCAGGCAGATAGGAGGGGTAGTTGGGGCAGTTGGGGGAGAGGGAGGTCGACGTCGATGCCTACGTCGCCGGTTAGTCCTTTGGATTCGAGTGCTGGCTTCGGATATGGAGGTGGAGAGATGAGGGAGACGTCTCAAGGCTCGATGGCGGGAGTCTTCCAGGGGAAGAAGAATAGGGGTCAAGTGTTGAGCGTGGTTGTAGAACGGGTGGAGGAAGAAGAAAGTAGTGGGGGATCGATACGGGAGCCGGTTCCTGGGCAGAGGGAAGGGCTGGTGGATCCGTTGGAGTTGGATGGGGAAGGGACGGGGATTGTAGAGTTGCCTGTTAGTGTTACGCCGAGGGCGAGGAGTAGGGAGAGGAGGTGAGGTGGGGTTGGGATCTATAACTCTGTATCACACAATGTGCTATCCGAAAGATAAAGAAGGGCACTGCGTATACTCTCATTCATCTCATCCGGTAGATACATCAGCATACATCCCTCCGCCGGCGACCTTTCGGAGGTGGACTACACTGAACCCCATCCAGGCACAACCAGCCCCTATGACCTCCGCAAAGGCATGCCGATTGATTGATTTCCCGCTAGTTCTATAATTGTGTTTGACATCGGATATCGAGAATCTACTATACCAGCAAGCGCTGCTTCTCCTCCGGATCAGGACACTCTACCACACTCCATCTCCTCTTCTTCTCAGTCGGAAACCGGAGCGGAGCAATGTCATCTATCCGATCCTCCAATGTCCTCTCTCCGTCACCGAAGATGGGCTTAAAGACACCATCATAACTCTGCCACATGACCCGAAAGATGCCTCCGTATATGGCAGCCAGCCACTTGGGCGACCTTCCCCTCTTATCCTTGAACAGTCTCTGAAGCCCAAAGATCATGATAACGAAGGGCATCCATATGGCCATAAACGAGACTTTCCCAACTGTTTGCTTCTTTGTGGTGACAGTGTAGGGACGGATATCGTGAAGATACCTCTGGTATTCGGCGGGCAGGTCGAGTTCATTGGCACCGTCCCAGATGAGCTTAAGATAGCGTGCCGAAGGCTGTGCGTAGCTGGGATCTGGACGTATCAAGCCGCCTTTCACAGCTGCTGGTGCAAAGAGGGTATGTGCTTTGAAGGACTTCGTTGAAGGCAATTCGGGTACGGTCTCCCCATGGGGAAGCGGATAACACGACACTAGGATATCGTGATATGCCGACCCTCCTCCTTCAGTCGCGATAATGTGTGCGTAGTCTTTCAGTGTCACCTCATAGACACAGCCCACCATGCCCTTAGTCCACCGGTCTTTGTGGTAACGAGACTTGGAGTCATTCGGAGGCGTTTGAGTATAATCGCGTCGGGCGGAGTTTGCGAAACATGGCTCCGCGTAAGGGACGCCCGGAAGGTCAAAGGTCAACCTGAGCTCAGGCACGACGACATTGATCTGGGATAGGGGCTTGATTCCGCGTACCCCCCGGAAGGTTTCAGCGCAGAGATTCGAGCCATAAGCCAGGTAGAGGATCGTCTTGCCCTTCTCTTCCGCTGCTGAGAGCTCAGATTCCGTGAAGGTGAGGTGGTCGAGCGGCTTGTCGTCGAGGGAAGCGTTGAGTCGCTCTTGGGAGGTTTGAGGGACGGGAGGAAAGGAATGCTTCGGAGCGAGGGAGCTGCGGCGCACATAGGCGACATCGTCAATGGCGCGTTCAGTTGTCATTGCGGGTACAGATTGCGTGCTGTCTGTGCTCCAGGTGTGTTATTGGACGGTTCCTGCAGAACGTCTTGAACCAGGTACTTACCGTTTTGGGTCGAATATCAACTCTTGAAAGTGTCTGATAAAACTTTAGAATGCTGAAAAGATTGTGATAACTTTGAATTTAGCTGTTCTGGAGAGTTTGGAAGATTCGTCCGTTATTCGTACGCCTTGACAGAAGTGAGCACGGTCGGGACAGCTGCGCTCCGAGATTCTATGAAAGTACGTCACCGAATAGGCTAGGACAGAAGGGGAATGGACTGTTGCTGATGTCAGGTACTCAGGTACAGCAGCAACCGCTCTCCAGCATCTACATTGTGTCTCTAGCATTCTTGAAGTCTATCTCTCTTGATTGTGCTCGTACTGTGGTAGAGCTCCACAAGCCACGGTGAACGCCTGCCAGAACGATCTGCGCCTCTCCCTAGGACCCTGAACCGGCCAAGCAAGCTCAAACTTGCGAATTGGATATCCAGCCATATGAATATTGTACTTATCATTAGGACCTCCGCTGCTCCTCGATACTACTTATGTTCAGTCGACGCCGAGGGCAACCATTCCGATGTCACGTACATCCGTACAAGCTGAAGTCCCTGGCCATTGCGTCTAGATCAAGGGACTCGAAGTCATGCAATCAGAGTGCCGGATTTCCCTGAGCGTATCCAAACGTTGTCCATATTCCAGTATACACACTGTGCCACCTGGGCACCTTATACCCCCTCACCGCACCTTGCTAACCCCCCTTCTTCCCCAGAGTCTAACCGTCAAGAACCAAACGTCCTTAGCGAAGCTGCAAGTTCGCTGTACGATTAATCAAGACGACACGGAACTGCATTGGGATGCGTCTACGCGAGGCGCGCACGGGCCAGTTATTCCGTCTGGAGACGGGACGGATGCCAAGAATGGTGGTCCTCCCTACGATATTACCGATTGGGACCAACGTCATGGAAGTCTACTAGAGAGGGGATGTCCGCTTCTTTCCTCTCCTCTCCTCGCAAAGTTCTACTTTGTGTCTTGACAGCTCCTTTGAGTCAAGTAGGATCGTTCGCTCGCCCCGCAATTTTCAACCAGTCCTCGATTCGAACCGCTGTACAACTCCTCCGCCGCATTTCGAACACCCAATTGGGAACTTTTGTACATGACATTATTCATATAAGAGATAGCAATGGAACTTCCATACATCATTCTGTTCATTTTGCCACCCCTAGCATTCCTCTACACGCTCATCCGTAGATGGCGCTTCAACCGCTTCCGCCACCTGCCCCAAGCCTACCCCAACTCCCTCCTGTTCGGCCATATCTACCTCTTCGCCAGGGGCTACAAGAAGTTCGGAGACACCAGACGCCATGTTGGTAAGATCATTGACCTCTGATATATACCCAACTCGTGTACCAACGACTCTTCCTTTAGACTACATCCTCGAAGACCTCGTCGAGTCTGCAGGCCGCCCGGATATTCTGGTCCTCGACATGCGGCCTCTCTCGTATGGGATGACGGTCGTAACCTCTCACGACGTTGCGGAGCAGATCTCCAAAGCGACGAAGATGTATCCGTATAGCGTGACCAAATCGCCGACGCTGAGGCAGTATGAGCGCCTTATTGGCAAGCAGTCGCTCTTGGTTGAGGAGGTACGTTTATCGTTGTACTCAGGTTATGATTTCTCCCAGAATACATTGATTCCTGGCGGCCTTTCTCTCTGCCTTTCAATATACGAATGACCAACTAAAACCATTTCCAGGGCGAATCCTGGAAAGCCCTCCGCAAGCGCTTCAATCCCGGCTTCGCCCCCTCGCACCTGCTCTCCTTGCTTCCCCAGATCCTCTCCAAAACCTCCATCTTCGTCTCCAAGCTGGACGCATTGTCTTCCTCGGGTCAGGAATTCGAACTGGACTCCCTCTGTACGAACATCACTTTCGACATCATCGGTAAAGTGGTCGCGGATCTGGATTTCCACGCCCAGGGCGAGGACAACGCCCAAAGGCATGAAATCGTGAAGTATTACAATGAACTGGGCTCCACTTACTCGGATACGGGGAGAATTCCACTGTGGTTGAATGCCAGGAAGTTGGTAATGCGATTATGGTATTCCTATCTCGCCGAGCGGGCGATCAAGCAATGCATACGATCCAAATTCTCCGAAACCGAGGAGGCCGAGAACAGCACGACGAAGGCGACGAGGGGCCCCCAGGATCGCTCCGTACTCGCTCTGGCGCTGAAAGATACGGATGTGTTGACTGACGACGTTTTACAGACGACCGCCGATCAAGTTAGGACGTTCCTCTTCGCGGGCCACGATACTACCTCTATCCTCCTGCAGAGACTGCTCTACACGCTGTCGATCCATCCGAAGTGTTTGGCGAAAATCAGAGAGGAGCACGAGGCTGTGTTCGGAAGCGAGGACCCCATCGACGTATTTCGAAAGAGACCCGATGAAGCGATCAAGGCGCTGAGTTATACGAGTGCGTGTATCAAGGAGGCGCTGAGATTGTGGCCGCCGGCGGGCTCGGCGCGGATGAGTCCTCCTGGGAGGGACTTGAGAGTGCGGTTGTCCACTGGAGAAGACGTGTGCGTGGATGGGACAATACTCTACTTGTGTCCGTATTTGATCCAGCGCGATCCCAAGGTCTACGGCGAGACGGCGAACGATTTCGTGCCTGAACGTTGGTTGGGCGACACGGACACGAGCGCGGAGAAAAAGGACGAAGTGGGGAGCCAGACGGGGGCGAGTAAGATTCCCATTTCCGCGTGGAGGCCGTTTGAGCGGGGTCCGAGGAATTGCATTGGGCAGGAGTTGGCGAATCTAGAGGCGAGGGCCATTTTGGCGTGCGTGATGCGGAGGTATGATTTTGTGAAGGTGGGAGCTGGGGAGGTGGAGGTGGATGAGAAGGGGAAGCCGATACTGGATGAGAAGGGCCGGTACAGGACGAAGTCGGAGTTGTTTAATGTGAGTTTGATTCGCCTATCCATCTTGGCTATGAGAGTGCTAATTGTGTCTCAGTCTCAGATTGTCACGGCGAAGCCGTTTGACAGGTGTAGGATGCGTGTGAAGCGTATCTGAAGGAGAGGAGGGACAGGAGCGTAGGATAGATTTCAGAAGTTCCTCAGTGTCAATGAACCGTTGGAACATTGTATACCAGTACCTGGGATGGACCTGATACGTTGCGTCGAAAAATCAGTGAGAAACTTGTACATGATCCGATTGTACATTGCATACCGTAGCGGTACAACAGCCATAATGATACATGTTATCTCCCGAAATCCATCTATCTCGCTTTCGCCTTATTCTCCGCCGCCCTCCTCTTCGCTCTAACCTCCTTCTTCCTCCTCTCACCACCATCCACCCTCTGGCCCCTCTTTAGCTCCCAAATGCCCTCCCGCAGCTGTATCCTCGCCCTAAGCCCCTGCGACCCCTTCACCAACTTTACGTATGACCCCTTGATCGTGTTACCTCTCTTGACCACCACACCCTTGACACCCTCGATCCCTTCCAGCGGCTCCACAGGATCCTCGGCCCCGGCGGGCACATTCACAACCACCTTCCTCGTTCCGGGATCATGCGTTGCGGTCGCCGTCGCCGAACGGGGCGACATCTTTCCAGTATAGGGGTTCGGCGCGACGGGCGCCTCGACGAGTTTCAATTCCGCGACTCCATCCTTTACATACTTGCAATCGCCCCCGATGCCGAAATCGCCGTTGCAGTACCGTTCGCGCCACCTGAGCAGGTATTTCCGACTGCGCGCGGGCTCGATGCCGAGTTCCTTCAGTTGGCGAGAGGTCAGGGTGAAGAGGGCGTCCCAGGAGGGGATCTTTGCGGCGTGGGCGGAGAGGCCGCGGCCGATGGCTGTGAGGAAGGCGATGTGGTCTGGGATGAAGGGGATGGCTTTGGGGACCGGGCGGATGGGGATATTGTAGTGGAGAGGGCGGATGCAGGTCTTGAAGGTGGTGGAGGAGAGGGCCGCTGTGAGGTCGCGGAGGGTGGGTCGCCGGAGTATCATGACTAGACATATGTCAGAGTGTTGATTTCGAGGGAAATGTGCATGTCAACGCACTTTGTCAAATGAGCGGAAAGCCGGGCTGGCCGACTCGTTCGATGTTGGCTTGGGGATCTGAGGTCGCGCGATGGGATGGCAATCAAGTCCGTGGTCAACTTTTTGGCGGCGCCAAGACGAAGCTGGGACCACCAGAACCGCCGCATCAGATCAATGAAGCATGATGATGGATGTGCATGCTTCAACCTCACTTCGCGGTCGAGGGATTGGGTTTGCTTACTTCCTTTCGGTGATTGAGAAGCAAAAGAGATATGCTAGGCATCCCCGGATCATGACTCTGGTCCTGGATTTTCTACCGGAAACCGCAAGACCCTTTGGCTTCATTAAACATACAAGAAACCACTGTCTTTGCGCCTAGATCCCTACAGCGGTCGTAATAGACGTTCCCTCTCCTTCGAAGTTTCTGAACGGCAGACAGTCCCCTTCTTCACCTAATAGTTCGACGCCAAAGCCGTCTTCTCACGAAATCCTCGCGCACGTCTTCCACTTCCGCCCCAACACCTCGACTCCACCACAAACAGATTCCCCACAACATGGCATCCTCGCCGCTCGTCCTCTCCCCGCAGCCGCCTCCCTCTGCCCCGTCCTCTAAATTTCCACCTTCGAATATCTCCAAAGCCAAAGCCCTCGCCCTTCAACATGCATCCACAGCACCCGCCTCCCCGACCGGCACTCCGACCCCCCCGGCGGATACCGACCTCGACGCCGGTGCGCAGATGAACGAGCAAGTACGGCGGCAATATGTAATCAGTACGTTTTGCCCTCTCTCCACTCCTGTCCACAACACAATGTCCATCTAACCAACTCGTTCAAGCCAAACAAATCGGCCGCGGCACCTACGCCGACGTCTTCTCCGCGCACCTCGCCTCGGACCCGCAGCAACTCGTCGCCATCAAGCGGATCCGACTGCAGACGGGCTGGACCAACGGCATCACCATGGACTCGATCCGCGAGATACGGTTCCTCAGCGAACTCAAGCACCCCAACATCATCCTGCTGCACGCCGTGTACAGCACAAAGGACCAGAAGATCTCGCTGGTGCTCGAGCACCTGCCCCTGGGCGACCTCGAGGAGGTCTGGCACAAGCACCACCTCCCCTACGGCAACGCCGACATCAAGAGCTGGATGCTCATGCTGTGCCGCGCCGTGTGGTTCTGCCACAGCCACCGCGTCCTGCACCGCGACATCAAGTCCAACAACTGCCTCATCGCGGCCGACGGGTGCCTCAAGCTCGCGGATTTCGGCCTCGCGCGCCCCTTCGCCGACCCGGGTCGCCCCATGACGCACCAGGTCATCACGAGGTACTACCGGCCCCCCGAGCTGCTCTACATGGCGCGCCACTACGGCCCCAAAGTCGACGTCTGGAGCGTCGGCATGATCATGGCCGAGCTCGCCATCCGCAACTTCCTGTGCCCCGGCGAGACGGACCTCCAGCAACTCGCCATGTACTGCGACCTCTTCGGCACCCCGACCGAGGAGACGTGGCCCGGCGTCTCGAAACTGGAGCTCTACATGCCGCCCTCGACGCAGAAGGGCATGGATGGCACGACCGTCGCCACGCGCAGGGGCCAACCGGCTTCGTTCTGGAAGCAGCGGTTTTCGCTCCTGGGGGACGAGGGCATCGAGTTGATGCGGGGGATGCTGACCATGGATCCGAATAAGCGACTGAGTTCCGAGGAGGTGCTGAGGCATCGGTATTGGCAGGTCGCGCCTAGGCCGACGAGGAAGGAGGATTTGCCTAGACGGCCCGGGAGCAGGGAGGATGGGGAGAAGAGGTTGGGGGAGGATTTGAAGCGGGTGGCGGGGGAGAGGGAGGAGGTCGAGGGCGGCAGGGCGGATAAGGTGGCGAGGAAGTTGGATTTTGGGGCGTTAAGGCGGTAGGCTGAGTAAATGGAGGCAAAGGGAAGGGAACGAAGTGAGAGTCTGGCTGGGATCAGGATGGATATGTGCATTCGGGCATAGACCCTGGAGTTTTGGCGTACGTCTTGGAAGGGGAGAGTCATTACCTACTCTCTGTCCCCCACAAACATGGCGCGGAGTTTGGCGAATCTTTTTTCCTGCGGCCAAGTAAGGTAAAGCAAGGCAAGCAAGAGGTAGCTATAGAGCATATGCATGTACACACATGTACATAATATCACACCTTCAAACTGCACACACGGGGTATATACCTGAATTTCAAATTCTTTGTCTCAATTCGAACCCCTTCGTCGATAGCCGTTACAGGGACCGCCCATCTCACTTCCCGCACATATCCATTCTCCTACCGATACCCGTAACCCACCCTCAGAAAAGTTAAGAAGAAGAAAGGAAAAGAAGGGATATACATAATAACACATAGGGTATTCGCGGGAAACGCCTCGGACACCATTTCTTTCTCCCCTGAAGCCGAACACTTCCTCCGCGAACACCCATAGAGAAAAGCAAGTATTTCGAAGATGAACCCCGACCCAATGCCGTGATCATCCACGGGCTACAAAGGCCCTACCCGAAGAGAGAAGAAGAGAGAAACGTCCGAACGAAGCAAGAGACAATATCTCACGGAGCCAGAGATTGAGACGATGAGAGGTAGAAAAAGAGAGAGGAAGAAGGAGAAGGAGGAATACAAGCATCCGGTACTTTTGTAACAGATCCCTCGGAGAAAGGATCCGGAACTTCAATCTAGCCCTCTCATCTTTCCCAGCTCCCAACTCCCAAACACTTCTCCCAGACTCACAAATCTTGGAAACCAACACAAACTCATGAGGCCTATTCCTGGAATGGACGATATAGCTAGCTCCTAGTGCACTTTGCGCAGCGTCAAGGTTCCGTACGAAGCACCATCACAGTGCCTCGAACATGTACGAGGATTCTCATCCAACACCCCACACACGTCTTCCAACGGTTATTGAAAGAGCGTTGTAGAACCCCACAATCGCCTGGGAGCATCGACCAGCCGACCCCATCTATGCGCTCCTGTCTTCCCAGTACGGTCTAACTACCGATGCGCAACGGGCAACCTGATCTGCTCGCTGAACCTTGGCTTGGTTGAGATCCCCGTTCCTAATGGTTGTTCTCTTGATGGGGCGCGGACGCCTCCACGTGCTGATGAGCCAGTTGCGCACGGAGCTTGGTAACCTCCTCTTGCAGAGACTGTATCCTCTTTTGGTGTTCTTCCTCCATGCGAGCCATGCGGTTCTCCATCTCGCGCACCGTCTGCCAGACGTCAACGGTCGGGCGGCCCATGATCTCACGCATGCTACTGCCGCTGCCTCCGTGGCTGGACATACTTCCTGGCTGCGATTCCGTTCCGGGACCAGGGATCTGCTGATGTAGCATGCTCGGGCCGCTTCCTTTCCCGCCCTGGGCCATGCCATGAAGAGGGGGCAACTGAGGTCCACCGGCATGTTGCTGTGGCGGACCCAGAGCCCTGGGTGAGGACCCCCTGCCAGTCCGCCTAGAGAAATTCTGCTGGTGCATCTGCTGGCCCATGTTTGGCGACCGTGGGTGACTCGGAAGGGTCCCGTCGTGCGCACCTAAACGGTGCTGGTCCGCCTGGCCAGGAGACAAAGGCTTTGGGCTTTCGGTCATTCCCCCTTGGCTAAAGACATTGGGCTGGCTGTTGGCATGGTAGGGGAGGTTGTTGAGGCTTGCAGGAGCTATTTTGGGCGACACGTCAGTGGCCTGATCGCGCGAAGGTCCCACGGGTCCAGAGGAGTACATAGGGTGGAGGTTGTGGCTCGATGGGCCACGAGCAATGGGCGGATAGGTGCTGGAGTGTTGCTGATGATACGGACCTTGCATAGAGTTTCCCGTATTTTGCCTCTTACGCGGTGGCTCGCCCACTCGACGTCCCGTGCCATCATCATCTTCATCGCCCTCGCCATCGCGCTCGTGGTACATGATGCCGTCCATGGTCTCGTCGACCTTGTGCTCGCTGAAATCCTCGCCCATGCTCGAACGACGGCCTGCGCAGCCGCCTTGGCCCTTGCTGTGTCGAGCAAGCGCATCGCCGCGCGCAAACTTGCGTCCGCACTTCTCGCAGGTATGTGGCCTCTCACCGGTATGGAGCTTGGTGTGTCGCTTCAGGTCATGGAGACGGCGGAACCGCTGCTGGCAAGTGGAGCATTCATATGGCTTTTCTTGGCTATGGGTCAGCAGGTGACTCTTCAGATTGTGATGCCTTGTGAAATCGGTCGAGCAGTAGGGACACTTGTGGCGCTTGCCCGGAGACTTGGGGCTGTTCTGGTAGCCGCCGGGCAAACTCATCTGGCGCGAAGGAGCTCTGGGGTCGTGCTCGGGGGGCGCGGGACCGGGAAAGGTGAAGGAACGATTACTTGCGACGTCGCCCATATTGGGGACGATGTGTTGGTGGTGCTGTTGTTGTTGGAGCTGGGGGGCTCCTTCCTGCATCGGCATAGGACCGGCTGTGGGCTCGGGGGCGGTCGCGGTGGCAGCGGTAGTGAGGTTATCGTTGGAGCCAAAGCTGGATAGGCTCACGGGGCTCGTGTGCATTGTGTCAGTTCCGAGCTGGTCCGGGATGACGAGCGACTTGGCCGCCTTCTCGAGTGCGGCACTCATTTGTGCGGGTTCTGGCGGACCGTCTTTGGGCCGCGCAGTGGCCTGGGCGTCGAGTAAAGACTGTAGTACCGCGACGCCTGGGTTTGGTGTTGGCTGTCGTGACTTTTCGCGACGCTCGTCGGCAGGGGTGGTGGCTTCCGCTAGCGGTTGTGGCGAGTGTCTAGGTGAGAGACCTCGGGGAGACTTTGTCAGATGGGTACCAAAAGCGGCGCCGTTGCTGTGGTTCCTACTGGCACCAATGGAGCCCGGCGTGTCTGGACGGTTGGGCGCACTGAAGGCGCCGGAATGGGTGGGTGTGATGGCCCGAGTTGAAGCTGCCATCAGAAGGCGATGAGGGGGATGAAGAGGAATGCAGTGTGTCTATACTGGATGCCTAGCTTGAGATGTCAGTGCATGCTTGTGGTTGCGAGATGGCTGCAGTCCTGCATCCTGGGCTGGTGGTGGGGGAGTGAAAGAGACGCGGACTTGTTCTCTGGGGAGGAATAGGGAATTGGGAAAGGTGCGTGCTGCAATAGGCAAGCAACCTGGAAGGCAATGGGCAGGAGCGAACGAACCTATTACCCTCGCTACAGAGTACCTCTAGGAAGGACGGAAAAAGCGCGACAGACTCGTCCAAGAGATGTCAGTCGACAGTCATGCGCAGGAAGGGCTCGCAGGAAGGCGAGGAGCGACTGTGGCAACACAACTTTTGGTGTCGTCTGAAGCTTTGTTAACGAGCCTTGGGCGCGCACGTTGAGATGGTTCGGCTGGGCTGAGGACGACTTCGCGCGAAGTGGTTCCGACGAGGACGACGTGGCTGGAGCCAATGTTCCGAGTGGCGAGAAGGGCGAGAGGGTGTACTGTGGAGTTGATGACGGGATGGAGGTGCGGCGGTGCGCGTGGTGGAGCAGCAGGGCAGATGAGGCTGGGAGCTGAGGCGGGCAAGCCGAGGCGGGCCTTGTCGTGGTTCTCGCGGTGAAAGGCGCGCAGGCAAAAGGTGCACAGGACGTGCAGCAGAGTGTGTGTGGTGTCTCCCAAAGGGTACGGAGTGAGGTAGCAGCAAGCTGATGAGCTGAAAGTGTGATGTTGTGGTGGTGCAGGCGTCGAGAAGGTGTGTGGAAGGTTGTCGGAAGAAGGCTGGTGGGCAATGACGAGTGGCTGGGCTCTCTCTGCAACTACACAGGACAGTGGGCCTTCGTCGGGGCGAGCGAGGTCCTCTGACGCTTGACCAAGTGGACCCAAGGGCGCGGAATTGCTTGCTTTGCGGCTGCCAAGGTCAAGGAGAGGGGCGCGCAGTGGGTTGGGGACTCCGTAAGTGGTGATGGTGATGGGCAAGAATGAGAATGATGTTGTTGGCAGGAGAAGCGAGAGCAGCAGCAGGGGCGGAAGGTGATGAGGAGCAACTCTGGCAATCAATGGCTGGGTCTCTCTCTGGGCTCCTTCCCTGGGGTCCCTCTTCTCCTCTCTTCTGGCCTTCTCTCTGCTTGTTATTATTATTCTTATGATTCGGACGTCTCCTCCTCCCTCTTCCTTGTGATGAGGGACGGTCTTGGCGCCACTGGGGCTGTGCAAAAATTCTGTGCACGGGCCAATTGTACCAAGGCGGCACATCCATTCATCCATTGGGGAATTTGGGACCAGCACTTTGAGTGGAATTCCCGCCCGTGCGCCACGCAATACGAGCGCCACACCGGACGAACTGTCTGGAGACACTCGTCGAGATATCCGGGCTTCCAGCTTCGCAGTCGTCAACGATATTTACAGTAGTCAGGTCGGAGACGGCATCAAAGTAGCCTCCCTTCGCCATCGTCTGCTCCACGCAGAACACAGTACTGTGAACGGTTACATTCTCCCCTTGTTTGCCGGAACCCCACGCGCGAATCGAAGTGCTAACGGCCGGCGCGGGAACCACGGTCCTCCAACCGCTCATTCTGGCAAACCTATTCAAGTGATTCAACTCCGTCCACGCTCATAACGTCAGCATGGGGAAGCATCCACTTTTTGAAAACATGTCCCTCCCAAAATCCAGAGCTACTAAAGAGTAGAGGTGGGAAACAGCCTGATTATGGAGAACCCGTCCATCGTCCGCCCTCCAATCCGGTGTGGCTAACCCGCCAATTACGCCACATATGCCCGCCCTGTGAGCGGGACGGGAGGGTTTGCCATGCGTCGCCAGAGCGGAACCTGGCAAAATCAAGGCACAAGGCTAATAACAATTGCTTATCGAGATGAAGCCCACGGATGGACCTACTCGTACTTTTTTAACGTTGTTGAGAAGATGTGGAGCGTCTCCCCCAACGTGAGTTCCGTCAGGCGTTATGTTTCAAGACCTGGCTTCCATTGCGAATCCTGTGGGAAAGCTGCAACATGACGTCCACTGAGCCTCATCTTTTGATCATTTGTGCATCAAGCTACTCGAGCACCGAGACCGTAATCCTCCAAATCCTCCATCTTCAACGACTCTCCGCCTTCGAAAAGCCTAAGTCTCCCAGGTCATAAAATAGTCTAGACTATACATATATTGGTAAATATATATTAGGCAGGCCGCTTCGTAAATCTGCTTCTAAGAATAGCTCCCCATGTGCAGGCGGCTTCTGCGTTTCGTTTCCATGCAATAATATACACAGTACCCTAAGTCACGGTCCCAGAGCGTCGGCGCCACACCTCAACACGCCCGCATCCATTAAGTTCCGGATGATAGATGTAAATGGTAGGCAGGGAATGGAACGCTAGTTTTCATCTCCCCTATTTTCCGCATACAATATCAACATATGAGGTTGCAAGTTCCTGAGCAGTTGTTCGTGTGCGAATGGCTGCTACTAAGTCGTAACCGGAGATAGAAACCCGCAGCGATGCCATATCTTCCGCGGACACCCTTCCCCTTGGCACCCATGGTCGATAATTCTGAGGTATAGGGGATACCTAGGTACGTAGCTAGGTAGTTGTGGTTGGGTCACATGCAATGATGGCCACAGCATGAAATAGCGACCGGGCAACTTCGCAAACCCTACAAATCTTCGTGGATAGCAATACAGACGTTGGATCACGAACCAAAAGGGGTATGGACGGGTGACTACTCTGGTACAAGCGGTGGGGTCTTCCGATGTAAGGAGCTAGAGCTCAATTTTGATATGGTTACTTATCCGACTGTTACAGTTCCTCATAATCTAGATGCTGGCATGCGGCAACATCCACAAGCGACACGAACACTTGAAGCAAATAGGGATGTAGGAAAGTATACATCCTCATTAATGCGTCTCTATTATCATGGCCATTGCATGTACCATCCCATGATCCATATCATCTCCTCACCTCCCCCATCCATACCCTACCCCTCTTCCAAAAGAGGCTCAATGCAAGCACCCATCCGGATATCCTCGCGCAACGTCCAAAGGCGAACTCCATGAGACTGCAGAAGAGAACCCGAAACGCCGAAGTTCAGAGATACGTGCACAAGACAGACTGTACATCGCGCATGCTGAGAAAGGAGCTCGCCGATGCCGACCAGCATCTGCGTGCTCTATGCATCGCTGGAACGAGAAAAATTGAACTTTTTCGAAGAAAATCTGAAGCTCCACATGTAGTCTAATCCGGTTTACATGAAGTCGTCACTGAAAATGGTCAGTATGAGTACGGACCGGGCGAAGAAATGAGGACTCACTCTCCAAAGTCGTCATCATAGGCATTCGTGTCGACCGCAGCCCGCGAGGCCACCAGGCTGGTCTTGGTCTTGGCCGCCTTGGTCTTCTTACCACCCTTCTCAGCCGCCTTCTCCTCCTTCATCTTCTCATTGCTCAGCGTCGTGAGGCCGCTGGCAATCTTCTTGATCTGGTCGCTGGGGAGCTCCTTGGCAATCTGCTTAGTAAACTCCTGCAGGAAGAGTGTGTACTGCGGGCTCTTGGTGTGTGCGGTAAGCAGTGGCACAAGCGTCTCCCTAAGCTTGACGAACTCTTCCTTGTTCCTGGGGTTGAAGATGCGGAGAGCGCCGAGGTCCACGGCCTTGGTGGGATCACTGTCGTCTGCAACGGTGATGGGCTTACCGGCGCGCCTGTTGCTGATGCCGAGGTCGCCGAAGAGATCTTCAGCATGGGCGAGGTCAGCGTCCTGCTCGGTTTTGCGGAGGCGTGCGCGACGGGTCGCCTCGTCTTCCTCCTCCTCGTCCGACTCCTCTTCTTCCATCTGGCGGCGGCGCATGTTTTCTTCTCTCCGCTCCTGGATGCGCTGAGCTTTGGACTTGTGGTTTGCCTTTGCTTCCGCCTCGGCTTTGGCCTTTGCTTCGGCGGCCTTCTTCGCCTTCTCGCGCTCGACTTCCGAGTCCTCGGCGGCGTCCCAGGATTCTAGGACCTGCATGTGGTCAGCAAGTATTTTCAAGGGTGCGAGCCGGACAGGTTCCCGGCTTCTGTAGCAGGGCTAACGTACATCCTCGTCTTCTTCATCGTCGAATTTGCTGCGGCGGGCAATGACGGGCGGCGAGGAGGGAGGCGTGCTCTCCGACTCTTCGTCGTCTACAAGAAGATAATTAGCAAGGAGGCACCTCCAGAGTCAAGCGCAGAGTACACAGAGGTAGGCCAGGCCTCCATCTCTCTCATGGCTCTCGCTGGCAGATGACGTACCCCACTTTCCCGGAGCCATGATTGCGATAACGGGTTGTGTAAGAGGCTGTTGTTCGTTTATGTGTATCGAAGCGGTTCGCTGTTACAAGCGTTGTCCCGTGGTGGGTGCGACGGCGCCGAATCTATGGGGGTGTGGTGAAATGTGCGGGAAACAAGTTGTGTGTGGAGGGGCAGGACAACGCGACAAAGTCCTGAAAAAAGGTCGCGGTCGGGCTCGGCGCTGATTGTTCTGCACCGCCACAAACCTTGCCTGTTGCTGCCCAATTGCAGTCGACGCCGCATCCGCCCGGTTCTACGTTGGCACATGGAGGATGGATACAATTATGAGTACCACTGGGCTGTCAAGAAGCTGTTTCTGAGAATTCTGTATTTTAGTAGGCGTCGGTTCACGTAAGACATCGGGATAACTTCAAGGTGACATCTGCTGTCCTAAGAGCAATCATTGGCGACTATCCGAGCTTTCGTGCTTCAAAAGGGTGACGGAAATAGCTCTATGTGAAGCAACAACCTCAAGTCAATTGAGTCTCGAAGGCGCATTCCCACCGTACTCGATTAGTATGGTGTCAAATCCGACGCCTAGTGCAGACAAATCCGTTTGTCAATCGAGAAGTGTTTGATAGGCTCCATGCGCCTCCAAACAATCCCCATGCCAAGCGTCACGTGTGCCTCCATCCACGTTACGAAATGTGTGCAGTCGACCCTGGATGAGCTCCTTTCTGGAACGACCATCACCACCAAACAACCCATCCTTTCTCTCTCCCCGCGTCACACCCCGCCCTCTCTCATTTTCTGCGTGCGCTTCTGCCATTCTTGCAGCTGGGGTCTTCTTCTCTCTTGCTTTTCTGTCGATACCCTTTCTCTCGTGCCGCCTATCTCTCCCGGTGAGCTAGGAGCTGATTTGTCGCAATCATGGCGCAGCGGCCTATTCCATTGCAGGTGACCCAGCCTGTGCTGGTATGTTGCTGTCTGAATATCGTCTAATGAGAAGAAGCTAACTATAGGAATCTCTAGCTCACCAATTTGAACATCCTCGTACGTTCCTGAGCCCATGGCCTGCCTCTTACCTCCTTCCAAAGACACAATACGCTAACAGAGGCGCAGCCGTCTTCTATATCATGGCAGAACTGCGTAAGTTGTCGTTCACCGCAATCTCGATCATCTTCCGACTAACGATCCCCAGACGCTAGAGTCGGACCACTATGTCTGCGTGCGCCAGCAGTCCACCGATCCCAGCTCCCCTTCCGAGACGGTCATTCTTGATCTCAAGAACCTGAACAACATCATTCGGCGACCCATTCGAGCCGAAAGCGCAATCATGCATTTGACCGAGCCGATTATCGCCCTACGCGCCCAGTCACGGACGCTTCAGCTCTTCAATTTGGAAACAAAGCAGAAGCTGCAGACCTATACCCACGGCGAGGACGTCGTCTTCTGGCGGTGGATCAGCCAAACTACTCTGGCCATAGTCAGCGTCAAGTCCGTGTTCCATTGGGACGTCATTGGTGCCCAGGCAGCGGTCCCTGTGAAAGTCTTCGATCGTCAAGAACAGCTCGAGGTTGGGCATCCTGACAGCAAGCTGTGAACTCCAGCTAAATCAAGTATAGGGTAACCAGATCATCAATTACGTCGTCAACGATGACGAGAGTTGGATGTGCCTGGTGGGCATCGCCCCCGCGCCAGGAGGCGGTATCCGTGGTAATCTGCAACTCTACTCCAAGGCCAGGGGTATCAGCCAGCCTTTGGAAGGCCACGCCGCGACCTTCGGGACCATTCGGTTGGACGGCGCCTCCTCAGACACCAAGCTCTTTGCGTTCGCGGTCCGGTCTGTGACTGGGGAAGCGAAGCTCAACATCGTCGAGGTTGATCACAACCCCGCGAATCCGCCTTTCCCCAAGCGTTTAATTCCTGTTCATTGGCCTGCCGAGGGCACCGGAGACTTTCCGCTCGGCATTCATATCGCCCATAAATATGGCCTTATCATGGTTATCACCAAGTTCGGCTTCATCCATCTGCATGATCTCGAAACGGGCACTGCCCTGTTCCTGAACCGGATATCCGAGGAAACGGTCTTCACCAGCGCCCGAGACTCGGACGGACGAGGAGTGGTTGTGATCAACAAGCGCGGTCAGGTTTTGCACACTACCATCCGTGAAGACGCTCTGGTCCCTTACGTCATGGACAACCCAGCGTGCTCGGAGATCGCCTACAAGCTCGCATCGAAAGGCGGCCTCCCTGGTGCCGACCAACTTTACCAGCAACGCTTTGAGAGCTTGATGCAACAAGGCCAATATGCGGAAGCCGCAAAGGTTGCTGCCACTTCTCCGCGAGGTTTCCTGCGCACAGGGCAGACTATCGCAAGACTCAGGGCGGCGCCTCCCCAAGAAGGCGCCAAGGTCTCCGTTGTCCTGCAGTATTTCGGTCTCTTGCTGGACAGGGGCACTCTGAACAAGGAAGAAACGCTTGAACTTGCTCGTCCAGTTCTCGCGCAAGGCCGGAAACAACTCCTCGAGAAGTGGCACAAAGATAAGAAGCTCCATGCTTCCGAAGAGCTCGGTGACCTTGTTAAACCACATGATCTCAATCTCGCACTTGCCATCTATAAGGATGCAAATGTGTACCAAAAGACAGTTGCGGCACTGGCCGAGTTGGGCCATTTCGATCTCATCACAAAGTACTGCGACTCTGTCGGCTACCGACCCGATTACAATGTGTTGCTGCAGCATATTGTGCGGGTAAGCCCTGATAAAGGAGCTGAATTCGCCAGCACACTGGCGAAACATGAAGGCGGTCCGCTCGTCAGCCTCGATCGTGTGGTGGACATCTTCCAATCGCAAGGGATGATCCAGCAAGCAACATCCTTCTTGCTTGATGTTCTCTCCAACAACCTGCCTGAAGAGGGTCACTTGCAAACGAAGCTGCTGGAGATGAATCTGCTGAATGCGCCCCAAGTCGCCGACGCCATCCTCGGAAATGACATGTTTTCGCACTACGACAAGGCGCGGATTGCTCAGCTTTGCGAGAATGCAGGTCTGCTCACTCGTGCCCTAGAGCACAATGACGACCCAGTCGCCATCAAGCGCATCGTTGTTCAGACAGACAAGCTTCCTGAAGAGTGGCTCATCAATTACTTCGGTCAACTCACGGTGGAACTCTCCCTGGAGTGTTTGGATGAGATGCTCAAGTTCAATATCCGCCAGAACCTGCAGCCGGTGCTCCGCATCGCCCAAAAATACTCGGATCTCTTGGGACCCAATAGAATCATTGAGTTGCTGGAGAAGTACCGCACCGCTGAAGGGTTGTTCTTCTATCTCGGTGCCATTGTCAATGTCAGCGAGGACAAGGATGTAGTGTTCAAGTACATTGAGGCGGCGACAAGGGTTGGACAGCTCAACGAGGTCGAACGGATCTGCCGCGAAAACAACTACTATGATCCCGAGAAGGTGAAGAACTTCCTCAAGGAGGCGAATCTTCAGGAGCAGTTGCCTCTTATAATCGTCTGCGATCGGTTCAACTTCGTCCACGACTTGGTCCTCTACCTTTACAAGAACCAGCAATTCAAGTCGATCGAGGTCTACGTCCAGCGTGTTAATCCTTCCAGGACTCCCGCCGTGATCGGAGGCCTCCTCGATGTTGACTGCGAGGAGAGCATTATCAAGAATCTCTTGGCTTCTGTGACGCCTACCTCTATTCCCGTCGACGAACTTGTTGCTGAGGTCGAGTCGCGCAATCGTCTGAAGCTCCTGCTACCATTCTTGGAGCAAACTCTTGCCAGTGGCAACCAACAGCAGGCTGTCTTCAATGCTCTTGCGAAGATCTATATTGACAGTAACAACAATCCGGAGAAGTTCCTCAAGGAGAACGACCAATACGACTCGCTTGTTGTTGGAAAATACTGCGAGAAGCGCGACCCCAATTTGGCATTCATTGCTTACAGCAAGGGCCAAAATGATCTTGAACTCATCAACATCACCAACGAGAACTCGATGTTCAAGGCTCAAGCACGGTACCTTCTGGATCGAGCTGATCTTGAGGTTTGGGAGTATGTCCTTAGCCCCAACAATATGCACCGTAGGTCGCTTGTTGATCAGGTAACATCTACGGCCGTGCCAGAAAGTCAAGATCCTGAGAAGGTTTCGCTTGCTGTCAAGGCCTTCCTCAGCAGCGACATGCCCGGTGAGCTGATCGAGCTCCTCGAGAAGATCATCCTGGAGCCGTCCAGTTTCAGCGACAACCCGTCGCTCCAGAATCTCCTCATGCTTACCGCTGTCAAGTCCGATCGGGGCCGCGTGATGGACTATATTCACCAATTGGAGCACTACACGCCTGATGACATCGCTGAGCAGTGCATTGAGGTGGGTATGTATGAGGAAGCTTTCGAGATCTACAAGAAGCACCAGAATCATGTTGCTGCCATCAATGTTCTCATCGACCACGTCGTCAGCATCGATCGTGCCCAGGAGTATGCCGAGCAGGTGGATACTCCAGAGGTGTGGAGCAGGGTCGCCAAGGCCCAGCTGGATGGTCTACGTGTGACTGATTCCATTGAATCTTATCTCCGCGCCCAGGATCCCTCCAATTTCCTCGAAGTCATTGAGATTGCCACCCACGCTGGTAAGGATGAGGATCTCATCAAGTTCCTGCGGATGGCGAGGAAGACACTCCGTGAGGTGCCTGTGGATACCGCACTAGCGTTCTGCTATGCTCGCACCAACCAGCTCCCCGAGCTTGAGGATTTCTTGCGAGGTACTAACGTTGCTGACGTCGAGGCATCTGGTGATAAGGCGTACGAGGAAGGCTATCACGAGGCAGCGAAGATCTTCTACACCAGCATCTCCAACTGGGCCAAACTCGCAACCACTCTTGTATATCTTGAGGACTACCAGGCTGCTGTTGAGTGCGCCCGCAAGGCAAACAGCATCAAGGTCTGGCGTCAAGTGAGCGAAGCTTGCGTTGCTAAGAAGGAGTTCCGTCTGGCCCAGATCTGCGGTCTTAATCTGATTGTCCACGCCGAGGAGCTTGCGGAGCTGGTCAAGCAGTACGAGCGCAATGGCTATTTCGACGAACTCATCAGCCTCCTCGAAGCAGGTTTGGGTCTCGAACGTGGTAAGTGGCATGCCAACAGCACTTCGGTTAACTCAACTAATAACGGCCCCAGCTCATATGGGAATGTTCACCGAGTTGGGCATCGCTCTGTCCAAGTATCATCCTGAGCGTGTTATGGAGCACATCCGCTTGTTCTGGTCTAGGTTTGTCGGCTCCTGTGATCGCTGTATACATGTTCTCACAAGTTTTCAGATTGAACATCCCTAAGATGATTCGAGCCTGCGAGGAGGCTCATCTCTGGCCAGAGGTAGTCTTCCTGTATACCCACTACGATGAACCCGACAATGCGGCGCTTGCCATGATGGAGCGTGCGGCCGATGCTTGGGACCACCAGTCTTTCAAGGATATCATTGTCAAGGTCACGAACCTGGAGATATACTACCGTGCAATCAGCTTCTATCTGGAGGAGCACCCGACGCTCTTGACGGATCTGCTGCAAGCGCTGACGCCCAGGATCGATGTCAATCGCGTTGTGCGCATGTTCCTCAAGTCGGACAATGTTCCTCTGATCAAGCCATTCCTCCTCAGCGTGCAGTCGCAGAACAAGCGCGAGGTGAACAATGCACTCAACGATCTGCTCATTGAAGAGGAAGACTACAAGACTCTCCGAGACTCGGTCAACAACTACGACAATTACGATCCGGTTGAGCTGGCTCAACGCCTCGAGCGGCACGATCTGGTCTTCTTCCGCCAGATCGCAGCGAACATCTACCGCAAGAACAAGCGCTGGGAGAAATCGATTGCTCTGTCCAAGCAAGACAAGCTGTTCAAGGACGCTATTGAGACCGCGGCCATGTCAGGAAAGCCTGAAGTTGTGGAAGACTTGCTTCGCTACGTAAGTGTTGCTCTTGCAGGCAACAGCACAGTGACTAATCGTGGAACAGTTTGTCGACATTGGCAGCCGCGAATGCTATGTTGGCATGCTCTATGCCTGCTACGATCTCATCAGGCCGGACCTTGTGTTGGAAATTTCCTGGCGCCACGGCCTCCATGATTTCACAATGGTAAGCCGGATTGCGGAAATTGCCGGTATGAGTCCGTGGCTAACGTTGTTGCAGCCGTACATGATCAACTTCCTTGCGCAGCAGACGGCGACGATCGAGGCGCTGAAGAAGGACAATGAGGAGCGCAAGGCGCGCGAGGCGTCACAACAGAAGAAGGAGGAGGAGACTCCCATTCTGGGAACCCGCCTGATGCTTACACAAGGACCGATGGCGCCGGCACCCTCACCTGGTCCGTATGGACAGTCCAATGGGATTGCTCCGCAGCCCACTGGGGGCTTCCGTGCCTTTTAAGCTCCTCGACGCCTTCACACTATGACATGAAGTGTGAAGGATAATCGGACGGAATGTAGTCCTGCCACCTGTTCTGAAGTGCATGGGAGCGAGCGTTTGCAAAAGCGGAGGATAGTGGGCTACTTTTCTGGGTAGTGGACTTGGTCGGTTTCCTTGCCGATTGCAAGCAGTGTATTCTACATGGCGTTTTCAAGGGGAGAAATGGAATGTCTGGAGCATGAATGCAAGTCCAAGACGTTCTGTAGTGTATACTATAATGATTGATCCTTTCGGTGTCATAACCCTGAGATTGGCGAGATCTGAAGGCATTACGCTGTATAGGGGCTATATGAAGAGCGAGGAAGTACTGCTTCTTTTTACATCCGACTGAACACCCCCATGCAGTTCCTCTGTACTGCTGTTTTCTAGGTCTAATTCAACAGCTAGCAGTCACAGCAATCTAGCAGGTCTTGCAGTTAGCTTTGTCGCGCGGCTCTATCTACGCATAGTAAGTTCTAAAACGAAACTCTACCTGTCGCATTAATAGATTGTAGCTAATAGCTTGCGAGATGTAGGTAATTCCACCTACAAAGGAAGTGCAGCCGGATGTTTAGTCGGTGTGGAAGCTGCAGTACACAGTACATATGACCGATGGGCGCCGACGCTAAGCGAGAGAGTGAACAGCTTGGAGTGTTCTTCTGCTAGGCTGGCGTTGCTTTTTCTGCCCGTGCCGAAGTCGTTACCTACTGCCTGTGTTCAAATCCAACTGAACACCACCCTGCACTTCCTCTGTACTGCTCTTTTCCGCTTCTAAATAAGCTGCTTGCAGTGCAGCAATTTTACAGATCTTGCAATTAGCTTTAAAGCGTCTCCGTCTACGTATATTAAGTTTCTAAAGCAAATTTCTACTTGTTGCATTATTTAGATGTAGCTAATAGGCTTGTGCAAGGTAGCGAATCTCAACTACAGAAGAACTGCAAGGAGATGTTTCGTCGAACGTGCGCAGCCGCAGTAGGTATCTGCACATGGACACGAAAAAATAGAAGGCAAAGCCAGGGCGGTGAGCTGGTGGAAGGGCCTTGGAAGAGACCGTGGTGGAGAGGAAAAACGGCAAGGGAGCCGGAAAATTTGCGAAAGAAGAGTCACGAAGGCAAGTGCCTCGCCAGGGGGGATTGTTGACCCTCGATGAACGTGGGATGGCATTTTGCCAAAGGTTGATGAGGCTAGACGGTGGGGGGGAGGGGAGCGTTGGCAATAAGTTTTACAGAGGGGAAATTCGAGATCCACACGGCACAGATGCGAGGGGTGATGCGAGTGACGCAGTGCGTGATGAGAGACGGCGGGCCAGCATGCGGAATGTGCGCTTGTCGATAAAGCTGAAGGAGGGGCAGAAATGCACGAGCGGCTGGAACAGGGGGGACTGGCAGAGAGCAAGTGAATAGTCTCTGAATGTGACACTGACTGAGAGTGGGATGGGGAAGCACAAGAAGGAGGGGAAGGGAAGCCATTCACTGTGGCTTCCTGCAGCTTTACCCCGACATTCCCCTCATTCAGCACCGCATTCTCATTTGCTTTTTTTTTTCTGCGATACGGTAGATCTGGACTCCCCGCGGGTTCTCCCAATCAACCAATTCACCCTGTGTGCCTCATCCGGGTTGGCGGGCTAGGGATGGGGTGGGTGGGCATCTGCCATCGCCTTCTCACAGATTGATGATATCGTCAATCAGACCCCCAGTCCCGCATCCAGTGCTTCTTTTCAACATCCAACTGTACAACCCCCTGCACTTCCTCTGTACTGCTGTTTTCCATATCCAATTTAAACAGCTAGCAGGCGCAGCAATAATAGGAGGTCCTGCAATTAGCTTTGTAGCGCGCCTCTACGTATAGTCAGTTCTTAAAGAAAATTCTACCTGTCGCATTATGAGAGTCGTAGCCAAATGACTTGGACTGGGTAGGTAATTCCACCTACGGAGGAATTGCAGCCGGGCGTTCAGTCGGACATGCCCAGGTGGAAAACCGCGGTAACAGTGGACTAGTCACTAGGGTGTGTAGGTTCGCCCGTGTCCACCGCCTACGTCGTGACCAGTAGGCTCCGTGACTTGCTCAAGCTTCCCGCCAAGCCTCCCGTTCTGCTGGTTGACGCAAATCCGATACCGCCCTGCCCACCTGCCTGCACCTCCATCTGTTTACAAGTACTTATTTCTTCGCCCTCCCTCCTCGGCCCTTTTTTCCCCAACACCACTCTCCAGCCTGCCCTTTACCACTACTTCTTCTCCCTCCTCACCCCAGGGTGCAGCCAGCAATCATGGCCGCCCCAGCTCCTTCAATGGGAGTCGAGAAGCCCGCTGCGTCCTCGTCCGCCATTGATGAGAACGAGTGGGATGACGAGCATGGCGAGCACCACCCGCACCGCAACTCGGTGCACCACAAGTTGCGAGCTACCAGCTCAATTATGCAGCTCAAGAAGCTTCTCGGTACGTTCAATGGCCCTCTACAAGCTTCTCCGCGCGCCCTCTAACCATCAGAGCAGTCGCCAACCGGGGAGAAATTCCCATCCGCATCTTCCGCACAGCCCACGAGCTGTCTCTTCACACAGTCGCTGTCTACAGTCATGAGGACCGCCTCTCCATGCACAGGCAGAAGGCAGACGAGGCCTACGAGATTGGCAAACGCGGACAGTACACTCCCGTGGGCGCCTACCTGGCCGGCGACGAGATCATCAAGATTGCCCTCGAGCACGATGTGAACATGATCCATCCGGGCTACGGCTTCTTGTCGGAGAACGCAGAATTCGCACGTAATGTTGAGAAGGCCGGTCTTATCGTGAGTACTCCCATTATTTCTTCTGTTGTTGCCATGACCAAGGAGCATTACTTCAGTGTGGTCGGCAACTTATCTGGTGCCCCCCCTCGGAGGTCCGGTGGCTGACGCACGCGGGGCCGGCTACATGCATTGACATGCACTGGAAAAGCACTGTCTCTGCACGGACCGGCGCCGATCACTGGAGCTGACATCCAGATTTCTCCTCTTCCGTTTTGGGCACAGCATGTGTAACATGGGCTTACTTTATTTCTTGTAGTTCGTTGGGCCGTCGCCAGACACCATTGAGGCCCTCGGTGACAAGGTCTCTGCCAGGAAGCTTGCCATCAAGTGCAACGTCCCCGTTGTTCCCGGAACAGAGAACCCCGTGGAGCGCTACGAAGACGCCAAGGCCTTCACCGACGAGTATGGCTTTCCCATCATCATCAAGGCGGCCTTTGGCGGTGGTGGTCGCGGTATGCGAGTCGTCCGCGAGCAGAGCGCATTGAAGGATGCCTTCGAGCGCGCAACCTCAGAGGCCAAGTCCGCCTTCGGCAACGGCACCGTCTTCATTGAGCGCTTCCTCGACAGACCCAAGCACATTGAGGTCCAGCTTCTCGGTGACAACCACGGAAACGTCGTGCACCTGTACGAGCGTGACTGCTCCGTTCAGCGCCGCCACCAGAAGGTCGTCGAACTCGCCCCGGCCAAGGACCTCCCCATCGACGTCCGCGACGCCATCCTAACCGATGCCGTCAGGCTCGCCAAGTCGGTAAACTACCGCAATGCAGGAACTGCGGAGTTCTTGGTCGACCAACAGAACCGCTACTACTTTATCGAGATTAACCCCAGAATGTGAGTGACCCCCAGCCAAGCCAGCCAAGCCCTCAGCATTGCTAACATTGTGCTTCCAGCCAAGTCGAGCATACCATCACGGAAGAGATTACGGGTATCGATATCGTTGCGGCTCAGATCCAGATTGCCGCTGGAGCTTCGCTCGAGCAGCTGGGTCTCACACAGGATCACATCTCCACCCGGGGCTTTGCCTTCCAGTGCCGCATCACTACCGAGGACCCTGCCAATGGCTTCTCTCCCGACACTGGAAAGATTGAAGTGTATCGGAGTGCAGGGGGGAACGGTGTGCGATTGGATGGTGGCAATGGCTTCGCTGGAGCGATCATCACCCGTACGTACATTGCTCAAGCCATTCACCGTGGACTACGACTTGCTAACTTCACCACCACCAGCTCATTACGATTCTTTACTGGTAAAATGCTCATGCCATGGATCGACTTTTGAAATTGTTCGGAGGAAGATGTTGCGAGCGCTGGTCGAATTCCGTATCCGTGGTGTGAAGACCAACATCCCTTTCCTGCTCAAACTTCTCACGCACCCCACCTTCATTGAGGGCAACTGCTGGACAACGTTCATTGATGATACGTAAGTTTGAGGCACCAGATAATGTCTTGGTATGGTCTGACAATGTGCCAGCCCCGAGCTGTTCGACCTCATCGGCTCCCAGAACCGTGCGCAGAAATTGCTCGCATATCTTGGTGACCTCGCAGTCAACGGCTCTCAAATCAAGGGCCAGGTCGGCGAACCCAAGTTCAAGGGTCCGATCCAGATCCCCACCATCGTTGGTTCCGATGGCCAAGTCATTGATACTTCCAAACCGTGCACCAAGGGCTGGAGGAACATCCTGCTCAAGGAGGGCCCAGAGGCTTTTGCGAAGGCTGTTCGTGCCAACAAGGGATGTCTTATCATGGATACCACATGGCGTGATGCCCATCAGTCTTTGCTTGCAACTCGCGTCAGGACAGTCGATTTGCTCAACATTGCCAAGGAAACCAGCCACGCTTTCTCCAACGCATGGGCTCTGGAGTGCTGGGGTGGCGCCACCTTTGACGTCGCCATGCGCTTCCTTTACGAAGATCCTTGGGACAGGCTCCGGAAGATGAGGAAGCTCGTACCCAACATTCCCTTCCAGATGCTTCTTCGTGGCGCCAACGGAGTTGCTTACAGCTCCCTTCCTGATAACGCCATCTACCACTTCTGCGAGCAGGCAAAGAAGAATGGTGTCGATATCTTCCGTGTCTTCGATGCGCTGAACGATGTTGATCAGCTTGAGGTTGGTATCAAGGCCGTGCTCAAGGCTGGAGGTGTTGCTGAAGGCACTGTGTGCTACTCTGGGTATGTTCCGTCTCCTCTTTCCTTCGGAGTAGTTTATTTCTAACGTTACCAGTGACATGTTGAATCCCAAGAAGAAGTACAATCTTGAGTACTACCTTAGCGTAGTCGACAAGATCGTTGGCATGGGTGCTCACATTCTCGGCATCAAGGATATGGCCGGTGTGCTGAAACCTAGGGCTGCTACTCTCCTTGTCGGTGCTATCCGCAAGAAGTACCCCGACCTCCCGATCCACGTCCATACCCACGACTCCGCCGGTACCGGTGTTGCCTCCATGGTTGCCTGTGCTCAGGCTGGCGCTGATGCCGTTGATGCCGCCATTGATAGCATGTCGGGCATGACTTCTCAGCCCAGCGTTGGTGCTATCCTGGCTTCCCTCGAGGGCTCCGAGTTCGACACCGGTCTCGATGCCCACGCCATCCGCAATCTCGACGCCTACTGGGCTCAGCTCCGCCTCCTGTATTCGCCATTCGAGGCCGGTCTCACTGGTCCGGATCCGGAGGTTTACGAGCACGAGATTCCCGGTGGCCAACTCACCAACCTGATCTTCCAGGCCTCTCAGCAGGGTCTCGGAGAGCAGTGGGCTCAGACCAAGAAGGCTTATGAACTCGCCAACGATCTGCTCGGCGACATCGTCAAGGTCACACCCACCTCCAAGGTTGTCGGCGACCTGGCGCAGTTCATGGTTTCCAACAACCTGTCCTACCAGGACGTTCTCGACAAGGCTGAGCAGCTCGACTTCCCATCCTCTGTCTTGGAGTTCTTCGAGGGACTCATGGGCCAGCCGTACGGTGGGTTCCCTGAACCGCTCCGTACCCAGGCTCTCCGTGGTCGCAGGAAGATGGACAAGCGACCCGGTCTGTACCTGGAGCCCATTGACCTTGCCAAGATCAAGAAGGACCTCAAGCAGAAGTGGGGCGACGCCACTGAATGCGATGTCGCTTCCTACGTCATGTACCCCAAGGTCTTCGAAGACTACAAGAAGTGGACCCAGAAGTATGGCGACTTGTCCGTCCTTCCCACGCGCTTCTTCCTCTCTCGTCCGGAAATTGGCGAGGAGTTCCATGTCGAACTTGAGCCGGGCAAGGTGCTCATTCTCAAGCTGCTCGCCATCGGTCCGCTGTCGGAGCAGACGGGCACGAGGGAGGTGTTCTACGAGATGAACGGCGAGACGCGTACCGTCACAGTCGAGGACCAGCACGCTGCTGTCGAGAATGTCAGGCGCACCAAGGCTGACCCGACGGATAGCAGCCAGGTTGGCTCGCCCATGTCTGGTGTGGTTGTGGAGGTTCGTGTGCACGAGGGGAGCGACGTCTTGAAGGGAGATCCCATTGCTGTGCTGAGCGCTATGAAGATGGTGAGATTCCTCTTTATAAAAATCCCGTTTCCGTCGAAGAGCTTGCTAACAGTTTATGTAGGAGATGGTTATTTCGGCGCCTCACTCCGGCAAGATTGGCAGCCTGTCTGTCCGCGAGGGCGACTCGGTCGACTCACAAGACCTTGTCTGCAAAATCGTCAAGTAAGATAAACAATTGCGAGTGCTTGGTTGCTTTTCTTTCACAAGGAGTTGGCCTGTGTCGAATATCCTTGATCTGCTTTGATTTGGACTATGTTTTCGGGAGCTTTACTTACCTTATGATGAAACAGTGAGTAGATTTTCAATATGAGCGACTTCTTCAACTTAAACCACCTTGGCTATAATCGGCAATCAGCAGTCCGAATGATCCCTTTGTCGGCATCCGATTCACAGATCACGATTACTCCGTGACCGGGTGCATGGGTGGTTTTGGTAGACTAGGTGGTGGAAGGGTGATGGAAGCGTGGGCGTTTAGCTCTAGGCCACCAAAGCGAAATCTTTCCGCTATCATCTCGTGTGCAATTGTGCGTGCTTGGGGTATTGTTGTGCAAAACACTGTGATACCTTAGGTGTGGTGTTTGCCTGATTTTCCCCATGACCGACAATCCAGCTTGTAGTGGATCAGTCACAACCGAGATCAGACGAAAGCGCGACCATACATAAATTCATCCAGCACCACAACTTGGAGATATTGAATCCTATACATGCAAACGCGGTTGCATTCGATTTAACTATGTTGAAAATTGTATTGGAATATAAATCGCCATTATAGCACCAAATCCCTCGTACCATGAGACGAATCCTGCGAGGAGAACCTTCCATGAGCATCCTCCGCAGTCGCGATACATAGCCATATGTGATCCGGAGCCTTTTACGTTCTCCTACTCGCCATAGAAGGAGTCTGTGCCCACCGAAATTGAAAACGTCAATCGTGACCATCATGATTCATTGCAACATAGATCCGTCGTGCATAAAAGGTGGCGAGGGTGGTTCCAATACTGCGCAAAGCACGGCCCGTCTTCCTCCTGGTACGATATAGGTGGAGGTCGGGGAGTCGCACTCACATCCATGGCACCCTCGTCAGCACCCCTAGTCATCCGACGGTTCCACGCGGACTAGGACTTCCTCAAGGAAGCCCTCGAGGAAGTTGGTGACGCCTCCGCCCATGCCCACGGGCGACTTGGCATCCCAGAGGTCGAGCATCTTGAGGTCCTCGATTACGCGCCGGACAATCTTCTTGACGTTTTCGTGGGCATCGTTCCTCTCCTTTCGGCGCTCCAGGAATCCAGTCGGGTCTTTGAAGGCGTTCTTGCTTTCCTCGCGATTCTTGGCGGAGATCTGATGGGCTCGTCGCGCAACAGCAGCCTCCAACGCAGGGACAACGACACCATGCAGTGCAGTGATCTCGGTAGGGGCAGTCGGTGACTGAGGAGAGCCCGTCGTCCATTCTGGAACGTCGACGGGGGTGTTCATGGCCGGTGAGGTGCAGACTGGCGAACCGGGATTGCTGCCACGAGGTGCCCAACTTCCGAATATGGCCTGTTTGTTGGTGGCGGAGGATCCAGGACGTGAGACCGACACCTTGCTATTCGGCGGACTAAACGGAGGAAGCGGCTTTTGACCCTCGAGCGTCGCAATAGTGAGTCCCACACCAGACAGTGGAAGCTGCGTGCTCTCACTGGCAATGGGTATGTGGCCAAGGGGAGGGAGAGGCTTCTGCAGTTGAACCATAGCGGGCTGGGAAGCCGGGCTATTGTCACTGTGCAGGGCCTTCTTCGATCTCCTACCTGTGCTACTGATGAGCTTACTCGACGTCTTGCCATTGGTATCAGCCCCATCTAACAACGCCTTATCCTTCTTTTCCGTCATCCCGTTCTTCTCCTTGTTTTTATTCTCCTTGTCATCGTGGGGCTTCTCGTTCAAGTAACTCTCTGGGTTCGCTACCACACCGCTCCCTCTAGCCTTGTAAGGCGGGATATCCAAATTAAGACGGGGGAGGACGGATGCACGGGTAGGGGTCGGTTCAGCATTAATGCTGAGTTCCATGGCCTCCATATCCGCCGCGATCGAACGCTGAAGGTAGTCATCGTAGTCGCGGGCCAGGGGGGTGATGCGACGTCCCTGTTGGGGGGAAGGTCTTTGTGGAGTGGACAAGATGCCCTTGGTAGGGGAGCCGGGGGAGAACAGAGCTGGGACCGCAGACTTCTTTGTCAGTGAGGATGGCTGGTAACGGTTCGATGGCAGCAAGGGTACAACTTCCTTCGCCTTGTCCGGGGAGACGGGCAATGGAATGTTCGCAGCAAGCTTGGTAGGAGACAGGGGACTCATGCGCACAGTGTCATCTATGTCGGCGTTAACATTCTCATCTCCGCTGTCAGGAACAGGCTTTCTTGGCGGGGAGACGTTACGAGCATTCGCGCCAGCGGCGGTGATAGGGCTCAATGCAGTGGTACCTCGGGAATTGGTTTTGAGCGGACGCACGGTGCCAAAATCCCACAGGTCCTCGTTGACAGGCTTTCGCTTCTGTGGCGTCGTCTCATCGGACGACTCCTCCTGCTTCGGGTTGCGTAGCTGCCATTCCTGATATCGGGCGATCAATGGCTGGAGACGAGCAGCCTTTCCAGCCTTGCGCATGAACGGATGCTCTAGTAGCTGCTTGGCGGTTGGACGCTCGCGGGGGTCTTTCTTCAAGCATTGGCTTACGAAGTCCTTGAAAGCCGGAGACCACTCGCCCTGAAGCGTCGGTGGTGGATTCTTTGGGATCAGGAACAACACCTTCATAGGATGGATGTCAGCGTATGGGGGTTCCCTCATAGCAAGTTCCAAGGCGGTGATGCCAGTTGACCAGATGTCAGCTTTGCTGTCATAACCCGATTGTTTAATAACCTCTGGCGCCATCCAGAACGGGGTACCGACGAAGGTGTTCTTCTTGGTCATTGTGGCAGAAAGCTGGCCGGAGACGCCGAAGTCAGCAAGTTTAACTTGACCATTGTGGCTCACGAGGATGTTTGCGGCTGGGTTTGGGTTAATTGAGAGAACATGGTTAGCGGCCGGGGAGCCCACCTTTGATGTCGCGATGGAGCTTGTGATCATCGTGGAGGTACACAAGACCGTTAAGGAGTTCCTTGAGGATAACAGCAATCTCGCCTTCGCTAAGAGGACCCGGCTTCATCAGGTCGGCACAACTGCCACCAGAGCAGAATTCCATGACGATCCAGAGATCGGAGCCGGCCATGAAGGAACCGTAGTACTGCGTGACGTATTGAGAGTTCATGCCAGAGAGCATGGCAATCTCGGTGATGATGTCGTCTACCTCATCTTCCGCATTCTCCATGTCGACGATTTTGATAGCCACAACTTTGCCAGTACGTCGATCGATGCTATACATGTCAGGAAGACGGACGACCGTGAGGATGCAAGACTCACCCTTTGTAGACTTTGCCGAAGCTACCACCACCTGTGATGTCGTCAGAGTCCCGTCTCGTAACTACACTTATGTGTCCTTACCGATGCATTGCTGCTTGGTATAGAGCGTCTCTGGGTTCACCGACCCGCTGGCAAGCTCAGCCGACATGCTGTACGAGTGTCCTCACGAGCGTAGTGTCTCGATGGTGTGTATAGAAGGAGGGTAGCCTTACAGGCTTCGAAAGAAAGATAGGAAGGCACAGCGGTGAGGGGGGATGGAGTCGACAGATGAGACGATGATTAACGAGTGCGGAGCGAGCGGTGGAGAGGAAGAAGAGCGTGAAGGGTCCGGCGAAAAGATGATATCGTGATCGCTAGCGGCGAAGCTGCGCTACGTGATCTCGAGGGGAAGAAGGAAGGAGCGAGGAGGGCGTTGTAGTGAAGGGGGGGAAAGCGCCTGCCTGTGGGCGATGTTAGCTGGAATTTGTATGGCTTGAAAGGAACTCTTGCGGTCAGGGCGTGGTGCTGCAGGGACTGGTAGTGAAAGACTCTGGCATACACCAACTGCACTCCACCCTCAATAGAATAGCGAGCGTAATGTTACTGTACGTCTTCCGCGTGTTCCGGGCCTTCCGGCGCAGGTAATGACGCTGGTGGAGTCCCCGCGACGACGGTGTTGTGTAAACAAGAACTGAGGCTGGAACCCCGGTTCACATTTCCATCTCCTTCAGCCACAGCGCGAGCAATTGAGAAGGTCACAATACAGAGGGGAAAATTGATTCTGCCTTCCTGGGCGAGCGAGTGGTGATGGATTGAGAGGGCTGCCAGCTCTTGGGCACTGCCTGTTTACCTCTCTCCGTTGTCATGGATGGGCTGGCTTGCCCCGGCGCGTCGAACAATGGACAGGGATTAGCGCGGGGAGCTGTTCGCTGATTCTCCCTCACTTGCTCTGCATTACCTATGTAATGAACCTCATGGCTTCATCGATGGGAAGCTCAGCTTACGTCGCTCAGCTCCTTGAAGGTCCAATTCACCGGCAGTGCATAGCCTTGTGAAAGCAGCAGCTTCGCTCTCCCGGTGCTACGGAGGGGGCATAGAGCTGTTTCGCCTGGCCGTTCCTTATGCGTCTTGATTCGCCCACGGCTCACAGTAAGCCAAACTAGGTAGCATAGCTTCTGGATACACGCAATGCTGTGATCACACAGGCTGGCGATGAGGATAGAAAAGAGCGGGATCCGTTGGTCTTCCGGTCTTCTTAAGCGCATGAATACAGATGCGCCTGACGACACCTCTCCCGACCCGCCCGACACAGCGAATACACATGAGAGTTGGAAGTTTTTTGCAGCTCACATTATGGCGTTCATTGTAGCTAATAAAGTACATGCTAAGCTCGGCATGGGACACACCATACATATACCGAAGGGTGGAATGCGTGACACGTTGCCGTAAATGGAAAGAAAAAGTGAAGTTCCTCCGCAGCTAAAGGGTATCTATACTAAGGCCGTTGATCGTGCATAAACATAACAGAATGAAAGGAGAATGAAATCGCTTGACCATGAATGCAATATGTCCCTCAGCCTCCCATATCGTGACCACGATGACCCGAGACGCCTTGGAGTGGCCATAACCTGAAAGGAAAGAGCACTAGAATGCAGATGGACCATAAAGCTTCGGTGTGAGCAAAATCGGTCGACCTCAACCGTCTATGGTGCTGCTACTCCACGACGCCCAAAAGCCCGAAACCCGTGTAACGTAGACTAGTAGAAGAAGCGCCATCGCACCATGGCCGAAGTGCAGGAAGTCGTCGTGGTTGCGGGCGAGACAATAGGCCCGAACAACCAGCAGCTCTGAACATCTAGAAACGGCGTCGGACACGCTCAGCCAGAGAAGGAAACTCCTCCTCGGGCTCCTCCTCAACTGGAGCTGGTGTGCGACGGACGCGGTGACGGTGGGCACGCCGACGATTGTGGCTCACATTGCTGGCAGAGTCGTCGGGTCCAATGTCGCTGCGTAAGTCATCGAGATTGTCTGCGTCGAGATCCGCAGCCGGTGTAGCGATACGAACCTCGATTCCTGGTCCTCCACGACGAGCGCTCTCTGCCATGAGGATGTTGGAATTACGAGTCCTGAGTTTCGCCCTAATGGCCTCCGCCTGGATGTGCATGTGCTCGAAAACGTTCTCCAGGATGTCCATGGTGTGGTAGATATTCCTCTCAACCTCCGACAGGATGGCACTCTCAGTCTCCTGATCCAATTGAATAGGGGCAGGCCTCGAGCCAGGACGCGTAGAACCAGGGCGCGAGGCGACGGAGTTGAATGGAGTAGGCGGGACGGGAGGTGCGGTGGTGTCGCTCGAGCCGGCAGTGTACTGCGTGGTGCTGTCGGCGCCAAACTCGTCGCTGGCGGTGATAAAGCCATCGAAGCGACCAGATACCAACAAGTCCCATTCGTGAGTTCGAATCGCAGCGATGGTAGCCAGGACGTCATGCATGTCCGGGTTGCGGATCAGGTACATAACCACCAGCTGGTCTCGGGGACGCGTAGACAGGCGGTAAAGGCGCTGAAGCGCGATGGCGGACTTGTTCAGGAGGGGGGAGCTGCCATGAGTCTGCGTGGGAAGTTGTTGGGGGACGGCGGAAGGGACATGACCAAGTCCACACAAGAGCGCATGGAACATGGGCCTCAGCTCGGGCTCGAGGCGGGTCATCATTGCGAACGTGAGAGTCTCGTCGTCGACCTCATCCGGCGCGGATTCCTGCTGATCCTGTAGCCAGGATTGGACGAGCGTTTTGGTCTTGCGGGATTGACGTGCATACTGAGCGCGGTACTCCTCGGGCACGTCGACATCGATCTCTTGACAAGGAGTTTGAAGGCTGGATATCCCAAGCGCATCCGCCGTATTGTGGTTGTCAATGGGCGGCCAGTGGGGAAGGTCGAGGCGGCCAGACACGAACTCCAGAACTCTTCCCCAGTTGACTCCAGCCGTATCATCGCCACGTACATGGCCATTGGGGTTGTCCGCACACATGAGGCATGAGCAGAACTCGGCAGAGATGTCTCTGGCGAAGACGTGCTCCAAGCGGTCGAGCAGACGGCGAGCAACCGAATAGTAGCCTGTTGCCATTGCCAAGGAGCCGCCGCGGTCGAGGACGGTGTTGTAGGCGTCAAAGACGTCCTGAAGTTCCCTGAAGAGGAGTCGGGCTCTCAGATCGAGCTGCTCGTTGGGTCGTGGTGATGCGTAGCTTGAGTATTCCACGGCCTCGCCGCCACCAATGGCTGCAAGAGGGTGGCGCACAACTGGACGAGGAAGACCGCCGTTGGGAAGTAGGTAATCCACGCGTGGGGCGAGGGAGTTCAGGACGGGAGGCGGAGGTGGTGGAGGCGGTGGAGGAGGAGGAGGCGGAAAAGACGCGTCACTGTGCTCCGGGTTGACTGACTGCGAGCGAGAAGCAGTGTCTGCAAAAATCTCCACCGTGGGCGGCCTTTCCTTCTGTGCAGCGATCACCGAGGGCAGAACAGAATGCTGAGTGGGAGTGAGGGGAGAGGAATCGACAACGGATGCGGGGGAGGCGTCCGAATTTATGGGTGACGGCACGCGGTGCAATCGCGTTCCCCCTGGGCCTAGCGCGACGCTGGTAGCGTCCGAGTCTGTAGTCTGCGTCAACTCGGAAGCCTGACGTGACCTGCTCGGTGCGGGAGCAGCAGCATCTCCAGACACCTGATCACGATGCTCGGACTTGGGGAGATCAGGGGAGCGGCCAGGCGGTGCGGTTGGAGTTTCGAGGCTGGCACCTCTGCCACCTGAAGCAGCCTGTTTCACGGTGCTGGGATGCGAACTACCAGTCCTCGAGGTGAGGTCAGTCCCATAGGTTCCCGTATCATCTTGACGAAGACTAGACCGAGAGGCACCAAAGCCAGCTCCAGAGGCATCACGAGTGAGGCGTGTGCCGCTATCAACGCTGCGCCGTCCTCGCTCCATCTCACTGCCAGGCCGCATCGTGTCCGTTGTTTTCCTCCTCATACTGTTGGCACTGGCCGTTTTCCTCAAATCCGCCCCAGTGGTTGCGGTCAGGGGAGGGCTGGGCGGGGCTTTGGCCGGCGAAGCACGTACATGCTTCTTCTCCGAACCTTCCGCCCTATCTTTGCCATCTCCATCATCGCCAACGTCGGTCGCCTCAGGTGTGAGAGGCGATTTCCTCCTATCCCCAATGTCCTCCCGAGCGTAGATGTTTTCCTTGGCGTATGACTTGTTGAGCGAAGGGTATGCGGATAGGCTCGAGCGTGAGCCATTTCTAGAGCTCAGGGAGCCTCCCAGCGAGCCTCTCCGCTCCATTTCTGGTACAACGCACATTCGGTGTTTGGTCGGTGTCTGTGGGGTGGACGAAGGCGACCGGATGCGCTCTCTAGAGGGGTGTTCGCGAAGATGCTCTCCGTCACCACGTTCGCCGGTTGAGGTGATGGAGCTAGGTTTTCGTGATGACCGGGACGATTTGCTCTTTCTGTGTCGCTCTTTTTTCTCGTCCGCATCCCTTTCCTTGCTCTTTGGGCTGCTGCGGTCCCGGTCTACGTCCTTCCTGCGTCGTCGGGTTTCGGAGGAGCTTAACATAGTTACAACTCGGGGGAAAGAGGCACAGTACGACTACAACCAAGAAAACTGCTGCGGCGCAGGTATATCTGCGTCAGCTACTCAACGTGGTAGAGATCGCACCAGCGCGGTTAAAGGGTGGTGCGATTGGATGGCCTTGCGGGTGCGGGTTGCGTGCGCCTATCAGCGAATGACGCCTCCATCCATCAGGAAGCAGGGCAGCGAAGTTGTTGGGGGAAGATGCTCTATATTTCAGCGATCGAGGGCGAGTCCAGAGTGAGGGGCGCGGTGTTGGTGGATGTTCTGCAGGTGTTCTGACGTGGAATGCACCTGGACAAGATCCAACCAGGCCGGGATTCCAAAACCAGTTTGGCAGCTTTTGCTCTTCACCACCCTTCCGCGACCCATCACTGGCCAAGCAGCCCTCTGAAACATGGGGCGCCACACAGAATTCGCAGGGAGGGAGCGCCGACGACGCCAATGAAACGCAGCCAGCTCAGCCGCTGCCCCAACCCAGCCCTGGAGTGCCGTGAGGGATCCTCGGTTGGTGGACCTCCCGCTTTGGAAGTGCAACCTTGGCGGCTTAACCCATTCAGCGACTGGAGTAGTCACCGCAGGCTCTTTACGCAGCAGTCCTCGAGCTTTGCACGTTTCGATGAAAGGAAGAAACATAATCGAAGTTTCCTTGATGCCATGGGCGCTAACTCAGATAGGCGGGCGCGCTTGGTATTTCTCTGCATGCGAATGGTCGGCGCCTTCAAAGATGGAAATGTGCTGGTGGAGATGGATGCGTTAATAAAAGTAAAGACACGGTATCATTATTTATATCTATTTGGACAATACTCCGTGCTAGCTTCACGATTAGCTCAGCTGGTTTTCTCTAGATTCCGGTTGGTCTCCTAATAAACGACTAGGCACTATTCCGGAGCCACCCTATCGCCAAGGCATGACGTTGACTGGCCGGTATGCTGCAGGACTATTACTCGCGAAGATATGTTCAAACTCGATCAATACTTATATCGGTGGAGGAGTGGAAAAGTCAGCCTGTTTGTACAGGAAAACCAAACGCCACTATTACAACTTCCATTCCAGTCATGGAAAATGATATTATGACACCCAGGCCACCCTCTACCTGTGGGTAGAGAAAGAGAGGCTCCCGTCGTACCAGACACAATTTTGGCGGGAGACACGGCATCGATGCCCATCCGGCGTTGCTCTCGACACCTAGATGCCAACTTCACGGAATCTGGAGTCCCGTTTGGGACTTTCCTCCCGCCCGGTTTGTACTTCCTGCGCTGGCAACTTCGGCGGTGGAGCAAGCTCCTCGTCGAACCCATCCCTAGACTCCCGTTCCTCATCATTGACCCCGGCGGGCCCAGGACTGGTCGTACCCGGTCGCTGTGTCGATGGACTACGGCCCACATCCGGTCCGGACGAAACGGGCGGGACTTGTGGTTGCTGTTGCTCAGCCGACCGAGGAATAGACGGAGTGGCATCTTGATCTGACTGCGTGGGTGGCTGGCGAAGGGCTGCCCCGCCGATAAAACCTGGCGTTTCAGACGCAGCGGGTGCCGGGGCGAGCCGTGAACGTCGTTTGAATTTGTTGAACAAGCCTTTGAAGCCCCTGGACTCGGACGGCGGACTGGTGGGCTCTGGTGGAGACGTCGGAACAGCGCCCTCCGCAGACCCCTCTTCGGCCTCAGTCTGCGTCACTGGTTCACCTGCAACACCGACTGCGTGCGGGCCCTCGCCAGAAACTCCTTCAATCGCTGTGACTTCCTCCGTCATTGTCGCGGGAGGAGGTGCCGACGCTGCCACGACAGCCTCTTCCACCTGCTCCTCCTTGTACTGCGCTTCCGTGGCAACATGCTCCTCCTCGGCCTTCCTTCCGCTCTCTTCCGGCTTACTCTCGTCCTCAGTCGCCGTCTTCTCTTTCTCTATCGACTTCATCTCTTTCTCTGCCGCCTTCTCTGCCGCACTTCGCTCTTTGGCGGCTAGTTTCTCCTCGCCTGTAATTGTTAGCACGAGAACCGTACCTCTCTCAGGTTGTAGATGCTCACGTCTGAAGCGTTTCTCTTCGGCTTTGATCTCAGCAGCTCTCTCCTTCTCAATGCGCTGTTCCCTTTTCTTCTCTTCTAGCTCGAGACGTCGCTCTTCTTCCTCAGCTCTGCGTTTCTCAGTCTTTTCGGTGATCTCGTCCAGAGTTGGTTGGACCTTAGCGAGAGCGATGGCATCAATCTCCGCCTGAGACATGAATTTTCCATGCCCAACGTACACCTTTCCCCGATCCTCCATCCGCGCCTCACTCTCTGCTGCCGCTTTGGCACGAGCCCGGGCATACCGTTCTTCAACCATTGAGGGCGACATATAACCGGTCTGCTCAAAGACTTTCTTGTCTAGGCTTTCCATCTCCGCCTGGACATTACGTAGTGCTGCAGCGAGCAGCTGCTTCCTGTCCTGCGCCCGTTTCTTCTCATCCACTTCGGCCAACTTCTGGTTGAACTGAGACATTTGAGAGCGTATCTTCCATGATTGGAGTTCATCTTCGTCATCCGAATCGACCAGTTCAGAACTGGTAGAGGCACGTCTACGACCAAGCCGGAGCGAGAGTCTGGTCCGAGCCGGCTTCTCGTAGCCGTAATAACTACGGTACGCCGCCTCCTCGTCGAAGCCGATCTTGGCCAACCGTTCGGCTGCGAGCTTTTGAGCAGCTTCCTGAATACTAATGTATTTCATAGCCTGTTCTCTTACATCTGGAGGCTGACCGGTCTGCGGGTGCTTAGGGTCGTACATCTTTCTCGCCATAGATACCGCGGAGGCCCGCAGTGCATCTTGCCTTCTCTTCTCCTCGACTTCGACGGACACGGGAGGGGTCGCAGTATACATGTCTCTAGAGACCCTCGCATGCTGTATGCGAGCAGCCTCCATTGCGTCAGAGCCGAAACGATCCGAAGGCATAGAGGTGGTTTTCGTTGAGGGCCTATGAGCCACTGTAGCGGCGTTGAGCGCGTTCTTTTCTGAGATCTCAGCATCAGGATAGATTGCAGGTTGCTCAGGGGTTGACTTTGCCCGTGGTCGTCTAGAGGGGGGAACCGCTCCTGGCGCAGCAACCGAGGAACCACCATCTTCGTGTTCAGCATACCCGTAATCCGCTTCAGGAACGGCCCTTTGTCTCTGCACGGCCAAGTTCGCCGCTGAGGTGCCACGCACACTAAGCTCCGGCATCCGGCGATCCACATTGATGCTGCCTTTGTGAGCAAGCACTGCAGCTTTTGATCCAGCAGCGCTAGGCTCGGGCTGCCAAAGAGGTGGCATCTTGTAGTCCTTCGCGATGAGGGCGGCTCTGCCTGCTGCTGGAGAACGTTCAGGCTTCCACCACTCAGGGCTCTTTCTGTTTGCGTGCGCAAGGTTCGCGGCAGTGTTGGCGGATATGTGAGTGTCTATACCGACAACAGGAAAGCTAGGAAGTTCGTGGGCGCGCGCGTGCTTCAAACTCGCTGCGGCACCTTTGACTGTCAGCTGGGACGGGCCAAAAGGAGAAGTGGGCGGAGCGGAGATGGCTTAGGTGACGGCAGTGAATAGAGCAGAACAGAGATTCTGCTTACTTGCTGTGGACAGCCTTCCATCTGGACCAAGAGGATTCATTTCTCTTTGCGTGGACACTTGCGAAAGAGTGCTGGGATTCAAAGCAGGGGCGGAGGCATGGTCTTGAGAAGTGTCCTTTGTCTTGTGGGCCGAAGAATCGGGACAACGCAGACCCATCGTTTCGACAGCGTTATCCGTATCATGGCGTGGGTTTTGTGGATTAGGTCCCTGTTGCGCCGTCTCTGTCTGAGTAGCCATTGATGCGCGTATTGCTTACGAAGCGGATGCACTGCCTCTGGTGGCCTTCAAGAGTCAAGTCCGGGGATGGTGAAAGGACCATAAGCGTGGCACAGTGGAGGGCCGCGCAGCGATAGAGCGTGGAGAAGCAAACGCCATAGTTGAGGAGGAGTATGATGATGATACCAGAGGTTGGTGCGTAGAGGCTCATGATGTCACTGGGGGTGTGATCAACGTTCGGGATCCCCGGGGCCGTCTGCACAAGACCAGTCCGTGTTCGGAGGCCCAGTTCTGGGCATGGCGGCCAGGGTCCACCCCATTCCAGGCCCTGATTCTATCAACAGCCAAAGCCTGGGCTCCATCACCCTACTGCCTCTTCTCACGTCCGACTGAACACGACCGTGCGCGCTGCGCGCAAGTGTTATTAACCTTCTAATTGGCTCTTTTTTGCTTCTTGACGGCGCCTCTGTCCAGGTACAATCACCTTTCCACAGTGCTCGAGTGGCGTAATCAGGGTAATCTACCTAACTCGGAATAGAAGTACACAGGGTTGTTCAGTCGGATGTGAGAAGAGACGGAATACTCCTTTCTATCCGGAGAAATAAAATGCACGTGGGCGACCAGACTCTACTACCCAGCGCAGAACGATCAATCTACTATGCTAGCAGTGCTCCATTAGCCCACACACCGAATACCCCGCCAACCCAGTTAACAACCATCCCTAACTTCCGAGATGTTGGAGCCATCATCAATGGATACAAGCCCTCGAGCTCTTTTGGGGAAAACACCGCTCGACAGCCTTTGAGGACTGGGATCCTGTTCCGAGGTGCCCGTCCTGGTATGTGTCTACAAGCACCCGCTGGAAGATACTTATTCGAGCTAACCTTTCCAGATGAGGCGTCGTTCCAAGATAAACAGCGCCTATTGAAGGATTATAAAATAAAAAGCATAGTGGATTTGAGGACCAAAACAGAACATATCGAACAAGCGAGGCGACGCGATGCCAGAATCAGAACCTCTGCCGCAGTCCCACAATCGAACGAAGATGTTGCGAAGCCCCTGAAGATTCCTGGAATCAAGTATCATGATATCAACTTCAACGGCTCTGCTTTTTCCCGCATGCTGATTTCCAAGCTGTCCTGGCTCGAGTTCTTCTGGCTCATTGTGCTCATGCTTTTCGGATATCGACTTGACGCTGTCAAAATCCTCGCGCCGCACATGGAATCAATGGGCCTCAGCGGCCTTGCAACGGAGTCTCTGGATGTATGCACCAAGGAGGTTCGGAAATTCTTCGAAGTCCTGACGGATGAGCAAAACCTCCCTGTATTCGTGCATTGCACGCAGGGGAAAGATCGAACCGGGTTGGTCATCATGCTCGTCCTCTTTCTGCTGGGTGTCAGTGAAGATGCGATTACCTATGATTACATGTTATCGGGTCCAGCATTGGAACCCGAGAGGCAGGAGCGGTTGAAGGAAATTGCAAGCATTGGACTTTCAGAGCACTTTGCAAGCGTCCCTCCTGATGTTGTTGAACTGGTTCATCGGCACATCCATGCGAGATACGGAGGGATAGAAGCGTATTTGGAATCAGTCGGGGTTGACATCTATATGAGAAATCAGGTGAAGCGCTTGCTGCTTGCGTGATTGCTTGTACCCGAATACAGAGGTACTAGTCAATATTTTAAGCTGCAGATTCTCGCGCTCCCTTCCATTGTGGACTGGCTCTCAATATAGCACTTCCAATCCCCCCCTTATAGGAATTAGTGTGTATGTAGGTACTAAACGCGACCTCGGGACATGGGATGACTTCACCACGTGCGTGCACTATGGTCCAATCTTGCTGGTGCCCCTTGTTTCGGGAGCTTGGGTCGCTTAGTGCACAGTAGGTAGGGGCGCGTCTCCACACAGCTCCTGCTGCTTGGCATATGCCCACCAAAACCCTCGAGCCATCCCTCCCTCTTGAACCATCTTGCAAAATTCAGAATCTCCTGCAGGATGGGTTCCTCCGAGTCGGACAACCAATTCGAATGGATTGACACGCCTCCGGCGCCGTCACCCACCAAGCCATCATTTGATTGTGGTGTCAAAACAACAGACGTGAGTTCTTCCGCCATACCGGCCAATTGCAAACCCCCACCCCTCGAGCCATATCATATTGCGCTTTCAAAATTGAGGGTATGCTGACTCGGGCAAACTACAGTATCCCACCATCGCCAATGCTCCTTTGCCAGCAGAAGGCAATGGAGCCGACTCCTTCTCGAATCCTTTGCTCATTTCCCTTCTCACTCTGGTTCCGGCATACACCTCCTGGAAGCTTGGCGGGGGGTTCAAGACCTTCCTTTTCTTCGCCCTTATTCTGGACCTGCCTCTACTTGCTGCGTTCTGGATCATTACGTCCGAATATGCCCCCCGCAAGAACGATAAGGCCAAATTCCCTGGCAAGCCCATTGAGCACTACTTGACCTTTCACAAGGAGGAGGATCGTGAGAAGTACCGCGGCAGGACCACCATCCCTATGCAGACTTTCTATGAGAAGTACTTTGATGGCGACGTCTCTTTCAATGGAGATGCTCTGGAGATCTTGGAGTGGAGGCATGACTGGTGCAACTTCCGGTTTACTATCGGAAACATCAAGCATTTCCTCTTTGCCTTTATCCCCGAGCTAATCATGCACACCCGCTCTCAAGGTTCGTTGTTGACATTCCGTATGTACTGTCCAAATTGCTACCAAGTCTCCAGATGAAGAGCAGGTCCGCGACCACTACGACCGCGGAGATGATTTCTACGCCTGGTTCCTCGGCAAGCCAATGATCTACACAGCCGGCATCATATCTGACCCCACCCGTGAAGAGACGCTCGAGGAGCTTCAAGAAAACAAAATGGGCGTTGTGTGCGAGAAGATTGAGCTCCAGAAGGGCGAGCGCATGCTCGACATCGGCTGCGGATGGGGCACTCTTGCCCGCTTTGCCTCCACACACTATGGCGCCCATGTTACCGGTGTTACCCTCGGCCGCAATCAGACAGCATGGGGTAACCGAGGCTTGAGGGCGGCTGGCGTCCCCGAAGAACAGTCCAAGATTCTATGCATGGATTATCGCGATATCCCGGTCCCAGAGGGCAAGTACAATAAGATTACGTGTCTTGAAATGGCGGAGCACGTCGGTGTTCGTCATTTCGGATCCTTCTGTTCGCAGGTCTACGACATGCTTGATGATGACGGTGTCTTCTTCCTCCAGATCGCCGGTCTTCGCAAGGCTTGGCAGTTTGAGGATTTCACCTGGGGTCTCTTCATGAACAAGTATGTCTTCCCTGGGGCCGATGCTTCTACTCCCCTTGGATTTGTTGTCGACAAACTTGAGGGTGCTGGCTTCGAGGTCAAGCATGTGGATACCATTGGCGTGCACTACTCAGCCACCCTCTGGCGCTGGTACAGAAACTGGCTCGCCAACAAGGATAAGGTGAAGGCGAAATACGGAGATCGCTGGTTTCGGGTAAGTGATGCCATTCATGTATTTGTGCTACGGCGAAAGTTGACACGAATCAGATCTGGGAATACTTCCTCGCCTACTCGACGATCGCTTCCCGCCAGGGAACAGCAACCTGCTTCCAAATCACTCTCGTAAAGAACCTCAACTCTACTCACCGTGTTGAGGGAATCGGCTCCCAGTACAATCTGTCTGGTGCTCTCGCCGCACACAAGGCTAGGGTTGCGCTCAAGAAATGAGGCCTGGGACCCACGGTATGTGATAAGAAGAAGGATGAAGGTATTCCTACAGCGGGAAGTTTCACTTTATGGAGAGCACAAAAGACGGAGGGCAAAAGGTATGATTGATGATCATGAGTTGCGCCGGCTTTGCATGGATAGAATCTTCTCAGATATGGTCGACACCACCCACTCTTAGCATCATGGGATATGACAAGACAACCAATTATAATGACGTTTCGCCTGAACCACTTCTGTGTCTCAGAGCCTAACGGCAAATATGCATCTCCGTGTCTGCATTCGGAAGCAATTGGAGGTCTTGTGGCAGCCATCCAACCTCATCTGAATCCGACGGAGCGGGCGGAAGCTATACCATGCTGGAATAGTGGCTCCTCGCGTTGCAGTAGTATACTCACAAAGACAGATCAGTGTGGAGACATCGACTAAGTAGAAGGAGATTTATCGTACTCTGTAATACGGAGTATAACCTCATCAATAGACAAACGTACTCCTGTACTGCCCGTGTCTAATTCATCAAGGCCCCGGCCTGTGGCGTCTCCAGGATCCAAAGCGTGGCGGAACACGGCTAGTTCGCACCCCACGTTTCGGCGGTGAGACCATAATCCCCGCAGGAAGCAACGTCCCCGCCAGAATATCGAGACCCTGACCCACGCGTCCGCCACCCCTTCCTTACTCGTCTGGTCGCTTCAAAGTCTTTATATTCAATAGTCCCTCATTCAATTTCCTGCCCTCGCTTTGCTCCTTCACCTTCTCGCCGAAATTCCAAAATGGCGTCTGCTGGGGCTGTTTACCCTCCCCTTAACCAGCGTCCCATCAAGAATACCGTTCTCCTTTTCGATGTGGACAATACACTCACAATTCCCCGTCAGGTATGTAAGGTCTAGTAGCACGCGGTCCACTGAGCTTGGAAGTCCCTTTGGACATCCCGAAGGCAAATAAATAAACTCACTTTCACGCAATAGGGCATTACGCCAGAAATGCTCCAGACCCTGTCTGAGCTCCGTCACAAAGTCGCAATTGGATTTGTCGGCGGCTCCAACCTGCCTAAGCAACAGGAACAAATGGGCTCGGCGAACGTCGACGTGACCTCCCTCTTCGACTTCTGCTTCGCTGAGAACGGTCTCACCGCATACCGTTTAGGCGAGCAGCTTGCAGGATCGAGCTTCATTGAATGGATTGGAGAGGAGAAGTATAAGGAGTTGGTGAAGTTGTACGTGTATCTGGGTTGTGAAGACCCTTTATCCGTCCTACTGACACCTTTTGTCCAGCATCCTCCACTACATTGCCGACCTTGACATTCCCGTGAAGCGCGGCACCTTCATTGAATTCCGCAACGGCATGATCAACGTCTCTCCGATCGGCCGCAACGCGTCCACCGAAGAACGCAACACTTACGAGAAGTACGACAAGGAGCACGGCATCCGCACCACTATGGTCCAAAAGCTCAAGGAGGCGTTTCCGGACCTCGGTCTCACGTACTCCATCGGCGGCCAAATATCTTTCGACGTGTTCCCGACGGGATGGGACAAGACTTACTGCTTGAGACACATTGAGGCGGAGAAGGACAGACCCGATGGAGTAGAGTATACGACGATCCATTTCTTTGGGGACAAGGCGTATCCCGGCGGGAATGATTGGGAGATATACGATGATAAGAGAACTATTGGGCATGCGGTCAAGGACCCGAGTGATACTCTGCGTCTGCTGAGGGAAATGTTCTTCTGAGGGTGGGGTATTGGCGTTGCTAGAGTCCGCCATGCAAGGTTGGAGATGAGGAGCCATATGTAGAACGGGTCCATTATCTCTGCTGTGGACTGTTATCTTCCACGGCATTAAGCACAGCGAGGAGTTACAGTTGTCAGCCAGTAATTCGCGCGCAGTAGCCAGCTATGACTGTCAGGCCAGACATCAGCATAATGAAAACAAATGCATACCTCTTTTGTAACAGTCCGACGATGATTTGGCTCTTTGAAGTCTACCACGCGCCTTCTCGGATTTGTCCTTCAACTTACTCTATCTCTGCTGAACCCGTGTATGTAGATTATAGATTGCTGAAGATCATCCTCGTCGTTTGCCAATTTCATGGTCACCGGAGCAGAGCCAACTTCCACAGGCATAGGAGAATCAGAGAGCAGAAACTAAACCGCTCTTGAGCAGGAGGGCAATGAGGGTAGTAAAAACACATGGAGTAGCCTTATCTTCTAGATCATCGGCTATTGAAATCTATTTCGGAGATCGCAGACACATATACACATTTACGCCTAAGGCACATGCCCCCACTGTCGCGGAGCTACCTCAACACAATCACCCCAACACCATTGTCTTGCAGGACGTTCACCTCCCTCAGCAACCCTTATTTTGCTATATAATGCGCCTATTTTGAGAGAATTACTGCCACCACACAAGAGCTGGGCTCTTAGTGTGGTGGCGTGTTGGTGCGTTGGCGTGTTGGTTGTTGGTTGTATTCTTATCCTGTTGTACGATATTTTTTTTTCCTGTTGGCCCCAGGTTCGAAACCCGACGGAAGAGAATAAAAGGAGCTTCTTTTTGCTTTTCTGGGCACGAGATTGACATTCTACGGCTCCCCTGTGAAGGTGTTTCCCCGCCGGCGTTCACCGCTGATGACTGTGGAGACAGTGAACGTGCCCTCACCGCAATGCCTCCCAACCACCCCTACAACCACTATGTGAGTGAATACCAGGGTTGTTCTTACAGTGAGAGAGATTGCAAGGCATGCTAGCCACTTGGAACCTGCGAGAAGGTCTCTTCACTCCCAGGCACCTGTTATTATGTAAGCAAGCGACACTGCTTCACCACCCAGCGTTTGCCAGGCGGACTTAAAAAACTCTGCACCCCCTTCACTTACAGCTTTCATCACACACTCCCATTCGAATCTATCTAGCACCTTCTACCTACCTAGCAACTTCGAAGCAGCTTTGGCTTGTTGCAGCATGAGGGTCGTTTGGAACCCCATGGGCGAGGTACCCTACTATTGTATGTTGACTACGGCCAAGCTCTCCGCCGTCCGCTAACTCAGGATTGAAGGGGCTTTTATCGAAGTGACTGGCGACAAGCACCTTAGCAACCAGAATCTGGTGGGCCGACTGGTCTATGTCCGCGAAGATCGAGAGGCGGAGCCTCGATTCAGTACGCCGAGCGTCATGCCCGTTTCGACGGACCAGGCGGAGATGGAAAAAGCCATTTCTGGTTACCGGGTTGAGAATGTGCCGCCACTCTCCTCCCAATCAAACCTGGAGTTACACGAATGCACGGATGCTGTCTTTGTGAATGACGAGGCACAGAATATCTCCAGGTACTGTCTGCTTGAGCGCCTTCATCTTGTGGAATAGTCCGCTAACGAGCTGCAAGCTGTGTTCTGATGAACACCCATTGTGAAGGCTTCTGGGCTCAACCGTACTTCGGCACATACGACTTCATCTATCTCCAGCGTTGACTTTACGATGACTTCGAGATTGTATGCATTCGCAAACTTTGCGGAAGTAAACGGGCTGATCGCGCTGATCGAGAACATCGAACACCGGCAGTGGAAAGGATTCCGCTCGAGCAAGGCCAGGGAAAATTCTTATGCCAGGATCGAGGGGAGTCCTTTCCACTGTCGGTGCTCGATGTTTTCGATCGTATAAGAGACTTGTTACTGCTGCCCTCGCAGAATGGTTCCCCTCTGGTACGGCTTGATGGTCATTGGACTCTCAAGGAGGTCCTCGACCAGCATTGCTTCGGCACATACGACTTACCCAGTTCGCACATCGACTCCAAGACGGATCAGACGGGGCACTCGCCACGATTTTCGTCAGCTTTTCTGAGCGTGGATTGAACCTTTTCGACCTTCCCAAGATTTTCTTTCTTCTTTGCTATACACATGATCAATGTCTATGGCACTGGTGCTTCATATATGGCTGCCTTTCGATCGAACTCCCAAGGGACCTACGGATTTATCTATCCGCGCGAATACCTCCGTAGCGATGACCGCATTCTTGGAGTTGGCAGATGGGTCCATGTACATTATGTATTTAGAATGACAAGAAATTTTACAGTAAAGTCTATTCGCTCGTTGGTGCATTACATGTATTTATCAGCTTGTGACCTTCCAAAAAGCATAGGTAGCCACAGTCTCATAACATGCTGCGGATATCTGTACGATGACCAGAGCACATGCAGGTGCAAGCCAATGGCTACATATAACAGATCCTGCAGTCCGCTTGCATTGAAATCGCCTTGACGAGACCTGGATTTACAGTTTGACTTAGAACATGTGCGTAAAGAAGAAGAATATACTCGAATTTCCCATGACAAGCAGGACTGTGCCTTCAGCCCTTTCACTCTTGCTCCGCTAATCTTGGCAAGGCTTCATATATCTCGGCCATACCTCTTGGTCTCCCTCAACCAAAACAGCGACCCCGACCTACACCCTTCTGGCAACACCAACCTCTTTGCGCGCAAAGTACTCTGACGGGGACCGTTTTACTGCTTGTCGCAGCGTGAAGACTTCGCTGCTCTGTTTGTTCGCGTCCGATAGCCAGTCCATCTTGAGCATATCGTTCTGCTTCTGTGGACTACCTAACCCATGAATTTTCATCCAGAGCAAGCTGTGACACAACCGCAAATGTCTTCAGCGACCTCCAAAGTCCTTACGGCTAAGCCCATTCGAATCAGGAGCTTCACAACCCACATCGATGTCGACGCCGTAGTCGAGAAAATAAAATGCGGCATGCTCTACTCCGCCACCCCCGACCCTATGAACAGAGCCCTTCATGTCTTCGTCCAGCCCAAAGCCGCCGCAGAATTCTTCAACGCCTGCCATCATGAACCGCTCATCGTTGACGGCAACCGACTCTCCGTGGACTTCGTCCTCAGGGAGCAAGCCCTCGTGATACCCCCACTCTTGGCCAGGGAGATTTTTGTTAGCGGATGGACGCGTGTGCTTGGGGTCTCTCGTCCTTCGAACCTCCCAGACGCCTGGATCATCAGACCCACAGATTTCTATGACTTGCTCGATCGTCCGAACGGTGGCGATTTGCGTATGTCGAAACTGGATCAGTTGAGTGACGAGCATGGAGTCCCGTATGAGCTGTATACGGTTCAGTATTCGTCAGTTGCTCTTTGCATCCAGGCTCGGATTGCGATAGAGCTCAATATGACCGGGAAATGGACGGGTTGTACAACTGTGAGGCTCGCGGATCCCTGTGGTGGACTGGAGCTCCCTTCAGGCAGCGGTAAGTGGACCCGCTGGAATTTTGTGCAAGAGTTTAAGAGCTGCTGACAGTAACTAGATAGTACACCGGGATCTGTTGACACAATACCTGCTGACCCGCGAACCTACCCGATCGCGAGCGCTGAACTCAACGCACCAGAGAATCCTGCCGCTCCACCACAAGCGAATTCACGCTTCGGGTCAAAAACCACATCGGTAACGATCACCAGGCCTCAGGTCAAGCTCTTTGCTCGGATAGATCCCGCTGCGGAATGCAAAGGAGTTACTACAAATTCAGGTGGAGGAGAAACCGGTAATGAGGGAAAGGAGCTTCCGCTCCCGACGCCGACGATGCCGCAACCCGAACTCAACGGCCTTACGGATATCGCCTCCGATCCAGGGCAAATCACTGTGAAGCCAGTAACCACCAATCCCACGGGAAGGGGTCATTTACAGGCCTCCTCGAGCTCCGTACAGGAAACACGTCAGATTAACAACGAGAAACTCGTGGATCTGGCCAGAAGATTGGAAGAAGCTGCGATGACGCCTGCAGCCAAGGCTGGTGCTGGCGAGTCTGCATTCTCTAACGAAGAAACCCTTGCCCTCCTCAACGATGCAATCGGGAAAGTCGTGGAACTGAAGGCAAGACTGGGCAATGGTCTGCAAGAGGAGATTCTTTCGAGAGGAGATGGTGAGAAAGTGGAGTTCACGCAGAAAGAAGAAACGGGACCTCTGGCGACATCGAATGGCGCCAGCGATGAAAAGAGAAAACACCAGCAAGTGTTTGATATTGGTGGCCCTCGAACTCAGGAGAAGGAAAAGGCACTTTCGGCTGCTCCTAAGGCGATGGAAAGCCCGCTCCGGAATATGGCCAATGAATTTCTTGACCCGTACACGCCCACACCGTTTCTGACCGCTGCGTCTGTCGCGGAACCATCTATCCATCCGTCTCCTACTTTAAGCATCACAGAAGAGTCGACGCCAGTGATGGCCCCGGCGGCCCCAGCGGCGGCTGCTCAGAACGGAACCCAGACTCAGTCAGTGGAGTCCACTGCTGAAACTACAACGAGTCCACAGAATCCAGAGAAGGAAGACTCCTCAACGGCACAGAAGCCGCCTCCTCCTGCTCCTAGGCGCAAAGGACGAGGATTCTCCACCTTTGGGCGCGGCGGATTGGGCGCAAGCAAATGGGCAAATTAGAGATGAGCGGTGGGGACGGATGAGAATGTAGTAGCCGGTCAGTGGATGGGGTGCTTGGAGGCATTTGTACGAGCGTCAATGGAAAGAGTGTTGATGCCTCAAATGAGGGAGGTTTTTCATAGCATAAAAGTATTGTTAGCCTTTTGATGTTCCTAAAGAGCCCTTGACGGGACAACTGGAGCGTGAGAGGCGCGTGCCGCGCCGAAACTTAAACAGTGTTTGGAATCAGTAGTAACCACCAACTGACAAGATAACGCCGCTATTCAGAATTGGTGCAAATGAGAATAGTGTTTGTGGTACTCTTATGAGTCCTCCTATCCTGAATCAATGCTACTTTGACCTATGATCTATGATGCTCCCCTTCATCCCCAAGCAGCATCGAAGCTCCGCTCTGCCGCCTACATCACCAGGAGAATCCATTACAAGAGGAACCGGGGCATTGTTGGAAAGTATTATGAGCTGGGACAACAACCAATCTGTCACTCCCACTGTAACTGCTACATACTTGCACAAAGTGAAAGAAACAGCTCAGTGAGGGCGAATTTGCCTTCACACTTGGCAAAAGGCTTACCTAAGCCCGACTTCTCACTTGACGCCTATCTCTACCCCAGGAGCCTCTCCTCTCTCTCACCTTTTGCCCAGACTGTCCTCCAGCCATTATTTCCCTTGCAAAATCCGTTGCTCAAGAACTCAATGGTTGAGCCGGTCAGTCTTCTGTTGGGAGCACCCTATTTGTGCGAAATACTCAATGATGCTCAAGGACGACAACTTCGATCTACCATGGATATCCCCACGCTCTTGGTGGATACGTTCCGCTCATATACCGGAAACCAGGAGTATGGCAGGTTGCGCCTCACTCATTCACCAACCCATCACCATGTCTACCGGAAAACTCGCCCAAGCTCTCTACGAGGTCCTGAAGCATGGTCGTCCTCAAACCACTGCTGCCCTCGCTATCGCTGTACGGTGCGAAACCGTGCTGGTTCTGCCGCACCCGTTGGAGGTGTGCAGAAGACCACAAAGCCAGCCCAGAAGGCCAAGGCTGTCCCAACTTGGAGACAGCGATGAGTCCAAGATCATGAATTCCAACTTGGTATGCACAAATGCCTGTCTTTGCTCTGAGCAGCAGCCAACACACAGCAGAGTTTGAGTTTTAAGGAACGGCAAATGCAGTATGCACCAGTTCGACCTACAATGTGCTCTCGAGCCGCCGATCTCGACAATGCGAAGCACCGCTTCGCCGCATCCGGAATACCTCTTCGACTACCACACAAAAAGCATACGGGGCGTAGCCACCCGCCTTTCGAGGTGGGTATCAAGGTCCCATGGCTTCTGGGTCTTTTGGAGGTTATGGAGGAGAGTATGGTGATGTGATGGCTGCTGGGAATGTATACTTCCATGATTAGGTAGAGGGAAGATGAAGTCCTTCCTGAGGGATATTGTGCGAGCTACCGGATCAGGAGGAGGAAAGACGAAACGGTCCTAGAGCAAGCGTCGGGGGCTTTACCTACAAGGCCAGAGGAGAGAGGAGGAGCACCAAGAATGCTGTCCGTTGAATCTTCTGGGAACGTGGACAAACCAGGAAGCTGACTCTACCAATGCTTTCATTGCGCAAGTATGAATGTTGATCTGAATTGATGCCCGATTTATTACTATACAGTGATGTCAACTATCCTGTTATTGATGGTTTTAATGGAAAGGCAAAGGCGGAGGCAGAATCGACAGAATTTGCTAACAGCACATAAGGCATGAGTATGGAATGGAATGAAACCCAGCAATTTTGTCATGTAGAGCCAAAACGGAAATTCTTGGAGCTGGCTCACTGCCTGGTTCACGGTGGTCTCATTTATCCGTAAGCCACCTCCCTGCCCTCCACGCGAAGAAGCGGTGGAGCAAGCGAAACATGCAGTCTCACATCCAAGACACAAAAACGAGGTGTTATCCAAGCGATGTAACTCGACATCGGAATTACCACCGAAACCAAAGATTTTTGGACGTTGGCGTGGCGCCACAGATATATTTAGATGTGGCTGCAGCTGGCACGTCAGTTGACCGGAATCAATTCCATTGTTCTTGGCATTGGCATGGCGATGTGCCACAATATGTCGCGAAAGGGTAGAGATGTCAAGCTTGTTGAGATGACATCTGAACGAGAGATTTTCAATGAGGGAAGGATGACTGTGATGAGTGATGATGAGTTGAATGGCCCGGTGCGGCCGAAATATTTGGACTCATGTTACATTACCCTAGGATAAGCTGTTCGAGGACCGTCCGTGAATAGAACTTGATGGGGTTTGAGCACTACCTTTCCTACGGTAGTCGAGGGATTACACAAGGACAAATCATGCAGAGTACACTTTCGTCTGGATGGTCGAGATTCTCAAAGGATTTAGAATACCAAGTGTGGCTTCACAAGCGCAGACATCGTATATTTCACAGCCGCACGCCCTGTCGGGTAAACCGCGGGGTGAACCTCAGGTACGCGGTGAAGGCATCCGCAGTTCCCCTAGGGTAAGCACGCCTGTTCCATGTCAGTGGGATATTTCTGTCGCAGCAATTCAGCTCTCAGCCATCATTTTTTCTCATAATGTGTCATAGGGCTGATGCCTAAACCGGTGTAATATGACGGGCGGTCGCGCGGGTACTGCATTCGCGTTATTGCATTTCGTCGTATTTGTATGCCGAAGAACAGGAAGGCGAGAAGTATGGCATGGCATGGGCTCTAGTCTTATGAACTGACGCAGCGAGCGCGGTGTCGGATGGCATTCAATTCGCGCCGTATGCCCAATGGGCATGTGGGTCGCTCCTTCTGTCTGTTGCTACGCTGTTGCAGCATGGAACGTTTGTGGAGAACGATGAGAAGCTGACAAGAGGAAAGTGAGACGTCCAGGTGTAGGACTTCAACAGTTTTACGGTTACAAAGGGAACGCGGCGGAGGTGAAGATGACCACTAAGACCCACCGCAGGGGCCACTACCGAGGAAAGTCGACCGCCCTTTCATCACCAAACTTCCTTCCAGAATCCACCCACCCCTCGAAATAAACCGGAAGCACGCTCCGGTGGGAGGCTGCGCAAGGACTTGGCCCTCTCTCTTCCACGTCCCGCACCGCCTTCTTTGACTCGAGGGCTGTGGCAGGGACCCAATGTGGGCGCGACATCTGCACGCAAGCTACACAAGCAAAGCTTGGAGGTCTTGACTCCCCCGCTCCTCTATATCGAGAGCTGCAACCTCAGCCGTTGGAGTCAGCTACATTACTGTGTTTTGCACTTCCTCCCTTCATAAATGGGCCGTCGTTCGTTACTTTGGATAACATTCATATTCCGACTTTAATTCAAATCTGTTCATAGCGTTTCCTCGCAGGTATCACGAAAGATACATATCAGCATTCAGTAAATGCCACGCCCCAAGAGACCTGGAGCCGCAGAGCCAAAGAAGAGATCGAGAACCGGTTGTTGGTAAGTAAAGACTCGTGATCTAATAGAGAAGACGAGAAGGATCTGACGTAACATTCTTATAGGCCATGTAAAGCACGAAAGGTGAAATGGTAATCTAGAGAAAACGGTCTAGAAAAGGAAAGCTCGAGTAACACAGCGGCAGCGGAGAAGAGAAGCCTCGATGTGCAAACTGCGAACGATATGGCGAAACCTGTGATTACAGTATCCGTCTCACGTGGGGAGGTCGAACAAAGAGAACGCCCGAAAACACCACCTCGGCGCCTTCCAGTAAAACAAACAGTCCGCATATTCTGAACTATCCGTTCGGCGAGACCCTCGCTCCTCTCATTTCCCCTACCGCTTCAGATTCCCCTGAGCCCGCCCACCGATCCATCCGTCATGTCAGGTCACAGTCGGAAGCCGCATCCCCTGCTGTATCGGGCTCCTTCATTATTGAAGCTGAGCTAGTGGCGAGGAGTCAAGCGCAAACAACGCCTATACTGACATTCAGCGAGCCATTTGGACAACTTCAGTCTTTCCAGCGTCCACATTCGCCGCAGAGAATGCGTCCTAACCTGGGTCCTTTCCAACCAGATGCTGCTCTATACTCACAAGCGCTTGAACAACCAGTGGCTTCAACAACTGCATATGATAGTTTTACTAGCGCCGACGGTAGGACCATTGATGCGAATGCCCCGCTTTCTCCTCCATCTCTACTGCCTCCAATCCAATCTGGGTACGCCATGTCGAGTGGTCTACTTTCTCGGGAGTACAGAGAAATGATGAACAAGGGGCATCAGCGTAGCCGGTCTGCCGATATGGTTTATACGCGTCCGTTTACACCCCGTAGCCCCTTGCTGGCAATGCCGTTGACATCAAACTCGTCAATGAACGCTGAAGATGGTTGTTCCCGAACACTGCCGAAACAACCAGCCTCAACATTCTTTACTGCTGACCCCCGGCTATCGGTGCAAGCGCTGCTAGCACGACCGTCCGATGATAGGTTTCGAGCCTACACCCCCGAATCCTTGCCAGATGAACAAACACCCGTCCGAGATCATGGTACCACTACCTACGGCTACGATCGCGGGTGTCCCGACCTTGACATCCCTAAGAATGATGATGACAACGCCATTACGATGTTCACCCCTCCGAGCGAGACAATGGACTATGAGGACGGAGGCCCATATGGAATTGCAGAAACCAGAGCGAAGCATATGGCCTTCAGCAAAGGCGGGTACTATGCTAATCCAGTTCCGATCGTAATACCCAAGTCTTTAGAGCCTCTCCCTCCACTTCTTGTTGAGAATCCAATGAACTTGATCTACTTCCATCATTTCCTCAATCACACAGCTCGCATTCTGGTTCCCCACGACTGTGAGAAGAACCCATTCAGGCACATTCTCCCTGAGAGTAAGTCGTGCTTACCTTGATCACAAGCATTGCTGACCAAGTCAGTGGCTGTAAGAGACGAAAATATACTACACCTCCTTCTCGCCTTCAGCGCATCCCATCGCGCCCGACTTCTCAACCATCCCGAACCTGTCAATCGCATCGCACTATGGGTGCAGGATGTGTTTCCGAAGCTCCGAGCAGCCTTGACCAACAGCAACAAGATATCTAATTCCACACTCGCTCCTTCTCTGATGATGGCTTCGCTTGAGATCATGTCCCCCAACACGTTTGAAGTTCCGATATCCTGGCAAGACCATCTCACAATGGCCCGGCAGATGATCATTGCGCGCGGGGGCCCGAGAAGCCTCAACGGACAAGACCGAGTTGCATACTTCCTTTCGAGATGGTTCGCCTATCTAGATGTTCTCGGCTCTCTGAGTGGGAATAAGAACGATCTTCCGCTTGCGTCTTATTACTGGTCTTCGGAGGACGCCGTCGCGGACGAGGACTACCAGATCGACTGTTTGACAGGGTTTACTAACCATTGCGTTGGTACACTGGCTCGTGTGGCAGAGCTTGCGATGCAATGCGAACCTCAGCGCATAGACGAGACTGGCAACATTCGTGAAGGTTGGCAACCGGCACCGGAAATTGTTGAGCAGGCGGAGAAGGTCCGCAGAGAGCTCCAGAATGGGATAAACAACCCTACAATCAAGAGTTGCAGTCACAGAGCGGCCGACAGCACCGAGAGTGAAATGGCCTGTGACACTATTGAGATCCATGCGGCGAATGAGATGTTCCACTGGGCAGGGCTAATTCATCTCTTCCGGCGTGTTCTTGGGAAATCTACAATGGATCCTGAAGTCCAAAATGCCGTTCGCCAGATCATCCACCTCCTCTACAAGGTCAGAAGAGGGGGTACTGCTGAGGCATGTCTGCTATTCCCAATGTTTGCTGCTGGTTGCGAGGCTACGAACGAAGGCCAGAGGGAGAAGATTATCGAGAGGCTGAGATGTGTGGAGGGCTTTGGGATTGCGCAGGTAAGGTTGCTTTGCTTATTGCTTCGGCAATGATAGTAACAAGTATCCAGGTTCGCAAAGCTCGTTCCTTGATGCAGAAAGTTTGGGATACCGGGAAACCATGGGAGTCTCTCGTGTCAGGAGAGTTCTTTGGCTGACCATCACGACTGCCGATTTTAACGCACGGCTTCGCTCAATCCTCCCTCCGTATCGCCAAGCGCTGAGTCTTCCGAATTTACCGCATTTATGTATCGTGTTTACATTCGATCTGTACACTTTAAATTCTTCCATTTCGACATTTGAAGACCTGGCTTCAGGGAGACACGGAAAACGGTTTGGAGACTGCCAACTCCCTGTAAAAACCTTCTCAATAGATATACCCACATACATGTGATGTTGAATGTAATGTTGAACGATTAAGCAGGAGGTGAGAGGAAAGATTATGCGACCATTTGCAGTTCTAGTATCGGAGCTTTCAGTCTTGAACTATAATTTCTATGGCAAAGTGCACATCGGATTCAAGATTTACATTGACGAAACCGTATACGTATTGCTGTCTCCACATTATGGCTATGGATCAGTGCTGTGGATGAGTCAGCAGCCGTTGCGCGCATCACCGAATCGAATGACGTTTGCTGGAACTCCCTGCGAATCCTGGGAGAATTGCCCTTTCTCATTCTTCCCTTTGTCACTGCAATCAGTCTACTTCATTTTGACCCTTTTCTCAATTCATTGATCGTTTTCCCTTTCCACTTAGCAGGGCTTGTGCAATTCTGCTCCCCGCAGACCCCTTGTCTTTCTGCACCTGCGCGCCAAGCACCAAGCTACTTGTACCTCATCACTCAAAGCTTCAACACACACGACAATACTTTCTCCGTCTCCGGTCACGTAGGCTCGAACCCGAAGAACTGCGACAATGCTTCTGGCACCTTCCCTCCGGCCGACGGGAGCCTTTCCTGTGCGCCTGATCCCTTGCACCGCTTCATTCACGACGTCGGCACGTCCAACCAAGATTCAACGCACACAGCAACCGTTATTTGCATCCGCCGCTTTCCCGGTCGTTCGATTTGCTCGATTTGCATCCACTGCAAACGCGACCTCCCCTTCACCGAACGCCCCGTCCCCAAGCGCAACATCATCATCCCTCACCTGGAACCGCTTCCTGACTCTGCGCCGCACTCGCAGGAAGATTAGCGTTGTTGCTTCAAGCATCAGCTCGGTCGCCACAGCATACGTGGGATTGCGGTCTTTCCTTCAGGCGGGATATGATACCGCTCTCAGCACGAGCCTTGGTCTGGATCCTATCCTGACCACCGGTCTGAGTACAATTGCGTTCCTGGCTGTTGGCTGGTTGATTGGGCCTTTCTTTGGAAATGCGGCGTTCAATATGAGATATTCGTCAATTAGGAAGGAGTTTCAAGATGCAAGTACCACCTTTATTTCCATCTCATCCTTACCCCCCTCAAGGAGCCTTTCCGCCTTCAGTGTCCGCTAATGGAAAACGTTCCCATGAGCAATCCCACTAACAACTCCATAGAAAGAGCGCGAATTCTACAATCGCATCAAACGCCACCGCGTCGACCCCACCTCTTCCTCCATGGCTAATCCCGTCCCCGACTATTACGGCGAGAAGATTGGCAGTGTGGCAGACTATCGCCGCTGGCTGAAGGACCAGCGTGCCTTCAATCTGAAAAGAGGCGCATATCTCGGTACTAAGTAAATGGTATGGCGAAGAGATGTCCTTGTGCAGAGGTTTTTCGTCTGCTTGTATCGTCCATTGCCGGTGTTGTATCTGGCCATGTCTCTATGAGGAATGGGAACAGGTGTTGCTGTTAGCATAACTGCTTAAGGGGGGGGATCTTTTTGGAGGGGACGGGTTTCGTGGTTTTGGACGCAGGATCCACGGATGGCGGGTAGGTATTCGGAGGGGCAGGTTTGGGATGATCATCTGCATCTCAAAAGCTGGTGTTCATTGGCTGGCATATGAGCAGATGACAAAGTACCTACAAGGAGCGGTCTTTAAGAGACGGAGATATATACCGGGCGACACGGAACTCTCACACATGTAAACAATCATACCGTGGGCATTTTTGGAGTCACGCTTTCCCCTTGATGGTTCTGCCAGGACAGCAGTGTGTCCCGATAGTGCGGCGAAATTTGCGTATCTCTTCTCAGCCTCTAGTTCTCGCGTTTCATTATGTACATACGGGGGATGATATGGTGAGGAGCGACATGACTCCGCTCAATGTTTATGTTCAGTGAGATAAGACTACACCGCAAAGTGATGGGGTGAGATTATCCTAGCTACCATCTCCATCTCTAGCTGCCTGCAAGTTACCTCGAACGAATTTTGGCAAACGCGTTTTCAGTGCTCAAGACTGGCGGCCTCGTATCCCGTAGCTGCAGACATAAGTTCGAAAACGGCTTGACCGGATCTTGCATTTGTTGAGAGGAAGCCAACGTACACCATCTTTCGTTCCTGTGTTCGAAAGAAAGACAAGGACTAGAAGGGTGCGAGGCGAGTCTGATGAGCTGAACGAGGTATGAAAGGGAGCGAGGGCAGCCAAGATAGAGTGAGGTCGCGGATGTACTATACTTGACGTTACGGTTTGGCTTTGCAGGATTTGCTCGGAGGCTCCAAGGTGAGGTTGGGCAGCTGGACGCGTATAACTCCGTATATGGCGGTGTGGACTACGGAGACGGCGGTTATGCGATTGATATGTAGACTGTATCTCTACTTAGCATTAGTTCTTTACAGAGAAATATGCCCAATGATTACAATTGCGTCTTACCGTGGACTTGATGTGCGAACAGAAGCGCCGCAGGAGGCGGACGCCGAGTGATGAGCTGGGAACAGTGAGGTGGTGTAGGATATCTGGAAAAGCTGTAAGTCCGAGAGAAGTGGGAACTGGCTTCACGTTGTAAGGAGACATAGAAATGATTCTGCATGCAGGCTAGCCTCACTGCGAAGCGCACACTGCGGCCGGGGCCTGAGTGAATGCCAAATCCACTAGCGCGGCGCACGTTAGCGTCGTCACCACCGCGCCTGCCTCAAGTTGTTTGCCTGTCCCAACCACCCTCCTGAAGCTCAATCTTCCCATCATCTCGTATATAATCTGCACAAATAGCACTACCCTTGTCCTCCGGGACAGTGGCCGAGTGGTTGGACGGCCGGGCTCATCAAAGGTATGTTGTGTGTTTCTTTTTGGAAATTTTGGTGCTTGAGATTTGGGCGGGAGGGGCGTAGTTCGAGTCACGGAGATGAATGTTTTTTTACTGGGGGGATTTAGTTTTTGGTCGGTGGAGGGAGTGTGGACTTGGGCAACGTGCATAGGGGAACAGGCTGTTGCAGGCACGGGATTGCGGCGATATGCCTCAGCTTGTACTGGTAGATACAAACTTCCCCTTAGGTTGGATATTCTCTGTAATGCACATGGGAATATATATTCGTTCAGCTGATGCTTTGGTCATGATATTTGTCAACGGACGCGTTATCTCAAGTAACTGCGTGACGCCCAAACAACACGCTCTGCGTCTGCATTTTTGGCACGCGTAATGGCCATGGCTTGCTCATGGGTTATTTCGCAAATATAGAGTCTGCAATACGAAACTATTAATCTACGTTGACCTGCCTCGACTGTGTAGGGTAGAGGCGGCAGTAGGGCACGTAGGTGCCGTTATTTTCCTTGGGGTACCGGAGGTCGTTCACTCACTCATGTGAGTGCTCAACTTCGCATTATTCAAATTCCTTCACGTAGGCCCTCTTTCGTCTCCGTAACCACCGTCATACCAAGCTCCAGATTCTATATACACCATCACACATCTCGCGCTTCTATATCAATTTTATAGCCTGACTTCAGGATGGAAGCCGCCATGGAGAGGAGAAGAAGATACTCTGTAAGCTTGTTCCAACTTCTTTTCGTCAACTGCGAGCGCTTTGGCGCCTGGTGCAGTCGTCGTTCAAGCGAGATGCCAGATGCCAGAATGTTAACCCGTCTACAGTTCCCTTCCTACACCCGCGCCTTCGACTACACGGATCCAGGAGTGAGGCGGAACTCGTTCTTCCGAGAGCTCGGATGGCTGATTACGACACACCCCACCATGGGGCAACGCTGGCAAGCGTTCGAAGCAGAGACTGCCCAGCAGCGGCAACGGCGGGAAGGGGCGTTGGAGAGGGGAAGGGAGGAGCAGGAGCAAGAGAAGGGTGCTGGAGAGGAGGCGGATTCGGCTGGCGAGGTCGAAGGCCAGAACTCTCCCCTCGACGAGGAGCAGCCCGAAGTACCAGAGGAAGATGAGGTACCAGACCTCGATATAGACCAGCATTCAATTGCGTCTACGGAGCTGCTGGAGCCTTGGGAACTTGACGAATCCTTCCCAGAGCCAGAGGAGGAAGATTTCGAGCCGGCGACGGGGCCTGGATCCCCTATTGTTCTGGATCCTGCGGCGGAGGAGTTTCAGCAGCTGGGAATGTTTTTCGCAGAACGCCAGCCTGAGGAGGAGGGCTGAGAGGAGAGCTGGAGTTGGGGACTGGTCTGTTTATTGTATAAAACTGTAGTTATCATGTCGAATATGCAGCAAACGGGTGGGGATTGAATTGATGGAAAACTCCTAAACTACTTAAAATCCGCATAGTGAGGTTTCGGATAGCCTGGTGAGTCCAAGTATATGAAAAACTTTCGACATAATCCTACATTTGTGCGGCATACGGAAATCGAGTGTGGTCTCAGCCAATGACCGCAGTTAATATACCGTATACACTATGCGCGGAAGCTTCCTAATCTTCCCATGCAGCCCGCCCACTCCCGTCTCTTACGGTCTTACGGTATTGTTCTGGCATTGACAACCTGCCCAGAGAATATCCAATTGCATAGAGGGATGATATATGGTGCCGGCCTTATCGTGAAAGGATTTCGCATATACCGTTCTGTAATCTCGGTTCTGAGGCGCGCAAGCCCTAGTGGCCCATATTAGGATGAGGGGAAAGCTGTTCCAAATATTAGTGGAAGGATGAGTTCTGGAGCTGTCCTCTCTCAACGCCGGTTCATGGTTGTTATGACGGTATATCAAGCTCTCCATATTATACTGTCCATCTCGAATCTCTGCAAAAGGGGATATTCAGTGCGGCATATTCGTCATAACGGGTAGTTGTGAGGGTCGTTCTGATTCAAAGGACGAGCCGTTTGACCGAGCGCGCTCAATAAAGCTGAGGATATAGTATTCTTCGTTGGGTGTAAACTATCCACGGTGAGTACGAGAACATCCGAGAATAAAGAGAGGGTAGTTGATAGCACTGACGGATGCTAAAGCATCTTGGGCTTGCCCTCCTCAGGGAAGAGCACTGCAGCGGAATTGAAGGGTCCAAGATTCGCTCCTACCCCAAGGCTGGCTTCAGTACACGTGATACACGGAGAGGCATTGTACAGGTGACTAATCGATGCGCTCGCAGTGAAGTTGCCTTGTCCCATGCCAAGCCTTGTTTACTTTTCTGTCACCGTCACTGCCTCGCCTCTTCTCCCCACAACATCACCGGGAATTTTTTTTCTCACACCCGAAGTGCATTCACGCACACAAATCACGGCTTCCACAGTTTTTGACCACATCTTCTATCTCCACCTTCAATCAACTATATCACCAACACACGCACGGGACGCGCCGGCTTTCTGTCGTCAAGGGAGATCACCTCTTTCTTTTTACGCTCAATCACGTCCATAACAAACTCCTTTGTAATTGGAGGCAGCAGAGCAGGTAAGTCTATGAAGGAAGTCCTTCAACTATCAATTTCCTCCGCCTTGTTATATCAGGCTGCAGAAGGTTCTCAAAGTCGGTTCTGGTAATCTATACCTATATCCGCACAACCACAGCCAAGATTAACACTAGTTGAAGACACATGCAAGGTGAGGCATCCTTTGGAGAGGGATCAGACGGCTGTGCAAAAGCACAACCGTTTCTATCTGTTCTATTCTATCTGATCCCGCGCTTGCACTTTGCCTCTGCGTCGACAACCGAGCCCAACTACGAGCTAGTCTGGAAAACTTCTTGACTAGTAGAGTATCAGCTCATACATTTCAAAGCCTTCGCTTAACCCCAATACGCAGACTAACTTTTTCGTAGCCTTCGGCATCCTCACCGAATTCCCCGTCCATCAACGGTGCCCGCTAGAGCTCGGGTTTGTTCACTTCCGCAAGTCAATTCTTTCCGTGAGATCTGAAGGTAGGTACCTTTAATGCTTCTGTTTACGTACAATAACTGATATCAATCAAGTACAGATCGCACGAGCGGCACTTCGACTGCGATAACTCGGCTTCGATCCACGGTCCTAATACCGTTCCAATGATGCTCTGAGTTGCAACCTTCTATCTACGGGTATCTGGGTTGCGTTGTTAGAACATGATTCCATCTATCGAGAGCTATTGACCGATTTGATGTAAGGTTGCATCAAACCGGTCGATAGCCTCTCGATCGATGGGATCATGTTCTGATGCGCTTCCCAGCTGCCGCAAGGTAGAGGTTTGCAAGGCTAGGCGGAGGAACAGGTGGTTTACGCTCGCGGCCCTTGAGAAGAAAGATATTAAGCAGGGAGTGGCTGTCATGGGGAAGATCTGAGAACATGGCGCAGTGGACAATTTGGGTGAGGATACGATGCGGTATGGACAATGGCAACCTGCGAATTTGAATGTATACGTCGTACATGTGGAACTTCTTAGCCTTTCAGCAACAAATTGCCTTGGGCATCGTGAGATTTGCTATCCGGTAGATAAAAGGAGTCAGGCCAGCAGTATCTACGTTCGACTGTGTCGCGCAGATAAATCGAACTTAAATCGAACGATTGTCGGACTTGCTCCGTCACCACAACACACTGCTCTAATTAAGTAGAAATCTTGTATTATAATCCAGTGGACGTCCTAGACACATTTCCACAAACGATCAGATGCTTCCACTGGGCTGATCAACAAGTCTAGTGTTCATCAACCGGACCACTCCTGCGGAAACTGTGGAGCTTGAAGAAAGACTGAAATAAGTGCGCTCTCGTCAGAAGGGTATGCAAGCCCCACTACCGTGTTATCAGATCTGCTGCAGCTGCAGCTATCCATAACCTTGCTGCCGCATGGGGAACGTCATTGCTACTTGATGCGTCGGGAAGTTCAAAAGTAATGGGTAGGAACTGAAACCCACTTTGGGATTTGTGCGGCGATAACCTTCTGGGCAACAAGGCCGTTTTCAAAGGACGCCCACCATCGGATGTTTACCTCAGTCCTCCAATTAGCGCCTTCCACGACCATCATGCTAACGGCTTCGTGCACAGGAAGCTTCTACCTATCGTTGTACCGTTTGGCCCGCTCTAACAGAAACATGTACATGCATGGGTCTGTTCAAGTAACCCCATCCCGTGAACTGATCCGGTGTGAATACAAAGGCTCTACATTGATATGTCGAATGTAAGCCGTAAAGCCGCTTCGGACGCCTCCCAGAGTTTAGCAGGTTTGATAACGCATGCACAATGCACAAACGTGCAAATGTCCCACAGAGTAGACAGTAAACCACATTATGAACAGCAGACCTCCCGGTAAAACGGGTGCTGCAGTATTCTCCCTTGCCCTCTGCTCCGTCGGTACCTTCCTTCATTATCCGACACGCTTCATCCCCATCGCTGGCCTGACACACTTTCCCACTTCTTCACCAATGGAGAGTTCTTCAGGTCGGGGAAAACGCTCATATGGGCGAGCGCGAGCTGACGCAGGTAACGCTCGAGAAGGACGCGTCTCAACTCGGAGCTTAGAGTCGTGTCTTTCCCCAAGGAATTCAAGTATTGATGGATATCTTGGCCAGTAACTTTATATGCCTGGGACGTGAAGTCAGAATAAAGCAGGGAGGAGGAATTGCTTTCATTTACCATGTTGACACTGCGCTCTTTGAGGGAGTTCAAAATCAGGATCTGAATTTTGTCATTCCTGTGGTGGGTAATGTTGACGTCAGGGCCGCAAAGTAGGTCGACTACGGGAGTCTCATTCTTTAAAAGTTAGTATGGGGTTCTTAGAGGGTATGTGGTTTTACTTGAACGTACTGGATGCATGTAGGTGAACAGAAAGGGCTGCGAAACCAGCTCAGGAAAGGCCGAGATGTTCATGACCACCCAAAGGATCAGCTTATCTTCCAGTTTCTGCCTCTTCTGGACAACCGTTGTCTTCTGATTTTGCAATATGGATCGGAAGTAGCTAGCAAGTCGATTCTTGGTCAGGACGGTCCAGCTTCCGCCAAATATCTGGAAGGTGCATTGATCAAATGGAACGCGTCTATCGAGGTCGCGCAGCACCACTCTGGTTACGATTTTGTGTTCGTTGTCTTTTATAGGGGTTTTCCCCCAGAGAAGATCAACAATAGGGGTTTTAGATAGAATCGGGGTCAGTGTATTCGGTTCGGTTGATGCCTGAACGTGCATTAGTCATGTGGGCAGGAGACAGCCGGGGTTTCTGCTCACCTTGTGATCGGCTGACGACCGCTTTGGCGGAGTTGCAATCTCGACAGGAGGGCTTTTTTCTACCTTGATAAGGCTGGCACTCCGGGTACGCTCTACATCATTGTGGGAACGTGCAGTCCCAGATTCGTCCCGATGGTATTGGTTTTGATCCTCTTTATCAGTATTGAGTAATGTACCTGAAGTTGATTGGGGAAATGGCGTCGCTCTGGTGTCCTCCCCATTGGTATCCGGGCGGGTCAGCTCCAACATACTGAGATCCCCCTTTAAGAGTCTCTCCAAACATGTCTTCCACTGCTTGCGGTCTTGCTTGGATAAAGACGTCCATCTCCTGGACATCTCTTTGCGAACAGCACCTTTCGTTGCGTTTTGACCCACGGATGCTTGGGCGATAGGGAGTGCATGGAACGCAAACAAGTCCGTCGCCGAGAGGAAATGTTTCTGTACATCTTGGGCAGTGATATTTTCAGGATCGATGTCCCAGGTCCATGGTTTGAAACTTTTGTGTCGTTTCTTTGACAACGCAGTCGTGGCTTTAATCTCGAGATTTTCATCATTCTTCGCTTTGTCAGCCACAGCGGGCACAACTTCACTGGTTTCTAAGACAGTAGAAGCTTCGCGGTCAGCGGCAGGTATGCTAAGTCCACCACCCTTTGCAAGGTGGTCTGTATCATCTGAGGAAATGCTATCCCGAAGACGCCGGAATGCCTCTATCATATCATCCAGCACCTCACGATCCGTCTTCTTCCCGAACAGTCGATTCGTGGCGGCAATTACCGAGGAAAGGAGAGTTTGCACCTTTTCCGGGCTGTCCAAGTTTTGTGCGAGCATCCAGCTGCCACGGTGAATCATTTCAGTGCTGTAGACTTCGCGCATCTTCTGGATCCGCTTCTCCGTTGCATTAAACTCGCGCATATGCTTTTCAATCACATTCAAGCCCAGATCGTCAAGGAAGGTATCAGGAAAACAGATTCGAATGAGTCCTTGGACGGCCTCTTTGAAGACTTCCTCGTCAGGAGCTGTGTCAGCACAAATGACCTTCACACGGAATGTCCAGTCAGACGGAGCCGGCAATGAGCTTTCACTTCTCGGGAAGTAGGGATCTCGGTCGCCTCTAAAGACTGACTTCGCTCTGGATGTCGTCCGTGATCGTTTTGTGTGACTGTTGTCTGGAGAGGCTGATAGCCTCCTGCGCTTCCCCATCTTCAGGAATCTGGGGTCTTTGCTCGATATGAGTGAGCTCAGAGCAGGTCCCGCAGCAACCAGAAGAGCCTCCGATCGCGTTGTCCGCTTCGCACAACTCAATTGGAATCGAACCGTGTACCGCTTAAATAGCGGCTGTGATTAGCAGCTGTAGGGTCAGTTACAAGATCACTGGTTTAGGCATAGGCCACTGATAGAGCCAGCTGGGAAGATATGTAGGTCGACGAAGGTGAAATATTTCGAGATTTGGAGCGTTGATCCCATGCAACGCGCTAACGCGTAGTCACGTGTAAGTAATACTCGCCGAGACCTCTCGGATGAATCTCGGGCGGGGATTTCTCCAACTTCACCTTTTCCCAGAGAGCTTGGATAGAGGTTTTGGCGGCGCCTCACTATGTACGCACGTCATCACGTCGCGCGTATTCCCTTCAGCCAATCGACATGGCGACACTACCCGCAAGTGCACAAATGCGCTTGACTGTTGAAGTCCTTCCGCTTGCCGAAGAGAACTCGTACGGCCCATACCGTGATGTTGCGCTCGCAGCTTTCAAAGGCAGGAAGTTTGCACTGCCAGTACAAATAGACGATACCATTGAGAGAGTCTGGAGCAAGATTGAAGAACGCTACAAGAAGAACTATCTCACTCCGATACAGGCCGCGTACGTTGTCAAAAGCTTCCGTATGCAGCTCTTTCATGAAAACTAACAGTAATCGAAGTAGCTTCGCCATCAAGGTATTACAGGATGCGTACGATTGCGATCTAGATGTAGGAGATACCGTGCGGTCATTGTTTGAAGGAGAGCCAGACCCGGCGAAACGGATGATCAAAGTTGTACCAACCTTCGTATACCGCGATTTCTCGGTCCCATTAACATCGAATCTTCGCCCTGCGAGCGCACGGAAACGCCAGCAAGAAGCGCAGGCGAATGACTCAACCAAAAGAAGACGCCTAGAAGGGCAGGACCATGTCCAGACGAGCAGAAGGGGCGTACAGCACCGTGTGCTTCCGTCTACTGAGTCAGACCATAGCGTCGAGTTTGCGCGCGATACAAACGGCATGGCTCAAACGCACTCTGAACGAAAGGCCCGGCGATCGAAGTCTGGCTCCGTTATTCAGACTGGATATGCGCAAACAGGAGGAGCGGAGTTCGCATCGGTGCTTAAGGACGAATCCCCCGACTTGGGCGAGCCTTCTGCGCGGACCATTCCTGACTTGAACCTCTCCTCACCACACACCTCAAGAATCGAAAAATCCACGCCGCTTGCAGCAAGTGCAGTACGTACGCCTCGGTCTAGCGAAAAGGCGACGTCTCCATCCCGGACCCCTATTGCGCGCCGGTCACAACGCTCTCTCAATGAGGATCCTACAATTGGTCTGACTCAACAACGCTTGCGTGCGCAAGATGTAGAGATTGAAAGAGAGGAGGTCGAGCAGGCTGAGAGAATGCAGGATCTAGACAGTGTACATCAGTCTCCAAGGAGCTCTTCGCCAGAACCCACTACCGTTGAAACTGCTCCGCTTCCTGTACCTAGAAGGTCCGTTTATGAGGTGTCACCCTCGCCCGAATTTCTTCAGTCACCTTCGAAGCCGAAAGCGACGTATGCCCGTAATGCCAGGCCACGAAGGCAGCAGAAGTCGATTGAACCAAGGGGCACGTCCAGAGCTCCATCTCCCCGGGTACTCATACGCCATAGCCCTGTAAAGATGAGATTAGCAAATGGTACTGTAGGGATGGCTCGTCGCTTCAGGTTCTCAGATCCGGATCATATCGTTTCGACGCCCGAGACAAACGGTGCGAATGAGGCAAACCTGTCTCCAGACGACCATCCAGAATTACGAGAAAGCGGGCCAGCCGAGTCGGTGACAAAGAACGTCCAATCGAATGGGACGTTAGAGGCTGCAAAACCGTCGAAGCTCAAGAAACCTTCTCAGAAGTCGTATAATATGCCGCCGCCGAAGGAGGCACCAGACAGAGCAAGTCCATTGGGGCGTCCAGCTGCACGAGGACGACCTCGCTCTGTTGCGAAGAGTCGCATCTCTGCTCAGTCTACGTCGCCGAAACCGACGTCAACGACCGCTATATTGGCCCAATTGCAGCGCGTGAAAGAGAATATCCTTGCGAAACGGAGACAAAGTCAAGGGTCTCAGTCCGCTGATTTGTCGAATGGCTCGTCGAGACATGTATCGTTCTCGCCTACTCTGACGAGAGAGCAGAAAATATCCAGTCCAGCTCCTTCTCATGCGCAAAACGAAGCGGAGGAATTGCAAGCACAACTTGACGATGAAGTCAACAAAGAGACTGTCGCCGAGGTCGCTGAACCAAGTGCAGACGAGGAAGATGCACCAGTCGTGGAGAAGGTCCCAGAACTACCACCACTGCCATGGGACAGCAGTGCCAGTTGGGACTTTGGGGCCGTTCAAGGACAAGACGCCATTCCGCAGGAGGAAGCCGATGGAACTCCTGCGTCCAAAGCCGACAACGATGTTCGCTTGCCTCCACCTTCGGAGCTTCGGACTACAGGAGAGCCGGACAATGAAGCAAATGCTGCATCTAGGGCGACATCTCCAAGTGAGGTCAACTCGACGAGGTCCTCTCCTCCGGCCGTGCGCCAACCTGCTCGTTACTTGAGCCATTCGCCCACGCCGCAGCAGACAGACCCGGACGATGACGAGGGAGATGAAGACGAGAAAGGCACTGCCGCGCCTGCAAAGCCTGAGTCTGCCGCCACTGCCGTCGAGAGGGAGACTGACACAGAAACATCGTCGAGCGACAGCGACACCTCGACGGACTCGGATGAGGACATTGAAATGCCAGACGCTGACGCCGACGCCCCATCTCCATCCATCCCTGAACCCCCATCATCCGGACCCACGCTCCCCAGCCCAACACGTGCAGAGATCCCGATAGAACCTGCCGTGTCCCTCGCCGCACCACGTTCCTCAGAGATCCCACCCCCCGGCACGACAACAACAAAGACTACTACCAGCACCACGATATCCAAAACCCCAATTCCCCTCCCCGGCACAACATCATCAACAACAAAAACTGTCACGAGCACCGCGATATCGAAAACTCCAATTCCGCTCCCGTCCTCGCAACGGCTCCCGTCATCCCAACCACAAGGGTCACAGTCTGCCCGCCGACCACGCGCATCGCAGTACACGACGCTTAGGGAGCAGTTGAATGCCGCTAAGGCGGGCAGTGCGAACGTTGCGCGGAGAAGGACGTTTGATCCTTCGACGCAGAGTCTGAATCTGTTGAAGAAGGCGAAGGTCGAGGTAGGAGAAAAGAAGGGAGCGGATGCGAAAAAGGCTCTGCTTGTTGGGGGTGATGATGATAGTGAGGAGGAGAGTAGTAGTTCCTCTGAGTCGGACAGTGACTGAGGGAGGGAGGGAGAAGGGATAGGTTGAAAGGATGATGTGGATACTTGTTTTGCGCTTTGGGCTTTGCTTCGTGAATGCATGGTTCGGTGCAGTGAAAGAACGGCATTTGATTACAGCTCTTTCAACCGGGTTACGCATTGGGTAGGCGTATTCGAGTTGAGTACTTTAATGGAACGAATGGGAGTTTTTATTCATCATCGTTTCATTGGCCCATTGAGTATCGCCTACTTGCACTCCTGAACATCTACACCCTAATCCCAAGGGTACTGCCATGCTCAACGCCGACCCATCACATTTGGAAAAAATTGCACTCATCTGGCGGAGGAAGCCATTCATAACAGGAAATCTCTTGCCATGCACATGAATACCATGACCTATGCTCTAGAAAACCCAGTAAGCCGGAAGACCCTCCACCCACTCCACAGAAAAGGGGTATAAGCAAACCCAGCAGACGAACCCACAGGCCATCAAGCGCGGCCATCAAGAAACGCCTATTCATTAACCCAACCGACCCTCCCAACCATTCATCTCCCCGTCCCTTTCCCTCCCGCACAAAAACGCCTACTAATCCAGAGAACAAAAGATACACCCTACCCACAAACCTCTATTCCCACCCTCACACCTCCTCAGGCAAAATCCTCGCAAAATGCTTCTCCCAAATCCACCCCACCGTCCTACTCGGATCATCCTGATTCCGCGCCAACCACAACTCGCCCTTCATGCCAATGACGTCGAAAATCTCGCCGGGCACATATACCAGGTAGGGGATTCCCCCCTCGCGCCTGTCGTGCGCGATGTTGAACTCGAACAGCGATGCCGCCAGGAACAGAACCTCGGGTTCCTCCAAATCGGCCGGCGTGCTGGGATGCAGCTCCTCGACGGAGCGGTTGGCCGACGGGGAATCGCTCATGGGGAGCGCCGAGGAGAAGATGGCGGAGCCGCGGGAGCTGCTTGGGAAGGAGCCGAGTTGGCCCACGGGGCGAGGCGAGCTTGCGCCCTCGAGGCATCCGTCCTCAGGGTTGCCAAGGTTGGGGAAGGGTTGGAGAGAAGAGCGGCCGGTCCTGGTCACGGTGAGGTCGCTGCGTTCGGACGAGGGGGAAAGGGTACGCTGCTCCTGTAGAGCTCTTGGGCTCGGATTCTGTGCGGGAAGGCGGCTGCTGGAGCCTACGGCGGGGATCTCCCAAGCGTAGTCGCCGGCTGACTTTTGCTGGGACTGGATACCACCATGAGGGGCGGACCTCGGAGGTGCTTCTAAAGTGTGCGCGTTGCGCTGGCTCGGCGTCGTTCCGCTGCGACGGTGTCGATGATCAAGCAGAGACGTGTCACTATTGATTGACTCGGTGCGACGTGACGTGGACCTGCGAGACGAACCATCTTCGGCGACTGCATTGATTGATTCCGTACGACGGGACGTGGACTTGCGAGAAGAACCATCATCCGTGACGGTATAGATAGACGTGTGCGGCGACTGGAAGTTGGCCATGTCGTAGATCAAACGGCCGTTGCAGATTTCCAAGTTGCTGACCATATTCTGTACGGCCGAGAAATCCGACTTGAAACGAGCAACATAGTCTCTCAGGTCATGGGTAAACGACGACGTGTGCTCCGGCTCGTACTCCAGAAGCGGCAAAATCTTCTTCTGGCAATTCTTCCAAAACTGCTTCTGGTAGTTCACAAAGCTCTCGAGTATTCTCATCATGAGCAATCTTGTGAGGTTGTACAGTTTCGGAAGCTCGTCCTTGAGAGTCTCGTTGAGAGCTTCGAACTGCTGTGCAGCCTCCTTGAGCTTCGAGTCCACCTCCTCCTTGCGGTCCAAAGCCTGCTTGTACTTGGTATATTGCGCGAGAAGCTTCTTGCGTTTTTCCATGTGCGCCTGCGGCTTACTGTAGAGGCCCCAAACTTCCATGATCGGCCTGTAGATCTTCAAATGTATGGCCTGTTTCTGCAACTGAGAGTCAGCACCATCTCTCCAAAATGACGTGAAAATGAACTTACATGATCTTCAAGGAGCTTCTGGCGGAGCTCCAGGAGACCTTGAACGGTTCTTTGCCAAGAGGCCCTCGTCTCCAGGTTTGTACCCATTTGGTCTTCAGCAAGTGCAAGCAGCTGCATGGTCACAATGTTGAGGTGGAGGAAGGCAGCGGTCAGATCCTCGGAGTACTTGTCCAGGTCCTGCTTCACAATTTGAAGCTGAAAGAAATTGCCCCCAAATTTCTGAAAGTGTTGCTCGTACACTGGATCGGTGAAGATCGTGTCTCCTGGAGCCGGTTTGGGAGATTTCTGATTGCCCTTAAGTGCCTTTACAATGTCGATACCTCGGAAACCCTTCTTCTTCTCCTTCTTGCCCTCCTTGGTTGCAAGACGCAGAGTTTCCTGGCGCTTCTTGAGTTCATTGATGCGTTTGTTGATGTCGAGCAAGCTTTCCAACGAGAAAACGATATCCGCATAGTCGTCATGTGTTTTCGGGGAGTCGTCCTTCAGAGACTGCAGGATCAGAGGGTACTTGAGCAGCCGCTGCACTGGCTTGACAAGAAGCGAATCGAGATCCCAGGCATCGGTGATGTCCTTGGACCCTTTGACACATTCCTTCTGCCAAGCATCGAAATCGGGCTCTTTGCGGTGGGCCACGATCATCTTGTTCGCCTTATCATGATTGAGCAGGTACTTTGTGTAGAGAGCCTCGATTTTCGGGAGCCAGTACTTGAACACATAGCCGACACTTGTATGGTTATCATTATCCAGGTTGCAATATTTGAAGAGAACCTCGGGTTCCTTCGGTTGCTGGTACTGTTGCTCCAGGTTCTCGTCAGATTCCTTATCGAACTTCCAATGGGCTATTTGTCTAAAAGCGTTCTTCAGGTCGATGACGAACTGGTTGTGGAAATCAGAGAGCTCCACTACGTTACAAAAGAGCGTAGCCTGGTCATGGGGATCGGGAAAGACTTCCTGTGCCGTGGCCATCCATACATGCCTGACAACCATGAGATCAGACATGTAGTCATTCTCGGTTCGACACAGCTCCTCAATGATACGGTATCTATGGTGCAATCGGCGTGCAATGGCATCGGAGTCCTCGCCCGGGAAGGCAGCCGGGTGCACACTCTCGGTGGTCTGATCAGACGCGCGGCCTCCTTCGTGCGACTTGTCACCATGAATGTCCCTGGAATCTTCTTGACTCTTTCCCCTATCCAGCTTTTCCAAGGAGTCGTTCAAGGTCGGATGAAGGGATACATCATCTGTCGGAGCATGTGCAGTCTGGACCTCTTGTGTAGTGTGAACTCCATACCCTGGCCGAACTTCTGTCTGTGCTTTCGGCGCGGTCTGGGTCTGCTGTCCGGTCTGAACTTCGTGCATGGCGCGAGCTTCTTTCGCGACCTGAATTCTTTCGGCGCGAGTAGCAAAGCGGTTTCTCTCACTGCCACTCACGGAGGAGGTCAGTGCGTACGATGAGAAATCGTCATGAGATCCGTCCACGTATTCGGAAGCTGGAGGGAGACGCATGTTGCCTCTTCTGTTTGAATCTGATGTGAAGGATTGTGTGGGCTGAGACGCGGAGGAAGGCAATGTCGTAGGGGTGGGAGGGTAATGAGGGAGCGACGAGTGACCAGGCCATTTGGACGACTGGCCTAGATGCTGGTTCTCTTCCTCCTGCAGTCGCCTTTGCTTCTGTTGATTTGCCTCGAGGCCCAGTCCCAGGCCCTCGCCCGTGGATTTAATTTCAGGGAGAAAATGGTACGAAGCGGGATCTGGACGCCCGTAACTGTCTCGGTAATGTTGGACAGGGCCGGACGCAAAGGATTGATCCTGGGCCGGAGGGGGCGGCACAAAAGTCGTCGAGGGGAGAAGTTGGAGCGCGGGCGTAGCCGCTTCACGGTCCTCAGAAGAGGTGTCGACCCGGCCTCTATCGTCGTGTATCGTTGTGGCCGTCGATGCATGGGACCCGCGCGAGTATCGCCGCGATTCCGACGGGAAAATGATTGCGGTTCCGCTGGTATGCGAGTCGCCTGCGTCGTCCTCAAGTTCGCTGTAGCCCACGACTGCTTTACTGTGTCTAATGATATGATTAGACTCGGTCGTGGCGCTGGTATATCCCGCTGATCGTTGCTGCACGCCATTGGCATCACTAAGAACTCGGGCCAGGTATGTCTCAGTGGATTCCTTGGAGCCCCAGTCCTCATGTTGTGCTATAACGGGCGAGACGCGCTGGACCTCTCTTCGAGCGTCTTCGGCAACTTGAGGTGTGATTTTTGGCGAGCTGTGATAGGTGTTCAATACTTTGTTGATGACACTATAGGCTTCGCTGTCTAGTGTCATTCCGTTGGATTCTTGGCCCGATGCCGCCTGCGGAGCCCACTTCTCAGCGGGTTGTCTGGCCTGGCTATAGAATGCGACATTGCTGGCTGAATCTTCTGGCCGTAGGGTATCGCGATTTGGAAGGGGATTGGGATCCGTAGGAGAATGGTCTTCCTCGAGGTACGATATTGTCCCAGAATCGTCGAGCGGTTCAGCGCGCCATCTTCGGTCGCCAATGCTGAGACGAGTTGCGGCCTTTGGGCGTTCGTTCGACCCGGTCCCTTGGGTAGGGCCGTTTTCAGCACCAAGCATGATTGGAATGGACTCCCGGACCCCCAGTTCCGAGGGGTCGTTCTCAGTGGCCTCAGAGAGGACAGTCTTGACCGTATCCAACACACTCGCTGGCTGGAACACTAAAGGCTGTAGAAGCTCTGCACCCACATTTCCGCTCAACCGTTGTGATTGTGACTGTGATTGTGACTGCTGTGAACCCTGCCCTTGCTCTATGGGCGACTGAGTGTGCGCGAGGGGTGGAGTTACCATGAAACTGCCCGGAATACCCAGAACGGGAGACTCCTCATACTGAAAATCCGTAGTCGAGTAAGGAGCTGCCTGGGAGTGAGGCACACCGAGAGTAGCAGTCTCTAGAGTAAGATGATTACTTGCAGCGGGGCTAGCAACACCTACTCCATCAGCACCATCTATTGCGTTGGTCAGGCCGTGATCTGTCGACGTGTCTTCCGCGGACAGCTCTTCTGGATTGCATGGCGGATCAGTGTGACTGCGGAGCCTGTTGTGGTCAACTTTGTGCTGCACAATGGACTCGAACGCTGTGAAGACTGACTCATCAGGACCCTCAGGAGCATGTGAATGTGCACCTGTCGAACCTGGGGTGGGGAATTGACGCTCACGAGCGTGACGAAGGCGCGGCGATGCAGCTTTCGCTGCGCTACCGAATGATGTTGCCGGTTTTGTCAACGTGCTGGTAGCTTGCTTCCCACGCTCACGGTCATTGTGATTTGAAGTTGCGGGGAGGATTTCATTTGTGCCAAGAGGGCGGCGTGAATGGTTGTTCCTAGCAAAACCACCGGGTGGCCTTGCTGAACTGGCTGGTGACGAGCGCACTGAGGAGCTAGAGTCCGAAGCTACACTCAGGCGCCGAGTAGCTACGGGTATTCGTGACGGTGGTGATCGTCGCTTCTCTCGAGGACTTGACGAGTCGGGCGGCGTACTTGAGAGGGTTAGGTTGGTCGATGCGGAAGGGGGCCCGCTTGTAGATCTTCCCTGGCCTGTTGACATAGTCGCATGATCCGCTGCTTCATTGGGAGGCAAGGGAATCTCGCCAGGAACTTCGTCTTTCAATTCCGAGCCCGGCAGCGAGTCAGCTATTGGTATCCCAAAGCCCGGTGTGCCCGCATCGTGTTCACCCACCACCTCGCCAAAAAACGGCCTCCTGCCTGATGATGCGGTTCGGTGATGTTTTCGTGGACTCGAGGACGGTGTTAGTCTCGCCGGAGAAGTCTGCTTCTCTACATCCTTCCTGTTCCCGTCTCCCTTATGCAGCCGGGCGGGGGAGGGAGGCGCGGGTTGTGGTCTCTCGCGAGGCTTCAGGTTGTTGAATTTATGGGGACCATACGATATCTCTCTCGCGGGGCGCGGGGAAGACGAAGAAGCCATGGCCTGCGTATCCGAAACAGATCGCGACGAGAGAGGGCGACGGGACGGTGGAGTCGACCCAGCGGCGTCGTATGCCCGCCTACGAGATGCGACAGGCGACTCATCCTTTTCCGGGGCTTGACTAAACTTTTGAGCCAGACTCTTGACACTCGGCCGATCGGGAGGGAGGATTGTTCGAGGATTCGAAGGCATTTGTGGAGGGCGGGTCCGAGGAGGAGGGTGTGGACTGGTTCGAAAAGGAGGCCTTGACGCACCGACTGCGCCTTGTGAGGTTTGCCTTTGGCGAGTGGTCGTCATGCCGTCGGTGTGAGCGAGAGGTCTGGATGGGACATCGGGTGGAGGGTAGCGGTAGAAGTCGTCAGGCGAAGGGTCGGAGGGATCTTCTGCTGGGTCGTCGAGTTGCGTCGCAATCGAGGTGGATTGTACCCAACTTGCGACGCTGGGATGGTAGGCGAAGTTATGCATGGCGGTGTTATCTCGATGCACCATTCTTCCACCCTAGGCCACCATGGCCCAGAAACCAAATGCAACGGGTTGGCCAGCGCGAAACCAAGTCAGTGAGCGAGTACAGCACAAGCTGGCGAGGGAGCTAGCGGTAGAACCAATCAGCCTGTAGCCAGAGATGGAGGCCCGGGACGCTCAAGCGCACTCAAATGGCGGCGGCCAGGGTCGGAGAGGGACAACTCACTCGGTGATGAGGTCCAATCTATCGGGGGACGAGCCAATGAAGGGAACAGCAGCGTGGGCGGCCCAAGGTTGCGGCCCTCGGCCAGCTGTTTCAGGCTGAAGATGAGGCGCCAGAGGGGAAGAGAGGGATCGGGGATTAGCTGGCGCGGGCCGACAAAAGGGGAGGTAAGTGGTGCACGGGGCGCACACAACTGAACGGCTGCGACGGGGTGACGGTAGGTTGGGTATGTGGGGGTTTGGGGTTGAGGGCGAGGGCGAGGGCGAGGGAGCGGGGCGTGAAAGGATGTTGTGGTAGGTTACGAAGACAGCGAAGTGGGCGGTGGTGGTGTGTGGTGATGGTGGTGCGCACAGCGAGCCGGGGTCTGTCTGTCTGCTCCCCGGGCGGGAACTTCACATGAGTCCCGCCGCCTCTCTGGCACGCACCAAAGGTCCTCTCTTGGTACCTTATTTACACCGTACATCCTTCAACAGCCTAGGGAAAAAGCGGCCTCTCGGGTGGATTAGGGGAGAGAGCCTGGCAGCCTTGAAGTCCCACAGGAAACAACACCTTTAACTGTTTGAGCGGCCGTTCACTGCCATTTGCTCACCTGGGCAGTCGTGTGGGTGTTTCCCTCCAAGTACCTTCCCCTCCCGTCGTACTTGTACAAAAGCACAAAGGCAACACAAGACATAGTCCATTCCAGGTTACTTTGCCGTTTTTGCTACGCATACAGAATTCTCCGTACTGTTGTTCCATTTGCTTGCCGCGCCGTTGCCCAGCCCTGCTCAGCACCATCTCCCACTACTCTGTACTGTGTACTCCGTACCTATCGATACATAGTCTCTGTTCCGTCGGGACCTCCTTCACCCCAGCTGCGGTTGACGCAACAAGACGGGAGACGGACGCCGATCCGGTTAGCCTGCCTGGGCTGTTCCTGGCTCCCGGCATCGATTCAATCGCTCTCTGGACAGACGATCCGATCCGCAACAGATATCCACCCTGGGGCACATCAAAACCGCCATCTCAGCGCATGGGCTGGAGAGCGCAGCACGATTAGTAGATTTGCTGTGTGACGGTGTTGCGGCGGATGGATCACACGGTACAAAGAGAAGAGATTCCTCCCATCTACGGGCCATTTCACTGGAGCAATCAACAGAAGAGCGCACCCCTGGCAATCCCATTCCTCCTATTTGGGAACCACGTTCAGTAACACACCCACACACACCACTATCCGTGTTCTCCCCATCCTACTTCTCGGCTTTATATTATCTATCCTTCACCTCCCGCGTCCATGCGTTGCTCCGTTGGACAACAATGAAGAGAAAGCGCAGCAACGGGCACATGGCCGAGAGAACCCCAAAGCGGCTTAGGGACATCTCCAGCCAATCCACCTCGGCCACACCTCCAACTGTCGACCATCCCGTCCTGCGCCGCCTCTACCCCCAGGTCTTTACATTGCGCCAATATGTCTTGTCCAGACTGCCTACTACGTCCAAAAACAGGCGGCGGAGAATATCGCAACTGCGGCAGTTGGATCCTTCGCATGGCGTCGACTACGAACTCGCAGAGCTGCTGGACTCGACGCTGATTGGCTGCCAAGCATCCTCGACCACCCAAAACGAGACGATCCGACCACGACAGGAAGACCTCCAACGCTTTTCCCAGCTGCTGCAGGACTCCAACTCTGGCAATACCTTCAAGTCTGGATATTTCCTGCAATCCGAGGTGAGACGTTGTCCCTTTTCCTAAATTTCGCTCCTTTGAACATCACCTATCACCGGGGCGTTTTTGGACATTGGCACTAAACTAAATACTACTAGATTGTGGACTTCGTCATCTGGCTCGTCTTCCAAAAGTCTCCTTCCAGCAAGCCTTCTCACCTGCTCTGCCATAGCTTTCAGAGGCCCAGTACAGCTACACACAATGGTGTTGACAGGGGCGGACGGCAACGCCCACCGGGCAACGTCAATTGCACGTCCAACGCCTACGTGAAACTGCTCAAGGGGCCTCTATGGGGCCGATTGCATTCTCTCCTCGGTCGCGACGGGAATGATATCATGATGGATTTACTCCTCAATTGTGCAATCTTCAGTCGTGTTGAGGGGAGTTTAACAAACTACTATCAAATCAGCGGTACGCAACATGACCATTGTGGAGCAACAAGTGCTGACAGCCAATAGGCTACCCTTCCTCAGACATTAGGAATCCGACCGATGCACCTGTCGCTTCCACCTCGATGCCATCACGCAAAGCTGCCTTGAGCGGGGAGAACAGGAAGCCCAGTGCCATTGTCTTTGTGCGGAGTCGCATGCTCTACGCTGACGCCGCACTGAACGCCAAAGGAGGTGTCCGGTTTGGCATGCGACATATTCGTAAGGAGGAGCTGCCTGTCGTCATTCAGGTACAGCTGCTGATCGTGCCTAGACGTCCTGAATCGCTTCCCGGATGTGAACAATGCACAGCAGACTACTCATATTATGCGCTACATCTTCCCTCGTCAATTTGGCTTACACAACGTCTTTACCTCCAAGATCGACCGCCGGGAAACCGCCATGCCCTTCACAGATTACACCCTGCGGGAGAAAGAAATCAATCAATCGCTCGCTCGTGAAGCCCAGGGCAAGGAGATAGACGACGAAATGATCTTGAAGCGGAAATCTAGACTGCCAGCAAGGCTAAGAGGGGAGCCCTTCGGTTTGGTTGCACGAATGCGCAAGCTCAACAAGAAATGCTCATATGTAGAGCTGCTCCGGCACTACTGCCCAGTCGAGGTATGTTCATAATAGACCCGCATACGTCAAGTCTAGCTGATCATGTTCAGGGACTTGATTTATCCCCGACGTCAGGCTGCAGAAACAGTTTACTTCAGCCGACCACAGACGTACCTGCAGCTGCAAACCCATCAAGCCGCGTCAGGGGTATATCACACAACTCCCGAACCCGGGCTGCGGGACAAACGTGCTTTACAGATATGGCATGCCCGGCCGCGCATGTATCAGCATTCTGTCGCGCAGTCATGTCCAGAGTGATTCCAAACGGCTTCTGGGGCGACGAGAACAACAGGCGCATAATCATGCACTGGGTAGACCAGTTTATCTACCTGAGGAAATTTGAGAGCCTTTCCTTGCACCAGGTCATGCAGAAAATCCAGGTAGGTCGCTGTTCGTGACATCTGGTCACTATGTATCCATGCTCACTCCATCATCGCAGATAACGAGTTTAGCCTGGCTCCGGCCGCCTGGGCAGGACCCCACCACGAAGATGGCCAAGACCGATTCGGATAAACGTCTGGAGATCTTCCAAGAATTTGTATACTGGGTGTTTGACTCGTTTCTGGTTCCACTGATCCGATCCAACTTCCGTGTGACGGAGACGAACGTGCATCGGAACAGGCTCTTTTACTTCCGCCACGACGTATGGCGCATGCTAACCGAGCCCTGTCTTGCGAGCCTGAGGGTGAACATGTTTGAGGAGATGGCTGATGAGTCTGCCATAAGAGTATTATCTCACAGGCCCATTGGATATAGCAAGATCCGATTGTTGCCCAAACAAAGTGGGCTCAGGCTAATCATGAACCTCAAAAGGAGGCAGCAATTGAGGCGCAACGGCGTCACCATGCTTGGCCGAAGCATCAATTCCGTGATGACGCCCGTCTTCAACGCCATCACGTACGAGAAGGTAAGCCATGGTCTTTTCCAATGCTGTGCTCATCATCTAACGAGTGTCTAGTCGCTCCATCCAGACAAGTTTGGGTGCTCACTCTTCTCGGTTGGTGACATGTTCCCACGACTAACTTGCTTCAAACGTTCGCTGAGCGAACAAGGACTTGCGGACAGCCGGCTCTACTTTGCCAAAGTCGACGTGCAATCGTGCTTTGATACCATTCCTCAGCAAAGGCTACTCGCCATGGTGGAGAGTCTACTGACATTGGAAGCTTACCAGTCAGGAAAGCATGCAGAACTTAGGCCCCTGGAACGATTGCAGCGGCTCGACGGTGAGTATGTGGATCCGCTACCCATCAGACGCTACGTCGCCCACACTGGAGCTGTTGGGGAGTTCGCAGCGTTCGGGGATATCGTACGGGATCAAGTTGCCACAACCAAGGGCAACACCATATTCGTGGATACAGCCGCTCATCAAGTGGAGACCAAGCACGATCTCATGCGTCTGCTGCGAGAGCATGTGGAGCGGAACCTGGTGAAGATTGGAAAGCGATTCTACCGGCAGCGGACGGGCATTCCGCAAGGCTCCGTATTGTCGAGCATACTATGTAACTACTTCTATGCCGAGTTCGAGAGGGAGAAGCTCGGCTTCGCTCTGGGGGCCGAGTCTCTTCTGCTGCGGTTGCTCGACGACTTCTGCCTCATCACGACGAAGCGGGAGATCGCAGAGCGCTTTGTAGAGGTGATACATCGCACCCACGATGACTATGGCTTGTGTGTGAAGAGGGAGAAGTCATTGGTCAACTTTGACGCGGTCTGCGAGGACGGCTATAGTATTCCGAGGTGTGCCTCCGATGGCCGATTCCCCTATTGTGGCGTGCTGCTCGATACGAAAACGTTGGAAGTCAGCAAGAACAGTAGGCGTGTTGGTCAAGCGAGTAAGTGGGAGCAGGATGCCCTATTTCTGTCCGCGTCTGACGATAGCAGGTGTGGTGGATTCGCTGACGGTGGATATGGCGAAGGTGCCAGGTCAGACTTTCCATCGAAAAACGCTCAAGTGAGTATTTGTCGTCTTTACATCCGCAAAATCCGAAAACCTGCCTTTGTTGGGCAGAGAGAAAAAAGCAAGATGCGATCGATTGATCGATTGATGAGATTTTCCTTGTGCTAACCGTACCAAGTGGCTTCAAGATCCAGCTGCAAGCCATGTTGATTGACACATCACTCAACTCGGTCGAAACGGTGCTAGCGAACCTGCACCAGGGCTTGCACGAAGCGGCGGTGAGGTGTTTTGAGTATGTGCGCAGCCTGAGTAGAGCGAGGCCAACGCATTCTCGGCTGCTGATCAGTGAGTCGACACTTCTTCCAAGTTCCCATGGAAAGACTTGTCTACAACTACAAGGCAAGGAAGAATTGGAGGAACATGGCATGCGCTATCGAACCTGGCATGCACTGTCGATCACAGACAGGCACAACCGAGGGCCAATCAGGGAACAAAACCATGGAAAATGGCTGCTAACAATATTTCAACAACAGAGACAGTCGAAAGCCTCATGGCTCTCGCATATGTAATGCTGCAGCGGCGGACGCGAAGTCGGACAAGACAAAACGTGGAGAGAGTCCGGAGTGTCATCTCCCGGAAGCACATTCAGTGGTACGTGTGGCTTGATTGGAGGGTCTCACGTCCGAGAGAAGAAAAAGGGTCCAGACCAACCAGGCTGATGCGCGTGAATAGGTCGACATGTAAGGCCTTCGAGGCCGTGTTTCAGCGCAGACAGACACAACATCGGGCCTTTCTGGCGTGGATAGGGAACACAATGGCGACAGCCCGTCCTCGGTGTGGCGCTGAAAGGCGCATGTTGGAGAATGCGGCCGTGGCTTGGCGTGCAGGGCGCAGCGGAAGTGGTGGTGCAGGGCGTTGAGTCGTGATATCTGGATGTCCTTGGAGAAAACCGGATTGTGTGGTGGGAGTGGGGGGTGATGGTCCAGTCGGAATGAGTGAATGTTATCGACATGGAGAACGACCTTGGAAGCTGGCAGGCTCATCGACAGTGAATAATAAATGATTGGCCCCTTCCTGACCTTATCCATGGTGCAACGTCGTGATATTGACCTCATAGTCTGGCCTGCTTGTTACCAGCCCTCAAATAAGTACATAATGCACGGCGCAACGGCTGGTACCACGCTTCACCAGCCTCCAGGTTTCACATGGGCCACGCTCTCCAACGTCCAACGACCCTGACAACTCCTGCGCTTGATTCTCACATCAAGTTGTTGGGCCCCCGGTCCTGCGGCGGGGAGTGCCTGGGAATCTGCAAAACACTTTCGTCGCCCCCCTTTCCCTCACTCGTATTTACTTTTAGACGAACATCTTCAACTTGTACTCCCCCCCTTCTCCCGCTCAACCCTCATCGACGTCACCCTCAAGGACCGAATCCGCCGTTTAATAATAATAATTTAGTCGCCGTTGGCAGGGGCCAGCTCTTTTCCGCGGTGCCGGGTAGCCCTGCACAACTTGCCGCCAAACCATCAGATTGATCAGGGGCTAGCTTACTTTCCCGAAATTGCTCGGCCTCTCCTGCGCTCTTCTCGAGATGCCCACCACTCTCTTTGCCCGCCAGCAACAACACCAATACCTTCACCACCCTCCCTTCCCCTTCGTCCCCGACGCCGATAGCTGCAACAACGACCTGTACATCATTGCCGAGCATGAATACGTCCACTCTTTGAGCTTGCCCGTCTGCTGCGACGCTCGCGTCCCACCCCTCGCGCTCCGACCCCCTCCTCGCCGTTCTCAGAGACATTCTTCTTCGCAGTCCACGCGCCGCAACAAAACACCACTGGCAACCATGACCGCCCTCACATACTCGCACAACCCGGCAATGGCGGTCATGGGAGGCGCCCCTGGATCGCCGCCCGACCTGACCAACTCCAAGTCGTCCAAGTCGAGCTCCTTCCATTCCTCCTCCCTCTCGGACGTCATGGGCCCCCATGACCTCGCACACTTCGAGGAAATCAGCCTCGACGATGCTCAGGCTGCTTTAGGTCCCCCTTCCTTCCCACTGCCGCCTTCGCCCTCGAATCGCGTCCTCTTCGAAGCCACCAAGACTTCCACTTCGGTCGGTCGAAGCTTGTCCCATGCTCACTCGACCCACTCCTTTCGTGACCTCACAGGCAGTACAAAGCCTCGCTTTCCAACTCTGAAGGGTCAGGTCAACGCTGCGGTACATCAGCAAACGCAATTGAGTGCCCCGAACCGCTCCTCTCGACGAGGCTTCACATCGCCTTCCGCTCCCTCCCTTGCAAACATCACCAATCTCGCTGCGCCGGGCCGCCGTTCCCGATCTCCTTCCCCTTCTCAACCACAAACCTTTCCGCCTGGCCCCCGTTCTCTCTCTCGCCGCAGCTCTAGGAATAGTCTTGCCGTCTCAACATCGACGACCATGGAAGGAAGGAGGCAGTCGTGGCAGCACGCGCCCCGGAAAACCGCAAAGGAACGGGAAGCCGAGTGCGATGATGATGACGACGAAGTCCCCGAGGATCTGATGATGCCAAATGTCCCTATTTCCCCCAGACCTTTCTCCGAGCGAGGATCGCCTCCTTCCCTCCCCAACAGCTGGCCCGAAATCACGCCAAGTCCCGTAAGCCGTCCTGCTTCGCTGCGGAGCATGTCTCCTGGTGTCCCTCGACGCCACTCTTCTCAGCCGCCGTCCCCGAATCCAGCTACCCCTGGGCTCCGGGCGCAGTCGTTGACTGGCCAGCGGATCAATACTTGGGAGGATACTTACCAGGCTCTTGATGAGGACGCCAAGAAGGTCACCGAGGCACTAGAGGAGTATCAGTCTGAACTGGATCGAGAGCAGGAAATCAAGAGGCAACAGCCAGGCTTGTCCCGATCGTCTTCAGTCGAGGCCAAACCGAAGCCCGGGAAGCCGTCGCTTCCGCCGTTGCGGAAGAGCGACCCCTTGATCGACCCCTTCCAGCCCTCAGCTGAGAAAGAGAAACACCTGTCTCGAACTCGCCCTTCATGGCTCCCGCCCAAAGATCCATTGGAGGAGAAGAAGCACTTGAAGGAATACGCAAAGATCCAAGCGCGTGTCCAGGAAGCTTGTAAGATGATGTGCTTTCATCCCATATAGCTCCCTCAACTGACTTACCATAAATAGTGCGGGAACAGGCTCGGAAGGAGGAAGAGGAGAAGCTAGCGCGTGAGAAGGTCGGACGCAAAAAGGCAGATCTCTGGCAAAATGTCCTCCTACCAAAGTACGCGACCGAGGTTGCAACGCCAGCGGGCAAAGCAACGTACCGTCAGCTCTGGTGGAGCGGCATCCCACCTCAAGTCCGCGGTGCTGTCTGGAGGACGGCTATCGGCAACGAGCTGGAGATCTCCGAGACCACGTTCAAGGTGGCACTTGAAAAGGCGAGAACCGAAATCAGAGAGCTGGGCGACCGAGCGCTGGGCGGAAAGGTGCCCTTCATTGTGGAGAACACCCGGAGTGTCTTCCCCGAGCTGAAGATGTTTGCGCCCAAATCCGAGAGCGCGGAGGAGCAGCCGTTGCATAACGACCTGGTCAATATCTGTCTGGCGTACAATTCGTATCGACCAGACGTCGAGACATTGACCGGTATTCATGTATGCCTTTCATCCCATCTTCCGTCGGACTATACTGACATGCACCAGCACCTGGCAGGCCTTCTTCTCCTCAACATGAGCGTACCGGATACGTTCATTTGCCTAGGCAACCTCCTCAACCGCCACCTGCCGCTTTCCTTTCTCGTCCAGGACCACACGGCCATGATGGCCGCCTACGACATCACGCTCTCCACACTATCCATAAAAGCACCGACCCTGGCCAGGCGCTTGGAAGAACTGCGCGTCGAGCCCCGCGACTACCTCCTACCCATGTTCACCAGCCTCTTCTGCGACCGTCTACCCGTCGAGCATGCCGCTAGAGTCATCGATGTCTATGCTGTCGAGGGCGACAAGATTGCGCCGCGCGCCGCTGTGGCTCTGCTTGGCGTGAGAGAGAGCAAGCTCTATCAGGGAGAGGTGGAAGATATGCTGCGGAACTTGGCCGTGCAGGAGATGAAGATGCATCCGGACGATTTTATGGCGAGGGTGTATGAGGCTGGGAAGAGCCAGTGATAAATCGGCACATACATGTCGACCCGCACACCTCTCGAGGACGCCTCCCGGATTGCAACATTATTTTCGGATCGAGCAACAACGAACATTGTTGAAGCCAAGAGCTCAACCCTTTCATTTTCTTACACCACAGCGCATCACTTATAAAGCTCAACCATCGCGGGAGACGACGAGCTACGAGACAAAGACGACATGTTTTATTCTTTGATTCCCAACCTCGAACAGCCGAGCTACCATGCGGAGAATCCGCTGCTGCTACCACCAAGTTTCCTCTGTTACTGTCCGCCTATTCGATCGACTCTTGCATGCCTCGGCGTTGTACAACATTCTTACTTGCATTACCGGTCGTACCGGACTCGCCAGCGGCGATGTTTTTTCTCTTCTACATCTAGTCGTTTCACACGTGCTAGTGCAAGTGCGACTCTTTTTTTTCTCTTCTCCTTCTTCTCTGGCCTCACTGGTTCTCGACTGCGCGTGCCTGGCATGTTGAGCAAGCCGGCGAAATCAGCTTTGGTGTTTTGAGCTTTTACCGGATAAGTTTTATTCGAGTTTCTATTCGTGAATGTATAAATTAATAGGGTTCTTTTTGGGAGATTGTGTTTCTCGCTGGGATGGGGATAGATGGATGGGTTTTGGGTGGAGTATAGAGAGGGTTAGGTGTGCATTTTCTGGGATGAAGGGGTGTAGGAGAAGGGAGACGGAGAGGGGATGAATAAGGTGGTCATAGAGAGAATCAGCAGTGATATTGATACTGATACAATCCATGTGCTGTGCTCCCATAGCAGTGTTCGCACCCGTGCCGTGGTGTATTTCATTGTAAGCGTTTTATCCTTCCTGTGTTCTGAGACCAAGGCACTGCAAAGAGTCTGAATGGGAGAATAATTATAACTCTCCTTGGCATCTACGAAATGCGTTCTCGTAGCGACAGTTATGAGTTTGTCATATTTATATAAAAAAAATAGGGAGCAAGTCTGCGAGTAGGCGAGTCCCTGAAAGAGCTACAGGAACATTGCTGCGTTTAGCAATAATGCGTTATATGTTATCAACTTTGAGCCCTTACCTATCTTGCTAGCTAGGCACACGCAAATATCCTTTCTCATTCGTACTCGAGACTTAAGTTTTGCAACGGGACAGCCTCTAGGTCGATATCTAATACTCTACCCTCTCCAACTGCGTGAATCTAGGGAAGGACAAGATATGAAGCCTAATGAGGTAGTAGCAAGATGGCAAGGATTGTCGATACAAAGTTAGAACTATTATTTGATTGACATCATCTGCGCTAATATACACTTCACCCAAGGCGCAGACAGATACCATATGCTTCGCAGGCTTTTCAACGAGGACATTGTATCGACATCATTGTCTGCAGCCTGTGAAAACCAGAAACCAGGTGTGTTGCATGCCCAACCCATAGAATAATAACATCGCTGAAAACCAAAGTAGAGGAAGACAGGCCGGGGGGAAAATCCCCCGTATGAATGGGATAGATGGAGTCGGGATACCGCAGGGCAGGAAGGGAAGCCGCAGCTACAGTAGAATTTCCCGTGCCCATGCATCTGCATCCGTATACAGTACTATACAGTTTATGTCTACGCAGACATGTCTACGCAGACTATTGTCGTCGATGGAAACGGAGAATTTTGTGTTGTAACTTCGGGGAGGAAACACGGGGGTCCGGAACCGAACTTTGTGGAGGACGGGGAGTATGGCGAGAATATAGACCGGATGTCGCAAGGCTAAGTTGATACACAGTGCAGTAGATGCGGATGACTTCGCCGTCGATAGTTTAGGCACCGCCCAACTAAGAACCTCGAAGCTGATCGCCCATCAGCGCTTTTTGACAATCAAGAGGCGCGACGACTGCCCGAACCCATCAGGCTCATATGTCTGCACGATGGCTTCTTTTCTGACCTGCTGTTGCCCTCCGAGCAACACCCCCGCGAGCCTCTTGGCCTCGTTCATTGCTGACTCCGCAATGTGCTCTCTCCATTCGTTTTTTTTTTCTCAACAGACCATTCGGGATGACGGATGCGTCCGTTAAGAGCTTCGTTAACGACAAACTCCAATGAGATTCGAATTGCCCGGACGCTGGCCACCGCCGGAATTGCGAGGCCGGAGAAATCAAACGAGTAGGTGGCGTAGTCACCTGAAGGAAACGCCTTTATACGATGCGGAACTCAAGGATCCGGGTAGTGGCGACGCTGCCGGCATGCAGTGTAGGTAAATGTTCAGTTCCGCAAGGCGATGTGCCCTTGTGTCCTATACAGCACAACGAGGTGGAGGGGAAGGTGGAGAGGCAGCCGAAGGAGGGGAGCAGGAGGAGGAGGAAGAGGGTGGACAGGAGGGCGGGGAGGGAGGCGAGGGAGAAGGGGATAGGGCGGACATGTAGCACGGTTGGGATGGTGGTTTCCTTGGACGGTTTCATGCATTTACACTCCTTTCTATCAATCTACCTATCAATCTACTGTTTAGTCCTTACGATGAGGATACCAGTCGCCCCCTGTAACCAGATCATCAGCATTAGGTGGCCAGGGCAAACTTCCATTTAACGTCGCATCGATCCACTTATCACTCCTGCCCATGCACTCCAGCTGAGTCCAATCGTAGTTGGATGGAGGGCCCTGATAGTAGACCGTGTTCACGGAAGGCCAATTCTGCACCATGCGGAGCGCCATCTTGTTGCCCGTCACAAATAACACCCGCTTCCTGTCGTCGGTGGCGTATCGCGCAGGATCGTACCAGGGGTCATGGACCCAAACACATATGTCCAACCTGACCATAGCCACCGTGTGCCAGTTGTTGCCCGGAGTGCCCACGGGGTTCATGTTGGAGGTGACCAGACCAATCGTCCCGCTGAAATGCCAACCTTTGATTGCCAGACTGAGCGCTGACCCGGCATTGTACTCGTGCCACTCTGCCGAGCCCTTTGTAACGCCCTTGATGTAGCTGGTCTTGTTTTTCCCGTCTCGACATGTGGCTATACACGGGGCCACGCGGGGAATAACACCCTCGGTTTGGTTGCTGGCCAGCTCTTCCACCCAGGATGCCAGGCGGGCGAACCCTCCTTCAGCCGGGAATCGCAGATGGGCCGACAATGGTTGGGTGTATGCCGCGGCAAAAGGCTAGAGAGAGGGAGGCGGCAGAGGGAATACATATTTTACGCTTATATATTCGCGGAGAACAATTCCACAGAGTGGAGACTGTAATGGTACAAGGGGCGCCGTTAACAGGAAAAGATTGGGATAAGGTATATATGCTTTCGATTTGTTTGTAAGGTTGTTGTACTAGTATACTCCACTGTACAGATTACGTAGTCGCGGACTGTACAAAAAGCGGGGTTTGGGTCGGGTTGGGTTATTCGAGCGAGAATTCACCGTGGGGAATTATGTGCTTCGAAGATATGCAGAGCTCGGATTGTAAAGATGCGCGGGTTCTCTTCATTTACTGGAGTGGTAGTTTCGGTGGAACGTCTCTTGGATATGCCTTGCTCCTCTTCTACCTGAGTAAGAGGTGCGATAGAAGCTGTATCAGATACTGGTTGCTCCTCAGATGCGCCAGACCTATGGGTCATCGTCGTGGAATGATGTCATTATCATCCTCCATTCTGCGTCCTCCCAGCAGCGTCTCAAACAAATCATTTCCTCCTCTTAACAATCAACAGCCGTGACCACTGCCCAAACGCGTCTGGTCCATACGTATCCACAACCGTCTCTTCACGGATCTGGCCGCCGAGCAATGTCCTCGCCAATCTCTTCCCTTCGTTCATAGAAAGCAGTGCAATTCTTTCCTTCCATTCGTCCTCTTCCTCCTCCGACAATCCCAGATGGGAGCGTCCAGACGCATCGGAAGCTGCGCTGTTAACGAGTTCTAGCGAAAGGCGGACTTCTCGAAGACCGGGGACCACCAGTTCTTCAAGCGCAGAGAAATCAAATATATTCCACGAACTCGATCATCGGCCGTACTGATCGTTTTTGTATCCTTCGCAAAGTCCTGTTCCGTATTCGGTTCGCCCGTTTCGGACGGTTTCGCCGCTCTTGTGACGATAGTGCCTATCTCGCGGACTGAGCTAAAACTTCTCCACCATGTATTTAAAAGACCCCTGACCGAGTCCATCCGGCTCAATGATAATATCCCAGCTTTCACTGTTCCATTTGCCCCCAGCATGATGCGGAAAAACCTCTTGACCTCCGTCAGCGAGCGCGCCATGATTACCTCCTTCCAATGGCGCTTCTTGGCCGTGGACCACCCGGGGAATGAGCCGGGTCCTTGTTCTAGAATGCTGACAAAATCCGAAGACACCACGAGCTTTTTTAGACTGGGCACGGACAGTGTCTCCAGAGCTGCGAAGTCCACCGTGTAGTTGTTGAAGTCCTCCCCTGGAAGCAACTCGACAACAATTCGTAGTTCCACAGTCTGACACGGGGCGCTGTGTCGGCGGGTACGGGCGGAATGATTGCCAATTCATCAACGGAAGTTGGAGATAGGCGAAGGTGGCAGGCGGTGCCGACGAAGAACTTCTTTGTGTATATAAAATCATGGAGTTTAAGAGTTCGGGTTCGCCACGGGTATTGCATTCTGAGAGGTTCGGAAGTTGTTGGAGCGGCATTTGCTCTACGCGTTCGCGTCAATTCTTGGACATCACCGGGCCGGGGGGGCAGCCTTAGCCATAAACCATCTTGCGCGATCGTCGCTAAGTAGCTGCAGAAGGCCCGCCTTGGTCGACGACGGGGCGAAGCTGACTTTCCGCCTCTTACACTTGTTCTGAAGTTCCGCCTTCGAGAGCCCTTTCCATTCTTCCGGGATCTGAGTGACGGCCTTCGCGGGCAGAGCTTTTCTCGCAGATAACTCATTGCCAGTTGGTGATGCCTTTTTGCGAGCCTCCTCAATCGGTTGATATTGTTCTTGTTGATATACGAGGGCATAGATGAGGTTGCCAGATATCAATGGCGGCGTCTCCACGTTGAGGGACGGGGTAGCGCCGCCCCCCGTTTCTCTTTGCAGTTGAGCTTGTTGCAAGGGGTCAAAACGATACACGGGTGGAGCTTGTGGAAGAAATAGATCTTGATGGATAGTTTGTATATATAGATTATACTAGTGATTGAAGAGAGCTGGGCGTCTTCTTGATCTCGGAGTCATTCTTGTGGACATGGAGGCAGTCTTATTACATGCGCTTTAGAACGTCAATTGCACAAGGGAATGTCGTTGAAGGGGCGCCGTACCGCCATGTATGGTTCCAGCCATTACTTCTTCACACTGTATTTTTCGGCGTACTGGCCAAACGCATCCGGCTCGATAGTCGTTTCCCAACTCTCTTCACGCCATGTTCCCCCAAGCATTCTACGCCCGACCCTCTCGACCTCCTTCTTGGTCACTTTTACGATCTTCTCCTCCCATTCTTGTTTTTCTGCAGAGGTCCATTCAGCGACATGAGGCGAAGCGTCGATTTTGGAGACGGCCGTGAATTCCAGCGAGATGCTCATTGCTCTCAGACTCGGCACCCATAGGGTTTCGAGACGAGAAAAGTTCGCACGGTACGTCATGTAATCCGCTCCTGGAAGGAGTTCGATCTTCATCCGCAGCTCCATGTACTGGACCTTGGGGGTTACATTGTGAGGAACTGGCAGAACAATGCCGAGTTCGGCCATAGAAGCGTGAGAGATCTGGAGCGTACATTCAGAAGCTCTGGGAAATTCCTGTGTCTCGATGAAATGATGAACCCTTAGCGATCTCATAGCCCAGGGGTTAAAGGTAGGAGATAGGATACTCGATCATGAGATCTTGGACGCTCGTTGCGTTCTGATTCCCCCGACGACGCCGTGCCCATCCATTAACTGCCGAGCCTGGCTCAATACTTGCAATACCCGCCCGGTGGGCTTGTCCGACCGCTTCTTCTAGGAACTGGGAAGATGCCGCAAACCACAAAGGGTATTTTCCTGTGAATCGTGGCTCCAACTCCAGTACGCCGGGCTAGCGTCGCTTCGCGGGCTTTTCCTCAGTTGCAAAGATATAACGGAGTCCACCAAGATTGATAGCGGGTGATGAAAGCCATGCGTAAGCATAATCTCATCACGCACCTCACGTGGCAGCTTGGTGAAGAAAGCCGAAGGCTTTGACGCAGGTGTAAACGGCGCGGCCCTGGGGTTTAAATTGGAGACAGGCACGGTGGCGGTACTGAAGTGACGATAACTCTGGGAGTATGGGGAGATCGCAGAAGGTGTGAACGGCAGTGCGTCAGGATTGAGGGCGGAGGCAGGCAAGAGCGACATTTTGAAGATATTATAACAAGTTCGGTAGTGGTGCGAATGGAGAAGTAGAAGGTGTTGAGAATGTTCTCTATATATTCAAGTTGGAGTACAGAAATAAGTCTGGGGTGGCGGGGGACTGAATAGGTACACATGCCTCAGGCCAGGCTTGGCGAAGCAACCGCTTTCACTGACGCAGAGCGAGAAATTCGGAGCTTCCATGACGTTATTGCTCTCAAGGTCGAAACTTTGACTGAATTAAAATTGATATAGTATGATCGGGAGCAAGGCGGCTTTTATCATAAGAAAAGCGTAAGTTTGAGGAAGTGTATGATGTGGTCATGTGATGTTTGTTGTGAAGGTGGGATTGCTTCAGGCGCGTGTTGCGCACCCACCTGACGTCAGTAGAATTGCTGACAACACAGGTGACATTTTCGTAGTACGTAGTACGTGGTAACGGAGCGGAATAATCACGAGAGCTCGCTTTTGCGACAAGAGAGGTGTTGTTGCTAAGTCAATCAAAGCAGTCAAATTCTGAACATGTACAACTTTTAGTGACAAACTACAAGCCCCGCTACTTTTCCAACATCTATACCGAAACGCCATAAACCCAACGCAAGCGCTGATTCCCCAGCTCCATATCACTCGTCTCCACCCTGGCCCTTCGAATAATTCTGCGGCCAAAGGCCGACAGCTCTCCCCCAAACGCCGTCTCCATCCCAATCAAGGGGCAATAGTAGTCGTGACAATTGATCGGCGGACAGTGATGCCGAATCAACATGGTATAGGCATCAAGCCCACGCCCAGCAAGCAGATTCCCGAGGTAGTCCCAGTTGATGGCGGGAAAGGTATTCCAGAAAGTATGGAAAGACTTGCAGTCCGCAGCCTCAAAATTCAGTATCATGTGCACCGTGGCCATCTTCCAGGCCGGCGCAATACTCCTCGTCAACTGACGCAGCTTGAGCAGCATGCGCTTGTCGCAGTCCGCAATTATCCATGTTTCCCGGAAAGTCATGTCCCCGGCCATGTCATGAGTGAGGAAGGTATTCAGGCCCAAGTGCAGCTCTTTGCAGCGAAGCAGCATCCACTCTCCCGGGTGATTTGGCTCTTCGGAGACCTCCTCAACTGGTCCTGTGACGCCCTGCATGGCGCGAGATTTTCGATAATGCTGCTCCATTCCCTCGCTATACATCTGTTTGCACGAGCGGAGCCAACTCAAGTCTGGGTGCTCTGTATCGCTGGCTTCGGAGCCTTCGTATATAATGTCGCATTTGCCGAAATGCGGAGAGGAGAAGGTGATGAGAGGTGTCTGGAGCCAGATTTCGTGGTAAATCTGATCGCGGATTTCCCGCGGGAACTTGGTGAAGAACGGGGAGGTGGATTGAGAGGACATGGCGAGTTATAATGACTTGTAAAGGAGGATAGAGGGTCGAGTATGAGCTTGCTTCGTCTGTGAGAGAATCTGCGTACAGCCGGGAAGTTGCTAGTAAGAAACCTTTTCACAGATGGAGGAGGAGTGAATGAACCCTCAGATTTGGCTAGCCCATTTAGGAAGACGTGTCTGTCTCGCGGCATGCCTCTTTGCTGCGGTGCTTTCACTGACGGATATAAACATATTTTTGAGTGAACGCTTATACAGCTTTCACACGAGATGTGTGCGTGGCGGACCCCAACTTTGCTGTAGAGTGAATATTCCGCTCGATATTCCGTAACTGAAATAATATATACTGCTTGTTTGAGCCTCTACAATTCTGCTATCGGGGAGATTCTGGTTGATTATATATGACGCTAGGCTCACAAATCTCCTTACCTTATACATAATGGTTTGGAGATCAAGGGCACGCGTATGAAAACAAAGCCGGACGCGTCAGGGTTGCGTTCAATGATGCTCAGATCATGGTCATTAATGACTTCAACTTGAAGCCGGCATCCTCGAGTGTTCAAGAGCAAATGCCATGTGCGGGCGCCATGTGCTCGATTAATCTCAAGGTCGATAAAGTCATAAAAAGAGCCAGCGCAAAATTTAATTTTCCTACCTTATGTTTGGTGTTTCGCTTCTCCTCAACAATATACTTCTGAATGCAATGTTCTGGGTGTTCGACCTTCCAAACCACTCACCTAGCTCTGCCAATACCATTTGAGCGAGACCTTATAAACAGAACGGAAACAGTTACAGGCTTTTGAATGAAGAGACCAAATAGCAGCCACAGTAATAGGCACAGCGACCTCTCTATATTATTACTCATGCAACAGTCCCTCGCGGCACGGAGGTGAGAACCAGCTTCACAGTCACCGACAGCATTGTACGCGAACAACACGCCATCTCCGCGTTCATACAATTCACATTCACCACCATTTCTACCACCTACTTACTCTTCTCTACCTCTCCTTCTCAGCCCACCCGCCTTCCGCGCACACACTCTCGTCGAAATCACACACGCACATCCCACACCCAATGACTTCCCTCTCACGATCCAAGAGCCGCAAGCTCCGCGACCTGAAGCAGCGTCTCAAGCGCTTCATAGTGCGTCTCTTTCCTTCCCGCAGTGAGTACAATGGAGAAGTACGCTAGCGCACTCAAACTGATTCCGCAGTCCCAACCATATCCATCACTCCCGCAACGCCGGGTACCTCGCCCGCCCGCGAGCCCACGCGAACGGGTATACCTTGCCCTGAGGCTCCGACTCTCATATTTCCGAGCTACGCTTACCTGCTTGCAGAAAGCGGGCTCCAATACGTCAAGGTGGGGGACCACTACATGGTGGTGGACCCAATGAATTCGGGGCAGATGAGGAGGGCGAAGGCGGCCAAGGAGATGGCAGAGAGGAGTGGGGAGGCGGCCAAAGGGGCAGGACAGAGGGCAGAATCGGCGTCGGCAAGTGCGTTTCTGTCGCCGGATGGGGTGAAGGAGGGGGAGATGTCGAAGCTTGAGCTGGCGGATGGGGAGGACGCGAGGGCGCTGACGCGGTGAGGATTGAGGGCCTTGATGGTTTTCTGGTTGCAGCGTACAAGAATATGACTGTGTTATGATTGTATTATTATTGTTAGTACTACTTCTTGCTCCCGAGTGGTAGACTCTGTACAATCTGTTTGATGTGTGTGTCGTGAAGGGTGGTGTCGAATTCGTAGTTGACATTGTCGACTTACAACCATCTCTCTGCTCATGCACCGTTACGCACAACTCCGTCATCGATCACGAACTATGCATGCGCCAGAGAGGTACAAAATGCGGAACTTTTCCTCCCTTCTGCCACCAGATCAGTCGAGCAACACCTCGAGAGAACCACACACTGATAACCTTCCTACAGTCGATCATCGCTGCAAGGTTGAACTCCAGTATCAAGATGTCTTTCCGAGAGACGATGAAGACCCGCAAAGCCATGAATCAGCGCGTCAAACGCCTCCTCTCTCGTGGCCTCTCATCTGGAAACCGGCAGGTCGAGGACAACAAGCGGGGCATCCACCTCGGGCTGTCAGTTCCGAAAATCGTCATCACGCCTCCAACACGGCCGTCTACTCCTCTCGCACCTCCTTCCGACACTGAAGAGAGGCAGCAGGGAGCCGAAGCAGCCAGGCTGCTCCGAGCTATCAAGATCTCTGAGGCTGAGGATGCAGAGTTTCTATGGTTGGCGCTATCATGAGCTTGTGCCGGAGACTGTGCGTCCACGTCTCTTGTTCCGCAGATCGAATGCTTCCGTTCCTGGTGAGTTCTCTGTCTCCAATGAGGAGTGCCGTCTATCATTGCAGGACAGTTATGACGAGAGCACCGATGCCGACTAAGTGGAAGGCTAATTCGGCAGTGCCAGGGGGCAGGGCATGGGGCCATGTTATCGCCTATAGTAAGGTAAGTGGGAAGGTAAATGCTATGTTGCATTCTCATCTGTCCCTCTCGTTATGATATAATCAATTGACCGATTCTTTCCTCAAACTACAACTGGACCCTGATGTGATGTTCATAATGAATAATCAAGTGACCAGAAGAATAACAGATTTGACAGGTGCAGGAGCAAACATGAAATGGAGTATACCGATAGGCATCAGCATAGACGATCGGACCACGGTCCTCAGACTCGGCCATGTACTTACAGCGACCCCTCACTAGTAGTAGTGTATGCGTTAGATTCAAAAACGAGCAGCACGCATCGTACTTTCGTAAAGAGGGGCACCTCTCATCGTCGACTACTCCATTCAACCCTTTATCAGATGTAATAGATTGGCGTCTTTCACAGGATCTCGAAACCACAAAAAGAATAGGTCCAAGACTTTAGAAGGGTATGTGGCACATCACCTATAACCGTCCACCCCATGCAGCGATCGTGGATGGTCTCAAACGTGTGCGATTTCCGTCTGGCAAGGGCTGACAAGTGTTGCCAGAACATCCAGTAGCCCGACGGGTAATGAGGGCGCTGGGAGGACTAATTCCTTGCGTACAGGAAGAAAGGAAGAGAAGAGGTCGCAGAAGAATTTGAGGCATTGAGGTTCGGGTAGCGCCTTGGCGGATTACTCAGCCCTCCAGGGGTGGCTTGCACATCACATGACCTGTCTCCCCTGCATTGTGTCGGAGAAAACAGTCAAAGTAAAAAACCTTTCAGTATTTGGGGGCGTCAACAAATCGGCGGTCATCCTCACCGCCGCCAACACAGGACGAAGTAGATGCGCTGCTTCAGACGAAATGCAGCCGTTTGCCTCCAATCTAGGACGGCCCTGGGGCGGCCGCTCTCAGTTTGCCGCGGGAAGCTCTTCCCTGCGGTGAAGGGCAATCGCCAATTCCTGCACTACAGCTCCTCCAATCCCTCCCGATCCTCCTCCGCCGCATATTATTACCCCACCACGCGTCCCTTACCGCTCCAGCCCTCCTCCACCACCTCCCATGCCCCACGACGGACCTTTCCCTGGAAACCTACTGCCACTCTCGCACTCAATTCCGTCCGCTACTGTTCCCATCGCCGCAACATGTGTAGACACCAGCAGCTGTTCGGAGGTGACGACGTCGATGGCTCCGCAACCGACATCACACAGGGCCGCTTGATTCTCCCCGCCAACGTAAAGCCCGTACACTACGACTTGACCCTCGAGCCGGACTTCGAGAAGTTCACTTATGAAGGCAAGGTCGCCATTGAGTATGTTGCCATAGTTCGGTTGTGGTTCTTGTATCGCAATTGCTGACCCCGCCGTAGACTGGATGTGGTAGAAGACACTACCTCGATTTCGGTCAATGCCTTCGAGCTCGATATCCACAAGACCACCGTTTCTTCAGGCGACCGCGTCATTGCAGAGAACCCCACTGTCGATTACGATGAAGACACGCAGACGGCCAAGGTCAGCTTTGACCAAACCATCCCTGCCGGCAACAAAGCTACCCTCACAATGACCTTCACGGGCACGTTGAACGACCACATGGCCGGCTTCTACCGCTCTTCGTTCAAGGATGAGAACGGAAATACCACATGGATGGCCACGACGCAGATGGAGCCCACGGACGCGCGGCGAGCATTCCCCTGCTTCGACGAGCCTGCGTTGAAGGCCAAGTTCACCGTCACCCTCGTTGCCGACGAGAAGATGACCTGCTTGAGCAACATGGACGTAGCTTCGGAGAAGACAGTCGACTCGACAATAACAGGGGGAAAGAGGAAGGCAGTGACGTTCAACCCGACGCCGCTCATGTCTACCTACCTGCTGGCGTTCGTTGTCGGTGAGCTCAACTACATCGAGACAAACAACTTCCGCGTGCCCGTGCGTGTCTATGCGCCGAAAGACCGAGACATTGAGCATGGACGCTTCTCCCTCGAGCTGGCCGCCAAGACGCTCGACTTCTACGAGAAGACATTCGACAGTCCTTTCCCGCTTCCCAAGATGGACATGATTGCCATCCCCGACTTCAGCGCCGGCGCCATGGAGAATTGGGGTCTCATTACCTACCGGGTGGTTGATGTACTGATCGACGAGAAGGTCAGTGGTGCATCCGTCAAGCAGCGAGTAGCCGAGACTGTGCAACACGAGCTTGCACATCAGTGGTTCGGTAATCTGGTTACGATGGATTTCTGGGATGGGTTGTGGCTGAATGAGGGATTTGCGACATGGATGTCTTGGTATTCCTGCAATGTCTTCTATCCCGACTGGAAGGTCTGGGAGGGCTATGTTACGGATAACCTGGCCAGCGCGCTCTCGCTTGACTCTCTTCGAAGCAGCCATCCTATCGAAGTGCCTGTCAAGCGCGCAGACGAGATCAACCAAATTTTTGATGCCATCTCCTACTCCAAAGGCTCCTGCGTCCTCCGCATGATCTCCAAGCAGCTGGGTGAGGATGTCTTCATGGAGGGCGTGCGACGCTACCTCAAGAAGCACGCTTATGGCAACACGCAGACCAGCGATCTCTGGGCAGCATTGGGCGAAGCAAGCGGCAAGGACGTCGAGAAAGTCATGGACATCTGGACGAAGAAAGTCGGCTTCCCCGTGGTCACTGTTACGGAGAATCCCAGCCAAAGTTCCATCCGCGTCAAGCAGAACCGCTTCCTGCGTACCGCTGACGTGAAGCCAGAGGAAGATGAGACACTCTTCCCTGTCTATCTGGGTCTCCGCACGAAGGATGGCATCAACAAGGATTTGGCTCTGACTACTCGCGAAGCCGACTTCAAGCTCAGTGAGCAGGACTTTGGCTTCTTCAAGCTCAATGCCGACCATACCAACATCTACAGGACGTCCTATTCTCCTGAGCGGCTTTCGAAGTTGGGCAATGCGGCCAAGGAAGGCCTCTTGTCCGTTGAAGACCGTGCGGGTATGGTCTCTGATGCTGGTTCTCTGGCTGCAGCTGGCTATCAGAAGACCTCCGGCATCCTTGCCCTTCTGGACGGCATGAGGAGCGAGCCCAACTTTGTTGTCTGGCAAGAGATTATCGGCCGCATCAGCTCGCTCCGCAGCGCCTGGATGTTCGAGGATGAGGCTGTTCGCGACGCTCTCAAAAAGTTCCAGCTCAATCTCATCAAGGACAAGACGCATGAGTTGGGCTGGACCTTCACCGAGCAGGATGGCCACATCGAGCAGCAGTTCAAGGCGATGATGTTCGGCAGCGCCGGCGTCGCCAAGGACGAAACCGTCATCAAAGCCGCCTTTGACATGTTCAACAAGTTCAAAGCCGGCGACGCCTCGGCCATCCATCCCAACATCCGCGGCAACGTGTACGCTCTCGCCCTAGCCAACGGCGGCGAGGAAGAGGTACGTCAATGCCATCATCAAGCCTAACCTCAGCTTTGCTAACAAGCCTCCAGTACAACGTGGTCGTCAACGCCTACAAGAACGCCAAGACGAGCGACGAACGTAACTCTGCGCTTCGCTCGCTTGGCCATGCCAAATCCCCCGAACTGATCCAACGCACGCTCGCCTTCGCCTTCAGCCCCGACGTCAAAGGCCAAGACATCTACCTCCCCATCGCCGCGCTGCGCACGCACCCCGAAGGCGTCAAGGCCCAGTTTGAATGGATGAAGGAGAACTGGGAGGAGCTGCAGAAGAGACTGCCGCCGACTAGCAGTCTGCTGTCGTCTGTGGTTGCGATTTGCACGGGCAGCTTTACCAAGGAAGAGCAGGTGAGCATGGTGGAGGAGTTCTTTGCCGACAAGAGCACCAAGGGGTTCGATAAGGCGTTGGCGCAGAGTCTGGATGCGGTGAGGGCGAAGGCGAGGTGGGTTGAGCGGGACGGGGAGGATGTGGCGACGTGGTTGAGGCAGAATGGGTATCTGGGGGAGAAGGAGAAGCTGTGAGGAGGATGGGAGGAAGCGATTTTTCGTATCTATTGAAAATCCAGGACGATCGAGGGTAAAGGGTGAGGGATTATGAAAAAGGGTTACGGAACCTTTGTGCACTCCATAGCGGATCATAAAGGAAAGGACGCAACGCTTTCAAGAGTGGGCGGGTTTCTCCCTTCATGCAAAGGAATCTCCCGCATATCTAGTACAACTAGATGACTGTATCATAGAATCAACATATCAATAAATAAGACCACACGACTCCAACCAGATTCACTGGTGATAATAAAACAAATGGCTGGGATGTTACAAATCTCTTGATTAAGTATCTGTATAGTTTCCCCCTGCATCCCTCAGAGCCCAACGCCCCGAACGAGGATCCACAACAGAATAGGCACAATGACGTTGTCGTTGCCGCCCGTGAGCACGGCTTCGTTGAGGCTGGCGCCCAGAGCACAGAGGAGCGATTTCAGGAGAACGCCACTCCATTCCGATATTCCTCCTCCTCCTCCAAGGCCACCCTCGGCCACTGAGCCTGCACGATGGGTATCCTCCCACCCCCCAACCCTCAACCACACTTTCCCCACCACCAACCCCAACATGACCGCACCGGCAAACGCAGCACTGCCCTCAAGACTCTTGCCCCCTGCCCAGGGCCACTTTCGTCTCCCCCACCGCCGTCCGACAAGACTGGCCGCCGCGTCGCCCATGCCCACGCACACGACGCCGGCAACGAGGGAGACGTCCCTTCCACCACTCCCCTCCTTCACCCCAGTCTCGCCAGTCATGGAGACGAGATCCCACCCCCTCCAAGGTCCGGCACTAACGTCGCGCTCCACACCGGCCAACCCCAACCAAACGGGCACCGCACACCCCACCAAGAGGAAGAAATGGCTCACGACGACGGGACCCCTCAGGTCTCTGCCATCCACAAACGGCGTCAGGAACCGTGCAATCCTCTGTCCAATCCCGGCCACCATTGCGGCCCTGGCCAGATCCGCTAGGATGAAGAGCGCGAGGACGAGTGCAAGGGCGAGGTGGAGGAATAAAGGGTCGATGTAGAGTGTCGGGAGGAGGAGGGCGACCATGGTGAAGTGGAAGGTTTTGCGGCGCGTGTCTACGTCGGGCGTTGGGAAGAAGGGGATGGTGGCGGAGAGGAAGGGGAGGGAGAGGACGAGTGTGAGGCCTGCTATCAAGACGATCAGAAGGTAGAGAGTCAGGAGGAGGCGGGTGGACGCCGGGCCGGGGGAAAGGTGCAGCGATGAAGGGAGGAGGTAACGGTTAAGCCTTGTGAGGAGTGGGTTTGGAGGGACGGGGCCGTCGGGTAGAGGCGGGAGTGGGATCCAGGATTGGAGGTTGTGGTTGAAGACGAAGAATCGAAACGACGGCGTGTTGCCGAAGAGGTATCCGATTGCCCAGCCAAAAGGGTCCTGTCCGTCGAGGGCTTGATGAGCCATAAGATAGCGAATAGGCCCCAATGTCAGGAATATAACGACGGCGTAAAAGTATGCTGCGTATCCCCATTTCCGGAGCACGGCTTGGCGAGGCGTGAGTGCGAGGAACGACTGAGCGACCCATTTGCCTCGACGACGGCGATGTTGGAGACTTCGAGAGGGAGCGGTGACGTTGTCCTGGGATGGCAGAGTTGGCAGTGTATTTCTTCTTCTCGGGGGCGTGGTCCCTTCGACGTCATTGGCAGGTTCCGCAAAGGCAGGTCTCTTTGGCTCAATCGCAGATTTGATTTCCTTATCAACCAGGCCATTTCCCCCTCGTCCCCCAATCAACATATTCAGAGTCAAATCTTGCGTCTTCTTGAAAGAACTGTTGATCCCAACACCAGGGAACTCATCCTCATCATCATCAGCATCACTGTCTCGACTGGCGCTTCCCGCACTCCGAGACCGCCGCTTCAACCCCTTCGTCAACGCAGTTAGAAAGGACTGCCGATTCCTAATCATCTGGCCCGCGCGACGGAAACGCCATCGTGGTATCCGAGCAAGAGCCACATTCCAACTGAGGACTTTGCCGCAGAGGATGAAGAGGCCCAGACCGCCCACCCAGACTATCGTGCGCAGGATGATGGCTTGAGGGGATTCGGCGAAGAGGAGCAGATTGATGAGTCCGATGGAAAGAAGCTGCAGTTCGGCTGGCAGTAGACTGGTCGTTGTGAGATAATGGAGCGGAGGGAGGAGGGCGTGGTGCAGTGCGAAGAGGGTGGCCAAGACCTCGGGATGGAGCCCCTTTTCCGGGCCGGGTAGTTTGAGTTTGTATGGGGTTGTTGCGTGAACTTTTGAAACCAAGGCGGTGTTTTCGGAAACAAAGAGCGGGAGGATGGAAAGGAGCCAGTGGAGAGATGAGTAGGTGTAGTTATCGCCGGATCGCGCGAAGGGGATAAGTCGGGAGGGAAGCGCGGCGAGACCGAGGATGATGTTGGGGAGTAAGATCTTCTCCATTGAGGGGTACAGTGATATCGATATTAGTACTGGGATGATGGGCGGATATAGGATTGTCGCCGGATCGAAGGCGGAGGGGATTCGAATCCAAGGACGTTGCAGTAGCTGTGTGTTCGGACCTCTTCTTTTCGAGTATATGAGTAGTCTCAGGGGGTAGAGACCAAGTAGTCCCGCAATCACGCAAGCATATGTGAGAAGCTCTGCCATCAGTCAGCCTCTTGACCCAAGCCATACTCCTGGTCTGTCAAACCTCTATACCACCTCTCCCATAGCTGCCTCCAACAACCACAACCCCTCACCGTCAATACAGCAATGCACACCAACAACCCCGTCTCCGTCGTCCTCCTCAGCAACTCATTCCTCCTGCGTTTGATATACCTCTCTCTTGCTTTCCTCGCCTCCTCATCCAACGTCGCCGTTTCCTCTCCAACACTGCCCTTCCCCCTCCTCCTCCTAAAATACTCCACCCCATACTTCTTCCCTTCCTCATCCACCTGACTAGGCGTCAAAAGCGGACTCATAGACGGGCCCTCCACCCCAGCCCCCCTTACGTCTCTCAACCCCTTTCTTGGCCGCAGCGGAGGCGCAGGTAGGGCCTTGACGAAAGCGTAAGCCTCGTCGTCGGCCTCGGTGCCGCTCGCACTGGGCGATTGAGATATTCTCCTCCGCCTCCTTCTCCCATCTTCGTCGGAGATTGCGACGGGTGTTGTGCGGAGGGAGTTGTCGATTGAGGATTTGGACGAAGGGGGCCCACTGGGACTCGAGCGGTGTTGATGACGGTGGTACGGGTGCGGGGAGCGGCGGAAGAGCTCGAGGTGCTCTATTTCGGACGATGCGAGGGTGCTTGAAGGTCCTGTGTCGTCGGACATGTGCATTGTCGAGGTGGGTATGCGATTGTGGTCGAGGGAAGGCTGGACGGTCTTCGAGTCGGTTTCGCGTTCTTTGGTGCGAACGGCCAGATATCCGATATCTTGTAAATATGACGCCGCCCAATTGACTTCCTCGCTCTTGTGTACAATGCGAAAAGAATGGCTTGCAACTCGCAGCCGCAAATCACAGCATGTTTGGGCGTGATGTGGCGTGACGAAATGAGACAGCACCAGCAGTCTTGTTCTTCACATGCAAGGCGGAGACGCCGACGTCGAGCTGAGCTGGAGGTCGTCCGTCGGGGGTCCAAGGGGGGCGCTACTTCCGCATTCCAGCACCTGCCTAGGCTGTGCAGCAAGTGAAGTATCTTTTCATCTCCAGTGTTTTAGGCAATCCCATCCCTCGGCGCCATGGATGGATTATGAAAAGAGAACTCCTCGCAGACCCCCCAGAATCGGACAGCGAGAGCTCTGTTATCGATAACAAGCTCAGATGCTTTACCTCATGCGGTAAAATCCAGATCCACGGGAGTGAGCTTCCCCAAACCTGGAAGACATCAAGTTCGACCACCTCGCCCATTCTCCTATCCTCACGTTCTCCCTAATAGGAAACTCTCTTTCAGTTGTCTCGGGACCCAGGGATCCAAGCGATGTGGCGGAAACCGGGGCGTGATCCGGCAGCATCACGCACACCCCCAACATTGAACGAGCCTACAATTCACCAGCGCATTGGAGATAGTATATACCAATTATATTGATTCTGATTGATTCAAGTCTGTACGCCCGGAACCATTCACAGTATCCACCCAAGACCCCGAAAACGATCCCACCCAATCCCATCTTCGAAAGGTAGTACGCACCCGCACCAATCTATGACGGCCAAAAGTAGCCACCGAGCGATCCTTCCGACGACGCCGCCCGTGTTGCCAGATCCCAGCTGAGCCCAATTCCCACAATTGCGAACCATGATGCTCCCGTGACCCTGATGACAAGATGAATGACTATGATGAAAACAACGCCGTATATAAAAGCAGAAACGGGAGTAAATGAAGAAAGCGTGGCTCTCAAATCTGCTTCCCGACGTGCAAACGACAGCGGAAGACAACGCCGGCAAACTGCGTAAAGAGCGGCGGGACAATGCGAAACAAAACAAATAGAAACTTGTTCCATGCCGTGACTCCAGAAAATCAAACCCAAGCCCACAATCGCTGCCATATCCCATGACACCGGAACCCTGTGCGAGACCGCGAGACCTGGTATCATTGAACAGCGAAGCAGAGTAGTAGATTGAGAAGAGAGTAGAAAACCAGGCCTTCGACCCTTCGAAAGCCGCATCAACATGAACGCCGGAGGGATGCAATATGTCAGTGTCTCATAGACAGTAGCCGGAACCATTGTGCGCTCGATATAGGAAGGGCAAACACCATGAGAGTCTCGATCGCCGCCTTATCATATGCAACGCGAAACATGCGCGCCGACAGCTTGTGGCTGCTTCATCTAGCCTCTGGGGCTGCGACTCGGCGGATAGGATCCAGGTGCGCCCGTGATGGAATTCCGCTTCGTCGTTTTGGCCGCTTCCGCCGCCGCCTTGATCTTCCTCTCCAGTGCACGATGGCGGGATTTCATGCTATCCAGAACTGTCTCCGTGTCAGTGCAAGTATGATAGGCAAAAAGGAAGAGCCCTTACGATTGAGGATGGATTGTCGATCCTCGGACTCGAGCCCATTGATATCCTCATTCTCGTTCCTGTCAGCTGGACTCTCCTCCTCCTCCTCCAAGATAGCCTCCAGCATGCGGATCGCCGTGAAGTAGTTTCTCTCGGAGCCATCAAGATCCTTTCCCACGAGTTCATTGACCGCAGCTGACCTGCTCATCTCCAATGCCCTCTCGTACATGAGTTTCTCTGCGGTAACGCCAGTCGACAAGGGGATGTTATCCGCCGAGCCGATGGTGTTGGCTGACCCAGACTGCACGGAGAGATTGGAGGGATGAGCTGGATGGTCTGGAGACACCTGCTTCTGCGCTTGCTTGAGCTTGCGAGCCACAATTTCCGACTTTACACAGCATTCATTGAAACGATCTCGCACGAAAGAGACGATGTGGTTCAAGCGATCCGGGGGTGCCACGGTGCGGCTGCCGGCGGTTGGGGAGGAGCTTCTTCGATGACGACGGTTCCAATACGTCCCTGTTACGTGCATGGCCTTGTTGAGGAGACCCAGTGCCTTGCAATAGAGCACGAGTGCCTCCTCGCAAAGCTGGATAATGGCGTCAAGAGTGAGGTCTTCGTCGTCGTCGTCATCATCGTCAATGTTTCGCCTGGCACCATTGCCCGCTCCAGTCTCGCTCGGTGGGTTCGGCACGAGTTGCGTATACTTCACCTCGGCGAAGCCGTACACGATATGGCTGAGATGGGCCAATTCCTCCACTTTGTCAATCATGGCAGTATCCTCATCCTTGGCAACCGTCTTTCCGGGTTCCCCGACGACCACCAGACTGCTCTGGGCGGCGGGATAGGCTGGGAACGCTGCGTACCCCTGCGGTGGCGAAACACCCTTCAGCATTGGTGGTGAAAGCCCGAGGCCTCGGATAGTGACCATATTCATTGCTTTCGACAAGGCGGACGTTGCGCTTTCAAAGCTAGGCCGATACTGGCGTCCCGAACTGCCTCGCTGGTGGAAGGGCTTTTGCTGGATTTGGATGGCTTTGGACGGAACTGTAGCTCCCGTAGTAGAGGTAGGCGACCCCTGGGTGGTGGCGCGGCGTTTCATACCAGCGTCACGAAGTGAAATACGGTCACGTGCGGCGTGTGGGCTAGCCGCAATCTCGTCGGCGAGGGCATCAATCTCTACACGCCTCTTCTCCACAAACACAAAACCATCGTCAATGGCACTGTCTTGGCCGACTCTTTCCGCCCTCTCTCTCATTGCTCCCGTCTCGGATCGCTTGGGCACTCTGTCATTACCTGGCTCTGCTTTCGAGTCAGTCGCTGGGCCAGACGCCTCTCCCCGACTATACCGACGCCCAGAAGTTGCAAAAGTGAGAGCCCGCTCACGATCGCTCATCGTGGCTGGACGAACCGGAGCAGTCGTTGCGGTCGGAAGAGTAGGGCGTCGCTCGCGCTGCGGCGTAACCTGCTCAATCGTGGGCATCGGGGTGTTGCTCATTCGCCGTCCTGATGACGGACGCGGAGGAGTACTGCCGTATTGCTGTCCGCTCGTATTCCGAGAGGAAGTTGGCCTTGACGGAGGTGTGGCTCCAAATGAGGACTTCTCTCTTGGCGACTGTGAGTATGGACTCTCCTGCGCTCGCCGCTCCACACCCACAGGCAGCTTCTGACTCTGCCTAGGTTTGACAAGAGAATCCTCCACTTGATGCGGCAGGTCCTCGTCGACGAGCCCGGGAATCTCACCAACGACTACAGGGTCATTAAAAAACTTATCGAAACTCATCCGCTCCAGTGGCGTTCGCCTCAGCAGAGCACGAATCAAGTCTTTCATGGGCCTACTGATGACGTTTCCTTCGTTGAATCTGATACGGTCTCTCTGCTCTTCAATTTTCCGAAGCAGCTCAACGTGATTACTTGCTCTGAAGGGGGCTTTGCCGGTGACCATCTCATACATGACGGTTCCAACGGACCACAGATCGGCTTTGGCATCATATTTCTCATAACGCAGGATCTCTGGCGCCATGTACAGCGGGGAACCGCAAAGAGTTTCCGCCAGCGATGTCTGGGGCAACAGCCTGGCAAAGCCAAAATCGGCAATCTTAAGCATGGGAAGAGAAGCGATACCACTTGCGGGAATCAGAGAGCTTCCATCGGCAACCAAGGGCATGCGCTCGAGCGTGCCGCTCTGCGAGTAATACATGGAAGAAGGAGTCAGGAGCAGGTTCTGTGGCTTCAGGTCCCGGTGGATATAATCCTTGGAGCGCAAGAACTCGAGGGCACTTGCCATCTGCTTGGTGAAGTGGCGTACAACGACTTCGTTGAGGCCGCCAGCGGGCGGGTTTGGATATTTCTCCATCATGCGTTGAGTCGAGGGATGCTTTGCTAGCGAGTCACGCTTCTTGATGAAGGCGGACAAATCCCCAAGCTCACAGAACTCCATGACGATATGCATCCGGGCCGTGGGTGGAGAGTCATAGTAATTTATCAGGGACACAATGTGCGGATGATGCAGGCTGCGCAAGATGGATATCTCGACCATCAGGTTGTCTTTGAGCTTTTTGTTCAGCTTGCTCATGTTGACGGATTTGATGGCAACGGCCTGCCGCTTCTCCTGTGGCTCACAATCAGCATCAGTTTTGTGCGAAAGGCAGCCTCGCCCGGCACGAAGTGTAGCCAAGCACGTACAATATGGATGCCCCGATAGACCTCGGCGAAGCTCCCCTTCCCAATATGCTCCATACGCTGGAAATCGCCAATGCGGACGACAGCATCCGATGCTCTCGACGAGCCTGACTCGGCCCGCCGCGGCTTGTACGGCGGAGAGTCTCGAGTCGACATGGTGAGCAGGGCGGGCGGACCAGCCTGAAAGATGCGTGTTCCACCTCTCAGAGAACCGAGTGTTCAATTACCAACGGAGATGCGGATACAGCACCGAAGTAAGAACGTTGTGCATGAGACGTAACTGGGCGGAACGAGGGAGCGTCGGGGAAAGCTGGCGGTCGCGGTGGCACTCGCGAGCTCTGAGCAGCGAGCTAGGGAATGGTGAAGCGGTTGAGGAACAGGACACGGCCTGGGCTTTGTATATGCGCAGGTGGATGGCTTGGAAGAGGACAGACAAGGCGGATGGTGTCCGGGGAAGGCGGCCAAAGGGTCGGTGCCTATATAACAGGCAGGGGATTAAGGGCTATCGAGGCCTGGATGGGGGACGGGGTGGACGGGTGGACGGGTGAACGAATGATGGCGGCAAGCTACCCTTGGGCGGGACGCTGGCCTGGGCGGCGAAGGGTGCGAGAGAGTACGGAGGGGAGAAAGCAAACGAGGCAGGGTGAAGGGTGCAAAGAGAGGTGGCAGGAAGAGCGAAGAAGGGTGTAGGAAGGCGGGAGCACTTGAGAGAAGTTGTTGGAGAGAAGGGCGGCCGCTTGGAGGAGAGAAGGTAGGGGAGTGTAGGTAGGTAGGTAGGTAGAGGGTGGATGACTGGGGGATTCGAAACGGGCTTAGCGCCTGGACTTATCGGCAGGGCTTATCGTCAAGGTGATCCCATATGGTCGCGACGACGCGCCGGGGGAACAGCAGCGACAGTTTCTTATAACAATGGGGATGATGAGGACGAGTGCTCTCTTGTCTTTTGCATACCCTCCGCTCCGTCTTGTTCCCTGAGTATCTCTTTTCTCTGTACATGATCGAGATGCCTCAGTGGCTCAGTCGAAAGGAGGAGGACACCTGACGCGCCCGCTGCCACGGCCCCGTGCCACCCCTTCTCCCACCTGGGGGCATGTCTCCCATCCCAGAGTCCGCCAGACCTCACCATGACGGGACTTGGTGCAAAACAGCACGCCATTTGCCGTCACCGTCCGTCCCGCGCCTCAATCACGTAACCATAGTATGTATATCCTTAAGTGATGAACACCTTCAAAAGACCGTTTCCCCCCTGGACAGGCACCTGCACACGCCCAACATGGACGACGTCGTCGGTGCCTTGGCCGAGTAGTTCACCAGCAGTGCATCTTGAGGTATTCGAGACCAGAGCCTCCTGTTCACCAGGTCGTCGACTAGGTATGCCCTCCAATCACACTACAACAAGGCGCCGTGTATCATCCAGATTGGCTCCCACGCTCCAACCTCTCCTGCCCATCGCGGGGTACAATATATTCCGACCTCCAATCACAGCACCATGGCCGCTATAATCACCGCTCAGGACATATACAGCATACTTGTACTGCTCAGGCTGCTCTTTGGAGACTCCCGAATTCCTGCTCGATTGGGATCAAGGCACCCCCACGATGCAGCTGACTGCTCTGCCCGAGCCTCCTCCGCCAAGAATCGGGTGACTTGGCCATTTCCCATGCCATCTCAAACAGACCGCACCACGTACCCCCTTCTGGCCTTGAACCTGATCAAGACATTTCCCAAGAATGCTCAAGCATACGCCGGTTTGGAGCTATGATTGTGATCATTCTCTCATTGCACGTCTCTTGGGTATACGTCATCGCATGAGGCTCAAGCTGAGACTGTTACAGGACTACACAGTATACTGCCGACTCGCCTTTCAGTTCAATACTCTAGTCGATATCCACCGTTTTGGTGTCATGCTTGCATTTGACCAAACACATCATCAACGCCCATACTTCCACAACACCATGCAACAACTCTGTTCACCAGATTGCGTGGCCAGTGAAGACAACATCACGTGACGCTCGATCATGTCACATGATTGCTCCAGAGGAAACCCACCTGATGTCAATATCTTCTGAAAAGAGTCGGTATCCGTTTGTCGGACATTGTTGTACTGTGGTAGGTCCCATCCTCAAAACTCCGCAGCGGACTCAGGCGATCGTATCTGTCATTGCGTTACACTCATGATGATGTCACTGTTGGTTTACAAGGGCACTTAGGCATGTGGACGACAGTGCGCACAAAGCGTATTGCGGGTTGCTCGATGCTGGCTAGGCGGGGTCGCCCGAAAAGAGGGATATCAGGTAAGCTATCACTTGTAGAGAACCTTTGGAACCTCTTGAGCATTTAAGCATGTGATGAAAGCGTCCGTTCTAGAGCTACGGTGAACACTGCAACATGTGAGCTTCATCTTATCCAATCAAGGCAGGCTTAAGCGGTCTACAAAGGTAGTCTTAACTACGTCAATGTCACTCATCTACTACTTACTGTGTATTTGAAGCGGAAGTCAGCTACAGACATTATGTTGCTTATTCCAGCTTTTCTCCATATCTTTACAGTAGCCGGGCTGTTCGGCATTGATGTGCTAGCTCAGATGCTCGATAACCCAGATGGCCTTGTTAATCTGCGCAATCTCGCTCGAGAGGTTGAAAACATCCTACCCGAGAACAAGACGGTGCCAATCGTACTTGGTAGATGTTCCGAACAGCCCTAAACGCATCGATCTGTCTAATATAGCCCAGTGCCGGGATTCTCTGGCTGGGGCGCGCCTTTATTCGGCGCCCTCAATTACTTCGGCGGCGTGAGAGACATACCAAAAATCCTAGCAGACGCAGGATACACGGTTATCATCTCCCCGGTTGCACCGATATCTTCCAACTGGGAACGCGCTTGCGAGTTGTACCGGCAGCTTACGTTTGGAAAGTATGTGTCGATCCAACACATTTTCATCATTGTTGAGCTAACTGCTGCAAGATTCAGCACCGTCAATCCGACGACCGGCATGGTTGACGAAGTCCATGACGTAGACGTTGATTATGGTACGTACTTTGATGCAAATCCAGAAGCTGCGCCAGAACAAACCACTACCACGGGTCGGAGACGAGCGATTCTCGTTTCAAACTCACCAAGCTTTCAGAACTGGACGTGGAAGAGAAACCACAAAGTGCATTTTGTTTGCCACTCTCAAGGGGGAAACACAGTCCGCTACCTCATCAGCTTGATGGAGCGCGGCGCAGGAACGTTGCACCCCAGGTACTTCAGTGAGCCAGGAAGAGACGACTGGACCATTTCGGTCACGACCTTGGGAACCCCGCACAAGGGAACGACCATCATAAATGCATTCTACAATTTCCTCTCTGTAGGTATCTACATAACTACACTCGCCGTCTTCGCAAGGGAGCGTCATATTCTATCTATCGAAGCTAACCGAATCCGTAGCAATCAAAGGAGCAAGCTATTAAACTCTTTGCGAGACTCTTCGCGGCAGCATCCTTCTATCCCCCGGATAAAAGGGCTTACGACCTTCAGCTCGACCATTGGGGCATCCGAAAAAAGGCAGACGAAACGTTCGATGACATGCGCAAGCGTCTGGAATCGGACCCTGGCCCTGTATGGAAATGGCTGAACTCCAACAAAACCGCCCTCTACGATAACAGCATCGAAGGTGTCCACGACCTCGCTGTCAAAGCAGGCAACCCCTCAACACAGGTTTACTACTTCACCTTCTCCTTCCATGCAACGGTTCCCTTTCCCGAACGATGGCCTCAGTGGGGTAGGGATGCAATTGCATCCTTCCCTACTAAAATAGGCGACTTCTTCGGTGCCATACTTCCAAACTGGATGATACGCTGGGTCCCCAATGTTGGATGGATAGTCGTCACAAACATAACCCAGTTCCGCCGTTTTGTAACTTGGGTCACACAAGCGATCCTCACCAGACTCCTGCAAGAGCTTGATTACAACATCGAGCTCCCGCTGCCGGGGAAATACATACCCCGCAAGGACGTCATACCCATCTTCTTGCCAAGTGTATACGCAATGGGAGGACAGGACCTTACCCAGGACCAGATCAACCTGCTAGGACCAAATCTCGTAGGCGACTGGTACCAGAACGACGGCATCGTGAACACGGCGTCGATGCACGGTCCGGACGAGTCCGTGACTAAAAACATTAGCACCTTGCCCGATTTCGATTTCAGCAAGCCTGGGAAACGGGGGTGTTATTGGCATTTTGGCGTCAACGACCGGATGGATCATGCGGATGAGATTGGCGTTTTCATCGAGGAGAGCACGGTAGGTGGTGGTTTCTGAGCAGCTGCTGTTTTGTTGAGAGTTTTGGATGATGCTGATGCTTGGGATAGGCTGACCTTATGCAAGAGATGTATATCAATATCGCAAATCTTGTGTCGCGGCTGCCATATACGGTTAATCGGAATGTAGGCGGGGGATCGAGTGCAGAAAGACCTCCTCCGACTGGTCCAACGCCCGGGCACGATGAGCTCTGAGGGTTGTTCGGAGGACATTGTACAAAGACAGCAGCGGCGCGTGTTATATTCTTACTCTCACTGCGCACAACAGAAGTGTTAGCAGGCTGTAATAAGCTTTCGTTCCGAATGAACAACATTGAAGTCGAGGTTTGTGTAAGGAATTTAGATGGTTTGTAGAGGTACGTATTAAGAAGTGGCATCATTGTAGTAAAGTGGAGAAAATGTTGCGTGTGATGACAAAGTAGCTTGCTAATGTTCCATAACACATTTTATGCGCAGATGCTCGTTTCACGCTGTATTGTCAATCATCCACGGTGCCACTACATTATCCCCCTCTTCAATCTCTCTTCTTAACTCTAGCCTTGCCTCTGAAACATACCTAGGTCGGCTTGACTGCATTTAGCTCTGCGGCCATGGAAACGCAATAGAACCCTTACGACTAAACCTATGCCTTTCACTAACGGTCGTCTACCGACCTATCTGAAATCGTGATACGGCCCCAATGCTTCCCGAAGCAAACCCAGACCCAAACAGCCAAAGGCGAAGACAATCCGGGATTCCGGAACATACTCCCTCAGGGTCGCGGTTTTAAACCCACCAAGAGGCTGCAATGCAGTGTAGAGGGAATGAGTAGGGAAGGCGGAGAGCGATGGGTTTATATGATCGCATGTCTATGCTGGTGATGAAGCTCATCAACACAACATGTCCACTCAAATCCCGATTCTCCCGATTCTCCCGATTCCCATACATCCATCACATACCGAAAACCACACTCGGGACATCTCAGTCATCTTCACGTATTTCTATCTGTTTCCGCCGCTTTTCAGCAGCACATGCCCAAAAGTTGAATCGCTTGTGTGCACATCGGCTTGGTTATTGCCACTTTGGAAATTCTTTAAAAGTGGCAACGGTATTGTGATATGAAGACCTTGAGAGCAGGAGTGAACCTCTCTATATACGCAGCCCACCCTAGTGACTGCCAACAAGACACTTTCTTCAACTTCACCATCCTCATTATAGTCTCCTGAACATCATGTCTCGTAATGTCTCTTGCCGAACACCGGCACATAGGATTGCGCATGCTGCCTTTTTAGACACCCTTCAATCCGAATCCGCGTCAAGCTGGCGCTGATGGTGGAGAGAGAACAAGTGAGGAGAAGAAGAGGATCGCTTATATACGCACGCACGTCCTTCCGCTCTTCTTAAAATCTTCGTTGATCCCTCGATGCGGGCATGTGGAGGGTCCGAAGTTGGAAAACATACCAAGTCTCCCATGCAACCATCTACGTAATTCAGCACCTATGGAAACATCAGGGGAAGGAAGTGCTGATTTGAAGCACTCACCTCCGCTTCAGACCAAGGATATCATAATCACAAAACGCTCTCACACAACATACATATTACAGAACAAATCCATTGACAAAAGAAAGCCCAAACAGAGAGATATCTTCTGAAGTCTTGTTTCTTTTGAGCTGATAGGTAGTAGCTGGCACAATGTACAGAGTATAAGACACAAGGCCACATCCCTTCCTCTCGCTGTCTAATTCGATCGCTTCCCTCTCAAAGATGCTGACATCATCGTTCCTGGCGCTCCAACAGGACGATCATGACTGGTTAGGTCCCTTGGGTAGCCTGGGCGCTTCCTTGACGGTGTAGGGGGGGTTGTAGACGATCTTCCGGGTCTTGAGTCCGGCCCACTTGTACCTATCCAGCTGTTAGCCTCGTCGTTTACACAGAACGACTTTGGGTAATGTTCTCACCTCTTAACCCACACGCTGAGGGCAAGAAGCACGCTCGTCACCGCCAAAACCTTCCAGCCCATCTTCTTACGGTCATCCGCCTCGGGCTCGGCTGCCCAGTTGAGGAATTCAGTGACATCCTTTGCCATTTGCGACGTCGACGCCTTGGTGCCATCCTCGTACTCAACCAAATCATCATAAAGGACACGAGCCATTGCAATACCGGTACCGGGGAAGTAGGGATTGAAGTTGAGACCTTCCTGGACGACGGCACCCGCAGGAGGTTCCTCGGGATAACCAGTCAACAAGCTGAAGATGTAGTTGCAGCCGCCGTGGCGGGCCTTGACCATGAGGGATAGATCCGGGGGCAGAGCACCGTTATTGGCAGCGCGGGCGGCCTCGTCGTTCTTATAGGGAGCGGGCATGTAATCCGAGAGCTTTCCGGGCCGCTTCTCAATTTCGCCCTGGTCGTTCGGCTCGGTATCGTACTCGTTCTCCTCGGCGAGGGCCTTGGCTTCATCGACGGTCATGATCGTACCGACAAGGGCGCGGTACGGCACTCGGGACAGTGAGTGGCAGGATGCGCAGACTTCACGGTAGACCTGGAAGCCACGGCGGAGTCTGGGAGATTTGATATTAGCACGTGCGAGACCTGCAAAGTCTGGATGCCGACTCACGCCTGATGGTCAAATGTCTTGTACCATTTCGCATGTTCCCAGGGGTATTGAGTCGGGTGGAGACTGCGAGAACCACACGTTAGCTTCCATCGTTTCCAATTGCTCTGCGTCTCATATTCCCTCATTTCGTCCTTCTCTGGATTGAACTCACCCTTCCTCGGCGGGCGTCATGGCATCGACATTGCGTCCGTAGAGATGATAGTACCACGCAACCGATCCGATGGCAGCCATCGTGGCTCCGACCGGGAGAGCGTTCGTCTTCCAGGACGAGGCCGCTTCCTCGGCTGTGGAGCTGGAGGTGGAAGCGGAGCGCTGTTGGGCCAATTCGTCAGCACATATTTCAATTGAAGCAGCAAAGCTCATTGGCAGCAGCGCAATTCCCGAGATGGAAGCATTGAAGCTCGGAGGAGCTGCGTCGTGGGATGACCGGAGCGTACCGAGGGTGTTCTGCTGGCAGCATTCCGGGCTGCAGCGCCGACCGAGCGAGCCGAGCGCAACGCTGAGCGAGCCAACATGGTGATGCGAAGCTGGCCCCGAGCCGACGGCGGGAGGAGAGGGCGATGGGGGGGAACTGACGTGTGTGGTGTTGTTGCTGGAGGACCGGTTGTTGGACCTAACACTGGCAGGAATTGACTTTGCCAAGACGGCGCCTGAGTAATGGTAAGTCGGAGAACATGATTGGTGGGTGCACAGACAATGCACCACATACTTGTAGTACCTAGGTACACTTCCCTTGGAGCATTCTGGGTGGATAGGTGATAAAAAGACGTCACCTGTGAATGCGACATTTGCATATAGTGGGAATCCGCATTGAACACAAGCTCTACCATATCAACTGATGCGGAGGATCCTAACACACATGCTTTTCTTCATCTATGCATCCATCAATCAATTCCCATTACCATTACCATTACCATTAAAATATATATCCGTTAAATCATCGATGCCGACGCCGGGCTATCATACGCTCGAACGCACCATTTCCTCCCGGTATTAGCTCCGCGCTGCTCCTGCACCTTAGCTACACTGCCCCCTTATCGGCTTGTGTCACCAGAACGTCAAGCGATCTGCTATCCAGTCTGTCACTTTGAAGAAGACGTTGTGTCTCCAGAAGAAGCTCCGGTTCTTCTTCCCAAAGATATCTATGCTGCGTCAGCAAACGGCCCATAATCGCAAGGGTTGCTTCATCGAAAGCAAAGTAATACTCACACATGGGAATCGTCAGGGCGCATACGCCAACCTGTACGCTTGCCACGGCCATGAAAACCGGTTTGATCTGTCCTGCAACAATCCAATCGAAGCCTTTGAAGGTGAGCGCAAAGGAGAAGATGTTCTTGAACACAAGCAGGCAGGTAAACCCTTCAATGGACATATCACCTGGAGGAACCAATTTAGCCAGCCACACTTCCTAGAGATATGAAGACAGATCAGGCAGGGCAAATACTTACGGTGAGCATCAACAATGTACAACGCACTTGCAACAGCTCCGCACACCATTCCCATAACCTCCAAAGCGAAGAAAAAGTCTGGCCAGAACCATCCGTATCTTCCTGCGTCTGCCGCTGTGAACCCAAAACCGTACAACCCCGCACACCCCAGGATCAGCTGTGGGATGACCAGCACGAGACGGAACTCGGGTTCGTAAACACCGTGATTCAGACGTGTCAGCCATTTGGCTGATGAGTCAGCTATCAGGCCAGAAACAACAAAACCGAGAACAGCGCCGACGAAGGCCCCCGTGTACATGTAGCCGGTTTCAACTTCGCCGAACCAAAGAGGTGGTCCGAGCATGATGCCTGCTAGTACGACGCCGATCATGACGGTCCAGCCGATGAGGGTGCCTTGGATTAGGCAAGCCCAAAGGATACCTGGGTGGAAGAATAGTGAGAACGGTCGAAGGAGCAGGTGCAGATATCGCTCGTCGGTCTTACGTCCATTGAACGGCATGAGTGACTGCTTCCACGAAGCCTTGGGAGGCGGAGGATCATTTCCGGTGTCCGCAGCTGCAACTCCCTGGACAGTATTCTCTCCTTCAGGTTTTATGGTCTCAGTGCCGTTGCCGGCCTCGTCCCTGCCACGTGAAGTTTCTGTCGACGACGCATTACGGGCTTCGGGTCTCTTCGGGGACCCGGTGGTGATCAGATTCCCCATAGTGTCGATATCGAAGCGCTGCTCCCTCTTATACGCTGTCTCCGGAACGAAGAAGACGACAAATGGAAGCATGGCTCCAGCAAAGATCGCGACGAAGTAAAAGGTCTGGCTACCATTAGCATGCTCCCTTCCGTCGCGCGGGTGACTATCAAGAAGAGTCGCTGTTGCTCACCCATTCATAGCCCATTGAATCCGCGATCTTTCCAACTAGCACAGGGGTGAAGAAGGCCCCTCCGAAAACAGCAAAGTTGCTCAAAGCCATCCTCGTCCCTCTCTCATGGACAAAGTAGAGATCGCCCACGCTAGCGTTGACCAGAGCTTCAAATGGCGCAAGCCCGATTCCCTGGAATATCCTTGCCCAGAGCAGACTCTTGTAGTTCTTCCCATTCCCCCCACCCCACGCGCTGCTGAAGACCACTATAACGGTTCCGAGAAGATATAAATGTCGCTTCCCCCATATGCGTGCCGATGGGACAAAGAGAAACCCTGCGAATCCGACACCGAGGAGGTGATAACCCGTCAAGAGTGCCATATCTGTAAGGTTACGCCGGAAGTATATGGCCAGGGAGACGGTGTCCGCGGCGAGGAGAGGCGAGAGGGTTGCGGCGATGACGGAAACAAGGGAGAGGATGAAAAGGATAATATCGCGCTTCCAAAGCGGCCAGTTCTACGTGACAAACTCGAGTGAGCTAATTTTCTTCATGTTTCTGTTTCAGAAGGACATGGCACATACAAGAGGGTCGTTGGGATCGTCTGACGGCTGTGGGACCAGCAGTATCTTGCCTGTTTTATCATACTTGAGGTTTGCATCTCTTGCAATAGCTTGCTCTTCCTCTCTTCTGCGCTCGTCTTCGAGTACGAATGCCGTCCCCGGGACATGTTCCAGCTTGTGATCTTCGAGGATTCCGAGCCCCATTGTCGCAATTCGGCAGCAACTTCAGTGTGACATCAAGTTCGGAGCGAAGGAAGTGGACCTGGAACAGGCATAAATAAGGGATTCAAATCTGACAAAGTTCCCATAACCCAATGGACGTGTGGTTGGTGAACATCACCCGGAGGTTTGGGAGCTCGTGTCGTGATGTTGGAGATCTGGGGAGGGATTCGTGGATGGGGAGACGGCGCGAAATGACCCCAGCACCCCTGGCGTCCAATCATACGTCAGAACCCGGAACGTCACTCCATCACCTCCTCCACCACCCACAGCGGATAGACATGGCAGAAACATTCCCAGTGATAATACTGGAACTCCGTATGTCATGTGAATACTATGAAGTATCCAAACCAGCGCACGTAGTACGTACACTAGGTGAGCAGACGGAGTCAAGACGATGGAGAGCAATCCTGAATTGCTACCATTGCTGACAAAAGAACTTGTATTCTGGACGCGACAGGTGAAATGATTGCCGTTATTGCTTTATGTTTATATTGAGAACCAAAAATCCACGTACTTATACGTATATACGTTGGAGAGAGCAGAGAAGGGGTACAATGGCGAGAAGTACGATTATACCAAGCACATACATGCCGTAAAGCCTCAACGGTAACCATCACCGATTAAAGAACTAGTGTACAGATGCTTGAAACATATGTGTTATACCTCGCTTCCTACTCCATTGCCGTGTCTGCATCTTTCTTGCAATCGAATTGCAACGTCGCTCCGCAATCAAGGTATTCGAAGGGGTCATCCTCGGGGATGCGGCGGTATTGTGAAGCCGCCAGCTCCTCCTTCCGCTCCCTCATAACGTTCTCATACTCCCTTAGCAGACTACTCGCCACAATCTGCTGCATCTGGATGTTGTATTCCTCTTGGCTCGAAAAGTACTCGATGTCGTTTGGGTCGAACAATATTTCATTCTCCACGGCATCGTGGCCAAAGATATGCCGCACCACACCATTGATCTCCGCCCTGATTGCCATAGTAAAGCGACTGTTCCTGACGATATCGTATGTCGCGCGCCATGGATGGGCGTTTGAGCGGAATTCGATAATGAGACGCTCCAATGGAAGGGGAGCCAGTTTCCTCATTTGCACCAATGAGATGCCACACTTGAAGTTTTGGTCAAGAATCCAATTGTAGTCGAGAATTATATTGAAGCGGAGAAGCCTCACTTTAGTCCCCGCATCCAGTAGCGCATCAACGAAGTCAGCAAAATCGCCACCAGCACTTCGGTCCAGGCCCTTGACCCGCTGGAAGGTATCGTCTAGATATTCTTGAATGCTTATCTTTTTTGCGGCCCCGATAGTCAGCTCCAGCAGGCCAAAGCTTCGGCTCCAGAATCTCTTGATGGTAGGTGGCAGTTTTGCATCCCAGTACCCGGGGGTTTCGGCGCGGTTCCACGATATCTTCACTTCCTTGGCCGCAAAGTGCTTCAATCCCTCGTTTAGAAACTGTTTGCTCGTCAGGAGCCAGGTGGGAAGGCCATGGCCTATGAAAGCCTCTTTCTCACGGCGCGTCACAGGCATCCTTGTATCCCCCCTTCCCACATACATTGGATGTCCCCTGAAGAAGGATTCGATCACTGGCGTTTCACCCCAAAGCTCCTCGAAGATCATGGCCCGAATCTTTGGGTCGAGTCCAGGGAGAGTCAGATGGCCTGTCAGAGGAGAGTTAGCGTTGCTGAGAATGGATTCGTAGGCCTTTTGAGCCTATGATCAGTACTTACCATTGGGATGGGGATTGCCTTCTTCCTCCACCCCATGCGCGTCTGCCATCTCCACATCATCGATGTGCGCTTCCGCGAAGGACTGGGTCAACCCTGTTACCGGGTCGACCTCAGCCTTGCGGAAGGCACTCATCAGCGAGGTCATATCATCCATGGTGATGATACGGTGTGTGTTTGAAGATCCCTTTGAGAAGTGTGAGGTGTAGAACGAGGGTAACGAGAGTGTGACGAGCAGGAGATTTGAGCTTCAGAACAGTAACTAGTACTGGGCCAATGTATAGGACGGAGGCTGAAGAGTTATAGACGAGGAACTGGGCAGCAGATAGATGGAGTTCTTCTATACAGAGAGGCTGACGGTGGTGATGGAGCTGAGGAGGATAAGAGGGGAAAGATTTAACTGTTTGGTTCCCAAGGGTTGCTGGCGGTGAAGCCCACTCTACTTCTACCCCATTCTACGCTAGTCCGAAAACAGACACTCCCCACAACGCTGCACACGTTTGGGATGCTATTACAACACTATACCGTGTCCTATGCATACACAATGTCCTATTGTTTGTAACTTATTGTAAGTATCTGAGAAAACAATGCATATACATTCACAGTGCAACAGTGCGAGACCATTATTTATACAGAGGACTATCCCCAACACTACCACCCCCAAAGCACTATTTTCAGTTTCCTTCGTACATCTTCCCTCATAGTTCCACCAGCAATGTCTGCCCCAATGCAGGGCGGGTTCTCTGCAGACTCGTCAGTACCAAAACAACAAACAGACTCCCACTGCGCAGCTTCCATGCATACTCCACGATACCCGTCTCCAATCGGAGTCAGTGCAGACTCGTTCTGGGAATGTCAAGGATGTGGAGTCGCAAACGCGTTTGAGCAAACAAATCGAGTCCGGCCTCTCGGCCGCTGTAGGTGCAAAAGCTGCGGAGCAGTCATCACTTCGCTTTCACAGACTACCAACGTTGACGTCACGCCCATGGGAGGGATGATGTTCATGGTGTCTCTCCCGGCGGATCGCAGCGGTCCTCCTCAGTCTCTCTTCGGCTCCGTCTGCTGCAACTGTGGCCGCTCCCACCTCCGCGAGCGCATAGAATTGGCAGCACATTCGAAAGCATCGCAATCCCAAGGGGCTCCAAATAACTCGCTACGCAAAAAGATCTGGAAGGCTTACAGGAAGATCAAGGACGGCGAGACTGACGAGGCTTGGGCTAATGAAGCTGATGACTCGTTCCCAGAGCGCAAGGCCTTCACAGTCAAGTTCGACAAACCCTGTTGTTGCGGCCACATTCCTTGTATGCGATGCCCAAAGTTCAAGGTCGCTGCCGATGGCGAGTGGGTTACCCAGGTCCGCGAAGTCGAAACACCGAGTTCGGATCCAAACGACTTGTAGAGGGGAATGCTCCTCAAATGTAGGGACTTATTTCTGATAGGGTTCCCCAAGGCGCCCGCATGTAGTGGATGCCAGTCGGTACGTAAATTATAATATTCTTTGTCTCTGTTACATGCTTTGTCTTGATTGGAAAAGCTTCACGGACAACTTTTGAGTCCGAGAGAAATAATTGAGCAGCTTGTTACAACGCTTTGATACCCGCGTCTTACGAACAAACCGTATCTGTCATCGTAGGAGTAATCATATAAGATCAGGTAGACAGGTATTCCAAATCAGTTATATTCAACCCTCTGCGCCCCGTCAAACACATCCCAACGATCGCATAAACGCTGTCCGCTTTCCCGCGCTCCCCGGTTTCAACTGGACATACCCTTACCACACATTGTCCATCCACAACCCTGGGAATTCAGCTGCCAAACTCAATGTCCGCTTTCCCTGTGCAGACAGGGATCTTAAACAATGCAACGTCAGACCATCAACGACTTCCTTGCCACAGAGCCAAGACATATATACAAGATCTCCGGCCTTGAAGATTTCTTGTAGAAGCGACTATATCCACGTTGATTCTCGATATACATATATACACTCTTCCAGTATGCATCCACGTTTTCCAGGGCTCTAAGCTTCTGCTTTTTACCAATGGTGTTACTGGGTGGCCTTGGATGAGCTCTCCGTCGCCTCATACTCCGCAAAAGCCCCAGACCTTCTTCCACGAGACTCTCATCTCTACAACCTTCCTCGGATGACTACATCGCCGACGATATGTCAAAGCTTCTCCCCCTTCTGGATCGTGCCTTTAAGGCCCACAAGGACGAAGAATACAAGGCGAACAATGCTCGCTTCCAGTTAGGGATTGCACAACACACAGCTGTCAACGCACTGGTTGTCGCTCGGAAGCCTCTTCACGTGCCTGTTCGTAACCCTCCTCCCGTCCCTACTGCTAAGGACTCCCCAGTTCATAAACGTTCCCTACTCGTTCCCGCGTCCTTGAGCGCAACTAAATGGGTTTCTTTCCATTGGAACAGGAGGGATTGTCGCCCGAGTCCTGAGAAGTGTTACGCGGAGGCTCTGGACGAAGGTGCGGAGAAGTCCCTCAACGTTGTCAAGGAGCACCATGTGGAACCACACTGCTTTTATCTGGAGAGTGGGACACTCGTTGTTCGCAACTCCATGGAGGACGACATTGTTAAGCGCTATGTTGGCCGACCTGCACTGGAGACCGCGTTGACTGAGCCTATTGCCCGCGCCACGAAGGACTCTCAAATGACTTACGTTCGTCGGCCTGTACTGCGCACTGCCCAGACTGTGCCGTGTCTACCCACATGAACATCCCGACTGAAACGTAGCAATGCAATACGCTTACCCACACGTACGCCCACCGAGCCCCATCCGAGGGCGCCTGACACTGAGAGTCCAGCGCGCATTTCTTGGATGGCGTAAGGTTCGATCTCGTGAGAGCACTTGGTTAGTCTCTTCTTTCTTGTTTCTTTTGATTACATACGGTTCGCGGCGTACGGTTGATTCGACTGAACGGGACCAGATGCTTGGTTTCTTTTGCTTGGGTTTCTTTCTTTTATATCCCCTCTCGCATATAGATCTCAGGTCATATCATCAGATGTGATTAAAAAGATCCTGTCATTTTCAACAGTTTCACTTCTACTTCCCTATGTAAATGTGAGCTGAATACCAAGACGACTCTAAACCAGTTGCTCGAACTGAAGGCAAGGCTCAAGCTTTCCTACAGCTCAAAACAGTAGCAGAATCACCGGAAGAGGCGAAATATAACTTTTCATACAAGCGCAAATCTTGAGCCCTTGACCTTGCCCGCGACTTGCAAATGTGCTGCACACAATTATGAGGTAACTATAAGTTCAACGTAAGTTGCCCGTTCCTCGATCTCGAGACAAACAGTGCCTGGGTCTTCGCCATACCCTACTATCCTAAGTTGGCGTACTGACAGGATGGCATGTGCAGCCGTGTGAGTCAGGCATTCACACATGCAACAACCGCTCACAATGCAAAACTAACCCGTCATACACGCTTCAATGACAGGTACTCTCCCTTTAAATTGAGCTCCCAGGCTTTCAAGCACCTAAGGCGAGCAAAAGTCACTATGCCCCGAACCCCCATCAATACATTTCCCCACGCCACAATACTTGACGACCGGCGTGTTCGTGCAGCCAACACAGCGGAACACCGTGTACTTAAAATGGTTCGTATCGGTCGGCATGTTTGCGTTTTTGAGCGCGGTCTCAATCTCGCGGTAATAATCTCCTATGGTGTAGAGGGGGAAGTAGTTAGCACCATTCGCTCGACGTCATGAGATATTTGACATGCCCTTTCCGAGAAGATTATAGCCACAGTAATCGAGGCCCGTTTTGCAACAAGCGGCTGCAGCAAGTCCGCCGAATAAGGGGAGAGCAAGGGCGGGAATCACGGACATATGCATGGTGGTATTGTTTGGAGGCTGTTTGTCGAGTGGGGTTGAAATTGTCTGAGATAGCAAGACTGTTGCGATGGGCTGTGTTGGGAAAGAGACTCTCTTCTTGTGGAGGGGGCTGGACTTATATAGAATTCTTAGTAGCCGTGGTCCTCTAGCAGTCCTACAACCGAGGGGATATTACGGATATCGAACACATATTCTATTATAAATCGCTGAACCTTTCTTTGCACTCGTGACATTAGCTGCATGGTGACAACTCGTAACAGTGTAACACGTCAATCTAGGAGCCAATAACTGCAACATCGTAAGTGCGGCACTGTGTACCAATCTGCAAGTGAAGCGATGATATGGAACGTGAACTGACAATTTTGGTAACCTCTATTGAAATTTTTATATATTCTCACTCCACCTAGTTACACCTGACTCTCTTGCATACTGTTCCGCCGCACTACTTCGTGTCGGGAGTAACGCAAGTATATTAGCGCATGTGTCCACTTAACACCGAGGGAGGAGATACGTCGTGATCATACGATGGGGAAAGATGGAGGAGCGTCTCGCTTTGGTGCATTGCACAGCTTAGGATTTGAGTCGACATCACAGCTCTATAGCATCGTGGTAGGTCTTTCTGCCACTGAAGCAGAGGTCTCTATTCATTGCGATCGAACCTCGTCCAGCCGTCGTCCTACGGACCTCTTCGATTGCTGGATCTCTCTCTAGATTCCATTATTACACCGAGTAACTCCAGAAAAACGAACGGAACCTGTACCTGATACTCGACCAGGACCCTTGTAACACACATGACGCCTTAGGCATCGCTCTCTTGGACAGAAGATTTTAAAGCCGTCCACCACATACGCTTAAGTGAAACCCCTGATTTCCAGCACCTAATTTGCATTCCCATTACCACTTCCAGCAGCCTGGCCATTCCCACCACCACCAAGCAATCTCTCCAGTTCCCCCAAACCCACCCCTCTCTTCCTCTTTCCCACACCCCCTTCCTTCTCTGCGAATGCCACCCCCATGAGCGCCCTCTTCTCACCCTGCACGTCCAACACCCTCTCCTCCACACTCCCCTTAACGACCACCCTGAAAACCCTCGTCTCCCGTTTCTGACCCAATCTGTATACCCTGTCGACGGCCTGATCCTCGATCGCAGGTGCCCACCAGGAATCTGCGAGAATGACTTGATTCGCTGCTGTGAGATTGAGACCTACACTCGCCACAGCTAAGCTGGCGAGGAGAATGGTGCAGCTGGGATTGTTATCGAGTTGGGAGATGGCATTGTCGCGCTGGGTTGCAGACATGGAGCCGTCGATGCGGGTGAAGCTGTAGTTGTTCGCTTCCAAGTGAGGTTCTAGCAGCGAGAGGAACGACGTCCATTGTGAGAAGATGATAGTCTTAGCAGTGGGGTCCTGCTTCCGGCTTGCATCAAGGATTTGAAGCAGAGCGGTAACTTTGCTGCTACTTGATGTCTCCAGGGAGTGTTTGTCTAGGAGTTGTTCTTGGGTAGGTGGAGGTGGAGCAGCGGCTTCCTGGGCTGGTTTGACGGTGGTCGAGCCAAGCGATTCGAGCTCGGCGCGACACATGGGGCATTTGTGTTGGGTGTCGATGACGCGCTCTATGCATGCTGTGCAGAAGACATGCGCACAGCGAGTAATGACGGGTTCTCTCAGATTGTCCAAACACACGGGACAATCCTCCTGGCTCTCGATACTGAGTTGCAACATTTTCTGCAAGGCGGATTTGTTTTCCTCCGTAAGATCCAGAACGCCTTCTGCTTCGAGCTGCGCCATCACGCTCTCCAGTCTCTCCTCGCTGATGAGTTTCCAGTGATTGCACAGCTGGCGCATGCGTAGCAATACCTCGAGCAAATGACGATACGTGTCGTTCGGATTGTTGCGCGTGCGAAGGTTATGCTTGTAGATCTCCAACGTGCCCTTTGCTTGAGCCTCAAGCGCATCGTACTTCTCCCTCTCGTGTGGGAGAAGGTCAATCTTGTGCACGAACTCCGATAGTTCGGGAAGGCGGAGGTCGATAAAAGACATCTCCTTCTTGCGGCGCAAGCAGATGCCTTTCATGAGGAGCTGCAGAATCTGATTGCCCTGCGGGTCGCCCTGAGCCACCGGGCGAATGATTGCGCTATGGAAGACTTGCAGATCTTGGAGAACTCCGGTTGGGTTGAGGAAGCGCACGAGCGAGTAGAGGTCCTTGAGGTTGTTGATAATAGGCGTACCAGTAAGGGCCCATCGGGATTGCGCCATGAGATTCTGGATAGCGATGGTGCGTTTTGCTTTCGGGTTACGGATATTGTGGCCTTCGTCGAGTACCACGCGTCTCCATTTCACCGAGAAGACACCTGAGCGTCTAGGAAGCGTAGTACTCTTCTGCGAATGCCACTCCGAGGACACGCTGTCGTAGGTGCTGATGACCACATCGTAGTTTCCAATCTCTTTGGGCGTGATGGGCTGTTTCCTGGTACCATGATAGAACATGACACGTAGGGCATACTCCTGCTTGATGTGTCGCTCCATCTGCGTGCTCCAGTTGCTCATCACGGAGACAGGAGCGAGAATCAGCGTAGCAGTGCAAGCATCGCCTGCGCGGCGTCCAAGCGCCCTGTCTGCCATGATCAGGCTGATAACCTGAATCGTCTTGCCCAGGCCCATATCGTCTGCCAGAATACCTCCGCTCGCAAGTTGCGGATTATTCTGGGAGAAGTTGGTTGCCAAGTTGATGAACGCATTCGGCTTGGTAGGATCACGCTGCCAGAGCTGAACAATATCTGCCGATCCCGGTGCAGGTAGCTTGGGACTCTCCTGATTAAGCATCCATTGTAGACCCTGAAGTTGAAACGGACGCAGCTCAGTAGCCAGTGCATCTGGTTGTTGTGCCTTTGGCATCTTCTCCAGCTCCTCTTCTTTGATCCCAAATTGCTCCACAACCTGCTCCAGGCTCCTGGGATTGATCCGGTCGCTGTTCCCGATGATGTCCTCCAGACTCATAGGATTCAACCCCAACCCTTGCGACGACCCAGCGGCATACTCTCCTAGCGGAGTATTAAACTGCAATCCGTCCCCAGCCCACACCACCGCACCACCATTCTTCCTCGCCTCTCTTGCAGCCTTAGCAGCAAGCTTTTCCCTCTCCTTTGCTGCTTTCGCTTCCTTCCTCTTCCTGTCCATCGCATGTCCAACTGGCAGCTTATCCGCCCTCATCTGTGCAATTAGGTTTTCCCTCGCCACAGGCTCGTCCGTCCCATACACCTTAATCTCAATGGGACAGTCAAACTGGCCTTTCGTTCCGGTGATCGTGCCCTCGAGAAGCAGACTACGGTTATCCATGTACTTGGCCAATTTCGCTGCCATGTTCTTCGGGATATGACCGATCTGTTCGCGGTGGACATTGAGCACTTGAATAGCGTTGCTATCATATGGATTTTGTGGCTCGCGTCGTAAGATGACTAATTCCCCTACAGTAGCGTATCCACGGTAATATCGAACTCCCACGATTTTGATAGGCAGGATGCCATAGAGACCCCAGCGGGTTGCGGCTTCATTGTAGTCCTGCGTCGCGTCGGGGACTTCTTGGGAGCCATCGTCTTCCCCTTCATCCTCGTCGTCGTCTATGGTGTACGGATTGGCCTGGGACGATCCAGCGCATGAGTTTGATGCTGTCCGCGCTTGCTTTGGCTGACGTTCCTGGGTGGAGAACGGGGATAGATGATGGCCATTCCCGCCATATGCATATGCATTCGCGGTCGGATAACCGTTCTGGGAAGAACCGGGGTTGCTGAGCGCGTATGGCTGCGACGAATCCAACTCGAAGGAATCAGAAGGCCTCTTACGTGACATTCTGTCGTCGAAGTCTGAGATAGATTGGCTGTTGCAATTGCCCTGCAGGTCGTTGTAAATGTTCCAGCTGAAGACGCGAGACGCATTGAACATCAACAGGGGCAAAAACACGCTAAACACGGAGTCCCGTGATGTCACTGGCTTATGTAATATCCCTTGCGTACCGGAGACCAGGACGGATTGTCTGTTATAAAAGGGTACGCATACTTGGATGAAAAAGCCCCTAACTGAGGCCGCGGTAGACGTACTGTTCAAAATATGGGAACCAGTCAGGCTCCTACACTATCTTGAGAACCATTTCCAGGATATCGTGGCCAAAGGAACGGGCTCATAGAAACTTCCAAATAAGGGACGAAGAATGGCGATGCACATCTTATCATTAAGCCAAACAACAGCATCATCAGCGCAGGCTTGGACTATGCATTATTTGCCACGAGATCTTGACGGCCAAGTTCAATCTACCAAGAAAAGCCGAGTTTCCGAAACGCCAATGCTCCGACCATACTCTTAACCGTCTAATCCATCGTGACGGACCATACATCAGTCGTCGAGACGCCAAAACTCCCGCCAAAACTAGTCAGATATCCACCAGACGCGGCAGTTCCATAGAGATCTATGCCCTTGAATCACTGTACCCACCCCCCTAAAACTGCTCCCTCTCCCTACCCCTCCTCTCCTCATCAACCTGTTGCTTCGCCAAGTGAATCGCCCACTCCGTATTAAACTTGCCCTTCAGCTTATGCAAGTCTTCCACAATCTCCTGACAGCACCTCAACACGGCCTCCTTGGGTGTAATACTCCCATCCGTCTGGACCCTTAGCTCGAACGACGAGAACAGCGGATGCGGAACTTTGTATGCGGAGAAGAGGATGAAGGGGTATTTGTGGAGGCGCTGTGAGATTAGGTTGCCGAGGGTGTGGTCTTCTTTGTTGAAGGTGAAAAGGGACGTATTCGGGGTGCCTGGAACGGTGCGTTAGAGCGCCTGTTAGTTCGGTGGTGAGGGATACTCACGAGTCTCATCCTGCACTTCGACAATTTTCTCCCCGTAGTCGCGCAAAAAGCTCTCGTGCCTATGTGGAACGTCGTCAGTAAGGCGTGTCATGTCGAGAAAAGGCGAGCAGTCCTAGTAGCTGGATACCGTAGGAGGCATTCAACGGTCTCGAGCTCGTTCTTCCTTCCAGTGGACGTGGATCGCAAAGTGTACAACAGCAATCCCCTTCGCAGGCACCAGTAGCCTGATAGAGCTTCGCGTGTTCCGGAGGTGTCATGCCAGTCTACCTCACAATCGTCTCGATGTTGTAGAATCCTCTGGCGGGTCAAGTTCGCCGCTTCCACACCCGGCTACCAGGACTACCCCTCCGCTCCGTGAAGGTATGGTTCGGATCCACTTACCTGTCCGGTGCGTTCATGTTCCGTCACTGTTTCCTTCCCAACAATCTTCCGAGTGTAGGGTAATGAGAAAATCGCAGCGGGGTGTAGAAGCTTTACAGCGCGGTTCGCTATGTCCGGGAAATTCTGTACGGGGTGTGTATGCGAGGTCCGGTATAAGAGAGGTGCGAGCGGCCGTAGATAGACGGGTAGGAGGTATTTAGGTAGCGGTTGCGACTGCAGTGGGTTGGAGTTTCTTTGTAGCAGCTGGACTTCTGCTTGCCGTTCAAGGTCAATAGCCACAGCTCTTCGCCGATTGGTTAGCCAAGACTCACCAGCCACACTGCGATGCTTCAATATATATAAATTCAGGGTGCGGACAGTTTGATGGCAGAGTCTACGATTAAAATTGAATGTGCTTGATTGCTCGTATGCTTAATAGTCTTACTTGTCTTTGCAATTATAAGTGTTAAGGAGAGGCTCGAGTTCTGTAGTAGACAGGGATGGCTGTGCTTTTCCAAATCGTCTAGTATAAGATGGAATGAATGCTAAATCTCATCCTATTGGCCGGCTCTGCCTATTTTGCGTTCAACTTGATTTATCTTCCTGTACATGAAATCAGTCTGCTAAAAATAAAAAAGGAATACCGTATCCGATTATAGAGACTAGTGAAAGCTTAACAGCAGACTTACTTCTTGAAAATAGGAGGCGAATAATGACTGAGATACGCGTCACTCTACAGGTATCAGCCTTCACAGCGCCAAGACCGTAACCTCTGCATAGTCTTCTTGTTCCGGAATTATAACTACAACCGTAACCACCACCGTAACCACCACTGTCCTCTTCTTAGCCCGCCAACCTCCACTCGCAGCCCCCGAGGTCTATTCCTCGTGCCCTTAGTGTAATCTCCTATCGATTCCGCAAACCCAGCTGCATTTTCATCAACAACTTCCAAAGCCGCCGGGTCACCATCCGCCGGCAATTCGAGAGCTTGCTGGTTACTTAGTTACCTCCACTGGAGGCGGTCCATCCTCTCTGCCAAAAGAAGCTGAAGCTAGGCTGCATGTGATATTTTCTAAATGGTCCTGTGAAAACAAGAGTAATAAAATCTATTATATTTCTGAGGAAGAAACTGCTAATGTAATCACTAGCTATGTATCAACGCCGCCGCAATGCGCACTAAGGTGTGGGGGAGCATGGTCTTCGCCCACACATTTTCTGTCCTGTGTATGTATCAGGCATGAGAATCGTACAAGTTGTTTTTACATTACAGAGCTGCCGGCCAGACCGCCGTTTCATGCCAGCTGCGCTCTGGTATCACATTCCACCAATCATCATTCCCCCACATCCCAGTTAGTAGCCAGAACCGCCAGAGCCATCACAGATCCTTGAGGACTCCCGCTTACGTCGCGTTCCCCTTCCCTTTATCCTTGTTTGGCTCCCTCCTCCTCTCCCAGATCTGAACATAACTCTCCTTCGTGAACAGCGTCTCACCCCTCTCCTTCTCCACAAACAGGTCTTGAATTCCCCACCACTCATCCCTACTGCGATCCTTCAACTGCACACGCCACACCTTCCTATCCTGCTCGCCCTCCACGCTATCATCCTTCATCTTCACAGCTTCGTGCGTGATGTTGGCGACAAGATCGTACCAGATAGGTTCTCCCGGAGGATGCACGGCGGGGTTAGGCTCAACAAACGGGGACATATCGAGGGAACGGGTATCGAAAGTGACAATGGTGGGGTTGCGTTCCGAGACGAACCTGTTCTTGCTGAAGCGCTTGATGTGGAAGATGAGGGCTGGAGGGAGAGGGTGCATGAGTCGGTAGCGGACGCGGTTCTTCATGCGTTCCTGTGGACGCACGCCATCGTACTTCGTCAATATGGTCGTGAGGGGCACTTGCGGAATGATGTTTCGCTCCAGGGCGTCTTGGAAGAGAGGTGCCGGGGGTAGGTCTAGGGTCAGGATCATGAATTTGGAGACTTCGGTCTTGACCGCTGCGTCTTCGAAGCGCAGACGATCGCCTACATCAGCCCGAGCAGTGATCTCCTGGGACTCAATTTTGAGTGTGCCCTGGAAGACCTTCTGGATGATGCTGCTGCCTGGTTTGGTCCGGGAGCCGCCCACAGCAAGGTGGAGGTTGTTGAGGAACCAGGAGAGGAACTCAACAGGGTCTGATTGATCTGTAAGGGTGAAGCGTTTGGAGGAGCGTAGTGCTATTTCCTGAAGGAGTTCGTGTGGGGAGACGTGTGATTTGAACGCTCGAGGATTCCAGATTTTGCGGACGAGCGTGCTAAAGCGTTGCGCAAGCTGGGGCCGAGTGGAGAGGTCTTCAAGCATGAAGTAGTTGCGGAGGGGGACGACGTGGGACAAAGCCTGTATGACCACGTTGAAATAGTCGTTCGCTTTGATGTTGTTCATGCCAACGAAGCCGGGGATATATTCCTGGTTGAGAAGATCCCAGGACACCTTCGGATCCTTGTCCAGACGCGCAACTTCTGTTCGGCTGAGTCGGGGGTCCACGACGAACTTGATGTCGTCTAACGACTTGGACATGACCTCGTAGCCTTCTGGCAGCACATAGACCTTCTTCGTTTCCATGTTGATGTAGACGTGGTGACCTTCGTCCAGCGCATGGAAGTATGCCTGCGACTTCGGCCCTCTGCCCTGATAGTATTTTCCGCATACAAGGCATGCATACACATTGATATTGGACAGTGTGACGGAACATAGCTTCTCAAAGTCAAAGTCCAGCACCTTACGGTCGATGGTGTCAAGGTACAAGTCGGTGTATCCTGCCTCTGGCGCCTCCTGTCGCGTGTGAGCCGAATCTACAGGCTCGTCCTCGTCGTCGTCTCCCAGCGCCCCAGCCTCCTCCAGCTCTTCATGCTCCTCATCAGCTGCGCCTAGGATATCGATCTTGTCGCGATCCTCGGGGCGGGGGTGCATGAGATGTCCATTTGTAGCTGCGCCATTGGATGCGGCCGAACCAAGTAGCTCTTCGTTCTCCTCAGTGCGAGCACGTTTGGACGCCGGTGACGGTATGTCTACCGCTTCTTCGAGAGGTTCGAGAGCGAGTCGCTTCGACATTGTGACAAAGTTGCGCAGTTGCGCCTGGGGTGTGTTGAGGTAAAGTTAGCGGCGGCCGAGCGCTCGGAGGCTGATGACGAAGCTAGTGAATTAGCGCCAATGGGAGCTTGTCCAGGGACCCGGAGACAACCACCACAACTTCACCGCACAGACTCGGCCAACTCCATACACAGACAGTACTGCTACTACCCTCATCGCCTTCAGCCCTTCTACGCCAGGGTCTCACTCATACTCTCCTTATGCGCACCACCCAAGCCGCTTGATTGACCTGCAACGCGTGGACCATCATGTTCTCCGGGTCCAACTCCTACTTAGGGGGTGCGAACAGCGCCCGACCGGGACAGCCTCAGTACGGCCAGCAGCAGTCTTTCCAGCAACCCGGTGGTTTTCAGGGCGGACTTGGGCCCCAGCCCACAGGCTTCGGTGGAGGACAACAATTGCAGCCGCAATTCACTGGTTTCCCAGGACAGCCACAGGGCTTCGGGCAGCAACTCCAGCAACCCCAACAACTACAACCCCAATTTACGGGCTTTCCAGGTCAACAGCCTCCGTCCTTCCAGCAACAGGGTCCTCAACAACAGCCGTTTCAGATCGGAGCACCTCCTCCTGTTCAACCTCAACGACCACAGCCCACGGGAATGACCTCTTCCCAGATTGCTGATTCATTCCGCGTTGCCTCCCCGTCGTCCATTCCCCCTCCCCCTCCCGCAAAGTCGACCAAGATTCCGAACATCCGGCTATCATTTATAACGGCTCAGGACCAGGCCAAGTTTGAGCAGCTATTCAAGTCTGCCGTAGGCAGTGCTCAGGCCTTGTCGGGAGACCAGGCGCGGGACTTGCTTCTGCGATCCAAACTGCCCGGAGATGCCTTGTCGCATATCTGGTAAGGACCTTGCGAGACTATATATCGCCACCTCCGCTAATATTCGCAGGACGCTTTCCGATACCACCAAATCTGGCCAACTTTTGTTCCCCGAATTCGCACTGGCCATGTATCTGTGCAACCTCAAATTGACTGGCAAAGATCTTCCCAGCACTCTGCCCGAGAAAATCAGGAATGAAGTCTCGAGCATGGTTGACATTATATCATTTGGGGTTCCGGACGATCAGCCAAGTCGTCCTGCACCGGCGAGCAATGCGCCGAAATTCGACGAGCCGCTGAACAAGAGCTCTCAACAGATTCCCACAATCCAGCAGCCTCAGCCTCAACCATCCAACAGCCAGTTGCTCTCAACTTTAGTCTCCCAACCCACTGGATTTGGACAACCAACAGGCCTCCAATCCCAGCCAACTGGCCTTCAGCCTCAGGCTACAGGTTTTGGTATGTCCCCCGGTTACACTGGACCGCGACCGCCGATGCCACCTATGCCCACTGGGTTCGGTTCAAATCTAGCGCCAAATCCAACTGGCATGGCAGCACCGTTGAATGCTCAGCCTACAGGTATCCCAGGTCAATGGGGTCTCGTGAATACCCCTGCTACTGGTTTGCCCAATATCGAGGCCTTGGCCCAGCGTATGATGCCACAGACAGGACGTGACGTCCCACACACCACTGCCGGTCTCACTGGAAATGCAAAGATCCCTTGGGCTATCACTAAGGGTGAGAAGAAGCTCTATGACGACACCTTTAGAGCTTGGGATGGTCTCGGCAAAGGTTATATCAGTGGCGAGCAAGCACTTGAGATCTTTGGTCAGAGCGGGCTGCCAAAACAGGACTTGGAACGTATTTGGACGCTCGCTGATTCGGCTGACCGCGGTCGGCTCAACCTGGACGAGTTTGCTGTTGCCATGCATCTTATTTACAGGAAGCTGAACGGTTACCCTGTGCCCAACCGGCTCCCTCCCGAGTTGATTCCGCCATCGACGCGCAATATTAACGACTCCATTGGCACCATGAAATCGTTGCTTTCGCGAGATGCAGAAGAGCGTAAGAGCTCAGGAGCTTTTCTCCAGCCTCAGCGTACAGGAGTCAGCTACCTTAAGAATCACTCCTTTCGGTCAGGAAGCCCGGCTACTGGCGGGCGTAAAGATGCTACTGTGTTCCGCAATAACGATGAGATGGTTGGCGGATATCGCTCGAGCGCACGTCACCGCATTGGCGCAGGCGGTCGTTCTCCGTCACCCGCAACGTCTCCTTCACCGGCTTCTGAACGGTCTATTGACGACATGTCCATCGACCAACTCAGGAAGATGGTTAAGGAAAAGCAGATTCTGCTTGATGCTATCGATATTCGGGATGAGAATGCAGCCGACGAAGAAGACGCACTCGACCGCAGGGACCGACGAGAGGCCGAAGACCTGTATCGCCGCATTCGCAGGATACAGGAGGATATTGATGCGCATCCTCAAGCGTCCCTGAGATCCTCCGATTCAGACGCTGAACGACGTGCACTGAAGCGGCAGCTGCAAAAGCTCACTGATCGCCTCCCTGAGCTTGCCTCGAGCGTCCGTCGGACGGAGCGTGAAATTGCCGACGCTCAGCTTGAGCTCTTCAGACTCAAAGATGCCAAAGCCCATCCTGGAGCCGCTGCGTCCATCGTGGGTACAGGTCCTGGCGGGTCAATCACAGAAGCAGACCGTCTGAAGGCACGCGCGAGGGCTATGATGCAAGCTCGCTCCGCTGCTTTGACGGGAAAGCCGGTTCCAGTCAGTGATGATACTGGTGCGGCGGCGGAACGTTTGGAGAAGGAGAGCTCGCGCATCCGGTCCGAACGAGAGAACAATGAACGGATGATTCGTGATGTCGAAGACAGTGTTCGGGAGTACACCAAAGGCCTGGATGCAAGCCTCAAGGAAGGCGGCCATGACGCTGCCAGTGAGCATGAACGACGCAGGTGGGAAGATGGATTGGGAGTGGAAGACGAAGTTAAGGATTTCATCTTCGATCTCCAACGGAGCAGCCAAGCTGCCCGCGTACGCAAGGAGGATTCATCCCGCGACCGGAGCCTATCTGCACGACGCTCTAGCCCGGCTCGGAGCCCCGAGCCAGCCTCTCGTACCACTTCCACTTCCGCTGGCGGTTCGTACTCTTCTTACAAGACGCCTGAGGAGCGCGCTGCATTCATCAAACAGCAGGCGGAACAGCGGATGGCGGAACGCCTTGCGGCTCTAGGTCTGCGGCCTCCTGTCAAGGCTGGTGAGACCCCGCAACAGCGACAGGAACGCGAGAAGAGGGAGAGGGAGGAGAAACTTCGCCAGGCTGAAGAAGAGGACGCTCGGCGTGAAGAAGAGAGGCAGAGGCGTCTCAAGGACGAATCCATCGCTCCACCTTCTACCACGAAGCCAAGCGGGAAGAAGCCTCCACCACCACCGGTTTCGAGAAAGAGCAAGACAGAGGTTGCCCAGCACGACCAAAAGCAAGCTGAAGCAGAGATGAGGAGGGCTGACAAGGAGATCGCCGAGAAGGCCCTCAAGGAACAGCAAGAGGCCCAAGAAGCCGAACGAAAGCGGTTAGAGTAAGTAACCTTTGTCTTATACACGTCTGTTCGCTATCACTAACCTAACATAGGGATGAGGAACGGCAGCGAGAGGAGGAGCTAGCCAAGGAGCGCGAAGCTCAACAAGCGCGACTCCGCGCCTTGGAAGAACAAGTTCGACAAGGCAAGATTAAGAAAGAGGAAGAGAAACGTCGCAAGCAAGCCGAGAAACGTGAAGCAAAGGAAAGGGAAGCTCGTGAGGCTGCCCATCGTGCTGAGCTCGAAGCTGCTCGTGAACGCGAACGCCAGTTGCAACTACAACTCGAGAGCCTCAATGATGAGGATGACTCGTCGAGCGACGATGAGGGACCCCAGAATCTCACACCACAAGAGACCACGCCAACGACTAGCCAAGAGCTGCCTTCGGAGCCAGCACCACCTGCTGCACCTCCCATCCCGACTGCTCCTCCGCTACCTCTTCAGACAAGCACCCCTCCATCCTCCATGGCAAGCCCACCGACTTCTTCAGTAACGAGCCCTCACGTGGCACATGCAGATACAGAGACCAAGAACCCCTTCCTGAAGAAGATGGCTCTTTCAAGCCAAGAGAACAACGCTATTCCCACGCCTCCACCGCCTCCGCCCACCAACGAGGTCTCCTCCACGAATCCCTTCCACCGCAAGGTCGCCCTAGGCGAACCCGCACCCGCAGCCGCACCTCCAGCCCGCACACGCGCCCGCCCCGAAGAGGACGACTGGTCAGTTGTCGACTCGGACGACTCCTCATCCGACGACGACGACGCGCCTCAAGGTGGAGCCAAACACCTCGCCTCCATCCTCTTCGGCACCATGGCACCTCCTCGTCCACTGTCCTCCATGGATGACAAGAGCCCTCGCACTACTAGTCCGACTGTGGCGTCCCCTCCAGCTGGTATCCCACCGCCGCCTCCACCCATGCCGACGGGTTCTGCGCCTCCGCCCCCGCCCGGTCCACCGCCGCCACCGGGTGGTGTGCCGCCTCCGCCTCCTATGATGATGCAGAGGCCTGCTGGCGGGGCGCCGGATCGCGGGGCGTTACTTGGGGAGATTCAGAAAGGAAGGGGCCTGAGGAAGGTGCAGACGAAGGATCGGAGTGCCGCAGCTGTGGCGGGGAGGGTGTTGTAGATGGGTTAGGGGTCAATGAAGAGTAAGGTGTGAGTGTGTTCACGCTGGGAAAGTAGGAAAGAGGTGAGGTGAGGGGTTGGATGTGTATATAACAAAGCAGTGGCACAAGTGGTAGCACCAGCCCCTTTTCCATTCAGCACAGCACAGTTTCTAGCGGGTGGAATTCATAGAATGAGATCTCTGTTCCTGACTACCTCTACTCTCTTAGTGCTTTTGGCGAACGTTGAGGAGCTTTTGGGAAATGCTTGTTTTGAAACTTCATTCGGGGGGAATTGATTGCTATGTATATCTAACTCCCTAAACGCCTGTATGCTGAATGGAACTGTGTGGAAAGAGAAAAAGCCGCGTTAAAGGCGATTGAGGACTTCGAGTATCTGCCTGCCCATACGATGGTTGCACCGTTCCCCCTTGGAGAGTGTCGCTCGTCCGACGTTGTCGCAATTCAGAGCGAACTGTTGAGGCGGTATTGTTCAGAGCGCAGGTGTATTGCAACCATGCTGTCCGACTGTGCTTGTACAGTAGCGCCGGCCGTAGGGTCAATCAAGCGCATCGAGTCTCGACTCCACGGTATGCGATAGCCGACTTGGTCAAGGGGGACAAGAGGGAGCACGAAGTTTGACCTTGTCTGGGATACGGATATGGGTCGAAGACGAGCGCCTTAGAAAAATAGCCTGAGGACCTCGAAGATGACGCCGCCGCAGAGTACGAATGCCAGCAGCACTGCAATTCTCATTAGCACTCATCCTCTCTTCTACAATCATTGTCTCTTCATCGGTTCGCCAGCCCTGTCACCATCGCCGGCGCTCTCGACAACTCTTCCTAGATGATGGAAAGGAACGAGGGACATACCAATCCACCCTTTACTGATCGGGCTCTTGAGATTCTCCTTGCGCTTGAGGGCGGAGGCGGGCTTGCCCATCTTGGTCTGCGTTTCTTTGGCGAAGCGCGCGTTGGCGGCGCGTTGTTGTGGTGTTTGAGCCTAGGGGATTGTTAGTAGAGGATTTTGAGATATGGTGGTAAGAACAGAAAGGCTCAGGCGTACCATCTTTGGGGGGTTGTTGGTAGAGGGGGTAAGAGAGGTGGTTGGAAGGTAGGATAGAGAGATGGAGCTCGCGATTGCGGTTTGGGAACAGAGAGCTTCGGTGGTGGAGGAAACTAAAGCCAAAGTAGTGGGAGTTCGCCGCAGTCCTTTTCACTCTTCTATATGATGTGAAAGAGGGGCCAAAACGGTATCTTCGCTCTTCGAGTTTCTTTCAAATAATTGCGTGGTGAAGTTCACTTGGAGAACGAGATCCAAGAAACAGATCGAGGGTGATGCAAGGTGTTCCGATCCAGGGTCCCGACGCACAGACCAACTGGTTGCGGAGCTGGAGCGGAGGTGCCAGGGAGCTAAGCTTGTGATGTCGAATATCGATAAAGAGGGAAGAGTGAGACGGACTGGAAAAGTTTGAATTGTGCTCGTTATATATCTTCATTGAGATAAGAAAAAAAAAGGACACGTTGAAGAGAAGAATTGAAGAGTCATCGCCCACCAACGACAAGGCAAGAGGAGAAAAAGGAGCTTTCCAGACGTCTGAGAGGACGACCTGGGAGAGAGGGAAAGGACTGGTGCCTGGACGAGACAGAGGACAACGCATACACTCAACGCCACGGACGTACAGGATGACGCCGCGCTCTGCCATCTCGAGGATCCGCCTCCCGCTTTCCCCGCAACTCGCCGTTCCCAAGACCACCACTCCCATCCGCGCACTGAGAAGAAGAGGATACGCCAGTCAGTCGGAGGGTCAGGGGCAGGGGAAGTCTCTCGCGGTAGGTCATGCCCGATTTCCGTAATGATGGGACCCTGTATTGGTTAGGGGAATCGGCTCGAAAGAAAACCCGTTCTGACTGAGTGAATGGATAGGGCGCATACTACAAATCCTTCGGCCTCCCCATCGCGAAATGCTTCCTCGGCGCCCTCTTCACGTACCAGGTTACCTATTGGTTATGGATGAAGCTGGAATCGCTCGAGGAGCAGAAGGATAAGGAAGGTTGGAAGTCCTCTCGCTCCACCGGTTCCCATTTCTACCCTATATATTTCGTGTCTGAGCCGATTGCGTCCTTGCGATGGATGGATGGATGGATGGATGCTGACTATGATTGCGTAGAGGAGATACAACAGTTGAAAGACGAGTTGAAGGTCTTGTTGAAGAGGAAGGCCGAAGCGGAGAAGGCCCTGCTGGCGGAGCAAGGGACCAAGGCGGTGGAGGGAGAGAAGGCGAAGAAGAAGGGATGGTTCTGGTAGGGAAAGGGTATGGATAGGACTTCGGAAAGGGAGAATATCTGGAAGATGAGGAGAGAGAAGATCTATGTATATTACGTACGATACCCCAGGTGAGGATCATGAGGTCACGATTGGACAAAGTTTGTATGGGTTCGGGGTCACGCGAATGCCTAAGCGTCTAAGCAGGTCTGCTTTGGAACAGTTTGTTTGCCATTTGGTATCTCTTCCGTCTAGCTCCCTGCTAAATAGCAGACGAAATCACGCAGTCAGGACATGCCATTTGCTGTCTCAATCCTGCACACTACTTTCCACCCCACCCTCATCCAGCATGATCTCCCTCCTCTTCTTCCTCTTCCTCTTGACCGCACCCTCCTGACCTGGTACCTCCTCGCCCTCCTCCGGCTTCTTAACCTTCTTCTTCTTCTTCTTTACCACCTTCTCCCCCTCATCCTCTCGAATCTCACCAACCACTGCCTCAGCATTCTCGAGCTCCTCCCCGCCGATGTCCACCTTCCGAACCTTCTTCTTCTTCCTCTTAACCGCCACTTCCCCCTTACTCTCCACCTTCTCACTCATCCTCTGCAGCTCCAACCTCTTCCTCTCTACCTCCGCCAACGCCCTCCTCATCTCCGCCTCCTCCTGCTCCCTTCGCTCAATATCCAGCTTCGTCATACGTCGTCCACTGCCATCATCGTCTTCCAGGCTCAGTGCCCCCAATGACGAGCTATCCACTTCAAGCAGACCCCTCTTCACTTTGGATCCGCTATTCAGCCGCCGCGGCGAAGCAACAATATCCTCCCTACCGGACGAAGCCTCGCCTTCGGCAGGTCCCAGCGTCTCATCGCCCATGATCTCCACCCTCCGAGGTGCTTTCCGCGGGCTCCGGGTGCGCGGGACTTGCTGCTCGCTCGCGCGTCGACTATTCCCACCACCATTTCCGAGATCAAGGTCCATAATGGGAATGGCGTCAATGTCAACCTCTTCATTGCCTGCACGGACAATGCTAGCCAACGGCGTGACGGCACCAGAGCCTTGCTTTGCGTCAGGATCAATGTAGAACGGATCGTCTCTGTATCGTTCCCTGCGTTCTGCCTTCCTCCGCGCTATTATATCTGCATCAAGGTATTCCTCTTCTACGGCGTTTTGGTACGATGTAGTTTCTTTCTGCTGCTTAGCGTCCAGACGCTCAGCCGCGGAGATGGGTTGAGGAGCAGTTGCTCCAAGGTATGAAGTAGGTGGTTCAGAGTAAGCGGCGTATACATCGTCTTCTTCTGTCTCGAACGCTTCGAGTTCAGCTTGAGCAAGTAAGCTATGTAGGTTGGAGTTGATGGGCGTGTCGAGATCCAGCCCCTCTGGGAAGGGCACCTTGCGTTGCGCTCCACGTGCCACTGGGTTGAGCTCAGCCCCTGTGAACAATGCGGGAATCGCCTGTGTGAGTAACAAGGGCGGGTCTGTGAAGTCTCCATGTGGGTCCCCGGCTGCGGTACCGGACACAGCTTCTGCACCTAACCGCATGAGTTCCAGATACTCCACAGCTCGTTCCTGTACCTCCAGGCTTGGATGTGTGGACAATGGTTCCAAGAAGTGGATTATGCGTGCCATGAGCAGCGTCATCAAGGTCTTTCGCTCCGGTGTCCAGGATATCTGGTCGTTGCCTGATATGCTTGCGAAGATCTTGGGAATTGCTTGGAGGTATATAGCAAGTGTTCTGGAAGGAAGTTGAGCGGATGTAGGATGCAGCAGGGAGGTCATGACAGCATCGGGCTGTGTAAGGTAGCTGGCGTACTCTCCGACTATCCAGCCAGCATATTCCAGTACGCTGAGGCCGCCGTTGCCGGAGGATGGGAACATCTGGTCGCGACGGTCCACCATGACAAGCGACTGAGCTGCATCCACGGCTTCAGCTCGGACACTTTTCACCCTTACGGCAACGTTTTGAAGTTGACGCCCAATGCCGTGGCCGACATCGTCGGAATCTTCGATATCTTCCTCGTCCTCTATCTCTGTTTCGGCTTTCGTTGCAGGAGATACACGGACAAGCTGGACGAGGACATCAATGTACCAGTCAAAGTCGGTGATATTGGCATATGTATCCCGCGAACACATCTCCAATATCCTCCGTATGACAGTGACGCGGTACTCCTCTGGAAGCGGTGGAGGTTGGTTCGATCTTTGCTCGTGGCGGAGGCTCTCCTCTGCATCTGAATCGTCCGATTCGGCGTACGGTACGACTCCAGATGTCCTCCCGCGGTCGTTCATGTGGTCATCCGGCGCGGACGCAATCGGGGCGTTGCGAAGCTGCCGCATAAGACGGCCAACTGTGGCTGTGAGGTTGTCCGAATTGACCATGCCTACGACCAAATCGAGAGCGCGCATTCGTATTGAGATATCCGGGTCATCGATACAATCCAGGATAACATCTTGTTGCTGGGAAACAAGATGTGGGTGGGAACACACTATCTTCTCGAAAGCGAGAAGTGCAACATATTTCAAGTTCGCATCACCCTCCATAACCATCATACCTCTCAGCTTGCCGACACATAGCCGCGCAACCTCTTCACCTTCTGAAGTGCCTTCAACGGCTTCGAGGATGCCTCCTTGGATGATGCCATTGATGCACTCGTACAGCAAAGACATTGCGGAAGTCTCCTTCATGATCTTCGTTAGGGGCGGTAACAGTTTCTTGATGAGTCTCGGTTCCAGGGGTGTCAAGGTTGCGAACTGTGTCTATGTTAGCTCTGACCACAGCATCACAAGCGCCTTACATACAAGCTTGATCAGCTTTATCGCCATCCAGTTGTTCCCTCCTTCAACAAGAAGGTCAAATAACCTTGGCGCAAGCGGTAGGAAGTCCTGCGGTCGTCTCCAGCCCAACTCGCAGACCACATTCACAATGGCAGCCGTCACGCTCGGATCTTCCCTCTCATCCTGCAACCTCTCCTTGATCTTCGGCCACGCCGGCCTCAACGTCTCCGGATACACGAGCGCCAGCCTATACAAGGTAACCACCGTCTTCTTCCTGATCGCGGCATGGGAATGCGTCAACCTAGGCAGCAAGTCCGACAGCACCGAATTCGCCATACTCGGATTGATCACATGCGGGATGGCGCCCAAGGGCAAGCTTATCACCGTCGGCGTCGGACTACTAATATCCTTCTTGAGCTGATTTTCCGCCAGCATGAGCACCTCGGTATCCCTCCGGAAGCTCTGCACAGCAGCCAGGTAACCCGTGCGCTTGTGCCGGTACTTTGGACTCGACATGACCTCGAGGACGTTGAACGAGGCCCACGACATGTCGTAGCCGAACATCTCGAGGTAGGTGAGTTTCATGAGGGCGGTTGACTTGAGGTCCATGTCGTTGGAGCGGATTTCCTTGCGGCATTCTTTTATGGACTCGGCAATGTATTCCTTTTCGGAGCCCTTGTGGTTGCGGAGGCCGCGGATGAGGTCGTAGAGGGATTTTTCGAACCTGGAGATGTTAGTTGTTCCCTTCTAACTGCTGGATTTTTGGCAGGAGTATTCATTTACATGGTTGCTGTTCACTCAGGAGTGCCGCCTAGGGATATGGCAAGGGAAGAAGGGTACTGGAGGAGGGGTCGAGACGGAGTGTTTGGTAGAACCAGTAGGCATGATCGCCAGGCCGGTTGATAGAAGGAGGTATTAGAAAGAAGATTATCTATATCATAAAAGAGTCATTAAGGAAGCGCAGAGCGGTGAAAAGCCCTCTTGTTTCGATGCTCATGTGTCGCAATCCCGGGCAGTGACGAAGCAAGCAACCCAAGCTGCCCGCCGGCCTCCCAGTTTCGCCGAACATTCATTGGAAGCTCGGGCCACATCTCACAACCAAGTCCAGCTCCTCTGCCTACTACACAGTACATCAATTGGAGTGCTACTCTCATTCCCAATTCCGCAACGCTTTCTCCTCCTTTCTTCCTCTTCCTCCCATTCCTCCCACCTCAACCCACGATGCCCCCTCATCCGCCCAACCTCCTCACTCCTCCCCAAACCATCACCCCCCAAACCGCGCTCCTCCTCTCCCAAAAAGCCCCTCGCATCCTCTCCTCCCCACCCAGTGGCTCCTCCCTCCCCTGGCCCCTCTCCCTGCTCTTCTCTCCCGAGAACCCCTCCACCTGGACCATCCACGAGAACCTGCTCCTCTCCTCCCTCCGCACCGGCGACGACGCCTCGGCCCGCAAGGCCCTCGACCGCCTGACCACGCGCTTCGGCGCCGACAACGAGCGCATCGTCGCGCTGCGCGGCATCTACGAGGAGGCCCAGGCGAAGACGGACAAGGAGCTCGAGGCCCTGTTCCACAGGTACGAGAAATTGCTGCGGGACGACCCGACCAATTTCGCCGTCCGGAAGCGGCGTATTGCCGTGCTGAAGAGCCTGGGGAGGACGAGTGATGCCATCACCGCGTTGACGGTGCTGCTTGAGAATAGTCCTACGGATGTCGAGGCGTGGGCTGAGGCGAGTGAGTTGTATGCCTCGCAGGGGGCGTTGAGCCAGGCGATTTTCTGTATGGAGGAGGTGTTGGTCTTGGTGCCGAATGCGTGGAGTGTGCGTCTCATTCATTTCCGTCGTGTGCTATTTGAATCGATTATGCTGATTATACCTTTTAGGCGCATGCACAACTCGGCACCCTCCACTACCTCCAAGCAACTTCGTCTTCTCCTCCAAACATCTCCTCCCTGAGCACCTCCCTCCGATACTTCAGCCGCGCCCTCGAACTCAACGATTCCTACCTCCGAGGCTTCTACGGCCTCAAGCTCGTCTCCAAAAGCCTCATCCCTTTACTCTCCGATTCGCCTACCAATACTGCATCCTCCAGCAGCAAACGCAAAGATAACAAGGACAAGGACAGGGACGCAGCAGATGACGAAGATCTACCTCCCCCATCACTCGCAACCGTGAAAAAGCTCGAGGAACTCGCTACCAGCAGACTCGGCGAAATCATCCGAAACTACAGCTCCGGGAGGAAAGGGTGGACGGGATACGATGAAGCGGAGGTGATTGCAGCGCGGGAATTGTTAGATCGGGACGGCCAAGTGGAGAGGTGAGCGCGAGTGGCCTTTCATCGGTTGGAATTGCGCCTTGGAAGCTCCCGTTGGGGGATACGAAACCCCTGGTAATGGGGATAACCAGGGGAAAAGGGGAAATGCTTCAAAATTGCTGAGGCGGGACTTCAAGAGCGACGAAGCGGAATGGGCGTCTGGCGTTGGGCGTATGATACCCGTTTCGTAGGAAATGGGAGCTCGACTTTTTGGGCCTGGGGAAATAGTGTCCATAATACCATGTGGCGAAGGAAATACATCTTGAACTCTGCATATACTCACTCCTCTAATATCTTGCATGTGACTCAATATGCGATTATATTACAAGTATCTTGCCTCCCCTTCCATGCTCTTCCCCTTTCCCAGCTCTCCTCCACATTCATGCCACTAATGTATTACTCGTGTACCTCAACCGCTCGCTCTAATGCAAACCCTGCGTATACAGAGAACGAAGGAAAAGAGAAACGAAGAAGAATAAATCTGCTTTTACCACAACAAATACCGCTGGATGGAGAGAGAAAATGAAGGAGAGAAATGAGGAAAGGAAGAACGCCAGCAAATGCAAACTCCTCTCCAACAATAAAACACCAAATAAACCAACGGTCCATCAGCACTCCATCATCTGAGAACCGAAGAAAGACCTCGACCCGTCCAACAGGTATCCACCGCTAACAATAAACCCCATCAACCACCCTCGTCACCCTCACAACCCCTCAAGCCCCCTAACCAAGTCTCCCAAATCTCCCAGCCCACCATCGTCCTTCTTCTCCGTCACCTTCCCACCCAAAAACTTACTCTTCCTCGCCTGAGCAATCTTGCCCCAATCCTCTTCCTCATTATCATCCTCCTTCTGCCCCTGAGACTTATTCTTCAATATCCCCTTGACCTTCTTTTCCGCTGCCGCACCTCCGGACGCTTGCAACGTCATCGAGCTTCCCACCGTGGACTTCGAATCCGCACCCATCCCATTGCCCGTAACGACCGGTCTATAGCGCGCCGAGAGCCCGATATTCGAACGCTCGCTCGGTGCAATCGAGGGCGTGTAGCCATTTGGTAGCCCAGATGACTGCTGGAATCCAGGCATGGGAACACCGATGGTCGAGTACGGGCGATTCTGCATCGCCCCGTTCGGCTGTGGGCCAGCGACGGACATGATGGACATGGGACGTTGTTGAGCGTTGCCTACGCCTAGGAAGGCCGGGTTCTGAGGCAAGTTCTGCTGCTGCGGGTGCTGGAAGCCCCCGCCATTGGAAATCATTGACATGCGCGGATCTTGGGGCATCTGTTGCTGAGCGAACATTGCGTTCTGGGCCTGGAATGCGAGCATCTGCTGCTGTTGATACATTTGCTGCATCATGAGGTCATTTTGCGGGTACATGGGGTACCCCATCATGGGCATTTGCATTGAACCGCCGCCCATCATGTTCATGTTCATCGTCATGGGGTTCATTCCCGGCATTCCGTTCATCGGCATCGGGGACACAACGGACATGCGGGTCGAGCGGTTCGGGTTGCCCATTGCGTTCATTTGGCTGCTGAGGGCGCCGGTAAAGGGGCCTGCTGCGGGCATCTTGCTGGATGCGCCGCCCATATACTTCTGCTTCGCCAGATCTCTCATTTGTATTTGATCGATCAAAGATGTGTATTGCGGTTGGGCCTCGAGGGGTATTCCTCCCATAGGCTCATTATACACCGACATAGCACGATTATTGAAGCCCATTGACTCCCGTATCGATGGCCGGACTAGGCCGTTGCCCATGACAGGTGGAAATGGGTCATCGGGCAGATTCCGCGCAAAGGGCGGTCGGTACGTCGAAGCTCGATTGCCTAAAGCGCCTGTAGAGGACGGACGGTCCGGGAGAGATGGCGTAGAGGATCTGAAGTAGGACGGCATCGGGTTTGGGGGTTGACTCGGTGGCTTGTTACGACTAGGAAATCCGTGCTGTGCGAGAACGCCGAGAGGAATGTCCTCATCACTCCATTCGTCTGCTTGCAACGACACCTCCGAAGGGAAACCGGCTGACATGGACCCTTCGGGGGCTCTCGCCTCAGTGGGCGCTGTGGAGCGTCTCATATGTTCCCGCGCAATCCGCATCTGTTGCTGCTTTCTTATCAGACGCTGTTGCTCTTCCTGCTTCCGAATGGCATCCTCTTCATCGTCCTCATAATCATCCTCTGAGCTATCGTCGTTCGATTGCATGATCTGCGTCTTCTGGTGCAATTGGAACTCGGCTGCCGTCATCACTCTTCGCATTGGCCCGCGTTGAGACGGATTCGCAGATGTGGAAGCCGCATTTTCTCTCAATGGAGACAACGGCCTCCGGATGGTCGTCCGGTCGGTATTTGCTGAGCCGAACATTTCCCCCTGTTCCATTTCACGGCGAGGGGATGGTGTTGCGGGCGTACGTAAGGCGCCTGAACCCGCACCGCTGTTCGAAGGCGTTGATGCATAGGAGGCATCGTTCGACATGGCTGCAGACAACGACGTGCTAGACGGATTCGGTTCAGGAGCATTTAGTGATTTCCTCGACTCAATGGACTGCCGCACTAGCTTCGCGTCCTCGTCTTCGAACCCTTCGTCGTTGAGTTCCGGGCTGTGTGACGCCACGGGTGCGTACTCTGGGTACTTGTGGGGCGGTACGGGGGGTGGGGACCTGTCCTCAACCGGTGATGTTATGAGATTGTCTCCTGAACCACGACTGTCCCAAGACTTGGGCGGCGGTTCGATATCTAATTTCCGATCAATCCTGATAGGTTCAGACTGGAACGTACGCCTCCCTTGCAGTAACGATCGCCCCGGCTGCCCTAAAGACTCACTTGTGGGCGCCGGGGACTCTTTCCTGTCCAAACCACTAAACAAGTCATCGAACCCAGAGTCGCCAAAATCCAAGTCTGCCTCTAGTTTCGGCGCAACAGCTGTACTGGCGTAACTTGAGGTCGTCGTTGCTCGTGCGCGAGCGGCGCCGACCCCTGACGCAGACGAGTCATGCTCTCCGTACGGCCTTCCAGAGGTATCATTTGGCCTCGAGGCAGGCGGTGGTGGGAGCTGCTTTTTCACGTTGCCCATCGACAGTGCGCCCGGAGAGCTATTGTGCTGGGTGGTATGCGGGCGAGAGGGGAGCGCAAACATGTTATCACTGGGATCGGACTCTGCGGAAGACGGAAGCGTAGAACTGGAGCCGCCACCATGGTATGGTCGGGACGAAAACGATTGTGCGCCGCTGCTGGACTTGCTGTCGCTGATTATACTCAGTTGGGGCCGAATGGGGGCAGTAGCATCCTTCACTTATCACTTACCGATTCGAGGAAGAAGGAGAGTCCTCGTCGACGGAGCGTGTCCGCGCTTTGCCCGAGCTGCCAAAGGCGCTGAAGCGTCCAAACTTCGAAGTCTTCTCGTGCGCCTTCTTCAGCGCTTGCTCCTGCCTTTCCTGCTTTGCTTTCTCGATATCACTGCGGCTGAGCACGCGAAAGCTGCTCTGCTCCGTAGAGGCGGGGGCGGTGAGGTGGGTGGAGGGATCCGCGTCGTCGAGGACATTGCCGGAGGATCTCCTTCGCGGCTGAAGGAATCCTAAGCCAGGTTTGCCCATGTTGAACGATTGTGTGAAAAAGGGGCGAGGAAGGCCCTTCGTGGCGGCAGAGCCTAGGATGTTATCGAAGTATGCGGGGATGTTTTAAGCAGGCATGTGTATGCAGTAGAAACGATATCTCGGTCGGGGTATGGATCGAAGAGAAAATGGTAAAGCGATGAGGTTGCTCCGGCGAGGAAGGACAATGAGTGACTCTCACGGATGGTCCCACTGGATGGTTGTCATCAGCATTAGCTCGTTAAACACGGTGCGAATGGTTGAAAGAGCGAATAGCCATTCGGTGGCCTGAACGGCTTTTCTTAGAAGCAGCAGGTGCGGCTGGAGCAGACGTCGAGGTGGCTGGATACGGGATCTAAGCAAGTGGGTGTGTGTTGTGAGACGGATGGACTTCGGCGTTGCGGCGGAGCAAAGAGAACACAGCTAATGGGGGACTTAAACGTCGCCTAGATGCTCAAATGATGAATGCTCGGGTCCGCTCCGCTCGAGTCGATCGCGCTCTGCCAGCGTCGGGTGAAGGACAGCAGCCTCTTCGGGGGTCGCAGTCCCAGTTTTCTGCCACTGGCTCGGAGCTGCCCACGGATGGGACAGAGCGCAAAGGGGGGGCGGACGGCGACTTACCAGGGAAGTTATATGCAGGTAGGCGCGGCACGACTGTGTTCGAGCAGTTCGTCACAGGGTTGCACGAGAACGAGTGACTGGTGGGTGGGCCGACTGGTGTGGTGTGCAGTGGCAAGAGAAAGAAGGACGGCGGCCAACGGACTGCTGGTGGTGGGCACGGGCAAAAACGTTGGATCTGATGGAAGACTGCGGATGAGGGATAGGGAGTTTGTCGTCCGATTGATCGACGATGTACAAGACGCGTAACAGGATCTTTCCGATGCAATACAGTCGACCTGCGTACCGTTGTGTAAACAGGTTAGTGTTGCCAGGGGGCTTTTCGGGAGCAGACCGAGGATGGTGGACAAGACCGTGCTGCAGGTGTTGTCGTGGATTGGCGGCCGGGAATGGCTTTCCCTCCCAGACAATAGATCAATTCACTGCCCGACCGCTCACTCTGTCTTCACACAAAGAGCATGCAAAATGTGTTTCGTGCCGTCCTCGATCGGTATCTGTCCTGTGCCGGCAGCTCCGTAAACCAGGGCGGTAATATTGATGCGGCTTCTTTGGTCGCAGTTCGTTGCCTGGCCCTAGTAGAAGAATTCGGTATCGAACAATGAACATGTGTTTGATAATATCGTAAGCATCGCCTCGTCGCCCAGTCATGCCCAACCCCCTGCTCCGCCTTGTCTCGTTTGAGCGGTAACAGTCCCCCTAAAATAAGCATCCCGAGCTCCATCGCGGCATCGCCTGGGATGGCGTCCAAGAAACTTCCAGGCGCAAGACCTGCTCCCTGAACGCGCTCTGAGTACTCGCCATCATTCGCCAGCCGACTCTTTCTGCGGATGGGCCTCGCTTCCAAGGAAGCTGCATCGAATTTGCTGAAATTGCGGCAAATGCTGTACACAGTAAATGCTGCAATTTGTTGTTGTCAAGCTTGCTGCCACAGCTCCCAGGAACATCCACGTCCGCAAACTGGATTCATCAGCCTTCCAAGGCACGCCATTATTGATGGCCTCATCCTGTGTACTGTGTAGAATCCCTTCCTGCTCGTAGCGAACGCCAGAAGATCGATTGAGGCGGCTGGCTCGTACAAACTGATTCCGCGCGATCCCTCAGCCTCCTGTGTCAACCATCCCACTAAAGTTTTACTCAGTATCCGTACTCCGTAAAATACTCCACCTTATCTTACCCGCAGCAACAACAGCCTCAGCAAGACAGCTGTCCCTGGATTTGCTAATGCTGCATTATGCACTGTCTGACATGGCCCCTCCTACCCATCCGAGGCGGTCATTGCTACTTGTACTGTGTACAAGAGGGGATGACCGGGTTAGTGTTAGGGTGCACGTCTTCGTGACCGTGCTGCTAGTACAGGAAGTTTCGCCGAGCTTCTTGCGCAGAGCGATCGAAACTTTTAGAACTCTGTTCGTCGAGCCCTACCAGGACGTGCGTGAGCGGTTGACGTACCTACAATTCATCGAGCAATGTCACATTGAGCAATGGGCTCTCGACAGCCATCCTAGCAGAGTATGGATGTGTGGACACACCCTCTACACAGTAGACTAGGATGCTCGGGTACGTCGACGAGCATTCCATGGGCCTGGCCTAGTTGTGTGGTTTGTCGAGTTCCTTGTGTAGCATGATGGTCCCCACTTCACAGCCCCTCTTGCGTCTTGTTTTGTATGCTCGTTCTCTCTCTGCTACTGCCTTTCTTCATGTTCGTACGACATCTCATGGAGGCTGGAACGCCAGCAATTCTCTTTTCTTCTTCACCGTTTTGATCGTTTACCGTTGCCATGGGACACCATTCTTTCGAGGACATGCCGCCACGTAATCGTGCCTGCAGTGCAGCATTCGTACGTCCATAGTCTCCTCCCTCTTGTAATCCACTCTAAAACAGCGCCAATTGGGCTTCTTGATTCCATCTGAGCAGTGCCGGCGATTTTCTTCTTCGTTGAGGAAATGGCGCGACCAATCATCCTTGTGGAAAGACCCTAGCTCCGATTGGCATCTTGCAGGCTTTCTATTGCTTTACAAATGAAGCGTTTCAGAAAGAGACATATCGTGTTTTCCATCTTAGCTATGATTGGGACGCAGAGGATTGTGAGTGGGCTTTTGTCTGATGTATCCGGCATGGCCATCTGAAATACCACTTGTTCTTCTAGGACTTGATATGGTTCGTTCGACTCGATCTCCGGAATCTCGACGGGGTTCAAGACGTGTCTCAGGTCGTGCCGTATGGATTGAATGAGTTCTGTCCCAACCCATATTGACGTTCCGACAACCTTCCACTTGATAACTATATCCCCCGGGTCAGTTGTCCATCGAGCATTCGACTAGACGCTCCGTTCGAAGACCGTGATTGCGAGGTGCCTTGGGAGGCGCAGGCATGACTATCCATTATCTGAAGGCGTGTACTGAAGGAATCTCAACAACCACAGCTCCGAGGACGATGTTCGGTAGTGGGGACGGCGCGAGTCCCCAGTGTAGGAGACATTCGTCTTTGATTTCCCAAGGCCACAGGGAGGGCGATCCTACGTCTGTCCACGATGTCTTGGTCTGGAACGAATCAGCGATGTTCTTTTCATTCTTCCGATAAAGTATGAGCGGAAGATGGCGGAAGTTGTGGTGGCACTTACCGGCGTGAGGAACAATCCACAAGGGTGTCGGGCTTGAGGAGACACCTCTCTGTCTCGGGAACAGTGTCCACTGTCCAAAATGCGCCTTTTATGTTGGACCTCGCCGAGAACGAGTATCGCATCGCTGATGTAGCAACAAAAACATGGAAGCGTCAACGTTGTGCTCCGGCGCGATGAGGTTAAACCCGATAAATAAGGGCGTGTCAGGGTACATTGTACCACTACAGTGGGCTGGACCCAGAAGATTGCATGGATTTCATGTCCATGGGAGCCTTCGGTGTTGGTGTTCGAGTATCGGCTGACATTGCGTTGGGGCAGAGCTTGGGTGGTGACTTGAGCGTTCCTTCCCTAGTTCCTTCCCTATAGATCAGACAGCGACCTCCCCACCGCTATGTAATCGAACTGTATCCTTGAAAGCAAACCATGGCCGTAATTATTGTGAATGTAAGACCAATTCCCCGTCTTGTTTCGTGCGTTCGTTCCCTCCGGCAAGAGACTCATGCGTATGCTGCTTCTTCGTACCTTCTGGGTCGTCATTGCAGTATCAAACTGGCGGCACCAAATGAAAATTCTATCAAGAAAATCCGGCTCGGCTTCTGTTCCCAGGTTGTTTCTTTAACGGAGTAGGTCATAGCAAATAACACATATGCTAGTATAAGCAGTCGCATTGGTGCAGTTAGAGATAGCGTCCCTGTTTAAATGCCCGGTGATCAGTCCTGATATTGGCATCTCATATCCAAACTACGGACCTTCCACTCTGTTAGGGAGACTTGACCCTGACTTTCTAGAGATTGGCTATTTACAGGCATGTGGCAGAAACCTTCTGCTCAAGATACCTTCGTGAGTCATCTCACGGCTAGCATATAAGTCTGATATGGTCTGTCAAATACCTTCAAATCGACAGTCAACCCGTACTACCAATCCTTCGCGTGACTATGAAGAGCCAGATTTCTTGATATTACAGCTTAGCCTCTTGCGTGAGGGACAGGAGGCTTTTCGAGATGATTATCCCGTAGTTATTCCCTTTGGTCAGCTTCTACATAATTACGCATGCCTGTCAACTCCATTGGACTGCTGTATCCAAACTACGAATGCCTTAGCGTACGGCCTAGATGCCATGTATCCTCCGCCCCTGCTCACTATTCCTCACTTCGCGGCGGAATGCTTTGCCATATGAGCAGCTCCTGCGCCATCTCAAGGCATCATTACTCAATGCAGTCAGATGTAGGGAAGCAATACTCGGGAAAAGAAAGATACTTGTACAGACGGCAAGGTCGCAAGAACCTATACATGTCTTACCCCGACACGACCCCAGGGTATATAACTCCATGACAAAGGAAAAGAAGAATAAAGGAAAGTAAAGAAAGCAAAGCAATGAAAAGCCAAGTGACGAGATGGATAATCCGGAGCCCACCTCATCCTCCTTCTACCCCCCTCCCTCAGCGATCCCCTACTACTCCTCATCCTCTACATCCTCCCAATCTCCCTCCTGCTCCTCCCCTCCGTGCTCCTTCTCTTCTGCCTCTTTCTCTTCCCCCTCCTCCTTCCCTGCCTCCATCTCTTCCTTCTTCCCCTCCTCCTCAATCTCCTCCCCCGCCTCCTCCTTCCTCTTCCTCTCCAACAACTTCTCCCTCTCCAGCTGGCTCAGCAACCTCCCCTCATCATCCAGCCAGGAATTCTCCGCAAGCCAATCGTCAAACTCTGGGTCTTCGGGCCTCAGGCTGGAAGGCATCCCCGGAAAGAACAACGGGATGGGGTTCCTGAATGGCCCTACGGGACGCTTCTTCCAGGAAGGGGGCGAGCGGCGAGGAGGCAGCACGGGGGCTCTTGGTCGGCGGCGACCCTCACGCTGATGGGGCGCCGGGAGGCCCTGGACCGGGAATTGGCGGGAGGGGCCGTGGCCAGGGATCGGGGTGTTGACAGGGAGGGTTCTGCGGCCCACGGCAGCCTCCTGCTGCTGCTGGAAGAGCCCCTGGGGGACGGGAGGATAGGCTGATGGACTGCCTCCGAAGAGGTCCGCCATGGAGGCTAGGTATTCTTGTTAGGTGCACTTTAGCAAAAACGGAGTAGTGATACTTACGTACGAGGGCAGTCTGCTGCCCTTGGTTGGTCTCGGGAGCTCGAGGCTCCGGGGCTGGCTGCTCCATGGTGGGAGGCTTGGGCTTCTTCAGCTTCTTTCCGCCGAAGAGGGAGACCGTTAGGCCCTTCCAAAAGGGCTTTTTCTCAGTCATGGTGATGGGCAAGAGCGAGCAGAAGAACTGGATGTATTTATCAGAAAGAAAGTAATGAAGAGGTGGAAGTGACGCGTAAAGGTTGCTGTGTGAGAGGAACTTGGGGTTGTGGAGGTGGGAGGTTGAGGTTGGGTGAGGGAGAGAAATCGAAACAATGGGTGAAGCGAAGAAATAGTTAGAGGTTGGCTAGGAGGGCAAGAAGCAGCAGTATGCACGGACGGCAGAGGGGGCGCATGGAGCGCGGGCTTGAGTGGACTGGCTTTCACTGAGCGAAGAGTATTTTGGCAGTGAAAGTACATACATTGTATACGGAGCTCTTAAACGCTCAATTTCTTATCCGGACCCTCCATCAAAGGCCATCAGATACACGGAAAGCAGTCCGATTCAGGGTAGTGACATGTTTGAGTTCATACAGAATCATAATAAGGGTAATCTGGAGCATGAGCTAAATCCTCGCATGTTGATCTGTCATATCTATGTAACCCAGGCTCCATGACGCCTTGCTGTTTGCCACCACAAGTAAACACGAGCTCAGTTCTTCAGGTTAGGGCTTTTCCCAGCGGAGATGTAAGACACTGGAATATTTCGTTAGCCAAGTAATCAAGTCTAAGTGCCTTCAAATGCGTACCGTTATTGCCGCGAATGAACGAGTCACCATATTGGCGAACTGCATAGCCGTCGAGGTATTCCCTGGCACCTTCGAGAGCGATGTTCATATACCCGTCCACTGACTGAAGTGTTCCTATCCCTTGTGTTAGGCATATGCAGAAGGAACGAAATGACAACTCTCTCGAGCCTCGGGAACGAGTCTCGAGGCGCAAGCATCTGAAGATTGTGGCTCAAACATGCCCATCCAACGGATACACGCAACGGACTGAATGATAGGATTGGACTTGAATAGGCAGAAGTGTTCGGATCAAAAACAGTGAAAAGAAATACATAGTACGCACCCGTGAAGACTATCCCCGAGTTCAGCTTCACCGTGACATCTGAGCCGAGAATATCTGTCAGAAAGCCGCTTGGATCTCCTCCCTCGCCCTCGCCATTCTCAAGCGGCTTAGCTTCTTGCTCCGGGGTCGACATTGGGACTATGAAAACGGTCTGGCCAAAATTGAAACGGTGGAGACGGATGAGCTGACTGGGGTTGCCTTCAATTACAAGCGTATCGGTTTCAAATCCTGCGGAGTATCTCTGTATATGGAGATGTGGGGAAGACAATGTTCAGCATCAAATGCTCCCCATATGCATGTACAATGTGATACTTGGCGATCGTCGACGCACGGACCATCTGTGACGGAGCGTGACTACGCGATACCGCCCCACTGCGCGCATTCGACAACTTTATTGATGCACCACTTTTGACGCGCTCACCACACCCATGCGCCAACATGACAGAACCAGAGAACCCCGAACCTCCAAAGAGGAAGCGCTTCGCCTTCAAGAAGGCAGAATGGCAAGCGAAGAAAGAGGACGACGACCATCGCGACATGTTCAGCCATTCAAATGAATTCAGAGATATTATCGCCGAGGAAAATAGGAGGAAACAAGAAGCTAAGCGCAAGAAGGAGGAGGAGAAGAAGCGCAAGGAGGAAGAGAAGCGGGAGAAGAAGCGCGCGAAGTTGTCACTTGAACGTGAGGAGGGGCAAGGCCCGGGCAATGCTTCCCTCGAAGATCACAAAGAGCGGAGAACGTATGCGTGCTCTTCTCCCTGTATGCGCCTTCGAATTGCGGCTGATGTCACTCCAGGAAAAGTCGAACTCCTGTCTCCCCGTATCGCGCAAAGAACAACAGCTCCCTCAGCACGCAGTACGACGCTCTCACTGAGATCCGTAAACCCTCAGCCACAATCCCTTCGACCTCCGAGATCATAGATCTCGGTAGTCTTTCTAGTTCAGAAGACCTGGACAACAAAGACACCAAATCTACCATGACCCCGCCTTCGACTGCGCCCGTCAAAAATGAGGAGGACGATGTTGAGGAAGTAGTAGACGTCGAGCTGCAGAACATGATACGGCAACGGCAAGCGACGAGGCTGGATAGCATACCAAAGAGAGACCCGCTAGATGACAAGATTGTACAGCTTCTCATAACGTCAGAGATTCCAGGCTCAGCACCCCTCATAACCACGGTAAAGACAGGCCACCCAATAGGCAGGGCGCGGACCGCATGGTGCGTATATAACCGCTACTCCGACGAACAGACTCAAAACATATTCTTCACGTGGAAGCACAAGAAACTGGTGGATAGCACGACAATAAAGCGGTTAGGGATCAAGCTGGACCCCAGCGGTGCCATCACGGTAGATGGTACAGCCGAGATATACGACGATGAGAATCTGCCTAAGATACACGTTGAGGCGTGGACCGACGAGTTGTTTGCCCAATGGAAAGCCGGAGAAGAGCTGAAGAAGAGGAAACCTGAGACACAGCCGCCGATCGAAGAGCCAGAGCCCGTGCAGCCGGAACCAGCGAAGGCGAATATCAGGTTAAAGTTGAAATCGAAGGAATATCCGCTATTCAAGATTGCGGTTCGTCCTGTAAGTGTGTTTGTGCTCCAATCGAGCATGCAAAGCGACCGGAATTGTACTGACGATATTCAGGACACGACGATCGAGCATCTTGCTTCTGCATTCCGGGAATACAATAAGATTCCCAGCAGTCAACCGATTACGCTGATGTTCGACGGAGAACGACTGCGGCCCATGGATACCATAGAGAATACCGACGTCGAAGATATGGAATCCATTGAGGTTCACCTGAAATAGTCAATATCGGAACTTCATTATTGTCCATAGTCTCCGAACACTATATACGGCGTATTGGGTGGCAGGCTGAGGTTCACTTGGGAGTACTTCGGGGATTTTCAACCAGGATTTTGGGCGAATACTGGAGTCTAGGGAAGTTGGGTTGCTTCTGCTTTTGCTACGATACCCTTTTCATGTCACGAGAATGAATGCAGATTTGAACGGCCCGACGTAATATTGCAAATGGATGAAGCTATTTTGCGACAGATGAAGAACTCGCTAAATGTGGAAGCGAAAATACCCCTACTCCATGGCTCCACAAAGTGCTTCACCTTTACCTCGTAGATCGCCGCCGAATGCTCTCATGATATGTACTGTCAGTGGTTGAGATCGCCAAGGCACTAAAATAAGCTTAAACTTAAACTCTTTCACCCCGGTCTTCCGCACCCCGCCGTGAACGAAAATTCACCCACTCAAGAGCATCATTCCCTTCCTTCCTACTGGTACATAACCCAATCAACCCACGCTATCTCCACTCCTACTTGGACATCCTCGCCTCCTCCAACTTCCCAATTAAGTACCACAAACCTAGAAAAGACAGAAACAACAAATCCACCAAGATGAAGCTCCTAACCCTCAACTTCCTCACCTGCGCCATCAAAACCTGCAAATCGTCGCCCTCGTCCTTCCCCTTGCACCCGCGCGACGCAGAGCTCGAAATCGTCGAGGCCGACCTGAACCTCAAGTTCCTGGAGAATATCCTGCCGAGGCTGATGTGGGATGAGCTGAGAGTTGTGGTTGACGAGGTACACTTCATATCTATCTTTCGAAAATGATGAGTCCACGTCGCTAATATGAGGATGAATGAAATAGCTCGGTCTCCCAACCCTCCCGCCAACTATTCCCACGAGAGCAGACCTCGTCGCGCCCTCCTCCCCCACCTCCTCATCTTCTTCATCCGATCCGGCTCCCAGCCAAACCGCGCGCGATCTTCACCGCATACTTATCGAGACGTGTGTGAGGGAGGGGAAACTGGTGTGTGGGAACTGTGGACACGAGTATGCGGTTAAGGAGGGGGTTGCGAATTTCTTGCTGCCGGCGCATTTGGTTTAGGTGGTGACAGGGAAGAAAGGAGGGATGAGAGGACTGGGGAGTTGTCTGAGGATTGAAAGGAAGGACTGCGCGGATTGTTTACGTGGGCGGTGGAGGAGATCCACAAAAGATGAGATGGATCGGCTGGCTCTCCATCAGAGCGATTTTTGGCGCATTGTGGAAGAGGAGTGACAGTGACACAGACCACAAGATATGATACCCTTTTCCTTATCTAAAGTCAGAGAGTATGGGATATGGTGTCCTACTCTCATACATACAGGAGACACCACCCGATGCAAATCAAAAGCAAACTCCGGGACTTAATGACGGAGTCCATTCGAACGTAGTGCTCTCACAGCTGCAATACCAAATCACAGAACATGCAAAAGCCATAGGATGAAGTCGAGACGCTGTGTCCATTCCCTTTGGTATCTACGTCCACTCTCAAACGCCCGAGACGCCTCTCTCTCCCTTATTTGACACCCTTCTTTCCCCGTCCCCTTACTGCCGATTAACCTGCACCCTCTTATCCTCTCCCGCACTCACGATACCCACCTCCCTCTCCCACCGAACACCGAACACCTTCACCCTCTCCCCATGACTCCTCGCCTTCTCCACGCCCTGTCTCTCAATCACGTACACGCTCTCGCCCACCTGACCCTCGCCTACACTAACCGCCGGCCTCACGCTCCTAACATCCCATATCCTCGCTGTGCCGTCGTGTGAGCCCGAAACCAGGCCGTATTCGGAAGTGGGATTCGTGTCCAGGGATACAACGGCGTTGGTGTGCCCGCGCAGCGTCATGACGGCAATCTGCGTGGCAGATGCCCGCGGGTCAATCAGCGTGATGTGCCGCGCCGAGGTGCCCGTGGCTAAGAGATTGAGTTTTGGCAGTGCCGTGAGAGATAAAAGGGAATGCCCTGTCGTCCTTGTATCTACGCATTTTGACGTCGGCAGATCCCAGGTCCGAAGCGTGTGATCGTGTGAAGCGGAGTACGCGACAGTCGCATCGTCGGGTTTGAAAATGACGCTTGAGACCGGAGAGGAGTGGCCGCTAAGTGTGCTCAGGGCGCCGCGGGCGGGAACCGTTTTATCGGGTCTGGAGAGCCTTTGCCGCTTATTTGATGCGGTTGTGGAGGTTGGGAGGAGCTTTTCTGGAGCGGCGGGGCTGTCTTTTGAGGTACTGGAGAAAAGGGAGATGGTGGTGTCGGCGGAGGCGGAGAGGATGCGGTTGGAGGGGCCGTGGACGGCGATGTCTTCGACGCCCCAGTTGTGGTTGTAGAGTTCCAGGGAGGGTGTGATTGAGCGCGCATCGTCGTCGTATTTGTAGACTCGGACAACGTTGTCGAGGCCGGCTGCTGCGATCTTCTTGTCTGAGAGCCACTTTGCGGTCTTCAAGCTTGTTATCCTGCCGCCGTTGTTCGGGGCCGTGGATGTCGCTAAGACGTCTCCAGATAGATTCCACACTCTTAGTAGGCCGTCATAACTCGCGCTCAATATCCTTTCCTGTCCGCTTTGCACGCCATTCGACCATACTCCCGCCGGCGAACTCTCCGTCAACACGTCCACCGCAGAGACCCAGTCGTCGTGCTCAAAGCTCGAGACATGTAGTGGCGGTAGTAATGCGCGCGTGTACTCGACGTTCAACGTGGACTCGGCGCTGATTCCGTTCTGCGTGAGGAAATCGTCGATGGAAGTCCGGAGAAACTGGCCATTGACGAGGAACTCGAAGGGAATCGGCTTTTCGGTGTGGAGGAGATTATTCACTAGGCGTGAGAGGTCTACTCGTCTCAGGGCTAGAAGGATAGTCAGTATGATGTGTATATGCTTAGTTGCATGCCGCAAAGCGTCTGTCCAAGTGAAAGCTTACATGTTGGAGCAAAGAGCAGCCGCGAGTCCTCTGGTATTTCGATATCCCCATCTCTGGTGGTAAAACGTAGCTGCACCTTGGCAGACTCTTTTGCTGAGGAGTCCATTTCGAGGATACGTTGGGGTTGTGAATTGTCCTGTGTTCTCTGGGCTCCAAGAATCTGGAGATGGAAGGAAATTTTTGAATCGGGTTTAGCGCGGGACGAAGGTCGGCATTTTCTATCTCAAACTCCGACCTCGCCTGTGCTTCCACATGATCGGCATACTCTTCAGAATGTTATATATTTCTCTATGTTGAAGGATTGCAGGAGGAGTCCAAGGGATGCGGTACGGTCGCCTTGCTCTACCTGGTCATGCTCGTCCTGCGAATCTCCGAAATAGCCTTCCTGCGGTGCTCGCTCTCTGCGAACAGCGCCTTGATCAAGTCCACCACCTCCTCCGCATCCATCTCCAGCTTCAATTCGCCGTCCGTCCAGAAATACCTGATATCAGCAAGACTCGAGTCGAGAATCTCGCTGAGATACTGGAACTTGAACCAGTTGGGGGTATAAATACTCGTCATGTCCTTCAGCTCTCCAGCATCGTCAGTTGTCTGGAAAAGTGACGATAGCGAAGAGAGGGAGACACAGTATGATCGGAGTTTCTTCGATTCTTCCTCTGCAATGTCAGTCATCTCCTCTACGTCATCAATAAATTTCGTAAGCGCCGTAGCGACGATAGAGCCGAGTGATTGTAGAAGAGCTGAGTGTGAGAGTATGTCCTGCCAGTGCCTTTTGACTTCTTCGATACGATCTATCGTCATGGCGACCGCGTTGTCGCATTCGGCGTCAAACGGAGGCGTCGTGCAAGTCTTGAAACCTTGAGCACCGCTTAAGAGATCCTTGATGATCGTACGTTGTGATTCCATCTCCCGACCATATGCCCGCTTCCCGAAACGCTCAATTGCCCGAATGTCATCATCGAAGTTCAGTCGCGCGGATGAGCGAAGGTTGTATGGTAAAGGAGACGACTTGTCCCGTTCAGCTTGTTCTTTCACAAAGGTCCGCAGCCGATCGGAGAGTCGTGTGCAGTCATTGTAGATCAGCATGTTTCCCGCGATATCCTTGGAGTAGTACGAAGCCGCCGTAGCACGGTACATAGCTAGTACAAGTCCAGGAATCGCGTATAATCCCACGCTTGCGTGAGCGATGCCTGACTTTGCCAGGCCAGGATGGTTGAGTGTTGCAACATCTGCAACGACTTGCATTATGAGCTCGATGATAGCGTCAGGAATAGCGGTGACCGTATATGTTTCCCTCAATGTGACCTCCTTTTCTGCGCCTGAATGTTGCGGGGCAGTTGTTTTGCCTTTGCCAGTCCGCTGTTCTTCCGGCTTTCGCGTGCTTAAAGCAGGGGGCTCTGCCTGCTCCGTCTCTCCCTCGTCTCCCCAGTCCCAAGCTTCTGCGTCCTCTTCTTCTTGGCCGTTGTGCTCTTCCACCTTACTCTTTCCTTCCGTCCCAGGGTCGGTGCCATCTTCCACTCGAGTATCCTCTTCGTCGTCCCATGCGCTCATGTCCTCCTCTTCTACCTGCTGTGAGGGGGCTGGTGCGGCATCCTTTCCAGATGGCTCTTCCTCTTCTTGGACCTCTTCCTCTCCCCATTCTGCTCCCCATTCCTCCTCCTGATCTTCCTGATGGCCGAGCATGGCATCGCCTTTTGAGACCATCTGAGTCTCCACCCTCTCCACTGTTTTCTTTTCCCGGACAAGCTTAGGCGAAAATTGATGTACTCGCACAATTGCGGCCTCCTTCTGCCTCGCAAGCCATATCTGAGCTGATTGATCGACCCAGTGGCGAAGCCGTTCCTGACCAGACCACCCCAATTCATCGAGATACTCAGCCAGTCCTAGTACGTAAGATAGTAGCTCCTGGAAATCTTGGACGCCATCAGTGGACAACGGTACGGCAGGCAACAGCCAGTTCTTGATTAATCGATTTGAGATAACTGGAACAAGCTTTGCGGATAAGCTTGTTGCAACCGAACGGGGAAGGCGAGTGCTGAGGTATTCGGCTATAGAGTGGATATCCTCTAATGCAGCCTTTACGCCCGTATCCTTGATCTGCCCAGTGATTCGGATATCGGCACCCTCCACCGCGATAGAAGATAAAACTTGGTTCGAACCTGTAAGGCGCGGACAAATGATGACTTTGTCGAACTGGCGCGCAAATGAACTTATGAGGCCTTCCAACAGACCTAGTTTGGTGAGAGCTTCCACAACCGTATCGATTGTGACAGACTTATCCTCTGAATTCCCCATTAGCATATCTCTCTGCACTATACGTTGCCATAGCTCACTCTCCACGGTCTCCTTGCAGCTGATTCGTCCGGCAGACGAGTCAACCACGAGCAGCGCATTCCATAACTCGGTCATATTCCCCACAATGGATTCTCTCAACTCGGCGGCTCGGTTCTGCAGAACACCTACGACCCGGGCATTCGCCACGGAGAGATTCGGGGACGGTAATGCATCGCTAGTGGGTGTAGGTGCGGCGCTGAGCCGGGTAGTGATGACACCAACGACCTCGTCCAGCTTATTCAAGGCGCCCAAAACATCTCCATGCACAGCATTATCTTGTGCAGCATCTAGCAATGAAGTCAACTCCTTCAGGCGTGTAATGACCTGAACCAGATTGTCGTTGTATGCAATTTCCGAGTAGAGGAGGCTGAGCTTAGCATTTGCGTCTGCCAGGCGTGATGCGTGTTCCTCCCTAGCCTTGGCCTCTTGGACTATCTCTTGTGCCGTCTCCTGGGAGCGTTTGATGTCTGATTGGAGTTTGCGTGCTTGTTCAATCCACCCGTCTACGTCGGGAGCGGCGTCGCGGGACACTTTACGAATTTCGTCCTACCATATGCTTGTGAGTTTCAGATCTGCAGAACTCGGAGCCAACGTACCTTTGTTTTATCACGGGCCTTGCGGACGACTTCGAGGAGCTTGGGTAGAGCTGTTGGGGAAACAGGTGCGGAGGCCACCTGTTCCGACTGCGGAAAAGAGCCATACTGTACAGATTGGAGAAGGGCTTCTCCAAGCTCCTGATCTGGGACCGTAGGCGCCATGGGACTAGACGAAGAATGGCATTATCGATTCAAGCCGAGTTTGCGCAAACCTGACTGGTCTGCTGTGTTGTCATAGCAAATACAGTAGACGAGGTACTCATGGAAGGAGTGATAGATGGATAGATGGTCATAGCGTCAGCCCTACCAAAGCCACCCGCATATCCCCCTCCATCCCCCCACCCTTCAACACCACCCCAGAGTGGCCCTGTTCAGCAATATCACAGTACATCGAGAGCCTGAGACACGAAACTCCGCCTGGGAGCAACAGCAACCTACCTTTCTCTTATTGCTGTAAAGAGGAGTGGGCATTGGATAGCCTGGACTACGGCATTGCTTTCCGCCAACGACGAAACCGTCAAAGACCATTTCTGAGACAAGCTGCAGCGCGCTGCAAGGCTTGTGTTGTTCCTCTTCCTTCTCGCCATCGTTTCAGCTTATTTGTAAGTACATAAGATTGTAACAAGTGATATACGTTCATTTGTTTATTCCTCGTTTATTTCATTTGTGGAAATGCAGAACCAACATCCATTATCTTCCTTTATCATTTCTGCTTCACCCATGTTAATATCTTGGGTCAAGTATCCTTAGCTGCCAAGCTTCGACTTCGGTATACACATGAGCGTATCTATTAGTCCCCGTGCGAGCTTGGTCACGTTGTTCTGCATATTTTCTTTACGCAAGCACGGCCCCTAACGGAGAACAATGGTAGTGCGAATCCGTCCTCAAACAAAGCAACGTCCACACCTCTAGCCAATTCTTGTACACCAAAAGCAGATCGATATATTCTGGGAACACCTCAACTTCTGCCCTTCGAAGAGTCCCCCCTCAACGGTCCTCAGCTGCCTCTCCAGTGCGCCAACATGGGTTCCATGAAAGGGCGTAACCACTTTAAGAAGATCCAGAACTTCAAGCCAGACTACACCGACGCTGAGATCACTCAGTATGAGTCCCAACGAACTGGTATGCGCATCGTTGTAGTAGACCGCAAAGGCCCCAAGCTCTACGGATACTTTAGCGTCGCGACAGAGATCTTTGATGATTCAGGAGCCCCGCATACGCTCGAACATCTGGTTTTCATGGGGTCAAGGAGGTACCCTTTCAAAGGCGTATTGGATAAGATTGCAACTCGAGCCTATTCAGATACCAATGCCTGGACTGACACCCATGAGACCGTCTACTCTCTGACCACCGCGGGCTGGGAGGGCTTTGCGCAGTTACTACCCATCTACCTTGACCATGTCATCGTGCCCACGCTTACTGATGCTGCTTGTTACACTGAGGTGCACCATGTGGATGGCAAAGGCATTGATGCTGGGTATGTCGTCCCTTCGCCATGTTTATATATGTGCTAACATGCCCAGTGTGGTCTATTCGGAGATGCAGGGTCGCGAAAACCTCCAGGGCGATCTCATGGATCTCCAGATGCGTCGCCATCTCTATCGTGATGGGGACGGGTTCCGTTATGAGACGGGTGGACTGACCCAAAACCTGCGCGTCTTGACCGCTGATCGCATTCGTCAGTTCCATAAAGACATGTACCAGCCCAAGAACCTCCGCGTCGTCCTGATAGGAGAGGTGGACCACGGCAATCTGCTCGAAATCATGGATGAGTTTGAGAACCACATTGTCGATCATGTACCGTCGTATAATGCGCCCTTCAAGCGTCCCTGGGTTGACTCGAAGCGTACCCTTCCGCTCAAGGAGACGGTTATTGATACAGTGGAGTTCCCGGAAGAGGATGAATCGACCGGCGAGGTTCAAATTGCGTTTATCGGCCCGGAGGCTCGCGATGACTTGGCCGAGACGGCTTTGAATACCGCGCTGATGTATCTTGCCGGTTCCTCAGTTTCGGTGCTCGTCAACGCATTGGTGGAGAAGGAACATCTTGCCAGCATGGTCTACTTCTGGGTCAAGAATCACTACGATATGCTCATCTGGTTCACTCTGACAAGTGTAGCGACAGAGAAGCTCGCGGATGTAGAGAAGCGCTTCTTCGAAGTCCTCCGGGACCACATGTCCAAGCCGCTTGATATGGCGTACATGAAGGACTGCCTCCATCGTTTCAAGCGTCAGGTCAGATTTACGTCCGAGGTTTCCAACGATGAGTGGAAGGACCCTGTGCTCAAAGATCACCTGTTCGGGAACCGGGATGGCTCCGATCTACAGCATGCTTTGAGCTCCCTGAGCGATTTCGATATTTTGGAGCAGTGGACAGAGGACGATTGGAAGTCATTTATAAAGAGATGGATATCTGACGCCCATCACGTCTCCATTCTTGGGAAACCTTCCATCAAATTGGCCGAAAAGATCAAGGCCGATGAAGCCGCGCGTATCAAGGAGCAGCAGGAGAGGCTTGGCGAAGAGGGCTTGAAGCAACTTGCTGAGAAGCTCGAGCAGGCAAAGGCGGAGAACGACAAGCCGATTCCTGAGGAGATCCTGGCCAACCTGAAAGTCCCCGGGACAGAGTCGATCCATTTCTTCGACACTATCAGTGCTCGCTCTGGTCTTGCTCGGAAGCTTGGCGTTTCTGGCAACAGCATTCAGAAAGTCATTGATAGTGACGAGAACGGCCTCCCTCTCTTCATCCATTTCGAGCACATCCGCACATCCTTCGTCCACTTCGGTGTTGCCATGGGCACGGCAGGCATTCCCACGGAGCTGAAGCCGCTTCTCGGAGTCTACCTGACCAATTTCTTCGCCACGCCCATCATGAAAGACGGAAAGCGCGTCGAATTCGAACAAGTCATCACCAGCCTTGAACAGGACACCATCGAATACAGTATTGACCGGGGCACCGACATTGGCAATTCTGAGATGGTGTATGTCTACTTCGTGGCCGAAGCCGAGAAGTTCGAAACGGTAGTCAAGTGGCTCGCAACCTTGCTCACAGACTCTCTTTTCGACACCGAGCGCCTCATCGCCATTGTCAAGCGCATGGTCGCCGACGTGCCCGATGAGAAGCGTGACGGCAACAGCATGGCCTTCTCCATCGACCGCATGATCCACTACGCGCCCGCCTCTTCCGTCCGCGCCACAAACACGCTCGTCAAAGCCGTCTATCTAAAGAAGATCCTCAAACTCCTGAAGACAGATCCCGACCAGGTAATCCAGAAATTGGAATCATTGAGGAAACACCTCCTCAACTTCTCCAACATGCGGGTCCTTGCCATTGCCGACTTCACTACCTTGCCCAATCCCGTCTCTACCTTCAAGCACCTCACAGACGCAATCAAGCCCCCACAAGACCCCTCCGTCAACCCCATCGACTCCCGCAAAGCAGTGCTCTCGGACATTGGCCGCAACCCAGGAGGCGCGGCGTACATTGTCCCAATGCCGATCGACAGCTCCTTCGCCGTCTTCACCTCTAAGGGCCCGGACAGCTACACGTCCCCGCAACTCCCACCACTCATGGTCGCCCAAGCCTACCTCGACGCCGTCGAGGGACCCATGTGGCAGAACATCCGCGGCACGGGACTCGCATACGGGGCGAATTTCTTCCGCGACGTCGAAACGGGCCTCATCAAGTTCCGTATCTACAAGTCGGGCAACGCGTACAACGCGTACCGCAAGGCGAAAGACGTCATCGCGGGGTATGTGGACGGGACCACGCAGTTTGAGAAGCTGGCGCTCGAGGGCGCCATTTCGAGCATCGTGCGGGAGTTTTTGGATGAGAAGGCGACGATTGTGGAGGCGGCGAGGGGCGCGTTTACGGATACGGTGGTGAAAGGGGTCGGGAAGGGGTATAATGACTGGGTGCTTGCCGAGGTGAGGAAGGTGACCGCCGAGGATGTGAGGAATATCCTCAAGGAGGTGGTGGGGAACGTGTTTAAGCCCGAGACGGCTGACTTGGTGGTTACGTGCGGCGGGAATGCCGTGGAGGTAGGTCTTGTCTCTCTTGGTTGTATGGTGCACTGAATACTGGCTAACATCACCTGAACAGGGCATGAAAGAGTCATTTGAAAAGGACGGATTCAAGATCCAAGTTAAGCAGCTCGTCGATTTCCAAGATGGTTATGGGCTTGAAGGGGAGGAAGACTCGGCTGAAGATGAAGAAGATGATGATGAGGAGGGCGACGAGGAGGGCAGTGAAGACGAGAGCGGAAGCGATGGCGAGTAGAGGTTGCAATGGCCGCAGCGGAATGGAAGGAAAACAGGGTGGAGTATATATAGGTGAAGACGAATACTCAATGGCTCGAACCGGTTATAGATGTTCGAGGAGACTTCATACCAAGAGCGCAACTTTCCACATGATCCTGAACATTGGGACCCTCAGGTCCCGCTCTATTGCATGCATCTGGATCTCATGACGCCAGTTGTTAAATTCCCTAAATCTCGGCTAGCGCACCATTCATGGTAAACTCTACATGTCAGAGCAGGAATCTCTCATGTCTACACCTATATCACACAAAGTGACATCTCTCTTGCACTTGGCAGGTTGAAAGAGGTACATATAGTCAATTATCCAGAGCCGCCTATGATTTATACCCATCAACGAGCCGACGACAAAGCAACGGGGATATCTTCTAGCGCTCAAATGCTGGAACCACAATCACAAACCACAAACCATACCAACTGACAACCAATAGTAGAACACAAGGACCAAGGGAAGACGCAGCCTCAAACAGCCTCGCCATTCCTCCTCCTAGCCTCCAGCAGCGCCTCCTTCATCCTCCTCTCCCTCTCGCTCTCCCCCTCCGTCGGATTCCCAATCCCAACACCCCCCTTGCCACCCTCCTTGACCACACCCTCAACTTCCCCAACCAGCGCCAACCCCTCCCTCTCCCTTTCCCTGAGGACTTCCATCCTCTCCTCAAACTCCTCCTTCATCTTCTTTTCCAGTCCAGCCAACCGTTCCTCCATCTCTTTGATCTGGGCTCCAATGTCAGACGCCGAGGGAGCAGCGTCGACCTTTGCCGCTGCGATTTCCGCCTCCAGACACGCCTTTGCCGTCGCAATCTCCACGCCATTGAAAACCGTCATGAGTTGTTGGCTGGAAGCGCTCAAGGCGGAGAGACCGTCCCGCGCACGACCCAGGACTTGCGTCTTCCATTCCTGCGTTCGTTCTCCCTCTCCATTTGCCTCATCCTGCCCCTCCTCCTCCTCCTCAAGCACATCCCGCACGCAGCCCAACAATTCCTCCCCCAGCTCGCCCTCTCTCCCCACGACACCTCGAACAACCCTCTCCACTACGCCGAGAACTTCGCTCATCCCCCTGGCAATCTCCTCCTTGCCTCTCGCTATCGCCTTCCTCTCCGCAGCCTCGAAATGCTTCTCCATCGCTTTCATCTTGGGGATATCACCTTTGGCATACAGCGGCTGCAATTCTGTCTTCTTGTACCTGCGATCGCGGTCGAGCACAAGAGCATGGACTCGTTGATGGCGGAGCGAGATTGCTTCATGCAGCTGAACCAGGAGTTCGAGCGCAGCCTTGACATCGACCAGGGGCATCGCCTCCCCACCCTCTCCCTCGACGGTGGACTTACGCCCTCCCCTATCGAACGCAGCCTCCACACCCGAAACTCCGTCCCTGACTAACTCCTCAATCTCCCATCCCGCCTCCATCAAGCCCCCAATCTCTGCCTGCAATCCCTCATACCCCTTCTCGAAAACCTCTCTCACGTAACTAGCATACTCTTCCCTATCCTCCCTCGCCTTCCCCTCCCTCTCTTTTTCCTTGAATTCATCTTCCATAGCCCCAATCTCGGCGTAGGAGATCTCGTTGTCGTTGAAAAGTTGGTCAGTTCGGGCTTCTGACTCCTCCTGGCGGCGGAGACGGGCGTCATCGTTCTTCTTGCGGACGATGGCGGCTTCTTTCTCCCATTTGGAGCTCAATTCGGTGATGAAAGGGAAGGAGTTGTCCAGGGAGGATAAGTGGGCACGGATGGCGACGAGGCGGGGGTGCGGCGGTAAAGCGGATATTTGAGCTGGGATGAGGGAGTCGAGGGCTTGCCATGCGCTTTCCTTCTTCTTTTTAGTTTCAAGGGCCGCCGGCGCTGCGGGACTGCTATCCCTGCTGATGCGAGGTTTGACTGATAGAGGAGCAGGGACAGCGTCTTCGACAATGATGCCGTCGCCACTTGCTGGTATGCTAGCAATGCTTACAGGCCTGATGGGCGCTGTGGGAGGTTGCGGCTCGCCAAAGAAAATCTCGTCGTGTTGCTCTGGTTTCTTCATATGGAGAGGCACTGCCATGGATGCCGGGCTGACAAAACTCATCGACTGCCTGTGCGTCAAGGTCAAATCATGGGCGGGCGTCGAGGTTGCAGGCGGTACGTATGCTTTGTATTGCGGCTTTGGTTGCTCTTCTGGTGTCGACTGGATAAGAGGCGTCTTGCTCGCGTCGTCATCCACGGAACTCGCTGGCGTAAGAATAGCGGTCGACTGAGTCGAGGCCGGACGCGTCTGCTCAATTGCGGCAGATGCGTTGATACTCGGCCCTGTTCTTGGGAGAATAGGCCGTCCTCCAGGGCTATACTGCGCCAGATCCTGCTCCACGATTATCTGCTCTGGAACACTGATTTGTATATCCTGCCTTCTACTCGAGGCATTCGACGCCTTTCTCGATATCGGCGGCGATTCCTTCTTTACTCCTGCTGCGATGATATCTTGCTGTGCTGCCGGAGGCGCAGGAGGAGCAGAGTAATACTCCAATCCTCTAGCGGCAGACTCCGCTCTCAAGAAGCCAGTGAAGATCTTGATCTTCTCTTCCACCTGCGGCTCATACGCCTCCACTCTTAGCATATTGATAAATCTCTCCAAAGACCCAGCGTACCAAGGATCGAGATCGGGGATCAAGTCAGCTGGCGTAGGCTTAGGAAATTCCTTGGATCGCTCCTCTTCAAGTTGCCGCTTCAGGTCCGCAATGGTGGCATCTCGCTCCTTGATGCTATCGTCCTTGCCTTCTATGTCTTCCTTCAGCCTGTCGATGAGGTTCTGGTTCTCTTTGGCGAGGTCCGCTGCATTCGATTTCGCTTGATCGGAGGCTGTTCTCATGGAATGTATCTGCTCATTCAGCACAGCCATCTCGTTCGCAGAGTGCGTCTTGGAGACTTCGCTCTCAGCCTTCACCCGTTCAATCTCTGCTTTATCATTTGTTGATTGAGCCTTCAGAGCTTCGAGCTCAGTCTTGAGAGAATCAACTTCAACCTTCAATTTCCCCACCTCCAATTTCTCGTTCGCAGTCTGGCTCCTCGCCGTCTCAAGCTCTCCTTTCACCCTCTCAAGCTCCACCCGCAATTCCTCCTTTTCCCTCTCGGCATTGGTCCTATATGTTGCTAGATCCTGAACACTCGCCTTCAACTCCGCAGAGAGCCGATCGATCTCGTTCCGCTGATCCAACTGTGGCTGGGTATTTGTGCCTTGCGATTGAAGTGCAATCCCACCATCGTCCATGACGAAACTTTGTTGCCCAGAAGGCGGTTGCTGCAGTGTCGCGGTTTGACTCGACTTCTCTGGCTGCACCCACCCTCCATCATCCATCACAAAGCTCTGCTGTGTCGTTGGTGGTTGTGAAGTTTCACTTGGTTTCGGCGACTGCGACTGCGACACCACGACTGCATCCCCCATGACGAACTCCTGCTGTGGGGGTTGAGGAGACGATCCCTGTGCTGGCGACGCTGGCTTCGGCTGTGTCACACCATCCGTTGCAGAAGGTGGACTAGATGAAGGTGATTTTGTTCCCTCCTTCACCTCTCCGTCCCCCTTCGGACCGTTTTCTTTCTTTTTCCCAAATATCTCCTCATCATCGACCTCCTCCCCCGGTGCCATGAAATGCTCCCAATCCGACGGACCGCCAGCACCAAGAGCACTGAACGCCGACGCAGGACCCGGTTTTGAAACTGGCGGAGGAATCGCAACTTGCCGCTGTTGTTGCTGTTCTCGCAGCGACGGGACTGGAGAGCTCGGTTTAGCTGTAGCTTGAGCATGCTGGTTACGGAGGGCTTCGATGGCGATGGAGCTGACAGAGCCAGTGCGCGTGTTATGGCCCGAGGCAAAACTCACGCTTTGGCGGTTGAGGATGGGCGAGACGGGCTGGCTTTGGGGACTGGATTGATTGAGAAAGGAGGGGGGCGTGGTGGAGGAGTGGCCGAGGGGTTTAGGGGCTTGGATATCAGAGTAACTAGGTGTAGATTGATGTTGGCTTACGGCGGGAACCGGTGTTTGAGACCAGGCTTGTTGTTGTACACCGTGTATGGCAGGGAGGGACTGCTGCTGGCCGTATGTCTGATCGATGGGTTGAGTTTGTGGCCACTGCCCGGCTGGCTGCTGTATCTGCTGTACTGGTTGCTGTATAGGCTGTCCTTGCTGTACTGGTGGATACTGTGGCTGTGGCTGCTGTGGTTGCTGAACCTGCCCATGGCCGAGGCCATCATTCCCGAACTGCTGTTGCAACGGTTGTCCTGGTTGCACAAGCTGTCCTTGCTGCTGAAACTGATCATGAACAGGCTGCCCATAAGACTGTTGCTGCGGCACACTTTGACCCTGCCCAGCCTGCACCGCATAACCCCCCGGCGCCCCGAAACCCGTATATCTCCACTTCTTCTCCGTCCCCTGCAGCGGCGCATGCGTGGCATGCTGCCATGCCGGTAGATCCGGGGGCGGAGGAAGGTAGACTCCCGGCATGGGATTCGTGTTGGCGGGCATGTAGGAAGTGACACCTTGACCGCTGAGGGAGGGTGGGACGTATGCGGGATGTTGCTCATCAGGAGTGAGGACTGTGTTAGGTTGGGGTTGTTGGGATTGGGAGATGGCCGAAGAAGGAGTGGAGTATGTGTTGGTTTGGGGAAGCGACGTGGGCGGGAAGTAGGATGCTACGGGGGTCTGGGGAGGAGGTGCTGCCGGAGTGTTGTATGCTTGTTGCTGTGGAACTTGAGGTGGGTATCCTGGTGCCTGTTGCTGGGGCTGCTGCTGTTGATATCCTCCCTGTTGTTGCTGTTGAGGCTGCCCCTGAACCGAATGCACCGCCGCTGTGAAACCGGCCGGTTTCGGAGGCGGAACTGGAGGCTGTTCCTGCTGCTGCTGTACCTGTTGGCCATATCCAGGTGCAGTTCCATACGCCCCTGCGTGATAACCTCCTCCTGCTCCGACACCCTGCTGACCCTGCTGACCCCAAGTCCCCTGCTGGCCCGTTTGTGGTTGCACCCACTGTGGTTGTCCTGCTGGCGCTGGCGTAGGTACTGTATTCGTATATGCCGGTTGGACTGGCTGAACGGGTTGGACAGGTTGAGTGGGCTGGGGAGGATATGTTTGCTGTGCCGGTTGAGTGCCGTACACGCCCTGTTGTGCTTGAGGGGGTTGACTTCCATATGTATACTGCTGTGTTTGAGCTCCATGACTTCCATATTGATATTGCGTCCCCTGGGGCTGTCCCGGAGGTGCCCATTGTGAGTTGGTCGTCGGAGGCACGGTTTGGTAACCTATAAGGAATGTTATCAGCTTGCATGAGTCTTCGAGGTCAAGGTAGATGTCGTACCTGCGGCGCCGTAAGGTGGAGCATGGCCAGCTTGGTTGGAGAAATTTACGTTGCCCGGTCGTTCCATGATGCCTGCCAGTTGTGGATGTATGCGGATAGCCGTATGTCTCGGAGTTGGCCCGGTAGCCGTGCACGTCTAGATTGAACGACCTCCGCAGGACGATTAGATTCTACCCTCGAGCGACCTGTCGAAGTCGGTCGGAGCCGTACAGTCGGTCTTTTGTGTCCAGTGAGTCGTTCCAAGTGCGCGTCGCTTCCTTTCTACACAGCGTGTGATATTGTGTATACAATGTTGCTCATGAAGGTCGCCGTCTTGTGGCTAGTCATATGTCGCGTTCCCCGGAAACCCACTCCCACAAGAGAATCCCTTGGAAGCAAGAAGCAACAGAGAAGAAGGAGTGGAACGAAGACATGTCGTTGGCTCCAGCCTGGTGAGGCTGAGCTACCGCTCTCGTATCTGGGGAGCTCTCAAAGCTCAAAAGGGAAAGGAGGCGCGGGGATGACACGCGGCGGGGACGGTCCCGCTTGGGATCGCCCGATTAAGCAAGGGTTGGCCCCCTTGACGAGAATCCTGGAATTTGACGACATTCATCGCTTTTTGTCGATTGAGATATTTTAGAACGTCTTCGTTAGGCGTCGGAGTATTAATGGCTCGTGAGAGATATATGCCAGCAGGTCTGTTAGGTAATTATTCAGGAGTCGTCAAGTCAAGCTGCAAGACTTGTGTATAAGAATGGGGATGAATGAGGTTACTACAGCCTCTTTTCACATCCTACTTAACATCTAGGGTTGCAGCGGTATGGCTGACGTCGGGATGGACTCGACAGCGCCTCCGTCCAGTTAGGGGAAGCCTCGAAACGCAGTCCTCGAGACGGCGAATCGGATTGTCACCAATTCAATCGCTCAGATGAGTAGTCTAGCTCGAAGAAGTTCAGGTCTGATAGTCCCATATCAGTTCGCAGAAGCTACACCCAGGGTGAGAAAAGAAACATAATCCATTGCACGAAAAACCCTATAAGCCACAAGGAGACAACCGTTCCCTGAGGTCCACCAATGCAACTAGAGCCATCATCCACCGATTCCACAAATCTTCAAGGTTGGAAAGAGGTAGTACCCTACATACTCGAGCCACGCTCTAGTGTTCTCCACAGGTATACCACTTCACTCTCAAGTCATGCGAGATATCCTGCCGCTTCGGGCCGACCAACCAGAAAGCCAGACTATCAGTCTTGAGGCACCCCGGCACACTGCCAAAAAGTGATCAGAACGTTTCCAAGGGGAAAGAGAAAGGTTAATAGAAGGCATAATACTTACCCCTTGAAGAAGAGGCATGTGCAACCATGACGAATGACGACCGCCCCATCAATAACGCGAAGGTGCTCGCGGCAGGTGAAGTCGCCAACGAGAGGGAAGGCGTTGCCGTCGGATTGCTGGATGGTGCCGCAGCCGGGGGCCATGCCGTTGGAGGTGACAGTGGCAGCGTAGGTGGCCGCGACGATGGCCTCGATGTCGGTGACTTGAGGGTCGAGGGGAAAGGCGTCGTCTGCGGAGGTGGTGAGGTCCTTGCCTCCGAAGAATCCCTTGTACTCGGCGAGGAAGTTGGGAGGCAGCTCGAGGCCAGGCTGGGGGGCCTTGGGGTTGGAGAATGCCACGGCGGTCGCGGCGGTGACGAAGGCTAGGATGGTGTAGAAGTGCATGTTGAATCTCAGAAGATGTAGATGTGATGTGAGAGAAGAAAGTGTAAGATTGTAGAAGCGGGTTGTCAGAGGTTGAGATAAGGTTGAGTTGAGCTGTAGGTTAGAGAGCAGAAGTTGTGTGTTTATACATCCAGGGAGGCGAGACACAGGCCCTCGCCGGGACGGCCTCGTGCCTGATGAGAAGCGGTGACAGGCGCCGTAGTGGCGTAGGCGGTGTACCTACCAATCCTCAAAAGAGCGGGAAGTAGCGACTACGTCCAAAGTGAAACTGTGAAGGCGAAGAAGCGGTCGATGGAAGCGTAGTGGAAGACACTGACGGTCGACACCGTTGACTGATGAGAATGAAGACCAAGACCCAATGGTCTTCGAAATCACTCATGTAATCCAACGTTACCGGAAAGAGAGGTTGGCAGCCGAAATGTTCAGCCCGAACCAGTGCACGACGTCAGTGAGGCGATCCTCACTTCCTACTCCCAAGTGTTGATGATCATTGATGAATGTTGGATATTCCCCTCTGAATTGCCCTGAGTCTCCCCCTCATATCCAGGACCCGTTGAAAAGCCATATATATGCCCTAAAACCCATCACCGTCCTTGGCAAACAAGTGCAGCATTGCTCGAATCCGGTGCGGAAGGCAAGCATGTTGACAAACCTTGGTCCTGAAAACGACATGCACCTCCAGAAAAGCAGAGCGAAGGATAGAGAGCAATCCGCATGTATCGGCCGAGGAAACGCACTCAGATCCTCTGTCCAGTTTCACAAACCGTCAATACCTCACCTAGGATGGCCCCTTTCAGTACCATGGGTTGGTTTTAACATACTGCTAATCCGACACCGTTCCAGGAGAGAGACAAGTCAACGGCCTGCGGTTTCCGCCGAATGAACGGATGGAAATGAATTGTAAGCTGTTGCAGCGGGGAGTTTGACAAGACTCCGCTCCGCTGCCATGGCATGGCATGGGTTGGCCCCGTGACGGCGGGTCGATCTGGGCCTAACCCAATCCATATTTTTGGAAGATTCTCCGCTCCCGAGGTCCCCAAGGACCCTGCACAGTAGTGAGGCGCATGCAGGCATGCAGGGCAGCCACAGGTGAATTCAGCGGGACATCCGTGCCACCCATGTCGTCCTCGAAACCCTGTTCACCTGGGCATATTCAGTCTTCTGACTTCGCTCGCTGTGCAAGTGACACCGCAGCCAAACGACGAGCATCCATCACACCCGAAACCGCCCATCCTCATCGCAAGAAGTGGCAAATAACTCGTGCCGTGGTGGCCCGGATTCCTTCGTCTTTAACCATGACCTCGATGATGGGCCGCTCCGCGGAGCAGGTTTGCACGTGGTCCGGGGTCCATGAATAATAAATCAGCCCATTTGCCATGCGAAATTCCCACAATTGCATATCTCTTCCCTCATCGAGAATTGAAATGGTCTGATTTTTAGTGTGTTTAGGGTCAACGGCCCCTGATTTGCTCTGCCGTAGTACAGATCATCTTCCGGGTTTGGTGGCCCGTGACTTGAAGTCGCCACATCAGATGATGCCTTTCTTACCGCACGTACGACACAGTAACCCGACACTGCTTTTGCATTTTCATTTCGCCATTTTTTCTCGTTGTAAGCTCTCAGTGCCAGAATACCCGGTTCCACCCATAGCAATTACCCTAGGGTATTGTACTCCGCACTTAGCTCTGATCCGTACGGGTAACCAAGTTCGTGACAGCCAATGCGGCACGAACGGAGAAGCAGGAGATGTGATGCCAGTGCCTCCGCGGACCTCATACTTGTACTTGTACCTAGGTATATGGCGGCAGCCTGCCCGTCCCTGCCGAAACGAGTAACCGCCAGCCTATCGCCAGCTTCCTTCATGCTTCTAGCCTCCGCGGACGGTCGGATCCATGCAGCCAGTCTCTGCACCGTGATACTTCCGCACCGGTATAGAGATGCCCCCGGTCGAAAAAAAAGTGCGGTTATCTAATCACACGCCCTGTTTCTCAAACCTTTGTATACTGTACTGTATCTCTGCTATGTGAGGTCTCTATGCTCGTTGCCACCAGTTCCCGTGACGCGTCCACCTCGTCCCGTACTGCGCCACATTCGCATACTCCAGGTACCAAGGTAGACACCTGCATACTCTTGGATCACGACCTACAGCGTCTCCACCACGTCCCTCCGTAGGATAGACAGCAGCTTCAGAGTCCAATAAAATATATATTTGTATTCAGATCCGATCTTTATAGCCAAACCAAAATGACGACCTGGGGGTATCATCCACTGTACTGTACCGTATGCATCTAGCATAATCTGCGTTTTTCGACACCATCACCCGGAACTGTTGGATAGGGTGAGATCTGGTTGTAAGGCATTCTTGGACGCCCAACAGAGAAAAGTTCCGCCTCCTTGTTTGTATGCACAAAATCCTTCAAGCGAATGCGAACGGTAATTTTGAACCTATGGGCACGCTGAGTGATTTTCATGCTCTCAGAAAGTATGAGGCAAGCCGATGTTTGGATATGCCGTGGTAGGGACGAAGCAGAAACGGAAAGCTTATGTGCGTAGGTAGGTTGTCCAGATTTCCGGCAACACGCAGACATTTTTGCCTTGTCAGTTTGGCGGGGGGTTGCGCTCTTCCGGTTGTTCCCCATCCGCCGCTCTGGCCAGTTCACCCGCTCTGACCAGAGCGGCCAGAGAGGATGTATTTCGATAGTCGGGAAGATGAGAGGAGGTCGGCAGAAAGGACGGGGTGGGGGTAGGGGCCGTCACGTTGAGCGGGTGGGGCAGCATACGCATGGCTTTTCGGGAATCGGCGGGAGGCACGGAAAGCAATGCCGGGTATGAGGCACTGCCGGGGGTACTCTGCGCCCCTTCGGACGACATGGTCGTCTCGTCGTGGGTCAACGATGGTGGTCCTGCTGATTCTCTATAGAACCGCCTCGTGGGGAGCTCGATGGGTGCCATCTGGTAGGACGATGGAGTAGAATGCGTGACTGGAGGGGATGCCGCAGAATAGGGATGGTATGCGGCATAGGCAGGTGGGAACATTGGGTTGTTGTCAGGTTGGGCTCTGGGTTCGCGGCCCACGGCACTGGTCGAGAAGTCATGAGAGGTTTCCCGTGGCGGTATCGCAGACCGTGGCGACATAGCTGTGGGAGAATACAAGTCTCCCGTCCGTGGGGAGGTGTATGCGGACGCAGAATGCATGGCAGGTGAGTCGGACTGGGAAGGGTAGAGCGGGGCTGATGGGAGACGAACAGGAGGTATGTGAGGACTCGCCTTGGGGCGAAACGGACTCATGCCAATGGCGTCAGACTGTACAGCGCTGATTCTCCGAGTCGAGGGCCGGCTTATTTGCTCTGCACTGCTTGGTGTGCTTGCTTCAGTCTCTAATTTTGGACGTTTGGTTTCTATGCCCGAGTCAGCAAGTGCCTGTAGGGTCATGATTGGAAAGAACGCAGACGACTCACCTTTCTGGCTGGAAGGTCCATGCTTTGCTTTGAACTCTTCCAAATACTTCTGATATGCTTCGTACTCGGGCGTTTTCTTGTACTCGTTAAGCTCGGCGTAGTACTTCTCCTTGGCCAGAGTAGCCTGTCGTTCGCATGCTTCTCGAGCCTCAGGATCCAGGACCTGCCACCGTTCGCCAACCACCTTTGCGATCTCAGTGAAGGAGAGATCCTGACCTTTCAGCGTCTCCCTAACTTCTAGCATTCTTCTTAGCGACGCAACAACGCAAGGGAGGGGGGACAAACGGTTGGAGAAGATTACGTATGCTGACGGAGGGCGATCCGGGGCATTCTCGTCGGGCTATGGCCATGTTAATGCGAACAAAGGGTTTTAGCTTAAGAAGACATGCACCAACCTTTGGATGACGCCTGTACCTTCTCTTCGCGTTTGGAGCTACCGAGGCGGCATTTGACGATTCGGGTTGCTGCCGAGCTCCGGGCTCGGGGGCAGAGTCATCGCTTCTGTAGGCACTCTCGATGGCAACGGTTTGGTTGAGAGCGAGAGGAAGGGGGCGATCGGGCGACTGGCCTCGATAGTCGGCGATGGCTCTTTGTAGTTTCTGTGTCACCGACGTCAGCAACTGGAAAGGTTAGAGGCTCGGGAAGGAGAAGAAGCTGGAGGAATCATACCCTTCGGTGGCCAAGCTTGACGTTGAGGGCATTTCTGGAGAGAGAGAGAGAGTCAATCTTGGCATGTTTGTGGGGGAAGGAGCGATGCACGGGGGCGCACGTACAAGTCGGATTCGGTGATGTCTAGGACCGTGTCCCACGTGTCGAAGCCCTCGGAAACGAAGGCATCCAGATATTGGGCCAAACCCAATCGCTCTAGCCGTTCTCCCAGGTCGCTCATATAGGCAGAGGTCCCAGGTAATCACAGCTACGATGCAAGTGAGTGAGAGGGCGCTCACGGCCTTGGTTCCCGACGATTTGGCCCGGCTCAGCCTCGAGATGCGATGGCAGCGGATGCGTACTACGGTAGCAGAAGGGGAGCGGTGGTTGTCCAGTTGTATGTATCCAGACAGGTTAGATGGGTGAACTTGGGCAAAGCGGGTAGGGACTGGCGAGGGAGTATGGGGGTTTTGATGCAAAATTACGGGAAACAAATACGAAACGGGAAAGGACCGAGGTGTAATTTTTACAGTGGTAGCTGGGTCGGAAAAAGCGAGGAGCAGTGGGTAATGGGTCCAGCAATCGGGGGAAAACAAGCGTGTGGTAATTGTTGCAGGGCGCAGATGGTGCGCAAGAAGGGTAGTCAGGATTGCGACTAGGCCTCGTCCATAAATGAACCGGCGTCGTCGCGTGGATGTAGCGTGACCGGGTGGATCTTGACCTCGAGACCGAGAAGTCGGCGAAGAGGCGCAGCTATGGCGGAGAAAAGGCTATTGGGCTGGTCCTAGCACGGAGTAGGGGATTCCTAGTAGGCCGTCGATGTGTCCACATAGGATGAAGGGGACCATTTGAGTGTGTCGCGTTTTGCGGTGCGCGCGCGGGAGCGGGAGCCAACAGGCGAAGACGGGCACTCTCACGGTGGACTGGTACGGTGTAACAGTAGGCCGGGAACATCGGGGTGGCGAAGACTCTTGGAATTCCTGGACTTGGGCCGCGGACCTACTGGTAGCTGTGAGAGAGAAGTCCAGGGCGGCGGTGGACGATCATGTTGGGGAAAGGAGAGTCTGAGGGAGAGGAGGAAAGCCAGGGCAGTAGCGTAGAAAGCCGAAAAGAAACACAGTCGTGGCGCGACGAAGCTTGTGCGTTCTGGGAATATAGTATTTCCAAGGTCGGCCACGAGGCAAGGGCAATTGCCAGTCCGTGTCAACGTGTTGTGTGAGGGCCAGCCCTGCAGCGGGATGGTGGGGGCAGGGTGGGGATGGCAAACCAAAAATGGAGGGGGAGAGGGAGAGGGGCGAGATTGAGTGAGGGCGAGAGTGAGGGTGAGGGAATGGGTGCGGGTTGTGTGCATGGCAATGGCATTTTTTGGCGATCGAGCACAAGGCTTGAGATCGAAGAAATCATGTCGCGACGTCGAACTGCCAAGCGGCACCTAACTCGGAGCGGAATTCCCCAAATGCACCGTCACCGCTACCTAGGTACAATGGTAAACCTCCCCTCCCCTCCCTCCCCAGACATAACCGGAGCGCTCCCCGCCAATGATTGGACGGACCCTCACTCTCCTCCCTAACCCCGTTCCTACCACAGAGTAAAATCATGGGCGGTGGGAAAGTCATCACGTGCACTCACTCAACTCACGCCCGCCTGCACCTTTCCTCGTAATCGTGTTGAACCGATGGATGGTATTTCAGATTGCGATCTTCCCGGTCTATCTTCCAGCTAGCAACCAACCACATGGCTGAATGGAGGGCACAAATCAACTCATTTGATGTCTCCAAAGCTTGCTCCGCACCATTGAGCGTCGCCGTCAAGGGAGTTAGGTACATAGGTACTGTGCCATCTTTGTATGCACTCTACTGCCATTTCGGTGGCTTCTCGAGACTGTCTTGCGAGGGCGACAGTGGTAGCCATGGCTGCACCGTGTTGACACCCCCGACGAGGAATGCGCTGGCGACATGACAAGCTGCACTCGTCTTCATTGCTCCTCCCCTCATTCTTCCCACACTTCCTCCCCGTCTCCTCCAGGTATCATCTAGCTTGAAGTGAGCCAGATGATTCATGAACCCACCCTGAACCCAACACTCACCATGCAGATGTTGTTCCCATTGAGCAGGATCTTGACAAGCTGCGTCTTGCCCTCAATCGGGTCGCTATACCACTGTTAGTCGAACTCGGCTTCAAAGACGACGGACACCAGCCTTACATTTCAGTCACGTCGGTGAGGACCATGTCTTGGGTCTCGTAAGTGGCTTTTCATCCTAGCCAACTGCCACGTACTTACTCACGTAGTCGTCAAAACCAAGAAGTTTTCCGACAAACTCTGAGCATGAAAATCAGGAAGGGAAATCAAAACTATGTGCATTGAGCATATACCTTTCCCGCCATTCATCAGCACCCATATCTTCGAACCGACACACTTGTCAATGAGCTCTACGCGCCCGGTCAGCCAATTCAGGTAACGATCGCTATCACGCCACTAACCAAGAGGAAGGAGAGGTTCGCTGGGCATTGTGGTAACGACTAGTGGTGCCTGCTGATGAGCCGTCGTCACTTTGAGAGAGGTTCAAGGTTGGTGTTCAAGATATCTTGGCATTCCCGCCCTCTTGCAGCGGGTACGCTAGACCAAGAAAAGCTAGGTTCCCTTTGTGCCTTGTCCAGGGTCGCCAACAAGACACCTCCCCCTGCTCTTCCTCGGCCTTTGTCATGGGTTTCAACAACAGGCAGACCTACAGTACCATCCATCGTCTTGTCAAGACTGGTGCCTAGCTGGAGCACGACAATGGAGCCCAATAATGCTCCGCAGACGACGCGTTCTTCTTCTTGTCAGAGCGCCCAATGCTCTCCTCCGCACATGCCCGAGTCAACAGAGAATGACAGCACCCACCACCTTATCCGCTGCAAAGGCATCGCATCCAACGAGCGGCCGCGGTGAAAAGAGGTAAGCTTTGAATTCGACTTGCCTCGCTGGGCCAAACTAACTTGGCAAAGAGGTTCCCCAACAGAATACGTTCCGTCGAGATGTTATCAACCTGCTCCTGGCAACCAGTCATACAATACAACGTCACGTCCGTCCGCCCCCATTGCCCGTCCCATATCTTCAAAGTTCGAACGCGTGCCACAGACAGCACCTCGATTATGTTCCACTCCAAGGCAAACAACAAGGGGCAATTCTGGGCCTTCCGACCGTCTATGCAAGGGATTGGAGTTCTCCAGAACAGTTTTGAATGGAAAAATTAGAGAGGAACTGCTCGGGAGTACTGTTCTGGAAGACCAGTCGGCAATCCATGTCAAGCGAGCGAGCCGGGAACGTCCGGGACAGCGTGACGCTGAGTACAATGGACAGTGGCCCCATACGGACGGAAGCACGTCTCCTGCAGGGACTGAACAGGAGACCGAAGGGAATGATCTGAATCGTATAATCCATGAGGAAGGCATAGTTCAAGGTGGCTCATCGAATGTCGTTCCCGTTGGCATAGACAGTTGCCTCCCAAGCGAAGTCCATCCAACGCCTACGGATCAGGAAGCCGTCACTAATGGGCCACCAGACACGGGCTTGGCTATAACATTCTCCGCACGCACTACAAGAGATTTAGAAAGCGATGCACTGGATGGACGCATGAGTCCCGTCTCCAGTACAGTGCCAGCTATCGACGGTATTGAGGAGGGCCTTGCCAGGGTGGGAGTCAATGGAGCGACCTCACTTCCGATACCGGTCCCCCTTGGGAGTTCAGCTTGCATACGATTCACGCAGTCCACTCGAATGAGCGCACCTCACGTTACCCCAGCGTATTTGGATTCAAGGCTACCTCAAGGCGGCCTCTCGCTTGAGAAGGAAGCATCGCCTGGCGCCAATCGCTCTGTTGACACAATCACTCCTTCACGGCGCGCCGACCGTGTAGACACTGTGATAGATCCTTCCAGAGGCATTTCAAGATTGCAACGCGACCTGGAAGACATGGAAAACCAGCAGGGTGTTCAGAAGGTCAATAACAATCCAGGATTGTCAGTCGAACAGCAACCCCCCGCGCCGGTTACCACAGTGGACAATAAGACGCCCGAGGATCTACACCTCGTCACAATCGATATCCCAAGCACGATTGATACCGAACGATCCTGCGAGGAAGGGCTAGAAAGCCCATCTGACGAGGACGTCGTGGAGGACACCTCTGAGAACGATGCTGAATCACACACACCTATGTCATTTCAGATACCTCCTGCGGCATTGCGTGCCGCGATGACCGCGTCACCCAATACCCCTGGTAGCTATTACAACCAGACCCTCTACCGTGGTCCCAATGATCAGTTTCTGACAGTCCATTACTGTGACAACATGGCCACAGCAGAGAGGGTCGCACCATATTTTCTGCAGGAGAAGGTCATAGGTTTCGATATCGAGTGGAGACCCTGGGCAGCCATCAAATCCATCAAGGACAATGCATCTTTGATCCAACTTGCTTCTGAGGATCGGATCGCTCTCTTCCATATCGCCTTGTTTTCAGGAACAACAGCCGAGGAGTTGATTCCTCCTACTTTGCGCGCCATCATTGAATCCCCTGATATTCTCAAAGTTGGTGTCGCTATCAAAGGAGACTTCTCACGCCTTGAGAAGTACCTGGGCATCAAAGCTCGAGGAGTCTTCGAGTTGAGCCGTTTGCATAATCTTGTGGAATATAGCGACTCTGATCCGAGAAAGGCTGGGAGCAAGAAACTTTCCTCCCTTGCCAAACAAGTCCACCAACATCTCCAGCTTCCCTTGTACAAAGGGGAGGTACGGGAGAGCGACTGGAGCAAGCGTTTGGATCGCGACCAGATAGCGTACGCTGCGACAGATGCATATGCCAGCCTACGCATTTTCGATGCTCTCGAAGCGAAACGAAAGAGGCTGAGGCCTGTCCCTCCCCGTCCTGAGGTGTGTGATTATGACGAGGTCACCAAACCGAGGACCGCTCCATGTGCCAAATCCGGTCCCAAAGCTGTAGAGGAGCCAGTGCAAGAAGAGGAGCCCCAGGCGGCAGTCGAGGATGCCGAAGAGTCCGAAGCAGCGTATGAGACTGCGGCCGAGGATCTTGTTGACAGTCAACAGCTTGAAGAGCAGGATTCAGAGTCTGCATCTTCCGCTGAAAGCGCAGATTTGGATGAAGAACCCGATTCGGATTATGTTCCAAGCGCGCGCCTCAAGGTAACCGGAGAGGCCGCATCTGCGCCTCGACGGACACGACGCATCGGCCGTATCAATATCGGATCCCTCCTTAGCTCCGACGTCAAATATCCTACACTGCCGGACATATCATCTTCGGATGAAGCCGATAGTGGGTGGGAAGCGGAGAGTGGCCACCGGAGCATGGACAAGCAGCGTGCTGGCGGTATGGGTCACAAGGTCGATATTCAGGGCGGCATTGACAAGGACGATATGCCAGTAAAGAACGATGCTGCTAAGCTCCACGATCTCGAGGACCACCAGACCAACTTATCAGCCCCTGAGATCATCCAACAGGGTCAGCTGAGCATCAAACCTCTGACGCTGGAGACTACTATTACCGATATCTCCGACGATTCCCCGTCTACCTCAGGCTCACCCGAAGTCATCAAGGAGAGAGCGAAACTAACAACTCCTTCCCAGCCACCCACCACCAGTACCACGACACTTAACCTCCCATCTCTGGCCACGGACGTCACCTCCAAGTCCTCCGCCTACCTCGCTGCCGACTCCTGGGCCCGCACCTACCTCCACACCACCATCCCCTCTCCCTCGTCCCCTTCTTCCAGTGCCACCTCCCGCATCCGCGCCACTGTCACCGTCCTCCGCGCTTACCACCTCTGGCACCACCAAGACTTATCACCAGCAGAAATAGCAAGACACTTGCGCGATCCGCCACTCGCGGAGAGCACGGTTTGCGGGTATATATTGCAGGCCGTTGCGGCGGAGAGGTTGGCGTATAGTAGGAGGGAGATGAGGGAGGTGTTGAGTAAGGTGCCGCTGAATGTGAGGATGACGAGGTGGAGGTGGTTGGTTGAGAGACTGGGAGGTCTGGACAAGTGATTTGAAAGAAAATTTTGCTGAATTGTACTGCAGATACCCCTTTCCGATGCTAGCTAGGCTGTGTATGTGCAAGTATACCCATAGATATATAGATATCAATTGACACTCTGCTCATAAAACTTCTGCTATAACTGTGTAACCATGGTAGGATATACGGGGTATACCATTTGACCATCTGCTCCCCCGGATGCCCGTCATCTTGGCTCATGTATAATGTGCGATCTCAGTGGAAGTCGTTTTGATTGTGACGGTTTTCGAACAGTACTATGGGACATCTTCGTGCGGTGAGAGGAAGACCGGGCTGTTCGTCTTGTACTGATCATCGGAAGCACACTGAACTGCAGGGCATGAGACCTTCAGAATGTCATAGCATGTCTTGCTCTTTCATAGAGTGTCATCTAGGGTCATAATACACTCCCTTCGCTCTCCCGCTTCCCACGCATCCAACATCCGCTTCCCTCCCTCCACCTCCCTTGCAACCCCCATCTAATCCTGCTTCAACGGCATATATCTCTCCTCGATCCCCTCCCTGGTAATGATCATCATCTGCAACCCGTCTCCCACCTCAATATGCCTCTCCACCGCGCTCGTAAACGCATCCCTGACCAACTGCTCCACGGTGGTCCTCGGTAACGGTACCGCCTCCCTTGCCTGCAACTCGTGCCCGACGCCACTGCCCGGCACATACTGATTCTTGTAATTGACCTGGTTGTCCAGGAACGGCATGATGAGCGAAGCGGCAGCGCCCGCGGCCCGGCATTGTTCGCGCTCGTAGCTCCCGACGGGGTCGTACGAGTACAACGCACCCTTCCCTTCCTCGTCCAATCCGCCGAGGATGGCGTGGACGTAGTACGGGAAGAACCGCTTCCCATACAGGATATGGCTGAGGCGCTGCGCGCACGCCGCAACGCTCATGTTCTTGCCGTGCTGGTACTTGTACATCTTGACAATGGTGTCGAGCCGCTCCTTCAGCGCATCGCCGTCGGCCGCGAACCCGACCACCGAGAGGACTATCCGCGCGCCCTTGTTGTCCGGGCCCTCGCCGCCAATCTTGAACAGCTTCGGCGCATAGCGTGTGTTGATGTTGTAGCCGGATGTGGAGCGAGTGTCGCCGGCGAGGATGGTGAAGTCGGCGCCGGAGATGCCCAGCGTGGAGCCGCCGTTGTCGGTGTATCTGGAGCTTTGGTTAGGGATGGGGTCGGGAGATAAGGAGAGAGGATCAAAAATACGGGTAGAAGCTGTGCTGCCGTTCGCCTGATGCGGATGCTGCTGTGGGGGTTTGCTTGAATGAGTAGCCTGGACCGCCTTGCGGAGGCGCACCGGAGAAGACTGCGGCCATTGTGGATGCTTTGGGCGGATAGAAATGTGGATAAGGGACCGCGGAGGGTGGTTATCTGAAGGAGAAGCAACTCTGAATGTGTTCTGGGGTGCAAATTGTAGATTCGATGTAGCTATGGGTTACGCGTTGAGCTTGACGCCTATGCCAAGATGAAACCGGTCCAAGCTTCATTATCACGTGACTACCACCATCACTGTATTGATCAATGTGATTATCGCCATGACAACGGATTCCAATGGGTTTACGTCAGTGTATTCGTATCTATCGTTTCTGGAGTATCCCTCCAAAGACCATACCAGCCGCTTGAATCCATAAAAAATCCGTCTTTCCATGCAGAGGAACCCTTGAATCCATCCGAGTGCCATCTCAATCCACCTCAATTCACTTGCGTGCCATAACCCCTGATCTGCTCAGCAAATGCCCAACTCTGGTTCTCCAGCTTCTCGTCTTCCTTCAGGTCAACCCCTTCACTCTTGATCACCGCAATGGAATACCTATCCATACTCCTGGCATCCCTGTAGAAGAGCACCTTCATGCACTCCTTAACCAACTTGACAGCCTCCTCTTCGCTCACATTCGCCACAGATGCCTCATCGGGGATCGTCTTCCTCAATATAGGTTGTGCAAGATGCGCTCCAAACCCTGTCGCAAGAGTTGGCGATGAGAACGTTGTTCCCAGAAGATCTGCGCTCGCCAGGAAAGGCTTCGACTCGCCATCCAATCCCGCGATTAGGAGGTGATTCCACAGGGGATCGAAGTCGGACCGGCGCTTGTACATGACTTTGGAGAGATAGGTGTGGAGATTCTTTGCGTTGAGGGGGTTCTCGGGGTTAGAGTAGTTCTCGCGGATGTCAAGAGAGTTGAGGATGCGGTTGAGGTATTGCATGTCGGAGACGTCGCCGCCGAAACCTACGACGACCTGGTCGTTGAACTTCCGGAGACGCTTGACATCAGTGAAGCGGGCCAGAGAGCCATATGACGCTGGGAGCCTTTAGTGAGTTTGCCAGGGGTCCATCGTTGTCCAACAGAGCCTACCCAAATTGTCGGCTGCGATGACCACGCCATCCTTGAACTTCGCGGCAACTACCGACGTCCCTGTAACGATAGGCCTCTGAGTGTGCTGGTTAGGTCCACCGGGACCATGAGTCTGAAAGTGCGAATGGTCGTATGCGCCGTAGATATCGTCTCTTGGCTACAATGCGGTCAGTTCATTGCCATGAAGTGGTGAATCGGTGGGCTTACACGGCCCCAAGCTTGCGGGAAGTGATTCATGGCGCTTATGTAGGAAGTTTGCAGAGGAAATGAGAACGAATGGGGTGTGGAATTGGTGAGGTCAGTGCAGATGGTATAAGTATATGTATGTTGGATGGGGGTGGGTCAGGCAGCGGGAACGCGTTGGAAGCTGCGGACAAGCCGCTCATGCCAAGAGATTTGTTGGCCCAAGCTCCAGCCTGTCGACGAAGCGCAAGCACGGATCAGACTGGGGAGAGAGAGAGATAGAATTCTGAAATAGTGAATTGGTTTCAAACTTGGGAATATCCGATCCTCATCATAGCACACGGCCAGATTTTTGCTGTTACGCAACATGAATCTCGGAATTGGCTACGAAAGCAGCGATGAAGAGGAACAAATATCAGCCGGACCTCTTGATGTAAGACGTCCTTGAGGAAAAGGTTGGGATGTGATAGCTACTAATGGCAAAGCGTCCTAGAAAGCTCCACATCCTGCTCCGGCAACAGCAACTACGAAAACTATTGCGACTGCGAGCGGATCGAAATCGCCAGTACCATCCTCAGTCGTAGAAGCACCAGAGCCACAAGCAGAGTCCGAAAAGCTGCCAGGAACACCTTCCACGCCAGTAGTCGGAACAGAAGGGTTTTCGAAAATCCCCATCAGCGGTCCAGAGTTGGAACCAACCGCATCCCGTCCTCTCACTACGTCAAACTCCCCTCTTGACGATCCCCAGGCCTCGCCGTGTACCGCAACTCGCACGATAATACATAATCTCACGCTTCCGACCATTCCAAACTTCAACATTCCGGACTCTCCTCCCGGATCGCCCCCTCAACAATCAACGAACAAGTTCGCTCAGTTCCTGGACCTGAAGAAGAAGGGACAACACTTCAACCGGAGATTGGAAAGCTCAAGCGTGCTCCGAGATCCCGGGCATCTACCTCGTCTGATGGATTTTGCTGGTATTAGCGAAGAGGAGCAGTACCTGTCGACGCTCCCAGCCGACACGGCGGTGCCTGCCACATTCCCCAGTTGGGCGTATGCGGAAGAACTGCGAGAATCGCAGAAAAAGATTTTGAAAGCGAGGGAGGAGGCAAATGCTAGGAATCCGCGGGACTCTATAACTTTTGTGCCTGCTGCGAAGTCGGGCTCTGCTGCTTCTAGCAAGTCCGCGACCCCGTCGGGCAAAGAGGTGGGTAGGGAGAGTGGTGCGGAAAGAATCATGGCCGGACTGACGGCCCAAGGGCAGAAGCGGAAAGAGTTGGAAAGGCGAGGAGGGCGAGAAGAGAGTTTGTCTAGTCAACGCAATCGGTCGAGGTCACCGAAACGCAGACGTGAGGGGTATAGAAGGTAATCGGAAGCTCTCCGGTTGCATTTAGTTATACTTATATCCGTGAGAACTCCGGGGGCCGTCGCCACCTCACGCTTTAGAGAACGTGGAGCCAGAAATCTCGGATAGTGCCATTTTGAGCGGTGCTTGGGCGGTTTGCTCCTGGTTACATGAGGCCACATCAGTCAGAAGGCTCGGCTATGTGGTTAACCGCCTTCTGGTTATAATCTAAAGCCACGCCCGGAGTGCGAGCATGTCGAGGTGCATGTCATGCGGTGAAGAATGGGGCAGCGCATGCGGAGGATACGGTTTGTATACCCCTTAATATCTCAGATATATCTAAAAGATCGCCGTTGACGCCTCTCAATCGTACTGACAGACCTTCATTCGGTCTTTACTGCTTTTGCCGTTCTAGTGATTTCGCACAACCCTCCCAATTGTTCGTCGGCTATTTTAAATCAGGGAAGACTACAGGGAGCCAAATCCAGGGGCGTAACAAAGATGGATCTAGTACAAAAAGCTTGAAAGATAGCGACTTATGTCAGAATACCATGATTATTCGGGCAGGGTCGGTGGGAATCCATTCAGCTAAGGAGTACCCTTCAGATACTTCACTGTATGCTGTGCTACTACGATGCTCAACAGCTCATATGTGGCGCCCGTCCTGGTTGCTCCCACTACGAAAGCGGAGGCTTCGATATTGATATTGATTGTTCGCGGATGATCCGACTGCTTCCCACGGCTGTGTCTACATGTTACCTTCTGTGCATGTACAACTTTGAGCGTTGGCGATGTTGTCACCAAACCGCCGTCAGTATCTTGGACATCTAGTGTTCGATTGCCTCTATACATACCTGGTCTCCTAATTCTTGCCCTCAACCAGTGTTGACTGACAGTCCAGTCTATACCTGAGGTCATCAGAGACACATAAAACAATGATAAATTCGATTGGTGTCTAAGCGGATGTCATGGTCTGGCTAAAAAGAAGTCGCAAGCCCTTGGAAGTTGAGTCGACTGAATCGGCAGAGCCTGCACACAGTGCATCATTCAACCAAACTTGGCAAGAGTTCATGAAGACAAGCACCATCTGTGCCATACTGATGGAGGGCTTGGAGACGGGAATATTCAGAACCTTCGAGATCCTCTTTTCTTCGTTGCAAGTTCTGCTCGAACATGAGTTTCTGGAGTCTTAGTCATGGCCGGACGGTATGAAGCCAACAGTGAGACCGAAGTCTACGGGTACGTTGTATAGGTGAGTCAAGTGGGTGGGATAGTGTGATCTTCCAGCTTAGAGACGGGTCTAGAGGTGATGGTGAGGTAAAGCGGCTGTCGAGGTTGTGTGTAGATAACCTCTTTCTAGTGCGGTAAGTGTATATATGTTTTTGCATTGTGCATATATATTTTTAGTATGTAGCTGATAAACTTTAGGTATATACACATTGGCGGAAAAATAAAACTTCGGAATCGAAACCGTGACGTTCGGAGACTAGTCCGAAGAAACCCATACGTAACGGTAGTTTCATCAAGTACTAGGTCTCATCCCATTATCTAGTGTGTTAACAGCTCATTTAAGCTATGTAATTTAGATAGTAGGTTAGCAATGTACCACTGACTTAGTATTCCGATGTGCTATCATATACCAGAAATATCTACCCGAGATGACCATCCTCGTCTCTACCTCAGAGCAAACGTGAGCCTTGAACCCAGGAGAGCCACATGATGTAATACGCCATGCATTTTGTGGTATATGGATGTATTTTATATGTACTTCCTTCACATACGACCATAGAACACGGAAAATTGGGCCTCTCGTCCGATCGACCATACACAAGCCGTGTAGCGCCCGTTGAGTAGTAGCGTGGGTGACCAGCTGCGAATAGCGTGGTGTTGTATGTTTTTTGGTAGATTTTTGCATTTTCTCGTTGTGGGGAAAGATGGATAAAGGCGTGGGTCTGGGGTTGCGAGAAAGGGAGACGATGGCCTATTCCTATACGAAGGTGTATATTTGGTCATCCCTGGCGTAGAATTCATCACAGTTATTTTTACAACACCAAGCCAATAGAGTAACACTGTATGCTGAGTGTCGAGGCTGATGAATCGTGCGCTTCACAATCAACCTCCAAATGTCCTTGTATGTGATGCAATACCGAAAATGGATGTATGGAACCCTTCGAGCGAACGTTTTGCGTTTAGCCGCCACGTAACGCGCACCTGGCGCCAGCTCTACCACGTCCATCACCTACAGTGGTACCGATGGGTATTGCGAGGCGCTGCAGGCCTCCACCTCACACCGAACTTTGGCAAACTCTATTGGCACTACAGCACTCATCATTCTCCGTCGGTTTTTCCCGACTTTTTGGCCTTCAGTCTCTCGGTTGCGGCAAGGGTCGTCTGGCATTTCCTGTTCAGAGACCCCGGGGGATTCCTGGGGTTCAAGCGGCCTGGAAGAGGGTATCGATGGGTTGTTGCGGGTATCCTTGGGCTGACGACGTTGCCAAATGGAGTGGTGCATGTGTGGGCGCTGAAGATGGCCCTCAGAAAGGATATGGTTCTGCTTTCGGGAGTTGTGACGGCTGTATTGGCAATCGTCTTTTTCGTTCCGCTCGCTGGACTGGCGTGGTGGATGGCTTGGAAGTACTTGCTGGCTGCGGATGAGAGTAATGAGGAGTTTGAGCCGGTAGTGAAGTGGAGCGTTATAGTTTCCGCTGGAGGGCAAGTGCAGGATTGGGAGCCTCCCGCTGTCGAACCCTATAGAGACGAGCCAGCAGACGGCACGGAGGTGAATGGCTATCTTGCCGAAGCGTACGGAAAACAGACACTGGCAGCAGAAGAGTTGCTCTTGGATGTGGACTCCGCTGGAGTTGCCGGACCTGTCGAGGTACAATCCTTGGGATTGGACGCAGTTCACGATGAAGAAGCTGAAGATCAGGGGCGGGAGCTGGACGATGCGCCGAATGCGACTTCAGCTACGGACGCTACACTTCCTTCCCGTTGTCCAACCCTAGCTCGTTTTGAGTATATGCCGCAACGGTACTCTGGCCCGCATTCCTGGTTTTCATACCCCATAATTCCGGTGGTGCTCTCTACCTACGGCACCATTCTTCTCATTGTGCTTCCCATCTTCATCCACGAAGACCGGGCATACGACCTCAGAGCTCCCTCTCCGTAAGTTACAAGACACCGCAGATACCATGAAAACTATCCAAACTGACAATTTCTGCCAAGTACGCTGAAAAGGAGTCTCGACATGCCACTCGGACTGTATCTCCTCTCCTTCTACGCCGCAAAGCACTGCATTCGCGCATCCCTCTTCGAAAGATTCAGCATCGCGCCTCCCGAGCCTTGGAAGCAAATGATCTCGATCTTACCCTCCTGGTTTGGCACAGGAGGCACCTTTAAGAATCAGGACACGGGGGAAATCACCGTCTACGATCCTCGACGTCGTGCTTTCCCATGGCAGGCATACCGCAATCCGGCCCTCATCCGCACCCGTGCGTATATCAAGAAATATAATGACTGTGCGGATGCTGCATGTACGTCGTACTGGGGCCACTCGGGCCGTCCGACAAAGTCCGACTTCCGGTTCCGTCCGACCATTTACCGGGTTGGATTCCTTCTTCTCGCGGGCTACTTCGCACTCAAGGGATTTTGGAACACGGTGTTCTACGACGTGCCCAACGAATTCGAGGAGAGGCTGAGGCATTGGAAGAGCATCACGCCGGCAGACATTGCGCGGATACGGAGGATTCTCGCGCTTTGGCAAGGTCTAGTATATACGGGTCTCTATTTCACCGTCATGGCTCTGTCCTACGCGGCGGCCTCGACGGGAAGCATGGTGACGCTTTTCTTCATGGCCGTGTGGAAGCATGTGCCAGAGGAGGCGAAGGAGGAAACGTATCGAGCGGCACGGGAGGCCCAAGAGCGGGAAATTGAAAGGAGGAGCAGGCAGGAGTGATTGTCGCAACTATGGCGTCGGCCGCTTGCTCTTGCTTGATTTCACCGGACCACCACCGAACGTGGGTAAATAGGATGCGTAGGAAGGGATGCATCATATGAGCTGGATATCACGCTCCCCGGCCTCCTCAAACTCAGCAATCAGTCCCTCGTCCGCAATCCTACCAATCCCAAGCCGTCGGAATCGATTCGAGACCCTCCTTTCCGCAGTCTGCTCAGGAGTGCCCAGTGGAGACACTACCTCCTCCAAGAATAAAACATCCAACACGGGCAACTGTCTCTTGACCCAAACTCCATGGCGCAAGTAGCGCGTCGAGACATGCAACGCATACACCGCGATGCCGAAATCATCGCACGCCGACGGATATCGTGGCTGAAGTCGCTCTAGCGATCCCCAACCCGCGATGATGTCTGGTTGGAAGGCAGAGCATATGGCACGCCAATTGCACGCTTCTGGGATGGGAGAGTAGCCGGTTGAGAGGGCGGCTTTCTTTAGATTCTCCTCAGTCTCGAGATATCCGCGGATGTGGACCGTGTGCAGCTTGCCGCGGATATGTAGGCATGAAAACATGTTGGCCGGGTCGAATGTGGGTCGCTCCGTCATTGCGTTGAATGGCCGAAGTTTGCAGCCGTCGAAGACGACATGGTCGGGAATTTCGTGCGCTTCTCGTTCGGTGAAGCATAGTCCCGTAACTGTGAACGCGCTCTTCGTGCCCTTGCTTCTTTCGGGCCAGCGAACCAGTGTTAGAAGAGAAGCCCAAGACCAGGATGGGGTTTTGTCTACTGTCTTTGTATCTTGCTCAGAGGCATGATGTTCTTTTTCCCAAAGCAACCCATGATAAATATCCCGAAGCCACAATCCAGCGACGTAAACCTCGTTCTGAGCCTCATTCTCCCGGCTGGCGAGACGCTCCGGATCCGCGAGAATCTGCGCAACCTCCTTTGCCAGACCGCCGACCGCCAGAATGCGGTCCAGCTCCGGTTTCGTGAGGTGTTGACCGGAATACACTTCCAAAGCGTGATACCAGAAGCTCAGGATATCGCTGTTGGAGAAGTGAAATGAGGCTTTCAGCTGCAAATGTGCCTGCAATTCCGCCCCGGCTCGACCGAACGCGATCTGCGCCTGATCATATGATCGGGGCAGCTCTTGCTGGCACTCGAAGAACAGCCCGTTGGGCGTGTACCAGAGTAGTCGTTTACTCAACAGCCATTCCTGCAGGATCCAACCCCGACGGAACAGGATGCTTGACCGTACTTGATCCATGTATTCGCCCACCAGGGGGACGCGCCGTATGTATGCGTAGAAGTCCCCCGCGACGGCGCCGGCCTTGTCTCGGTAAGGCAGGCGTACGAGCTTCGAGGCCCATGGCACGGAATCTCGCGGGTAGGGCTGGAGAAGTCCTCCGGTCATATCTTCGGCCGTTCCCGCCAGGGTGAAGACGGAGAATTGATAGTATTGGGCCATCTTGGGTGCTTCGCGTCGCCAGTCCGCGAGGTTGTCGCCTTGCTGGATGATGCAGATGGAGTCGATCCAGATGAATTTGATATTGAGTTTCTCCGCAATGGTCAGGGCGTCACGGAATAGCTGTGGCAGCTCTCCGAAGTCTCCACCGAGTAAGCGTTCTTCGTAATTTGATGTCGTCGTGATGCATTTGCCGGTAAACTCATTCCAGCGGTGGGTCAGCGTGATGTATGCGCCATTGAGCCCCTCCGTCTGGCGGAGATACAGTCGTTGTTGATTGTTTTCTCGTGTGATCTCAACCACCCGAGTAGGAAGTGGAGAGTGATAGGGATCAATCTGAACGGATCCGGATACTCTTTGATTGCATTTTGAGTGGGAAGAACATGCTTGAAGCCAATTTCGTGCCGTCTCATAATGTGAGGCTGAGGATGGATCGTTGCCTATATAACGACCCACGATATCGCCGTTCAACACTGCCGGACTTCCTTGAAACGAATCAATATCATTTTTCATATCCCGTAGGATTTCATTACTCTAGCAGAAGGCGAGGTACTTACCAGGATCTGCTGCAATACAAACCTCATGCTTTGACTGATTTCGCACACCGCTGAACCGATCTCCGAGCTCAACCAAGATGCGATTAACCGATAACCCCATCGACAAAGAGGTGCATAATTCTCTATCATCGTAATAACTCTCAGAAACAGTCATATGCACATAGAGATCCGGGTTCAACGTTGTCCTTCCGACGAAGAGGTTGTTGTAGAAGTACTCTGGCTTCTCAACCCCTTCCAACGCCTCTAGCAACAGCGCGCAAAACGAACAGCCTTGATTCGCAGCGGCTTGGACGTCTCTTAGCAGGTAGCCTTTCCGTCTATTGGCGCTGCGTGCAAAAGACTGTACATCAAAGTTCTGGCATCGAGTGCACAACGAGGAGGAGTCAGCCGGAGCCGGAGCCGCTGTCGCGTCGTGGCCGCGCGCCTGGATGGCGTCGCCTGCAAGTGGTTGCGTGTCATGCTCCCAGTCGTCTCGGAACGGCTCGATCTCTTCTGGATCGATGGTGGCTAGTGAAATCTGACTTGTTCTGCGTGCAACCTGTTGGATGTGCATGGCTTCGGGTGAGTGATTGACGTCGGGATCTGATCAGATCGAGACCTGGGAAGTTGCATCAGATCCATCTCCTATGCGAAATACGAGGTCTTCACGCTGGTTACCCCACCAAGTTCAGGCCATCTGACGCTCTAATAATGAATTGAAGGTAAGGGTTTGACAGAATACTCGAGGGGATTTAAAATGGGAAATTCCCGGCGCACATGATATAGTAAGAAGTATAGCTAATTATGCAAGGTGGCGAGGGCTATCCAGGACTGCGAAACGAGACCATCTCAATAAATCTTAAATGAAATAGCTTTACGTATACCATTATCATCTAGCCCTAGCCCCATCCCTTTCCAACATCCCTCAGCAGAAATATAAGATATGTACCAACCCCTTCATCTCAATAAATCTCTTTGGAAATAACTCCAGCTCAAAACTTCCGATACGTTCCCGATAAAGGCCTCTAATCCTGTCCTTTCCGCAAGCTCTCTTCATACTCCCTAGCATCCTGAAACAGATCAATAATGCAACTCGCACTCCAGGCCTGGGTGGGACACGAGTCCGCACAAAATGCCCCGTCCTTCTGCGTCAGCTCCGTCAGGCCCGCCCAAGGACTCTCCTTGATCGCCTTCATGCACCCGGCCAACCTCCTTGTAACATGCTGATAGCTTTCGACTCTTTCTTCAGCCGACTTCCTGCGCTTGAGGTCGAATTTCAACAAGGCGCGGAGGAAGAAACCCGTTGGCCAGAGCCACTCGGGTCCTTGATGGTAATTTCTGCCCTTGGCTGTATGGAAGTCATCCGAGTCTTCGCTGTTGATGTAATAAGGGCGGTAATTAAGGTCTGAAGGATCCAAGGTCTTCATGCCCTGCGGGCCGAGGAGAACGCGGTCTGCTATTTGGAGAGCCCCGAGGGCATGATCGACATCGAAGAGGTCTGGAGCGACGGTCATGGCGACGGGGAAGTTCGGGCGGAGTTGGTAGTCTTCATATTCTTTGCCGGAGCGGTAGACGTCTTTGTAGATGCCGCGACGGTGGATGACGGCGGTGTTCACGTCGTACTTGCTGTCTTCTGATGGTTGTGAGGGTACGTAGTAGACGCGTTCGAAGTTGGCTTTGATCTTGGACGCCCAGTCTGCGAATGTGATCTTTTTGCCGCCGTCAAGGGTGACACCATCGTATTTGTACGCTCCTTCGCTGTGCAGTTGGGCTACCCACTTCAAGGTGCTGTAGAGCATTCCAGTGATCTCAACCGGTGCACCATCCCTAGGCGTTCCAGGAACCCCTTTGTTACCCGCCTTCTCGCTTTCACCCATCTTGTCCATCCAGGTACCGCAGTTCCATTGGTTGCCTCCGAAAATGATGCCAGTATCCCAGTCAGTCCAGATCTTGATGTCAAAGCCCTCCGATTTCATCTGACTATCAAGACTGGGACCGGCATTATGCTCACGGAATTCAAGCCCCGAGGCATGCCGCTGGAGGGCTTCCTGAATGACGTCTTCGATGGTGGAGTATGTTGAGTAGGCACGCTCGTCGTCGTGGGGAAACCAAGTGTCGTCGTATGGCAGGAAACGGCGAGCAGTCTTCTCCTGTAGAAGTTGTAAGCCATCCGGCACTATCCTCGTGTAGTCTTGGATGTTTTGTAGGAACCACCAGATAGAGTCTCTTGAGTTGTAGCGGGGAAGCTTTCCGCTGCTCAAAAGATTGGGTATCATGCCATGTTTGAGGACACTGCCGAAGGCCAGTATATGCTCCTTGGCATCAGCATACCGTCCAGTGCCCATGTACAGACCCCTAGCGGAGATACAAATGTCGCGGCCCCAACATCGTGCCCAATCAGAGGCAAAGTGGGGAAGACCAGCAGCCATACTCGGAACGCTCTTGTTTGCCCAGAGGGAAGCATTGTTCATATAACCTGTGACCTGAGTGCTGACAAGAGCCAGGCTACGAAGGAATGCCTGACCGTTGCGCACATTGTCGGCAAGCAGGTCCATATTACGGTCCACGGCCGCATTGTACGCCGTTTGAATGACCATGGCAAAGTACCGTGGCAAGAGAAAGCTGGGCACTTTGCGAATGACGTCGAATCGCTGCTTCAGCCAAGCCGCAACACCCTTGATACCGGCATGGCGTTCCTTCACCGACGCTCTTTGTAAACGACCCACACAGTAATCAAGCGCCCACTGTCCTTTTCTGAGATGGTCACACAGTGGATGTCCAAGGTTGTTCTCGTTCACTATGTCGCGCAGCACGCTCCACCAGCCCTGAAGTCCCGCATATACGAGGGGCCCATGTCCAGGAATGTCGTATACGCCGTCCTTATGGTCGAAGAAGTCCCGCTCCTCCGCTTCGCATCTGTATAGAATGATATTAAGATCAGCCAAAGTGGTTTCTTTGAATGCAGCTCGAGCATCAGAAGTAGCAAACTTGTCCAGGCCCTCCCCATGCTCAGCACTTGGTACCGAGGTTTCAAACAGCGCGATGCTTCCAGGCGGGAAGTGGTCAGGAATATTGATCGTAGTGCAATCCTCTGATATGTCTATAGTTATACCTTGCAATCCCCTAGTAGAAGCAGGTAAACCACGAAGCAATTCATTGTCGCCGATGATGGCAGCCCGTGTCTCAGGGCTGTCGTCGACCTCTAAACTCCAGCTGCCAATGGGCTTAACTTGCGTTCCTGGAATGCGAGGCGATGAGAAAACTCCCTTCCCATTGCTGTATCCTGGAAAGGCCGTATGTGCGATCAAATAATAACCTTTCCTGGTGCGGGGATTGACTCGATGTACCGTGATGTACTCATTCTCGTGGTGAATATATGTCTCGGTATACTCTTGCTTGCCCATCTCGACGTGGATCCGATTCAGGACCTTCTTGATCCCTCCAATGCCACCTTCGCCAGCTCCGGGCTTTATGGCACTGCCAGTGGAGTTGATGGAAGAGTACAACCGCTTCTCATGGACGAGCTCAATAAGTTCAGGGTAGACCTCGTCGTAGCCCATGACACTGCCGGTCGCGCAGGCACACATGGCCACCAAAGCAGCCGTCGGTAAAGTGTCCCGCGCGTCACGCTTCTGCGCCGGCGTCTCGTTGTCATGTGTGCAATCCATGAAGAGGGCATGGACAGGACTTCGCTTGATTTTGCGAATAACTTCACGCCTCGCCGTGTTTTCGCCATCGGTTAAGTCTGCGTTCAGCACCTCGTCTGTATCGAAACTCCCAATTGGCACGCCACCGTGACGGTGTACCAGCCTGCTTAGTTCCTGCGTGTTCCAAGCCTGCATTGCCTCCCTGATGAGTGCGCTGATACCCAACCTCTCGACAAACTTGAAGTCCATCTCTTCGGAGCCAGTAAACAGTTCGGCGACCACAAAGATGTTCGGATTGACCGTTCTAGCCTGATCAAGCATGTACTCGGCAAGGTGTATCGGCGTCGAGTGACAATTGTCTATTCGGAAGCCGTGGAAGTATTTGGCCATCAACCGCGTGTACTTGGCCATGTGATCCCACAAGAAAGGGTTATCCTGAGGCCCATCCCCATAGCGGAGCTTTACGCAGTCACCCCAGACAATGACCTCTCTTCTAAGATAGGCGCGGGAACTCGACCCGGCGTTATCTCGCATGGCGTCTGCCGCCCATACCCATCCATTGTTGACAAGCGCAAGGGCGTCTCGGTTATGCATTTTGGTTGTTTCGTTGAGGGGGAGGCGTGTGAAGTACGTCTCGATTAGGGGGCTGGCGTCGGTGATCTCCCCTAGCTTAGGGCCATGGGCATCCAAACGAACGTACTTGATGCGGTTGAAAAGCTGCTCCAATATCTCCTGCGCATCGTCATCGTACTCGCCATAGTATACCAAATTGACCTCTTCAAGTATGCGAAGGATTGCGCCATATGCTGCACCCTCATCAGGAGTACTATTCGTGCTATTGTCGTATCGTCCAAAAAGAGCACACAGAAGACCAGCTCCAACAGCAGGATCCATGTGTCGACGGAATCGTTCGCCCATCCGGTCACCGCCCCGAAGGGCGTGATCCACCAACCAGTCCGCCTTCTGTTTCAGGGACCAATCTTTGACGGCCCCGATAGCCCCTGGGCCCGTCTCGCTGAAGCCGCCTTCCGGAAAGGTGGCCAGACCTTCTGTCCACGCTTTCACAATGGCCTTCGAGTCTCTTTCTACATCGAGCACATAGTACTCCCACAGTTTTGTGCCTGAAAGCACGCGTGATTTGACACCTTCCATGACCTTGAGTAGATCCTCCAGGGTATTGAGCTTCGTGGGCAGACCAAGTGCTTTCAGGTCTTTGCTATATTGGAGAAGCGCCGTGTCCAACTCGAGAGCAGGTCTCAGCCATGGGGCAGTAACCACATTGTATCCTGCCTCTGGGTGCTCTTCGAGCCACTTGCTGTTGTTTGCTGTATGGTTCCATACAACGTCCGTCATAGAAAGCAGGCTGAATTCGTGTTCCATTCTCTTTACCATTGACGCAACATCTTCCTCCCCATTAGGAAATGCACCTTGATCGAAATGGTGTTGATCGTATATGCTGTAGGGAGAGTTGGATTCGCCGCGTACCATGAGTGGTGTGAAATGGACCATGTTGTAGCCCCTCTCGCTGATACCACGTAGATGGTTGTCCCAGTCGGTTGGAAACTTCCCCATGAACTTGGAGAGGATTGACAAGAGTGCTATCGAGGACACAGGTATCTGCTCCCCTTGCAGAGTAAGTCTTGGACACACGTCGATGTAGTACGTTGGGGTGCGTGTGGGCGAGGGAGGGGACACATTTGTGCAGGACCATTGAGGGAGCGGGGAATATGTCGTGTAGAAGGAGTAGGCGTTGGCTTCATGTATGGCAATGTCTATCTGAATGTGCCCATTGAAGTCAGGTTTCAGTCTGGGGTGCTGTCAGTACCCCCGAGGGCAAGAATACGGATGGTACTGACTTGAACTCTCTGTAGTGGTCCCGCTGAAACCTGTCGCCCTTGGCGGGAATATTCACCCAAAGGCTGCCGTAACGACATATTGAACTGGTGCCCTCGATCTGGAAGCGGACAACATAGGCCGGATCCGATGGAGGAGGTAGGTAGATGTATGTTCCTGGAACATCTGGCGCACCGGCGTCCGTCAGGGGCAGCAGGTAGACGGCCTGTGAAGAGGAGCTAGACGACGAAGGCATGGTGCCGTGAGTCTATGTGCAAGTGAGGACTCAATCGAGCTCAATCGAGGCAAATAGTGTGAAGTGGTGACAATTGAAGCAGACCAGCGAAAGGGGGAGAGAGGAACGGCGCCGCGAGAAGAAAATTGGCCGAGGGGCCCAAACGACTGCACACAGGACGTCAACAGCGAGCAGGAGACAAGATGGGCCGCTGCAATGGCCTTTCTCAGGGGAAGAAAGGGTGGGGTAGGGAGGGAGAGGGAGGGAGAGAGGGAAGAGGCCAGCAGTTGGGCGAGAAAATGAGGGATGAGAGACGAGCAGGGCTTGCTCGCGATGGATCTGATAGATCTAACAATACGTCATGGTGCCTTGCGAGGGGCCGGGCGGCGGGCGGGCTGGGCACTTGGGCACTGGCGGCAACCCCTGTCAATCACTGCTTAACCCCGAGGGGTCTAGCGTAGCATCGCATTGTGTAGTTCACTTCACCGCCGAGTGCACAGCTTGAGTCTACAAAGTACGTCTACAGCACAGTCGGTGCCCATCTCCTGCAACATCACCGGCAACTTCATCGTCACACATGAGCCATACATTTATTCACCAAAGTCCTTTCGGGTTCTATGCATGCCACAGCGCACAATGTCCTCTGCCTCAATGGAAAAAAGACTATCTGTGCTTGCTATCGTACAAAAACCGATACCCGCATTGCTCCAGCTATGGCTGACAAGTGTAAGCAGAAACTCTACCGCTGGATCAACCTTCCTTGACACAACCCCTCAAGCAAGAGAACCGCCACCAGAAACGTAGCAGACGAACGGACGGGTATCGCGACTCCCTGAACAGAAAAGTGAACCAAGCATGCAAATCAGAAAATGAAAATCCAAAGGTTCAACGTTTATCGCCCTCTCTGCATTTGCTGAACCACTGCAAAGCAGGTGGTAGTGCAAACGACGAGGGTCAATCAAAACTTCAAAGAGAATGGAGAGGTGGGCGGGTTGCTCAAGTCCAGGCGAAATTGTGTCTCGGATGGCCCTCGAGCATGCTGAGCCTGCGTCGGTGTTGCGCCGCTGTCGTCCTCCTCTGCCAACGACTCTGTGTGCACCGATGCGGGTCCACGATGCGGTGTCGCCTGGACATGGAATGGCTCGCGGCCGTCCGCCGAAGAAAGCGCCCGATCGGCAGATCTATCTGGCTCCGTTGCAGCTCCGCTTCGAGACATGGCTGACATGTCCGACGCATACATGGATGCGTTTGTGGCCGCGGCGCGACCAGACGAGGCAGCGGCTGCATCAGCCGACGTGCCTCGCCTTGAGTGTTTGATGCGATCTGCCGAGTCGCTTCGCCATGAGGTAGCCTTTGATCCCTCACCGACATGCCCTGCCGACGCTTGCGAGCCTTTGGGCTTTCCAGGGGCTTGTGGAGCCTGGCCGTTGGCGATCGCGGCTTGGGCTTCCTGAGCTTCCAAATACTTCAACTCCTCGGCCAAATACTCCTTTTCCGTCCAGCAACCCTGCCAGCAGTTTCTCCAGTCCAAGATCAGAAACTGGAAGCAGAAGGCGTCAATCTTGATGGCGGGCTGGAAGCATATGCACAGATTGTTATAGTTCATCTTGTTGAGCTCTGAGCACGAGTGAAGAAGACTGATATGGCACGTGATGGCAAAGAGGAGGTAATAGTTGAAAGGCGGTAGCTTCGAGAGCTCGTCCTTCAGCATCTGGGGGGCACTCTTGGCCCCCTGGCACTCCTGCTGGATCTTTGCTTGGATGGCTTTCGGGAATATCTCGTCCGGAAGCTGGCGCAGCCAATTCTTGAACAGCGAGCCGATGACGTTGGGATCATTAAGATTCTCATCTGCAATCAGGTCGACATCGCGGTCTATGCCCAAATTAGCGGCATGATAAAAAGAGATCTGAGTACGAACAGACATACCTTGGTCGAACTTCTGCTCGTAATACTTGATGGTATGGGCGGCTCCCGGAACGCGATAGAGACCCTCCTCCTCGGTCCCCTTCATGTTCAAGTAGCTGCACACGGCTTCGTCAGTATACGCCCCTCGAGCCACGTAGTCGATACATACTCAATACATCGCCATGGAAGCGCGGGCATCCAGAATTCAGTCTTGTCCTTGGAATTCTCCAGTCGACTTGATATCCTGGTCAGGCGGGTTTGTTCAACCAAGCCGAGATGAATGATCTTAAACTGGTACGGCTCTTTCGGGATTTGAAGGTCTCTGTCATGGGTACTGGAGCTGCGACCCAACTTTCCAAACATGCCTTTACGCGCCGAGTCCATCTTTTCTCCCATTTTGCGGGCGCCGGACCCAAGACTAGACATGAGCGTAGCCCCTCTGCTCTCGTTATAAGACCCAGAGGCAAGCGAGCTCTGCTCTGCTTTCTCTTTCCGCGAAGATGCATCGTCGTCACGATGCGTGTGATGAGAGCCGTCGTGTCGATCAGCAGAGTGGGTCCGTAACTTCCCAAAGGATATGTTCTGCCGCCATGACTGTCCCTTCTCCAAGGGCGCAGTTCTTAAAGGTGCTCCCTCGCCGTATCCGGACCATGTAGCTGACGGGTCAGGGGAGATCTTGGGAGGATTCGCTTTGAGCTTTGCCTTGCTCTTGGAATCATCTTCTATTTTGATGGAGTTCGATCTCGGAAGTCCGCCCTGTTTCTTGAGCTTTTGACCACGTTTGGAGCCAGACTCCACGCTGCTGAAATCTCTCGTCTCGGTGGACTTTCCGGAGCCGCTATTGGTCGGTCGATCAACCTCCGCGATTTCGGATCGATTGTCTGCCCTAGTCAGTGCGATACCCCAAGCCAAGCCACGTGTCTCGGTACCTTCAGAATTGGGCGTCTGGACAGGCCGGCCCAGGTCCGGTGTGGAACCACTACGACTCCCATTCGTATACGGTGTATGTGCCTTCTCTTGGTCGCGAACCGGTCTTATGGAATTCTCAGGAGAGGCTATCCGTGTCGACGATTTTGTTGCACCAAAGTTACCGAATATGCCTTTGGATTCCTTGCGTACTCTGGGGGATGCTGGTGACTGCGGCACGTTGTTGTTGTACGGTGACATGGGCGACCCTATTTCCGCATCACGATAATCCAACCGGGGAGAACCGGGGCTTCGAGGACTTATAGGAGCTGCGTCGGTTTCTTTCCCTCCTTTCGGCCGCATGGCCAAGGACAGAGATGAAGATTTGGGCATCCTTCTCAGAGGCTTAAGGGGCGTATGCCACAACTATGACGATTCAGTACCCGCTGCACCATGAAGCACGTTGCTTCCTTTCACGCCTGCTCCTGCGGCCTTGACGATGGGCTAAATACCTCTGCTGATGTATGGAGAAGAAGCGCTTCGATGCGGGGGTGAGTGAACGTGTGCGTCGGACGCGACCCGGTTTTGAGTCGTTGATGGGAGGCTCGAGTCAGATGGGCGTTTAGCGGTCGGCGAACATGCGTCTCAGGAACTTCTGCAAGGCTAGAAGGCGTGCCTCTTCGAGAGGGTCGACTGGGACTGTCCATGATGGTCAGCAAGCCAGAGCTAAACACACAGCAGGCTGCCGAAATGCGGGCTTTAAGAACAGGGATTGGTAGTACGAACCGTGAGAGCCCCTGCCCGACGAATGTCCCTTGCCAGGTACCTCTGCAGTATCGCCAAATGTAGTGGCGAGGAGCCTCAGCAGTTCACAGTGCGGGCAAAGAAGCCAGGCGAGCCCAGAGATGCACCGCGGATATGACCAGGAAATAGTGCGATCTTCCTTCAACTCGAGATATCTGCTGGCGCCTCTTCGAGAGGAGGTTACTCTTGTGTGGACGGCGTAGTTGTGGGTGTACTCCGTAGGCTGGGGTGGGAGGCACCTCCGATGTCTGCGTCGAGTCCTTGTTAGCCTCAGCGCGGACCGGAGGAAATAAGACAGCCGATAATGTTGTACGACATTGGTGGATGTGCCACGACTGCAGGGCAAAGAGGCGACCATACGTACCAGCTGTACCTGAATCACGAAGCGCAAACCAGACGTGCGAGGAACGAAACAAAGAGCGGTCGGCGGTTCAAGTGAGAATAGCGAAACGAGCGGGGTGCTCAGCAATCCGACAAGCCTCTTCCTGAGCCAAAACGAATAGGGCGTCCTTCCAAGACGGTTAGCTATGGCGGCGGTTGACCGAGTTGGGTTTGGAAGCGGAGGGGAGAGTACGGTGGGAGGAAGGGTGTAGGTTGTGGGCTTGTGGGAGAAGCTGGCGACGGATCAAGGAGCAGGGAAAAGCAGGCGAGAACGAATTGCGGCCTGCTAGCAAGGACGCGGACCAGGCAAGGAAAAGACAACGAGACAGCGTACCGTGCGGCGAGCGCGGTGCGCAGCGTCTGCAAAGCAGAGGGGAAAGAGTCTCAGAGCGGCGCCAAAGAGTGGTCAGGGTGCGGTGCAGGGCGAGGACGGGTGGACATCTGGACGGTGAGCGCACGGGCCTGCGGAAAGCCGCGCAACACTGAATCCAGGGACCACCAGCGCCAGGCGTGCGACATCAATTGATACCTCAAGCTAGGTCAACTGGTACCAAGCACTTGAGGCCAACTGTAGGTGCTGGGTAGGCGTCCCCGTGACATGGAAGATATTGCCGCAAACAATCTGCTTCGTCACAATATTTTGCTCCTAACAGTATTTTGAGAAGCTGGGCATAATCCTCACTTGACCTATTATTGAACGTGCTGCTGCGCCCAGGGGCAACGGTGACTCGTGAGCACGCCGCCAAGACCATAGCCAGGTGGTTTCATCCCCCGGTCTGCCGCGACAATGCACCTCACTCATCTCTCAAACACATCTGATTGCCATCTCGCCATCTTCGCGCTCCCCCAGATTCCGGACTCCAGACTCCAGGCTCCAGACGCCTACGGCACACCCAAGACGAGGCTGCTTTCTCGCTCGCTACCATGTCACTCGTCTCTGGGCCCGGCCGCGGCGGCGGCGTGGCTGATCTCCCTGCCGAAATGCGCCTCTACGTCGACAAGCACGTCACCTACATCCAGAGCCTTGACACCGTGCGTCCGCCCGTAACCAGCTACACATCTGCCTTCCTTGTCCTTCTCCGAGGACCCTCGCTGATGCCGGTCGCAGCGCAAAGATGAATTGGAATACTGGCTCACCGAGCACTTGCGCCTGAACGGACTGTACTGGGGTCTGACAGCCCTGCATCTGCTAGGTCGCCTGGATGCCCTGCCACGGCACGAGGTTCTGGAATATGTATTCTCGTGCCTGCATGAAAGTGGCGGCTTCGGCGCGGCTCCTGGTCATGATGCCCATATGTTGTACACGGTCAGCGGCGTGCAAATCCTCGCGACCCTGGATGCCTTCGACGAGCTCGAAGCACGCGTCAAGGGGGGCCGCTTGAAGATTGGACAATGTATGTTTGTTTCAGGAGAGATGCGGGGCTTCAATGCTCATGAACGCCAGATATTGCGGCTCTGCAGGACCGAGAAACGGGCACTTTCGCGGGCGATGAGTGGGGTGAGAGAGACACCCGTTTCCTATATGGTGCACTGAATGCCCTGTCGCTCATGGGATTGCTGCATCTGGTTGACGTGGACAAGGCTGTCGAACACGTGCAGTCGTGTGCTAACTTCGATGGCGGTTATGGCACCAGCCCGGGCGCCGAGTCCCATTCGGGCCAGATCTTTACATGCCTCGGTGCTCTGTCCATTGCTGGTCGCCTCGATCTCGTAGACCGAGACAAGCTTGGTGCCTGGCTCAGCGAGAGACAACTCAAGAATGGAGGTCTCAATGGTCGTCCGGAGAAGAAGGAGGATGTCTGCTACAGCTGGTGGGTAATGAGCAGCCTGGAGATGCTCAACAGGCTACACTGGATCGATGGCGAAAAGTTGACTTCTTTCATCCTGCAGTGCCAGGTGAGTTGCCAGTTGGACGGATTAGAAGATGCACATCTGATAGACGCAGGATCCAGAGCTTGGTGGTTTGGCGGATCGGCCGGGTGACATGGTCGATGTCTTCCATACCGTTTTTGGCATCGCCGGCTTGAGTCTCCTCAAGTATCCTGGCCTGGAAGAGGTGGACCCGGTGTAGTAAGTTTCCTTTCGAAGAGCAAGACAGGAGAAGCTGCTGATGCATGATGCAGTTGCATGCCGAAAGCGGTTACTAGCAAATACGTGAGTAAAAGGTGAAGGACACCTGATTATTTACAGAGGACATCTGGAGTCCTGTTAAGTAACCCTAAGCATTGAACGTGCACTTTAATCAGCGCCGGTTGTTACAGTACACTGTCCTCGTTCCTCTCCGCGTTGTTTCTTTGTCAAGCGTCAGTGCAGCCCTATCCATTCATAGGATGCATTCACGACTCTGTCGGGAAGATCCCGTGACTCTCCACGCCTCGTTTTTCTGCACGCCTCTTCCTCATTTTCCAATCAAGCCGTTCCTCATGCTATCTAATAACTCTCGTTTCCTCTCCATGAGACTAGAGATACAAAGCCTGAGGAGATTGAAGCTGCTTGCGGTGATGGGAGATGGTTGGCTCTTTCCACGTGGTCAGCCTGCCCTCCTTGGGGGTCCCAAATCGTCAGCTACAAATTGCTCCACTTTCTCTTTCTCGCTTGAATGCATCCTTCTTTCCTTCACCCATCTCTCGTGCTGCCGGTTTCCTCCTTCTCCTTGTTGCTCGTCCCTGCGTGTTGTAGGCAGTCTAGTCCCCCCAACCCTTTATCTGCATGCTCTCTCATCCCACCGCCTCCGCCTTCTCCGGATTCCGTCCGCTCCTTTCCAGTCGTCCATTGTCTGCCTGTTGCATAGCACTTTCGGCTTCCATCTGTACATCCACGGTCGCTACCGGCTGGCAGCATTCGGCTCGCAATGGCCACCATTCCGCTGCATTGCAACATCTGCCCGAAGAAACCAAACTTCAGCGATGTCTCGCATCTCCTCACCCACATAGCCAGCAAGGGCCACCTCTCAAACTACTACAAGGTCAAGGTTCGATCCAGCACTGAGGACGCATCTCGTCGTCTGATTGAGGCCTACGATCAATGGTATGCAGAGTGGAGTGTCGAAGAACTCATGTCCGAGCGGATGAATCAAAAAGACAAACGCCGGACGCGTGCTAGGCCAAGCGGTAGGAAATTGGTTTTCTTTGACCAGAGGATGCCTTCTGACAGTCACTCCCGTCTCTGTAGCTCGTGCCAATCCCTCCGCCCCACCCGATATCCAAGCTCCCACTCCTCAACCTGCCGCACGCTCCGAAGCCGTCGGCACCCTCCTAGACCCTCGTCTTTCTGAACACCAGCTTGTAAAGGTCGAACGGTCGTGCACAACTACGCCTACGCCTACCCCGCAGCCGGGCCCGGTACTTTGTCACCGTCCGTTTGCACCTCGCGTGCAGGGCTGGGCAACGGCTTCCCGATCCACTTCCACGTCGAATCATACCAATCCAGACTACGAGACCTCGAGCGAGTACTCTGACCAAAGCATGCCCCTAACCCGCTCCCAACACGCTGCTGAGGATACGTGCGCAATCGAGGAAGATGCTGCCGACCCTCCCGGCGTAGAAGACACCATGGCGGTGAGCGAGGCCTCAAAACTGAAGGGTGTGCTCTGGCCGGGAATGAACCTGTTTGATGCGGCTACACCTGAGATGCGGCGCAAGCGTAATCAAAAGAAGGACAGCTCAGTCGTTGAGCAGCTTGAGATCAACTCTCTGGAAGTGGAGGCTACCGAGCTTATATTCACGCCACAAGGTTCCTTCAAGAGGAAACGCAGAATCTCCAGCTCTGAATGCGATTTTGAGGAGATGAGCAGCCCGCTTCGGCGTGAGAGCCCGAAACCTTCCCGCACACGCCCAGTCCTTGCTAGTTTGGACGTCAACAGCGGGCGTCGTCCCCGCCAAGTCGTGCGGCCTCCGGCTCCGGCTTTGCCCTGTCCTAAGCGATCGCACGGCACCCGCGCCCGTCCCGCTCACGGGCATGGAGAACGTAGTTCTCGAGGCAAACGCAACTTCTCGGTTTATGTGGACGAAGAGGACTCCTTCGGCCAGCCAGCCCCCATGAACTACCTCACCACGGGCTACCACCGGCCATCACCAACTTCGGCGCCGCAGTGGCCATCTCTCAAGCCATACAACGACATATACCCCTACGACACCAGCAACAAAGAGAATGCCTTGTCTGCATACCCGCAAGGGGGCTCTGACCATCACCATCCTCATGCTGTAGGCTACCATTACCACGCCTACTCGTACGGACTAGGACACGAACAGCATGCTTTCCAGTACCGGGATCATTTGTATCTCAACAACGCTTACCGTCAGCAACACCATGAAGATGCCGACGATCAACGAACTGTCACCGCGCCCCCCTCCCCATCCACGGGCTGAGCTTCTTACATCTCCCCACTGTACAAGGATCGTGCTGGATGCTGTTCCAACCGGCCGTACAGCTTGGAGTTGTCCTGGCTGCTCGCCCTCTGCCTTTTCCCACCTGTCCCGTGTTCCCCTAGCACTCGCCCATCCACACCGACCCCCAGCCCCCGCTGTTTGCTTGCTGGATTTTCGATCGCTTAAAATTGGCGACAGCTTGCTCTCTGTTGGCACTTGCAGCTTCAACTACCACCTCCAATATGGAACATTCTGCACCATTAATACACTCCATCTGGGAAATGCATGCACTAACTAGCACCGCTATCAGGCCAATTATCAATTCTCAGGACAACATATTGACGCTCTTCCCGTTTCCGCAGGCTGTGCAAAGTCCGGATTCCTTGGTGACCATATTCTTTGATCTTCAGCAACGCTTCCAGGTTTCATGGTCAGGCTGGCACATGATGCTGGTGGCATAAGGGTGGATTCGGACAGTCTCGGTTGTACAGATTTAAGGGATGGAGCAAGTCAATTAGAATCCAGAAAAAGAATAGCTGTATCTTCTATGTGCGGTGGTGTGAGAGCAATGCTCTTGCAACGGTGACATAACTCCTCGACTTTTGCTTGTTCAACAGGTGTGGAGTGTGGAGGAGCAGTGAAGTCCTCAATGCGGCTAGCGCTTGCAGGGCTGTGCATGGCATTTTTGCGGGCCGGCAAGCGGACCCACTTATTCCCGAGGGGCAGGGATTCGCGGACGTCATTCTCTTCGACTGACAATTGCAGCCGTAATGATCTAGCACAAGACAATCACTTTTTCGGGATCCTCACGCTCGTTTCACGCCTGCCTCGATTGTGTCTTTCGCTTTCTCAAATAGGAAACGATGAGTGAAACCTCAGAACGGCCGGAGGTGGAGAGACGGAGGCAGAAGCAGAGAAGGCAGATCCAGGCAAGGGAGAGACAGAGACATCCGTTACAGAAGTTTGAATCCCCGTCCAAGGGGTTTTCTGGGGTTGTGCATGTGAGTGCTTTTGGAGTCCTTCTTCTGCCTGGTCTCGAGTGATCGGGCAGTTTGGAGAAGTGCGGGAATATAACGGGGTAGTGGCTGATCGGCTGACGAATATGTTTCGGACAGGTTGTAGGATTGTGGAACTTCTACGTTGGGTTCAAGTAGTGAGTTAATATGTCTTCCTCTCAAATGATCAATTGAATGCATGGACTCGAAGAAAGGAAAATAGAAAAAATTGGCCATGGACGGTTTCTAACGATTGACAGCTTGGCGGATAATCCTAACTTCATCGTACGAACCCCTACATCTCCGTAACCATTCCATCCGCCTCGCATAATAGCGGGTACAAGCCCCCACTAACACCCAACAGACCACCTCATTCGGCTGGCACCTTCAATATCTTACCATCTTGGGCCTCTCCATCTCGACGCTATGTTTCTCCGTCGGCCTCCTGGCCGACATGACTGGTTCCTATGCTCTATTTACTGCGAAGAATTATCTCTCGCTAGTCGCAGCGCCGATTGAGATTCTGATTGCCTTGTTGTATTGGGGATTTCGAGCTGTACGTGGTTCCCCCTCGTCCTCTCGTTATGCAAATGTCATTCGCCACGATACTAAGACACCTATCAGGTCGACCCCGCCCTCGTCGTCCCACCAGATCTTCCGCTACCGCCACTCTCAATAGATTGTGCCTTCCACCTCTTCCCCGCCCTTCTCCTGGCCCTCGATGCACTCCTCCTATCCCCTCCTTGGCCGACCACTCCAACGCACCCACGTGCACCGCTCATCACGCTCGGTCTCACTACTGGGTTCGCGGTAGCATACTGGATCTGGCTCGAAGTGTGCTACGCGAGGAATGGATGGTATCCGTATCCAATCTTGGAGCTACTGACCGTTGGGCAGAGAGTGGGGCTGTTCGCGGGTGCGGCTGCGGGAATGGGAGCGGTGGGGATGGGATTGAGGGTTTGGTATGGGTGGATCAATGGAGTTGAGAGGCATATTAGCTCCAAGCTGGAGTGAGAGGGAGGGATTGGTAATTGAAAGAGGTTGAGAACGTAGAACGTGCAGGGTCATACTCTGTCCAGGTACAATCCGCGTTAAAACGCGTTGACGCCATGCTCCAGTGGCATGATCAGAATGTGACGAATTGAATTGCTAAAATAGGTAATAAATCTGACTTGGAGGAGAAGTACAGGGGGGTGTTCAGCTGGACATGGAGGGAGGCGGTTGTCTTGTAGGCCTTGGCGATAGTCTTGCGAAGCTTGTTTCGAAAGCTTACTTGAGCTTGGTGAGCTTCCGTAGCTGGGGGCTGGATCGTCAGCCACCAAACCCCCGACCGCAGCTGAAGAGGAGTCCCCCATTATTTGAGACTCCCAGCCACTCCTTCGAGCTCATTGCTCGTATTACGGTGTAGCCCATTCCTGCGCTTCCCTCGACCTTTTCCGCCCAAGCAAACAACAAGGCAGTGACGCTCGCATGCGTCACTCCTGTATCATATAGTGCGAACGGCCCCACCCTTCTGTGGACGACGGAGTACACACCACAACCACAACACCCTCATGCCATGGCCGCCTCGAGCGAGAAACCGGAAGGGGGCTCCGACGGTAGCGCAACCCAACACCCTCCAACGTCCGACCAAGGCAAACCCTCCAAGCCCAGCGCCGCTCACCGAGTCGCAACCTTCCCCCTCGTGCGCAAAACCAACACTACCTCGTCGAGCAAAAAGAAAGGACCCGCCGGCGGCTTCGACGACACGCCTATCCCGCACGCACCGCCGGGATTTACGGTGAAGATCACGTTCCACCGCGCGACCAATCTCCCCCTCGCGGACATCAACACCCTCTCCGCCGACCCCTTCATCGTCGCCGTCATCACGACGGCGCTGCCACAGCGCCACAAGATTGATCCGCCGCTGACGCTCCGCACACCCACCGTGCGCGAGTCCACGAACCCGGAATGGAACGTCGAGTGGATCGTGGCGAACGTCCCGCCGTCAGGCTTCAGGATGAAGTGTCGCATCTTCGACGAAGATCCTGCGGACCACGACGATCGCCTAGGAAATGCGCACATCGACACGGGTCCCTTGGATGAGGAGTGGGCCGGCATCAAGAATCAAGGGTTCCCCGTGAAGATGCGCATGGCGAGTAAGCGGGCGTACCTGTTACGGGGAGTCGCCGTGTGTCTGGGGAAGGTGGAGCATATGCGGGCGGCATTGTATGTGAGCGTCGAGGTGTTGGGGAGGACCGAGGATGAGGAAGGGGGGAGGTGTTATACGGTGGGGCCGCAGTATTGGATACGGCATTACAGTCCGTTGTTGGGGAGGTTGTTGGGGCAGAAGGAGCCGAGGGAGGATGGGGAGGTGTCGAGGAGGACGGGGAAGCCCAAGCCGGAGAGGTACAAGTATGTATTCTGCTTTTCTTTTCTTCGTTGCCTTGGATTTGATTTGATTCTCGGTCTACTCATGCCGGGGAATGAAGATAAGTTACGGGCAGGGAAGCCGCACGGAAGAAGAGCAGAGGGAAACGAGGGAGGTAAAGGGAGCTGACACCCTGCTAACACCATACAGCTTCCAAGCCAACCAAATGCAGCTCCGCGGCCCCGTCCCCGGCCCCATGTATCACCGCTACGTCGAATTCAAACCCTTCGTCAAGCAAATGTTCACCGCAACCGGCGTGCGCGGCTTCATCCTGTCCAAAGCCCTGCACGCCCAACACGCCCGCGTCTACAACTTTGACCAATCGACGGCATACGAGCGGGTTCCCTCCCCTTGCATCGAATTCACCCAAAAGTTTCTGGAGCTATGTCATTGGGATCGGGGCGGCAGGATCTTCACGTACGTGCTGACGCTGGATGCGCTTTTCCGGTTTACGGAGACGGGGAAGGAGTTCGGGATCGACATGTTGAGTAAGCATACGATGCACAGCGATGTGGCGCCGTATGTAGCGTTCTCAGGGGAATTCTTCATTCGGAGGTGGGAGGGGAGGGATGAAGAGCACGGGGAGAAGGGGGAGAAGGGTGGCCTTCATCCTCACTTTCACGCGCTCCATCATCATGCCCATCATATTAATAGTAATGATAATCAGCACAACGAACACGCCTCCGAAGACGGCGCCGACAACAAGAAGCACAAACACAGTCGCTCGCAGTCGAGCGGCGCCAAATCCTGGCTATCGGCCTTATCCTCGAATCGATCCCACAACGCCGACAAGGAAGAGGAAAAACAGATGCACCAGGACAACTCGCCCCACCATTACGAACTCATCATCGACAACGACAGCGGGACCTACCGCCCGAACCCTTCCCTCCTGCCCCTGCTACACGACTTCCTCTCCGCGAATTTCCCGGGCCTACACATTCGAACGCTAGACTGCCAGGCGCAAGCCGAAGAGATGGCGGCGCTGAAGAAGCAACAGAGGGAGCGGAAACAGAAGGAAGGGCAGAGGATCGTGTTTACGCAGGCGAGGCGTGCGACCAGTTTGAGCTCTCTGAGTTCAAGCGATGAGAGCATGCTGGATAGGATGGAGGCGGCTGTTACAGCCGTTGCGGACGGTGCGAGAGGAGGTAAAGGAGAGGGGAGTGGGAAGAAAGATGGACAACAGGGCAAAGGAGACTTGGGTTATGCGGGACCTGAAAGGAACATGTCGGCACTGGAAGAGCAGACGCATCTGCGGCATCGAGTGCTCAGGGAGGCGGAGGAGAGGGTGCAGGCGGCGAAGAGGCAGGCGAAGGAGTATAACCCGCGGGGTGTGAAAGCGGGATGGAAAGGAGTGGGGAGGGGGAACGGAGAAGGAGTCAATGAGACGACCAAGGGTGATGGCAATGCGGATATAGATGGAGAGGAACACGAGCATCAGGAGGACATGGGAGAGCGACCTCCTCCATCAACCACCCCGACGACAGCACCAGACACCCGACACGAAGTACAATCGCAATCGCAATCCCAACCCCAGGCACAGGAGAAAAAGGAGGCTACAGGATAACGCCTCCTTGTCACCTTTAGCGCCAAGCCCATGTCTTTCATTTCTATCTGCCTTCTTCCTTTTCCCTTATCCTCGGTCCGTCCAGAGGCGCGAGCATAGCACAGTTGTTTGTGTTCCGTTATATCTTTCCGATCATTGCATCTTTTCATTCGTCGGAATCGTCCGTCTGTATCCCTTCTTTCGTTCTTCTCCATCTATATAACCCTCATCCGCCCTCATACCTCCCACCTTCCTGGAATTTTTCTTCCCCTCTTCATCCGGCATGTCGTTCGTTCTCGCCGACCAGTGCCTCGACCTCGGTCCACCTACCACTCAGCTGATTTGGGATTCCGTTGTCGCTATTGTTGTTGTTGCTGTTGTTGCTGTTGTTGTCTTCTCTCCTTCCTAGTCGTGACAAGGACCCAGATACCCACGAAAATGATCCAGGGAGGGAATCATTACATATATCTACCGATCCGCTCAACTTTAAGCGATAATATAATACTCTACTATACATACGATCACATGGAGATGATTCTGATAGATACGTGCCCGATGCGTTGCATATATGCCTTCCGACTCTCCGTCCCATCGCTTTCTCACCCTTTCGAAGCGGCTGACTGGAGAACGACCGAATCGCTTATATTTACCAACCGGCTCTGTCTGAATTCCCCAAGAACATCTTCCCTCCCCCTTTCCTTCCTAATGACTTCTTCCACTTCATCTCTAGAACTGGAATGCAGAGCGGGTATTTCATATAACTAGATCACCCCACACTCTTCCCCTGACATGATTGGATTCAGGATAACCACGCCGGATCGACGATGTACATAATAGTATGTTGAGGATGACGAGTTGCACTCAATGCCAAGACGCTCCAACTCTGCAGCACCAGGCGATACAATGCACCGGCCCCTCCAGATCGCAGCGGGAAGGATGAAACGAAATTGCAAACTAGTTATCATCTCCAACAATAAGCTCATACATACACCCATCTCGCTCCTCCAGCTCTCCTCATCGCGTACCCTCCCTAAGACACGTTCATGTGCTCAAAGTATGGCCTAAACCTCGGCTCCCTCTGCAACCCACACTCGACAACACATTCGTAGCAACACATCAGCAAATTCGGAAACCTGCTGGTCCAATACCTCAGATACCCCTCCGGCAAATCTCCCACCAGCGCCTTGACCGACTCGTCCATATCCTCGTAATGGTTCTTCTTGTTGCGGAGCGCCCGCAGCAGATCCAGCATCCGGTCCCCCGTGTATTTGCGCTGCTTGCCTAGGCTGGCCACGAAGCTTCTGTGCAACTTGGCCAGGAAATCGGACTTTTTGCCGTCGCTGATGACGGCTTCGCTGAAGCTCTCGAGGATGGAGAGATGGTGGCTGGGAGGGTCTCTGCACTCGCGCTCCCAGTGATCGGAGCAATCGCAGAGGAAATTGAGGCGCTTCTCTGCGGGCCAGAAGAAAGGATGGTTCATGACCTGCAGTGCCGTAGGGCGGTCCTCGGGCCGGTTGGACAACATCCAGCGGATCAAGTGGCGGGGCTCTTCCGAATCGTTGCCCAAGCTGAGTTGGTCGAGGTTGGCCTTATCCTTCTTGATGTTCAGTTCGCGCATTTGCATCCAGCCTTCCTCGTCGTCGAAGGGATGGGAGCCGTTGGTCAGGACGTAGAAGAAGACACAGCCAAGCGAGAAGATGTCGACAGCGCGCTTGACGCCCTGAGCGACGGGATCGGTCGAACTGGAAGAATCGCGAGACTGGCCTGTAGAGCTGCCTCTGTCCAAGTCTTTGGGCTGTAGGATAAGCTCGGGAGCCTTCCAGCCCACTGTGCCTGCATTTCCAGTCGTTCCAATCAACGTGCTTACGTTGTCGGGGAGCGTCTTGCAAAGGCCAAAGTCAGAAATCACCAGACGAGGGCCCTTTTTCTGATTACGAGTTGGGTACGCTATCAAGATGTTCTGAGGTTTGATATCGCGATGAATGATTCTCAAGCTGTGCAGATGGTTGAGACCCTCGGCAAGCTGACGCAGGGCCCCTGGAACATCGGCGTTGATTTCGGCTACGAGTTGTCGTTGACGCTCGGTGAGCTCCTCGCCGGCCCTGCCATCGCGGTAGAGATCAAAGAGACTCGCTTGGCAGAGCTCTACTGCGATGTAGAGGAAGTTCTCGTCCTTTTCATCGTCGAAATAACGGATGACGTTGTGGTGAAAGTCACTTTCCTGAAGTAGTTTCACTTCTTGCTCCGCCAGTCCATAGTACTGGGGCAGCATTCGCTTGACGGCGACATCGCGTTCCTGATTTTATGTCAGACGCGAGGGGATTTGACTGAGTGGCAGTGAACTTACATTCCATTTCCCTTCGAACACGAACGTTCCTCCGCTACCATTGCCAAGGAGACGATCAAAGTCAATCGTCAGCTTCCCAATTTTCTTGATATTGGACACATCCTGCACATCATCGCCCGCAGGAATGACCTCATCGGGATGCAGCGCCGGATCTTGTTCAAGCTCCCTCGCGGCATTGACCGACTGATCCACATCGTCGCCGTCCTTGGGTTTCTTCTTCTTCTGGCCTCCTCGTTTGCCACGATGCGCCTTCTTTTTCCTGGGGGTGCTAGTGGGGGTCACTTCGCCATTGGCCGCTGTTTGACCTGGCTCTGCAGCTGTATCCACGATTCCGTTGGCGTCATGCCCGCCCTCGGTCAATGTTTCTGCAGTGGTGGTACGAGAGAGGGGCTCGAGATCATCCTCCTCATCCGGCACGTCGAACCGGACCTTCTTCTCAAGTTCCACTTCTACAGGGTTGTCAACCACGGCTGGCTCTTCCACCCGAGCTTCGGCAGGCGCAGCTTCAGCAGTGGGAGGATCGGCTACGAGTTCGGGTATGGGCGGTTCAGTCCGCTCAACCAAAGGGACTGCAATCTTCTGCGGCTCCGAATGCGCCATCTTGCCGAACCTGGATCGGAGGTTGTCCCTGAACTCCAGGAAACTTGTCGATTGACCCAGGCCAAAGTAATAGCCACTTAGTACCACGACAACCACGATTGTGGTCCACGTCTTCAGCCAGCTTCGCGACTCAATGGTAACGCGGTGATCGTCAGCCCTCGTCTCTACCGGCGAATACGTGGGCCGCTCTGGAAGCTCCGGGATCGGTCCGACGGGCTCCTCGTCGTGCTTGGGTCCCTCGATTCCCGGAACGGCGTGCCGAGCCTCTCCCACATGGTCCAGAATGTGGACACCGACCAGTCCGCGCCTGTCGGGGAGCGCATGTGTGTCTATGTTGAGCAGTTCGTTGTTGCTCCACTCTGGACTGTAGCACAAGGCGCGGGGTGCCTGATCGGTAACAGCAGGGTAGTTCATCTCGGACAGGGCATACCAACTTCCGTCTTCGGTGGTGTTGAGCCATACATGCTTGATTCGGTCCTCTGTAAACGCCGGCCCTGGGGGCTGGGGTAGGAGGACCAGAGGAGCGTCCGGTCTCTCATTGTCGAGCGGTCTTGCTACGTCGAAAACGCGCACCACGGGCGACGAGAACTTTTGTTCAAACACGGGGCGCTTCGCTGGCTTGGGCCTATTGTAATCCATGGAGATGGCGTGGCCGTCGTATCTCGTGTAGATGTACTGATTGTCCATGGTGGTCAAGTACTGGGCATGCAGATCGCGGTCCCTGTTGTTGGTCGACCATTCCGAGTACTTGATGTTGCAAATGGCCTCTCCAGTGAGCTGATTCTGGATGCTGATTCTATATTCGGTGCGGGCGATGTTGAAGATGCCTTTGCATTCACGCTCCTTGGCGCCGACGGCCAGGAAGTCGTGGTCCTTGGGCTGGCAACTCTGATCGTCGCGTACATTAGAGCCGTTGACACTATGGGTGCTGGTGACCTGTCCGGTCTGAGCATTGACGGTGAAGAAGAAACTCTTCTTGTCAGCAAGGTAGACAAAGTCGCCGGTGGCATAGGGGGAAAGCTCCTCGGCCAGCTGCTTGACCGTCATGCGCAAGCTGGAGAGGACGGGATGGGGGCCCGGCTTGAGGATATAGAGGGCACCGTTCTCGACGGGCTCGACGATCCACAAGAAGGGGTCGTGGATGGGGGTGTTGCCGTCGGAGCCATTGTGGTTGTACATGGTCTCGAGCATGGGCTGGCCGAGGTCGAGGGCCCATATCTCGTGGCCGTTGTACCTGTCTCTGGCATGGATCTTTCCATCGACGGTCGCCAAGAGCACAAAGTCCTCGACTTCCCAATCCTGCAGGGAACGCGCACTCTTGGGCGTGAGGCCAGCCGAAGGGGCGGCAGCGTTCCTGGCATGAGGGGCTCTGACAGCACGATCGGCTGGAGCAGAGGAGACTTCAGTAGCTACGGCGCGCTCGTTCTGGACGATCAGCGGCGTGTAGGGGTTTCGCTTCGAGGGTGGTGGCGTAGGTGAGTTGGGTGGGGGATTGGCATCGAGGTAGGCGTCGGGGGAGGAAGAAGCGGAGGAGGCATTGTGTTGCGGCACATGCTGCTGCTGCTGAGCGGCCGTGGTAACGAAGGGCAGGACAAAGAGGATCGCGATGAGGGCCGTCGTCTTCCGGAATCCGGGGCCCGCACCGGGCGGGCGCCGACGAGGCATAGCGGGCCGAATTGCGAGTATGGGGTTGGTTGTCAGTGCCTAGGGGAGGCTGGAGGAAGTGGAGAGATGAATCATGAGCGATGAAGGGATGGGATGAGGATGGAAAAAGAGAGTGTGTAGGAGAGAGAGCGAGGGAGGCTGGGAGGGAGGAGAATGAGGAGGTGAGCACAGGACCAGGCTCCGTGTGTGGGTGAGAGGTGAGATTTTGTCCGATATATTAACTCCCCCGAGGGAGGGTGGGGAGGAGGGAGCTCAGCCAGGGTGGGAGGAGCCAGGCCAAGCCTGCCAGGGTGGAAGTCGCGAAGGATTCAGGAAGGAACGACTGGATAACCACGCCTTGCCTCTTCGGGTCGCCTTGGCTAGTTCCCGACGCTGGTGGCCGCTGGATGCCGCTGGAAGGTCTTGTGGGTGAAGAGAGGACGGGAGAAGGGATTTGTCGCGGTATATCATCATTGTATCCGTGTACATACTCGGCACATTCAGTGAGATGGCGGGCCTTTGCAGGGAAAAGAGGTCTTTGCCGGTGGCTGTCGTGCGACAGAACCATGACACGCGGTCTTGCGCACCGGGACCAGCGAGGTGTGTCTATTCACGGCAGAGAAGGCTGTAGAAGGTCATGGTTTCCCAAGATTTGTACCATGCATCGTGACCCTATTGTGCACTGTGTACTTGTAGGTGCTCCTAGCCCGTACGCCGTTCAAACTCCCTCGCACACCAATCCCATCCTCAAAGATTTCATCCACTGCGGGGATGAAACACGCGGATGAAACTTTGCCCTCCTTTGCGTCCGACCTTGTGTCATGTCTCGTAAGCTGGGCTAAACCTGTCGTGTGCTTACCCTGCCTACCCATGGACAAGCATGTAATTTTGCACAGGCGACGACGGTGAGGATGCGTCTTGGGAGGGAGTACTTGTTAAACAATGGGTGCAGATTCAGAACAGCAGATTCAGAAGAGTCGCTGGTCGGTGATAAACCGTACAATAATACTTTGTCGTCGTCACTGTACACAGTACATCCGTAATCGATGCGGAACCACATCCAACCCATCTCCCGCTGTACCCTCCCTCCTCGCTCTCTATGCGAGTGCAACCCCCTCCCTCTATCTACACCCGCTCCCGTCTCCTAGGTGCACTGCGGATGATGTTGTCTACCCGAAGCAATAACTATGCTACTGTTAGTTCTTTTGCGTCCCATATCACGCTTGCAATCACATCATCTTCAACGGTGCACGTACCTCTGCAGCCTCAGACGCCGACGAGACAACCGCGCGCTTCAGCTTGTAGCTTTCAATCACCCCCAGCTCCCTCATGTCTGCGATGCCCCCTCCCGGCGTCAGGAGATCCAGCCCCGAGCTCGTCAGGCCAGAGTAGACGGCCTTGCGGAGCCGCGTGACGAGCTCGCTAGAGTCGAAGCCCGCATTGTCGGCCAGGATCGTGGGCAGTTGCTGCAGAGCCCTCGAGAAGGCCTCTACCGCCAGCGCCTTCTTGCCCGCCACCTTCTGCGCCGCCTCTGCAACCGCCTTGGCCATGTTCATCTCTGCACATCCGCCTCCCAGCGTCGTCCGGGGCTCCTTGACCGTCTGTGAAAGCACTGCAAGAGCATCGTGCAGCGACCGCTCCGCCTCGTCGAGCAGCTGCTCGGTAGCTCCCCGGAGCACAATGGTGCATGCCCGGCCTGCCGCCACTCCCGAGAACTTGATCAGCGTGTCCTCTCCAATGATGATTTCCTCAATGAGGTCGCAGTGGCCAAGCTGCACATTTTCCGGGTGGTCAAACGTCGACGTGATCTCGCCGCCCGTGACCAATGCCAACCGCTCCACGCCGTCAAAGTCGGCATGCTCAATCGACGAGATGCCCGCGTCTGCGAAGAGCTGCTCGGGCCAATTGTAGATCAGCTGACGATTGACGAAGCAGTTGACCCCATGTGCCTTGATCCGCTCCACCTTTGCTTTCATCTTTTCCCGTTCCGCCTTCTCCAACTCGGCGAGCTTGCCCGTGGAGTCCACCTTCATCCGCGCACCAAAGATCTTGATCTTGTCCGTGTCCATTGCCGTGTTTGCAACAAGAATCTTGGCGTTCTCTATCCGCTTCGGCTGGTTGACACCAAACTTCTTGTCCAGAATGAATCCCTCGTCCAGATACGAGTCCTTGAGCTTGCCTCCCGCCTTCTTGATGATCTGAATGTGCGTGAGATCGGTCGACCCCTTCATCCTCAGCACCGCATCCGTAGCCAGCTTGGCAAAGTGCGTCCTATCCTGGCTCAGGACCTTGGAGCTGAGCGTCGTCCTCGCAATGGCTTCGAGGTCTTTCCTGAATGCGTTCTCGTCCCCGCTGTGATCCACCGCCGTCTTCTCCAACGCTTGCAAGGCTGCATGACTCGCTATCCGGAAGCCCTCGATGATCGTCTGGGGATGTATCTTCTGATCAACCAACTTCTCCGCCTCGCGCAGGAGCTCCGCAGCTAGCACCGTAACCGAAGTCGTTCCGTCACCCACTTCGTCGTCCTGCACCTTCGATATATTGACCAAGACTTTCGCGGCGGCGTTGTCCAGTGCAATCGATTTCAGGATCGTAGCTCCGTCGTTTGTGACCATGATCTCGCCAGTCGAGCTGTGGTTTGGAACATTAGAGCTTCGTCTCAATGCCGGTACCCTTCGACCATTACTTACGCAGACTGTAATATCTTATCCATACCCTTGGGACCCAGCGTGCTTTTAACGAGGTCTCCCACAGCAATAGCTCCCACAAACGCCGAGAGACGCGCATTCTCGCCCTTCTCCTCCGTCACGTCTTCGGCGAAAATCTGGGTGGGGTTGTTGTACGACTGCTCCATGTTAGCAACGTCCGCGAAGCTTCAACAAGGCTCTGACCATCTCGGGCACCGTAAGGCACGGATTTGTAAAAGTACGGCTCTTACAAGTGATTTGCTGGTTGTGGTGCCTGGTACAGCGATATCCAAAATATTTCGAGGTTCGGAGGCGGCTAGTGTCTTGGCAAGTCAAGTGGTGGGATTGCGATGCATCGACTGCACTGCACTCTGCCCATAAACATCATGGCGAGTGGGCAGAACGGAGAACAGGGTTCCCATGAGGAGCCCGATTTCACAAAAGTGGGCGCAATTGCGGACATGTCATAGATAATGCAGGCTAACTTTTCTTGAAGGCATTCCAGGACCTCGCGCGGGGTGAGCGAACAGCTGCTGCCCTGGAGAACCACCTCGATGCGTTGGAAAAGAAGATTGAAGAGCTGCTAGCGAAGGCAGACGAAGAGGACCGCAAGAGGACAGAGCAGAGAGAATCAAAGCAAGACAATGTCGACAGCGCTACTTCAAAGCCTGGGGCGGACCCGGTGTGAGAGCGCATCGACCGTCTTTCTCTTACTCCACATGTGCTATGGAGTTCTGGACGACTCTACATATACCCCTGTGAACGTTCAGCATGGCAGAGCGACGACCGGGATCGGCCAAGACGGCTACTATCCTGCTCTGCAGAGCCGACATTTCAATCGCCGGCGTGTTTGGTTCAAAGGCGGCCTAAGGAGAGACCGTCAGAGGGGACCGGATCATCTTGTCCTGGCTCCTGCTCATATACCTCCAATGGTCGATGGCTTAAGCTCATCGCCCTCAATCTTGAAAATCTCATCCAGATGGAACACACCATGAGCATCCTTCTCCACCACCCCGACTTCAGTGATGATTCCATCAATGAGTGCCGCCGGAGTCACATCGAAAGCGGGATTCCACACATCGATGCCGCTCGCAGCAATGCTTATAGTCTCGACCACGTTCAAATCCAGCGACACCCCATCGAAGCGCGGCCCCTTGACAAGCGTTACTTCCTTTCCAGGCCGCTCTTCAATGACGATCTTCTCTCCACTCTCCGTGTTCAGGTCAATGGTCGTCCGTGGCGCTGCTACCAGGAACTTGACTCCGTGATGCCTGGCTAATATAGCCAGAGAATAGGTGCCAATCTTGTTGGCCGTGTCGCCGTTCGCGGCAACTCTGTCGGCGCCTACTACAATGGCTGCGATGTTCATCTCGCGCCCTTTTTGGCGCAGGAGTGCCGCTGCCATCGAGTCTGTGATCAGGGTGGCCGGTATCTCGTCGTGCACCAGTTCATAAGCCGTCAGTCTCGAGCCTTGGTTATACGGCCGCGTCTCGGAGCAGAAAGCATGCTTCAGCGCACCCTTCTTATGTAGCGACCGTATGACACCCAGGGCAGTGCCATATCCAGCCGTAGCAAGAGACCTATCAGCTACATCAGTTACTGCTCTTACCACTCTTGAGAATGGCATGCCTTACCCAGTATTACAATGCGTCAACACGCTCACTTGACCCCTCGCGCCAGCCTCCGTCTTCTCGACTATCCACTTCGCCCCATGATCCCCAATCGCCTCATTATCCCTCACGTCATCCACCAACATCTTCTCCGCCGCCGTCACATACACGTCCCTCACACTCTCCCCCGTCGCCCCCTCCCTCGCCTTCTCGTCGACAACCCTCCTCGTCAGCTTCCGCGCCGCATCCGCCAGATTCACCGCCGTGGGCCGGCTCGTCACCAAGTAGTCCAATTTCTCGAGGATGAAGATGGCGACCTCCTCGGCGATGGGCGAGATCTTCATGTTGGTCAGCTCGACGGCGAGGCCTAGGGCGGCGACGATGGCGATGGCTGGCGCGCCGCGCGTGCGCATGCTGCGGATCGCATGCCAGGCGTCGGTCGACGAGTAGATGGGGTCGTAGTGGGTTTGGTGGGGGAGCAGCAGTTGGTCGAGGATGCTGAGGGAGCCGCGCGTATAGCGGATGGATTCGAGGACCATTCTGGAGAGGTTCTGATATAATCCTGTTCAATGATTAGCTTTGTGTTCTAAAAAAGAAAACCTTTTGCTTCTAGTACCTGTCTCGAAAGGTCGTCTGGGGAACAGCTGGGGGTGTGTATGGAAGGGAAAAATGTCCTGCGATTGTGCCATCTATGGGTGAGGGGCGCGGAGGGGCGGCAGGGATGCGCTGGTGGGGTGAGTACCTAGATAGCATGCGCGACGAATGGAATTTGATTTGTAGTCTTTGAATGCCTATCCGGCAGCTGCGTATTGATTGACATAGCTGCATGAGAATACAGGATCAGGCAAGTCCCCTGATCCGGTGGATTTTCGTAAAACTGTGGATACAGCAAAGAAAAGACTGTGCAATGAGCATTCTAAGTATTCTAATTCTATGTATTCTAATCAACTTCTATAAGCAGAACTATCCTGCACTATATTCTCTATCGCTACCCTTGGACTATATGTCCAAATGCTCTGCTTCGTTATGTTACATATCCTCCCCACTCTCAAAACACTCATACAATACGAACATATCTTGCCCTCTGACTGCCCTTGCCGTCTAACCTTTACTTGAACCTCGGAAGTGAGCAACAAGTGCGGTACAGCATGGTCCTCAAATCCCTCTCTTCAGCCATCGTCTCAACTTGGACACCCAGCCCCTGCTTCCACGTCCCCTAACCTCCTACGCAGCAGCCCCGGATCCCGCTCCACCACCTCCCTCACCCTATCTTCAAATGCCTTGACCATGATATCCGCTACCTTAGGTGCCGCGCCCGCACTCAGTGCCGAATAAATCGGGTTCGCAAACGCGAATTCCAGCGCCAAGGTCACCTTCATCGCATTTTGTCCCAGCGGCGTAAGCTCCCATCTCGACAGCAAATGCGACAATAGTCGCTCCTCCTCTTCTCCCGCATGCCTTCGCTCCTGTTCTGTTGTATGATGCGCTATCGCATGCGACGGAAGACTCGATACTGCTGACCCGCCGATACTCTCGACGACTTGGCCCGGTATGCAGAAGACGCGCGTGGTAAACGACTCGGTGATACCTTTCCATCCCACTTCTAACTTGCCCTCGCTGGGCCAACGCTTATTGTATGTTTTGTCTGGGGCGGACCATTTGGTGACGGTGGAAGAGAGGCAGTAGGGGAGGAATTGGGAGTACGATTGGATGTCGGATATTACTGTGTATATTGGTGTAGAGGGATAGGGCAGGGTGCGGGTTGTCGTGAGGGTTTGGGGGGCACCGCTGGTGAGCGGGGAGAGGATGGCGGAGGGGTTCGGGAGGAAGGTTCGTCGGGGAGATTGATGGAGATTGAGACGGGACAGAGAGGGGAGAGGACGAGAGCGAGGGAGGAGTTTGGCTGTGGACATGGTGGAGCAAATGTTCCTTCAGAATGTTCCTTCAGAATGTTCCTTCAGAATGTTCCTTCAGAATGTTCCTTCAGTGGTGGAGAAAATCGGAGCGGAGGAGCGCAGTTTAGGCGGTGAGCGAGCTAAAGAGTGAAAAACAAGAATGGTTAATGGCCGTTCAGTAACATGGTTTCGCAGTTCAAGGAGCGCATTATTATGTAGTAAAGATGTGGATAAACGAAAGTCAGAGTTGTTATGCAGGCAATTGCCCAGTGGATAGTCAAACTGTCGGTCGGTCGGTCGGCCTCTGACGAATGTCGAACAATCGGGGAGTTCGTCGATCCCGCTATTCTCAATTCGTTTAGGTTGTTCGGGTCGTCCAGGGGTTGCCCGCTATCGATAAGAGAGGGGAAGGAATTTCGAATTTCTCCCCACCATCTATACAGCAGAATCAACCGTCAGGGTTCCCTCATCACTCATTGACCACAACACTTGGCCACATTTGCCGCCAGTTCAAAACACACAAAGAGATATCCAATATTTCATGCTATTCGTGGAAACTTGGCACTGATATTGAAAATCATGGACACTACATTCTCACAGACAGATAATTCTGTCACACAGAAAGCCCATCCGAGACAGCAGCTCAGCAAGTCAATGGAACACATACGCTATGCAGTCACAGTGGACCCAATACCGCATTCGGTGCAAAGCCCTGCGTCAGGAGCAACAAGTCCACCGACCTCGACCTCCACTCCCTCCACAGAACCACTCCCCGAATCGGACGCGTACGGAGTGCCCGCCTCCTTTGCTCCTATCCGCAACCCCTCGGCACGGTCCCATTCTCCTTCCAATAACCAGAAGCGTACCGATCCTTTTGCCTTTGGCTCGCGCTATCTCGAGGAAGGCGACGACATCTTCGAATTCAACGCCTGGGATCACGTCACCGTCGACCCTTCGTACAACGCTTTTATCGAACAGCAATACGAGAAGCAGCGTGCCGAACCCGTGTCCGAGAAGGACCGTGAGCGCTATAATGCACAGCCGGAGAAATTCTGGAACTTGTTCTACAAGAACAATCGAGCCAACTTTTTCAAGAATCGGAAATGGCTCGCCCAGGAGTTTCCAATACTGGACCAGGTTACAAAGGAGGATTCTCCGCCGGCGAAGATACTGGAGGTTGGGGCTGGTGCCGGGAACAGCGCGTTTCCCATCTTAGCCAAGAACAAGAACGCCGGGTTGAAAATCCATGCATGCGATTTCTCGAAGAAGGCAGTCGAGGTCATTCGAGCGAACGAAGCCTACGATGAGAGGTTCATCCAAGCCGATGTATGGGATGTCGCAGCATCTCCCGACAGCGAAAACGCTGGATTGCCGCCCGGCGTCGAAGAGGGCAGCGTAGATGTCGTGCTTATGATCTTCATTTTCTCAGCGCTGAGTCCGAAACAGTGGGATCAGGCTGTCAAGAATATCTGGAGGGTGCTGAAGCCGGGAGGGCAAGTGTTATTCCGAGACTACGGCAGGGGGGATCTGGCGCAGGTGCGGTTCAAGAAGGGAAGGTGGATGGCGGAGAACTTCTATGTCAGGGGTGATGGGACAAGAGTCTATTTCTTCGAGAAGGAAGAATTGGAGAACATCTGGGGCGGGGAGCGAGACAAGCATGGAAGGATCATCACCGGTAAGAAAAGTGAGGGGGACGCACTACTCGAAGACAAACTCGGGAAGCTTGAGCTTCAAGACGGTGGCGATGACCCTGATGATCAGGAAGCCACGAATGCGACGGAAGACGGGAAACTGGACGCTACACCATCATTCGAAGTCGTCCACATGGGTGTTGACAGGCGCATGTTGGTGAATCGCCAGCGGAGACTTAAGATGTATCGTTGCTGGATGCAGGCGGTGTTCCGAAAGGCTGGTGATCAGAGTGAGATCGCCACGAGTACACTGCGAGAGGATAAGGCAGTGGAAGAGAAGGCAGAGTGGGGGGAAAAGCTTGATTAGAGCTCTGTAAGATACCCATGGATAGTAAAACTTCACAACTGATCAACCCGCCTGGACCAGAACAGGAGACAATTTACGGTTTACTACCGTCGTTCCTCCAGCACAAGACTCCAGAAGCCCGAATGATGGGAGATTGTCCAACACTCTTGCATAACCACCGTGAAAAGTCGGAGAATAACAGAGATGGTATCAAAGTCTCTCGATCCTGGGACTAATAAACCCGCAAATGGACCCACTTCGACTAGTCTCACAAAGGCAGGCGGATAACCAGAGGAACGCCGTGGGAAGAAGAGCGACAATGCTTCAGGTCAGCCAAATCTTGAATCCTGGAACCATGGCTTAACCTGCTACGGGGGACGCCCTTCTGCACGGCGAGCCAGAAGAATACAGCGCATCTCTGGCGTAGCAACGACAAATGTCCAGCGTTCTTCTTCATACCGAGCTTGTCTTCGCTATCTCAGCTTTAAGATAGATAACCCCACCACCACCATGCGGATCTACACCCCCGCATCCCTTCCCAGTAACCGGTCAGCAAACAAAACCCCAACACCACCCCGATGATGCAATTCCGCAAGCCATACTCGTGCTCTGTTCCTGCATCCATATCGGCAACTCTGGAGTTGCCAAATCAGGTCGCGCGTTACACGAGTTGCACGCGGGAACCGTCAATCCCAACGGGAACCCTGGTCGACGGGCTCGCATCCAGCCAGAGGGAACGCTCGTGCAGCAGGGAAATATAATAAAATAAAATCATGAGTCCGCTCCCGGACTTTCTCTCCCAGATTCCTCGACAGCATTTGCCCTCTCCAGCGACCATGCTTGCCTCGGCGTCTCGATACCTCACCAGTCTTTTGACGCTGCAAGTCGCGGTCACGTTTGGTAGCCCGATTGAGAAGCCATGTCCAGGGTATCCGCATTCGCCGCCACGGCCGAAAGAGGCGGGACATTTGGGCGCTGTGGCTTCGGAGAGCGATATTTGTAGTCGTGTAGGCACGAGTTTGCTGGAGTTGGGGGGGAATGCTGCGGATGCTATGGTTGGTACGGTGGCTTGCGTTGGGGTTGTGGGCATGTATCACTCGGGTGAGTGAGGAAGTCATCTTCTTCTTACCAGAATTCTTTTGCTCTGCGCATTTTGTCGCGTGATTGATCTCCTTGTTTCTGCGTCGAGTAAGCGGATCCCATGAACGGGCCACAGCACTTCGAAAAGTTCCATTCGCAGAAAGCCGGACATGGCGGAATCACGCTCTCATTAATCCTCCACAGGTATCGGCGGCGGGGGCTTCATGCTCGTCCGCTCTCCCAACGGGACATATGAGTTCATCGACTTCCGCGAAACAGCCCCCGCAGCGGCATTCGAGGATATGTACAAGAACAATGAGCAAGCATCCATCACCGGCGGTCTTGCATCCGGAGTCCCTGGCGAACTCCGCGGCCTCGAATACCTCCATTCCCGTTACGGGAAACTACCCTGGTACACTGTGCTTTCTCCAGCTGTCAAAATTGCACGTCAAGGTTGGAGGGTCAACGAGGATCTTGTCAAGTACATCAAACAAGCCACGAACAACGTCCCCGAGACGAATGAAACGCACTTCCTTGTTCACGATCCGGAATGGGCAAAGGACTTTGCGCCCCATGGAACGCTGCTGAAGCTCAATGAAACGATTACGAGGAAGAGATATGCAGAGACGCTAGACACGATTGCACGTGAAGGAGCTGATGCATTCTACGAGGGCCCAATTGCTGAGGCGACTATCAAGGCTTTGCAGGCGAATAACGGAACCATGACTCTGGAAGACTTGAAGAACTACACAGTGGCCATCCGGAAGCCTTCGACGATCAAGTACCGAGACTACAAGCTCACCAGCTGTAGTGCACCCAGCGGAGGGAATGTGGCTCTGGCAGCGTTGAAGATCATGGAAGGGTACTCCGGGGTGGGAGATCCGGAGCAGATCAACATTACGACACATCGACTCGACGAAGCAATGAGATTTGCCTACGGCCAGCGTACTCAGCTCGGAGATCCACTTTTCCTCGAGGGCATTGACAAATTCCAGAACCAGATGATCTCGGAGGAGACAGCGAAAGAGATCAGAAGGAAGATCAGCGACACGGCCACTTTCGACGTGAGCTACTACGACCCTGAGGGCCTGGAGAGTCTCGATACCCCCGGAACGAGCCATGTGGTCACAGCGGATTATACCGGTCTGGCGATCTCGCTGACTACAACGGTCAATCTCCTGTTCGGGAGCAAGCTCATAGTCCCTGAGACGGGTATTATCATGAACAACGAGATGAATGTGAGTAGGCCATGTCCTTGAAAGATCTGTCAAGACTGACAGAATGCACAGGACTTCAGCATCCCAAACACAACCAACGCCTTCGGTTACATCCCCAGTCCCGCCAACTTCATCCGCCCCGGAAAACGCCCCCTCAGCTCCATCTCCCCGGTCATAGTCGAGCACCCCACGCGCTCCAACCGCACCCTCCTCAACACCTTCTACGTCGCCATCGGCGCCGCTGGCGGTTCCCGCATCATCACCTCCACAATCCAAAACCTCCTGCACATTCTCGACGGCCATCTCACCGTGCCGGAAGCGCTGGCCAAGCCGAGAATCCACGACCAGTTGGTTCCGGCGCAGGTGAGCTTCGAATACGGATTTGACAATGGGACGACTGCCTTTTTGAAGGAGCTGGGGAGTAATGTTACGTGGGTTGCGCCGGGCCAGAGTACGGCGCAGGGGCTGAGAAGGTTGAGGAATGGGACGTTTGAGGCAGCAGGGGAGCCGAGGCAGAAGAATAGTGGTGGGTTTGTGGTGTAGAGTGTGAGAGAGGGCGAAGTTTGACGAAAATGGCTACGGTGATTTCCAGGTCAGGGATATCAAATATACCAGTCCTGGCTTGTAAGGGATAGTAATATCAACAGCTTTACAAAGCATGAACGACTTCTTCACCATGCTGAGAAGACACTTCTACACCCCAAAGCCCAAATAAACAAAGGATAGTAACTATGTGGACTTCGTGCAAATCAAGTGTAGGGCGATGTAGCTATAGCTTGATAGCTAGCGCGATTCGCATGCTATGTTTGCCAGGCACACTTATGGATAATACAATTTTCATGCGTGCTGTTATCCCATAATCAGGAAGAAGCGCCAACAACTTGATTATTTCTCTGGCAAGCATCTCCAAGGTTATTGCGACGGACTTTGGCTCCTTCTCCGGTTCTACCTGCCCTACTCGAGGCAAAGCAGAGTGCCAAGCCCGCTTCCTTCACTTTCCCGAAAAGGATTAATAGATTCTGCCGTCTTACAACCTCCAGGGCTTGGAAGTACTATCAATCCAAGCCTCCCCCCAAACAAGGCTGAACATAGCATTCCTCCCAACATTCGCGTGGTACCAAAAATGGCCAGCAAAACAGATTCTTTTGCTACTTTCCTCATCATCGGCCGTGAGCGTTTCCCCTCCCAATAGCTCTTCTAGCTTCACACACTAACACGAATCCACCACAGCCACATGCTTCTTCCTAGGCATCCTCTTCTCCTCCTTCCCCTACGACTACAACGTCCTCTGGACCACGCCGCCTAACCGGGACATCTACTTCAACATTCTCGAAGACCACATCAAATTCCTGTACGCATCACCGCCCATCATCTCGCGCATCCTGCACATCGCAATCGGTACCGGCCTGGTGGGCTTCCTGACGAAATTGTACCGCGCAACCGAGGCTAATTACCTGTTCGATGGCGCGTCGCTGGTGCTGTACTTCGCTGGCATCCTCGTCTACCTCACCAATATCGTGAAGGGGTTCCGTGTTGTGACGGCGGGCATCTATGGCGCGGTTCCGGAGGATCAACTCGCGGAAGGGGAGGAAAACGACTACATCAGCCGTGAAGATACGCTGAGGGTGTTCGCGGCTAGTAACACGATCTTGGCGCTTGTGCTGGTGGGCGTTTTGGTGTTGCAGGCCGGGCAATGGTATGCGCTGAGGAAGGAGGAGAGGGAGATGGAGGAAATGGATCGAATGGCGGAGGAGAAGAGGACCGGGAAGAAGAGGCAATAGCGGATTACTTTCTGTGTACTGGGTGTACCGCTTTTGGGTTTGGGGTCTGGAATGGATAGGAAAAGGTGGGCTAGCGTTAGGTATGTATTGTTTGCTTATTGCTCTGTGCATGAGGTTTGGGTCATGCTCTTTTATAGGATGGTATGAGCTTCACAGGGTGGTTTCATCTTGAGGCTTGGCTTGATGATCTGTGATTCAGTTAGGGTTTCGCGTCCTGACTGGAGAACTTCCTCTTCCTGTCTTCACTTCCTTTACTCTTTTCAATATGTACTTTTGTTCGCCGGAACAGATTCATTCATCCCACCATGCCCTTTTCCCATGGCGGCAATGGACTTTGAGAGATGGTTTCATTTTTGAAGTTTTGCTTGGTGGGAAGTGATTCATATATACTCTCTTGGCCTGATTGCAAAGCTTCTTACCACGTCTCGCTTCTTTCTGCCCGGAAATTCGCACTTTCCTCCTCCGAAACGAAGTCTATGTACGCCATCATGCCCTTTACTACGGCGGGAATCAGTTTCAGGAGGTAGTTCATTTCCCGAAGTTCTGCTTGGTAGTAAGTGATTCGTATCTAGTTTTTCTTATTGATTGTAAAGCTCTCTTCTGTGTCTCACTTATTTTTTCTCTTCAATTCGCATATTCGTCACTGGGAAAAGATTCTATCTATTCCACCCTGTACCAGGCGGATATGGCTGCATGACACAGCGGTGCAGCCTATTATCCCAAGCGTAAAGAGAAGACGAAATGCTGCACGCGGAGAGTGCTTCATAACCAAACCCGTATTCATCATGACGTATATCGGAGGTACAATACACAGCTAGGTGAATCTCTGGAGACAGTTCGGCGCGTTTGTTAAACCTGCCTTCACATTTGGGTCCATTGGAGGAGAGGTACGCCCGGGCCTCCAGCAACGACTTATAAGGCCTTCCCCTCCCAACAAACGCCTTCCCCTCCTTCCGCAACCACCACCGTTACTTCGTAAGTTTCCTTATTGTTGCTGCGCGTTGCTCACTGCTTTTAACGCGGAATAGTTTTTCGAATCCATAATCAATCTCTATCAGTAGGTACCTCTCCACTCCAAGTCGCCTACAGCTAACCGGAGCATAGCCATGAGCATCCTCTTCGCCACCAAGGTGGTAGTGGGGCCTCACGGCCTCACAATGGGCAGCCTCAAGGCTCCCATGGGCGAGGGATCTCGCCGTGAGACCGAGAAGGTGCTCCTTTCGGAGCCCGGGACTGGCCTCGAGGATGAGGCTCAAGAGGCGCTCAGCGCCATGGAGAACCGCCTCCGCGCCGCCCTCTTTGGCTGCGGTGCCGACTCCCCCACCCCCCTCCGTGTAAGTAGGCCTTCTCTCCGGTGATATCCGAGGCTGCCACCCTCGTCTATCTTTCACAAAGACGTCAATGCATTGCTCAACCATACTGAACAGCAGCACCAGCCGAGGCCAATTGAGCTGGACGCCGACGTCGTCGCAATTGAGCTGGCAAAACAAGGCTTCGACTTCGATTACGCGCGCACTTGGGCTGCCGAAAGGATCCACATGCTTTGGGCGGACTTCACTGCCGAATATCAGGCCAAGTGGGAGGCAGAGAAAGCCGCATACGTCGCCAAGTGTGAAGAAGAGCTCAAGAAGGCCATGTCAGTGACGGTGGAGCAGTACAAGAGACGCAGAATCATTGTTACGAATATCGCGGCTGATGCCGATTGGGAGGACGTGAGGCGTGCGTTCGAACCGTACGGATTGTAAGTACTTGCTTCATCTCTCTGTCATGGGCATGACTGATTGCATCACTTCTAGTTGCACTGTTCAAATGAAGGAAGCTCGCCACCCGAAGAATGGCACTCAGGCCGCCTCGATCCAGTTCGAAAGCGAGGAATTGGCGCTCCACATCGCTCAGAATGCCCGCCTGTATATCTTCGGTTTGGGTATCCGCATGTACTATGCTCCCGACGTCGACTACACTCGCGACATCTTCGATCTGCCAGCTTGAATGATCACTAGCTTTATGGGCTTATAGATATCGGGACGCTCCAAGGCAGGCTGGGCGTGTCAGAATGGGACTATGCAGGAAATTGCAAGATCTGCTGAAGAGGGAGGTTAACGAGGTTGAGTGGGCGTTTGGCCGTATTCCGCTGGCGAGGTCCTGGCAAGGAATATCTTCGTTGTTTGGGTCAGGACACTGGATAGTCGTCCATCTTATAGCAGCTGTTTCAATGCTATACTCTGCTCTCGTGCGTTTCTATGGTGTTTGCACCTTCATAAAGTCTGCTGATCAACAGCATGCATGTGAAGTTGGGTGAGGCCCGTGCGCAAAGGCCCATGTCTTCGAGGGAGCAATGTGGCAGAACCCGAGAAAGGAAGCTTGCCCTTTATTGCATCCACCCTGCAGAATTGCGTATTGATACTTCAGTACCGACGAATTCCGATCAGCCGGCTACCCGTTCATTCTGTGCTCACCTTCCATCTGTTGGGCTTCCCGTGCGGACATCGGAGGTGGCCGTTATCACCTGCCAGCGACCATTTGCCATCCACCCCACTTTCGCAAGCTAAGTCTACGATTGCGAATGGAACCCTTACCTGTTCAAGTCTTTTGGATCTTGATGGACTGTGGCTAGGAGTCTTGACAGATGGATACACGCGGTGCTAGAATGAAGGAGCATGAGTGCGGAGAATACCACCAAGCGGTCGAGGAGTTTCGCCTCCGCGAACATCCTATGCTGCGTGGTATGCCGCAAACCGGTTTTTGAGAACCTCAAATCTGATAGAAGACGCAGGCACGACGTATCTCGACCATGCCGGGACCACTCTGTATGCTAAATCGGCCATCGAACGCTTCTCAGCGGATATGCTATCCAACCTGTACGGAAATCCACATTCAGCATCCAGTTCCTCCCAGTTGACTACTCGCCGTATCGAAGATGTGAGACTGAGGCTCCTCGGAATGTTCAAGGCGGATCCGGAAGAGTTCGACGTTATATTCGTTGCAAATGCCACTGCGGGAATCAAGCTGGTCATGGAAGCTTTCAGGGACAATGGGGACGGGTTTTGGTATGGATACCACATGGACTCACATACCAGTCTTATTGGCGTACGGGAATCAGCCAAAGACTCCCGATGTTTTACCTCTGACCAGGACGTGGAAGACTGGATTAAGGAGCCTGGCGCTGAAGCACTTCCAGGGCTCTTCGCCTACCCAGCTCAGTCAAACATGAATGGGCGACGGCTGCCGCTGGCCTGGACGCGCCGCATACGCACGAGCAAGGGCAGAGCTGTATACACGCTATTGGATGCCGCAGCTCTCGTTTCCACCTCGCCGCTGGACCTAAGTGACGTGGACGCTGCGCCCGACTTCACGGTTCTGAGTCTGTACAAGATGTTCGGTTTCCCGGATTTGGGCGCTTTGATTGTGCGGAAAGAGGCGGGGACTGTTTTTGGCAGACGCCGCTATTTTGGGGGAGGCACGGTCGAGATGGTGGTGTGCGTGCAGGAACAGTGGCATGCTAAGAAGTCGGATTCGTTGCATGAGAAGTTGGAGGATGGGACGTTGCCTATTCATAGCATAATGGCTTTGGATGCGGCTATGTCCGTTCATGAGGAGCTGTATGGTTCGCTGGAACGCGTGTCGCGACATACGACGCTCCTAGTGGCGAAGCTCTACGAAGGCCTCACGTCTTTGCGTCATGGGAATGGCGAGGCCGTCTGTCAGGTATACAAGGGCAGTACATCGACGTACGGCGATGCGAATAGCCAGGGTCCCATTGTGGCATTCAACCTCAGGAACCCCCTTGGCGGCTGGGTCAGCAACGCAGAAGTCGAGAAGCTTGCCGCCGTGAAGAGTTTCCAGCTGCGGACCGGCGGGCTCTGCAACCCAGGCGGCGTTGCGTCGTCTCTTGGGTTGGCGCCATGGGAGATGAGAGACAATTTCTCCGCAGGACAGCGGTGCGGCAACGAAAACGACACCATCCGAGGCAAACCAACCGGGATGATTCGAGTCAGCCTCGGGGCGATGAGTGTTCTAGAGGATGTGGTCTCATTTGTCGACTTTGTGCGCGAGTTCTTCGTGCAAGGAAGCAAATCCGAGGCAGTGTTGCCAGTAGCGGCACTGAGGGTAGAGCCACCAACACCGAGTAACCTGCACGTGGAAAGCTTGACGATATATCCAGTCAAGAGCTGTGCAGGATGGAGCGTACCCCGCGGAGTGGCATGGGAAGTGCGGCGTGAGGGCCTTGCCTGGGACCGCGAATGGTGCCTCGTTCACCAGGGCACTGGTGCGGCTCTGAGCCAGAAGCGCTATCCGAAGATGGCTCTTATCCGGCCAAGTATCGACTTGGAGGCGGGACTCTTGCGCGTGGAGCTGGCGCCACCTCTGAGAAGGCTTGTTGATGAGCACGAGGTCACCATTCCGCTCTCCGCCGACCCGCGTATGTTTTCTGACGTGTCGACGTACACGGATTCACATGCCAAGGTCTGCGGCGATGCCATCAGAGCAAAGAAGTACAAGTCAGACAAGATAGCAGCATTCTTCAGTCAAGCTCTCGGGGTGGCCTGTCATCTCGCCCGGTTTCCTGCCCTGAGTAACAGGAACAGCTCAGAAACATCGTCCAGGCACACTAAAGCGCATCTACAGAAGCCTGAAAAGGAACCGAATATGCACATACCCGGCGCCTTTCCCGATTCCACACCGCAAGCGCTGGGAGCAAGGGTTCCAATGCCCATACTACTGTCGAATGAGAGCCCGATCCTTACGATATCGCGGTCCAGCCTCAACCGTCTGAACGAGCTAATTAAAGCAGAGGGCGGCAAAGCGGCGCAAGCTGACGTCTTCCGAGCGAACATTGTGGTTGCGGAGAATTTGGAGTCTCTGTCTGGGGTGGAGCAGCCGTACGCAGAAGATCACTGGCGGCACCTAAAGATTGGAGAGCAGTACTTTGATATTCTGGGCCCTTGCCGCCGCTGCCAGATGGTATGTGTGGACCAGCAGACGGCAGAGAGGAACCAGGAGCCATTCGTGACGCTCTCGAAAACGCGCCGGTTCGATGGGCGAGTCTACTTTGGCGAACATACATGTCACATTGCTATGGACGGCGCAGTGAGCCCCGCGGCTCAGTATCCTACCATTGCTGTCGGGGATGCAGTGCACCCGTTCCTGGATGATGAGGTTGAGCACGACTCGCGATTGTGGGCTCTCGTGGGCTGAAACGGCGGGAGCGTCTATGCAAGCCGGTCTCGGGTTGTTTTTCTATCTCGCATTCCATTCGGGCTTCTAAACATAGCTGTTGGACGGCGCGCGGGGGGTTTCTTCTGGTCGTCTACAAGATCCCGTCACCGCATCACACATGGCAGATGTTGTGCAGCAGGCGCTTCTCTGGGTCCTATGGAGGGACAAATATAGCAGAGCCACGCGACGACGAGGGTATGGGCAGGGTAGGACGAGACCTCATCGGACCCAGAGGGGTTGACGATGCAGTGGATGGGGGAGTGCGGAGGTAAGCGCTGGTCAGATTTGGTATCATGAGGAGGGCCCAGGAGACCTGTTTGACCTGTGAGGAGCAAGTTAGCTGGCCGGTTTCAAACGACCCTTCCTCTGTCTCGGCGGGGGCCAGGCGCTGGGTCATGGCAGGCGCGCGCAGTGAGGAGGAGCAAACGCTAGGGGGAGCGGTGTTGGACTGTTGGCCAAACGGGTGGTTGCTGGATGGGAGATGTGTGGCGGGCAACTCGCGCGAGTATCTGGTCGAAGTTCGAAAATAGAGACGACGGGTTCGGCCAGCGGTTGTGTCGACATAAAGGGAAGCAAAAGGATGCGCAGGCTTCGAGGTTCTTCAGTCCGGTTTCCATTCACTGTACATACAGATATCCTTCGGAGTACTCTGGCAGTATTCCCCAGACGGCTCTTCGTTTCCTTTCAACCCTCACGACCCTGTCCGCAGTCCACCCACCCGGTCCCGCCGGTCAGGACTCATCAGCTGTCTCTCCAGCTCCTGTGTCTCACCGTCCCGTCTAGGAGGCTATCCGTATTGGCCGCCCTCTCTTGTCGCAGCCTCCCGCAAGGCCCGCATCCGCATCCTTCGCAGCCAGCTCTTGGGCCAAAACCCCCTTCCAATCAGGAGGCCATTCAGCACTCGGCGCCAGCACAGCTGCACGGCCTCAGCGCAAATCACACGCACGTTTCACGGCCTGCGCACAGTCTGCCACTCGTCGGCGCTTCGAAGGGGCGCTTCTGCGACGTTTGATTTGCCGTGTCGCATCCCTGGTCGGGCGGTTGTTTTGCATCACTCACAGGACCCCCCCGTTCGCTCCGTTTCGTTCACGGTTCACGGTTCACCCTCGCTCAGCCCCGCGTCCAGTCGCCCTCCCTTAAGCGCCAGCGTTTATTATTAGAAGGAAGAAACAAGGTCGACCACCACCACGCCCACGGCCTCCTACCAACGAGACAACCTGCCGTGCCCGCAATAATAAAAGTCGTCGCCCACCCCGGCGGCCCCAAGTTGTGTCTTTGCTTGCTGCCGCCTGGGTTCCTTTTTGAACCCGACATAGACACCTCTTCTGGACAGTGGCACAGCTCGACCACCTCCTCATTCACTTGGGGATACCTACGTCACCACGAGTCGGAAACGTCTACAGTCTCTCGTTGTTAGTACACACCGGCATCTCTTGCTCTCCGCCATGGCCGCTTCTACCGACTCCAAGCCGGCCTTGTCCACTCTCAAGACGCCGCTGTCTGCAACTTATCCCTCCGAGCTGCGATCTCCCATGGTTCACTCTGCCTCAACCCCAACCTTCATCAAGCGCGAGGAGTCGCTGAAGACGCCAATCACCCCGCCCAGCGCCTACCTGGACTTCCTCAAGACTTTGTCTCCGGCCATCATGAGCCCCCTCCCTTCCAGTGCCAGCACCAGGTTCGTCTTCGAAGGCAACCGTCCCACCTCCATCCCGTCGGCCTCTTCCTCCTCCACCTCGGCCAGCTCCAGCTCCTTCACCTCCACCTCCGGACCCGCAGACAAGACCACATCACGCGCATCCTCAAGGTCAAGCAGCTGCTGCAACTGCGACAAGGAGAAGTCGTGTCAACAGAAAGACTCCCAACACCAACATCAGCATTGCCACCAACAACCGCCACAACAAAAGCAACAACAGCTGCAACAACAACAGCAACCCGAACCCCCCATGTCGGCGCCCCCAACCAAACTCCACACCGTCACCATCCCGCCCCCGTCCCCTTTCACCCGTCCCCAATCCGCACGCACCCCGCGCCTCTACATCCCGCAGTCCCCCTACTCACCCTCGACCGTGCGCTCGCCTGGCGTGCGCTCACCCGGCAGCGCGCACAGCATCACGTCGCCTTATTCCGCTGCGAGCCCCAAGCCATGGGACTTGGAGGGCAAGAAGACAGGACGGACGAGGCGCGTGAGTGTACGTGAGGTGGTTACGAGGACGGTCACGTATAGCCATAGCGCGACGAGCACACCCATCGAGGGACGGTTTGCGCCGCCCCAGATCGACCCGGCACCGAGGGGGAAGAGGAGGAGGGTTGAGTGAGGCAAGTGCATAGTGATCAAAAACGTCGTCGTACGAGAATTCACGTTTACCTGCACTTAATAATGCCTTCGGGTCCAGGCGATCCGATCTACTGTCGCTCGCTACTCGCTATCCACAGACTTAGTACCCTTCTTCCTCTCTATGGGTTCACGCATCCTCTATTTTACATTACCCTATCCACTTTTTCCTATGTTCTTTTTAGAGGACACGACGGCATGTTGATGCTCTGCTTTACTCACGCTCCCGAGCAAGCGTATGATGAGTTGGATACCACCTCTTTTTTCCGGTTCCTGTACGGTGTTGGGCGCGGAAAATAACTTGGTTGCGGATTCGATGGGAACACCATGGATGGGTTGAGGAGTTGGAATCTCTGTTTTGGGCATGGAAATCATTCCTGGATCTTTGGCAATGGCGCCCTTGCACTTGTTTTGTTCGTTGGTTACGCCTTGGGGTGGATTTGGGGAGGTGAGAGTATCCGGGCGTGTCGAGTACTGGCGGGATTCTGGAGGACACAGTAGACAGGAGAAGAGGATTCATTCATCGACCCTTTATTCATATATTGGGTTCGCATACAATGCCATATCCTACCCTATACCTTTTACCTGCCCCTGGAAGCATCTTTCTTCCTTCACTAGTGACGTGATGCATCAGATGTGTGATGCTGGAAGGTCTTTCCCTGCCTAGAAAGAGGATACACGATGAGATTATAAAGACAAATGTTTAAGAATTGAATAAACGAGGCAAGGGGTATATACACACGTCATAAGTTACACCATCTTGTACAAGAGGAGCGTGGCACAAATAATATCACAGTCTCCGTGCCCATAGCCAACGCCTGCTAATGCCTATGCATGTACCCGTCAAAAGAAATGTAAGAGGAAACCCTGTGTGCGTATGAACGTGAACTTTCCTACAACTTGACCTGGAACCGCGGATTCGTCCGGATCCTCTCCCCATACATGCGGAACAGGACGGGCACCGGAATCAACGCCAACGCAATGAAGCCCAGTAGACTGTTCCCCCAGCCCAGCCCCAGCGAATCGTACATGCTGAGTCCGCAGAGAGGCAGCACGGCTCCAAACACACTCCTCAGGACCGTATTCGCGGCAATGGCGCTCGCCGCGTGGATCGTAAAGGCATCGACGAGATACGTCTGGATCGTCATCATGCTCGTCAGGTTGCCCAGGCCGACAAAGGCCGTCCCGATGATGGGCACGATCCAGTGCACCTTGTAGTAGGCGGTCCAGCCGTAGATGAAGATGCCAATCGGTAATGCGACGCCGCCGGGCAGGGTGAGGATGATGGGGAGACGGTGTTCGGGCTTGACTTGGCCTTTGGCGATCTTCTTCTGGATGATCTTGTCCGAGAGGATGCCCAGGACCACCATGCCGGCGAGCATGCCGATGCCCGAGCCGAGGAAGGAGAGGCCGACCATGGACGAGGAGAAGCGGTATTGCTTCTGGAAGACAAAGGTGATGGTGGTGAAGAGGAGGTAGAGGACGCCGTAGTTGACGGCGACGTAGAGGGACATGAGGAGCACGATGGGGGAGAAGAAGAGCATCTTCATGGGGCGGACGATGGCGCGGATGAAGACTTCGCGGGGAGGAATGTCGAGCGCCATTTTGGAGCGCAGGTGGGGGTTGCCCGTTTCCTTTCGGAGGCGAGCGGCCTTGCGTTCGAGCAGGGTGGGAGCATAGGTCTCGCGGCTGAAGGTGAGGAGGAGGAGGGAGAAGGCGCCGGAGCAGATGGCCAGCACGTAGAAGACCCAACGCCAGCCTTTTGCGTCGACGAGAAAGCCTGCGGCTACGGGACCGACGACGGGTCCGATGAGCGGTCCCATGCCCCAGATGGCCATTGCACCCGCACGCTTCTCGCGGGGGAACATGTCTGCTATGGTGCCGCCACCAAGGGTCAAGGGGGCGGCGCCCGAGCAACCTGCAAGAAAGCGGAAGGCCGTCAGCATGCCCATGCTTGTGCTCAAGCCACAGGCAAGGGTGAAGAGGACAAAGACGACGTTGCAAATGTTGTAGATCCAGAAGCGGCCGTAGAGTTCGGAGAGTGGAGCGATGATTAGGGGCCCTATAGCGAAGCCCAGGACGTAGATGGAGACGACCCAGGAGGCCATGAGGTTCGAGGTTTCATGGAAGGCAGCCATGACATGTGGGACGCCGGGTGCGAAAAAGGATGATCCAAGAGGAGTGACGAGCGTGACAGCAGCCAGGGCAGCGATCATGCTCCACTTCTTCCTCTCGGGCCAGTTTTGCGGATTCTCTGGGTCATCGGGGCCATCCCAGTCGACGATGTTTGGATCTATCTCTTCTGGTACCTCGCCCTCTCCAGCATGTGCATCTCCATTCAAGGTCCGCTCGTCGCTGTTCGTCGAGCCGACTTTGCTTGGGACGCCCTTCTCCAGATCAACATCCTGGGCCACAGAGGTGTGAGCATTAGGGTCCGTGAAGTCGACATCATGTCCTTGTTCGTATGCTTCGCGCGCCTTCTCGTCCAAGTCCAAGTCCTCGCGCGGGGGGTTGGAGAAAGTGCCCGGAGTTGCCATGGTGAGGTGGTGGATCACTGTCGAGTCGGGTGATTAGCACACTGCTGTTGATTTTGCGATTCCATGTCTCCTCTCATCTGGTAGGATAGGGTGTCACTCACCAGAAGGCTCTGGTAGTCAAAGTTCCGTGGTAGCCTTTGACCTCGGCAGCTCAATCCTCTCTCTTCAACGTGCCTCTCCAATAACTCCTTCAAAGTTGGTTACAGCTGCCGAAGAAGGTTCAAAAAGAACTGTACACTGTAGAAACCGAAGACGAACAAAATTTTCCCCATATTCCCCTCCTCTTCCGGGGCCCCGGGCTGTTATATATCCTCGTCCTACCCTAGGCTTCTGGCTTCATCCTTCTGTTGGACTCGGCAATCCGGCAGCCTTGCCCAGGCCCGGCTCTGGCCAAAACGAGGCTGGACTTGACTCGAAAAGCTTCGACGTTGGCAACAACCCTGGCGACAAGGTGCGGATGCGCTAGTGCCCGAGCTCGCGTTCGCGTTGCTGGCCTGCTGATTGGACACGGATGCAATCCTTCTTGACCATTTCGGAGCTAGCGCGCGGAGGGTCGGGAATAGGCGCTGGAGGATCGGAGCGCGGCATCAATTGTTCCAGGTGGTACGGAGTAGAGATGTTGAGACTTTGTGGTAGGATTGCGGACAAGAATGTGCGGATGACCGGTCGTTGGGCGTCAAGGGCGTGCAGCGCGGCCGAAACTTCTGGATACTGTAGTACAGCACCGTCTGAGTACGTCTGTGTCCGAGATAAATGTGACGACGCTGCTTGTATATGCATATACATCAGTGCTGGAGACAACCGAATAATGGCTTCCATGGGATACTGACCCTCAATCCCGTCCTCGACCTTCACCCATCAAGGCACTCCTTCACCCACTTCAAGATCTCATCAAACCCCCTCGCCCATACCACGCTCCATTCTCCGCACTTTTCCCACTCCGTGATATGCGGACACTCAATGCTCAATCTCTCAAAACTGTCCTTTAGCGTAGCCTGAGACGACCCTAGTGGGTCGTCGCGTATGCAGATGCCCAAGTCTGCCGCCAGGAGAGACTCGAAATCCGTCCAGCTGTCTCCAATGTATACAACCGGGATGGGCCGCATGGTATACGGGTTGGACAACCGCAGATTCTGCAGATACGCAAGTTTGTCTGCGCTGGACAAGAGCTGATGAGACGAGTCCTGCGTGGCGCTGTTCGAAAAGACCAGTTCGTTCGCGTAGATGGATACGAAGGGCAACTGGTCCAACAAGTCGCACTTTGTCCGGTAGTCGGGGTACTTGGTGTATAACGCCCGTAGCTCCGCATGGCGACAGAGCCCCCACTTCTGCTCAACCTTGCTGGGAACGTCATGATCACCGCGAAGCGGTGCAGGGTTGAAGTCTGCCGTCCGACATACGCTCTCGTCCGTACCCGCCACGCTCCCTTGAAGCCCGGCGTCGTCAAGTGTGGCCTTCAGACAGCCCAAGATGAAGTATTGGCTCCAGTTCGCACTGAGGACGTCGATTGCATCCAGATCGTACCCGTGTCTCTCGATACGCTTGCGGATATGCCTCAAGCACTCAGACGCTCCCGTCCGGATTCGCACCTCTCCACCCTTCACACACTCACTGCCCCCCTTTTCCATGATCGACGTGTTCAGGTCCTTGAACAAGCCAGCCTGTATCACCCGGTCCAAGCTACGTCGTTCAACGGCTTTCAGCTTCTCGAGCAGTGAGCGCTCTGCCACGACTGTAGAAGGGAGCGTGCCGTTCGGAAAAAGAGCCTTCAAGGTCGAGGCATGATCGGAGAGGTAGGCCGAGGTAATGCGCCTCCAGGCTTCAAGGACTGCGGTTTCGCTTTTTGCTCGGGATGCCACATGGACGAGTGCGTCCAAGGTGTCGCGAGTGGTCAGGGTGCCATCCCAATCCACAATCCAGTGGATAGCGTGTGCGGGATCAATGCGTGGCTTGGGCATTGGAATAGCTGCAAAATGTCGGGTCCATTGCGGACGCATTCGTAGGAAGAGGAAATCACATCTCCAACATAACAGCAGAAGTCAGTGTATAGGCGAAGAAGCTGGTCCTAGTTCCCCCGAAGCGCACAAGCTTCGTTCCGCCGGTCCTCAGTCATCAGTCGTGCTCTGATTGGTCGCAGGCTACACCTCGGTCAATGCCGTCTTGTTGCTCTTCTTGTGACGGCACCGCTTTTGCAACCTCGCCATCGCCGTTCCCAAATTTCCCGCACTCCTGCATCGCAACACAATGGCTTCCACGCGCGCCCTCGCTCGTCTGGCTACGAGGCGGACAGGTACGCCATCCCGGCTGGCCACAATTGGCAGTTGTGTGCGGAAGAAACAGACAGCTAACGCAACCCCCCCGCAGCCGTCGTCCGACCCGCCGTCTCCTCCTTCTCTCGCGGCTTAGCCTCCGTTACCGACACACACGCCCGCGAGCCCGTCTCCAAAGTCGCAGAGAAGATCGTGCCCGACCGGGCCGCCGAGGTGGTCCCGGAGTCGAAGACGTCGACGGTGCGGGAGCCCACACCCGGAAAGGATGCGAAGATCAAGACCTTCCACATCTACAGGTGGAATCCCGACGAGCCGAGCGCGAAGCCCCGAATGCAGACATACACGCTCGATCTCAACAAGACGGGGCCGATGATGTTGGATGCGCTGATTCGGATCAAGAACGAGGTGGATCCGACGCTGACCTTTAGGCGGAGTTGCCGTGAGGGCATCTGTGGAAGCTGTGCGATGAACATTGATGGCGTGAACACGCTGGCTTGTCTTTGTATGTGGCATTGGGCTTGAATTGATATGGAGAGAAGGGCGTAGCTGACGGCGGATGCAGGCCGCATCCCCACCGATACCAGCAAGGAGTCCCGCATCTATCCCCTCCCGCACATGTACGTCGTCAAGGATCTCGTACCGGACATGACGCTCTTCTACAAGCAATACCGCTCCATCAAGCCGTACCTCCAGCGCGAGACTCCCGCCCCAGACGTAAGTTTTAGTTCCTTGCCTCGCTCTCCTCAATTTAGCAATGGTGCTAACATGCCCCCCTAGGGCCGCGAATACCGCCAATCCAAAGCCGACCGCAAGAAGCTCGACGGCCTCTACGAATGCATCCTGTGCGCGTGCTGCAGCACCTCGTGCCCGTCGTACTGGTGGAACCAGGAGGAGTATCTCGGCCCCGCGGTGCTGCTCCAGTCGTACCGCTGGATCGCCGACTCGCGCGACGAGAAGAAGGCCGAGCGCCAGGATGCGCTCAACAACAGCATGAGCCTGTATCGGTGCCACACCATCATGAACTGCTCGAGGACGTGCCCCAAGGGGCTGAACCCTGGATTGGCCATTGCGGAGATTAAGAAGAGCATGGCTTTTGCGTAGGGGGGTTTTGACAAAAGATTGAAGAGCGGGCGACCCACCAAGCGAACGATTCCATTCGCTGTATGTACATGTTCCTATAGTGTGTGTCTTCTCTTTATTCGTCTGTTGGTGTTTTGCATCTCTGGCAGCTCCGGACCTGTTCCTCCTTTTGTACGAGTGAAAACAGACAGATATCAATCACCTAAAAAAAGGACAAGCAACCGTGCAGAGGAGCTATCCAATGTGCAGCCGGGCAGGGTGCTTGTGTTTGTGATTCACCTGTTGAAGGGGAGAGGGCAGTGGCGGCATGTGACGCATCAATTCTATCGATGGGCTCAAACATTTATGTATGTTGTCGCATCCAAGCACAGATTCAAAGGTTCCCAACAATTGCACAATGACCACCCTAGGATATCCAACAGATCTATTACTACCACACAGAACACCCTCTCAAAACTTCCATTGCCTTCCTTTCCTCCATCAATCTATCATCATCCGTCTAACAAGTCCGTCCAAACAATGGGCATCCGAGTCCAAACCAGCGAGCGTGGGGTGGTGTAGTAGAGCTGATTAGATAGCGTGGTATGGTATACAGCGACGCAATACACAGACGGTCAAGAAGCTAGTAGAAGTAATAAAAAAACCGAGGGCGCCCTGCTGTAACCGATTCGCCTTGTCCGGCTATCATCCTTTGCTCGGCAGCGCCCAAGGGTAGGGGTAGTAAAAAGGTAACATGATTCCAGCATTTACAGGGTGATCTCCTGCCGTTCTTCTCCACATCCTTTCCACCTCCGCCTCTTCGTCTACTTCTGTTGATCCAAGGTTCTGTTTCCACTGCGCGCTCGCCTTTCGGGATGATTTGGCGACCTCGAATCTTCGTCCGGCGGGAAGAGTCTTACTTAAACCTTGGCAGCTCTGCGCGCCGAAATCTGGGGAGCAATGTCAGCGGGAGAGGAGTAAACATTGCTCTCAAGTGCCGCCCTTACCTTTTTGTGAATGAAGAGGGCAATCAGGAGGATTGCAACAGCGCCGACAATGGCGAAGACGACGATAACACCGGGCTCCCGGGCAGCCCAGTTCTTGCGCTTCACCAGCTGGTGGACGGTAGCCTCGCTGCGCGCGATGAGAGACATGTCAAGGGCGGCCATTGATGCGGTAGGCGGTTGATCTGCGCCAATTGTCAGTCCGAAACGTTCTCAGGCTTCCTCTTTTATCTGGGAGACGGAGTGATCGAAAAAAAGGAGCATTGGATCTGAAACAAATGGAGCATTTTTCTTGGCGTCTTGGCCCCCATCTATGAGTCGGGGAATTGGCGACGTGCTTCTGGCGAGGATGGCGGATGCGATGGAGGTCGGGAAGAAGGGAGATGGTGCTCTGCGGATTTGAGAAGGACATGTGCTGGATACTTTTTACGACTGACACCGAATCCTCAGGTCCTTGGGGAACAATGGGGTTCCCGTGGCGAGATGAAGAATCTGGGAGCTAGAGCTGTTGATGGAAAGGCAGGCTTGTCAGCGCGATGGGCGCACACAAGGTCGGGCGCAGTGGAGATGTCGAGGGCGCGGAGGAAGAGCAGAAGGGACCATCAAAGAAGGGAGCGGCCAGGGGCGTCGGGCAGGACTTATTAGAGCGACTTGACGGTTGCGGGTCGGCGAGAATTTGGCAGGATGGGTTTGAGGCATTTTGTCTCGGATGCGAGCCTCGTGCTCTTGTGCCGCGCTGGACCGGGCGGACGGGTTGATCCGAGTGCAATTGGACGATGGAAAGCAAGGAAGATTGGCAAAAAAAGCTACATACCTGAAGCTAGGGAGCTGGGAGCTGCGAATCGAGGAGTGGAGAGATGGAGGAAGGGTGGATGGAAGAGGCAGGCCTGAGCGATGAGATGAGGGAGGGAAGAGCAAAAGAAGAAGTCGTGGGGTGGTTGGTCTACGGCCGAGGGAGCCGGGGCCTCTTTTTTGCGCACTCGCGCTTGGCCAATCTGGGATTAGCGGAATGGGCACCTGTGAAATGAGCCTGGAGGCCAACGACTGGTGGATGTGTTGATCAATGGAGGTCGGTGGGTCCCGTGATCCACAAGGGGGAGCAGCTTCAAATGTTTTCTCTTGGAGAAGGGATCGTCTAGCAATTCGCGAGGCAGCATGTACAAGTAGTCTACTACTATATGCATTATATATTCATTTACACCTGGATGGGTACCACACTGTAGCTGCGCAGTGGAAGCCCCCGCGTCGCACAAATCGGGTATTGTACCGATTGTTATTGTGGATTATTGTGTCATAGGCCCATGCATTATCAAAGACCTCGAAACAAGCTTTGATCTGGCCGTGCCAAGCTCACATGATCTTGGCAGCCTCGTTTGTGCTGTACTGTGCCTGTGCCTGCGCCGCTTTCGTCTTGTATCATTTTAGATACTAAGTAGTACTGCGGCCAGGACTCGGCACATAGTGGAAAAGGGCTCGCCATCCTACTCCGTACTGCCTTCAACCCCCACGATCCATGCTCTTTATCCATCGCCAGTACATGGTATATCCCAGGTACATCTTTCAAAATTGGACTCATCCTCAGTTCCTCCAGATCCTCACCTGCTTGTCCGCACCTCCACTGCCAACCCTCTCGCCATCCGGACTCCAGTCCAGCGCAAACACCTGGTCCTTGTGCCCAGGCAGATCCTCCTTCAGCTTGCCCGTCCGCAGGTCCCACACCTTGAGCGTCGTGTCCTTGCTACAACTCGCCAGCAGCCTGCTGTCTGCCGAGAAGCTTGCCATATACACCGGTCCAACGTGTGCCCGTAACGTGAACAGAAACTTGCCGTCCCTCGCTGACCACAGTTTGACATGGTTGTCCCACGCTGCAGATGCCAAAAGTGTACCGTCGGGTGAGAAGGTGACTTGGTTGATCTGTTTTTGGTGGCCCGTCATCCGCGTCACAGGCTTGGACGTTGACAGCGGCGTCCAGAGGTACAAAGTACAGTCTTCGGATGCCGTAGCCAGCCGCTCAACGATCTCGCCTGCGATTGTAGCGGCCTTGTTGAAACGCTGCTTGGCTTTCGCGAGCTTCTCTTCTTGGGTTGCGGGGACTTTGCGTGTATGGTCATGATATGCCGTGCGGAGCACAAAGTCGGTAGACAGGGCCAGGTGGTTTACCCAGTGTGCGTGGCCAGTCAGTGTGTGGACTAGAGACTGCGTCCCTGCATCCCAGACCTTGATCGTCTTATCGTGCGACGACGTGTAGATGCGTCCTGTCCCTCCCCACTTGACGCACGTAACGCTGCTCTTATGTCCTGTGAGTGCGAAGTCGATTCTCCCACCTATTGCATCCCATACTCGTACCGTTCCGTCTTTCGATGACGATGCGACCCGAGGTCTACCCTGCTCTTGCAAATGATATGGCTCCCACGCTAAACTCGTGATGAACTGTGTGTGCCCCTTCAATGGCCCATTGATCCCTTTTCCACTCTCGGGATCCCATATGCGCACTTCGTTATCGTATCCTCCAGACGCGAGCAGTGACCCATCAGGAGAATAGCTCACTGCCAGCACCCACCGCGTATGGCCCTTGAGAGTGTGCACCAGCGTCCCTGTATCGCAGTCCCATATCCGCACCGTCTTGTCCCCGCTACCGCTCGCCATGCGACTGGAGCTCACAGGTGAAAACTGCACCGCCAATATATTATCCCCGTGCCCCGATATCGCCGCAGCGCAGCGAGACACTGCCTTCACGCGGAAGACGGCTTGTGGCGCATACTGCAGCGTGATCTCGCTTTCTGCGCTGGCCTTCCCAGGCTTCACTAGCGCATTGTAAATATCTTCTCTATCACCCAGAGCCTCGTTGGCACCATCGGGAAAGAACCGATACGGTATCCGGTCGTCGGCTTGGTCTTTCAGCTCGTTGAGCAATATTTCGAGGTTCTTGGTTGACGCCTGGGATAGAGGGACTGTGAGGACAGGGAGATTGTCTGTAGAGCCCGTCGCCTGGTCTACGAAGCGGATACGGATCGTGCCATCGGGGATCGTGTTGTCGAGATCCTGCTGTTTACTGGTGAGTTCGGCTTGGGCGCGCTTTTGCCGTTTGGATGGAGGCGGGTATTGGGTCGCCATGCCGAAGGATGGCCGCAGGACAGTCTGAGCTGCGGCCAGGAGAAACGATTGTGCAGTGAGGTTGAACTGATCTATCCAAACAAGTTTGGATTGAGGTCCAAAATTTCGTTATCGATAGCGGTAGCGTGGGGAAGGACGCTAGCAAGGGTTGTGTTAGTGTGAAGCTTACATACTTATTTCATAGCTTATGGTTGTGGCTTCCTTCTGTCCACACTTCGCTCTCCCTCAGACTTCAAGTTTCGAGCTGAGGAAGAATTCTTGATCTCGACTAACCTCGTAGCTACTGACGCTGAACCGAACCTAGGCTTCACCATGGCTTACCGAGGCCAGCCATCAACCTCCTACAGCACGTCTGCATCGCTCTCCTACCCCTACTACACCTATGGTGAGTATAACACCACAACGACGTCACGTCCGAGGACGCGTAAGAGCACTGGCCGTCCAAGTATCGCACGTCCGAGAACCGGTGCTTCCACCATCGCCAGGATTGAAGCTCAGGAAGTCATCTGCGCTGTCACCGAGTCTCGTGGCATTTCTCCCACCGTAGGCTTAGCCTTCGTCAACCTCGACACTGGCGAAGCAATCCTCTGCCAAATCTGTGACAGTCAGACTTATGTGCGGACTGTACACAAGCTGAGAGTTCTGGGGCCCTCTGAGATCCTCATCGTCTCCACTGCCTCCAGCCCCAAGTCCAAACTGTTCTCTATCATCGAGGAGAATCTGGAGGTCATTGAAAGCAAGCTGACACTGCTCGACCGCCGGTACTGGGCGGAAACTACTGGCTATGAGTACATACAAGACCTTGCGTTTGCCGAAGATGTTGAGGCAATCAAGGTTTCTGTATCCGGGAATTATTACGCGGTTTGCTGCATCGCTGCCGTGAGTCGAGGTCCATAGACGACCAGGTAACGGTACTCATAATGGCACAGGTCATCAAGTACATCGAGCTCGGCCTGGGCAAGACGTTTCCATATCACTCTCTCAGAATGAAGTACGAACCCTCCGAAGGCTCCATGATGATTGACGTCTCGACCATCCATTCCCTCGAACTTGTACAGAATCTTCAGGATCCAAAGTCCAGAGATTGTCTATTTGGTCTCCTGAACGAAACCCTGACCCCAATGGGTTCTCGACTGCTTCGCAGCAATGTGGTTCAACCCCTCACTGACCCCGACACCCTCAATGGCCGGTACGATGCCTTGGAGGAGCTAACTACAAAAGAGGAGGTGTTCTTCGCCACTCGTGCTGGTCTGTTGTTGATCAGCTTGTGGTTATGAGCCAATCTAATACCAGCCAGCCCTGAAGAACTTCATCGATGCAGACAGGATCCTTACGGCCGTAAGAGCGCCAGAACACCTATGTTGACCGATACTGATCATTGCAGCTGATCGTTATCCCCACGAAACCCACCATACATACCACTGAACAGAGCATCAACCAGGTCATCATGCTAAAACATTTTGTCAATTCCGTCAGTCCAGTGTACGAAGCACTGACAGGCGCAAGAAGCGACATGCTCAGCAACATTCGCGAGGTTCGCGGAGACGTATTTGAGTCACTCATCCGCTAACATCACACATAGCTTTGCGCGCCCATCAATGTCCGACCCGTACAGGAATTGATTGATAGCGTAATCAATGAGGACACTACATTCGCCAAACAGCCGCTTGAGTTGCGGAATCAGCGCACCTATGCAGTCAAGTCCGGTGTTAACGGCCTGCTCGATGTCGCCCGGACAACGTATAAGGAGGCAATGGAGGATGCTTATCAGCATTCCAACGAACTTAGCCGTGCGTTCTCTGTTGGGCCCATCGTGGAGGCTGTTGCTGATTGTTCCATAGAAGAATATGATTTGCAACTCGAGCTCAAATATGAGACTGCTCGGCAGTTCTACATTCGCATCGCAATGGCTGATCTAGGGGATAGGCCGTTGCCTCCTGTCTTCGTCAATGTCTTCCGGAAGAGGAACACGATTGAGTGCCAGACCTTGGAGCTGATGAAGCGTAACCAGAAAGTGAGCATGACCTGTGCCACGCCGGTTGGCGGTTCTGACATAAGGCAGGTAACAATCTCGCACCATGAAGTGGTTCTCATGAGTAGGATATTTGACTAGTTGGTGAGCTGTCTACTGATAGCGATAGGTGACGAGGCGGTTCAGGGGCTCATTGAGGAAGTCCGCGGATATATGTCGCAGCTCTTCAAAATTTGCGAGGCCATCGCCATGCTGGACATGGTCAGTGGCCGAGCACATTGTAGGACCTGCTGCTGCTAATTCGTATAGATCGCCGCATTTGCGCACCTTGTGACCCTTCATGACTACGGTAAGGTCCGAAGAATCGAGAGCCCAATCCTTCATAACCAAGGTGCAGTCAGACCGCACATCACCGACACCCTTGCAATCAGGGCTGGACGACACCCCATTCGTGAGAAGATCATGCAGCACAAGTATGTCCCGAACGATGTATATGCCACGCAGCAAACCCGGTTTCAGATCATCACGGGCTGCAACATGAGCGGTAATGTCCGCGAACTATCCGATTTCATTATCTGACTTGTCGCAGGCAAGAGCACTTATATTCGCTCGGTCGCTCTCATGTGTATCATGGCACAAATAGGCAGTTTGTAGGAGAGAAAGCTTTGGTAACGTAGTGTTACAAGTCTTCTAACGGGCTGCAGCGTTCCTGCTACGTATGCCTCGTTTCCTATATTTCATCAACTGTTCGCCAGGTTGGGTATGGACGATAATATTGATACGAATGTATCGACGTTCGCGGCTGAGATGAGGGATATTGCATTCATTCTCCGCAACATCGACAGGCGCAGCTTGTAAGCATTGTGCAGGGTGGTCAAAAATCACACATGCTGACATGTTGTAGGGCGATCGTTGATGAGCTGGGAAGAGGCACCAGCACTAGGGACGGTCTAGCCATTGCACTAGCCATTGCGGAGGCACTCGTCCAGAGCAGGGCTCTTGTATGGTTTGCAACTCACTTCAGGGATATTGCCAGGATCCTCGCGGAGCGCAACGGCGTTGTTAGTCTGCATCTTGCTGTTGAAGTACGTTCTCTCCTGGTCGCGAAGTTTGTTCCATGGCTAAGCAGGAACTCAGATCAGCAACAACGACACCATGACCATGCTCTACAAAGTCAAAGAGGGTGCAGTGAACGAAACACACTATGGTCTCACACTCGCCCGTATCGTCCCCTTCCCCCCAGGTCTCATCGAACGGGCAACGGATGTTGCCCGAACATTGGAGCAACACATGCAGCAACGCAAGAAGACGTCTACAGCGGTCATCAAGGAGCGGCGTCGCAAATTAATTCTCAATCTCAAGGAGCATCTCGTCCAGGCACACAGCGGTGTCATGGATGGTGAAGTTCTCGCCGCCTGGCTGAGGGAGCTGCAGAAAGAGTTCGTCACTCGCATGACGGCTATTGATGAGAAGGCTGCCCGCGCTGACGGGAGTGATGATGCTGGAGAGGATGTTGAAGAGATGGAGGGTGTCCAGATAGGCGAGGAGGATGCGGGGGCTTCTTCTACGCAGAGTGTGACCGAGATTGGGGTGGATGAACACCGTGCGGCGAGATCTGCTGAAATGCGGCAGCCTTCAATCATCACGGTCGACTCTCACATCACGTCTTCCGACTTGGAGTGTACTTCCCCGGTACGTGCCGTGTCGGAGAATGAGCGGTGATCGCCGTCCTTCCCAGTCAAGTCGGAAATGCAAAGCATCCCCACGACGACCCTGAAGGGGAAAGCGAAGGGAGACTACTACACCGCGCGTTTGTATCCGCAGTCACTTGACGATACATTTTCAGTGTTTTCCCTGCGCAAGGACATGCTGTCGAGCTAGAAAATGAACCCAGATGATTGTTCTGAAACTAAAAAGAACGGAGCATAACGAGATAATTTTGCCTCGTCGCACCCAATTTTTCTCACATGATATTTAACGAGGAAGGATGAAGTGACTAATGGCAACAGTGAATTGAAAGCAGAAAAAAAAACAAGAAAAAGGAGAGAGTTCCGTTACCGGGAGTCGAACCCGGCTCTCGTCGGTAGCTGACATTCACCCATTGAGGCTCATGAAAGCGACGGATGCTAGCCGATACACCATAACGGATTGGCTTGTGTTGTGATTTGCATTTGATAATTCATTATTTATATATAAATAAATGGACAAATATCTTGTTTCAAGCCCCACTTCGGTCCATGACCAGGCCGAGGTGATTTATGTGGCTGACCGATATATAGTCAATGGCACTTGAATGGTCGTGTCTCTCGCTCTTTCCATCTGACCGCAGGTCAAGCGTGGTTATGATTAATAACAGCGGACAGTTTACCAAGGCATACCTGGTACTTGACGTACAAACAGGGTTACTCAAGAGCTGCACTCGTCCCTTCTCCTCTGAACTGGCCATTTTCCGTACCTAGGTAGGGTGGTCTATCGCGAAGAGTCCGCATACCTCCAGAATTGATTTTAACTCCGACTCAACTCTCTGTAACCTCAAAGCCCGCGAGTCAACACCCACCTAGGGACCATAGCAGCTGTTGGCAAGTCAAGGTGCCCATCATGCACTCAGCACAGGTTCAAAGAATCCAAAAGGATTATCCATGGGTGCAGACGCCGTTGGTGGTGCAGGCACCACTGAGATTGATTACGTTTGCAGAGATTGCGGTGGAGGTGTCGAAGGCCGGTATGTTGACTTTTCATCAATGCGGTGTTGCGTGACTTGATTGTGACATTGGGGAGAAGGTTTTGAAGGTGTACAATCATTTTCATTTTCTCCGTCTCTCTTGTGAATACCTTCTTTTATTTCTACTTCAAGTTGACGTCAAGCCATGGGTTATAGAGGAATAGTACATGACAATGGCGGTCTCGTTTCAATCCTATTCCACATACGTCCATCATCCAGGGCAACAAGCACGTCCTGTCAAATCATCACCTCCGCCCAGTTAAAGCACTCCCTTTTCTATTATACCCTTCTGACAATACCCAGGAGGCATCGGCTTCGTCGCCGCCGGGACCGACCCGTCTCACCTCGACAGTGACCTCCAAACGGCTTCGTCTCTCGTCTCCACGCACACCCCACCCGTTCCTACGGCTTCCTCCCCAGCAGGCCCTCTCCTCCCCCTCGGCGTCGGCTTCATAGTCTGGGGCTGCTCTCTCTCCGTCTCGCTGGCTGCTATCCAGAAACATCGCCCTGCAGCAGCATGGCTCTTCGCTCCCTCTTCAGCGGCGCAGCTCAGAGAATGGAGCCAGGAGATTCGCCGAGTTTCACCTCAGACGAAGATCTGGGTTCAGGTCGGGAGTGTCGCCGATGCAATGGCGTTCCTTGAGGCAGCGGAGCCGGATGTCCTCGTTCTGCAGGGGACAGATGCTGGTGGTCACGGGCTTGTTCGAGGCGCAAGTGTCATCTCGCTCGTTCCTGAGGTTGTGGATGCGGTGGATTCGTACTTCAACGACCGTCCTGCAGCTGATCAGCAGTTTGGGAAACCGCTCATCGTCGCCGCCGGCGGTATCACAGAGTCCCGCAGCGCTGCCGCTGCCCTCGTGCTCGGCGCCCAAGGCATCGCCATGGGAACGCGGTTCCTCGCCAGCCACGAAGTACACATCGCGCGCGGATACCAGGAGGACGTGCTCCGCGCGACGGATGGCGGACAGTCCACCGGGCGCACCAAACTCTACGACGCGCTCCGTGGGACTGTGTGGATGGATACGTATAACGGGCGTGGCATTCTGAACAAGACGTTTACCGATGCGGAGAGCGGAATGGATGAGCAGGAGAATAAGAGGTTGTACGAGGAGAGTTTGAAGAAGGGGGATATGGGCTGGGGCCCGGAGGGTAGGTTGACGGCATATGCGGGGAGTGGGGTGGGTTTGGTGAAGGAGGTCAAGGGGGCGGGGGAGATTGTGGAGGAGATTCGAAGAGGAGTTGCAAAGGTCTTGGGAGGGGTGGGTGGAAGGGAACGAGGAGGGACGTAATTTGTAGGTGATGCATACCTAGGTAATTGTGGAGTAGTGAAATTATGAAACGAGAGTAGTGTAACGGATGCAATGTTTGGTCATGTACATCTACCCGACGGAGATTCGACGTCAAATAATTCGGCCACGCATCAAGTCCCAAAGCAAGGATTGAACCCTCACACTCGTAAAGATTTCCCTAAGATGACCCTTGAAGAACGCCATATAAATGCTACTCTTTTCCCAATCCTTCCTGGTCGCCTGAACGCCTCATGGACGGGGTAGATAAAGGGTCCTGTACGATGCTCTTAGTCCTGATCCCAAACATGCAGCAGACCTGCATCACCCGCGGAGAGGACTTCATGAGCTGTCATAACCGGCCATACAACTTCCAATCCAAGCCTCACACTTTCTTCCTTGCATTCCTCTCATTCGCCCTTTGTCTCCTCTCATTCCTCCTCACTCTCTCCTTCCTCGCCGCCCTGCTATCCCTCCTCGCATCCCCAGCCTCTCCCGTCTCCCTCTCCTTCTTCTCATCCACCTCAACCAACCAGTCATTCTCCCCCTCCTTATTCTTCCCCTTATATCCCCATTTGGGCACCCATTCCCCACTCGCCTCGTCATACACCATCTTCCCCTCCTTCTTCTTATCCTTGATGCCCTTCTTCTTAGCAAAGAGCTCCCATTTCGTCGGTGGCTTTTCAGTGGGGATGGGTTTCTCGCGGGGAAGGGCGGTGATGGGTTCCGGGAGGACGAGATGCACGCCTTCAGAGGTGGATTTTGCTTCGCATGTTGTGAGCAGCTGGTTTATCAGCGCTTGCGCGGCATCCCGCGCGATTGCCGTGAGGGCTGCTTCGTCGGGGGAGCGGGGGAGTGGGTTGGGGTCGAAGGCGCAGAGGTTGCCCAGGTCGAAGGTGTAGGGCGTGGGCTTGTTGACCGTCACGGGTCTGTAGGAAGATGTTAGCTTTGAGGACGTGCGGAGGGAGAAGGGAAAATGTACAGTCTGCTTGTGGCCGTAGAGTCTGCGACCGAAGGCGAAACGACGTCCATGGCACCTTCGTCGATTCGATCTGCGAGTTGTGTTGCCGTGGTCTCGGCCATGTGCAGCTGCTATTAGTACGCCTGCGCCTCTGTAAATATGCGTACGTATGTCTGTATCGAGGATTCTGTTGGAACGTCGAGGCTCTGGTAGCCGTGGGATATTTTTTTGGGTTCCGCGCTAGTCCTCTTTCGGGTGCTGCTTTGCGGACATCGAGAATTCAACTTCAACAACTACGCTTCACTCTGCGACAGAGGACAGCCGCCATCGACAACGCAGGCGTCCGCCCCGCCAACCATGCCTCCCCCTTCGTCCTGCATCCGCGGTCTTACGAGATTACGCGCCGCTCAGCCCTCAATTGCGTGTCGAAGAACCGGCGACGCAAGCATCCAGACCGCATCCTTTTCCACGTCTTCGGCGCACTATGCCATTGTAGCGAAGAAGAAGACCATCTCCACGCCGCCGCCGAAGCGCGGCACCAAAACCCTCAATGTCAAGAAAGGACGCAAGACTGGGCCTGTGGACACGGGAAAGCCGCCCGCGGTGGGTGAGCGCAAGGCCATGCGGAAGCGTGTCGTGCTGAGCAATAACAATGCGCTCGAAGTGCCCAGCCTGGTGGATTTGAGCGAGGAAAATGTTTTGGATACGAAGAATCAGGGTCTCGTGAGGGGCATCCCTGAGGAGGCCGTCGACGCGTTAAGGGCCGTGGAGGCGTTCAAGCCGAGGCAGGGATGGAGTCTGTTTAGGCGACCTGCTGTTTTGTATAGAAGGGAAACGACTGAATTGGCGCAGTTGGCAAAAGGGGTCGAAGAGGGGAAGAAGACGGAGAGGCGGATCGTGACGGGGAGTCGGATGAGTGGAAAGAGCACGCTGGTGCTTCAAGGACTGCTGATGGCGCATCTGAGGGGCTGGGCCATCATTAACTTCCCGGAAGGTATGTACCGTCTGCCCGATTGCTGCTGCTGTTCGCTAACTCTCTCATCTCTACAGCCCAAGATCTCGTGAACGCGCATACCGAATACGGACCCCTACCGGGCTCTTCGCCTACCCAATACACCCAAGACACCTACACCGCGAACCTCCTCTCCCAGTTCCTCAAAGCCAACAAACACCTCATCTCCCTCCCCATGACCACCTCTCCCACGCTTCCCCAACCCCTCCCCCCGAGAGCCACCCTCAGGCACCTCCTCGAGATCGGCATCACCACCCCCGAATCTTCCTGGCCCGTCTTCACCTCCCTCTGGGCTGAACTGACGCAGCCGGGCCGACCACCCATTATGCTCGCGCTCGACGGCCTGAGCCACATAATGCGCAACTCGGAGTACCTCTCCGCGGACGTCAAGCCCATCCACGCCCACGACTTGACCCTTGTGCGGCACTTCGTCGATCATCTCTCCGGCAAGAAGACACTCCCCAACGGCGGCATGGTCCTAGCGGCCACATCCTCGTCCAACTCGCCCGCCAATCCCGCCCTCGAATTCAGCATCCAGTGCGCCGAGGCGCGCAAGATGGGCGCCAAGGAGACGCCCATGTGGAACCCGTACAAGGTCGTCGACATGCGCGCCATGGAGGCTCTGAAGAATGTGGATACGTTGCATCTGAGTGGGTTGACCAAGGAGGAGGCGAGGTCGATTATGGAGTATTATGCGGAAAGCGGGATGCTGAGGGCGAAGGTGGATGAGGGCTTCGTCGGGGAGAGGTGGAGTCTTGCCGGGATGGGAAATATCGGGGAGTTAGAGCGAACGAGTGTGAGGATGAGGGTGTAGATGTGGACCGGATTTAGAGGGGATGGAGATGATGAGGATGGAATTGTAGGATATGCGTGGTTATTCAATTTTGATAATTGGGCATAGATGGTGGACGCAGGGTTGGACGTCCACAGTGTCATGCTGCTTTTGAGTGTATCATACATGTATCCATGCATTGAAGAACGCAATAGATAGATAAGCCAGCGCAGTGAGCGAATATTCCATCTTCAAGCCTCATTCCCGTCTCATGGCCGTTGTAACTTTGTGGCTCTCTGCCCACACGCACTGACCGCAAGTTCTTCTCTCCCTCGCGACCTATGAATGATTGTTATACATAAATAAAGAAGCGATCTGAAGTATAAAAGGGACAAGAAAAGAGGAAGAGCGGGAGCCAGAGCAAAAGAAGCAGAAAAAAAGGTCCTACCCGGAATCGAACCGGGGTTCCCGGAATCTTCTCTCAGAATCCGATGTGATGACCGCTACACTATAGAACCTATAATTATTTGGTGTAATTTTCTCTAGTTAAATTTATACGCTATAGCTTTAAAGTTACATACCAAAAAGTCGTGGCTGAACATGTGGAGGCAAAGATGGGAGTAGCGGGGCAGGCACGAGACGTGGGTTGCGACTTCCAAGGTACAATAGGTATATGAAGTAGACTGAAATTGATTTTCTTTATCGTCGCACCCTTTGCAATCTTCTCCAAGACCGTCACTGCCTCACAAAACCGAATAGAGCCCGCCGTTACGCAGATTTCGTGGTTCCTTTTCCTCTCCGTTCACTATTACGTATCAAGCATTACATAGACCTTATACAGCGGCCTGCCCTAATATATACAAGTCTAAAGGGGAACGTCGGTACGAAATTAAGACGCTCAAGCCCATGTCTGTCGCATCACAATCTACGAGTCCACGCAAGAATTACCTCTTCTAGCCCTTAATTCTCTTTGTTCCTCCTCTCCCACTCCACAAACGCCGGAGCCAATGGTCGACTGAACAAGCTCGAATAATCCGTACCCACCACGCCCTCCTCTCCTCCAATATTCCTTAGCCTAAACTCCCTCACGAAAGCCACCAAAATGGTCTGCAGCTGCGTATAAGCGAATTGCTCTCCAATACACCTATGCCTTCCCGCTCCGAAGGGCAGATAAGGGGAGTTGGTGCCTTTGGAGACTACACCCCATCCGTAATCGATCTTTTCGTCGTCCTCAGCGGCCTCGAAATTCAGGGAGCCGGCGTCCCAACGATGCGGGTCCCAGACGGATGGGTTGGCGAAGTGCTCGGGCATTTGGGCGGAGACGCCGGGCGAGGACATGAGGGTGTGTGAGGGAGGAATGACGTAGTTCGTTCCGTCGACGACGAGCGGCTGCTTGACTTTTCGCATGATGGAGTGGATGGGAGCGTGGAGACGGAGAGTCTCGCGAACAACGTGGGCGTGGAGGGGAAGTTTTTGAAGGTCGTCGTACGTCAGCGGGGGCAGGTCCTCGCCCAGAACGGATTTCTGTTCTTCGAGGAGTTCTTCAATTATGTGGGGTTTGCTGGCGAGCCGGAGGAGGATCCAGGCGATGGTTGACGAGGACGAGTGCTGTCCCGCCATGAGGAGTGCGATCATGATGCCGGCGATTTCGTGATTTGGGACGGGAGTGCCATCCTTGTATTTGCAGTCCATCAGATGCCAGATCATATCGTGCGATTCCTTCTTGACCTGTCCAGAGCGGCGCTTCTCTACAATTGATGAGTACAGCTTAATCATAGCCTCCCGAGCATTATCGCGTGCGCGGTTGTGCGGAAGGGGCGCCCAGGATAACATGAAGTTGATTGGGGAGAAGCCCATATCGAGATCGTGGTACAGCTCCGCAAAGGACGAATCGAACATGTTGCGCACCTCCTCGCCCTGCAGCGAGCGCGAAGCCGTGTAGATGGTGAGCTCCGCCATGACTTTCGGTACATTGAACGTTCCCTTCTGGCCCTTGAACGCCTGGTGGGACTTTACGAAGTTCTCGACTTCGGCGGTAATGAGGGTGACATAGGAGCGGAGCGCCTCGTTGGTGAGACCGAACTTGACAAACTGACACGGAAGTTAACATGGCGGCAAAAACACGGAGGGGGGATACTGCGCACCTTCTTCTGCTCCATAAGCTTCGAATTCGGACAATCGTACACGACATCCTTCCCAAACACGGGCGTACACAACGGACTATAGATCTCCTCGGCATTCACGTCCTTCAGCTTCCCATTCAGGATGAAGTTATTCCCTTTCGTATCCAGGCAGACGGTCATTTTGCGTCCCAGAAGCACAAACGTGAAGACATCGCCATACTGTCGGTTATTAGCATTCGGACTGTCTTGTCCGGGAACGTGCCATGCACACCTTTGCCTTATTCGCAAAAAAGAACTTGTACGGATCCATGCCATAGGTAATCGTGCTCCCGATGACGGGAAACCAGTGGAACACGACGGGCGGCGCGTGCGGGTCCTTCCACAGCAACTGCTGCAGCACATTGAGCACGACGGCGAGGGCGAGAAAGGAGGCAAAGCCGGCGGCGATCAGCGTCGGCCAGGAGGCATGCGAAGTGAATTGGGCGAGGGGGCCCGCGATATCGGATATCATTCCCATGGTTCCGCGATTGTGTGGAAGGAAAAGGAAAGGGGAGGGGGAGAAGAACAGGAAAAGTGGTGGTGGTGGGAGAGGCTCAGGCTCCTGAGGGAAACCGCCCTGATGTCTTCGCCATGATTTAATAAAATCGAGGGGCACGGGCCAGCCAGGGAAGTGCCCCTTCTTGGCGTTAAGGGCGCCAGGTCCCCCGGCAGCTGCCGCCACTGAGACTCGGACTTCGGGACTCGGGCCTGGCCGTTCCGTGAAAGGGAACCATCGAACCATCATCATCAGAGGACCATCTGCTCAGCCACATGAACACACGTACTCCGTACACGCCATCTTGCCTTCTTCCCAGCAGCGGATTCAAAGGCCCAGGCGGTTGAAGTTCAAAAACATTGCAATATGCTTGGTGTCTATGGTATTAACTTTCATACGCCTCTCCGATACAGATTCCATCATGGACTCTCTGGGATGCTGGGCATAGCTACGCCTGCTGCGCTACGAGCAAAGAATCTAACGCCATGTATGCGACGCTCATAACGCCTTCCTTTTAACAAGATGATCCCCATCCGTGTCGGTCCTTGCAGCCGCCATGAACGCCGAAAAGTCCCTGTCGCCGGTATGCTTCGAGGCATACTGTATCGCACCACATACCCGCCTTACTGAAATCCCACCCTTCAAGTCTCCACTTTCCGATTCCCGTTCGAAGCAACATCCTTCGCCGCATAGTGCGACCCATCGTCGTTATCGAAAAGCTGCTCATCTCCCTTCCCGCCCATATGAATAAACTCTTCAGGCGCCCTAGCTCCCGAGGGCGTCTGCTCCTTCACTGCCCCTTTCTTGGCCTTATCGCAGGGGTTCTTCTCCCAGACCTTGACGGGATGCCGTCCACTTTGTCCTTGGACGACACGTGACACCTTGATATTATTGATGCTGCTCAGAAGCGTCCTTTCGCGATGCACCTTACGCTTGGAGAAGTCGAGGTTGGCGATGGCACCAGTCAACCCGTCGGTACTATCGGCGGGGTTCAGGTCTCGCTGAGTCGTCCACGGATGTTCCAAGCACTCATCAATGGTGATGCGTTGCTCCGGGTCGACGGTCAGCATGCGATCTATCAGGTCAAGCGCGGGATCTCCGACCGAGTCCCAATAGGGCGACGGGTAATCGAAGCGGCCGGCCTTGATCTGCTGAGATAGCGTGTACGGGTTCTCCGGACTGTAGAGTTCATCGGAGAAAGGAGGGAAGCCACAGAGGCAGATGTAGAGTACGACGCCTAGAGACCACACGTCCACGGCCCTCGTATATCGTCTATGGTTACCGCTTTCCAGAATCTCTGGCGCGACATCTTGGCCAGTTAGCATACATATCATTCAAGCGAAGCGTTGCATCTCTTACAAGATGGTGTGCCGCACCTGTACCACGTCAGCATGTATTTAGTGGATGATAGAGCGGCCAACATACAGAGTCGTGGTGAAAGATTCTTCGCCTATGATCTTGGCAAGGCCAAAATCTGCAAGCTTGACGTGCAACTCCTTGTCAGTCAGCAGTATGTTCTCCGGTTTGATGTCGCGGTGGACAATGTTGCGCTCGTGCTGGCAGTGCCTGTAAGTAACAGCATTGAATATGCCCAAGACCACCTACGAGATATTTCACAGCTTGGAACAGCTGAATGAAGACCTTCCGCGCCTCCGCCTCAGTCAACTTCTGCTTCATAATGATCCAGTTGAACAGCTCCCCTTCGGCGGCGAGTTCCAGCACAAGGTAGACGCCGTCCTCCTCATCGAAGGTATCCTTCAGGCAGAGTAACGCTGGATGGTTCACGGACATGAGGACGGCAATCTCTTGTTGCAAGCCCTCCACCTTGGACTTCTCCCCGGGTCCTGTGCGCTTTTCAAACTTCTTGACGGCATACCGTACCCCAGTGCTTTTCTCCACGCAGAGGTAGACCGACGCAAAATGGCCCTTGCCCAACTGCTCGAGGATGGTGTATTGCTGGCGGAAGCGGTTCGTGTTGCGGCTGAGAGGGTATCTGAAGACAAAACGCGCCTCGTCGAGAATGGCTATCTCGTCGCCTTCATTCAACACCCTACGCTTGTTCCGTCCCACAAGCGAATCGTTGACGAAGGTGCCGTTGCCGGACAGATCCTCGAGAACGGCAATGGTGTCGCCGCCTTTGTTCTCAGAGAACAGTATGCAATGGCGGTTTGACACGACGGGGGATTTTATGACGCGGTCTTGCAACAGATCAGCATCTGGTCATGGGCCTTGGGGCTTGGTGCCTTCTTACCGCACTCTGGATGACGTCCAATAAGATATCCACCCGCGGGAACACCCTTCTTGGCCTTGGCCTCTTCGTAATGCTCTTCATCCTTGTTGACACTTTCAGAGGAGACGTTTTCCCTCCCAGAGGTCTGCCCAACCATGGATGCCGGAATGGGACACAGACTTCGTCGACGGAGAACAAGAACATCCCCCGAGGCATCGTCGAAGGGAACCAGATATCCCCAAACCCCTTCCCCTTCCTCGTCCTCGACGGCATACGACCTGCTATTTGGAGGAAACACGAACTGGGAGAAGGGCTGGGTATCGCCGGGCGGAGAGGCGAGGCCCCGAAGCGGACTCCTCACATCCTTGGTCTGCTCGGTCGAAATCTGACTCGGCGGCGTAACGGTGCCTTCGTTGAAGTCAGCGGTGGATTTGGAGGCCTTGTTGGTGACGGGCGTGGGCAGCTGGCCGTTCTTGAGGCTCTCATCCGAGGGCGACTGGTGACGGTCCGACCTTCGAGCTTTCTTGGAGTCGACTTGATCGCCTTGGGATTGCTGGGAATCCGAGTTAGCGGGTCAAGTGTCTCAATTGTCCTGGGGGAGAGCAAGATGGGATAGGTCTTGAGTATGGAGAAAGGACGTACGCGGACGCGCTTGAGCTGGCTCTTCTCCGTGGCAGCGGGCATCCTGGGCATGTGGTGGTGGTGTGCAACACAGCAGGCAGAAGGGAGGGTTCGATGTTGGTGAGAATGAGCCTTGAAGAGGAGGCAACTAGGAGCCGTTGCAGGTTGCCAGAGACATTGCCTGCGGCCAGAACAAATGGACGATGCTGTACTGTTTGGACGGACGTGCGGACGATACTCTGTAGATTCCAGCGGGAGCCCGGTGATGTTGGGAGTCTGGTGCGAGCGAAAGTCACTCGGCCAGGCTTCCAGGCTCCCAGGTGAAGAAGCAGCGTATCGAAGCGTATCTGTGGGAACGCTTGGCCGATTGGGGGTTAGCGTCTTCTGCGTATTCGTCTGCCCCAGGTGGGCTGTATCTAGATAGTCCTGTACCACAATAGATGACCCTCTCCACAGTCGTCGCTATACGATGGGATGCATCGAGGCAAACAGCAACACAGTCGCTCAATTCCCCCACATCTCCAGCAATGAATTTGCGTCCGGCTGCGAACAACTCGTCGAGCTCTTCCTAACCGCTCCAGCCAACAACCAGTCCGACTGGCTGTCCGCAGAAGTCATCCCTCAGGACGGAAGCGTCGGTCTCAGAATCCAGAAAGAGATATTCATATCAGATTCCGCTGCGGGAAGTCCGGATAGTTCATCAGACGATCAAGTAGACGACATTCCAGAGGAAGAAGAAGACGAAGGCGAACTGCGTCCCACTCACTGCTCCTCCTTTGTCCAATACGACATCCTCTTCTCCCCCACCTACTCCCTCCCAACCCTCTACTTCACCCTCGTCTCTCCCAACCCCACCCTCTGCATCCCAAGCCTAGAAGTCCTCTACACACACCTCATTCCCCCGTCCTCCAGATCCCAAACCCTAGCCGTCGGCGTCATGGGAGGCGTGACCATTACGGACCACCCCGTCACCAATAAACCCGTGTACTTTATCCATCCCTGTCAAACAGCTGCGGTGCTGAAGGCGAGCGTGAAGCGTGGTATGAGGGTTTCGCCGGTAGACTATCTGGTCTTGTGGGTTGGCGCCATGGGGGCCTGTGTTGGCCTTCATATGCCGCTTGGGCTTGCTGGGCAGGAGCCGTTGGGGACTAGGCCGCTCCAGGCCGGATATGAGGAGGCTACCTGAGACCCTTTCTCACGCCAATGTCTTCGACCAGATGGAGGAACAAGCAAAACTCATATACCACCCTCCACTTTGGCAAACTCAACACCGAACCAGGATGAAAAACTCCATATATCGAAAAACCACAACCGAGCCACCGCCCCACTCATAATGCGACGAAACAGAGGCATCTCGTAACCAGGAAGCTCACCCAAGACCCCATACGCCGGCCCACCCAATCCTGAACGCCGGGCTACATCCACCCATCCCGCGATGGGAATCGAACAATCGCATCCGCTCAGGAATACTCGTCATCATCCATGTCCTCGTCATTCCCTGCCTCGATGAAAACCAATCGCGTTCCTTCGCCTGTAGTCTGCCAGACCTGTTCACTTGCATCAGTACACCATCCCCTGGAATATAACAAGATCAACTTACGTCCAACAGCGCATACTCCTCAATCGCCTGCTCAAACTGGTCTGCCGTAAAACCCTTCGCCAGCACCCTCTCCCTCACCCTCCTCAAATCCAATTCCCCCCTCGAACCATCCCCAACAGCCGCAGCCCCACTCGCCTCCATCCCCTTAATGAGATGGTAAATCTTGCTGCTAGGCGTGTGATCGTCCCTGCGATTCTCATCGGCGTACAAACTCGCCTTGCTCACTTCCACGAGCCTCAACGCCTCGTCTACATCCTCGCTGATGACTTCCTCCGCGAACCGTAGACGCGCCAATGCTTGCGAAAGACGCAGGACACCGAGCAGGGTGCGGGGCGACGTGTGCGTGAAGGCCTTCTTGGAGCTCTCGTCCCGCTTCTGCTGCTGGCGCATGCGGACATAGGCTCCGACCATGTAGTCCGAGACTTCCTTGGGCACCGTGGGTCGGAAGGACCGCGCGCGAGCGACCCATTGTCGTACTTCTGCAGGGGTGAAGACCACCCCGCCGGGAGCTTCGGGATGCGCGTTGTGCATGTGAACGTGAGTGACGTGACGGGCGAGTTCCTCGTCCGAGTCTCTCGTAGGAGTATCGAGGATGAGGAAGAGGACGTCGAAGCGGGAGAGAAGGGCAGCGGGGAGGTTGATGTTTTCGACTGGCGAGATACGGGGATTGTATCGGCCGTAGAGGGGATTAGCGGCAGCGAGAATGGAAGTGCGGGCATTCAGTGTTGTCGTAATGCCCGCTTTGCTAATCGAAATGGTTTGCTGCTCCATCACCTCGTGAATGGCGGTACGGTCACCGTCATCCATCTTGTCGAACTCGTCAATGCAGCACATGCCGTTGTCGGCGAGGACGAGCGCACCCCCCTCGAGTACCATCTCGTCCGTGACCGGATCGCGCATTACAGCAGCAGTGAGACCAACCCCGCTGCTTCCACGACCCGTGGTGTAGACGCCACGCGGTGCCACTTTAGTGATATACTTTAGGAGCTGCGATTTGGCAACACCGGGATCACCCATCAGGCAGATGTTGATGTCGCCGCGTATCCGCATGCCGTCGCCAACTTCTTTGGTGACGCCGCCGATGAGTTGGAGGAGGAGAGCCTTCTTGACATCTACGTGACCGAAAATTTCCGGCGCAATGGACCGCGAAAGGTACTCGTACAACTGGCCAGTACTTTCCAGCTCGTGCATTCTCCGGAGTGTAGGCTGAGCAAGGACAATATCATCATAAGCCTTTTTATGCTGCATCACGTACTGCGCCTCCAGATAAGTGTCCGTCAGCAGTCCGGCACGGATGGCCTTAAAACCAGTGTACGGCGTGGGCAGGAAAATTCCAGCAATGTCGACCACGTCTCCGGGATTGATCTGGCGGACCAGTGCGCCATGACAGTGCACAGTAAGTTGCCTGGGAATGTGACCAACGGGGACCTGATCAGCCATCTCTTGTATCTTGACCTCTTGGAACGGGAGAAACTTGGACGCTCTCGTAGACAAGAAAAGCTGACCTTTGGTGTTGTTTCGCTTGCATTCTTCCGAGGGGCATTCGACCAGTGGTGTGAACTGCTTTCCATTGACGGGCTGGAAGACTTCGGAGCCGCAACGGTCGCAGGAATATGCGTTGACCAGGATAGACGGCTTGACATCCGAGACTCGAGTTGCAATGCCACGGACCGTAATAAGGTGGCCCAGATGCTCGCCCCTGACGTTTCGTACGGCCAATGCCTTCATGTTGCGCTGGCTGCTCGAGCCGGATGGTATTCTTGGCTTCAGATTGAGAGTATATCTTCGTGTTAGAGCGGGCGGGAATATGGCCGAGGGCGGTGGCGCATCCTCTCCCTGCATCTCCTGCATCCTTTCGTTGCGTTTCGACCGCTGGGTCATGATGATATCGAGTACGTCATCCTTGAAGGTAGGGTCGCGCGTTGGGGGAGGTAGAACTCGATCTACTGCTCTGGAGAGAATCTCAATGTAGTGCAAAGCGTTTCGCTCGATCGACTCCACGAGCTTGAGATTCTGCTCAGGATCCACCGCGCTCTTTTCGTACGAGTCCAAGTCATTCAAATCTATCCATATCTCGGACCGTATCCGGTCTGAGACGTCCTGCAACATTTCCATATATTTCAGCTTGGAGCGGGAGTTCCGCGCACCTCCGGAAGACTCTTCTGCGTCGTCTAGCATATCATACTCGTCGCTGTCGCCGGCATTCAGGTTGAGTCCCTCTAGCTGCTCTGCAGCTTCTGCTGAAGAAGATTTGAAGTTCTTGAGGAAGTCCACGAAGGCGTCTAACCATCTGATGTTAGCAAACAGCATGCAAAAGTTGAGAGGGCAACAAACCTTCCTGCTCGTCGTACTTGGCCAGCACAGGCGCGTTAAGAAGCGCCATTATTCCTCACAGCGCGACGATGAAGACAAAGGGCGACGTAGGGGCTTTTTTGTTGGGGGGGGGGGATGGGGATTTGTGCAATTGAGGATCCAAAAGGAATGGGGAGCGACGCGACGCGAACGCGCCCGTTCAGGCCGGGTTTTCATGATTGGTCAGTCCTTCATGCCCAATCAGCGCTCTTGCATGGCCCGGGGGTTTCTTAGCGAATCCCCGCCGACTACCTCGGCATGGAACGGGCTCTGCTGTGGTGAATTCACTTCAACCATGCCTCGAACTCCTCCACCACACATCACTCCCTTGGAACGGCAATGGCACCAGCCGTGAAGAAGCCTGCGGGCCAGGTTGTGCAGGCTGAAGTCGCCCTTCTTCAGTCGTTGAAGAACTGTTTTGTCAACCTCCCTCCCAGCTTGGTTTCCGTTCTGGTAAACGCGAATGCGGTAACAAATTCCTGTGTCCAAGGCTGAAGAACAGCGCTGACCGTCGTAAAGATCGCGCAGAATGTCGTCGTCGAACTTTCGTACCGTCAAGCTTCGCCGGCCGGGACGGTAGACGCGAGAAATCCCAACCCCTCCAAGTCAGTTTTCCTGGGATGGACGGGCATGCAAAGCAAGCGCAGAATTGCGCCCGTGGTCACCGGTGATGGTCTGAGCAGTGCTCGAGGAGGACCTCCAGCGAGTCAAGATGTACAATGCGTTGAGGTGGACGCTACGTTTGCGCGGCTTATTGGTCTTAATGAGGGACAGAAAGTTGGCGTCTCGCTGCATCTGGACCCTCCTCAGGCTCATACCATCAACATCGAGCCATTGACCCCTGTTGACTGGGAGATGATTGAATTGCATGCCCAGTTCCTGGAACTGAACTTCCTCTCTCAGATACGCGCGTTGCCAAATCCTCAAGCAGGTTCCTCGCATCCGCTTACCCTTCATTTGTCCCCCACCACGACTGCGAATATCATCGTGACCTCCGTCACCCCAGCCCCTCCAGCCGGATCTTCCTTTGTCAAGATATCACCTGATGCGGAGGTCATTGTCGCACCGAAAACCCGCCAGAAGACGGAAAGGGCTTCGACGAGGGAGAGTCGCAGTGTGGGCGGTGCCTCGAGAAAGAGTGGAAAGAGCTCGGCCAGCACTGTGCGCCGACGCAGTGGCAGGGAGGACCACAGCGGCCGCGGTGCATTATTCCTCCGCGGACTGGACCGAGGCGTCGTAAGGGAGTGGTTCGATGAGGAGGAGGACACGGATATCGAAGGCCTCAGAGTCTGGGTGGATAAAGACCTCTTACTTACGAAAGCGTTAAGGGGCGTGACGTGGGCGTCTGTTGCCGTCGTGAAGCCTGCTGGGCTGCAGGAGCCGGTTGACATGTCCCAGTCGCAAGAACAGGAGAAGGTGGCCACCCGTGTGGTTGCGAAGTTGGGGGCCTGGGAGGATGCACCCGACAGTCGCCACATCGTGCTCTCCACCGACCTGTGCAGAGTGCTTGGCGTCGAAGGCATGGTTGGCGGGCTGGTCCGCCTCGAGGGAGCTCCAAGCCAGGCTTCTAGACCTTCCACTCTCAAAACCAAGGAGTCGGGGAAACCAGACTCCAAAGAACAGGTGGTAAAAGCGATCAAAATTCTACCCTTTTCGGCAGCTGGCAGCCAGAGCAATGCAGCGCTCAAGTTCGGCGGCGAGTCCAAGCTGGAACGTGAGGAAGCCATTCAGAGACTAAAATCAATATATGGACGAAGGAATGGGCTTCTGGACGGACCTGTCTCCGATGGCATGTTGCTGCCACCTCCTAAAGAACCTGTTGTTGGATGGGAGGGTGGTATTGTTCGATTTGAACCTGCTCAAGACTTGGGCTCCGTCTCATGGGTCTTGTTCCCGGAGCGGAAACCGACACTGGAACTGGGGCAGGCGATCTCTAGGCCTTCGACTCTGCTGAAAGGCTGGCAACAGGGCGAAGCCCTACCGGCGGAGCCGCCTCACTTGGTTGGGATTGAATCCCCCGTTGAGCAGGTCAGGGGTCACCTTGCACACCACTCTTCGGTTCTTCTCACAGGTGGCCTCGGTTCTGGCAAATCCACTTGCGCCCAGCTTCTGGCCCACCAGCTGCGGACGGAATATCTTTTCAACACCGTCTACTTCCCCTGCCGCAAACTAGTGACTGACGAGACCCGAGTTGCGACCATCAGAGAGTCATTGACCAGACTGTTCGCATCGGCTGCATGGGGTGCAAGGCCTGGTGGAAATGCTGTGGTCATCCTTGACGACCTCGACAAGCTGTGTCCGGTGGAGACTGAACTTCAGGTTGGCAACGAGAATGGAAGGAGCCGCCAGCTTAGCGAGATGGTCATCTCTATCGTCAGGCAATACTGTACCATGGACTCTGGTGTAGTCTTGCTGGCAACTGCCCAAGGCAAGGAGTCATTGAACAATGTCGTCGTTGGCGGCCATATCGTTCGCGAGATTGTCAGCTTGAAGGCACCAAATAAAGAGGGTCGTCGGAAGGTGCTAGAGATGCTCGCCTACAAAGACGAGAAGACCCAAGCCAACAAGCCAAACAGAGCCTCATCAGGACCGACGTTTTCGCCGCCATCATCTGCCAGCCGGCCAGACTCCGCAGGCAACCAGAGCCAGCGGTCGCACAGTGATGAGACGGACGGCTTCGTCGTCGACACCTCGATAGACTTCCTCGACCTCGCTGGCCAAACAGACGGATACATGCCTGGCGACTTGGTCCTCCTCACCTCCCGCGCTCGTAACGAGGCCCTCATACGCTCGGTGAGTGATGCGGAATCCGGACCCGTTTCCTTGACTAGAGAAGACTACATAAACGCCCTTTCCGGCTTTACCCCTGCCTCCCTCCGAAACGTCACTCTGCAGTCCTCGACCACCCGCTGGGATTCTATCGGCGGGCTCCACGAAACCAGACAGATTCTCCTAGAAACACTACAGTATCCCACAACGTACGGCCCCATCTTCGCCCAATGCCCCCTCCGCCTCCGCTCCGGTCTCCTCCTTTACGGCTATCCTGGCTGCGGCAAAACGCTCCTCGCCTCCGCTGTAGCGGGCGAATGCGGCCTCAACTTCATTTCCGTCAAAGGCCCTGAAATCCTGAACAAATACATTGGTGCTTCCGAGAAGTCCGTCCGAGACCTCTTCGAGCGGGCTGAAGCTGCCAGACCATGCGTACTCTTCTTCGACGAGTTCGACAGTATTGCGCCGAAGCGAGGGCACGACTCTACGGGTGTGACGGATCGCGTGGTCAATCAGCTGCTGACGCAGATGGATGGTGCAGAGGGCCTGTCCGGCGTCTATGTGTTAGCTGCCACGAGTAGGCCTGATCTCATTGACCCCGCGTTATTGCGTCCGGGACGTTTAGATAAGAGTCTGATTTGCGACTTGCCGGGTCTCGAAGAGCGCATCGACATCCTGAAAGCCGTCACCGGAAAACTCCACCTCGCACCCTCCGTCCTAGGTACCGGCAACGAAGGCCAGAATCTCCGCGAAATTGCGCGCAGAACAGAAGGGTACTCGGGCGCAGACCTCCAAGCGGTCGTCTACAACGCCCAACTCGAAGCTATCCACGACGTCCTCGGTGAGACAGAGCTAGGGGATCCGACGAAGAGTGATGCTGGGAAGAAGAACGGCGCATCAAATGGTGTCAAGGTTAGCGGGAAAGAGAAAGGTATACCGGAATTCACGCATTTTCGGTTTGGCGATAAGCTGGATGCGGATGGGGACGAGAACGCTCATGATCCCGCGCCCTCGTCCCTGCTAACGGAGCGCGCAATGATCGCCTCTAGAATCGCGGACCTTCAAGCTATGCGTCGGAAACTCAAATCTCAGCACCATATCCGGCCTTCCAGCAGGGAAGGCGTCCAAGGAGCTGGAGCGCCAAGTAAGGGGCAAGAAGGAGTCGATGGGAGCAGGAAAGACCCCGAGATCCAGTGGAAACACATCGAGAGTTCGCTGGCGACGACAAGGAGTAGCATCTCTGCGCAGGAGAGGAGGCGATTGGAGGGGATTTATAGGGAGTTTACCGAAGGGAGGAATGGGGATTTGCCGAGTGGACAGGGGGGAGCGGAGATTGGGGGGCGGACGAGTTTGATGTAGGTGATTGTCAGAGGAAAGGGGAAAAGCAGGGGCACGGGGGTGAGTTGTAAAATGGGGATATTCGACTTGTGGGGTTCGGATATGCAGGTTGTACGACTGTTGCGCCTGAATCTTCTGTGGGTGTGTTAATATGTATACTTCATTGGCGGAGACTCGAATGCTTTTTGGTCGCTGTGTACTGATCGAAACACGAGTACTGCGGTCAATATCAAAACGGAACCGATAGAAGAACAAACTCGCAATTGCTCTTAAGATGCACGAACAGTTCCCCATTCACAGAAAGAAATCAAACCATGCACGGGATATACCATCCATCAGGCTTCTTGCCCATCCGCTTCAGCCACCATCCTCCCTTCTACCGATCAAAATCCCGTCCCACCCCGTCCTCCCTCATCCCCTCTTCAATTCAACCCGTAAGCTATTTTTTGCCCACAACCTCCGACGCCTTCTCTGCGGCCTCCCCAGCCAATCCCTTCGCCTTCAACGCCGCATCCCGTCCGCCCCAATTCCAATATTGCATGTATCTGTAGCCTTGGATGAGCTGGCTCGAGCAATTGATAAAGTGACAGCCGAAGAGGAGGTAGTTTGCTGGTGTGACGGCGAGGGCGTAGCGCATGAAGACGGCGGAGTAGAGGGAGAGGGCGGCGGTCATGCGACCGGATATACTGCGTTGGGAGGTTAGTTGTGCTTCCGGCGTGGGAGGAATCGGAGATGGGGAAGGGGATGTGCGGGACGTACATTTCTGGATCCTTGGTCATGTCCGCGACGGCGGCGATGGGAATGCCGAAATTGCTCGCGGGACCCCAGAAATCTGTCGTAGTGTCAGCTTATTCGTTCCAGTCTCAAGTCTCAATATCTATCAATCCGTAAGATCCCCACAGCTGGATGTAGCAGTCTGGTCGTGGAGGCGATGAAGATGGTGAGCCACCGTCCTTCGCAACCTTCACCTAGGTACTCCGTCTCTCATAATCCTCCTCTTACCACATGCGAGCCTCTGGTGCCACTCCCACCCTCCAAGAAAGCAAAGAACCACGTACGTGTTGAGCAGAAGTAGTCCAGATACTTATTCGACCGGATCTTCGCGTTGAGGGCTTTGATTGCGGCCGCCATTTTGACAGAGGCGAAGGCGAGTGAGTATCCCGAGTGAGTGGAGAGATCTACGAGAATCCGGGGAACGGATTGACAGAACGCGATTGTAGCACCTCAGGCGGCCTGTTTTGCAATCAATGCCGTACCTAGGTAAGGTCGTCTGCTGAGTGTTGAAGAGGGAAGGTCAGACCAGGATGCCAAGCCGGAAGGCGGAGTTTCAATGTTTGTACAATGCATTCAATTTGAGTTTCTGGAATCGAACTGGGCAAGGGGTCACGTGCGAGTCCAACTGCAGAACACCGAAACGGCATGAAACGACGTGAGGAGAAGTTTGATACAGGAAGAATGGATTGAACTGCAAAATTAGCTGCATAAAGGTCATGCCAGGCCTCTAACTTAGGAGGCCTTGAGCCTCTATTCTACACTGTAAAAAACCAATTGTATGGATGGTCTACGCAGTCATATACAGGACTCTGAGAGCCCCATGGAAGCAGTCCTTTCTGACCCAACCGCTCCTGTGCAAGACCGCGTAGGTCGGAGTTACAGGGCTGGTGAGCCGCCAGCTCCAAGGCAAGCCATCCACTCCCATGTCGGGATTCTATTCCGCAAACTCCACATTGACCACGCTGCCTTTGAGACCCGCCTGTTCGATCGTCAAATCCAGACACTGCATCAGGTTTTTACGCTGCGAGATAAGATCGAACTCCATGCCTTCTTTGCCTTCCCATCCACCAGACTTGATCCATTCATAGATGGTCCGCACTGAATCATTGAGGTAGAATTTGCGGACTTTCTGCTGGCCCGAAGAGGTAAACTTTATACGCGTAGTGGACTTTGGGTCCGCAGACGCGGGGGGCTCGGTATGCGGTCTCGAATCTGATATCTGGGCGAATGGAGAAGCAGATTTGTCGATGTCCATCTCCTCTTCCTCTTGAACAAGCTCCTCGGCTCTTCCCTTTCCCTTGCCAGTACCAGAAGTATCCTTGGTGAGTGCGTCTGGATCTTCCTCTGTTGGCCCTTTGCAGTTTGCAAGGCTGTTTTGCAAGGCCATCTCCAGCATCTCCTCTTCCGTCATTCGATTCACATCGACCTTCTTCTTCTCGGGTTTCCGCACGGCAACAGGGTTCCTAGCGTTTGCCTTCAGGCTGTACCGATCTAAAAATTCGTGTAGCTCCGCGTGGAATTCAATTGGTGATGGCACTGGAGGCCCGGACCAGACCTTGACACGCTCTCCCGTACGAGGGTCCACGATAGCTATGTGTGGGTACGCATCCTGACTATCTCTCGCGGTGAAGTAGTAGTTATTATACTGCTGCCCACGAGGATCGTCCTTGTTGTACTGCATGAAAACAAAGTTTTCCCGAATAGTGGCTTTGATATCCTCATTCTTCCAGATGTCTCTGTTGAGGATCTGACAGTCGAAAATAGCTGGGTCTTGTATGTTAACCAGCAACCACTTCTCTTGTTCCTTGCCTTCGTCTCTTGCCTGATCCCACGATCGCTGGAACATGATTTCGAAGGGTGGCCGGTACATTTGCGCCAACATGTTGGACTTGGAATTGGCTTCGGAGGCACCGCCAGTGGCAGTGGCCAACTCACGCCTACGTGCATCAGGATCCTCGGCAGTCTCCCAAACTGAAGCTTGAGTGAGGCGTTGCTGCTGGTTGAAGATGCCGGGACGGCCTAAAGTCCAGCAGCGTCAATCTCACCTTCTGACGGCTCAGAAATAAAACATGGTGAGGGTTCTTACCTGCGGGTCTTCGGCGTGCAGCGATCTGGTCCGCGACCAAGGCGTCTAGATCATCGTCATCGTAGGCGCCAGGGCCGACAAGCGTTTCCGTTGTTCTTGCCATGGGCGCCCGGACTTCGGGCTCGGGTCCGGCGCCACCGTACATCTCCTCTTGCAACCTGCGCGCCATGGCCTCATCGTCTTCTATGGTGCTCTGCCGCGCCCTTGAGCCGCTAGGGCGCGGTTCATTATCGGACCTTTCATCATCTGAATCAATCTGGATCGGATTCTGAGCATTTGATGTACCGGATTGTGGTTCTCCGCCGACATCCAGGTTAGGGCTGTCGAAGAACAATTGTATGGCTTGCTCGAGGTTATTATCCGTCAAACGCAAGTATTGGGCTGCTTTGCTGGGGTCAGCCGATGTGATGGCGACGAAGCTTGAAATGTCCTCATCCATTACTGTAGTGGGATAAAGAGGTGCGGCAGCTTTTCGAAAGGGGGTGAGAGGGACAGAGCCCTTGGGTTCCGTTGGAGGAAAGGAGGGGGGTGGGTGGCGTGGTCGTCTGCAGAGAGTCGGGAGATATCCAGCCGAAGAATGCCGACGGCGGCAGGCAATGGTGCGGTGACGGTGAAAGGAGAGAGTAACGGCGTGGGTCGTAGCGATACAGCAGGTGGTGGGCGGCTTCTCCCTCCAAGCGTGTATGCGGATGTAGCTGCGATGGAGCCAAGGGATGTCGAGCAAGTGGGGGTTGCTGTTTGTTGCCACAGGTGAAGGGAGAGCAAACGGACGAGGGACAGACAGAGCCGTGCGAGTGTCAGCTCAGGCAAGGGTTGATTTGTGGCGGTGAAGGGAGCAGGCAGCAGGGTGAAAGAGAGCGTTGTGCGTACGCGCTCTCCAGAATGGTTCAATGTTGTGACTTATTACAGAGGACAAGGCGGCCGCAGGCGTGCGTCATCGGGGGGAGTGGGAAGCTCCGTGCGGCTAGGTTTTTCCGTTCCGCGACACCTCAGGTACCTGACAACAGTACCTAGGTACTACTTGTTGGTACTTCGTACCTGATGACACCGGAAGGGAATCTTTGTCAGCCGTGCGAGTTCGGAGATACCAAGTACAAGCGATTAAAAAGCAGTTAGATGGTTCTAGCAAAGAGCTTAGACTGTTTGGGTAGGCCGGAATCTGTTTTTATGAGACTTTCTGGCCAGTGCGGGTGCTTTGTCACCCACGTCTGTCAGTAATCCTCCGGTAAAACGAAGTACAGACACACCACCTGCCACAGGAGATCCTTACTAACGTACTGTGTACCTAGGTAGGCGCTGCGTACACGTCAACGGCTTTTGAATAAAAACCTGAGTAATGCTGGATCAATCTACCGTGTAGGTAGCAGTGCAGGTGGCAATACCGGGCCTGTCCGTGGCCCTGAGCAATTACAAAGTCAAGCCAAGTGCGTCCACATGCATCACCCTCTTGAACCGACAAAGACCTGCAGGGTAACGATCCTCCCAAGATAGTCCTCCTACAAGTAGAGTAGTCCCACCCCTCCGTCTTCTCCCTCAAGAATCTCTGATATGGCCTCCCAACCAACCTCCGAAGCGAGGGAGTTGCAGCTCGTGGGCAGTGTTGAGTTCAGAATAGCAGCCGCAAGCACAGATCGAAAGCTCGAGCAACTCCTCGACAAGTTTCTCGCCCCCTTGTTGCTCAAACTTGCTTCGGAACACTTGGCCGTAAGGAATAAGGTGAGTGTCTCAAGGCCGCCTTTACTTTGTCCCTGCTCCGTCTGCCTGGTCCCACGAGTCACAGCTAACCAGCATTCCTTACTATACGTAGGTGATTTCGGTCTGCCAGCATATCAACAAGCGCATCTTGCCTCCACAGTACGTGCATCCACTTCCACTCCGACCCAAAGGGGGATCTGGATAGATTGAACCGTTGCTTCTTTTGAACCATCTGTCTCCTCCATCGCACGCCCTACCGCTTGCTTGGTAGTTGATATTCCGGCTCTTCAGGGCGAGAAGACAGAGGGTTCAAATCGAGTGACGGCTAGCCTTATTCAGATTTTTGCTTTGTAACGACATCCCCTAATAAGAATTTCAGGGAAATCAAGCTTCCCGTAAGGAAATTACTAGTCCAATTCAAGGAGCACTCTCATGTTCCTCTGATCCGCCATTTTGATATCCTCTACATTCAGCAGGGAATCGCACGCCTTCAAGTATCCGAACGACTAGAACTCCTCCCACTTTTAATCAATGGAATTGCCAGCGATTACACCCAATCCCCACAGCATGCCTCTCAACTGTTCCACTTGACTCTTCGTCTACTGGCCCATTTCAATCTTCCCCCGAGGGGAACCAAGGAGGACGATGAGCTTCGATCCGCGCTTCAGTTGACGAATGATGATGGTGCCTTTCTCTCTCACTGGTTTGGCAAGTTACTCCTGTTTGGCTTCGTGCGCAGTGCCGACTCTGAAGGCGCGCCATCACCTAGATGTCCTGGGCTCTCCGTTGATGACTACAAGTTTCTCACTTTATACGGTAATGCAGACGCTTGGGATCCTCGCGCCAGCACAGGGCTTAACATTCTCGAGACCAAAGCTCTAGTCGTAAAGTTACTTGCTAGTGGCCTATTCAACGACCACGAGAGGTTCCTGCCCGCGTTGTTTGCCTCAGCCGATACCAACACACGTGTCTCGGAGGTGGGAGAAGATATGCTCAAACGCGTCACGCAGACTCAGGACCTTGAAGACCAGGGGCTAATTGAGCGGCTGTTCTCTCTATACTTTGGCTCGTAAGTGACTTCTTGTCTTGTGCATGAGATCGATCGACTCGGATCAAGGTTCTGGAAGCGCCAATAGGAAGTCATTTCTAACATGGTACAGCTCAACACCTGAAGGTGCTTTGCCTGTGAAAGTACCACTACGCATAAAAATCCTTGGTCTCCTCTCCAGGTCTGTGAGGAGCACGCAATACCCGAAGCAGATATCGAGAATGGTCGAGGAAGGAGTACTATTTGTTGAGCAGGAATCATCTAATCGAACGACAGTGGGAAGGCAAAGTTCAAAATTCCGGTCGGCCTTGTTTTCATTCGTGAACTTTGTTGCTCGGCACGGCTCCAGGGACGACCTTGCTCTCGTTGCGGAAGGCCTTGTCGGCAACTTAAGAGGGTTCATTCAAGATCAAGGTTGGCCGTCGCCGGATCGAGACCAGGATCAGGAGCTTCGGGGATATGCTTACGAGACCATTGGCCTAGTAGCTAAGGCAGCACCTGAAAAGATCCTCATAGAGCCAAATCTGAGTCTGTTGGACTGGCTGTTCCGCTCACTGCGTCACGACACATCCGGAAAAGAGGTCGCCGTGAGCATTGAGGAAGCGCTATCATCAGTGCTCGACGCATTCTCGAAACCGCTGGAAATCTCAGTCAAGTCGAAGTTCCGCCAACTTCTGCTGAAGTACTCTCTTTCTGATAAGACTGGCCGTTCCACAGAAGCCTACACAGTCACCAGGAGTACCCGATATGTGGCCACCAGATTCGCGAATCGCTGCCTGGCATACGACGATGTCTGGGCCAGGTGGATTGATATCGCCGCCGTTAGTGGGGGCAAAGCCGAAAGGCACGAGGTCGTTGAAGAAGGTAAAAGGGGATTGGATCCGTACCTGTTCGCCATGCAACATTCTATACCCGGGGAGGAACCTTTCACCGTCACTTTCCCAGCTTTCGACGAACTTGTTCGTACGATATTTCTTCGGAAGACCGACGACGACGTTGATATGGATGGCAATTTTCAGCCACGCATGTCTACTCCCGTCATAGTTACACTCGCCAAGCAGTTCTATAAAGACTATCCAGAAGCTGTACCAGTGGTCATGAAGTATTGCACACAAGTGTGTATACAAACGGCATTATCTGAGAAATCAATCATCTACGAGCCTTCCGAAGACTGGGGGCGAAAATTGGAATCTCTCCTCTCGACGGATCAGCTATCTCGCCAGGCTCTTCGATCATTCGCATCAGACCCACATCACGCTGCTTCCATAGCTATCTTGCTGAGGACAGGCTTTGAGCTCCTCACCCACGACGATGTGACGAATCTTAACGACGTGGGAGACGATTTTATCCGCCTTCTCTCGCTGTCGACAGAGACGAGCTGGATGTTGGCAAGTTTGACGTCGGACGCTCAAGCGTTGGTGCCGTCCATCCTCGCCAATAACGTTGTGCGACGGAATATAGCTGCTCATTCCTATGGATTACTGGCTTCTCATGGGACAGCCAATCCAGAGGCAATACTTGAACTGCATCAGACGTTCTTCGAGAAACTAAGTACGTGGAGGACTGCCGTCGGCGGAGAAATCAATCAACTGAGTGGCGTGGTCGTCGCGCTCGGCTACTACTTCAGCCGCTTGCGATGGAGGCAGCAGTCAGAGCTTCCAGCCGATCACGCAGTACATCAGTTTGTCCAACAAGTAATTGACATCCTCCACACTACCAGGGACGTCACTCTTCAAGCGGCAGTATTCTCGTGCCTGGACCAGTTGAGCCTGCATTTTGTGATAACGCCCTCGACTCTTTCTCAGTACGGGACATTTCGGGAGGTAGCACAGAAGATATACGACCAGGCGAAGACGGGAATGGGGGATGCTATCACGTGCCTTGGTCATCTAGGTATGATCACTTTGGAAACAGACTCTGAAAGTACCGATACTTCGGACTACAGCTTCATCGCAGAGAAGATCTACGAGCTGCATGAAGTTCGACATGTGGAAGCCCAGTTCTCGATTGGCGAGGCTCTGAGCTGCTTTGCCGCGGGATGGGGTTCCAAGGCTCTGGCAGCTCAACTCGACATAGAGCATCCAGCGCAGCAGCATGCGCCATGGGACGCTCCTCTCCTGACTCCTTCCGGACCGAAACGTGAGAAGACACTCACTGCGGTCCTCGAGCGAACTCTGAAGGGCTGTCATCAGAGTAAACCTTCACTAAAAAAGGCGTCGGTGATCTGGCTGCTGTGCCTCCTCCAGTACTGTGGACACATCCCAGATATGCAAGGGTACTTGGGTAGATGCCAAGGAGCATTCAAAGCATGCCTTTCAAACAGAGATGAAGTCGTCCAAGAGGCCGCATCCCGCGGACTTGGTCTTGTGTACGAGAAGGGCGACCGTCATCTCAAGGACGAACTTGTACGAGACCTGGTTGGCTCATTCTCTGACAACAAATCAAAAATGGCAGGCACTGTCACGGAAGACACCCAGCTTTTTGAACCTGGCGCGTTGCCTGTTGGTGAAGGCAAGTCGATCACTACTTACAAGGACATCCTCAGCTTGGCCTCAGAAGTTGGAGACAGCAGTCTTGTCTATCGGTTCATGTCTCTAGCCTCGAATAGCTCTATCTGGAGCAGCCGGGCAGCGTTCGGCCGTTTTGGTCTCAGTAATATCTTTGCGGATTCCAGCGTTCGTGGATACCTTGCCGAGAATCCTAAGCTGTATCCAAAACTGTTCCGCTATCGGTACGTGGTCAATTTCATATCTTTCTCCTGCCATCAATTGTCCTGTCCCAGTGCTAACGTGATTAAGGTTTGATCCGAACCCAAACGTGGGACGCGCTATGAATGACATCTGGAATGCACTGGTTAAAGACCCATCTGCCACAATCGACAAGCATTTCGATGCCATTATGGAGGATCTCCTAAGCAGTATACTCACCAAAGAATGGAGAGTACGGCAAGCAAGCTGTGCAGCTATCGCCGAGTTGGTGCAAGGACGTAAGCTTGAAAAATACGAGAAGTATCTGGACCAGATCTGGGACAAATGCTTCAAGGTCCTTGACGATATCAAAGAGACTGTAAGGGTGGCCGCAGCGTCGCTCGCACGTGTCCTGACAGGCATCCTTACGCGGTCATTGGAAGCAGGTGACTCCTCCATCAAGAATGCTGGCGCCATGCTCTCGCGAGTTCTTCCCTTCTTACTGTCGTCGTCCGGTCTTGAGTCTAGCGCCGAAGAAGTTCGCATTTTTGCGGTACATACGCTTCTGGAAATCGTGAAGAAGAGCAATGCAAAGACACTCAATCCCCATTCACCAGAGCTCGTGGAACGTCTCCTAGGTCTCCTCAGCTCCCTTGAACCCGAAGCGGTCAATTACATCCACCTTAACGCGTCGAAGTACAACCTCACCGAGCAAAAGATCGATGATATGCGCCTCCAAAGTGTCCGCTCTTCCCCCCTAACCGAATCCATCGAACGCTGTCTCGACCTCGCCGACGCAGATACCATGGAAAAGCTTGTATTGCACATCGAGTCCGCAATGAGAGACGCGGTCGGTCTCCCTTCCAAAGTCGGCTGCTCCCGCATCCTCGTCATACTGAGCACCCGCCACAACTATCTCTTCAGACCCTACGCTGACGGCTTCCTCAAACTCATTCACAAATACATTCACGACCGTAACGAGACAGTCTCGTCTTCTTACGCTGCAGCGGCAGGATACGTCGCGCGTCTGGCCTCCGATAACCAACTCATCTCCACAATTGCCTATTGTCAAGACCTATACTTCGCCTCGGGAGACGACAGGAGTAGGCTCACAGCCGCCGACATCATCCACTCTATCTCAAAAAACGCTACCGATCGCTTCACCGCGCTGTCCGCAGATCTATTACCCTTCATCTTTGTAGCGAAACATGATTCCCAACCCCAAGTGCAGAAAATCTTTGCAGACACGTGGTCTGATAATGTTGCCGGAAGTCGCACAGTCCTTCTCTATCTGAAGGAAATTGTTGCTCTGGCGAATCGGCATCTAGATTCCCAGAAGTGGGTGCTTAAGCATGCAGCCGCGAAGGCGACTGCCGGCGCGGTGATGTCTATAACAACAGGAAAAGATGAAATCGACAAGGCGAATGCGGAGACGTTATGGCCGGCACTTGATAAAGCCATCGGAGGCAAGACATGGGTGGGTAAGGAGATCGTGCTCGAAGCTTTTGTACGGTTTGTAGAGAGGGGAACGGCGCTGTGGAGCATCGATTCGGGGGTTGCGGAACAGATTGAGAAAGTGGCGGTTAGGGAGGCTAAGAGGGTCAATAAGACGTATAGACCTTATGCTGTTGATGCGCTTGGGAAGATTGCGAAGGCCAGGGTGGATCTGGTATTGGCGGGAAATGTGATGGAGGTTGTTAAGGGGGTGGTGGAGGAAGTGCTCGGGGACGGGGAAGAAGAGAACGGGGAGCGGATGGAGGTTGATGCGGGGGAGGTGTTGAGGGATGAGCAGCTGTAAGTGATTTGCTTGATGCCTCGGGATCGGACGCTTGTACTAACTTCATCCCTAATAGACGGGACCAAACACTGTCCGCATGTGTGTCCAGCCTCCTCTCCTCCCTGCACCCACTGCTTACGTCGTCCTCCTTCTCCTCCGCCTTCGGCGACACCCTGCCGCTTATCCTGCGTGCAAACTCTATTCATGCTAAGAACATCCATTTGACAACATTCACTTCCCTGCACGCCCTCTTCCTGGCCGCCGCCTCTGACCTGTCCCTGGCCATCGAGCCCGAGGCCAAAGCTGCATTTGAGAAGATACTCTTCGATCCGACATACGAGGGCTTACCGGAGACAATGCGAGTAACGAGAGCACAGGCGCTGATCGCGATTGGAAGGATCCGGGGATGTAAGTGGGCGGCTGAGAGAGCAGCGGAGGAGATGAACGGGGAGAGGAGCCTCGTCGTGAAGGGGGTGCTTGCTCAGGCGTTGTTGGAGTGAGAGTGGTAGATGTGAAGGACACGAGGTGTGACGGTGTCTATACATAGATATCTTCAATGCACGAGCTAGAGATCCTGGCCATTCTCAGGAGGCGTTTTACATGATATACATGCAGATTTGTCTGAGGCATTTATACGCGTTGTGTATTGCTGGGAGCATTTCTGCATCGTGCAGACCTATCGCAATTCGCCAAAAGTGTAATCCAAGGCACCGATCGGTGAACATGGGATTGCGAATGCTTCTTTGGTATCAATCGTCCTTTCTCCTTCATCGGTGGCTCATTGGCACCCGTTGGCACCCGTTGGCACCAGTCTATCTCTCACCGTCTGCCTGTTCTTCAAGTTCAATTTTCGCCACGTTGGACCTCAAGGTTCTCCGCCCGTCATCCGAAGTTATCGTTTTGCAAATCAGGGAAAGCCCATAAACACATCTCACCCCTGGCCCTTCAACCTACCGGCCACCACCAAAGCCCGGCGGCGGACCGGGAGGGAACCCGCGACCGGCCCCCGGAGGACCTCCGAATGGCGGTGGTTGGAAGCCAGTAGGCGGGGCTCCCGGAAAGCCAACAGCTTGGAATCTGTCAGTAGGAATGAAAACCATAGAATAGCGAGAAGACTTACGTGGTCCTCCTCGTCCTGGAAATCCACCCGGGGGTCCGGGAAAGCCCGGTGGCGGGGCGCCAAAACCTCCCGGAGGTGGGAATGCACCTCCAAACCCTGGGCCAGGTGCTCCGACGCCAGTTGGGGGTCCGGCAAGACCGACAGGAATTTGACCACGGCCAGCAGGTCGGGCAACACCGGGTCCAGTCGCAAGCGCAGCAGCGGTCGTTGTTCCTCCTGGAGCGCCTCCCAAGCGCGCTGCAGGATCTGCTGGGGGTGGGCCATCAACGGAAACGGAAACGACATTGGCACCGCGAATGATGGTCAGGCCGATCGCACGGCGCTCCTCGGTCTCAGTAAACTGTTGTGCCGCGCCCGGTGCGGCTTTCCCTTGTCTCCGGCGCGTCCTGCGAAACTCTTCGGTGTCGGCTAGTACGAGATTCATATGCTGACAGTGTGTTAGATTCGCAGAGGCGCGCTCCGTAGGCGTTGCATACCTTGTCGAATGCGAGCATCTGGCCCACCATTTGCCTTCCATCCTGGAGTGTGACCTTCATGCGGTAATTGATCTAGCGAAAGTGAGCCTAGATGATTGCTACGGGAGGATTGAGGGCGCTTACAAGATTTTGCTACACACAATCAGGTCAGTCCGTTCTAAACACAATCTCCTCTCAGGGTGGGAGGTGGAAAGTCTCCAGGCAGAGGCACTTACCATCTTGCCCTGGCGGTTTGCTGCCGCCATACTGCGTGCGGCGCGTCCGTAGACGACTTATCTCACCAGGGTCGAATAGTTGAACAGCACAAAGAAGGAGGAGGAGGAGGGATGCGGTGACGACAAGGGCCTGGTGTCTTGACTGGAGCTCCGAATGAGGTGGATGTTGGAGAAGCTCATGGGCGCACTAGCGCGAATTCGCTTAGTCTTGGCGCGCACCATCCACCCATGCGAGACTCTCGAAAATCCACCATCACGACTTCTCTCCGACACTTCGACCACCCCGACCAGCTTCTGTCCACTAACCCTACCACAGCTCTTTCCCAATGGTCAGTCGCAATTCAAGAGATAGCAGTTATCATCCTACGGAAATACTGATTGTCTCTACAGGCCGAAGGCAAAGCCGCGAACCCCATGCGGGAGCTCCGCATCCAGAAGCTCGTCCTCAACATCTCCGTCGGCGAGTCTGGTGATCGTTTGACCCGTGCGGCCAAGGTGCTTGAGCAGCTGAGCGGTCAGACTCCCGTCTACTCCAAGGCCCGCTATACCGTCCGAACTTTTGGTATCAGGAGGAACGAGAAGTACGGATTCCTCCCGTGCACGAAGACATAGGAGCGAGGACGTTGACAGAGTGTGCCAGGATTGCCGTCCACGTTACCATCCGTGGCCCCAAGGCTGAGGAGATTCTCGAGCGTGGCCTGAAGGTCAAGGAGTACGAGCTTCGCAAGCGCAACTTCAGCGAGTCCGGCAATTTCGGCTTCGGCATCAGCGAGCACATCGACTTGGGCATCAAATATGACCCCAGCATCGGGTATGACTGGATTCTGTGCGGCGCTCCATCTTGTGGCTGACACGACACAGTATCTACGGTATGGACTTCTACGTCTGCATGACCAGGCCCGGCGAGCGCGTTGCCAAGCGCAGGCGGGCGAAGGCCAAGATCGGCGCTTCCCACCGCATCAACCAGGCCGAGACCATCAAGTGGTACAAGAGCCGCTTCGAGGGCATTGTCCGGTAAATATCGATGTCGACGGGTTTGACGAAAAAGGTTAGGGTTTAGCACGACAAGACAGCATATTCGGCCTCGGAGGGTAGGACCCATGGAGTCCCGGAGTGTATTTATCATACCAGCAAGCTACTTGCGGCCTATCAATGGAGCGGGCCTTGCTCTTCGCGAGCTAGAGCCAAATGATCACGACACAATGGAGGCTTCACTTGGGTGATGTTCCGCTTAACCATTGGTGATCTCTGTTCTACGTGCGCTGCCAAATGCTGGTGATGTATCATATCCTGGTGCCTGTGATACTGATGAGTTTCGTCTTAGATTCTGTTCTATAGGCCTCGGCCTCACTTGTTTCGCCGCACTGCCGCGCCGCTGTTCCAGGAGGGATCCAAAGTTTCCGAGAGATCCATCCTAGAGGCACGTCAAGGCTCTGCGAAGCAGTTGCAACTGCTCTTTCATAGCGTCCGTAATCTGCCTTGAGTTCAGGCCATTGTTGGCTTCTTAGCGGCGCACCTGTATAGCCTCACAATGTCGAATCAATGTTGGAGCAGGTCATACATGTCAACCAGCCGGGGCCTTCGAATTCATCCATGGCGTTTTCTTTGCACAGTGACGTGCCATCCTTGGCCTATGCAGTTGAGAATATGGGAATGACGCCGAATCTACTGTGCTAGTACATGCGGTTGCTTTGCACCTTGTAATAACAACATCATTGCTGTAAACTGGTTCTCACCAACGCATATAGTTTACACACTAGTCTGGGTTTCATTGGACGGCTCGTTCCTTCGGTACAACAACCCCTTGCAGGAGTATGCAGGATCACCAGGAGTGGTACCATGGGGGCATCTGTTACTAACATCGCTATGGCCCCTTTAGTAATTTACGGACATCACGCTGCAAATCTCTCCGCGGTATAGATGCCTGTGTACAAGACCTCAGGTTGTTTCCGGCTTTCAAAAAAGAAACCAGAACTGATGACGGTAAGAATTTGTACAGGTGGACGAAACCTTCTGTTAACGTGTACTCCGTCTTGTACTTTAGAGGTATCACGGCGGAGGGAAACTTCTGGGGAAGTCTGTAAGCAACAGCATGTTTCCTCCTCACCACAACAAGAAGCATGATTGCAGAGAGGCTACTGAGATGAAGTTCCAGATTGTTACTAGAGGGAGAATGGGTGGCGGGTGCGGACTACTGCCGTGTTTGTAAGAGTGGGTAGGTCTTAGAGCAGGACGGAGGTCAAATGCCTCAATAGGCACTGGGGAGTCTAATGACAATATTCCCCGGGTCTGTGCATGTAGGGCGGTGCCAGTATCCTAGATAATATGCACAGCTAGATCAGTCCGGGGCAAGTCCATTCCCTCGACTTACAGCCTTTGTGCCTACATTACTACTATTCCCAGATAGTCCGAGTGCTTAACAATAAATTCAAATTTCAAGTGGCGACAAAGGATTTACCAAGTCCATTGCGAAGATGTCACGTGTCTACGATGCAGATATTGATAGGTACCCACAAAGGTTCCCAAACCCCCGTATATATTAACGCACCTAAATATGCAGTCGCCCAAAGACGACGGAGAAAAGAAAGTTTATACCCCGAGCGGCAATGATGCAAACGCAACCATGCAAACTCTATAGAGTCCCTAGCTCTTCTTCTTCGTGTTCCACTGCAACCTCAGATTCCCAAGGCGCAGCTCTCCACCACCCTTGGAACCACCAGCAGCTTCTCGTGCATCTTCGGCTGCCTGCTCGGCTGCCGCTGCCGCTCGCTCGTCCTTGGTCGGAATGCGGGGCTGCTCCGCAAAGCGGATGCCAGGAGGGCGAGCGGGCTCTGCTTGGGCTGCCGTCGTTCTCCGCGCCGCCTGTTGTTGTTCTCCGTTAGGAGACGCCGGACGTAGACCCCTTCTAGTCGCAAGCGGGCCGCCTTCTTCCTCGTCATCGGACTCTGAATCAGGAGTGTTTCCATCTCCCATGCCCAGGGCACCGAGGCGCCGCTTGCGCTCTGCTGCAGTCTCACCTTCATCCATGCGGCTCTTCGGTCCTTGTCTCGAGCTTCCCGATGACGCTTCCGGCTCTCGGTCCGGGGAAGATGATCCGCGAAGGGCGGCCAGGCGGCGACGTCGTTCGACGGCTGATTCTTCCTCCTCACCGTCAGGCACCGAAGATGATAAGCTAGGCGTGGGACCAGCGGACTCATCAGCCAATCGGCGGCGACGCTGCGCGGCAGTTTCACCCTCCTGAGAATGCTCGAGTTTGTATCTGGCAAGATCCTGCCGAACGGAGTGGAACGGTACATCTTCTGCGCTGCTACCCACCATGGTTAGAGCCTCTGGCCCTGCGTTTCTCGGCTCCTGGACTGCAGTGGACGAGTCTAACCTCTGAATCTGGGCGTCGCCCTCTTCACGAACGACAGGCGCAACACGCGCGTGTTGAGCCGCTGACTGCCTACGAGCAGCATCTTTGGCATCCTCTTTCGCGTCCTGCTTGACCTTATCCGGCACGTCGCTATCCTCGATGAACTTAGCACGAGCTTTGGGATCCAGTTTGGACATCTGCTCAATAAACTCGGCTTTACTCATCCTACGCCCGCCAGCGGTAACGGTGAAGCGGATACGCTCATCATCTTCGTCGGATTTGGATGTCTTCTTCTTGGCGTCTGCAGCAGCAGGTTGTGTGCCTGAAGATCCCGCCTCTTGATGATGAGTGGGCATTCGCACGTACTTGCCCATGTTGCGAAGACTGTGCATGGCGCGACCGCCCGTTTCCCCAATGGTCGTCTTACGGTCCGTTCCAGGACGATCCTTGGGTCCAGCGGGGATGTCGTACTTCTTGATGACTTCACCATCCTCATCCTCGACGATAATAGTGTTACCAAATTGATACGCGAGGGCTGGGCCACGCTTCTGGGGCGGCTTGTAGGTCCTGGAGGGTGCAGAAGGTTGACCATCGCCATCTGGCCGGGCGCCGGACGAGGTCTGCATTCTCTTGAGCAGCTTCCACCTGCCCGGATGTTCAATGCCCTCTTTCACAGCTTCAGCAACCTTTCCAGGCGTCTCCTCGGCTTTGCCGCCATGCTCAGTCAGTGCCACCCCATGTTGGACGTGTTTCTCGGAGAAGAGACGTGCGGCCTCGGCAGCATCAGCCTCTTCGCGCTCCTTCTTCCCCTCCCCGCGCCGACTATGCCGCGTACCTAATACATTTCCCTCTTCATCTTCAATAACGGTGTCTCTGCCTTCCTGGTAGAGCTCTTCTTCCTCCTCCCAGTCGCCGGGCTTTTCTCTGGTCAAGGAGCTCTCCGGGCTCTCGTCGCCAGGGACAGCTAGGGTATCAGAGTCCCGCAATGGCGAAGTAGTCTCCGTTTTCTCTCCGGGACTCCGATCTGGCCTGATCGCGGATTCGGATATCGGTCCGCCAGCCCCTCGGGGGCCATCCCATCTCCTGCGCAGCGCTGTACGGCTGGAAACGTCCTCTTCCTTCTGGCGACGGAGAAATTGGCCTGGGATCCCAATCGCAGGAAGGAGCCCTGAACCAGCGGTGTCGCCCTTTTCACTTATGTCGGAAGCTGATGGTCGCCGCCCAAGTGACATGGAAGACTTGGATCGAGATTGTATACGCGGAAGCCGGTCCATCCAGCTTGGACCGTCCTCGTTAGCTTGTGTGTACGTGAGAGAGACGCTCAGCGTGTTTATGCGCTTTCCCAACGTGAAGACTGCAATCGAACTGCCATGGACAATTATACTGGTTATGACGAGGAAACAGGTAATCGGCCAGATCATTTCAATTATGTCCAAGTATTCAAAGCCCGGTTCTGGCAGTTTTGCGAGCGGAGTCGTCGACGCCGTCTCTAACTCGGCTCGAGCAAGAATTGCGACAAATAGCCCACCGACACCAATGGGCCCAAAGTGTCCGGCGAACAGGGCCTCACGCCAAGTTTTGACGTCTGGTAGGATAGGTTTCAGTAACAACATGACTGGAATCCGCCGGAATAAAAGAACCAGCACGCCTAACACGACCAGACGCCAGGGTGTGATTCCGATGATGTCCGGAGAGTTGAACTGTTCCCAGGGGATAATGGTTCCGAAATAGACGAAGAAGGACAAATTGAGGAGTAGATCAATGACGTTGCTGACGTGCGATTCCTCGGTCTTTTCCAGAAACCAGCCGTCATTCGAAAAGCCGACGCCAGCAGCAAAGCCTACCAACAAATCATCCAGGCCAAGTATGCTTCCCGCACCGGCGCAAAAGAGAGCGAGCACGAAGTAGAAGACGAGGAAACTTTCTCGGTCAATTAGATCATGTTCGTGAGCATAGCGGATTGCATGTCGGGCAGCATAGCCGACTAGAACTCCGAACACGGCCCCGAACAGACATTCGTAGAGCACCGTGTAGCAAAACCAGTGGAACGTGACTTGCCCAGCGTCGGGTCGATAGCGGATCGCGTAAACGGCCAGGTAGACGAACGGAAAAGCCATACCGTCGTTACAGCCGGACTCGGCGGAGAGCAGATCTCGAAGATGCTTGGGCACGCGTTTCGCAAACTTGCCTTTTCCGACGACAGAGGAGGCTAGAACCGGATCGGTTGCTGTGACACAGGCTGCGATTGTGAGACTATCCAGCCAATTGAGTCTATTCGAGAACAGACCCCAGATAAAAAGGCTCGTGATTAGCCAGCCCCAGGTCATCACAGGAATCAGCAGCAGCGTGACCGACTTCCAGTGCCTCTCCATATAGGACCGGGGCAACTCGACGCCAACAGCAAAGCACTGGACAACCAAGACGATGCGAGAGAATTCCAGGGTGATTAGGTCGACATTGCCCCAGGTAAGGGGATTGATGAGGTCGGCCACATGAGGGCCAAATATGATGCCGCATATTGTAGCTACAGTAGCTTCGCCAATGTATAAGCGCTCCTTGATGATGGAAGAGCACAACATGAAGAGGCTGGTAAAGCCTCCAAGGATGATGTACACCAAGTGCGCCTTGGTGATTGAGAGATGGTCCCATGCCATGATGGGGCGCAGTTACAGCGATTATGTGTACGCGAAAGATGGTGTAGAGTGGGGGGCAACGAGCGTGGGAAGACGGGGTAGGTTGGAAGGATAGCAAGTCGACGGGGAGCGTCCGAGGGAGCGTGGTAGGAGGGGATGTCTCGGCGGATGTACAAGTAAGTGAAGATGCACGGTCGGATGCATGTATGGAAGATGCGCCCAGTCGCTGCTCCCGGATGTGACCTTCAAGGGCAGGACGGACAGATACAACGGCAAGAATGACCTGGAGGGGAGACGGAAGGGGTAAGCAGTTGACTGTACGGAACCCGCAGGATCATGGCACTCACGATCAACCCCAAACTCCCAGAGGTCGATGGGCCGGTGTGGTGAGAGAGGGAGGTGAGGCCCCTCGCAAAGACTTGTCGTGACAGGAAACGATTTGAGCTTGCAACACCCGAGGGGAGGAAGAGGGCTCCGGTGGCTCCAGGGTGAATGTGGGCGCGGGGGTTTGGATATGGGGAGGGCAGTTGTGAAGCTTTTTATTCTTTTCCTTCGTTCTCCGTCAACTTCGAAGGTTGTGTTTGGGCGCTGGGCGGCCTCGGCGAAACCTTGGCCTTCGTCAGTTCCCCCAATCACCCACTCTTCTCGGTCTCTATGTACACAGCAGAGATGAGCTTGAAGGGACGCATACCATATCCATAGAGACGGAACAGTACTCGGTAACCCGGGTACACAGTTGATAAGAGGGAAGAGGGCCTTGCACTGAATTTGCTCACAGTACGGAACTGTGTACGGAGTATGAAGAGGTTCCAAGATTCCAAGATTCCTTTCATCCCACGCGCACGAGCCTCCAGTACCATTGTCACATGACTCGGGACGGTGCTCTTCACCTCCACGGACGAATGAGATGATCCAAGTGCCTCACCAACACAGGCCTGAGGCGGTGAGAGTGAGGGGGTATAGAGCAAAGTTGAAACCTCCCAGCCTATGTACGCTTTACACCTGGCATCCTCCACGTCCAGACCCCATCCAGCCGTCCACATGCCCTAGATTGTTACAGTAAGACAACTCTGTAACTCTGCTCCAAAAGTCCATGCAACTATGTCCATATGGTGCGAAAATATGGTGCAAAATATGGTGCAAAATACGGTGCCAGACGCCCCAGTGTCGCCCAATATCTAAACCACAGCCGATGAGTCGAATGCGCCAACCAAACTCGCACGCGCCTAGGCCAATGCAGAACTCTAAGGCCTTGGTTCCCCATACACATCCCAAGGAGAATCCAGAAACGCCTCCACATGCGCCTATATCATGTCAATGCCACAATGCACAACACGTGCCAAGGCCAATGAGTGCTGATTCACCAGCTCCCGCATGTTGCCCACATGTCGTGTCATCATTACCCATCCATTGTCCCTGTTCCGTCACTGCCCAACTGGCAACCAGGTTCGCGGCACATCCATGCTCCTGCTGTGGACACGGCTCCCAGGTGTGAGGGGGATTTCCACTCTGGCCGGGCTACGCTCATCCTCTCCTTCACTATCATCGCCGAGGTAGGCCGACAGCCGAGCAAAGTAATCATTTAAACCACTGCTCGGTGAAGCAATGCTTTCGTAGAGCGGCGGCGGCGTTTCCATCGGAGGCGGCGGTTCTTCGTCTTCGAATGCCGGCGGATTGAACGAAGGAGCTCGCAGGAGATGCATCGGCCGGTGCAGAACCATGTCATGACGACCCGCAATGTGAGCTTGCTGTGGCCTAGCAGCCCCAGGGCTCGACACGGACGCAATAGAGCTGGCTCTCGATCTGTCCTCGGTACTCAAGCCTGGAATGAAACTTGTAGGAGTGCCGCGACGGATAGGGGCACCTGGGCAGCCGCACTCCGGTCGAGGAGCATCGTTACTTGAAGGCTCGGGGGACGAGTAAGCGGGTAGGACCGTGTTGGCTTGAGTGGCACGGCAAGACAGGATATGGAAGGGCGAGTCAATGGAGATCTCAAAGTGTCGTCTCTTATTGGGATCATTTTGGTCGGTTTTGGAGAGCCGCATGACGATCTACATGCTTGGTTACCTAGGTAGTCAGGTACGGCCGAGGTGGAAGATGCTTACTTTGATCCAGTGGTGGACCTGGATATTTTGATACGTGGTATCGAAATGAAGCCTGGACTGCTTGTCCTTGTCCTTGAGGTTATGGCAACTCGGAAGCTGCACATTGAATTCCATCTCCGTGGGGCCTATATTCACGTCGCCACTGAGGTCACCCAGCAGGTTGGTGGGGTCCTGGACTGGGACGTTTTCGCCCCTTGCGGCAGCCGCTCGCTGGTCGTATGGAACGCCTCCACCAGACACAATGCGCATTGTGCTTCCAGGAAACGTACTCGTCGGTGGGCCGTCTGCACGCTTCTCGAACAACAGTACCTTGCGCACCGGTTCCATGCGATGGACGCGCTTGTTGGCGCAAAAGTACTCTATGTTCTCTGTGACAAACACCTTGATCCTGAGGCATTGCACTTTGGCCAAAGGGGTGAGCTTGAACGCAATGGGTACCTGTGCACCGAGGGGAAACGACTTGCCGGATATGACAATGTCGTAATGCAGCTGGTCCTCCCAACTACGGCTAATGGCAATGGGTTCGACTTGTTCTAGAGATCCTTCGGCAGGAATCCGAATCAACACGACTTCCTTGGTCCCAACCAGGTTCGCTCGAAAAGCGCCTGCTCTTTCCACAACAGCCTCCAGCTCATAGCGAACGGAGCCGAGTTCAACGTCAATGGTCTCCGGAAGGTGGCTGTCCAGCGGTAACTCAAAATTGTACAGGTAATTCCCAGGATTGAAGGTTCGGTAGCCCTTCTGTGCAACCGATGGGCCGTGGGTGGACGGGTCCCCCTTGCCAAAACTACGTGACTGGTGAACCTGTAGCGAAAGGCGCCTGGCTTCCTTGCTGCTCAGATTTGTCGACGACGCATTTGGCGAGCCTCCAAACAGGCTCCTTTGAGTCACAGTGGAAGACGGGCTCTTCAGCAATTCGACGTGGTCTGCACCTGTGCTGGCTTCTGCGGCCGGGAACTGCGCATTGAAGAAGGGCCAGGTATGGCCCATAAGGGTATCGGTTTCCTCGAAGTCCACCTTCTTCGGGGGTATCCCCTCGGGCCACTTGGTGGTAGCCTTGCCGCGAAACTTGAGCGAAATTGCCTTGATCTTGGCAGGTTTGGTTACATGCAATTGCAAGGTCCCTCGAAGCATGGCAGTGCTTCGCTCCGAGTGTTCGGCTTGCTCGAATCCCTGCAGAAAAAGGACAGGTTCCGCCAACTGGATGCAAAGGCTCACCCCGTTTCCAGAGGCGAGAGGTTTCTCCTCGGGCAGAGGCTTGACAACGCTGTTGACTACGCTTTTCGCCGCCTGCCTTTCGCTGGAGCGGTGCATGTCGACCACGGCAGCGTGCGGCACGCCCAGGGAGACGGAATTCCTCGGCGTTGGCCTCATGTCGGGAATGACCCAGGATACCCTCCTACTGGTCGGGGAGGACGTATCCCCACTGATGTTGGGCGAGTCTTCGTGGACGTGGCGGTCGGCGTGGAAGTGGGAGTAATGGAAGTGGGTGTCTATAAGAGAACGAAGGAAACGTTTCGCGTTGTCCCGAGGGCCTGCCAGCTTTTCCCACTTCTCGAATAGGCGAGAGTCCCTTGTTAGCTTTCCAAACCTGTCAACGAGATAGGACTTGGTCCTCGAGTTCTTGTCCAGTAACCGGCATTCGGGAGCTACGGGTGCGATGCGAATGCGATGCGGTCGTCTCGGGCGGTCCTGAAAGACACCGCGGGAATTACAGGAAGGGTGCTGGGGATGTTCGCGAAGGTAAGAGAGACGCCCGCGGTTCGAGTAGACGTGGTAGTAGTCTGGCATAGTAGGATCGCGTGAGCAGCAGGGAAACGGCGCAAAGGGTGCGATATGTGGCCGTATATCAAGGAAAGCAAGATGACATGAGGGACGTTGGATTTGGACAGGTCATGCAGAGGGCGATAGAATATCTGGAAGGATTTGGTCGCTGAGGTAGCATGACCGTGTCCCGAGTACCATGCTTGGAGAAGGGGCAATGGACACACACACGTCTCCTTGCGCAACAAAGGCGCGGAAGAGGGATATGTGAAGGGAAGGCGAAGCGGGGGGGAGGGGCACTCACGGATGCAAAGACAGTAATGGAGGGTTGGTCAGACGTAGGCGCGGAGCCAGCAGTCATCGAGGTAGCGGCGACGGAGAATGCGACGGGGGTGTGCGGAGGGTGCGGAGGGTGCGGAGATGCAGAGGTGCGGTTGAGGTGGAAGTATGTGGGCTGGCGGTGCCGTGAGTGATGATGGCGACCAGTTGAAAGGGCGAGACCAGCTAATCAGACCAGGGACGGATCAGAGGGCGCGCGGCTCGTCGTAAGCTCAGTCAGTCCAGAAGGGCCAGGAGAATGGGCACACGGCAGGGTAAGGGTAACGCGGAGTACTGCGGATTGTCGGCCTGGGTGCGAAGACCTGGTGCGAAGAGGTGCGTAGAGTCGATGAAGTGTCGGGTTCGGTTGGCGTGGGGGGTGATGCGCGGCGATCTACGCCGCGTCCGCAGTACAAAACTCGGTACCGTACTGTACTGTACTGTGTAATGAGTGCGATTCGTGGGAGATGTGTTCCAATTGGCAAGATTCGGATAGTGTATGCAATGAGATGGTGGTTGATGAGCGGTGAGAAAGTGGAACCTGCCCCGCAGACCTCAAGGGGAGGGGAGGTGGGTTTGTGGCCGTGTGAGTCAGCGTCATGTGAGGGAAAAAAAAGAGTATACATAGACTGTGTAAAAACATGGTGATGAGATCAAAAGCGTCGGAACGTGCCGGACAAAAGCTTGTCGTTGCCCAAGTGGGCAGATCAATGATGCAACTTGGCAGGCGTCCCGTCATGATGTCATCCATCTGCTTCCACTTGCATCTATTTTACAAGTATGATTATTTCCCGCTTGCGGCAGAGCCGGGGCTGGCCTGGGCGGTGTGCCACAGTGGGCAGAGTGCAGAGTACTGTACTGTAGGACGAGTGGGCTGGCCATGAGAAGTGTGACCCAGGTCATGAGGTCGCTCTGCTGTCGTCTCGACTCTCGAAGGGTCGGATCGGCTTCTGGGTGCAGCTAGGAGCTTGAGGGAGGGGACGGCGACGGAGAGGACGGGATCGAATCGAATCCAGAGGGAACGGGAGAATTGTGGATAACGAGACTTTTTCTGGATCCGGCATGCCTTTACTTGTACGCACAGTGGTCAGGGGGGACGGGAAAGGAGGACAAGAAGAGAGGAAGAAGAGCATGGAGAAGAGAAAGCTTGTTTTGGAATACAGCTGTTCACACTTGTCCCATAATGGCCAAAATGACCAAATACCTGTTAACAGTTCTCTACAGTAAGTACTGTAGTAGCAGTAGCATAGTACTGTGTACATACAAGTAGTGTCCCTAGGAAGTCCTGTGTAGTACTGTGATGGTTCGTTTCGCCCCTTCTCGCCACAGAAGGCATTGGATTGTTTCCCGGCTCGCGTGGCTTATCCCCTGCGCAGATCACTCCCAATCACGTGACACCGTGGTGGGCGCTTGGCTTAGCCTCCCTCATAGTTTCCGAGACGCGCATTGTGCGTCTACAAACACTCTCCTCCACGAGCTTCCGCCCACCAGCAGCCCCAGCAAGCCGCACCATGGACCCATACCCATCATGAGTGGCCGAAACGGTATGACGGTTGATAATCCTCTTCCACCCCTCGCCGCTACTGATTGTCGACCAGAGCCCAGCCAGATGCCCCTCGCGGGCGCCATCGTGTGCTTCACTGCCATCCTTCCCGAAGAACGCGTGTGCCAGCCCCATTGCCCGATCGGGGACAACGCTAACACTTCGACCCAGACTGCACTGGCTGCCATCGCCGCCGAGATGGGCGCCACCATCAAGCTCGATCTCACCTCCGACGTCACCCACCTCATTGTCGGCAAAATCGACAGCGCAAAGTACCGCTACGTCGCTAGGCAGCGCGAGGACGTCAAGGTGCTCGCTCCAGAATGGCTCGACGCTCTTCGCCACATCTGGATCGGGGGAGGCCATGTCCCTGTCGCCGCTCTCGAGCACGAATACCACCTCCCCGTCTTCCACCGTCTCAAGATTTGTCTCACCGGCTTTGACAACCGTACGCTGCCCGCATCGCTACTCCTCAATCTGCTGTCCCTCCGCGCACGCGCGCTAACACCACACAGCGGAGCAACGGAGATATGTACAGGAAAAGGCCGTGCAGAACGGTGCCGAGTACCACGGTGACCTTACCAAGAGCGTCACCCATCTCATTGCAGCTCTCCCCACTGGGAAAAAGTACGAATATGCCCGGGCATGGAACATGAAGGTAGTGTCGTGGGAGTGGTTCGAACAGAGCCTACAAAGAGGCATGGCCCTAGATGAGGCGTACTATGACCCAAGGATGCCAGTCGAGGAAAGAGGACAAGGTGCGTGGGTGCGGAGACGCGACATATCCCCGAATTTGGGGAAGCGCGCACGTGAGCCTGAGCAGCTGGCAGCTATCAACCCGCTCAAACGCAAGCTCAGGCGCTCGGTGAGCTCCAAGCTGGGCAGCCAGAGCGAAGCTCTCTGGGCTGGCATTACAGCGGTGGGACGCGACAGGAAATCTGCTGGCGATGAAGATTGGGACAAAGACGAATTGACCAATACCGCCTCTCCCAATGGAAGCGCAACAAAAGAGGGCGGCGCGGCTGCACCTTCCGAGCGCATCTCGGAGAACGCTGCATTGCATGCGCCTTATCTGGATGCTGTTGACACGGGCATTTTTCAAGGTCGACCGATCCTCACCCACGGCTTTGATTCGGAGAAGGTATGACGTCTGTCGCGGCTATGCCGTGGTTCCAGACCAAATAGAGGACTAATTGCTGACGCTTCGTACAGACTAGAATCTTAAGAGAACACCTGGCCAGCAACGGCGCGTTCATCGTCAAAGACCCCGCAGAGCTGCTAACATTATCATCCGACCATCTCTCGCGTGGATACGTAGTAGTACCCCACGATGTTGCGACGGACTTGGACTCGGTTCCGGGAGGAGCCGGACCGATGACTAGGGCTACTAACTGGTGGGTCGAGCGCTGTCTACATGCTAAGTGCTTGCTAGACCCTGCCGAACATGTCTTATGCAGGCCACTCCAAACGGGGACGATTCCCGGTGCGTGTCATTGCGTCAATCATTGTTGTTGACAAGTCTGATACCAGCAGGCTTCAATGGTCTGAGCATCAATGCAACCGGGTTCAGCGGTATCGAGTTGCTGCACGTGACCAAGGTAGTCTCGTTGATGGGTACTGCATTAACCCCCTCCCTTCTTGCGGTGCGTTACTCTGACCCGTCACAGGGGCAACATACCATGAATTCCTGTCAGCGAAGACGTCTGTGCTAGTCTGCAATACGGAAACGCCGAATGAGCAAAAGACCAAGTTCATCGCCGAGAAGAGAATACCAGCTGTCCGTGCTGACTGGCTGTGGACATGCCTATCAACGGGCCAGTTGCAGCCTTATGAAGATTTTCTTCTGAGAATAACTCCTTCCTCTCGGGCCTCTCGAGACCGCGAGCAACCCTATCCCGACGTGCCCACGGTGCGTCTGTCGGAAGAGGAACTGCGGAAGCGTAAAGCGCCGCCGAGAAGAGGAGCAACTAGGCCTACATCGCGCAATGGACCCCAGAAGCCTGGCGCCTTAGTTCTGTCACTGCTCACCAACCCTTCTCCGACAGACTCGTCTACACATCTGGACGCGGGCACTGTCCGGGAACATGATGGCGAAGAACCCGGTTCTCCTGCAATTGGTGGCCCATGGTCAGTACCACCCCAGGATGTACGTCCCAGTATGAACGCCTCACGCCGTCCTTCGGCTTCGTCGACCGCATCCACCGCCAAATCTAGTGCGGGTTCCACGCCGACCTTCAATACGAACACAGGACCAACATGTCGAGGCAAACAAGCATACGAAGCGCGATCGTGCAGGCCAACGAAAGAACCTGCACCCGATTCCATCATACCGCTTCCTATAGAGCCAAAGAAGGACTACTCGAGCATCATGACTGGCATCCTGGCACAGCGTAGGGCTGCCGCCGAACAACAAATTGCCGGTAATGAGGTGAACAAGCGAAAGCGCCAGCTAGGAAGAGCGCCCTCTGCGCCTTCGAATGCCTCTACCGTCGATGAGCCCTTGTCGAGACCTAGCTCTGTCGCTCCCGGCGACTCGAGTGCGCGCGCTGAGGGCGAAGCAGCTGATCACTCGGGAAGAGGGGAAGGGGAAGAGGAAGAAGAGGAGGAGCCTGAGATCGAGGCAAAGAACGCGTGTCAGCCATCTCAAGTGTTGGGTTGGGATGCACCGGGGGCTCAAGAGGCCAGAGAGCGGATGATCAAAGCCATGGGCGGTAAGGTGGAAGCGATTGGCAATGTTGCTGAACCTATTGGACTCATGAAGGACATTGTGAGTGGAGATTGCGGAGGAAGACCTGCGCGAAGGCGGAAGGGATGATTAGATGATGTGTAAACCTATTACGATCTATGAATCCTGGCAACATCCTAGACTCTGAGCGAACTCCCCGACATGAACCGCATGGAGTGGGGTTAACTGCATGCATAACAAGGGCATTTGTCACAGTCGGCGTCGTGGAAGCGCGGTACTCACCATAGGCACCATAATCTGTCCTAAAGCATATAGGTCGACTTCAACCTCCTCTCCAGATGCTCCTGCGCGGTGATTGCTTCACCCGGCTTCCACCCCACCTTCTTCCTCTGCGCTTCCAGCTCTTCGGCACCTCGATCGCCATACTGCCTAATCACCTCGCTCGGCACAGGTTCCAGTTTCGCCTCGTTCAATGGGTGACAGAAGTACGCCATGCTATATCTGTCGCCATTGGCCCTAGTGACACCGCATTCACCATGCCCGCCAGATACGACCCGATGCACAGTACTCTTCAGCATGCCCTTGGTCCAGAAGGACAATAGATCGCCTATGTTGACTAAGATGGGAGGTTCGGAGAGAGTAGCAGGGTCAGGGTTGATTGGTACGCGAGCCCACGTCCGCGAAGGGGTCAGCACTTCCAGTCCCGCCTGGGACTGGGTCGGTTGGCGGAAGAGTAGGGTGATGGAACCGTAGTCTGAGTGTGCGCCGGCGAGGACGCGCTTCTCATCTCGGTCTTGGGAGGAACGCTCCACCTTGGGGTAGTGAAGTAGGCGGAAGACAGTGCCTGACGGCTTGTTGAGGGTTTGGTCGTGCCTTGACGTGAACCAGTCCGGGTCGGGGATCTGCAGGGCGGTGCCGAGAAGGGTCAAGATGCGTGTGCAGAGCGTGTGGCAGGCGGTTTGGAAGCGGAGGATAAGATCAGAAGAAGCGGAGAGGATTGGGGGAAGCGGTTGTAGGGTGGGGACGGGTTCGGCGATGTTGAAAGCTCTGTTGGGAGAGGGTTAGGAGGAGGTGTCTAGAAGAAGGGGGACGAACGGACTCTTTTGGGTCGCCTTGCTGTTTGAAGATTGTTAGATGGGAGAGTAGTTGATGTAGGCAAATAACAGCAGACAAGACGTGCCTTGGTAGTCTCTGGGTCGAGCGATTCACCCTGCATCCGTACCCACCCTCTATTCAGGCCGGCTTTGGTAGAATGGATGGCCCATTCGGCCTTGTCCTCCTCTGGCAGACTGAAGAATGCTCGCGACTGTATTTGGTCACCTGAACGGCCCTGCCTATGCCTTGGAGAAAGCATTTGGTTCGTCTCACCAGGTCGAACATGGCGGCAATATCCTGAGGGGGTATCGTCACACCATCGTTCTTGATGAAGAGGAAGCCGTGCGTGGAAGCAGCGGCGAGGACTTGCCGAGCGACGTCGTCGGAGTCTCCCAAGATGTCGATGACGGGAATCCGTGCGGTTGAAGACATTCTCTTCTTTACATCCTATTAATTTGTTTGCAAAGGATTCTGCACCTGGGGTAGCCAAGGCCAATACTGTAGGTATGTACTGTAGTAATCAGTTATCAGTTCGGGGTTTTGCATGTACATACAGTAAAGCGATGAATGTCCAAGCTTCCACCTCATTGCGGGGTGCTACGTTCCTGAGCTAGTCTCAAGCCGTCCTAGCGTGCCAAATAAGCCAAATAAACCCCAGCCTATTATTATGTATTACTGTGTACTGTGTATTAAATATCTCGTAGCATTCCCTGTACATCACCACCTGCACCTCATCAAACCTCGGGTTGGTGAACCTTGTCAATAATCATTCATCGCAGCACCCAGCCCCCCCATCTCACATTTCTCCCCGTTCCTGTGCCAATTGCCTCAAAACGTCGCCGGCTCCACACCGCCTCGCAATCCTTTCTCTCACCTGGAGACCTGGGGCCGCCCTTCCACCGGCCTTTTCGCAACCTCGCAGCGAAACCCTCCCCTCCACCCATCGCCGCCTCGCCTTTGCCTGCCTCCTTCCCTAAACACGCCTCTCCCGATTCTGCTCCCTCACGCTATCCGACATGATTACAGACTTTGATATCTGGATCAACCCCATCAACCCCCTCTACGAGCTTGGATCGTTGGAGGAGCTCCGAGGCTTCCGCATTGGTGTCGACGCCTCCGAATACCTGCGAACGCGCATACAACAACATGCGGCTGAGCTGCTTTTGCCCGCCACAGGTGGCCTTCCATTTGGCCTCAAGCATACAATAGAGGCCGATCTACGATACTTCGAGGATCGTCAGATCAATCTCGTCTTCGTTTTCCCGGGCGTGGACCTCGCAAAGCCGGACGATCCCTTTCGACACAGGCAGGATGCTGTGCGTGTGAACGCCGAGGCATGGGCCCTGTACGATAAACACGACGCCACTTCCTCAGTCCAAGAGTTCGGCAAATCAAGTGAGTCGCCCTGAGGCGCATGCGTCTGGACCGACTGACAAGCTCTAGAATACGTACTACCCGAAGACCTTGCGCGAGGCTTGCAGCAGGTGCTATTTCAAAACCGAATCCAGTTCATGGTAGCGCCATATAGCCAATGGGCTCAGGTATGTCGGGTTTGATCAGTCGGCTGCTCGTTGCTGACACGCTGGAGCTGGCATATCTCGAGCAAAACAAGCTGGTGCTTGCTGCGGCTGGCTCTTCGGAGCTCGCGCTTTTCCCATGTAGCCAACCCATCATTGCTTGGGATTTCGAGGACCATAGATTTCGCTCCATCAAGCGGAACCGATTGTTTGCGAGCTTGCGGTCCGTCATGGGCGATGTGCCGCTCACAGAAGACATGTTCATCGACATTTGCATGCTCTCCGGGAACCACTTCCTTCCCACGTTCCCACCCATAGCGATGCGCACCAACAAACCGATGCCTTTCTTGGCGCTTGACTTAATCATGAGCCATGGAAGAACCGGATGGGGTGTGGTTGAGAGTTTTGCGGATGATCCACGGGTGAAGGAATCCAATTACGTCGACAGATACCGGAGGGCTCGGCTCGCGGTAAAGCACCAGATTGTCATGGACAAGAACGGTCAGCTCTTGCCCACGGCGGAGGCCCAGCTGCCCAATGACCCGCATGAGTTTCTCGGTCAACGTCTACCAGAAGAAATCTACTTCTATCTATCGCGAGGACTGATAGACCCACGTCTACTGCAGTGGCGTGCGACCAGCGAGATCATCGAGCCTGTCCCCGTCGACGGAGGGGACTCGAACGCGTACAAAACCTTAGTTAGCTCCAAACTCAACCCCCTGCGGACAACAACCCTTAAGCTGCTGTCCTCTGCACTGCACTACTGGTACCAGAACACGGACATAACGTTGAAGTGCTGGTTTCCTGATACCCCCGCACTTTCAAACCGCGCCACACTGAGTATGAAAGGCGCCGGAGATTTGCGTCGGGTCGTGGAGATGTGGAATGTCAAAGCAGAGACCTATACAAAATTCGTCTCCAAATACGAGGTAAACCGCCGTGCCCTTCAGCTCTAGCTCGATAGTTGACAGAATGCTAACATGAACAGGGCTATGGCCTCTTGGGCCGTGCCATCCTCGCCCTGAAGGACGATGAATTCGTGAAGAGCTCCAGCAGCAAAAAGAGCATTGACAGCGTATGTCACAGTGTGTACTCCTCCCAAGTCGTACTAACATTACTAGCCCCTGTCGTCATCGGACGAGCTCCAGTACAACACTCTTTGGCGGTTCCTCACTTTGCGTGACTATGTGGATCTCAATCATAACTTGACAGCGTGGGGCAAGATCCTCGCCGCCGTGGTCAAAGCCGTCGAGAACGACTCTGAGCTCGAGGAAGCGGCTGTCCTTGCAGTGGAGCTGCTACGACTCGAGATGCTCAATGGAGACGCTGGCATGTTCCCCTCGTACAAAGGCGCTCCTTTCCGTGGAGATGGTAAGCGTTATGTACTCGCAACCACTTCTACGTTAACCCGGCTCCAGACAAGCAAAACTCCTATATGCTCTTGATTTCACGCGTGGCAGGTCTCGCGACCTTGCAACACAGACCTCTGGGGTACACCGGCCCGCTCAGTCGGCACCTGTTGGGATATAACAGTGTCGTCAATGCAGTGCGTAGTTCTTTACGTGACTTGGTCGAAGTCAGCGCGACTCAGCTGTGCCTCTCCGGTTGCGCGGACCGCAAAATACCTACGGAGACGATCACTGAGGTCGCCATGAAGTAGGTTATCTCTCACCATCGTCCGCCCAAACAAAACTGACAACATTCTAGGCTTCCATTTTTGTTGCCGATCAATTGTGCACTCAGCGTTGCTATGAAATCATATGTCGACGAGCTTTGCCAGCAAGCTAATCCCGAGTCTGAAAGTGCTAAGGCAACCGTACTGGAGGTGGCGCAGACCCGGTACTTTCCACAAACGGAGCACCTTGCCAAAGATTTGAAGAGAGCGTTCCGACTGTGGGATGCGGTGTTCGAGGGCGTATCCCAAACGGGCAACCTGATCAGAAGGAAGGACCAGGACTTCTGGAATGAAGCGTACAGCTGGATGCGTAATCGTCGTTAGAAGCGATGTGCGACTCCGAATCTGACGATTGTTGACCCGGACATCATTCCACGAATGCAGCGGAAATTGACCTGCGTTTGTTCACGGGAGACTATCGACTCGTCGGCCATACTCAAGCGGGAGTTCCATCCACTGCCCCACGGGGATTGGACTGAATGACGAGTGAGTAGCTTGAAGAGAAACACAGTTGGCGGTTCATCAAAGGGCAATCGCACGGCAGCGTGCCCATGGCTCCAATCAACAGATGAGTTCTTGAGAGATTGACCTCGATGGTAAGGCATAAGGCAAACCGTAGGCCGAGTTTCACCTTCCCCGCAATCGCAGCTTCCATCTGCTGCTGGAATCCGAATGGCCTGTCGGAGCTGAAATTGCTCGTTCGCTTTATCCGCAAATCTACCGCCATTAGTCCGCTTCTAACCGTGGACCGTCAAGGGATCGTTGAACCTGAACCTCTCGCGTCGATTTCGGTCTTCGAGCAACTCATCACGTCCGTATTCCGTGCGGACCTGGCTAGTGTGGTTAGGTAGAGGCAACAATCATCATTATATACTTCTCTCCGGTCAGGGATCTTGCTGTATCTCTTGTTTCGTATCGCTACTATACGCGTCCGAGTGGATAACCTACTTGCATTTGCTCTGTAGGTCAAATTCTGCGTATTCTGTTAAATCCTGTTGGCTACACTTCTTGAATAAGCAAGTAGGAAAGCTAGGCCCTAAGGATTATCAAACCTGGAGGGAGGCGTCATGAAGCGAGTCATAAGGTCTGCCATCTCTCCATGCTTCCTGGCCGCTCAGTCGGACGTGGAAAACGGCAATGCATCAGGATGAGGGTTGGGCCACGGGCAGGCCGAAACACAACCAGCACGTACCTGATGGTAACCTGCCACTCTGTCCTCGCCCGTTGGATCATGCCTGAATGGCCCAATACGGTGCACGCCGTCCACGGTTCCCTCGATCGATCTTTGCAACTGGACGCCGACAAGAATATCTGCTTTCACACGGTGATCAGCTTCGGAACGCGAGAGGGCTAGGTATGTTGCAAAGGTGGCGTATTCAGTCATTGGCGCACGTCGACTGTCTCTTGGGCTAATGGCAGGAGTCAGATAAAGAGGTCTTATTGAATAGCTCTTTGGATGGCAATATGTACATTCCCCGTATTGTCGGGTGTAGTCTAGCTTGCTATGGTCGAGTCATATTGGATACTGGCGAATGGAATGCCATCTCTCTCTCCCGCTCCATACCCACATAAGGTACAGTGGGAGGATATGGGAGTTGCGTGGGATGTGCAGCTCCTCAGAAACGCTAAGGTTACGCAAGTGCTCACTTTACCAACCCATACACGTATCCAATAATAACCCTGGAGGCAGTCCCCATTCTCTTTCATCTGCCTTTGGTAAAGACTTTATTAGTTCCCGCAACTACATCCTAATAGGATACAGTTGGCGTCATAGACCAGGACAATTCCATTGCCCTCATATCTCGGCTCTGACACCCCTTTACTATTGTCAAATTCTATTACTCTAGGAAAGAGAGCCGCCCGGGGCAAAGGCTTTGTCAGAACCTTTGGTGAAGATCATCCAACTCACTGCGATGACGAGATACAGCGGGCGAGCTCTCCAGATGATGGACACATAAGTGAACCAGGCCATTGTGAATGCGGTCCATGAATTCACTGTGATGCTCCAACCAGTATACTCACGACCTGGAAGTGTCCCGGAGTTGTATATCGAGATGCTTATCCTAGACCAGGAGCGTGAAAGCTATTGGGGACTTTTCAGGTGGGTTCGGGGTTGATGAGGGCCTTGGGAAGCATAAATGTACGGAAAGGTTGTTTACAATGAAGAGAAAACACTTGGCTCTTTTGGTACAATAGCTCGGCCGGTATAGGTTCATGCAAGTCCAGAAGCTCAATTTCCACTTGGATCGATATAACGAAAGAAATCGGCCATGATGCTGGAGCCCAGCGTCAAGATAATCTCACTACCTTAAACTTTTGGCTCGCTGCTGTTAGTCTATCGCAACACACATCTTCGGCTTCCACTCGGAACTCCCCGTCTCACATGCTCCAGTGCCTCTTTCCTCGCTGCACTAAACTCTCAAACACTCAGTACTCTGGAAGCGACCCTTTTTTTTTTTTGGTACAACAGGTTACCGATATTGTAGAGGTATACCCACCCGGGGGCGTAGATCGTATCAGAATCACTGAGAGCACCATTCTCTTTACGGGCCAGGAAGCCATTTCCACCGGGGGAAGCATTATCACACGAATCGATACGCCTCGTTTACAGAAATCAGGCTTCAGAACCAACCAAGGTGAAAGCATCCGTTCAGTGTAATGGCTCTGCGATATAACATCTCAAAATGTTCTCGCCAAAAGAGACGGGTTCATGTTCAACTCAAAGCTATAAACAGCGTGCCGAACTGCCCACGGAGTAAACTAAGGACAAGGACTCTAGATGCGCCAGGGTAAGTATACAACATGCATTACAACCTCGAGGAATTCGGAGGAACACAACCTACATCCCACTTCAGTGGTGATGACCATCATCTTCGGCATGATGATCATCCTCCCAGACGCTATCATCCCAGGGATCCTTGTCCCAAGTAGCCCACGTCTGATGTGCTTTAACATCCATCTCCATCTGCGCTGTCCTCCTCGCCTCATAGCTATTCTTCCCAGCAATGATCTCCCAATCCCGTCGTGCCCGCCCAGCCCAATGTTTCGCCCTCTGCTCTATACCCAGGACACTCCATGAGTAGGCGAGGATCTCCTCATACATGGGCCTCTCGATGACAAGGCCTTCCTCATCCATGAGATTGACAAGGTTGGGGAGCAGCGCGATGAATTGCGGGACATTTTCAAAGCCTGTGGGCAGGTTGTCTCTAATGTCCTTGATGTCCTTGAGACGTTGGTCGGACTTGGAAATGTTCTCTGCCGAGGAAGAGCAGAGGCTACATGTACACGTGAATCCCCAATGCTCCCTGAGAGCCTTGACGCGTTCTTCATGCGGGCGGTCATAGAAACCGTCTAAATAAAGATCAGCATGACGTTCTGCTAAAGACGGTTCAACAGAACTTGAACCGCGAGCATGGAAAGGGTTAAGCGCATACAGGAGTAGGTTAGTTCCTCGCCAGGCTGGATATCCCGCAGGGCGTAGAGGTTGAGGGTCAACGTGTAGTCGTCGAAGCGGTAGTAAGTGCTAGATGACAAGATTAGCCATACAAGTCCCGTCGTTTATTCAAAGTCCTTTCTCACTTTGGACGGCATGCGTGATTGATCCTCTACAATGTTGTCAGCTACGTCCCACCCCCGGGGGCCGCCATGGAACTCGATGCACTTACTGATGCTTCAGGCACAACGCCCAAGTGACCAACGGTATCAGCCTCTCCTAGTCTCATTCCCATTCCATTTGTTTTCATCAGGTCATCTAGCTCATGACCTCCCTTGCTCTTGGCCAGGCCTGCCAGTGTCTTTTGCGTCTTCTCCGGCAGCTGCCTAAATGCCAGATCCAATAGTCGGTGTCGCTCGTCGCTTGCACGGCCGTGCAATAGATGGTTGGAGATGATGACAGTAGGATGCTTCAGGATGACAGTATTTCCTGCCTCAATTTTGTTCCTTGCGAAGAGTCCGATGCCACGGCCAGATGTGTCACGTGCTTGGTACGGCTCCTGGCCGCGATCCTCCTGATCCTCATGCGAGAAGCTCTCCAACAAATAGCTGGTTGCTACCTCTGGCGTGGTGATGAGACTGATACCACGATCGTTGGCGAAGCGGCTGTTTGTGTAAACGCAGAAGGTTTGTTTCGCTGATTCACTATCGGGAAGAGCAGCCTGAAGGCAGGTTGGGTTATGCGTCCACGGAAAGGAGGTTGATGTGAGTCCGTCCGAAAAGACGGGGCATGTCTGGTGGGCAGGAAGCTTCAAGATGTCTTGAACCGGGAAGCTGTGGCCGTACAGGACAACCTCAGCGCTTACAAGAACGAAGGGTGAACCTAGAAGAAAGGTAGTGAGGAGACGAGATGCTTTGGACCGTTGGGGGAAAAGAGAAGTCATCATGAACGAGATTGCGTGGAGCTGCGAACGGTCGACCGTCTGTAGAGTGATGGAGGTACTTCTGAGGGTTGGATTCGGATGTAAAAAGACAGCTCCATTGGCATGGAAGCCACGTTTCGAGGGTGCACGGCATCGTGTACCTTTGATTGAAACACCCTGGCGGGTTGCAAGGTCTATAGGCAGATTATTATAGGCTGGCGCGCATCAAAGTGTCGAGATTGATATTGAGAGGAAGCCCGGGCGACGGCAGATATGAATGAGGGCAGCCATTGCCGTTGCGCTAGTCTCCATGCGGAACACGGTTGAAGACCACCACATTCATCTACTAGATCCTCAGCCTATAAATGCTCCGTACCTCGAATAGGGACCGTCAAGTAATGACGGATGATAGTCGAGATGGCTTCAGAGCTTTGGCTTTTGCACCAGAATCTTGCTCAGGCCTGTCCTCAACGCTTCCGCCATGCCGTGCTTCACCGGCTTTCTACTGCCTCTATCCACAAAGACGTGGGCAAACTCCCCGACGGCTTTGACTTCGTCCTGGCCCCGTTCAAATACCCCAATCTCGTACGTTACTGAGCTCTTGCCCAGCTTATTGACTCTCAAGGTGACATCGACGACCGAGGGGAACTCGACCGGGGCGAAGTAGTCGCAGTGGGAGTGCACCACGAGACCAATCTGGGAAGATGTGGGAGGATGCAGTGAGCAGCGCTCGATGAGGTACGTGTTGACGACCGAGTCGAAGCTTCATCCAATCAGTCCGGCCCTGCATGCCTGAGGTTCTCCACGTACAGGTAATAGTATACGCTGTTGTTCACGTGGCTGTACATGTCATTGTCACTCCTGGTGGGCGCAATTAGCTGGCCGTCGGGGCATGACCGCAGCGGATGGAGACATATTCACCATCGCGTCCGATACTCCAACGCGAACTTGTAGTCGCTCCGTCTCCTGGATTTCAGTGCTTCCAATGCCATCTTCGTGTCTTCCTTGAAAGTCTCCCAGAGAGCGTCAGGGCTGCGAGCCCAGTAGAGCCAAATATCACATTTATATCTAAATATACGAGGGGTTGCGGAAACGGGCGCTAAGAAGACCGCCGAGGTTCAAGAGAGAAGTTCGGGTTCCTGCGACAACTGGTTTGTGCTCACCACCAGAACGAAATTCATTCTCCCAATCCTACCTTCTGGGCACACAACGAACGTCCCCGCGTCTTTCCGCAGGCGCGTTTCCCTCCCTTCACGTTGGCGCCCTCACCCCGCATCGTCTCGTATCTCGCCAGAAAAGGGCGCATGTCCATGGCCCTCGTCCCTTCAACCGCCAACGACAAGTATCCCCCGTACGATGAGGATAAATTCCCCTTCGTCGAGCCACCGCCAGTGGTAATCACCCCTTGTGATCCCTGGCCGCCGCCATACTATTTGGAGGGCGGGCTACGCAAGGTGAAGCCCTACCACTTCACCTACAACACCTTCTGCAAGCAACGATGGCGTGGGAGGGAGCTTCTCGACATCTTCGCCTCGGAATTCCGAGATAGGCCCCTTGAATACTATGTGCGTCGCCCTCCTACAGTCTCGCGCCGCCTCAACTGATGCCCGTCAGGAGAAAGCCATCATCGAAGGACGCGTAACCCTCAACGGAAAGCCTGTCCCGTCCACCAGTACAATCGTGAAAAACGGCGACTGCATTTCGCACACGCTGCACCGCCACGAGCCGCCTGTCACCGCAAAACCCATCGGCATTGTACACGAAGATGATGATCTCATCGTTATCGACAAACCGGCGGGCGTACCAGTTCATCCTGCCGGCCGCTACAACTTCAACTCGATTGTTTCCATAATGCGCGCTGACAGGGGATATGATTGGAATCCGTTGCCCTGCAATCGACTGGACCGGTTAACCAGTGGAATCATGTTTATCGGAAAGCATAGACAAGCGGCCGAAGACATGAGTGCGCAAATCCGAGGCAGGACGGTCAAGAAGGAATATATCACCAGGGTGGTAGGAGAATTCCCAGAAGGCGAAGTCGTCTGCGAAAAGCCCATTCTGCAGATTAGCCCAAAGTTGGGCCTGAATCGTGTGAGGGCGAATGGGAAGGAGGCAAAAACTGTCTTCAAGCGCATGGCATACTACCCACCAAAAAACGACAACGCAGCCGAAGCAGCGAAGAGCGAGCAACACGAAGGGATGGAGTGGAAAAGCAAAAAGGGATATTCCATTGTACGCTGCTTCCCAATCACAGGCCGTACCCATCAACTGCGTGTTCACCTCCAGTACTTGGGCCACCCAATCGCAAACGATCCCATCTATGCAAATCAGCGCGTGTTCGGGCCATCGCTCGGAAAAGGCCAGTCGGATGAAGAGAACGACGAAGACATCATGTCGCGTCTGTCGCGTATGGGTAAGGATGAGGTGGCGGATGCGGTGGCATATCACGACGAAATGGTTGACCAGTACAACAAGCGCAAGGCGGAGAAGCTAACCGGGGAGACTTGCGAAGTATGCGACACACCCTTATACAGCGACCCTGGGGTTCACGAACTCGGTATATTCCTGCACGCGAGAAGATACCATTGTGGTGAAGGCAAATGGGACTATGAAACTGGTCTACCCGAGTGGGCCCTGCCGCCTCCAGACGTGGAGGGACCAACCGTGGCGACGGAGGAGTCAGACCCGCTTGCCGTCGATCTGCAAAAATTGGAGTTAGAAGATTCACAGGCGCGCGAAGGCACGGTACACGAGCATGAAGCGCCCATGGCGGCCAGCGCAACCGCATAACATATGATTCGAGGCGAAAATGGCAACATGTATGCGTCAAGTGTCTACATTTGGGCGTGGCTTATAGGAATAGTGTAGCATCATGGCTCAAGGGAAATGGGTGCACCGCCCTTCTCGCCGGACAGCAAGCAAGCCTCTAGCAGCTCCAGATCCTTCAGGGCTTCCTCCGGACTCTGCCGTGGGTTTGTTTCCCCTTTCACCAACGACTCCGCCCATGCCTTCACCTCCTGCTTAACACCATTGCCCTCCTCCGGAAACTCCCTGACGTCCTCCTGGCCGTCCCTCGTGACAATGACCTTCCCTCGGGAGACCCACACGCGGCCTTTCTCAGCAGCAACGGCATACTCTGAACCGGTAAACGTTGTTCCGAACGATATGGAAAGGGTGCCGGATGCCCCATTCTTCAGCTGGACTGTCGCATTCAGAGTGTCGAGCGGAGGCAGATGCTCTTGTAGCTGCGCCGTGAAGGCGCTGACCTTTGCCGGAGCCGCGACGTTGCCCAAAAGCATCCTTGTCGCAGCAACGAAGTGTACGCCCCCATCCAAGAGGAAGCCTCCCTGGTACTCTGGCGTCTTCCTCCAGGCTGTCTCGAAGTACTTGCCGCCCGGTTGGACCAAGTTGCTCACTCTTGTCCTGAACTCCAGCACGCGACCGAGTGTTGTGACTTGCTGCGCCGCAAAGTCAAAGGACTCGAAGAAGCGGAAGTTTTCGGCGATGGCGAAAGTGGGAGCGGCAGTAGTTTTCTTCACGCTGGCATTATACCAGGAGAGGAGCTCCTGGGCGGTGGCTACGTCCTTTGCGATGGGCTTCTCCGCCAGAACATGTTTCCCCGCGGACAGTGCCTGCTTGATGTACGAGGGTTGGACTGGAATTGGCAGTCTATTCTTGGTTGTCAGTCGGGTTCTATCTGCACATTTCAAGGCCCCTCGTACGCTATGATGACGCCGACAATGTCATCTCGTTTCAACAGGTCTCCAAACGTCTTGCCTTCCTGGTCCTCGCTGTACAGGTCCACGCCCGAGAGCTCAGCAGACAAAGCTTGGGCAGATTTCAGGGAGCGTGAGTAGACGGCTTTCAAGCTCAGAAGAGGAGTTGCACGAATTGCCGGCTTCAACCATGTAAGTCTTCACAGTCAAAGCGACCATTGCCGAAGTTCATGCCACCATACCAGATGCTCCTCCTTGGCAAAGATGCCGCTGCCGACGAGCGCAATACCAGTGGCCATTGTTGCTGAACGACGGAATCAGAGAGAGTGAGAGAGGGTACACGCTGACGCTGACGCTGGCGGTTGGTGGGGAGCGAGTGGAAGTGGGATAGATACAAGTAGATGGGAAACAAAACGAAGCGAAAACCTGGACAGAGCAAAGTAGACTTTGCCCCACACTGGGCGGCGACCTCACGGAGCACGAGCAGGTGGACGGTCACCTGATCTGATTGGCTGTGGGTGGTTCTTGGCCCACAACTTCCCCATGCATTCTCCAGAGTGTGTGCACAGCGGGTGAACTGACCAGTATTTCCTTTGGACTTTTTGCACTCACCCCTACTGGCATGCCGCCCCCCAAAAACCAACTGAGACTCCATCTGTACATCTGATCGGATGGCTAAATCCAAAACCGCGAAGCGCAAAGCCGCTTCTGCGCTGACCAGCCAACCCAAGGCCGCGAAACGTTCTCACACGCTGCCCTCCCCGCCGACCACCGACTGCGACCGCGACACACCTCCCACCCTCGAACCCAAGCAGCTCTCCTCGGTCATCTCTCCCGAAGAGCTCGAGATCACAATCGACACGCTCCGAACCCTCGCCCAATATCCGACTCTCATCAAATCGAAAGCTTGCCAGCCGTTGCGGGCTGCTACCTACGACTTCCGAACCGTCTGCACGACTGGACTAAACTCGGCACCCACGATATCGAATGCGAACACTAGTGCCTCGTCTTCGAGCCTCACCTCTCGCGTGAGTGCTGCACTAGCCGATGGGCGCTACATGGAAGCGCGGGTCGCGCTGGCGGAGATGCGCGTGAGGGGCTTAGCTCCGAAGCTTGGAGCCCTCTGTCGATGGGTACGGGACCTTGATGTTGTTAGCGGATTGAGCGGCGACCAGGGGATTCATGGGAGAGGTACACGAAGTTCGTGCGAGAGAGAAGCGTTCCGGGCCCTGGATGCCGTACTGCGTGTGACGTGCCCCATCGATGAGACTACATCGGTAACAGGAGGAGCGACCGGCGGGGACATGATGATCAACTTGCAACCTGCTTGGAACCTGCGCGTTCCATCTACGGAAGACGGGCAAAGCCGTAATGCCGTTAAAAATGGGACCCTTTTTGCAACGGATCAGGAGAGGGCAAGGACCGCATCCAAATACACTCTCATCGAAAGGACCCCGGGCCTACTTCGAAAACCGCCCAATCATCACCCTGCGCTTTTGTATACGTCGGAACCAGGCGCTATACCGTTGACTGCGGACAAGCATCTCACTCCCACCCTCCACAAGCATCCTCTCGTCCCAAACTTATCCCTCATCTCATCTGTCCTGAGCCCATCCGAGTGTCGAGCTATTGTAATGGCTGGCGAGGCCGTTGGTTTTGTCCCCGATGCACCATTGAAGGATGATACCGACGACGTCAGTATACTTGCCCATAACTTCTACTGGGTCGTTGATCAACCTTTTCATGACGCCCTGTGGGCCCTTGTCCGCGATTTTGTTCCGGCACACGTAGGGGGGAGAGTTGCAAGGGGCATCAACAGACGATTCAGAGTGTATCGCTATGTACCTGGTGCCGAATATCGTTGTCATATTGATGGTGCTTGGCCACCTTCAGGCATTTCGCCTACGGGACAATATCAATACGATGCCAGCGGGCCTGAAACCGGGGGGAAACAGTCGAGCCTGTTCACTTTCCTGATCTATCTCAACGAAGATTTCCAGGGCGGGGAAACAACCTTCTTCTTGCCCAGCGTCAAGGAGGGCGTGCTGAATGCATACCCAGTCAAACCAGTCATGGGCGGTGTTGCTCTTTTCCCACATGGGGACAGCAAGGGGGCACTGCTACACGAGGGCACAGGAGTCAGAAGTGGAGCGAAATACGTGATCAGGACTGACGTTGAGTACGATGTGGAGCCCTCGATTACGAATGAAACGGAGGCATCATAGTAGGACAGGTCCCTCTGCTCGGGTTTGCGTCCGACACACGTGTAGTTGACGGCCTTCGACGGCCCGTAGGGGTTGCGCGTCTGGCGGACGTCTCAGCCATACCACTACGTCCTTGGCAAATTTGGAGGTGAGTACAGAGGTGATAGAAAGAAAGAGAGTAGTCCTCTACACCCCCGAAAACAGATTCTCAATTCCGGCATGGTCCACACCACTTTCCGGATCTCCCCTTGGACAACGCTGCAACCAACACCCCATGGCCACGGAACTTCACACTAGACCGTGTGTGGGACTAAGTTATAGATTATCTCCCTCTCCGGAGTCATGGTCAGGCGAATTACAAATTGATCTTGACGCTCGCTCTCGGATTTGGCGATGCAGCCAATTCACCCCAGGGCAATGCCCAGCCGGGGACAGCATGAGAAGGTGGACGTTGGAAAAATCCACCCATTGTATCTAACGGTCCATGCGCTTGCTTTTTAAAGTACTGTTGTCCACTGATGTACATATCGAATCCCTTCCCGAAGCGGTTTATCCGAATTGGTACACATGGCCGTAGAGGAGACTCGAAGCGCCTGATTTTTAACCCTGCCCAGGTGAGCTTTGGATCGTTCCCCGCATTTAGATGAATTTGCCCAATCTTGAACCTATCCCTACGCTTCTTCTATTGCAGGCGCACTCGGATCCAAGTCGGAAGTCCGCGGAGAGAATCTATCTGTGCATGATGATTATCATGTGTGTGGGAGGTGCACTTAGACACGTTGAATGGCTAAAACTACGACTCGGTTTGACGACTTGTTTGACGTACCGTCAGTGTAATCGGCGAATGGCGTTAGCTAGTCATTTTGGCAAGTATATGGTATTAAGATTCTGTCCAGATTGGACTATTAGCAAGGCTGACACATAGACCATAAGACGTGCCTTTGGAAGTCGCCTCTCTTCTTTGGACAGCTGACTTTGGCTACCGCAGTAATTAGATCTCTCGACGGCTCTGGCTTAAACGACTGTTCCTTTCCTGGTTGCCATTGATGAGATGGAGCCTTGGAACCCAATGTGTTGATTAATACTTGTAGGTTGAATTGTGCTAACTATATAGGGCAGGTGCATACCCCGCCCCCTGTATATATTCGCTCAGCATCTTCTTCCATTCCCATATATGGAAGCTTCTGTTCTCTGGACCTTGTTCGCGCGATCCTTCAATACTCTGTCCGATCTTGCTATATCGCTACATGTGCAATCTCCAAGATGTGCCGGCTTCGCTACAACGTTGCTGCGACCCTGGACGGTTACATTGCTTCAGCCGATCACAGCACTTCTTGGATCATCGAAGATCCCACGATTGACTTCAATGCCCTCTTTGCCGAATTTTCAACTTTCATCATGGGCCGCAGAACTTATGAAACGATGCTATCGTTCGGAGACGCAAATCTCTTGAAGGGTCTTCCGGCAGGGGCAGTCAAAGTCATCAGTTCGACCAAGAGTTGGCCTGGCGTTGAGGTCATCAAGAACGGACCAGGCTTGGTGGAACGTGTCAGGCAGCTGAAGGGTGGAGAAGGCGCCCGAGGGAAAGATATCTGGTTTATGGGTGGTGCGAAGCTCGCTGGGTTGTTGATTCAGGCTGGCCTGCTGGATGTTGTGGAGGTTGCCATCATGCCGGTCGTGATTGGGGACGGTGTCAAAATGGTAGAGTTATTCCCAGGGCAGACACAGGTTCAGCTCCACCTCGAAAACGTGGAGAAGAAAGAGAGCGGCATCATAATGACAAGGTATACTGTCGGGTCCCGCAGACCAGTGTAGGAACTCTGCTATGGTCGCAGGCTTGGTGCCGAAGTGGAAAGTCCAGGCGAGGAATGCCCCTTGAGTGTCCAATGAGCACTACTTGTCTCAGAGCTCTCACAGGGACCGTGGGAGACACTCGATAGTCCACTCGCCGCAAGGGCATGTCCGATGGTCACGCTGCATTTCTGATTTCTTCCAAACGGTAGATGCATATAAGCAACCACAACGTCGTACAAGTCGCTCGCCCTCCGTTACTGAGAAGCATAATGTCAAGTATTACGGGGTGCTGAGAAAGGCAACGATTTTGGCCGCAATGTGGGGGCGCGTCGATAGAAGTCACGGGAGATTCATTATTCATGTACCTATGTTAGGGTGGCACAATATGGCACAGCGCGCGCGTGTATAGGTATATATCATGATACCGTGCAATCGTCAGGAAGTACATATCAAGTCCGGTCAGCAGAACTCGGAAGGGGAGAGGGGTGAGAGGCCGCGATTCACACTCTCTTCAGTTGGGTCTATCGTTTGTTGATGACAGGCTCAAATCCCAAGTCCAGCACAACATGTCAACGGCGGCGTTTATTGTTCTCGGGCGCTCTTACGGGAACAAGCTCTTCAGAACATCACCATATTGCGTGTATGACAAGCCCATTTTCTCGATATCATAGTCGTTCCAATAGCCTCCACCACCAAGCGTGCTCTGCCGGTTCCAACCCGTGAACTTTGTCCGAGCTTGGGCAGCTGTCGTACCATAGGCCGGCTTTGAGTCGTTAGTGACCCATAACAAAGGCACGACCTTCATTCCGAGTGTGTTCTGCCAACTACTAGGGTTGTTGCGTGCACCCCCATCATAGCACTGAAGATATACTCGGTCAAGAAGGAGACTGGGCTCCGCTAATCCTGAATTGATCTGCGCTTTTATCGTGTTCCAAAAATTGATGTTCGTGTATGGCGCAATGGTGTATTTATACCCGATGTTCCCCAGCAACTTTGCAAAGGTCACGGTACTTGCGATATCGTATATGGATTCGTCATCATTGTTGACAGCATCCAAACTCCAAGCTGCCTTCAATGCCTTAAAGCTTCGGTATAGTGTGGTGCCCGGGCTCGGGCCCGGGTTCGCTAACAGATTGCGAATGTTTTGGGCGTTCATAGAGATCTCGAGGCGGTCCACGCCTGTGACATTGCCTGTCTTGAAAGAGCGTACCTTCTCTGCAAGTGCGTCGCCACCAACGTAAGTCCCGTTCGAGGTGAGCAGGACGTCCTGGCTTCCGGGTGTATTCGAATAGTACATGATGTCACCGTTATTACGGACGCCCACGCCGAAGATGATGAAGGTGTTGAAACCCGATGTTCTCAGAGCGACTGTATTTGATTTCATCACATCCTTGAAAAGGAAAATGCTCCGTATGCTTGCGGCGACTGAGTGGCAGGTGAAAGTTTGTAGCAGGAGAACCGTTATTATTGAACGGAACTTCATGTTCGGGATAGCTTCGAAAGCAAGGCGGTGATGCATTGGACGGAAGTTGAATCCACGGAGCCCTCGGGGTTGCTCTATTCAAGAGGTAAGTACGCTGCCGGTTTTCGCACCCGACCGGACGCCTCCTCTGTCCAGGTATAACAGGCCTCAAAACGAGGTCCTCTAGTGGCACGGTTAGATTGCAACCAATTAAATTCTGCTAAATAGCTAATTTAACTTGGAGCGGAAGTCTGCTAAGCTCTGGGAACAGTCTTAAACGTAATTAATGGTAATGTCCCCGACAGGAGGATTGCAGATGTGAGGAGGGTTTCTGCTAACACTAGTAATCGTTCTTGTCCTTACGCTGCGGTTAAACGCCGTTTCCCAAGTGTATCTCCCACAAGGGACACGCCACGGAATAGCCCTGGAAGTCAAGAAAGTACACCGATAAATGACAGAAAACCAGGAGAACACTACTCAACGTCCAGCCATGTTCAACAAGTCTTTCGCCTCCCCGGCTGAATAATCTACCTGCAGGTATTGCTGAGGGAAATGGTCTCAACGAATCAAGGCCAGGAACCACTCGGACGTGAGATACATAAGAAAGAGCTGAGAGTGGCAGATACGGCTCTACTCCCTGAACCTGCGATGTCGGAAGCATTCATGGGTGCCAGCCACGTATGGATATTCAGTGAGTTAACGATTGAAGAGTACTACTTCTACAGCCGCCACATGTGAAGGAAAATTCGAATAAAGGCCATCAGTTCATTGACATCCTCCGCTATGAATACAAAGACTGACGGAAACGACCGTTTGTGCAGAGAGCTATTTGTGCAAAGAGCTTCGTCAGGCTCTGAACCTAACCTCCCTCTTTGTTCCCATCCCACCACCCGGCAACTCAGACAGCCAGGTGTCGAGGTTTTCATTAATGCTGCTTTTCACAGCACATTTGTTCATGGCGGCCACACCCTGACTCTTCAGGGGCTTCCCGTTTTCACAAGCGGTGAACATGCAGTTGCTGTCCATGGCCCTTTGGAGGGAATCACCCTTCCATCCGAAGACATAGTCGGCATGTGTGCCGTACCCTTTGTTGTCTCCATAAGACAGGAAGAATGGGTTGGAGCCATCCTTAGGCCACATCGAAGAAAATTGAGTGGTATCCCACAGGGTCTCGTATGCAACTTGTGGCACGCGGACGGGGTGAGAGGCCGGGCAGGGACCCGCTTCTTGGAAGGCTTCCTTATTGGTGTTGTACATGTGGGATTGATGATCCGGAGAATCGAGGTTCTTGCCGTCCCAGCAACTGTTCAATGCCCTTCGTCAGCCGGTACATTGTCGATAACCAAAGGTTGCGCTTACGCTGGGAAGTGATGCACCGTCATGATGCCGCCCTTGCAAGGCTTGGTGGGGAAGTCAGGAAGCTGATATCGTTAGCCTAAAGGTGGGGGTATTTACAAACAATCTGCGGCTCATCTCAGACATGATGGAAACTGTAGACATACCTCAGGGAAGCGGGTATTTTTGTCCTGCAGACACACGAACCTAAGCCCGACGTTCTTCTTTGCCTTGTCGAGCGAGTCGGTAGTGGGCGATCCAACAGTCATACGGAAGCCCTAGCACTCGTCAGTGGGATCAGCGGAAAGTTCACAGGAGCTGACCTTGGGGAACGCGGTGATTTTCTTGTTGCCGTTGGAGTTGAAGTCTTTCTGTGTGTAGTAGATTGTCATGCCACCATTGATACCGCTCGGCAATGCCGCGTTCTGCATGATCGGGACCTTCTTGTACGAGCCATTCTCGTGTCTAAAGAACATGGCCGCAGTCCAGCTGTGACAGTCAGACCAGGGCTTGAGATGACACGCCTCGTGACCTACTAGTTGCTGAAGTCCTCGGTGAAGGTGCAAGTGGTGCAGGTGGCCTTCTCGCCAATGTCCCCAGTCATAGTGGCGTTGAACGCATTGCCGCCGACTATCTGAATTACAGTTCAGCGAGATGTGAGCGGATCTTGAGCGTCTAGCCCACCTGATGGACATGCGCAGATGGCATATGGCCTGGCTCAACGAGGGGGTCCAGGCGCTGAATGCTCAGCGTGGAGCATCCGAAGCGCAAGGCAGCCTGAGAGGGCGCGATAAGCGTCGCGGCGACTGAGTACCACTTCATGCTCAGAGAAGTCACTGTTGCGTGAAGAGTGAGGGAAGAGGGGTCTCGAAACTGGATGGCTGAAACTACAAGGTCGTGGATATATATTCGATCCTCTTCCAACCCCTCAACCGTCGCCAGACCAGAAAGCTGTCCAGGAAGTATGGTGGTTCAATCTCTATCTCACGTTTATCCAGATGCAAGGGCAAATAACCAATAACAAGCTTTCGTTAAAAATTCCCCCGCAATTCGCTTGATACTGTTTAATCTCGGCTCAACGCAGATCGAGCGTGGAGTAAACCTTGTTTCGACGTTATTCGTTCAGCAGCATGCAGTTGCACTCTGGCCATAGATGAGTCTTCCTATCAGAGGTCGTCTCCGCCATCATGCTCCAGAATCACGGCGGCTCGAACAGAGACAGGCAGTTCCCGTGGCTTAAGTGCCGAAGTGCGGCGTAAAGTGCCGAGATGCATCTGTACGACCGTGCAGATGCCGGATCGACATTAGCAAAAGCGTGGGAGGCTCTGGAACAGGAGCTCTTCATTATACAACCACGGCTACCCATTCCATAAAAATCTTGACCGATTCGAGAACATGGTGGAGGCCCATGGTTGAAAAGTCTGCCGTCCTTGCATCTCCGTATACGTAGATTGGGTAGGGTAGTACGCAACATCTCTTGCCCGTCAAACCTCAGCCCGAAGAGGAAGATGGGCCATGGATACCCAAGCGATCTGGTATCTGTTCTGAACAATGTTGCAATACTTCTCCCTGCTATCAGTTGCTGACGCCACCATCTGGAGCCAGCAGCCGATGATTCTGCATTGCGCACCCGATGATTTCTTTTGGGAGGGGCTTTTTCCGCAATTTAACGTCTTGTTGCGTTGTGTCTGGATTCTTGATTTCTTGTCCTGCCGTCAGTTGGGGATCCCCCCAAGGAGCCGCCTCAACTCTTTCCTATACGCCTTCATTGCCTGCTCTTCAAAGCCGTTCAAGTCATCTGACGATTCTCGAGCCATGTGGGCAAACATGCCCATGCTTATTTTCAAGATGCCAACCGCTCTAAACGGATCAGCGTTGGCGGCACCCACCGCTTCAAGCCATAGATGGCAGTCACGATAGACTTTCCTTGCGATTCGCGTTGGGATGGGAATGACCAAGTTGCGGTTGTTCCAGGGATTGATCCGAAAGTATCCCATATTGCAGTTGATGTACAGTGTCTCAAGCTCAGTGACGCCCTTTGCCGCAAGCATGGCCATGGCCATGTAGCCGCGTGACTTTCGTGACCGACTCATGCCCCAACTTCGGATCTCGATATGACGGAGAAGCTTGGCGGTGCGAGGCGAAAGGCATGCGGCGAACGAGAACAGGGCGTCGGGATCGGTAAATATGAGACGCTGTCCGTAGAACATTGGAGCAGCCTCGTCGTGTATCTGTTTGCAAACGCCCAGGACGTGGAAGGCTAAATGAGGCGGTCTTTCCTCGTCATGGTTATTCTTATCGGTATGGTATTGGTATCCATAGTGACAGTGCTCTTCAACGTCGCGCACATAAGATGGTATGTACTCAAGTGTCCGGCGATACCTTTTCAATTTGTAGGCCAGAAAAATGCCCGGCTGCGCGTCATCCGACTCAGCCACGTCTGGTGGGACGGCTGCAGGGGCTGGGAGACACAATCGATATATTCTATTCCGCAGTTCAGCGGGCAACAACAGGAAAGGAAATATCTTCCGCCTTGGAAGTGGCTTTGTAGGGCGGGGCTGCGGGATCCGAGGCCGCTGGGGGGTTCAGCATGAAGACTCGACGGCTGTAGAATGACTGACGGACCTTTGCAGGAAGTCGTTCGCTGTCACCGGAGTCGGTTGATGTATAGCCAGACGTGTCGGATTCGTCCTCCAACAGTCGATAGTTGACTTCAGCTCGCTTTCTTTTGGGATAGCGCGCAGTTGCAGCTGCAGTTGCAGTCGCAGGTGAAGAAGAGTTTGCTTCTGTGGCAGTGGCACTGGCGGCCGAGGGGGTCGAGGAGATCATTTGTCGGACGCGGGCAATGATGGCAATGATGGCAATGATGGCAATGATGGCAATGATGGCAATGAGGGCAATGATGGCAATGATGGCAACGAAGGCGATGGGCAGAGAGGGAGGCGATAGACTTGGACACAAACACGAAACTGTCGCGGAATCATGTGGCCTTAAATATTCTTCCAGCTAAGGTTGGTGGGGGCGCGGTTGGTTAAAGAGAAAGGTTGCCTGAAGAGGCAGCCGGCACCCGGCTGCTAGAAGTAGTCTAGTGCAATTCTAAAGATTAATAAGTCATTCACGTGCACCCTTATCCTACAAGCTTAAGAGGTCCACATCGTGAGAACCATACCCACCCTTATCCTCCTCCTCATGCTCGATATCCCAGACTGTCCTTGAAAATTCATTCGCCCTAAAGCTCGCCTCTCGTTTGTCCCACGTAGTACATCGAGGCAACCATCAGCGCATTGATGTTGATTCTTTGGCGGCAGATGGCGATGACGATCTATTGAGACGCAGCACGCTTGCCTGACCCAGCGTGTGCCTGGGCCAGATACTTATCATGAGCTATTTCCTCGTGCAGCTACAACTGCTGGAGCTACCGAGCCCTCCAGGAGCATTTACCAATGCATGTTTTCCCATCCACTTTTGTTTTCATTGGTAGCACGGGCGTAAACGGCGGGTTCTGGACCTTTCAAATGTACGCTATATGCAGGGTCAGCCCTATCCAATGTCTAAATACCAGATATTGGCTTTTGGAATTAGGCCATGGTGCTTTTATCTGCTGCAGCACGCAGAGCCAGCTTTCGCCCGACGTGACCAGACTGTCCCAGAACTAAGGGGAGACACGAGTCCCGTAGTCATACATGCCAGGAGAATTCTTGTCTCTAATAACGAGCGAAAATAACGGGCGGACGGCTATCGCCCACATCTCTTGACAAGTTTAAGCCCACGTGGGCCTTGAACATGAATGCGTCCATTTACCCAACCAACAGACTGAACACTTCATACTGTGGCGTGCATGTTCCCGCTGCTCGACATGCTAGACAAAGTATAGTCGCTTTTCGACGTTCTCACGGTGCGAATGGCATAAACGGTAGGGTCTGAACGCTTGGAGGGTCACTGCCCAGGAGCCTTGTGGACTTGGATGATGGGACACCCTCAGCTTGGCGCTCTCTTCGCCGTGGCGCATTCTCAGAATGACCCCTAGAATTCTCCAAGTCCATCTCATGCACCTAACTTGGCCACTGCGTATTTGGGGTAATGTTATCGTGATGCGGGGAAATTGCGCACGCGATTGTCGGGGTAAGACCATACCTGGAAGGTGAAGCAGCCGAGTTGATAAATTCTAGGCACAACGAATGAGAGACCTCTGATTACCCCTTCAATACCTCGATATTGAATATAGATTCAACACCTTGGTCGTGAGCGGTACGGCAGTTGCAGGAGCAACCTTGCTAGCGGCGGCCGTGTAACACGAGGGCCATCGGAATCAATAGTCCTGGATCTTACTCTCTGGCTGGGAAGTCTCGTCTGTGAAAAGGGTGCGGCGGCAGTTGGGTATGAGAAATACTACTTACGATATGTTCGGGATTTTTGTTTTATCAAGTAGCCAGGAGCCTCTAATAAGCAGAGAGCTTTGAAGAAAGCAAAAGTTCGCACAGAAGTTCCTCTGAACACGGCACACATTCAACGCAACATGTTTTGGAAGGTTCTACTTCTCACTGCGGCCGTAAAGGCCCAGAATCTGAATGGGTTGAACCACCTGCGGTTTGGCTGCTCCCAAATCACCATCGAACGCCTGGATCCCCTCGTCAATCCTGGTCAGGTTCCAACACCTCATATGCACCAGGTGGGTGTATCCCCTCTCCGATGGTACAAGACTGAAATCGTCAACAGGTTGTCGGAGGAAACGCCTTCAACGCATCGATGCCAAGTGCGGATATCTCCAAGATCGCGTCGTGCACCACGTGTGGACCTCCCGAAGACCGATCTAACTATTGGACTGCCAACCTGTTCTTCAAGGCCCGTAATGGAACATTCAAACGCGTGCCGCAGGTTCCCAACAGGTGAAATAAAGCCCTGTCCTGTTTGAGGGTCTCGGAGCTTACGAAACACTGACATGAGCCTAAGGTTTCTCTTCAATGACAGATTTACGACTCAGACGAACGGTGGGGTTACAGTATACTACATTGCTCCCAAGAAGAATACGGTGACGGCCTTCAAGCCTGTGAGTCGGTGAGATGCATTACTCTGCCAAACTTAGTCACTAACGGAGCGTAGGGTTTCCGCATGCTGGTCGGAGATCCAATGAATCGGAAACCAAGATACAAATCGCAAAGCTGCTTCCGATGCTACTCTGCGCCGAATTTTGGAGGGGATGATCTCGCTCCATGTTCGGATGCCAGGCGCGACTTCGAGGGCTTTCCACCCCAGCCATGCCCTGGCGGCATCCGTTCCAACATTCTGTTTCCGACGTAGGTGATTCTCTCTGAGCCAAAGCTCCGATGCCTAACGCTGAGATAGCTGCTGGGATGGGAAAAACCTCGATTCGCCGAACCACCAGGACCACGTCGCGTACCCCGTCAAAGGGCCGTCCAATTTTCTATCGACTGGCGACTGCCCGGCAAGCCACCCAGTGAAGATCCCGCAGCTGATGCTCGAGGTATGTGTCGCATCGGGTTCATAAGCATTTACTAACGCCAACCATAGATCGTGTGGGATACGACGGGCTTTAACAACAAGGCGGATTGGCCGGCGGATGGCTCCCAGCCCTTTCACCTCAGTACAGGAGACAATACAGGATACGGCCAGCACGGGGATTATGTTTTCGGATGGAAGGATGACTCTCTCCAGAAGGCCATGGACGCCAACGGCTGCTTCAGTGCGACATGTGGGGGGCTGAAAACCCAAGATATCAACACTGCCAACAAGTGCGTCATCAAGAAGACGGTGAAGGAGGATACCGAAGGATGTGAGTGGAACCATCAATTCCAGTCGACTACCTTGGGCGGCACTAACAGTCTATGCAGGGTTGACGGTCCTTCCAGGTGTTCCCATGAAGGTGTGATGTGCAGCTGCCATACCTGAAGCCGTGTTCTTTGGCAGCGCAGCACTGTTCGCCGGAGCGAGTTACGGGCCCAGTTAAGGTGGGCAAGGCGATGGTAGGGAGGGCGGTTGCGAGGCATTGATTTATATTGTTTCCACATCAGGTGTCCGACGTGGGCTGCCGTTGGATTGTAATTACAACTTGCTCTTCCCGCCGCCTAGGCCTTCTTCAACATCTGGGTCCATCTTCGTACTGCTCGTCTCCGACGTTAGAGACACAGGGTCGCCGAGCATCGTCTTGTTCACTTCGGGTCCCGAGGGGGCCGCAAGTGTGCCTCTGACCTTTTTTGAATGAGGCAACTCATCCCTGTTCACTTGAGAAGGGCGACCCTTGGCGAGACCGTAGTTGTCACCATGGTTCCTCTCTGGGTTCTTTGACTTGGCCTGCTCGAAGGACGAAGGCGCCGATGGTGCCCCTTCCTTGATTCCATATGTGTCTGCAGGAATACCGAATCCGCCCAGCGTGGTTGGGTCCGAGGAAGAGGTGCCCTCCCCGTCCCGTTTGGAATGGGGAGCCATGACTACTGTATTTCACGACTCGGAAAGCTGGGTACAGACGGGGGGATTGAAATGAAAAAGGCGGCGGTGTTTGGTCGCACACTCTTGGCAGGTTTGGAGAGAGGTATGAGGAGTGTGGAGTGAGTGGGTGAGGAATGAGGAATGGGTGCTTTTTTGGGTGTCCACCAGTTGGGCGGGGGTGATGACGTTGAGCATCCGTCACTCCAACGGATAGATCTATCACACAGTATCTACTGGTGTAATTCACCACCACCGACCTCGACCTCGACCTTCAAACGTGGCTACACAGTAGATGCCCTGTCCATGTTAACTTGCTACTAATCAAGACTAGCGGTTGAATGGTTATTCTAGTCAGCAATATGCTAAAGATAATTTCTATCGTGTCTAGGTCACACATTTGTTAAATAAACATTTATATACATGACGCCACGGCCTGTAAAAGTTCCCCTGACGCTCGACGTGGCGCCACCCAGCTAAATAAATACTGTAGGAAAAACCGTCGGAACTTTTCTGCTGGACCTCTTCTCCCCGCAGTACCTCTCTACCTACACACTAGACGCTCTACTCACAGTACCACCTTGGAGCCCCGATGATGCAACACGGAGTGAAATGGACGTGACTGTGCAACGGAGATGGCATCGGACACGTTGAAGAAGCTTAATTAAGAGCGGTTGCATCAGATCCAAAATGTCTCCCTCTTGGCGCTATTCCGACATAGTCCATGGAAGCGGGGCTGTGATGCCTTGTAACCGCAGAAACCACCACCAGTTTGCTCCACCCTCACCCTTTTAAGTACAAGTACACGGTTCCATGCCTCCTCGCTGACTCGCTCCTCCTTCTCTCGTTTCCCTTGTTGACCTTCATTCGGCCGTCATGGTTGAACGCCGCCTCCCGGTTCAGCAGCTGGTGATTCTCTGTCCGTCCTGCCTCTCTCAGGCACCCCCTTTTGCATTGGCTTTGGCTAACGGTTCAGTCAAGCAATATGTCGTTTCGCAGAGCCCATCGCCCTTACGTCCGTCTTTCCCTACCTCCCTGAAATGATCGAGTTCTTTGGAGTCCCCGAGAACGATATCGCTCGCTGGGCCGGCCTCACCTCCGCCATCTTTTCGCTATGCCAGGCGCTTACCGGCATACCTTGGGGTGCCGCTTCTGACCGCTTCGGGAGGAAACCGATAATATTGATTGGCTTGTTCAATACCATGGTCACCATGTTGGTCTGGGGCTTCTCGACCAGCCTGCCCATGGCCATTGCTGCCCGTGCCTTCTCGGGCTTGGGCTCCGGGAATGTGGGCATCCTGAGGACGACCGTGGCCGAACTATGTCCTTGGAAGGTGCATGTGTTTGTCTTCCGGACCCTTGAGCAACTTGGCTCACCCATCTCCAGGAACTACAGCCGCGTGCTTTCAGCATCATGCCATTGGTCTACACCATCGGAGCCATCATTGGTCCGGTAGGTTGCCATCCACGAGACCACCACGGCAGAACAGACTGACTCCGGTAGACTCTGGGCGGGGCATTGTCGAATCCCTTACGAATAGACCCTCGAAGCCCGCCCGGGCACCGATTCCTCGAGAGATATCCTTACTGCCTGCCCAATCTGGTGGCGGCTGCCATATTCTGTATCGGTATTCTGGTTGGGCTACTCTTCCTCGAGGTGACCAAGTCCATCGTTTGCCCCTCATACCGGTACTGACACGCTCAGGAAACCCTCGAGACGAAGAAGAACCATCGAGATTACGGGCTCATCATCGGCTCCAAAATCACCGCTTGGTTTCGCAGAACGTTCCACATTCCCAAGCAGCCGAGGATGCACCCCGAGCGCGAGCCGCTGCTGGACCCGCTCAAGGATGACGACGAGCGACTGCTAGACGATGATCCTGCTACAACAACCCACCGTGAAGGTCCCCCAACAATCAGAGAGGTTCTTTCGTACCAAACGACTCTGAACCTCGTGGCCTATACGTTTCTTGCCCTATACACGGTTGCTTACGATCAGCTTCTCCCTGTTTTCATGCATCACCCCCCGCAGTCACTGGACGATCCCAATGTCTCGCTGCCTCTGAAGTTTGCAGGCGGCTTTGGCATAGGCTCACGACGTATTGGTGCCATGTTTACCGTCTTCGCCGTCACATCTACCATCAACCAGTTCTTCATCTTCCCGTCGCTCGCGCGTCGTCTCGGTGTTCTTCGCTGTCTCCGCATCGCATTCTTGATCTTTCCCTTCATCTTCTTTGTCACACCCTTTGTGTCTCTCTTACCGGGACAGAAGACCAAGGAAGTGGTCATGGTCGTCTTGCTTGTCATTCGCGGCATCAGCGGCACCTTCGCCTTCCCGACCAACACGATCCTGCTGACGAATAGTGCCGGTAGTCTTCGGGTCCTCGGCACAATCAATGGCCTCGCAACCAGTGTCGCTGCTGTTGGACGCGCTGCGGGACCAGCCATAGTCGGTAATCTCTTTACTTTCGGAGTCAAGCATGGTTACGTGATTGTGCCATTCTGGGGCCTGGCCATAATTTCCATTCTGGCGGCGGTGCCGACATGGTGGCTTGTCGAGGGAAAGGGCTTCGGCGATGACCCCGAGCCTGACGAGGGAGATGTTCTATCATCGTCAGCCTTGTCGATCTCTTCAGAGGACGGATCCAAGCAAGCCACCGGAATACGAGATGGCGCTCTGTCCGAATCGGAGTATTGTGAGCCTACGAACCCGCTTTCCTATACGAACACCCGCTCAAGTGAAGCATCTGCATCCGATGATGAGTTGGATGTGGAGGCCAACGAGACAAGAGATGGCCACCACTCTTTTGCTGCAAGGCGGTCCAGTAGCGGGAGTCGGGGTCTCCGTCACGTACGTGGTCATTCTCATGGAGGAAGGAGTGTGACTTTGCGAAGACGGTCTTCTGTTCCGATTGGCATGGGCGTAGGATTCCAGAGACTAAGCTCGAACCTTGGCAGTACGGGCATAGGTGCCGATGGAGCGAGCTGGGGTGGAGGTTGAGGTGAGTAAAGTCATGGGTCTCCCGTAATCATGTCCATATTGCATTTAATGAACGGATCGCCCTACCATCGCGTCAAACATACCATTTGCCCGCAATTGCAGAATCCTACGCGACTGCCACATACACATCGGGTGATCCATGTGGAAGATGGTGGCAGATGCGATGTCCGATCCATGGATCAACCCTATATACTAGCGTCCTAACTGAATCTCCCGATCGCGCCCTATGGTTCCAACACCTCTGAACTGTCTTCACTGCAGTCGTCAAAACAGGAACTCCATCGTGGCGTTTTCAAAGGGCGGACAGCTTCAGAAACTGCCCAGGACGGACGTCGACGCTATGATTACCAGAGCAGTCTCTCCACCCCACTTGCCGACAAGTCGAACGTAAAGTACCTCGGCAACCATGCTCTACTGAGTCCAATAACATGCATGGCATGTATTCGGGTACAAACCGCCATCCCAACAAGTTCAGCACCGTCAAACAAAGCCAGCAAAGGACATAGGAACTAGCTGCATTGCCTCTCCCAGCGAGCACGCATCCTTTCTCTCGCTCCAACAAACTTGTTGGGAAACCCTGGATCACCGAATCAAAGCCATGGGCTGGGTTGACCAGGTTCCCGGCGCCGGCAAGCTCTACATTGGAGGACTCTACGGCCTCTATCAGACGGACCTTATCAGCGCTGCGGGAATAACGCATGTTCTCTCCGCCATTGACTACGATCCGTTGTTACAACAACACTTCTCGCATCTGAAGCATTTCCATGTGCGCGTTGATGACGACCCCAACCAGGATTTGCTGCAGTATTTTGACGCCGGAAGTCGATACATCGACGAGGGGATTAGCAGCGGTGGCGGAGTGTTTGTGCATTGTGCTATGGGTAAGAGTCGGAGTGCGACGTTCGTGGTGGCATATCTGATGTGGAAGTGCGGCGTCACTTGGGAGAGAGGGTTGGACATGTTATGTAAAGGGCGGCCGGTGTGTGACCCGAATGTGGGATTTAAGGAGCAGCTGGGGGTGTGGCAAGAGATGCTGATGGTTGGGCGCAAGGAACGGAGAGAGGCAATCTACAAGAGGTGGTTGGAAGAGAGGTTTACCGGAGAACCGTGGGAGTGGGAGGAGAGAAAGGAGAGGTTACGGCTGAAAGCGCTGATGGGTCCGATGAGGGAAAAGTTGTAGTGAGGGATTTCAAGTTCGTGAGCTTCATGTCGCCTTGAGAGGAACATGCAGTCATTTGACACAAACTCCCGAGGAGGCCATGTGGACCAGACGTGAAGCCACCATGAGCAGCAGGCGGGAGAAACGACTCCAGGCGAAGGGATGCAAAACTGACCACATCAACGCCCGGATGAAGCCATAAGGAGACCTACTGAAAGAATGACAATACCAGATGGGGCAGCGAGATTACATCTCGAACTGCTCAACGATCCACTCCATCATTGCGGGTGCGTATGTTTCCGCTTCCCGGAGCAGGAGACGGGAAGCCACCTGCGCATGGGTTCCAAGGTTGGACTCGGTGACTCGAGGGAAGTACTAATAAGTAGTCAAAAGGCTGAGAATAGTACTAATGATCTTACTGAGTACAAGGACCCTGATTAGGGTAAGCGATACATGGTGGATGCGCGCACCTCTTGCCCATCGGTCTGCACTCGCGATGGGATACTCCAAGCTTCTTGTGCGATGCTGAATCGTGGGTCCCGAAACGCAAGCCCTTTGCCAAGGTTGGAACCCGCATCCAGCAATATGATTTTATTATTATGGACCGTGTCATATCCTCGCTTGCGACCAGTAGGGTTGACCACAAGCTCCCTGGCTGTACACACTACTAGGTAGTGGGAGCTGAGACGCAGAGAGAATTGTGGGCGGTGGCTGCCACCAAGAACAAGTCGCCAGCATCGTGAAGAGTGCCACAGTATGTTCTATATCGCATCTGGAAAAGCCTCCTTGGTCGTCCATGGGCCTCGGGAAAGGGACGCCCACCAATGACCATGCGAATAATGCGCTAGACTAGTATCTACTGTGTACTACTGTGTAACACACTTACCGCAGTTCAAGTACCTGTATTTCATGCATCGAGACCCACCACACGCCGGTTCCTCGGACATGAGCAAATCAATCAAGCTTTGGAGCCCCAGACGACTGTCAAGACTTCTTCAAATCATCCTATGAACGCACTTAATACTGTACTGGAGAGAACTGTAACTCAACTTGGATCGACCAGGCCCTTCGACGCAAACCTACTACACGCTTGCAATTGCCGGCGCCGCCGTGCACAAAGCCAGCTCCGAGGTTGGAGCGAGTCATAAGCGCCCACCATGGAAGTAATTCCAGGACATCCGCCCCGACTAGCCCAACGTCTGGCGTTGAATCAAGGTTTGAGCTAGCAGGCATCTCGCGTCGGTGGCAGTATGCGATCGCGAGTGTCCAGATTCCAAAGATCGATGTTGCACATATCCCAATTGGCTGGCCATGGCTTCAACCGGGAGACCAGAACTCGATGATACATGGTGCGCTGTACGCCCTGAGGACGGGAGGTGCTGGGGCTTCGGGTTTGGATCACCACCATCACGGCATTCTAGCGGTAGATCATGAGTCGAGGACTTGAAGTGTAGCCTGCTTCTGGGGTCATCCCAAGGTGCGACTCGAGAGGCGAGACGCCTTCCAGTGCGAATCATGAGAATAATGGGAAGAGGACGCCCCGGTCCGGCTGGGCCATGTTTGGGGACTCTCTTTAACGGGCGGGAGCGCCTAATTATTGATCAGCAATTCTTGTGGTTTCCCGCCCGTCCTGCCGTTGCCTTCGCTCGTTTGACGGATAAGAACATTGCAATCGTCCTCCACGTTCTCAACCCTGCAGAGACGGGACCATCCGGACGTTCAGGCTCCCGACAACCAGAAGATCAGACACAATACCATGTCTGGGTCGGTGATTGATGTGCCTACTGGACCCCCTCCGGGGGCTCCTATGGGCCCTCCGGATCCCAGTATGATTCCGCTGCTAATCACCGAGGACGCCCTCTACCACGCGAGGTCGTTCGCTGGAGTCGCCATTGCATTGCACATTGTAGCGTTTCTGACGTTTGCGGGGAGGATGTGGACAAGGTCGTTTCCGGTGTTTAGGATGGCGATAGATGATTATGTTATGATGCTGTCATATGTGAGTCGGCTTTCTGCTTCCCCCCAACGCATATGGACCACTAGATGGGAAGCAAAGCAGAGGAGATGACGACTGACCAGAGCTCTCCAGGCTTTCGTCATCGTAGACTCGACACTCCTCCTCAAATGCGTTCCCTTCGTCTTTGGCCGCGACCCGTCGACCTTCACGCTCGCCGATGGCGAACGCTCCAACATGTACGCCATCATCTCGCAACCCTTCTGGGCGTGGTCCATGTGCTTCCTCAAGGTGTCCATCGCACTCATGCTCCTGCGCCTTGAAACCGCCACCAAGATGCGCCGCTTCCTCTGGGCAAACATTGCCTTCCAAATCCTCCTGGGCTTCTACAACATGATCACCCAGCTCCTGCAATGTATCCCCCTGCGTGCGGCCTGGGATCTGCTCAAGCTTACCCAGAACGCGAGATGCTGGAGCGTCGATGCCGTCCGTATCAACGGCGTCGTCGTCTCCTCCATCAACGTGGCGACGGATATCCTCTTCTCCCTCCTGCCCATCAACTTCCTGCGCAAAGTTCAGCGACCGCTCCGCGAGCGTGTCATCATAGGGGTCCTCATGGCGTTGGGTATGTTCGCTGGTGGTGCCTCCATGGTCAAGCTCGTTGCCGGCGCCCGGTTCGGCCGCACCGACGATCCCACGGCCGAGAGTATCCGGATCGGTATGTGGTCCGTCATCGAGGGCCTCGTGGGTATCATCGCAGCCAATGTACCCTGCCTGCGGTCGCCTTTCCAGCGTTGTCTGGCCTACTTTGGCCTCGTTTCGACGCACGGCAAGACGGCCTATGGACGTGGCTATGGAGAAATGTACGACGAGTCGTCGCGGAAAAAGTCGACGATGCACAACCGGACCAAGAAGTCGGAGCTGGGCGGGAGTGCTAGCTCGGCGAGCGCAATGGGTATCAGGATGCATAGCATGCGTTCGCCACGGAGCCCGGATACGCAGAGCGAGGAGAACATTCTCCCCGCCGATGGAGGGAAGCATGAAATCTGGTGTACGACCGAGGTGTATTTGCGGGCAGATGATAGGAACACGTCGAAAATGAAGGACATGGAGAAGGGGGGTTAGCACAGGGCGTAACGCTACCCTACATGGACGACTCTTTGAGCGACATGACGGCTGCTCACGGTGTTTCGAGCGCGCACCCTTTTTTCCCTTTATACAACGATCTTGAGCTGGCATATCATCAGACGCATTTCTGTTTCTTGCTCATGCAACGATCATTAGCCCTTCTCCTTTACCCTACTTTTGAGCGGCTCATTTCAATCCCGGTATATACAGACGTTGTGCGTATATCTTCAATGTAAAGATTAATGACTTGGATCAGATGCCCAGCGAAAAGCGGCTGACAGTGCAGTTGTACTCACTCTCCACTTTGCGATACAGGACCAGCGGACGCTGTTGGGTAAGGCACTGGCACTCGCCTCACGGACACGGTCTCATAAGCGTATTCGATCGTCAAGTCTGAGAATTAACGAACTGGAAGACGGTTCAGGACCCCAATCCACTCGGAGGAAGAATTATTCGGCTGGGGACCCAAGAAAACATGACCTGTTCATACCCGCACCCCACAACCGCAAACTACTCATGTTTCGCCGACACCTTGATATACCTAACATGCTCCACCCCATTCCCATCCTCATACCTATGGGCCACAATCTTATAACCCCCAATCCGCGGCACAACCTTGGTCCAAAACGCCCAATAAACCACCCCCAGCAGCAAAACGCCGACGCCCACAACCGGAAACACATAATACGGGTAGCCCTCGGCGTTCCAGTCGCCATCCGGAGGAATGAAAGGGGTGATGGCGAGGAAGATGTTGGCGGCGAGGTAAAGCACGGCGATAGGAAGGTAGGTGTGCCAGGGAGACTGCCAGCGCTCGCGTTTGGAGTAGTGGAGGTAGATGAGGCCGGCGGTGACGAAGCCGTTGATCCAGGCGCCCGGATAGGTGTAGAGGTCGACGATGAAGTTGTAGGCGGGGCCGGCGGGTGGAGCGACAAGGACGATGACGGTGATGAGCCAGTGGAGGGAGAGCTGGAACAAGTCAGTCAGGGCATAGGCAAATGGATGCAAATGGGTGGGTGCCTTACAGCTGTAGCAGGCGCGTTGAACGGCTTGTTGGAAGCCCAGAATCGACTCCACGGCAAAAGTCCCTCTTTGGCAAGTTCCTGGTTCAGACGGGCATGGGCGAAGCTCACGGCGAGCACATTGCCGAGATTGCTCAGTGCAACGAAAGCGGGCAGACTGCTGGCGCCTGCGCTCTCACCAAAGACATTTCGGAAAAAGACACCGGCTACGATGACCTCGCTGTTTGCCAGCTGGTCCTTGGGGATGGCGGCGAAATAGGCAACATTTGCCAGAACATAAAGGATGGTGACGCCTCCAACGGCAAGCGGTGCTGCAATGGCGAGCGTCTTCCGGGGATGCTTGAGCTCGCTGACGACATAGTTTGCGTTCTCCCACCCTTTGTAAGAGTAGATGATGCGTAGCAGGGCAGTGCAGTATGCGTAGGCGCCCCCGCCTCCATAGCCATCGCCAACCTCGAGCCTGAAGGCGTTGTCAAAGTTCTTGGGATCCGGGACTTTGCGGTGACCGGCCAAGGCGGCGAAGCCGGAGAAGATGATGAAGATGAGGATGACGACTTTGAAGATGCCCAAGACGTTGAAGAGCCGGATGCCCCATTTGGGGAGAGTCGAGTGCAACAGGACAGAGAAGGTGACGCATGCAATGGCAATACCGCGAGCGGCCCATCCATCTGGGGACTTTGATCCGGAAGCGAAGAGGACATAACGACCAAAGGCCAGGCTGTTCCCAGAGGAGAAGCCCAGGAGCAGCATCTGTGCGGCGAGGACGCAGGTGGCAACATACTTTGGCCGCCGGTAGACGCGCTCGAGGTAGTTCTTCTCGCCGCCGGATTTGGGGATGGCAAGGCCGAATTCGAGGAAGACGGAAAGGCCAGCAAAGGTGAGGATGCCGCCTGTCCAGCGTCAGTGAGGTAACACGTCGACTCACGAAGGCAGGCCGACATACCGATGATCCACAGGAAAAGGGCGACACCCACCGAACCCGTCGCCGCAAAGATGCCGGATGGCGTAGAAAAGATACCCGTGCCGATCATCTTATTCAGGATCAGGAAGACGGCGCCAGTGATTCCAATCTTGCGGGACTCGTCAAACTGGTACGTGTGCTCATCCTCGATGACTCCCTCAGCAACGTCCGAGGGCGGCTGGCCATACGTGGTGTCGTCCTTGGGTCGCACCGTCTGGGCGACGTCGTCGTCGTTGTCCTTGGATGGCATGCTGCGCCCGTAGACGGTACACGGGGCACTGGCACTGCAGTGACAGGAGTGGTCCCGGTGAGTGGAAAACGTCGAGGCACGGGGGGAGGTAGAAATAAGGTTGCAGAAGCCGGCGGCCCCCCCGCTTCCGGGTTCCCGCTGCAGTGGTCGAGCTGGATAGCTACAGTAAGTTGAGTAAGTAGATGGATGTGGGGGCCCTGACCCTGATGCTGTCACCTCTACGTCTCAATATACTTAGTTGTATAGGCGGCGGGTGCGAGGAGTCTAGACAGTAGGAAGATGGGTCCACGAGGGACCATCTACTCTTTTCTACCCTACCACATCCTGTGTAGGGGCCCCGAGATTGCAACCTGGCTCGCATCGTATCCATGCACATGGACAGGCGGGACATACTGGTACAGTAGTCGTCGAAACCGCGTTGGCGTCATCGTCATCCCCGGTTGCGAAGTCGGGCTTGGGGCTGCATCATTACCATGATAGGGACCTGGTCTCTGTAACAAGTAGCGTTGCCGGGTTGCTACCCTAGGCTACTGGGGCCTGTGGGAGTCGAAGGAGCATCCAAGAAATCCAGGACATCCAGGACAGGCAGGTGAAAGCATGGCCGGAATTGTTGAGCGTTGCAGGAACCACGGTAGTGTTGCTAGCGCCCAATGTCGTGATGTCCAAGCGCGATTGCGTCGGGATGATTTTATTGCTAGGTATGGATTCGGTAGAGTACGGAGGAATAATAATAATATTACTTGTAACACAGTAATCTGTGGGCTCGGCATCCGATCCTTCTTGTACAGAGCGTGCCAGGACATTCACCGTCATGACCAGGGTGAGATGGGCGTGCTCACGGCTACGCTTGTTGTACTCCGTACTGTCAGAGAGTCCATCTACTGTACCCCGAAGAATGGGACAATAATGGCGAGTCGCAGCCCTTGCCAGCCTAGGAGATTGGAACATTCACCCTCTTCTGTCTCATTATTTGTTTTAGTACTCCCTCCCTATTCAACCCCAAAAGCCAGGAAGCAACCCCTGGACCACACTCGACATTTACGACTTCTTGCGCCTGGACACAACCCTAGGACTGGCTTATCATTACCAACGTCCAACCCACTTGGCCTCAGCGAGTGCAGCGACGAATTATGATCCATTAGTAGATCAATTGCTATGCATATCGCCACAAGCCATCCATCACCACTGATCCACCTTCCCACTTCAAAGGAAGACGTCGACTCTGGCCTTCTTCCTCTCTTGCACATCATTCATTCCCTCCTCACCGTCCCATCCTGATGACGCCCGCAGCCACCAACTTCTGTATCTTCTGCCTGATGTGCGCATTCTTCAGATGCTCCTGCAGTGCAGCCGGATTCTCCTTCGCCTGCTGCAGGATACTCTGCATGACGGGATCCTGCAGGATACCCACAATCTGTGCTTTTGGTTAGCCCTTCTCATTCATCATCTCATCCATCCCTTCAGCCATCGCGCCCGGGAAGAGCACACACGTACCTCGGGGTCCCTCTGAATCCTCTCCATCGTCTGCTCCTCGGTTTCGCCCTCACGGGCCGCAAACTGGGCCTCCATGGCCTTCTGCTCCTGCTGCATAATCTCGCGCGCATTCTTGCCGCCCTCGTCGTGCTCGGTTGCTTCTGCGCACGTATCGATGCACTTGCTGTACTCGCGCATGGCAAAGTACGCCTGCGCCTTGCGGAGATAGGCCCGGATGAATTTGGGGTCCCGCCTGATGGCTTCATCGCAGTCCAGCACCGCCGAAGGGAAGGAGAGAAGCTTGATGAAGCAGGCCGCACGGTTCGAGTAGCCGCGCGGGTCGTCGGGCGCGCGCTTGATCATCTCCGAGTATGCCTCCACCGCCGCCGGCCAATCCCCTTCCTTGAACTTGGCATTCCCGAGCTCGCGCGCCTCCTCTGCCTTCTCCGGGTTGATGTAGGCCTCCTTTTCCGCCTTGATCTTGGCCTTCTCCGCTGCGCGCAGTTTGGCGAGCACCTCTGGCGTACGGTGTTCCGTCTGCGCCTTTTGGTAGAAGAGGATCGCGTTGCTGAGGTCGCCCATTTTCTCGTATGCAGTGCCGATACGCGCAAAGGCCCTAAGCGGGTTAGCGAGGCGTAAAAAGCGAGGCTCTGGTGTGCATCAACGTACTTTGCGATCAGCTTGAAGTCAGCGAGCACCTCGCGTCCGTGGTCCACGGCCTGCTGGCATGCCTCAATGCAGCCCTGGTAGTCGCCCTTCTCAAACTTGGCAGCTCCAAGGTTGGTCAGGTAGGTGATGTCCTTGTACATCTCCCAGGCTTTGGAGTAGTGCTCAATTGCCTCATCGAACTGCCTCTTCTTGTAGAACTCGGTACCCTTCTTCTTCTCCTCGTCGGCCTTCGCTTTTGCCTCCTTCGCGGCTTTTGCCTCTTCGCTTTCCTCCTCGGGTTCCGGCTCTAGCTCGGGGGCCTTTGACGGCTCCTCCCGTTTGGGCGGTGCGGCGTCGGGCATGGGCACATCCTCTTCCCTTTGTCCAGCACCGCCCTGCCCAGCAGCACCTGGCTCGCTAGGAAACTGCAAGTCAACGCCCAGGAGCACACTCAGGACCTGGAGGAACCTCGGATCGTTGAAGTCGCCGGGACTGCCCTGGGGATTCTGCGCAAAACGTTGGAGCTTCGCCACGAATTCGGGGTCGGCGAGGTAAGGGGCAGTCTTTGGGTTATTCGCAAGCTTCTGAAGCAGGTTCGGGTCCTTGAACATCTGGTCGAGACCGCGTCCCTCTTGCGCCGCCTCGGCATCCACAGCGCGCTTGACGGCCTCCAGTCCGGACTTTGCCTGGGAATTGTTGGGGTCCAGCCTTAGGGCCTCCTCGAACGCTTCCGCAGCGTGTACAAGATCATTCGCCCCATGGTGTGCTGTGCCCTTTCGTCCCCATCCTTTGGACCAATCCGGCTTGAGTTCCACCACCTTGTTGGCGTCTTCGAGAGCATGTTGCCAGTCCTTCAATGATGCATATGCGCCTGATCTGTTCGAGTATAGTACGTGGTTCGTTGGGTCGAGCTCGATTGCTTGTGTGAATTTCTCGCTGGGTAGGCGGTTAGTCTCAGGCTTCTCCTCGACCCTTGATGCGCGGGGAAACAAACATGGACTCGGCAAACTTCTTTTCGGCAAAGAGCTTGTTGCCTTCTGCTTTGAGGGCATCGGCCATGGTGTGAGGTATTGAAGCAACAGACGCAAGGAAAACTTCCTGTACTGTAGTATTTATCGTTGAGGCTAATCGTGATGTGTGTGGTCAATAAATCCGCTGCGAGTCCGCTCTTCGCTGCAGCTGCGTCTGGGAAGCTTGCAGCTTCTAGCTGTTTCCATAGGCGCATCTTTTCTGCCACCGCCTGAGCCCGTTTTGGGTTAGCGGCTTTCTGGAAACCGTGGACCATGGCGGGGCTCTTTCGAGGGGCAGATGGGCAGGGGTGCTTTGCCGCAACTGATGCAACACAACAACCTTGGGACACTACTCTCTTTTTAGTGTCACGACCTCTGCCAGAGCTGTGGGGAGGGGTGTATAAGTAGCAACACACTTGGGGCGCAGCGTGGAGATACGAGGACATAAATTCAGGAAGCATGCTGTGTCAGGACTTATGCGGGTCCTAACAATGTACAAGTACTTTTATGTTTTGTGGTTCGTCATGTATTACAATGTGATGTAGTCGAACATGGGCAACTCAAAGCCCCACCCCGCGTACCGCTCCGTACCGCTCAGTACCGCTCAGTTTCCACAAGGAAGCGAATTTTGTTTACTGTAACCTAACTACACGATAGTGCATGCCATCTCGCAACCACCGGAGAACACCCCAAAGCCGCAACTTCCCAGTACCGCTGAACACCCACCGCGCAGGCTCACGAAGGGGATTCTAGTGCTCAAGCAGCCTCAGCGAGCCTTGGACAACAACGTTCTCCAGAATGGAGCCCGGCGGAATGTCAATGGTGCTGCCCTCGGTCGCGACGATGATGACAGTGCCCTTGAGGATGACGCCGCGGCCGAGCGTGACCTTGCCGGTGATGGTAAGGTGATCGAGTTCGACAATCTTGGGAATGGACGGGATGCGGGCCTGGAAGTTGGAGACCTTCTTGAAGTCGCTGCCGAGCTTGATCAAGGGTGCCGGGCCGAAACGGTTGGGGTCCATGACGAGCTGGCCGTGTTGGAGAGTGTAGAGATCCGACTTGACGAGCATGAGGTCGGAGCAGGTCTTCACGGGCAAGAACCGTCTCCTGGGCACGTTGACACCATGCGCATTGCGGAAGTGACGAATGGCGGCACCGACCGCCGTCTCGAGCTGGAGAACGGAGAGGTCCGCCTCGCCCTTCTTGTCAGCGGGGATGGACTTTTCGTTGGGGATGATCTCCATCTGGAGCTCGTTGTTCTCCACAACGCGCTTCACGGCCTTGAGGTTCATCCAGATGTTGTTGGTGTTGAAGTACTTGAACTTCTTGATGGACTTGAACTCGTTGACGTGCTCCTTGGGCACCTGGGCGATTTCCAGAAGGCGAACAGAACCCTCGTAATCGATAATGGTACCACCCTTGACGTCGGCTTTCGTCTTGTCCGTAAGCTCCATGATGTACTCGGCCTTGGAGTCGACCATGTGCTGCAGGATACGGAGGTCGACCACGGCACCCAGGTTGTCGGCGTTGGAAAGGAAGATGATCTCGATACCGCGGTCGATGAGCTTATCGAGAATGCCAGAGTTGTACAACGACTCGAACACGTCACCGTGGCCAGGAGGATACCAGTTGGAGATGTCCGAATCCGCCGACTTGGGGGCCGGTAGAAGCGAGTCCTTGAGGACACGAGGATACTTTGACTGATTGAAGGTGAGGATGTCGATGTTGTGGCCCTCGTACTTCTTGATGATGTTGGCGGTATCGGCATCGGTGTTGAACGAGTTCATGAGCACAAAGGGCACGTTGACATCGTAGGTCCGGTTGAGGTACTCAATCTGGCGAACCGACAGGTCGAGGAAGGACATGCCATCGCGGACCTCGATGACGGATTTGGGGCCGACACAACCCATTGATGTACCGAGACCACCGTTGAGCTTCACCACGGCCAGCTTGTTCAGGTATTCGACGGCCTCGGAGTTGGCGAGATCGTCGTAGTTGACCACCTGCTCGGCCTTGGGAGGCGCAATCCTAGACCATTCAATGACATTGCCCTTGGCTTTGTCATTCAGATATCGTCGGAAGAGAGCGAAGAAGTTGTCCATTTCGGTTTCGAAACGCTGGAGAGCAGGTCAGCGTCCATTGGTCACGGCAAAGGCCATTCATCCATCGGCGTACCTTCTTCTCATTCGGGTCGGTGACGGTATCGCAGAGCTTGTTCAGGGCATTGCGCATCTGAGAGGCGGCCACATTGGTCGAAGTGTTTTCGAAAGCCTGCGACGGGTCAATGTCCATGTTAGAATCCAACATGAGCTAAACTGAGGAAAGGCGGAGAAGAGGCGGCTGGGATGGACAGGTGAGAGTTGGCGGCTCCGTGTGGTGGGCTCCTTCTCTCCTACTGTGTAGAAGTCGGCAGGGACGACTGGCGGGCAAACTGCCCACGGCAGGTGGTGCCAACCAAGCTGTGGGCCATCCATTGTGAGGAATGGCACAGAGGATGATGAGGGAGCAGGCACAAGGCAATGAGTGGGGAGGCAAAAAGGGGGTGAGGGGGAGAAGGGCATGGGAGCTTCAGAAGCAAAGGAGGCCAGGCCAACTTACGACGTGCGACTGCGTCTTTCCATGTCGTCGCGGGGCGAAGCCGCCGTCATCGCCAGACTCAGCGGCTGAGGGCTTCAAGTGTGTAGGGATTGCGCGGGAGGCCATTATTGTTGTGCTGGGTTGGTCTTTCTTGGAGGGGAGAGGTGGGGAGGCGAGTATACTTGTAGGCAGGTAGAGAGGTAGGTAGAGAGGTGGATAGGGGAGGTGGGTGTAGCAGTTTGCAGCAAGCTTGGAAGGCGGTCAACAAGTTTGTTGGTTGGTTTTTGTGTCTCGTTCGGAGCCAGCTTCGGGGGGCCCAGGGTTGCAGGGTTGGCCCCGGTGCCCTTGACCAAAGGCGGAATGACCATGGCGCTAATTCTGCACGGGACTGCGCAGTGACGTGGGGTCGGCAAGCCGCGGAAACGCTTCACAGAGGGGAGAAAGAGGGGGGAAATAATACACAGTAATTAAATGGCTGGTGAGGAAGAGACTTGCTCGCATCGCATTATACTTGTACTATATACTAGTTGACCTATCTATCCACCGCCGTAAACCGCGGCTTAACGGTGTGCCTGTATCGAGTACTGTGTACTCCGTACTGTGTATGCGTCGGCCACCCCCAAACACAACCCCTCCTTCTGTGCCGCCGGAACCATGGTTAGGTACTGTGTAGAGTACACAGTACAGTAGTAACACGACTGTGCACACAGCAACGAGGATGATGTCTACTCCGTACGTACAAGTACACAGTATTGCTGGCGGGCACGGCGTTGTGCTATGGCACCGAGATGCCCTGTCATGTGTAGAGCTGACTGCCGTACCTTTTTTTTTGTGCACATGTATCGCCATGAGCAACGCCTCTCTCTACTCCGTACACGATATTCCCTCGTCATCCCCTCTTCTCCCTGCTTCACAATCGGCACAATAGTACTGATGTAATGTGTACTTGTGTAGTGTGTAGATTGCGGTTCCATCCAATGATGCCGTCATAGCTCCCGTTCCCGCCACTTCCCGCCACTACTGTCCTAACCCAGTTTAGCACAATATCATCCCGGTTTGTGTGGCTGAAGTGGCTTGCTTGAGTGGCGGGGGCGGCACTACATACTGCGAACCTTTGGAAAGCTTGCAGAGGTCCCCTGTGTCCAGTATCCTACTCCCCGTTCCCATAACCTGCTGTGTACTGTACATACCTAGGTATTATGTACACAGTAGGGAGGACTCGGCACTCCGCAGTTCCATCAGCATTGACGCTATGCTCCGACCATGACCTACCTAGTACCACAGTATGTACATACTGTGCATTGTCCTTGTACCGAGTCCCACGCAGTTTATTATTAAGATGAGGAGAGATCCTGGAGGACCGTCCGTAGGGTAGCAATGGTGAATTGGAGGGCGAATGGCATCTCGACAGTCCCCCACGCCCCTGAGCACCCCTGCTAACACGTGCGAGGGAGGAAGTCCACACTTTAATCTCCAGGAGCAGTTAGCGTACCTCTGTTGGAGTTATCTAGGTACTGTACTGTAGCTAGGTACTCGAACCCCTTCACTCTGCTTCGTGCCTGTGTCGAGCTATACGCCTCCGCATCTCAATGACAGGACCATCCGCAAATGGCACCGCCATCGGTTTCTCCACCCGCAGCGTGATGAAGCCATCGTCGACCTGATGGAACATCTTGGCCATCTCGTCCACCACTTGGGTCGACAAGGCTTCGAGCGTCTCGAAAGACGATTCCGACACAAACTAGAACCCTTCGTCAGCATACACCGCTTCTGCTACATGGGCGCCGAGGGACCCTACATCCACCAGCCTCCGCTCCATGGCGTGCTGTTGGTCCAGAAGTGGGGTGGGGATGGGGTCAATCCAAAGGTTTACGACTACAGGTTGCTTCTGTTGTCTCTCATTCGCATTGACGCCGATGATGCAGGGAATCCGCACATTCTTGAGGTACATCCCTAAGCAGACCCTGTGGCCCCGAGCATCCTTCGACTGGCAGAGGACGGCTCCAGCACCATCACCCAGAAGGCTTCCTTTCGGGTAGAAGATGCCCAGTTCGAGAGCCCTCAGCCGAGTCGCTCCAGTGGTCCGCTCGACAGCTGCGCGGATGTCACGCAATAAAGCCTCTGTGTTGACGTACGACCCCTTGCTGGTCTCAATGGTGGATCGAATGTTCTTACTCAGGATCCCATAGTGGACGGTACTGGCATCCAGCGAGTCCGCTTGAGCGGCCGCGAGGAACGGATTGGCCAGGTGCATCTTGACTGTGACCAAACAGGGCTGATTTCTCCTGCGTCCCCATGCGTCGTTGCCTGCCTCGACTGTCACCTGGAGGTTTTGGACAGCGATCGTGTCGGCAGCGTCATGGCCGGCAACATGTGCCTGCCATGCTGTGTAGCGAACCCTCTCTTCGGCCAATCCCAAGTCTGACGATTCCCAAAAGTCCGTCATGCTGCCTTCAGAATGATGAAAAGCTACGCATTGTCAGCACATGCATGCAATGAGGCATTGCGAGAGAACGTGTCCATGCCTCGGGAATCATACACCTCGAAGCGATTGCCTACAAAGAGCAATCAATCCCAGAAAATGACCATTGCCGAATCCCAGTGATATAATTAGTAGGTTCCCAAGGTGTAGGCTGTGCGGGATGAAAGAAAGAATAAAAGGCCGATAGATGGTGGCTTGTTGTCGAATGTAACGAGTTATTTATTTATCAAATACCCTACCCCACCATGTCAGCTCACCAAGCTCTCACCACCTAGGCACCCCCCCAAGACCCCATTCCTGAACGCATGACAACGCATTCCTCGTGCCGTGCCTCTCTTTCCACGGGGGCCTGTGCAAGGCACCCTACAGGCTGGGCTCCCTCCCTTTCGTCTCTGATACACCTGCAGCGCAGGCTACGCCATCGTTCCACAACACGCTCGCACGTTTACCGTGATATTGCGCGCTCACAGCTCATGATCCTCCAACCCCTCCCCTTCGAAAAGCTGACAGGACATGCATATGGTTTATCATGACTACGGAAAATCAAGATAGCAAGAAAACAACGACCGATGCCGCTCATAGAGAAGCGCTACAGTACTGGGGATTCCTGATCAAAGAGGACCGGTGCGGCACAGACATGTTGGACAGGCTATTGAAGGGCATTGCAACAGTCATTGTAGGCTTCCTGCATCTATGCGCTGATGTTGTAACAACTAATTGTGGAACCCCCCAGAGCACCAAGTTTGAACCTCACGACTGTTCGGATCTCAAGCCCACCCAACTCGCCGCCTTCTACCGGGCTGTCGGCGGAGACTATGATGTTCTCTTTGTCGAAACGCCGCCATCGTCGATTTCCTTTATATACCGTGCGCTGGGCGCATTGCACAGCCTGCAACCGACGCCGGAAGATGATGGATACTCGGCACCGACCGTTCCTGCGCTCAAGGCGAAAGGGTTCGTGACCTGGCAGACGATTCAGCTGCTACTCGGTCCGGAGGAGCATGCGCGATTCTTACAGAAGGCGGTGGAATTGTTCGACGTCAAAGACCCGTTGACTGGGCAGGTGTTCCCCAAGCTGCTTCCAAAGGAGTGCTTCCCGGACCGCCCGGATGAGGCCATGGAAGAATGGTACCAGAGCGTGGCTGAGCGTCTGAAGCGCGAGGCCGAGATGGAAACAGCTGGGAAAGAGGAGACGGCCAGGGTGCGCGTCGAGGTGCGCGACGACGGGCCGCGGTCATCCAGCGAGATATCGGAGGAGGAGAGGCGTGGCGCTGCGTCCTACTTCTCCGATCCCCTCTACCGACGCGAAAGGCCCAGGGCTGGCTATGCGAGACAGTATTCTAAGCAAGCAAGCTACTCGGAGGATTGGGGCGGTGTGGTGGGTAGGGTTAGACATATGTTGAACCCCTTCCATCGGGACCGGAGGAAAGACCGGCCCAGAAGAGACACGGACGAAGAATACTCTGACGACAGCCTTGATGCCACTCCTCTTGCGTCGGTCCCACCTCCGATCCACCATCACACATATGCGCCTCCAGAGCGCAAGCGACCGCATGCACCCCGAAGGGAAGGCTCGGCATCCACGAGCGACTCGGATTCCGAGTCGGACAGGCCTCGATTGTATCGCACGTCCCCCGTTCTCAGGCACAGACGTAGCCACCCTCCCTCAAGCCCACCAGAGTACTTCCCCGCGTACTACGGGGAACGAGAAAGGAGGTATAGCCACGATACCAAGCCGGACCCGCGAAGGAAGCAGGCTGATGGACCCCCGCCTCCTCTGTACGGCCCAACAAAGTCGCCCCTCTTCGCCACCCATGTGGCTCAGCTACAGGCGCACGCGTATGGTTACGAGCGGAGGTCGGCAGCAGGGCCGGCACGCACGTCGAATCGGCCGGAAGAGATTCGATACGTGGCGAAGGTCAGTGACACGGACGGTGGATATGCAAGAGAACGGGAGAGGCCCAGAGAAAGGGACAGAGAGAGGGAGAGGGGTAGGGACAAGTACAACTCGCCCAGCTCACGGTGCAGTCGACCTTATGAAGACGAACGGCGAAGGAGCGACGGGTACCCGGAGGAGAGGATGGGGGTTCGGGGGGACATGCTGCGGACGAGGAGCCACGACCGCGTGAAGGATGGGTGGGACGAGCGAGAGCACTCGAAGGAGCGGGGGCGCGATGGAAGAGTGAGGGCGAGGTATGTTGGCGGGGCAGGAGGAGTGCAGGATGGAGTGGGAGGGCGGAGGTATGCAGCGGAGCCGCCGTGGCGGTGAGGAGTTCCCAGTTCCCAGTGTCTGTATTTTTCTTTCTTCCTCCCTTTCTATTTTCCCCCTCTTTTTCTTGATATATGTCTTTTCTTCTTCGACTTATACTCTTGTCCTTGAAGCGGCATGGCGTTTAAGGGGGTCGGAGATGATGGTCACGACGAGGCAACGAGTGCATGGGACATGGGTGTGTGATGATCTGATGATGATATGCGTTGGACAATACGAGAAATGAAGACATTGGACTCTACTTTACTTTGGTTTTGGGGTCCAATTGTGTAGGGTGGGTGCACAACAGTCATGGTCGAGGGTGGGGGGCTCTACGCTCCATTGTACATGTGGACTCGCACTCGGATGAAAAGCGTGAGAGATATCATACGGATACGATGGTCTTAGCTACCCTACTCTGTACTCTGTACAGCCCTACTTGTATTTTACAGTACACAGTATGTACTTGTGTCCTTGGTCATGCCAGTCAATCAATCAGCCTTGGAACCTTGTTGGAACCTTGGGAACAAGATCGATCTGGTTGCCAAGTCTCGCTAACCCTTGTCGGATAGATCTTTCAAGGTATCCCTGCTGCCAGCTCCTTCCTCTTCCTCTGGCAGCTGTACATACAAGTAGAGGTACTATGTACACAGTAGACGGGACCATTTTCTCAGCTTCACCCTCACATCCATCCATCCATCCACCTTCACCATCACCACCACCACCACCTTCTTCAATCGCTTCTACCCGTGTACTGACTGGTACATACTGCCCAACTCTCCCCTGTCCATTGCAAGCGTCCGAGCTCCCCTCCCCCTCCTCCCCCTGACGTGTCCCCCCCTCGCCCGATCGCCATTTCCCATCCATGGATGGTCGGGGCGGACGTCATCACCCCATCAACCCCCAGCTCCCCCAGCTCCACGCGCCGGGCCCACACGAAAAAGGCTCCACTCCAGCTACTTGCAAAACAACACGTCGACGTTGCTGTGGGCACTCCACTTTGATCCAGCATTGAACGGGAGCACCCGTTCCCACGATACCACACCATCACACCCACCATCACAGTAAAATCCTCCCAGCTTCAACATTCGCGCCGCCTCCGAATAACCCCTTCTGCCGCTGCGGCACAGCCGACTGCCGCGCGCCCCCCCTGGACCTCAGCTTGCAAGTCGACCATCGGCGCTCCTGTAGATGCCATAGTCTACACTGTCCTTACTGCGCAGTAGCTGCCGCCCAAGCCCCAATCGACTACTGTGCCTCGTCATTGTCATTGACCTCTCCTCCCGCAGCCCATCGGTTTCCTCAGCCATGGAGTCCACCTCCACCCGCGCCTCGGAGCTCAAGCAGCAGGGCGCCTTGGAGGCTGCACAAGACCCCCACTCAAACCTCTCACCTCGGGCCGCAGAAGACTTCGTTGTCAATGAGGCAAGGAAGGGGGGCAGCGCCGCCCTTGAATTCAACCCCGATGCCACCATAGAGGAGAAGCGAGCGGCTGCCCAGGCGGTGCGTATCGACTCGACCCTTGCTGCCCTTGCCTTGCTACAAGACGGTGCTGACCATCTCTGTTAGCGTATTCCAGACGGCCTCCGCCACGAGCGGAAACCCAAGGCTGCAGTGCTCGTTTCCGATGCCGTAAGTCCTCGTCCGTCCAACACCTCAATGCCAACCAAGTTCTGACAGAACCCGTAGGACAAATCGGTCGGGCCCCAGTACGACCTCCCCTCACCCGACAAGGCCGGCGCCATACAACAAGTCCCCACGCCAGATTCGGCAAAGCCCAATGGGAAGCCTCTCGAGCTGGACGAGGAAGCCCGATGGGAAAGGGTTGGCTGGGCCCCGAGATTCGGCTTGCCAGGCTCAGATGAAGAGCAAGACGAGACAACACTGTTGGACCACCAAACGTGGCTCGAGGGCCGCCTGGAAGAAAAGTTCTATGGCGACTGGTATCATAACACGGGCGTCATCATCTTTGCCTGCCTCAGCTCTTGGGTCGTTGCGGTACTGGGTGGTGGCCTGGGCTGGATCTTCTGCATCATGGCCATCTGCGGCACCTATTACCGGACCTCCATTCGCCGCCTTCGCCGCAATGCTCGCGATGATCTGAACCGCGAAATGGCCAAGAGCAAGCTGGAATCCGACACCGAGACGTTGGAGTGGATCAACAGCTTCCTTGTCAAGTTCTGGCCCATCTATGCTCCTGTTCTCTGCGATACCATCGTGGGATCAGTTGACCAGGTTTTGTCTACCCAAACCCCGGCTTTCCTCGAGGGCCTGCGTATGAAGACGTTTGTCCTGGGAACGAAACCACCCCGGCTGGAACACGTCAAGACGTACCCCAAGACGGAAGACGACATCGTCCTGATGGACTGGAAGTTCAGCTTCACCCCCAATGATACAGCCGATCTTACAGCGCGCCAGATCAAGAACAAGATCAACCCCAAGGTCGTGCTCGAGATTCGCGTCGGCAAAGGCATCGTCAGCAAGGGCCTTGACGTCATCGTCGAGGATATGGCCTTTTCCGGCTTGATGAGGCTCAAGTTCAAGCTCCAGCTACCCTTTCCCCATATCGAGAGGGTCGAGGCGAGCTTCTTGGAGCGTCCTACGATCGACTATGTCTGCAAGCCCCTTGGTGGCGAGACGTTCGGTTTCGATATCAACTTCATCCCCGGTCTGGAGGCCTTCATCATGGAGCAGATACACGCAAATCTCGGACCTATGCTCTATGCTCCCAACGTCTTCCCCATCGAAATCGCCAAGATGCTTGCCGGGAACCCGGTCGATCAGGCCATTGGCGTGCTCCAGATCACTTTCCACGGCGCCCAGGGCCTCAAGAACCCCGACAAGTTCTCCGGCACTCCAGATCCCTATGCTGTCGTCTCCATCAATAACCGCGCTCCATTGGCTCGCACAAAAACCGCTCACGAGAATGCAAATCCCCGCTGGAATGAGACTGTCAACGTCATCGTCACCTCTTTGAAGGATGCATTGACCATTGGCATCTTTGACTACAACGACATCCGCAAAGACAAGGAGCTTGGCACCGCAACATTTGCTCTGGAGCAACTCGAAGAAGACCAGGAGCATGAGAATCTGCACCTGGAGGTCCTGTCGGGCGGCCGACCTCGCGGCATCCTTCAGGCAGACGTACGCTTCTTCCCTGTACTGGAGGGTGCTGTGGTGGATGGCGTCCAGGAACCCCCTCCCGAGTCCAGGACGGGGATTGCCAAGTTTACGGTTGAACAGGCCAAGGATCTGGATGGAACCAAGAGTCTGGTTGGCCAGCTGAGCCCGTATGCGGTCCTGCTTCTTAACGGACGCGAGGTTCAGAAGTCGAGGATTATGAAGCGCACGAATAACCCCATCTGGCCTGACGCCACCAAGGAACTCCTGATCACGGATCGCAAAAAGGCCAAACTGGGTGTGGTCCTCAAGGATGACAGAGATCTCGCTACCGATCCCATCATCGGGACCTACCAGATCGGACTCGAGGACATGCTCGAGCTGATGGCCAAGGGCCAGGAATGGTACCATCTTGCAGGTGTGCCAACTGGCCGTGTCAAAATGAAGGTTCAATGGAGACCTGTCGCTCTCAAAGGCGCCATTGCTGGCTCTGGTGGTTATCTCACCCCCATTGGCGTCATGAGAGTGCATTTCAAGGGCGCTCGCGATCTCCGCAACTTGGAGGCCATGGGCAAGTCAGATCCATATGCCCGGGTTCTCCTTTCCGGAATCCAAAAGGGGCGGACTGTGACGTTCAAGAGCAACCTCAACCCCGACTGGGATGAAGTCGTCTATGTACCGATGCACTCTACGCGCGAGAAACTGGTCCTCGAGGTTATGGACGAGGAAACGCTCGGCAAGGACCGCCCGCTGGGTCATATTGAACTTGCCGCTTCCGAGTTCATCAGGCAAGACGACAATGGCGAATACGAAACGTATGAGGAGAAAACGCCGCGATCCGATCCCTTGCGACTGAGCGCGAGCAAGTCACCCAAGGGTACTCTTAGCTATACCTGCTCCTTCTACCCCATCTACCGTGTTTGGGATCCCGACGACGATGAAGAGGAGGAGAGCGAGGCCCAGAGCGTCACAAGAGCAAACTCAGTCATGTCGGATGGGCCTGTCACGAATGGAACAAGGAAGGCGAATGGGCACAAAAAGACTCTGTCAAGCGCCTCCCGTGCGACGGCCGCAACCGCTGGGACCATCTCATCGCTCAAGTCCGCTCAATCCGGTCAATCCACTGGGGGTGCTGCCAACCCAGATCTGGCCAGAGAGCTGGACAAGAACGAGGGCAAGCAGGAGGAGACAGTCCAGGAAAGGAAATCCGTTGAGAAGCTGCGGCTCACCCCCGACGATCTTCAGCATTACGGTAAGTGCAGACTCGTTATGTTTCTTGCACCTACATCGAAGGGCAGACATCACCCGTTCGCCCTATGAAAACTTCGAGACAAATTGCTAACTCTTTCCAGAGTCTGGTCTCGTCGTCTTCAAGATTCACGAAGGCGAGTTCGCCGATACTGGAGCGTATGTCGATATCATCATGGATGATATGGCCTTCCCGTGCTATACCACTTCCAAGATCAAGAGTCGACACATGGTTTTCAACGAAGGTAAGGATATCCTACGCCCAGCATTGGACGTTTTGCTCACAAATCCCAGTCGGTGATGCCATGGTTCGAGAACTGGATTTCTCGAAGATGACACTGCGTATCGTTGAGCACGTAGACAAGAAGGGAGAAAATGACGAAGATCACATCATCGCCAAGCTCACAGGGAATACTCTGGACACTCTGAGAAGGTGCTTGGTAAGACAGTGGGCAAGACCGCTTCCGGGATGCATTCGACTAATGCATCGCAGTACACGCCGACCCAACTCACTCTCAAGGACGATCATGGCCGCGACAATAAGATCACCGTGTCGCTCAAATATCTCCCCGTGAAGATGCGCCTGGATCCGAGCGAATCATTCAACAACCAGGGAACGCTCCGTGTCGACGTCCTGGATGCAGCTGACCTCCCAGCTGCCGACCGGAACGGTTATTCTGACCCATACTGCAAGTTCATATTGAATGATAAGGAAGTACACAAGACGAAGGTACAGAAGAAGACGCTGCATCCAGCGTGGAACGAGTTCTTCGAGGTGCAGGTGCGAAGCCGCACAGCTGCCCATTTCGAAGTTCATGTTTACGATTGGGATTTTGGAGACAAGGCAGACTTCCTTGGCAAGGCCGCGATTGATCTCAACCTACTGGAACCGTTCCAGGCCCAAGAGATTACCCTTGGGCTTGATGGAAAATCTGGCGCCATACGGCTTAAGATGTTGTTCAAGCCAGACTACGTCATGCGGTCTCGTCAAGGGTCCAGCACCTTCTCAGGGACCTTCGCTGTCCCAGGTAAGGTCATTGGCGCTCCTGTCAAGGGCGTCGGCAAGGGTGCCGTGCTTGTTGGAGGAGGCGTCGTTCGAGCAGGTACATTCCTCGGCCGTGGCTTCAAACGCAGAAAGTCTCGTGGAGAGAAGCCGGAAGAAGTCGATGAGTCACGGCCAACGACTGCTGAGGATCAACCCGTCATCTCCGTCGAAGGGGCCGATGGCGGAAGTCCCGTTGCTAGCGCCAGTGGTACCTCTCATCACCGAGCTAAGAGCTGGGGTGCACAGAGTTTCGCCAGTGCCTTTGGCGCTGGTGGTGGGGTAATTGGTGATGCCGGCTACGCGAACCTGACGGTTGTGGCTGCGAACGGGTTCCCGCCTGGAACGAATGTGCGTGTTCATGTGCGTATGGATTCACCCAAGGGTCCTAAGGAAGTGCACAAGACGAAGCACATCAAGACGTCCTCCGGTTCCGTCGTCTTCGAGAACGAGAACGTCAAGGTGCCGTGTACGGCCGATTCATCCTTCCGCGTCATCGTCAAGGATCACTCTACGTTCGGCCATGACGAGGAGCTCGGCGAAGCGCAATTCTTCATTGATGACCAGGGTGCTGGTGGTGAGAAGAGTATATCGGTCGGACCTGGGATTGTGGTCGTGAGGAGTAGCTTTGAGCCTAGGGACAGTAGGCCAGGGAGTATCGTTGGCAAGGAGCCGAAGAGCCCGACGAGCAGGAAGGGTTTGCTCAGTCGAGGGAGGGATAGGGATAGTCGCAGCGTGACGCCTGCCTAAAACGGAGTTGGCAACGGAAACGACAGAACGGCTGGTATGAATAATTGGGGCGCGGCGGCGGCGGACTTCGGTGGAGCCAAAACGGTTTTGGATGCGAACGTTGGAGGTTATAGCAGGGAGATTGCGATGTTCAGATGTTCGGAGGGTTCCAGTGCGGTTGCGGTTCTTGTTCTTCACTTTGGCTCGGCTTGGTGGGTGGTGGCATCTTATTCTTTCATTTTCTTGTTTTCTTCTGTCTATACCTCTTTCGTTTCCGATATGAGGACTTGGCTCATGTCTTCTTACCTTGTTAATGTCCACGAGCATAGGGGAAAGGGTATAAAGCTCATCAAAGCATGGGCTCACAGCGGGCATTTTGTGTTGGTATCAATTGATCTATGGGTGCCGCCAGCCGAATCCGTTTCCATATCAAATCCGTACGACGGCCTTGGGATTGATCCCATATGCATTCCATCGTCATATCAGATATGACCAATACCCCACAACCAGACGACTCCGAAAATGCGGCTACATGCAGAAGGGCCGTTTCGACGAGGGCGATGGCGCGGCAGCCCAACACAGTGAAGCCGTTGACTGTGCCTGCACTTTACCATCTATGTCTTCGTACTTCTTGCGGGCATAGATTTACTTCATCCCCCTCAGCAGCCCTCTCGAAATCAAGGAAAACGGGCAGTGTCTGGTGATCGGAAAAGTCGCAGTGAAATTGATACAAAACAGCAATGACCAAATGCTGGAATCAAATTGCTACATTGGCCTTAAGAAGCGACAAACCCTCTTGGACATGATAGTAGTACAATTGCAAGGGTATCGTTTGCGGTTGGAAAGATTACTAATAAGATTGTCCGGCGGCCCTGCGCCCTGACTGTCTGTCCACATGCATATGCATGCATCTACAAGTACGTACTGGTATATCTGGGTACCTGGATATCGCCTCGCATTGACCTTCCCTTCCGAGGAAGGACCTTCTCGCTCCCTGGCCGTCGTCATCATCCTCCTCCCTCTCATCATGATGTACCTCCGTACTCCGCACCCTCTTGACGTATCCTCACCGAGTCACCCCAGTCTCCCATCTCCCCGTTTCCTTGATGCCCGTCCAGGAACCTGTCTCGGCAACGGTTAAATGTGGAAGGTGGATATTCCCTCCCATGCACCTGTACGGAGCCTTGGCAGCATCTCTACCAATGGCCTCTTCCCTCCTGGGATATACTGTGCGGTACGGTACGGCAGTCGCTTACGAGTCCATGGATAGATGATGTGATGGGACGCTGGTAATCGCCGCGGCGAACCGCACAGCTCCAAAGCGAGCAAGCATGCAACATTCCGAGAAATCGAACCACGGTCCGAGCCCAAGACTCGGCCATTGACGGACAGTTTAGGGATGCATATGAGGTGTGATGACGGATATCGGTACTAGACGACGATACAAGTAGACCGCAGGGCCCCAGCTTTCTCTGCGTTTGCAGGATCTGCTACTTTCAAACCCCGAGCCCTGAGCGAGTTATTGACCTTGAGCTTGCCAGATGGCTTTGCGGAAGATCGTCCTGGCGGCCAGCGCCGTCATGGGCTCGGCATGGGCTCTTTCTACCGAGTGCGTACTCATCTGGCTGCAGATTGTGTGGTCCGCGGCTGCGGAGAACGACTTTGTTGATGATGCTCTAGAGACATGCTTGCGGCTCCGCGTCGCAGTACCGCCAACGTGAACCCCAGCGGAGTAAGATTCCATTGCACGAGCCCACCCGTGTGAAACCGGGATAGATCCTGACTTTTCAACGATAGGAAATCGCTCTCTTCTCCTCGACCCGTTACAACTGGACCACGCACAAATCTAAGACAACCTGGCACATCCTTGACATTGCAAGCGGCAACATCACCGATGCGCCGTTTGACTCCGCCGTGTCCGAGGTAGTCTGGGTAGGGCCAGTGAATACAAGTATCTTGTACATCAATGAGACAAACGAGGAGGTTCCTGGAGGTGTGACGTTGTGGACTGCCGATGTCCGTGATTTTGCGCCGTAAGCCTCTTTCGTCACGTATCATATAACCTCGACACTGAAAACAGAGGGATAGTACGCTAGTCGCCTCTCTGAACGCGCCGTTCGCCGGTCTCAAAGCTGTCCAGACGAAATCCGGAAACATCAATTTCGTCGTCAACACCAAAGCGTACTGGAACAACGGGTCGGCGTACAATGAAGAACTCGCCAGCAAACCCCTGAGTAGCGGGGGCCTCTATGACAACACCTTCGTGCGCCATTGGAATGAATACATTACACACGAGCGGTTTTCCATCTTCAGCGGCGTGCTGACTGCGGAGAAGGCGAACGCGACTGGGAGTGGAAAGCTCAGCTTCAATGGCAAGGTGAAGAATCTTCTCTGGGGGATTAACGCGACAGTCACCCGCCCGGAAACCCCGGTGCAGCCGTTCGGTGATCAAGGCGACTACGACATCTCTCCTGACGGGAAGACGGTGGCATTCCTCACCAAATCTCCACATCTGTCCAAGGCCAACTATACGGCCAGCTACATCTACTTGGTCCCGCACGATGGGTCGGAAGTCGCGGTCCCGGTTAATGGACCAAACACTAGCGCTCCCAAGACTGCGCAAGGTGCCTCTGGGTATCCGAGATGGTCGCCCGATGGAACGAAGTTGGCTTACGGGCAGCAAGACGGGATCTACTACGAGTCCGACCGCTTCAAGCTATATGTCGCTACTGTCGATGGGTTGAAGTCCGAAGTCAAATCGGTGGCTGAAGATTGGGATTCCACACCATCTGGTCTCGCATGGGGCCCGGAGGGACACCTTTACGTCGCCTCAGAACTGAACGCCATGAACCGACTCTGGGTCGTCCCCTACGAAGCCGAAGCTTCCTACAAACCCGAGAATTTCACCGGTGAGGACACCTACGTGTCCGACTTCTCCGTTCTGCCCGACGGCTCGGTTCTCGTTTCCGCCGCATCTGGCTGGACAAGCCGTATGTTCTACGTGCAAAAACCGGGCTCCGATAAGAAGGTCTTGTTCACTGCCAACGAAGTCGATCCCGAGCTTGCCGGCCTCCAGGAAAACTCTACCACATACTTCTGGTTCCAGAACAAGGATGGCGATAACATCCAAACCTTCGTCTTCCTGCCCACCGACTTCGACCCCGCAAAGAAGTACCCTCTAGCATTCATCGTGCACGGTGGACCGCAGGTCGCACAAGGCGATAACTGGAGCACAAGGTGGAATCTGCGCCTTTGGGCGGACCAAGGCTTCGTCGTAACTACCGTGCAGTTCACAGGAACGCCGAGTTATGGCCAGGAGTTTACGGATAAAATTGCGAATAACTGGGGAGGGACGCCATATACGGATCTTGAGGAGGCTTTCGAGTACATGAGGAAGAACATTCCCTACATTGACACCGACAACGCTATTGCTGCGGGTGCAAGTTACGGGGCCTTTATGTAGGTCGAGCATTCTCCGCGAGATCCTCACACCCCAGCAAGACACTGACATGTCCGACAGGATGAATTGGATCCAGGGCCACGCCCTCGGCAAGAAATTCAAAGCCATCGTCTCTCACGATGGCAAGCTCAGCCAACGCGGCGCTTACGCCACCGAAGAACTCTGGTTCATCCAAAAGGACCAAAACGGCACCGTCTGGGACAACCCCGAAAACTACGCCCTCTGGGATCCCCTCGACTATGTCGGCAACTTCACCACGCCCCAATTCATCGTTCATAATGACCTCGACTACAGAGTCGTTGTGTCCGATGGGGTTATGCTGTTTAATATCTTGCAAAGTCGCGGCGTGCCGTCAAGGTTTTTGCATTTCCCGGATGAGGGACATTGGGTGTTGAATCGGGAGAATAGCCTGCTGTGGCACAAGTACATCTTCAATTGGATCCGGTATTATACCGGCCAGGATAAGGAGCTTATCCAGGATCCAGTGATCAAGCAGTAGTGGGTTGGTTCACTTGCGCCACGAAAGGAGCAAACATGACGCTCGCATCGAGCGATGCGGCTTTTACGTAGTAGTGGTTTTGGATCATCGCACATTTGTGTCGCAATATCGATCATTCCCCTGGAGCAAACTCTTCAGTAGGCGTCAGAATCTGGATGTCGGCCCAGATTGGCACATGGTCGCTAGGGCCTCGTTCCTCCTCGCTGTCCAACATACCCGCCCCTCCGACTCGGCCTCCATCCCAGAGTTTCTTGCTGATCAGAAAGTAGTCCACTCGGTCGCAGCTGATTCCCCATTGGCGGGTACGTGGGTAGTACGTGAAGCGTCGAACGTCAGGATTCATAGCTCTCCAGATATCCACGCCATGCCATTGCTTCGCTTCTTGTCCGGTTTTCGGCTCTCCTTTTCCCAAGAACTTGAAAATGAAGTCGGCGCGATTGAAGACATGTTGACAGGGAAAAGTACGAAGATTCGGGTATCCGTCCATACGTGCTGGCGCTATATTGAAGTCTCCAGCCATAACCACATTCCATCCGTTCTCCTCCAGGGATATGCATTCCTCCACGAGCAGTCGGTGGAACGCCAACTTCCTGTCATGCCTTGTACCCATTACTGCTCCCGTACGCGGATCTCTGTACGGACTTTCTGTCCCGTTTACAGCATATATGTTAAAGATGGCGATCTTGGTAGAACTACAGCTTTCTGGAGGTGACGTCAGTTCCACAATGGAGACTCGGCCTTCCTTGTCCCAATCTACAGTCCGGAAACGGCATGACAAATTAAAGAGACGATATATGTCCGATCGGACGATGCTGCATACTCCGTAAACCTTCCCTGTGCCTGCCAGCCCACGCGCATTCTTCCGGTCTGTGGGAAGTGTGAAGTGGATCTTGTACCGGGGGCCTTCGTCTTCTCCCCTTCCAGATGGCAGTCGCGCATTCACGGCCAAGCGGACGGCATTTTGCGTCTCGATGTCCGAGTCTGATATTTTCACTTCTTGGAGAAAGAGTATGCCTGGCCAGTGATGTCGGCTAAGAAAGGCTCGTAAAGAAGGTTCTGCCCTTGGCGGCTTCTCGGTGTTGCTCCTCGCCGGCCCTGCCTTTGGCTGGAAATATTTGGTTATTGGGTTTTTCTGTGGTAAGAACGGCGCGATGCCGTTGATATTCCAGGCGTATATTCTCAGACAGCCTGGAGACGGTGGAGGCGGTGGAGACGGCGGGCCGGGCAGTTTTGTCGTCTGAGTCGGCACTATTCTCCGCCGCTTCGACGGCGGCGGACTTATTTCACCGGTCATGGTGCATTCGTGCGTGTGTGAGTGTGTGCGCGCGTGTGTGTATGTGTGTTTGCCTCTTGCAAAGAGGTGGGGAGATCGGAGGGTCCGGTTGGTACCATCTATCTTCTTCGACGATGACGTAACCCTCCGATACATCTGATCCAGTACTGTGTACAGTACATATCCCATAACACAGTACAGTACCGAAACCCAATCGCTCATGTGACGCTACTATCATGTCTTTCGGCAGTCTAACGGCCGCTGCTCGGAGATACAACTGTTGGCAAGTCGCTTCAACGGCTTTAGTGCTGGGTTGACTGTCTTCATTATAGGCAGGCTATCCATCAGAATTACACAAGTCACACTTTAACCCCTACGGACACGGTAGATTACCTTGGACGCTCTAAAAGTACAGTTCCTGGTAGGGCATCCTGAAGACGGCAGCCTCACACGGCCAAGGCGTGATTGCATCTTCGAGTCGGTTGGCCAGTCGTCCACCCATAGTGCTGTAGCGAACTCAAGGCAAAATTCCCAGTAGCTCGGATACCACCCTGCGTCCTCCCAGTCTACGATAGCAACACTGATATGGCCCCTGCGTGTGACCAGGACGTTCTTTCGTTGTAGATCCGAATGCGAAAAGACGAATCATGCCCACTTAACACAACATTCAGATGCCTTTCATAGAACTTTATCTTTCGGTCCACGTATCCTCCGTTCTCCTCAGACTGCTGCCTCGGCTTTCGAACAATTCCGGCATTAAGTTCGGCCTCTGAACTGAAAGGCCCGCAGATCGCTGGGCATTTGGCCAAATCCCAGAAAAAGTGGTGGGCAAGGGGAGTCCTCCCGATACCACCATAGAAGCCAGGAGAGGGAAGATTTCGCAGCAAATCAAACGCGTTCTTTAGCCTTGCGCAGACAGCCAATTTCTCCTCTTCCATAAGCTGGCGCCAGGTGTCTCAAGTACGGTAGACTATTATCAGGTATCCAGCCAAAATTCAAACTGCCTAAGGGTGCAACGAGAAAGCTCTGCAGAATTAGCAGTGTACGGACGCAGTGCAAGTACGCAGTACAAGTCTACAATATAAGTATTGTCAGATTTGATGGTATCTGAAGATGTCACGGTGACAGAAAGATTGATTGAAGATGGGTTGACTGATTGTATTCTGGTGTGCTTGTGTGTGTAAGGCTGGGGCCTGACACTGGTTTTGATATTTCTTTTCTGGGTGCCAAGGCTGCACAGGACACTAGCTACTGCAGAATCACTAGCCACATATCCTCAGACAGTACCGGTACAGATAGTTTCTCTCAGTCCTCCTCTCCAGTCCTAGATGAGATGTCCATAAACTGGCTTACCATCTGATACACCCCCTCAGCT